GCATGATCAGCATCACAGAACGAGGTAAAGAGCTCCTTGGAGTCGGTGGGACCATAGACGAGTCGATAATCCAGGGTGCCTCTCAGATAGCGAAACAGATGCTTCACAGCCTTCCAGTGCGCAATCCCAGGATTTGAGTTGAAACGGCATAGAACAGAGACGGTGTGGGCGATGTCAGGACGAGTGGCGAGTGCAAGGAACAGCAGGGAACCGACAGCAGAGATGTAGGGAACCTTCTTCATGTACTCCTTGTCCTCAGTCGATACAGGAGCCATGGAGACAGAGAGATTGGTGCCAGGGACCATGGGGGTCTTCACAGGGGTCGACTCGGCCTGTCCGTAACGCTCCAGCATGTCTAGGATGTATTGGCGCTGGGAGAGCATCAGGCGACGATTGGGGCGATCCCTCGCAATCTCTATACCAAGAAGAGCGGTGGTGGGCCCCAAATTGCGAAGCTTGAACGACCTAGAGAGCTCAACAACAAGATCATTGAGCAGGGACAAGGAATTCAACGCAAAAGTGCAGTCATCCACAAAGACAGGCAGAATGACCTTGACCTGATCCTTGGCATAGATATAGATGCTGTTGTCAGGGTAGATCGCCTTGAATCCCATGCGCTCCAGTACCGCCTTGAGCTTCTTGTACCACAGCCGACTTGCCTGCTTCAACCCATACAAGCCCTTCATCAAGCGGCTCAGGTCCTCCCTGCTCAAATCCTTCAGGCTGCTCCATGTAGACCACAGTATCCAGATCGCCATTGATGAACGCATGGGAGATGTCGACAGAGCGCAGGTGAAAGTCCTCGAGGGCAGAGAGAGCAAGGATGGCGCGAATGGCTGCAAACTTGGCTGTGGGGGCGAATGTCTCGAAGTAATCAAACCCAGGGCGCTGACTGAAGCCCTTGGCGACGAGACGAGCCTTGTAGCGCTCGACAGAGCCATCCGTGTTATGCTTCACCTTGAAAACCCAACGAGAACCAATTGCCTTGCAGCCCTCAGGGAGTAGAACAATGTCCCAGGTGCGATTCCAAGCATGAGCCTCCATCTCTTCCTCTGCCGCCTTCTGCCACTCATCTGCGTCAGGGCGCTTCATTGCCTGACGATACGTCGAGGGCTCAGCCTTTTCAGCACCAGAGGTGAACAGGGCACGCTCGACTTCAGCCAGAAATGCGTCCTCAACAATGGGTTCCATCTCTGCCTCTCCAGAAGCATCAGGGGCGTCCTCAGCAGTGTCCGAATGAGCATCATTGTCTGCAGACAGTGTCCTAACCTTCCACCATTCCCCAGGAGCGCGACGAGTACGAGTGGAGCGTCGAGTAACAGATGGGCCTGGTTCAGGGGTAGCAGAGCGATTCCTGGAGCGCGTTCTAAGAGCAGGAGGTGGCGCTGGAATGATAGGAGGGGGAGCATCAGGAGGGACAACAACAGGAGCAAGAGGTAGAGGAGGTGCTGGGTCTGCCACAGGATGATCCTGATCGATGGGAGCATCTTCTAGATGACCAGCAGGAGGAGGAGTATCTGCTTCCCCCCCCCCCAGAACCGGCACCGGATCCACATCTGCATCCCAAAGACTGAACAGAGACGAAGGAGGAGGGGTGGCAGACTGGGTGTTAGCATCAAAGTTGCGAGTCCCAGGGAAGAATCGCTCATCAAAGTCTGCCCTTTCCGAAATGATGACCTTCTGAGTCACAGGATTGTAGAACTTCCACGCCTTGTAGCCCTCAGGATACCCAATAAACACGCACTTCTCCATATGCGATCCAAATCCATCCCTTTTGTCCCTCTGCACATGCACATAAGCCAAGCAGCCCCAGACCCGCAAGTGCGAAACGTCCGGCTTCTTCCCATGGACCATCTCAAATGGTGTCTTGCCCTTCAGGGTGGATGTCCAGAGTCGATTCCAGACGTGCACATAAGCGGCCAGAGCCTCGCCCCAGAAAGCAAGCGGCAAATGCAATTCAGAGAGCATGGCAGTGAGGGCCTCCATGATAGTGCGATTGGCACGCTCTGCCACGCCGTTCTGCTGTGGCCGATTGCGCGCCGTGTGCCTCCTAGCGATTCCATGCTCCAAACAAAACGAGTCCCAGGCATTGGACATGTACTCTCCTCCCTTGTCATCCTGCAAAGCCAAAATGCGCTGTCCAGTCAGGTTCTCCACATAGGCCTTGTAGCGCTTGAAAGCCTCAAACGCGTCGCTCTTCAAGCGCAGGACATAGACCACCTTGAGCTTGGTGAACTCATCAATGAAGGTGATCCAGTAGCGCATTCCAGAGTGAGTGGCGACAGGGAGAGGACCATGGAGATCAGAGTGGACGAGTTCAAGCGGTTTGGAGGTCACAGAGCCAGTGGAGGGGAAGGGGTGAGCGTGCATCTTGCCAGAGAGACAGGGCTCGCACACAGGGTCAGGCTGCACATCCGAATCGAGCTGTAGACCAGTAACGAGTTGTTCCTTCACCATCTTCTGCACTCCAGCATGGTGGTGGTGGCAGAGACGACGATGCCACAGGGACAAGTCAAGAGGGAGAGTAGAAGCGGCACCAGCAGACTGCAAAACAACGGTGGATGTGGTCCCTTGAAGATATGCGTTGTTGGAACCATCAGGAACGATTGCCATGAACCACACTGCACCATCCCGGGAGAAATGCATCGAAGATCCTTCTATTAGCACAGAGAAGTGCTTGTGCTGAGTCAAATACAGCACAGACAGGAGATTACAACCGAGATCAGGGACATGCAGGACGTTTGAGAACTCCACAGACTGCGCCCTCTTGCCTCCAACAACCGGATTGAACACCACAGTCCCAATACCAGCAGAATAGATGACAGACGAGTCTGCAAGACGAATGGGGACGACAAAGGGACGATAGTTGCGAAGCCAGTGGCGATGGGGCGTCATATGAGAGGTCGCACCTGTGTCCGCATTCCAATCAAGGTCAGTGACGAGTGAGGGGGCTGTGGATGAAGGGGATGGAGCAGGGGAACGAAAACTTGCATTGCCTGCAAACTGCATGGGACCAGAGGCTTCAGGGGCCTGAACCGAGTGGGCCTGCTGTGGCTTGGACTTCTTCAGCTCCTCATTGATCCTCTTGAAGCACCTGTCATCAGTGTGGCCAGTGGCACCGCAGAAGTCGCACTTGTACTGCTTCCTGGGTGGCCTAGAACGTCTGTAGGAGGTGGAGGAAGAGGTGGAGGACGAAGGAAAGGATGCCACAAGGGCCTGTGCAGAGTCTGTGGGATCAGAACGACGCGCACGATTCAAATCCTCGCGCCTGAACGCGTCCTCGAGCTTGGAGCGAGACAAGACGTCCATGAGACTGAGGGAGGAGCGGAAGGTGTCAAACTCGGAGGGAAGAGACCACAAGAGGGCCATGCAAGTGAGCTCCTCGTCCTGCTTCTTGAGATCGAAGCCAGAGTCGCGGAGGTTCTTCAAGACGCGCATAGACTCGTCGACACGATGAATGAGGGACTGGAGGGACTCATCGTTGTGCTTCTTGATCGAAAAGAGGTCCTCCATCGCGTTGAAACGCGATCCAGCAGACTTCTTATTGAACTGCTCCTCTAGTTTGGTCCAAATGGCAATGGGGTCGTCCTCAATGCCATCCAAGACGCCTCTGAACTGCTCCTCAACTGATAGTAAGAGCGCACCAGCAGCCTTCTGAGCATTCCTCTTCCACTCTGCCACCTCCCTTGCCTCAGCAGGCTTCTCCTTTGTGCCAACAGGGGCTGTCTCATCACCAGAGACTAGAAGCCACAGGCCTTTGAGACGAAGCCAGGCCTTGATCTCCTTGGACCAGGAAGGATAGTTGCGATTATTGAGAGGGGAGACAGAAGGGAGAGCGAATGAGGGGTCAGACATGGTGTGGCACGAGTGGCACAAGGAGGGAAAGGTGTTGGAAGCGATGTGGGACGATGGGAAAGGCAGGGAAAGCAATGGGGAAGATGTGGCAGCAATGGGGTGTGGCCAGAAAGGAGTGGCACAGCAGATGGGAGACCAGAAAGTGTGGATAAAACGATGTAGAGCAAAGTCGCTAGAGCTCAGGGCCCATAACCTGTTAAGCGCAGTGACAACGAAGCGACTGGCACAGAGAGAGTGCCAAAAAGAAGCTCTATAACGACAGGACTGTGGTCCAGAGGGTAAGAGTCTGAGGAAAGAATCGCCCTCGGACCACGGGTATTTAAGCTACACAAAACAATAAGAAACAAAATAGGAAGGCATGACATCAACGGGTCATTACAGGTGAAACACCTTACAAAGCGGTCAAAAGCTCCACCTGGAGGTCGGTCCGGAGTGTCAATGACATCACACAGGACTGCCTCAGCCGGCTAACCTAGTGAAACAACTGAAACAAGGTGAGACAAGGTGAAAACAAAGTGAGACAGTCCAAATGGAGAAAGAAAGCAATATACCCGCTCTGGGAACGGCTGTAGGGCCGCTCCCGGCTGTAGAGGCGAGTAATCAATGAGTCCCAAAGGGGGCACCCATGTGGCATCCATGCCACATCAACCAGAACGGCCAAAAACAACATTGTGACCAGTGGGAGCTGAGTGTTGTGGAAGGACGAAATGCACATTCTGAGACATGTTAGGGGCCCGGCCTCTCGTGGAGGCGGAAGGCCAGGCATGGGAGGGGCGGGGCGAGACAACTCGCACTCCGCCCAAGGAGTTAGGATAGTGGGTGGTAAACCACTCTTTCTGATGTTGGTGGGCGTAGAAGGTGCAGTCCCAGCTGGAGGCTCTGTGCGCTCCGCTGCAATTGGCACATTTCGGGGGGTAGGGGCACTGCATCCCCTCAGGCATGGGTTCGGCACCGTGGCAGCATTTGGCTTAGCCCTGGTGGAGATGGGTGTTGTGTGGACCACCCGCAGTGGTTGCAACGGTCATCGGACTGGCAACACGGGGCAGCGTGGCCCCACCTAAGGTAGATAGTACAGAGCCTTACCATCTTCCTCCCTTTGATCATAAATGGGCGGAGATAGTGGTTGTAGAAATGGACAGGTTGTTTCAGAGCACCCCGTCTTGCTGAACGTGCCCCATTGTCATGGAAGTCGACAAACAGGGTACCTGTGTGCATCCCATTGTGGGTGAGGAGGCAGGGGTTATTGAACACAGTGACAATGGAGCGACTGGCACAGAGAGAGTTGTTGAGTGCAGTGATAATGGAGCGACTGGCACAGAGAGAGTGCCAAAAAGAAGCTCTATAACGATAGGACTGTGGTCCAGAGGGTAAGAGTCTGAGGAAAGAATCGCCCTCGGACCACGGGTATTTAAGCTACACAGAACAATAAGAAATGAAATAGGAAGGTATGACATCAACAGGTCATTACAGGTGAAATACCTTACAAAGTGGTCACAAGCTCCACCTAGAGGTCGGTCCGGAGTGTCAATGACATTACACAGGACCGCCTCAGCCGGCTAACCTGGTGAAACAACTAAAACAAGGTGAGACAGTCCAAATGGAGAAAGAAAGCAATATACCCGCTCTGGGAATGGCTGTAGGGCCGCTCCCAGCTGTAGAGGCAAGTAATCAATGAGTCCCAAAGGTGGCACCCATATGGCATCCATGCCACATCAACCAAAACAGCCACAAACAACAAGAGTGCCCAAAGGAAGCTTCATAACGACAGGACTGTGGTCCAGAAGGTAAGAGTCTAAGTAGATACAAAAAACAAAAGGGAGCGCACCTGTGGTCCAGAGGGTAAGAGTCTGAGAAAAGAATCGCCCTCGGACCATGGGTATTTAAGCTACACCAAACAATAAGAAATAAAATAGGAAGGTATGACATCAATAGGTCATTACAGGTGAAATACCTTACAAAGTGGTCACAAGCTCCACCTGGAGGTCGGTCCGGAGTGTCAATGACATTACACAGGACCGCCTCAGCTGGCTAACCTGGTGAAACAGCTAAAACAAGGTGAGACAGTCCAAATAGAGAAAGAAAGCAATATACCCGCTCTGGGAATGGCTGTAGGGCCGCTCCCAGCTGTAGAGGCGAGTAATCAATGAGTCCCAAAGGTGGCACCCATGTGGCATGGATGCCATATCAACCAGAACGGCCACAAACAACAGGGGGGGGGGAGGGGGGGCAGGCCATCTCGATGCCTTCCTAGAAGGGATCGCTGGCGAGGCACCTGATATAGTCTTCCATAGTGATAGGGGTGCTGTCAAGCTGCTGCGAGGGGACCTTGCGGAACATGACAGATGACATAATATGGGGGCGGGCAAGGACAATGTTGTCTCTCGTGACTGTGAGAAACCTATCGGGCAGTACATTCTAGGTAAGGTTCAAGGCGTCCTCAGTGGAAGGGGAGGTAAATTGGAAGGAGATCCTCCCATTGGACCTTGCACTGCAACACTCTATACAGAGGTCAATGGACAGGGCGCGCAGGCGCGCATTGAGTTGTGACATTAGATCATGGATGTTAATAGCGGCCAGGTGTAGCCTAAACCGCCTAAAGAAGGTGGTGACTATGCGGTTGGCCCCTTTTGGAAGGGATGTGCGTTGCCGTTTGTTTGTGTGCATCTCCGTGATGTGCTGCTGCATATTGAAGAGGTCTGAGAAGGGAAGGTCAGGGAATGCTGAGGACAGGTGCAAAAGAGTTTCAGCTGCATTCCCGTTTGTTGAGACAGAGCAGGTGGATAGGGACCTTGTGGTGGGGCATTTGCTACGGCCGACCAATGTGGGTCATGCTGCTACCTGCGCGTAGGAGCGTGGAGTGGGGGCTGGCTGCTCCTCTGTCATTATGGCAGACAGGATGCGGGCCGGGATAGCCTGGATCAATTGTGGTTGGGCGAGTGGCGGTGCCGCATATTAGGGGGCAAGAGGGGGTGAGGGGGGCCTCACCATGTTCGCGAGGGAGGCACACCCTGCGAGGGCCTTGTTGATGAGTTACCTTAGTATGTGCCTTATAAACAAGCATATATAGCACTTACGATCATTGTTTAACAGGTGTGTGCATGCCACTACAAGACCCATGAACAGTGCAGGCAATCCAAGCAGCTGCACCTCCTTGCACTCCTTTCTACTATACAGCACTGTCTAGCTGCCCTTGACCTACATGTGTATTTGCATAATTCAATGCTAAATAGCACATCCACGTCATCATGTGTAATGCTCTCATATATTAGCTTATTTAGATGGAATGGGGCTAGGTTATCTGTTTGTATAAGTTAATGACTGAAAGTAATATTGTCATTCCATGACAATCATGACTAATCTTCAAAATCCAGTGCATCCCTCTTATTTTTCCCAGCCTTAGCTAATGCAAGTAATTCCCTTATTACCTTGCTATGTCACCATTTAGGTGTCCAAATTTGCAAACCAAACCCACAAATACACTTCTAGAGTTACTTAATTATTGCATAGCTATAAGCATATAGTATGGCACTATACATGCAAATCTATTCCTTAATGCTGCAAAGATACATTTGGAAAGAGACTAATTTAAGGAATAGGTAAATCTTGAGGATGATTTTGCTAATGTAATTTAGTAATCTAAATAAATATACATAATATAGGCAATCTCAACATCTCTGATTTTATTTAATATTTATCTTTTCTTTGTCTTATAAATAAACAGGTCAATAAATACCCAAGAAGGCAGGTCTTTCAGGATTTAGTTTAAACACTAGCTAAGAAAATAATAAAATAATGGAAAATAAATAATATAATTTATCTAGGGTAAAAACAAATTATGGCACTTACACAATTCAGATTGAGAATGTGTAAAACTATGGTTAAGTATAATATTCAATAGAACTCTACTAGTATAGACAATGCTACCTTAATTTGCAAATTTGATCAAAAACATGATTATAAATAATTAGCCATAATTGGCTCAAATTAGTATCATTAATAATTATCAATAATTAAGATCTAATAAGAGAAAGGGGTTTTCCAAATGGCCACTAGTAAGGTAGAGGATAAAGACAAGGGTATATATATATATAGCATGTCTATATAAAAATAAGCACAAGATTATTGGAGGTAATCTTTATATGCTTAATGCACATATTTCTTATATCACAGGCAAATATATTATTTTTGCACCATATACCAATATGACTGTCTTCTCCATAGCCTAATAGCTAGAGGAAAATACCAAGTTTGAGCATCTTTTATATAATAAGGTAATAAACAATATGGATAATGCTAAAAATTATAATATTAATAGTAATGATAATTGTGTGCTATATAAGACAGTATCAACCACTGCACTAATAGACAATGTCTGCAAGGCTACATATAGCACATTTCTAAGCCCAACCCACATATTGTGTCCTAGATTGACTAATAGCAGGCATTGGCTGACAATGACAACTTTAATAATCTTGTGTGCAAGACTAAGGTACTGAGGTTTTTATAGCCTCTTGTGGCAGCTGCCAAGCTGCCAACAAAGTGGCTGGGGGCATCAATCCACATTTTTCTCTTTCTATATCCCTTGTAAAGACAGCTAGAAAGTCAGCAGAAGAGCTATAAGATAATGGTGCAGGCATATATAAAGGAGAGTAATGTGCTGAAATAGCATAGAATATACCATATCTTTACCCTCTCACTGATAGGGCAGTAGTACTTACTATTTCCTACTATTAATTAAAGACTTCTTGGTATAGAATTAGTGCTAATATCATAAAATTAGAATCCAATCCAATACTCACAATATGTTGCTCCCAATTAGGAAATTAGATACTTTTAGATGCTATTAATACTTTTAGATACTTTTAGATGCTATTGAATATAATCCAGAGCTAATACAAGAGGGTGGTTTTCTAGATAGAGGTACTACTACCAATTCTATTAGCATGACTGAGCCTGTCAGAGTCATGGCTATCCTGACTTTTTCTGTACTTACCACTTGTTATGGGGAATTCTAAGACCTAATAACAACTTGCATCAACACTAAGGCATGCTATTACATATGACCCTACAAAGAAGAAATGAAGGATTTTGTTAGTATTACTCCTAAACCTATTACTGTTACAGATAGCAGAATCTTCATGGCAGCTGGACATAGGAACCTAAGGGTGGAGATCCCTAACAACAAGGGTAAAACATCCTCCATTATCCTATAAGATATGCTCTATGCCCCTGGCATAATATTTACTCTATTACTAGTTCTGTGCACAGACAAGAACAGCTGTGCTATATCATTCAGAGGGGGATAAGCCATAATTTAGAATTTCAATAACTACTAGATTGGCTATGTGCCTCTTATCACTGGGCTCTATACTTTTATGAGCCAGTGCAGGGTTCCCTTACAGGTCAATGTGGCTGCAAGCAAAGCAGTCACACTTATGCTAGCTTAGTTGTACTAGTGGTTAGATCATATTGGCACTTGACAATGCAAGGAACTTGTCCATAAGGGACTCATCCATTAAATCATACTAGTCCCTGTGGCTGATGGTAATAAGGATGGCAATGAGTAGTATAAGGCATGTACATATGCAAAAATCCACCACATACCATTTTTATAGGAGAGTTCAACTCTGCATGCCACAAACTATGGTGGACAATGCCACACTAATATATGGGGTCCCACACAGATACTGTCAATTGGGAGTGCACTATATTTCCTATCATACCTAGATGAAGAAACCATAAAGTTAGCCACAAAGTTTTAGAAGACAAAGGCAGAAACACTTACCTCATACCACACTTATAAGAAGTAGGTGGAAGTGCACCATGGCACATGCATCAGTGTTCTTCAGTCAGACCATGGTAGTGAGTATACCTGAAAAGAATTTAATGGCCATCTTGCAAGTCATGGGACATATTATAAGTTAACTGTCCATAACTCACCATAGCAGAATGGACACACCAAATGTCTAAATAGCATACTTGTTAGCTGTGCCATTGCAATGCTCTTAGATGCAGGTCTTCCAAACTACCTATGGGCAAAGGCAATTGGCCATTATGTTTGGATCTAGGACAGAACTAGAACCTGTTCACTCAAGGGAATGACTCTTCTCAAGGCCACAATAGGCAAGAAGCCAGATCTCCAGAACCTGCATAAGTAGGGTTGCAAGATTTGGGTCAAAATTGATGGGCAGAAGGAGCTGAGCCTAAAGGGGGATGAGGTCTGCTTTGTCAGATACAATATCACTAGAAAAGGCTATTATATCTACTAGCTATGGCAAACAATGTGTCAGTATTGAGCAGAACATCATTTTTATAGAGGAGGGATATCCCAATGCTGCAGATGCAACCATTTAGGTCAAGGGGGAGCCCAGGCCACATGACATTCCAAACATCCCACTTGTACTATGTCCAGATGCCTTATCATTATCTATGCTGTTTGCAATGTCTCCTACATTATTCACAATGCTCTTTGTATGTGCACTATTGCCTGTGCCATTCACGGCTGATTTGCACCTATCTAGCCCTCGAAACTCTAACTATGGGGAGGAACTCATTGAGAGGGAGCATCCAGATATCCTAGTGATGCCTTAGAATGCTCCTGGCATCCCTGTGCCTCTGGATTTGATCCCTGTTGCATCCTAGAATGCCCCTATCACTGCTGCCAATGCTTCTAATAATGAGATATTGATCTACAAGCACCAAAGACATCTCTATCAAAATATGTGGCTGTCTAAGTACATGCAACACCTTGAATAAGGGAAACATGTTGCAACTGGCCTTCTGAGGTCCCTCTTTCCAATAGCAGGTCTTGCAGCTAGTCTAAGTATAGTAGAGTTGAGTACCACACAGACAAAGGACAAGGATAATGCAGAAAAAGAGGAGGGACATACAGCTTTTGAGCACATAATGGCTATAAGTATGGGAGCAGACCCTGAACCTGGAAATTTTGAGAAAGCATGCTATAGAAAGGATTGGCCAAAGTGGAAGATAGCAATTCTTGAGGAACTGGCCATAATCAACCACTTTGGCACCTACATCCTTGTTGACTAGCTATCCCTAGGTATCAATATTGCTGGCAGCAAGCTCATTTTTAGAAAAAAAGCATGACACAAAGGGCAATATCACCAAATACAAAGTCTGGCTTATTGCACAGGGCTTTATCCAGGTCCTAGGACTTGGTTACACTAACACCTTTGTGCTAGCCAGCAAACTTAAGTCCTTGCATGTCCTGCTTGTACTTATGGCCTATAAAAACTAGAAGGTCAACCCGATAGATGTTAAAAATGCCTACTTCAACAAAGAGCTCAAAGAGGAGATTTATATAAAGCAACCACCAGGCTTTGCAAAACCAGATAAAGAATATAAGGTGTGTCTGCTCTACAAAACTATTTATGGCCTCAAGCAGTTGGGACATTGCTTTTTCAAAGCTAAAGCTCATGTACTGCTTTGTTAACTGTAGCATCTTTTGGTGCTGACTCAAAAATGGTATCATCATAGTCATAGCTTTAGTGGATAACCTGGTGATCTTTATAAGCTTGAGATAACATCACGAGAAAATCAAGGAGGGACTAAAGCAGATCTTTAAAATAATAGATCTCAGTCCAATCCACCAGTTACTTAGCATTGAGATCAAGCAAGACAGGCAGGCCTATACTCTTTTACTCTTACAGACTGCATGCATCAACATGGTCATTATGCTAATGAGCACTCCACCTTTCTAAGCACTAAGACCCTATTTTTGCAGTTCCACAAGCACTAGTGCACTAACCTTAGAGAGTACCCCAAATACTACCAGATAGCCCTACAGCCTAGAGTAATTCCCTCTGATATCCACTATGACCTTAGCATTATAGTATCAGGCTAACATGGTCTTTTTTTGTGTCTCATATTCATTACCTTGCATGATCTCACTCATCCCCATGCATATCACATGATAACATTGAGCCCTCTGCACCCACAAAGACCTTGCCAAGCTCTCACTATATGCTTTACAAGCATTGACCACAAGGTACTATAAGCAGCTCCATAATACAATGTTATAGCAAGCTTTATTATATGCACTTATTGGGTAGTACAGGTCCTATTCTCTATTTTCCCTCCACCTTTCTAAAGTTTACCTCATCTTACTACTAATATGCTAGAGGCATTTCTAAGTGCTGAGCACAATACCAAAACAACCTCTAGAGCAGGGGTACCTAGAGCTAGTATCTGATATACAAGGAACTGCCAGTGATGACTTTATAAATTGAAGGTGCACTGAGAAGCAATTAGGAGTGTGAGATTTAGAACACCTGAATAGTTTTGGGACTGTACCGAACACCAACCAAATATTTGGTTGGTCATGTCAGAGATTCAGTTAGTAACAAGAAGGTAGCATTGTAATTGATAACTACATGCTTCAAGAGCCACATAGGACTCTGACAATATATGAGAGAGGACAAGGGGTATGAGTAAAGAGATGAGTACAAATGTGAACAAGGCTAAATGACAAGAATAACAAGTTTTCGGGAGTTAACAAAGATGATTTCAATGGTTGAGATAAGTACAAATGAGCTCTGAACTGTGGGGTGTGAAATCTGGTTTATTCCAGAGTTGTATGTAGGTTTTTATAGTAAACAGAGCCCCTCAGTAAAATATCAAACAAGAAATAAGAGTAAATGTTGAATGAGTGCCAAGCCATAGTGAACAGAAAAGATAAGAAGGTAGGTGAGATGTCTATATGGGTTCCAAAGGTGATAGTGTAAAAGTTAATCAGCAATGGCAAAATTCTGAACATTTGGGATTTGTTGCCTAAGTGTAAGTAGCAGAAATATGTGTTGGCAAGCTAATAAAAATAAAAAAGAAGTAATGTATGACCAGGGTGGCCAAGTAATGGTGCAAAATTGCATTTAACTAACTATATGGAAGTTGGGAAGTATAAGCAATAAAGACTGACCGACTCACAGAGAACATTGGCTAACATAAAATACTAGCTCCAATCTTGTCAAAACCTATTGTAATACTCTTGTGTGGTCATGGTAAGTATGTGAAGTATGGGCAAACTGACCCAAGTGTTGCTAAATATCATTTGGTAGGTTGTGGTTGGTCAGTTTGGGAACCGACCCTGTTCGGTACAAGTTGGCATCTTCAGTACTCATCTAGTACGGTTCAGTATCTCCCAAAAGCTTTTTGAATACCTCTTTCGGACCCTTCCTTGGACCCTAGCTCAGGTACATGCTCACCACGATCCAGCTCTAAATAGCCTATACTATATATAGGGGAGCTAAGCTTTTTAGAAGATTAGCTCATTCACTTTGTATATATCTTGATCTTTGCACTGTGCCCAGCATCTAGCCCCTTCAGCCCATGCTTCATGGACCCTACCAGATCTATAGAACCATACTCAGTCTGATGAAGCACTGGACTTATCTCAAAGCTCTTACCATCCTCTTCTGCCTTCAACTTACCAAGGACTTGCCATTTACCAAGTCATCCATTGGAACCTATTGAAAGACATCTGTTGCATCAGAGAGAATCTCCTGATACCCAACAAACATCGCCCTGTTGTTAATTAACATCTTCTCTACTTATTCAAGGATCAAATTGACAATAATCAAGACTTCCTAGTACAAGCCCAAAAATATATAATAGTCTTTATCCATTGGGCTGTAACTATTAGCCTAGGGAACCCTTCTTAGTGCATTAAGTGCACATGACCAGCCTAGCAGCTTAACACTTAAATGAGCTTTTTATTCTCTGTCCTAACAAATCTTAAAATGACCTACTCTCCAATAACTAGCAGAGGTAGCTTAATAGATACTAGAAGAAAGATATCAAAGAACAATTACCACTATCTAAATTAACTAGGTGATTAACAAAGGAATCATCAGACTGGGAGCCACTATCCTAGTCATTCTTCAAAAATATCAGCCAGAACTAATACCACTGCCAGATACTCAGTAATAGGATGAGTATACACTAGAGTAGCCATTTACAAGCTACAACAAGTACAAGATTACTTCTCCAACTTTGACAGAAGAATCAGATTCCCGTTTTGGAGGCTTTGCTTCATCAATAAACCTAGGACACTAGTCTCCATGATTGGAGATCTAGGACTCAACTTTATTTATACCAGGAATACTGTTGATGTCAACAATAGAAGACTAAACCACTTCCCACAAGAACACATTGCAGTGCTTAGGAAGCACCTCACCAAGGACATTGATTCAGAAGGAATCAGACAGGAACTTATTGAACATGGTCAGCAGAGGAACAAATATGCCATCATTATCTTTTGGACCTACACCCTCTTGAACTAGGACACACTGGATCCTACTAGATACTCACCCTACAAAACTGAAATCTCTGGAACCATATTAGTTATCAGAAGAGGAGAGTTTACCCACAAAACTTATTATTTCAGAAACTTTATCATAGGACAAACCTTTGATAAGATCCTTATGTTTCTGAACCAAGTCAATAATAGAATTAACAAAATTATCCAAAGAGAGCCCATACTCCAACAAGGACTTAGGGCTGGAAAAAGACACAAGATCCCCTTTTACTTCACAGAATAAACAATTGAGCCAAAAATCCAGAAGGGATAATCACCCCTATACCACAACAATCCAATCTACATCTTTGAACACTTACCTGAAGACATTGACCCTGACACCATTTATCATGATAAGGAGAACAGGCACTTCTACCATAACAGAATCCTCTTGGGATTCTATACCAATAACAGAAAGGGGGAATTCTATAACAAACCATTTCTCAGAAAGAAAATTCATGCTATATCTGACTTATAGACAACTAAGCTTACAGACATCATTAGAGAGCTCAAATGACTTAAGCCTAAATCACCAACAAATAGGCATTGTAACTTACCAAGACCACATGTATATAACATACCTTGGGAAACAGCTAGTGGAAGTTGACTCTCTTGAAGAAACACGCCCACTACATCCCCAATACAAGAAACCTCTTTCTAAGCAAGCTTCAGAACTCCTTCATCAGTTAAAAGCCCCTAGAAAGAGCATACTCAAGAACCAGATTTAGGTGGAAAGCCTTCTGACAATCAGCAGCCCCCAGCCAGTGAAATGTCAACAAATACTAGAAATTCTGAGTCCAAAGAACTGGCTATAGCCAAACCCACTCTTTTTGATGGAAATAGGAAACAAACTGAGCAGTTCCTCTATGAAATTGACCTAATGATTCTTGCCAGGAAACACAACTTCCTAGATGAGTTTACCAAGATTGCTCATGCACTATCCTACATAAAAGGAGGATCAGCTAGAATATTGTCAAGGAACTTTACTAAAAGAAGAAACTCAAATGACAACTGGGACTTATATACATGGAAACCAATACATGACATGACCTCAGTCCACCAGAAAATCTCTACAGACTTTGAGGAGTTTGACAAGACAGCAGATGCCAAAGACAAGCTGGCTAGGATCAACCAAGGGAAGGCCTTTAATGCATACCTTCAGCTATTTGAGCAAATTGCCAAACTAGCAAGGGTTGATCTTGAAACCAAGAAGATGCACTTCTTGAGAGGCCTTAAATAAGAACTAACCAGAGAAATTTATCAAGACCCAGCTACACAAACTACCTAAGATGAACTAGTGGCCAAGGCCAAGAGACATAAAACAATGCACATAGAAGAAATGCAAGCATGAGACCTTAGGCAAGAGAAATATCAAGTCTTTACCCCAAGCAATTACTATTCAAACTTTGCCCTGCAACTGTGTCAAGAACAGGAGTCACAATATGTCCCAATAGATGTGGATGCTGCAAAAATGAATGTCGATGCCATCCACTTTAAGAAACTTATACCAGAAGAAAAAAATCAACTTGCCAAAGAAAGAAAGTGCTTCTATTGTGGAAAGCCTGGGCACATGGCATGCAGATGCCTCTTTCAACCTAAACAAAGATTCCCTTCACCTTTAAGAGGAAGGTTCTTTCCAAGACCCCACATGATGAGGGCTGTAGAAGAACAAGAAGAAGGAGGTAACAATGAAGAGCAAGAAAAAGGCAAACAAAGAGTGGCCCACATCTAACAAATGATGGTAGGGCTCAGTTTTGATAAAATTGCTGAAGTCCACACTTTTAGTGAATTGAAGAATTTTTAAGGTCTCTTCCACCAGCAACAAATGTCAAGAATAGGATTCTTAAAGGAAACCAGTATGCTCCCCTGGCCAGCAATGACACTGATCAAGAGCATAGACATCCAGATATATTGTATCTCTCTGAAATAAAATCATATGATGTACCATCACTTTAGATCAAGACAGAACTTATAGGCAAGAATCAGAAGGCTGCTACACAGGCTCTAGTTGACAGCAGAGCAACAGGAATATTCATGCATTCCAACTTCATGGAAAAGTATCAAATCTATAAATAGAAAATACCCCACCCCATACTAGTTAACACAGTCTAGAACACAAAATTCAAAGAAAGACCCATTACAAGATTTGTAGAACTAAAACTACAAGTTCTAGGCAAACAAGGGGAAATACACACTGAATTGGCAAAATTTCATATAGCTGAAATTGGGAAAGAAGATGTTATTTTAGAAACTGACTGGTTGTTAGAGCACAACCCAGAAGTCAACTGGCATACCTATGGATTACATTTTACTAGATGCCCACTATCCTGCCAAATCAAAAGAGGACTAATTAAAGCTAAAAAAGCTTTTAAGTAACTAGGACATCAAGAACCAGAAATACAGTGCATGATAGCAGTACCATGAAAGAGTAACTACTCAATCCCATTGCAGAAGCCAGGAAAAGCATAGCCAGGCCAGAAAGTGGGAAATACTAAAGTACCACATCTGCAGATAATACCTAAAATCCAAGGTTCATAACCTAAAGAAACAAAACTGGAGTACTACCTCAGGACCCAAGCCAAGCATTATACGGCACTCAGATGGGCCAAAGAAAAAACTTAAGAAGCTAGTGAACCATGATCAGCACTACCTTCTACAAATCTAGACAAAGATAAAGTATACCTTATTAGATGCCTAGACACAGGGCAATTAGAAGCCTTAGAGCTATACAATGACAAAGATGAAGGATTTGACATCCATCATGCAGAAACCTCTACCACTAATATACCAGCATGGAAAGTGGAACCTGCCAAAACAGTGGTAGGCAAACAGACAAAGCACACCAATTCACAAAAATTGGCAGAAGAAGCTTCAAAAGGAAAACCTGAACTATCCTTTGAAGAAATCATCCCCAAAGAATACTAGGAGTATAGGAAGGTTTTTGAAGGCTGAAAACCAGAAAAATTACCACCTAAATAACCTTGGGATCACAAGATAAAACTCAAAGATGAGACAGAATACCCACTCAGGCCCAAGTTATACAGCCTCAGCCCTATGGAACAAGAAGAACTCAAGAAGTTTATTGACAAAAGTCTCAAGAAGGGATTTATTAGAGAATCCAAATCACACATGACATCCCCATTCTTCTTCATTAAAAAGAAAAATAGAAAACTATGGCCAGTAATGGACTACTGGAAGCTCAACAAAATAACAATCAAGAACAAGTACCTGCTACTAATTATTTAAGAGTTACTAGATCTCTCAATAGATGTGGAATATTTCTCGCTAGTGAACATCAATACAGGATATAACAACATACTCATCAATGAAAAGGACATCCACAAAGCAGCATTTGCAACAAACTTGGAAATGTATGAACCACTGGTGATGTATTTTGGCCTAACCAACTCATCAGCAACATTCCAAACAATGATGAACTTGTTTTTTTAAAAACCTGATATATGCTGGAAAAGTGGCAATCTATATGGATGACATCTTGGTGTTTTCAAAGACTATGGAGGAACACATCAAAACAATGCAACAGGCTTTACAGATTTTATAGGATAATGACTTATACCTGCAACTATCAAAGTGTCATTTTCACAGGAAGAAATTTGATTATTTGGGATACATCATATCCCATGAATACCTGGAAATAGACCTAATTAAAATAGCCAGTATTACAGACCGGCCAACACTACCTAAAGTTAAGGAAGTCCAATTGTTTTTAGGATTCTGCATCATAGATTTATCAAGGACTACTCAAAAATAGCTAGGCTACTATATAAATTAACATAGAAGGAACACAGCTGGGATTCACCAGCATGTGAAGAAGCATTCCAAGCACTCAAGAAGACATTCATATCATCCCTAGTGCTTGTCATGCCAGAAACTAGGAATCCCTTCTGCATTGAATATGATGCCTCCAACTTTGCCTCTGGAGCAGTATTATCACAAATTGCCCAGATAAAAAATGGCACCCTTGCACCTATATTTCCAAATCACTCTCACCCACAGAATGCAACTATCCAATCTATGACAAAGAGTTGCTAGCAGTTGTTCGGGCCTTTAAAGCTTGGCAACATTACTTGGAGGGCGCCAAGAACCTGGTAGATGTCTAGATGGACCATAAGAACCTGGAATAGTTCTGTTTAAGCCAAAAGTTGAACCATTAGCAAGCTCAATTTTGACTATAAATTTATGCATAAGGTAAGAGTTACCAATAAATCCAACAGTCTGTCATAGCAACCAGACCATAAAGAGGCAGTGGAATTTGACAATTCAGGTGAAATGCTCTTGGAACCCAAACTTTTCACAGACATCAATGAAATTACCACAGAAGAAGAATTGGACCCTTACAGGTTATGGTATATCAGAGCCACAGGATGAGGAGGGGTCACTATAATTAATGAAGACCTTACAAAATAAATCACAGAGGCAAACCAGAAAGACAAGTGGCTAATCAAAACTCTAGCCAAAGTCAAGGAATTAGGACCTTGCAGCATAAAGAAAGGCCTACAGGAATAGAACAACAAAGAAAAACTTGTTCAACATAGAGGAAAAATCTACATTATCCAAAATAAATAACTTTGTCAAGAAATAATCAAGATAAATCATGACAATCTAGCAGTAGGACATCTAAGACAAAGAGGAACTCTAGCCTCAGTAAGACAAGAATTTACTTGGCTTGGAATATCAAACACAGTCTACCAATATATGGAAGGATGTGCAATCTGCCAATCCACCAAAAATAATACACACCTGACCATGGTCCCCCTCCAACCAATAGAAATTCCAGACTGGCCTTTTGGAATAATCACCATGGACTTTATTACAGATCTACCCAAGTTATAAGGATTTAACTCACTCTATGTGGTAACAGACAAATTCACTCAAGCAATGATAGTTACCCCATGTCTGAAAACCATTGACTCAGATGGAATGGTGCAACTACTACTAGACCACACTTGAAGAAGATATAGACTACCCAATAAAATCATATCGGATAGAAAAACACAATTTGTATCAAAAATAGCACAAGCCTTACTCAAGGAACTTGGAATCAAAAAGGCACTCAGCACAGCTTATCACCCACAGATAGACAACACTACTAAATGAATAAATCAAGAACTGGAGCAATATTTCAGAGCCTTTTGCAACTTGTCATAGGACAACTAGGCAACCCTGATTCTTTATGCAGAATATGCCTACAACACACATCAGCATTCAGCCACAAAGAAGTCACTATTTGAACTTCTACATGAATACTAACTGAGAGCATATCCAGCCACCATAGAAAACACAAATGTCCCCACTACCAATGCTCATCTTGAAGCTCTGCAACGTGCTAGGAAAAAAGCATAAGCCAGCCTCAAAATTGCAGCCAAAGCCATAAGAATATAATACGACTGTTTTGGAACAGACTTATTGCCCTTTAAGAAAGGAGACCAAGTATGGTTAGATGGAGAACATATCTATACAGACTACCCCTCAGAAAAACTAAGATCCAAATGCTTTGGGCCATTCAAGATTATTGACACTATTGGAATAGTTAATTTCAAGTTAAAACTGCTCCACAGCTGGCAGTAAATCCATGGTGTCTTCCATGCTAGTCAACTCACACCCCACAATGAGAATACAGTCTATGGGCCCAACTACCCTAAACTGGCCCTAGACCTGATCGAAGGGCAAGAATAATTTGAGGTTAAGAAGATTATCGGAGCTCAATACTTTAGATAATAAAAGACCCCATAGTACCTAATTAAATGGAAAGGTTATCTTGAATTAGATAACTCTTGGAAATTAGCAGTAAATGTCATTAATGCCAAGGAAGCTATTATGGAGTTTTACTAAAGATATCCCTCCACAGTTAAAGGAATGGAAGCATTGATCTTAGCCTTAATAATTGAACTAGAATATAATCGAGCAGTTAGAGAAGATCAAATCAAGAAAAAGCTCCAGACACACCCAATTAGAAAGAGCTCCAATCTATAGGACTAGGAATCCCATAGATCAAAGAAGCCCTAGACAATTAGATCAAAAAAAATCAAATCAAGAAGAAGCTCCTAAGAATCCCCATTGAGAGGACGCTTATTGCTATAGGATTTGAAGCACCAAAAATAATAAAAGCAGTGCAGAAACAAGCCAAGAAACTGAATGAAGCTAGAACCAAGGAAAAACTCAGGAACAATCCAATCAGAAAAAAGCTTCTTTCTGCAGGATTGAAAGTCCCTCAGATTATGGAAGAAGTTAACAAATGGATTGCTCAATTCAAAAAGCGATCCTTAGCATAGAATAGCACCCCAGATTTGGCGCCACAAATATACCATCAAGCAAACAGGAAGGCAACCACAGACACTTTATCAAACAAGGCCTAAGTGGGAAGCTCTTGGAGGATGCCCAAACACAAACCAATAGATAGCCCAAACTGGCATACTCAAGCATATTAAGAACTGCAAAGACAGATGAACCACGGTTTAGCATGGCCAAGCAAAAGATAGTAGATTATGAACAGAACCACTAGAACAGATAGCACACAATACACAATCTTTGCTAATACTACTATTCTTACCCTAATCTAAGCATTTGCTGCACCACTGTCACTACTCACTCAAAACTCAGAGGAAAGGAACTTATAAAGGAATAGTCATTAAGACCCAACCTTCTCCTTAACTCTTCAAACCACTTTTTCTCTACAAAGATATGACTTCCTCTTTACTTTCCTATCTCCTCAATGGCGCCATTTCCCTATCCCCACTTTCCCTGCCAGTGCCAGAACCCTTCCATGTCCTTCCTATGACCGACATCCACAACACCTTCCCCTATCCCTAAGCAGACCCTTTCCCCAGGACCGGCTTCCCCCCATCCCTGAATTTGATGATATGGGTCAGCCCATCTCTTGCTCTACAAGCCCTCCATATGACCCAGAACATGTAGCATGTGAGCATGAAGTGCATTACATGGTCAACATGCTATTGCCTTAACCTACGCTACTGTCCTCGCTGAACCACTGGCAGAATGGTGCATTTGCCTTGGAACAAGTCTGGCCTCCACTTCCAGCTCCCCTACTGATATGCTAGTGGTGCCTCTAAGTGCAAAACACACCCAAGAAACACCCTTACAAGCATAGGTAGGCAGGAGCTGTTATAGTATGCAAAAAACTATAACTTGTGCAACAACCAATAAGGGAGCATACTAAAAGTGTTTAGAGTATAGCAAACAAACAACTCCAAAATCAAAATATTCGATGTCGCACTTGCACATTGTTAGGCATCAAATAGTGACGGTAGAATAGAGGGCAGAATATCTGACTAGAAGGAAGAAAAGGGAAACGACCTAGAAGAGAAAGGACATTTAATTCCGATTTTCTACATATTTTTCGAGTATTTTACCACTTAAACTGGATTCCCTATCCTTTTTCATACTTATAATTTGCTTTTGGGACAGATTCCAGAGCCTAGGGTCTATTTCAAAAACGGCTAGACCATGGCAAGACAATAAGGAATGGAAAGAAAGCAGTGGAATCTGGTAGAATAGAGAGGAACTTTAGTGGAAGGATGGAGAATGTCTAGGAAAAGGGCAAGGTCTAGGCCATTCCAAGCTAAAAGGAGGGGAAGGTTATGAGCAGTTCTGAAGGAAGCTGAAGGAACATTCTACCACATTCTGAGTCTTTTCTTTTGCTTTCCTTTCTGTTCCTCTGCTTTCCTCCCTATTCTTTTTATTTCTACAGCATTCTTTGTGACTCACAATGACTCTACTCAGCCTGTATATACTAGGAAGGAGATTCCCACTTGAAATAGTATATAAGGAGGCTGATTGTCCTGCTTCAGGCAGAGACCATCTCTCCCTCTTACTTTTACTCAGTTAGTTAGTGCCAGTCAATACGTTCTTTGAGTGATATCAGTTGGAGATAAGCTGCAAGACTTGTAGGGATACTAGACGGACTAGTAGCTCGCCTTTAATCTGTGTAGCACCTCAGCAACTTGAATCACAAAGTTCTTAAGCCTCTCCTCATTATTCTCAACATTTACGGAGTATTGTCCTTGTTAGTGGTCCGGCACCACTTTAGAAATTCGCTAAATAGCTCAGGATATTCTCATCGTTGGTTATAACTGTGACCAACATCTGTGTATCGTGCCAACACCAGAAGGTATCATTTAGAATAGCAATCAAACGAACACTAGGTATATTCGGAAAAACAGGAAACCCTGATCGTATCTAGGAGTGAAACCATTCCTCACTGCGACATTGGTGAGTCAGTTGGTCAGTCAGTTGGTTGGTTGGTTGAGCAGTGTTTGATTGGGATTTTATTGGGATGCAAAGAGGAGGGAATGGGTGCAAGGCCATACTAGACACTGGCAGAGGATGACAAACTAGATGAGAGGGAGAGAGCAAGATGACAAGGGCTCTAATAGAGGGCTATAGAGGGCTACAATTGAATGCAACAACACAAACAAAGGGGCAAAACACAAACAAGGGTCAGAATGCAATAACTCAAAGTCTTATAGACACAAGTGCACAAATGGAATCAGAATGAGGGGGGAGCCAAAGCTGATGTATTGCAAGGCCATAGGTGTCCTTTTATAGTAAATCCAAATAGGTATAAGATAAGGAGATTGGCAGAGGCATAGAGCAATTAAAAATGTGTGCCAAGAGCAATCAAAGGTAAAAAAGATAAGGGAGTGATGTTGCAAACACTATAAAATAAGAAGCAATAACTCTAAAGTCTAAATAAGTGGAGAGATTGCCAAGATGAGTCCATATGGACCTGGAAATGGAAACCACATGCCACATGGGTAAACCATTTAGAAACTTGGGAGCTCTGAAGATAACAAAGGATAGGTCAACAGAAGGCATAAGGATGATAAGAAATAGAAAGACAGATCCATTCTGAGTCAACAAAGTGTTCAGCCACCTCTAATTTGGGACACCAAAGCCAACCAATGTGCTAACCATGTAAAGCATGCCGAACTGATCGGCAATTGGCTGTGACAGTCTATGAAGAGCCCTTAATGCTGAGAGTGATGATAGATGGATAAGATGACTATAAACAGCTCCAAACAACTGTGCGGAGGTCTAAATGAAAGGTTGGCACCTGACAAATAGCTGAGATTGCTGAAAAGATCGGAATTGGTCAGTCCTAAGTATGCCAAATGGTCAAAGAATACTAAAAAGCTGCAAAAGTGGAGTATTGGTGCCTGAAGAACACTTATGCTTATTACCACTCTTTCCCCCTTCCCTCATATTACTGCCACCTACTGCCAAGACTAGTATCTGCTAGGAGTGTGACCAACAAGGACATCTCCTTGCCAACTACCCTATCAAGCACATCCGCTGCCATCCCAATATTACTACTTAGAACTTCATGCACAACTACAATGCATACTATAAATTGGTTGACCTACTTTAGATATAGATGAACTATGTCATGGAAAATTTTGGATATTACAGGGCAGATTTGGGAAATGATGATTGACAATGCCAACTAGGAAAGACACCTGGTACACCACAACACCACAACCCTGTCATAGATATGACCCATCTCTAGGAACTCCCAACCACCAACTATGCTAACATCATATGCCAACAGCAAGTGTAAAAGAAAGGGTAGTGTTAGGGCTGCATCCTAACATATACTTTGCACATAGACAGAAGGAAAGGTTAGGTGTCTCATCCTTGACTAAATGTTGATGACTAGGACTATGGCTTGACACGTGTCTAGGCATGTGACTTAGGACATGGTCATGAGCTACACACATGACTTAGACTCAGACTGTTTACTAATTACATGCTAATGTATGAATGCTTACAACATTATGACTTGCCCTTCTCTCCCCCTTCTATATTGTTTACTAATGTCGATTGTGATCAAGCTTTATTTGATATTGCTATAGACAGACATTTGATATACTTACTATATATGGCTACATCAAGGAGCTGCAGGGTATGAACTATGACTGCAGATTACCTAGCAATCAGAAGCAGAGACCATATGTCCATTCAGCCCTAAATAGGCTGTACTGCACCTGGCATCTAGCTCCTTCAGCCCATGCTTCATGAACTCTGCCAGATCCATAGAACCATACTCAGTCTGATGAAGCACTGGACTTATCTCAAAGCTCTTACCATTCTCTTCTGCCTTTAACCTACCAAGGACTTGCCACTTACCAAGTCATCCATTGGAACCTATTGGAAGTCATCTATTGTATCGGAGAGAATCTCCTGGTACTCAACGAACATTGCCATGTTATCAATTAATATCTCTACTTATTCAAGGATCAGATTGACAGTAATCAAGACTTCCTAGTACAAGCCCAAAGATATATAATAGTCTTTATCCATTAGGCTATAACTATTAGCCTAGGGAACCCTTCTTAGTGTATTAAGTACATATGACCAGCCTAGCGGCTTGACACATGCTTTGAAGGAAGCTTTCAAGCTTGCTGCATTTCTTGCTAACATCTTTGGCACACCTCATACAATATCTATTCTACTATTTTGCAACAACCAGTCTGCAATTGCACTTGCATGTAACAATGCTTTTTATGCCTAAACAAAATATATTGATATCTATTATCACTTTACTTGCAAGGCCATTGATAAGGGCTACATTACTCTTGTCTACTACCCAACTAATAAGATAGTTGCTAATATCTTCACAAAGGCACTCTTACACCTGAAGATAGAGAAGATGGTTATACTCTTAGGGCTTTATGCAGTTTGAGGGAGAGTGTTGAGATTTACTATAGTGACAAACATGCATGAAGGCACAATGGTATGTTTTCAACTTCAAATGGACTATTATGTCATATGTTACCAGTTTCCTTTTATGGACTTACTTGGATCTGTTATCTTATAGAGTTAACACCTTAGTACTATATAGTTCCTATTTACACTCCAAATACACTATCATTACTATATATTTGTCATTATCAAGCACTTTAGTCATTGTCTATACATACTAAGATGAGCTACTATACTATTCATACCTCTGTAGACCTTTTACTAGCTTATTATAGTCACTTGTTTGCTCACACTTCTATTAGGTACTTATAATATATATTAGTTGTTGTCCATTAATCATATTGCTCTGGAACCTAATAAGATCTTTGTTATATGTGACACAAGCAACTAACAGACTAGTGCCATGCTCTCTTGTGGTCCTGTATAGGAATCAGCATGACCTATTATGTTTGACTCCCAATAACTGTCTGGGGCCTAGCTCAACTATTTTATACATGAAAAGGAGTTGCTTACAACTATCTAAGCATGCAAACAGTGGTAGTGTGATTTAGTAGGTGCCTCCCTTATTATCTCCACCAATTACTACATACTCAAATATTTTCACATATAACACAATCTTCCTAGTGGCAACTCTGCTAGTAGAAATTCTTGGCCCAATATGATTTCATCATTGAATATGTGCCCAGCACTAACAATATGTTTACTAACATGCTCTCTCATCTACTAGCTGATCCACTGTTTTCTGTTCCTACTGTTCCTATACTATCAGTACTAGATTCCTTACCTACTATGCTTGTTGCCCTCATACTTGCCATTTCTTTGAATCCTACCTTTTTATTGAACATATACAATATATTATCCATAGCCTTATTTATAATAAAAGCACTATGAAACTTGGCTTTTATATCTAGCACAATGATGTATAATAGTCTACTATTACTCAGGTCTTACATGGTACTGCCAGATATCCTGTGCCTATATAAGTGCTTCTTTTGCATTGCCCACAATAGTCTTGGCCATTTTGGCACCAACAAGTCATATTCTACATTACATAGCTCCTTCTATTGGATAAACATGTGCTATAATACTGAAATGGCTCTATAACAAAACCTCTCAGTTTCCTACATTCATTGCCCAGCCTTAAGGATTGTGAAAACAGCATAGCCATTAATTTCATAGGGCCCCTACTAAAAGAGTACAGTTTTAATGCCATTAAAATGTTTACAGACTAGGCTAGCACTAATATTTGTATCGTCCTTACTCACACAAGATGTTATAGCAGAAAAATTTGCTGTGCTTTTTTTTGAACATTAGTATACCAAAAATGGTCTGCGATTGGAGATTGTGTCCAATTGAGATAAGTTGTTCTTATCTTGCTTCTAGGCTTCCCTCTACAAGCTAATGGATATAAAGCTCAAGCTGTCTGCCTTTTTCCATTCATAAATAGATAGTTCCAGTGAATATATAAACAAGACATTAAATCAATGTCTTTACTTCTATGTTAACTATATCTAGAAAGGATGGATATGAGCTTTGCTCTTAGTGTATTTCTATCTGATGAATACTATAAACACCTCCACTAGTGTCTCCTCATTCATGCTTAGAATGGGCTATTTATTCTATATCCTACCACCACTTTTGCTATTGCCACAATCTACCTTACCAACTATATCTGATACTTGTGCTCAATCAATGGTGGCCCACATACTAGATATTGCCTAATTAGCTATAGATACACTTGTAGCTGCAAAGGTCATACAAGCTAACATGGTGAACTAGTATTATATTCCTGAATGCACCTACTATATTGGCAACAGAGTATACCTATCAACAATGCATTGCTAGCATCATTACAGAGTAGCTGGTTGAGCTCACATAGCCAAATTCATGCCTTATTTTGATGGTCCCTATACCATAATATGTGCTAACCATATATGCAATATCTATACTCTTAATATCCCTAACATACCATATAATGCCTATTTATCCTGAATGACTCTATGTATTTCTCCAACCATCAGCTCATTTGTTCTGGCTCTATTATTGATGAGTCTGGAATCACCAAGTGGGAAGTATAAGATATTATTAACAAGCAGCAACATAGCTACAAAATACAATACCTTGTGTATTGACAAGGCTGGGATTTTGAGAATATGTGGTAGCCTCTTATGGCCAGCATGTCCAATTCTGCCCTATTATAGCATTAGCAATAGCATGGGTATATGGCCTCCTAATTTTTTGCATAGTCTTGGGTAGCCTCCCTCTTTTCCCTTGCTTTATATGTTGCTCTAACCCTGTTCTCTAATATACTATGTCCCCTATGCCTGTTAGCTGCCCTTATACCCCTGGCCCTTCTAGCTGTGCAAACAAATCTATCTCTACTCTATGCACACCTCTTGTATACCTACTATCCTTATATCTGTTGGTTGCCTACTTATTTAAATCTCTAGCTATGTCACTGTTCTTTTTTAAGACATAGAAGAGTGTAAGCCTAGGCTTACCAACAACATACCACTAGCCTTCTACTTTAGGTTATTTACTTCCATTATCCATCTTAATACTTATATAATATATTGTGTTTTATTACCACCTTAATACTTATACTTATATTCTACTCATAATACTTATAATTCCACACATATTCACAGACACTTGTACATGATTCTCTGAGACTACCTTATAAGGCCCTATACCATTGACTTTAGATAGTCAGTTTACACCATCTCTTTTTTCTCTCTTGTCTCTTGGCTCTAGAACAAATTCCATATTTGGAGCTATTATATATGCTTCACTCTAAGTGTCTGGTGTATGATACCCTTTCACTATAATAATATGGCACACTTGCTTGGAAGTAGAATGACCAATTAGACACATATAAACAAATAGTCTAATTGACCTATTTTTGATGTATAGACATAATAAGCCAGTGAAATTTGGACAGGTAAATTGATGCTCTCTAAAAAGAGCACTATCAGAAAATAGGTATTATTTAGGATTAATGTACTAGAGTGTAACTAAGTTATATAACTGGTACAATTGTAATGGAGAACAAAAGATAAGGTAGATAGGTAGTAAGTTAGAGAGGAAGAGTCATAGTCTATTGGCAAAAGTGGTGAGTTGGCTATGTAAGAGTGCCTGTAAAAGAATAGAATCTTTGCAAATATATATCTTGAAGGCATCCAAGCTCTAGCAATCAAGTGCTTGTTTTTGGTTATTCAGCCACCCTATTAATGTGAAGAAGGTTACACTATCTAAGTGCAGAGAGTGCTTAATAAAGGAAGCAGACAAGTATGCATACAGATAGGAGAGAAATCATGAGTATATAGAAACAGACCCATTTTTACATAGCCAAAGTGATAGTTGCACTAGGTGGTAAATATTATAAAAGGCTAAGTACCAAAGAAACCAGCTGTGTAGATTAGAGGCACCATAGTAGTGAGCAATAAGAATAGTGCTACTATTGAAGAAGTTAGCTTTGTGTTTCAAGAGAGTGTACAAAAATGTCTAGAGTATGAGTGATATAGAACTATGTTTAATAAGTTTCTGATAGTCCTAAAGATCTATGTTATTAGGGTATGTTAGCTTTCTAAGATGGTAGAGGCCAGAGAAGCCACAAAGTGTTAGCATTATAAATAGAATATTATTGTGGTATGGGAAAGAGTATGAATTTATAAGTAGATATTTGGAAAAATCACACTCTTAATTATGCTTCAATTCTTTACAATTACATAGAATTTCCACTTATTATTATGATGAATTTTTAGCTTACTCCCCCTTTTTTTATCTATAGCTTATAAAGGCTAAATTATGTTGAATTATGCATAATTAGCTCTAATTATATATAATTTCTATTCAAATTTTCCAAAAAAAAAACTTAATCAAGCACTAGGATTACTTGCTAGTACTATGGTTATCCACAACTTTTGAATAGAGCCTAGCTATAAAGACTATTAGTTAAATATTTATATCTAAAATTATATTTTATAACATACCTGCCTTAAGCTAGAGCTGAACCTACAACCTCATGCCTGTAAGTACTCTAACAAAATGCTTTAAACCACTAAGTTATAAGGTCTAACTTATTTAGCTCAGTAATTCTAATATATAGACACATTTTGGATAGTCTCAACATATTTGGTTCTATTCCATATCAATCTCTTATTTCTTTTATTTATAAGTAAATTAATAAATATCCTAAAAAATAAGGCTTTTAGAATATAAGTCTAGATACCAGATACTACTATCAAAAACTAATAAAACATTGAGAATGCACTCTATATTAGAGAAGAATATCTATAGTACCCACTTAATCTGAAATTTAGGTATGTAAATAGCAATTAGGACAGTGCTTTTTTATAAGACTCTAGTAGTCTAGATAGTATTATATTAATTTTCAGATTTGGCCATGATTATAATTGTTGATAATTAGATAAAATACATCATAATTGGCACTGATTAGCATTGTTAATAATTATATATAATTATAATTGAATAAGAGAAAAGGGTTTTCTAGATAGAAGCAAGGTCTTGAGAAATAGTAATTCCTTTTGACTTGTCAGTATGCTAAGGTGTTTATGAGTGCTAGCCAAGGTTCATAAGACAAGTGTAGATACACAAACAGTCTGGATATAAGGGAAATAAGGCTCAAGCTAGTTGCAAATGCCCAAAAGGTATGAGGCAACCAAGTGTGGTTGGATATAGTAGTATATATAGGTGGTATAAAAGAAGAAAGTATTGGTAGTAGGTTTAATTAGGAGATTATAAAGCTTGTAAAATATTATATAATATTGTAAGGCAGATAGGTATGTAGCATATGTCAAGAGTTTAATAGACAAGTCAAGAACAATGGTATATTTACAGACAAGGTACTCTTTGATCTGGGCTATCTGCATAGGCTGCCTAGATGAGTAGGAAGCTGTTGTTATTAGAGTGCAGCCTTTAGTGTATCCTAATGGGGTTTAAATAGAGTAGTGGACACACTTGGCATATGCTACAATACAATATCAAATATGTGCTAAAAGATTACATCCACAACATAATTATGCTTGCCTGAGATGTAAAATACCTATAGGTCAATCTTAGAGGTTCAAAGGAGAACTTGTATCACAGACAACAAAATGAGATTATAAGTAACAGATGATGTACATAACAAGTTGAACATCTAGACTGTGTTTAGGCTATTAGTAAAAATAGCAAGATAATATGGTAGGGAGGGGAATACAAATGCCCAGTGTAAGGAAAACAGGACCATCAGGGCTTTGTACCAAAAGATGCCAGCATACAGAATAGCAATAGGTATGTCAGCTACAAAAGCTAGACAATATGTAGGACACTGAAAACTGAGTTCTATAAGTAAGGTATCATAGTATAAGCTTAGTGTGGCATTGAAAGGGCTCTATATACAAGCATACAGCATATATATACTAATCTAAGCTTCAAATATATTGGCAAACTATGAGAGATCTTTTATTACCTAATAATTGACGTAAATCAATTGATTTCTTTGAGACTTGCCAAATATCTTAATATAAGAGGACTCGAGAGCTATGCATATAAGTAGGGCCATGTTCAGTGCCTAATTGATCTAGCTAATCATGTGTTGCCACTCTATAAGCTAACAGCAGTGGCTAGTAGTGTTAGCAAGAAAGGATTATATGTGATTAATAAGAGCTGCCCTAGCTACATGATCTAGCAAGATAATCATGTTGCAAGAATCAACATAGAACCCAATGGCTCTTGTTTTGGCTTCTTGTTAGGAAGTCTAATCTCATCTTATAGCTAGAGCAGCTACACTTGCTTTTATAGATAGTAAGAGTTGTATGAAGCATAATATGTAAGACAAAGGTATAAGTCATTAGGGAAAGAGCCATCAATATAGGCAAGAAGATCACAAATAAGTTTGATCTAGATGGTGATCTATATGACCAAGCTTATGAAGGTATACTATATCTTGCTTATAGCCTAATTGCCAAAGTTGTTACAGTGGTCAACAAGGTGGATGCCACTTACTATAACAACCTAGCAGAGCTGCTAGAGAGGATGCAAGGATACTTAATAATAGGCCTAAGAAATATCTAACTTAAAAAGCTAGAGCAGAATATTGCCACAAGTATACTAAGCAGCCAAGAGATTATGACCCAGATCCTGGATATTATCAAGCTAAGTAGTTATTGATTCTTGTGGAACTACTATGTTAAGGTTAAAGGGACTAGTAGAATAGTCAATGACCATATACAGTTTTATAGAATTTAGTTTTGGGACTATATGTATAGACATACTAGTCATCAAGGAAATTACTCTCTTATATTATGCTCTAATTAGTTTTATTTATGCCTATGAAGAATAATTAGGATTAGAGATCATTTGCTTAACCCCCTTCTAAACCTGTTCTAATTACACATAATTTTCCTGAATTAAAAATTATTAGGATTGATTATAACTTGTAATTTTGGAAAAAATAGTAATAAATCAAGCATTACAGTTTTTATAGCCTTCTGATAGAATCATGTCTATTAGAGCACTAGCTAAATACCTAAACACAAAATATACCTTATAACAAACTTGTTTTTTGCCAGAGTTAAAACAACAACCTTATATATACAAGCACCTGAAACAAATGATCTAAGCTACTAGGCCACAAGGCCTAATATATTAACTTGGTAATCTAAATAAGTAAACATAATATAAGCAATCTTAATATCTCTAATTTTATTCAATATTTATCTTTTCTCTATCTTATATAAAGATAGGTCAATAAATACCCAAAAAGTCAGGTATTTTAGGATTTAGTTTAAATACTAGCTAAGAAGATGAAAACTAATTAAAAATAAACAATACACTTTATATAGGGTAAAAACAAATTATAGTACTTACATAATCTGGATTTAGAATGTGTGAAACTATGATTGAGTGTAATATTCAATAGGACACTACTAGTATAAACAATGCTACCTTAATTTGCAAATTTGATCAAAAACATAATTATAAATAATTGGCCATAATTAGCTCAAATTAGTATTATTAATAATTAGGATCCAATAAGAGAGAGGGGTTTTCCAAATGTTATGATCACAACTTATTGGGTTTTTATAGTGGTCTATACTGATATGATCATCACAACTATCAGGTGGCCTTATACCCTGAGGCTTATACTCAGGTACAGATATTATCCTTGGTCATCCATTGCAGTGGGCATCCTTTCCCACCTTATAAACTACTTACATATGGGCATAGAGCTTCTTGTCCTCTTAGTCAGAAGAAGACAAGCAAAAAAGCAAGAGTAGTCATTCTGAGAGAGAAACAACTTAGAAAATACCTATGAGTACATATACAGGATTCTCATGCCCTTTCCTAAAGTAGTATAAAAGGCCTATAGAATAGGCTAACATTCTTTAGTCTATTCTCTTCGTTTTATCGTAGTCTTCAAACCACAGTCTTTGTTCTACTGCAGTCCTCACACTGTAGTCTTTGTATTATGCAGTCTTCCTACTGCACACCCCTTATTCCTATTGCCATTGCTGCAATACATATCTGGCTCCTATGCTGCATATACAGTTGAAACCATTGTTTTACTCTTCCTTCATAAGCGGCCTAGGAAAGAACCTCCTACTCTTGGAATTATCAAACAAGCAGTTCATAACACCAAATGGCTACTAGTAAAGTATAAGGTAGGAACAAGGGTACATGTATAGCATACATGTATATAAATAAGCATAAGATTGTTGGAGATAATTTTCATATGCTTGGTATGCATATTTTCTGTAAAACAGGCAATAATATCACTCTAGCACCATATACCAACATGACTGTCTTTTTTACAGCCCAATAGCTAGAAGACAATACCAAGTTTGAGCATCTTCAATATAATAAGGCAATAGACAATACAGACAACACTAAAGATTATGATACCAATGGCAATAATGATTGTGCACCATACAAGACAGTATTGACCACTGCACTAATGGATAAGGTCTGTGAGGCCATATATAACATGTTCCTAAGCCTGACTTGTATATTGTATTCTATATTGACTAGCAGTAGGCACTGGCTAACAATGACAACTTCAGTGACCTTGTATGCAAGATTAAGGTACTAAGGTCTTTATAGCCTCTTATGATGACTGCCAAGCTACTAACAAAGTAGCTAGGGGCATTAATGTACATCCCTCTCTTTCTATGTCCCCTGTAAAAGCAGCTAGAAAGCTAGCAAAAGAGCTACAAGGTAACAGTATAGGCATACATAAAAGAGAACAATATGCTAAAGCAGCATATAATATGCCACATCTATACCTTTTCACTGATAGAGCAGTAGTACTTACTATTTCCTGCTGCTAATTAAAGGCTTCTTGGTATGGAATTAGTGCTAATATTATGAAATTAGAAATTGTCTTTTCAGCCATAGAAAGAGGTAGTTCCAAATTTGGAAATCCAACCCAATGCTTATAATGTGTTGCTTTCAATTAGGAAATTAAATACTTTTAGATGCTATTGACACTTTTAGATACTTTTGGATACTATTAGATATAATCCAGAGCTGATACAAGAGAGTAGTTTCCCAGATATAAAATATACACCTTTGTCTAAAAACAATGTTAAATTACCCATATTTAGAACAATATCAAAACTATTGGACCCACATGTTTTAAAACTATGAAATAAAAAGAAGATAGGAAAAGTACCTAACTGCTATTTCATATTGTATTATGACATAGCATGCCTTGTCACATAGCAGCATATATATAATAAGAGTGGTTTTATACTCTTACGATCAAAGGGTTAATCTGATAGATAATCAGGTATCCTATTTGGATTCCTAGTTTTACAAGGTTTTTATAATATTAGGAAACTCTTAATGGTTATTATTCAAGGTATTGACAAGCTATGCCTCACTTGGTACACAAGGCATATCATACTGGTGCTAGCAGTCTCAAGTCCAAGGTTATTTAAGATATATAACTCAGTGAAGTGAATTCTCACTGTCAAGGTCTAACAGGTATTTTGGACATTCTACTTTTAGTTTTATAGGGTTATTTCTGTATTAGGGGGCCCTTAATACTGATACAAGGATTAGTGGGAGCTGTACCCTACTAAGATACATTTAGGAAATGCTCCTCTTGTATTAAGCTCTAATTATTAATAATTTTATGAAATTTTACTAAAATAGCCCTAGCAATTTTTTGCTTATTCCTCCCTTTATTTAGCTAATTATAGCTAATTAAAGCTCATTAGCTGGATAGATTGTTAGAAAAATAGAATTTATTGTAGTGTCATTATTTCTTGCTATTATCACAATCTGTAACCTACAAATATCTATAAAGGTCACTATTTGAATATTTAAAGCTAAAGTCTTATCTCATAAAGAACTTGCCCTTGGCTAGAGTTGAACATACAATCTCATAGCTACATACTCCAAATAGATACTCTAAGCCACTTAGCCATAAGATCTAATATCTTGGTAATTCAAATATGTTCATATAATTTAAGCAATCTCAATATTTCTAATCCTATTACTCACTCATTTTTGATCTATTTCTAATCAATAAATATTCAAAAATTAGGGCTTTCATAATCTTAATTTACATACCAAATAAGAATATGATATGCTAAACAAAAATAAAGAATACACTCTATGTAGGGTAAAAAAATATTTTGGTACTCATATCATTTGGATTTAGAGTCTGTATTATTGTACTTAGGTTGTAGATTTTAAGTAAACTCTAGAATCATAATCAACATGGTATTTATTGTTAATTTGATTATAAATATAATCATGGATAATTATTCATAATTCATCCCAATTATCTTAGATGAGCATTATTAATCATTAGGTATAATTTGGATCTAATACAAGGAAGGGGTTTTCTAGATAACTATATATACTAAGAAGTAATAGTTTATCAACAGATGAAAATAGGGCTAAAAAGTGATCAAGCTATTCTTTCTTATAGCATTAGGCATTAAGAAATTCAAAGGCTTTAGATAAGATATTATGCTATAGCATGGACTTATCCCATGTATTAGAAAAACCCATTGAAAGAGGTATCAGCAAAAGCCAAAAGCCAGCTTAAAAACCCAATAGGACAGAATTAATAAGTAGTCAGTTTAGGTAACTGGAAAGAAGAGACTCAAAACACAGAATGTTAATTGGGGTTACAATATTAAAGAGAGTAGGATTGGCAAAAATAGTGCAGCAAGCAACATCATTTAGAAATTTAGAGACAGATGGCCTGGTAATATACTAGAGGCATCTCTGGATACTGTCATGAACTGCTGTTTAAGATGAGGAATCCTAGGCCACAAACAATACACTAGGGAACTGAGAGGATGATTGGGAATAATCAGACTTGTGTCTTAGAATCAGAGAAGACTGTTGTAAACAGCAGTTCTTAGATTGGACAGAAGTGGATAGCCTAAGGCTTCCACACTGTGCTGCAGTTCCTATAAATACATTCAGGCAAGAGCATGGACCAAGTAACAATGGATCAGGAGCACGAGGTAGAGTCGGGAGAAAGGTCCTACAAGTCCTTATATGGACGATGGGAAAAACGAGTAACATAAGCAAGGCGTTTTGTAACATTACCCCCTCCTCTAGCCCATCAGTGCTAGAGACGGTGATGAGCATGCACCCATGCTAGGGTCTGAGGGAGGTATTTGGGAAGCTTTTGGGAGATACCAAACAGTGCTCGACAAGTACCAAAGATGCCGACTTGCACCGAACATGGTCGGTCCCTGCCTGACCAACGACAAGCCACCGAAGGATGTTTGACAGCACTTGAGTCAGTTCGCCCACACTTCACATACTCACCATGACCACACAAGAGTGTTACAATAGGTGTTTACGAGATCGGAGCCAGTATTTTGTATCGGCCAATGTCCTCCGTGAGTCGGTCGGTCCTTATCACTTATCTTCCCGACTTCCACATGGTTGGTCAAACGTGATCTTGCACCATTACTTGGCCACCCTGATCATACGATACCTCTTCTTTATTTTTCATTGGTTCTCCAACGCCTGTTCCGTCTACCTACGCTCAGGCGATGGATCCCGAACATTCGGGATTTCGCCATAGCTGATTAACTTTTACCTTGTCACCTTTGGAACCCATATGGACATCTCACCTACCTTCTTATCTTCTCTAATCACTAAGGCTTGGTGCCCATTTGACATCTACTCTCATTTCTTGTTTAATATTTTACTTAGGGGCTCTGTTTACTATAAAAACCTACATACAACTCTGGAATAAACCAGCTTTCACACCCCACAGCTCAGAGCTCATTCGCACTTGTCCCAACCATTGAAATCATCTCCATTGACTCCCGAAAACTTGTCATCTTTGTCATTCGGCCTTGTTCACGTTTGTACTTATCTCTTTGCTCGTACACTTCGTCCTCCCTCCTGTATATTGTCAGAGTCCCGTGTGGCTCTTGAAGCATGTAGTTGTTGGTCGCAACACTACCTCCTCATTACCAACCAAATTGCCGACATGACCGACCGAACATTCAGTCGGCGTTCGGTGCAGTTCCGAAACTATTTGGTCGCTATAATCTCACACTCATCGCTTCTGCTCCAGTGTGCCATTGATTTCTAAAGTCCTCACTAACGATTCCTTGTGTATCAGATACTAGCTCTAGCCCCCCCTGCATTAGAGGTTGTTTTGGTATTGTGCTCGGCACTTAGAACTACCTCTAGTGTATCAACAGTAAGTAAGAGTCTAAGAAAAACATAAGCAATGCGTGTAGTTCGAGTCATAGAGCACATGAGAAAATAATATCTAGGGCACAAGTTCCTGCTGCCCACTGTCGAGTCATGACGCGATAGCCCTTGAGTATGGACGTCATGATACACTACCTTGCTAGAACTACGTGGGGACTTTGTCCTAGAGCCAAGTCCCTCTTCTCATTGTGGCAGTGGTTGCCAGCCCAATGGAGTCAAACCGTCCTTTGCCCTGGCAGTTTTATGTCGTACCAGACGAGGGCATCTTTATGCCTCAAGCTCCTTGAGGGCGGGGGATGACGGGTTGGGTGTCAGACTCGCTAGAGTCGTACTTAGTAAAGGGGAGAGGAGGTCGAGTTTGGGTGGATGAACGGACTATGCCAAGCCGTGCGGGGATGATGTGATAGCGGGGGGAGATCTGTGCAAACCTATAAACATCTTTCCCTCTGATGGGTCCCATGGTATAAGTCCCCAGCATTGGGCGAAGCAGTGCGCCATTTGATGCCAAAGATGAGGCATGAGATACCACAGCCGTGGTAGGCACGTGATACTCAGTGATGGGGGTAATGTCATCAGCGGGGTGAAAGAAGTCATGGAGGTGCATAGGTTGGTTCAGTCCTATGAGCCTCCTTTTGCCTGCATTGATGCGGGCGATGAGGGTTCCCTTTCTGATCTGCAAAGCCCTCTGCATATGCCAGACAAAAGCCCTTTCTTCTTCCAAGATCTCCAGTGCTCTTTGTATTTCCAGTCGCGTCGGTCCCGACATAAACTCGGTGTTTGGTGTGCCTTCAATGAGCCCCATCATATAGGCTACAGGAGTTGTTAGGTATATTTCTCTGTCGGGGAAGATGATCCCTTCATCTACTTTATGGATCAGGAGAGGGGGAGAAGGTGAATGGGAAGGTGAGGTTGTTGGTGGCATCATTATGTCTACTACTTGGGGGAAAGGAGGGTTAAGGGTGCATGCGACAGCCGCTTCTTCTGCTGCATTCGTGTCGACTCGGGCTTGGTATCTCCTATCAATTTCCTCTTGTTCATCTGCTAGCTCTCTCATACTCATCATGGGTCATCCTCTGCCCAGTCCTGCCTGCTCATATATTTCTGCTATCTGTTCATTAGTGAGGGATGATTCAGAAGAAGGGGAAGTCTGCATAGACCAGTTGACGAGGGTGTTCTTGACAGAAGAGAGGTAGAAGGATCTATTGGAGGACATGCTTATTGAAAGGAGGTTTGTTGTAAAATGGGAGGAGTGATTGGAGTGATGGTGGGATTACAAGGATTGAGTTTGAGTTTTTATACACTTTGGGTTTTATTTGTTCGATGTTTGCAAGGGCTGCTTGTAGTAGCAAGTTGTGGTGTCATGTGTCGTACGCTTCCAAAAGTTCTTTGGCATTCCCTAGGTTTGCCCTCATGATCCATTCATTTGCGGAGTCTGGGTACCCTTTCCAACATATCAGGTATTGGTACCCATGCCCTCGCTTCCTTTTGTCAAGAATTTCCTCAACTTTGTACTCTTCCTGCCCTTCTATTAGGTTAGGTGGTGGTTGTTCAAAGTTGGGGCCATGGGCAACTGTTTCTTGATAAGGTGTAATTGAAGAAGCATGGAACACGGGGTGTATTTTCTATGTGGGTAGGAGCTTTAGTCGATACGTTACTGGTCCTAGCTTTTTTTCTATTTCAAATAGTCTGTGTAACTTAGGGGCTAGTTTGTCCTTTGGGTGTGTGGTGTTTATATTTTTTCCTGAGAGCCAAACTTTCTGTCCTGCTTCTAGTTTGACTTCATTCTTGGCTGTTTTCCTTTTCATTAGATCTGCCGCGACTTCTAGGCTAGCTTTAGTCTCTTCTCATAGCTGTTCTAGCCTTTCTAGTCTCTGTTCTACACCAAGGATGTCAGATCTTGGCATTATTTGGGGTGCAAAGGACAGGTTGTAGCCATACATGAGTTTGAACAGAGATTGATGTGTAGCTGAGTGTTCTCTTATGTTATGTGCGAACTCTGCATATGGCAATAGTTCTGGCCAGTTCGTCTGCTCATAGTTACAGAACGCTCACAGGTATTGTTCTAATTCTTGATTGACTTGTTCTATTTCTCCATCTGTTTCTGAGTGGTATGCCATAGACAAGGCCATTGTTATTCCTAGCTTCCTCCATAGTTCTTTTGTGAATCTTGCGGTGAATTGCAGTCCTCTATCGGAAATGATCTTTCTTGGAAGTCTATATCATTTCCAGATGTTTTTCATGTAGAGGTCAGCTGTTCCTTCCGCGTCTATGGTTTTGGTGCATAGGGTGTAGACAACTCCTTTGGTGCTTCTGTCTACTGTTACGTGTATCGCATCATACAGCCCAACTCGGGAAAGATCCATAATGAAGTCCATAGTGACTGTCTGCCAGGGTCCTTCCGGTACTTTGTTTGGAATGAGTGGAGCATGCGTGGGATGTGTGACATTTTTTGTGTTTTGGCATGTTGCGCATTCTGTTACATATTCCTTTACAAACGTGGATATTCCTGGCCACCAAAAGTTATCCAATACTAAGACATAGGTCTTCCATTGCCCTGGATGTCCGGTGGTGGGCGAGTCATAGTACATTTTTGTTATCCTTTGTCTGAGTTCATTATCAGGCGGGACATATATTTTTCCTTTGTGCCAGATGAGGTCATTTTTGTAGTTCCATTCTTGTAGTCCTTTTGAAAGTACTCTGGGTCCCAATGCTTTAATAAGCTCCATTGCTTCTGTTACTTTTTTGTCTTTAGCTGTGACTTCCTTTAGCTTTTGTTTTAGCTGCTTATCTAGCATTTCAATCGTGCCTTTTCCTGTTGTGCTTTTGATGAACATTTGGGGTTTCAGTAAAACCTGGTCTTTGTTATCTATTTTATCCCTTCTTTTAGGTCTGGATGCCTGGACAGAGCATCCGGTCAATGGGAGACCCCAGGTTTGTGTACGAGTGTGAAATCAAAGCATGATAGGAAAAAGGACCATTGTGCTTGTCTTTGGGATAGAGTTCTTGCGGTGGAGAAATATAGAAGGTTTTTGTGATTGGACCATATTTTAAATGGGTGTCTTGTCCCTTCAAGGTAAACCTGCCAGTGATCGAGGGCATGTATTATGGCAAGTAGTTCTTTGTCAAAGATATCATAGTTTTGTTCAGCAGCATTGAAGAATTTTGATAGGTAGGCTACCGGGTGCTACCCATCGTTGGGAGTTTCTTGTGACAGAATAGCACCTGACGCAAAGTCTGATGCGTCGGTCTCAAGTCGGAAGGAGCAGTCACTATTGGGGTAAATGGGTACTGGTGTGGAGGTGAAGCAGTTTTTTAAGTTCTCAAAGGCTTCATTATGTTTGTTGGTCCAAATAAATGGTACATCTTTCTTTGTCAAGTCATTCAGAGGTTGTGCCGTTGTTGCAAAGTCTTCAATAAATCTTCTGTAGAAGTTTCTGAATCCGAGGAATGACTGTACTTCCTTCAGGTTCTTTGGCGTTAGCTATGCGGCAATTCCTTCGATTTTGACCAGGTCCATGGATATGTTGTCCGCAGAGATAATAAACCCAAGGTATTTAACTGTGTCCGTTTCGAAGGTGTATTTTGAGGGTTTTAAGAATAGGTTGTTGTCTAAGAGTATCTGCATAACTTGCGTTGTCACCCGCCGATGTTCTTCTTTGGTTTTTGTGAATACCAAGATGTCATCCATGTATACTGCCAGGACTTATGCAACAATGAGGTCGTGGAATATTATGTTCATCATGGTTTGGAATGTGGCAGGTGAGTTGCAAAGACCGAAGAACATGACTAAGCATTCAAATAGGCCAAACTTGGTCATAAAGGCCATTTTCCATTTGTCTCCTTCTGCTATATGGACATTGTTATATCCCTATTTGACATCAAATTTAGAGAAGATCCTTGTTTTTGATTTTGCGATGGTTCCTATTATGTCATCAATCAGGGGTAGTGGGTATTTGTTTTTTATCGTCTATTTGTTCAATCTTCAATAATCTTGAACCAGTCATAAATCCCTTTCTTTTTTCTTCACAAAGAAAAAAGGTGACACTTGTGGGGATTTGGATATTCTGATGGTTCCCCATTTCAGGTGTTCCTAAAGCATTTCATGCAGCTTGTCTTCTTCTTCTTCTGTTAGAGGGTATAGTTTACACCCCGTCAGTTCCCATCCCAGTTTCATATTGATTTTGTGGTCCCATTGTGAGTGTTCCGGGAGTCATTGCGAAGCTTCCTGGCTGAAGATTTTAGTGAATCATTTGAGGACATATGCTGGGACTATTTCTTCAATGGGTCGTTCTACCTTTTTTTTGTTCGCCATTTCTGCTAGTTTTTGTAACTTGTTTCCAATTGACCCGATGTAGATTGCTTCGAGTGGGTGCATCTTGAGCGGATCTTGGCAATACCATTCCTCATAGAATTTGGAGAAGAAGGTCTTGTCTGCTTCTTCTTCCAGTTCTTCTTCTATCCTAGAATATTTGACTGTTTTTTTGCTTCTTTGTTGTGGGAGCAGTTGCGCCTATATGGTAAACTCAGGCCAGCTGACTAGACACTTTGTGGCACAAGTCAAAAACATAAGACTATTTTTTACCCAATTGATTTGTAGGTTGTGTTCATGTAGCCAGTCCATTCCTATGATTATATTTTCTCCTCCTAGGTTAGCGGCCAGCAGCTTACATTGCTCATTGTGGTAGTCTTCTTCTTTGTTCATTATCCTCATTAGTAGGCAGGCTTTGTCTATGATTTTTCCTCCTTCATTGGCTGTTCTGTCTACGTTAAATACTGGAATGGGTCTGTTAATTTTCTGCACTGGTATCTTCTTTTCCAGGCAGAATTGTTTGTCAATGAGGAGGTTCTGGAGCGGGTCTATGGTACACCAGGGTCATAGACCTCTTTAAAAATCTGATTCCTTTCTCTTGCTTCCCTCGCTAAGCTCTTGTAGGAGCACTTCTTGCTTGTCCTATCTTAGTCTTCCTATGACCCTTTGGATCTCTTCTCAGCTAATCTCATGCTCCTCCTGACATACAGGCTCATCCAGCCCAGGTGCATAGGCCTGGCAAGCTGCAAGTCTGGCTCTGAACAGGTTAGTCGTCGCCACGCCTCTATTCTGGATCATAGTGCTTCTCTCATTACTGCCCTAAGCTCTTGCCAAGAACACTCAGCCATAGCCTCCTCTTCCTGTTGCCATCCTTCCACCGGCCTGAGCCGGGTGGTTCCCCATCTTTCCATCACCCTATTAAACATGTCCAGCTGACCCTTCATGTACCCTAGACAAATCCCTAGCAAGGCATTGGTTTGCTATATGTTCTTTTTGACAGTAGTAAAAACACCCACCCTCCATTCGTAACCTGTTTTGTTCTTCGTTGGTCAAGGCTGTGCGGACCATGTCTATGGCCATTGGGATGACGGAGTTATTCATAGAAGAAGGGGCGTTTGACGAGTTGTAGCGAAAGGGGTTGTTCTGTCAAACGATGGTGGAGGGTATGGAGCTTTTTATACTTTGCAGCTCTCTCCATTGGTTGTCAAATCTATGGGTATATTTTACCCAATCGTCCATGGTAGTCGGCATTTCCAGTAGCCGATAGATTTGTTTGAGAATTTCCAGGTGTATGGCTCGGTGGAAATAATCAATGGTGGATTCTAGATTGAATCCACTTTCTCCAGCTGTTATAAGGTAGTCTGTGACGAAATCATCTGCCGTTCGTTTTCCCATTCTCATGGTGAACATCTTCTGCCTCGCCTTTTGTTCAAGGCCCTTGTCTTTGAATGCAGTAGCTAGTTCCTTTAGAAATGCTTTGAACATTCCCCATGCTACTTTGGTCTCCGTTGCTTTGTATTCTTGGAGTTCTCTGTCAAAGTAATATTTTTGGGTGAACAGTGCAGCCGTTCCTTCTCTTATGTATGACAAGACTAGCAGCGTCTTGTTCATGTCCATATCGTATTTTGTTGGATTGGCCAAGATATACATATGGCATCTGTAGATCCATTCTCAGTACTTTGTCCTTGTTCCGTCAAAGTCCTTCAGTTTGTTTCCTTTGTCAGACATTTCATCTTCGTTGTCCGTGGTTCCTGTGTTGTTTGATGGGTTTGGGTTTGGGTCTGGGTATTTTGGGTCGCTTGGTCCTGCTATTGGTTCTGGGTCTTCTTCGTCGACTGGAGTTAATACTCCTATTGGGATGACTGTCTCTTCAATGTCTTTTTTTGGGATATTGATTGGTGGTAGGATGTGTTTGGTTTGTGTGGGGGTAGTGACTGTTCTGAGGGGTGCCTTCCTGTCTTCCCAGGCTACTAGCGGGGCATTAACGGTTTTTCCACTGTCCTGTCCTCCTACATAAACCCAGTTTCCTTTCGAGGTTCTCCTGATGTTCTGTCCAAAGTGGACGAATGTGTCCAAGTGCTGCAGGTAGTCGGTTCCATGTGGAACTCGCCTTACGCTTCTTCCTAAGCTTTTGGAAGTTGTCTTGATTTGATCAAAAGAGCCCGCACTAGTCTCGACCTGATCAAGGTTCGAGGGTCAAGGCAACAGCAGCTCTTCCTGGCTGGGTACAGTAGTTTCTACTTCTAGTATAGTATCATATGTAACATTGAGTGCAATTGTTTTGGTTATACCTCCACTGGGTTGATTACCAGATAGAGATATTCTACAACCTGAAATGACCCACACCAAAGTGGAATTGTCCAATCGTTCGCTCAAAGTGTATAGTAACTATTACGGTCGACGGACGCTTGTCTTTTGGGACTGCCTAGCGCTGTATGTAAATAGCTAGTGTTCTGCTGCAAAAGAAAAATAGAAACAGGGTGTGGAATAGGATTGTGAAGAGGCTATCCAGATGTCATGAATGGCTGTTCGAGATGAGGAAATCCTAGGCCACAAACAATACACTAGGGAACTGAGAGGATGATTGGGACTAATCAGACTAGTGTCTTAGAATCAGAGAAAACTGTTGTGAACAGCAGTTTTTAGATTGGATAAAAGTGGATAGCCTAAGGCTTCCACACTGCGCCGCAGTTCCTATAAATATATTCAGGCAAAAGCATAGACCAAGTAACAATGGATCAGGAGTGTGAGATAGTGTCAGGAGAAAGATCCTATGAGTCCTTATATGGACGATGGAAAAAATGAGTAACATAAGCAAGGCGTTTCGTAACAGATACTATGCATAATACCAAAACCACCTCTAAGATAAAATAGGCAGGACCTAGTATCTAAGGCACAAGAAATCATTAGTATAGACTTTAAAAGGCTAAGGTGTACTAAAAATAAGGCAGGGATAGTAGAGTTAAAGTACCCAAATAGTTTAGGACTATACCAAAGATTAATTAAATGTTTGGTTAATAACTGCAAGTGACTAATCAGTAGTAATAAAATAGTATCACAATCAATAACTACATACTTCAAAAGCTATATAGAGTTCTAACAAGATATAAGAAAAAATGAAGGTGACTAAGTGAATGATGTATAAACATAAACAAAGTCTAAATAACAATAGAAATAAGGTTAAGGGCAAGCAAAGGTGATTTCAATAGTTGAAATAAGTGCAAATAAGTTCTGAACTGTAGAGTGCTAAAAGCTACTCTATTCCAGAGTTGTGTGTAGGTTTTTATAGTAACAGGAGCCTCTAAGTAAAATATTGAACAAGAAATAAGAGTAAGTGCCAAATGGACACCAAGACCTAGCAAGTACCAAAGATAAGAAGATAGGAGAAATATTTATATAGATTTCAAAGGTGATAAGATAAAAGTCTATCAAAGATAATAAAATCCCAAATGATTAGTGTCCAGCATTTGAGCATAAGTAGCAAGAATATATGTTCCAAAGCCAATAAAATGAAATAAAGAGTAAATGTGCATCTTGTATGGTTAAGCAATAGTACAAGATTGTGTTCAACTAAACTATATGATGATTGTAAAGATAAGTGATAAGAACTAACTAGTAATAGATAATATCAGTTGATTGGCCTGTCTAGTCCCAATACTGTAATAGGATATTGTAAGGCTTTTGTGATGACTTTTATGTAGCAGTAAGCACATGAACTGTATACAAACTGACTAAGCTACTGCTAAACATTCTGTAGTGGTTTGCTGTTATTTAGGTCAAGGCTAATCATCTTTAGCCTGGGCTAGCATTTTTGGTACTCATCTAGAGTCATTTGGCTCCTATTCCAAAGCTCTCCAACTACTTTTCTTAGACCCTAGAGTAGATGCATGCTCATTACTAGATAATATAGGTATGGTCTCTATTGCCATAGCTGAGGGTATAATAGTAATTTTATGGTCTTTTCATAGCATACTATAGAACAACCATAAATGTTTACTTGTGCATATTATAAACATCTTGCTTAGTACCCAAGCATATGGGCCAAGTGTAGTCAATGGCTATATAAGTGCTAGCCTGACAATTAGAGCAGATATGGTGGAAGTGATAGTTGCTATAAATATTGTAGGCTCTAGTATTGAAACAATAGTATATCTCAGCAGACTATCCTCTCACTCCTTGTGTTTTTGAAGGTGTTGATATAGATGTAGCTCCCTTGTTTCTAATAAAAAGGTATAAAGATCACTAAAGAAATCTATAAGAAGTGTATTATTCCAACAAGTAACATAGGCATAAATGCTTTGTTGTAATTGATGATATGAGAAGTAAGAAAAGACTAGATAAACAAAAATGTCTAGGAGATATATTGCATATATACAGAGAGTTTGTCAGCTCTGTATAAGTAGAGATATCAGACAACTCTAGTATATCTATCCCAAGCCATCACTCATTCATCTTAGTTAGAGATAGTCTAGTTAACTTTGATACCCTTTATATGGAGTTCAATTCTATCTACCAATGTCTTGATTTGTGTGTTGGTAGTCCCAGTAGAATAGTGGCTTGTAAGAATTTTGTTAAAGTTGATATATTTGTGGAGAATAATATTCTTTTAGCATTTAGCAGGAAAGTCAGGGCAGTTATACTATGATAAGATATGACATTTGATGTACTTATAATCCTGGCTATAGTTTTCCTTGAGTCTAAGGGTAAAATAAATGTACCTGTTGACTAAGGGTTAATTCTTAAAATTTTCTGGCTTAGGAGTAAAAGGAATAAATTATCAACTTGTCTCTTTTCTTAGATGTCAACCCTATTCTCTTCCTCTTTATCATTACTATATGGTTATTTTGATCTGAGCTCAAGCCTAAACACAAGGGAAGGGATTGTGTTAGTATCAATAGGGCTACATTTTCAAGCATGCTCATCAACAGATTTTTTACCCACTAGTTGACCATTAGCAATGCTATAAACAGTGATATCCTATTAATTAATAGGATAGATTTGCCTTCTGGCATTATTGTAGGCAGGGATAGCACTATTGGTAATTACCACAGTCCAGGTTTGATCAATGTCCTCAAGTTGGGCAAAGAACTTGTTATAGGTATGGTTCTTCTATGCTATTATAAGAACTTGCTATAGGCACAGCTCTTCTATGCTGTTGTGAGAACATGTTCAGGATCTTCTACTCCAGCAGCATTAAGAATGTTAAGGAGATTGTATAAGGCAGTGGCCTTAGCACTTCTCCCTATTATATATTCCTTAATGATTAACTCACATACTTGAACTGTGTCACTGTTGAAGGCTAAGACATATTGGATTTGCTCAGATTGCTGGGTCTGAGAATTATTACTAATGGCAGTAGCAGAAGCTACATGGTCTGACATTGAGTAGAAAGATAGGAGTATGAATAACTGAATAGTAAGCTCTTGTATTGTATGTATAATGTACCTAGTATGATTATTACAAGGTTAGGAGCTATGTAGTTGCATACCTTGCTGCTTATATTGCTCTTACCATGACAAGAGCTGTCTTACATACTTATGTTATCCATGGCCAGATCAGTTATAACAAGAGTGGCTGCATTTTTATCACAGATCATATTGTATGGTATATGTGGCACTAATTCCATAGTAGCAAGTAAAGGCAGCTCAGAGTGGCTTATATGAGAGCACTGAAGCAATATGTGTCTTATACAAAAGCTATAGCTGCAAGCCATGAACAAGAGATGAGTGCTCCTTGTAAATTAAGAGTTGGATAATTAAACTAATGCAAACCTTGTTTTAAACCTAATTAATCACAAATAAGAGTGTAAAACCTTTCATATTTGGGCTTTTATAGCTATTTGCAAAATGATAGTCCTCTTAAACTGGAATACATGTCCGTGAGTTGATATTGACATTATGACATGCCTAGAACTTGCCTTAATCAGGCTTTATGTTTCTTATGCTGCTTACATATCTAGATATTCTCTATAGTTATTTTTATGATACTTTGTCAGGCCTGTGAGTAGTACTTAATATTTGAAAATGGCTTAGTCTGATTTTTTTATTGCTTTAGCAACATAAGAGCCCTATGTGATTTGCATAGTCTAAATATGAAAGTCTGTAGTGTCAGAGATTTAGTTGGTGCCTAGGTTTGCTCATATAGCAGTTATATAGCTATATAAACCACAAGCTCTTTCTATGGAGAGGAATCAAGGATATGTGTTATTAAGTCTCACTAATAGCCATAATAGAAGTGCATAAGATCTGAGGAAACTAGCCTCATCTAGACTCTAGTAGCTATGCAAAAATTGGTATATATAGCTATTCATAGTACTATATGTTTGGATTTGAGTAGACTATTGTTTTGCAAATAGCTTTAATATGGCAGAGAGCCATACTTATATAAACAAGGATGTTCTTACCAGAAATAAAGCTAGTAAAACCCAGTGAAAATATCCTCAAATATAAATAAATATGGTCAAATATGAGCTATATATACAACTATAAGCAAGGATATTTGACTATATGCATTTCCAGTCTGGAAATTGGCCATGCTCTAGAATACTATCAATTGTAGACAGATACTCAAATTTCTACTCTATCCTATTTGATAGCATTCAATGTAAAGCATATGCAGTCATATGTTAGCTATTATGTACAGATGTAAATGACATTAGGCACAAACAAATGCTGGTAATCACTATCAAATATGGTTGAATACACTAATACTAGTAAATACCAGTGAATACTAATAAATACCAATGAATACAGATCCAGCATTACATTTGTTTATACTTTCTATTTCTCCCATATCTCCTATTCCCACCACTTGTCCCACTTATTCTATTGCTCATTGTCCCACTTGTCTCACTCACTTTATTGCTCATTCTATCACTCATCCTTTCACCCCTCCTACCACTTCTTCTGCCATTCCTTGTCCCACTCATCCTACTACTCCCCTCCCTACCCCCCCTACTATCACTTCTGCTACTACTCTTGCTATTATCCCATACCTCTTCCAAATATGGCCACCATCCAGGTTATGTCCTCTTATAAAGAGGGTAGGGATTGAAGACAATGATAGGCCATTTAATAGGCATCAACCAAGGACTAGTAAGATATGTGGAGCATGAGGCTACCAAAGATGTAACACCTAGGCCACCTATCATCTTGTTAATCTCATCTTGGACCTAGTGAGCAAAGAAAAGAACAGAAAATAAACTACTTACTCTTTGTATGACAGGTGCACCTTGGTATGTACCTAGAAGAGGCTTATAACTAGGATAGTGCCATTAGTAGTAGTGATAGTAGTAGTGGCACTTGGTAACTGCTAGATTAGTAAGAGTGGCTAGTAGAGCAGGATTTTGAGTGTGAAGAGGGTAGAGGTAATGGCAGGGATAAGCATCAGCAAGAAAAAGATAGTGGTCTAGGAAGGCAAGAGTAAGGGCATGGACATAGACTGCTTAGATAATATAGAGGAGGATTAGTGTCACAAAGACAACATAGTACCATACACTGATGCTCCCCACCCCCAACTCTGACCTTATCCACATAAAGCCCCATATTAAAACACTTCTAGTTGATTTGTATAATCAGTACCCCAATCTTTGTGTCCACTGCTGACCACTAGATTACCACCACCTCATCCTCAATGTGCTTTTGCATATATAATCTCTAGCAACTTCTATAAACTGTGCTTCTGCCCACTCTGCCCACTCCTGCTTACACTCCCTAGCTTGTTATACTCTTGCCCCACCCCACTTACCATCTACCCTATCCAAATTTGTGCCTATACCTACTCTATACACAAGATCCTATACCAGAACCTCTACCATTATGTCCACTATAAGCACACCTACCCAGTTATTTAGTATAATAGCATACATAAGCCTCCACTCTTCCACAATTACCACATCTAACACTGCATATAGTAGCACATTATCTCTATATACCTTATACTACTTAAACTCTGTCTGCCTACTCTAGTGCACTACTGTGAGCACCCCACATAGTAGGCCCCCCTTATGCCTATGTATTTGTAGTCTTAGTGTAGCAATACATCTGGAAAAACCTCCTCTTTTAATTAGATCTAATTATTCAAATTACTAATCTGAGCTGATCAGAATATATTATCCATAATCAACTTTATAATCAAATCTGCAAGTAAAGATGACATTGTCTATACTACTATAGTCTTATTGGAATCTATAATCCAATTACAATTTTACACATTCCAAATCCAAATTGTATAAGTGCTACAATCTTATTTTTACTATATTCTTTATTTTTTATTAGTTCACTATATTATTGTCTAGTGCCCAAATTCAAATATTAGCCCTAATTTTTAGGGCATTTATTAACCTCTTTATATATAAAATAGATAAAAGATAAATGTGTAAGAAAATCAGAAATGTTGAGATTGCCTTATTCATATCAACATATTTAGGTTACCAGGTAAATAATCTAGACCTTGTGGCTTAGTAGTTTAGAGCACTGGTCCAGAGTGTATAGGTATAAGGTCATTGGTTCAATTCTAGTAATGGGCAAGTTTATAGTAAGGTATGACTTTAGTTTGATTAGTAAGCTCTATAGATACTCTATGATTAGAGGTATAGTAGTAGTAGAAAACCCATAGAGGTAGGTTGGTTGATATTTTTCCAAAAATCCATATAATAAATAAGCTTTAATCAGCTCTAATTAGATCTTATAATTTCAGGATTAGAGAGGGGGTAAGCTAGAAATCCTTAATGGTGATTGGTAAAAATATAGCTATATTTATGCTTAACTATGGTTAATTTGATATAGAGCTTTTCCCTAATGACTAATAGCATAACAAGCACCTTGCTCTACATAGGGCTTATTCCACATAGACACTATGCCTATATAGCAGGGAATATTGCCTACAGCCCACTGAACTATGTGCTAAAGCTTAAGCCAAGCCTGTGCCTGTCTAACACATCTGCAGTAGGATATACAGAGCTAGAGGGGTGTTCTATAACATTAGCCATTGACCTTGCCCTCCTCTTTGTTATTGGCCAACTCTACTTCAATCTTTTCTATGTACATGCTCCTAGCCATATGTATGGCAAGCTTAAGAATCTTACCTAGGAAGCACATATTGTTTTGTATATAATTAATAATGTTGACCTAGTTGAGAACTGTGCACAACTTAAGCACACTGAACATTAAGTTGTCAAGGATGTGTAGAAGGTCAATGCCCTTATAGGACTATTATTGGTAAGTCAATGGAAATTCTTAAGCAAACTTACTTACTATATTGACACAAGTTGGAAGTGCTTGGGTGCTCCATAGCTAATTTTTGCATCTATATTCTACTAAGAAGAGGGGGTTATACTTAAGGATACAAAAGTAGGTTGTGATATATATCTACTAATAACCCAATAAGACAACATGAAGTGAATATGATTTTGCCAAATATGAGCAAATAACATGCCTTATACCACCCTACATTATTGTTGTTATTAGCTATTATACTCATACCTATCACCTACTTTATGTATATCCTTAACTTACTCATACATGCCATATGCATGTTGTATCATCTGTATATGGCCTATGTAACCCTCATAATGTGCACACCTAGCACTAACTTATGTGTACATGCCTATGCCCATCCACACTATAAGATTACACATGCATACCCATACCCACTACCTATGTTTACCACTCATGCATATATGGCCCACACTATATATACTACCAACTTATTTACCCACACCTACTGCCCATAGGTTATACTATCTATGCATGACCCAGACTACTCTTATTTATACATATATACTACCCATATATATACACACTATCAAATTATTTGCCTATGCTTACTATCTATATAAAGGTTATGCCACTTACTTATAGCCTGCACTATCGATACATGTATATGCCCAATGCCCACTACACATTCCTACCACCTATGGCAAACTCATATATGTATGCCTACTGATCACTCACACATATATGCCCATTTTTTATATACAGGTCACACTGCCTATATATGGCTCATGCCACCTTTACACAAGCCCAACCACACTTGCACAAGCATTAGCTACCCTATATAGACTATTACTCATATATGGCCTATACCACACTCTTACCACCCCCATTATACCCACATAGTATCTGCCATACTTGCTGCCCCTGTTCTTACTAATATACAGGCTTCTACTATGCATGTCTATACAGCCACACTAATAGCATCTTAAATGGCTTCTAATAATTTATGATAGAATATATCCTATTTTTAATATATTTTGAGATTATCCAAACAAGTTTATGTTTTGAGTTTAAAATCCCCATCTCATAACTTGGGTTTTGCATAATTGTGCACCTTTGTCCTTTGATATTGATATTCTAATAAAAAGTAATACCATGATTTTAAACAAATAGAATAAAATAAAAAAAGAAGCAGAGAGTAAAGCATAAAAAAGAGTTTTATCACATGCTATGCAACTATATTTGCCTATATGGGTTGTAAAATAGGCCTTACTAATACTCAACAATATCACATGGTATAACTTAGTAATGATAGTTAGTAACAGTTCAGTGATAGATAATAGCTAACTAAGAGTTATTCAACAAAATAAGAGGGTACAATTATAAGACAATTCAATAATGTATAGTAACACAAAGACAATTCTGAATAATACTATTGGTATTAAAAACTAGGTTTGCCTAAGTGGTGAGAATTAGTAAAGAGCTCTTATATAAAGCTACTATCTCTAGACCATCGTTGAATAGTAGACTAGTAGTGAACAGCCACTATATCTTCTTCCATACTAAAGCAGCTGTCTCATAAATATTAGAGAGGTTTATATATGTATTTAGAATAACTATGTATTCTTTAAGACTTGTAAAAGCAGCACATAGAGTGGAAGAGAGAAAATAAAGGTAAATATAGATCTCTACCATATCTAAGAGTCTAGATCCCAAAGATTCCCTACTCTAAACCTCATATAAAAAATAAATTGGGAGATATATATAAGTATACATTCTGTGGAAAAAATCTGGGGTGGTCAGTAGGGAACTTATGCTCAAAATATCACCTTGATAAAAGAGGCTCAAAAGAAAGTAAGCAGACTAACTTTGGCCTTTGAAGAGGTGACTTTTTGAAGCTCTGATATGTATAAGTGGCAGACCTTGTAAGCTATAAGCTATCAGACTTCTAATCAGCATACATGACTTAGTGTGACTAAGTGCCCAGTTTAATAGTTCAACTCTAGGGTCTATACCATTTTTTAACTCTCTTTCATCAGTCACTACCTGATGCTTTTTCCTCTCCTTTAATAATTACAAGAAAATCAATGTAGTAAAATTCAGACAATATTTCAGGTATGTACATAAAATTTATAGTGGTTAGAGAGGCTATAGGAGCTAGGTGGCTTAAATGCCTAAACCCTATTCAACTATGGTCTAGGGATAGTATTGGGGTGCACTTTAATCCCTTAAGCTGAAATTTCATTGGAATCTCACTCACATTTTCCTCTTTTGAATCTGTTTCTAGAACCTTCCTTATATAGGTGTATTCTGAGGTTTGCAAGATTTCTCACGGAAACATGACTCCATTTGCACATAATACACCAAGCTTTCTCTCATTGCCACCATAGGCCTAGGCAAGCTGGCAGCTAGTATTAGGTAATAATGGGTTATTTATCCTAGTATTTACTCATATTTGTGTGATATCCCACATACTTCATTGCCTATCTCCTTGAAGACAAAGCTCTGATTCAAGATTTGGAGACCACAATTAATTCAGAAAATCACTTCTTACAAAAATTGTGGGAGCCGATTTCTCGAAAATGTGCTATGGCTGGAGGAGTTTACAAATGTAATGCTTTTCTCTGCCAAAGTGACACTCCTTGATCACGTGATGTTGTCGAGTATGAGTGAGGCCTACCTTAGTAGCCGCGTGCCGACGCGTATTCGCCAGGACTCGTTCACATTCGTTTACATTCGAGGGCGTTTTCACTGGGAGTAAAGACCTGCTCCCTACGGAATCAGGAATAACATGGGTAACATTATTACCCGCATCTCCCTTGCTCTCCGACTTCTTGTTGAACTCGATGAAGAATACCACGCCGTTGAAGCGCGCTTGAAGCATTCTCCTGGCTTGCCTGTCGCCAACCCCACAGTGCCACTCTGGACGGTCCCGCCATCGCCCATCGCGAAGCATCGCCCAGATGCGCTTCCCCGCCACGCAGATGTGGTTATCATTGGGTCCGGCATCACTGGGACATCTGTCGCGCGCACGCTGCTCGATCATGCATCCGAACGTGAAGAAAAGGGATCCGCGAGAAACGCTGACAGGCTCAGCGTCGTGATGCTAGAGGCGCGCGATGTTTGTTCAGGTGCTACAGGGCGGTTAGTTCCCTCGTACTCTCTTGTCGCAAAAGATTCCGTATGATTTACAATCCTCCACATAACCTGCTGGCGCTCTTCTTCAACGGAGTGACGCGGTCTCCTCTTAAGTCTAATCCATTGATGTAGGAATGGCGGACATATCAACCCGCCCCTCTTCCATGATTTTCCCGAGCTCGAATCACGTCACGGACTTGACGTCGCCCGTCAAATCATCCGCTTTCGCCTCGCGCACCTGCCTGCGCTCAGGCGCGTTGCTGAAGAAGAAGACGCGTTCGAGATCAGCCAGATCCGCGATGTCGAGAGCCTCGACGTTCATTACGAGCGGGCAACATTTGAGAAGGCCGTGGCGGCGCTGAACGTCTGGAAGAAGGACATGCCGGACGAGTCGCAGGGGGTGTATGTGTTGGAAGGCGGGGAAGCCATACAGGTGAGTGTCAAGGACCGCTGTGACCGTGTAACACCGCTTGTATTCTATACACTGCTTGTGCATTGGACTCAGTCGCCCTTTGTATGCAGCGATACATCTGTCTTGTACCTTTGTTTGCTGACCAACGTAACCAACCTATTTCAGAAGTTCGGTCTCGCATTACAAACGGTGGGATGCATCGTCACCCCCGCAGGCGCCGCGCACCCCTACCGTCTCGTCACATCTATCCTCTCCAACCTCCTCAAACGCTACCCGACTAAGTAAGCCATGCAATGAACTGACCTTTATACACGACATGTGCCAATGGTGCGCTACACCCGCTCAGTTTCCATCTGTCGACCCAAACGCCATGCACGCACATCGACGCGCCTTCGGCGACAACCCCCCTCTACACCGTCCATACGTCGCAAGGAACGTTAACGACGCCGCACATCGTGCACGCGACGAATGGGTGGACGCCTCACCTGCTCGCCCCCCTACGAACCAAGATCCTACCCGTACGCGGACTGATGTCTGCACAGCGCCCGGGCCAATCCCTCTCGACCCACAGCACACACCATGGCGCGCGCTCGCACATCTTCTACGCCGGACCCACCGGATACGACTACCTCACGCAGCTCCCCTTGGGCGAGCACGAGCTCATGTTCGGCGGCGGCGCGGCGCAAGGCGGACGGACGATCCTGCCCGAGGTGGGCAACGCCGACGATAGCGGATACAACATGGCGATCGCAAGCCACATATCGGGCGCCCTCCCGGAGTATTTCGGCGCGGACCACTGGGGCCGGGAGGGCACGCCGCAGGAGGACAATGACGCACAGGTCATGTGGAGGCGGGGAAGGGTCAAGGGGCTGTGGACCGGGATTCTGGGGATATCGGTGGACGGGCTGCCATGGGTGGGCCGCGTGCCTGAGAAAGTCTCTGGGCGGAGAGCGCCTTCGGGCGCCGCTGTGTCTGGCCCGAAGACAGGGACAGAGCTGGAGGGCGCACCACCGCCGATGACGCCACCAGGGGAGTGGATGTCGGCGGGCTACTCTGGGGAAGGAATGGTGAACGCCTGGATGTGCGGGCGCGCGCTGGCGTGCATGATGCTCGGCCGAGAGGCAGAGCGCGAGGCGCGGTTGAGAGAATGGTTCCCTGACGTGATGCGCGTCACGGAGAAGCGATGGCGCAAAGCATCGCTCGAAGATTTTGCTAGTCGTTTCTGATAGTGGGTTGTGCGTCTGATAAATGTAGGTTGTGCATATGCGCTTTGATTTATCTTATATAGGAATTATATGCTTCACTGATGCAAGCAGAAAGAAGGCGGACATCAATATAGCTGAGGATGGATTTATCACCGGCACTGAATACAATCAGATGTAAAGGCAGATGAGTAAACCCCAGGGAATTCGGGAGGATTGCGGAATCCGGATGCGCATCAGACCCTGCATGTGAGGAAGGTTGTTCTTTTTTGGCGTTTCTGCCGGGCGCGACTAGATTCTGATGCATGCTGGAAGCGAACTATGTCCAGATCCATCCAAGTACATGCCATGGCATTCGGCATCGATCAGAGACTGGCAACGTGCAAGCAAGGATGTAGAAGAATTGCAGGGATGAATGATGGCTTGGGCGGAACGCGGGAAGCGAGCTGGAGGAGGGTGTGAGCGGAGTCCAGAGTGGGGGAGATCCATGGGGATTGGAGCACGGGCAAGTGCACACGGCAACTGAGCACAGCTGGGTGAACATGGAGTGGAGCGGTTGCGAGCCACGCGATAAGGCCTAAGGGTTGGGTAAGAGGGTGTAAGGGCAAGAACACTCAAACCCGGCGAAACCTGCAGCTTGCAGGGTGTAGGATCGGTGGGTGTCAGCTTCAGGTTGGGTGCGCGGCAGGGCAGCTTGCGCGGTGTAAATAAAGGGCTTTGCGACTCGAAGGCCAACGTTGATGGTGGCGCAAGTCGGCAGCAGTGTCAGTTCATATTCTCGATCTGCCGCGCCGCGCAACGCTGCAACAGTGCAACACCCCAAACCGCTCTTGCGACGACTGCAGAGGCAACGATCAAGCCCCCCGTCGACCACGCACCCGTGCTGTCGGCGACAACAGATACGCGCGAACCGTCGAGGACAGCGAGGAGAGAGGCCAAGGGAGGCCGATACGGTCCGTGTGATTTGTTGTTGTTTGGGCAGGATACTTATGCCATCAACGGTCGTTGCTGCGTCGTCCTCGCTGCTCGTCCTCCTCTCTCCACACACTCCCTTACCCTCCTCCTCGATCTTGCCCTCCCTGCGTGCCGTAAAGACCAGCGGCGGGGCCCTCCAGACCACACCCCTGCTTTTCCCAATTCCGGTCTGTTCTCGTCGTGCGTGTGCTTGCCCACCTAATTGTTCGGCCTTCTGATCAACATCCGCGTCTCGCTTCGTTTCCCGCCTTTCCCAGTCGACAGTCACTAGTCCATGGCCGTTCTCGCTCCTCACGACTGGCACCCACCTAGAGATCATACCATGGATGCCCCTTCTCCGAATTCTTCAAACCCTTCCGTCCCTCGCCAGCGTTCTTCCCCAGCCAACGATCCTTCCCCATCCCCATCCCCGATCCCTACCCAACACTCCCAACCTTATCCTTACCCGGTGCAGCAACAGCAGGCCGGCTGGAATGCCCAGGCCCAGCCATTTTACCCCTCCTTTTATCAAAATCCTCACCAGCAACCCTATCCCATTCACCCTCACCCCAGCCACCCGTCCCAAGGCCAGATGCCTCCGCAGGGGGCCTACTTCGACCCCAACGCCCAATTCGCCCAATGGGCATACCAGCAAATGATGTTCAATGCACAGCAGCAGGCCCTCTCTCACGTCCCACAAGCTCCCTCGCCTCTATCTCAACGCGGTCGGTCTTCCAGCACCAGCGCGCCCGGCGAGTACTTCACCCAAAATCCGATGCCCGGTTTCAACGCGTTTCCCAGCGGTACCCCGCCACCTCACCCCAGCCAGCTCCCTCAATCCTACCGCAACAACCCCCCTGCGCAAGCACAGTACGATGGCTTCCATCCGTATCGGCGCCCAAACCAGAGACAGGGTTCTTACAACCCCGAGCCCCCACCATCGAATGGTCCCAGTGACTGGCGGGGACCCGGGGCATTTCAACCCCCCTACGCCCGTGCGGACGCTGCCGGCTCGTCCACGTCTGTCAACTCTACCTCGAGTCAACCTGGAGGCTCACGGCAACGCACCAGCAGTTTGCAAGGGTCCACCACCGGCAGTGCCGGCAACAGCGGCAGCGTGCGCAGTCGCAATCCGCCTCCGCCGGTTCACACGTCAGGCTCAGGCAATAGTACTCGTGGTGGACCTGGTTCCAGCCCCACCACCTCCAGCCCCGTCGTCCCCAGGCCACATCATCGTAACCCGTCCTCCTCCTCATCGTCATCAACGGGCACCGCCGCGCGTCCCCCCACCACCAGTATTGCACCGTCCGGCTCGTCCGCACCTGTCGCCCGTCCTGTCCGGCCGTCCCCCTTATCTCAAGGCAATATTACCGCTGCGGATAAACGCAAATCGCGCGATGACAGCGATCTCGCGGCGATGATGGAGCCAATCCCTTCCCAGAACATGCTCCGCAGTGGAGGGCTGAAGGGTCGACTGCGACGCGCTCTCTCTCTCAGTGCTGCGCAGGCAATGCACGAGGAGGAAAGTGACATCGCCGACTCCAAATCTGCATCGCATCCTAACGGGGCGGGATCGACGGCGTCAGGCTCAGTCGGGGGCTCAGCGTCTCCATCGCTGTCGGTTGCGCCCGACGCTGGCGACGCTGGTTCAACAGCTACCCGAAAGAAGAAGAAGTCGCGTACCGCGCTATTCAACTCTCGGCTCAATGCCTCGACCGATAACATATCTCTGTCTTCCACAATGTCCTCAGCCTCGGTCGTCATCCGCAAGCTTGGTTCCATCGGCAAGCTCGCTCGACGCAACTCCATCGCAGGGATTACGTCACTCTTCAAGGACAAGAAGGACAAGGAAGACGCGGAAGGAAGCGGTAAGAAGAGCAAGAAGAAAAAGGGCGACAAGGGCGAGGCTGCCGAAGCGAGCGTTTCCCATGTCACCGCGGAGCTCGACCGCTCAGGCAGTGAGTGGAGCGCCGAGCTCAACGGGTTGAGCCCGGCGGCGAAGCTAGCCCGACAGCATACGCTCAAGTCTAACGCGGAAGCAGCGGCAAGGGCCAAGGCTGTTGAGGAGGAGGCGGCGTCGGCAGCTCAGGCCGCCGAACATGTTCCAACGACGTGGGAGAAAAACACTACATCGAGGCATGGTGAGTCGCCGGCTCGGGCGGGCGGGTACCGCGTGAACGAGGAGGGCATGCGTGTGATCGTGGAGGACGACGACTCGGCCAGCGAAGGTGAAAGTGCACATGATTATTCATCCCATCTGGATGGCTGGGACGACGAGGACTGGAATCATATCGAAGAGGACGACGAAGACCTCACCATCCGGCAAGGACTCGAGCGCACGAGCTTTGGCTCCGAGGGTGAGACGGAACCATGGGCAGTCAACGTGCGTCGAAGCCTGGAGAGGAGCAAGACCCCTGCTAAGGGCATCCTCAAAAGTAGGATCCAAGATCACATGTAATTTGTGCTTATGTCTGATGTTGTCTTATCAGACGCAGACAAGTATGACCAGCATTCTTTCATGGGCTCAATGTCGGGCAGCGCTCGTGGACGGTCCAACTCCTACAACTCTCCTGCCGCTCAACAGTCGGAGCTTGGCCCCTTGGCCCGCATTCCATCACCTGACCCAGACCACATTGATGGGCTCCATAGGCATCCCTCTCATTCGTCGGCACATTCGAAAGATCCGTCTTCGAACACAATGCCCTTCGTTCCATCCTTTTCCTTTGACGGGACGGACTCGCCGGGGCAGATGTCCGATGCGGAGGACTCGCCGCGGCCTCAGCCTGAAAAGACGCTGTTTAACCACCCGAACCTCAATTCTTCCGCGCCAGCTTTGTCGACCATGCTCGGTAATACGCCTACCCTGTCCCATCGCTCAGCAACTGCCCCCTCTAAAAGGTTGGCGTTCGCGAGTAACCTTTCCGTTTATGACACGTTCCCGGCCACCGTGTACGATCGTCGGAGCGAGCCTGCTACATGGAGCAGGCTCACCCCTGCCCTCGCGCAGCGCATCAAGGAAGAACTCAATTCATACAAGATGGAAGAGATGGAAGTGCATGCCGCTAGTCGGATTCAGTGAGCACCCTTCACGTTCCCTCCCCAACGTCTTGCTGACCGCCGTGCCTATGACTTCTCTCTCGCAGCACCCAGTTCTTTGTCTGACACCTTGGTTTTGCTTTCGTTTATGTTATCACTTTCTTCGGCTTCGCACCGGCAATACTTCCTGTCCATGATCACGATTCTGTCCCGCTCTCTCCAGTCCCCATTTCTGACTACGTCATCCAATCCCCCCCCCCCCCTCGTTACCCCTCCCCCTCCCCCTCCCCTCACCGGCATACCTCTGCAGAGCACAAATCCTACAATTTTTTTGTCACCTTCGGCCCAGATATCCCCGTGATCTTCCATCTCAATCGAACCTATACCCTTTCAATTGTAATTCTAATGACACACAGTCATTTCGCTCGCTCCCTTCCGTGCGCATCGCTGCACCGTACATCAGCCAATCTCACTCACGCTCCTTTGCCTACGAGTCAATCTTGGACGGACTATGATTCCCAGTCAATATCAATCCTCTGAGGGGTCTTCTTCCCCGTCATGCTCCCTATCGACCTCCATTGTTCAACTACGTTGACCATGCTTTCTTTTACTTGTCGACTTTCTCGCTCATTTGATGGTTTCTTCTTTATCTCATCTTTTCTTTTGCATTGCAACCATAGTGGTGGGACGGGTTTTTTTTGGTGCATAGTGCATCACAGAGTTTGGTAACAAAGTTCTCATCTTGAGGAATGATCAGCATGTTCTCTGGATCGGACAATAGTTTATAACATATCTAGCAACAATACTTATATCAATGCTGTTATTCTACATGACTGCGAGGAGAGGCACGCTAGATAGTACGACGAATGCAGCCTTCGCAATGACATTAGAAGGACAAGGTTTACAAGAAAATGCATGGTCGAAATCAATCATAAGACGGCGAGGAGCTGTAAGCGTTCTTGCGGCCCGACGACGACGACCCGTTCTGGTAGGATGGACTCGATGGCGACCAATGTGGCGAGGTTGGGCTGTACGCGGGCGAGGCGGGAGCTGCACGCTGTCAGATAAGCAGTTGTAAGTTCGTGGCAGTGACTCACAATAAGCAGGTGCTGAATGAAAGCATGATTGTCAGCATGAAAGAACATGATAGCAAAATAAATGCACTCACACGCGGGAGAATAGGCGGGAGAAGTGGGAGCTAGAATACTACATTAGCAGATGCTATGCACAGACCATCTCAAACTCACAGTATTTTGGAGACGATGGTGAAGTCGGCGATGTTGGCGAATACTTTGGGGAGGATGGTGACATTTGTGCTGGAGCTTGAGGTAGGTTAGCATCACAGAATATGTGGAGTAAATGATATTCTTACAAGCTGGTGGCGAGGTTGAAGAGTAGACAAAGACAGATCAGCGTCGAGCATTGATTGATTCAAATTATACTTACTAGGAGAGTCTAGATACAACACGAATCAGCGGTCGTTTTTTCGCAATAGACAGAATGACTTACAGCGAGGAGAAGCTGGGCTGAAGGAAGGACTCGTAGGAGAATATCGAGGTGAAGTTGGGCTGAAAGATGGTGATTGTGGACTGTATCGAGGTGAGGTTGGAGAAAATGAAGGCGATGTGGGTGAATAGCGGGGACTGGTCGGTGAATATCCGGGAGAGGTTAAATTGAGACCAGGCGACGTTGGGGAGTAAGTGGGCGAGGTGGGCGCTCTACGAGGATCATAGAATGGAGATGTGGCACCGTATGGCGAAGTGCCTAGTGGGGATGTACCTCCACCATGGAATGGCGACTGCGGCATGTAGGGTGACGTAGGTGAATAGACGTTCGGTGAACTAGGACTGTAACCCGGAGCCGCGGGGGACATCCCTCCAGCACCAAGAGGACTGACACCAAATCCACGATAGGTGTAGTTCGTGGACTCGTCACGATTCCCTGCCAGTGGAGAGAATGCAGCCGTCTCGCCTTTGAACGATCCATCCTGCGACCAAGTTGGAGAGTTGCTGTCGTAGGGCGTCATTGCCACCTGTCCCGGCGTCATTCCATCGTCAACATGAGCGGCAAGCATACTCTGCATAGGCAAGCTTGGGTCGACGATGACGTCCTTTAACATGTCGATGTCCAACGCGACCTCGAAAGCACCCGTGCCCATGGGAGCCATTTGGCCGAACATGACGTTCTCAGCGATACCATGACAGTCATCCCGTTCTCCTACAGCCGCTGCCTCCATCAAGATCTCCACCGTCTCCTCGAAAGACGACCTCATCAACGCTCCCGTGTCTGCGCGATTGATACCATGTCGTGTGATGGCCATGAGATGTCCGCGGTGCGTCATCAAGTCACAAAGGAGGGCGAGGTGACGATAGTTCACGTAGGAACCATCGAACTCGATCACTCCACGCAACTCCTTCATGATCGCAGCACGAGCGGCCTCGATTCCAAGGACATTAAACACCTCGACGCAGCTATTCGAATAGGTGCGCGTGAAGTCGACACCGTCCAAGCACATCACGTTCTTCAAATTGACACCGTCCGTCTCCAGCACCCACTCCTTTTCTTGGCGTGCCTCGATGTTACCTTCATGGTCGATGATTACCTTGTCGTGTTCCAACAAGAAAACACGATCAATGCCCTTCATTCCACGCAGACTGACAGAGTTCAACATCGTGTTCTCCAGCTGTCGAAGGAAGATGTCCTCTTCGATGGTCTCCATACCGTCCTCATCCTTGTCTGCCCCACCTAGTATACGACAACGAATGACGAGTTTCTCCGAGTTGTCTTCACTCCAGATGACGAAAAGATCGGTTTTGAAACTCTCTGCAATCCTCCCTGCCACAAACTCCATGGTCAATTTTCTATCGATCATTTTTGCACGGTCCAGTTCCAGACGAAGCAACCAAGGCGACTGTAGGTGTAACTTAGATTCGACTTCATCATCGGGAATGGCGAAGAAGGCCTCGACGAATAATCGGTCCTCTTCGATGATTGTGGAGCTCGGATCCGGATCGTACCAGATCTCGACAGCGGCTGTGATGGTCCGTAAAGAAGTGTATGCCAACTCCTGTTGGACATCCTTTGCCTTGAAGCGGTCCTTCGCAATCTCTGGTTGGAGGTAGACAGAAAGCGATGGCGTTTTGATATTCGTCGCCACATTGATGATCTCCTTTAGACGTGGAACACCAAGCGTGACGTTCTTACTGGACACACCAGCATAATGGAATGTATTGAGTGTCATCTGTGTCGCTGGCTCTCCGATAGACTGAGCAGCTAGCGTTCCGCACATCTCGCCGGGGTTGGCAACAGATTGGTTAAACTTTGCCTCGACTTCGCCCAAGACCCAGTCGAATGCCTCTCGCGTGAGATGATATCTCTCCAAAACCCGTCGGGTGGCAAACGTCGCACGCAGATGCATGCGGAAGTTGAGCGTGGCATTGTCCTGGGCCTCTAAGCTCAGAGGATCATCACCACGTACGATGACTAAACGATTCGAGAGCTTCTGGACAGCCTCGATGATGTACGCAGGCTCGAGATCGCTAGGCTTCCGTCGATCGATGTGGAAGATTTGCATCGCATTTTGGACGATACGTTGCAGATTGACCGGAAGATAATGGGGAATGGTGGGATCCTGTTGGGGGAAGATGAATTCCCGAAGGACGCGACGGTCTTCGAGTAACTGCTGATATTCCTCGTCCAACTTCATCTGTAGCTCAGGTGAGCTGTCGTCAATCCCAATCTGGAGTGCTCCTGGCTGGAAGCGAGTTGATGGATCCATAACGTCCACCCGGTAATTGCGGTCGAAGTCTTTATCATTGAGGCCATACGTATCGATGTGCTGTCGCTCGATGAAAGCACCGTCCATGCCGTCCTCTCCGTAGACGAACTGGACCAGATCGCCCAAGGAATTACGAACAGTACCGTCATAATTGACCATGACATCCTCCAGTGCTTTGACGAGACGACGCTGAATGTATCCCGTTTCAGCAGTCTTCACAGCAGTATCGATAAGACCTTCACGACCAGCCATGGCGTGGAAGAAGAACTCTTGCGGCGTGAGCCCACGAAGATACGAGTTTTCCACGAATCCGCGGGCCTCGGGACTGTAGTCGTCCTTCGTGAAATGAGGTAGTGTCCGATGCCGGAAGCCAAAGGGTATACGCCGTCCTTCAACAGATTGTTGCCCGACACAGACGGACATCTGAGAGATATTGATGAAGGACCCCTTCGAACCCGCAACCACCATTTGCTTGACGTTGTTGTCTTCTTTCAAGTTCTTCTGCGCGTACTGGCCGGACGTATCACGAGCCAGGTTGAGCTCTCGCTCGACTCGACTCTCGAAAGATTCACGGATGGTCATACCAGGTGCGGCTTTGAGCCGGGCATGACTGGCGTCATCAATGATCTGCTGGACATTAGTCTTCCTCTCTGCAATATGCTGTGTGATGTATGCCATCGTTCCCTTATCAGCGATCGTGTCACCGATGCCTATGCTGAAGCCGTTATGGAATAGCCAGAAATTGACGACAGTTTGGAGCCCAGTGAAGAGCGTCCGCGTGGCCTCTGGACCTTTCTCCCGGAATACGACGTGGACCAATCCTCCCTGAGATGCTCCGACTGTCTTCTTCTCGACAATGCCGTAGATGATCTCGCCGTTCTCGATCATCATCCCGTCATCAAACACGGGGTTGAATGTCTTCGAATCTGACGACCTCTGGATATTTATTCCTCTCGGAATTGTCATGCTAAGAATCTGCTTGCCGGTCCAAAGAGGTTTTGGCTTAATGATAGCAGGGATAGGGACAGAGCCATCCCAATCGGGTACCCATAGAAGGATGTTCTGGACTTGATTCCAGTCCAAGAAAGTGTCACGGAGCGTGAACTTGCGAACACCACAAAGCGTGTCCTGGACGATACCCATAACGGGCTTGTTCGCTTGTGGCGAGATTATCTAGATAGAAGGTCAGTCATTGAACGATATGTTTGAAAGAAGAGACATGCCTGCCGTGGGACCCAGGCAATTTGACTGAGTTCAGCTCGTGTCTCTTCACTTTGAGGTACACTAGCAGAGAATGAAAATTTGAGATCTCTTGAAGATATGGATAGTTTATTTTTTAACATACTGCATGTTCATCTCGTCGCCGTCGAAATCGGCATTGTAAGGGGGCGTCACAGAAAGATTCAAGCGGAAAGCTGATATGAAAAGAACATTTAGAATAGAATAATTCTGTGCAAATTGTCAACTTACTTGAATACGGCATCAACCGTACTCGATGGCTCATCATACTCATTTTATGTAGTGACGGCTGTCGATTGAACAAGACAAAGCTGGAGGAGGGTTAGGATGAGCCGGTCAACCGGCTGAAAACGTTGAGAAAACTCACTCTCCGTTCTTGAGATGTCGTTCTACGATCCATCCGAACTGCAAAAATGTATCTGCGCGTTTGTTGTACCGCAGATCAATGCGTTCATTAGTATCTCTGACCACATAACGCGCTCCAGGATACGTTGAAGGGCCATTGCGCACGAGCTCTTGAAGATATTCGATGTTATAAGGCGTGACTGTAGTGACAAACTATCAACAAACCGCACGGGTAGAAATGACAGAAACAACCGTACCTCGTTCGGGGTAGGTCAAAGTCATTGCAATGCTCTTCGGTACACCAACTTCGTCGAGTTCCAGATTAGGATCACCTGTAATGACCGTCCTTGCGGAGAAGTCCACACGCTTTCCCATCAGGTTGCCACGCAAGCGGCCTTCCTTTCCCTTCAATCGGGCACGAATAGCCTTTACAGGGCGACCTGACTTTTGCAAAGCTTGCGGGATACCGGCAATGTCGTTGTCCATATACGTGGCAACGTGGAACTAGAGTGACGGATCAGTATCAGAACCCGATTGTATGCGGAATGCTATGAACCTGCAATAGCTGTTCGAACTCTGTGATGACATGAGCAGGTGCACCCTCTTGTTCACATCGACGAACGTTGGCGGATGCTTTAATGATATCGCCGAGCTTGTACGTGAGATCATCTTCGCTCCGCATCGCACCTCCATCAACAGCGATACTAGGCCGTACAGGGGGTGGCGGAACAGGCATGACTGTCAAGATCATCCACTCAGGGCGAGCGTACTCATCCGAAAGGCCAAGCAGATGCAAATCCGAATCGGAGATCTTCTTCAATGTATTGTAAACCTCTGAAGCGGTGAAAAGTCTTTTGTCCGGCTGCAGTGACTTAATCTCCTGAAAGTGTCACGCGTTAACAGCGATGTCAAAAAATGATACTCTTTCACCTGACCTCATCATCGTCCTTTGACCTCTTGTACTGGAGGAACAGCTTCAGTCCTTCTTTTCTCACCTGCGGCTGGGTGTGCCCACAACCGCCGTGTCCTTTCTTGTGCTCTTCGCTGTCCCCGCCTTCCCCTTCTTCCTTCGGTTCGTCTGGCTCGCAGATCATCTTACCTTTGCAATGACCCCATACGATGGACATGCGGGCCTTCGGATCACGCACATGCCGGATCTTGTCAGCGAAATTGGGATCCGTCTTACAACCAGACATCACAATTCACAGGCGAACAGCGGAAAGCAAAAAATGAGTAAAGGGTCAGCAAGGGTGTGTATGATGTGATCCAGCCTCGACTACCACCCCAAGGGAACAAAAAAAAAAAACAATATACACAAAAAGGTGGGCAATGAACATTGAGATTCAAAGTGCTAGCCGGGCCTGAGCCACTCAAGCTGCGTCACAGCGAGGGCCGCCCAGCAGTCCAACACAACAGTGCTGCCGGTATCGGCAAACGACTGCATATGGATACGTTTTCGCACTCCTCGCTCAGCCCCCATTTCACCACACAGCTGCGCGTCCAACCAGCACCGAGCGCATAAAGGTCAACGCGGCGATCAAGCGATCGAAAACGCGCGTCAACCACGCCACGGGTAGAAGAACGCCTCGCTTGTCGAGGAGCTAACGCAGTGTGGGTTTGGGGTTCTCCGTGTGATATGGAGAGAGCCCCCAGAAAATTGGGTGGTGGGGTGCGAAGCAAGTAGAGGGAAAAGACACACGACTCACGATGTCGGCTTTCAATTTTCCACAATTTACACAGATACTCTCCAGAATTTTCTTAACCTTCACGATAAACCCTATGGCATGGATTTATTTTGTTATGTCTCGTCAATAGAAAACGTTGAGTGGACACACCTGGATGAAAGACAGGCCTGGCCAACTCTATATGACCAAAATGACCTGGACACTCCGACATCCCCTCTCCACATGTCTGGCACTTAAAGTTCCGGTCGATGGTGCCAAGACGAGGGTCCATCAAGCCTCCCATCTTTGGCTTATGCGTGGCTTCGTCCATAACTTCGGGATGTTCAATCTTAGCTACGGAATACGCTTTCTGCAACTCAAAGTTAGAACACTGAGTGGATAGAGAATATATTGCTCACAATCTCTTCGGGCGAAAGAATACCGAACTGTACCTCCTTCACTTTGCGGATGGGCGCTGCCGAATGGGAAAACTGATGGCCCAACATGACTGAGAGGGGATGCTGTCGAGTAACAGGACAAGGTGTGGCTCTTTTGAGTAAAACAAGTCAAAAGCAAGGCAGGGATATAGAACAAGGCAGGGGAGGGAAACGGAGCGGTTCTGAGGAGTTGACCGCGGTTTTGTCGAGGAAGAAGGCCAAGAAGAATAGATAGACCGACTGCAGTCGCTACCAGATGGTATTGAGGCCCCTGTCTTTCAGCAGAAGTACAGAAGGGCTGTAGGAGTGTCTTGGGCGACGATCGGAGAAGAGGGAGTGAAAAACACGGGGAACACGCCGACGAGCAGCGACGACAAGGTGGTTGTTGAGGAACAACCGACAATGCTGAGCAGGTCCAAACTCCGACTCAATTACTCATTCGGTGCCGCCACCCCCGCCGACACTGCAGTCATCCCAAGTCTCGCAGCTCCCTTCATCTGTCTCGGCTCATCCTTCGGACTCTACCCACCCTTGCTTTATTCTCGCTCTAAGTGTACCTGCATCTCTTCTCTGATAATGTCCACGATTAGCAGCTGGCTGTGGGGCACATCCCAGCTTGACGATGCCGTCGGTACGTTGCTCGAGTTCTTCGCCCTCACGGTTTGATCCATCTCCGCCCCAGACAGAGCGACCTCGGAGCTCCTGCCCGCAGGTTCGGAAGACATCGCTCTCAACCTCGAAATATGCGACCAAATACGCTCAAAAAGCGCTCAACCCAAAGACGCTATGCGCGCACTCAAACGTCGGCTGAACCACAAGAATCCCAACGTACAACTGTTGGCGCTGAGTGTTTGTGCACTCACTCTCATAATCCCTTTCGTCTTTCACCATTAACCCGTTCATCCTTTAGCTAACCGACGTATGCCTCAAGAATGGTGGCGATCACTTCCTTAGTGAAATTGCTTCGAGGGAGTTCATGGACAACCTGGTGTCTATCCTGCACAGCCATGCCTTAAATCGTGACGTTAGGGATAAGACCTTGCGTTATATTCAATCTTGGGCTCTTGCATTCGAGGGCAAACCTAGCCTCAGCTATGCTGGCCAAGTCTACAAGACCCTCCAAGGTGAAGGTAAACAGTCCAAATTCATCCTCGGTGACGTAACTCTGATGTCCCCCAGGATTTAGCTTTCCTCCCGAAAGTTTGGCTTCTGCCAGCTCGGCCATGGTGGATACTCAAACTGCACCAGAGTGGATCGACTCGGATGTCTGTCTCCGATGTCGGACGTCCTTCAGCTTTACGAATCGCAAGCATCACTGTCGGAACTGTGGCCAAGTCTTCGATCAGCAATGTTCATCAAAGTCACTCCCTTTACCGCACTTTGGCATCACGCAGGAAGTCCGAGTATGTGATGGGTGTTATACCAAGCTAACGAGGCACAAGGACCAGGGGTAAGCATACTTCATCAGCCTCAATGCCACAGTGATAAACTATGTACAGTCTGGGCTCAGAGAGCAAGCGTCACCGTTCGTCCCATAGTGTGGGGAGTGTCCGACATCGTTCGACACGCGATCTTGCGGATGCAGAGCTTCAGCGCGCCATTCAACTCTCGCTTGAGGAAGTGAACGGTCACGGTCAGCATGGTCGCCCTGGCTATGTTCCTTATCGGCCAGATGCGTCTTCGTGGCAGGTTTCTGAGCCTCCCCTCGTGGATCGAAATACGCGACCGTTAGGGCAGGACGATGAAGAAGACCCTGACCTCAAAGCCGCGATCGAGGCTAGTCTCCGGGAAGCTAGTGGACCGAAACCAAGTGCCCCCGTCGTTGTTGAATCTTCACGCGGCGATACGACGCCTTTCGCATACTCCGGTGCTGGCTATTCACAATCATACCCTCCTACGACTGCCTTGGTACCAGCGCTACCTAATTATGACCTTGAGCCTTTGGAGGCCGACACGATCTTGACTTTCAGTCAAACAGTAGAGCAAGTACAGCAGCAAGGCGGACGAGATATGTCTCGCTATCCCGCGGTGACTCAGCTGTTTGATAAGGCTAACAGTTTGCGGCCGAAGTTGGCCATGAGTTTAGATGATACTGGGAGGAAAGAAGGTATGTCTGGCGCTTTTACGTCTCAGCCGATTGTTAACATCAACAATGTAGGAATGCTTGCGGAGATGAATGACAAGCTTTCGCAAGCTGTTAAGCTGTATGATAAAATACTAACTGAGCAATTGTCTCGTCCCTACCGAGCAGCGCCAGTGGCACCACCTCCACACCAATCTTCTTTCGCTTCTATTGAACCATCATATAGTCAATGGAGCCCTGCGCCCCAACAGACACCGCTTCCTCCGCGCACTAATTACGCTCCTCAGATGCAACAAGCCGCGTCTGTTTATCACCCTTCGGTTTCGCAAGTTTACTGGCCATCAGCTAGCACTCCTTCAGCCGAGCAATCCTTCACTCACCATCAACAAAGATCCCCCCAAGCATGGTCACAATATACCGAACCGCAGGGTATTTCACAACCGCCAGTCCTTCAACTCCCCACAAGTCCTGCTTCTGCTCACCCACAACCGGTCGCTCTGCATAATGCATATGACGCAGATGTGCAACAGTCTTACCAGACGAGAGCCACTCACCCTTCCCAACGGGAACCGTCCCAGTTACCTCAATCTTCGCCTCCCGTCCGCCACAACACCACCCAGGTGTACGCTGCTCCATCTCATCCTCCTGCCCAATTCACCCTCTCGCGAGCCAACACAGTTTTGCAACCCATTCAACAGCAGTATGCCCCCGTCGACCCCACTCCTCTACCTCATTTCCCCGCCGTGCCAACGGCACCTCCTCAGGAAGTGTATTCACCGTATAGCTCGAGCGTTTCTTCTGGTGTAGAGCAGACTGAAAGAAAAGAGGCTCTCTTGATTGAGTTTTAGATGGACTGTGTGTATACTTCGTGGACTTTGTATAAAGATGACTGGCTAGTGCACCGGTGGCTCTATTTATGTGCGACGTCTAAACATTTATGCAGAATATGGTTCAGTTTTCAGACTAATATTGAAATTAGCTGTTCAGCGCTTGGCACGGAAGACCAGCCCAACTTTGATCAAGCGATGCACAGGAATATTCTCTACACAACGTAGTATGTAAGGTGTATGGAAGCAATTGTGAGGTAGATACAAATTATCTGAGTGCCAGAGGGTTTCGGCCACTCAGAGATCAGGGGGTTAAAGAATGGGATAACGTAGCAGACTGTCACGAACGGCTGTTCGAGACAAGGAGATCCTAGGCCACAAACAATACTGAAGAGTTTTAGAAGGAGTCGAGGGACTGATCAGACTAATGTCTTGGAATCAGAGGAGACTGTATGAACAGCAGTCCTTAGATTGGACAGAAGTGGATAGCCTAAGGCTTCCACCCTGCGCCGCAGTATCTATAAATATGTACAAACAGGAGCACGGACCAAGTATCAATGGAGCGGGAATGCGAGGTATGGTCGGGAGAAAGGTCCTACAAGTCCTTATCAAGAAGGTGAGAAAAGTAGGTAAACATAAGCAAGGTGTTTCATAACATTACCCCCCCCTCTAGGCCGTCAGTGCCAGAGACGGTAAGTAATAGTCCAGGAAAAACATAAGCAATGCGTGTAAACCGAGTCATACAAAATAATACTTAGGGCACAGATTCTCGCTGCCCACAGTCAAGTCATGATGCGATAGCCCTTGAGTACGGACATCATGATACCCCACCTCGTTACCAACCATGCGGGGACTGCATTCTAGAGCCGAGTCCCTCGTCTCATCATGGCAGTGGGTACCGGCCCAACGGATTTGAACTGTCGTTTGCCCCGGCAGTTTTATGTCATACTGGACGTCAGCATCTCGTTCTTCAAGCACCTTGAGGGCGGAGGATGATGGGTTGGGTGTCGGACTTGCTGGAGTCATATTCGACGAAGGGGAGGGGAGGTCGGGTTCAGGTAGAGGAGTGGATTACTCCCAGCCACGTGGGTATGACGTGGTAGCAAGGTGAAATCTGCGCGAATCTGTAGGTATCCCTTCCCCTGCCACGTTCCATGGGATAAGCCCCCGGCATTGGGCGAAGCGGTACTCCATTTGAGGCCGAAGACGAGGCACAAGATACCACAGCCGTGGTAGGCATGTGATATTCAGTGACAGGGGTAATGTCATTGGCGGGATGAAAGGAGTCTTGGAGGCATGTAGTTTGATTCAAACCCATAAGCCTTCTCTCTCCCGCATTGATTCGGGCGATGAGTGTTCCTTCCCGGATCTGCAGAGCCCTCTGTGCATGTCGGACAAAGCTCCTCTCCTCTTCCAAAATCTCTAACGCCCTTTGTATCTCTGGTTGTGTGGGTCCTGACACAAACTCAGTGTTCGGTGTTCCTTCGATGAGTCCCATCATGTAGGCGACGGGAGTCGTCAGGTACGTCTCTCTATCGGGGAATATGATCCCCTTGCTCTGTGTGCAGATAAGGGGTGGTGGAGAGGGAGAGCGGGAAGGTGAGGGTCTGTCGAAGTCTTCTGTGAGTCGTCTGATCATCTCGTCTTCTCGTCGTTCGTTCTCGTCCAGTCCCTCCAGATACTCGCTGAATCCTTCTTCTGCTTTCCGCGCTGCTTGCTCTTCATCCATGTCCCATGGTACAGATCGTTCTTCTACTATAGACATCTCGGGAGTCGAGGGAATAGAGGGTTCAGTGGAGGGTGTTTCTTTGTAAGGTCGTTCGATGAGAGTGTCTTTAGAGGAGAGGTAGATGGATCCGCTGGAAGACATGCTTGCTGGGGGAGTGAATAAGCGATTGAAGGGATGAGGGAATTGCAATGATTGAATTTGGGTTTTTATACATTTCGGACTTTGTTTATTTGATGTTTGCGAGAGCTGCTCGTAGTGGTAAGTTATGATGTTGCGCATCATATGCTTCTAAAAGTTCTTTAGCATTCCCTAGGTTTGCTCTTGTGACCCATTCATCTGCGGAGCTCGGGTATCCTTTCCAGTGTACTAGGTATTGATACCCGCGTCCTCGTTTTCTCTTGTCAAGAATTTCTTCGACTTCGTATTCCTCCTGTCCATCTATGAGGTCAGGTGGTGGTTGTTCAAAGTTGGGGCCATGTGCGGCTGTTTCTTGATAAGGTAAGATTAATGAGGCGTGGAATACGGGGTGTATTTTCCACGTTGGCGGAAGCTTTAATTTGTACGTCACCAGTCCTAGTTTGCTTTCTATTTCAAATGGTCCATGCAGTTTCGGGGCTAGTTTGTCTTTTGGGTGCATGGTGGTGATATTTTTTCCCGATAGCCAAACTTTCTGTCCTGCTTCTAATTTGACTTCGTTTTTGGCTGTTTTCCTCTTCATTAGTTCAGCTGCAACTTCTAGGCTGGCCTTTGTTTCTTGCCGTAATTGTTCTAGCCTTTCCAACCTTTGTTCTACGCCTGGGATGTCGGATCTCGGCATGATCGGAGGTACGAAGGTTGGATTATAGCCATACATGAGTTCAAACAGTGATTGGTGAGTTGCTGAATGTTCCCTGACATTGTGTGCAAATTCTGCGTATGGCAATAATTCAGGCCAATTCGTTTGTTCATAGTTGCAGAATGCTCGTAGGTACTGTTCTAGCTCTTGATTGACTCTTTCTGTTTCTCCATCTGTTTCTGGGTGGTAGGTGGTTGATAGTGCTGTTGTTACTCCTAGCTTTTTCCATAGTTCCTTTGTGAATCTGGCCGCAAATTGTAGACCTCTATTGGATACGATCTTCCTTGGAAGTCCGTATTGTTTCCAGATGTTTTTCATATAAAGGTCAGCGGTTCCTTCGGCATCTATGGTTTTATCACATGGGGTGTAAACAACGCCCTTGGTGCTTCTGTCTACCGTTACGTGAATGGCGTTATACGGTCCTACTTGGGGAAGATCCGTAATGAAGTCCATTGTGACTGTTTGCCAGGGTCTTTCTGGTATTTCATTTGGAATAAGCGGGGTGCGTGTGGGATGCGTGATGTTTTTGGTATATTGACATGTTGCGCATCCCGTTACGTATTCCTTTATGAATGTGGACATTCCTGGCCACCAGAAGTTGTCTGATACTAGGACATAGGTCTTCCATCTTCCTAGGTGTCCAGCTGCTGGTGAATCATGGTACATTTTTGTGATTTGTCTTTTAAGTTCATCGTCTGGCGGAACGTATATTTTTCCTCTATGCCAGATAAGGTTGTCTTTGTAATTCCACTCTTGTAAGCCTTTTGAGAGTGCTCTAGGTCCTGATGCTTTGATAAGCTCCATTGCTTCCGTTACTTCTCTATCTTTAGCCATAACTTCTTTTAGCTTTCGTCCCAGCTGGCTGTCAAGCATTTCAACTGTTCTTCGTCCTGTCACACTTTTAACAAACATTTGGGGTTGTAGTATCACCTGATCTTTGTTGTCGGATTTTACCCCCTCTTTTAGGTCTGGACACCTGGACAGAGCATCGGGTTGGTGGGTAATGCCTGGTTTGTGGACGAGGGTGAAGTCGAAGTGGGAGAGGAAGAGTGACCAACGTGCTTGGCGGCGGGAAAGAGTTCTTGCAGTAGAGAAGTACAGGAGGTTCTTGTGGTCGGACCAAATCTTGAACGGGTGTCGTGCACCTTCGAGGTACACGCGCCAGTGATCGAGGGCATGTATAACAGCAAGTAGCTCCTTATCAAAGATATCGTAATTCCGCTTGGCCGCATTGAAAGATTTGGACAGGTAAGCGACAGGGTGCCATCCATCGTTAGGTGTTTCTTGCGATAGAATGGCGCCAGAGGCAAAGTCCGATGCATCAGTCTCAAGGCGGAATGGGTGATTACCGTCTGGGTAGATAAGGACGGGAGTAGATGTGAAGCAATGCTTCAACTGTTCAAAGGCTTCGTTCTATTCATGAGTCCACTCAAATGGTACATCCTTCTTTGTGAGGTCGTTGAGAGGTCGGGCCGTGGTAGCAAAGTCTTCGATGAATCTGCGATAGAAGTTTCCAAAGCCGAGGAAAGACTGTACGTCTCTCAGGTTCTTCGGGGTTGGCCAGGCGGCGATTCCATCAACCTTGACCAGGTCCATGGATATATTGTCCGTGGAAATGATAAATCCAAGGTATTCGACTGTGTCTGTTTCAAAGGTACATTTAGAAGGCTTCAGGAACAAGTCGTTGTCCAAAAGTATTTGCATGACCTGGGTTGTCACGCGCCTATGTTCTTCAATGGTCTTTGTGAACACCAGGATGTCATCCATGTAGACTGCAAGGACTTGCGCAACAATGAGGTCATGGAAGATGATGTTCATCATAGTTTGAAAGGTGGCGGGCAAGTTGCAAAGACCAAAGAACATTACAAGGCATTCAAACAGGCCGAATTTAGTCATGAAGGCTGTCTTCCATTCGTCACCTTCTGCTATTTTAACATTGTTATACCCTCATTTGACATCAAACTTGGAGAAGATCCTTGCTTTTGATTTGGCAATGGTTCTTATTACGTCATCAATCAGGGGCAGTGGGTATTTGTTTTTTATTGTCCACTCATTCAGTCTCCGATAATCTTGAACCGGTCATAGGCTTCCTTCCTTCTTTTTTATGAAGAAGAAGGGTGATGCTTGTGGGGATTTGGATATTCTAATGGTTCCCCGCTTCAAGTGTTCTTGAAGCATCTCGTGTAGCTGGTCCTCTTCTTCTTCTGTCAAGGGGTATAGCTTACATCCCGTCGGTTCCCATCCTGGTTTCATATCGATTTTATGGTCCCATCGTGAATGTTCTGGAAGTCATTGCAAAGCTTCCTGGCTGAAGATTTTGGCGAATCGTTTAAGAATGTATGCCGGGACTATTTCCTCAATAGGTCATTCCATTTTTGTTTTGTTTGCTTTTTCTGCCAGTTGTTGTGACTTGTTTCCAATGGAACCAATGTGAATTGCTTCGAGGGGATGCACTTCTAGTGGATCTTGGTAATACCATTCTTCGTAGAATTCGGAAAAGAAGGTATCTTCAGTTTCATCTTCTTCCAAATCATCTTCTATTCTGGAGTACCCAACTGTTCTGTTTTTTCTTTGCTGGGTAGGCGCTAATGCTTGTATGGTGAACTTAGGTTGGCTGACTAGGCACGTGGTAGCGCAAGTTAAAAACGTGAGACTATTCTTTACCCAGTTGATTTGTGGGTTATGTTCATGTAGCCAATCCGTTCCTAGGATTATATTTTCTCCTCCTAGGTTAGCGGCCAGTAGTTTGCATTGTTCGTCGTGATAATCGCCTTCTTTGTTTGTCATTCTCATAAGCAGGCAGGCTTTGTCGGTGATTTTTCCTCCATCATTGGCTGTTCCGTCCACATTAAACACAGGGATAGGTTTGTTGATTTTCTGCATCAGTATGTTATTGTCCAAACAAAATTGTTTGTCAATGAGAAGCCCTTCTGCTCCTGAATTGATTAATACTCGGGCTTCGGTGGTTCCTTCTTTGTGTTTCAAGTGCACGTTTATCCTCATAGATGATTTCTGATTGGATTTAGTAAGCTGTATGAATATTTTTACAGGAGGATTTGGAGTGGGTCTACAGTACACCGGAGCCGTAGGCCTATTTAAAAATCCGATTCTTTCCGCTTGCTTATCTCGCTTAACTCCTGAAGGAGTGCTTCCTGCTCGTCCCATCTCATCTTTCCTATAACCCTTTGGATCTCTTCTCGGCTAATCTCAGGCTCCTCCTCATGTACAGGCGCATCCGGTCCGGGTGCGTGGGCTTGGCAAGCTGCGAGTCTGGCCCGGAATGGGTTAGTCGTCGCCATGCTTCTACCTTGCGCCGTAGTGCCTCCCTGAGTACTGCCTGGAGTTCCTGCCAAGAATGCTTGGCCATAGCCGCTTCCTCCGCCTCCCATCCTGCTGCCGGCCTGAGCCGAGTGGTTCCCCATCGTTCTACTACCCTGTTGAACATGTCCAGTTGACCCTTCATATACCCTAGACGAACCCCTGACAGGGCATTGATTTGCCATGTGTCCTTTCTGGCGACAGTAAAAGCACCCACCCTCCATCCTGAGGCGGTTGCGCTCTTCATCTGTAAGGGTTGTTCAGACTGTATCTACGGCCATGGGGATGACAGAGTTGTTCATAGATGACGGAGCATTAGAGGAGTTGTAATGGAAGGGGTTGTTTGGTCGAACAGCAGCAGAGGGTACGGAGCTTTTTATGCTCTGTAGCTCCCTTCATTGGTTATCAAATCTTCGGGTGTATTTTACCCAATCATCCATGGTTGTTGGCATATCAGGGAGTCTGTAGATTTGTTTGAGAATTTCCGGGTGTATGGCTCAGCGGAAATAATCAACGGTAGATTCGAGATCAAATCCACTTTCTCCTGCTGTCATGAGGTAGTCCATGACGAACTCGTCCGCTGATTGCTTTCCCATTCTCATTGTGAATAATTTCTGTCTCGCCTTCTGTTTGAGACTTTCATCTTTGAATGCGGTGGCTAATTCTTTCAAGAAGTCTTTGAACGTTCCCCATGTTTTTTTGGTTTCCGTTGCTTTGTATTCCCGGAGCTCTCTGTCAAAGTAGTATTTTTGTGCAAACAGTGAAGCTGTTCCTTCCCTCATATATGACAGGACCATGAGTGTCTTGTTCATGTCCGAGTCGTACTTGGTCGGATTGGCTAGAATGTACATATGACATTCATAGATCCATTCTTTGTACTTTGACCTTGTTCCATCGAAGTCTTTCAGCTTATTTCCTTTATCTGATATTTTGTCTTCGTTGTCTGTGGTTCTTGTGATCAGTAAGGGGTTTGGTTGTGGATTTGGATTTGGGTCTGGATTCGGTTAACTCGGTCCTGCTACAAGCTCTGGGTCTTCTTCGTCGATTGGGGTTAATACTCCTGCGGGAATTGGGGTGTCTTTGATATCTTCTTTAGGGATATCGACTAGTGATAAGACGGGTCTCGTTTGGGTGGGGGAGTCAATGGTTCTGAGGGGTGCTTTCCTATCTTCCCAGGGTACTAGCGGGGCGTCAACTGTTTTTCCGCTATTCTGTCCTCCTACGTAGACCCAATTTCCCTTGGAAGTTCTTCTGATGGGTTGTCCAAAGTGGACAAATGTATCTGCGTGTTTCAGGTAGTCGGTTCCGTGTGGAACTCGCCCTACGTGTCTTCCTAAACCTTGGGAAGTTGTCTTGTTAGATCAAAGAGCCTGTGCTAGTCTCGACCTGATCAAGGTTCGAGGGTCAAGGCAACAGCAGCTCTTCCTAGTCGGGTATAGTATTTCTGCTTTTGGTATAGTACCGTACGTAATGTCGAGTGCAATTGTTTCAGTCGTACCTCCACTGGGTTGATTACCAGATAGAAGTATTCTACAACCTGAAACGACCCACACCAAAGTGGAATCGTCCAATTGTTCACTCGAAGTGTATAGTAACTATTATGGTCAATGGATGTTTGTCTTTTGGGACTGCCTAACGCCGTATGTAACTAGCCAGTGTTCTGCTGCAAGGAAAGGGTGGAGTAGGATTTGTGTGGAGAGAGGCTATCCAGATGTCACAAACGGCTGTTCGAGACAAGGAGATCCTAGGCCACAAACAATACTGAAGAGTTTTAGAAGGAGTCGAGGGACTGATCAGACTAATGTCTTAGAATCAGAGGAGACTGTGTGAACAGCAGTCCTTAGATTGGACAGAAGTGGATAGCCTAAGGCTTCCACCCTGTGCCACAGTATCTATAAATATGTACAAACAGGAGCACGGACCAAGTATCAATGGAGCAGGAATGCGAGGTATGGTCGGGAGAAAGGTCCTACGAGTCCTTATCAAGAAGGTGAGAAAAGTAGGTAAACATAAGCAAGGCGTTTCGTAACACAGACTATACAATAACACATAAGTGATAGTGAAATGCCGGATGATAACTCTGGCAGAGGTCAATCCTAGTCAACCTCCGTTGGAAGAAGGCTTCGAGGTACCAGAACGATAATCGAAGCGCTGATGCATGTTATCCGGATGAAACTCGATAGGTGGTTTTGCTGTACTAGGACCTGGGCGTAAACTATCGGTGAAGTCAGAAATTGGAAGCATGAGGAAGACACGATATATATGATAGGGTTGGAGAGGGTGAAAGCTCTCAACGACTCAAGTGTCGGTGCCAACATATACAGCTTAATCACCATGATGATTGTATGCTTACCTGGCCGTGGGATCACGGCGCATGCGGTATTTAATACAAATCCCGAGGAAGCGGTGACCATATTGTTCCCATTTCTTATCAGGTTCATCAGCATCGTCGCCATCCAAGGCATCTTTGAAACCGGCGAGGTCTAAGGTAATGGATCAGAGCCATGAAGGCACATCGCGCATTCGCGACCTACCTTCTGGAAGGATGAAACTCAACGCTTGAAGAGTCCCATCACCAAGTATCTCTTCCGCATCGACACCGTCATTTTCCGATATCTAGATGTATGCAGCAGTAAGTCGTGATCAGTTGTTCTTGAGCCATCAAACACTCCACCTGCAACCGAAGGTCCTTGAGCTCTCCGTAACAGCCCATAGCAGGACCCATAGAGTCTGTATGCAAGACAGCCCGTGTAGCCGCAGATCGAGGCGGGGGCCAAACAGACGACGCTGGGCCGGCCACATTATTGGTCTGTTCTACTTCATCGATGGGATCGTCTTCCAGGTCCTGATTTGGACCATTCCTCCTGGCGCGAGGGGCCTGACCTTTCTTAGAGGCGGGCTTTCGCCCAGTCTTCTGCGATGTGCGGAACTTCATAATGACTCGGGAGCCGACTCTCAAATAGTCGCGGTACGTTGGTCCCAACTTGGAATGTTGCTTAATATACAGCAGAGTAATGAATGCTAATAGACACACCGTTGTATAGGTTACAGGATAACCCCCATTGTTCGTTTCTGTTATAGATGCAAAAACCTGAAGACTGCTCAAGTGGTCGAATATGCGTTCAATGCGAGCTAATGGCAGATTCTTGCCAGCACCATAAGAGTCAAATCTGTTCAGTTTCTTGGCCAGGAACTCTTTCTTCGCGGAACCTTTGAAGACGTCAATAGCTTGAGGGCGCGTGATGTTGATCCTGCTTTTCTGCACCTCCTCCATCATATGAATGAGCGAAATTGCAGTCTCGGTCACATCTTCCGCGGTTGCTGGTATCGTAGATGTACAGTTATCGCAGGTGCCGCCGCAGTGCTGGGGATCGAATTGCTCGTCGAAATGTTTCAGCAACAGGACTCGACGGCAGTCGACATCATTTAAGCAGAATTGGATGACCTCTTGCATTTCGTTGATTTGACGTCGTTTATCCTCTGCCCCCAAGTCTTCGTTCTCGCGAATACGGTTGAAGTGAGATTGGCAATCGCCCCATGAGTAGTCTTTTTAAAATTTGATGATCAGTAGTATCAAGACTCGAGCAATAAATACTCGTACAGAGGATGCAGTCAGCAGGCTTTCCATCTCGACCGGCACGCCCGGTCTCTTGATAATACCTTGATGTAAAAAACGTCAGTAGACCGACCTTATTAGAACAACAATACAGACCCTATCAAAGTTGACGGGACGTCATAGTGAAGAACAAACCGAACTAAAAAAAATGTAAGAGAGAACAGTGAAACCCGCTGAAATTTTTGTCTACCATTTGCGTGATTGATGCCCATGCCAAACGCGATCTGTTGTGGATTTAGCCGGTGAATTCACAGTCTAGAGGATAAATCAAAACGTACTGTTCCCACGATAACATCTGTGCGACCATTCTTCCATGATTGCAAGACGTGCCTCTTGTCTTTTTCCGTCATTTTGGCATGAAAATGCTTAGCCTCGATGCCTTGCCCCCGAAGATCAGATGCAACCTTTTCGCACTTGTCCCTACCATTGCAGTAGATGACACCGCATTGCTTCGGATGTTCGTTCTGAATGTACTGGATTGCCGCTTTCGTGGTGTTGCTAGGCTTGCCACGCACAGTGTAACGAAGGTTGGCCCGATTGAAAGACTGCGATAAGAGAACGTAGCTTTTAAGTCCAAGCTGGTCCGCGACGTCTTTTTGAACTGAGGGGGTGGCAGAAGCGGTTAATGCTATGATGGGTACGTTTGGAAATGACTTTCTCAGGGTCCCCAGATTGATGTACTATAAGGCAGAGAACTTGAGTCGATGCTGACTACAACAGAAGCGAGTGGCATACTGAACCACGAAAATCACGTCCCCAGGTCGAGACTAGATGTGCCTCGTCAATTACGAACCTTGCTAACTCGTTTGCAGCGTGCAATTTCTCCATAGTCTTCATCATACTGTCGCTGGCTTGGAGCTTTTCTGGGGTGATGTACACCAGTCGCGGCTTCTCGCCTTGCCCGTTCAACCTATTGGTGGCTCGAATCCTTTCATCGGCTGCCATGTCACCTGTGAAGAGCACAACATCAACATGTTTTTCTTCGAGCTCCTTGACTTGATCCAGCATGAGCGCAATGAGAGGCGATATCACGAAGGTGACGCCCTGGGTCTTGCCGTTCCCACAAATAGCAGGTAATTGATAACATAAACTCTTCCCTCCACCTGTGGGCATCAAGACAAAGACATCTCTGCCATTTAACGTCGCAAGGACAGCTTCTAGTTGGTTCTTCCGAAAAGATGTTAGGCCGTAAGTCGTTTTGAGGACGTTCATAACTTCAGGATAGAGCGGATCAGTTTTTGGATCGTATCCTAGGGTCGTGTGGATCCCAGCAGAACGGGATTGGGAATCGAGAGGAGCTGGAGCAAATACAGGCGGCGATCGAGCTAGGGGTTTATATGGGAACGGTTCAGGAGGGGGTAATTGAAAGGAAGAAGACAGTGCAGGAGTAGATCGACGAGCAGGAACAGCAAGAGCACTTCGCGCAGGGACATCTTCCACCAGTGTAGGTTCATCGGGCTGGAAACTTCCCCATAATTCGTCGTCGCTCTCGATGATTTGAACCTCTTCCTTGTCATCATCCAGGTGGATGATATCCGATTCGTCGGTCAAGGGGGCTGCCGCAAAAAATTTGCTTCTGCTCACAATGCCACCGGTGTGTGAAGCTCCGGTATACATAGGCACGGAAGAACCAGACGAAGCATCGTCGACGGCCATACTGATAAGTGCAGGGGTAACGCCCCTTGTGGACTTGAGAAGAGATTGTATGGCTGCCGACCGCTGTTCTAGAAGTTGACTCGAATGGGGTAAGCATAGAAAAAGACTTTTGAAGGGAAAGACGACACACAGGATTGCCTCGATGATAACGATGTCGTGTTCTTCACTGACCCCCAGAGTGTAATCCAGTTTATCTCTGCGCAACCTCTCTGCATACGCATAATTAGACTTATAAAGAGAACGCAATCTATCGTCAGACAACTAATGTGTGCAATTCATGCTATATCAGCAATGAGTGTGCGAAGGGTAGAGACGAGACTTGCCGCCTGGAGGTCTGAATGATCATTGCAGCGAACAGCGGCCATCGTGCCCTCAGTTGCGCCACAAGCAGAGGTCTGCGATACGAGTGTACTCGAAGGGGTAGTAGGTGCGGTGATCTGGCGTTCCTTTCCTTTGCCCTTTTGATTCACGAGGACCTTTTCCTTATTACTTACAAAAAAAGTCCTCTGTCGCTTGGGCGAGATGGGTGGAGGAAGGTTCGCGTCCGAAGAAGTACGTTTGACAGAACGATTACGCATTGGACTGATGGGAGGAGAGTCGTTGGATGACAATATCTCGATGCAGTCGTTACTAGAAGCGGTACGCAGAGGAGCTAGCGCCGGAGTGGTGGGTTTGGCACGACCAAACCCCGGAGTGGAGAACGCCGGAAGCGATGTGGGAGGCGCTTTCCGGACTATGGATACAGCTTTTAAATTAGTGGTGACAGTATGACCCAACGCTACACACCTGGACCGGAGGCGGATGATGCAACCTTAGCAGGCTTAAATTTAGAAGACTAGGTGAGAGCATCAGATGAAGGGCTAAGGTTGAGAGCTTGTTTATGCCGACCTTATTTGTACTAGAGGGTGTCGCCGACATGGCTTGTGAAGCAGGGCCGGAGGCAGTCTTGCTAGCTGCTCTACGCTGCAGAGTGTCAAGATTATTCCTTGGCTGTGACATAGTTCCTCTACTATTGCCCCCTGCGTCGTTTCATGTACTGATACGCTGCACTTCGAAGACGATTAATAGCGTGGTCACCAGTGAATGTGATTCGATAATGTCAGAACAAGCTGGAAGGTGAAGTAGACTTCAACTTAGTGTCTGAACCGATAGATATAAGTGAGGAGAAGGGTATATATCCACTAGCGGGTGAAGAGGTCTCAGGGCCTGGAGATGGTGGTCAAAGGGATATTCAATGTCGCGACTTGAGGCCTCAGGTCTCGGTGAATGATATGTGAAAGCGATGTTCCCCATCCAATTACCAGGTTGAGATGCAACTGCGCCACAGACGCGATCTTTGCTTTTGTTTGCGTGGCACTCGTTCACAAGATCGTGGCTCGGCAATGCTGCTTCCAGACTCCAGTTGCGAGAGTAGACCATGTCGAGCAACATCCTCGTCTCCACTCACCTATCCTCTCTTTACTCACCTTCTCAAGTCCCGACCATATCAATTCACACATCCAGACGGAATACTCCACTACCGCCTTCTCGAAAAAACTCAGATCCTGCAGAGCATGCCTTGTCTTCATCTCTCTTCAACTCACCCGAGACTGGAACCATACTAGTCCGCCTAATCCACGACGGCCTCATTCTTGAACTAGTATCGCTTACTACGAATGTACCACCGATTCGCTTCGTCTTCCCCTCCCCCGTATCCCCATCCCCATCCGTCTTTCTCTTTGAATCTCGCGAGCTCCATCTGCTCGCAGTCACTACGTTCGGCTCCCTTTACCGTCTCGTGCTGCCCATTCGTGGCGGGACCCAGTTATGGAGTGAACAGATGTCTAATAATTGGTGCCGCGAGTACCAAATCAAAAATATGCAGGAAGCTACCCCGGGGATCGTCCAGGTTCAGGGCCCGCATTGCGTCGCTATTGCTCTTCACAATGGTTCATTGATACGACTCGATACCGACTTCATAGGAGACAATTCGCTTGATGGTGAGCCATGTGATAGCTGGAGTTCATCGTTTTTTCCCGCTCACACATCTGCTCGAAGACCAGTGGACAGAATCGCTGTTCCACCACACCTCATTCCTCTCTTCCCTCGCCTCATTTCTACCTGGCCACCAAGGCTCTGATGAAGGCTCTCACGTTGTATCCATCTGCAGCCACCCCCAACCGACTGACATGGGCCACATATGGACGCTCTCTAGGGATCGTACCCTCCGACTGTGGACCGCCCGGAGCGGCTGTGTTTCAACGAGAACGCTTCCCTCATCTTCTAGCAATGGAAGAGAAACAGCGCCCTTGCCTGGTTCATCAACGACAGGGAAAGCTACTGTTTTTCTTGACCCCGAACCTCAGAAGCTTTTGTCTGCATTTTCTGTTAAAGCGCAGTCCGAGGGTTTATATGTACTCGTCTTTATCCCAACACCTTCCTCTACGGTCTCTGGAGGTTTCTTCCAACTGTTCACAGCCGCTAACGATTCACTCTCGCTAGTCGAGACCATTGAAAGCCCCAAGGACAGTGTCCATTGCCACCTCCAAGATTTCTTCGTTGCCGAAGGGCGCTTATATACGCTGTGGGACTGTCAAGCCCGTTCTAGTGTCCACAGTCTCGACCTGCCCTTGTCCGATCATGACAATATCTCGGACAATATTCCAAACTGGCACACAGCAGCTTATCCTCCCGAGTCTGAATTGACGCCAACGTATCTAGACGAATTGCTCCTCTCTCCTGGGTCAATGACCGATAAATTCTTCTCTGCAATTATGCAACCTGGTGTCTTCTCCCCACTCACCCTTCGGACGGCGATTGATCAATATACGGACGCGTGCCTCTCCCTTCCTGGGGCCCCTGCACCACAACTAACGTCATCGTATGCCTCTGTTGCAGATAATATCACAGCAGTCGTAGGCTGCACCGTCAGCTTGTCGAAAGATCCTCTCACGGGCGCGCCTTTGTACGACCAGTACTGGATCAGCCTAAAACGTGATTGGGAGGGCTTCATAGCCAGGTGCCGGGAAATTGAGCGCAGCGCTCGATGGCCGCTCGCAATCGGCGTTGGAAACCCCGATGTGGGGGAAGTGGTGGTAATTGAACGTGAGCGAGCGGGTATACTCGCGCAAGAAGACCTGGCTCTTCAACTGCATCGCGCACTCTGCTCTGGAGTACCTCTGGAACCACTGTACGCTTTATCTGAAATCGCGTGGACTTTGCGCTCGAAACTCGGCGCTCGTCTTGTACAGATCCTCGAGGGTGACATCCATGGCCTCGTGCATGAAGAGATCGCATTTTCTCTCGCAGATGTCATTCACAATAAGGCACAACACTCCATAGAGGACATCGACGAAGGGTTGGAAAGTTGGATTTTGGGCGGCTTACAGAGTATCGACGATCTTGATGCTGCTACTCGACTCGTACTTGATATCGTTGGAGGATTCGATACAATCATCAAACGTGAGGAGGAAGACACAAGAAATCTACCACGGGCCACATGCAAATGGGCGCTTGGTTTGACCACTGCATATTTGACCTACACCATTCATGCTCGCTATGAGTTCAGCATTTGCTTGATCATCCTCATCTTCTTCCTCTCTGAAGAACTACCACAATGGGATCCTAGCCTTCTTGCCGAAATTTTCGCCGTGTTTCGTGGTGTCGCCATGTTGCGCTATACGAGCCAACAGTCCTCTGGAAACGGAGTCCCTTCAACAGCGGGCAGTCGAGGATCATTCAACCCCGATGACATCGTTTCACGTCTGCATAGCCTCGAGGTTTCTCGTGGTAGTACGACTTTCGCGAGTAATTCGCTCCTGCACAACATGTTAGCACGACTTGGTAGCAGTGGACTGTCCCTCCCGGGTGCTGCACATGAATTCTTGGATCGGACGGGCCTGCTTCAAGATACGTCGCCTGCCCATGCGTCGATGTTGAACGTCATATGGTGTGACCACCTAAGGCTGATGGGCAACTTCGATGCCGCACGAGAAATGCTCGAGTGGTTGCCAAGGACGCCAGCTGTCATGTACGTATGGGCACGGTTGTGGTTGAATGTTGGACGAGACGAGGATGCTGCAACTGCATTCGACAGCATTGCCGGCAGCTTTGGTCAGTGCGGCGCTTCAATATATATATATATCGATTCTTTTCTCACCAGTTTTTGCCAGGCCCCAATAACGCACTCTCCTATGAGGATTCCGGCGCTCTGCAGGCTGTTCTACCGGGAGCTAAGCTATTTGATTCCGACTTTGGCTTCTATGTTCACGCCTCCGCCCTCTTCAAGTCAGAGTCTCTGATCAAGCATGACATTCACTTTTCCCGCTTGGCTTTGTCAGTTGCACCTCCAGAATGGGAGACGGCGGAGTTGTGGTATTGTGTGATCAAGGGCTCGATCGACCTAGGCTACTATGATGATGCGTACAGTGCTCTTATGTCCGCTCCACACGACAGATTGTTTGTTTTTTCTGATCATTGGTGTGAGCATGCTTACTGATGATCATCATAGGAAGCGGGATTGTATACGCCAGCTAGTCTATCGCATGTGTGAAGAGCATGCTATCGAACAGCTTGTGTCATTCAATTTCGGCAAAATCGTGGATGAGGTTGAGGAGTCTCTCTCGTTCAAGGCTCGCAATGCAGATCCCCAAGTAAGGCCCTTCTATTCGAGGATCTTATATACATGGTATATTTCACGCGGCGACTACCGGAAAGGTATGTTCGCTCGCTCCTCTCTTGTTTTAAATGCTGAGTATTCCTTAGCCGCTCTTGTGATGTACCAACGGGCAACGAAGTTGTCAACCGTGACAACCGATCTATCGCAGTTCATATCAATTGTGGAGCAGCAGTTGGAGGCCTATGCTGTCTCTATGAACGCGCTAAGTCTTCTGGATCAGAAGAACGCGTGGATCGTTCTACCTATATCTTCCGAAACCAGCCAGCCAGCTCACAAACGGAGAAAACTCACAAAGCACATCCCTGAAACTTCTTTTTCTAACGGCAAACGGGACTCTGAAATTGTCGAACTTTCGGACATTGTGTACGAGTATACTTTGTTGTCGGCAAGACTTGAGCTTATCCGGAGAGATGGTTCTTTGCTTCCTACGAGCGGTGAGCAAGTCTGTTCGACTGCTCCTTGATTCCGTTACTTATGCCCAATTATTTGTAGAAGTCTTGTTGTCGCCATCATCGGTCGTGCTACGATTGGCACAAGCCAATCGATTCAATACGGCCATGGCAACTGCACGAATCCTCCAGGTAGACATGACAGATACCTTCTCACTTTTGACCCGACAATGTCTACGGCTGTCTCACAGCCCTGATGCAGTACTGTATGCAAAAAATCGTTTGTTTTGTCTAGTTTCCTCTCATATTTCACCAACAGGTCGGAGGACACGTCTGACTGGCTGCTCACGGACAAAGTAACTTCATGGCCCGGCACGCCTGCTGACCGCGGCTGGCGATACCTCAAACAGTGTCTAAAGTGTCACGATAGCGCTGAGACAGACATGAGCTACTCAAAGGTTGTCTTTGAGACGATACTGAGTTTCGACAGATCCTCTCCGCCACCGTGGCTTGTACAGTCCATAGAGGTGAAGATTTACCCGTTCTTGCCTCTCATTATCTCATCCTTGTAACAGGAATTTCATCCTGACTGGCTCATTCGGATATACTTTCGGTTTGGAATCTTTGAGTCTGTGCTTGATCACACGACATCCCTGATTCGGACTGTAAGTTCAATTTTTGCTCTGACTGCATTCTCTGATTCGCTTTCGCATGCAGGAGGACACTATGCTGTCTCGCAACCCACCAAAAACTGCGATGTCTACATGGCTACCGTACACCTTAATTGACCAGGTTTTGGTTGCCACTGCAGATGAATCGAGCCTATCTGCTCGAGCGCAGGCCCTTCGGCAAATTTTGCATACCGAGTTGTCGAACCGGACCAAACGCATGCAGAAACTCAGCCAGTTGTAATGAGTTATAATGAGTTCCCTTGAATCGTTTTTCGACTTGGGGATATATCCCTGCGTTGCTGGTTCTATTGCACGTTTGTTTGTTCGCTATTGCTTATACTTTAAGACGCTAGGAGTACAGGCTCCTACCCATCACCATGTCGAGGGCAAGGGTCTATTACTATGAGGAAACATAAAAAAACATATGACAAAACATATGACAAATAGATGACGTAATGAAGCAACATTTTGAACCTTATTCCTCGAGCAATCCCAAGCCCTCTCCATCGGCGGCTGGCAGGACCCCCGACAATCCCGCCAGAGGTATGTTTGGCGAAAAGGGGTAAACTACCGGACTTTTTTCGGGGCCTGCGGCCCTCTTTGACTACCGGGAATTAATCAGACCTTGAGTACAGGCCCTCCCGCTACCGGAGATATGATCAGACCTCCAAAAATCGGAAAAAAATCATGAGAAATCAAAAAAAAATCGCGTGATAGCACGATACATGTCAGGAATGCGGCGGACCTATCACGAAGTGCGTATAGTAGAGAACTAGTCCGTATCTTGTGCATCTTCCACCACTTTAGGCGACCGACCCTCAATCTCTTTGATGGTGCTCTCGATGCTCTCCCTCTTTCCCTTCAATGCTTTGTAGTACTCGTAGTCTTGTAGTGAAATAGCTATATTTTGGCCCAGCGGTGTGGGATTTGCCAGGAGAGCGGCAAGAAACGAGCTCGGTTTAATGAGCTTGAAAGTCGATACTTTGAGGCCTGTAGCGTGACGCATGGTTGATGAGAATTGACGTGCCGCAAAAGGCTTGAATAGCTGTGCAGCTATATAGGACACGGCCGAGATGTTCGAGGAATCAGTCACCCAGCTGTGGGGACTGTTCTTACCAGTCGATTTTGCGTAGATAGAGAGCACTGTTAACCAACACGTGAGTAAACAGATTGCAAGGAGGTTCAGAAGATAATAGACCTACCCTGAGCAAGCCAGATCTCTCGATTGTGGAAGACAAACCCGAAGGATGCCCCGGCACTAAGCTCAACATCATTACCTTGTTCCAAGGTATGACTTGCTTGCACAAGTGGAAGTGCCGGTGTGATATTGGCATTCTCTACGAAAGACGGCAGTTTATGCTTACGACAAATCGTCCTCCTTTGCATCTGCATCTGCGAGAAGTTAGCACACCTCACAACCAACGGATACGACGGAGAATCAACACTTACCTTCTTAGCTTTACTTGTAGAGACCTCGGCGGCATTTGCTGCTGCACCTGGCGCTGGTTCTTGGGCAGGTAATCCGTTGATGTGTCCTTGTCGTCCGCCAGGAGCTGGATGCCGCCACCTCGTCATGCGCTCCAAACCTGTACCTATGCCCCGATCTTCCCGAATCTTGAGAATTTCGTTGTACTGCCGCAGCAGTGCTTGCCGTTCTGATTCCTCCGGTGCCCGTGTCTTGCCCTTGCCCTGGGAACGAATGCCCTTGTCGGCTTGGATAGTCTGGTGAGCATCTCGAAGCTTGACCATCGTCGAGAAGTCGATAGTGGTGTAACGTTTGGCTGAAGATGTGTGCTGATTCGGGTCGTCGACAGCTGACAGACACTCCGCTAATGCTTCACCAAGCGCCGCAGCATCCCGCTTATACATCTGAGGAGGGTCTTCTGGAAGAGTTTGTCTTGAAATGAATCTACGTGAATAGAACACATCAGGAGAGAGTACCTGTAACTCACATATCCATGGTGTTCTGAACCGCGAGAGCCGTAGCAGCATATGCTAGGGAATTGACCTGCTGATCTTCTTGGACCGATGTGACTTCGTCTTCTAGGAACTCCATGGCGGATAGGAGTTGGTGCATTTCTGACTCTGTTCCGGTGGCATCCAATATTCCATCTAACGTATCATCACTGTCTGTAGAATCTTCAATTTTATCGTCGGTATCGCTGTCAGAATCTGGGTGCAATAGATGTGTAGCAAGGCCGTCGTGGTGAGAGTTAAGATCTGGATTGAACCATGATCTAACAGAGGGTAGACGAGGGACGAGAGCTTGATGGGTGCGAAGGTTGTCGGCTCCGAGAACCTCCCAGAGAGAGTGCGCTTCCTCGAAGGCCGCATTTGCTGCACGCTGGATTTCTGCGTCAGTTGGGTATGTCGCCAGAGCCCCCAGATTGATTTGACGGCTGTCAGTATAGGTATGATTATATCCGTTAGCACGAGCCTTGCCATCGGAGCTTTCTGAAAAGAAAAAATGTTCGCGCAGACGGACATTGAGCTTTGGTACCATATAATGAAATTCTTCAAGCGTGAAATCCTTGACTATCTGTCGACAGATCCCAAAGACGTGCTCGCAAGTGGCCGTGGAGAGAAGCCAAGGGAGGAGAGGGTAGACAGTACCATCAAAATAGTCACGATAGATGATGATGAGCTGGAGCAGAGCGCGCGTTGCAAAACGAATGATATCGCATGCTTCATGGGACAAGAGATGCTTTCCTTTTTGATAGCCAGCAGAATCCAAGAAATCTTCCCAAGCCTCCATAAAAAAATGTGCACGAAGCACCATGTGCGCGCGCTCGATCAATGTGAGGTGACGATTTTCGTAGGCATCTACGAGGTCACCAAAAACGAATACATATATGATGGGTCCCACCCACTCAGGCCGGTTTTTGACCATCCACTCGAGCGTATGCGATGAAAAGAATCGTGTGGCAGCATTGTCATCCTGCCGGTCGGTCTTCTCGACATCCCTGTTGTACAACGTACCATCGATTGCTTGCGCTACCTCTCGGAAGTGACAGTATAATACTGGAAAGTTGCCTAGGGTCAACAACCGCGCACCCGAGTAAGTATTGTTCCGAAGGGTTTTTCGCAGATGTGGCGGATCCTGGACCATTGCTATTGGGCGTCGTTGAGTCCCAAACCGCGAAATCCGAAGGTCTAGATCTCGACCTGAAGTGTTATTGGGATGGCGTATGATGTATGAATGAGTGCCTGTGGCTGTGTTACAGAATAGTCGTTGAAGCGAGCGCTCGGTCCCTGTTCCGTCGGCAGCATAAGAGACTACCTTGATGTCTTGTTTGAGCAGCCCATCAACAATTTCAAGGAGGTAAGGAAGTAAATCCTTGGCTGAAAGGCTGTCTGTAATACCAAGGGCAGCAGTGACAATGGCAGGGATGTTCGGCATTGGCACTTGTACACACCACACTCGAATCTAGGTATATCAGAGACCCTGGTTTTAATGTGATCTAGCGTACCACTGCAATAAAACTGACCTTCGTAGCCTTTTCGATCTCTCCTCGACGTATGGCATTGGTGAGGATGTTGGGTTCGGTCAAGAGCCTCGGAGGTCCGACACCTCCTACAACATAGTAATTACCGTCATGATCAAGATATGGCCGTAGAGCGGGCAGAAGTTTGGTGTCATCGCATGAGAGTCCAACAGGGCCTTTCCATCCGAGTTTGTCAAGATAATCCTTGATGAGCTTTGGTGTGCGGTCGGTGATACCAACTGGAAATCTTGCCTCAATGGCTCGATGCCTCCTAAGTGATAGAGTAATGAGAATTATGAGTAATGTGCAAAGAAGACAACATACTGGAGAGTCCGAGGGTCAGGAAGTGGTAGTGAATGTCGGATGGCCTGATATGCACGAGGGCTGTGAATATTGATGATGTGCGCAAACTGTACGACGTCGGGTGCATATCTGAATCCCTGCATTCCAATGCTTCGCAATTCTCTGTCCTTTTTTTGAACCATGGCGCTCACGAGATCGACAAAGACACTCTCATTGTCAAATGTGCCTTCTGTCACACCCTTCGCAAACAAGATGCATGGGCTAGAAGGATCCTGTAACAACGATAAGCTTTGAATAAGAGCAGCACGAAGATATACAAATCACACCTTTTTGAAGGCCGTGATGAGAGCTTGGATACCATGTGTTCTGCTCCATACTTCGACCGCACGAGCATCTGAGTCTGTATGTACAAGCGGTGTGAATTTACGGTTTCTGTCATCGGGAATAGGAAGCGATGAAGCTGTCTTAAAGGCAGCAATTTCAAGGATTGCCATGCATGAGGCGCATGCAGGAAGGCGAGCCTCCTTGATGTTCTTAGATACACGAACCAAGTTCAAACATGAAGTCGATACGACTCGCTCTAGGTCATGATGATTCTGCCATTGGTGTTGAGTGCGCTGCACCAATCGCACATTTTTCTTTGTGGCATCTGAGAGTTTTGAGTAGCCTTGAACCGAAGGATAGATCTCCTTCGTGATCTGGGACCACGACGGTCCTCCGCCACCTGATGCACGCGAGCGAGCAAGATATTTCTCAACTGCCGGAAAGTGCTGTGCTCGTAGACCAGGACATGGACGATCAATCAAGGGAGAAGCTTCTGATGAGGATTTTGGAGTGGGGGCAAAGTAGAGTGTCAATGGATGTGATCCACCGCTAGAGGGCAGAGTTTTGTGGGGTCCAGTGCATGGACGTTGTTTGTTCGTCCCTTTCACATGATTTTTGAAGGCAACCGTATTATATGGCTCCCTCATCTCAAGTTGACGACCACAGGGGAAGTGAGTGACGAAACGAACCTGCCATGGGTCCTCTGGAGTTACTCGAGGAAACACTGCCCTTGGATCAAGCTCGAGGATTGATTGTCGGAACTTCTCCCACTTGCGCAGATTCAAGACAAAACTATGGTCATTCAGAGACTGATTGACAAGACGAGTGTGAGTTTGGGTATTTGTGCTGCGCAGAGTGTTCATTTCGAGATCCCCATTGCGTGGGCGCTTCGTGTGGGAAGAGGCCGCGTGTCCTGAACTGGCTTCCCTCCCAGGTTGTGCTGCGGTGGATGCGCTCCGTGTGCGTTTCTTTGCTATTTCTTCGTTTTCTTGCTGATCTATTTGAACACCAGATGTCTCTTGCAACACCTGTCCCTTCCGAGCAAAGAAGTCATCAATCGTCAAGTGTTCCCGGCGCTTTGAGGCCCTGGTGAGTGTATTTTGAGCAGGACTGTGCGCAACAAGTGGTGATGTCGAATTTATAGTTGAAGATGAATCTCGTCCACCAATTACATTGTCGAGGGATGTCGTTGTGGATGTCGGGTGGGTCACAGTAGTCAGCTCATTGTCAGATAGCCAAGAGGCTTGCGATGGTTCCCAGTCAATATCGTCCTCAGATGTCTGCTCCCAAGTACGTTCCTGGTCTTCCCCTGCATCTGTATGGATCTGACGAGGTACGAGTTCTTCAAGCCTATCTTTTTCTGTGCCTTGAAGATTTGTATCTGCTGCGAGCGCCACAAGTGACACTGGATTCAGTGCTTCTTGACCGGGGGTGTCAATCTGCAGACACGATGCCAAGTTGAGATGGTGTCGAGAGCATGACAAGGTAAGTGCTCACCAATTCCAAGTGCAAGTCTACCAAACGACTGAACCAAACCAGTCGTTCTATGGCAGGCGGCACATCCTCCATCACAAAGCTTTTCAAGATAGCATAATGGATCGTGCTCGCAGCATAAAACCCACAGGATGTCCAATCGGGTTGATCAGCGTGGAACAGGGTGTCACCCATCCACTTGAATGTTCCCCCCAGTCGCGCCTCCGCCCACCACTGCACTTTGCGCACGATTTCGGCAGGGACTATGAAGCCTTGGTGATACAAGCTATCACCTGCAGGTCTGGTTCAGTCTTTGTTTCTTAAGATGATGCAAATGTGTAGATTTACCACTAACTATAGTATTCTCTTTACAGCACACTTGCATTGCGATAAAATGCTTCTCTTTTGCCAAAAACACCGGAAAGACCAAGCGGCGGTTTTCCGAACGTAGTGTCTGCTCCAGCTTATTGAGGAACCGCGGCGATGGTGATGAAGAGTAATAGGTCCGGTTCTTGGCCTTTTCGAGCTCATTCCAAAACTCGAGGCCCACGACGGTAACTTGCGCATCAACGTTCTCAGTTGACACTTTTTTGGCGACCCAATGGGCCATCATGTCGACAATAGCTGTACTGACCATTCTATTGGACAGGATTATCGCAAAATCTGCCGTACATGAATATGTCGAAGCACCGGGGATAGGAGTGGTAGCCGACCAGGAAAGGGTCCTCAGTTGAGTCGCGACCGATCGAGTGGTATTGCTGAATGGCTGATTCAACACCCATCTTTCAGCATCTTCCCATGCCCTCTGCTTTTCGAGAATTCGATCCATCTTGCGCCAGTATGTGACTGTCCATAAAGGCAGTCGCGCCCCTAGGTATCGTGGATCCTGAACCGCCTGTGCACCATCAAGGATGGCTTGACTAGCTAGTTTCACAGCGGCATGAATGAACTCTCGGTGTGGGATACTTCTATCAGACAAACAAGATGCTGATACATTTGGCAGGTCAGGTCGGAAGATGGTGCTTGCAGGCTGCTCTACGATGCTGTAATCTTGGTATGGTAAAGGGAGTTGAATGAACTGATGTATGGTAAGATGATCTCGAGGCAAGAGGTCAACTGCGTGGTGGTTGGGGATCTGCATGTGGTTGTCGATGTATGCCTGGAGCTCGGGAGGAATATCAATAGGGTTGGCAGGAAATTTTTGGCCAACACCGATCCATTGCTTAACATCCAGTGTAGGGATCTCGTCATCGTCAAGAATCAAGACTTCCATTCTGAGGTAAAGAAGCTGAGAAGCTGCGAAGCTGCGAGATGAGCGAGGCGATATAGGGTGTTGTGCAATGTGACGGACGCGAAGTGGGTTATGATGATTAAGGCAAACTTCATTGTACAGAATTTTGGCTAAAATCACAGTAAATATGGAGTATATTTTTTGTTTGAACCAGATTCTGACTACCGGAACTGTATCATACCTTACCGAAATGGGCAAAACTACCGGGAAATAGCATAGACCTATGGTCCCAAAATGGGCCTCTACACTACCGGAAATTTTCAGAGCTGCGGCGCTACGCGCCGCACCACTACCGTGGGAAAAACATACCTCTGGCGGGATTGTCGGGGGTCCTCGGCTGGCACAGAACATATACAAACACGCGCCACCCGGAAGATTCACCGGCGTCAGCCACAGAAGACCGGCCGCGCGCGAGATTTAGATCATTAGTAATGCGAGTGCGTGACATCATGAAATTTACTGAGTTGCACTTGGGGCTCTGGGCCAAAGATTTGAAGGGTTGAATAATGATATACAACACAATGGCTTTAAAAAGTCACTACAGGCCTCAAATGTCAGGGGTATAACTTGATTGCAAAGTGAATGCCAGAGCAAAAGGCAATAATCACTGGTTATATAGCACTGGTGAGGACATAAATAAATTAATGTGTTAGTGTAGTGGTTATGTTGCCACAATAAAATTTTACCCACTCACGAGGTCGCAAGTTCGAACCTGGCGTGATTTCTCTTTTGATCGGGTATGCTCCCTTCCTATATGATTCATCAAAAGCCTCAGTGCTTCCATTCTCATGAGACAGAATTAATAGTTTAAATAAAACATATATAATCATGCCAGGTTCAAACTTGCAACCTTGTGAGTGGGTAAAATTTTATTGTGGCAACATAACCACTACACTAACACATTAATTTATTTATGTCCTCACCAGTGCTATATAACCAGTGATTATTGCCTTTTGCTCTGGCATTCACTTTGCAATCAAGTTATACCCCTGACATTTGAGGCCTGTAGTGACTTTTTAAAGCCATTGTGTTGTATATCATTATTCAACCCTTCAAATCTTTGGCCCAGAGCCCCAAGTGCAACTCAGTAAATTTCATGATGTCACGCACTCGCATTACTAATGATCTAAATCTCGCGCGCGGCCGGTCTTCTGTGGCTGACGCCGGTGAATCTTCCGGGTGGCGCGTGTTTGTATATGTTCTGTGCCAGCCGCCGATGGAGAGGGCTTGGGATTGCTCGAGGAATAAGGTTCAAAATGTTGCTTCATTACGTCATCTATTTGTCATATGTTTTGTCATATGTTTTTTTATATTTCCTCATAGTAATAGACCCTTGCCCTCGACATGGTGATGGGTAGGAGCCTGCTAGGAGTAATGTATCTGACTATTGCTCACAATCAACGCAGTCATGAGTCTGTCAATTTTACAGTCTGCACAAGTGGCACAAAGACTATAAGGGAAGTGGGCTCTCTTCCATGAGAGTTCACAGGTGTAGGAGTCTATGCCGATGTCAAGACAGGTCAAAGCCAGAGAATCTAATCTGAACTTGTGGAGGAAGGAAATAGACACAGGAGAACTGGAAGACACTGGTCACTGCATTTAATCTGGCGTACCGGGCCAATAGTCATGCAGTCATAACTACCCTCCTTGCGCGCGAAATTTCAATGTTGCATAAATTCGATTTATGTGCAAACGAACTGTCGTGTAAGTATCAATTTCGAAGTCAGAGACTGACATCGAGGGCCACAACAATCTCTCTTTGGAAACGCTCGATATACGCTGCAAATTCGTCAATAGGGAGTGCCGAGTAGTCAAGGGCTTGCGCGAGCTGCTGGCGAAGCTGGCTCAAACAAGAGAGCGTAAGTGCGAATGCTTGAGGTAAGATGAATAGTCAAGATGGGAGCATTATTCACTCTGAGCAAAGCCTTTCGGCGAGCTGTGATCTTGGTAGAGTCACTCTTGTCATGACGTTGTGCTTCAAGCCTTGCTAAGCAGCTTGCGACTGAGTTGCTTTCCTCCAACACGTCTTTAGGCAAGTCTGCAAGGCGTGCGAGTTCGATCCCTGCGTGATTGTCAGTAGGTGCTTGTGTGTCAATATATAGTGCGGAGCGGAACCGTAGTGCCCCATGTTCTCGAGGATTCCATCAACTATTCTGTACATTGAATAGTGAGAATGGAACTGGATAAGAGATGAATCAATGCCGGAAGACTTTCTTGTATTGGAACACCATCCCAAAATTCGAACTTGAACGTCGACTTTTCTGAGTAACGTCAGAGTTATTGTAAAGCGCTGTACGTCGTAGATAGACCCTTACTTGAACCGAGAGATGCAGGCTAGTATACCATCGGAATAAATTAGCCATTTGGCGCTGAAACAAAGATTGAACGCACTTAACAACTGAAGGTTGTCGCGAAAGTGTGATTGACAACTGATGAAAATGCCTGCAAATGCAGATGAGCGTTAGAGCTTTGAAAGTTTGGACAACGAAAGATCCCAGGCTTCACGTCGCAAAAAATACAAAACACTGTTTGTATGGTCGACAATAAGTCAAAGTGATGGATATAAACCTCTTTGAACAGAGACAGACCTTTTTCTTGATCAAAGCTTCAGCGATTGCGTGCGAAATACCAACACCCTCTTTCGGAGAGGTCCCTCGGCCCAATTCATCGATCAAAACCAGCGAGTCAGAGTCTGCGAGTCCTAATATCATCGCAGAGGATGCCATTTCGTTGGCAAATGTGCTCAAATTTTTCTCCATGTCATCGTCATTTGAAAGACGAGTGAGAAGGGAATTATAAATCCTGGTGAAGTTGATATCATCCAGATCAAAGACAAAGGCGAGTTGCCTTACCGGAAGCTGGCATATTCGGCAGGGACAAAACATCCGCACATAGCCATGATCGTCAGAAGACCAATTTGTCTGAGATAGGTACTTTTTCCTGTTTCATGGGTCTGAGAATAACGACACTACATGATAATCATGGCAGCTCTGAATTTATTGACTCGCCTGACATACTAAAGCAGAGTTAGTCAAGACATTTCACTCCAACGAACGAAACATACTTGGGTCCCTGCACGATTTGGAAAGCAGATGACTCGCAGCAGTAAACATCGTTAGGCACGAGTATCCCGGATGATTGGACACCCTCAAGTATTGGATGCCGTCCAGCTTTGATGGCAAGCGTGTCCGTGAACTCAGGCCGGACTACAACGGAGTTTTGAGTGACCGTGGGTGCCAGATGGAATACTCCTCACTATAGTGCCGCACTGACACAGACACAAGAATCAGGACTTGCCGGTTAAGAAGACTGAGAACAGCTCACAGATTGAGATGTGGGCAAATGACCAAAGCATATCCAGAAGAGCGACCTAACAAATGACATTATTGTAGGTCAAAAGTTGGATTGACGTAGTAGATCTCACAGCTTCAGAGGCTTTGTACAAAGCCCCAATGTCACGAAGAGCCTCAATGACGAGGCCATGTATTGTCCTGATCGAAACTTGAGCGTCGTTGTCATAACCCAAACAAAATGATGGACAAACGCATCACTCAGAAGGAAGGTCTCATCCAGGGCATCCTTCATCCGTGAGTTCCTTTTTTTCTGTCGCAAGTCTTGGTCAATGGAATACGATGTTGCATGCACAATGAAACTCACCAACTCCATGCTACTGAAAATCCACTTGCCTTTCTTCAGGTTCGCGTCGATGAAGCCGATTGGAAGTTTTCCGTCGACGTAATTATTTCCGATCGTAAACACAAACCCAGAGCCCTGATATATCAGCATCAACGGAAGGTCATACTTCTCAACCAGAGCGCGTTGCAAGGCATAGATATCTCCAACGTTTTCTTTGTACGTTTCGCGAGCAACGTCCAAAAGGGGATTCCGATTGGCCTAGGAAAAATCAGCCATGCGTTAAGGGTCTACATAATTCTCACCTTGACTGCATATACGCGAGCGTTAACGGCACCGATCCCACCCTGCAACAAGATGAGATAACCAAGATATAGGGTAGTTCCTAGAATAATTGACCTTGTAAGGGCTTGCATCCTCATTCAAGCTATCGCACACGAGCGCTTCTATCGTAGCAAGCCTGTCATCAGAGATCATCTATAAAGAGTATTGACTCTAATCTCGGTTCACCAGCTCTCGGTCATAAGACATGCTCACCTCGCATATAATTTGAAGTAATTCGCTGCGGCTTCCAACTAATGCTTTCTGCAGCGCAGGCAAACTTTTCACCAAATTTCGAAGATTGAGCAGTTGAGAGACACGGTTACTCGCCGCCTTGGCTGTATTGATAGTTCTGGTATCGGATGCAGCGAGCTAGAATGGCAATTGTCATTCAGCCTCACATATCGCTGAGAAGAACGGACTTGCCATTGAGATCAACTTATCGAAATCCATTTTATTTATCTGCTTCAGAGCGTCTTTGACTTGAATGAAGAGTGATTCTGATCCAACGAGCTCTGCGACAGGTCAGAATTCATCCCGACGTTGCGAGATTAAGGGGCACATCACCTTCAACAACATCTAGCCGGGCATCAATGGTTGCTTGCACTGATTCTCGGCGTTAAAGCCAACAACGGATTGATGAGTGGTGAGATCTACCTGTGATAGGCGCCAGTATTGCAGCACGCAGAGACCTGCTAGCCATAGCGGTGTAGGTGTGGTTAAGTATCCTTTGGGTCCTTGAGCACAGAAACTACCTAATGGCCGATAAATAGACAAGCGTACCCGAATAATGAGTGAGGCGACTTCTTCCAGGTCATGTTTTCAACGAGCTCGAGATTACGAGCAGTTTCCGGGTCTATCAACATGGTTCCGTGAGGAGGCATGAAACGGATCCGAAGCGTATTTGCGGCAAAACGGGTGTTGAGTTTCATCTCGGCGTATTTGAAGAGCGCTGATGCAGCGGACAGCGCATAGTATCTAGATAGAGATTCAGATTTGTTCTTCTTCAAAAAAAATGGCGCATATATTCACTTGTTCGAGGCAGCAAGAAGAGTAGCGGCCCGCTCATCATCCTCAACACAAAGCTGACTGATGAAATTGAGGCCTAGTAGCAATTTCAACGTGAAGAATCAAACCAGAGAACTTCCAAACTCACCAACGTCCTCATTGAAATATTTTCGAAGAACGGGCTCGACGGGGACACTTAAAAATTCGTTCTGTATGCATTGCACGAGCAATGAGGTTTCAATCACTTTTTTGCCTGACGTCACAGTAAGGGACGAGTCCGTCGCAGACAGAAAGGTGTCAGGCACAAGGACGAGGGAAGGTGTATGCAGATGCATTTGGTGCAGTGTCTTCACATACGTCTGACAATCTGCGAGCTGACCCGGTATTCAGGTGAACCAAAACATCTCAAGGAGTTTGAAACACAGCATTTGACTGACCTGAACAAGCATCACTCTTCCTGTATCCCTGTCTAAGGCAGCCAAGCCGACTTCGCGAGAAACTCCGCGACCCTCCAGGACTGCGATGATAAAGCTGCCTTCATGTCGCGTCGATGCTGCTGTAGTTGGACGAGCGGTTCCGGGGCGAGACTGGGTTGTCCTTGGGCGGGCTGCTGTTGGGCGGGCTGCTGACGCTGTCAAGGATTGACCCGTCCATGGGCGAGAAGTACCAGCCCTTGACTGCGGTGTCGCAGAACGCGTAGAATTATACGCAGACCAAGGTCGAGACATTTACTGTTGAAGCACAATGGAAAAGATGTGCAACGGCGAGCGAGACACAAACGGAGGTCTAGCGCAGCGGAGTGTTCGGTTCGGTTCAGTGACAAAGAAAAGGTCCCGAAGCGTCAACGTACATATTAAGGCGCGTTTGACGCGTTGTTTGTGCGTTGTGTGGTGTTATGTGTCCCAAATTCCTACGCACCCACTCACTCAAACTGGAGTCGATTATCGAAGAAGAAATTTGTTTAGGTCGTCGACGCACGCTTGATCCACAATAATGTATCTCTAACCACGCTGTAGAATAATAGTGTAGTGCCCGAACTCATCCTGAAGCGACTGCATTCCTTACAGATTCATTTATAAATTCAATGATGAAAAACCACTCAACCTTCAGCCGAAAAGTCTCACGCGGATCCCATCCCACGCCCGCTTTCGTTCGGCTGCAGCCTGGCCGTCGCCGAGCACAGACTTGTTCTCAATGGCTCTGCGGCTGAGATATGGCATGACCTGCATGATGATGGGATATATTCATGTGAGTTGAAATGTTCCTGTCGGAGTATGGGACACGCGCGCACCTCTGACAAGGCCCCGTACGGGACATACTTGATCACGAACGGCGAGGACGATCTCGTTTTATCGACAAGATAGTCCGTGAGCGCATCGCTCATGCCTAAGAGCGAATCGTTGTCAACACCCTCCCATAGAACAAAACACATCTAAGCAATTGGCTCACCAAAAAGCTGCGCCAACGTCACCCTCTCTGTTGCCTCGTCACGGATCCTGACAACCTCGCGCGCGCCCTCTGTCTCGCGATGCGCGAGTCCGTGTCGTACGAGCTCGTCCAAAATCAAGTTGCAGCTGTCCCAGTTGTGCGAGCCGAACAGCACGCCGACGGTCGGCGGCGCGCCCGCGCCCGCGACGCCGGCAACATCATCATGGATCGCGGAGACGAGGAGGCGCGCACATGCGTTGTAGCAGCGATCCGTGTCGGGCTTGGATGGCCAGACGGGCGGATGAGGGTCGGGGGAGATGGAGAGCGAGTGGCTATTGCGACGGGGTCTGGTGCCGGAGACGGAAGACGAGGCAGCGGCAGCGGCATGAGCGGAGGTTTCGAGGGGATGGTAGGCGCCCCGGACGAGCTTCACGCCGAAAGCATAATTGCCGGCTTTAGCATCTGCAAGGGACTGTTGGAGATATTCGATGTTCCTGGAAAGGAGGATGTCAGAAAAGAGGTTCAAGTGCAAGATCCGGGCAGGATTAAAGGGTAACGCACCGACGGAGGTAGGCTTGGAATGTCGCATAAACGAGCGGTCGTACAGGAGTTGATTCGATCAAAGCGCGTTTCGGAAGCGCGTTGAACTCCCGCATGAGGGATAGCGTGACTGCGTCGATGGCGGGCTGCAGAGAATGGGCCCCGGTTGGTGAAGTAGTGCGATGAGAGTATGAGATGGGAACTATACTTGATACCAACTGTTCCTTGGAGTTAGTACGTGGAGGAACACGAGCATCGTGAGACTAAACTTGCCTATGCTCCGCGTCGATGATGATCCGGATGCCCCGCTCCTGAGCGCGTGCACATATTTTGACCAGATCCAAGTGAAGGTCCTTGATGTCGACAACGTCCTGTTCCGTTAAAGGTGACTCCGAGGGGAGCTTGCTCACAGCCAGACAGTCCATGTCGGACGCGCGCGGACATCCGGGGAACGCGATGGCTGGAGATAGGGCAGGCCGGGTCTTGGTGAGGTGCACAGAAAAACGGGTGAGAGCTTGCGCATCCGGAAGCAAGGCGGTCTGCAAAGAGCACAAACGAACCGAACGGATCTACAATGTGTGTATCAAAGGATGTATGGTGCTTACAAGCTTGACAGCGACCCACGTCCTTCTTCCTGCCGCGGTGGAGGATGATCCGGACGCGTGACGGTCTTCAAAATCGGCTGCGACGTCGATCGACCGGATCATTTCCTGTACAATGCGCTTATGGACCGGGACGGACGGCTTGTGGCCTTGGCCTGCGGCCTCATGTTCGTCCACCTCGACGCTGTAAGCGAAGAGAGCGCCCTTGTTTTCAGCACGGAATTGTTCTAGTAAGGGTACGCATTCGTGAGCCGTCTCGCCTCCCACGAACTGTACGATCGCGCGTGAATGCTGTGATGGGCTTGAATTAAGATGACACGCTTACCTGCGCAAAGAAGGTCCGACGAACGAATCCCTCAGTGACCTGTTTGAGACCTGGGACAGAGGAAAAGAAGGAAAGCATGGTCGGGGACCAGTCGACGAGGGTGGGGAAGGAGCACATCGTGTAGACGACATACGATCTCATCAGCGTCGAAAGAGGCGTCTGAGAGGTCTTTGAGGACACCTTTGCGCCTGCTTGCGCATCATCTGCATAGAGGGGTGCAATGGTATGTCCTATGAACAACGAGGCCCCGAGTACACCACCAGAGAGTAGGCCGAGTCGCATCCATCGATGAGATCGGAGAGTTGTCGGCGGCGAGGACGCCTTGAGACCTCTCGCGAGAGGTATCGTGGGGTAGACACGTCTGAGGAGACGTAAAGACATGAGGGGGCACTGGAGGGAGCGAGGGCCATCGCGGGAGGGATTTATATAGGGCAGGGGATGATAGCAGGTCGGTGTCCGGAGCCATGTCCGATCGCCTGCCCAAAAGAGCATCTCTCATCGCACTCTCTGCACCGGCACCACTCCCAATGTCAAAACGGAAGCAAGACGACCCAACCAACAACGACGACAGCGACGGCGAAGACATCGTGCGTATTTTCTCTGCCGTTCTTACAGCTCCATCCTTCCTGCTCATCGTTCCCACCACTAGTAGAACCTTGTCAACGTCGACTTTGAGTTTTTCGACCCCAATCCGGATGTCGACTTCATCGCCCTCAAGCGGCTCATCCTCCAGCTCTTCCAGACAGATGCAGAGCTCTTCCATCCCGACCAGCTCGCCGACCTCATCCTGTCCCAGCCCCTCGTTGGCTCTACCGTAAAAACAGACGGTCGCGAGACTGATCCGTATGCCTTCCTCACCGTGCTTAATATGCACGTCCACCAAGTCAGTATCACTCCTCCTCTCAACTTCCTTGACTGTACGATCATTTTTTTTTTTTTGTCTCAGAATCACCCGTCCATAAAAGCGTTGATCGAGTACGCCCTCGCCAAGTCTGCAAACAACATTCCCCTCCACTCGACACTCCAAAACATCCTAGGCAGTGCTGGCCTCGCATCCTCCAACCACGCCGGCTTCATCTTCTGCGAGCGCCTCGTCAACATGCCTGTCCAAGTCATCCCACACATGTACCGCATGCTAGTCGACGAAATAAAATGGGCCGTTGAGGAGGTCCGTCTTTCTTCCGTGATCTGCCTTGCCTTCCCACCCTCGCCTCTGCTTGTCCATGACTGACATCCGATTAACTTTCGGATTTCAGGATGAGCCCTACGTATTCACTCATTTCCTGATATTCTCGCGGACATACCGAATGTCCGCTGAAGAGCAGGCCGAGCTACAGGCCGCCGCGCCCCAGGCAAAGCGCCCGCGCAAATCTCTCCCCACCTCGTCCGCCGGGGGCGTCTTTTCGTTCCATCACGAAGACGAGCTCACGCAGCAGGTACGAAGGGCCATCGATCTGATCATTGAAACTTGAATTGAAACCATCACTCTCGGTCCAGGTCGCTCTGCATACGCTAGACTACACGTTCACCGGGGCGCCGCCGCGAGAGAAAGATTCGTTTGGTCTGGATGTGGGTGGCCGCATGATGCTTGTCCCCGCAGAGCAGCTCCCCGGGCTTGTCGCTCGCATGGCTGAGGTGTACGCCGTGCCGTCATGACAGGGTCATATGTATGTACTGTGCACTGTTGGATTCTCAGTCAAGTAGAGGCTTTTTGTAGCTCAAATGAAACGGCGCCGTGAGGAAGCGGCAAGTAAATAGAATAAACCTAAGCTGGATGTACACGCAGATCTCAAAACAGAATACAAAGACAAGGAGAACGGTATTGGGGTATCCGACACTGCGCGCTCCTCCAGGAACAGCCAGGAACAGCGAGAAGCCCTCTCAGAAAATTTGGGTTGTTGCATAGCTCATCACCGCGCGCCGAGACCCATCTTCAGTAGCGCACCAACGATGTCGACGTCGTCCCACCGCTTGTTTCCGTCCTCGGCGTCTGCGGTCGCTTTCTTCCGCTGGATGTACGCGAGCGTGTTGCGGAAGTGGCGCGTGATCATCTCTGGCGTCTGCACGCCCTCAAGCAGCCCCGGCGGTGCGCGCTGTGAGGGATGCACGTCTGGCGATGAGATGCTGTCGATGCTCGCTGTGATCAGCTCGACAAGGGAGTTGACAAATTTGGGCGTCACCTGGGACGGAAGATTAGATTCCCATGTTCAGAGACGAGAGATATAGCGTGGAGAAGTACACGTACAGCTGGCGCATTTCGGTCGAGGTAGAACAGGTATTGATCCAAGGTATCGACATACAACTGGATCGTGACAATCTCCTCAGTAGCGGAGTTTGCGATCCGGAGCGACTTCTGTAAGCATTCCAGCACGCGTTTGCTGTCTTGAAGAGGATACTAAGGCGGTAATATGGTGAGTCCACACGAGGAAACGCACTAAACATCATGGCTCACGGATTTCGCGTTCTCTGGGCCCTCCTCCTTCGGCACGGGCGACTTTTCCGGCTCTTCCTTCTCCGCTCCCTCCACCACGAGCTGGACTTCCTGCCACCACATGTGGCTCGCAAGATGTACCGCGGACGCTTGATGCGGCTTCTTTAAAAGCTTTGCGCCGTGGAGCGCTGCCTTGGTGATGAGCGTGTCGTAGTTGTCGACACCGAACACCTTAGCGCCCTGCAGCGTGCCGATGATAAGCGCGATCGCCTGCAGCTGCGCGCGCGACTCGGATATGCTCTCCTCGTACACGGTGAACGCCTCCACGTACAGATCGTACGTCAAGTCCTCGAACTCACACTCGTCTGCGATCTGGGCCGCCAGAAGGAACAGCCGCAGCGCGATCGACGGCGCTTCGACTTGGTTCGCAAGGATGCTGATGAGCTGGCGGATGAACTTCAGGATCGTTGACACTTTTGCCTCCCAGTCCTCCTCCTGAAGTTGTTTTGATCATGAAGTCAGCCTAAACGAATCGAGGAGAGATGAGAAGGCCACGCACGAGATGTTCACGGATCTTGTATCGACGGCAAAGTTTGATTGATGAGGTGATGAGAGCAGGGAAAGTGAAGCGCATGCGCTCGCCGCCCGCTTCGAAGTGTCTCCGCGCAGTTTGTAGGAGCTGATTGAGACAAAAATGACGTTAGATGGAAAGAGAAAGTATGGTGGGTTTTTAATACTTCAAACTGTGTGCTTAGTGACTCTGCTCTGAACAGATGCACCATCCGTGCAAGCCAACCTTGCTCCTCTGCCAAGTCCTCTCTCTCAGCACCGTATGGCCCATGCCTTCGCTGATCCTTTACAACTGCAGGCCCGGTGCTGCCGATCCCGACGCCAGCGTCTTGTTGTTCTTTGATCAGTACATGGCACAGCTCGAGAATACCGTTCACGTCCTCTGGTGCCTCGATGACGGTTTCATTCTTGAGCACCGAAGACACGATTGAGTGAGCGAGGGTACGTCGAGTGGAGAAGGTTTGGAGGTTGAGGAGGGGAACATAGTGAGTGAGCGCAAGCAATGTGAGAACGGACTGGTAGGAATTGATGGGGGCAACGAGAAGAGCAGCTAGGTTGGTTGTCGTCTGTTGGCTGTGAAGGTCTGGGCTGCAGACACTATCAGATACAGGAAAAGTATGACTAATGCCTCTTCCTACCTATCCTCGAACTCCTTAATCTTATCTCGAGCGAATCCAAGGACTTGGTCAACATACTCCAGACGGTCAGGATAACAGCTAAGGGAAAGGTTGGTGAGTGACACAAGGAGCGCGGTAACATCCTGGATTGACAAGTCTGGTCGAGCCTGTAGGGTAAGGTATAAAACGGCGAAAAGAATATGGTAGGGTAGAGCTCACCTTGATTAACTGAACTACCTGTTCCCAGAACACCTCAAACAGCTTCACGTCCTCTGGCACGCCTCTGAACTTCCGGACTTGGACGATGGTCTCCTTCTCCTTGCCTTTATCTGCTTTCTCCGAGTCATTTACCTCTACCGCGTCATCTGTTCCGTTTGTGCCGTTCGTGGATTGCACAACGACAGGTGTCGCAGGACTGGTAGGAGACCTCCAGGCATCAGCCTCCGTAGTGAGTTCGCCCACCGGGCTGGTAGGGTTTCCGTTCTCTCTTGTGCGCGCCCTTTGAACTTTCACCCTCTCAGCGAGACGTCGAGCCGCTGCCTCCTCCTGGCGTTTAGTCTCCTCTGGATCCTCATTTTCGGCTTCACGAGCGGCATACGCAGCGAGGCGATCAATAAGGGCGATGACAATCTGCTTGATGTTGACTTTGGGTTGTAATTGAGCAGTTGCAGATAGGAACGGCCCCAGTGTGTGCAGGTGAAAGTCGTCGGTAAACACCTTGTTCGGTATGCAAAGGTAAGGTTTGATTGAGAGGAGATAGGTCTGTACACACCTGGATGACCACTTCCATCAAATATTCTTGTGCAATCACGTCCTTACACTGGACCACTTGCTCCAGAACCGCAGGGAGTATTGTCCGTTGATACAGATCCAAATCGACACCGTCAAGCTGGCTCAGTCGGACAAGGTTGGTGCCGACCAGAATTCGAAGTTCCCGGCGCTCCATCTCGCGCTTTTCCCGATCGCGCGAGTGACCTTGGTGTTGTAGGCGGACCCAGAGCTTGTTCATTTCAATGAAGTTAGTGAGGACGAAGCTGATGGAGTCCTCTAGATTTCCAGTGGGCCTATAATAGATTTATGAGAAAGCGACAATGAGAGAACGTATAGGCCATACCCAGAGTCTAGTCCTATTGGTAAATGATCCCTTGTTTGCCCGCTCAAGTAGTGGCGCAGGAAGAGACCACGGATGGGATGCAGCACACCCCGAGACATCTCCATCATGTCCTTCATAATTTCCTTGACTGGGGCGTCGGGGACAGACATGTAGACTGAGCCGACGGTGATCATGAGATACAGGCGTGGTACAATGTTGCCGGCATATTGTACAAGCTCGTACAGGTCGGCGAGATGGTGCCGTGACTGGGTGTGTGCGTCATACAGATAATTCGAGAGGTGACGGAGAGCATCAAACACAGCCATATCTAATATAACATGCGTTCAGTAAGGGTCGTTCATAAAACAGAGGGACGAACAGAGTTCATAATATTGCTTCGGCGACAATGAGGACGTCCGCAGCTCTGCCAGCATTAGACTGGCACTCTTAAGCGCATCCATGAGCTGATCCAGTTCCTGTAAGCATAAAGATACGAGAATTAAATGCTCTCCTTTTCTCTATTTCATGCAACAGACACTGAATGCTACAATATGAGGTGAATTGACGCACCAGATGTCTCTTCATCTGCTGGACCTGTATTTTGACAGTGCTAAGAGCCTCGCTGAGCAGTTTGCCCTCCTCCATGACCATGTCCACCATTCAGGAGTATTTTCAGACGATGCGCACGCGCTCGTAGATGAGGAAGAGGGAGGTGGGAGCAGGGGATGAGGAGATATGAGCCTGTTCGCCTTTGGATGCAGAGGTCATGACGGTACCGTTGCGTATTTGGACACGAATTTCCTATATAGGCAACTTGCATTTGTCTTTCAAACCGAATCTCCGAGATCTGCTGTCCCATTAGCACTGTTAGCACGCAGACTACGTCTACTCTCCACGTCGATACCATGTCCACGGCCACCGCAAGAGCAGAGGCTCGTCGCAAAGCAATCCTGAACAGAGGCGCGGACAGACTTTCCAAACTCACGACCTCCGCTCGAGGCGAAGACGCCCCTGCTTTCGTTCACGATGGTGCCGTCGTACGTTTGACTTCCGCAGGATAACCTCTGACTTAGCATGAACGCAGATCCTCCGCTCCCCTCTTTACCTCTTACTCCGAGACCCAACCTAGATAGTTTTTTAGGAGAGGACTCTCCACGACCGCCGACCGCCGCTTCCAGGTCATCATCGCGCACCATACCAGATCCACACACGTCACCGTTCGGGGCCGCTGCCTTAAGCAGCACACCTCCAGATCCCTCGGTATGGTCGGAACAGCAGCAGCAGCAACTTCTGCGTGCTTTACTTGGTAGCACAGAACCTCCTTTGTCGTCTGATGATGCCCCTCCACTAGACGACCCCTTGCTGACCCTCGTGTCTTCCTTGGCCAAGGGTGTGCCCAACGGGCCTGGAAGCGATCCTGCTCTACCTTCATTCCCTATGGAACAGCCGAAATCGCGGGTAGAAAGGTTCATGCCCATTGTTCATGTGGTGGCCATGTGGTGTCTGGTTGCGTTTTTTGTAATATGGCAGGAGCCTCAAGCATTTTATGCTCAGACCTCGTCTGTGGTGTTGCAAGGCGGTCTCATGAGACGGTGGGCATCTCTGGGCAAGAGCCCCGTCTCCGCGGACATATGGACCGTCCAAGCTGTGGTGCGTTCTTCACGTGTCAGAATGTTCATAAAACTGAGCAATTACCCATAGCCTTTCTTTTGGGCATTCGTTTCCCTAGAAATTATGTTACATTCATTGCGCATATTTTCTGGCTCAGTGCGTGTCACTTCTATCGACTTATAAACACTTCTAATCATTTTTTTCCAGAATAAAGCGCAGCCACCTATGCTGGTCTCGCTTGCCTTACCTTTTCTCCCAAAATCTCTTTCAGCTGCTATCATACATGGACTTAAGTATCTTCACATGACGGGGAGGCTCCTTGATGACCTTGCTACTATAGTTGTGACTCTTGGGTTTCTCGTGGCCATCTCAGCTTACACTATAGTAATGTGAGATTAACGTAGTTTTCCTATTACTCATGAGTGGAAAACATGGTGACATTAGTGCGATGTGCATTCGAGAGCAAGCTTAGAATAACCGAATAATGGAATATGCTATGGGAGGACAGCGGCGGCACCTGTTTTTGCGCTGTTCAAAAACGGTAAAGGAGACGAGGGCGATGATGAGCGAAATTTTGATGGTTCATCGACGATGGGCAGGCCGGATGCTTCACGCTCAGCTTTCCATCGCGTCCACGACGCTCCTCCAGCAGCTTCCATCAGTTCCTTAAATATGTTCGAGGACCACTTGTCTTCTAGATCGAATGTTCGCGTTTTCCCATCACCTGTGCCATCATAAGAGACGGTCAGATGAGTATGCAACATTTGAGAAGGAGATATGAAACATACGGAATTCGAGCACCATCTCGGGCTTCCAAGTGTCTCCAACAGTCCTCGGAAGTTTGCTGACCTCAATGCTCAAGTTTGGATTCGCATACCGTATGCGGGGCATATCCTCTTTCAAGAAATGTCTAGAATATTGTGTATGATCAAAAACAGGAAGATTGGATAGCATGCTAGGTCGACGCACCGCGCGCCGAAATGGTCATTCCTGGCAGCCAGCGTCAACTTCAAGTTCTTTAATCCTGCCAGATGAGGTCTTGGTGCCTTATTTAGATGAAGCAGAATTTGTGAAAGACGTGAAGGGCCTGGTACTCCTCTTGGTCCCTTGCGAGCCATTGCGGATCTGGTAACGAACGCAGAGGTACGGGCGCTCGGAATGCAGACGGTTGTTTGGACTTGTTAGGATCGGAAGACTGCCTCCTACTAGCTCCTACTGCTTCGGGCTACCGGCAACCTCCTCATAGAAGACCATCGTTCTATTATCACGGTCGCCTTCATTATGGATCAAGATGATTCTTTGGTCAGGCGTAGGCCTCGACGCAGCACAGCGGGCAACCGGTACGCCTATGACCTTGGAACATCGGCGCTGTGTAGCTGATTGGGCTGCAGGATGGAGGCGGCCTTGGCTGAGCTTGCTCTAGAAGATGCAAATCAAGAGGCAGAAGAGGACAATGACTTTGTGATCGAGAAGGGTACGCAGTAGCACGCCTTCGGGACGGGGATATCACGTCTCTGACTTTCTATGTAGATGAGGAGGATGTATTTGGATCCGACTTCGAAAGCACGGACGACGAAGCAATCCAGGCTCTTGATGGCGGAGAATATGCTGTTCAATACGACGAACAGAAAGAGAGGAGGGTGAAATATACCTCGTATCAATCATACATTGACTGCAAACACTGACGATGATTCAGGTCGCCCGTTCACGATTAGAAAGAGTGACCGCAGCTGCTCATGCTCGTCAAAAGGTCACCTTCAACCCCATGGCTTACGAGGAGACTCCAGCAACCGAAAAACTTTCTGCGCTAGAGAAACGAAAGCGTCGGGTCTCATTAGGCGTAGCCGTTGATGCAGAGACAGGAAAGGTTATCAGGAACTCAAAGAGGCAAAGCCAACGAACGCATACCGTGGCAAACACATCTGCCACGTTCAACAGAATGATGGATGCAGAAGAGAAAAAAGTATGCCTTGCTATACATCCTTCGTCAATCTGGGTGTCGATGATCATCAATCTCAGTCCACCACTCCGAAGAAGGCCAAGGCTAAACTTCGCGCCTTAAACCAAGAGGAACTGATAGCCCGTGCGCTTGACATGGAGGAAGGTAACATGATCGATCACAGGGATTACCTTCGAAACGAGGAGGAGAAACGAAAACGTGCCCACGTTACCCGGACGGTCATCGAGGGCCCTCTATTGAGGTGGATCAGCAAACGCGAAGAACTCGCTGTTATTGTGGATCCGCCGGCTGTATCCAGTGACCCCGGCCATCATGCTAGCCAAGGGCAAACACTTGGCGACTCGTTGGATTCCACGTTAATTACTAACACGTCCCATGCACCGTATAGCTCTACAGGCCCATCACAATCTTCTGGTAAGACACGTTGCTTGCACTGACCATTCTACTATAACATTTGTTGTGACAGCATCTCCCTTTCAACCGTCCATATCTCACGCAACCGCCCGTCCTGTATCCCCTCTAGCCAGCTCATCATCTCACAGTAACCTTTCAAAGGTTGAGACGAAAGAAACAGTCGCAAAAAACTATGTTATACATGAAATACCGCGATCTAAGGATGGATCGAAACCGTCGTGGAGGGAGACCATGGCAGCAATGTTTGGCGACACAGTCAAATGGGATGAATTAAAAGTCTACACCAACAAAGGCCGACCTCTATGTACGAGTCTGCTTCGTTTTCTGTCTACTGTCCCATTATCTGAAATCATCTCTAGGCCGGCCCGTACAAAATTGTCTTATCACCGGCCTTCCAGCAAAGTATCTCGACCCGCGAACCAATGTACCTTATGCAACTGTCGACGCATATATCATCCTCACGAAGATTCTAAATCATGAGTTTGTATGGAGCAGAACTCTTGGATGTTATGTGTCCAACGAGTTCACAAACCTCCAAGATACTCGGCGGGAGAAGCGAAGACGTATTGACTCGACCGAGAGTGCCATGGACGTAGACGTTCATTGATATCTCGTATGCGTGTAGGGAAGCGCGTGTATCAACGGATACCTGTGTTCTAGTATGCACTGTCGAGCTTGTATCTGCGCATTCAAATTCATTCATTGGTGAGGTTTGCTTTAATTGAGCCACACAACCAATCTTGCTCAATGTCGATGTCGACAATTGTGAGGGAAACACCGATGCAATTTCCGAAATACGATTGCTCTAAACCCGTTCTTATGCTAGGCCATCACCGTCCCTGGAGGATTCTAATCAATCCGACGAAAGTAACTTTACGTTTTCCGGACAAGCATGAAAGACAGCCTCGCGAAAAACCATTGCTGTTCAAATCTAATACCCTTTCCATGTGCATTGCCGTGCAGGTTGCAGACCGCTCAAGCTCCAAGCAATACCAAAATGACTGTAATCAGCTCATTTGCCGACCTTCGTGGGTTCGAAGGTGAGGTACCGACCAGGTTCTTGTTGTATTGCTCGATCAGCCACCTCCTGTTCGATCTGCCGACGGTAAGCTTTTTCTTCTTCGTGACTAGGGCAACTTGGGGCAACCTCCTTGAAAGCCTCCGACGAGCTCCCACTGCTTGTCTCGACGATCATGAGATCCTCCCTTCCGATGCGATAGACTAACGAAATCTTAGTGCTTCGGTCTCAATCCACCTCTCGGGGGAATGCTTTTCAAACTCATTTCAAATCAGCAGTTCAAAACCAACGCCCATGTGTGTAGATTCGAATCAGAAACTGAAGCTCGCGCTTTTGATGAATATAATCCGAGTAAATGAGGGCTCGTACAAAAACACTTATCGAGGCATACAACACATCGCTACATCTTCGTTACATCTGTCTGCTTATCGTCTCGGTGCACACCTCGTCCTTCACTCTCATGCTCCTACCAGATCGTTCAGTTCGACACCCCACTGTGATGACTTGCGCAACTCTGCTAATAACGTGTCGAACCGGGACGATGTGCCTGCGCTGCTGATCTTGCTGAGTGCAGCAATGGCGCGGAGCGTGCTGCGCTGCAGCTCCGCCGCCCGTTCGAGTTCTTGCTTGACAGTGTCTTTGCCGATGTTTGGCCCCTTCATGGAGGCCTCCAGCAGGGGCGTCACCTCGTTTAGGTGCTGAGCGACGGCCGTCGGCGCGATCTGCGAGAGGCGGAAGAGCATCATGTGGCAGATGACTTTGATCTCATCCGAGTTATCTGCCAGCCCCACTAGGACATGCGAAATGAATTCAGTCAGGTCTATCTTCGACAAGCAAGTGTCGAGCTGAAGAAAATGGATGAAGGTGAGAACATTGAATTTCATACAGGCAAAAATAGTACTCACAAGTGTATACAGCGTTTCATACGCAGTCTTCCGCGCTTCGAGGCCGTCATCAACCTTGTGCGTCCAAGGGCCCATCTGAACAACACGAATGAGGTCAGGCTTCAATGCCGTTTCCTTATACAGCGTGGGCAGAAGAGTAGGAAGATGGTCGCGAATAAGATGGGGCTTCGTGCGGGCAGCTGCGTTGAATGCGGACAGGGCAAGCCGACGAACGTTCTGCAGCAAGGATGTTACCATTCTGAAACGAATCGATATAATATCGCCTTACCAGATCTTCATCAAGCATCAGTGACAAGAAGTCAAGGATATGCGGTGCAATCACTTCGTCGTAAGATTGTGACGGCTCAGCAAAAGTGTAGCGAACAGCAGACAAAACTGTTGCCCTCGTTGTGGCTTTCTCATCACGTAGTCGGGCCTGAGGGATAAATTAAGATATATCAATGTCAAGCGATCACCTCTACAGGGCCAGCCACTTACATGGATCTGAGGCAAGTATCGTGCAGGATGCATAGTGATCAGCTTCCCGATACAAGCTGCCGCAACGTTCCGGGTACTTTCTTCCGCGTTCTCAGAATTTTCAAACAGGGGACCCCATAGCAACTCGGTGATATTCTCGAGCTGACCGTGAGATGTATATGTCACAACTTCCTTCAAAGCATGCAATGCCAATAACCGTTTTTGATCATCAAGCTCCACGATTTTGACAAGAGCAGGGAGGAAGTGATGGAGATTTCCGACCGCAATGTTACCTGCAAAATCACATTAAACGTCGAGACCAGTATCCAAAATGTGACACCTACCGGACGCAAAGGATGCAGCAAAACGGACTTCTTCCTGCTCCGCATTAAACTCCTCAATAGCTCTGTTGAAGACATCTTGCTGAGGTGACATGTCGCTACATGTTTTGTCAAGAGTTTTCTGAGAACAGTGAATCGAATATACACATACATAAATCGGCCCACTTCTCCAAGGACGAGGAAACTGAGTACAACGCGCGATGGTGTTGCCTTCGACGAACTCTGTAAGCAGTATGAGTCACACACCAGATAGACAAGAATGATGTGGATTGGACCTTGATATGTCTTGAGAACTCGGCGATAGCACCAGCAGCCACACCATGGGCGCTCTTGACCACTTGGGCTACACATTTCGCAACGTTCGGAAGGGATACCTCACTTTTTGGTGCATTGTCCACCGAGCTCACAAGGGACGGGAGAACGTGTACTGCGATTTGCGAATCTGCTTCCACCAGAGTAGAAAAGAAAGACAGCAAAGCGTCGAGAGCGGCACCGGAGAGTAGCGGTGAGCGTGCGATGGCGTAGATATCTTTGAGGACTTCACGTTCAACTTCTGGGAACGTGACCTTTGGAGAAGATTGCAACAAAAGTGCAAGAATAGACAATGATTGTGACAAAAGGGAAATATCGGAAGTTGAGAGGTAAGACTTGAGTTGGGGTACAAGGACAACGGGAAGATCTGTGGGTACAGTCTCGTATCTATAGTGTCTGTTGGTGGCATCATCTTCATGAAGGAGATATCAACACTTACTGAGCAATGAGGACAGACAAACACTCGAACAGCTCGACTTTTCCGGCCCTTCCACTTCTCTTCAAAAGAGTCAAAGCCCACTCCACACTGTCGTTGATCCACTGGACTCCAACATCAACATCAGCAGCAACTTTAGCTACTGCCTTCACAGCGTTGTCCGTCCTTCCAGAGGTCCTGCAAATATACTCCCATTCTTTTTTATCCTTGCCCTTAACGACGTCTGTCGCGCAAATCCACAGATCCGCTATCACATCCTCAGCAGCAGCTCGTACCTCCGCATCCGTATCGTTTTTGCTCAGCCGTTGGATAGCTTCCGAGTAAACGGATTCGACCCAATCCTGGTTCTTGACGGGTTTCATTGCATTCAAGAGAGAAGAGAACAAACGGAACGTTTCGGAGGCTACACGAGGGTGTCGCTCGCCTAAAGCCTTTTGCAAAGCTGGTGTCAAGGTTGACAAAAATCCAGTGAAAGTAGGTGGCGGGTGTGTATAAAAGAACAAGGACAGAAATTGGAGACATGAGATGTGCAATGTGGCTGTGGAGTTCGTGGGGGGTTGAGACAACACCGACTTGGAGATCGTAACAATTGCGGCTGTCTGGTTGGAAAGGCAGCCAGGAAGCGCATTCAGCAACGTCCGAAGAAGAGCAAAAGCAGCCTGCAGGGTGACAGGGGACGTTTTCGGCGGCTTTAGCTGGTTCAAGAGGGCCTTCGCCAGAGAGGGAACCTGTGACTGCAGAAGACTATATGCGTTATCCTCGACGCTTAGCTCCCCTTCATCGCGCTTCCGCTTGACGCCTACGGCATCCTTGGACTGCGGTCCGCCGGCATATACACTAGTTTGCGTCAACAATGCAACGTACGTTGCCCATACCTCTAATCGGACCGTCTCTTCACGGTCACCGAAACGAGATATTAGGACGGGAGAAACCTCTTTGTAAAGTGAGATCAAAAGCTCTGGTCGTGTGCCAATGATAGCACCAAGGAGTTTGGTCGCAGAACGGCGAATCTTGTAAGAGGTATCCTCTTCATCCGAGTACCTGTTTGAGGAATCGTTGTACAGAGCCTGAGAGAGGATCGAAGAATACTCACTCATCGTCCAATTCAGCATCTTCATCGTCAGCATCCTCTGCCATTTCCTCGTCTTCGTCAACATCTCCTGTATAGTTCTGTGACGAGGGTGAGCACAGAAGTTAGAATTGATAGACTGAGCTGCTCACCGGATCGTACTTGATGAATTGGTTGGCCGCTTGAATGATGTTCGAGAGGAAGGGTGTTACTTCAGCTGGGCATTTCAAAACCAACGCATCCAGTGCCTGATATCTAGACATTAGATGTCATCCCATGCTGCGCGTACGCAGTAACTTCACCTGTAGCGATCCTTCACGAATCTCGTCATCATCCCTTCGAAGTGCATTGAGAATACCGGGCACGATGTCATTCGATGCGACTGCAACCAATTGGGGTGAAGCGCGCGCGATGGCCGCCACGAACTGGACAGTGGTCCTCTGTTTCTCCACGTTCGCAGAAGGTGCGAGATTAGGGCCAATTTCGGAAGCTGAAAGCGCGGCAAAGATCTGTGGCGAAGAAAGTGGAATAAAATGTGCAATGGTTGTGATGGCACGTTTGCGAACAGCAGGACGAGGATGGGATAGTAGAGGAGCTAGAATTTGTACGGGTGACGGTTCGATATTCAATTTGGCCACAAAAGTCGGGAAGCGAGTGACGAGGATGGAAAGAATAGATAATGATTCTATGAGTGTTTCGGGAGTCGTTTCGGACTGTAGAAATGACTGTGTCAGAACTCAAAGATTGAGAGATTTCATTGACGCGTACACTCGATCCTTGTGAGAGAAGTTTGGGGATGAGCTTTGCACATGCCATGGGTGCAATGGCTCCATCCTGCGGCAATTCGGATGTGATCGTTTTCAATGCTTGTGAAAATGTTATAAGTTGAGTGATAGGTAAAGCGTATTCTAGAATAGAACGGACCTAATCCCGCAATATCTCGCAATTCTTCATCCTTACTAGAAGTGAATTGGATCAGATTATCCACGACGAACTCCATCTGTGATTCACGGATGATCTTGATAAGCTGACCCAAACTGTACGAGAATCAGTTGGATATTGGAAGCAAGCGAAAGCAAACACACCACTTCACAGCTTGATTCTTGACTTCAGAAATCTTGTCTTCTACCAGGCTCAAGACTTGCCGGAGAACCTTCATCTCCATGGCCTCGTCTCCAAAATAAGACTGTGGATCTGCTTTGATCTCCTTCATCAGATCGCTCAGACCCATATATCTGTACAATGGCATAGCTTGAGTCCGGACAGACGCGTCTCGATCGACACCCTTGGTACACACCGAAAATCCTGGTCTTGCGATTGCATCTGAACGAGTTATTGCTCAATGACAATTGACGGCATGATATATTCTAGATACCTTTTCGATGAATCCATTCATGAGATACGTTTTCGTCATGACGAAGCAGAGGAAGCGGAAGAAGAGAAAGGAAATGAAGGTGGAAGTGGGAGTGGCGTGCGCGGATGAAAGGAGTCGTCGCGTGAGCGAATTCTGTGCGATTCTGCGTACGTGATCGCTCCTGATTCAATCTCGGTCGCGTCTTGTCGCGCCCAGGTCGCGTCCATCGACGCAGTCCTCAGCCAAAATCCAAGCGCTAGAACGCTGCGCAGCGTCCAGATATGTCCAGTACGAGGCATATGTACGAGCGGCCAACCTCTGACGTATTCCATTGACGTATATTTAGAGGTCGCTTCTGAGATTCCAAGCTTCAAAATACACTAGCGAATGCAATATATTACAACATCAACCAAAATTTCCCTACTGATCTTTACTCAAAGCCAGCCAGCCTCCCTCAATAATTTTCTTGTTCGTGATGTGTGGGGCTTGAGCTCTCCGTTCAACGGGGCAAAGTATCTTCGTATGTTCTTGTTACTCTTTCGGAAGACCACCGCGTAAAACAGGCCATCCTTCTACGAACCAAAACAATGCGGCGTCAGCATGTAAAGGAAAGAGGTGCAGGGAAGGCAAACCTGTCTTGTCATCCCCTTCTTCGTATGCTGGCCGGATACTTTTCCGCAATACCAGATATCGCCTTCCGACTTCACCCAGACAGCATCGCCTGACTGAAAGAGAAACTAGGCTCAGTACGGGTGCCTCCTGACGGCCTGATCAAGCATCCGGGAAGAAATCACCGACTTTGAAAGTATAGGGCCACGGCTCATCGAGATCGTCTGGACCAGGCTCGGCGTCATCATCCGATTCCTCGCCATCGCTTGAGACGGTCTCGTAGTCTGTCACATTTGACGAGTCGTTCTCGCTCGGGCTGAGAGTGTCGACCCCATATGGGCTCGATTCACGACCGACGTCACCTGCCCCACTCGATGCAGATGTCTCATCACTATCATATGCACGAGACGCTGTTGCTATCTTGCTATTGCGAGCTTTCGAGGAAAGACCTCGTGTGGAATGCGTTACGTTGCTCATCGTCAATCGAACAGAGGAAGGGGGAGAAGGCAAAAGATGAGCTCGTCGTAGTAGGGGAGGAGCAAATTGAAGAATGTGTTCCAGATAGTAGATCTTGGTGTTGTTGCAAGATGGCAGGACCGGCAGCTCTTTATATACACAAGGGCCGGCGTCCTAGACCTAATCCAGTGGAACAGGCCGAGAATTCGACGCATTGGCCTGTGATCAACAACAGGGCATCGCATCGCCCCACAAGTCTAACAAGAAGGTCGGGAAGAGTCTCTTTTAAGGAAACAATAACGAAGACTGGCCAGAGCGGAAAGATGGCAAGTATCGACCATCCATCCCTGGAATGATGAACCTTGCTCAGCCCCCGATGCTATGGCAGGTTGCCCGTCTTCAAAACAGGACACTGCAGTTCATGTCTTAGGAAAGCTAGGAAAGCATGAGCGTCGACGAGCGTCTCCTCGTCACTGCACTCACGAGCCATTCCTGTTGTGATTCTCACAATACTTGAGGCCTTGAGGTGTGAAGAGCCCCGATATCGATCAAGACAACGAGGCCGATACAAAGAGACCTGATCAGATTGACTCGTGGTCAGTTGTCTACAGTTGTACGCGAACAAGCGCACCGTGGGAACTTATACCGTTCTTATTTGAACGACTAAGTCGTTATGGTGTCAGTGGAAACAACAAGAATCAACCTCAACATGCATTCTTTTGTGTAAGTTACAATAGACCTGCTCTATTAGACACCCCTTAGTCAGTTGACGATGCCACAAGGGGGAAAGCCAATCAGGAGATACCTGAATGGCCATAAACGGAAAGTATAATGAGAGAAAAGGCAGACGGCACTGACCTCCGATATACAAGGGTATGGGACAATACAAAACAGAGGTTGTGCAGAATGAAAATAAAAACAAAGTGTCTGGAACTAGATGTGTCATCGTTTGTTCATGCCAATCTGGTTATAATCGAGGGTCTATTAATTCGTTATGCCCCATCGTTCCCTGAGAACAAAGTCAATGAGAGAAATATAAGAATGGCTGATCTACATACCGCTCTCCTTTGTCCAATCATCGTGCCTCTTGATGTCCTCCTCATTCACCGTCGGTCGTACATTGTCCAAGGATTTTAAAAAGTCTGCGAAACGCAGTGGAGGTTCCTGTAGTTCCTCGCTGCCAATGTCGTTCCAGCTTTTCTCCACAGCATCTGGATCCCCAGGAGAGCATGGCGTCCATTGCAGCACGTTGGGATCCGACTTCGAGGGCACTTGCTTGAAATGTGTCGCGGACAAAACTTTCCGGACAGGCTGCATGAGAGCATCTCGTACGACGATGGCAATATCAGAACCAGAGTACCTGTTGCACCCATGCCTCAGCCTCCTCCTGATATATATAATAACACGGTCAACACATACCCCTCAGAGTTATGCGCAAGTGTGCGATAATCCTTCTGCGAGAGCTCACACGGCGTAGACCCAACGTGAATCTCAAACATGCGTTTCCTCGCCTCAAGGCCAGGAAGTGGGATGTAGATTCGTTTCTCGAAACTATACAGGCGGTCAATAACATTTCAATGGTCGCACACTCTGAGAGTGACGCACCGACGCTTAATAGCAGGATCCAGTTGCCATGGGATATTCGTCGCACCAAGGACGAGCACACCTGTATCATCGTGTCCAACGCCATCCATCTGAACCAAGAACTCCGTCTTGATTCGGCGCGAGCCCTCCGACTCGCCCTCATTTCGTGAGCCCGCGAGCGAATCGACCTCGTCGATGAATATAATTGCAGGTTTCGACTCCCTTGCCATCTGGAACAGCTGCTTCACCAACCTGTCCTCGTCAAAGTCAGTCGCTTAAACATGTCCGCAGCAAACTCCGACAACGACCGTAATCGCGACCGGCAACCCAGAACATACACTCACCTTTCTGAATCTCCCTGCCATTTGCTAACGAGATCACTAGAGCTGACGCTGAAGAAAGTGCTCTTGGCCTCGGTCGCGACTGCCTTGGCGAGGTAACTCTTGCCTGTGCCTGGTGGGCCGTATAGCAGGATGCCGCGCCAGGGTGTGCGCTTCCCGGTAAATAGGTGCGGAAACTTGATCGGCAGGATGACCGCCTCCTTGAGCGACTCTTTCGCGCCCTCGAGCCCAGCAACGTCGTCCCAGCGCACGTTCGGTCTGTCGACCAATATTGCGCCCGTCAGCCCTGCGCGTAGCTTCTTCACCTCCGGGTCCTCGTCTCCACCATCTTCGTCTTTCCTGCCATCGAGATTCTGTCAGCACGCGCAGTGGCTTGCGAGCGAGATATGACAGAGGGCTCACTTCTTTCCCCCGGCCCCGATCCCGCCATTAGCGACCCCATTCGCACCCACAGCTTTCCTCGCTCGCTGCTCGTCCGCGTTCGCTAGATGAACCTTGAGTGTCTCCGCACGGCTTAGGTATTCTCCGATCTTGGACCGAATGAGCGTCTTTGATCGTTCGTTCTTCTCATCTGGTCATCGCAACGCAACGCGCGACTGGCGCTTCAGTAAGTGGGCCCCCATGGAATATCACGGCAGTGAGAGTGCACACACATTTCAGCCCAAGCATGAAGTAGTCCAGCGCATTCTGGTACTGCCTGTAAGCCTCGGGATAGTTCTGCTTCTGGTCCTCGTCGATGGCACGCTGCACGAGCTCGACTGCGCGCTATGCGCATACCAGGGAGTAGATCAGCGCGTTGTACTTTCAGCTTTTTGAAGTACCCACATCTATGTTTGTCCCAGACATGATGGAGATCGTGCAAGAAGCGGCACAGGGAGATTGATCAAGTGGAGGTGTCGAACAACAGTGCACAGACTAGTTTGTCCCTGTTAGGAATGGAACGATCCACGGTCAATTCCCGCAGCTTGATCAAACACACCAAGCACAAACGAATAGCGTTCGCCATCCAGGCCACGCTCGCCTTCCCTTCCAAGCCCCACGTTCTCCATTTGCATTTGCAAGTTGTTCATCCTAATGTTGCCAGAAACCGACACTGCGACAATCATTATGACGGGAGCTCTTTCCTACGCTATGTCTGCAATTCTGGATATCAGATCTTATTTACAGGCAGTCTAGGTAAACCTATTCAACCCATTTTGGATAATACTGGCAAACGAACGAACGAATATAGATGGCTGTGTCAGAGGTTATACATGCGCCACACAATGGTAGCTTGCTTGATTTTTGGACGAGGCCACTAAGCGATGGACAGATCCCTGAAGCAACCGGATCTCTTCTCGTATCTGACTGATCAATTTCCTTCTCATCAGCACGACTCGCACAAGCTTGCATAGTTGTAGATAGTTGTTTGGCCCTTCGGGACGGGTTATGAGCAACGTTGACGGCCAGTTGTAGCCCTCAGAAGCTCTTCAACACTCTTTCGACGTGATGGACCTATGGTCAGGAGCTTGTTGAACTGAAGACTGCCTTTGCTCGTCACACAAGGTTCGATGCGCTCTGGACCTTCATGGACTCTCGTCAATGAAGGGTGTCATGGTATCTAGACATTGGAATCGTGATCAGCGACTACGCTCGGCAACGCCAGGTGTCCGCACTATCTCCACTCATCAAAAAAGCCCATTCGACAGACACGCAAGCCGACAGGAAGGTACGACTTAACATGGTGCTGCGCCAGACAAAACACTAGCTGTGACCAGTGGCACAGCGAAGCCAGGTGTATCTCCGCATCATGTCTCCCTCGCTCTTCCCTCCGTGTATATCTAGTTCATGGCTTGCTCGTCTTCGTGGACACTACCACGGAGATGCGCGCGGTGCCGAAGGGACGGGAGGAGGTTTGTCACTGGGCGCTGCCTTCTGCTTGGAGGCCTCTGCATCGCTGATGTCGAGACATGTGTGAACTCGGCAGGAGCGCCACCGTGCAAGCTCTGGCGCTGACTGGCTAGATCCTTATCGCCGGCTCATCGCGCACGGAACTTGAAGAAGTTGAAACGGACCCGTCAGTCATTCCAACGCGCCCAAATTCGGACTACAAACGTGCGCGCGGTGATGAGTGCTGAAGTGATCGCCCTGACAGCGGCCCATCGAGCGCCCAGCCATGTACAACCGCTGCCGACTTTGCAGGGGTAATCACCATCTGTCATCATTCAAATAGTACGTTTCACTAGTGACTACATATCGCACAACCTCCGACCGCTGGATGTCGCAGGGACTCCAAAAAAATTGCCGACCGTACTGTGCAGTTCCGACCCCTAACTTATCAGCTTTCCTTCTCGTGGTCGTCAGACGAAGACGTACATAGGCATAGGCATAGAATCAGTTTCCTACTACAACAATGTCTGTCCTATACGCAAAATACAACCCAAACAAATATACCTGATGCTGCACTACCGATACGAGAAAGAAACAAAACAATGCGGTCGTATGAAGAAACACGCATTCCTGCAGATGCAAATTGATGGATCGAGATCGTTCGTTTCGTAAAAAAGCAGATTATATATCTGGATGACATTTCCTGGCATAATTAAGAAAAATTGGCGCGCGCCGAACCGTCCACGACGTCGCCGATCCCTCGAGGGCGGGGGTCGCGCACACGTACACACGCACGTAGGGGAATAGGGGTGGGGGGGCCGGCGAGTCATGGCCGACTCTGGCTGACTGGCGACCGCGGAGGAGTCGGGAGCCAACTACTAGAAGATCAAGTACAATCGAACGAGGCGAGGCGAAGGTTAAGCAAAACGAAACACCGGAACAGAGAGGAGAGAAAAAAACATGCGCGTGCTAAGGAGACAAAGGGAGCACCTGCCGCTCGACCGGCGCAGGGCGCTACGCAAAACAACTGAAGAAACACACGACGGGAATCCCGCCAAAAAAAGAATCAGAGTCCGAGTCCGACCGTAAGAGGCGCATCGTCCGACCGTCCTACTAATGCAGTGTCAGAGAGCCTGGACCTGCGCCTGGGCTAGGGACTGCGCGTGTACGTGCACGTGCGCTGGCGACGGCACGGCGTGGCAGACCTCGATGCTCTCTGTCCATGCATGTTGCATACACTCCTCGATGAGCGCGCGCTGCTTCGGATCGGGCTCGAGCATGCGCCGGATGAGCGGGCGGCACATACGCGGCGACAGGTTGTTGATCGTTGGCGGGCACGCGGTCTGCTGCGGATTGGCGCACGCGGCAGTGTACGCGGCGTAGAGCGCATCAGTCTGCTGCGCGACGCGCCACGGCAGCTCCTGGAAGTACAGGCAGTAGTACACAACACCAACGGCCCAGATGTCGACGAGGCGGGCGTCGTATGCTAGGTCAGAACAAGAGCAGAGACATTAGGCGCATGCCAGCGAGGACAGCCCACTGGGCTTACGTTTATTGAGGAACTGCTCTGGGGCGATGTAAGGTTCGCTCCCGCAGAGCCCCGTCGACATGTGTATGGTCGCCTCCCATGGCAAGCGGTACACGGTCGATGCGCCATAGTCCCCGATCTAACAAGATGGTTAAAAATTGTGGCAACAGAGCGGACAGAGAATGAAGGCACCTTCAAGTGACCCTTGGTGTCGAAGAATAAGTTCTCCGGTTTGATGTCGCGATGGGCTACACCTTGACTATGTAGATACGAGACGCCACATAGGATCTGCTTGAAGCAGCACTCGATCTCACTGGGTGACATATGGCCTTTCTTGATCGCTGCATATAGGTCGCCCCCGGGGCAAAACTCCATCACTTCGCACCAGTGCTGATTCTCATCTTGCACGAGATCGACGGTCTCGACGACGTTGATATGATGCAGTGTCGACGAAATGCAAAACTCGGCGGTCAGTTTCTTGACATATTCTTTTTCTGTCTCGTTCTTTCGCCTTTTGCGGAACTCCTGTTTCGAGTTATATATGTATGAAGAGACTCGAGAGCCAGGGGACGAACCTTGACGGCATACAATTTCTCCTCGGTTCTGTCCCATTTGTGAGCCAGGCGCACCACGGATGTGGCGCCCTTCCCGATGGCGACTCTTTCGCAGGTGCCGTACTTCTTCAACAAGCTGACGGTGGACTCTCCTCCAGTAGTCGACCGCGCACCTCCACCCTCCGAGTCCGACTTCTTACTGCTGGCCGTAGACCGGGCCGAGGACTTGCGCGCTAGTTTGGGACCAGACGCCAACAGTTCCTTGAGAGTGAACTTGTGGCCGCCGGTATCAGAGTGAACTGAGGGAGGACCCTTGGGACGCGGAGGCTCAACCGGGGTCGCGGGGGCCAGGGGAGTGTGAGCGCCCTTCTTCGAAAGCTTCTGAAACGCATGGGGTGTAACCTTGAGGAGAGATGCGTTGTCGGGCTTTGGGCCAGACATGCTGGGCGCTCGACTGGGGGCCTGGCTGGGCGGGCGAGTGGAGGGGAGGCTCCAGCCTCCACTCTCGGTAGGGGAGGGTGAGTCAGCGGGAGAGGGTGTTGACGATCCGGGAGTGGAGACAGAGCCATTGGCGACGGGAAGCACGAGCTTCTTGAGGCTGTCGACGGTGTGTCCAGGTTCCTTCCGATGTGATTTTGCGTCCGGCGGAGGGAGGGGGATGGAGGAGGAATGGGAGGGTGCGAGAGGAGGGTGCAAGCCGCTGGCGGGGTAAGCGGGATCGTGCTTGCGAGGGGAGGAGGGGACTGACGAAGCGGGGGTAGTGCGCTTCGCGGTGGAGGAGCCGTTGGGGTGCGACTTGTTCTGAGGGATAGGGGATTTAGATAGACGGGGTGATGGGGAGGATAAGTCACCGAGGGGTGGCTTATCCAAGCCGTCTAAACTCTCGCCCTCGTCGGAGGGTTGCGGTGCGTCGACGGCATCGGACACGGTCATGATGGAGTCGATGAATGTGGGGAGAGGGTGCGGATGGAGATGAGGATGGAGATGGCGATGGAGACGAGGAGAGGTGGGGACAGACTTGAGCAGCAGCGAGCGAGGGTAGATCGATGGGTGGGTCGGAGGTGCAGAGGAGGTGCTGCGTGGGGGTGCTGTCTATAGGGATATGGATATCATGACGGCGACGGGTGGGAGGGACGGTGGACGGTGCGGCGGACGGGGTTGGATCGGGGGGCGGGACACGGGGCTTGAGGGCAGCGAGCGGGCAGGACCCCGACGCTATCGCCCGTTGGGGAGAGGCTCTCGAGGAGAAGAAGGGAGTGAAGCAGAGGCGAGGGCGAGAGAGAGAAGCTCGAGAGGCCCGGTCCAAGTGGCTGCCTGCCCCTTCTTCAACCCACCAAAAGATTAGGTAACCCGCTTTCTCACCCGATCAGCCACAAGTCCTCTGCCACTCCCGTGGCCACCCACGCCACTCCTCTCCCTTCCCCCGCCGGTCCCCGGACGTTGACCCTTCAGCTGAGCAAGCTCCCTTCCCCGTCCTCCCCTCGGCCTCTCCGGCTTTCCCTTTTTGCTCCGAGCCCCTCGCCTTATCAGACACGAGGCCCTGCACTCCGTGCCCCTCGTGACGCAACGCCCTGCATCCCCACCGCCATCCCAGCGCATCCCAGCGCATCCCAGCCGCTCTCGCAGCCAGCACCTGCCACCTCCTCGTACCCTTTTTGGGCCTCTCGATCATCAGAACAGAACGACCCACTCGTCCACACGCCCTCGCTTGGCCTCCACTCTGGGCAATTCCACGACGACTCCCTGGCCAGCCAGCCAGCCAGCCAGCCAGCCAGCACACGGCATCTTTGAAATACAAGGATTTTATGTGTCTCTGACTTCCTACCTTCTTCCGAGGCGTTGTGGTTTGGCCTTCGATGATTCGCCCCATCCCAATCAAGCCTTGACTCTTGTCCTCAAACGCAGCAGAATATATCCCGAAGCGCTATCAATAACTCAAAACAGACCACACGCTGGCTCCTCTTCAGGCTGTTCTCGACCGCCGCAATGCAGTAATGTACGTACACCGCGAAATGAGGCGCAGGCCGCCGTGAATCAATTAGGTAGACTTTTGACACCTTGCGGCGATCGTTCGTCCGTGCAATACATGAAAATTATCGCGCGCCACAATTTCCATATTTCAGTCTCTGCTCCCGGCCAAAGCCGAAGTGTCCACGCAAGAACTGTAACAGTTGTGGCTGATAAGGTTCGGTGGCTTAGATTACGTAATGAATACGCGCACGGGCATCGTGCTTGGTAGTATAGGTCCCCTCCATCGACCGTAAACCCCCCTCAAGAACAAGGTCAGCCCGTTCACGCACCTTTTCTTACCGCCAGGCTCACCCTCCGCTAGACAACCGACGATGGTCAACCTTCGCTCGCAAAAGCGGCTTGCCGCATCCGTCGCCGGAGTCGGCAAGCGAAAAATTTGGCTCGACCCCAACGAGCAGTCTGAGATTGGCAACGCCAACTCGCGGACGCACGTAAAGAAGCTCATCAAGGACGGTCGCATCATCGTGAAGCCCACCGTCGTTCACTCGCGCGCACGCACACTCGACCTCCTTGCCGCGAAGCGCAAGGGCCGGCACACGGGTGTCGGTAAGCGAAAGGGTACCAGCGAGGCGAGGATGCCCAGCAAAGTGCTGTGGATGAGGAGACAGCGGGTGTTGAGGCGGTTGCTCCGGAAGTACCGTGAGGCGGGCAAGATCGACAAGCATCTGTGAGTCTTGTGTCCATATCTCGACATCTCTATGGTCATTCATCTCCCTTCCTATCGTGTCGTGTGTAGCTACCACTCGCTCTACCAGAAGTCGAAGGGTAACGTCTTCAAGAACAAGCGCGTGCTTATGGAGTACATCCACAAAGCCAAGGCTGAGAAGTCCCGTACAAAGGTCCTCACCGACCAGATGGAGGCGCGCCGTGTCAAGAACAAGGTACGTCTCATCCTCGTCCTTTTTCGATCTATTTCTCACATCGCGGACACGGAAACAGGCTGCCCGGGAACGTCGTGCCACCCGTGTTGCGGAGAAGAGGCAGGGTATCTTGGCTGTCGAGCACGTCGAGGCCAAGGAGTGATTATGATTTTTCTTTTGTCTTCCTTGTATCCTATGATATGCCGCATGCATCCACCCACACAATATCACGCCAGGCCCGGTCATGCTCGCATATAGTCTCCGTTTGCTTTGAGATGATTCGCACATTCTACTCGCACCTTATGGATGTTCAGGTTCTCGATCGTCGTGATTGTCGAAGCACGCATAGAGGCTTTGTGAAAGGCCGACGTTGTCCTACGCTATGTTTCGATTGTCTTTGTCGAAAGTATACAGTAAGAACACGGAAGCTATGATCATGTTTACCCCCACAACACTTGTCAAGGACCAACTGCGGCGCCGTCAGAGCCAGTGTCCACTCGACCTCGTGAAAATAATACGCTACTACTAGTAGGCCTCGCCACCGCCAGCAACGGCTTACGAACGTTGCGCTCCCGCGATCATGAACCCAGACAGCCAGCCGATTCACGTCGTCAAGAAGAACGGAGCAGACCGTACGTGTTCTCCACGTTCCACCCCTTCAGCACCGCAATTCTCTCACATGCCATCATTATATATGGTCTGCCAAATTGCTCTCAATGCTTCTAACCCGACATTTTGCATTTGTGTACGCAATGTGATGGACTAATCATGCGGCTTCCGCACGCCAGTCCTCGTACAGATCGTCGAGCGCCGCGCGGGCCAGGTGTACGTGCACTACGTCGACGCCGACAAGCGGCTAGACGAGTGGATCCCCGACACCAAGGTGCGGCTCAAATCGAAGTCGAAGTCGGCCTCGCCCTCGCGCGGCAGCAATGGCAACGGCAACGGCGCCGGCTACAGAAACAGGAACAGCGCAGGTAAGGACGGCGGCGACAACGGTGCTGGGAATGGGGCTGCCGCCGCCGAGGGCGGCGGGAGCAACGGGCGCAAGCGCCGCCGGGGTCGCTCGCCCGCGGTTCGGGAGGGCGATGGGCCTGGACTTCAGCATGGCGTTGCGGATGAATTTGGGGGCGACCAGCCGGACGAAAAGCCCTTGAATATCGTCGAGCCCGTAGTGACCGCATCGACGTCCACGTTGGCGGAGGCGGTGGCATCAGGGCCATCCGTGCCACCGGCGCGCGCGGCGAGTTCATCGAAGTTGAAGAAGTCAAAGGGCCTGCAGCGCAACAAGGACATGACGGAGGAGGAGTTTGATATTCAGCACCACAAGCAGATCACTGCCCGGCGGAACTTTGACAAGGTCAACTTTGGGCATTGGCAGATCAAGACGTGGTGCGTCCCGCCCGCTCTCTGAATTGTACTTTCGCTGGTTTATTCGCTCGTATTCGCCTAATTCTATGCTATTGAACGTCTGTTGATCATATGCGTTCTATTCCCCACGCGTGCCCGCCGCAGGTATTTCTCCCCGTATCCGCTCATCGAGACCGAGGACGACGCACCGACACCGAGCGCGAGTGCCAGCGGGCCAGTCGATAACACCTCCACCACGTCGGCGTCCGCACCGGCGCGCATTGCAGGGGTCGCGCGCGCGACGATCCGCTCACACGGGAGGACGTCGGACCTTCTTGCGGGAGGGCTCGGGCGCGAGCACTCGGGGCCCGGGGAGCGGAGCACGCTGTGGGTGTGCGACCGGTGTTTCAAGTATATGGCGGATGGGACGGCTTGGGAGGCTCACATCGTGCGTGTCGAATTTTTCTCATTCCTTCTATTTTCAGGGCCTTTTTCTTTCTTCCTGCTTGTCAAATTTTACACCCAAATTTCTTTCTGTTCTGTTCTTCTATTATGATCTCGGTCTTGGCAGCGGGCAGCTGACCGGTGCTAGATGTGCAGAAACGGTGCCCGCGGAAGCATCCGCCAGGAAGGAAGGTGTACCAGCGCGGTGCACACACGATCTGGGAGGTCGACGGCGCGAAGGAGAAGGTGCGCAGATCTTCTCGCTTCCTCGATCGTGTCGACTGATCGGGCTGGCCTGTCAGCTCTATTGCCAGAACCTATCCTTGTTCGGGAAGCTATTCATTGATATTAAGACCCTCTTTTTCGACTGCGATAACTGTGTGTTGCGATTTCGCTTCCTGCCTCGCTCTGCGCGCGGTTGACAATTCGCTCGCAGTTCTGTTCTACCTCCTGACGGACGCGGATTCGCAGCGAGACCATGTACTGGGATTCTTTTCGAAGGTATCTTTCTTGCAATCTCCCAGCGCATGGCCTTCTTTCGACACGCCCTTCCCAGGAAAAGGTCTCATACGACGACTACAACCTCGCGTGCATAATCGTCCTCCCGCCATACCAGCGCAAGGGCTATGGGATGCTCATGATCGAATTTAGTGCGCACGATCCAAAATTGTCAACCCCTTGACCAGCAACAACGTCATTTCCGGGCGTTCATCTGACCTTCTGACTGTCACCAGGCTACGAGCTGTCTCGACGCGCAGGCCGTGTGGGCACTCCAGAACGGCCTCTGTCCGACCTAGGGCTGCGCAGCTACCTTACCTATTGGGTATCAACTCTGCTCAGGTTCCTCCAGTGCGCCCTGCTTCCCCCTTGAACTCTCATACTCTTCGGTTTACTCACGCGCGGTCTCGGACCGCAGACGCCTGCTCTCCGTATTACCCCCCGAGCTTCCAAGGGTCGCCGGCCTTCCCCGCCCACCCGATCTCGCCCAACGCACCCCGTCCGCGGACGGGGACGAAGGAATGCCGAGGCTCAAGCGGCGGCGGCCGACCAAAGGCTGGGACGGTGAAGTGGAAGCCTCCGACTCCGCCTCGGTCACGCCGCACGCGCTTCCGTCACCGCCCTCGTTCGAGAGCCTTCGGCAGGTCGTGACGACGGCGAACGCGGACGGGAGCGCGACGACGCACGTCATCGTGCGGTGCACACTTGCGGAGCTCGCGCGCGCGACGAATCTGCGCGTGGACGACGCGGCGTTCGCGCTGAACGAGTGCGGGCTGCTGCTTCGGCGGCGGGCGAGCGAGGGAGACGAGAGCGCCGCGGGCGGTGGGAGCGGCGAGACGGTCGTCGTGTCGCGAGAGATGGTAGACGCGGTCGCGAAGGCGCGGAACGTGAAAAAGATGTGTATGGACCTGGCGCATGTGCTGTTGTAGCCCGGATCACCTCACAGCTTGCGAGGCTCGTACCCTGCACGTGTTGTATATCTCTATTTATCGCTCATTGTGAATTGATGTCGGTCCACTTGTGATCTTCTCTATCAAGGGCAGCATGTGTCCTATCGGAGGGCCCTGTCATCGGGTCGACGGGGTAGACTAGTATGGACTTGGGCATGGGTCGTTGCAGACGAGATATTCAAAGAGCATGCGGTTCAGCGATTGCCTCGTCCAGGGCACGGGCGCGCTCTTTCACAGTCCAAGCGCCTCAAATCCGCAGCCTGGGCGGCCCGAGACTCGAAATGGGCGATGGTCATGCTTGTGAGCGATGTTCAGCGCGCGCCACCACCAGTGAAGGCCCTGTCCTTGCAATGCAGCAAAGTTACATTGCACCCTGGAGTCGCCCGTGTCCCCATTTGGTGGACACAAAGGTCAGCTACATAGAATTGGGATGATTTCGGGCTCTTCGTGGTTTCAAATGTGCACTAGGGGTCATTCCATACAATTAAAATATGATGCGGGCTTTCGAGCGATCCTGATGTTTAAGAAAGTAGTATGACGTCATTCCAGACGGTTGTTTGGCAAGAGCTTCTGAAATAAACAAACGCTCGTAGCCGTGCCACGGGGCCAGCGTCAGTTCACGGTGGCGTTCAGCAATATACTTACAGTACATTCCGTCTGTACATTCGATCGCGCTCCATTCTCCGTGTAATGTTCTAGTCGCGACCATGTCGACCAACTCGCTCCCCTTCTCGGAATTCGAGTCCCTGCTGCCCAAGCTGCTCACCGTCTTGGAGCTCACGCAGCATCCAGAGGGCATCGCCACCCAAGAGGCCAGACAGAGGCTTCTCCAAGCTGTCCGTCTCGGGCCCGTCTAGCCCTTCTTATAACTGCGGAACGATGACCTGACGCTTCTGTCGTATCACAGACTAAAGACTTCAAAGCATCTTTGAACCACGCGAAGGAGCTCGCGAACGCCTTGCCAGGCGGTGAGCTGCTGATCAAGGAGCAGGACGAGGTCATCGCCATGCTGGGGAGATTGAGGGACAGAAAAAGGTTGGGATATTCTTCCGTCCTGTGGTCTCGAAGCGCTCACATGTGTCCAGAGAGCAGCTGGCCCAGTTCTCGAGCAGAGAGATCAGCGCGTCTATTAGTGTGAGCCAGAGCATGGCCATAGAAGTCGACTCGACGGCTTCTACGCCTGCATGATGTACAATATTATCTTATTTTAATCCCACACGTCGTTGTGGCGATTTGGATTCAGACCGATTGACTGCATCCCATGTTTTCCAATACCTTTCAGGGCTGTTGGTCCGTCTCCACTTGCCCATTCTTGCTGATCTCCACACCCTCCTCGAAACCTCCACATCGCCGCAGCCTGCACCGCCGGACGGGATAAGGTCTACACCAGGCAGAGCCTGCACCACGCTCTCTCCACCGCCGCCGCTCGTTCTCCACCTCCACCCTCCTCACTTTTTTTGTTAACCATGCTGAGCTTATCACCCCCAACCCTAAGCGCCCTCGCCGAATTCTCAGACCTCCTCGCGCGCGAATCCTCGTCCGCGCTGCACGTCGCCTGGATCAGCCCCGGCCCGAGCGACGTGTACGGCCCCGGCGACGTCATCGTCGGCAAGTGGCAGAGCGAGCAGAAGGTCGTCTCGCCCTCGTTCCGCCTCTGCTCCGGCGCGCACGGCGGGTGCGGCGACACGGTGTGGCCCGCGGTCGCAGAGAGCGCGGGGTCCTACGTCATATCTGTGTGAGTCCCCGCGCGGCTGCGATCACGGAATTCGACGTGCTCACGCTCGCGGATCCGCGCGTGCGTGCGTGCAGGACGGTGCCGAACGTGACGGCCGACATGGGGCTGTACCTGCAGATGAAGGACGACTTTGGACACACGGCCTCCTCGCCGACCTTCAACCTCAGTCGTGAGCCCACCTCGCCTCTTCACATCTGACACCCTCTACGTCCTCGCTCACCCCTCCCCCGCAGCCTCCCCACAAGCGGTAGCAGCAGCACCGCCCAACCCATCTCCTAGCACCTCCACCTCCGGATCCCCATCCAACGCCCCACCCGCCTCTCCCCCCGCCGCACACCCGACCCCGACCCCGGCGCCTTCCCCAAACGCGAACGCGAACCCCGCCTCCCAGCTCGCACCCGCAAGCCACCGCGCGCCCCCCGTCGCCGCGCTCGCCGTCCCCCTCGCGCTCGCCGGCCTCGTCCTCCTCGCCGCGTCCGTCCTCGCGATCCACCACCACCGCGCCCTCGCCGCCTCGCGCGCGCGCGACGCCCGCATCCTCCGCCGCGCCTCTACCACCTCCACCACCTCGTCCTCGTCCTCGTCCTCGTTCTCTTCCTCGTCTGCGGGCGCAGCATCGACGGACAAACGCGGGCTCGACCTCGCCGGCACCCACATCGGCAGACTCCACGCGACGCCCGCAGCATCGGCACCGGCACCGGCACCAGCGCCAGACGCCGACGCCGACGCCGACGTCGAGAAGGCCCTCCTCGTCGACGCGCTCCTCGCAAGCTGCCGCGCGCACGCGGGCACCGTCCACACCGTCCACGCCGTCCACGCCAACACGCAGCAGCAGCAGCAGCAGCAGCAGCGGCTGCGGCCTCCCTTCCTCCCGACTGCCCCGCCCCGCCACGACTCCGCACCGCGCGAGCGCACGCGCCAGCCCTTCGCGCAGGCCTACCGCGCCGCCGCCCCTCCACCGTCGTCGTCGTCCTCGTCCTCGACAGCAGCAGCAGCAGCAGCAGCAGGTGGAAGAGGAAGAAGAAGAGGAGGAGGGGGAGAAAGAAGAGGAAGGACGCCCTCGCCTCCGTCCGTCACGTCCTCCCTGCTCCCCTCCTACCTCCCCTCGCCCGCATTCTCCCACTCCAAATTAGGCGAATACGACGACGAAGACCACGAAGACCACGATGGCCACGACGGCCACGAACACGACCATGACGGCCACCATGACCACCACGTAGAACACGAGCGCGAGCTCCTCCAGCCCCTCCCCCTCCTCCACGTGCGCCCTCCAGCGCCCGCGAGCCGTCCCTCGTTCCCGTCCTCGGCGTCCTCGTCCTTCGCGTCCTTCGCGTCCGACCGCGACAAGCCGCTGCCGCTGTCGCTGCCGTCCGAGTCCCAGAGCGAGCTATACGCGGCTGTCGCCAAGGCCCTGGGGAGCGAGCCAAGTGCAGGTCGGTAGAGCATACGACCGCACCGACCCTCGATGCGCCACTGCCATGAATTTCTATGTACATGAACCGATCAGCGGGGTGTTGGAAATTTAGACCTGCTCAAGCATTTCCCATCTCATCGGCGCTCACTGGTGTATGGTGGATTCCTAGTACCGTATACAGCCCAAGAAATGTATTGTACATTATCACCCTCCATGGGACATCTCGCACGATCATACAGACGACAGGGACGTGTATAAACCAGAACAAAGTACAACAACAACAGGTTACAACAGGATGGAGGACAAATTTGGTAAACCACAACAAGCGTCGAAACAAACGAAGCGCAAAAGGAAGCAAAAATCTAAGTGACTAATGTAAGTAGTACGGATAATTCGAAGGTGAATAGAGAAGCATAAAGTAGGGTATATACTAAGTAGTGGACAGCGATCAGAACAGAAAGGATACTGCAATGGCGGAAATGACCACGGGAAAAAAAAAGCTCATGATGGTGGTACAACAGTAGATAAAACACGATGGTATAAGTAGGATATGGTGTGTGAAGAAGGGAAGAAGGGAGAGGAAAAAAGCGACGAAAAAAATCTAGAAATATATGGAACGGCAGGTTCGTCTCAACTGGAGTCGTACCACTCACTCGGCGCCATCGACGGCATCCCCAGCAATGGCACACCTTCACCTACGCCTCTCCCACCCGCACGCCTGACGATATCCCTCAGCGTTACCGGTGTCCGCGCCTCCATCACCAGGAGACAATGGCCCGCCTCCACACCTTCCCCGCGCTCGTCCTCAAGCTCATCACCCCTGTCCTCGTAGACAGACGACGCGCAGACGATCCGCCCACTCTTCAGCGGCGGCACTCCTTCCAAGCCCAGCGCGCTACCGACGCCGTCAGAAAGTTGTCTCTGTCTCCTGCTGTGCCGCATTGAGTGCCGAGGAAATGATCCGGGAATCCGGAACGGGCCGAGCTTGGCGCTGCTGTCCGAATCATCTTCGCCTTCGTCCTCATCGTCCCCGTCCTCTCCATTTACCCCGCCTAGAGCCTTCATGCTACCGACGACGGCAAGTCCGCTGGGCCTCAATCCTCTCAACACCATCTCCACGCCGCCCCTGCGTCCTTCCACGACTCGCGCCTCCACCCTTCCCACATCGGGTCCCGACCTGGACATCGGGCCAATCACGACTTGCCCTGCTTCTCCTTCCTCACATTCCTGCCTCAGGGCGCCCCAGCTCCGTGCGCCGACGACCAAGCGTTTTCCACGCGAGAGTTCAAGGGACGTAGGCAGTGTCAGAATGCGCTGGCCGTCTTGCACGGCGTAGAAGGATCTCTCAACGTCCTCTGGTCTGTCCTCCTCCACATCCAAGTCTGTTGCTGAGGTAGGCCTCGACCGCGCGCTGTAGAATGTGTCACGCACACCCGAGTCCTCGTCCCTCTCCACGCACAGATCGGGAGACGATAGGGCTGCATTAGTGGAGTGCGTGCAGGAAAGAGATGGCGATGTCGTGTTCGTCGCGTTCCCATCGAGCGTCGTCGCCGATGTGATTGTCAATAGCGATGACCGCGTCGACTCGCTCGTGCTCTCGCTCGACGTGACGATGTTCCTCCTCCTCCTTGTGCGCACCTAGAAACCGACGAAGCGAATGCATCAGTCTACTGGGTCATCGTAGCCAGCGGCGACACGTACCTCGACGTCCGCAAAGTCGGGCTCGACTTCTGAATCCGGCATAACGTCTCCCGCCTTCTCCATGCCTTCGATCCTCTCTCCAAGCACGCTGACGAACCCAACGCCGGCGCCGATCGCTGCCTGGACCGCCTCGATGCCCTCTCCCATCTCTATCTCGACATCCACATCGTCTTCGCTCGTGCTCAACTTGCCCCCGGTCGACAAATACAACGATCCTCCGACAGGCAGCCCCACAAAGCCATGTGGCCGCTCGGCCTTGAGCAGCACGCCTCGCCTGCGCCTCGTTGACGACCGAGACTGAGGGTGCGACTGCGCGCCGCCAAGAAGCCTATCCTCCCTCCTCAGCCGTGGCTTGCCGTGTCCGCCTCTGCGCGCGCCGCTCTCTTTCCGCGTTCTTGTCCCCCCTGACAGGTGCCGCACGCGCGGTAGAGGCGTGGGCGGGAGGGGGCCGTTGGGCGGGGGAGAGATGGGTGGCGGAAAGGCAGGGGGCGGGCCTGGAGGGGGCGTGGTGAGCGTGACGGTGAGACTGAGGCGTCTGTTTTCGTCCGTTGTGTCGTGCTGGGCTGGCGGGAGGGGAAAGGTAAGGGACATGGCTGGGGAGGATGACGGAAAGGAGACAGGCGGGTGTGCGAGCTTGAACGCAGACGAGTCGGAGCTGCCAATACCACGCGCCATTGTCGGACGGACGGACATGCGAGGCGTCGAATGCGAGTGGACGAGATGCCTCTCCGCTAGAGAGGGAAGGAGGAGGCCGCCGGCATCCTGTTGGGACTTGCGCTTTGCCTCGAAGCGAGGTGCGTCCTGGCCAGTGATGACGAGCATGCCTCGACGGAAGGGGTCGTGTTCCGGAGCGAGTGCGTGAGCGAGAGCGTCTGTGCGCGCATATGGGTCAAGAAAGGCGTCTGCCAGGGGCGAGGTGGGGGAGGGGGAAGGAGCAGGGGAGGACGAAGAGCAGGACAGGGCGGGGGTGGCGAGAGCTTCGGAGGGCGAGGGCGAGTGGAAGCCTGTGAAAACGTTCAGCCTCGAACGCAGGATGGAATTTGGGCTGGAGCGGGAGGAGGGCTGCTTTGAATGGTCGGGTATATGCTATGGCGAGTGCGCGTGAGAAGGAAGAGTCGGAGAGGACGAGGGACGGAGGGGGAACGTACGGGACGCGGGGTCGAGTCGGAGGCGGTGGACCTGGGAGAGTTGTTTGGGGTTGCGGCGGGGATGGGTGGAGGAGTGCGGGGAGCGAGGAAGGGGGCGTGGGGACTGGGGATGCGAACGCGGAGGCGCGAGGGCGTGCTTGGCGGGGAGTCGTCGTGGCTGTCGCTGTCGAAGAAGGAGTGGAGCGAGGGCTGGTGTGGGTGACGCGGGGGCGAGGCGGGCTTGAAGGAGATGCGGCTGAGCGAGCGCGTCGTGAAGGCGGGGGTGGGCGCGCGCGGAGGCATGAACGCGGACGGGGCGTGGGACACGGTCGCAGAAACAGAGGCGAAGTTGGAGGCGGTGGTGGAGGCGGTGGACGGGCGGTGGACAGCGTCGTGCACGTGCGACTTGACCTTGCGGAGGAGGGAGAGGGCGGAGTGGCGGGAGCGGCGGGGGCTGTTTCCCGTGTCGAGGACGTCGCCGTCGTCGTCGTCGTCGTCGTCTTCGAACACCGAGTGGGAGGGGGACACGGAGGCGGACGGCGGGTCGGTGTGTGGGAGATGGCCGAGGCCGAGGTCTGTGCGGCCGACCGAGTCGAAGGAGGCGGAGACGAGGTGTGTGAACTCCTCGAGGGAAAACACGGGGCTCTTCGCAGCGGCAGCGGGCATGGCTCAGACGCAGACTTGGACTGGGAGGAGACCCGGCGGCGAGGACGGGCTATAAGTACGCGGCGGGGGTCTGCGCCGGAGATCGCGCCCCCGGATCTGCACCGAGCCTCCGTCGCCCCATTCGGCCCCGATCCTCCTCGCAGTCCCGACCTTCCTGTCCGACCTGCCACTTCCACTGTCACTCTCCTTGCCGCTTCTGGCCTCGCTCCTTCCCTGCCCCCTTCTCTCTTCCCCTGCTTCCCAGTACCCCCAACCCCCAGTATCCCTACATGACTGCGCGACATACATATTGGTACGCGTTCCCCCCACACGAATGGGCCGAACAGATGTGGCGCTGGGACATGGAGCGCGGTAGTAGCAGCAGCCTAGCACCTGCGACTCCGAGCATCCGCAATCAATCGTCATCAATCCGCGCAGAGTCGCCTCTCTGTCTCACGTCACCCTAAGTACCAGTCCCGCAACAGACACAGACAGACATCTCGACGATCTGCGCACCCCCGTCTTCTGCTTCTGCTTCTGCTTCCCCATCCCCTCCTCAGCTAAATTCAAAGGAAAAACAAAGTGCATATCATCTGCGTACTACTACCGCCGGCCTAATGCGCAATTAGACCATACTCGTCTATCGCACTTCCTCGCTATGCGCCTCTCTCTGCTGTCCTCTCAGGCTCTCTCGCAGGGCGCGTGCGCGCACGTACGCACACCCGAGGACAGGCGTAGTCGTGCATTTGACGACCCTGGCGTGACGACATCTGTCTAGAGCAGCTGCCGTCCTAGCTTTCCCGATATCGACCAACGTACCCTCCATCCGACTTCCCATCTCCTCATCAACGCATATACGACGTGCGTGCATACCGTGCAACCATATCTACCAGGGCGCAGCACGAATACACATGCTACAAGCGCCCATCACCAACACACCTTCTAAAAGGACCCAACATGATAGTACCCCCACCCCATCTCCCCCCACCCGCACTCCCAACACCCCAAAAAACGCCTCGACGCTTGACGCCTGAAGGCCAAACACACAAAACGCCAGCCAAGACGCAATGAAGATCAGGGCCCCTCCCCGGGACCTCCGAATCCCCTACCCTACCAGACGCTACCTCCCTTCATCGATGATCGCCGAACGCACCCCCTCCGGCTCAATTCACGATCCCCGCCTCGACGTCGACGCGCCCGCACTCAGCGCGATCGACGGCGAGCACCGAGCAGCGGCGGAAGCAAAAAAAAAAAAAAACTGAGACTCCATGGCGGGCCACTATTACGTAACGCTTTCCCGACCTCCCCGACCGACCTGTCTATCGAGATCCGAGATCCGCGACCCGCCGAGACCGAGAATCGACGCCGGATCGAGATCGCGGGTGGCTTCTGACGCGCCTTCGTGCTCGCAATCCAACGCGTGCGCGCGCGCGCGCTAACTCTCTCGCATCTCGAGCTCAGCTGCTCGGTCAGAGGTGCACGGTCGTCTACTCGTTCTCGCCGCGTCGCTGTGCGTCAGCGGACGATGCCGACCCCGCCCGTGCCCCCGTGTACGCGCCGGGTGCGAAGGAACCTCTGAACGCGGCGCGCGCATGGGTCGAATGCTCCCCGGGCAGGCTTTGAACAAATGCACATCTCAATCGAAGCCCCCAGACTCCAGAGCCCAAAAGACCCGTTGCCCGTCGCCCGTCGCCCGTCGCCCACCTGACGAAGACTCGGAGCCTCGGACTCGGACTCGGACTCGGACTCGGACGAAGATCGAGGTCGCGCGCCGCCCACCTGCCCACCCGCCCACCCGCTCCTGCCTGCCTCTCCTCTCTCTACGCGATGCTCTCCTCGACGTCGTTGACCGCCGAGCACCCTCTCCACGACTCGAGCGTGCAGCCCGCGAACCACCAGGACCTCGCCATCTCGGCAGCCAGCCTACCCGCAAACCAGCCAACCAGCCTGCCAGTCAATCAGCCAGCCAGCCAGCCAACCGCACGCCAATCACTCGCCCACCACGACTCGACCCGACCCGACACGACACGACACGACGCGACGCGACGCGACATGAACATCAACACGGTACGATATGATACGATGCGCGCGCGCGCAGATCAGATCGAAGATCGCACGACCCGCGCTTTCTCTCGTCGACCTATTGATGTCAGCCACTCGATCCAAGTAAGTTACCTCGACGCGGGAGTAAACCGAGGACGTAATTAACTTGTAATTAACGAACACCGGAACCCAATCGAGATCTCCGATCTGCGAGATCCAAGATCCGATACTCACGCGTATCGCTCCCGTATTACACTCATTCACTACCTACTCACGATTGAATTTACCGTACGCGCGACGATTGATTGAATGCACGACGGTCAGCACACGCTCAAAGACGCAGCGCGGCGATCTGCACGAAACGCGATACGACGATGATCTGAAATTCGAGACGAGGGCGCGACGCCGTACACACAACCGAGTGCCGGTGGCTAGAGAGACGCTAAAGCTAAATCGCATCGGGAGGAGTGACAGAGACGTAACCGGTACTGGTAAAGATGGAGGTACACACAGACAAGTACACGACGAATGACAGGCTCTAATAAACTAAAATGCTCGTGGCTCTACAGTACTAGTACAGTATGGGGTCCGCGTCCGTAATAAAATACCGACTAACTAAAATAATACAGCCGTCGACGAACGGAGGATGATAGGGGGTAGCCAAGAACAGAGGGAACACATTGCAACACCACGCCGAGGAGAGTCCGAAGAAGAGGTGTCCGAAAATATGAGAGAGAGAACCAAAACCCGCGGGAGACCTGCTCGCCACAGCGACCACTACCAGCCCCCGTCGCCGCTGCTCGCGCTCCCGCTGCTGCCCACGCTACTGTCCCCCACCCACCCCGCCGTCGTCCTCGCCACCTCCCGCTTCCCAGCCCCCGTCCCCGCCCGCCTCCAAAAGCTCCCATAGCACCCGGGCACACCCTCGTCCCCCTCCACCCACCACCGCCCCGCCGCCCTCTTCTCGTCCCTCCCCGCCCCGGGCTTACGCACCGTGTACCCGATACCCCTTCCCGCCGTCCACACCCCCGCACCGAGTCCCAGCCCCGGGCTGCCCTCCCCTGCGCCTGCGCCTCCATCTGCACCTCCGCCTGCGCCGCCGTCGAACCCGACCGCGCACGGCCCCCCGACGCTGCCGATCTCCTTCAGCCGCCGCGTCAGCTTCCCCACTGCCCCGCTGCCCATCCGTGCCTTCGCCTTCGCCGACCGCATCTGCAGCTCCAGCTCCAGCGACACCGTGCTCCACCGGAACGTCGCGTCCGCGCGCTTCCCTGCGCCCTCCACCACCGCCATCCGCCTCGCGTTCGTGTTCTCCCGCCCGAGCCCCTCCACCCTGCTCATCGTCGCGGGCGCAGCCGCAGCCCTAGCGCCAGCGCCAACCCCAACCACACGCCCGTCCAGATCCAGTCCCCAGCCCGCTTCCTCCCGCGCCTCCACCACAGACGCGTACCCCGACTCCCCGCCCCACGACCACCCCCTACCCGCGCCCGCCCCCATGCTCACGCTCGACCCCGGCCGCCGCTTCTGCAGCTTCCGCCGCCTCCGGCGCGCCATCACCCCCGACCCCACCGAATCAGCGTGCCACAGCCCCGTCCGCGACCCGGCCGTCTCGCCGTCGCCGTTCTCGTCCCCGTCGGTCGACACCGCCGTATGCGCGGAGAACCCGCCGGGACCGAGGCCCATCCCGAGTCCCACGCACTGGCTGCTAGAAAATCTGTCCCGTGTCCTGTCCCCGCCGCGCGCGAGCAGCACCGGGATCGGGAGCGCCAGCGCGCCTTCCAGGCTCATCAGCTCGTCCGCCGCTTCGTCTTCATCCTCCTCCTCGTCCTCCTCACCGCCGCTCTCGCGACGTCGATGACGCTCTCGATCCCGACTCCGGCCCCCCTCCGACTCGTCCACCCACACCCCAAACTCATCCACCCCCGAAGCCTCCACCGCCTCTCCGCTCACCCCGCTCACCCCCTCTCCCTGCATCACCTCCCTCAACGCCGCGTCCGACAAGAACGACGGGCTCGCCCCAAACACGTCCTGCACCCGCCGCGTGCTGCGCCGCGCGGACGCGCTCGCCCTGATGACGCCGGGCAGCGCGCGCACGCTCCCGAGCTGCGGCATCGACGCCGACGCCGGCAACGACACCGACACCGACGCAGGCGGCGACGGGTTCCGCGGCCTCTCCATCTCCACCTCCATCTCCATCTCCATCTCCCGCCCGCGCGCCTGCTCGCCCTCCCTACCAGCGTCGTCCTGCACCTGCAGCCCTGCCATCATCCCCGCCCGGTCCAGAGACACCGACATCGGCCTCGACCCCGCCCTCCTCGCGCGCACCGCACGCCCCAGCACCGCCGGCGTATGCGTGTGCGAGCTCGAGCTCGAGCTCCCGCCCGAGCTCAGCCCCGCACTGACAACCCCGTCGCCGTCGCCGTCGCCGTGCGCGCTCGATCCCGTCCGCACGCTGAGGCCGGACGACGAGCCGCGGATGGACAGCTCAGACACCGGCTTCGGCTTCGGCTTGACGCGATACTTCGCTGGCTGGGCCAGGGGCGAAGGCGGGTGCCACGGCGACGCGAGGGTCGGCTGGGACGTCGGCGGCGGCGTGAACAACGCGGTCACGATCGACGCCGAGGTTGCAGTGGCGATGGTGGCCGATGTCGACGTCGACATCGACACCATCGCAGCCGGTTTCGTGCCCGTCGAGCTCATTCTGGACGAAGAAGCCCCCATGGGCGGCGCTGCACGGGCATCGGTTCCTTCATCGTCGGCACCCAGATCGAGGTTCCATTCTCTGCATAACACAGAACGGCTCAAATCGGAAGCCAGGCAAAGCCAGGTGAAACACGCACACATCGTCGAAAAACGCATGCCCCCTCACGCGTTCAAAATCTGCCCTCTTCGACGGGTTCCGCTCGAGGCACTGCACCGCACCGGCGCGTCAGAAACAACGACGTCACAGTGCCGGAATATCTCAAAGACAACGCGCACCTCCTCGACCAACCCCTTGACCGCTCCTTGCGCGATGTCCTCCGAACCACCACCCATCGCATCATCGGGCACCGGCCCCTTCAAAATCCGCGCGCGCATCGTTGCCGACGAGATCCTCCCCGCCCCGCGCTCACTCCTGCCAACGAAGGGATGCTAACACGTGCGTCATCAATACCAGCACTCCAAAAGCCAGACACGGAGAAAAGAAGGAACACAAAAAGTAAGTAAAGAAGATTCACCTGACCCCACGCCATCCAGCCAACCACGACACCATAGGCCCACCAGTCGACTTCGAGCCCGTGCGCCCACCCAAGCAGCACCTCCGGCGCCTCCTCCCACTCCCGCTCGCCCTCGTCTCGCGAGGGCGCCTCCCGCTCCACGGCGTCCAGTCCCAGCCCGAGGAGCGCCACGTCCCCCGCGGGCAATACCACGCTATCCCGACGCCCGCCGCGCGGCACAGCGCCCGTCGTGGACCCAGGGTCGACGCAGCACCTTCCCCGCACCGCGCGGTCCAAGCCCGCGATGCGTACGTGTCCGTCGGGAAGCACGAGCACGTGTGCGGGGCACAGCGCGTGATGAACGATGTCGAGCGCGTGCAGGGCTGCGAGGCCAGACGCCTGTGTGCGGTAGTTACGAAAGTCAGTCGGTGCCAGTGATGTAGATAGAGTGTAACACGCACGATCTCCCGCGTCCAGAGGCGCAGAATCGCCATACCCCCACCCCCTGCAGTCACAGGCCCGTGCGCCGCCATATGCGCTCGCAGCGTGGTGTACTCGTCCCTCAACCCGAGGCCCCCGTCCCCCTGCTCGCAACGAAGCGCGAACACGACGTGGAGGAAGGGCCTGCGGCGTGCGGGGAGAGATGCAAGGAAGTGTAGGACCTCGCTGTCTGCGAGGCGCGCCCGGCTCTGTGTCTGTGAACGAACTGTGGACGCCGCTTGGGATGGTCCCTCGACCCGACCGAGTCTCTTTTCAGCATTCGGTGAGTGAACTAGGGAGGCGGTGCGGACGGCACGGAAGGAGGTGAGCGATGCGGGGCGCAAGTCCAGATCGGAACGACTGCGCGCATGCAGGTCGGGGTGTTTCGGCGTGATCACCATGACCTCCTACATGCGCAAGGGCCGTGAACACATGAATTCCCAAATCTTGACAGAACGAAAAAGACCCACGTCGACGTCGTCGTCCTCCCACTCTGAATCGACGTCCCTGATATCGCTCACCTGCTGCACGTGCGTACGCACCAACGAAACAGACGTGAAGCGTCAGCGAACCCGCAGATAGGGGCCAGACAAAAGCGGGGGGTAACGCACGTCGATGTAGAAGCTGATGTCGCGCACGATCTCCGCCGCGGCGCCGCGGATGTCGGGGCTGGAGCGCACGGTCATAGGCGGGCTCGCGAGCGCGAGCAGCGCCTCCGCGTGTTCCTGTGCGCGGGCGAACCGCGCGGCGTCTTCGTCGCGCCTATATTCGTCGCCGCGCTCGCGGTCGTGCGCAGGCAGATGATAGATCGAGGGCTCGCGCTCGAGGTCGTGCGCCCGCCCCGCCTCCCCGTCCGGCTCGGCGTTGAGCTCGAGGAACGTAGAGAACGACTCCTGCGCGCGCCCGAAACGGACCAGTCAGTCAGCGCAGCGCACAAGTCCCAAGTCAGCGAGCCCGGAGGAGGGGGCGGGGGACGCACGGAGAAGGGCACGGTATCGAACGTGTCGGGGTCCAGGAGCGGGGTCGCGAGGTCGTACGGGGACGGGTGCGGGTATGGGTACGTGTGGCGCTTCGTCTTGGGGCCCCAAGACGCGCTGGGGTGCGGCGACTCGGGCGGGGAGAGCAGCGCGTGGGCGGGCGGGGCGAGCGAGTGCCGGTGCGCGTGCGCGTGGGCGGGTGGGCGGGGATCCTGATGCGACGCCGCATCGGAATGTGCGAGCGGGCCAGGCGCGCGGAGAGGGATGCGTGAGCGGCGCGCGGGCGCGGGCGCAAGTGGCATAGCTCGGGCGAGTTCAAGCCGTGTACACTGCGTAATATTCGCGGCGAGATCAGAGTCGCGCACCGCGGCGTGAACAAACAAAAAACAGGGAAAGAAAGAAAGAAAGAAAGAGCGGGCGAAAGAGAGAGGCGGGCAGAGAGAGAGGCAGAGACCGTCGAACCTTCAGCACGCGACCGTCGACGACGGTGACACTGGGGCCGCGGCTGGGCAGGAAGAGCACGCCCGATCCGTGGCGAGCCGCCGCCCACTGCCCAGCGTCCCAGCGTCCCAGCGTCCCAGCTCGACCCAGCCGCAGCGGCAGCCGTCCCCGAGACCCCCGCCCGCGTCCAGATCGAGCACGGTCGCGCGCAGGAGGATCGAGCAGGGCCCGCAAGTGTCGTCGAAGCGTCGTGCCAGTGTCGCGCCCCTCCACGAAGCTCGCAAACTCTGCCCGCCCGTCGCCCGCTCGACGTCCGTCGGTCCACGCACAGAACAGGCTCCATTCGGTCACCGATCCAATCCGCCATTGCTCTCAATTTGGCAGCCGCAGAGGAGGCATGCGCGACGCCCGTGCGACGTACGTTGTCAATGTCACGATCAAACTTGGAGTTCCGCGATACCTTCGGTCCGCGCGGCCCGCGTCCACACTTGACTTGGTACTACGAAATAACCTCCGAGTCCCGTCACTCCGAGACAACGCAGCAAGTCTATGATTCCATCTCCTCCTGGGCCAAAGTACACCTTGGTGAGTCGCAATGAAAAAAAAAACGTGAGCAATAGCAGATCCCATAATATACATTAGTACAAGATATCCCGGAGCATCGTCAACCGCCTGCTAGAGCCCACCTTCGCTACCCAGCCTAGCATGTGGAAACAAAAACAAAAACAAACATCAACTCACAGAAAGAGAAAAGATGTAACAGAGGCCCGAGATGGTATGACTAGATCGACCCGCTACATCCTACAACAACACCAACGACAACAACAACGCCCACGACGACGACAACAACAACAAGATCCCACGTCCGTTCACATTCACACCCACACACACCCATAGATCGTCCGTCACCACGTCTCCGGCCTGTAGGCAAAGCAAGTCGCGCACGCCGCCATCAGCAAACCTCACGCTCAAGCAAGGTACCACCACTCACCCAAACGGCTTCCCCCCGACCGGGATCGTGATCAGCGGCAGCGCCAGCTGGTCCGCCGTATCCATGTACACCGTGTTCCCCCACCAGCTCTCGATCGTGTCTCGCCCGATCGAGCCCGACCGCGGATACTGCAGGCTGCGTCCCCGCCGCGCGCATCAGATCAGATCGATCCCCAACTTGTGAGACGCTAACACGCAGGCACGCACCAGAAAAACACCAGCAGCGTCCCAATCGCCGTCCCGCAATCGAGCGCCGCGGACAACACATCTACGCGCGCGTTCAGGCAGGACCATCAAGTCAGCGCAGGGTCAAGCACCCGTCAGGGACGCGGTCGGACGGCGCGGGCGGACTCACAGTTGTATTTTGCCCACCAGCTAAAATGGCGCTTCCGCACGAGGTAGTTGAAGATGAACCCCGCGACCGCCCACGGGATGTAGTTCACCGCCGTTGCGGGCGGGATGAAGCTCGTGCCCGACAGGATCACCGGTACGCTGATGGAGGATACCAGGAGCGGCAAGTCAAGGTGAAACACGGCGAGACGGGAGAGAGATCAGCGAACGCTCGAGGGAACGGTGTACACGAACCGGGGCGCGACTCACTTGACGTAGCGGAAGAAGCTGCTCGGCCAGCGCTTGTTGATGAGCCATGCCAGCATGGGCGCAACAGCGCCGACGAGGAAAAACCACGTGAGCCCTATCGTACACGCCGTCCAGCTCGTCTCAGCCCCATGCGACAAACGTCAAAATTTATGTTTGAGCGAAGCGACTGACCGCTGGAAAGCATAGAATTTCCGATCAGATCCCGCTGACACCATCGGATCAGGAAGGAAGGCGTCACTCACTGATAAATCTGCCCCGACGAGAACTGTCTCTCTGGTCCAACGGCGCCTACGCGCAGACACCCATCGTCAACGATGTGATAAGCGAACGAGCAGACAGACGCACCCCAAACTATACTCGCGACAAAGAACGTCTCCGTGTTCGCACACACGAACCTGTCGCATCCAACCGTCAATAACCCCGGATCTGACCATGACGCGAGACAGCTCCACTCACATGTCCTTCTGGTCCGGCGTGCAAATCCCATCGATATGTCCTAGCATCCTACGCACGCGGGGACGCACCATGAGCATAACGTCAACACGGAGCCCTGGACGGAGAGAGAGAGAAAGTCAGACAAACCAATGTTGCACGCCGAGCTGTACCGTGCCGGCAACAGCTGTGGCAATGATCTAGCGGACGATTGAACATGAGCAATCACTAGGGGAGAGGCACGAGGTATCTGCTCACTTGACACCAGAACATCGTTCGTGGAGGAACCTTCATGTAATGCCCCAGCTTCACATCAGAGGTATACTGCAGCGCCTGCACCATCATCTACACAAACCTTATCAGATCAGCACTCAAATCCACCACGACCTCTTCCCCAAACCAAATCTGTGCGCAGCGGGAGAAAGCGAACACTCACGATATACCCGTACGTCTTGAACAGCATCATGGCCAACGGCTTGCCGGGGAGCGCATAGCCGACAATGAGCTCCGTGATGACGTTCAGCCCGATCTGCTGGTTCGTGATCGCCTGGATCATGCCCAGCGGGATGATGTAGAACGCCGCGATGAGCAGCGCGAGGAAGAGCGCCCAGATCGGCATCTGCGTGGGCCAAACCTCGACCACGACCGCGCTCATGATGAACATGACCACTGGGGGACGCGCGAGAAGCGGCGTAAGCGTCAGGCGGGAGAGACCGGGGGCCAAGGAAGACACGCACCGAAAATGCACATGTACCACCACTCAGGGACTGTTCGCGATTGCAGTCAGCGTGCAGACTCGGTATCACTTCCCAGGCGAATACACGTACCGGCTTTGTACCGTGCCATGAGCCTCGCGTGGACATCCGGCTGCTCATGCAGTGACCTCCGTGCCTGCGTCCATATCTGCTTCCGGAAGTACAATACCGAATGCACGAGCGTCGCCGTGATACTGGCGAAGCTCATGCCGTACGCGATAGCAAACGTCATCCTATAAACGGGCGCGACCGCAAGCCCCGTCGGTAAGATCGGTCACGAAATGGAATCACCAGAGCGAGCAGCACAAAGGACGCACGAGAGGAAGAGCGGGCTGTAGCTTTTGTATCCTTCGACGTCAAGGGTTCCGTCCGGCATGAGGATGCGCGAGACGTTGTATTCGCGTCCCGTATTGTCGAACGACAGTCGGGACATCATCCTGACCGTGACGCATCAGCTCTCCCCATCGGACCGATGAAAAGCGGTATCACTCACGGCATATACGTCGCATACCACACGTTCAAGTACTGCGTAATGTCTCAGAAATGGATCAAGGGTCTATATGGAGTAACACAAAACGCACGTAGAGCACCGGAGTGATGATCCCTGCAAAGATCCAGGGTAGTGGGTAATCTGTAACGCTCCATAATTTCGGCTTACTCACAGAAGAAAAAAACGAATCCGATCAGGACATTCGCTTCGGCCCACCCTGCACGCGTGGTATGTCAGCCTTCACGCACGACACCGTCGGTCAGATCGGCCAGGGACATACAAGGCGTGGCCAGCCTAGTGCCGACGGACCATCTGTCAGCGTCATGACACGCAAGGGATCTAACAACGGGAGCAGACTTACGGACTGCTTATGTAGGCAATATTGTTCCAGTCGAACGTGAGGATGGACATGCCTATCATGTTGACAGAGTTATACCCACCATAGCAAAACAGCGGAATGATCACTAACCGAGTCCAGAGCTGTAGCCGAACAGCTGGTTGATTTTCTGTAAACACGCGGAACGTGCGCTTTAGTGGAGTCTACACAAGCTAAAGGGTCATGCTGACGACTGAAATAGAGCGATGAACACACAATGAGGTGATGCTTGTCTATGAGTATCGACGGAAAAGGGAGACATACTGTTATTAGGTCTGATCCATGTCACCTACATACCCCGATCCGATGTAGAATACAAGTTTTGTTCAGCACGCCGACTCGGGTCATCAAGCATGCTACCACTCACCCAGGAGAACGTAGATAACGCCGTAAATAGATAACCAGGGAATATATCTGTACATGTGGCCCAGAGTCACGTCTCGCGTCAGGGACATCGGTGGCGCCGGCACCCAACTAGGTCACTCACACCAAATCATGGCCGCACAAAAGCCGTAAAGGAAAAAGCGCTCGCGGCTCATGCCGTAGTGCTTGCCATATGCTGCGTATTGCTGCGAATGGAGGGTGTTGAAAAGGGCACACGAGACCAGATTCGATGGCCATACTGATTTGGGCAAGGGGATCGTGCACAGCGTGATTATCAGGAGCCAACTTGCAAGACAAGTCCAGCAACTTACTCATCGATGGTGGGGAAACCAGGAACCGCTTGACGATGCCGCCGAGGGAGAATCCGATCAGCTGGGTAGATATGACGAGCATCCATTGGTAAAGAAAAGACCAGTTCTGCCCATAGTAGACGCGCTGCACAGCCAACACGTCGGTCTGAATGAGCGCCACTATCAGTAAGAAACCTAAGGACAATGGGTTCGATTCAGCACGTACGGCGTAGGCACTCGTCGACCCGACCGTGGCCATGATAGTAATCACGACATGTTCTTTGAGAGTGAACGGGCCAGGATTGAGGGAGACGCCGAAGATTTTGACGGATGGAAACAACCGAGCCCAGGCTTTGCCCAGAGGAAACGACAGCAGTTGTGCAACCAACTGAAAAGACGTGTCCGTTAAGATCCCCAAAAGCAACGGGCACCTGGCGACAGAAGCAAGAGAATTCTGTATCAAAGACTCACCGAGCCGATCGTTATGCTCGGATATCGGAAGTTCATGAATTGGTTGAGTCCTGGGATGAGAATTGACCACAGAAGCCCGATGGTCCAGGCGCGGATGGTGTTGACGGGCATGCTCATGTCGTCAGTATTTGAGACGGCGGCGCGCACTTCGGGATAAGGCGACTCGTCCTCCCATTCTGTATGTCGCGACGCATCCGAACATGAGGCTGACCCGGAGCGCTGATGATGTGTAGAAGAACACCCACCTAGGCTGTCCTCCGAAGCAAAGTCGATGTTCGGGTCGTCAAACTCCGACTCTTTCTCGACCACGTCCTCCACCTTCATCGCACGTCAATGATCACCGCCAACACTCGCAAAAACGGCGTGCTCACCACTACTCGATAAGGTGGGTGTCGATTGAGAGACGTCGCAGCTTCATAGAAAGATAAAAGGCTCACCGTCCTCCGCGCCCTCTGTCCCCTTCCATTTGGACTGAAAATTAGCGTCTCCTTCCTCGATCTCTCCCGGCTGCTGCTCCATGCTGAGCAGCTCTACAGAATTTTCAGCAATCGTCGGAGGTCGTGTGAAGTGGAGTCGTGGGGATTGTGCATGCAATGGCTCGTCGTCCGCAATCGGTGGGGTCGTGGTGGGTATCGCTGTGGTTGTGTGCGACGACGGGAGGTACGGAGGGGAGGACGACGGGGGAGTGCGATAGGCGGATCCGGGAAGCGACGATATAAGAGAGCAGTCGGGGCGGGGATCACACCTAAGCGCGCACATTTCATCAGGCACTCGTCAGGGGCACTTGTCCATAAAAATGGCTCTCTCTCCCTCGCCCCGTCGTAGCCCGTCGTCCGCTCCCCGTCTCCATCAACCCCGTCGGACGAATGCTGTCCGTCGACGTCGTCTAGCAGCATCGCCTGGCAGTCAGCATCGGGATCGCGATGGGAGCTGCAGCGCGACAATTTGATGCGAGTCTCCAAATCCATTCCACGCTGCTTTCCGGTTTGCCAAGGAAATCGCCTCATGCGGCCCTATATCATCCGAAAAGTCGCGCAACAGCGAGCTACTAGCCTGATACGTCTCTGCTCCCGAAGCCCAACTCTCACAAACTCCCGAATCCTCACAGCAGAGGACGTTTCTCTCAGACATGATTGAGATTGCATATTTTAAAAGACGGTGATGGTGAGTACATGATTTCCTGATTGGGTGCTTTCGCTGCAACCCGCCAACCGCTCGGCCAGTTGGCGCGCACAGCATCTTCCACAGAGTGGACAGCGAGGCGCTCTGTGCCCGCGACTTCCATATGCGATTCGCCTCGGTGTGCAGATGTGGATGTAGAATAATACAGTGGGTGCTTGCATATGCAAACTTTGCGGACCCGCGTGTTCACCGTAATCATTCGACGGACTTTGCAAGCAAAGCCCCAGAATGCTGACGCGCCTTCAGGCCGCGACGACTGACGGACAAGATGCTAGGGCAGATGCAATCAACAAATCCATCGCTCGAGATCTGCACATGTGGATTCTGAAGAGTAGACGCTGCCTCCGACGATAATCGGCCCAAAAAGAAAATGGTCAGCCGGCCCCAGATGAGCGCCTTGTCTACAGGTCCTTTGCCCAGCGCAGACCCGCTCTCGAAGACGAGCAGACTCTCGGCTGAACGGTCCCTTTTCCTTCATTCCCCGCCAGATGTCCTCCAGAGCCTCGACAGCCATAGTATTCCCCTCAGACGTCTCAAACGTCGCACGAGCAGCTTCTGAGGATCCACACCACAAAAGTTTAAATTTTACCAAATGAGCAGTCTTCTCATCAAAAGCATGGACTGTGCTCACACAATAGCCCCACGACAGCACCTCTGCACATACTCCGGTCTGAGAATACGGCGACATCATCTCTCTCCGCGTCAGCCTCTATCAACTAACAACCCGTCGCGGCCCATTGGCCATAGCTGGACGTGGTCTAGCAGACCTCACCGAGCGCCTTCATTATGCGTCAGTACCCGCAGCAGATAGAGGCGCGACTAGGTGCAGAGATAACCCGTCCCAAACGAGTCCTTACAGACCGCCATCCTCACCAAGAAGATCCCCGGCAATGTGGCCGTCTCATGAAAAGGATTTTGCAAAAACCGTCATACAATTTCGAGTCGGCCTCGAGTCAAGATCTGATTGACTCCTAAGAGCAGATATACATATCAAAGGTAAGAGAATGCTGGAGAATATGCGGCTCTCGCAACCCCTGCAGAAATGGGAGAAACTTCGTGATGTCGATGCACACTTCGGAAAGCTGTGCAACTGCGGACTTCGAGATGATGGACTGTGGACTCGTATTATCGAAGTCAGTGTCGCGCCTGTAACCCCGAATCTGACTGACCCCTCAAAAAAATCTCGTGAAAAAAAAACGGCACACAGTGCATAGCCCTGATTTTCTAATCACGCCGCTCCAAAAACGTCTTACGACGACCCGCACTTCCCCGCACGTGTCGACTTTCTTCGCGAGATAAAAATCAAACCTGCAGCTCGTATGCACGGTATGACCTGGTACGAGACGATTTGCTACGATGCTACATACTAAGCAGGTTACAGTTATCAATATATATTGTCTGTTATCATCGATATCTAGAAATCGCAATTTCACAAGCGATAAGATGTGCTCAGGTGCCTGCAGATATCTGCCCTGGTTTCACAGCGCCGCCGAGGTCGACAGGACCGCCCAGTCTCGACCGCTCCTGTCCAATAGCGCCTAACTCGTTCTGTCTCTGTCTGTCACCAGATAAAACAAAGCCAATCGGACCGATCAGGGGCACATATGAAGCTCCGATGTACGTTGATTGACCATGTACGCACGCATGCTCACAAACAGTTTCAGTCATCATTTACGCTCACAACTCAATTCAGAAACGCGACTGTCCCCCCGCCGCAGTTCGCAGCCTGAATTTCCTGTGTCTGCCGCCCGATCTGTACATGGTATGGCCTGTAAGCATGTCAAGACACAAAGGCGAGAACTGATGAGGCGCCTGTGCAAGTAATTAAACAACTGGCCCTGTCGAGTGCATCCAAACCTGGACCCTGGACATTACTCACGCTACCTAACACTACGGAGGCTCCCGGAGTTCTTCCCTCGGAAGCAGGAGCGTGCCAACTTAGCGTTGATAGATGGCTAGGGACTGGGCGGAGACTCGCAGCCATCGATGATGCTTCGTCCTCCCCGAGCGAGCCTGCGTGTAAGTAAGCGGCTGTCATTTCCCGAATTGAGGAGCTGAAACGCTGGCCGTGATCAGTTATGCACGCTAGTGATCGACCCCGAACCTTCTTCGGTGGCTTGAACGAGTGTCCCAGACGCATTCAATAGAATGTCATATATGCATGCAGTCCAGAGACCCACCTTGCTTCGAATACGAAGCAGACATCATTCCGCTCTTCGGCACTGGTATCATTATCGAAATCGGCTTGTGTCGGTCTCTTTTAACGACTCGCACACAATCATGTCACCATCGACCGACGAGAATGGCTCGTGGGCACGATTCGACCTGAGATTGGCGAGCTAAAAATCGACCGTTATCGGTCGAGTCGGAGCATCCCTCGTCCGCTTCTCCCTCGTGCTCTTATATTAACGCGCCCACACAAAGAATTTCTGGACGCACGGGAAGCACGCAAGCAGCGCATTGCGCCCGAGAAGCTCTTCAACTCCATCGACGTCACGTCGCCCGCACGACCGTGGATTCACCGACGTGGCCCCTCCAACAACATTGATAGCGCACGTCGAACCCGTCCACGTCCACGTCCAGAACTAGAGTCGAGATCGTGGCGATTCGTCCACCGCCGATCTGATAAAACCCTCGCCGACATCCGTTCATTGAAAGCATACGCCGCAATGGAATCAGACGGCGGCAGAATTCGAAGCGTCGACGCGCCTTCGACGCTCAATGAAGCATAGTTCACGATGCTGTGTGATGCCGTTCCTTGCCGATTGATACTAATATACCAAGGGCCGTGCTCTCGAAGCCCGGACGTCTCGAAACGACCCTCATTACGATTATGGACCTACAGTAGACAAGAACGTGCTTCGCAAGCCTAGGCGGGTATATATAGACGAACGACAGCCACCGAAAGCTAAAAAGGACAACAGATATACAACATATTATGCAGACGAAGCGATAACACATACTTAGACAAACGAAGTCAACGCAGAGCGTACTATCAGATCAGATCAAAGCGCAGAGTCAAACCCAGTAGTACAAAAACAGAATAAAGACGTAATCGCGTAGAGCAGCGCGATGGGGATCGGAGCGAACAGTATCGTGAATCAGGAAGGTATACAAGAAACGGGGTTTTCGTCAGTCGTCATATCAATTTCGTCGAGTGATCCGTCCAATCGCATCACGGTGGGCGCCGCCTATCGGCCTGGAGCACACACGAGAAGGCCTGCGGTCGTGGACAACCAGAGCGGTCGAATCGCGTTGAAGCCCACCGACACCGCATCAGAAGAGCACCAACCTTCCCACCGTCATACTCGTATTCATCACATCTTTCCCCAATAAGCCCGGGCCCGGTAGCCTCCCCTTCCAGCCCGACGGATGATAGGGATTCAATGGAGAATTCTGTTCGTACGAGTCACGCTCTTCCCACGCGTCTTGGTCGCGGAAGGGGAATACTGGTCCGAGCGGGACGGGGCACGCGACAGGGTACGGCGAGAGGTTGAAGCGCTTAAGACTGGGTGGGACCCATTGGACGGGCGAGGGCGCGCGGCGGCGGCGCTTGGTCGATCTGCCTGGCGAGCCGGACGACGACGGCGAGCCGACCGAGCCGACCGAGCCGCCGGCAGCCTCGATGGTGGAAGTGCGCACGCGTGTGCGGGAAGAGGGGGACTCGCGTTGCTGCGCGAGAGGGGACGCGACTGCAGCCGCCGGAGCAGGGGAGACGGAGGCATTTGGCGGGGACGCGGAAGCATCTGGCGGCGCGGATGCGGATGCCGGGGGGTTGGCATTCGCGTCGGGGCCTCGACCGCCGTTGATGAGTCTAAGGACGCATCTGCGGATGTGCCGATTCAGGTTGGAGGGGACGCCGAATCGCCGCCCACAAGTATCACAGGCGTAGGCTGGGGATCGCGCTCGCGTTCAGGGTCTGATGACTTAGATGACGCGGACTCGAGATGACGAACCTTTTTCGCCGGTGTGCACCAACATGTGCTGTGATTTGGAAGGTAAAGTCAGTTGTGAATCGGGTGTGGAGAGGGACTGGGACGGGGATCGGCACCTTTTTCAAAGTGCTTGGGCGATCGAAGCTCTTATGACACATCCAGCAAGCGTGTCGCTTATGTCGAACGCGCTGGGACGTTTGAGCCTCGCCTTCTCCTGGATTGTCGTCGAACGAGGCAGGAGGCAGGGGTGGGGGTGGGGGTGGGGGTGGAGCGGGAGGTGGTGGGAGGTGGTGTTGGGGCGGGATGGCCATTGTAGAAGGGAGAGCGGGGTTGGGATGGGGAGGAGGCAAAGGATTGTGGGGTGGATTATAATGGCTCGCGGTGGGAAGGGTTGCGAGTTGCGGCGACCAATACGATACAGAGGGGAGGCTGCCTTGTGAATACGACGCGTGATCGTAGCGCTCGATGGAGAGGGAGGATCCCTGTGCGAAGCGGGGCTCGTGGAGGAGGGGATCCTGTGGATAGCCCCTGTGCGTCGAGGGCGCGTGGTAAGAAGGGTGGAGGTAGTGGGAGTCGGCCATGGACACCACGGAGGCTTGCGATAATTAGGAAATAATGGGAGGCGGGCGGGCTCAGGGCTTATATATATTAACGCAGCGTTCAGCACAGATTGGCACAGATGACCCGTTGTGATCGATCCCACACCGGAGATCTCGCTGACTTGAATTCCTCTTCGAGGCAACGAATCGGCTACAATATCCCCTTTCCCAGGCTCGACTCTCCCTCCCTCTTCCATTGCGTCGTCGTCCTCGTCTCTGTATGGCCAAATGAGCAGCGATCCGGGCCCTCCCCACCCGCCGCCCCTTTGACTGCTCCTCCGGCTGCTCTCTCTCCAATACTACTACTAATCCTTTGCACAACACGTCCCTGCTCTGCGCTCAGCACCGCCTCGGGTCGATGGCACACCTCTACCCCTCGCCGCGTGCCCCGATTGGCTCCCAATTCTCGGCAGTCACAAGGCCAACACGCGCCCGGCTCCATGCACACGTTCCGATCCAATCACGTCACACATATTTATATGCCTCGCGCAGACTCAGCCAGACCCAGCGTTTTCTCCTTCCCGACATCGTCCGACATCCTGTCCTATCGCATACCTTGCCTTTAGCGCGCGAATGACGTGTCGCGGTAATAACACAACATCCCTTCAGACTCACTCAGTGCGAGTGATAGTCTGCTGCAGTTCAGAGTCCTCTGCGACTTATGCGGGCACATGAGACAGCCAGTCATCATCTGTCACTCAGCAGAGCATCCCGAAACGGTAAAAGAATGGCCCGTTCCACTGCCAGCGGCCGGCTGGACGTGCACAGCATGCGAGCCAGAATGATTCTTTCATTTACTCTCAGTCCCTTCATGCTTGTACCATCAGCTTGGTGGCGTTTACCCAATAGCGAGCGCCCATCAGCATGAGATTCGTTACTTCAGCCCATGTATCTCGCCTTCTTCGCCGCGAATGGCAGCCACCTCGGTGCAGCTGATCCCGCACCTTCGACACGCTCCAAGAAGACAGTGGGGAAGTGCGGTAAGAAGTGTCCCGCATCTCATCGCATCAAACGCCCGTGGCGGCTGGCCTTGATATCCTAGATGAGAAGATCTGGTGCCCAGACAAATTGCAAAGAGCCAAATTCAAGAAGCACCCAACCTCGGGGCGGCTAGAGGCGACCCCACATCTCAATTCCTGTCAAACTGCGCTGAAACACGGGAGAGAGTCCATCTGCTGAACGTGCGACCAAGAAGTCCTCGACGGCCTGCATGTAGTTCGCAGTCTGAATGAGCGAAGACAAGACAATAGAATGCTTAACCAGTAGTGAGTATAGAGCTCCCGAGCTCGGTGGATGAAACATCGACATGTCAATGGCTTCCATTCCTGTTGCCCTTCTGGCGACCGAGTGCCGGCGGTCTTGCGAAAGACCGCCCGAGACAATTCTGATTGATAGGTTGAGAGAAGATCGTTCAGACCTTTCCTCCATATCTGTCAAACAGCTATCAGTGTGCGTGCGAATGATGCGGGGGAGAGACAAACATAGTGGCGAGTATTTGAAATGGCGCGCGCACAGCGGCGTTGTTTGTGCGTTATTATTTTCAGAAGCTCTAGCCAAACAAGGAACAAACACCCTCCGACTCTGCGCGTCGAAGAGAGCGATTACCTCAGCCGTGGTTTTGTCAAGTCGAGTATGCCGGTAACAGCAGCGCAAAAGACCGCTATCGAGGGGGTCCTCAAAGCCATCACTGGGCTCACGAGCTCTAAGAAAAAACGACAGTTTGCGGAAATGTTCTTGGAGTTGGTGGATCGAGAGTCCTGGGCAGACTACTATGAGGTGCGTCCCGCTGCCAGTCCTATCGCGAACACATGTTCATAGAGCGCGTTGTCGAAGGTCATCCCGGAACCGAGATCTCTCAACGGCATCTCCGAAAAATTGAGGGCGAACAAATACAAGGATGCGTTGCAGGTGTACGAGGACCTGACGCTTGTGTTCCTCAACGCGCTCTACTACAATGAGCCGAGTAGTCAGATCGCCAAGGACGCACAAACGCTCAAGGTGAGTGATTGAAGCACAGGATCGTCGCCAGACCGCGCATGACCGAATCCTGCATATAGGCTTTGTTGGCCACGGAGTGGAGGCAGCACGCCGTCCTGCCCGCACCGCCCGAATCACCTCCACAATCGTCTGCCCAGAAACAGCACGCGGGCACTGGATCATCCGTAGCACCAGCACCTCCCGCAGTGGCAGCTGTAGCCGAGTCTGCAGCCGCAGTCGCACCTACACCATCTCCGGCGACAGTCTCCACACCTGCCACAATTACGCCCGCCCCTGCGCTGGTTCCAGCCCCAACCCTCGCTCCTGTAGCAGTGCTACCAAAGCCTACCTTGACCAAGTCCCCTCAGCGGCCCTTGACCCCTGACATCGAAATAGATGTGGGAGGGACGCCCGAGCCAGAGAGTATGGGCGTCGGCGAGCCGATGGCGCGTGATGTAGATGGTGATGCGATCGTGCAGCAATTGGAGCGCGGACTGCCACGCTGGGAAGGGCTGGCGGACGTTGCTTGGATGGCGCATGGCACTGCGGACCGGTGGTTGGAGGTCGTGTTGGCGATCAAAAGCCACAAGGATATCATGTAAGACGTGCTCTCTGAACTCTGATCGTCCAGAAGTTGACCCTGCGTGGTAGAGGCAATCGGTTGTCCGTTGCCTTGGAAGCCGTTCCGGAGGAGTCGACAATTCCCTATCTCTCGTACAATGTGAGTTTGACCATCTACTTCTCCAAGTGATCTTCTGACTTCGTAGGACAGTTTCCTCTTTCGCTTAAACTCATCGAGGTATGTCCCTGAGGATCCCTCATAGGAGCTATGTGATACTAGAGCGAGTTAATACGCTCTTCAGACTCGTGCTCGCAGTAAAGGTTACGACTCAGCTAAAGCCTTCGATAGAGAGATGATACAGCTGTTCGAAAAGGCTCGCAAATGGCATGATCCGGGCTCCGAAGCCTACGGACGGGTCCTTCTTCTCCAGGTAAACACACGTCTTCCCACAACATGCGGCTTCCTAACCCAGACGTCTTTCAGCGCCTGTATCAAGCAATCACGTCGCCAAATCCCCCCGCAGGGCCTCCATACGCATCCGCCACGAACTTTGCTTCCCTTCCTGCTGGCCCGGGCACTGCTCGGCCTTTGCACTCCTCTGACTCTGAGAAGCAGCCCGGCGTGACGACATTCCGGGTCTCTACAAAGGACAAGACGTTCGTAGACGAGGTTCAATACAAGGGCTGGACCATCAGACTTGCTGATTGGCTACATCTGAGCAACCCAGACGACCCTGCTAAGCCAATTATAGCTCAAGTGTTCAAGTGTTACGTTTCAGATGAGCCGTCAGTTTGTATCACACTCGATGGCATACTGTCACGCTAAACGTCTTCGTCAACCGCAGTTCAAAACGGGGCCAGCCGGGCGTGTCAGTTTGTTGGTATTACAGGCCGGAACAAACCTTCCACCCCGCGCACCGTCAATTCTGGGAAGGCGAGGTTTTCAAGACCAGTACGCAACCCCTATTTGCCTTCCCCCTGATCCTCCCTCAGCTCACCTCCCCCTTTCTCTCCGTCTTCTGCAGGCCATTTTGCAGATCACCCAGTCGAGGACATCATCGAGAAAATCGCCTGCCAGTTCACCGCCCGACATATTCGCGGACGGCCACGCCCGCCATATTGGTACCTGGGTTGGCCCTTATACGTGTGTGATTCGCGGTACAATGACCGTGAACGCATCTTCGTCAAAATCAAGAATTGGAACTCTTGCGTGCCCGAGGAAGTGCGCAAGTCGACGGAATTCATGCCTATATACCCGTTTGAGCGTCCCGTCCACCCGCGTCTGTTCGCCAGCCCGTTCTTGCAGGGCAAACTCAAGGGCCCCGGAGGCATCGGCGATTCCGTGGAGAAGGTAGAGGGTGAAAAGGTGGAGGGTGGTGGGACTGGGCGCAAGCGCTCAAAGAAGAGCCATCCGTCTGCTACTGATATCTCTGGCCCGAGCAAAGGCCTGTACGTTGGGATTCCAGGGACCAATATCACCTCTGCGACTCCAGCCATGGGATCGCTTGGAGGCTACTCTTCATACGCCGGTCAATACGGCCTTCCTTTGCAAGGACAGCGCGCGCAGAGCACACAACCTCGGCCGACGGAAGACAGGTCGATTGTCACCGCTGCTGGTGGGCTTGCCGCCCTTGGCAACTCCATCACGATAGAAAAGCTGCCTCCGGAGACCGGTACGTCCAGTCCTCGTTTGGGCCTCTAAGCTCTCGATAAATTGACTGTCGAGGGGCACATAGCGAGACACTTCGATCGCGACCCGGAGACAAACGAAGTGCTCTGGTTCTCTGCGCCCCCTATCAACGTCGCACATCAACGTGCGCCGACTTACAGCTTGAAGTACCTGCATTGGCTCGCTACAAAACGAAAGCGATCAGCACAGGGTGCCAACGCAACGGACGATGACCAGGAGGGCGGGCCTGCGCAGAAGAAGCAACGAGCTCGTCCCACAGTGTCCGAGTCAATAAATGCGCTTTGGGCTGATCTTCAGCTGGACGCGAGCAGTTGATCTACGCAAGAGGTAATGGAAGTCTTTGCCTTTGCTAATGGCTCCACTCGACGTAACTTATTCGCAGATGCTTGTCATGTACCTTACCTTTCGCGCTGTCTCATCCCAATGTGCTTAATATATACCACTTGTTGTATACCGCGTTCGGGTCGTGACAGAGCCAGCAACAGTTAAGTCGTCTTGGTCGTCGGCGATTCGCACTTTCCTAAGACCGGGGCTCCCACGGCGGTTCAATTGCCACCTTGGGACGCGGATGCCCGAGCGTGTCCATGCCGTGCTAACAAAAGTAAGTCCAGGTCTCAGAGCTTCGCTATCTTGATCGGCGAATAATCGATTCATGCAGATATCTTATGTAAAGTGTGCGCAATTCGACCCAAGGGCCGCTGCCAGCCTTCAGAACACTTCCTGTTACTGCCGGCTCTCAGATCCCAGATGCCCCACAGACTGTCGATGTCTTTGCTTTTTCTCGAGAACAGCGACCGACACCTCATAGACCGGAAGAGATACGAACGAGCTCCCGAGTCGCCGACACATCCGACCATCAAGCATCAAGCCCCCTCTTTCGCAAGTTTCCGCCAAAGCTGGAGTTAATTACAAGATGAGCTGAAGGCATCTTGCCCTTCTCAATATTTCATGGCTCCATGGCTCTTCTATTTAATCAACTCGGAATTCACGCACAACTACGCTGTGACGTTGTACACTCTGGAAGTCGACTGTCTCCATGTATCAGATGATCGTCTCACGGTCGCTATGCCGAAGTACAAAAGCGGTAGGCTCTCATGTTCCACGTCAAGTCGATGTCAAGTTGATCATGACAATCTTCCCGAAAGCGTTCACAGAGTCTTTACGAGGCCCCGCAATTGCATTGTATCTTCACAAAAGTCACCCCTTCCGCTGACATTCGGTTCGTTGTTTGCGTTCAAGATCGATAGCTATTGGATCTTCGATGCATACGTCAGACATCATGACCATCAATTGGGGAAATTCATTTTTGGCAGCCTACGACCGGGTCACGGCGCGCACTTGACGGGAATAATGAACCCATATAGACAGCTTGAGATCCTATTCCTGCCTCGATCTCCGGCATTAAAGCCTACACACACGAAGTCGAAGCAAAGCTTGGTGGAGAAGTTGATTCACCCAATTCATCAGTTATTAAACTATCCATAGTAGTATGAAATTGCTTATTTGACATGAGTTTATTTCTCAGATATGATACTCTAGACGGAGATAGTGTCCCAACGCTCTCTATGAGAAGAGTCCGAGAAAAAAAAGTAGTACATTCAGGGTCCGCACCTGCCTTGCGCTGTTTCACTTTGTAAATTTATTGAAGAACTTGCTACCCGCTGTAATAAAAATCAGTTCACGAGCGGTAAGGCAAGACGAGGTGGAGAAAAAAAATACTTTTTGTGATTCCCTCAAATCCTCTCTCAACCTGTCGTCTTCGCTCTTGTCCAGCAAACCTATCGACGGCGCCCCATGCGAGATTCAGGGGACCTGCAGGTTGTGCTGGGGCAGTGGGGTAGGCAGTCGGCCGCGGCGGGGGTTGGGCACTATGTACACCTATGGCCAGAAAGGTGTAAATGAAGCAGTAACTTGTGACATATGTGAAAGCTCACGAGGAGGCATTGACGGTGGAGGCGATGGAGTAGGAAATGTGCTGTGATTAGGCGAATGGGGTTGAGTGTACCCATAATTCAATCCAGAGTCTCCATAGCCGCTCCTACCGGCATCAAAGCTGGGATTAAAGCCGTAGCCGCTTCCAGCAAGTGATATATCAGCCTGTGGAAACTGTATCTCGGCCCCAAAACCACCGGGCATATTGGAGGCTGACCCGGGGATACTGTACGTGCTTTGATCCGGGTATGGCTGTTGATGCGGGTAGGTCGACTGAGGATGTGGAGCCTGTGATGCTCCGCCCCACTCGGGGGGTGGCCAGATGGGTTGCTGACGGGACCATGCGCCGTCGGTGGGCGGTAGCTCGGGGATAGGTATCGAAGGGCCGGCAGAGTGATCATGGTGCACGGGACGAGATGGGGGAAGGGGTGGAGGGCCGGCAATAGACGATGGACGAGATGATTGATGAACAGGCGGAGGCCCATCAGGATGAATACGAGGTGGAGGGATTGGAGGTGGGGAGAAGCTCTGTCGGGACAAATCGTCTGCCAGGACTGAGACGAGATCGACAGCGTGAGGACGGGAATTGCGCGGTAAGGCAGGAGGGCCTGCAGGTCGAGTGGCGAGCGGCGGCGCAGGACGTCCAGTAGGAATCGACTGCGTCCCCGAGTCTGCTTCTATGCTGTACGGCGGAGGTGGGAGCTCGTCGCCCTCTTTGGTCTGCTCGACGCTTACCAGCCATTGCTCATACGATTGTCCATTCCCTGCTTCCTGCCCCAAGCCAGAACCAGAGCCCGACGCAACGCCAGAGCCGGAAGATTGACCGAGCTCGTACTTAGGCCTCGTGCCCCACCAGTCTCTCAGCTCCTTCTCTGGAAAGTCCTCCACAATCTCCCTCTGGCCCTTGAATCCTTCAGCTGCCATCCCAGCGATGCGCATGTACCAATCACTCGGAAGGTCATACCCGTCCTCGTCAAGTGCCATTAATCGAAACCTTCCTTCCTCATCATGCGGAAGCTGGCGCTTATGGGAGACAACAGGGATGAAATTTGTCCCTTCATCGTACTCATCCCACATCGCCCCATACACAATTTTAGCCCCGTAACGTCGCGCATTGTAGAGCTGCCGCCACAGGAACCGACCTCCTTGCCGCGGTGCACCGTTGAATGCCCATTTACCTTGGGACATATTGAGTGCCTGAGACAGGTATGCATTCAGCTATTTGAAGGACCCGCTGCCTGTTGATCAACTCACCGATCCACCTGGATGCACGACTGGCACATAATCCACATGCCTCCCCTTTTGCTTCTCCCAATTCTCGATGAACTCCACATCTCCTTTGATGCGATCTTCCGCAAAACCATCCGCACTTTGTTGATCTGAATATCTTCCAATTGTCCACGGCGAGATAGCATCAAAGGACTCTATCCACGTCGGCACAAACTCAGGGTTCCGGTCAGCGTCGGACTGAGACGACCGCCAATGCGCAGGTGTGCCAGCCATTATGTAGGCACCTCCTGGCGTCGTGCTGCGCAAGTAATCCGTAACGGCCCGTAATTGTTCAGGTGTGTGGTTGCTGTCAGCGAACCCAAAGCCTGTGATAGCGATGATATGAGCTGTAAGTAAGAATGAAAGCTGGAAGGCTCCCTACCCCAAATTGCTATGACTGGTTTCCCATTCTCTCGTAGATAATTAGGACTATCTAGCACGCGCTGATCATAGAGAAGGTGATTCCAATCTTCTTCTATAATTTTCTGAACTCTGTCGGGCTGGACACCGGCAACGTCATACCTTTAGGAATGTTAGCATGCAACCCGAAAGGCCTCGAAGGCGTGATATGACAATGCATAGACAGTTTCCACGACTAGGGCCGGACAATGAGACTCACATTATGGCAAAGACTCGTCCTTCCTTCTCCGCAGATTCCTTGACGCGATCCCCCACTTCATCTCTAATCTTCCGAATCCCTTCGTTGCCTTGCTCCATGTCGCATTGTCCGACAAAGCGTTGCAAAAACGCGCCATCGATTCCGTTCTGCGCCATCCAGTGGAAATGCCTACACTATAAATCAGAGATGACATGATGGGTTCGACAAGATGTAGACCAATACCTTTGCACAGTCTTCGGGTGTCGGGACGAGAAGATGAAAGCTTGGTCTCCATTGGCGTGGGTGAAGCCGGGCGCAGGGTATAGCTCGGACGCGGAATACTCCGATGTATCAGGCCACAGATCGACATTGATATTCCCTCCGTCGGGCACAGGGTACGTGAACCAGTGCAGCCAGCCGTGGTGGCCTGCAAGGAAGGGTGAGTAGTTATGATGCGAATACTCGAGCCATCACTCACCTGGACCGACAGGCTCGCCATCGCCGTGGCAGGTGAACCTGAGGGCAAGAGGTCGATTGATATCGGAGATGTTTGAGAGAGATGTAACTCACCATCCTTGATACCCAACCAGAAACTTGTTCTGAATTGTCGAAGGATCTGATCTACGAAGATTCAGCCCATACACACCCTTTAATGTCGAGCTCTGGTACTTACCTCACGATATTGTTTTCCGTTGATAGAGCGGGTGGCATAGGAGTCTTGTGTAACGTTACGAACGTTTCACGCGTTTGTGATGGTGATGGGCGCTAAGACAAACCCTTGGACGAGGGGCTGTGGCCTGAACTCATGACGATTTATAAATAACTCTGTGCTTTCCGTTTCCGATGGCTGTGAAATGACAGAAGCTGAACCTGAACCTGAAAGGACGTGATGAGGCGTGTACTTGAGGAAGTTGTTCGACATAACGAACGCCTGGGGTAGTTGCTCTCATCTGCCAGTATTATGACGAATTCTCACAAGAAGCAAACACGCTCGGTGACTGTCGGTGACCAGAGGCGACGCTAGGCGACGATTACTCAAATTCTGCTAGTGCCAACAAATCAGAGCTCTTCAAATCCAGTGTCATCACTCCCACTGAGGGCTCCCAATCATCTGCGCTTCGGACGTAGGCAGCAGCGCCGAGAGAAATCGCAGAAGGACGGAGTTTGCCGAACAAGGTGCCGCCTTGTCTCTCTCTTGGCGGGGGCCTTGCTGACGACCATGGAGGCCATCGCAAACGACCTTGCTAAATACCTCGTTCATCGTCTCGAACAGTGAGCGCTGATGGTATCCATACTTTTCTCATGTACAAACAGCTAACTCAAACTTCTTCCGATGGTTGTGCAGTATATCTCTCGATGCACGGCTCCTCGTTGGAATTACGGGCATCCCTGCTTCTGGGAAGTCCACGCTCGCCGAACTAGTCACTGAGAAAATAAATGCATTGCTCGAACATGCCGTCACTGCTGAACAGCATAGTATCAGTAGTGGCGAATCTTCATCTGACAACGACGGTCCTTCTTCGAGTACTCCTACGCTCAGCGCGATCCTTGTAGGGCTCGATGGATGGCACCTTACTCGAGCTCAACTCGATGCATTCCCTGATCCCAAGCTTGCACACGATAGACGTGGAACTCACTGGACATTTGACGGCCCGGCCTATGTGTCATTTGTTAAATCTCTCCGTCGTCCTCTCAGTGAATTTACATATTCTACATCAGTGATCACCGCACCTTCCTTTGACCATGCCCTGAAGGATCCGACACCTCATGCCGTCAGTATCCTTCCACAGCACAGAATCGTTCTCATAGAGGGATTGTACACATTTCTATCTATTGCTCCGTGGGCGGAGGCTGGGATGTTGCTTGACGAACGCTGGTACATTCAGTTGGATGCCGAAGAGGCTTCTAGGAGGCTCGTCAAGAGACATGTATCAACTGGGGTTGCGAAGGATATGGAGGAGGCCCTGTGGAGATCGGAACAGAATGACATGCCAAGTACGTCTGGGCATAGACCACCCACTTGTCCTATCACACCTTCCCATGATGATAACCTTCGGATATTTTACAGATGGTAAATTTCTGATAGCAAACATGCTCGAGCCCACCAGGGTAATTCAAAGCATAGATGACGTTGTTTTTGCACCCCCACAGTGAAATATACCTCATTCTCCTGATAGATCTGGAGATGTTCTCGCCATCAGGCGATCGAAGCATTGTCATTGTCTATTCCGACAATTCAGCGTATGTATACCTCTGAAGCTTGGATCCCTGATATTGAGGGACGCTGTCCTTCAGCTGTTTGCTTTCTGCGTATGCGGCCGGCCCGACGTGTCCTAGTGACCAACGAAGTCCCTGGTTTGTTCTTTTTTTGCATCCGCCCCTCTACTGGCATAGTGCTCTGACCATGTGGCGCACTTTCGGTAACGTTTTTCGTGGCATCCTATGCAAGTGCTTCTGTGGTAGGCGCCGGCCTGGCCTTCTTTCACCTTCGTAACTTCGCATTTACTCCGCCAAATCAGTGAATTCCCGGCGCATATGACAATTTACATCTTGTACCACATGTACCCCTCGGACCGCCAAGGTTGTTGGCATCAGTACTTAAGCAGAGTGCTCGAGAAATCCTCTGCCAATCCGTGCTGCCGAACAAGGTAAATGCGCTTTCTCATCTCTATTCTCGCATTTTTTCCGCTCTCGGGATTTGCGCTTTCCCCGCCCTCTTCGCGCACTTCTCCACCCTCTGGTGCAAAGATCGTGCGAATCAATACTACCACTTCGGGGGAATATGCTACTCTTGCGGCGGCGGTAGCGGCGCTGCCCTCGGATTCGTCCTCCCAGATCATTTTCATTTATCCTGGAACGTACAATGGGCAGGTCAATATTCAGCGCTCGGGGCCTGTCACGGTGCGCGTTGCTCCAACATGATTTTGATGGTCATTAGACTGAATCTATTTCTTCTACCGTATGCATAGCTTCTTGGTTATACGACAGACCCAGGTAACTACTCTGCGAACCAGGTTAATTTGGTCGCCTCGGTTCCAGCCTCTACTGCGGGGTCCAACGACGCGTCCGGTACCTTGCGCATCCACACAAACGGGGCTAAGATATACAATATCAACATTCGGAACAACTTCGGACAGGGCTCTCAAGCGATTGCTCTGAGCCAGTACGGCAACCAAGTCGGCGTGTACGCATGTGGGCTGTTTGGGTTCCAAGACACGCTGCTCGCGAATCAGGGGACGCAGGTGTACCTACAAAGTTATATTGAAGGAGCAACCGATTTTATTTTCGGCAGACTTGGTTGGTTGAAGTGGCATCTAGGTCGCGTTCTCGACTGACAGTCCTTTTCGTCGATTCACGACAGGTCAGGCGTATTTTGAAGGAAACACCATTGGTGTGAAGAGTAACGGCTGGGTCACCGCGTCAGGAAGAGAAGCCGACAATGTGGCCATATGTGCGTCTCTGGGTCCTGCGTGCTAGGTCCATCTCTGTATAACGAGATTTCGCCCTGGCAGACGTCTTCAACCGTAACAATATCATCCTCGCTCCCAACCCCGGCTCGACGAGCGCGATTTATCTGGGCCGTCCATGGGGAGGTACGCCGACTGTCCATCGAGCATTCTCTGTTTCCCATCCTTCCCGTTCACAGATTATGCTCGCGTGATTTTCAAAAACACCTACGTCACGGCGCCACTCAACAAGGGAATCTGGTCCATCTGGAATACAGGCGACGAGCGAACAGACAACGTTCTTTTCGCTGATTACAACACGACCGGTCCTGGTGTCCCGAGTGGCGCCTCGCGGCCCAGCTTCGTGACGGTGTTCAACGCAAGCCAGGCGTCGGCTTACAACATATCTACTGCGGTTGGAAGTTCGTCATGGGTAGACGCAAATTATTTGTTCTGAGGCAGATGAAAAGACATACGCTTCGCCCTCGGGCGGACTGTTCACGATCAGAAGAAAAGAATGTTGTCTCAACTTGTCTACAAAATGCTCTTAATCCGAAAGGCCGACATTCACTTTTCGTCATGGGGGCGGAATTCCAGTCTTGTTATGATATTGTCAGTTATACATGCATGTGTGTCCGGCTTCATAATCATTACATATTGTCGAGGCTCGAGGGCATACCTGGCTCTACCATGAAGATGGTCTACAGATATCAACATCTAAAGTCAGGCCAAGCAACGTACACGCTGTTTGAGTGCTTACCCGAAGGTTTGTCCAGGCGCGAGCTGCTGTACTGGCGTCCCGAGGTTGTCCGCACCAGTAAACGGGACTGTATTACCCCACCAGCTCTGGATGTTGGTCAAGCCAATCTGTGAGATACCAGGCGGTCAGGTTTGATCTAACACAATTTGCAGCGCCTTCAAGAAAACTCACCGTTCCGTTCTTGGGGAATTCGAGACTGTAAATCGTTAGAACTACAGAAACAGACAAGCAAGTAGGAGTCTATGACGCACGTGAAAAATATCACGAGGATGGATACGGCGAGGCCAGAATCCAATGCCGCGGATAACACGTCTATTGCGACCAGATGAGCCTACGTTCCCTAAAAGCTATGAGGCAGTGCTCACAGTTATACTTCGTCCACCAAGAGAAATGGCGCCTGCAACAGAATGTGTTTGAGAAACACGTTCGCGAAGCCGATGCGTGAGCGCGAGTCGCTGCTTACTTCCTAATGACATATTGGAATATGAATCCAACGATGCTAAAGGGGCGTCTGTCAGATTTGGGGTTTGTATAGATGCTAGAGCTGCTCACGCCCAAGGCACGTAGTTGATCGCAGTGGCAGGAGGGATTAGGCCAGTGCCGTTGAAGATCACCGGGCTAACAAGGTAGATGCTCCTGGTAAGCTAAGGCATGTAGTATTACAGCAGGATTGCTTACAAGCTGTGGACAAAAGTTGAACGCCTTTAACGTGATGATTTTATCGATACACTTACTTGATATATTTAAGAATACTGTTCGGCCACTTCTTTGTGATGACCCACGGGATAGCTGGCGCGATGGCGCCGACCAGGAAGAAATACAGGAGCGCTATTTCATGACATGAGAAATCAATCCCGCCGACAACGCACCCTTCAACTCACGACTACAAAGGGCTCAGTCAGGCAACCGTCTAAACAAAAGCGGAAAACACTTACTAGTAAGTCTGGCCCTTGGAGAATTGAAGGGCTGGGCCAATGACACCTGAGATATATAGGGCACCGTCAGATGCTGTGCAGATTTGCTAGAATAAAACATGTCACCCCAGATAATGGACGCTGTTCCAAACACCTCAGTACTGGGACATATAAATCTGGCACGACCGCATGAGACTCTATCAGAATCTAGAGCAATTCACAGCCGCACCCATCTTTTTGCTCCGGTGAACACATGTCCCTTCGACGACAAGCATGAGTCAGCGTTCCGAGGCCCAAAGGCACCAACGGTGCAAGGGACATCTTACGGGATATTAGTGAACATCCATGCCTGAACCCCCAGTTGGACGGTGCCAGCAATTATTGTCGCGACCACTTGAGACCAGAACATCGGTTTGGGCGATATCTTCATGTAGTGACCGAGTTTGAAATCTGAGGCAAAAGTCAAGGCTTGCGCCATTGTCTGTCCGAGCGAGGTCAGTATGCTTCAGCCCGCCAAGGAATATGAAGGACATACGATGTATCCCCACGTCTTGAACATCATCATAGCGATGGGACGGCCAGGAAGAGCATAGCTTTTGTCAAAACAAAGGTCAGCGATAGAGTATTCTGCGAGCAGTCGACCATCGGACATACCCTATGATCAGCTCGGTAATGACGCTACAGAGATTGCGTGAACCGAAGTCAGACTCAAAACATGTCGACCATAACGCCCGAACGCTCACTTCAACCCAATTTGCTGGTTTGTGATGGCCTGAATCATACCGACCGGAATCACGTAGGTAAACGCTAAAAATAGGCCCTGGTCAATGACCTCGGAATTGCTTCATGGACATAGGACATACCGATAACGAGGGCAAGCACGAAGGCCCATACTGGCATCTCAGTGGGCCACGCCTCGATACTAATAATACCAAAGACGAACATGGACAAAAAGACGATAAGATACCACCATTCAGGAACTGTCCCAGCCCACGGGCACAGATCAATGAGGTTCCTGGGAACGAAGGGAGCCGCGTACCTTGAGGATATCGCGACATGAGTCGAGCGTGGACATCGGGTTGCTCGCTGAGCGAGCGACGCGATTGCACCCAGATCTGCTTCCGGAAGTAGAGCAAGGCGTGCATGAGGGTTGCTGAGTCGAGATTGGTCAGAGGAGAAATGGAACCAAAAGCACAAGTCATACCGGTGATCGAGGCGAACGAAAGCCTTCATAATCAGATGCTTCAGTGCTGCAATATACGCCGAGGCAACGGATATCTCTTACCCATATGACATCGCAAATGTCGTGCTAGCACCGCAGGCACCGATAAGCTTGTAAGTCGCGTGCAAAGAGCAAGAGCAGGACTGACGAGAGGAACAGAGGGCTATACGCATGATAGGCCTCAAGGTTGATGGTGGAGTCGGCGTTGAGAATACGCGAGACGTTGTATGTGTTTAACTGATTATCGTATGATGTTCGTGAAGAGATCCTGTGTGAAAGGGAGTGTGAGGTCGCTTGCGCTTCTGAAGCTCGCGCAGACTACTCACGGCATGAAGGCGCTGAACCACGTGTTCGTAAACTGCGGGAGGTTCGGTGAGAATATCCATGGAAAGTGGTAGAAGTGGGCCACGGACGTAGATAATAGGCGTGATGATCCCTGATGATTTCAACTTAGATGATACAAAGCCGTACAATCAAAAATGACTCACAGAAGAACAAGATGAAACCGCCAAATATGTTGGCTTCAGCCCACCCTATGTCAGCTGGGTTAGCGTCGTCGTATCATGCGTGCAACAAATAAACCATACATGGCGTCGCAAGAGGAGATCCGATGTAGCTGCGATGATGTCGTAAGGTTTCAAAAATCATAAAGCCTGCAACTCAACGCACGCGATCTGACTCCAATCAAACGTGACGACCGACATGCCCTAGAAAATTCCAGTCATGATCAAAACGGGATATACGATATCAATGTGGTGTCATTGTACCAAACCATGGACGTATCTTTAGGAGCCAGGTCAGCGACGAATTGTCTCCGATCGGAGAATATAATCACTCACCCAAACAACTGAGAGATAGCTGCTCCGTAGGGAGATCATAAGCGTGTGTAAAAATCATCATGGGAAATCGCGCACTGGTATCTTCTGGTCGAATCCAGGTAACCCAGGAAAAGAACGACAGTGCCTGGACTAGATATCGACGGCATCATGAGTGCGTGCAAAAGAATCATGGGATGATGTTTTTTACAGAGGTACCCGGGGATGAAATCTGGCAAAAACCGTATTGAAAAAAAATCAAGGCGATGGATAGTTATTTTGAAGCTTACACCAGGAAAACGACGCAAGGAAGCCGAACACGAAGAACCTCTCACGGCTGATGCCTCCACGGTTGCCGATACCTGCATACTGCTGCGAATGCAGCGTATTGAAGAGTGCGCAGCTGACCAGATTCGCGGGCCAGATCATGGACGGTGGGGAGACAAGGAACCTCCTTGCGATGCCTCCAATGGAGAAACCGATCAGCTGGGTGGACATTACCACCATCCACTGGTCTAATGGCGAGGATATAAGGTTTGGCCAATATCACTGGAGAGACAAATAAAATACATACAAATAAAGTTGTATTGCTGGTTATAATAAACCCGCTGAACGGCTATGATATCCGTCTGAAATTCCCAATCGCCAATGAGGGATTCGTTGTCGTTTTTCAGATAAGAGTATTCTTAGATGAACACTCACCGCATACGCAGAACCAGAACCGACGGATGCCATGATCTATCAACAAGTTAAACAAGCCAAACCTCGCTATCGCAGTGAACCCACTATACCCACCGTGATAAGGACATGTTCCTTCACCGAGAAAGGCCCAGGATTGAGCGACGTCCCAAAAATGCGCCACGCGGGAACGTAGGCGGCCCACGCACGACCGATGGGGAAACTCAACAGCTGCGCCACGATACCGCCAATGTTCACGGATGGGAACCGGAAGAAGAAGAACTGGTTCAGCCCAGGGATGAGGATCGCCCAGATGAGGCCGATGACCCAGGTGCGCAGCGTCGACACGGGCATGGTCGGGTCGTCCGTGTTGGCGACGGCGGACCGCACCTCGGGGTACGGTGATTCGTCGTCGAGATCGACGAGGTGGGCCTTGTCGAGGTTCGGGTCGTCGAATATGGCGCCTGACATCTCCTGCGCAACATCGTCAACGAAGTCATTGTAGAACTCTCACACTATCTAGCACTGACCTCGACGAACATCGCCGCTGTGTGGCCATGCCGTGTTGAATACCCGTCAGAAACGAGCACAGGAGCAAAACTCACTGTCAACGGCGTCCAAGCCGAGTTCTTCCTCCTTCTCATTGCGGAGCGAAGGGCTGTCTTTGCGTTCGGGTTCAATAGACACTGATGAGTCGGCCATGATGGATGGACGAAACGCTAGCAGCGTATCCAAACCCACCCCACCTTCCTATACGACTTTAAATGACGCAGGAAGCTCGTCTACGGAGCGTGGAACTCCCCGTCGGACTGAACCGCTTGAGCATCCACTCGTGCCTAGACAGAAGGACGGCCGTGGACGGCTCCAGTATGAGGTTTCCGAGAATGAACCTTGTGCGCACACGAGAGAGGAATGAAACGATGGCTAGATATAGAACACCGATGTGCGCCGTTCATGTGAAGGCAAGGCCTGTCTATGCATGATCGAATGGGCATCCATTCCGATGTTCCCAAGCCTGTTCCGAGAAGATGGATGGCAGCTGAGACGGAGGGGAGGAGATGAACGAGAAGAACAGCATGTATCAACTGGTGTGGTATGAGACACACCTACTATCTGTATCAGCAGATTGCGTGGGCTGAAAGGGAAAACACACAGACTGTGCACCGCGCCAAGTGTGCTATAGAAAGCGCGGCATCCTAGAGACACAGCACATTGAATGAGTTGGTAAAAACAGATAAATTCATCATCTGTTCTGCTGATGACAATGGCCTGCGCCATGAGCGTAGGCGGCAAACCGTGATTCTATCATTCGGTATTGCTCAGCTATGGTCTCGTTAAAGTCGCCGTGAAGAAAAGTACAGCGCAAAAGGAAAAGTGTTCTCGTTTGCTGCGCGAGCCCCGATATCGGCATCGAGTTCCACGTGTGGAGGGCGCATATCAGGCCACAGTGAGGGCCCTCGCGCCGAGCGACAGCCTCGGTGACGGTTCCGCGTGCGACGACGGCGGTGCTCGCGAACGGAGACGCGCCGGGAGACGGAGGGAAACAGAAATAACACGCTCACGTGAGCGACGTGTCGAGAGGCTGTTCCCACGCGCGTGGGTCTGCTCTGCATCTCTGCGGCCACTGTTCAGTTCCTGCTGAGACTCTCCCTCTCCCCGTTCTCTTCTTATCGCGTCCGCCGCTATTCCAGGAGATCCTCCGCGCGGAAAGCAAAATTCGGTTCTCAGGTCCTGTCGATCTCAACAATCAGCCTTCCGCGATCTGTCTGCCCTGCAGGGCTCGCGCTCTCCAGATCATGTCTCCCTCGCTGCGCTTGGCTCCCGTATCTCTCCCGTACAGACGTCTCGTCATGCTCGTGCTCTCTGTCCTCTTCGCTATCTTTCTGTTCCTAAGTACGACAGCGTGGTCTTCGCCGTCCGACTTGGCTCTCGCACGCCACCCCTGGCACACGAGCACCCAGCTCGACGCACCTGGTGTTCCGGATCCTCCCCCAGCCCGCGACAAGGCAGCAAACCCCGCGCTATCGCCCGCTATCTCCGATTCTGGCGTGGAGCGCGGCCACTCTGGGGCGCTGGGCGTCATGTCGCGCATCTATGTCGTCTCTCTTCCCCACCGCGCAGACAGGCGGGTGCAGATGGACCAGCTGGAGCGCGCACTCGGCCTGAACTGGACCTATGTGGACGCCATCGACGCAGACGACCCGCTTATCGCGAACGTCATGGACCAGGTACGCACCCTGCGCAACAACGTCGTCCTCAGCGCCGTCCCCTCCCTAGACGAGCTCAGCCCCCCCGCCGCGCCCATCAAGCCCACCTTCAGCTGGCCCGAAAACATCGACTCGCAAGCCAGCTCGGACGCCCTGTTGGAACCCGCCGGCTCTGACATCTGGACTCTCTCTGCTCTCTTCGGGCCTCTCGAACCCTATTTCCCCGGCGAAACGCCCGAACGATTCTCGCCCTCGGCGCGCCTGCAAGACCCGACCCGCCAACCGTCCGACCCGCCCCCAGACCTCGCCTGCACCGCGGACAACGACCTGCTCGCGCCCCTCGCGCCAGAGCACCCCGCGCACATGCTGCTCACGCCCGCCCGGATCGCATGCTGGCACTCGCACCTCCAAGTCATCCGCGCGATCGCGAATGGCAACGACGACGGCCCCGCGCTCGTCCTCGAGGACGACATCGACATGGAATGGGACACCCAAGCCCGCCTCGCCGCCCTCTGGAGCGCGCTCCCCGCCGCCTGGGACATCGTCTACCTAGGTGACCGTCCATCCCATCCGCGCTCTCATCCTCGCTCCTCGCGCATACACGCTCACCGGGGGAGTCGACAGGACACTGCTGGTCGGACGAAACGCAGCTCCCCGCCCTCCGCCGGGGCCCCTCCGCCTCCCTGCACCCCTCCGCCGCGCCCAAGTGCACGCACGCGTACGCGCTCTCGCGCCGCGGCGCGCGGCGCGCGCTGCTCCACCTGCGGCACCCGCCGTTCGCCTACTCGCGCGCGATCGACCAGGCGCTCGCGTGGCTCGTGCGCAGCGGCCGGCTGCGCGCGTTCAGCGTCGTGCCGCCGGTCGTCGTCCAGCGCAAGGACTCGAGCAGCGACGTCATGCCCGGCCGCGGGAGCGAGTGGCGGCAGGGGCTGGACAACGGGGTCCTGGACTCGATGAGGTCGCGGGGGGCAGAAAGCCGCCGTCAGCTGTAGCGGCGTGCGCGCGGCGCTTTTGTGTGTGGGTACTATTATTGGACATTATGTTACATTTTTTGGCAGTATGGCGGGCGATTCGTGGTGGGTGCAAGAGTACATGAGGGAAGAAAATCGAGAGAGCGTACAGAGATCGCGAGAGCGGGCGGATGCGGGGTATACGAACAAAGCGGGAGGTATATGGTGTGCGCGGCGAACAAGGCCGGCTCTAACCACCGTTCGTCGGCGGTGGGGCCACCTTTCTCTCCGCGGTGACTGTTGCGAGGCAAACAAAGATCAGCCGCCAGAGGGCGCGTGTCGGGCAGGACGGGTAAGAGGAACGAGCACGCACCCCACGGTCTGCGGTCCATCGGGCACTGCTGCTTCGACGCCGGCGTCCCGATCCACTTGAGCAGACAGTGCATATGAAAGACGTGGCTGCACTCGCCCCAGACTGCAATGCGCGCGCGAGCGAAGACGGGCGGACGGGCGGGCGGACGGACGGGTCAGCAAAGGGGCGCGGCGAGGGGCGCGCGGGGGAGAGCGGCACTCACTGAGCGGACAGTCGTCGCCGGGGACCTTGCACGACGGACAGCAGCCCTCGAACGGCACGCGGCAGATCCCGCACACGTCCTCCTCCTCCGCCGCGTCCCCCGCCTTGCCCGTGTCCCACTGCCACTGCGCGATCGCGTGCCACTGCCGGACGTGCACCTTCATGCTCGCGTGTGCGTGCGTGTGCGTGCGTGCGCGTATGTGTATGTGAGTGTGAGTGTGAGTTTGAGTGTGAGTGTGAGTGTGAGTGCCCCTCTTGGTGCGTATGTCTCTCGTGCGGGTGTGCGTCTGCGCGTCTCTCCGCCGACGCGCTGTGATCGTCGTCTGATCTACTTCGAGCCGTCAAATCCTCAGCCTCAGATGGCACTGTAGCTCCTTCTCTGTCGTGCGTGCGTCAATGCAGGCCGCGCTGGGCGATAGCAAGCGAGCAAGCAGGGTAGGAGGGCGGGAGGGCGGGAAGGAGGGAATCACGCGTCACGGGACAAGGCTCGTTGAGCGAGACGCGTCGAGCTGTTTACGCGTGTGTACGCGTACTGACAACCGCCCCGCCCAGCTCTCCTCGGAGGCCCTCGAAGACGGAAGATCCGCCCGGCTCTCACGTCCTCGCACCTTCCCTTCGCGAAGTGACGCTCGAAAGCTCGAAGCGTTCCTATACTCGTACAGTACTGCGCGAAGCTCGAAGAGCGCTCGTTCTCCGTCTATCGATACGTGTACAGTAGCAAATACAACTATAGTAGTAGTGGCGGCGGCGGCGGCGGCGGCGGCGGCACCAGCTGAGCTCAGGGCAGGGCAGCCCCGACCTGAGCTAACCCTCCAAACTCTAAGTCCCTCGTCTTTGTGTCGAATCCATCACTCGATTCGACCAGACCCGCCCGGCGCCGCCATCCGCCGACGAGCGCGCCCGATCCACTCTTTTTCGTCCGTCCAGCCAGCCAGCCGACCGACCTCTCTCTACCCCGACCGACGACCGACGCCCCGCTAGCTGCCTTGCCGAGCCTTGCCTTCGTTCTCGTTCTGGGCCTCCGGCATGCTAATAGATACTAGACAGTGGACACCGCGTCGCGCACCACAGCAAGGAACGCCAAAACAGACGGTGCCAGACAGACAGACAGACAGACGGACGGACAGACAGACAGACATGTAGACACGCAAACATAAACGGAAACACCACAAACAGAGGCACGGAAACAGACACTAACCAACAACCACAGGCAGAGAAAGAAAGAAAGTAAGAAAGAAAGAAAGGTAGAAAGACAAGTGTCACTGCGAGCCTGAAAATGAGCTAGTAAAAAAAAGAGCCGCGGGCGTCAACATATTACAGCGTGAGACGGACGAACGGACGGAGGAGAACGCGAACGAGTCCCGAGCGACGATACCGGGAATAGACCCGCGCGACATGGGGCATACAAATCGCAGAACCAAGCGAAACAAACGGCCAGCAAAGAAAAGAAAAGATAACAAAAGAAAAGAGAGTCACATCAGCATTCGACGGAGCACACGCACACGCGCGTCGCGATTTCGTACAGCATATACATAGGTTCGATGTAGATATGGGAGCAGCCAGGACCAGTGGGAAAAAAAAAAAATAGAGCGTGACGAGCACAGCACGGCGGACAGCAAGCGGCGGGCAACCAAGACAGCATGTCTACGCAAGGCAAGACGAGGCGAGACGACGAGGCGAGGGAGAAGGAGGGAGGGGTCTTGATAGGCTGTATGTATGTTGAGACGGCCGTAGTCGGTGGGCACTTTGGCAGCGTGGGCGTGGCAGCGTGGGCGGGCATGGCGGCGGCGGCGGCGGCGGCGCGAAGGCGGCAGGTGTGATGGCGGCAGGTGTGATGACGGCAGGTGTGGTGGCGGCAGGTGTGGTGGCGGCAGGTGTGGTGGCGGCGTGCAGGTGTGTGAAGTGGCGAAGGACGGCGGGAGCGAAAGAAACAGAGACCAAATGGCAAAACCAGAGGAGGAAAAACGCAGCGCGCTCGGCCGGCGCAAACCAGTCGCGTCTAACCGGGACCCCGTGCACGCACGCGTTCGCGCAGGCGTCGCGTATCGCGCGGGCTTTATTGCTGGTCGTACGCGGGGCCCTGCAGCGACGCCATCCAGATGCGCGTCTTGTACAGCCTGCACGTGCACGCCGCACCCGCGCCGGACGAGTCAGCAAACGCAGACGCAAGTTGCGGACGACGAGAGGGAGAAGCCGCGCACCGAAACAGCTCCCGCACGAGCTCCCGAAAATCGATCCTCTTCTCCGCCACGAAATAAAACGTCAGCTTGCGCCGGTCCCTGCGCGCGAGCAACCGATCGATCAGCAACGCGCCCCCGGCAGGACTGGACATAGACGCGCGCGCGCACGCGCGACTCACCACTGGTACTCCGCGTCGATGACCTCCATCGGCAGCTTCTTCTGGCGCACTTTCGTCTGGCACAGCTGCAGCGCCTTCATTTCGTCCTGGATCTTCGCCGCCAGCAGCCTGCGCGCGCCGCCGCCGAGCGAGCGGAACCCCAAAACGCAAAGATTCCATCAGCGCTCGCGTCCTCTAAGCATACGACGAAGACACGGGGAGGGAGAGAGAGAGAGACAGAGAGGAATATGAACGCACTGCGTGTCCTGCGGCTGCGCCTTTCCATAAATCATCTTCGGATTGATCTCCTTCTTCCCCGCCCCGCCCGCGCTCCCCCCAGGACTCAACGGCGCCCCTCCTTCTCCCCCTCCCCCTCCCCCACCCGCACCCCCACTCCCAAACCCCGCCCGCGCAACCTGCTCCCGCTGAAACGCCTCCACCTGCGCAAGCGTAATCGTATCGTTCACCACCGTCCCCAAGTCCTTCCCGCGGTCCGCCTCCACGATCACGAGGTCCCCCGCGCGCACGTCCAGCCCCGCCTCCGTCGCGTAGAACAGGTCCGTCCGCCCCGCCTTGAACTCCACGATGTACAGCGGGCACGAGGCCGGCACGGCGTGCAGCGGCACGCCCTTGCCCAGCTCGTGCGCGTACGCGCCCGGCCCCGCGCCCGCGTCAGAGGGCCGCCGCTGGATCGGCGACGAGAACATGCTTTGTTGTTGTTGGTGCTGCTGCTGCTGGTGGTGCATCCCCCGCGCGCCGCCAGGCGAGATCGGCGCGGCGAGCGCCGCGCGCGCGTACCCCGACACGGGGCCCTCGTTCAGCGCCTGCTGCGACAGATACTGGATGCCCTGGCCAGGGATGAACCGCGCCGTCAAGTTCCCGTCCCCCGCGCCGCCGCCGCCGCCGCCGCCGCCAAAGTACTCCGCCGCCGCATATTCGCGCTGCCCGCGCGACGGGCTGCTTCCCTGGTCGCTCGGAGACCCACGCGCGTGCTGCTGCCGCGCCGCTGCCGACGAGAACCCGCCCGCGCCCGCGCCCGCGCCGCCACCCCCGCCCGGGATGGACAAGTTCAGCGGGGAGTACAGCCCCGCGCCCGCGCGCTCCGACGCCGACGGCGGGCTGCGCGAGAGCGGCGCGTAGATCGGGAGGGACAACGGCTGGCTTGGGGGCGCGACGGACGCGAGGGGGCCGGGGCCGTCTTTCGCGCCTAGACTGAGGAGCCCGAGGTCGTCCGCGAGGTCCTCGTCCGTGAGCAGCAGCCCGCCGCCGCCGCCGCCGCCGCCGCTGCTGCGCGCGTGGCCGTACGCCGCCTGCGCGAAGGGGCGCGCGGGCTCCTCGGGGCTGTCGATGCCCGGCGCGTGGAAGCCGACGATGCCGCGGCGCGGCTGGACGACGCTGACGCTGTGGCGGCGGCTGGTCGTGCCGCTCCCGCCGCCGCCGTTCTCGTCGCGGGGCGGGTTCATGCCCGCCCAGAGCTCGCGAAAGGCGGAGCCGTCGTCGAGCAGGATCTGGCCGACGTCGCGCACAAAGGGGCTCATGTTGGAGATGTCGATGCTGGAGTAGCCGTTGCCGGCGCCACCGGCGGCGCCGAGGCCGTGGCCGTAGGTGTTGCCGCCGACGGGGATGGGGCCGGACGGGGACGAGGAAAAGGCGTTGGAGGGGGAGCGGGCGAGGGTGCCGAGGGAGCCGTAGCGGCTGCTGCCCGGGGGCTTGAGGTCGGCGTAGCGAGGTCCGGCAGGGATGTTGAGGGGGTTGGACGCGAGACCGCTCTCGGCCCAGCTGCCCAGGCCAGAAGATGCGTAAATCTGGCTGCCGATGGGGGCGGGCCGGGTGGTGGCGAGGGACTGGGAGCGGCTGCGGGTGAGGTCCGCGGCGTAGGAGCGGCCGCGGGCGGGGAGGGAGGGGGGGAGGTAGCGCTCGTCGTAGGTGTCGGACATGGCCTCGGACTCGTCGTCCTCGAAGGTGGAGGCGAATGTGCGGGACTCGCGGAGGGCGGAGAGGCTGCCCTGGAGGGAGGTGGCGGAGAAGGAGGAGCTGCGGGTGGGGACGGACTGGGGCAGGCCTTGGAAGGTGCCGGGGCTGAGGGCGGAGGGGAAGCGTTGCTGCTGCTGCTGCTGGACCAGCCACGGGGAGCCGGAGGTGCGGCCGAGGCTGGGGGAGTGGGCCTGCGGGGAGGAGAGGAAGGGCTGGTGGGAGGAGGAGCGCGGGGGCTGGCTGGCTGCTCTCTCGCGGAGGGAGGCGGGGCCGGAGGGGTCGGAGGGCTGGACGGAGACGAAGCGATTCCTGCGATCTGCGTCATCGGACGGCTGGCGGCGCAGGGCGTCGGACTGGGGCATCATGGCGGGGGACGGGACGAGGGGACGAGGCGGGTGAGGGTTGCGAAGCGTGGCCAGGACGGGACGGGACGGGACGTGGGGAGAACGGGGATGGAAGTGGGGGGTGGGGGTGGGGGTGGGGAGCAGGGCGGGGGAGCAGCGAAGGACGAGTCACGGCTCTTATTTTTGTGGTGTATCGGGAGAGTGTGTATAATCTAGACTGTATTGAGCAAACCAGCGGCGGGGGGGAGGCACGGTCGCGATGCGGGGGCGGGGGGAGGGAACGCACAGAATACAGATGTGGATGTTCGTGAGAGGTCGTGTACTGTGTCGCACGTGCAGGTCTAGTAGTCGGGCAGGGTCTAGAGGACGGAGGGGGCGAGGGTGGGACGGTCGTCTATGGGGAGGAGAGGAGAGAGGACGCGGGGGAGGAGACCATCCCAGCCGGCGCTTGCCCCCACGGCCAGCTGATCTCCCCTGCGCGCCGTCCCCTCGGCTCCCCTCCCGAGCCCCTTTCGGCCCCCCCGATCAACCCCCGACGCCCCCGCCCGGCGCACGCATACGCACCCTCACACTGCTAGTACGCGGCACGACGACCGGCGCACACGGCCGCCCGCCCTGCCCGCGCCCGCCGCGCGAACCACCGAACGCTCCCACCCCATCCCCACCCCACCGCATGACGCCCCCGCGTCACGGGGCCGACGGCGCTTGTAAACCCGCGTCGCGCGCCCCTTCATACACACAACACATACACTTCCTCGGTCCGACCCCGCGCGCGCGAATAACCACGTACGTACTCGCACGCACGCACGCACGCACGCTCGCTCGCGATCTTCGCGCTTCCCATCCACCCGCGCGCCCGCACGCAAGCGAATGAATACCGCACACACGCCCACTGTATCGTACACACACGCAACGCAACGCGTCTATCCAAGTACTGGCTCACACGTCGAACACCACCTCCATCGCCCGAAACGCAGTGTTCCCCGGCCACACCTTCACCGGCACCTCGCACTCCACCGTCTCCACCCGCACCGCCCGCCACCCCTCCTCCCCCGCACCCAGGTCCACCTCCCCATCCCCACCCTCGCCCCCATCTCCTTCCCCGTCCCCACCCCCGTCCGACCCCTCGTCCCCGTCGTGAAACCCACCCTCCGACGGCCCAAGGAACGCAGACGCAAAAAACGCAGCCCACGACGTCTTCCCCGCCGCCGCCCCTCTCTCCCCTCCCACCTTCGCCCCCGGCGCCTCCGCCTCCGCCGGCACCGGCACCGGCCCAGCCTCCAGATGCTCCAGCGGCGCAATCCCCCGCGTCGGCACCCACGAGCTGCCCCACTCCCCGCGCGGCCCGTCCCTCACGAGCTGCTTCACCCGCGCGCCCTCGATCCCCGCCCGCGCGTCGGGCGCAGCAACCGCCACCAGCAGGCACAGCCGCACCTTCCACTCCAAGCCCCCGCTCCCGCGTCGTGCGCCCTCGGGGTCCCCGAGCGCGAGCCCGAACGCGGGCGACGCGTCGGGCGGGATGTCCAGCGCGAACGTCGTCCGCAGCGCGCTCGCGACGAACGCGGCGTGGTGCTCCGCGTGCACCCGCCGCAGGTGCCGCGCGTCCGACCCGCCCGACAGCCCCGCGGGCAGCGCCTCGTGCGCCTCCAGCGCGGCCGACAGCTGCAACGAACCGCGTCCCCGCGTCAGCCACGAGGAGGACCCGCGCGCGCGCATGGACGCACACACACACGCACACACACGCACACACGCACCTTGAGCACCCGCGCGCGCCCCGCGCGCTCGTTCAGCTCCACGACGCCCAGCACCGTCTCCCCGAGGCGGTACGCCGCCTTGGTGAACGTCAGCACCGCGACCTTCACCCCGTCCTTGTTCACGTCGTACGACACCTTCTTCGGCACCCGCGTCAGCACCTCCACCGCCTCCCGGCACCCCTGCAGCGTCGCGCCCTCTTCGCGCTCGGGGCTGGGGCCGTCGCCGTCGCCGAGCAAAGGGAGCCCCGCGCGCGACGACGGCAGCGACGGCAGCGATGAGATCGCACCCGGCGTCGAGTGCAGGAGCCGCAGCGCGTACTCGCGCAGGTCCGCGATGGACCCCTTTTCGCGCGCGGCCGGAGCTGCGCCACGCCCTCGTCAGCGCCAGCGCCAGCGCACACGACCAGCGAAAACGACCCACATTGAAAATCCACCGCCCCCGCCCCCGCCCCCGCCCCCGCTCCCGCGTCCCCGCTCGCACCCGCGCGGGTCTCCACCACCTTCGCCTGCGGCCGCTCGCCCGCCGGCGCCGCGAACCGCATGAGATCGTACGGCGCCTGCGGCGTGTCCACTGCGTATACGCGCGCGCGCGATCAGTCAGCTCCGCGGCCACAACGCAACGAGACGCGACGGGGAGAGACGGCGCTCACCGGAGACGTGGTTGTACACCCTGATGGGCACCTTCATGACCCTGCTGTTGCTGCTCGCCCCGCTCGCCGGCGTGCCCTGCCCCCCCGCACCCGCGCCCGCGCCCGCGCCCAAGCCCGCGCGACACGTCCCGACCGACAGCTGGTACGTGAACTTGACCGTGCGGCCCTTATACGTCGGCGGCAAGTGCGCCGGCAGCCCGACGCTGTACGTATCTGCGCCACAGCCGCACCGCCGTCGTCAGAACACGCGACGGGCAACGGTAACCCGCGGGGAGCACTCACAGCTGCGCGACTCGCCCGGCGCGAGCGTCAGGTCCACCGCCAGCATCGCAGGCGGCACCTCGAACACCGGCACGGGCGTCTCCGGGTCCCACTCCTCCGTCTGCGGCACCCCGAGCCCCAGCCCGACCGCGCCCACGCCCACGCCCCCAAGCGCGTACGTCGACGTGCGCGCCCTGTGACCCGGGCGGAATCCACTGCTGCCACCGCCGCCGCCGCCCAACGTCGGCGACGCCGAAGCGGGCGCAGGCGCGGGCGACGCGAACGCGGGCGAGAGGAACGAAAATAGGCTCGCGGAGAGCGACGCGCTGCGCGCGTGCGGCGGCCTCCGCGCGCGGCCGTGCTGCTGCTGGTGCTGCAGCGACTGCGACTGCGACTGCGACTGCGCCAGCGGGCCGCCGGGCGGGGACGCGTCGGCGCCCTGGAGGGAGGACGTGATGTCCATGCTGCCGCCGCCGATGGGCGCGCGGCGGACGATGCGCGAGCGGAGGGCCATGAGCGCGGGGGCGCGGGCGGCGAGGGGCGGGGGCGCGAGGGTCGCGGTGCCGATGAGCTGGACGTAGGCGTATAGGACGAGCTCGCTGTGCGGCGGCGCGAAGGTCGTGCGGGCGGCGGGGGCGGTCGGCGGGGGGTCGAGGTTGGCATTGGCGGGTTTGGTGGTGGTGGGGAGGCGGGAGGGCGCGGGGTTGGGGGGCGGGCCGTGGCCGAGGCCGAGGAGGGAGGGGGCGCGCGGGGCGGGGGGTGCGCGGGGTGGGTAGGAGTGGGGTTCGAAGGGGGTGGTTTTGTGCGCGGTGGCGAGGGGGGAGAAGGGCGGCGGGGAGGGGGAGACGACGGTGGGGGTGGGCGGGATGAGGACGGGGGTGGGCGTTATCGGGGAGTTGGTCTCGGTGATGGTGTCGAGGGAAACGGAGAAGGACGACACGGAGGCGCTCTTGGGGATCGGGGGCTGCTGCTGCTGCTGCTGGGAGTCCAAGTCGACGGGGAGAGGGAGCTGTGCGTCGAGCACGGAGGGCTTGCGCGCGTGGGGGTGGTTGAGCGGCAAAGACGAGGCGCGGGCGAGCGGGGAGGATATGCGGGGCGAGGTGGGGTCTTGCGCAGGCGGGCGTGGTCAGTGCGCCCGGCACGGCGCGAATAGAAAACTGTATCGGTAGAGCACTCACTGAGCACCCGTCTCTCGTCTGAGCGGCGGGCGAGGACGGGCGAAAGTCGCTTGGCGTCGTCGGCCGCGCGGGTCTGCTCCTGCGGGAGGATGTGGACGGACAGCGACTTGCCCTGCACGCGGCGCTTGGCGTCGCGCGGCAGGACCTGCGGGAGCTCGTCCGCGCCCTTGGGAGCCCTCGCGACGCCGATAAGGCCCTTCCTGGCGGGGAGCTCCGCGGCGGCGGCGCCTGGCTTGGGGACGGCGGCCGAGGCGGAGCGCAGGAGGCCCGGGGAGGTCGGGGGGCGGGCGAGCGGGGCTGAGCTGACGGAGTGGGCGCTGCGCTTGTGGGTGTGGGTGTGGGTGCGGGGCGCGGGGGCGGACTGGGGGGAGCGGGTGTTTGTGATGGATATGGTCACGGAGAAGGGCTCGCCGGCGAAGTACGAGGACTGGGAGGGCGTGACGACGACGCGGAGGGCGGTGTCGGGGTCGGGGTCTGCGTTGGCGGCGGCTGGTGCGGACATGGTGGTGGTGGTGGTGGTGGGGGAGTGAGAGGGGACGAGGGCGGCAAGAGACTCGCAGGAGAAGCCGGGGCCTGGATGGGAGCGTCGCGGGACCGGCTGAAGAGGGGCGGCAGAGTTCTCACAGGGGCCCGGCGACGTCGAGCGCGGTTCTCATGCTCTCTCAAAGCGCTGCCCGTCGAGTCTGCGCGATGCCGTCGTATCACGCTTTACGTGGCCACAGTGCGCCCGGGCCCTCCTCGGCGGATCGACGCGAGAACACACGGGACTGATCAGGGTTTTCTCAGTCGACACGCCCGCTGCAGTCGTCTCACGCGCCTGCCACGGCTGCTGGCTGAAGCCTCGCCCCGATTGCCAATTCCGTTGTTTGGCAACACCCTCCGATCCAAACAACCGCTGTGGCGTGCCTCCCGCCGCGTTGCAAGCCCTAACCTAATAGCTACCACCGACCACCACCGACCACCACCGACCCTCACCCCCGCACCTCCTCAACATCAATGGAGCTCGGATCCCACTTCTCCGCAAAACTCGAGCCCTTCGTCCTCATGGCGAAATCCGCCAAGGGCGCAGCGGCCGCCAAGCTCGTCCAGGACGCCACCTCCGCCCCAGGCGTATACGTCTTCGCAGAGCTGCTCGACGCCCCCGGCGTCCAAGAAGTGCGTCGCGCGCTGCTCTCCCCCTCTCTCGCGTCCGTCCCATAATCCCGCACCCAGCTGTCGACCAGCGCCCAGCACGCCCCGTTCCACGCCCTGCTCCAGCTGTTCGCGTACAAGACCTACATCGACTACCTCCGTTGAGTCGCTCCCAGCCCTCTCCGCCGCTAGCACCCCATCTGATCTCGCGACTCGCGCACGGCAGAGCACAAAGACCAACTCCCGCCCCTGTCGCCGGCGCAGATCACAAAGCTCAAACACCTCTCCCTCATCTCCTTCGCAATGGAACGCCGCGTCCGTCCACCCTCCGCCCATTCACCCACCGTCTCACTCCATCCGACCTGACCATCGTCCCTAGATCCTGCCCTACACGGACCTCCTCCAGGCCCTCCAGATATCGACGATTCGCGAGCTCGAAGACCTCATCATCGACGCCATCTACCTCGACCTCCTCCGCGGCAAGCTCGACCAGAAGGAGCAGCAGTTCGAGGTCGAGTACACCATGGGCCGCGACATCGAGGCGGACAAGATTGGCTCGCTCCTGCAGGCGCTCGAAGACTGGTCTGCACCCTCTCCCGCACATTCTCCCTCTTTCTCCTTCCTCACCCCTCTTCATCCTCTCGATCATCTCGCCTTTCCCCGCCGCGCGACAGGTCCTCGACCACATCCTCCGTCCTCACCGCGCTCGACGCCAAGCTCTCCTCGCTCGCCTCCGAAGCCGTCGCGCGCGCGTCCCAGGACGCGGAGCACGACCGCATCCTCGCCGCCACCCTCAAGGAGGTCCTCGACCAGCGCGCCGAGAACAGGATCGCGCAGAACAAGCGCACGGGGTACCCCCGCAGGGACGACGACCGGATGGACGTCGACGAGCCCGAGAGCCTCAAGCCCAGGAACCGCAAGTGCGTGCGCCTCTCCCGACGCCTCACCCTCCCTCTCTCTCCCAAAATCTTGCCGGGTTGACTGCTGACTCGCGCACCTGTGCGTTATCGCCAGAACGCCCCTAGAACCCCTGTTCAAGCCGCGCAGCAGCAAGCGCAATCGCTTCTGATCGCTGTCCTCGACACCCTTCGTACGGAGAGAGCAGGACGTCGGGATCGGGCGTTGGCAGAGGGTTCCCTCCTTGTCTGTATTCATGGCTGCATTTCCACGCTTTCACGCATCTTCGCATATCTTTGTACACTACGCGGCGCTGCCGGTCGAACCAGAACCAGTTGTAGAATCCCTTCGATCTGAGTACTGTACTGTAGAGCGTGCACGTCGTTAACTTATGAAAAGGAGCTCGCTCATGGCCTGGAACCGTGGCCCTGGCCCACGCGCTGTCTCCTCGCACACCCGCCCTCGACCCCTCTCCCACACCCGCAACCAACGCCCCCTCCAAACCCGCACACACACACCGAACACCCAACCCCATCGCTGCCAGCCACCGCGCACCGCGCACCGCAACGCAAGCATGCAGCCCGTCCTCCTGCGCTTCGCGCCCTCCCCCACGGGCGCACTCCACCTCGGCGGCCTCCGCACCGCCCTCTTCAACCACGTCTTCGCGCGGAAGCACGGCGGGCGCTGGATCCTCCGCATCGAGGACACCGACGCGGTACGTGCGCCCCGCCCACTTCCCACTTCCCCCTTGTCTGTTGACCGTCGACCGCATCCGACTCGCTCGTTGCTGACGCGCGCGCTCGATTCTGTGTGCGCCGCGCGCTGCTGCTGCTGCTGCTGTAGACCCGCGCGGTGCCCGGCGCTGTGGAGGGCATACGCGAGATGTTGGGCTGGGCGGGGCTGGAGTACGACTTTGGTGCGTTGCGCGCTCGTTCCGTCGTTCGAAGTCGCTCACGGCTCGCTCGCGCAGGGCCTGGCAAGCATGGCCCGCACGGCCCCTACTTCCAGGTGCGCACCGCCGTCGCTCGTGGCCGCCTCTGAACTTAGGATCGTCTGACGCCCCACGCCCAGTCCGAGCGGCTCGACCTCTACCACTTCTACGCCAAGAAGCTCCTCGACGTGCGTCCCTCTCTCATTTACACGCACACACGATTGCTCAACGACGTCGGTCGGTCGGATGTTTGGATTCGCCAGTCAGGACACGCGTACCGCTGCTTCTGCTCGCCCGACCACCTGGCGGCGACGCGCGAGCGCCTCGCGCGCGCCGGCATGAACACGACGTACGACAAGGCGTGCTTGAACCTGACTGAAGAGGAGGTCGCGCGGCGCGTGCGCGCGGGCGAGAAGTCCATCGTTCGCCTCAACGTACGTCCCGTCCCGCCCAGCAGCCCTTCCCACTCGCCCCCTGCACCATCTGCACGCTCTTCGCGCGCGCGCACTCACCCGCGCCGGACTAGGACTCGAACCTCCCCCGCCGCACGACGCCGCCCGATCTTATCTTCGGGCACCTCCGCGACGCGCACGCGTCCCTCCCCACCGACCCTGTCCTCCTCAAGTCCGACCTCTTCCCGACGTACCACCTCGCGTCCGTCGTGGATGACTTCGAGATGGGCATCACGCACGTCCTGCGCGGCGAGGTGCGCCCGTCCTCCCCCCTCCCCTCTTCTTCCCTCTCCCTTCTCCCCCCTTCCCCACCCACCCCCACGCGCGCATGCCGAACACGCATCTCCTGACCGAGACCCGCCCCACGACAGGAATGGCTCCCGTCGCTCCCCCTCCACCTCGACCTGTACGCCTCCCTCGCGCTCGACCCGCCCAAGTTCGCGCACCTCCCGCTGCTCCTCAACGCAGACGGCACGAAGATGTCGAAGCGCAAGGGCGACGTCCAAGTCGAAGACTACATGGTGCGTTCCCTCCTGCGCGCTCCGGAACAGACGACTGAAGCCCCGCGCCGGTTCCAGCGACGCGGGTGGGAGCCGGGCGCGATCCTAAACTGGCTCGCGCTCGCCGGCTGGGGCGTCCACTCGCACGCGCAGCCAGCGCCGGCACCTGATTCCGAAACGCCCCCTCCTACCTCCACTCCGCCTCCACCTCCGCCGCCTCCACCTTCTCCTTCCGCGTCTTCTTCGTCCCCGCGCACTGCAGCCCCGGATAGCACCACCATTCTATCCCTCCCCGAAATAATCGCCCAGGTCCGTCCATCCGCCGCCGCCTCCGCCCGCCCACCCCTATCTCCCCGCGCTGCGTCCCTCGCGCCTGTCCCCTCGCGCCCCCTGATCCTGACCCTGATCCCCGCCAACAGTTCGACCTCGCCGCGCTAACCCACCGCCGCACCGTCCTCGATCCGGCCAAATTAGAGTACATCAACAAACACCACCTCATGCGCGCGTGGGCCACGGACGCCGGCCTGCAGAGCCTCGCCGAGCGCGCGCGCCCCCTCGTCGTGAGCGCGTTCCCGCAAAGGTGAGATGCACGCCCCACTCCACAGGACCCAGGGCGCGCGCGCCCGCTGTCGCTGACGCTGGCCCTTCTTTGTCCCGCGCGCTCGCTCGCTCGCACGCTCGCTCGCACGCACGCGACCTCCCAGCCAACACGCGTCCATTCCACACATCAAGGACGCCATCCTCGTCCTGCAGGTACGCGCTCCGGCCCCCGCCCCGCTCTTCCGCGCTTCCATCTCTGACCCCGCGCCCACGTCCCGCCCCAGGGCCGCCTCGCGAACATCCACGAGCTCCCCACATCCGCGCCCTACTTCTTCACCGCGCCCGCGTGGACGTCCCCCGAGGCGCGCGCCATGATCAACTCCACGTCCGCCGCCGACTACCGCGCCGTCCTCGCGGCGGCCCTCCGCCGGCTCGCGCCCGACGCGCCCGACGCGCCGGCGTGGGACGCAGTCGCCGTCGCCTCCGCGCTGCACGACGAGAACGCCAAGTCCGGCATGCGGCCCAAGGCGTTCATGACGGCGCTGCGGCACGCGCTCAGCGCTATGAAGGTGCGTGCGCCTTTGCTCCCAACCTCCTCGGAGCCCGGCGGCGCTCGCTCGTTTACCCACTCACCCTTTGTTCCGCGCCAGAGCGGGCCAAGCGTCCCGGAGATTATGTGCACGCTGGGTCGCGAGAGGACGGTTGCGCGGCTCCAAGCGGCGGAGGCGCAGTCAGGATCGTGGTTCGGCGCTCCGGCGCCTGCCAGTGCCAGTGCCAGTGCCAGTGCCAGTTAAGGTGATAGTGTACGAGTACGGAGCTTGTATCGGAAACAAAACAGCGATCTTGCCGCCTGCGTCCCTGCGTGGGTTCTGTGATGGTACGAGTACATACTACGGCTACAGCGGTGCCAAAACAGGCCGCGAGAACGGTGCACGAGGAAAGAGGCGCGCGACGTACGACAGGCAATCTACAAGGTTTGGTACATTACATTCAGCGCGCGGATCAGAGCCGAGGCGCGTCATAACCATATCCCTGCTGCGCGTGACCCTAGAGCGTCTCCCACCCGCCGCTGTCGACCGTGCCCTCCAGCTTCCTGGCGACGAGCGTCGGAATCCCGTGGTTGAGCCACGTTTTCCGCACTTCCTCCCACCGGGCGGGGTGCAAAAACTGTCGGCGGCCGCGGCTGGCCACACGGTCCGAGGGTCCATCAGTATCGCTCCACACACGCGCGGCCGAGAAGAGGCGAGGCTTACCGCATCGACATGTCCACCTCCCCGTGCACGTCCAGATACGGCGGCGGCGCGAACGTGCCGTTGCCGGCGTGCAGATACAGCAGCGAGCAGCGCTTGACCAGGAAGTACATTCCGACGACACCGCCGCACCTGCATTCGGCGGTCATCAGTTGTGCGTGGCAAGGATCGCGGAAGGACGTACTCCCGAGTATGCCAGTTGCACTCCCCTCTCTCCCCGTGATCGACGTCCTGGCAACAGTGGCTCTGGAAGCACACCGTCGTGCCGCAAATGAGGCAGACCGCGGCGTCCAGTGGGATGGTCTTGCAGCGCTGGCACACGAGGGCCGTCTCGTGTTCGCCGAAAAATGTGTCCAGCACGATGGGAAGGCTGGCGATGCGGTAGATGGTGGGGCATTCCAAGACGATCCCGCAGTTGAGCTGAGAAGCAGCGTGGGAGTGTCCGTAATGAGAACACCAGCCCGCTAGGGAAGTCTGCAGCGTGTCCTGGTTGGGAAGGTCCGCGAGCGGGGGTATGCCCAGCATGGTCAACAGCCTAGAGTACTCGCATGGTTCGTTGGCACTGAATGCAGGGGTCGGGAACGCCAAAGGCAATACGGTACGACAGAGTATGGCAGCCCTTCGAAGGAAGGGCAGGGTGAATGTGTAAAGCAGCTTCTCGATACGGGCTTCGCCAAAGGTCGAGAACACAATTTCAGAGGCGTGTTCCACGACAGGAGAGTGTCGGACCACGGACGTGAAGAACATCCGGACGTCGCCGAAGATATTCGAGTACGTGGGCTGCTTGGCATTCTGCAATGGCCAGCTTCTTGTCTTGTTCAAGACATAGATGAGACCGATGGCTGTCCGAGCGAGGCATGCGAAGTACGTGAGTGTCAGAACGTGTCGCAGCATTTCGGGCGCTATGGCGGCAGTTTCCACCAAAACCGTGAATGGGTCGCGAAGAAGGAGAGGGTATGATACCGGGTTCAACGTTGACATGCTCCACTCTGGAAGGACACGCTTGATGATCGCTTGCCGCAGCGCCTCGCGTCCTTCATCCGGCCTTGCCTTGAATGGCACCGCCGCCAATTTGCCTAGGCAAGTCAGGAGACCTCTGACGACCCGGGTGTGCGAATCTGTCAGGTTGTCAGCGATGGTGGTGCCAGGAGGCCCCAGCCCACGTTGGCTGATTTCCAAGGTGGCAATAGTGTACCCAACAAGGTCTTCAGGGAGGTAGAGCCCTGCACCTCGCTCGCCCGGTTCGGGTTCAGGCCGGTCACGAAGATGACGAGACTGCTGCGAGATCGCCCTCGCAATGTTCATGACGCTATCCACCATTTTGTGCATGTCCCTGTCCGCCCACTTTTCGGTCGACCGGAAGAAAGACACGTAGCTGGAATCTTGAGCCCCCCAAAACGCGAGCTCCCCAGTACCGTTCCTGACGAGTAACGAATCCAATAACGTATCGGCTTTGGACTTGAGGATGCTGATTCCTGCGGCCCGAGTCCAGTCGGCGAACGGAAGCGGGTTGAGTTCCACGGAACCCGGATGAGACATAGGTAAGATGACATTGCCTAAGCTTTTGCAAAGTGGGCATATGTACTCTTTCCGTTGCACGCTCTCCGGGTGGTTCCTTGTGGCCTGTGAGCGGTGTCGTTGCCGTATGGAGCTTGTGTAGACGTTGAAGCAGTCTAGATGCATTAGATGACTGCAGATAGAAGCATGCAGCCCAAAACGAGTGTTCTGAGGGGGCAAGACTTCGAAGCTGGAGGGAAGTGTTTGACAATCTGTCAACTCTTCCTGCCGTGGAGGAAATGACCAGGTTGGGGCCGATGGTTGGCTCCGGTCTAACGAGTAAGAGGTAGTCACCACTTCGTTCATGAAGCCGGTGTTCGTGTCGGAATGCCGCCGCACGAGCCTGCTTGGCTGGAGCAGCCCCAGCGCACCGAACGGATTTGAGGCGTTCAACTCTTCTTGACAGACTATGCAGGTCCCGAACGATGCGGGAAACTCAACACCGTCAACTGTCTCGCCTTCGTCCTCCTCTTCATCTTCAAAGTTGATCGCGAAGCTCGCTTGCTGGGCCTTCATCTGCCGCATGATTGCATCCTGTCTGGCTTTAGCCGCACGTTTCTTCGCCTCATCTACGTCCGAAGACTTGTCAGAGTCAGGAGTCCGTCGGCTGCGCACGTCCTCGGGAACATGCTTCTCGAGTTCGGTGAGTATCCATGCACAGCGAGCTTTGTACGTTCGATAGATGTCGTGATGCTCCAACGTGCATAGCACATCGATGAGATTTTTGCCCCCTTCGTATGACTTCACAGTGGTCAAGTGACTGAAAGCGGAGCCACGGTCGACAAGAGCTAGCATTGTTAAGTGTATCGCCTGGTCCAGTATTGCTTCTCCTGACGGAGGCGATGATCCAGCGGCCTCGGTCATGACGAGGAGGTTGTATATGGAGTAGAAGATAATCTGTAGAAGAACTTCGGATTCATATACATCAGGTAACGCAACAAACGCCCCATCAATAATGCCCAGGGGTTTCGGCACGATGACGGGGTCGGCAATCCCGAGCTTCTTGTAATGGTTCCGCAAGATAGCTTCCACCTCTTCACGCTTGTTCCGCGTGTAATGGTAGAAGAACGGATTTACCTCGTCATATGCCTCGACTTTGAGTTCGTATACTCCAGAATCCGCAGTCGACTCAGGAGGACGGAAGTTGGCCACTTCCTGCAAGACCCGTTCAAAACATGCATCGTCCACGAGACGTTCCGCGACGCGCTTAGTAAGGTCCGTGAATGTACAAGGGCCCACAGCCAGGGCGTGTATGATCTCCCGCCGGACTGCTAGTGATATGGATATCTTGCGCGCGTTCCCCGTCTCGCTGATGATCGTTATCAAGACGTAGAGGACCTCCTCGACCATACTGGTCAATCGCGAACCTTCGTACGCACCATCCATCAAGACGCCAGAGAAGAATCCGAGCAACGCAAAGCGGTCCAATATGCTCACGAGCACGAGATTGGGATCTAGAATGATGAGTGCCGATTGGAGGATGAAGAAATCTTGGTCGTAGCACAACTCTCGTAGCATGAAATCGCGGTAGTGCATTAGCTGAGCACGAATAGCGAATCCGTTCCGGACCCACAGCCCTGTGCGAATTTGTGCGATCATTGCAAGTGCTATTGGGCGTCATGATCAATAATAGATAGAAGGCCAGTGGAAGAGTTACTTACTCCGAAGAGGGTAATCAATGATGTTCAATATGCCCTGTTCGCTGACGTTCTGTAAGAGTATATCCCTGATAGTCCGGAGTCCGACTTGGCGAAGAGAAGGCTCGCTCAAGATATCGACATGTTTGAAAAGTTCGGCTAGAAGCCATTGAAGTGAGTGATGGAAGCTGACCCAGCCCTCCAAGATATCGAACTGAACAACAGTGTATGAGGAACCTCCGAATACCACAGTTTGAAACTTCACGAGCTCGAACTTGGTTCGATCGATTCGTTCGTCCGCGAGGCTGCAGACCATCATGATACCATGAACGACAGTCGAGATTGCTGAGACGAGCTCTGCTGGGCTTGCATGGGTGAAGGCCTCGCCGTAAACTTTGATAACTCGAGAGAGCGACAGTGTGACATTGAATACGCTGATCCAGCCTTCTGTCTCAAACTCGACATGGCTGTCTACCGCGCGCTTGTTCGGGTTAACGCACATGAAGAGCTGGCATATTTCTGCAAACCGAGCGATGTACTCATGCTTGTGAGCAATTAGCCGCTGAACGGGCGCGTTGTGACAGAGGTACCGTAGGTCACTGAAGACAGGCATGAAACGTTTCGATTTGAAAGGATCGCTATCAACGTCCACAGGGATATTTGGATTTGGGGGGCAAAGAATTCGCTTGTGTCGAATTTGGTTCGTGAAGAAGGCTGCGATGATATCCAGAAGACGAGATACGATGTCGTACTGACGGTTGATGTGCAGAGCAGCGGATGGAACGGTGAACAACTGTAAAGCGAAATATTTGATAGACGTTTCCGCCTCTCGATCGACCAGTAGATATGTATCGATGATGCGAGGGTAGACATTGGCGAAATGGGAGGCTGATTACAATCAGTAATTAAGCTTCATAATCATCGTGAGAGACATACCAATGGTCAAACGATGTTGATGGCTAAGATTCAAGATGCAAGCATAAATCTCCTTCAAGCTCAACCGAGTCCGCTTCCAGAGTTTTGCGTGATACAGAAACAGCCAGTCAAGACGGGCGAGATCAGTATGGTCTTGTGAGATACTAGCCACGTCAGGAGGTACGTTTGACAACCCGTTACTCCGTCGACGCATGGTCAGCAACTCTTCTGCAATAACTTCCTTCAAGATCAGTGTGTCGGTTCCTAGGCGACTGCGAGTAAGATCTAGCAGCCACTCGATGATGACACCGACAACTTGTTCACGGAAAGTGTCGTACGCGCGCCGGACCGTGACACCTATTTCAATCTGGGCTATCGTCTGTGCGATCCCAAGAAGACGAGGTAGATCAGCATCCATTTCAACGACTTCGCGACCCTGATCATCTATTTTGACTGCGATGGTCGAAGCATCCTCCGGAGTCCGAAGGGTGGTTTCGCACAGCAATTGAATTACCTCAGTGAAAGAGTGCTTGTCGTCGTTCCATAGAACGATGCAGAACTGATCTTTCATCATGGGATCTGCGGAGGGCTGCAGCCGTAAATCAGCTTCGTTAGAGGGGACGCAAGTCTCGTCGGGTGAATAATCCAATGTGTCGAGAATGAAGTCTAAAGCGTATGCTACCGTCTTGTTCATGCTTTCCCGAAGTTCATGAGGTACTGACACCCGATAGGGATAATTCTTCATTGGAGGCAGGCTTTGGCTCCATATGTGGGGTGATGTAGGTTGTGAAGGGCTATCTAGGGAGATTTCGTCTGGGGTGTCTTCGGCGAACGGATGGAAGGGGCAATTGAAAGCTTGTCTCCAGGCTTCTGCATCTCCACAGTCGCAACAACCGCCTGACTGTTGGGCAATAAAGAAGCTAACGTTATGGCCAGAGTGGTCCGTCGCATGAAAACACCGCGCACAGAGAACGCAGCTGTCGTCGAGGGCGCAGTCCCTAGTAGCGTGATAAGTCAGCGAGCGCAAAAATGACAGTGGCACCCCACGTACTTGCAACGAAAACAGCTTTCCCCCTTCTTAAAAATATGCCCGCATGGCTTTCCTGGCACCGGTGCCTCCTCTGCTGCAGCACCTGCAAAGTTTAGATGCGTCTGTACCTCGCTGAGAGTTGAGTGAAGGGGAAGACTTGAGTTGGAGTTTGGAAGGAAGAGGTACGCATAAGGTCCCCAGAATGCATCATAAAGCTCAGATATGATCTCTGCCCTCGTTGCTGCTGTAAATACATATTTCCTGGACCCTGGCATAGTCTCTAGAGCCAACCGAAGGCGGCCAACTGGATCGGGTGGCCGGTCGCGAGGATTCAAGGAGCTCAACGACTTGAAGGGCAAGAAGGATGACAGCCCAGACATTTCGCGGTGCTTTTCAGCGAGTTAGCGTTTGAGAGACAAGGATTGGAGTGTGTCGGAGAGAATACTGGTACCTTCAACGGTGGCTGGCACGCGATCTGAGTTGGTGGCGCCAAGATTCAATGATATAAACCCTTGTAGACCCTTGTACTAAACTGCTGTGGCAAGCACCTTCAACCTGTCCATAGACAGGGAATCTACAGATATCCTCTTTGCTCAGAGGGATTCACCTCACGATGAACACGTCGACCTCCTCGAGCTCGTCGTCATTATCTCTTCTTGCGGATCCCCTACCACGATCAATGGATGGACCAGCAATGGACTACTTCCTAATCGAAGTCGTTCAGACGTTGCGCCATTCCTCTAGCATTGCCGCCGCTCGTGCTAAAAAGGTAGAGGAAGAAATGATAGCGTCCGGTCTGATTACCGCTCCTCCCCCACCGCCTCCAACTCTCAAAGTCAAAAAGGAGGTTCAGCGAGAATCGTTGGGTAGCATCGTTTCGCAAACGCAAAATATCTCAGGAAAGGTCGCAATAGATGAAGAAGAAGAGGGTATACGGGCCAGACTAGAAGCAATCGGTCTACATGTAGGTGCAAATATCACAGAGCGGTAGATATCCCATCCTTTTCACCTCATATCCTGCCTCAATACTATCTCCAGTCTATGTCATGATCGACCCGTCTTCACGGACACGTTGGACATCATCAAATTCATATGCAAGGACCTATGGGCCATCTGTTGGGACAAGCAAGTTGATAATCTCCGAACGAATCACCGAGTGCGTTCTGCAACATGTGCGAGTCGATTGTCCATTAATCGATCGCCCTTGGTTAGGGAGTATATGTTTTGCAGGATAATACTTTCAAGCCTATATCTCGATTCTCCTCTTGGGAAGGTCGCCCCGACGCTACGAGACGAGCAAGACTCGTGTGTGATAACCTCCTCAGCTCGACATCGCTCTATTGATATTTGGCACTAGTATGTAGCTATGTCCGCGGGGATTCTTCGTGGAGCGCTAGCGAGACTGGGCATACAGGCTATGGTTGTCCCAGAGGTAAACTTACCGCAATGTGTGCTCGATTCTTCTCTTCAAAACGAACATGCACTGAGCCTCGATTTACAGGTACCTTTCAAGTCAAGTTACCGAAGAGCACTTGAAACAAGAACACCGCTCTCATGCTACGTATGTTCGAACGAGTCTTTTATCTACGACACAGTCTCCTTTGGCAGATGATACACCCTGTGGCATCAGTTTACAAGGCCTGTCAATTTGCTTCCTATCAAAGTATCGCTGAACGATTCCTTCTAGGTATATATATCCATTCTCCTGCTCGTCACTGATCGATGTACATGGAAGGAGGGTTAAGCATGACCTTGCATCTCTTTTGGACGGTCAGATAATTGGTGGATGTCCAAATATTTATAGGGTTGAAACTCGACTTGACCGATAATTCGAACGAGAAGACCAGCAGACAATCCGACGGAAGAGAGCGGCGAATTCTTGAGCACTCCGAGAATGAGCTATAAGCGTCCTCGACGACCCGCGTTAAGGACGCACGCTCTATGTTTCAAAAGATAAGCTTGAAAAGTCTTTGCATGATAGTGTACCGATTTCAGACAATTGTCTGGAAGCGGAGCGAATGATCAACGTTTGAATTGATATGTGTGTCCACATCGCCTCAGCAGCCAATCTCGATCGCGGGAGTATAATGGTACTACCAACCACGGGAATGTTCGAGAGCAATCAAATTCACGCGGTTAAGCTGAGGCAATGGCCGAAGAAGTAAAGCTTGAACTCATACGAATGGGTGAAGGACCCCTGAGAATCATCAATGAACTTTGACCATAACACTGTGGGATAAAATAGAAGCACATACTTTCTCCACCGCATCGTAGCCGCAAAGACACCGACTGGTGTCTGGGTACTAGGTAAGTCGTAGAAGGGGATAAATAAAGACGCTGAGGGGATGCTTACAAGCTTCCCAAACTGTTCGATCCGACTTTTGGCGCATCAGAAATATGTACCTTCTCTGCCGACTTGCACACCGCTCCGTCGTGCGAGATATACTTACCCACCGAGATCTAGCTCCCGAGGAGACTGGAGCTTGTTTGTCCGCACTCAAGAAAGAAGTAAGCTTCTATGCGCGTCTGCTAAGCTTATTCAATTTACATGCGGACCCATGACCGAAAGAACAACACCACAGTGCGGATTTAAGCCAAATGCCCACGCAATCGCCCAGTCAGATTCTAGCAAGGGGGTAAGAATAGAGACCTGCCTAGGGATATGGTTTGTAGTTAGTAGGGCGTAGAACAGGAGTACTCCGACGGCCGTTCTCGTTAAGGTCTCCCGAACTATACCAGATGGGCACTGCCCGAGAGATGTCGATTGACATTAGACTTAGTGGCTAGTTGGCTGGAGAGTAGAATTTGATGACAGTGAGTAAACATATGCATGTGCATATATAAATACGGACCCGAGGATGTCAGACCACACAGAAGTCTGAACCAGCACATGGCATCTAGCGGAGTATTGAGACGAGCATCCTCAATTCACGTCCTTCATTGGTCGATGAGTGTGAAAATCATGACCATTCAAAGTTGAAAATAACGATTGTCACCGTAGTGTGCGAGCAGCATATTCTAAGATGGCTTGACCTGTCAGTGATTCGGCCGCCGAGCTTTACGGATGAGACAAGATCTATTAGGAAACCTGAGCGCTTCGAATCAGGGATTCTGGCTCACCAAGTTGTTATCCATGACATGGTCACATGTATATCAATATATCTGGGTAATCCTTTTTTGGCCTCGAGGATGCTGGACGTGTCTGGCCATGCGATGACGACGCCAATGGTATGGGGTGATCTATCCATGTTTGTAGAATCCAGGACTCAGACCTCTCGGATCTCAGGACTCTACAGGAAGTTATACAAGGTTATACACGACTCACCTCGCCATTCTTATCCATTTGATTATGGCCACTTGTGTGTCAATCGGTGCACATGACATCTCGTGAGACTAATAACATGAGGGACAGGGCCGTACAGCCGCAAATCTAACACCTGCAGCCCGATGTCACGCTACATGTGCAGGACCTGGAGCGAAGCTCCCAAGGGGACTGTAGCTCAAGTGAGTTGAGCCTCAATCTAGTCTTCTAAAAGCAGCAACGTAGGCGATTCTCTTTCAACCTCCGACGTCGTAGTCTCCGGATGTAACCTCGATCTAGCCCGAGCCTTGAATGAACATTCTGAATGCTTGAGCGTTCGCTCGCACTATAGCTAGTCCGTGACGATGAATATAACTGATTATGACTCGTACCGTGTAGCCAGGAGCAGCCTCCGAACCCTGTCCGAGAGAACTGTTATTCGAGCTGCATGGCAACCCATATCACTGAGGGATATGGTATGGAAGTGCCAAATTATTTAGTCTTGTTCCAAGACCGCTCACGTTCATCCGGCGTTCGGGAGGGGGTCGGCGAGCCTACCAAAACATTGAGCTCACACGGATATCCCCCCCTCTTTTTTTTCTGCTTTACCAAGAAAAATTCCCCAGACGGGAAAAATAAACCCCAAAAGATGACATAATAAGTATGGTAAATTTCTCAGACCCCTCTCCAGCCTGAGTTGTGCCTCACCTCACGGCAAGTATTGACATTTCCGGCCCCCTTCCTCTCCATTCTCGATCATCGCCGCCGCTCCAGGCTGCTCCTGAAACCCGCAGTCAACAGTGCATGCGGCGGATTGAAAACCCCTGAAGACCTTCGCGCGGCTCCCGGAAGCTCCCGACAGGATGACGATCTAAAAGGTTAAATGGATTGTAGCTGGAGCAAGCTGCAGCGCAGGTCGCTGGTGAACATATTAATGTGACATAATCATTACTGCGGGACCGGTCGACGAGAAGCGCGGGAAATGAGTGGGAAATGGCTTTTGAGAGTTTGGATGCAAAAGAATTGGTGCGTATCTGGGCTCATTGAGTAGTGAATGTGTCATCAAGCCCGTAACTACCAGATCTCGTGCCATCGAGGCAAGGCCCTAAACAAAGGAGGCTGGATGAGACAATGATACCCACGCACCTTCAGAAACTGGTTACCGCACATCACAGGACCGTACAATATACACACTAAATGAAACAAGGGAAACGCTGAGCAGCGGCGGTATATATGGACCTAAGTGATGTATGTAATGCGTTTTACACAGCGGCATTCAAGAACGAAAAATGCGTAGCGGAAGATGTGATAATATCAACAAGGACGGAACAGAGGAGAGGAACACGATGTGTAGAGAAAGCGATGATGAAGAGAAAAGAGAAAAGAGATAACATGAACAACATACAGAACACCCACATACAGAACACCTCCGCCAAAACGGACACCAGTGCATGCTTGCAATATACTCGCCTGTATTCAGCAGGGTTGCATGCCCATCACTCCAGGACTACCACTGAGATTGTTGACGCCTTTGAGAATGTCTGCACCTGCGCGTAAAAACAATGTTTTTCTCGGAAGATGAAACGGCGACCGATGTCTTCCTGTATCAGGCGAAGAAGATGGCTGAGGGGGGGAAGTAGACGAATAAGACGGCGGAGTCATAGGAAATGGTATCTCTGGAGAAGAAGATGGCGAGGCTAGTGTGATCCCTTCTATGTTTGCCGAAGCGAGTCGATGTTCGTCGATGGTGATAAAGGACGGAACATCAACAAGTGCTCCTACATCGTCTGGCGAGGATCGTGAATCTGTTGAAGACAGGGGCAGATCGTCTGTAGAAGCATTTGTGCTTGGAATAGGTGAGAGCCGTTGACGGCGCGAAAGCATTGGCTGGAGAAATAGGTCGTCCGGCACATCGTCAGATCGCGGGCTTTGTCTCGAAGTTTCCCTCACGTCCTCGAGTGCGGGATATTCTGTGAAGAATGTTGAAGACTGTGCTGATCCGAATAGCGCTCGTACATCAAGAGCGGAAGTTTCTCGCTCAACTTCGGGATAATCTGGCTGCCCCTCTTTGTTTTTTTCGTCATCAACAACGACAGACCCAGATGCAGGAGGATTGTCGTGCGTCAAAGATTTCAACGGCAGCTTTGAGCGCTCAGCTTGACTGAGATCATGGCGAAGGCTTCCGAGGAGCAGTATTGGACGCTGATCAACGCTGGCACTGCGCCTCCTGCGCGCGGCACGGGTAAACTTCTCGGTCCAGTCATCGCCTTCCACCAAACAGCGCTCTGTCACTGTAAAGCAATTGGGGCAACATGGTCGTAGGGGAATAGTCACAACACCTGGAGGGAGAGGTTGCGGTAGTGATAGCCTTCGAGTCAGGGCGTGTGAGTTGCGGGGAGATCCTGGCTGGTGATGTACAAGACAAGGTGTCAAACCAGGTCCATCGATATCGTGAAAAGTGGACGTTGATTCCTTCCTTCTGGTTTATGTGTTAGATTATTCTGCCATGAAGACAGAGAGAGATAAAATAGACCTATGAAAAGACGGTCTGGATTGATGCGCGTCAGAATTTGAAGTGGAAAGATCTTTCCTCTTCCACAATGGAAGAGAGTACGACTTTGAAAGGAGCTTTGGGATCATCGAGTGTGGCCGTTGCGGTGGGTCGGGTATGAGCACACACTCATCGTCAAATCTGACAGCACGATCATCTGCCAGCGTCGGTAGAGCGAGTTCTGAGGGATGAAATGAAGGCGCGCCAGAACGCTCCATCGACAAAGTTATTGGTGAGTGCAAGGTGGGAAGTGGTTGCCCTTGTTGGCGGGTTCTCAGTGTGGAAGGCGATTCAGTCTAGAGGATGTCTAGAGCCGCTGCTATATTCGAAAGAAACCACGTGATTGCGGGGGTGGCTGTGTCGGAGGGTCTCGGCCCCGTAGCCGCATGATGATCCCGCCGGTAGCTTCTGAATTCTCCCGGCTCTCGCCGGACCTAATGACTACCTAATGCTACCCTTTGCTACCTAATGGCCAAACCCCTTGAGCCAAAAAATCACCAATCTATATCATAGCTTAGAAGCGAGATAACATGAACGACCTCTCCTTTGTCTGATACATGTGAAACGATACACGCCAAGACTTTGAAAAAGTCATCATAGGTTACATACGGTTGGTAGCCGCGCACTGTCGTCCCATGATGCCAATGACTGGGCCTTGCTTATGAGCCCGCTTCGCTAAGTAACAACAATGTTGACCTCGATTAAACTCCTGGTGTCACAGGTGGCAATGTACTTCGTAAAATCATTGTTCTCAGAATCGGAGGGACACATGCAAGCTCCTGCACTGCTCCTGCTCGCCTACGCTTGCCAAATCCGATTCCGAGGGCTACGGATTATCATGGGCGCCCGGCTTTCTTGCCTCCCGAACCGTGTTGTGTTGCCAGCTGTTGCCCCGCATAAGATGTCTGGACTTTTAGACCCCTCTCCTCCAACTCTTGTGTTTCATTCCTTTCATATTCAACATGGCTGCACGTCTGTCGCAAATCTCTGGCCATATCAGCAACAACTATGGGCGAGGCTTATTGAATGGTGAAGTCGCCATCATCACTGGTGAGTGACGTTTCCTGAAACGTGAAATAGATTACTGGAATGTGACATACAGGTGCTGCTCAGGTATGTGAATTCTGATGTCACGTAGTCTGACGTCTAATATGCGCACGTAGGGCATTGGACGCAGTGCAGCACTTCTTTTCGCAAAAGAAGGCGCGAAAGTGGTCGTCAGCGAGTAGGCATTCGAGTCGAGTCTGGTTGTTCTTGATTAACACAAGCGAAACGTGTATGCGCTAGCCTTGACGAGAAGAAAGCGCAGGCTGTTGTTGACGAAATCAAGGCGGCAGGTGGCGATGCCATCGCTGTCGGGGGAGACGTCGGTGCAGAGGACTTCCCCAAGAACATTCTTGAGGCAACGATCAAGTATGTTCACCACATCCTCCTCTTTTCTCACACTCACATCATTTCTGTAGGGCATATGGAAAACTCAACCACATTGTTAACAATGGTGCGGGTGCACATACGGACTATTTTCAGCTAAAACATGCCATGCTGATCGGTGATTTGACAGCTGGCTTTACGTACGATCGAATGCTTCACACAATGCCAGACGACGCCTGGGACATCATCATGAAAATTCACGTTCGCGCGCCTTTCCGCCTAATTCGCGCCGCAGCGCCTTACATGCGCATCAAGGTGCCCAGTTTCCGTAAACCTTACCTACGAGCAGCCGCTGAAATTTAAGTCCATTTAGGGTGAAGGACGCGAGAACAGAAGTATCACCAACGTGTCCTCTGTATCTGGTCTTCACGGGAACGTCGGCCAAGCCAACTACGCGGCGGCGAAGTCTGCCGTCGTAGGTCTGTCCAAGACGATCGCAAAAGAATGGGGCGCCTTCGGGGTCCGCGCAAATACTATCGCATTTGGCTACGTTCTCACTCGGTCCGTCACTCTGACCTTTTTATGTAGATGGTTGACGCACTGACGAGTTCCTCAGACTGACGGCGGCCAAAGAAGCAGGCGTGACTATTGAAATCGAGGGGAAAAAGGTCGCACTCGGTGTCCCCGGTGCTAAACCCCCGTCAGACTCCGATGCAAAGTCTTTTCCCCACATTCCACTTGCCCGACCTGGAACTGCCGATGAAGCTGCTGCTGCCATGTTGTTGTAAGTTCATGCGACTCCATTTTAAGCCTCTACTTTTCAACATTCATGCTGACTATCGAAAATGATAGCCTCGCATCGCCCTTGGCATCCTATGTGACAGGGCACACGCTCGAAGTGACTGGTGGGACCGGCATCTAAGTGTCTAGGCACCTGTATTTACAGCCCATGTGAATCCAAGCTTTTCTGTAACTATTAATTCACGCACTAGATCAATGATCTACAATTGCGCCCTCCATTGACATCGGCCGAACATCGAACGAGACAGTTTCTATAGCATTTTCCTACTTACCACCGATGCGGGAAACATCCGGACAGGAACACCCAATTCGGTTGCCTATGGTTTGAACCGCGACTCCATACTCATCTTAGCTACCCGTTCGATCTCTTGCTCTGAGAGTCCAAGACCAAGTGGCTTAGGGGCGATAAGAAGTGCGTACTCTCCCAGCATAGAGGTGCGGAAAGGAAGTATGTCATCCGTCTGGAGTGCAAGCGAACAGGAACATGTGGCGCCGAATGAAGAGCCGAGCAATGATGGAAAGGATAATGGTCAAGAAGCAAGCCATCAAGTCATCGCACGTTGACGAGACAAAATTGCCACTCACGCATATAGCGATGGGATGATCGTTCTTGAGATAGTAGCGAATGTGATGGTCCTCAAGGGTGCCCACTGTCTTGCACCTGCGTATGTGTTCGATGCGTTAGTGCCAAGAATACCCAGGAATGACGCCGCAAAGCAGATGTGAAGGATACAAAAGGAGTAAAGAAACTTTCACGCACAGAAGGTTCGATGTGAGACAAATCTCTATACATATCTTGTTCTTGAGCACGATTTCCTTTGCCTCCTCGTTCAGAAAGGTGGCATGACCCAACCTTTTTGGTTCACAGGAAAGAAGCTGCAAGGTCTCCGGCGCTGGATTTTTTTCCGTCTGTAAACCGAATCGTGATCACACGCACCGGCAAAGATAAGAATGTCGAATGACAGAAGGGTCCATAAAGAAAGAAGCGAAGATACCTCTGCAATGTGAAGCGTCACGCCCAATCCAGCCCTTCTGGCAGCCTTGAAGTGCTTGGAGAAAACAGCCATATCTCCCGCCTGATCCAAAGCAAATGAATCGCACAGAAAGATATAGGCATGTGAAAACAATCGTCACTCACCATCGGATCACCACAAAGATCGACACCGACAACCCTCCGGCCCTCTTGCTTTAGTTGGGCAGCCAAACTCACGACCTCCTCTGCCACATCTCCAGTCATCCTCCTGTCTAAGCTCACAACTAACGCTGCCTGCTCATCTGTGTATTTTTCGATTTCATCGAGCACGGTCTCCAAGTACACCCGCCGAGTCATGTGCTCATTGTGTTTAGGTGTAGTCCTAAGCTCTAGATAGGACACCTGGGGCTCATCTCCGCCCAAGAAATGTTCAAGGACAGAGCGAGTCGCGCGGCGCAGGGCAGGTGCAGTTGCAGTGAGAGCATAGATGGCTGGAAAGAGGCCGAAAAAATCTCCGATTTTGTCTAGTCGGACGCCCTCTTGAAGGCGCTTAATGCCTGCACTTACGTCTTCAGAGGGTGTGGACCGAGCAGCTGCGTGTTCTCGCGCTAGGTCTTGGAGAACGGGCAACGGAATGGATCCATTCAGATGGGCGTGAAGCTCAGCCTTTGGAAGACGGTGAAGAAAAGAAATCTGCGATGAGGAGAGGGCTTGAAGAGCCACTCTGGCAGGGCCTGCAATGGGAAGCATCGGCGTGGATTGGAATAGAGATCGACGACCTGATGTTCAGACGCTAAATAATGATCAGTAACATAAAGCGGCCGAGTCAGACCATGTTGACTCCTGCAGACCTTGATCTGATCTAATCGGGAGGGCCTGTTCAAAGCAAGGGGTATTTCCGGACCGGTGCTGACCTCAACGTTTAGTGCAACTCAAGCTGAGTAGACAGGTCAGTCGTATCCTGAGCCAGTTTAGACACATCTCCACGATGGCATCCATTGGGCCATATGTTCCCCCGAGCCTGTCGAATTCACCCGCGGCGCCCTCAACTGCCCCCTCGGTTGGCTTGCTTCAACGATACGAAGAAGAGGAAGAAGAGGAAGAAGATGACTATGCACCTGCTTTACCCCCAGATCTTGCAGCTGCGCGTATTAACGGCGGAGGACCTGCCACAGTGGGGCCCTCCCGACGTATATTCGGACCTTCAATGGGTCCCCAACGCCAGGAAGAAGAGGAGTCTGAGGACGAAGAAGTTGGGCCTGCACCGCTGCCTTCGAGCGCCACGCTTGACCCGCAAGATGGCATTAGAGAGTTCAGAGAGAAGGAGGAGCAGCGCCGGAAACATATCGAGGTGCGCACTTCGCATGAATTGCTGCTTCCCTCGCCGCTTTTCACAACCGTGTGCAGGCGTATGCTCATATACTTATGCGATATCTTCTCTTTTGTGGGCACCGTTGTAATTGTAGGAAGCAGCTAAGCCCAAAGCACTGCAGCGCGAAGAGTGGATGCTTGTGCCGCCCTCGTCTTCCGACCTTCTTGGTAGTAAGTCTCCCGACCATTCTGAAATGGCGTCCCGAATCAACGTTATAATTGCGGATCTGATTTTATAATAGCATTGGATCCCACAAAACTAAGCAAGCCGCGACAGTTCTCGCGCTCGACTGCACCGGCGAGAAAAGTTGATAATTCCTTGTGGACTGAGACACCCGCGGAGCGACAGCAGCGTTTAGCAGACGAAGTGTTAGGGAAGAAGCGGCGTATTGAAAACGCAGACGCTACTGAAGGCGACGAAGACGAGGCACGGAAGAAAAGAAAACGAGATGCTGAAATCAGGCGGGAAGTGGAAGAGCACACAGTAAGACCTGCGGCCCCCTCTAGAGTGCAAGGCTGATGTCCATTGCTATCGCAGCGGAAACACCGAGGCTCGTCGCTCCTCGATGCTCATGCCGACGCCGACTCTCGCAAGAAAAAAGACGACGATGGCGAGGGTCCTCCAGCTATCTGGGACCATTCGCGTGACATGTCGCTGGGAGGGCGATTGATGGACGAGAAAGACCGCCAGAAAATGATTCGAGATGCAAGAGGTCTTTCTGACCGATTTGGGACGGGCAGGAGTGGGGGCTTTTTGTAAGTTAGATCGCTGCAGCTTCGGGTCTAGTTTATGGACAAGCACCGCAAGACATGTGCACGTATTTGTCTTGCGCACTGCTGTATTTCTATGTCGATATATTTATTCTGTTCAAATTGAGGGGGAATAGAATAGCTTGGACAACGGTAGCAGTCCTTTTACCATAGGTTATTGGGAACTGGTCCCCTTGCGGAGATACAACACACTAGCCAGCTTACTAGCCTTCGTTATTGATTGCTGGTATCTAGATTATGGGGCCAGCTGAGGGGCTGACTGGGACGTTGAGTACTGTATGTGATGCGCTGCGTGCCGTACGAGGTGCTTGTCTAGGACCAGTTCGTCCCGTCGGTTCAGTTACCTGATTCGTATCACCTGCCCTGAAGAACATAGGATATATATTTCCTCCTTCCACTTTTTTGATCCCCATCTCTTGTGCTCGGGCATGTACTGTCGCCAGTGAGGTCTTTACCGAGGCACAGTCTTTTGCTGATTGCAAATTACACATCCGAACCCGTCTGTCAGCTTCGGCTCTCAGCAATTTTTGGAAAACTTATTTCATTGTTTCTTTTATTTCACTCGATGAAGATGCTGCCTATTGGCATTGGAGAGGTTAGCAATATCTGTAGTTAGACTTGAATGAAATTGTTCTGCTATTACTTCTGTGTGGTATTGTGCTCCATCTTGAAATGCCTTGTGATTGTTCCTTTATGAGTTTGTTCAAGGATTGTTATAAGTTGTTGATAACAATGATTAGAGGCCGAGGAGGGTATGATATTGTTCAACGCTGCGCATTCTACACGAATTGTCATGAAATGTTTCAAGAAATAGTACGTCGGAGCCATCATGCAAGCCACCAATTACTGCAGTCCATACCAGAACAAATTATTGTGCGACGTAGAAAGGGCAAAGAAAAGATGGCCAGAGGAGTCCATGATGTGCTCTCAAAGCCACTCAGTATCGCTCAGACGATGGTGGGTACCCGCGCCCACCATATCCTCCCTTCGAGTATAACTGCTGTCCGCTAACGCCACCGACAAGGCTAGCGGGGGCTCCATGGTAGTTGCTCGCTGTGTCCTCTTCGAAATCTCTCTCAGAGTTCTGGCCGGCAAGGAGAGGATCCTTGACTTCCCACACAGTAGCCTTGGAGCCGACAGAAAATTCGAGATCCTCGCGCTACACGGGTAGAGATGGTTACAATCGGTTGCACATCAATGAAAATCAGATGAAAACGAGGTCGCGTAGACGCACCGTAATGCTGTCCCAGTACTTATAAACCATCATGACGCTCAAGAGCATGCACAGCGTGAAAAAGAACAGGCCATCGATGTAGTGCTTGATGGCGTCACATATCGTCACGCTGAACGCGAAGAGGAGAATTTGCGCAATGGTGAAGAAGGCAGCCCCGAAGATGATATCACCGATCGGCCATCGGTCCTCGAGCGTGCGGAAGACGAGAACGAGTTGAGACACAACGTAAACGGCAGTGCAAATGAGCGGCCAGAGGATGTAAATGATCCACAGGCCGATCGGCTTCGTGTAATTGAAACTAGCAAACTTCTTGAAGGTGGCGATAGAGACGAAGAACGAGACGGCGAATACAACCAGGCAGGCAATACGAAGTAACTGTAATGGCAAACGAAACGCAAGTCCACCAGCTCACGACGAATGTAAAGGGATAAATGAAGTGAAAGAGACGTACCCATAACGACAGAGGCGTGCCATCCTCTGCGAACTGGAAGCCTACGAACCCATTGATAAGAAGACAACAATACGCCGCGGCTACGAAGCCTGTGTAGACAGCAGCAAACCACTGCGGGGCCAAGGGGCATGAGACCGATGGGGGCGTACCCAAAGAATGGTCCAACATCCGTGGACTTACCGGATAGCTAACGTTTGCAGTGGGTATGATGTTCGAGTCGAGGAAGATTGCCAACAGTTCGATGACGGCGTAGAGGTAGAAGAACATGACGATCTCCTTCCTGCCTGAGAAGATCACTGGATGAGACTCAACCATGATATCGATGTTCGGGAAAGTGCTCACCAACTGCTGTGTATTTACTACGTATGTGATAGATCATTATCGCGGTCATTATAATTGCAACGATATGAACAAAACATGTCGCTAAATGCAGCACAAAGAGTTAGTTCTGCTTCTTGTTCAAGACTGTGTATGCGGGAGACGCGTGAATACACATCTCCTTGCTGTGATGCTACCTGCCCTCTGAATCCAAAAGAGCCAAGCCAAGCCAGACGACTCACAGGGTTGGAAAATCAAGGTGCCTGCAATGTCCACATTTCTACTGTAACACGTGGGCTCGATGCCTTGATCGGTGCCCACGAGTGGGCAAATGACGAGCGCAGCAGTCTGGCAGATGCTGTTGAAGGAGCCGAATTGGACGCCCATGGCGGCCGAGCGGTATAGAAAGAAAAGGCTGAGAAGAGAACGAGTGAGAGGTATCAGGGGGTGGTGAGAGGTAGTGAGGAGAACAGCGTGACGGTCGTGGGGCTCAATGCCCGAGACTTTGCTAGAAAGAAATGTCGACGATGCGGATTTGGAGCTCTTTCCACGCAGCGACAACCAGGTGTCACAAAAAGTGACTTTCAGTCACGCATCCTCTTCAACTATCTGCACACCCGTGCTCGACCTGGTTGACTGGAATGGCGATACTGATGTACTCCCGACTATCCATTGTATGAGTGGGTTCAACCTTTCAATTACTCATTGGATTGCTGGACTATTTCGAGAGCGCTATCACAGAACACCGATGGACATTCGTCTGACAGCAAGGCATCTAACAGTCCAGAATCTATCGAAGCCTGAGAGCATCTGGGACTAGAGACAAGCAGCCCTCCCGCCTTTCACAACTGAAATGATAATAGCTGCCGAGCTGTAAGACAACAAACTCTACGACGCGTTAAGTGCGCAGATCTTGACGTTAGCACAACATGGTACCTCGCCGTTTAACGGCCGGCTGACTTTGAATCAGACCCGCCAGTGCTTTTCTCTATTCTTGGCCTGTATTGATTGGGGTACTGATCGCTTGTATTGTCTTCTTTCCCCTACACAGGGTTCACATCTCCATCCCTTCGTGATGAATGCATGATGCGCGAAGCCGCTACAAAGCCGTTTCAATTCCAAACCTCATTGGGCAACTCATCACGGGTTTTTTCCCGTAATTGTGCATGAGGCTTTTTGCCGCATCAAAGAGGTGCATTATGTTTATGCCCAGTATTTGACTTTTGCGCTCAATCTCCTCTTCTCAGCGCTGAACGGGCGGTTGTATCTCGATGCAGATCACAAAATTGCCATCGTTGACATCTTTTCGGCATGTATATAAAGACGATATCAGCTGTGATGATAGATTATTCTCTATAGATGTCTCGTATAATTGGCGATTTTGTCGCCACAAGATTTAGCTCCCACTGGTAAGCACTAGTATCACAGCCCGAAAGATCCAAGTCAGGTTTCATGTTGCACATCAACCGCCACTCGGATCACCATACCATCTTATTAGACAAAGCATACTGAGAGCCTGAGACCTCACGTATAGTGGCTTCTGATTGGTGTGCTGGTAGGGACTATGCTGCCTAATTGTGCTATACTGCCGGCGAACCCGGTCAACCTCCCTGGGACTGTAACGCCGCTTCGTGTCTTGTGCCACGAGCCAACTGCCGTCCAAGAACGGATATTGACAAAAATGAGACTGCGGCGGGCGACGCGTAAAGTGACGTGTATCAATTAGACACGCATCTTAAGGAGCAAGGTCACAAACGCGTGAACGCGTGAATGCAGAGGTAGTCGGTGCATTTTGCGTTCATTTCCCATGCAGGGTTTCAGCGGACGCAGCCTAATTGCCAATACAACAACTACTAACCTGGTGCCTCTGACAGCTGTAAGGGTGTTATGGCCTCCACTATACCGTCTTCTTCGATGCTTCGCTTGCGAAAACCTCGGAGACGTCGTCTGCAAGCGGGAGTGTCACACACCGCCCACCGTAATTTCCACTCCGTCTCACTGCGAAATGCTTTTGAACCAACTGTGTTTGTTCCAAGAAGTTTGGGCATCTCCGGCATTCTAGGGCCTTCTATAGGACTTGCATAGGCGCGCTAGATCTGGGTTTCAATCGTAATGCCGGCTCCGATGCGTGCCTAGCACCAATTGCATGTCCCCTTGTAAGCGTTGCTCCGGCCATGGGACTGCCATGGGTCGCGGTGTTTTTGACGGGCGGCCATAGCCGATCCACCGCGGCTGGCGAATGAGGTGCATCTATGATCATGATAATCTCGCAGATTCGATGACGCTGTCGCAGGGGTTGTTTGATCCCGGTGTGGTGTGGTGACGACGCCGAGTCGAACGCCGCGAACAGACCCGGAGTCTTCAGGGGGCGGAGTTCAGTTCGAGTGGCGGAAGGCGGCAGTGGCAGCAACAAGGAGATCTAGCTCCCGTATCATGTCGAGAGGCTGGCCGATCCGCGGAAAGCGCAGCGTGGCCTTGACCGCCGCAATGTCATATTCAGCCTGAAGGGGCGATGTCATATACAGCTGACTAATGTCAGGAGCTCCGGGCGAGGAACTCGCGATGAGATCCTCTCCAGATCCTCCCTTAAATCTGCCACGTCGGCGGTGACGCCGTGGGCCAGGAGAAAGGGGCGTCTATTCTTCCCGTATTGCCCAGAGCGAGAGATCAACGTGTTCAGAAGAGGCGCATCAGGGATAGTGACTGTGGCGAGACGCGAGATGTCAGTTGATGGCATCGATATCGCTGTGACAAATCCGAACCTTTACGACATTTTCCATCGGTGGGCGCGTCGCACTCTAGTCGGTGTTGGTGCGTGAGATTACTATTATTACTTCATCGTGCTCGGAGACCGCCGCAGACCGAATATTTTTTTTCGATGTCCTGACCACAACTCTAGTGATTGTCAGACGTACGGGCCGTTGGAACGATATTTATGGGGCATGAGTATTTTTTCTCAGGCAAAACAGATGCTGGAATGTCCTGTCTGACAAAATGTGCCAGGTACACTCAACGGCGTGCAAAAGTCTTGGGACAATTCAAATTTGCGGTAGTCCTCCATTCTTGGTTATGTTAGCCACAATAGGAGACTAGCACCATTTCTAGTTGAGTTTTCTAGCCAAACAGAGGAGAGATTTTAAAACTCCGCGACTCTGAGGCGTCAGCTTGTCAGTCTCCACGGCCTCGCAACGAGGACCGGCAGCCGGATTCATTGGCGAAGAACCCTAACCCTTTCCGGCACTAATCAAGTGGAAGAGCCGCGAGGCTCATCCGATGCCGAGGCGCAGCACTTTGGCAGGCTCAATCCGAAAACACTTTTCCGTGTCTCGCACATACAAATGTATTGGAGCCGCGAGCAGGTACAGCGCTTTGAGGTGGACATCTGGATACGCCGCAAGCTTGAATGGAATGATACTGTACCCTTCGAGAAGGGCATCAATCAATTATCACATGATTATCTGGAAAAGCTCAGTGTGGAGAGAAAGCAAGTTTCGTGGACAGTCCGAGGCCGCAAGGAACAAGACGATATCCATATCAGCGGAACGAGGTGGCGCAGATCAATTTTTGGAAGATGATGAGGATCAACATACGTTCAACTGTTCTCACTAACATTGCTATGGACGTCGCGGCGTGTACACATACACACACACAGCTGTATACTTATACATCATGATAGATAGGGAAGCTATGGTATGGGAATGACCGTATTCTAGGAGTCGGAAACGGAGAAAGCACGATCACGGACATACGAAGAAGATGTGGTATGAAGGTTGAGAGATACAGGAGAGAAGGAGGGGCCGGATTGAGATGTGGTGTCAAGCGGGTTGAGGCGTTAGCGAAAGAGAAAGGCGGTAACGAGGCGAGCCATTCCTGACGAGAAAGCCAGGATTGGAAATCGGGGCCGATTTGGCGTCGGAAGAGACAAAAAGCTTGACGGAGGGCGTGGCGGGACAATTAAGCAGGGGAAGTGGGACTGGGAGGACGACCGAAAGCGGGAGCGTGGGAGGACGAGGATGAGGTCAGCGTCCAGGGAAGGAGGTGGGCGAGGGTAAGGGAATGGGGAATCCCCTGGAAAGAGCCCCCTGCCGTGAGTGCCGAGAAGCGAGGCGAAGTGCGGCGGGGTGAGGCGAGGGGGGATCTGTGAGGCGAAGCGTAGATCTGGAACTGTGCTTGGACGGGGCAGGGCCACCTTCCGAATCCATCTTGAACGCCAACGGCATCGACCACGGTCCCCTGTCTGTCTCTAAGCGGAATATCCACCGCGGAATATCCAACAGTCCTTTTTTTTTTTCAAGCCAACCGAGTCGCTTTCGTCTCCTCTCCCCTTATTAAATCTCACTATGGACCCCAGCTCTCTTCCGATCTTTCTAAAACATTCCCGTCTTCAAATAACATACCGATGGCCCTCTACACTCTTCCCTCCCTTCCCCTCTCGCCACCGTCCTACGCCATGAACGACAATGACGCCCTCCCTTCGCTTCCTACTGAAATCCTCTCCGCCTGGGCTGCATGGCGGCCCACAAAACAGGAGCCCCTCACCCCCCCACTCACCGCCAACATCTCGCGCCGCACACGGAGGTCAAAACCGCAGGCCACCACCCTCCCGCCCATCGCAGACCTCCACCGTACGTCCTGCCTTCTCCTGACGCGTTTCTCGCATGCTCACCGCGCGTCCCCGTCCAGTGCCGCCAATTAACGCGCATGCAGACGCTTCCTCCTATCCTTACATGCCTCCTGTCATTCCTTCGTCGCGCTCTCCGCCGTATCAACACGCCGACGCGTCGTACGCAAAGCCGGCCACGCCTTCACCAACGCCCTCACCACGCATCTCCGATTGGTTCTCGGAGTCCCAGAACTGGTCGTCCCATTTCTTGGCAGAGAAGATGTGCGAGATGATCTGTTACGTCTGGTTCTCGAAAGCGTCCGACGCCTCTCCGCACTCGTCACATCCTAACCACTCCCCACCGCTGTCCTACTTTCCACATCGCAATTCGAAAACAGCATATCTCCAATTCTCTGTCTCTTCTGTCTTCGTCCACTTCATTCAAAAGTTACTCGAGACGACGCAAGTCAGTCAGTCGGTCATCGTCCTCGCCCTACACTATATCTACCGCCTCAAGGCGCGTAATAGCGTCACAATACCTCACCCGGGCAGTGAGTTTCGCGTCGCGGTCGCTGGCCTCATGATGGCAAATAAATTTGTAGATGAGTGAGTTTGAATCTCGTACTCAATGCATTTTTCATCTTTGACACCGAGCTTTCAGCAATACATACACGAACAAGACATGGTCTGAGGTATCGGGCATCGAGTTGACGGAGGTGAACAAGATGGAAAGGGAGTTCTTGTTGGGCATTGATTTTGGGCTCTACGTTGACAAGCAGATATTCGATTCGTGGTTAAACTTGCTGAAGGGTTTGGTCATGGCGAAGGAGAAGGACAGTCGGTTTTGGCGAAGGTTGCGACAAGGTCCGCGCATGGTGACCTCGAAGCCGCCTATGCCATTATCCGCCATGAACAGACATTGGTCGACTCGCGCGCGCTCGACATCTCCTGTTCAATCATCACGCCGACCATATCCCACCTCATTCGATTCGAACGCATCACAGGCTTACCACTCGCCGATTTACATGGACTCCGATTCACCTCTGCGTGTCAATCCGAAGCGCACCGCTGTCGACGCTTTCTCTCCTACTTCTGCCGCATTCGACATTCGCCCATGCAAGCGCCCATCAGGCTTGTCTCTGGACATTCCGAATACGGTGGTTGGGGGCAGTGCACACGCCCCGTCACCTCTCGAGTCGCTCCAGTTCGCGAAGCTCTCGCTTGGGGCGTCTCCTGTGAAGCACAGCACTGGTGAATTCGGAGGAGTACAGCATTCAAGACAGGTCTCGCCTCCAACGCTCGTCGCTGCGTATCGCCTCGATCCGACAAAACCACGACCGTTGCCCCAGGTGAGCTTTCCGCGTGCGCTGTTTTCAAATGTACGATGCTGACATCAACGTTGCGCCCCGCAGAACTTGTACTTTTATTCTCTCGCGTGCTCTCCGTTGGCCGAAGACAGTCGGACACGAAAAGCCCGACTCCGATACCATCAGCCGCCACCGCCCCCATATGCGCCGTTGGGCCAGTCATACTCGACACAAGCTTCTACATATGTCGTTCAGTCTGCGTCCACGAGCCCTCACGACATGTACACGACTCTCCCGCCTGTTTTCTATTCACATGATGGTCCATGGTCTCATCATAATTCCTTCGCACCGGTCCACTCGCAATCGTATGGAATCCCAGCTCCTGCTGCCGATCATCATGAAATGGTGGACAGTTCTGTACCCTCGGCACCCTTTGCGAACGCGGGACCACCCGGCGTGCAGTTCTATCCCCCTCCTAAGCCACCACAGCCTTCGTCCGATTACTACTGGCGCCGTGGCCGCCGCCTATAATTATTGTGTATATCATGTGCTCGGGCTGTCTTTGCATTGTCTCTCTATTTGGGTTTCTTTACGCTATGGGTCGAACTTTCCTGCCCTCTTCTGCATCTCAGCATTGCCTAATCTTATAGTGTATCACACATCACGCATCCATAGTTCGGCATTTGGACTTATTCATCCGGTACACTCGCATCGTCATTAGAAGTTAACATCTGTATCAATCTTTTCACACTTCCCCATCCTACGTTGATGTCCACTGCCACGTACTGTTCGGTTGGGGTATCGCGCGTCAAGTTCGCTTCAGCGTTCCACCCCATGTTCCGGCTGCCAAAATATAACATCATATGCAGCAGGATTGGTCGTGCCAAATGAGGTATCATGATGTTTATAAAAGCAATTCAGAAGGCAAGGGACGCGCATCGCTGTCTGAGCTTGATTTGACTGTTCTTCACATTTCAGGCGCAGGTGGTGCATACAAGAGATTGCTATTAGGGGGTGCTTCTACGATGGGCCTTGCCTTGTAAGTAAGGTTCCTAGCGAAAGGTACGCCCCTACACTTCGTTGCTGTAACTTAGGGTGGTATCACAGCGGAGTCTAGATACGTCAGAGTAATGAAAACCTTGAAGCTAGCGCCCGAATGGCCCGTACTAGTGCACAGGCTGAAATCTTTCGCATATCTCACAGATCCGTCCCAATACTTAGCAATCTGTTCCAGCCCCCGCGTGGCCCTACGATCCGGTCGCTTTTGCATCCATATGCTTGTGGAACACATTCGAATTCGAACTGTCAGGGCAGGGTCATTTGTCTTCGCTACTGGCACAGCCGGGTACGAACAAACGCCAGCATGCGCATTGACGCGGACGACGCAGTCAGGTCTGATTAGATCGTCTTGGAAGACACGCAGATGTCTCCAAATGTACGCGTTCGAGAACTGCATCGATTGGGTACGCTGTTTTCCTCTAAATCTTCTCCAAATCAGGTGCGTATCCACTTATGTAGCACTTCCCTATTACAGCCATCGGCTCAAACATCCAGCGGGATCGCTTTCTCCTTAAAGGGCAATAACACTTCTCGTCTGTTCTCGTACGCTGCATTGCATGTTCGTTGCGGGGGCTCCCTTTATTGGGAACTGCGGTCCGGCAGATTGACAGAGCCACTACGCGGTCGACGTCAACGGCGATGTTGTTGTTGTAGGCAGGTGCGGGTGTTGGTCGGGTGGTGATATTACTCGAAGAATCATCAAAGGGTCTCAAAAGCGCTGCGCCATGGGTGTTTTGATTTCGCACGAGATGATGCATTGACTGCATCCGTCTTACCGTCTTGGCTGACGAAGGCTGGGCTATGATCGAAAAACCTCAATCCCGTTTGACTGTGGAGCAGGGCACATACTCATTGGGGTCCAATAGACATGGAGGATCAAAGGGGGATGTGAATCCGAGACTCTATAAGTCAATCGGACTGGTTCATCCCCATGTTCCACGCACCCGAATGCGGCCGGGATCGCATCTTTTCTTCCGAGACGCGGGGGCATTGAATCCGATCCCGAAAAAACAACGGATGCCCGGTGGGCGTTGGAGGCAAGGAACAAATCTATGGGTGTCGTCAAGGATCACGTCACTCACTTAGGGCCAAGGACCAGCTCCCATCATGGAATTCTGCACGCAGGAGCTGATAGGGCGGTGATTAGTCGATCCCGCAAGATGTATTTGGTTTCTGTTTGCAAATGTAGGCAGTGGAGAGTTCGAACGCGTGGTTGCTCTCAGCCGGTCAATGATGCAAGACTGGCTCACGTAACGGGAATCCGCCCTTGAAATGGAAAGAATGATCCGAACAGAAAGCACCGACTGGACTGCGTTCAGCACGGGCTACAAAGACCCGTAGCGCTCTGGACAGATCGTCAGAATATCGCATACCGCTTAAAAGGGGAATGATGTGAATCTTCAATCAAGACATTGTACGTACAAGGAAAGGTCACGAAGACATGACTTATTGGGAAGCCAGATGAGACAGCAACCTGGACAATAATTGACTTGGCAGGATCCATAGACCCCCAATTATTGTTATAGGTCCGCAGCTTACACGCCTGGTCTACCGTTTCACTACTTTTCAGTGTCGCTTCGCTTTTCTAACGCAGCAACCTCCGCGCGGAGGATGGACATGTTTGAAGCGAGAAAACCTTGCGTGAATTCATACCCCGCCAGGATACCCGTAGCTGTTTCAAACGTCCCGACATTAGCATCATGAACGGCATATTATCAAGGCATAGCTATTCATCTGCATGCGACCGGAAAATCTGAAGGCGTGAGGCTCACCCAGACCAGCGACGATCGCCTTGTTTCTGTTCAGCCCTATACGGGTACCTATGATGGCTACAGGGGTGAGTGTAAATGGAGCAGAAACGGGGTTGGCTAAAAACGAAGTGGCGAACCTCCAAGCAAGCCTGCTGTTAGACCGGCAAAAGCGCCATCCCTTCGAGCGTGCTATCCGAGGTAATCAGACGGACCTTCCAGGGGTTCAGAAGGACAGGTAATTACAGTTGTAGCCCGCGCAACGGCATCTGCGGGGAGATTGGATGTCGAAGGAAAGCCTGGTTGAGCAGACATGGAAGCTGCTGGAAGCTTGGACCGAGAGCTACCGAGAGACTGAGAGTGTGACAAACCGCGACGCGTCGCATCACACTGAGTGACCTCATGTGATCGCGCGTCAAGTTGAGTGCGCGCTCTTCCTCTTCGCCACGCGTTTTCGTCCATCTTCCGCCCCACAATGGCCGCTCGGAACAGAAAAGATCCCACCGCATCCTTCCGGGAAACGTACGACAGCATACAAGGTGGTTCTGAGACTTGCTCATCATGATACATCGCACTAATGGGGCTTGCTTTTCGGGCCTCAAGACCTTCTCGTCAAGATCAAGGCAAACTCTAGCAGAAGCACCAAGGACGCTGAATCCTTGGTCCCACACCTTGATGAGCTCTCAGCACTGTGCGAAAAGCTCACCTTGCGGCATCCCAAGGTCCCACAGGATCTCGCAGACACGCTCGATCGAGAAGGTCGGCTGCTTTATCCCTGGGAATCATCGCTGGGACCTGTCTGACAACAACATACTGTTAGGAACCGATCTTTGGAATTCGGCCTCAAGTATCAGCTGTCCTGGAAGTGATGATAAAGCGACACTTATTTCTGCTGCGCGTATGTTTCCTGTTGCACATTCGTAATTGAATGATTTCGTCTCGAGTTTGACGCCTTGACTTTTCCCATCAGTGAGGTCATCTGGATTTCGCCTCATTGAGGCAGGCCTCCCCCACAAGCTTGAAATCGAAAGTGAACACAATTTTCATCAACTGTTTCCTGACACCGGTTCACACCCGGCGCTGCTTCTTTTTATAGCTTTGATTCACATGTTACAACTGGCCAGCAAAGCGGGCGTCGATTTGGCCAGTAAGTCAGCCTCATTCCGGCATTCATCCCTGGTTGGTTTGGACCAACAGACTTCTGATGTGGAGTGACATATCAGGCGTCGGAAGATTTGAAGTCGCAGCTAGCGTGTTGGGATCTGCGGCTGAGGTACGTCGTGTGAAAATCTCAATGATACAGGTGTTCGCTTAGCTTTCTCAGTACGAAGAGCGTCTGCGGGTTGCGAATGACCCACAAGGGGTTCACCAACAATCAAAGGCACAGGCCACCGTGGTCTACTACTGTAGCAGAATGGAAGTTGTAAGCATATGCATCGTAGTGCCGAGGATATTCTCGGTGGGTAATCGTGCTGACCCACGGAACTATACCCAGGCCTGGGAAGAGGGCAATGTCAGCCTCGCTCACTATATGCTTCAGAATATCACCGGTCAGTGACTCCTGAAGTGCCTTCCGAAGGACACGCTCACCTGATGGTCCCAGAAAGCGAAAATGAGCGTCTGGCTCTTTTACCCGCTCGTGACGTAAACACTTCACCTGCCTCGCGTGACTGAGGTTTTTTTTTGACAAACTACCCGCATATAGCACGAGTTATTAGCGTCCAAGCTTCTCCAGATAGGTAGATCCTTGTTGACCGGACATTACCGGAACAGAGAAACCGCGCCAGAGGAGGCAAAGGCTCCAGAAGCGGTGAAGTGGCTACAGAAGGCATTTGCACTTGCGGAACACCTGGACGACACGGTGACGGCCGGCTCTGCACAGCTCAAGGTGAGTAAGCAAGAATATCATCTTCGCAACATGTTCTCAACAGACGCTGATCCCCATCGAGAGGTGCATTCTGAGGAACTTGGGCAAGTCTCTCACGTTTCGTGAGATCGATGAAAGTCCGAACTGTAACATTCAGCTAGGGCCTACATCTTGTCCTCCACTGAAGCGCCGGACAATCTAAATCGTGCGGAGGCTTCTATCAAGGAGTTGCTCACATCGATTGAAGAGTCGGGAGATCACGTAAGCCCAACAACTGTAAGTTAAGACTCAATTGGATTCCACTTAACCGCTCTTCACTCCCAGGCATCTTCCGAACACGCGGAAATTCGATGGTGGATGCTTGCGGTTCGTAAACGGCGAAAAGCCACAGATGAGGCGCTGCTTGAAGGTTAGGATTCACGTTGACACGCAGATAGTCATCCCTTGATGAACTAATCATATTGCAATTGTATTCCAGCCTTCAGGTCTATCATTGATCACATGGATTTCACAGAAGAGACCGTGACCAAGTATATCTCCCTTTGTCTTTGCAACTCCACGGAACAAATAACTTCCCTTTTCGAAGCCTTCTACAAGAGCTCCGAACATCAAGTCAACAGCAGTATGTTACTATCCATCTGAGTAAAGGTGCTTCTTTCTCAATGTGAGACAGTGCGCTTGTTGCGTCTGTCCTGCAACAATGCCTCCAACGGGCGTTGCATATCCCTGACAGCTCGGGATTCCCTTTTGTGGACCGGCTCTTGTTGGCCACAATCTTTCAAAGCTCACGAGTCGACCACGCAAGGGCTATGCAGGATCTGAAAATGGCATTCGACAGTATGTGATGCACGTTGCACTCTTTGAATTGATTTTCATCCCATTACTGCAGTCGTACAGACAGCCGAATTTTCCCTCCCGAAAGTTCCTGCGACGTCGTGTTTGTCTGTATGTTACGATCGTCTCTCTGCTTATACTTTTCGAATTCACTGGCATCTAGCTTTTGTGGCAATTTGGTGAAAGAAAGTATAACGCTCGGCGGTATTCTGAGGCCGCAGACTGGTTCTTGCAGGGAATCCACCGGATCTTTCGGAGCATTGCAGGAAGCAGCGGAAAGTGCTATCGAAAGGCAGCGTTGTGTCATATACAGCAAGCAGAATACGCAAAAGCATCCGCCACTATCCGCTGCTGCCCTGGAGATGACGCCTCCACATACTATGTCATGCTCCTAGCTGCTGTTAAACAAGGTGGGCGTTACATCGGATATTGTCGCAGATGAAGCTCAAATGAACCGGTCCCGGAGGTTTGGAGGACGAAGGTATGTATTGAGGATATTTAAGAGTCAACTTGGAAAATAATTCGCAATTTCTAGCCATACAGGCAACGCAGAAGATGGTCCAGGCTCCTCGCTTCCGTAGAGAGATGTTGCTCATGGCCACGCGCCTTGCGCATGAATCCGATCTCAAAGGACTGCTTCTGACGGTCCTGCAGCAGCTGTCGCAGTCTGTTCAAAGTCGAGAAGGTCGAGAAGGCGACGTAGACGGCATTGCTGTACTGCGATGCCTAATCAGACTAACGGCGGACCTCATTGCTGACCCCACTACATGCAAGTGAGCGAAAACGCCTTCTGTTCGGACGAGGTCAGGTCTCACAATATTGGCCAGGGGCGACCTTATCGATAAATTGATCGGGCATTTTGAGCAAGGTAAGTTGATATATATTATGAGCCTTGTGACAGCAGGTTACAACAGGTCGCACTGATCATTCGTAAGCTAAAGTCCTGGTGCATTCCGCATGCATCGAGAAGCGAGCGCCAATAGCTATCAAGGACATTTCGTGGCTGTGGCGCACTGCTTATAATTGTGCCATACAAGGGTGTTCTGAATGGGAAAACGCAGAAGGGAAGGTTCCTGGTCTGTTTGATCTGTCGCGGGAGGTGGGAGATGCTCCGACGCCCGAGGACACAGATGCTGACCCTTACATTCTAGCTCTTGGAAGCATATTGTGAGGCTGCACTGATCGAGAAGGATGAAGATTACCTATGTATGGTCTATGCGTCTTTCGCCGCGACCTCGGGTAGGGGTACGTGGTGGGCTCCAGGCGTCGAATCTCGGTTTCCTTACTATGCTGTCACCCAGTGTTCGCAACGCGAAAGGTCCCACCCGATCCGGGCTCGAATCAGGTCACTCCCCTCGTGTTCGACTTCCGTTACTGGCTAACTCCCCTATAGGTCGACAGATTACAGGCGTTATCCTTGGAGATCCAGGCCTGCGAAGAGAGAATTAAAACTATCCTGAAAAAGGCTCCGCTGCGGGATGAAAATATCCCCCGTGTCATGATTTGTCTGCATGTCTTGCTAGTTTTCGAAGCAGAAGTTGCCTGTCGCCTACAGGACTGGGCACACTTACAGCAAGTCATCGAGGCACGCCACCCTAATTCTCGCCGCTCCAATGACCGCTGAATCTTTCCTATAGCGAGCAGCACGGAGCGAGGCTCTTCCTGCAGACACGTTTGAGATCATAGGAGATCTATTAGTGGGTACTCTTCGCGGGCTGTCAGGGTCAGAGTATTCAACTTTCATTGTGCATGCCGTAGTGGGCGGAAAAAGACTGTCCAGTCAATGGTGGGTCACGATGCAGCGTGCTTCACCAGATAGGAGTTAGCTGACAACCCCATAGTGCTGTTTCCGGCGCTAGAGGCAGGCTGATCCACTTTACCTTGACTTTCGAAGACTCACGTCGGTAAACTCTAGGCGATTCTGCATGCTAGCCTTGATCATCAATCGCTCTCAGTCGAAAAATTCTCTCGGTGGCTTCGGGCAATATGCACCAGCCTCTTGTCGCGAAACACAGCGCCTGATCGACTCAAAGCGGTAGGGTACATCGAACAGGCCATCTCGGTGTTGAAGGAGCACTGCGATTTGAGTGGCACATCTGACCAGGTCATTTGCTTGTGGTTGATATCTGCACTGCTCGGGCTGAAGCAGGTCGTTCATGCAGGTGTATCCGATCGACGAAAGATACTGGTTGATGGCTACCGCATACAACACCGGGATTGAATGTTTCCAGTACGTCGCAATCATGCCTTGTCTGCCATCGACCCTACTCTGCGATGTCATCTCAAATGAACCATCAGCGTCTCTTTACTCGAAGAAGCGAAGCGCTGGTTTGAGGCGAGCGCTGTCGTCTGCCGATATGTACCTGATGGCGAAAATCGGGCACGGAAGGTGCGTACATTGCATGGCTTGTTGTTTCACTAATACATACCCCGAGTGGTACTGTAGGTATCCGAGACGTACGCGAATCTGCTCGATCGGTTCGCCTCATGAGTGCCCACTACCCTAGATTCCGCGGTTCTTGTCCTTGTTGCTTTCTTGTCTCGCTTGCTGTCACTCTCTCTTGTTCTGTCAGCACCGGTCTCTTGATCCTCGAGCTTGGCGGCTTGCATGCTCCGACACCCTAGTGCTCACTCTATGCTGAAAGCCGTCAAGGAACCCTACCATATTTTGTACTTATCCCCATTTCAATTCTACCTTGCCCCGTCGCTTGTCTGCGAATATATGTTTCGATAACCTGCATAGTACGGAGTGCATGTGATCAATTAGATCATCGCTCATCGAGAACCAAAGTCCCGAAGGTGATACAGCAGCACGCGTCCTCTTGTGTTCCCAACAGCGATATATTCGCTCCCCACGGAAAAATCGACGCTCGTGACATGCCCGAGTGGCGTGCTCGAAGTTGGCCAATTAGAGAACGCAGTCAGTGATGGAAGGTGTATCTGGGCAAATGAAATGATGAGCATCCTGCATGTATGCATGTCTGCGTCAGGTCCGTACCAGGCGCATTTGGTCCTTTTTGACATTGCTAGCAACGGCAAGCAGCTGCGAGTCGTGATTGAACCGCGCGGCGGAGATCGAGGTCGTGAGGTTGCCGATGGCTTTGAGAGGCTTTGGCCGGACCTTCTCGGAGGACACTGCGTCAGAACTGTAGACGTTGACAATGCCGGACTTGGATCTACGAACGAGACTGTCAATTCAGCACGTCGATGATGCAGCTGGATGGGCAGTTGGACGCACCCAACCGAAACGTAATTTCCCGCCTGATCTCCGCAGAGCACTCGACTGCCATATCCCCCGTCGTCCTTCCATCGCCTCACACACTTGCGCTCACCCACGTCCCACACATAGATCTCCGCATCCTCTCCCAATGTCATCAACTCCCTCGCCCCTCCCCGCGGTCCGCGCGCCCACCAGAGCGCCTTGACCGACGCGTTTGCCTTGATGCTTCCGACAACCTGTCCCCCGCCGCTCGTCCAATCCACAAGGTGCACGTAACCTCTCCGCCCAGCGACAGCGAGGACCTGTCCTGTAGGATCAAACGCGCAGATATCCATGCTCTGGTCTTGGGCAGAGGGATTTGAGGCGTTGAAAGTCGTGCCCCACAGCCCTCGCGGGGAGCGTGTGGTAGCGCCTGACTGCAGGTCATATGTGTAGTAAAACGGGCGTTGTCCGGTTAGTAAGACAGACGACCCAGATGGGTGAAACTGTGCATTTGTGACAGGGAGCGAGGGTATATGGAGGGTTTGGAGGTGGGGGTTCGTGTGGCCGTCGACCTAATAAGAGCAGCGAGGGATTATGAATGTTGTTCAGAGCATCATCAAGTGACCAAAACTTACGTTGAAGAGGCGTACGCGCCTGTCCGCGCTTGCAGCCAAAAGGACGGAAACACTAGACGAGGGATGAAACTGAATCGACTTGATCTCCCCTTCCGCCTGCGCCGCCTGGTTCGCGTCTCTCAACCTCTCGATAGCCAACACCCCCGGCTCAATCCTTCCTTCCTTCCTGTCACTACTTAGAATCCCTCGCGTGGATGAAACCAGCTCATCGACACTTTCCTCCGCCTCATTGTCCCCCTGTTCCTCGCGGCGGCGTTTTGAACGCTTTTTGCGCGCGTCGGCGGCCCATTCTGGCGTGGGGTGGATTTTCTCGTATTGTCGCCGCAGGCGCCGTTCGTATTCGCGTCCGCCTAGTGTGTCCTCGGACGGAGCATCCCGAAGCTTGCGCAGGCGGGTGGAGGAGGTGAGGGATATTTCGAGGGTGTTGTCGTCTGGGTCTGTCCATGCCGGGGCCTTGCGACTTTTTGGGAGAGATGATCCGAGTAGGGAATGCTCATCTGGCGCGTTGATCTGGGGTGTTTCTTCGTTCCCGTCTTCATCCTCGTCCTCGTCCTCTTCCTCGTCTTCATCTCCATCCTCGTTCCCGTCCGCGTCTCCCCCCTGGTCCGCTTCATCCCCACTTTGCACCGAGCCCTGTGATGCTTCCAAGTCTACTATGTCCGGCTCCGCAATCGTATTATTGTTGGGCGGCGCAGCATTGTCTATAAAAAATAACTGTACGAGACAAACCTTCAGCGTAACTACAAGTTCGCATGGCGGTCACTCACATCATCGTCCAAAAGCCCCTCGAACTCTGCCGCACCACCGGCGTTCGCCTCATCTCCGCCGTCAGATTCGTTGCCCACTACAAGGATGGTCCCCTTGCCTTTCCCAGACGGCACGAACGGCGTCCCGAAAAGTAAACTCTCGAGCCGTCGCTCCTCGTCGTCTTTGCTTGCGTCGTCTGTGAGAGATGGCCGTGCACCCAGTGGTACAATGTCGCTTTCTGTCGCTTTTTCCAGACGCTGGCGTTTTCGAGAATGTTTTGCCATGGAGGGTAGTTTGCCGGCAGTGCTAGTGAGCCGAAAGAAACGAGGGACACTCGATATGGCAATATTCCCAGCACGTGATTTCGGCGCGTGCTCAATCGCAATGCAGTGGCGCAGTGAAGCAAGGATTGGAAATGGCAACTTGTCATCAATGTCAGCAAAAGACATCTCCAGACAGCTTCAGACACTGCAACCTGGAAGCATCCTCAAAGACATCTTCGATTCCTTCTCCCCCTCAGGCCTCAAGGCTGTCAACGTCGACGTTTGTTGACATCTCTTTAGCCGCGCTTGAGGGCTTAAGCACTTGAGCCTCTCAACATGACGACGCTGCGCAGTGTAAGAATAGGGAGGCTTTGACTTACTTTCGGATGCTGTTGGTCAACAATATCAATCTGGTTCCTTCGGTTCCACCCGCTACCCTACAATTCTAGTCGGATATGATTCCCTGGCGACCGAATTTATGGCAAAGCTTCGATTAAGACACGACACCCATAAAAATTGAATCGCCTACGTCCGCATTGCGATAGATCATATTGACTTCCTTAGAGCACGGATTCGCAGCCACTCGGGGATATTGAACGGTGATACTGCTGCAAGTGGATGCCGCATTGCGAGGATGTTTATGGCGGGTGTGCGCTAGCGAGTGCCGTTGACGGATGGCAAAGTTGGGCTGGAGCTGGGCAGCGATCCAGGAGTGTCTGAAACGCGCTCGAGGAGGCAAGAGAGAAGCGGGTGTGATAACTGTGTGATAGCCTCTGATGCTCTCCGTGCTAGCTCCGGTGTCAGTACTGCGGTGTCCTCAATGAAGCGGCCTCGGCCCGCTCTGCCCTCAAAATTGGCCCTTCCGGCGCCGAGGCACCCATCCTCCTACCGTTCTTTGACGGCCCCGCCCCGCGTGCTGCTCTAAACGCTCGCCACCGCCGCCGCCCACATCTCTTTCCCTCCTTCCCCTCATCCTCCCTCCCTTCGCTCTCTCTTTTATTTCTCCTTTTCTTTATTTCTTTCTCTTTTCCCTGTTTGTTATTGCTTGAGGCGCCTCGGCGCATCAGCCGTCTGATCACACTCCGCTTCCCTGTTGGTCAAGAACCTTGATCTCATCACACAAGGGTCGTCCTTTCTCAGCGCATTCCAGCCTCTGAACATACTCTTCCTGCCCCCGTTCCCTACCCCCACAGCCACTTTGTCTGGTTTGTGTCCTCTTTCCTTACCCGTTCCTCTTTTCTCTTTGCTCTCACAATGGGCCTGTGTATCTCTTCGGGGCCTGTCGATGTGACCGAGGAGGACAAGCGGCGGCATCGAGAAGCTGAGAAAGCGTTAAAAGATGTGAGTAAAGTATCCTACCACTCCCCTGGCCAGCATATATGCATTGTTAGCGCATATCATCAGTCCCGCCAGAGTCCTAATTAATTGTTTCATAGGCCAAAACAAAGATGAATGCTCAAGTGAAGGTGTGCGGTGATTGACATTTCTGCCCATCATCACAAGTGTGAAGTGACCTTTTCTCAGGTCCTCCTCCTAGGATCAGGCGATTCTGGAAAGTCCACGATCTTAAAGGTACCGCTTTCCCTTGAGAGATCATGCATGGTACTCATATCAGTTCCGTAGCAAATGCGCCTCATCCATCGCATTCCGTTCTCCAAGCAAGAGGTCGAGTCGTATCGGCAGCTTGTATTTAACAATTTGACACATGGTTTGAAGTATCTCCTGGACGCGATGGAGGATATGGGCCTTGAAGTCACTTCCGAGAACGTGGAGCATATCGAGAAAGTGGAGAATGCGGTCGACCTCCGTGACGGCGAGCCATTTCCAGAAAGCTACCTCGACCCGTTGAAGTTGCTGTGGGCCGACGAAAGTGTACAGAAAGCATGGGAGCGAGGAAATGAAGCGGCCTTGCCAGAGAAGTACGCGTTTCGTTGTAATCAATATCAACTGATGACCTTCACTGATTGTTCGTCATTTCAGTCTTTTGTATTTCTTCTCCGACTTAGATCGACTGTTTGCTCTGGATTACGTTCCCACGGAACAGGACATTGTTCGATGCCGGGCTCGGACGATCGGTATCACTGAGACGGTCTTCCAGCTGAAGGATCATGAAATGCTCATGGTCGATGTGGGTGGGCAGAAGAGCGAGCGGAGAAAGTGGATCCATTGTTTCCAGGATGTCACAAGCATACTGTTCTTGGTCAGCCTGAGTGGTTATGATCAGTGCTTGGTGGAAGACAAGGACGCAGTGAGTATCTCCCATCTACGCTCGCAAAGCTCTACTAAATATCATGCAGAACCAAATGCAAGACGCCATGACAATATGGGACTCAATATGTCATTCACAATGGTTCAAGTCGACTTCAATCGTATGACACCCTCCTCTTTTTGTTTGATGTGCTGAATGATGTTTCGTAGATCCTTTTCTTGAACAAGAACGACCTCTTTGAGGCGAAGGTTCAGCATTCTGACATCAAGAGCTTTTTCCCTGTACGTCCGCTCGTCCTTGTAGATACTCGTGTTCTCATCTGCGTATGCGTATAGGACTATGATGGTGAAGCGGCTGATGCTCGGGCGGGTCGAGATTACTTCAAGAAGCGGTTCGCAAGACTGGCTCAGAAGGCCGGTCGCTCCAAAGAGCGGGAAATCTACATCCAGTGCGTTGCCCTTCGAATAATCTCGGAATGAGACTGAACTTTCGCATGACAAGTATAACAACTGCAACGGATACAGCCCTATTGCGTGTAGTCATGGCAGCTGTCGAAGGCGAGTTATATGCTTTGTTCGTCTTCGTGTCCTCATTCTAATTGATCTCTTTCCTCTAGAGTGAGTCTTTGTCTTCATCATCCCTTTGCGTCCCCTCCACATTGCATACAACCTATCGCTCAAACTCATCCTAATTTCGTGTGTCCACTCCTCTTCCTTCAGCATCGTTCTTCGACAAAATCTTGAAGTAGCCGCGTTAATCTGACTGTTCCTTTTGTTTCATTTTCTATGCTTCATTTGCATATTTGCATATAATCTTTCTCTCGGCCGCCTCGTGGATTTGTTCCATGGCTGCCATTATTTCAACGCACGTCAACGTGGCCTTCTGTATCCACTCAACCTTGTCCATATGCCTATCTTTATCTGGACATGTTGTTTTCTAACCTCAACTGTTATCTATCAACTGTGCTTGTTCTATGTTCTGATCATTGCATTATCTTTTGTACCCGCGTCAACCCGCAACCTACGTCTCAATCTCCGAATCTTGTTTGCCCAATGTGTGCGGCATGTCGATCACATCGTGGTTTGAATAGTTCCATCATCAGCAAAAGCGTACGTCCATTTGCCTCCTACGTTCCCCACCCCTGTGTCATTACTTTTTTGTCATTTCACACGAATTGTGAGCTAGTGCTAACGCTTCCTGCCTTTGTGGGTTCGTTTTTAGATCCGTGAAATCATGCTATGAGTTCGGAGCCGACTCCACCCATTTGCCGCCATACCCATCTCAAGATACATAGGAACTTAGGGGTGCCGGCATTCCCACGTCGTTCCTAGGTCCTGTCTACCTCGATGGAGTGGATTTGCCCTCGCCGGCACTGGAGACTATGGATTGTATCAGTCCTTGCACTCGTTTAGCGGTGTTTATGCTCTGTTCCGCAGAACTGGTCGTATAATTGGTCGAGCGTCATCGGGGTTCAGTTTGTTTCTCCATCTTTTCGCTTTCGTTGCTCATTGACTTTTTTTTGCCCTGTGCTCTGCTCTTCTTTTCGCTCTGAATACGCACATCTGTAAATTTAGTTCCATACTGTCCAGAATTTTTTCCACATACATTTACGTTCCCTTTAATCGCCTTGTCTTGTGCAACCGTTTCGTAACCTATGATATTGACCTTGGCGAAATCCAATCGTCGAACGTCCCGCTCCCCATCACTCGATGGCTCAGAGGCATCAGAAATGTCTGATTCGACCTGAACTGAGATTCCATCCTTGTGCGAAGATATGCGAGAACGGGACAGGCTGGGTCAGCAGAGCGAGCCGTGTGAAATGATGTGCGTGTTCTGATCTCGTTGGCCGCACCATGCTTACGGCCATAGGCATTCCGAGGTTTGCGGACTCAAGCTGTAGCTCAAGCTCTGGGGCTGCGACGCAAGAGAGAAGCGCCAGGAGATGTCCGACAGGTAGATATGAGCCAACGAGGTCCTAGAGTAGAAGACATCACAGACAAAACGTCAGTTAGGCTTCTGCAGGTGCAGCGCCTGCACGCGAAACCCGCGTGGTCTTGATCTGCGTCAAGACGAAAGTACGAGTACGGCAGGGCACAGCAGGTAAGAAACAGAAGAGCATGCTGGTTAGAGACGCACTTGAGGATCGTGATGATGGATCGACAATAGTTTCCGTCAGGTTTCCCTCTGACATGATATCCCCATGCATTCGTGCGTCCATCCGGTGTTGCCTAGGGTTAGCCCCTTGGACATACAGACAGCCCTGACGCGCTTCCCTTCATCGACGTTCACGTTACACTGATTAGCCATCCGTCCAGGTGTTCATGTAATTGAAGTCGGACTTACGATTGACATCCCGCGCTGCTCGGTTGGCGCCTCTACGATTGTTGGGCTTTCGTCGCACCGAAAAGAGCTATTGGGCATTGGTTGGGCGCTGCGCTGGACAAGGATACCTGTGGGGATAGGACCAGGCAGTCTTGATGAGCAATTTTCGTATGTGAAGACAAGTGAAGTCAAACAGCCGCAAGATGAGGGCATTGCGTCTGAAACATCGGAGCATGTGGGCGGTAAGGATTTTGGGGAAAAATGATGCGACCGTCAGTCCGCAAGGATGTCGGTACTGGTTATCAGCAGCGCGCAAGGCAATTTAAATGATTGAAGAAAACTATGTAAGCCAGCCTATTTCTGTAAGATCTGATCCGAGTTTTCACGCAGCGCACAGGGTGATTTGGCAAAACAGGCCAGAACACTCTGCGAACGGAGCAGAGAACGCTTATACCGCAAAAATAAATTTTAGTCGGAGCGTTAGGTGGTCCGTTCCTTCCGTCGAATTATGGATCGTGTTCTGTGATGTTGCGGGTTAGTTCAAGAAAGGAAAGAGGCGCTACCTGGCGCTACGAACTGCGCTACGAGCGATATGCGATCGCAAGCGATATCAAGATCGTATTCGCGGAGTCAACGGCCGATGATGCCGCGGCCGGTACCATCGGCTGCCATTACACAGGGCACGTATAATCGAGATCTCCGCCAACTGAGTCAGTGTCCGTCTTGTCTCTGTCGGGTGGGACAATTTTCGTTGAAAAAGCCTCTACGACAGTACCGATTAGAAGTCTGTTGTAGTCTGTTGTTCAATTGTCTCTACTATCGCCGCACCGGAGTTGCAAAAAAAAAAGGATTTCTTCATGGCATCGTGGATTATACTTTCTTTCGCTCAAAATTTTTGTTTCACATGCGGAAACATCTTAAAATATGTCCCGCCATTTTTCTTATTTTTGATGCCATGGACAGAATTGTTATAAAATGTTTGAGAAGGAGAGTCCGACAACGAGCAAAACTTGAGAGTTGCAAATCTTTCTGACGATCGGGTCACGTCTTCACGTGCAAATTTGAACTCTGGTTGCGGGGCGAATTGCGAAGCGGCGTTTCAAAAAGATGACCAAGCATCACGCGGCCCGAGGCTCCTTGTCACTCTGCCTACCATCGGACACTGCCCGTCAAAAACAATTTGGTGAAGAGCATTGAAGTCTTCAAAGTTAAATCGAATGCTTTACATGTCTTCAGTGGTACCTGATTATCTTCCTTATTTTATTTTCTTGAAATTGAACTCAAGGATCTGAGGGATCTTGAGCATCTTTGAGAGAACTTTGTCCTAAAAACCATTATCCATTGCTTCCTCACTGCTGCACCCAGTTTCTGTTCTTAAAAAAACTAGCATACTTGAAGAGTACTTGAATGAACAACTGTGAATTTTTTCGAAATGTGCCGTCAAAAAATGCCACGAGGAGCTCGATTTTGAACCTCCCATCCCGTTTGCAACTCTGGTGCAACGATAGTAAAATATCAATCACTTATACAAACGTCTCTTTCTAGTAACTAGCATGTGGCAACGGCTGACGGGAATGTCTAGAAAAAAAAAGCCAAATATCACCAAACTGGGGCCCGAGACCTGAGGCCTGGAGCTTGAAGCCTGAGGCACATACAATGCACATTAGCATGGCAGAAGAAACCAGGTCTTGCGTGTGTCGAGGATGGTGTCAGTATGGTTGGCATCGGTATTTCTGTGAGTCCTTTTACGGTTACTGTACATGAGAATCCCCGTGTCTAGTCAGGTTCGATTTGCATGTAAAAGTTGCGATTGCCACTCTGAAGATCCTGTGACGGAGAATAACGAATCGACTTGGCTACCACCAGATTCCACAGGAACGGGGCAGTCTAACCATTCCCAGCTAATATTCGCTCATTGTCTAACAATAAGCTATCGGAATCTTTATGCGTAGATGTATGGTACACGGAGGTTTGTCCATCGCGGAATGTTCTGCATCGAAATCAGTCCTTGATGGTTCTCATTTGAAGCGAGGATAAATTCAAGCCAAAGTAGCGTATTGTCCTGAACGATAAAGTCCATCACAAAGCCCAAATTTTCACCATCGAGTCCCGGCCTCCTGACACAAGGTAACGGTCTATGTACCGCAACCGCTCAATGGGCCGAGTGTGTCCATTTGTGAGTAGCGTAGAATGCTGCATTGACGTCCGGTTGTACATCTGTGACGATGTCAAATTTGAAGTATCAGCAACGGGACTATTCAGACGCCCTGCGGAGACGCACCTTAACACCGTTCTCGCCAGCGGCGGCGACAATCTTTCGACTGTCGAACTGAAGCGCAGTGACCGCGTGATCGAACTTGATCGTTTCGAATATGCCACCAGTGCGCAGGTCCCATATCTACATTACAGGGCAGATAATATGTTCCGAAGTCAGCTGGCATCTTCTATCGGGAATGTTACATACCCTGATGGACTTATCCAAGCTTCCGCTGACAACATGCATCTCGTCGAACTGTAAGGAGGTGACTGGGCCTGTATGTCCCAAGAGTGTTCGATGTGCCTGTCCAGTACGCACTGCAGCCGAAGAATTTTTTCTTAACGTATACGTGGGAGGAGAAGATCGTACGCACTGTCCCACATCCTGACAGCACCATCTCCACTCCCACTTACAAGCGCATAACCCCAGAACTGCACCGCTCCTACAAAGTCCTGATACAGTTCCCAGCTGCCATCGCTATAAGGAGGCGTGGGCACTGCGAACGTCCCCGCAGCAGCCGCGGCACCAGTGAAGATGCTGTTGGGCAATTGTCCACCGTGGGCAGTGGCGGGATGTGAAATGGCCCACAGAATGTCCATGGTCATCACGCATTGTCCTGTGGTAAGGTCCCATTGTCGAAGTGTCTTATCCGAGGCACCGGTGACCTGTAAAGCGAGAAAGTTAAAGGATGTAACAGATCTGGGGACTCAAGACTGCTTGCCAGTGTATCATCCTCGAAATACAGCGTCGTCACGGCTTTACTATGCCCCTCCAACACCCGCATGGAAGCCCCTTGCCGCTCATGCTCCGACCCATGCTCGCTGTCCCTGATCCCATTCGGCTTCTCCACTACCACATCTCCCTCCGCATTTTCTTCCTCCGCCTCCTCTACTACATCACTCAAATGCACCATCCCGCCTTCCCAGTCATCTTCATCCACTTGTCTGAGATCCCACACTCTGATGTTTCCGTCTTCGCTCCCAGTAAGACATATGTGTTCCTCGATCTGTACACACTTGACTGGGCCAGTATGCCCTCTTAGGCGGCCCAACTCTTCGCCTGTGAGAAGGTCCCAAACTCGCGGTTGAGTGTCATCCTGAGTTGCGGAGACCAGTGTACCATACGGTTCCGATAAATCAAGAGCACATACGGGTGCGTTGCCGCATTCGAGAGTCTTGGATACAGGCCGAACGCATAATCAGAGACAGCGCTGAGACATGTATGACATCACTGACCATGAACGCGACCCCGGGTGGAAGTTCATCGTGTTCGGATGGTAAGAAGACTGGACCTATAACGCGCCTCCCAATCAGCAACTCTGTGCTAGACGATAGCGCATGCTACATACCTTTACGTCTCCGTGAACTTTGAATATGTGGTGGCTGCGAGGCTCCTCTTTGGTGACTAGCAGATTCTGCCTCTATACGTTCCTTAACCATTTCAACTACGCGACAGCATGTCGATCGCAAGGTAGTTTTTGATCTTTTAAAAGAAGCCACGCACGTTCATCGTCTAGCTCTAGCTCATCCTCGTGAAGTTTCAAAAGGTCATCTTCCAACTTTGCGCGAATGGCATCTAATACGTCGATTTTGTTGGTGATCTCTGTGATCTCGTTTGTCACAAGACTCTGGTTTTAATTGAACTGATTATGAGAGGGAGATATGAGAGGGATGGAACATGCATACGCACTCTGCGGACATGTAAATTTTCTTTATCCTTTAAGATTTCATGTGTCTGTCTCTCCAACTCATCCTTGCCGAACACTTTGTTCGCACTTAAACTCTCCCTGCCTCGCTTCTTCCGCCCCTTCTTTCCTCTTCCCCGGTCTCCCTGTCTGACCACCACCACATCTTCCTCGCTCTCTTCGTCCAACATTAACCCCCGCGCCCCCGCTCCCAACTTCTTCAGTCCTATCCGCGGCACCTCTACGCTTCTTGTCATCCTTCTCCTTGTCCGCCCACTGTCCGCGCTAGGAATTGTTGCCTCGAATCCGCGCAGCAAGCTTGGTGCCCCCCCGAATTCTTCCGACTTCGGCGACGGCGGTTCCGGGATTTCCACAGAGAGTAGCTCGCCTGCGGCTTCAACGATCTCGAGGTCTCGCGAAGTTATTCGCCGCGTCCCTAGCCCCAGCCGCAGAGGGGCCCTGCCAAGCGTCGCAAAGTCAATGCGTGAGCGTGGAGGTACTGCAGTTATTTCTCTCGGTCTATTTGAGACTGTCCGTGCGATCATCCTGGGGGTCATGATGGCTGGTGCCACTAGACTCGAGGATACTGCATTCAGTGGTTTCGTTGAAAGCAAAGCACAATGGACTCACAGTCAGAGAGAATTTTACTCGAGTCGCGTTTACGATGCTGAAACGGAGCAAGTAATGTCCTGGAGACAATGTCCAAACGGCTGCCACTTGCATTGCTTGAACTGGCTGTCACGAGAGGATCTGGTACTTGCTTGTTCCGCTTCTTCTCGTCCGAATGACCAGATGAAGATGCGGCCATGGAGACTGGTGGCAGACGAGAAGAACAGGATACAAGGAGTGGTCGAACTGCTGAATAGTGGTGACCAGCGAAACTACTACGCGTCGGACGTGTCGGACGCGGTCCGCAAAGTTCCCACTTAACACGTGACTGCGGAAACTATTGGCAGGGCAACTCGAAGACGACGCCAAATAGCATAAAAATACAGTATAGTGTAGGGGTAGCGCTGTCTACTTTCCAGCGTCCATGCGTGACGTCAACTATGCGCCTTGCCTTGACCACCCGAAATCAATGATCATGGCAAGCCCATACGGTCGAAGGTCATACTCTCGTCGCAACAGTGGACGCTTTTCGGTTAGTGGTGATGATATCGACGTAGTCTCAAGGATAGGAACGCTCTCCAGCGACTGTGAAACTGGCTTGGATAGATTGTGACCCAGGTCGACCGCGTGCCGGGGTAATGATAAGGAACGAAGGATGGATGTGATGCCTTTCCGCTTTACTACTTGTTCCTCCTGAGGGCGATCTGCTGATGGGGCACTTGTCTCCACTTTTGGACTCTGAGATCCTGCGGCGGCTAATTCCTCTCCAATCACGGCGCCTTCACTCTCTGTCGCGTCCCTCTCCTTCTCGTCATTCATGGACAGTCGGCGGGCCTCTCGTTCCTCCCGCTCCATGTCCTCTTTTACACGTTCCACGCTGGCACGTTCCCACCCCGCAATATCGAAGGGTTCAAACAGCTTGACTGACGACAAGTCGCACCAGCATCGGTCGAGAAGTCGCACCACTGTCGGTCGACCATCTTGGGGTATGGATAACGCAGATAGCGCGTGTGAGAACGTCGTTGTGTTATCGGACCAAGGGTATGCAAGGGAAGTATTGATCGGTACAGGCTGCCAATAGCATGACGAGAGGAAGAGTGCGGTTAGAAGCATGACGCAGTAAAAGCTAGGTAGATAACTTTATCAGTTCTCTGAACCCTCTTCGATGGTGTGAAAGCGCTTACCACGGGCGTGCATGGAGCGTCAAAGAGATCAGAAACAAGATCAGAAAAATTGGTGGTGCCGAAGGCAACGGCAGAAACAGAAGAGGAATGAACCAGCGTGTACACCTAGCAAAAGACCGACAATCAGTCCCAATGCTCGATTGTTCGCGGAGAAAAGCATACCACATTGCAAGGTGAAGCTTGATGGGAGAGAAGAAACCCCTACAGAGTTCTCGAAAGTCAAAGCTCAAGAACGCGAATGGCAAGCAGGAATAGCGTCGCACAACTTCACGCCACTCAGCGATCTGGGAAATCAGTTCCCACGTGATCTGCGCGCATTCTCCGCTGTTCTCGTCCTTTCCAAGTACGCCTCTTTTCAACCTCTTTCCAACTCCACTACCTCTCTATACGATGGCACAACACCCAGAAATTCTGTGGGCTCAGCGGAGCTCTGAGATTGATGAGGAGAAGGTGCGTCCTCGATGTCATCCTGCGACTTTGATCGCGGCATGCTTATAGGCTGTTATTCCTCTACCCTGGCCTCACGGCGCGTTTTGACACTACATGATGCCTTGATACGTGTGATCAGAACATCTTATTCGTCACCATCAACCTTCCAGATGTAATCGAGTCATCGCTCCAGTTCGACCTCAAGCCAACAGGCATCACCTTCAAGGCCCGCGTTGGAGAGTACGCATTCTTTAATATTATCTACAAATTCCATCTTTTGTGGCTCACAGTCGGTCCTGCAAAAATCAGCGCGTCCAAAGGAATCCAAGAGAAAGAGTATGCCTTCGATCTGGAATTTTTCAAGGAGATCGACCCCGAGGTCTGTTTTCTTGCCTTTTCATGCATCGGATCTTTCATAGTCATCAAAACATCTTTTTTCAAAGAAATCGGTAAAACGCGTCAGCTCCCGCGCATTGAATCTAACACTGCGCAAAGCTGAGAAAGCTGCCGAGTACTGGCCTCGCCTTACCAAGGACAAGACCAAAAAAGCTTTCATCAAGACCGACTTCAGTCGTTGGGTCGATGAAGATGAACAGGATGGTGAACCAGCCGCTCCTCAAGAAGAACCTGAGGGCATGCCTGGATTCCCTGGCATGGATATGGGCGGTATGGGTGGCATGGGTGGCATGGGCGGCATGGGTGGCATGGGCGACATGGGTGGTATGGGCGGCATGGGTGGTATGGATATCCAAAAGGTATGTAGTATCATGCGATTCAATGATAGCATGGCTCTTAACTGATGTGTTTCTTTGGTAGATGCTTGCGGAGATGGGTCAAGGCGGTGCGGGTCCCTCCTCTGGCGAGATCGGAGACGCGGAGGAATCGGACTCGGATGATGACGGTCCCCCGCCTCTGGAGGACGCCGAGCCTGCGAAGCCATAGGAAGCAGGTGCAACTCGTAAATGAAGGCTGAAGTACATTGGCTATGTGAATCAGAATGTGCGATGATGCTTTTGTCGCGTTGTAGTTTATTCAATCCTAAAGTGATCGTGTGCGTTGTTCCAAGATCTGGAGCGTCGCGATCCACAATTTCAGTCTGACAACGGCAATCAACTCTGTCCATCAGTCTATTGAAGATGATGTATTTTCGACAAGGAATTGTTAAGAAACGCCGTCGTTTGGGTCATTCACGGCGATTCATCTATCTCAACCACTAGCCTGCCATCCTTCCATGTTACCGATACACTGTCACGATGGTCTAGTCAGCATACAAGCTGACCGGAGTCCACCAAGAAGGGAGCAAACCGGGCGACTTACTGAGTCAGATCACTCACAACGAAATCTGGGTTTGAGCCTGAAGCCCTGATGAGCTCGCGAGTGTGTGAAGTGCATACTGCGAGTGTCTTTGCACCGGCTGCATGTCCTGATTTGAGTCCGGAGGGGGCATCCTCTACCACTAAGCCTAAAGTCAATGAATGAGTGGGTCAAAAATGGAGTGAAGCCAAAGGAACTGAAGAGCGCCAGTGGAGTGCGAGGACATATGTTGATACTTACATTTTGTGGGGTCGATGCCACATTTCTTCGCGCCCGCAAGGTATGGGTCAGGGTGCGGCTTTCCGTTTTGGATATCATTGGAGGTCACGTATCCTACTGAAGGGACGGGGACTTTACAGGCCGCAAGAGCTCGGGGCGTGTATATATTTGTAGCTGAAGGCCATTTCCAAGGTCATTTCCCAACGGAAGAATAGGGCGTAAGAAAGGTAACAAGTCGCAGAACGTAGATAAATCACATACCAGAAGTAACTATTGTCCAACCAGCTGCTGACGAGGTGCTTCCCGCGTTAATCTAGATATTAGCCTGAGTCACTGAAACACGAAAATAGAAGCTTGGCTGTAAGGAGGTACAATGCTCACCTGCTCAAGCAAATTTAATGCCCCGGGCAACACCACTGGTCCACCTTGGATCACCTCGTCTTCAAACCGGATGACTTCAGCCTGCTCGAATATATGATTTTTCACGAATCGCTGCTTATACTAACACAATTCTGAAAGGCTCGTTCACGCACCTCGAGCTTGTCAGAATCATTTATGTTACACCACTGTCCCAAAGTGTCGGCAAGTCGACGCCCATGGGAATCGTGAGCAGCAGCAGCCCCTTCGAACCCATAAATCTTTCCAAAAGAATCCCAAGCGCGTAGGACACCAGGGGTTGAGTCGATGAGCGTGCTACCGGTACATAGGAGCTGTGATGAGTCTCGTAGTGTACAGACGGCCACAAGCGAGCGTAGGTTGATGGGCTCATAATGGCTAGACGATGTGGAACGAAATCTAGATCACTGTCCAAGAGAAATCACTAACCCATCCATATCAAACAAAATCTGTTGATTCCAGGTTCGGTTTCAACATGATGTTCTGAAAATATAGACGTACCGCATCTACTGTGACACTCGGCATAGCGGATGGCGCTAAAGATCGAACTGAACAAGAATGAGGCAAGAGAGTGGCAGTCAATAAATGTTGACACCCAGCTAACGTTAGGCAGCTGATAACAACCGTCAGTCACGCAACGAGTTCAAACTTCGGGAGGTCGAAGGAAACCTCCCGTGGTAGATATGAGCTACACATCAAGATGAGATGGGCGATATCGCCTGATCACTGCTTTATCATTGATCATTCTCCAGTGAAGACGACTCGGGCACTCTCAATAATCAGAGTCTGTGAGCTCGAGTCTCTAGCTGCCAGCCTATTACAGGCCGATCGTGGAGTAACAGCCAATGACCAACACGTGATTACGTATGATTTGTTTTGAGTTGTAGCAAGCAGTTGGCAAGCTTGTTTGTGAATTCAATCACCAAAATTCAATGTCCACCGGCTCGAATACAATGCACAATCAGTGGTCATGGAACGCGCATCTGGTACACGCATGTTCGCTTTGATTTGTACCGCCAATGCTTATAAAGAAGGCTTTTATGCCACAACAGGCTTCTACATCCCCATTGTCCCTCCGCCTTTCTATTCTCCTCATCCTTCGCATATCAGAGGCTACTGGTAGTCCAGAATTGCTCCTCTCATCCCTTGCCTTGACCTGACCTGGTGTCTATTCACTCTCTCCTGCTAAGGATTGTCTACATCTCAGTCTTTTCTCTGCCACGACTAAATAAGATCCCGGTTTCCGACATGCAACTTCATACGTTTGTGGCTTTTGCTCTCGCACTCTCCGTCTCGGCCGCTCCTACGCGTCGCGCAGACTTTACACTACAGAATGGGAAAGATGCCATCGCTCTAAAGTGAGTTCATGAAGCCTTCGGTGCATATGCACTTAGTCTGACCTGGTTCTCATAGTGATAAATTCAAGACTCTCACTGCCAGTTCCTCTTGCATGGAAGGGGAAGATGCATGTGTCACGGAGAAGTTTGCTCAATGTGTCGGCGGTAAGTTTATTCTCCAGGCTTGCGGAGCTGGCACCCAGTGAGTTTATCTCGTCTAACATGCATCTCGTGGATTTACTGTACCCTATCTCTCGTAGGTGTGCTGCCCTTCCCCTCGTAAACAGCCCCGGCACTTCTATTACTTGTACGACTCAAGCCGATTTGGACGCTCGCATTGCTGCCACTGGCGCAACCGACGCTGGAAATAACGACTCAGGCGCATCCTCTGTTGCTACTGCTACTACCACCAAAGTTGCAACTACGACCTCAGCTCATGCGGTGAGAGACAGTCTGACAGTATCAAGGCTTGCTATTGATATCAAATCATTCAGAGTGCCACAAGCACCGCTGCCGGTGGCGGAAGCAATGCTGGTGGAGGTTCCACTGGGAGCAGCAATGGCAATCCCCAGACATCACTGACCCTACTGAACTCGGTTATCGCCAAGGGGTTTAAGTCCGACGGTCAGGAAACACCAGCGGCAGGCCAGTCTGCTTCCTTGACATCGACGAACAATTTCATCAATTTTTGTGCGACTGTCAAAAAACCCATCACAAACGGTCAACAGATTAAGAATGGAAGTTGCAATCCGGTAAATTTATTCTATCTTGCTATCCATCCCGAGTACACTAAACTCGTTTAACAGGCTCCGATGGGCGTCATTGCCGCGAGCACAAACATGCCCTCCTCGAAGTTTATCAACCCCAAGAATACACAGACCATCAAGGCCAACACCAACTTCACTATACAGATGGCTCTCAATAATCTACAGGCTGGGACGTTCGTAAATGCACAAGCGAACTACTACTCTGCACCGCAGCAGGTGAATGCGCGGGGTAATATCATCGGACATACACATATCGTCATCCAGAAGCTTGTCTCGATAGATCAAACCACGCCTCTTGACCCCAGTGTGTTCGCTTTCTTCAAAGGTGTCAACTCCCCCCAGAAGAATGGGGTCGTCTCCGCTGTTGTTGACAATGGCCTGCCTGCCGGTGTCTATCGTCTCGCTTCGATTAACTCTGCTGCGAACCATCAACCTGTCCTGGTTGCCATTGCGCAGCATGGTTCTTTGGACGATATGGTATATGTACGTGCCTTTCCTCCTTGACTTCTAATATCGACCTTGATTGTATCCATACTTGTGACAGTTCACTGTGACCAACAACGGACGGCCGAATGCTGGTCCGGCAACCAATTCGACCGTTAGGACCTGAACGAGAACCTCAATGTTTGTGCATGATACTTGTCTCAATATGCTTCGGTCCTTCGCCCGCCCTACTTTTCTGCATGACTCAATACGTGATAAATCTGGGTAAACTGGCTGATACGAGTAGTGTACCAACATTTGTGACATCATATTCTACCTGGTTGTATAATGGAGATGACAGTAATATACGAGGTTATTTCATACAAAAAAATTCTCCCGCCTCTGAGCTGTCGGCCGGATATCGGCCGGAGCGAGCCATTGATCAATATCAACGTTCGATCTGCAAGAGTAAAATCAAAACTTGTATATTTTTTCAGCCATCATTACTGTAATCATTGCTCTTCTCTCATCCTCATCCTCCGAAAGAGCCTCAGAACGAGGTCGCTTAAAATTCTGTTTATCTTCTCTGCACCATTAGGCATGTCTTCCAGGTCTAGGGTTTTCACTATCCGCGTGCCCGCCACCTCCGCCAATATTGGCCCTGGCTTTGACGTTGTTGGCCTCTCTTTATCTCTTTACCTCACCCTTACCGTGACGATCTCCACAGCATCTTCCGATAGCTCTTCCTCAAGCACCCCAGCCCCTCCGACTTTAGTCTATTCTGGGGAAGGTTCCGACGAAGTCCCCTTAGATGCCTACAAAAACCTCACCACTCGCGTTGCACTCTACGTCCTTCGCTGCCATGGTGTTTCTACCTTCCCCCAACACCTCACCATTCACGCGCACAACGAAATCCCCTTCGGCCGTGGCCTCGGATCTTCTGGTGCGGCTGTCATTGCCGGCGTGCTCTTGGGCAGCGAGTTGGGAGCCCTCTCTCTCTCCCGAGAACGCGCGCTAGATTTTGCACTCATGGTTGAGCGCCATCCGGATAACGTCACAGCGGCGCTCGTGGGTGGATTTGTTGGCTCGTACCTCAGGGAGCTTGCGCCCGAGGCCGCATTGGCGGCCAGCGTCCCGCTCAGCGAAGTGTTACCAGAGTTTCCACCAGATGCGGGACCGGACTGGGGCCGCGACCCGCCTGTCCCGCCGCCTGGGATCGGCCACTTCGTAAGATTTGGCTGGGCAAAGGAAATCAAAGCAGTCGCTATCATCCCACGATTCGAGCTGAGCACTGCCCGAGCGCGAGAGGTACTCCCAGAGTCATACTCTCGAAAAGACCTTGTGCGCCTGTTTTGGCTTTTCACATTTTATCCCAAAGATAAATTTTACTCGGGCACAGGTCTTCAATTTACAACGTCTGGCGGTCTTGACGACCGCCCTCGCACAATCGCCACCAAATGCTGAGCTCATCTACGAGGCAATGAAAGATCGCATACACCAGCCATACCGCAAATCGCTTGTTAGTGCCTCTCTCTATCAACCTTCCCTTACCCCGCTCCAATGACGACTGTCGCCCAGATTCCCGGATTGCCTGAAGTAACTTCTTCTATCACGCCAAACACGCATCCAGGGCTACTCGGTATCTGTCTCTCAGGAGCTGGTCCAACAATCTTAGCACTTGCCGTAGGGGGGTTCGAAGCAATTGCCGAGGATGCTCGGACGATTTTTAGAGAAAAGGGAATCGAGGTTGACTGGAAATTGTTGGATGTCGTGTCCGATGGGAGCCTGACAACTAACAAGCAAATTTCAAAGTAGGCTTCACGGTTAGTACCTTGCAGTCAACAGCCTGCATAGATGCTAGATTCAGTTCATTGCACGGCCGACATCGACACCTTTGATTGTCGGCTGATTTGCAGTTCTTTTGATCTCGAACAACCCCAAGACTTTCATATGTATTCGACAACCTGAACCCGAGCTCCCTCCACATGCGAAGAGGTGGAAGTGAAGGGAATTTATTGTCGACTTGTCTTTACACGCTTAGATTCACGTATTTTTGAACCTCTCAAAGTCTTGCTGGCTGACTCCTATGGACCGTCAACGTGCCACTCAAACCAACCTGAAGAATAAGCATCTAGTGCTGACCTTTCGTTTTCGCCGTGTCGTCTGCACAACGGCATCGGCATCCGAGTCAGGCAATGGCGTGAGGTCACTTTCGTCACCATCATCATTCTTGCATGTAATATCAGCGAAAACTTAAAACACTCAAGATTCGTTACATACCTCTTCATCAATAACTTCAGAAACAATCTTAGACTTTGGAAGATGCTGTAGCTCTGCTACATAGGCCGAAGTACGTCCACCGACGGTGATCCACTTGATCGTTGCCAACTCTCCGGAAGACTACAGAAATTCCATATTCTAGATTATGTAGACGCACGTGATAAGTTAGAAACTCACCAATCTCAATGGTTCTATGCCCTTCAACTTCTTCCCCTTGCCCTAATCAATGCTCAGGTAGGTCATTATTTTTTTATGCGGAAGAAGACTTACTAACCCAACGGTGCTTGAATAACCAGTCTTGAGGAAATTTGGCATCGTCGGCGTTGGCTTCGACAGCTATGCGGCAGACTTCGATAATTTGGTGATGTAAAGCGATTAACTGGTCTTCTGATAGGGTATTACAGCGCTGTTCTGGATGTACACGGGAGTGGTATAGAACTTCATCTAGCGTCGACAATCGACCTTGAGAAAATCGGCTCATCGACTTCGTGAGTGGACATACCAGCGACCCAGTTACCAATCCCAGCGCTGAAGGACTGATTTAAAAGCAAAGATTTGATAGGACACGACCTCTTAATGACGACCTTCTTGAATCCATCTATTCCAGGCATAGAGAGGATGGGGTCGAAGCCCATGGTTGAGATTGGCGGTTCATTGAAGGGTGATGTGACAAGGCGAATACGGCCAAGGCGGCGGGCGTCTGAATAGGCAATCTCAGTGACAACTTCTGACGAGGGTGACGAAATATGAAGGATGAACTAGCGCCAATGTCAGTCTCGCGAGTGATGAGGGAATTAGGTGAAGGTGCCTTCATGAAACGCGGTGGCCACTCTGTCGACACTTTGCGCAGACCCCCTTTATAGTACGTAGGCGCTTCTCCTTTCACCTACAGCGAGAATTCGATGAGCCCCGCATACTTCGCATCCTCGGCCAGCGCACCTGGAGCGTCCCGGTCATTCCAAAATGGAAGACAGGCATTCTCCCTTTTCCATCGAGTTCGAAGTAGAACACTTTGCCTTCGTTGTATACGAATCAGCATGCCATGCGACCGAGAAAATAATATGAAATCTGCGCACCATATCGCCCGACATTAGCAATCGTTCTTCCGACTAGTTCCTTGGCCTATACACGCCACAACATAGCACGAAGGATACAGCTCTAGTCCAATACTGTGTCAAGCTGGACCAAGTTGAGAGCGTACAAATTCCTGGTGGGAAATTCCAGAGAAAATTAAAGCATCTTCACTCGTGAGGACCTTTTCTATCTTCTTGTTTAGAGCGAGAGTGCGAACCAGAGCGGCAGCTCGTTCGACTTCTGCTTGCCACGAAACCATCTGAAGATTCAGTAAGTTGTCAGCCTTGGGGAAAACAACCCGGACCTGGAAGTTCCGGCATGTCTTATTGAAAGTACAGCTTGTGTACTTGAGCAGAGTAGAAATTTCGATGTCTTGGGTATTGTTAGTGAGTGCCCAAAGTAGGGCCGCTGGCTGCCGCTGGATGATGTTGACGTGAATCACTGTATTCGGACAATGCCGATTCCTGCCGCAACAGCTTGCTAGTGACTTGCCGTCCCCACGTTACAGCCTCGTTGGACATGAATCGGGACAGCCTGTCCGTTAAGTGCTCAATACCACATTCCTCCGAGCAACACCCCTCCGAGCAACATCTAGTTGCCATTATCTTATGCCGCCAGCTACATTATGTGGCTGTGTCAGCTTCATGCACAACGAGTAAGAACATCCGATATTTCGAAGACTCACTGAGGGTGGTCGCATTGATGCTTCAGCAACAGTTTCGGTTCTAAACTCAGCACTATGCCAAGTTTGGTGCATCTCAGAATCATTTTGACACTAATTCCATTTTTCACTCTCGAGTGACGAGTGATGCTGATCACAATTTCGAGCTCCAATCTCGGATCACTCATCGCGTTTGATTTCGGGGTATAGCTTACTGATTAGTTCTGCTTCTGAACCTTCACGGTACCAGAAACCTGCTGATCTTCAAGCTTCAAGCTTCCAATGTGTACCCAAGACTGTTTGTCAGAATGACAAAGAGGGCGCGGGAAGACTCGGTGTGGGTGTTTGTCAGCGACTCTGCGACGCATGTAGCAGGTATGTAGCAGCGTCCATTCGTTAGCCTCTCAAATCACCTCTGATACGAACGAGTAGTACTATTAGTGCTGTCAGCGCAGCCGTAATCGTCTCTAGATTCTTGGTTCAACCAGTACGCCACCAAAAAAGCTTTACTATTCCTTGTTCACTGATATCTTTTAAAAAATAACCACATCTACACATATGCTCTGTGAAGGGTGCTCCCTTACTGGTCGCAAGAGGTCATGACGCAACCAAATGTTTTTCGAGCCGGGCTTCGACCATTCGGGCTTAGGTGGAGGTCATCTATCTGGTTCATAACCCTCGGTGTGTTGACTGTGAGCTAATGCGAGGAGTCGATGACTCCTGACCGGGCGCAATTCAGTGGTCAGCACAGGTGCGACTGGATTGCATTATCTCGTCTGATTCTTGGTGCTCATGAGTACTACTCGAAAGGAATTGTCACGGATCTCATCATCTATTCCATCGTCATTCCAGTTCTTCCATATCAATTGGAATTGAAGGGGTATACCAGTGTATCTACTCTGGTTGGATACCTCTTATTTGCCTACGTATGTATCGACACCAAACTGCTGATGTCTGCTGTTGACGATAATGACCTCGGTGTATCTCAACACAAGTCTGGCGGGCTTCTCATATGCAAGTATATTGGCCTCTTCAATTCTAACCCCTTTTCATTGATCCCCTCAAATCAGCTACTCCGATCATTGCCTGGATATCTGAACGCTTTAGCGCGCGACAGATGCCGTTGATCTTTGGTCTTCTTGCGCTGACCGGCTCTCAGATAATGCTAATGGAAGCACCTTCTTATTTGGTCATGGCCTTGGCTCGGGTGATCCAGGGGATCAGCTCTTCTGCTGTATGGATTGTGGGCCTTGCGTTGCTGCAAGTTTTTCTGTTTGCAAGCTCATTGAGCTTTTTACTCATCTGTTATGCAGATGTGACACAACTCCTGAGCACCTCATTGGACGTAAGTTTTGTATATTCTACATGATCGATTTTCTCAAAAGAGCAACCACATAGAACAATTGGGATTGGCAATGTCTGGTTTATCTCTTGGGCGAGTGAGAGAGTGTGATCATGACACAGTCAAAGCTAATCTGTGTTTTTAGGATGCTCCTTGGACCTCCTATCGGTGGTGCACTTTACTCTCGTTTCGGTTTCCGTGCACCTTTCGTGTTTACCATAATCATCACGGTAGTTGACCTGATCGGTCGCCTGCTACTCATTGAACGCAATGATGCTTTGAAGTATGGTCATGATCCAGCCGAAGTTGCAGTGAAGGCCAAAGAAGAGCATCATCGGGCACATGCTATTGGAAAGAAGTCATGTTTAGAAGGTGAGTATCCGCGTGTACTTACTGATCGAATTATCCAGTGGCTAACGAGCTCGCAGTTTCACTTGTCGCTCAGCCATCGGAATACGAGGTTGCCAGAGAGTTGGCGCCCCCTCCTACGTTGGTCGCGCCACGTCTGTCGAACTTCAAGGTTGTATTGAAACTTGCAAGGTCATCTCGAGCACTGGTATCTTTGATGAGCACTCTGATCTATGGGTATGTACTCTTGGGATTTTACTGTGACTAAGTCCCCTGACTGTTCATCAGACTAGTATATACAAGTCAAGAGCCTACTTTGCCTCTTCATCTCCAACAGGTCTGGCGCTTGAACTCATCAAAGGTTGGACTTGTATTTATTGCTGCAGTTGTTCCGACACTATTTTGTCAGTGCTCTTTTTTGGCATCCTTACGTCCGACTGACATTTCTCTCACGAATATGTAGCGTCGCCGATTGCAGGATACTTTGCAGACCGTAGGGGGTCAGAGTGGATTACTACATCATGCATAGTCCTTACTATACCATGGTGGATAGTTATCACTATCGACGGCCCACTTGCACTCTTCATCACGGCATATGCCCTCCAGAGTCCGTCATCTTTGTCTTTACGCGGTTACTAAAATTTGACGTTTACCTCAGATCTCTTCATATCAGGGGTGCTCGCTCCGCTAACAGCAGAGTTGGCTTCGGTCGCACGGATGCTTCAAGGGGTCGGATGTAAGTCGAAGTTTTCAAGAATAACCAAGACTGTATTGACTATACGCAGATGCCCACATCTATGGCGCGTTTAACATGGCATATGGCATAGGATCCACCGGTTGGTGTTTATATTGGTTTTAAGGAGTTTTCTAACACATCGAATTACCAGTCGGACCAATTATCGGTAGCCAGGTCAGTAATCTCCTCATATTCTCTTCATTTATCTCACAAACATGGCCTGTTCACAGATGTACGAACACACAAAGCGTGGCTGGATGGCTTTAAACCTATTGGCCGTAGGCCTTCTTGCATTTGCGGCACTATCTACATTCATCTACACAGGAGAACGTCCGCTCTTAACTAGACTCGTCTCAAAGATCAGAAGCAGTTCACCGGAGGAAGCCCTACACAATCGATAGTCGTGTCAATACAAATGATTTTGAATCGTCACGATCTAATCTAGGGTGTCAAGCCACGACTTCCCCGATTCAAAACGCTGTAAGCCTAGACGACAATTACAAGACTCAATATTTACATCTATTGCTGCTTCGTCAATAGATCCACTACAGGCATTCATTATATCATCTGTCCTATCATATACGGGGTAGCATCTTAAGAGAGTCGAAAGGACACATTCAGAGTGTGGGTCCGTTTCTGTCTGTTTTCCGTGTTTGAGAATCGCACCTTCAGTCCGAGATGTCCAGAGTGAGAGCTATGTCATTACCAGTCGCCAACACAGCCATCGGCAAATGCCGAACGCCCGCGAACCCTATAAATTCCGGATGATTTCCTTTTTTTTTCAGCACACGCAAATCTGGCTCGCACCTGCCCGCCGAGCTCTGTATGATCCCCGCAGGGGTCCAGGTGTGCGGTTAGATGCTTTCCCCCTCCTTGCATGGCGTTCTCTTAGCTCAGCGCCTCAGGCTCAGAGGGGGTGGTTTGGCGTTGTCAAATGGAAATCCATCGGCGTCGGAAATCAACTTGCCTGCTTGAGCTCCCGATCACTTGGGAGAGCGATGGCGGGGAGGTCGTAGAGGATGCCGAACATGTTCACAAGTGTCATTTGTAGCGTACCCGAGATGTACCCCTCTGGAATGCACTATATGCATATAACGATGTTGACAAGCTGCACCGACAACCAAAGAGGCTGGTTCAATAAGTGCAGCTGTTGTTAATGCAGCAGTCCGCCATTGTAAAGTATATGTGAAATGCGCAGCCTAGGCGGAATGTACAATAATCTCTATCTCGAGCCGGATACAGAAGACACCATGACATAGACGCTACTGTGATATTCAATAATATCCAGGAGCCTATGGAACGGACCTGCGTGAACAAAAAAAACGAAGGCAAGAAAAAGAAGAAAAAACTAGACATTGATGGACTAAGAGAAAATCATGGACAGGACGGGCGAACGTTATACTTGCTACCGCTGTTCTGCCTGTGCTGGTTGTGGTTGATATCCACCATAATACTGATAACCTGCACCTGGTGGTGTCGGTGTCCCAGGCGGTTGAGCATTCGGCGTCGTGCGTATTGTGGTCGGCAATGTGGGCGTATAGCCACCTGTGCTTGCGCCTGCGCTCTGCCACGCGCCAGGAGCATAGGGCGGTTTTGCGACTGTGTTTGCAACGGCCCGCTGGGGCTGAGCGGCGTTAAAGAACGATGCATATGATGTCGGTAATCCTGCTGTAGGCTGTGGTGTCCCGGGTTTTTGCTGCGTGGGCGGTTGGTAGCTGAACCAAGAACCGTACGGATACTGTGTTTGCCCAGCACCAGCGTACTGTGGATTCACGTACTGCGACGAGGTCGCCCCTGTGGCGGATTGAGCATACGCATTAGGGTAGTATGCGTTGGTGGTAGCGGGAGTATAGCTGTACCCGCCGCGATATTGCCCGTTGGCGTAGGTTGGGTAGCTATATCCACCATAAGGTGTTGCAGGTGTATTCGGTTTGGCAGCGTAGGATGTAGAAGGGGCAGTGTAAGGTGTAGGGACAGCAGGCACTACTGGAGGTGCTGCCACAGCAGGCGCCGGGGTAGGAATGGAGGTTCCAGATTTCACAAGAAGCGTCGAGTCGTCTCGGAGGGCAGTGGTTTGTGTTGATGGAAGGGTCCCGTACCAGCCTTCTGAAGGGCTGGTGGGTAAGGTACGGTGAAGCTTTCGAAGAATAGACGGGGGTGGTATCAAAGTAGATGAATCTTTTGATGAGCATGGGCGAAGTGATGTGATCAATGTCAAGGAATCCATAATACTTTGTGCTATGAAATACGGCTGTCAGTCAAAAAAAACAAGTGACATAAAGAGCGACGTACCAACATCCCATTCTTCTGACCCAACTTCGACGCTACTTGAGCTCTCCTCGGCACCCCCCAATCGTCGCAATTGTAGCTCTTCCAATCTCCGTAGCGCTCGCGAATTGCGGTCCAAAAGCTCTTGAACTGCTTCCTCCATTTCCAAGCTTCCCAGTGCTCCCTTGATTGAAGCAACCTGCTCGAGAGTGAACAGAGACTGAAGGGCTTCATCTGAGGCTTCTGCTTGTCGTTCTGCCGTCGAATCCTGCACCTCGTCCGTAGTGTCCTGCATTTCGACATCCGCTATTACAAGAGGGACGTTGGTCGGTTTGAGTCTCGCTCGTTCCGCCAATGCCTCCTCTGTTCTCCGATCCTTCTCTCGAGACCAAAGCACCTCTCCAAGTCCCACTCTTCCAACTTCCACCCCTTCTTGATCAAATGCCGGGGCGAAACTAGAGTAGGGTCCATAGTCTAGAAATGCCCCAGTGCTTACCTGTCGTGGCCCAGGCACTGCCTGTTTTGTCTTTGAAAGCTGTTGAGTGTACGACCCCAGAGTGGGTGTCAATGAAACCGGCACTGCAGAGGTCGAGGCAGATGGAAGGATGGCTACGAGCTCCGCATGAGCAGTTGATAGGTCCTTGAGTTCTTTCCCATCCATATTGGACGGAAAATCAGAATTCAGCGAAGTCCACCACTTGCCCGTGGGCAATTTCTGCATTAGCGCGTATTTACGCTTTCGAGGTAGGTTGGCAGAAGAAAGAGAAGGTGCAATTCCCTTGCTTCCTTCGTGATCGGAGTCGTGTAAAGCATCAGGGCGGTCGGGAAGGATGCTCTCAAGGTTGAGCGCTGCGGGACAAGAGTTGAAAGATGCTTGGTCAAGAAGGGAGAGCGCAAGGTTGCAGAACTTAAGCTGCTGAGCTGCGGGAGCCGAAGGTCGAGAACGGGGGTGTGCAAAGACTGGAAGTAAGTGTTGGACGCCAGACTTGAGCGAGAAAAGACATAGATTTGAGTGTTGTGACGGCGAGGGATGCATTTTTGGAACTCACGCGAAGAACCCGTAAAGGATGTCGTGAAGACTCTTTGAGAAGGGTCCGGAAGGAATATGACTGTTGCTGGTGTGATTGTGGGCCGCTCAAGGAGGTAGAATCGGCGGGGTCAGCGGGTAGAGGAAATACTCGATCAAGGAGACCTTGAGTATCCACCCTGTAGTCAAAGCGTCAGCGATGGCATCATCGGGTAGGAACGCCCATACGCACATCTCGAGAATGTCGAGGATGTGTTGTGCATCTACAGAGTCCATTGGAATATCACCAGCACCTTGGGTTTCGGTGGATTTCTGCTCTGCGTTATGATCCTCGTCATGATCCTCTTCCTTGACCGCAGCATCACCATTGCGTGGCAGTTTGACGGCAGGTCGCTCGTCATTTTCAGCGATAGAGGTACGCTTGCGTTTCTTTGAAACAGCTTTGGCTCGAGTGGGAGCCGGAATTGGGACGTCGCTTGGCTTGCCCTTGGACTTGTCGTCCTGCTGTTTCGCAGAACGAGTTGCACGGGCCATGGAAGCTAAGAAGATTAGCGAGAAAAAGGAGGTGTATGGAAAGTGGTGGACGAGTGTGAGAAGAAATAGACGCGAGTGTGGCTATGGGCAAAAGCAGAGTTTGTACGCGTCTCGGGGACGCGTCGAATTACTCGAATGGTCTCCGCGTGCAGGTCTGCCAATTCTCAGAGCAAATCTCGTCCAAGTCAGCTTGACACAGCCCCCGGACTCCTCTGCTCCCTCAACACCGGTCACATGCCCAGTGCTCGGACCCCAGGCATCCCTCTCTAGTCGACACTCCTAGACGAGTTGACAACCCCATTGACCATGACCTTCAAGCTCACGCCAGTCACGAAACCACTTTTTCGAGCACAGCTAAGCTCGCGGCTCTCAAACGGCCATGTCGCTTTTACTCCCCAGATACGCAAGCTGGTCTTTGAGTACTGCGACAAGTGGGCCTCGTCTGCAAACACGCGGACATACCTACACAAATACTTAGAGGAACTCGCTTCCTCCAACCCACACGTGGAGGTCGTGGTCAGACAGCGGAATCAGAAGCAGCCTATCGTTCGAGGGTTCTATGGCATGTTCTACTCGTTTAGAATGAACGTGCCAAAACTGACTGCCTGTTGTTCATGCATCCGTCCAGTCAATAACAAGGACAAGGTTATCCCTCTGAACGGTCTGGAAGTCACTGGCGTTCAGAACAAGGTCAAGCTTCTGCTAGACTCGTCGGGTGCAAAAATAATGCCATTAAAGCGTAGGACTGTCGAGAGTACAACTGAGTCGGCGAGAGGAATCTGGAGTGGTCTTCACGTCGACGAACCTTTCAAGATCTGAGGAGCCCTCCATTCTTGGATTGGTCTCGCTTCGATACTCGCCGGGTGAGTCTTCAGCATACGCACTGTCGTGTTTTGTCTAGCCGCTCCTGAGAAAGCTAATACTTTTCTGTTAGTTATAGGACATTCGCTTATGTTTAAACCTCCACCGTAGTAATAGACGTGCATCTTCTACTCAGACCTCCAACTTAAGTCAAGCTCCAGACCTGAAAACGGCAGGGCATGGCCTTATCTGATTTTGTTGTAGTATGTTTTATGCACACCATAATACCTCCCTCGCAGCGTGAACAGTATCAATCCTCGGCTCACATCTACTCTAGGCTTAGATCCACATATCCTCTTGTTGTATGTTCTCGCAAGCTTTAAAATCTAATATAGTCCTCGACCCCTAAAAAGGCAATTACAGGACCGATAAGATCATCTTTCTGTGCGCGGCATCAGCATGCATCAAAGGCATGCCTGCCTGTTCCACATATGACTCAGTTCTGTGGAAGTCGGACGTGATGTTCCGTATCTTTCCACAGAAGGGACTAAGGTGTGTTGCACACGTGTTGAATGGTAGATATAGGTTTCGTTGAAGCCTCTTCCCCCATTTCGCCTCGCCAACATGCAATCGGTAGGATCTTTTCGACTGCCCCTTGAGTGTGGTTGACTGACTTTCACGATGAAGTCACAGCAATACACCCGTCATCAACTCCGCACCTCCCTCGACCATAACGAATCGATGGCCTTTGTCAAGCATCCACGAGTACATAGTCAAGCTGGCTCTGTGAGTACTTCGTCCGCGAATCCCATCCTCTTCTCGCCGAATCTGATTAAACAAGCAGATATCTAGCCAATTTTCAACCAGCTCCACTCTGGTCGACGTTGCGGTAGGCAGCATTGGTATGTCGTCGTCGATTTATACTGATCAACATTTTTGATCTAGGAGACTCCTGAGTCGCCGGGTGATGAGCATGTCATGATGCAACTGGATTATATACTCGTTCGTTTTTCCCAATCTCATCAGGTTGGATGATCTCTGACGCCTTCCGATACAGCCTGTGTGGGAATACCCCGGGAACTACATTCCATCTACCCCGTCTTCCATACTTCTTCCCGAACCTTCGACAACATCCCCTACGCCTTGTTCTTCTTCCCACCATCTTGTCTCCTCTGTCTCCACACGGGGATCTCGGTTATGGCTCCATCGACGCCGACGCCTGGCTACCGATAACCAGACCACGACCGCATCGAATACGCGCTCATCCTTCCTCACCTCTCTCTTGCACTCTCGCTGGCCGAAGTCGGAACTCGAGGATCCCATTTTTGGTCAGACAACGCCCCGTGCACTGTCTCCACATCGACAGCACTTTCATGACGAGCATGATCGAGATCTTCTGCCACCAGTGAGGGAGCGGCCGCCGTCGACTCTCTCAGCTCCGAGGAGTATTCTGACTCGCGTGGACTCGCGCGATAAGAGGTCTGTTAGATCTTTCAAAGGATCCGTCAAGTTCGTGGAGAAGCCAAAGTTGTGGGAATACGAGGAGTATTATGGAGATTATGGTTTTGATAACGAGCGGCAGAACCGGTGGAATGTTGGGCAGGTCAAGGATGACGTCGATGAGGCGGATTCGGTGATGACCCTTCCTCCATCCACAGCGCGGAGCAGGGCCAGGAGCGAATCAATCTTGCGGAGGTTCATCGGGTCGTCGGGAAAATCACACGCGCGCGGGCACGGCAAAGGGAAGAAAGTACAGGGTATAGGGGAGAAGCTGGTCATTTCGGGGCCAATGCCGCTTGTCAAGGCAGCGTCTATGCGAGATCTGAAGCAGTCGAGCGATCCGGATCGGAAGGGGAATGTCAAGGAGAAGGGCACGAATATGGCTTCAGGCGCGGGCGCTACGAAGAAAGGCAACAAGTTAAGGACATTCTGGGGAAGGTTGTACTGTGGTATGGGCGTAGCTTAGCGGTGTGGATTCGAGGTGTCGAATTGTGGAAGGGTGAGTAGCTCCTTTCCGTCATCGGCTTATAAACCTCTTGACGCTTCTCAGTTTCTTTCATAGAAGTATCATCACTAACTCGCTTGAGTTTTTTTGTCATAGAAATTCCGGTACGGACTTTTCTAGGCAGAGCACTAGCATCTCGTCCGCGCGAACTGTGCGTCTATGTTATGCATGCTGTCCTGCAGGTCGGTTGACGACAAAGGACGTGCTTTCTAATATGCGTGTACCGCACGCACCACTTTGGCAGCTTCGCTAAGCCCGGCAGGTTGCAATATTGTGATATGCATCTTTCGAAGACCTCAGTGTTTTACATGTCATCTTTGTATACCCACATATCTTTATACACAATGTCTTATATCTTCGTACTCCTTATCATTTTTTTGTGGTCCAGATCACACGACGTCTGAGCACAAACTGTGATGGGGATCATGACTCGGGCGGAAAAGCTGCGGACATGTGTGCGCGACATGCACTACAAGGGAGTTTTCTGTGCATACACAGGGGGGCGAGGTAAAGGGTAGTCTTGTCAATCACGGTTGACGCGAGCTTAGTCTCTGACGCTCAGCTTCCCATCGCGCGCGCATCTGCGACGCGCCCTCAGCGCGTGCACGAACCATCATCGGGAGCATTTGGAGACGGGCAGATTCAAGGTGAGGTGGGAGGACAGCGTCATTACGTATGACCTGGAAGGAAATGAGTCGAGGTTAGTGGAAATAGGTGGGGATAATTAAATAGGCGTCAGCACATACAGAGCCGACAGCAAGGAAAAAAGAGAATGTTGCTGCGCTGCTGAGCATATATTGAGAGAGCGTGGCCATAGCGCCACGAGGGCCTGCGCCGCCTCTATGTCACGTTTGGCAAGTCAACAAGACAGTCATTTATATTGAACGGTGAGCGTACCTGAGGATACTATAAGACCCGAAGATGAAGCCGATCGTGAGGCCTACGCCGCTGCCCATTAAGGCTCCCATCCTGTAGAAGGAGACCAGTATTCATAGAACAGTATCGCATGTTGAGAAGATTGCTGCGTACTTCACTAAAACATGAAGGCGTGTCAATAGCTGAAAGCAAGAGATTGGGAGATTGAAACATACGTTTCTCCCATACAGAGGGTTCACTTCGTCGTGGACCTGGATGTGCCATCGTTATTTAGAGATGAAGGAAATCCAGAGGAAAGGAATTGCAACCCTAACCTCAACTCACACTATACTCGCACTGACTTACACACTACTTACACACGTCGATCAGGCGGACCAGCGGCGACAACTTACGGATTTCTCAACCAGGACGTATGGATTCCTTCAGTCGGGTGCCCATCTTTCCTGCGGCACAACAAGCTCAGATTAGTGAGTGATAACACGGAATGTTGTCCCCTTGTTGAGTGAATGCATAAGAAATGGACAGTTCGGGCTCACCAGAGAGATTTGATCCATGTCTCATCCTTGAAGGAGCAGACAGAAAGTATACTCCGAGCACTACTAGGTGTGCAAATTGTACTTGGAACTTTCTAAATACCTATTGAATGTCACCGTCTTTGACAGGATCGCGTTGGCTCACTCGGTATGATAAGGAAGTTGAGCTGCTTGTCAAGATCACATATCAGGCGCTGACCACTGGCCGTGGTACGTTCCTTCATCTCTGTGCATGTTATTGTAAATAAACTATCTGAATATACCAATAGCTGTTCAATCTCTTGGGGAGGAGTATACTGATATATGGCCGCATCCCGGTCGCATACGCGTACCTTATATCCGAGCAACACTCGTTCTGCTACCAACCCTACCAGCGTACATCCTAGCACGCATGGCAGCAATGCTCCCTTCTACGAATGGACGCTTGAGGGGTATTGTGAAGGACATGACGAATGTGCTCGAGGTCCTAATGGAAATCAATCTTGCATTTTTCTACTTGCGGGGTACATATTACGATTTGATCAAGAGAGGGCTAGGCATGCGGCATGTGAGCATCTGTTCCTCGCTTTACCATGGGCAATGGTGTTCAAGAGTTTGTGGAGATTTCAGCGATACCAGAAGACCCCCATACAAGGCCGCCAACGTACTCACTACTCGGGGTGCTGATTCTGGTCAGATTGCTTTACCGAGGGATCAACGTCCTCCGTACCCATTCCTCAAAACACGCACCAGTTGACTTGGTCCCCAACAGCTCCAGCGGCTCTGAAGCTGTATACTCGGTCGACAACAACCCGCACATTGATGCACGCCCGATATCTTCACTTCTGGACACGGTCGAGGCAGATTCTGCTACCACACTCTCCGCAGAAGAAGATAAGCTAACTGTTATAGACATGAAAGCTATACCGCAGGAGATTCGGGCAGGACGCACTTGTACGCTTTGCCTTGAGGAGCGAACAGCAAGCTGTGCGACGGAATGCGGGCATCTGTTTTGTTGGACTTGTATTTATGGATGGGGGAGGGAAAAGGTGAGCGCTTTCCAATATCAACTGCTTGGTCTCTGATCGATATCGCAATAGTCAGAGTGCCCGCTTTGCAGGCAGTCGTTGGACTTAACGCGGCTACTACCCGTCTATAACTTGTAAGATATGTAGTTTGATGGCGACAAGTACCTCCCATCAGAGATCGAGAAAAAATGTCATTGTAGGATCCCAAATTATACAGTGGAACAGAGTCAATTTTACACAAGGGCAAAGAAAGTGAAGACCTATACAACTTGCTGAATTAGCGTGATATTGTCTCCTTTCAACATGATGCGTCCTGCAGATGCCAAACAATCTTGTAAGTAGATGAAGATTTTCCAAGATATGATGCTTACCTAGCTCCCGCCTTGGTTTAGCTTCTTTGACAAACACCTCGGCAGCCTCATCTATGACGATGTTCATGAATTCATCAAAACCCTAATGAAAGCAACAAAATGTCAGCGAACCGATGTTATGAAGGCCAGGATAACATGGTAAAATAATGGCATCAGTGTATGAGAGAGCAGATCGATGCGAAGAATGTAGACGGTCATCGCAACTTGAGGGCGAGACAAGTTCAACAACGGATGGGCTTGAACAAAAACAAGACACGCACAATGATTCTGCCTTCTATACGCATCTCGATATTGTCGTACAGCCAGACAACGACTTTAGCCCTCTATGAGCAAGGAATCAAACATGTAGATTGGGCACATGAGAAAGATGAACGGCGTACTTGTTGCAAGTTTTTGAAGATTACATTCTGAGTGGCGAGTTATTGTCATTAGTACGCCTTGAGATAGACACAGGGAAGCTATCTAGCTCACGATGGGTTGTACCATCACACGTTGTTGACGTCCCGACATCTTGAGCGAACTGAACTTGTATGTACGGGAAGGATATGTTGATGGACGCTTTTTGCAGGTCGGATCGCTCTGAGGGGAAGACTCACCAACTTAACGCTACTACTAAAGGCGATATGACGTTAGGGTTAGGGTTATCTCAATCGGGAGATTCAGTCGAGCAACGCGTTCAACGGACGCGTCCTTACATACCACACTGCCAAAGCGTCACCATGGAGGTATGTCAGATTTCTCACTGGCTTTTCAACTGATTTAACGGAGTATTACTTTACAGGCCTTGGCAGGTAATTCGTCTACCGCTGCGGCGGTGACTTTCATTACCTTCGTTCAAGACCTCAAACGAAAGACCAAGACATGGGGGCCAATGATTGAACTCTGCGCTTCGGGCGAAAAGACCCTTGAACGCTTTCGATACCAGTTCCCCGATGATTGGCTATACAGCGACCAGCTTCGTGGAGAATGGAGTGCATACAACGAGATCTTGAAGAGGAAGAATGATTCGATTCAAGAGCAGCTTGGTGCGTAGCCTCTGGATATGAATGTATTTTGATTTTGATTTTGAATTCAGCGGGGCTACAGTTGAAGATTGTTGCGGAAGACAAAATTGTGGAGAACAAGATCAATGATATCCTGACGGAGTGGGAACAGACGCGCCCTGTGCAAGGCAACATGCGTGCCGATACCGCCATGAATACCATCAATGTATTCGAAGGCAAGCTGAACCGCGTGCAAGAAGAGTACGATCTCGTCTGTCGTGCCAAAGAGGCTCTCGATCTCGAGCTTACCCGTCACACCCGCTTGGAGCCTGTGTTCGAGGAGCTCCGGGACCTCAAGGCCGTCTGGACAGCATTATCAGGGATTTGGAGCCAGATTAGCGAGCTGCGCGAGCTCACCTGGGCGACGGTGCAGCCGAGGAAGTTGAGACAACATATCGATGGACTGTTGAGCAGCACCAAGGATATGCCAACACGGATGAGGCAGTATGCCGCCTTTGAATACGTGCAGGATGTTCTGCGGGGGCTGTTAAAGTCGAATGCACTCATTGGGGAGATGAAGAGCGAAGCTCTGAAGGACAGACACTGGAAACAGTTGTTCAAGTCGCTGAGGATGCCATCCCAGCCTAGTCTGACGTTGTGAGTCGAGTTTTCTTATGTGGTACTAGCTTGTCCTCATTCATGTCCTGCAGAATGACACTGGGGAATGTCTATGATTTGGATTTGAAGAAGAATGAGAGCTTGATCAAGGAAGTCATCGTACAAGCTCAAGGAGAGGTAACGAGCGTCTATGGGATCCATCCTTACTTGCTTCTGATTTCTCTAACTTCAGATGGCTCTTGAGGAGTACATTAAACAAGTGAAGGAGATTTGGACCAACTATACCCTAGATCTTGTCAATTATCAGAATAAGTGTCGCCTTATTCGGCAAGTATCATTCAGTCTGTGTCGTCAGAGAGATCAAACTGACGCATTCATGCAGAGGCTGGGATGATCTTTTTAATAAATGTGGCGAAAATTTGAACTCGCTTGTCGCAATGAAGTTGTCGCCATATTATAAAGGTGAGTCTACTGGTATTCTTGCCATCGTGGTGAGACTGATCACCTTCTATTTCTAGTATTCGAGGAGGAGGTATGGACTGTGATATCGTTATGGAATTCTTGCTCATGTTCTTCCTCAGGCTAGCTCTTGGGAGGAAAAACTCAACCGCATTCATGTCCTCTTCGGTATGTGTTTTTCTTTTATGGCCAGGCTTCTTCTGAAGTGAGTCGACTGCAGATGTCTGGATCGATGTCCAACGGCAGTGGGTCTACCTGGAGGGTATCTTCTCGGGCAGTGCCGATATCAAGCATCTCCTCCCCGTTGAAAGCGCTCGGTTCCAGAACATCAATACCGAGTTTCTGACTGTCATGAAGAAGGTCTACAAATCGCCATTTGTCGTCGATGTCATGAACATTCCCGGTATCCAGAAGAGCCTCGAACGCCTTGCCGACCTCCTTAACAAGATACAGAAAGCGCTCGGAGAGTACCTTGAGCGCGAACGTGCATCGTTCCCTCGCTTCTACTTTGTCGGTGACGAGGATTTGCTCGAAATTATAGGAAACAGCAAGGATATCTTGCGTATCATGAAGCATCTCAAGAAGATGTTTGCTGGTATCTCCACCATCATGCTGGACGAGGAATTAACGCAGATTCAGGGCATGGCGTCGCGAGAGGGCGAGGAAGTTGTGTTCAGGGAGCCGATTCTGCTCAAGGACTTCCCGAAAATCAATGACTGGCTAGCCAAGATCGAGTCGTCGATGAGAGTATCCTTGGCACAGCTCCTGTGCGATGCTGTGGACGAGCTTCAAACCTTCTATGGTAATGGTGCTACTTTGCCTATGGACAGGTTCATCGAATGGGTGGAGAAATTCCCCGCTCAGCTTGTCACGCTTGCGATCCAGGTAGCATGGACTGCCTCTATCGAAGCTTCGTTTGAAGCTATCAACTCACTTGAAGGTCCGCTTGACACCATCCGTCAAAGCCTCGACCTTCTTGCAGATGTAGTTCTCACGGAATTGAGCTCCGTCACCCGCCGGAAATGCGAGCACCTCATCACCGAGCTTGTGCATCAGCGTGATGTTACCCGCCAGCTCATTCAGCAGAAGGCAACCGACAACAAGGCGTTCTCCTGGCTTTACCAGATGAGGTTCTACTTAGACCGCATGGCCGAAAATCCTTTGGACTGCCTTGCCATCCGCGTCGCCGACGCGTCCTTCCCTTATGGATGGGAGTACCTCGGAGTGACAGATCGCCTCGTGCAGACACCCCTTACAGATCGCTGCTATCTGACACTCACTCAAGCACTAGATAATCAACTGGGCGGTGCGCCGTTCGGGCCTGCAGGGACAGGCAAAACTGAGTCTGTCAAAGCGCTCGGAGTACAACTTGGACGATTCGTGCTCGTCTTCTGTTGCGATGAAACATTTGATTTCCAGGCGATGGGGCGCATATTCGTGGGGCTCTGTCAAGTTGGCGCATGGGGATGTTTCGACGAGTTCAATCGATTGGAAGAAAGAATTTTGAGTGCGGTCAGTCAGCAAGTACAAAGCATTCAGCAGGGGCTAGCGGCATTGGTGAAGAACCCGAACACGGAGATCGAGCTGGTTGGAAAAAGTTTGAAGATCAACAAGAACATCGGTATACATCTTTTTCAATATCAGACTGTTCTCGAATGCTGATTTTCGCATTCTCAGGTATATTCATCACCACCAACCCGAACTACGCTGGCCGCTCTCAGTTGCCACCTAACTTGACCAAGCTCTTCAGGCCGTGAGTTTCTGATGCATCTACATGGAGGGATGTGAAATCTGACCTTACGATCAAGTATGGCTATGACTCGTCCTGATCGCGAGCTCATTGCTCAGGTCATGTTATTCTCACAAGGTTTCCGTACCGCGGAGTCCCTGGCCTCAAAGATCGTACCCTTCTTCAACCTTTGTGATGAACAGCTATCACCTCAACCCCACTATGACTTCGGTCTGCGTGCTTTGAAGGCAGTCCTCGCTAGTGCTGGTATTCTGAAGCGTGAGCGCCTGCAAGCGGTTCGTGACTCTGGAGAAGCTGCGGATGTTGGAGGACTCTCGGATACCATCTCAGAACAAGTTATTTTAATCCAAAGCGTTACAGAAACCATTGTGCCGAAGTTGGTGGCTGACGACGTACCACTCTTAACAAGGTTCGTCGACTTCAAACACTATTCTATAAATTCATTGATCTCATTTTTATCCGATACATCAGTCTTCTGGCTGACGTATTTCCGGGCACTGATTATGTCCCAGTTAATCTCGACGCTTTGCGCGAACAGATTGGGAAGGTCTGCGAAGAACGTCGTCTCGTTCAAGGCGAGCGCTGGGTATCAAAAATCTTGCAACTGTATCAGATCCAGAAGATCCAGCACGGTCTCATGATGGTTGGATCATCGGGAAGTGGGAAGACAAATGCGTGGCAAGTACTCTTGGCTGCGTTGGAGCGTCTGGACGGTGTTGAAGGAGTCGCATATGTCATTGACCCCAAGGCGATGCATAAGGATGCTTTGTACGGGACGCTCGATCAAACGACGCGCGAATGGAACGATGGACTTTTCACGCACGTTCTGCGAAAGATCGTAGATGATGTCCGTGGCGAAAGCGGGAAGAGGCATTGGATCATTTTCGATGGTGATGTCGATCCCGAGTGGGTGGAAAACTTGAACAGGTGTGTTTCTAGCTTCATACCCAAACACCATCCTTAACATGTTTGCTAGTGTGTTGGACGACAATAAGCTCCTGACGCTGCCCAACGGCGAGCGACTTAATCTCCCTTCGAATGTCCGCATTATGTTCGAGGTCGAGCACCTCCGCTACGCGACTCTTGCTACCGTCAGTCGGTGTGGTATGATCTGGTTCAGCGAGGACATCGTGGAACCTTCCATGGTCTACCGCCAGTATCTTGACACCTTGGGTTCTGTCCCTCTTGATGCCGAAGATGACGACGCACTGGACATCCCTGGGCGGCGCGCAGACGATGCGAACTCTGACGCCATCAGTGCAAATATTATCACTCAGAAGCAAGTGGCCGGTATCCTTGAGCGATACTTCTCTGAGGGCGAGCTTGTCAGTATTGCACTAGAATATGCATCATCCATTGAGCACATTATGGACTTCACTACGACTCGCGCCCTCAACACTCTATTCTCCCTCCTCAACAAAACCGCCCGGAACATCCTCGAGTATAATGTCCAGCATTCCGACTTCCCGCTGCCTCCTGAGCCGCTCGAACAATACGTTAGCAAGCGACTTCTGATCAGCATCATATGGGCTTTCTCTGGTGATGCTAAGCTGGACTTGCGGGCAGAATTAGGCGATTTTCTCAGCAAGCAGACAGGGATCGACCTGCCTCCACTGGGCCCTGGAAGTTCACTCCTTGATTTCGATGTTCAGGTCGCGAACGGTGAATGGTCTGCTTGGGCAGCCAGGGTCCCGCAGATCGAAATCGAAGCTCAGGCCGTCACCGCCTCTGACGTAGTTGTTCCCACAATGGATACCGTTCGACATGAAGAAGTCCTTTATTCGTGGCTCTCAGAACACAAACCTCTTATGCTCTGTGGTCCTCCCGGTTCCGGCAAGACGATGACTCTGTTCAGTGCTCTTCGAAAACTTCCCGATATGGAAGTCGTAGGTCTGAACTTCTCCAGCGCGACGACTCCGGAGTTGATACTGAAGACCTTTGAGCAATATTGTGAGTATCGGAAAACTCCTAACGGCGTCATCCTGGCTCCTGTACAGCTGGGCCGATGGCTTGTCGTTTTCTGCGATGAGATCAACCTACCGGCCGCTGATAAGTACGGAACGCAGCGAGTTATCTCGTTCATCCGACAATTGGTCGAATCGGGCGGTTACTGGCGGACCTCCGACATGTCTTGGGTCAAAATGGAGCGCATTCAGTTCGTCGGTGCTTGTAATCCCCCAACGGATCCTGGCCGTGTCCCTCTCAGTCATAGATTTTTGCGACATGCGCCGTTGGTCATGGTTGACTATCCTGGCGAGGTATCGCTCAAACAGATCTACGGCACATACAATCGCGGAATTCTTAAGGTGGTTCCCAATCTGCGTACATACGCTGAACCCCTTACAGACGCCATGGTCGCGTTCTACCTGGCCTCGCAAAAACGCTTCACAACAGATATCCAGGCACACTACGTTTATAGTCCTCGTGAGCTGACACGCTGGGTCCGTGGTATCTACGAAGCCATCCGTCCGCTAGAAGTGCTCTCTGTGGAAGGCCTCGTTCGTGTTTGGGCACACGAAGCACTCCGCCTATTCCAAGATCGTCTAGTTGCAGAGGACGAGAGGCAGTGGACTGGCGACAACATTGATAACACTGCATTGGAGCATTTCCCTACGATCAACAGGGATGAGGCTCTCGCAAGGCCTATCTTATTCTCCAATTGGACTTCAAAGAACTATATTCCTGTGGATCGCGAGGTGCTACGTGAATATACCAAAGCCCGTCTACGCGTCTTTTACGAAGAAGAGTTAGATGTACCCCTCGTGCTTTTCAATGATGTCCTCGACCATGTCTTGCGAATCGATCGTGTTTTCCGTCAAATCCAAGGGCATCTCTTACTGATTGGTGTCAGTGGCAGTGGGAAGGTGAGGTTTGATTATCTTTCCAAATGAATCCAACTGATCTCTGTCTCTTAGACAACCCTATCTCGTTTCGTGGCATGGATGAACGGCCTCAGCATCTTCCAGATCAAGGTATCGAACAAGTATACAGGCGACGACTTTGACGAGGATCTGCGTACTGTTCTCCGACGTGCAGGCACCAAGGGAGAAAAAGTCTGTTTCATCATGGACGAGTCAAACGTCCTTGACTCTGGTTTCCTTGAGAGGATGAATACGCTCCTCGCCAATGCTGAAGTTCCTGGATTGTTTGAAGGCGACGAACACTCGGCCCTGATGACGGCCTGCAAGGAAGGCTCTCAACGGGATGGTTTGATGCTGGACTCGCATGAGGAACTTTATCGTTGGTTCACACAGCAAGTCGCCAAGAATCTACATGTTGTATTCACCATGAATCCGCCAGAGAATGGGCTCGCTTCCCGTGCAGCGACATCACCCGCTTTATTCAATCGCTGTGTCCTTGACTGGTTCGGTGACTGGTCCGACCAAGCCTTCTATCAAGTTGGCATGGAGTTCACACACACCTTAGACCTTGATCTATCTTCTTACCAGCCTCCTGCCATGTTCCCTATTGCGTATCGCGAGCTATCCATGCCACCGATCCACCGCACAGCGGTCGTCAACGCCCTTGTACATGTTCATATGTCTTTGTATCAGATCAATCTGCGACTCAGCCGGAGACAAGGCCGCTACAATTATGTGACCCCTCGTCATTATCTAGATTTGTGAGTCCCCATCCACTCATACTATCGCCTAGCCCTGAACTTCGATGACATAGCATCAATCATTATGTCCGTCTCTACAATGAGAAGCGCGACGAACTGGAAGAGCAGCAACGGCATCTTCACGTTGGGCTTGATAAGCTTCGCGATACCGTCACACAAGTCGAGGAGCTTCGGAAAAGTCTTGCCATCAAACGTACTCAGCTCGAGGCCAAGAATGCAGAGGCAAATGAAAAACTCAAACAAATGGTTTCTGACCAGCAGGAAGCCGAGCAGAAGAAGGCTGCCTCCATCGAGATTCAAGCCGCACTCGTGAAACAAGATAAGCATATTGAACAGCGTCGTTCGATCGTCATGGCGGACTTGGCCGATGCTGAACCGGCTGTCCTCGACGCTCAAGCAGCAGTCAGCAGCATCAAACGGCAACAACTCCAGGAAGTGCGGACGATGGCAAATCCTCCAGAGGCGGTCAAATTGGCCATGGAATCTGTTTGTACGATCTTGGGCCACAAGATTGACAGCTGGCGTACTGTTCAGGGCATTATCCGCCGCGACGACTTCATCCTCAGGATCGTTAACTTCGACACGACGAACCAAATGACCAAGCAACTACGGGAGGTGATGAAAAAAGACTTTCTTAGCCGGCCTTCGTTCAACTTTGAGACTGTGCAACATGCCAGTAAAGCTTGCGGACCTCTTGTCAAATGGGTGCTTGCGCAGGTCCGCTTTTCAGAAATCTTGGACAAGGTCGAACCACTGCGCAATGAGGTGCAGTCACTGGAGACTCAGGCGGAGCAGACTAAGCAACAGGCTGCAACAATCATCACAATGATCTCAGAGCTAGAAGCCTCGATCACGAAGTACAAGGAAGAATATGCATTTCTCATTAGCCAAACCCAGGCGATCAAGACCGAAATGGACCGCGTTCAAGGCAAGGTCGACCGCAGCATGAAGCTCCTGGAAAGCTTATCCTCGGAAAGAGCTCGTTGGGAGTCTGGCAGCCGAACTTTCGACGCGGAGATGAGTACTATTGTCGGCGATGTGTTATTGTCGGCGGCCTTCTTGGCGTATGGCGGATTCTTCGACCAGCATTATCGTGAAGTCATGTGGCAGGAATGGATGAATCATCTGGTTGAAGCGAATATCAAGTTCAAGCCGGAGCTCTCTTTCACCGAATACCTCTCGACTGCTGACGACCGTCTCAGTTGGCAATCGAAGGGATTGCCCTCCGACAACTTGTGCACAGAGAATGCGATTATGATGAGGCGATTTAGCCGCTACCCGTTAATCATTGATCCTACGGGTCAAGCCACTACGTTCTTACTAAACGAGTACAAGTTTCGCAAGATTACTGTAACAAGTTTCCTCGACGAAGCCTTCCTCAAGGTCCTGGAGAGTGCCCTCCGATTCGGGAACCCATTACTGATTCAGGATGTGGAGCATCTTGATCCAATTCTCAATGCTGTGTTAAACAAGGAGATTCGCCGGACTGGTGGCCGTGTTCTCATCCGTCTCGGAAGTCAAGATATCGACTTCTCTCCGTCTTTCACAATGTTCCTATCTACTAGGGATCCCTCCGTTGAGTTCTCGCCGGACATCTGCAGTCGTGTAACCTTCGTCAACTTCACCATGACTCGCAGCAGCTTGCAAAGCCAGTCCTTGGATCAGGTCTTGAAGGTCGAGAGGCCAGATACAGAGCAGAAACGAACAGATCTCATGAAGGTTCAGGGCGAGTTCCGTGTGCGTTTGCGGACGCTCGAGAAACTCTTATTGCAGGCTCTCAATGAGTCTTCAGGAAATATACTCGACGACGATAAGGTCATTGATACACTGGAGACTTTGAAGCGCGAAGCAGCGGAGATCACTCGGAAGGTAGAGGAAACCGACCTCGTCATGAGAGAAGTCGAACAAGTCACTGCTGAATATCTACCCTTAGCACAAGCGTGTAGCTCCGTCTTCTTCATCCTGGAGCAACTGAACTTAGTCAACCACTTCTATCAATTCTCATTGCGCTTTTTCCTCGATATCTTCGACTATGTGCTTCATCATAACCCCAATCTCCACGGCATCACTGATTATAGCGCCCGCCTCGATATTCTTTTGAAAGATCTCTTTCTCGTTGTTTACAGACGGACGTCTCGGGCACTTCTCCATCGCGACCACGTTATGCTTGCGGTACTTCTGGCCCAGGTCAAGCTCCGCGGTATGGAAGAGATCTCGGACGAACTAGAATTCTTGCTGGAGAGTGGGAACGGAGCCGTCACCGTTGGAGGCCAAGCGGGCGCGAAAATTGCGGTTTTGACTTCCGATCAACAGCAACGCCTCGATACTTATGCCAAACAGTCCCTCTTCAAGCCTGTTCAGGCACACATCCTGGAGCATGAAAGTGACTGGATTCCTTTCCTAGAGTCAGGCAACCCTGAGCTTTCTGTGCCTTCACCATGGAACCCTAGCACTCGTAAGTTTACATTTATCGGTATCTGTTTGTCTGTTTCTAATCTCATTGCTCGACAGCTGCCGTTGAATCGATTCGTTCATTATTGATCATCAAATGTTTGCGTCCTGACCGCCTATTGCAAGCTACCGCCGCTTTTGTGAAGGTTGTCTTCGAAACCGACATCTCCGTCGAGTCTGCTTATGACCTTGCCGCCATGGTCGCCAATGAAGTACCAGCTCAGACACCATTAGCACTAGTCTCTGTAGCTGGATACGATGCAAGCTACCGGATCGACAATCTCGTGTCCAACACCCAGACACGGTGCTCTTCTGTCGCGATGGGTTCACAAGAAGGATTTGCGCTAGCCGACCAAGCCATAGGCGTGGCATCGCGCCAAGGCACATGGGTCTTACTCAAGAATGTTCATCTTGCTCCACAATGGCTTGGACAGCTGGAGAAGAAATTGCAGACCCTCAATGCCCATCGCAACTTCCGCCTATTCCTTACCATGGAGGCTAACCCCTCCATCCCCGTCAATATACTTCGTCAGTCCCGTGTCATTATGAATGAACCTCCACCAGGTATCAAGGCAAACCTTCTCGATTCATTGCGCAGTATTACCTCTGCACGTCTGTCCCAGGGTCCTGTGGAGAAGGTCCGCTTATACTTCTTGCTTGCCTGGTTCCATGCGGTTGTCCAGGAACGTCTTCGATATGTCCCTCTCGGGTGGAGCAAATCCTATGACTTCAATGACTCGGACATGGCAGCAGCATTTACCACGATAGATGCTTGGCTGCACTCTATTGCCAAGGGGCGTGCGAACGTCGACCCGGAACAGATCCCTTGGGACGCCCTCCGAACACTCATCAAGCAATCCGTTTACGGAGGACGTGTTGATAGCGACTTCGATCAGAAAATCATTGATGCTTTCGTGGATGGGTTATTCACCTCTGCAGCTTATAACGTCGATTTCAACCTTGTCCCTAAAATCAATGGTACAGAGGTCCTGACTGCGCCGGAAGGGACGAAATTGGATCACTTTTTATCTTGGGTCAAGGGTCTACCAGAGCGTGAACCACCGTCATGGTTAAGCCTGCCGCCAACCGCTGAGCGAGTGATCGCTGTTGCACAAGGTATGCATATCACGGGTTTGCTTTGGAAAAATATTGATGAGCGTTGCAGGCAACGAGTTACTGGGAAAATTACGCAAGATGAGGACTTTGACTGACGATGATGATGACACCGCCTCTACTGCGGGACCTTCCAAGGGGCAAACGTCACAGCAGCCGGCCTGGATGCGAGCACTTCTTGAACGTTGCCGTGAATGGCTCACACAGCTGCCTTCTGTGAGGACCTCAGTTCCATATAAAATCATGTCTGACCTCTTTTTTGTAGACCTTCAATGTTCTACAAAAGCAATCAGGGGACAACTCGGATCCCTTGTATCGTCTGTTCTCTCGCGAGGGGAGTATTGGCCAAAAATTGCTCAATCAAGTCCGCAAGGATCTTATCGATGTAGTCAAGGTTTGTGGAGGCGAGCTGAAGCAGACTAACCATCTGCGAACGCTAATGAGTTCGCTGACGAAAGGCAAGAACTTCAATGGATCATTTCCTCTCGTGGACTGACTTCATTCTTTCATTAGGTACTATTCCTGATCACTGGCGGCGATACAAAGTAAAGAAGACGATGTCCGTGTCGGAGTGGATACCCGATCTAGGCCTCCGACTCGCCCAGCTGGACAATCTTGCGACTCTGGACAACTTGTCTAATGTCGAGATATGGCTTGGTGGGCTGTTCTTCCCAGAAGCCTATATCACCGCGACTAGGCAGGCAGTTGCCCACCGCAAGAAGTGGAGTCTGGAGACCTTGCATATGCGGCTGGACATTGAACGGGTCAACGATCCCAGCGCGTTCATTGTGGATGGTAAGCCAATTGCGAATGCATCTTCTACATGATTCTGACGCATATCATCGTTTAGGCCTTGCTCTGGAGGGCGCTTCGTGGATTGAAGAACAGCTCGTGCTCAATGATGGTGAATCTGTTCGCTTGAACCCTTCCCAGATCCGCTGGATCCAGGACGATGACTCTGATGTCGAAAAGGAGAAGTTCGTAAACTTGCCAGTATATCTCAACAACGATCGCAGCGACGTTCTCTTCACGGTTGACCTTCCATTCGATAATAGCGCAGGATCGTTAGTGGCTACGCGGGCGGTGTGCCTCACAGCAGGTGGCTAGATGTCTAGAGCAGTTAGTTCTGATGGACATTCTTGATGGATAATTTACTTAGTTTACCCTCGTTTACCCTCGTTTTTTTTGGATACTATACATGTATTTCACGACTTGCGATGATCTCTAATGAATTCAAAACTTCGTTTTCACTTAATGGGCGATTGCCCAAAGCTACCTCGACTTTTGAGCGTCAGGCATTCCAAATGTCATTCGAGATCGCAAGATCCACCGCGAGGCAGGTTTTATCAGGTCCCTATGATAGCTATTGGACATGGAGAAGATTGGGATTATGAGTTCTTGCGAGAGCATCACCTGCAAAATCGCGCCGTATACTGTGCCGTATACTCATACATTACCATAGACCAAAGAAGTTAATTTCACTCGCTCTCCTCACTATCATAGTCTTCCTCCGCCTCGTCGTCGATGAAACCATTCAACCTCGGCATGCCATCCTCCCCCTCCTCCTCCTCCTCATCTTCCTCCTCCTCCTCCTCATCGTCATCGTCGTCGTCGTCGTCTTCACTATCCAGCTCTTCGGCCTCGCTGTCTCCACCTAACTCAACATCCTCGATGCTCCCCGCGTCACTGCCTTCTTCCACTTCGACATCCATGCCGCCTTCCTCCCCGTCCTCGTCTGAACTCTCCCCTTCGACGTACCGCCTCGGCTCCCTCCCAGTGCCGCTGCGACCGTTTCCGTTTTGTTTACCCGTTCCCGCTTGCGATGACGCGGCGAGAGGTGCTGGTGCCGCTGACGACCGAAGCTCAATCTGTTGCAGGACCATGTCGAGCCGTCCAGAAAGAGAGAGCAGGGAGTCCTGTAGCGTCAGCCTAGTAGTCAGGGTAGCATGCAAGCCCGACAGGCGGGCGACTAAATCTGGCATCTGAAACATAGTAACGTTATGAGTTCTTCTGGTGGAGAGTTCAAATCAATAAGACTTACAGTCATCAGATGGCCACTATGCACCACTAATACGGTCTTGATCCACCTCACAAGCCCCGCGCCTCGTTGGCTCCCGGCTCCCGCCCCGCCACCCTTCCCTGCACCGGCACCCTTCCCCCTTCCAAGCCTCTCCGTACACGCAGTGAGCAGCGACACCGCGAGCTGCGGCGGCAGCCGCCGAACGGTGTTCATGATGAGGCTCGTGTCCGTGTGCGAGAGGCACATCTCCAACAGGCGCATATCGGACGAATGCAGTGCCTGTATGAGCGTGCGCGTCAGCGTAATCGACGACATTGCGGACCCAGCCACCGGCCGCCGTCTCCGCGCGCGCGACGAATGCGTATCTTCTTCATCGCCGTCATTGTCAGAAGGGGGGTCGGAGTCATTGGTACGGGCAGGCACGGCACCAGGCTCGAGGGCCGTCAGGCGCTGGCCAAGGCTCAGTTCGGCGAGGTCGACGTCGAGGACACCGTCTATGTCGCGCAGAGCGAGATCATCTGTGGCAGCATCCTGCCCGAGGTCGTTGCCGGAGCGCACAGCGAGGTTGGATGATTCGGCGTAACGTTTGTTGGGAGCGCCCTGGAACGATTGGTCGATAAGTATGGACTAGTATGATGTAATACAAACTCACAGGAATGTTGTCTCCTTCGCTGATTAGATTTGCACCGGCATCTTTGTGTACGATATTGATGTCTGGTATAAAGTTTCCAGAAGCATCCAAATATTGCTACAACACAGATTGAATGTTTTGTTGGTCGTCGATCATGCAAAAGATCCAAATTTCCACTTACAACGATGTCAAAGAAGGGCCTCACGCCACCTACTAGCCATGCAACTTGTATACTGTCCTCTACATCGTGAACAAAGGATACTCCAGTGACCTCAATTGGTGAGCTGGTCTGTTTCGAAGAGATGGTCACGATTGACACTGGATTGAGTGTTCGTACTCTCTGCTTCGATTTCTTCTGTGGGGTTGCGCTCGCCAGGTCAGAGGCCAAAGAATATACAGAGATTTTGCCAGAAGCGGATAGAACGAGGAGATTGGGATGTGACGATGCTGGAGAGAAAGAAATCTGGCGCGCATCTGAGTCCAAAGAAATCGACGCCACTAGCTTTCCTTCCAGCGCGGAGTCGTCGGGGACGTCCCAGAGATAGACGTGCCGATCAGCTTCCGCCATAGATGCAAAGCGCGTAGAGGGCTGAGACTCAGAACCTGCCCATTGTAAAGATGTAACATTGGAAGCATGGCCAATGAAGGATGCACGCTCTTTCGGTTTCGCAAATTCGGAGACGGGATAAGCATCCTGAGAGGTCGACAGTAGACGAATGCTGTGATGCGCAAGAAGTAGATCAACTGAGCCCGGTTCGGGACCGCCACGGACACTCATGGACGTGCATGGCATCCGTTCCTCGTTCTTCCAGCTGAAGATATGCTCTCCTTTCCGGGCGTCCCAGAAGCGTAGGGAGCTATCTCCGCCCGAAGTCCATAAGGAGGCTGTCTTTTGATGTGTGGAGGTAGAGATGGATAGGATTGACGAGGTGCTAGAGGGATGTGAAAGTGTGCGGACAACTCGTCCGTGGGAAGGGTCGAAAATGAGGAGAGAACCATTGGATAGACCCAAGGTGACGACCTCAGTCGTGTTGGAGAGCGGGTCGGTCGCACTCACCTGTGCGACGCTGTTCCTTTTTTTCCGCTTCTTTTTTGGGGATGCATCCTCCTCTTCCTCTACGGCTACTGGGTCCTTCGCAAGGTCGAACTGCGCCCAGGAAAGTGCAGTCACATGTGCAGATTCAACGACATGCTCTGCAACGCTCTGCCCCGTGGTGGTATTGTGTACGCGTAGTCTGTGCTTGTCTACTGAGAGGGAGAGAGATGCGAAGAGGTGCCCCTTTGGCGAGAAGGAAGACAGAGTAGTGAAGGAGGAAGCATCTTCGACCATGGGCTGGGAGAGTGCCGAGGACGATGCTGGTCGAGCACGCGAAGGTGCGGTGCGACTTTTTTTTGATTTTTGAGTTGGAGGAGCCATGGATAAGTCTCTGAGAGGGATGAGACCATGAGGAGAAGAGAGAGGATGAAGAGCTCACTGGATGCTCTTTGTGCTGTAGCCGACTCGCGACTGCCAAATTTTGTGCAACTTTCTCGCTGAGCTCTCCTCGGCCAATGCCGTCTTGCCGTGCCCGGCATCGCCACGTACGTATAGAGTACAACAACAGTCCGATCTCATCTTCTCCTCCCAACCTCCACCAGTTCCCGCCCCCTTGTTCCATCTCTGACTACGCTCCTCTCTCAATTATTTATTCTTTCACATCGCTCTTCACGATTCGAGTATTTGTTGTACACTATAACCCAGCATTGAACAGACAGACATCATGAATTATATCCAGGTGTGTACTACCTTCGTCCCTACTATTCACCCGCCTGACGTCGGGTTAAGCTTGAGAAACTAGGCATGTATCATCAACTGCATCATATTGTTCGGCTTGATGGAACTGGTATTGATCAGGTGAAGGGACATATGCCACTGTATACAAGGTTGGTCGTGTCTTCTAGGCATCCCAGCCTGTTACTCATTATCACGACAGGGTCGATCACGCACGACAAACGAGATCGTAGCGTTGAAGGAAATCCATCTCGATGCGGAAGAAGGCACCCCTTCGACAGCCATCCGCGAAATCTCCTTGATGAAGGAGCTCAAACATGTCAACATAGTCCGCCTGCACGATGTGATCCACACTGAAACCAAACTCGTGCTCATTTTCGAATACTGCGAGCGCGATCTGAAGAAGTACATGGACGCCAATGGGGATCGAGGCGCGCTGGACCCAGTGACAGTCCGCAGCTTCATGTACCAACTCTTGATGGGTACCGCTTTCTGCCACGAAAACAGGGTTTTGCATCGCGATCTAAAGCCGCAAAACTTGCTAATCAATAGAAAGGGGGAGCTGAAGCTGGGTGACTTTGGTCTTGCACGGGCATTCGGTGTGCCTGTTAACACGTTCTCGAACGAGGTATATTCAGTTATCTCTACATTTCCAAATGGATTTCTCACGGGCTGGGAAGGTCGTCACCCTTTGGTACCGCGCTCCGGACGTTCTTTTGGGCTCAAGGACCTACAGCACTTCTATCGATGTTTGGTCGTGCGGCTGTATATTCGCTGAGATGATCTCAGGAGTCCCTCTCTTTCGAGGTCGGGATAACAATGACCAACTCCTCCATATTATGAGAATTATCGGAACGCCAGACGACAGAACAGTCCGGAAGATGGCTGCAGAGTCGGTTAGTTAGGTTCCTCAAATCTACACGAGATAATGATGCTATTGAGGCTAAATCTCTCAGCCCGAGATCCAAGTGAAGCAGTGGCCAAGATATCCTAAAATTCCTTTCCAGCAAGTCCTTCCGAAAGCATCCCTCCAAGGTGATTGTCATTCAACGTATGTGTACCTTCGTCAAATTAATAGTGTATCATGGAACTAGCCATCGACCTCCTCGAACGCCTCCTCCAATTCGACCCTGCCAAGCGCATCACAGCGCAAGAGGCCCTTCAACACCCCTACTTTACAGCCTCTGCCATTGCCAACGTCGTCCCCGCGACTGTTCCTTTCCCACTCAACCCACAACAAAACGCCATGCCCCCGCCTCCATTCAACTACCCCCACCACTCGGCGCACGGGCAGCCCAACCCCGTATTCTCGAACTCACACATGGGCCACATGCAGTCACAGACACAAGGTCCCGCTCAAGCAGCGCAGGCGATGGCACAGGTTCAAGCGCAGGCGCAGGGGGCTTATGGACAGTACCCACCAGGGTATGGGAACCGGTGACCTGTCGCCCAATATTGAGCCTCATGAACACTTGTCCGAGCCGCTGCCGTACTGATCGCAGTCGGTTTTGCGCGCATCCCCCCGTAATTGTCCCACTCCGGTCGTTTTGTCCTACTACTTGAAATTCCATGTTTCGGAATGTTTTTTGGGTCCCATCGTGGACACTGTTGCATGTGTTTCTTCCATTGTTCACCGTTACACTATAGATGATAACTCACTCATTGTTCATTTTTTTTCCAACGACACCAAATAGTTGTTGCGTCGCCTAGTGAGTCCTCCACCAAGCATGGAATTGAACGCTACCAGACTCAATATGCTGTTTTCTATCCAAAAAACTTGATTCAAACAATCTGATGCGGCTAGAGTTGCGGATTCAACAGATTCTCACAGTTGTTAGCATTGTTGGGGAGATTGTGAAGCATCCGCTGCGAAATTCCGTTGTGACTAAATCCCATCATTCTCTTCGTCTTCACGGTCTCCTGTCCTCCTGCACCCCGTATCCCTGAACGCCCCTCAAAGCTTGGCTGTGATGTAGGCACATGCTCGACACTTATCCGTTTTGTCCCAAGGTCGTAATGCGGTTTCCTTCTTTATTGTGCACGGTGATCACTGCCGCCACGGGAATTTCGCGACTGCGCACGTCAAGAGTTGTCCTGAGCCTTCAGACGCCAGGACTGAGATCCAATTTCCGTAATCTAATTTGTATGTCGAGCATCTCTTTGACTAATTGATCGCAGAAACAGCCACCAAAGCAGCGGCAGTAGCACCCTCACCGACTTGTACCCTGCCACATGCGCTTCAACGTTTTGTATATATAAGGGCCTACTTCGACCAACCAAATATTTCGAAACTCCTCACCATGGTGAAATCTCTTCTGAAAGTCCGTCGGGGAACAGCTCCCAAATCATCACACACACGTTCGTCCAGTACATTGAGGAGCTCATGAGGAACAATAGCATCCCCGGTCTTGCATTGGCAGTCGTTGATAATACTGAGAAGGCTGAGCTCGGCGCGTGGGGCAACAGGACTGAGAATGGGGATCCTATGACGAGCGATATGAGCGTTCCCCTCCTCCTAAATCACGGTCAAATTCTCAATTCCGGCGAAGACATTGCTCGACCTAGCGTCTTGTTCCAAGGTTTTCTTGTCTGCGTCCATGGGTATTTTGATAGATGATTATGCTCATGGCCGTAACTCGACTCCTCTACCCCCAGGCGTGTGACTAGACTAAGATACAAAAATCGTAGACTTGTTGCCAGGACAGTGGGAGCTCATGGATGAATGGGCGACTAAGAAAGCGAACCTCAAGGACGTGCTGTCTCACGTGTCAGGACTACCCAGGTAAGTTCCGATCAAAAACCTCAAGTATCGATTGCTTATATTTCCGTCCTTGAGGCATGATTATTCTTATGCACCTTTGGACAGTGCGGAGGACATTGTGCAGAGGTTGCACTATCTGAGGCCCGCATTTGAACTGCGCGAGAGATACTCTTACAATAACCAGGTGAGGGCCTCCTTTTCACGCCGATTACATTCTTTGATCCATGACAGATGTATATGGTGAGAGCCTATAGAATTTCAACCTATACTGGCTCCTTCTCGAAATTCGTCGAGGACCGTATCTTTAAGCCACTGAATATGACTTCTACTACATACTCAACCGCTGCAGCAAACAGTACAGGAAGGCTAACACAGACATGGACGGATTCTGGACGCGGGATCCCGTAATGGTTCAACGATAGTGACTCTGCTATTCTGGATGGACCTGGCGGCGTTATTTCAAGCGCTAGGGACCCAGTGAGTCTTGTGTTTTGTGTTTCCAAGGATCTCGCGCTCATGGAATGTTAGACCAAGTGGGTTGGGACACTATTGAATGCTGGTGTCGATCCGGCCAGGAACGTCACAATTATGCCACGGTCCGCGTTTGACGAGGTTACTTCTGCGAATGCGATCATATCCGGAAATACGTCCGACCCTGCCTCCTCTATCATAGGATATGGGAGGGAATGGGAACGATACTCGCTCGCGGGCCATGATGTGCGTTTGAGCGTTTGATTCTCTGTGACGCAAACATCAAGGTGTCGACCCGCTCATTAGGTCTTGCAACACGATGGATCCGTACCTGGCATTTCTACCTTGGTCACTATTCTGCCATCCTCACGAATGCGGATAACAAATACCTACAGAATTTGGAAATCGCACAGACGATCGGCGCTCCTTCCTCTATAGGCAACACTGTCGCTGTTTCTGCGGGAGTACGGCGTCCCTCAGTCAGATCTGCTAAGGTAGGCCGCAAGCAAACACGACTACATCACGTGGCGTTACATTTACATGACATTGAGTGACCATGGAGTGACAAAAGACTTATTAAGTAGTTAATAAGTAGTATTTGTTGACAATAAGTGAGCTGGGGGATAGGAGAGACAGAAAGTGGGCGAGGAGTGGTATGTGTAATGAAAGTGATACTGCATAAGTATCTTACTCTATGTGATGTTCATCTAGCTGCTCCAAAATTGAGTCCGGAAGCCTGCGATGGCCGTGGTATCTTTTTGCTGCCCAAGATGCCAATAAACTTATGATTAAAAATATATATTCCACTTCCGGTCATAGCAACACTCAAAAACATTCAAAATGTATCTTCTCTTTAACCGAGTCCAAAATAGAAAAAGCGGCACGGAGCAAATGTCAGTAAAACCGATACGAAGGATCGCTCCGTGCCCGATTTCTCAATTTCTTCTCGGTGAGTGAGAAGATAGCGTTTTCTTGCGAATGTAACGCCTTCCCCCGCCAAATGTGACATCTGAGCATCACGTGATGTAGTCGCGTTTGCTTGCGGCCTACCTTACCATACTCCGATCCCGGGCGGAGGACAGCGCGCCACCCTTGGCCAACCTTGCTGGAACGTATGGCAATCGAGGCTATGGTGCTCCAATCACTCTTTGTGATAGCTCCAGCACATCGCGGTACTGTGCCCAAACGCTCGCAGCATTTCGAACCATAGATACCTATGCTGCAGCCAAGGACAACGGTTCAGAGCTTTACGCCACTTGGCCTTGAGCATGGTCGTCCCATGTCCGCTTCTCCCACCTTGAAAGCGACCACTTCGCGATCTCACCGACAACTTTGTATCCAAATGGGTACGGTAGAAACACAACACCATTCGAAGAAGTGGGACTGGACTAGCGGAATTTGTGGTGGAAAGTAGTAAAGTGATCGGGTTTGGTTTGAGCGGGACGGTCGGGGAAGAAACAGATTGGGAGAAGAAAGGTGGAAGCGTTGAAGAAATAGTTGATGTTTGGTTCATCAGAGAATGAACCAGTCGTTTTTGCTGTATATTGTTTGTAGCCATGCATGGCTGAACACACTTCAAACAGACACATTGGACGTTTCTGCCCTCTAGAATGATCGAGACGGGGCATTCCAACATTGTTATACGACATATACGACTGAAGCCCCAGAATGACCATTCATAACTAGGCAGAAAGGAGTATGATTACAAAAACTTCAAGGAGACGAGAGAGCAATTGACACTGAGAACATAACAAGGCAAGACAGATATTAAGAGGTCACTGTGAAAGGATTGTTAAAATTCGGTTATCGCCATTCACAGTAGATTGCTTACTGTAACTAGCGGGGTCGATGTGCTCAGGCAATTCCGGCACGGCCACTTCGAACCGAGACTGAATGGCACCCATGACTTGCTGATCTGCCTCGGACGAGACAAACGTTATCGCGAGACCCTTCGTTCCAAACCGACCAGCACGACTGTACAAACGTTGAAAACAGATAATTATGGAGAACGATGCATCAACGTACCCAACACGATGCAGGTAGCTATCAGCATCAGGAGGGCAATCGTAGTTAACGACGATGTTCACGCGCTCGACATCAATGCCACGACCGAAGATATCGGTGGCAGTGAGTATACGCTTTTCGAAAGCCTTGAAAGCAATGTAACGGTTGATACTTTGAGGGGAAGTGATATAAGACCCTTATTTAAGGATAACAGTGAAAAGACGTTACACACCGATCTTCTTGGGTAAGCCCCGAGTGAATACTGATGCTGGGGAAGTTGCAAGACACCAACAACTTGTCCAATTCAATGGCACGCGCAACTGACTTGACGAAGATTACAACCTAGGAGGGAAGTTGAGTTAGTGCTAACAGGTGATAGTATCAGGCAGCGTACCTGGTTGAACTCGAGTGTGTCAAGCAACTCGTTGAGCTTCCTGTTCTTGCCAACTTCCTCCAACTTGACATAGTGTTGTTGTAGCCCGTGAAGCGTGAGCTTGGTCTCATCGTCGACGAAGATCTCCAAAGGCTGTGAAGAGGTGTCAGGAACCGATGAAAAGTTTAAGAACATATAAAAGAAGACCTACATTGGCCATGAACTTTTTACACGTCACACGAATTTCCTTCGCCAACGTTGCGCTGAACATCATAACTTGTTTGTGATGAGGGGTCGCGCGGAAGATTTCTTGCACGTCGCGGCGCATGTCTGGTGAGCGATGTCGAAATGAGATATAAAGTCGACAAGTCAGGCATCGAGAAAAGAGAAGGACAAAAGAACCGCATCGGGAAGTGGTAATGCGGAACAAATGAAAGACGAAGCCAAATAAAGGGATGCAGCTCGAGGTGCTTGCCGCCGACATTTGTGGCGAATGCGTGGTGCCTTCCATCAAACAACGCTCGAGATTGGCCTCGTGTTCCTTTCTCCGTAGCTTGTCCTTTCCCAACGTGAATGACGCCAAAACCTTCCCAAACCGCATTTGAATCCCACATCGAAAATCCTAGCGACCAAACCCGGATCGAAGGAGGCACACATAGTGCGCGACAAGTGATGTGGACAAAGCGAAGCAAGAAGGGCGTGCAACCAGCTGGCCAATGACGCGACGAATATAAAGGAGGAGGGATGTGTAGGACGTCGAAGGCGTGGGACTAACCAAGCTGTTCTAGCATTTTATCGCACTCGTCCAACACGAAGTGCTTGACGTTTTTCGCATCCAGGACCTTATCCCTAACGAGGGCATTGAGACGACCGGGGGTTGCCACAACGATGTGAGGGCATTTGGTCTTGTCTTTAAGAAGCTCGGCGTCCTTGGCGACTGGCGTACCACCGAAGAAAGTGCCAACACGAACATCGGGCATGTACTTCGCAAAACGCGTGTACTCATTCCTGATCTGGAAGGCAAGTTCACGTGTGTGGCATAGCACAATGACAGAGACTTCGCCATTCACTGGCTCCAACTGCTGCAAAGTGGCCAACACAAAGACTGCCGTTTTTCCGTGACCAGATTTTGCCTGACAAAGGACATCCATTCCCAGCACGGCCTGAGGAATGCATTCCTGTTGAACTGAAATTTGGGTTAGCTTTGAAGCAATGCCTTCAAGTCGAAAAGCCTACCTTCTGATGGGTGCTCAAACCCAAGATCACTGATGGCACGCAACAACTCGGGTTTCAACAAGAAATCCCTGTTCGATGGCGTCAACGGAGAGTAGCCTAGAACGATACCGCTGTACACACCTGAAGCCCGTCGAATGAATTCCAGAGAAGTTCTTCTTGTCTTTGTCGTCCCCGTCTGCTGACACTGCGGGAGCCGCTGCCCCATTCGTGACAGATGCTACAGTGGCGCCATTAGGGGCAACATCATGCTCGTCCTCGTAGTCGATAAGTTCCTCGTTGTCGTGCGAGCTCATTTTGCAGATTGAAAGTGGGTGAAGGTGGAGAAAGAATCCAAGGAAAAGAGTCGAGGAGGTGTGAGTGGTCGGAAGTCAAAGACGGCGTCAAACAGCGCCACACGCCTTTCAACCTTATCCTCATGCACGGACCCCGGTCCCCCGCGTAGGCGGCCTTTGAATCCCTTGGACACCCTTACCTCATTGAATATTAGAACAGCAAAATTGAAATATGTTCTGACAACCTGAGGCAGCAAAGTACAGTTGCATTTTCAGACATTCCAAACTTCCCGCAAGCGACGGAGACCTTTAGATTTTGGGACGTGCATCTGCTCGTGAAAGTTGACCCACAGGCGGCATCGGCAGTTTGTATTTACGACTGCCCGGCCCGTTGTGTTACCGCTTGGTTTTTCTCGCAGACTCAGAATTATCTTTTATATGCTTCCAGCAGTGCTATCTTCATCTCAAGTTTCTGGCCAACGCGGTGACCGGTGAAGCTTCGCAATGACCAAGTCTCAGAGTGGATACCCTTTCTGGTAAGTTCTTAGCCTGCTCAGATATGAAGGTCTCTCCTCATGATTTTGGCAGGCTCGGAGGTTAGCATGAGACAACCATGATGCTGATCTGTCACTGACCCGAGTATCTCATACCATAAGGAGTGGCTGCATCCAGTGTGTTTCTATGCATAGACAATGCAACCAGAGTCATTGAACGCCTTCTTTAGTGGCTGCATGCTGTACCCATCCCTTGGACCTAACGAAAGTGTGCGTTCTTTATTCTGAGATGCAAACTTCGCTTGACTCACCCGCTATCTAAGTCGAATGCAGACCGTGCAGTTCGTATCTGGTTCGTCTCGAATATCGACCGTCACAGTCCTCCGTACGACCATTGCAGAGTCTGGCGTCCGCAGCCTGTACACTGGGCTTACCGCCTCTATCCTCCGACAAATGACTTATTCCCTCGTGCGCTTGGGGAGCTACGAGAAGATGAAGTTTAGCTTGTCAAGGGACAGACAACCGTCACCGTCTGAACTGCTATTAGCGGCTATGGCAGCGGGTGGTTTAGGCGGCGTTGCTGGCAATCCTGCTGGTGAGCACGGCTGGTTATCGTATTTGTAATATTCAATGACAACCGCCTAGATATTTTGTTGGTACGGATGACAAGCGACAGTACGCGTCCTCCAGAAAAGCGCTATAACTATTCCAACGCTCTGACTGGTCTCGTCAGTCTCATCCGAAATGAAGGCGTCGGTGGCCTAACAAGAGGACTCGGGACAAATACTGTAGGTCTTCATCTCGGTATCTTCTTATCCAGGATACTGAGGTCTAAGTTGTAGCTCAGAGCAATATTGATGAACGTGAGTGTTTTCAAAATTATGGGCTTTAAAAGAATCATAAAGTGGATATGCTATAGGGCTCGCAGGTCGGCTCGTAAGTATGTAGCTATCTTTAGATATCCAACGACCTCATATGATCTTCACAGTTACGATTTTTTCAAAGTCATCCTGCTCCATCGCTCTATACCAATTGTCAACTATCAGCTGCAAGATAATCTATTACTTCACACAATAGCAAGCTGCATGGCAGGGACGGTTGCGACTAGTCAGTGCATTTTCGTGACTGTTCTATTCTAACTAGCACGCTTACATGAGTTTAGCTGTCTGTGCTCCTGCCGATGTCATTCGATCTAGAATCATGTCCCAAGTTCGTCTACCTCTCTTCTTCTGTCTTTAAACAAATTATCCAAGTTTATCAAAGAGCGGGCAAGCTCGACCAATAGATGTCCTCCGGCAATCCTTACGGGATGAAGGTCCACGCTTTCTTTTTAAGGGCTGGACTCCAGCTTTCGTGCGCTTGGGTCCTAATACAGTATTTTTGTTTGTGTTCTATGAGGTAGGTTTTTCATTCTGTGATAAAGCGCAATGGTTAAAGGTCGTTCAAATATACAGCAACTTAAGAAGGGTTGGGATACCACCTTTGCTGCACGGTGATCGCTACCATGCTTATACATCTTAAGGATCGACGGCGCAATGGATTTACCTCCCTTGTGATAGTTTTGGGATTCATCTCTAGACGCATTTGGGGTTTATCGATTTATCAATAGATTTAGATGTGATAGGAATTTTGTCGTGGTATACAAGGCGTTTTCAATTTGAGTCAATGAGTCGCAAGACGATACATATTCTCTGTTGCTCGTCTGTTGGCCGCCGCTAAGGCACCATGCTACACAGCGGGAATATCCATACATCAAGTTATGATTCATCTTTACCACTAAGACTCCTGAAGAACTCTGCATAGGCATGGTCGACATCAAATAACAGCTGCTCGAGGGTTCAGATCTTTCAGATACGAGGAATATTGATTGTATCGGCCTTACTCACCTGACGAGATTGCTCCTCTGTAATCTCTTCGGATGCTTTCATGCCGTTCAATGTGATCAGCCTAGATCATGCGATTTCGTGATCTTGTCTATAGACACAGGGTGACATGATTATGACATACCAGCCCACCATCTTACTGCGTCCTTCCCAGTCCTTACTGCCCTTGAATCGCGCATACCCTGTCACTAATTCCTGAAGAATTGGGTGAAGTTGGTCTTTGGCACGCAAGCGGAGCTTAAGAGCGTCCATGAACGTGATGAAGCTCTATGATATTATGGTGAAAAGAGAGCAAATATAAGAAATCGGCAGACAACGTGCCTGCGTGGTTTCCGCTACCCATTTGCCCGTTTCCGGCCCAGCTTCACTTGAATGCTCGACTGTCGCAGGAACACCGACCTGAAGCCGATGCAGAGCAGCTGGATGGTCCATCTAGAACAGCTCAGCGTGACGATCGCTATTCTTCGATGGAGAGATGTCTCACTCACCCGATACCGAGCCATGAATTGTTCGATACTCGTTACGTCGTCGGCGACTAGCTTCAGCATTGTCTTATACTGAGATAGCAGCCGCGTGCATGCAGGAGAATACCTCTTCGTTTCAATCTCTTAGTCTATAAGCTCTGAAGCGTAGAGAATAACGCCCGTACTCGGCAGCAGTTACGGAATCGCGAACATATGCGCGCTCCAGGTAGTCGAGTGCTACAATGATGCCGTATAAAGTAGCGAGAGATTCATATTTCTCGCGCTCAGCATTGGTGGTGTAGAGGCGCACTTCTTCGTCCAAGGAGAGAGGTACAGACATAAGGCCAGAGGACCGGTGAAGCGCAGACTGTCGCCGTCTTTCGTGCGAATCTGATCTAGCCGATGAAGAGACCCCAGAGACCCCAGAGAATGCGCAAAACATACGCAAGACTGTCCAATCGCACTTCCGACGGTTCTTCCATTGTCCTCTCTTGCATCACGGCTTGCTTTGTATACTCTCGCATCTCGCTTTCGCTTTCATTAACGACGGCTTCTCATTTTCGATCCGTTGACTATCTCGTTCCTCCTTAATAGATCATGGAAGCATTCCGCTTGCTTTCGCGTGGAGGGGTTCAATTCAATAAGCAGAGGTTCCAGAACGAAATTGACTTGTTCAATGTGAGCGCTGCGCTTCGCGAACACGACTGACTTGGTCTGACCGCGTCAGTGCAGAAAACGAGGCCAAGAAGTACTCATGAAAAAGAGGCAGCGAAAGATCTGGATGCAGAGCTTCCAGCCGACTTAGATTTTTTCAAATATGCAAAAACCGGTGCTCCCAAGCGGAAGGCATCAGATTTGTCTGTAGCTGCTGAACATGGAGAAGTCTCAGAACGAAAGAGAAGGAAGCTCAGTGAAGGCGCCGACGAAGAAGAGAGTGAAGAGAGCGAAGGCGAACGCACTCCAGCTGAAGGCCCTACCCCCTCCAACCCCATCCAGAGACATAAAGTTACAGCAAAAGGCTCGAACGTCCCGAATTCAGCGGAAACATTCGAAGAGCTCAAGCAGCGGTATAATTTGCCGCCTCACCTAATGGCCAACTTGAAGCAGTATGAGTACAAGCATCCGACTGGCATACAATCGCATGGCATTCCAATATTGCTGGAGGTAGGTCGAGACCCTATACTTACAAGACGCTATGATGAATTTTCTCCACCAGTCTCGGGACCTTGCCGCAATATCTCCAACAGGTACAGGGAAAACGCTGTCATACCTCCTCCCCGTCATGGCCAGCCTGGCCGCACCTATATCGAGTTCCAAGTCAGAAAACGGGAAGGGCGTTCGAGCGGTTATTTTAGCTCCAACTCGAGAACTTGCACATCAAATTCATAACGAGTGTATGAAACTCGCCCAGGGACGAAAATGGCGGATCGTCTTGTTCAGCAAAGCCACGGCCGCTACTCTTGCAGATCCTAATGTGCGGAACAGAGTTGGTAAGTGACAGAAAGCACGCAAACGGAGTACTTTCTAAGTGTCTGGCAACAGATATCATCATCAGCACGCCTCTGAGGCTTGTTTCGAGCCTTCAGTCTGGCAACCTTGAATTGGAAAAGTACGTTTCAGCGCCTCAGATCCTACCGAAAACTGACTGGTGTATCAGTGTTCGACATCTCATATTAGACGAGGCGGATCGTATGTTGGACGCAGAGTTCCTCTCACAAGTTCAAGAAGTCGTTTCATCTTGCACACATGAAAACGTACAAAAGGCTGTTTTCAGTGCTACACTCCCCGCGAACGCCGAAAAGGTGGCAATGGATATGCTTCGCAACCCGATACGTGTAGTGGTCGGTCTAAAGTGCGTTCCAGCTCGACCTTGTGCACGGCAGGTTTATGCACACATTTACATTTTTGTGAACCTAGAGACACGCCTTTGCCACTCATTGCACAGTCCCTCACATATGTGTCCGATGACCCTTCAAAATTGCCGACGATCCTCACTTACTTGAATCAGCCGTATAACCCGCCAGTCCTCGTTTTCACATCCTCGCAGCCTCGTGCAACATCCCTTGCAGAGGAACTTGTTTTGAACGGCGTGCCCAATGTGGATTGCTTGCATGCCGGAATGAGTAAAAAAGAGCGTGAGGATGCAGTGAGTCGAATGCGGCGTGGAGAGAGCTGGATCATGGTCAGCACAGAAGTCATGGCGCGCGGCATGGATTTCAAGGGAGTGAGGGAGGTCATCAATTATGACTTTCCTCAAAGCGTACAAAGCTACATTCACCGAATCGGTAAGCAGTCATGCGTCATTTGATTTTTGCGGCATGCACCGAATGTTTGATCAGGGCGTACTGGTAGGGCGGGACGAGAGGGCAAAGCCATCACATATTTTACCAACGACGACGCACCATATCTAAAATCGTATGTTTTCACTGAATTGCATTGCCCTATGTCAGCTCTGATCGCCTTTCATAGGATTGCCAACGTCCTCCTTCAATCAGGATCTACAGTTCCTCAATGGATCCTCAAACTACCAAAGCCGTCCAAGCTGAAGCGAAGACAGATGGGGAAAGTCAAGCGCGCCGAGGCTGTCAATCCTGCACGGAAGATTGGTCGAAATGAAGCGATCAAGAAGCGGTACGTGTTGTCCGTGTGTTGGGCCATGAGGCGTAGAGCTAACTATCTCTTCCTGGATACCTGCAGGGACATGATTGCTGGTAGCAAGCGGCGGAAGGAAAAAGTCACAGTGGAAAAAAGCGATGTTTTGTGAATCAGATTGCTGGTAGTCACACGGGTTCTTCCGCCACAATGACGTAGACTGGAGATGCTTTGTCGAGGTAGTTGGACGGAACATTGGATCGGTATCTCCTTTCCGAGCGATACCATACTCCTAGGTTTGTAAATAAAGCTAGAGGTGTTCATTCTCCTCGTCGTTGTGTTGCCTTGTTGAACTTGCGTACAAGCGAGGACGAAGTTTCCGGTATCGATTCTTCGCGCAACAGACATGTGTCTTGACAGCCTGTGTCCTTGCACAAGGTATGTTCCTTTTTCCCACGCTTCCGGTCTACAAGGGGAGGACCCCTGAAAAGAAGGGGGGTAGGCCACCCCCCCTATCTGGACGAAAATTGAAAAAAAAGGTCGAAAAACCTCAGTCAGGTCCGGACGAAACGGCCTGACGAGGCCTGACCGCGGAAGGAGGCCTGAGTTGCAGTCCGGACATTGAGAGCCATTGTTGCTTCAAAACCTCGGGCTGAGTCCGAACACTTCCAAGCTGTCCGGACAAAATTTGGGTTTTTGGGGCCTTATCCCAGCAATCCGACCGAGTTGGGGCGTTGGCCCCGGGATGCCTGATGCTTCCGTCCGGCAAAAACAAGACCAATTGGCCCCAAAATCAGAGGCAGATCCGGACGTTTAGGGCAAAATTCTGCCTCTCTCCAAACTTTTGTTGGGATTTGCCAAAATGTTGACTGAGGCCTACCCCCCTACTTTCAGGGGTCCTGCAAGGGGCGGCTTCCCGATCTCTCGCGGGCCTTAGATTGCAGTCGATTGCAATTAGCCTTGTCTATATCGCTGTATTTAGTCGACTGGACGGCTTGAGACAGACTGATTTCTCTCTTACATGGTTAAGGGTACACAGAACTACCTCGTCAACATCATTGTTGATTTACCAAAGATTATCTAGAAGCTGGAGCAGTTCATGCACTCGTGCAGCAAGGGCCCAGTATACAGATGCTGAACTTTTGGCCTATCCGGAAAATTCCCTTAGAGTACGAAGGCCTGTGGGGAATGCCTCGTTGCCTCAAGCCAACGCATTGAAATCGCATGAATACTGGCCACACCTATATGCTGAATCTGTGCCGCGCTGTGCCGACTGTACTGTATGCGAGGTCATGCGCAAAGCTGTGAGACCCAACTCCGTGGGAAGATTCAGATCTCGAAGCTCTTCTGAACGGTATGCATCGATTTTGAGGTGAGGTCTTCACAAAGGTCAGGCTTGCACGATGAAGAAGGGTATGTCGACAGAAACATTTATAAGGGGCCGCATAAAGCAGCAGATGTGCCAACTTCACTCCCAACTCGAGTTCTCCCCGCTCCTGAATTCGCTCTGACACTGCTCTACCATGCCAGCCATTCGCAACGCCCTGGTCCGCCGATCGCGCCGGCTATCCAATCACCCATCGCAGGCTGGTATGCGCCTTGTTTGCCGGTGTTGGTGCTTGTGTGCCTTGCTCACTTGCCTCTTCGGGCCATCCAGCCATCGACCCCAACGTAGGATATGCTCCCAAGCCTGAATCTCACTCGCCCTCGGCGCAGACGCCGCCCACGTCGACCGGAGCCCCATCGCCGACCTCAGACCCGTCCTCGATCCTCTCCACTCCCCTCGCTCGCGAAGTCATCGCTGCCTCCCCTGCGCTAACTTGCCTCGTCAATGGCCAGTCCTACAACTTCGATGCCTCTCATGGTCGCAGGCGCAAGGAGGGATACATCCCTCGTCCCCCCAACTGCTTCATGGTATATAGGTCTCACTTCTGGGCGAAGGAGAAGGCTTTCAAAGATGCGGAGCGCAATCACAGCAACATCAGTTGCTTGGCAGGCGGCAGTTGGAGAGAGCTCACCAACACCCAGCGCGAGCTATACCAAGCGATTGCTCGGGAGGCTCAGCGTCTCCACTCCCAGCGCTATCCCGATTACAAGTACCAGCCCGCTTCTCGAAAGGATAAGACCTCGAGGAGAGCCAGGCGCACCGGCAAAGTGGACAAGGAGCGGCGCAACCAGGTCACTGCTTTGTTAATGAGTGACGGGAAGGGTGAGGACCTCGAGATAATGGTTGGGGAGCTGGATGCTGAAGGTGACGACTTCCCCGGCACCAAAGGCGCTGATCTGCCTCTTGGTCCCGAGCCCACTGCCACTGCCAGGCCCATCCCTACTTCCACTTCCACCCCCACCCCTACGTCCACTTCCACTTCCACTTCCACTCTGACTCCTACTCTTCAGTCACTGTCGGTTCACTCCGATCACCCTTCCCCGTTCATACCCACTTGCATCTCATATAATGGCGGCGATGACGACCGGTATGACGATCGGTTCATTCCGACCGCCGACATCTCACCTCTTGACCTCTCAATGTCGATCTTCGAGAACGAAACAGTGGTGAGACTTCATCTGCTAATGGAGGCTTGCTAGTCTGACGCTGAAACATTTGCTTGATCAGAATTACGAACAGTCGCCGCCCGATCCTTCTATCCGATCTTCTTACAGCGGAATCCCGGCCAGTGAGCTCTTCCCGGGGGTTATACGTCCTCAGTCCCACCATGCATCATACCTCTTTGGGGTGTTTGAGCTAGACGAATATCTATTCACGCCCCCTAGTTCCTCGACCCAGTCCGTGTCGTCTCCCTACGACATGTTCACCGATGGTCCAGTGTCATTCACCGATCCGTGGGCCAGTGCGCCGCTTCCATTTTCGATCAGGGATCTTATAGCACCGGCAGAAGATCACCTGCAAATTCCAGGCCCCGACGCCGTGCCCCTCGTTGATACCATTGGAGATGATCTACTCAAGCAGTGGACGAAGTTCGACTAACTTTTCCCTCTCATACTTATCACCGTTCGACTTGTTACTCAGTGTTTCTGTATCGCCTGCTTCGTCCACGTGTCTCCAAATTCGGGCCATGACTCAGCTCCACGCTTCCCATCCCCTTCCATCCGCCGTGCCATGTTTCCTCTGCTTTGTATCTTGCCGCTGTCTCCATCGCTTGTTATACCAAAATCTAAACCACTTACATTGTATGCTTCCACCACTTCACGACAATTACGCCACTCTGCTCCAGATCGAATCCCGATAATACTATTCATGGCCCCGATCATTCTCCGTCGGAGCGTCTCGAGACTGTTGTACGATATTATGGTCCGCTCATGATCAAGAATTGTATCATGTTCCAAGGAGTCGGCTACCGCACCGTTGCGTTAGAATTGTCTTGTCTTGTCAAGTCTCTTTGCAAGCGGACATCATTGCTCATCACTGTTTCAATTTCTTTGACACGGTTTCCTTGTCACCACCTTTCCCCCGCTTTCCGCTCACAGTCGACGGGTCGTCAACAATGCTCACTCTCCCCGAGGCATGCTCACCCTTGAGCCACTCGGCACACTGTTCTTTGGTCCCGTTAGGATGCTCCAACTGCCAATCGATCACAGTCGAGAGCACTTTGCCAGTCCACTGGCCTGCCTTCTTCGCACCGAGTACTTCGACGACCGCGCGACCCTGTGTTAAATGTGAGCGGAAAAGTTGTGAAGAACAACTGGACAGAAACTTGCGTCGATGATGGGTTTCATGTCTACCATTTTGTCTAAGCCCAGCTCCTCAACACGCACAACGAAGTTATTGTATACTCGTATGCATTCCGCGGCCTCTCGTACTGTGGAGCCTATGATCAAAACTAGCCTCGCAATGAGATGACACGGCGCACCATTGAAACCGTCCTCTCCAGGCGCATACAATGGGACAAGCTCCTGCACGAGTGAGAATAGCAGTGAAGATGTCCAGTGAGAATCCATCAAAGAATTGTGGACCGAGGTTTCTCGTAGTATACGACCTGAAAGTCAACACATGATTCACAACCATCGTTAGCATGTTTTGGCGATACTCGTACCGCCTCTCGTCAACGCACCGATCGCAACACGCTCGCTAGGGGTCTTGAATTTATCACTACCTACTATGGGAGACCTCAATCTTTCTGCCGCAATAAAAAGGGCAGGAATGCCATCAAGGTAGTGATTTTTTGTCCCGATTTTCAATCCTTCCCTGATCGCCGCCTCAACGGCGGGCCTCTCTCTCTTCTTACCGTCTTCATACAATATGCCTGTATATGGTGTAAGGGCGCATGCTAGATACAAGCGAGGGATGGTTGATGCGGATGACGAGCCAGAGAGCCGCGAGGTCAAAAGAGAGTGAAGGGGAGGATGATCAAAAGCTGCTGCTTTTGGATTCAGGAAGCCTTGTAGAATCGCTGCTGCAGCGACAGACGTGTAAGACGGGCGTGGAGAAGAGGATAACGTGGACACCAGTGTCGGCGGAATGTAGAATACTGTCGAGAATAATGATAGCGAATCGATGAATTGAATCGACCGAAGAGGATCCCGACCTAGACCGCGCTTATATGAGTCTCGGGGCGCGGGGGGCGTAGCTATGCTTGGAGCTTACCTGACATCATTTTATCTATCTCCTCTCCAACTCGCTCTCGAGTGATTTTTTGACTCAAAGCTTTCTGTCAAACACCAAGGAAAAGGTTGCTCGATTATGCCAGGTTTTGCTTCATTCAACAACAAAAGACAAACCTGAATTTCAGGGTCACGAGCGGAGTCTTCTAGTTCCGGTACCATTTCAAACCCGAACCTGCTCGCGAATCTGATGCAGCGAAGTACTCGTAAAGGATCGTCCAAGAAAGTCTGTTTGGGCGGCAAGGGTGTTCGGATGATACCGTTCTTCAAGTCTTCTAAGCCCTTGGGAGTTATTAAATCCAAGTACGCCACGACTCGATTAGTCAATATACCTTTCCACAGTGATCTTCGACAGCCCGCGTGTGGACGTTGTAAAACAGCGAGTTGATGGTGATGTCTCTTCGTAACGCGTCTTGAAGGGGTGTCCCATAAGTCTACATGACCACGGCGAGTGAGCGCACTGAGAATAAGGAGCATTTGTAGTAGGCATCGTCACTCACTACACTGGTCGGTATCCGACTGCCTTCGGCGTACTCTTCGTCTCTCAAGTTCACAAAATCCAGCTCGACGCCCAAGACCGATGTTTTGGCCGTTTCTAAATGCTTCGACTGGCCTGGATTGCCCTTCACTTTGGAAACTGCCTTGACCATGATGTGCTCTGTTTCGTTCGCGAATTCGTTGAACTCTAACGCGAATGGGTACCCCATCATGTCGGTCAGCGCAATGTCGATGTCATTGCTTTGTGAGCCTAGTAGCTGATATATATGAGTCAGACGGAACGAGAGAGTGCATGGCCAATGGAAATAGCAACTGAAGCAAGTAGAAAGAAAGAAAAGGAGATTGACCTTGTCTCGCACCCAACCGCCTGCAATTCTGCATGAAGTAGTGATGTCTTTTTGTCGGGCGAGATTCTTCGTACACTCATCCAAGAGTGTACAGATTTGTTCCTCGACCTCGGTCAGCCTGATCTCCATCTTCTCGGGTATATCAATACGCCCGGGAGAAATGGTTCTGAAAGAGTGTGACATCGAGATGGAATTATGTGCAATGTTTCGATAGATGGGATATACAGGTGCGAGGAAGCGGGTGCAGATCATGTATGGTGGCACATGCAGTCACTCAAGTATTCTGAGGCTCTAGAACAAGAGCTTCCCAAGGGGTTACTTGGAGAAGATGAAGTCAGAATCAGAGGGGTGAGAGCATAGTCCAAATCGGGATGGTAGCGAGATCTAATAGTGCTCAGCGAGTCCCATGTCATTGCTCGTCCTTTCCACACCCAACGCGAACTTCCCTCAACCGATGGCTAGTTCTGTAGACAACCCCCCTCGAACATCTCTCGAAGGTCCCCAAAGCGGCCCGATACCTTTGTTCGACTTTCATCTGCGAATTTTGGCAGACTCCTATATTAGCTTCTTCCAGGAGAGGTGCGCAAGATCTTGCGCGGTTGACTTTTGGCGTGCCACTGAGTTTTTCCCATCAGAAAGCGCATCGAAGAAATATAGTGCGCACATCCCTCTTTGTCGCGCCGTGATAGCAGACTCACGTCGCCGTGCCAGCATCGAATCTTTGAGTAGGCTACACCAGAAGTCGAAGGCGATTGACACTTACCTAGATGATCACGTCGAGATCAACTCGACAAGGAGAGCGTGGAGTGAAGTCAGAGACAATGTTGAGAGAGGTGTGCGTCATATTCAGTCATGCATTACGTTTCTAAAGATCAGTTCTCCAGAAACACAAGCACGGGAAGCTTTCTTAAATACTCTCTTGGTGGATGTCCTGAACCCGTTGATCAATATGAGAGTGAGTGAGTTTCTACTGTCCTTCATATGGTCATTGAGTGAGCAAGCGCAGGAAACCCAAGACCGCACTCGAAAAAGAGTCAAGGAGGAGTTGAAAGAGTCGACTGCAACGCACGCAGAGTTTGCAGAGAGCCAACTCCCCAAATTGAAGCGAGCGTATATACGAAAATGCCAAGAGGTTGAAGTATGTACCATTGCTATACTAATTACCTGCTGTGGTCTTTCTTATGTTCGTTATTGCGGCTCAGGAACACAAGGCAGCTTCCTTGGTATCACCCGCAGCTATATCGCCGACCGCCCACGACAGTCAGCCTCTAGCACCTTCCAGATCTAACCCGAGTCTTCCATCGAGGCCCACTGTCACTTCTCCTCAACCTCTGCGTCCCCTTGATCGACGACCGTCCGGGAGTATGCCACGCAATCGTTCGCCATCGTCCGCCTCGGCCGCTTTGCAGGATCTCGCGCATCAGGGTAATATTAGATCAATCAGTCATTCGCGGTTTTACTGAGTCTACGGTTACTTCACTTCTGTCTAGGAAAGAAGCAATTGAATCAACTTATCACCTTTCTAGATAAAGGTCAGAAGGAGAGTCTAGGAGGCCGCGGGCAGGACAGTGCCCTACGATCGGTTCGTGCCAAGCGTGAGGCCGATGAAGCGGGTGCGTCAAAGAATTCATAAGACCCGTCTTTTCTGATCATGAATCGTAGACAAGGAGTATCGCAAAGCCGTCCATTGGGCAGAGACGCTGCGATTGAGGAGAGTAAAGACATTGGAGGCAGGATACAGCGTTAGCCCTCCTGCGTTCAGCTGGCTAGTGCATTATTGAATCCTTACTTCCAGAGCTTGGAACGCTTTGTTCTTGAATCCACAGAGACCGTCAAGAGGGCTCTGATAACTTACACTGACAACATGCTGTAATTGTTTTCCTTGTCTCGTTACATGTGTACATTCTGACATTGCGACCGCTCTTCACAGGGCTACATCTGCGACCCAATCACAGCTAGCATCCCATGCTCGGCAGATGGTTGATCGAATTTCCCCTGGGCGAGATACATCTCGGGTATCCGCTCATATTCCTCGTTCTTTGGCGATGGCTATTCCCAAACCCATTTTATATTATAATTATCGTGTTGGGGAATGTCGAGACCTGATCTTTGGTGTAAGTATGGTCGATTATGCGACATCTCGAGGTCTAGTTGGAGATAGTATACCCAAGATTGTAAAAATTTGTATCGAGGAGATAGATCAACGAGGGCTTGAATGTGAAGGAATCTATAGGGTAAGCACGTAAAACTTATACTTGCGTCGATGCTTAGGATCTGACTTGGTTCGTATAGGTATCCGGTCGATTCGCAGTTGTTCAAGAGGTTAACGGATTGAATCACTTATTGTATCTTTCTCTTCTACTGACTTAGCGGCGTTACACAGCTTCAGCATAAGATCGAGCGGGACGAGCAAGTATTCCAATTGAACCCCGTGACGGATGACGTCTATTCTGTCTCTTCACTTTTGAAGGTATGTTACAATGTGATTTTTTGAGAAAGCGGAAAAACTTCAACCATCGAGTAGCTTTACTTGCGCGAACTTCCTGAGCCTTTGTTCAGGTTTCCTTTACAGGACAGGATACAGCATACCGCTGGCATTGGTGAGTCTTGTGGTCTCTGGAATGATAGGACCTTTCAGACTAAACTATATATAGCGGAACACACGTCGAACGGTTTCGTTCTCTTACGTGCCAAGATGCGACGATTGCCTCCAATCCATCGTGCTACGCTCAAGGCTTTGGTCGAACATCTCTCCCGTGTGGCTGCAAAGTGTGACAAAAACAAGATGGACGCGAAAAATCTAGCCATCGTGTTTGGTGGTGTAATATTTGGCGAAGATGAGATACCTCAGGGCACCGACTTGTTGAGCGTCCAGACGTGGAAGGTGATTTGTGTGACCTTTTCTTGATGTGAAGCTCATTAGCCTTTATTCTAGGATTCTTTGATGGAGGATCTTATAGAGAATGCTCAATTATTATATGACGATGGAGTACCTCCATCTTCGCCGCCGTTGCCCCCGGCTCCAGCAGGCGAGCCAGTGTCCTTGTTTCCATATGGTTCATCCCACACGAAAGTATCGAACGTCCCACTGCCTAACGCAGCTCCTCGGCGTCCGAACGAAAGTGACTTCACTCCGCAACTCCCACCGCGGCCTACGAGCAGCATTCATCCCTCCGCGCGCAACAGCGTTATGTCACCCCCGAAGCTGCCAATCGAACTTCCACCCAGTCTGCGAGCGTCTCAACGGCAAGAGGGATCAGACACCCCCATGGTCTCACGTGGCTCGACGCCGCCTTTCTCCGTCAGCCAGAGATCGGATGACTCTAGTATTCGCTCTGACCCCTCAGCATCGGAGAGGACAGGAGGGTCGACCGCTGCTACACCCATCACTCGTTCCTTCGCCTCCACACCTTCCTCTCTTCCTTCACCAACGTCCACGGCAAACCATGACGATTTTCCTCCCACTTCTGATCCCACTGACGCCATCAAAAGTCCAGCCAGCAGCTCGCATGGCCATCCGTGAACCCTACCCTTTTTCCAGTTTTGTATCGCTTGACTGTGGTCGATAATACGTTATGTTATACCCAGTCCCCCGTAATCGGTCTGTTCGCTGAAGCAGGTTTCGAAATGTAATAGTGTCAGATTGACGCCTGAGTTTTGCGATGTACTCGATGTGAACTCGGTTGAATGATCAAAAACGATACTCTGTAGAGTAAGCGGTGCCCAGCTGGCCTTTAAGATACGGTGTGGCTAAGATCTGAATTACTGAATAATGTTTAAATGTCCACATGATAACCCGCGACAGCTTCTTCACTGTCCATGAGATCGTCATCGATGTCATTGCGTTCATTGTACTGATCATACTCGTCGTACTCTTCGTCATGCTGGAGTTCCTGATTCCAATCTAGAACCCGCGGATGCGCCATGACCCTGAGGAAGATTCAAGTCAGTGACTACTTTGAGGAGATTTGGGATGAAGCAGACTTCGAGGGATTGAAGCTGAGCACTTGAAGGGTATCCATGTTCGTCGCTCGCGACAACGCCACATACGCTGTCGTGCGATGAATAACACAAAACGCCAAGAAGAATGTCTGCTCTCACCCTGCCCCTTCTCGAAAGTACGTCGAAGATCAACACGAACCCGTTCAAGCGTTTGTCCTTGCGATTTATGGACGCTGAGAGCCCACGCCAAAATCAATGGGATCTAATATGGGATAAGCTTACGTCCCTCGAGTTTGCTCCAGCCTATCGGTTACCTGCATGCGTGTGGCTTCTATTTCGCCCAATGCATCCTCGACAGTGAACTCCGCCGGCACGCATAATTTCGACAGCCCATTCGTGAACTTGACTAAGGGCCAGGGGAAAGGACTCTTCCGGATGTACTCAGAAACGTCCTGCCCATTTTCCTTGTCGCCTGGCACAGCGATAGGCAAATATCTCTCAACAGCTTCCTTATAGGTGATGAGCTCGACAACTTTGCCAACAGAGCCATTGACGAGAACGCCTTGGACTATGTTCTGAAGTGCATGCATCAGATAATAACATGATCGACGAGGGACATCACGCAGAATACCTTGATCATCATGACTTGCGCTCCGACCTGGATACATGGATTGAGTAGCCATAAACAAAACTGTCGGACATGTTCCAACTGACCTTCAAAGTTATAGTCTTTGGGGCCACGAGACGTTCCAAGAGACGAGTCATTTGTTCAAAAGTTAGTTTTGGGTTGCCGTTTTTGTCCCGTGCGGCTGTATCTTGAGCCTCATAAACCTTTGACACAGACTGTATTTGATTCAAGCGCGAGTGATTCGCCTCTTCAACCTCCCTACGCGTTGGATATCTGGAGAGAGACAGTCTCTATGATATCGTCTGACGGACGGATGAAATTGTAGATGCTTACAGTTCCGTTGGCTCGATGCCATCATGGTAGACGACGGGGCGAGACAATCCTGCAAACCGTTTGATTGTCTTCTCGTCGAGATCGCCATAACGCATAGCGTTGAGCATGTCGACAAATTCTTCAGCGGAACATCAGCTCGGTGGAATTAGATGGCAGATAATTAAGGTTCAAATAATGACCTTGATCTTTTTGTCGGAAAACTCGCTTCAGAGTGACAGGCAGGCCCATGCAACGCTTCCAACTCTTGGCGTCAAACGCAAATGTGGGAAGCACCGTTTGTCCGTTCGCATTGGTGCCGGGGACGGGCGGCAATTGGTAGAAATCCCCGGAAAGAACGAGCTACCAGTCGTGAGATGATGATTGGCTAACAAGGAGAATCCTTACTTGAATGCCGCCAAAGGGATCGGGATTAGGTTCGTCGTCTACCCCTGCAACACGTCCAGTACGAGCGGTCTTCAGGAACAGATAGACAACATACTGCGAATGTGCCTTCCGATGTATTCCTATAATGATATCTGATCAATGAATGAACATACAGCTCCGCATCGGACATACCAATTTATCGAACAAGGTCCCGTCAATCATTGAAACTAGAAAATGAGACTATGAGATAGTGAATACATGTGCTAAATGAGCACATACTCTCGTCTATGATCAGGGTTCTGACCGTCCTCCATCGTCTGGCAATTGTTGAGAGGTTCTTATTTCCTGCTATTTTACCAACAAGCTTTTCAGCGGGCTCTTTCCCCAAACCTATTCCCGCCCAGGAATGTAGAGTTGTGCCACCTATATTGACGGAGGCAATTCCAGTTGACGCTGTGATTGCTAGCTGTTCACGGGGAAAGACTTCGCAAAAAGACCGTATGATCTCGCGAAGTAAAACGGACTTTCCTGTGCCTGTACTTACCACATGTCAAGGAGGGTCCAAACCAAAAGAATGAAAGTCACGAACCGGCAGAACCGGTAAAGAACACATTTCTCCCATCCTTGACTTTTTCAAGGATGTCCCTTTGTTCTGGAGACAACTCAACCGCTGAGGGCGCAGTGGGAGGTGCACCAGGGACATCGACTGGAACAGACATAGGGTTAATTGGATTTACACTCATGGCTGGCGGCAGAGGAGGCGACGGAGGCAATGAATCGAAAATCTCTATTATTTCCACTTCTTGCTTTGGCTTTGCACATCGTACATTAGGGACTGAGTTCCTGGTGAAAGCTAAAATCGAATAGCTCGTCTGTTGATTTGAATATCTCGGTAACAAAAAGTGACTCATTACCATTGAATATAGGCTCAAGCCATGCTTCAGCAGCTTTCAGCGTCGTGAAGCTTTTGTGTATGGCGCCAGGATAGCGGGAGACCTAGACCAACCAACGCCTTCATATGAGAAATGGAGTAACACAGCGGTCTCAAGACACACATTCTCTTTGCACTGGGACCATGACAAGATTGATGAGGCTCAGCTGTATGTCTGTATTAGATATCATATACGGACCTCTTCCCACGTGTCGTATATCTTGGGCCCTTGGGCCCCTATTTTCACTGCGTAGTACTTGCGTTTCAATTGCGGTGCTTTGGGCATCGATGGAGGTTGAGATTCACGCGTAAGAAGATATGTTTCAGATCAAGATGCAGTATAAAACCCAAATGTTTGCGCGAGAGACTTGACGAGACACGAGTCGTCAGTCGCAACAGTTGTTGTCGCGCAGCGGAGTCGCAGCGATGGCCAGACGCGTCGATCGAACGCGTGCCGATCATGGGGCCTTTTGTTAACTCTGATTCGATGTCTTTAGATGCTGGCCGCAATCGCCACCATGCATCTTCTCTCATTCTCTCTCAATGGGCAACTCCACTGCGAACTCCTCGAAAACCTCAATCGAAAAGCCGACTTTTGAATGGAAAGAGTTTTTCCCGGACGCGCGTCTAGTCTATATTCGAAGTCTCGAAGAAGCAGATCTTGAAGTGTCGCGTTTAGATTCCCTCCACCCCGATGTCGTCGTCGGTCTGGATCTTGAATGGAGGTCGAACGACAGGAAAGGTGAACCGGAGAAACGTGTGGCTTTGATTCAGATAGGCTGTGAAGATACAATACTCCTCATCCAAATCAGTGCAATGCAAGGTAATGTGCCACTCTTTTGATTTTGTGGATCGTGACGAACAATTTGCGCGTAGCATTCCCCGACAAGCTTCGCCAATATTTAGAATCTCCCCAAAAGGTGAAAGTTGGAGTCGGGATTCAATGTGAGCCATGCTACTTGTTCTATCAAATGTCAAGCTAACGGATCGCCCGCTGATATTAGATGATTGCAAGAAGCTGTTCCGCGACTATCAATTATCCGTTCGAAGCTGTATAGATCTTTCCCTACTCGCACGTTCCGTTGATTCGAGATGGAAAGGCCCATTCAGAAATCCTATAGGGCTCTCTCGTTTGACAGAAACGTACCTTGATAGATCGCTTGCGAAGGGACTTGTGACTAGGAGTAATTGGGAGGCAGCTTTGTCTGAACCGCAGCTGGATTGTGCGTTTCACGGTTCCTTTTCACCAGTCACAGATCAGCCGCTGACTCGAACGGTACACTAGATGCTGCTAACGACTGCCAGTCAAGTTTGCTGATCTGTTATAAGCTGATAGCTCGGGAGATAGTCACAGAGCCGCCACCGGAGCCTGATTTCTACACCTTTGATGTCATCAGAGGGGTTCTTCGAGACGCCTTCGGCAGACCTTGGTTTCCACTTAATCCATTCTATGATCCCGGTCCTCCGCCACCCAGGCCAATTCCAAAGGAGACGAAGGATGGTGAACCTGCGACTGCTCGCAGAGCAGGTGTGACAAGAAAGAAGGACTGATCGCTCTGTAAAATGGTAGATAACCACAGTAGACGAGACTCATGGAGACTGTACAACAATACAATACCCATCGTGGAGCATGCCCAGTCACAGGATGGCAACGAGGAATAAGGGCGGAGCCGATAGACGACGGCTGGTTGCGACGGAGGATTAGACCTCCGGCGCTGCGCGATGTGCGCATTGCGGGGCGGAAGCGCGGGGACTAATAATTATTTACATACAAAGCCGTCCTGACCTCAGCTACTGGCTGTCTCTGACCTCCTTCCCTCCTATATTCATTCGTTTTCGCTCATTCGTTCGATCCGCATCCATCTCTTGCGTATGGGCCAGGTCGCACGTCTGTTCACGTTTCTCTGCTGGACCCTTTCCGCGTCCGTGTATGTTTCGGGTAAACAACCGGCGTACTTGGAACAGGTATGCGGAATAACATGATGCAAATACTACGTGTCCTTGACTAGCGACTTCCTTGTATGTAGGGTTTCTTCTTCGACTTCAACCCTGCAGGCACTAGCATTCCCATCCCCGTCACCAGTAATCGCTTCCTCTCGCGTCTTTTGCGAATTAGGCTCACCGTGTTCATGCAGCACAATGTGACACAATACATATCTCCTGGGAAAGAGGCCAGGCAACGGGGTGCGCCTCGCTCGGATTTGCATCCTTAGTGCATGCGTTCTTATCTCTGTACTAGGCCTAACCCAACAGCGCCATATTTTCTCTCAATATACACTTCGTGCGTTTTGCCTGTCTACACCAATCCGCGAGTCTTACTAAAGCCTCTTCTCAGAGCATTTATTGTACCATTTGTAGTTGCAGCAGGCTCAGGGACTAGTTTCGTGAGTCTTATATCATTATTTCTGGTATTCTGCATTGAAGCGCACGCAGGACTTCCCAGTCCCATTCTATCCTGGTACACAGGTGAGCAATGAGGGTCCGCGGGAGGTTGGGTAAACTTTGGCTGATGCTGGTAGATGATCAGTACCAGATTTGCATGGTGCGTGTATATCCGAAATACATCTGAATTGAATCAGTCATTCCCTCTGAAGTTCGATACCAATGGCGTTACGGGAGGATGCCAAGACATATACACAGTCATAGCAAACACGTCCTCATTTCATCCCACCTGTAACAACGTCACTTTTCCTGCCGGAGCCATGGACGTGAAGGCTGCAGTGTCCACCGGCTCATTCTCGCAATATGGATGGATTGATCAAGTGAGCACTCCACTTTCTTGTTATCCTGTCCTACGACGACCTGTGTGACCTATGCACGCCTTAGTGTCAAGATATATACATAACACCTCAAAATGGCACGCCGCCTTATACTCTCACTGTGAGCGGTATGCTAAGTAGAAACATGTCGCATGATCGAGAGCTAGTTTGTGACAGATCGCTCCCACTCTTCACCCCCCTCTCAACATCACTTCGGACTCTATGGACACAATTGACTGGAAGGTCTCGCTGGTCAGTTTGTTGATATGACTGCTGTCAAGCCTATAGAAAGCTAACGCCTTCGCAGACCTGGGGATTTTCATTTTTTATATCCCTCGTAGATTCACAAGGCAACAGATGGTCACAAGGACCACTACACAGTGGTGGAAATGGACCCACAGATTGTTTGGATTTAAATGCTGGGTACGTGCAGTCCATGTCATACCTTTCGTCGTTGATCGGATGACCTCAGTCTGCATCAGCGAGAAGACAGTAGCATCATCGGTAGCGGTGGGATCGGGCGTTGGCGGTCTCGTTCTTGGTCTCGTCGTCGGCGGCCTTGCAGCCTTCCTATGCTATCGCAAACATTCCCACCGCAAAACTAACTTCGCCCGACATTCTAACAATTCAAATACTCAGCTTAATTCGCGGTATGACGACTACCCTTCTGCGGACGCCATCGGGCTCGAGCACGGTGGCCTTTCCCTTGCTCTTTCCAACTCCCATTCCGCCCGCGAAGCCACCTCCAGCAGCCGGCGCACTGCCACGACCACGACGACAGGTTCGCTAGGCCAGAACTCAAGCTATCACATCGAGCCCTTCGTTCTTCCGTCCGAGCGCCCAACCCCCCATATCCATACACATTCTCTCAGCGATCCTTTATCTCCATTACTTTTTCCTCCCGGAGCCGCGACAAGCGCTACACTTCCCCCCCGAGCGTCCCCGTCCGCCGCTCTCTCCCCATCCGCCCATCAACGGGAGGGCTCAAATCCGGCGACTCCCTCCGACGCAAGACCATCAGGTTCCCATGTCTACGTCGTGCATCATGACGCAGGGCGACCTCCTGTCACTGTATACACCGACAGCGGCACGGAGGTGGTCGAGCTCCCTCCGCGATATATGGATGACCGAGCGCCGTCGCACCAGCCTACGAGACAGCCCGGCGCAGTCCCGCGGAAAGCACTACGGACGGGCCAGTCGGAGTCAAGTTGAAACGAAAGAACTGTACGCGAACAAACGTATGCGATCTACTCCCGGAGGTGGAGCTTTTACTGTACTCATCTAGTCATACAGAGCCGGGATGGCTTGATTTCTTTCCTCGCGACCTTTTTTCTCTTCACTAACCGACACTCGCTAGGCGCATATACTTTTTGCTACAATTGCTCGGATGGTCGCGTTACACGTATACCCTGAATGACCCCTCTTTCTTGCAGATAATTCGGGTTAGACTCCTCGCGAAGTGTCTTTTTTCACGTTACTAGCACCTATACTAATTCACCCACATATACTCCGATTGGGCACGGCTTCCACCCACTAGCTGGGTTCAATAACCGCCATCCTGACGGGAGCGAAGCAGAACCAGTGAGCGGTGCTGCCACTGTGGAGCCGTCGTCGTCCTCAGGATAGTCATTGTCTGTAATCGAGTCCAGAGAATTTTCAGTGCGCGTGGCGAGGATGATTTTGAGTCGTTCGTCCATGATCGCCATGGCATCGTCACTCCACAACTATAAACATCCACATCATGACAGGCATACAGAAGAGAACCGAGGAACTCACTCCTGCGGCGGGTGTGGGTGGCACGGTATCATGGTCACCGAGTATTGTGCTGGATAACTCGGCTAAATGAGGATCGCTCGCGCATAGGGCCCTAAAAAGGCTACGAGCTCTGCCAAGCCAGTAAGTTACATAGAATTACAGATGAAAGAGGGTTAGACACCCGTACCCCGCGCGGGCCTTGGACGCCCTATCCATTCGAGGACCGAGACCATTAGCGAGCATGACGAACGCGTCGTCTTTCCTTACCGCGCTCTCTGCATCTTGCTCACCCCCGTCGATGAGCCACATCGCCCAGCTCGCGAGACACAGGTCGTATGAAGGGTCATCCAGTCGGACGTCCGGATTGGCATCGGCATCGAAAGCGGAGGAAGCTGTCGATGCATCGGTAAGGAGGTGCGAGATGATGCGGGACATAAGGATCGAGGGAAGCGTAGGGTGGTGCAAACGGAGGTGGGCGAGGAGTGTCGTCCAGATCGCAAGGGATGAGGGGGGCGGGTGAAACGCGCTCTTCGAAGGCGTGCGTTTTCTGTCACGAAATACGGTCAAGACTCGGGCGCGAAAAAACGGATCGTAACACCGACTTCTTCGAGACGGGCACCAAGACGCCTCTCTCGAGCAGCGCGTCGCATAACCGCTCCAACGCCCACCGCTCCTTCCCGTCTTCTTCCGCGTCCTCGCCCGCTTCGTCCGCCGTCGCGCCGCCCATCTCCCACGCGAGGTCGCCGTCCGCTGCGACCATCGCCTCTGCGATCCACCGCTCGACATCCCGCAGCGCTTGTTCGATTTCCGTACGATGCTTCGCTCGGAGCGTCGCGTCGCGCGTTGTAAGCTTGAGCAGCGACTTGTACTGTTTTAGCGTGGATGTTAAAGGGTGCAACGAGGCGGTGGACTGTGCGGCCCTGTCCATAGAGGGATTGAGCGTCGGGAGGAAGTAGTTATGCAGGAGCCATGACATCGACTGCTCGCATGCAAAACACAATCAAAAGTGCGGAAACCATCACGGCCGTGGGTCAGCGTCCAAAAATCCAATTTAAAGATGGAGAAAAAGACCACCTCGCGCGCAGCATTCCTCAGCAGCTCCAAGCTAGGCAAGTCTTCGTGCGTAGCTGCATGTCGCAGCTCCACCAGCCACGCAGGAAGGCCGAGCTGCGCCGCGATCGCCGCGATAGAGCGCGCGTAGGCGCCGACCTGCAGCGGGTCGACGAGGCCATTGACGAGGCGAATGAGCGCGGCCGCATAGTCCTGGCGCACCGATAGCGCGTGAGCGCCACGCGGCTGTGACAACGGCGTCTCCGAGGACGAAGAGGGAGACAACGACGAAGACGAAAGGGCAGAAGCGTGGGCGTCGTGCAGGAGCGCGGTCAGGAGGGCGAGAAGAGACTCGAGTGCGTGCGGAAGCGCAGTGACGGCCTTCCAGGCTGCGAGCTTCGCTTGGGCGGGAAGGTGAATCTGTGTGAGCGGGGTATGGGCGCATGGGGAGAGACGGCGCTGCGCACTCTTTCGACGGCGAGGGTCTGTGCGACGAGGTCGTACTCGTCGGTGTAGACCCAGGCACAGATCTGGTCAAGCTCCGCGAGCGAGGCCCACGGTGTCCGGCGCGGTAGTTTCATCGAGGTAGCAGCTCCAAGCAGGCAGCCGCAAACTTTCCCTGTTATGCCTTCCCCGATCACGTGTGGCCGCATTGCAGGCAGACACTCAGGGATCCAGCGGCGCAAGCGTAATACATTCATGTACAGTGAAACACGAAGACGAAGACTAAGACGAACGACATAAAGATATGTAGAAATACACTAGATTCAACTAAGTCGCACCGCGGCGGGAGATAATATATAAGAAATGGCGTGCAGTGCGTAGCTTACAATGTACAGTTGCATGGGGTCTAGTATATGCTGGAGATGCCTGGCGAACATGTGTATGGAGCGGGATAGGTGATATCATAGGGCCGGTGGTTCTATGGGCCGATGGGGGGACTCCTAGATACATACTCGCTATGCATAACAACTGTCTCTGCTGTTACGCCGGAAGGAGGATCTCATGAGCAGAGCCGAAAGCAGGACAAGATCGCTGGTGTGTACACACATTCGCTCGTGCCATTCGTGATGGCGATCGTGTCGAATTCGATGTCGCCGCCCGTCTCCGACAAAGAACGGTCCTGCGGCGCGCACTTGCGGAGGTGTAGGATCAGGCGGTAGCCCTACGCGATACCCAGAATACGCGTGAGACCAAGCAAGATATGGGCGCGGTGAATCAGAGGGTAGACGTACCGCAAAGCCCGGAATCGCAATAGACCACCTTTGAATAGACAAATCTCAATGCTAGGTTCTGCATTCTTTAATGGAATGGCACACACGAAAACGCGACGGAAGAATATGCAGAATGCAAGAACATCATGCAAGCGATGTTGACGAGGGCAATCACTTCGAGACTAGCATTAGATGATAAGTCGCATGGGCAGACAATCATAGCACACGCACAAAGGGGGAGCAAGAAAGCCCAGACACCGTCCTGCATGAATCGGGTCACCCATGGTGGTGCGCGGATGTCACGCATGGACAGGAAGAATTTCTTCATCGTGAGGCTAAACAGCAGGATGTCTAGGCTGAGAGGCCCTATACTGATCCAAAAGTGTACCGAAAGAATGAGCAGTCAGCTACCATTTTTACGCCCTTGTGTGGCGCACAGTGGTGTGCTACAGGGAGCACCTACAGAAAGCCGATGGTCATGGTTGGGAACACGATAGGGACACACTGGTGTGTGAACGTGATGCGAGGGCCGGCAATGCTCAGGACGGTAGACATCATGGCAACCTCCACCATCCAGAAGCCCGCGAGGATGTATTTGAGGGACTTCCATTCGCTGTACAAAGCGATCACTAATCATCACAGTAATCAAGAAGCGTCAGACGCGTCGGTGATTATGTGGGGTCAAACAAAGTTGCATTTCATGTATCGTTAGAATTTAATATAAGCAGGCCTGAAGAGCGCGAACGCACCGCGGAGTGAGAGAATGATTTGAACACCCATCGTGAGCAGCTGGCTCGCGAAGCCTTGAAAGACGAGGAGCAAGCGACATTTGCTAGGTTCGACCACCGAGCCAAAGGTCGTCGCTTTCATCGTCAAGACCACGGCTGCCCTGTTTCCGGACAGAGTCAGCATGGAACCGCAGCTTAGCAAGCGCGGATTTTGTAGAGCACAGAAGTGAAAGAGAGGGACGCACATCTGTGAGCCGAAGGAGAAAAACCGCATGAGAATAGAAAGCCACGTCGTTTTGTTCCATTCTTTGCTAGTCGGTTAGAAGGAAGCCAGTCGACGATATTAATATCATCGTTACTGTGCCCGCGTTGGCAAGAGGAAGACGCACGTCCAGACATGTTCAATCTGAGGGAGTTTCCGCGAAGCCGTCAACATCTCTCTCTTTATGCTCGATAACACGAAGGAACTCACCATGTCGCCTAATGTGATCAACATATCCCATGACGAGAATATGAGGGCGGCCACTGTTTGGGGCGGAATAGGGGAGAGGACGTAGTAATGTAAATCTCCAAAAAAAAACATAGAAAGACAGACAAAAAACACGAACTGGAACTATAGTTACACGCGACGAGGCCCCTCAACGTCTGTTCACTCGGCCTGTGTGGCAGCGACATGCTGTGGGTGCGCGCCTCGCGATGTACGCATGCGTTCGGCGCGCTGCAGCCTGGCCAGAATGGTCGCACTGGAGCACCAGGGGAAAGGAAAGGGGGGTCGAGCCTGCAACGTTACGGCGGATAGAGAGTAGAAATAGAGCCGTGACGCGATCCCCAAGAAATAGAGTTCCGAGATTAGGGATGAGCGTAGCGCGTACTTTATTTGCAAACAAGTGGGGCTAAGAGGGCATGGCGATCGCGTTGGTCTGGCTGACTGCCTAGACGCCGTTCTTCTCCACGATCTGCAATCTCGCTAGTCGCTGGCATAGACGAGCATTCCAGGCTTCGTCTGCAACATGCTACCGCCTCGAGCGTTCCTCCCGGCTGACGACCTATGTCAGCTCTCGGAGGACTGCGCGCTTCCCCTCACGGCGATTCAGCTTCTCCCCCTCCTCTCCCCTTGCCCGACAGGTCTCGGGTGCAGAACCACCAATCTTCTTTCAGCCTGATCCGTAACGAATATACGTTGCTAACGACGCGAAGATATTTCAGATCAAAAAAGCCAGATTTACATCAGCGTCCAGGGTCCGAATAATAAGCAAGGTGAGGCTGCAGTGGGTAGCAATGGAACTTGGCCCTCCTGACCTCTCCTGACCCACTCTCAGTCTCGACTTGCCAACCTGGCAAACGTCAACGAGAGTTGAACAGACTCCGTGCGCCGGCTCTTTTACGATTTCACCCCATATCGCAAAACGGTGACCTACATATGACGGCAACGCTGGCTCCGTATTGCGACTACGACCACATGGACGCCCTTCCCTCACCATTCAATCATGGATAAAGACGTCAACAGATACGCGGATATTGTGTCAGGAACAAAACTGAATTCAGGGATGATGGTTGACATCAAGTGGGTAGCCTATTTGAGTGGAGAAATGTAATGGAGCGGTTGGTATGTGCGAGCTTCATAGTCAAGCACCTCCCATCCCACCGCCCTATGGAAGGAAACGGCAGGCACTGGTGGCCCAGAACTAGGAGGTGCTCCGGCTTAATTGAGCTCACGCTTTATCTCCCCATACCAGCTCGGTACCCTAAGCTCGAAGACAAAGAGTTGCCTCGCGATGTGACATGCAGGCTGTGGTGAGGGTGGATGAAGAGAGCCGACACAACGCGACGCAGAATTTTGCTTGCTGACGATGTTCCCACGGTCAGACGCTGTTGGGAATTTGCCTCCGGCTCATTCCGTCGACGTTGTGAAATGACGTCACCAGTGCAGTGAACACCATCGCCGCCCGATCGTCTGTGTCGGCGGCTTCAGCTTCAGCGCTTCAGTAACCAGGCTTAACAAGTACGTTCTCCGACTCGGTTGCGGCTAGTTGCTGTCATCGACTCTTCGCCGTTCCGCTAGCTGTGAATTTGTTCAGTTTGACATTTTGAAATCAGCATAATTCAAGGCAGACATGCTCCACCGCCTCCGAACCATCACCTCGCACCTCCCAAAAGCCGTATCTACACAGACCGTACACGCCATCGCCAGTATCTCGTCTACCACCGGCGTTGAGTACACCGTGCACAACGACAACGTCGCCTGTTGCACCGTACCTGCCGTTCAATCGGATTACAAGCCACAAGGGACCATCCGCCCCTATGCTGGCTTCGACAGGGCCTACATCACAGGCTCAGATAGCAGCGCGACCGCGCTCATCTGCGTATTCGATATCTTCGGGTACGCACACACATCGCACTTCCAACACTTGCTGGTCCGCCTGTCCTGATTCGCGGCTTTTTTGATTGTATCTGTGCCGCGCAGATTCAAGCCCCAGACCCAGCTCGGCGCCGACATGCTCGCACATGCGTTACGCGCGCGCGTCGTCATGCCTGACTTCTTTGAGCCGAGTGCGCCGTGGGACGCTGCGCGGCACCCGCCAAAGACCGACGCGGACCGCGCTGCGCTGCAGGCGTTTTTCGGCGGGCCTGCACGCCCACAGGATGCGGTCCCCAAGCTCGCGCGTGTCGGTGCTGCCCTGAGGGCAGACGGCGCGCGGCGTGTCGGGGCCTATGGCCTCTGTTGGGGTGAGTGCATACACGCATATACGTCATTCCGTGTGCGGAATCCAGGAAGGGTGGGGATGGAGTACTTTTACGTTTGCGTCCGTCCCCACCGCAGCGTGAACGGGTCGGATGCAGAGAATGTATTTTTGACGGCTGACGGCAGTGTGTCCGATTCTTAGGTGGGAAAGTTGTGATCCTTGCGGGTGGGGCGAAGGACACGGTGCTCGACTCAGTCGCGGCTGTTCATCCTGTGTAGGTGACGATACAAAAACTTCTTGTCTCCATAAAGGAATGCGGAGACGGACAGACCCTAGTCAACTAACTCGAGGTATGGTCGTTATAGCATGCTAAAGGTCGAGGACACGCACGCTCTTCGCATTCCGCTTGGGATATATCCGTCCAAGGATGAGCCGTTCGACGAGGTGAGGCTCACGATAACTTCCTCCCGGTTCACACACTTCTTACGCCGCATATCTGCCAATAGTACCAAAAGATCCTCGACATCATCAGGGTAAACCCATTTGCGAGCAAGAACGACCACAAGCTGTACGAAACGATGTGCGTGGCTGATTAACTATCCACTTATCTGCGATCCACGAACCATATGACCCCAGGTTCCACGGCTGGGCCGGGGCACGCGCTAACCTCGATGACCCAGAGAACAAGAAGCAGTGCGCCAATGAATCATCGAACTCTACCTCGTGGACTTATCTTTCCCTCCGTGACCCGTTCTTAGGTTTGAAGATATCTACGCTCGACTCGCCACCTTCTTTACAGCATCGATCGAGTAATAAAGCAATAAATCCACGATCAAATCCCAAGGTACGTCTATGAGTGTATGTACTTGGCAATCTCATCGATACAGCGGCTATCCGATGATGCCCGATATATATAGTACAGTGTATGGCAGCCAATAATACCAGAGCAGAGATGAAGATGAAAATGACATGATATCCTGTTCGAACACACATATACCCACGATTCCCTCCAGTTCATTGAGTAAAAATTGTCCTATGTGCCGGCTTCTGAGAATGGTTCTCTGGCCCTTCCCTCGACAGTCTTGAATAACCAGAACGGGCCTATAAGCAAAACGGAAGCTTCCGTTACTGATGCCGTCACGAAAACAGTGGGAAGAAAGTTGGCTAAAAAAAAAAATACGCGCCTGACGGATCGCCTGAAGAATAATTCGCAAGGAAGCTGTGAGTGTCGGGAACGGGAGTGGGCAATGTGGAAAAAGACGAACCGTGTTCGTGCAACGCGCCGCTCCACGCGCCCACGACGCCTGCTGCGCTGCAAACATTTCCTATCTGAACACCTTCTGAGCTGTGTATAAAGTCAGTCCAGTATGCTTCGCCAGCACCAAAACAAGAGAAAGACATGTAGAAAGCAAAGAGGAGAGGATCATGAAGAAAGAGAGAAACACTCACCTCCACTGATCGTGATTTTCATAGACCGAAACCTGTAAGCCGCCGTCCGCTGCTGTCAGACACAAAAGGGGGAACTACACACATAAGTTTCCAAGGCTGCGCTCACAAAGCTCCAGCGGATGTTCCCGTCCGGCATGACGCTGACCGTCCCCTTGACCGCGCGGTCGAGCACCTCGTCCGAGTTGAATCCGCGCATGGTGCCCCCGAATGTGATCGGCGGGCGCCGTGGATCGGGCAGCGTCGCGAGCACCGCCGGGTCAGACTCGACGCAGATGACGTGCAGGGAGAGCCGGAGCAGTCGCGAGGCTTCTTCATAGTTATCGTCGAAGAGGTCCGGATTCCAGCCATTCGACTGGCGAGAGGCGCTCAAGGGTTCGTCAGCTATAAAGAGCGATAGATAACGGAGACGCACATTGAATCCTAAGATATGATGGACGCGCGATATGAACGGAAGCAAAAAAGGGCAATTAGATCTACGCACTGATCAAGTCTCTGCAGAGGCGTGGATTCGTGAGCAGAGGGCGGCAGAGAGCAAACATGGCATTCACCGATAGTCGCAGAAGCATACAACGCGCATCCAATGGCCCTCTACGCCCGCCCAGTCCCTCTCTGAGCGCCTGGACATTTCCGGCGCGGAGTAGGCCCTCGTCGCCTCCAGGCCGCGCACCAACAACGGAGGCTGGAACGCCTTCGGCCAGTGCCTGCCGAACTCGCGCAGGTTCATGGTGATCACGATGATGTCTGCGCGCAGGTGCAGCCAGTTGACTGCCCGCCCGCCCTTCTGGTAAGGGCCCCATAAGCGCTCCTCAGTATAGTTGCGCAAGTCGTATACGAATGTACGTGCTGCACGCCGAGAAGTAATAGAGAACAAAATGTCGTCGCCGGGACTGAGGGTGAGGATGATAGGCATGAGGAAGGAGGAGAGCCGTGCGAACGGCGAAGCTTCTTCAAGAAGGGGGTCGGGCCTCCTGCAACAGTCGAGCTTTCTCCTGACCCATGCAAGGTTTGAGGAAGGCCTGTTCCAGCCACCAGGGATGATGGGGGCAGATGCGGCGATAGCGTCGCTGAGAACATTGTACACCTCGGCCATTTCGTCTAGAGTGCCCTCCACTCGTTTTGATGTGACGACCTCAGCATGCACTCGGCGCTTGAGCTGTGTTCTCCAGTCAATGGCAGACGAGTCTGGGGGTGCGTCAAGGGATTTGCGCAGGTCGTCGAAGGGGTAGGTGAGGAAAAGGGTGCGCCAGAGGTACTGGTCTGTTGAGTTATGTACGAGGGCGTGAGCGGTGCGACATGTGCGCGAGAAGGCAACGACGTCGCACGGATGGCAGAAAGTGAGGAGATATTGTGCAACCTCTGTAGGTATTGAGAAGAACGTCGTGTCGAACGACATCGGGGCAGGCGAGGAGATGAGCGCTCCTGAGGAGAAACACAAGGGCCTCTTCCGTTCTCACTCCGTCGACTGCCGGACAATTCGGCCCGACGCGTGATTTGCTTCCGTCTGCACCGTGGCCACGCCTTGCTCTGCACCTGCACCCAACTGACTCAACTACTCAATGCGTCGAGCAACTTCCTTGCTCCTCCTCGCGGGCTCCGCCTCTGCCGCCTTCCAGTTTCCCTTCAATCTCTGGCCAGCTACAAACCCACCCTCCCCCATCGAGGTCACAAACATCGTCAATCCCCAGTCGCCTCGCGTCGCCATCATAGGCGCGGGTGCAGGAGGCTCGTCTGCGGCGTTCTGGATTGCAAAAGCAAAAGAACGGTTTGGAATTGACGTGGAGGTAGACGTGTATGATCGATCAAATTACATCGGCGGCAGTGAGTTTCTTAGCTCCAATGACTTTGGTTGCCATGCGTTGGATTGGACTTATTGCTCGTCCGCATAGGGAGTACGACGGTATATCCATATAATGACTCGTCTTACCAGCCGGTAGAGCTGGGTGCGTCCATATTCGTGAACATCAACAAAAATCTATGGAGGGCGTCCGACGAGTTCAATCTTCCACGCTACGGGTTTGAGGACGAGGAAGGGGAGCTTGGTTTTTGGGATGGTGAATCATTCGTGTTTCGGGTATGCTCACACCATTATTTGGATGTCTACTGTCTCTGGGATGCTTAAAATATGATATCCAGCAAGGTGGCACGAAAGGCTTTTTCGGATCCTTCCTTGACAACATCAAAGTCCTATGGCGATACGGCTACTTCTCCCCCAAGAACACGCAAAATCTGTACGGTTTTCTCTCTGATCCGCGGAATGTCGTTTCCCTCATCGCTATTCTTATATTTTGGACATCCTTCTGCAGTGTCAAAGATATGGCTGACAAATTCGTCAAACTATACGCCCCAGAAGCTCTCAAGTGGGAGAATCTCACCGACATCTCCGACGCGTTTGAATGGGATGAGCTCATCTCTCAGACCGCCTCTGAGTACTTCCGTAGCCACGGGGTGTCGGAAAAGTTCACGAACGAAGTTATCGATGCCATGACACTGGTCAACTATGCGCAGGTGCGCATGAAACCTTCCTGTCTCGGGTATATTAGAGGAAGACGTTGCTGACTTACGGAACCATTGATTTCAGGATGTCGACAGTATCCACGCGTTGGAAGCCGCAGCCTCCATCGCCGCATCAGGTGCGGCGAGCATCAAAGGTGGCAACTGGCAGATCTTCGAGAACTTCGTGCATCGTTCCGGCGCGCGCGTATTCCTCAACACCAACGTTACCTCGATCTCCCGCAAGTCGCCCACCACGTGGACAGTCGCGACCTCGCAGGGCGCAGCCGACTACCTCGCCGTGATCCTCGCCGCGCCCTACCACACCTCCGACATCTCGATCCCAGAGGACCTCGCCGCGCTCATCCCGAAGCAGCCCTACGTCCACCTGCACGTCACGCTGCTCGCCACGACCGCGCCGACGCCGAACCCCGCGTACTTCGGGCTGCCTGCGGGCGCGGGCGTGCCGACGAGCGTGCTGACGACGCTCGCGGGCGCGCGCAAGGGAGGCAAGGCGCCCGAGTTCAACTCGCTGACCTACCATGGAAAGCTCGTCAAGGCCGAGGGCGCGCAGAAGAGCGCGGACGCGAGCGAGTCGGAGACGGCGGTGAAGGAATCTGAAGGCGCTTCTCTGGACAGCGGGACGTCGCCACTGGAAGCGAACGTGGAAGCCGAAGCCGAAGCCAGGGCCGAGACCGAGGCCGTGCCGGCACCGCCAGCACCTGCGCAGGACGAGTGGGTCGTCAAGATCTTCTCCATGGGGCCGATGTCAGACGAGTGGCTCGCGGACATATTCCAGGGCCAGGTCGGCTGGGTCCTCCGTAAAGAGGTGCGCGACCGCGCGATCGATCTCCACTTTGTACAATTTGAAACTGACAAAAATTTATCGCGTGCGGACAGTGGGACGCGTACCCGGTTCTCCCGCCCACAAACACCTTTGCGCCCGTCAAGCTCGACCGCGGGCTGTTCTACGTCAACGCTTTCGAGCCGTACGTGCCGCTCCCCCCTGCCCGACCATTGATAACCTGCTGACGTCCATCCGCGTGCTCGCGTGTTTGCTTGCAGGTTCATCTCGACGATGGAAACGGAGACGCTCGCGTCGCGCAACGTCGTCGACTGGCTCCTCAAAGAGGAATTCGGTGCCGGGATCTGCACACCGCCGCAGTCGCGCGCTGCCGCAGACGAAGCTACCATCGAGACCGACGAAATCGAGAAGGAGATCGAAACCGAGAGCAAGGCAGAGGACACGCCCGCAGCGGAACTCCAGCTTGAGCTCGAGCCAGAGACGAAGACGGAAGTCGAAGCGGATGCGGATGCGGCCGTCGCGGAGCCAGTCGCTATCGAAGAAAAGCCGAACGTCGCCGACTTTGTGTACGGCTGGGATTGCTGAGGCGCGGGCCCCTCGCCACGTTCGAATGTCTCGTTTAGCGGTGGATTCGGAAGGCGGTTGGCGATAGGGAGTCCGCGGCGCCGCGCAGGCACTTACTTACGCTCTCGGGGCTGACACACAGGATTCATTTGCCTCCTGCGGCGCGGTGCGTGCGCCCTATCGAGTACTTACTAATATTAGCCCTCGCCTTTGAATGACCGGGGCTATTCGTTTCTATTGATCTATCTCTCAAGCTTTTTGTTTCGGTTTCTTTATCCACTTGGCTACTTCTGCTCGACTCCAAACTCGATCGCACGCGTTACCATATCCTTGTTGCATGGCATGGCATGGCATGCTCGTATCTTAAGTCCTTTATTTAGAATATCTTGGGGTCTGCTCCACGAGGATCCAGAACGTAGCATGTACTAGTACCCGCATGTGCTCCGAGGTGACCTGGTCGAAATCGGTGTGCTTGCAACGTGCGGCGCGTCTCTCATAAACTATCCATGTTCTAGGATCCACAGAACCATCAGTAGCAAGTGACCTATCATTGATGGATCATCACTTGGTATGTACGCTACGTAGTCTGTCGCGCGCGCTCGCGGCGCTGTAACATGGATAGCGATGTTTTGTCCCCTCCCCATTCACGACCTCACGAGCCGGAGCATCCGGCGTGGCCAGCCGACCACAAACAGCGAAACAAAAATAATTACATTTCCGTCCTTTACCTTCCCGTCCGGTCCTGTCATCGACCGTTTACGGTACCCAGATGATGTGGTAGATAGTCAATAAAACCAACGTGCGCCCTCTCTATCCGTGAATCGCGAACCTCGGCCTAGCAGGATGCCCTAGCGCACTTTTTTTTTTCAGACGAGGAACCTGACTCCGCGTCGTGGTCGTCGACGGCGCCGTTGCCGTTGTTGTTGCCACTGCCGTGAGCGTAGAGTTGCGCGTCGGGGACGCCATGGCGGTCGCCCCCAACGACGGGGTGCGCGTGCGCGCCGACGTCCGCGGCGCCTGGGGGGATCTTTTCGGACGAGATCGCGAGGTCGGGGCGTGCGGTCCAGTCGGTGTAGTCGCGGCGCACTTCGATATAGTCCGTTGCGAACTCGCCGATCTGGTTCCCAATTCACGTAAGAAAGATACATCACAGGTCAACGCCGACCCGCAGAGACGGAGTGCGCTCATGAGAAAAACCGACGCACCTGGTCCTCGTCCATCCCGAGCGCCTCCGCCTCCTCGCTCGCGCGGAGGTGCAGGCCCGGGATTGAGTTGACGCACTTGGTGATGAGCGCGGTGACGACGAACGTGTACGAGCACGTCGCGCAGACGTACGCGAACTGGATGTACAGCTGCTTGTAGTTGTGGTCGAGCCACCCGCCCGGCACGGCGGTGTTCACGCCGTCGAGCGCGATGATGTCGCTCCGCGCGAAGAGCGCGTTGAAGAGCAGCCCGATGATCCCGCCGACCGCGTGCTCCGCGAACAAGTCCAGCGCGTCGTCGATGCGGACGAGAAATTTAACTGGAGGCGCCGCCGGCTGTCAATTTTCTACGCGCAAAGCGATGGGGGACAGACGGACCCTTCGTCGCATAGTTGCACACCGCGCCGGTGACGATGCCCATGATCACGGCGGCCCAGGTGGGGATGAAGCCCGACGCGGGCGTGGCGGCGACGAGCCCCGCGATGGTTCCGGAGCAGAAGCCGACCATGCTCCACTTGCGCTCGTAGCGGAAGTCGAGCAGGCACCAGACGAGGCCGCCGCACGCGGCCGCGAGCATGGAGTTCCACGCGGCGACGACGGCGCGCAGGTTCGCGCCGAAGGCGCTTCCGGCGTTGAAGCCGAGCCAGCCGAACCAGAGGATGAAGGTGCCGAGGTTGACCATGGAGACGTTGTGCGGGCGGAAGTTGAGGAGCTCCTTCTCGCCCCTACGACCGAGGACCCAGGAGTATGCGAGGCCGGCAACGCCGCTGCCGATCTCGACGGGGCCGCCGCCTGAATGGGCATTTCGTCGTAAATGGGGCTATCAATCCGAGGAAGAGGAGGGAGAGACGGACCGGCGTAATCGAGGACACCCCACGAGAGCCCCCAGCCGTGAGCGGACCAGGCCCAGCAGGCGAGCGGACAGTAGACAATCGTCATCCAAATGAAGGTAAAGACCATCGCGGGGAGGACGCGGCCGCGTTCTGCGAGACCGCCCATGAGGATGCAGACGGTGACACATGCGAACTCCATCTGGTAGAAGCTGTAGAGCAGCTCCGGGATAAGGGGCGAGCCGGGAGACGGGGCGTCGAGGACGTTCATGAGGCCGAAGTTCCCGAGGTTGCCAATGAAGCCATTCGTGGCCGAGCTGGAGAAGGCGAGGGAGTAGCCCCAGAAGAACCAGTGGAAGATGACGACGGCGTTGGCAGCCGAGACTGCCCAGATGAGGGAGAGAGCAGACTTGCGCCGCGAGAGGCCGGAGTAGAGGAACGCTGAGCGGGTGGTGAATCAGACAGGGAGGGCGGTAAGCGAGCGAGAGGGACGCACCGAGGCCGGGGATCATAAACGAGACCAAGGCGCCGGCGAGGATGATGAACGCGACATCGCCTCGGTCGAATCTGGGGAGACAGGCACGACATTGAGCACAGAGGGTGCCAGGGCTGCCATTGGACGTACTGCGACTGATCCCCTGTGGTTGCAATCAGCCATGAGCCGCGCCTTATCTTAATCTTATCGCGGCGTTACTCACGGGCAGATATAGACGGCGTCGCCGACATGGTGGGTGCGTTCCGCGCTTTCTCAAGATAGAAGGCGACCGACGAGAACGTTTGGCTGTGTGCGCACGCCTGCAGAGAGGACAGGGGCCGTGAAAACGAGAGTGAGCAGACGACGGCCGGAGAGCGCCAGCGTTGCCGATAATCCACTCGTCCGCCATTGGTCCGATACCCACCCGCCGCCCGCCACCCACGTCACAATTCCCTTTTCCATCCACACCGCCTGCCTCTTTCGGTCCCCCAAAGCCAGCCCGCTGCCAGCCCCTATCCCTCCACCTCTCTCTCGTGCGCACTCTCTCATCCCCTACGCCTTTTGACTTGGTATCATACCTGATGCACACGGTCCATCGCGGATCGCGCCGACTTGCGTCGCCTTGGTGGGTGGGGTACTCCCACGGTGGATGGGGATGTGATGGAGTCTGAATTCGGCCACCAGGCGTGGGCTGAAAGCGCCCTGATGGTCACCCGCTGCAATTAGAACACACCAGAGAAAGGCGATGAATACGACATCATTGAAGGTGCACTATGTGTCAGGAAACACCGGGCGAGGAGAAGTGAAAGTCGTATCATATTTCTGCTCGTACGCCGTCGAGGATAATCAGGCTCAGGCCTTTCGACTCTTTCGGTAGTCAAAGTCGTGCACCAGGCGCGCCGGAGTGGACTCTGGAAGGATCGAGACGAGCCCGCGTCCGCGGCAAGCAACGGAGACGGGCCGCGGCTCAATTGCACCCTCGTAAGCTGCACGATCACATGATGTCTAAAATCGCCCGATTTTGTGGTGGGCGACCAATCAGCGCCCGGGTGAAAGAGAGGTAAGAGACCGCCGTCCGAGATTTTCTGTCTGCGCTCGCCCACACACACGACCATGGCCACCCTCTTCAAGGACTACTCTGCGTCCGCATCCATGCCGTCGTCCACAGCGGCGTCGCAGCTATACAACATTCCCATCCCCTCTTTCCTCTCCTCCGTCACGGGCGCAGCGGCCTGGTGGTACACCACCGCCGCCATCGTCCTCGCTCTCCTGGCCCTCGAGCAATCCGTGTACCGTTGGAAGAAGCAGCACCTTCCTGGCGACAAATGGACAATCCCCATTATCGGCAAGTTTGCCGACTCGATGAAGCCCACCATGGAGGGTTACATGAAGCAATGGGAGTCCGGCGCATTGAGCGCAATCAGCGTCTTCAACATGTGAGTGTTGTCGCACCCCGCTTCATTTCTGGTTTCATCTTTGCACGGCTGACAACGCCGTTAAGCTTCATCGTCATGTCCTCTTCGAACGAGTACTCGCGTAAGATCCTCAACTCCCCAACGCATGCGGAGCCTTGTCTCGTCCACTCTGCCAAGCAGATCCTTCTGCCTGACAACTGGTACAACACTCGATCATTTTTGTTGTCTGCCGTACTGACGGTCGTTCAGGGTATTCCTCACAGGAAAGACCCACGTCGAGTACCGCCGTGGCCTGAACGCGCTGTTCACTCGCAAAGCCCTTGGGTATGTCTACTCATCAGCTGCCGTTCCTTGCGATCATAACTTGCGTCCTCTAGCATCTATGTACAGATCATGGACGACATCACTCGCGATCACCTCTCGCGCTGGCTCAAAGAGGCGGCTGAGGACCCCGAACCCAAACCCATTATGATGACTGTCCGCAACCTGAACATGGAAACCTCCCTGCGCGTCTTCTGTGGTAACCACATCCCCGCCCGCGCGACCCAGGAGATCAGCGAGAAGTACTGGTCCATCACCCTCGCCCTCGAGCTCGTCAACTTCCCGCTCGCCCTGCCCGGCACGAAGGTCTACCGCGCGATCCAGGCGCGCAAGGTCGCACTCGCGTGGCTCGAGCTCGCGGCGAAGAACAGCAAGATCGCGATGGCCGCCGGGCGCGAGTCGGAGTGCATGCTCGACGAGTGGGTCAAAATTCTCGCGGACCCTACGTATAAGGGCCGCCGTGAGTTCACCGACCACGAGATGGCGATGGTTGTCTTCTCGTTCTTGTTCGCGAGTCAGGACGCGATGAGCAGTGGGTTGATCTACGGCTTCCAGCACCTTGCGGACCACCCCGAGATCCTCGCCAAGGTGCGCGAGGAGCAGGACCGCGTGCGTGGTGGCGACAACGACAAGGCGATGACGCTCGAGATGCTCGACGAGATGCCGTACCTCAAGGCGGTCGTGAAAGAATCCCTCCGCGTCAAGCCCCCGGTCACGATGGTGCGTATCGTGTTTACCCCTCCTCCATCTCGACTGCGGAGTTCGCTGACCGTGGCATTTGACGTCCGCCAGGTTCCGTACAAGACGACCAAGGCATTCCCGATCGACAGCAGCTACACCGTCCCCGTCAACAGTATGCTCATCCCCTCGTTCTATAACTCGCTCCACGACCCCGAGGTCTTCCCCGACCACGATTCGCTGATCCCCGAGCGCTGGCTGGACCCGGAAAGCTCTGCAAACCAAAACCCGAAGAACTACCTCGTGTTCGGCAGCGGCCCCCACAAATGCATCGGCCTCGAGTACGCGACGATGAACATCGCGCAGGTGCTCGCGATCGCGAGCGTCATGATGGACTTTGAGCACGTGCTGACGCCGGAGAGCGAGAAGGTCCAGTGCGTATTCCTCTCCTGTCTCAATTGCGCTGTGTGTACAGACGCTGACGTGAATGTCTCGTTTTTATCAGGATTATCGCGACGCTGTTCCCGCAAGACGGCTGCCTGATGAAGTTCAGCCCGCGTTCGCACGCGTGAAAAGGTGCTTTCCGAGACCCACCAACCCCCTCCTCCCATCTCGTCCCCCGGCGTTCGTTCCACACCTACGGCACTCACCGACACCGACACCGACACCGACATTGGTATCTTATTATCAACGGTACCTTATATAGATGCGTCCGCGCGACGTTAAGCTACATCTTACACCTTGTTGCACGCGGCGGAGCGCGAGCAGCTCTGACCCGACCCCCCTTGTATCCCAGCCGAGCAGTGACGCACACACTAATTATACCCTATCGTAATGTTACGACGCTCTCGCATTGCATGGTCGAATTGATGACTTTTTTCATTGGACGTCTTGACTCGTGAATCTGTAGGTGTATGTGTGCCAGTTGATTTATTGAATCACGATACTAATGGATCGGCGGTGGTGATGCTGAGCGCCGAGTCCTTGAGTGGCCACAATAAAATGGTATGAGTTTTTGCTGCTGACTGTCGTTCATCGATTTATCGATCGTCTCAGTGCGCGCAAATACAGAAAAAGTAGTACGTAAGTATGGAAGCTGGGTGAGCTTGGGTGATGCAAAATAGAAGAGGACCCCTGGGACTGCTCATCATATATCTAATTTCTATATGCTATCTCCTAGTACTCCATGCACTATAAGCAATACTCAAATGATGTTTGTCCTTTTTTCAGTCCTTCCATAAGATTTTCATGGAAAATTTCAAGCTCTGCGCGCAGTATTTGGCAATACGCGAACACATCAGGCAGATATAGGACTCTATGAACAATGACTGAACCTCACAGGCACTCACTAGACATTACTGGCTGGTATGAGACATCGCGGGCGACTACTGTATGGGACTGTAATCCAAAAAACCAATTTAAGATTAAACATTGTGGGTGTCATCGCAACGCGACGGGTAGAAACCTCAACTTGAATCCACCAGCATGCACGTGGCAAGACCAGAAAAGGCAACGCGGGAAATACCAACGCCAAGCAGGCCGCACTGTCTGCCTCCATCATTTCTGGCACCCTTCTTGCCTCCCCTCCCGCCCTTTCTTTAGCCCGGTCTTGTCTCTGTTTTCAACCATGGGCAACATTACCAGCTGCTGTGACTCATGCTGTGCGCATCTCGCCACTTTCTGACTTAATACAGGATTGACTGATCTTTCCGTCCAGTCCACTCGCGCAGGTCACAGTCGTACGAGCCTCTCTTGCTTGAAAACGAGCGAGAGGCAGTGGCAGATCTTTTACAATATTTGGAGAGTGCGTATACGTCGACACCGATGTCGTGTTTGGGCTCCTAGGATGGCTAATACGAGATGGCATTGTAGATCGAACGACCACCAACTTCTTCACGGGATCCCCGCTTTCCGCGCTGACCACACTCTCATTTTCTGACAATGTCGACCTCCAACGCAGTGCGGCTCTCGCTTTCGCTGAAATCACCGAGAAGGAAGTGCGACCCGTCGGACGTGACACGCTTGATCCCATTTTATTCCTGCTCAGCAGCCTTGACACGGAGGTACAGCGGGCTGCGAGTGCTGCGCTTGGAAATTTGGCTGTGAATAGTGCGTCCTTTCTTTCTCTTCATAGCATGCGGATGTCTGAAAAGGTTGCATTTGGTGTGATAGCCGACAACAAGCTGCTCATCGTCAAACTTGGTGGCCTCGAGCCCCTCATCCGTCAAATGCTTAGCCCAAACGTAGAGGTGCAGTGCAATGCCGTTGGTTGTGTGACGAACTTGGCCACCCACGGTTCGTCAGCGGTGTTCTGCTGGAAGCAGGCAATTTTGACTTCTGATCTGATCGTGTTGTAGATGACAACAAGACGAAGATCGCCAAGTCAGGAGCTCTGGTTCCACTGACACGGTTAGCACGTTCAAAGGATATGCGGGTTCAACGGAACGCCACAGGTGCATTGTTGAACATGACACATTCAGGTGAGTATCTGGCACGTTTCTACTGCTGTATGCTCTTCGCTGCAACCCTATTTCTTCCAGACGAGAATAGACAACAACTCGTGAACGCTGGCGCTATCCCTGTCCTGGTCAGCTTGCTGAACTCGCCTGACACGGATGTTCAGTATTACTGCACAACTGCGTTGAGCAACATTGCCGTCGACGGTAGGCACTCTGCCTCGTGCACTTGATTGAAAATTAATCGCTGCGTCAGGCTCAAACCGGATGAAATTGGCCCAGAGCGAGCCCAAGCTAGTGACGAGCTTGGTCCAATTAATGGATAGCCCGAGTTTGAAAGTCCAGTGCCAAGCTGCGCTGGCGCTTCGAAATCTGGCCAGTGACGGTTAGTTGGATTTTTTTCTCCAAACTTCAGTAGCGCTTGACATCGTTGTTTTAGAGAAATATCAACTCGAGATCGTGAAGTCGGATGGACTCCAGCCTCTCTTACGCTTGCTTCAATCCACTTATCTACCCCTCATCCTCTCTTCAGCAGCATGCGTCCGGAACGTGTCTATCCACCCTCAGAATGAATCTCCCATCATCGAATCTGGGTTCCTACAGCCGCTAATCAACCTCTTGTCGTTCAAAGATAACGAGGAAGTGCAGTGCCATGCGATCTCCACCCTGCGTAACTTGGCTGCGAGCTCGGAGAAGAACAAGCAGGCAATTGTCAAGGCTGGCGCGGTGCACTCGATTAAGGAGCTCGTCTTGGAGGTACCCATGAATGTTCAAAGTGAAATGACGGCGTGTGTAGCTGTGTTGGCTTTGAGCGACGATTTGAAAGGACAGTTGTTGGAAATGGGTATATGTGAGGTGCTTATTCCTTTGACAAACTCGCCAAGTTCGGAAGTACAGGGCAACAGTGCCGCTGCGCTGGGTAACTTGTCATCGAAGGGTAAGTGTTTCTCGGGTGTATATTACTTGCTCCTGTCATGACATCTCAAAACACAGATGGAAGAGCAGCTACAGATGACTACTCAGCTTTCAATGACGTTTGGGACAAACCAGATGGTGGCATGCATCATTATCTCCATCGCTTCTTGAGTAGCCCAGACGCCACATTCCAGCACATCGCTGTGTGGACTATTGTGCAGCTTTTGGAATCAGGAGGTCAGTGTTTTTTGCCTTCTTAATAAGCTAAATAATGACGAAAGCAAACTTTATTTCAGATCCTCTGCTCATCACAAACATCCGCAGCTCAAACCTCTTGGTGCCGAACGTGCGCGAACTTGGCAGCTCACGTTCTGTCACCCCAACATCATCCGCTGGCGGAACACCGCGATCTCATCACTCCCAGGCTCATTCCTACTCAGAAACTGAGACAGGCGAGGGCCATGGCGAGATTCAGCTCCTGGCTCGCAAGATCTTGGAGTTTGTAGACGGAGATGAGCCTGTCATCCCTGCCAGCTTGGTACCGTCTCACATTCAGCCCGGCTCCTCTGTTGGGCGCGATTCAAATGTGAGCGGAAAGGACCACGAGGAGCTTAGACGGAGCGTGCGCGAGGCGTTCGGTTCCAGTTCATATGGGCATCAGTGATCTGCTCATGTGGAAGGACTCGCAGGCGGGTTTCGTGCATCGCGGACTGGACTTTGTTTTTTGTTAGGGAGGTTTGCATATCATTACTCGTTCATCTTGCCATATTACATCTCTAAAGTTTTCTCTTCCTCCTCACGCTCCGTCTCATTTCCTCGTTCTCGTCTTCGTTCTCGCTGTGTATTGATGTCCATGATTGGTCGGCTTCGTGGGCTCGGCATGTCGAATCTTCGATCCCCTTATATGCCTTCGTAACAATATCTCCGATGGTTATATCTCATTATCCCGCCGCTTGTCTCCTGATGTTGTCCTTTTTGCTTCCGTGAACTCGATTCGTGCTTTGCGGGTCTCGGTTTGTTGATGGGGCCATATAATTGTGTTTGTACATGATCACTGCAGCGATGCTGTAGCTTTTATTACGCTTTGTAAATACGTCGTATGCTACCTTCCTCTTTGTGGTTTGTGTGGCATTGAGATTTCTGTTATGGTCCTGTAGCTTGTTTACATCAGTTTTCAAGGGAGAAAGACCTTACGCCTGGAGTCCCTTGATAAGGCTTAGCCTGCGCAATGCGGAGGAACATGATGCGCAATAATATGGGTCCTTGCTGCACGGCTTTCGTCTTTACGCGTCGACAGTGGCTGCACGACATGGCGGCTTCAGCCAAAGCGGAGTCGGGTAGCTGGCGACAACTGTGGCGCGCGTCTATTGTCCTCGAGCCCTTCCTTGTGCCCCCCCGAACAAAGCGCGTTCGCCACCTGTCCACCGGCGATTCTCTTATAAATCGAGGCCAACATGACCAGGCGCTCCAGCAATCAAGCTTTGGGGTCTGCATTTCTGCAATCTTCCTGCCTCGTGTTGATAGTTCCGTTTCGCCGACGCGTCTCCTGCAGTTTTACAGCCCTCGCGCCTCCCTCCTCTCGCCCTCATCCGTGGAGATATAGACGAGGCTTAGGCTAGATCCCCCTGTGCATTCTTTCTTTCGCCTACGAAATTCACTGTCGTCCTCGGCTGCGCCTTGGCTATTCTCCCTGTCTGCGGCTCGTCTTCATCTCTAGGCCTTTTTCTTCTTCCCTTCCCCTCGGATCCTCTCCCCGTAACTTATCTAGTCCACCTCAGCCATGCGTCTTCCCTCCGCCCTTCTAGTTCTTGCCGTAGCACAGGCGCTCCCCGCCGATGCCGGCGTGATCAGGCATGCCACCAATCGTTTTCATCAAGTCGCTCTCGAGCACAGTGCCGGCCTCGCGCGCGATCTCCGTCTGGTCTTTGGAGAGACCATGTTCGCGCAGCAACCGAAGGCTCGCCTCGTCAATCAGAAGCCGTACTGCGTGAGCAAGTCCGGTGGCAGCTTCAGTGGCAGCTCCAGTAGCGGCCCTTCTCCCACTCCAGGCAATATAACGTCCAGTGCAGCTAGTGCAGCCCCGTCGACGAGCATGTTATCGACTAGAGCCCCTGTCACCAGCACCAGCTCCAGTGTCTCCCCGACCCCTGCGTTCACGTCGAATTGGCAGGTTGCACAGTCCTACGTGAGTCCTCGTGGATGTCATTTCGGTCGTTCGCTGTCTGATATTTGAATTCTCACTTTAGACCGGCAACTCTTTCTTTTCTGGTTGGGATTTCTTCACCGGCAACGATCCAACGAATGGTATCATCACATACGTGGACCAGAACACTGCGGTGAGACTCTCCTTGCATCCAAGCACGTATTCATGCATCTCATCATTCCTCGTTCATCTAGCAAACGAACAACCTTGTTTCAATTAATAGTGCAGGGAATGCAATCATGCGTGTCGACGACACTCCTCAGGTTTCCGGGAACGATCGGAAATCGGTACGCATCACCACTCAGTTCAGCTTCAACGGAGCACTCGTCATCATGGACTCCGTGCACATGCCGACTGGATGCGGAACATGGCCGTGAGTCTGAGATTTTCTGCACTCGCAAACATCTACTCATCTCAGCACCCTCAAATCAGAGCGTTCTGGACCGATGGTATGTCGTTATTTCAGCTATCGACATCCATTGCTCACTCACACCATATATGCAGGGCCCAACTGGCCAAATGGTGGTGAGATCGACATCGTTGAAGGCGTTAACGACTACACGAACAACCAAGCCACAATCCACACAAACTCTGGCTGCTCCCTCCCATCGTCGAACCTCACCTCGCTCGCGATTACAGGCACTGTCGTTGGCGGGACCAACTGTGCTGCCTTGGAGACGGGAAACCAGGGCTGTGGCGTTCGCGCTGCGAACGTGAACTCGTTCGGTGCCGCGTTCAATAATATCGGAGGCGGTGTCTATGCCAGTGAGTACTTTTATCCTGCTATGGCCTTTGGCCAAATTTTGCGAGATGCTGATGTGTGTCTGTGTAGTGCTTTGGGATGATGATGGCGTCTCGGTGTACTTCTTCCCTCGCAGCTCAATACCCGCAGACATCACCGCCGGCGCACCGCAGCCCAATGGCTGGGGTCTGCCCATGGCCCAGTGGCCTGCGAGCTCTTGCAACCCATCGACCTTCTTCCACGACCACTCGGCCATCTTCGACACGACCCTTTGGTGAGTCCACTTCTTATTCTTGCTCGTCATGGATGATCCTGACCCTCGTGCGTGCCCTAAAGCGGTGACTGGGCGAGCGGCGTGTGGTCCTCGACCGGGGTCCCCGGACAGGAGCAGAGCTGTGCTCAGCGCACGGGTGTGGCGACATGCGAAGACTTCGTGCGCAACAACGGTGCCGCGCTCCAGCAGGCTTGTGAGTCCCGGCCGGCCTCTTCCTCTGCGGCGTGCTGACAAGCTCTTCTCCTACACCGCAGACTGGGAGGTCAAGGGCGTCACGATCTACCAGCAGAAGTGACGAGTCGACACCCGCTATCTTTGACGGACCACGCGAACCGTGGACGCAATGTACGATCCTGTTTTTTATACTATGGTAAGCTCGCCGGGGCGACGCGGCGCTGTGTATTTGGTTCTTAGGGTCTTGTGTTAGATTATTGGATGAGAGACACGACATTCGCGGATTTCTTGCGGTGCGGATGCACCTTGCCAGAGGTGACTCGCCCACATCCTACGACCCCTTCTTCGAGGAAGGAATTTATTCCACGCTCTTTGTAATATCTAGACCGCTGCGCATTTATACGATTAGTTGAACTATGTATTTTGACGAGTGGACTGTGTTGCGAGTGAAGGATCTAGTGTGCCTCCACACGTGAGTGATACTGCGACAAGCCGGAGGATCAAGACAGCGTGCAAAGACAACTCGCGTACTTTTATCCTACATCAGCGGCCCTACCCCGCCCTCACTTCAAGGGAGAAGACCCCGGTATGTCCACCAAACGCTCCGCCGCCGCCGACCAACCGGCCGCACCGCTCATTTCTTCGTCTTCTTGCCCTCCACGAACAGCACCCGCTGCTTCACTGCGCGCCCACCACAGCGCCGCGCGGTATACATCTCTAATCAGCAGCAGCCCATCGAGTTGGCGGCGACGGGGGAGAGAGACGCACCTCGCGGGTCGTACTTGACCGCGGAGAGCTTCGGGCCCTGGCGCAGGCGCTGCGTGGTGTAGAAGAATCCCGTCTGCGCGGTCGAGATGAGGCGGACGATGAGGGTCCTAAGCCGGGGGATGGTGGGTGAGCAGGGCGTGAGCGGGCGGGGTCAGTACTCAGTGCAGGGGACGAGGCGCACCGGGCTTTCGACTTTGCTGCCATGTGTGGGTGCGCGACTGGAGGAGGGCCGTGGGAAAGCTGCCGAGGCGTTCTTCGAGGTTCTTCAGGTCGACGAGGTGCGGTCGATCTCTCTCGCGGTATGTTCGGGACAATGTTGCAGCGTTGAAGCAGGAGAGCGCGTTTGCGCGTCGTATCAACGACCAGAGTGCCTCGGGCTCACAGTTCCCCGGCACGTTCAATCAATATCATCCTTGATGCCTTTCGCACCGGCCCGGGAATATCGCAACATATAAGTTATGATGGACTGTATTGAGAAGAATGATCGCTATGAATTGAGGGCACATATGCATCGCTCCCGTCGCTCGTTGTGCAAGGAGCTTGTGGATGCCTGTGTTTCCGCCATTTTCTATCTACGCATGTTGTGATGGCGCGGCTGAGATCACGCCATGGACTCGAGCGACACGCCTCGGTCCTCGGGCGACAAATGCATTATTCATATGGCTCTCCCACCGCCAAGTCCTGTTCGTTGCTCGTGGGCGTGCGCAACAGCACTGCCGTGCCCTGTCGGACCTGATCCAATCACAGACTCACCGTTGTCGCCAGCCGTCCCAGGCCTTTTGCTCCGCGCACCCATCCGTCTCTTTCCCTGCTGTACCTACCCGCCTCGCGAGCCGCGCCTCGCATCCGCCTCATCCGCGACTAGTAACATACCCTCTTTCCGAGCAGCTCGGTGCTGAGCGCTAGTGGCCTCTGACCCGGTGTCCCCGATCCCCAAACAAAAGATTTTTCGACAGCTCAGCCCATTCTTGGTCCGCATCCCCACCCCATCTGCTCTTGTCCGCATGGCACACGAGACGGCCGCGAAGCGCGTCGTGAAGGTCGCCGTGGTGGGCAGCGGCCTCGCAGGCCTCACCGCGGCCTATCTGCTCTCGAACGCCCACACGCGGCGCGGCGAACGCACGTCGGGAGGCGAGGGCGTCGAGTTCGAGGTGCACATATTCGAAAAGGTACGTCCGGGGTGCTGATCCGTCGATCGGGGTCGGGCTGATGTTTGGTGGTGCTCTCGCCGTTTCTGGTGTTCGTGTGATCGGGGTGGGACGCGTCAGGCGGAGACGCTGGGCATGGACTCGCACTCGGTGTCGCTCGCGCCTCCAGGCCTCCCGTCCGACCTCGAATGGCGCGTCGACGTTCCGATGCGCTCCTTCCAAGGAGGTCAGCCTGCTGCCCCGCGCCCTCTCTCCCTGCTCCCGCCGCTCACGTCACACCCCACCCAGGCTATTACCCCCAGCTCATCGCCCTCTACAAGCACCTCGGCGTCTCCTTCCGACACACTGACTTTTCATACTCATTCTCCTACCTCCCGTCTCTCCCCCCGCCGTCCCCGCACCCATCAGCGAGACCGGACATCGCGCCGACGATGATCTACGACGGCGCCTCCGGGACCAAGGGGATCAGCGTCCCAACCGCCCTGCGCACATGGTCGACGCACCCCGTCGGCCCCGCGCGCCTCGTCGCCTACCTTGCCTTTCTGCTATCCTTCGCCCTCGCCACGCTCGTCCTCCTGCACAACTTCCTCCGCCTGCAGATCCTCGCGGCGCCGTGGTTCAGGAGCAAAGACGTCGCGCGCTTGAGCTGGGCGGCCTGGGTGGAGCGCGCGACCCCGAGAGGGCCGCTGGCGCGGTGGCTACGACTGGACGCGCGGTGGCGGGAGTTCACGCGGGACGTCTGCACGCCGCTGTTCTCGGCGGTGTGCACCGCGGCGCGCGAAGACGTGCAGGCGCACCCCGCAGAGGAGTTCCTCGGTACGTCGACCGCGCTCCGCCACCGCGCTCGGTCCCTGACGCCCTCCCCGCAGACTTCATCTGGCTCACGCTCTTCACGCACCACTACGTCGTCTCCCACGGCGTCCGCGACGTCGTCGCCCGCCTCACCGCCTCCATCCCGCCCGCGCAGATCCACCTCGGCGCCGCGACCACCGCCGTCCTCCCAGACGCACACGACCCCGCCCTCCTCGCCGTCGTCTGCACCCCCGCACACGGCGCGCCCGCCGCCCACGCGGGCTTCGCGCACGTCGTGCTCGCCGCGCAGGCGAACCACGCAGCGCCGCTCGTGCGCTCCTACGCGCGCGCGCTCGCGCCCGGCGGTGGCGGTGGCGGTGGCGCCGCCGCGCAGCGGGCGGACGCGCTCGCGGCGTGCCTCGCGCGGTTCGAGTACCGCCGCACGGTCGTCGTGAACCACACCGACGCGCAGCTGCTCCCCGCGCACCCGCGCGACCGGCGCGACCTCAACTTCGTCACCGTCACCGCGCGCACCGAAAAGAGCGTGCGCGACGAGTGCGAGAAGCCGGCTGAGGCGGCGGCGGTGGCGGGCGCGGGTTTGCTCGTCCCGCCGACGTATACGATGACGACGCAGATGCTGCTGCGGCCGGCGCACCTCCCGCCGGCGGCGCCTGGGGCGCCGGCGATCTACCAGACGACGAACCCGGTGTATGCGCCGGAGGAGGCGCGCGTGCTGTCGGTGGCGAGGATGGAGCGCGCGGTGCTGACGCGCGCGGGGAAGGAGGCGGTGCGGATGCTCTCGGTGCCGCCTGCGCGCGCGGCGTCGTGGGTGGACGACGTGCGGCGATGGGTGAAGGGGGGAGGCGCGAGCGCGGCAGAGGGAGAGACAGAAGGGGGGCTGGGTGCGTTGCAGGGGGCGGCGAGGAGGGAAGGAGGGGAGGTGCCGGGTGTGTGGGTCGTGGGATCTTACGCGTACAGGGGCATACCGCTGCTGGAGGGGTGCGTTGCGGGTGCGAGGGAGGTGGTGGAGCGGGGGATCATGGAGTGCGAGGGGGTGAGGGTGGCGGATGCGCCGTGGTAGGTGCGGGTGTATATATCGTCGCTTATTATCGTCTCTTGCTTTCGCTGTTGCCGGCGCGATGCCGTGGTGGTTTGTAGACTGACGTTACGTGTTGACGTTTGCCTGTGCGGATTGGGTGTACTACTGATATGCTTGGAGGCGCCCGATGGGGAGCGTCGCTCATCCATATGTCAGGACGCACATCGTGGACATTGACAAGAGTGTGTGCACGCTCTACTATGAATACAACGGATCTGCACATCGTACAGTACGGTCTCATACATCTGGTTCACCGCATGCGCAGCTTCTTCTCCATCTCCGCGTGGATGTCCATGGGAGGACCTGATTCCAATCCTGCGAAAAAGGGATCGAGATGAGTGCGTGAAGCCAGCGACGGGACGGGAGCGGAAACGCACCGCCAAAGATGTCGGCGACGTCGATGGTCTCGTCGCGGCCCATGAGGATGTCGAGATGGATGTTGGATTGGGGAAAGGAGGGCATGTGCGGGTTCTAGGGGATTGTGAGGCGAGATGGCGCTCTGGGGATGGGGAGGCACGCACGGCGGATACGAGCTTGCGCTCCATTAGCTGGCGCATGGGTAGGTGCAAGCCGTAGATCTCGCGCTGCATGGTTAGCTGGAGATTGTCCTGGGTCTCTTCCCACTGGGACGCGTAAGCGGCGGCGGGGATGGCCGAGTTCAGCCTGGGGACGTTGGTCAGTGACGAGCGGGGCGGGACTCACGTTTTCGAGGCGGCCCTGGAGCGAGTTGTGGGACTGGAGCTCGGCGACGAGAGTGCGTGTGCCGAAGCGGAGGGTGTCGTGGAGGCCGAAGGAGTTGGCGGTGTCGGCCACGGAGGCGGTCTTGGGCGCCTTGGAGGGCACGATGCGGTATGAGGGATCCTGTGGACGATGTCAGTGAGGGTGAACCGAGGAGGACGAGGACGGGCTGGACGGACCATGGGGGTCAAGTGGTGGGAGGGAGCGAGGAGGAACGCGTCACGCGTCTGATCTGTGTCTGGGGCTCGGCACTTGCCGTCGCATACCCTCGCATGGCCTGTTCGACCGCCTTGCTCGCCGTCCTCCCTCGTAGCCTCTCTGCTCGCGACCCTCTGTTCTACTCCCGACAGAGCATCCACCATTCAGAACACGCTTGATTTCCCTTGCTTTCGTCTGACCGCCCAGGCCGTGCGCCCGAGTCATCCCCAGATTGACCAGCAGCATGTCCGGACGACCCTCCCGCTCGTCCAGCATCCCAATACCCAGCGCCGCATCCACGTCCCTTCCCTCTCTCGACGATGTGATCTCGTTCCCCGCCTCGCCCCCTAACGTCACCCTGCCCCGCCCTCGCACGCCCTCTGGCGTCCTCCGTTTCCCCCCGCCTCTGGCCACAAGCCCCCCTCGCCTGCGATCCACCATGGTCCCCACCCTTCCCACTCACCGCCACCCAGGCGCCGCCATCGCCACCAGCCCCGTCCTCCCGCGCATCATACGCGCCAACACTAGTATTGCCTCGTCCACCGACGTCCCCTGCTCCCCTGCGCCCACCTCCCCCACTCGCTCCCGCAGAACAAGCACCGGCCCTGCCGCCTTTCGCCCCATCACCGTCACCCGCACAGCCAACCCCCACGGACACCCTGTCGCCCCACCCCAGTCCGCTCCGGCAGCGACCACCCCGTTCCCGCGCCCCGCCTACCTCAACCACTCCGCCCTCCGCCACCTCCTCCAGACAGAGCTCCCCGCAAACCTCCCGCTCTCGCGCTACTCTGTGCCCCCGCGGAACGTATGGCCCTACTCCGTGCGCCGCGAGCACTCCGCTAGCCCGAGCGACGACAGCGACGACGACAGCAACACCGGCCCCTTGCCTGTGCGCGCCCCCGGCCCTGCCGCGGCCCGCGATGCGCTCGAGAGCGTCGCCATGGTCGGGAGCAGCCCCATCTTCAGGCTGCCGACCAGGTGGAGCGAACAGGACCGCCATCCGTATCTGAGCGTGTCTGCTGATGGGAGGGACTTGACGTACAACGGTTCGCCCTTTCGTTTTGATGTTCTATCTGACCCACAGCTCTCAACGCGCGCTTCTGACCGATCCGCAGGCGCAGGATATCAAGGTGGGCAGTCTTGTGCTGACTTTCCATGTCCCGGCCACTCATCCTTATGCTTCAGGCGGTGCCAACCTCGACAACGCGGCTTTAGCTCGCACGAACCACCCTATACCTCCCGCGTGCGGCATCTATTACTACGAAATAGAGCTCCTTGGCAAGTCCCAGAAAGCGTGAGACTCTTGCCATCCTTTTATTCGCCCCCACGCTCACAACGTCTTTTCCTCCACAGCCATGTCAGCATAGGGTGAGTGATCGCCGCCCGCTTGGTCTGTTCATCAGATTCTAAAGATGATGATATTTTGCGTTTTGGCTTTGGTCGTCGCTCGCTCGCGCAGCTTTACATCGAGCGACAACCGCCTCAACAAGCTTCCAGGCTGGGACAAGAACTCCTGGGGATACCACGGCGATGATGGTTGCTCGTTCTCGGCCGAGAAGGCGGGGAACGCTTACGGCGAGACGTTCGGAGGTGATCCAGACCCCGGCCGCCCTCTCTCACACACACACAGGAACGTGCTCATCCATCATTTACGCTCACAGGTGGGGATACCGTCGGCGCCGGCATCGATTTCAGTCAGAATCGCGCCTTCTTCACCAAGAACGGGAACCTGATCGGTGAGCCTTCGTCCCTGTGTCGCGTCTGGCAGTTCTGGGCACCTACAACCGCGGCCGTGTGATCAGGCATGGTATTCGAGCACGTCGCGGAGGACATCGAGATCTATCCCTCGGTCGGACTTCGTCACACGCACGAGGCCATCCGCGTTAACTTCGGGCACGAGCCCTTTAAATACGACATCGACGACCACGTGCAGCAGCAGCGCGACGCGATCTGGGCGCGCATCCAGCAGACGAGCGTCGACTGGCGCGCGCTCGAGCCCGGGCGCACCGCCGCCGCCGCCGCGATCCCCGCCGCGCCGCTCGAGGAGCGGGAGAAGGGCGCGGGCCGCGCGGCGGCGGAGGACGACCAGGGGCGCGAGGAGGCTGGGCGGCTGGTGCTGAGCTACCTCGTGCACCACGGGTACGCGAAGACCGCGCACGCGTTCGAGACGCAGCTCGCGCGCACGGCCGCCGTACGCAGGCAGGCGGAGGAGCCCCTGCGCCCCGCGTCCCCCGCGCTGCCCGTGCCCCCTCGTTCTGGCCCCGAACCCGCGACGGCGGACGCCGATGCTGACGCGGATTCGCCGATGCCCGACGCAGACGATGACGATGACGACGACGCGGACGACGCGGACGACGTGGACGACGGGGCGACGCTTCTCGCGGGGGTGGCCAGCGCTGCACCGGCCGCGCGCGGCTCGAGCACGCGCGAGGCGCTCGAGCAGCGGCTCGCGATCGTGCACGCCGTGCAGCGCGGCGACATGGACACCGCGCTGTGGGCCGCCGAGGCGCGCTTCCCGGAGGTGCTCGCGCGCGAGCAGGGGCTCGTGCTGCTCAAGCTGCGCTGCCGCAAGTTCGTCGAGCTCGTGAACGAGGCGGCGGAGATGAAGCGCCGCGTCGGCGTCGTGGCCGCCGCCTCTGCCGCTGCCACTGGCGCCGGCGCTGATGGCGCTGGAGGGGGCGACGGGATGAACGCGGAGGACGGCGTGGAGGAGGGTGCTAACGAGGAGATGGAGGTCGACGACGGGTACGCCACAGCCACAGCCGCGGCGGCGACGGCGCCGGCGACGAAGGGCGCGGCGGAGGCGGCGCTGCGGGACGCGATCACGTATGGGCAGGCGCTGCAGAAGGACTACCGCCGGGACGCGCGGCGGGAGGTGCAGACGTACCTCGACCGCACGTTCAGCGTCGTCGCGTACCACTTCCCGCTCGAGGCGGGCGGCGCGGTGGGCGCGTGGGCGGGGCAGGAGGCGCGCGACGCGCTCGCGGCGGAGATCAACCAGGCCATCCTCGGTGCGTGCGTCCCTCCGTCGCCGCGGGGTTTTTTTTTTCTGATTTGATTTGATTTTACCACTCCTTTTCGTCGTCGGGCTCCGTTTGCTGACTCGCGTGTGGTTTGCTCTGGGTTTGCCTGCCTGTCCGCCCGCGCACGCAGAGTCGCAGGGGTGGCCGGCGCGCCCCGCGCTCGAGCGCGTGTACCGCCAGACGGCCGCGAGCCTCGTGCAGCTCGGCTACATGGGCATCGGCGCGGCCGTCTTCGCGGACCTGCAGCGCGAGCTGCTCGACGGCTGAGCGCGGAGCCGCGCGCGCCGCCTCCTGCTCCTCCCACGCGCACACCACGCATATGTACGCCGCCCCGCTCAGCCTTTCGGTCTTCCGGCCTCTTTGATGTTTTTTTTCTTTTTTCTTTTTTGTTCCGTGTCTTTTCTTTTCTTTCAGTCTCGCGTTTTTTTTTTTTTAGTTTGTATTTGTTTTTCAGCGCGCCCGTGCGGGCGTGCGGGGGGGTTCGCTGTACGAGAACGAGAAGGGGGTGGTGCTGTATGTAGTTGGGTTCCGTAACTGTGGACGAGAACAAATGAAGCGGCCCGGGGCGCCGCGGTGTTGAATATTCCCCCCTCTATCGACGCGAGCCTCTAATCACACGCAAAATCACGCGAGATCACAAAGTCGTATGTCCCGAGATAAATATTACAACAGGAGAGGCGGGGATGATCGTCATTCGATGCGATACGATGCGAAGTCTAAAGAGCAAGCGAGCGAGCGAGCGAGCGCTGGTCCTGTAGTACCAGATTACCAGCGGAGGGGAGGGACAGGTATGGATACATGCAGGAGGGGAGGGGTGGGTCGTCGTGGCGGTCGGGGCGGTGCTGGGGGAGATGCAGTACGGTATTAGGCGGTCCATGCATGCGGATAACGAAGAGCGTGCGTGAGTCGGATAGATACAGTGCGGGAGAGGGAGAAGCGGAAGGGTGGGGCGGAGAGGCTACGAGCCGACGGTGAAGGACTCGCCGCACCCGCACGCGTCCTTAATGTTCGGGTTCTTGAACGCGAACTTGGAGCTGCAAGCGGCAGAAACGGAGACGTGTGAGCACGGGTGGAAGAGGGTCATTGGCACGGCACGAACCTGAGCGCGTCCTCCTTCCAGTCCATCTCGCTGCCGATGATGGAGAAGAGGGCCTTGCTGTCGATGAGGACGCGGACGCCGTCCTGCTCGACGACCTCGTCGAACTTTGCGGGGCGGTCGACGTACTCGAGGTGGTAGGAGAGGCCGGCGCAGCCCTTGTTCCGGACGCCGATGCGGATGAGCTGGGGCGTCGGGCTGCGCATGAGGATGCGGAGGCGTTCGACGGCGGTGGATGTCTGTGCCGGGATGGCGCGGGTGGTATCGGAAGAGGCATGCGGGTGAAAGATATATATATATATATATTTCAAGAGTGGACGGTGCGGGGCGGGAACACGTACGATTGTCAGCGCGGCTTTCTTAGCGCGGAGGGCGGGCTTCGGGCGCTCTGCTCGCGGTGCGGGCGGGGGGCGCGCTGCGGTCTGCGGGGAGGCAGCGTCGGGGCTGAGGGGGGTGCTGGTGGTGGGTATGACGACGGACGGGGAGTCGTGCAGTAGAGGGTCGGAGATTGCGCTGGGTGCGGGTGCAGATGCGGGTGCGGGTGCGTTGCGGCCGGACCAGGCGGACATCATGGCGCGTCGGGATGGGGGCAGCGAGGGCCGCGACGGGGGGAGGTGGTGTGCGAGACGGTGGAGGCGGTGGAGGCGAGCGAGGGAGGCCATCGTGGAGGACGGCAGAGAGCAGCAGCGGGCCAGAGCTGACTTGCACAGACCGAGCAGGCATGACTCATCTGTTTGCCGCTGTTGCCCCCGCGTGGTGGCGCACCCCACCCGCCCCTCCGAAGCCAATCGCAGTCCGCCCGTTGCGCATCGACGCACTTTGATTTCCTTCCAGGAAAATCACCCGTCCCCTTGTCTGCATTGAGCCGTTCAGCCACCGGGACACCGTGATCAGTGCCCCAGTCGAGGTGTTTTAGCCACAAACCTCGCAGTGTACAAACTTGACTTCAACGGAAGGCACTTGTCTTCCAGGCCGGTATGTTCATTGTCAATCATACAGGGTATCTCAGAGAGTCGATTCTCTTGGTGCCGAGCTTCCATTCGCCAAACTGCTTGTGCTGTGCAGGCCTATACTCACCCCACGACCCTATTTCATTACATCTGTTTTCAATTGCTGCCGCATGAGGCCGCATTTCGCAGAGCGCGCGACCAGATGTCCGCCTCGAGGTGCTTCCAGGCAACTCTCGAGTGCCAATTGTCGAAGAAGCTCTCCACGTCGCGTTCCGAGCATGCTCACCACAGGGCATCTGTCTGATGACTTGAGCGTCAATTGCACTTTTGGGTATGTCTGCACCACATGCTCTACTCTCTGTCTGCGAATGGGTTTATTGCCTCGCCCGGCCGCCGCCCACGCTATCGCCCATACAGCATGAGCCCATTGTGCTGCTGTCCTTGCGCCGTCCACGCCCGCATAGCGCAGACGCAGAACCCTGTCTGTGGCCATCTCGTCATCCGTCCCAGAGTAGCCTAGCCTATCGTAGCCCATCCTGGTGAAATCAGTTGTGTGTTCTCGCCCATCTGCGATCGGCCAATATGACGCGCTGAGGTCGATATGCCAGAGGGCGTGGGTGCGCCGCCTTGCACAACGCTACTGCGTGCCCGTTCTTGCCCAGGCACGACCGCGTCGAGCTCAGGGATGAGTGACGCAGAGGCTGTGTGAGTCACGCCATGACAGAATCCGTGACGGTGCCTGCCGCTCCGGCTTGCGGCGGCCTACTACCGTCATCAGCTGCACCGTCTCAGTCTCTTCTCCAGCTACTATTTGAGCCTTGCGTTCTCTCGCACACTCTCTCCTCCCTCTCCCCGTCCCTTTCTCATCCTTTCGGCCCAGCTCATGCAAATTGAGCCCTCCTCCGCTCCTTTGATTCCTCAGTAGAAATGGTGAGCCTCGCCGCCTCCGTCCGAGCCCGCACAGGCGTCCTCACGGCCGACATCCCAGGTATACATCAACAGCCAGAAATTCGCCTGGTGCGTTTATTTCCTTTTTCGTTGCTACCTCGCTCAATTGCGTCCCAATCTCCCACACCGAACCCGCCCAACGACTCCCCTATCTCGCCATCGCGGTCTCATCCACTCAGCGAATCATGCATAAAGGGCCACCGCTCTTCCTCTTGCGCACACACCGACCGCCCGCTCTACGAGATCAAGAAGAAAGGACGCCCCGTCTCCCAGTGCGAGCGCTGCCGCGAACTGCGCAGCACAAAACGTGTCCATTCGAAATGCACATGCTCCGATGCACGGACCTCGAGAAGCCATGAAGCCGAGAAGTCATTTGGCACCAAGCGTGAGCCCATCTCCGCGCATCTGCCCATGCGATGAGCTGATCCATCTCAATTTCGCTCCTCGTTGCCCATCGGCTGCAGAAAAGCGATACATTCCCATTGTGCCCGCCTTGCCGAACGGTCTCAAGGACGCCTTGGCGCCCAGCTCTCGACCTGTGCGCCCGCCTGATCCGCGCCAGAGAGGTCTGTTCCCAACCTCCAATCAAAAGCTATCATTGTCCTCATCACGCGCTCGTTCCCGCCGCATGCAGTCGACTCGCTGCTCAACCCCTGCCCGTGCGAGGACGTGTGGAACTGTCAATGCCGAGCGAGCACCTCCGCAGCGGCGACGGCCGCCCTCGACCGCGGTGCCCTAAACAACGGTCTCGCCACGCTCGCACGCGCAGCCGCGCTATGTTGTGTCAACGACTCCGCATCGCCTCCCACACCCACACCCACACCCCCGCAGAGCACACACGGTGCGGCATCCCCCGCGCTGAAACATCCCCGCGCGCCCACGCCCACGGCCTCGCCCACCCAGTCCTCCCGTGCCCACCCCTGCGCCCACCCCCGCGCGCAGCCGAAACGCGCCAAGCGGGCCCAGTCGCCCGAGCGCGGGCCCGCCCTCCCGCCGCTGCTCTTCCCGCCCGCCGCATCCCCCTCTATGCCCGCCTTCCCGTTCTCCCCGCCCCATCTATACCCGTCCTCGCACGCGCCCGCGGGAGGAGGCGCGGCCCGGACCTTGATGCCCCCGTTCAGCGCGCTCACGCGGCTCGCGGGCTCGGGGTGCACGTGTGGGCTGCGGTGCGCGTGCCCGGACTGCGCCGAGCATCGGGGCGCGGACGACGCGCAGCCGGGGGAGGAGCACAGCGTCGGCGCGGCGTTCGAGGCCGCGATCAGCGGGCACGGTGCCGGCGTCGGTAGGGGTCGCGAGAGCAGGGAGGAGCACGCGGCGAGCGTCGACGGCCACGGTCACGGTCACGGCCATGGCCACGTCCGGCGGGACTGCGGAGACGGGTGCGGGAACTGCGTCGACGAAGACGTGATGGCGCTCGACCTGAGCAAAGTGAGCTTCGGGCTCGGTGCCGAACGCGCGTCGGCGGCGGCGGCGGCGCGCGGGCCTGTCCTCGGGCAGACGGTGCTGGATCGGTTTTTTGCGCAGGCGGCGCGCATCCCGCTGCCCGGCGCGGACGTCGAGCTGCCGAAGCTGTGCTGCGGCGGCGCGTGCGCGTGCGGCGGCGCGTGTGGGTGCGGGGGGAGCTGCCAGGGCTGCTGTGAGGACGAGAACAACGAGGAGGAGAGCCAGACGGCGGCGCGCGAGCGCGTGGAAGCGGCTGCGACGGGGTGTTGTGGCTAGATTGGGGAAATATCTCAGTTTTTTTATTTTCTTTTCCAGATCTTGCGTTGCGGTTTGTCTGCTTCTATTTTATTTTTTGTGTTACTTCTTTCGCCCTCTTGCTCACTTTTCACTTTTTTACTTTCTTCTGGCCCTCTGGTCTCTCACGAGGCGATGCATGCTCGGGCACATGCGCGGATGTATATCTATGGTTGCCACGATCTCTCTTCCACGCCCCCTCTTTTGTCGTTCGTTCCTGTTGCACGATATCACGCGTGTACGATGCGGTACCACTCAGGGAACAGGCGTTATTATCCCTCCTCTGCATTTGTTGACGCCGACGCCGAGGCGTCCGCGCACCGGCAGCGGGCGTACTCGAGAGCTCCGGAAATCAGCGCTCAGCATGGCGTGTCTAAAGTACAGCGTGAGGAAAGGCGGGTCGAGACTCGGGGGTGTGGTGTGATACAGGCCCGGGCGGGTGCAGCTTCGGAAAATCGTCGTGGTATGTGTATGTACAGCGCGCGCGCGTGCGTCGTGCGCGTCATACGCGTCATACGCTGTCGAAGGTGTGCAAAGTGGGAGGGAGGGGGATGCTCGGCCGTCAGAGGAGGACAGAGGGAGCGGGGAGGGCCGGACTCACGTGTCGTCTGCCGGGGCGTGGAGCGCGGAGAGAGCGAGTGAGCGAGTGGCGAGGAGGATCGGCGGTCGGCGGCAGCGCGTCACGTACCGTCGTATACCCACCGCGTCTGTGAGAGGCGGGGGCACGGCGAACAATTAGATGGGCGACGGGATATGGAATGAGGGGCGGCGCGCGCGTACCTTCTTCGGGTTGTCTGGCGCGGTGCGCACGTAGCGGTCGTTGCCCTCTGGTCTGCGAACACAAGAACGAGACAGACATCAAGGCAAGCACGGAGTAAGGGGGAGCAGGACGCAGATACGCACAGCTCTTTCTTCTGCGACGCGCACCGGGGCCGCGGCGATCGGTCAGGGGATGCGGTGGCGAGAGCGGGGAGGAGGGACGGGGATTACCTTGCAGGACGCGAGCATGCTCTGGAGGGAGATGCAGATCGTGATCACGCTCAGGACGGGCGACCACTCGTTGCCGAGGATGGACGCGCATATCTGGTAGTGGGGAGAACGCAGGTCAGGGACGGCGCCTGGCTTCGCGGTGGACCGTGGGAGGGGACGTGGGAAGGCGCGACTTACGTGGCCGTTGGTGTAGACGTGCTGTGGACGCCAGCGAGAGGGCCGTGCGGCGGTCAGATCAGCGCGCCCCGAAGCGAGGCGAAGCAGCGCCAGTGAGAAAAAAGAGTAGGGCGTACGGGATGCACGGGGGCCTTGTATTGGTCGTTCACCACGAACTGGACAGCCGGGGACGAGATCGGGTATTGCGAGTCGAACCTGAACTTGAGCGCGAACGCCTCGCCCTGGTGCGCGGATCGGGCCAGGAGGGGGCAGCGCGAGGCGCGGCAAAGCAAGCGGAGAGACGCCCTCAGCACGGTCCGGAAGAGAGAAAGGCGCTCGCGAGACGCGAGCGCGACGCGCACCTCGTATACGCTCTCGCCGAGGACCTCGAGCGAGAGCAGCCACGTCTCAAAGTCATCGGCTTGGAGGAGAGCGATGCCTGTAGCGATCGGGACGGACGGTGAGTGAGTGCGGGTCGGGCCTGCGCGCGCGCGCGCGCAGGGGCGGTGGCGCTGCGCACCTTTCGGGCACCCTTGGACGTGGATGTCGTTGAGCTCTTTGCGGAGCCTGCGTACCGATACGACTGACATCGTCTGGGTTTATGTGCGCGTACGACGGGCAGGAGAAGGAAACGGGTATGGTGGCGAGAGTCGGCTGGAGGATGCTTCGATCTCAAGAGCGCGCGCAGCAGATCAGTTCAGCCTGTATATAACGAGATATGAGATTTGCAGAGCAATGATACGGAGCAGAGCGTGTGTAGTGTCGGTGTGTGAGAGCAGGGCGACGAGAGCAGAGCAGAGGAAGGAGAGGACGAAGATGGAGCTGGAGTTGAGCTGGATATGATGTGATCGCTCGCTCGCGTGGGCGATCGGGGCACAACAAGCACAAACAACGTGCGCAGGTATATAATGCTGGGCTTGTTCCTCGTTTGCCCTCAAAATGTCAGCGTCTCCACCATAGAGTCACTTGGCTTCCCGTTACATTCAGAAGGGATTTACAGGCGCTCGTGGGGACGCAGATGAACTGCTCGCTCTGGTCTGAGTTGGCTGGTAGGATGAAGGCTGGTCCAACATGGCTTTAGTGGGGAACATTTTTTCTTCTCTTTGTACAATTCCATCTGCAGCGGCAATAAATTTTATGTCTTCGTTTGTTTGTTTGTTCGTTTCCTGCAACATACAACAGGTTCTACACGCGGACAACGATACAGCATACAGCGAGAGCAAAGCAATACTTATACAATCTAGGCTTCCTGCGCCTCCATCGCCGTTTCGATTCTCTTCACCTCCTCATCCGTCTTGCTCTCCCCAGCCCTCTTCTCCCTGTCCGCTACGATTTCATCCAAGATCTCCCGCCCACCCGTATTGATCAGCACCTTCGCCAAGCGCATACCCACGGACTCTGCCTCCTCCCGGCTGCTCACCTCCTCCACGATCTCGTGCTGCACATGTCGCGTACCTTCAATCGACGTGATCGTGCCGATGAGCTTCAACCGCGCGCTCGACTTCCCGTCGCCCGCATCCCTGAGCACATCTAGCGCACTGTGCACGCCCACGGGCACGCTGCACCCGCCCTCCAGCACGCGCAGGCACCCGCGCTCCGCGAGACACTGCCACTGCGTCTGCCAGTGCGTCAGCGCCGCGCACAGCCGCAGCGCCTCGGCGTCGTCCGCGCGCACCTCGACCCCGAGCGCGCCCTGCCCGACGGCGTGGAAGAGTGTCGGCGCACCGATGTCGGACGTGACGCGGTCCCCGAACCCGAGGCGCACGAGGCCAGCTTTCGCGAGGATGAGCGCGGCGTACGGCCCCTCGGGGTCGTCGAGCTTGGCGAGGCGGGTGTTACTGCGGCAGCTGTGAATCAATAGCCGCGCAACGCATCATGAGCGGTATTCGTGGGGCGGTACGCACAGGTTTCCGCGCTGTGATGGCCGAACGGCGTCAGATCGAAAGCGGCGACGATGTGCGTGATAGCGGAGGCGGCGTACCACATCCTTGAACGCAAGCCTTGGGTAGTTCCGCTTGAGTTGCGCGACCCTCCGCACGCTGCTCGTTCCGATCACGCTCCCATCTGGCAAATCGTCCAAAGTCTTTACGGGCTTCCCCGCGACCGTCAAGCCCTTCTTCGCAATGAAGCTGTCCAACGCATCCTCCCGATCCAAGATAGCGCCCAGCACGCATCCGTCGGGAAGCACGGTCGGGACGTCCTTCAGGCTGTGCACGAGCATGTCGACCGTGCCCTCGAGGAGCGCGACCTCGAGCTCCTTCGTCCACAGAGACTTGCCCCCGAGGAGGTAAAGCGCCTGGGATTGGTTTTTGTCGCCCCCGGTGGCTATGAAGGATGTGGAGAAGGAGTTTGTGGGGAAGGCGGATTGGAGCGTGGACAGGACGATGTTAGTTTGAGCCTGGGCGAGTGCGGATCCTCGCGATGCGAGGACGAAGGCGCGCGGTGCACCGGCAGAGGGAGGAGCAGCGGCCATGGTTTGTGGGGAGTGAGCAAGGTGAGAGACGGTGAATCCTGTGTCCCATTCTTACGGAGGCCCAATGACTGCCGTGGGAATGATGGAACTTATTAGGACTGCAGGATTCTGGAATCGCAGGCGCCCCATTTGCCCTCGTTTGCCTCCGGTCACTCACCATCCGCCTCGTCGTTCACGCCGGACATAGGGACATGTGAGGAACGCGGGAATGTACTAGATAGTTGGCATGGGTGCGTGGTAACAGCGGTCGAAGGTGAGTGCTGAATGTGTAGTATAAATACAGAAAGCGTGCTATTAGTCTATGTGATTGATACATGGGGAGAAAACAAGGATCAATCATACGCTCATGTACTGTGCCATACTAAAGGAAGATGAGGGTTGGATTGCGGTCATGCCGAGAAGAGTTGCTTACCTTGGATCACGCTTTTCAGCCTGGCTCTGCTTCTGAGCAAGCCGCTCTTCGAACTTGCTGAACTCCTCGATCGCGATGCTCTCTTCCTGGTCTAGTATCTGTCGGATTATGAAGCATCAGCGTCTTTCTTCAATCAACGCGCCATAGACGAGCACGCACCTGCTCCACGCCCTGCACCTCCGGAATATAATGCATGAGCATCCGTTCGATGCCCGACTTGAGCGTGACCGTGCTCGAATCGCACCCTCTACAGCTCCCCTTGAGCTTGACTTGTACGATCCCCTCATCCGTGAACCCACGGTACTCGATATCCCCTCCGTCTTCCATGATCGCCGGGCGCACCCGGGTATCAAGCAATTCCTTGATCATCGCAACAGTGTCCGAGTCTGTATCGAGGATGCGCGTGTCCTGTGGACCCGCGTTGTCTCGATCCGCGTCAGAGCGGAATAGTGGTTGCCCGGAGGAGAAGAACTCCATGAGAATGGAGTAGACCTCCGGCTTCAGTACGGACCACGGATTCTCGGAGTCTTTGGAGACCGTGACAAAGTCAGGCCCGAAGAAGACCGCGCGGACGCCCTCGATACCCATCAGGCGCAGCGCGAGGGGGGAGGTGAGCGCCGTGCGCGTGTCGAGGAATTCGGCGGAGCCTGTCTCCATGACAGAGACGCCAGGAATGAATTTGAGCGAGTCTTCGTTGGGAGTTGTCTCGGTTTGGATAAACATCGAGCGGGCTATCGCTCGCATAAGTAAATGCAAGTATGGAAAGTAATATTGAGACGCACTGAGTGATGGGTTTATGCGACTCGCTGATGCATGGCTCGTTGGACGAACACCAGCCGCAGTAGCAAGAGTACTTCCATGACCTGCCGACCGTTTCGCAGAGGCATGTATACTACGTGCGATGGTAAATGTAGCATGCGGTGGTCTCGACGACCGCGCGAGCTGCGTTCTGGATGTTCTCGCAATGGCCTTCAACGAAGACGAAGTGAATAGCGAAGACGACATGGTCGACAGTGAAGAATGGCGGAGTGACTAACCTCAACCTCACGCTTGTTCACTCTTGCGTCAGCTTACGTGGTATGCTTTTCTCTCACGTGAGAGGAAGTAGTAGCTAACAGGCGCGCTGCGGTCATTGGTCGAGGCATCCATCCTCTCCTGCTCCTCATCTCCCTTGCCGCGCTGTGACTTACCCACTCGACAGCAATGGGCGAAGTCTTCTTCGTGCCGTCGCTGCTCGCGTCTTCTTTCTTTGTGTTTCTGATATGGAAGTATTTGGGCAAACCACGCGAGAGCCCTGCTCTACGATCGGTCGCGATTCTCGTACTAGGTGACGTTGGTCGCAGCCCACGTATGATGTACCATGCGGAGAGCTTTGCGAAGCTCCAGTTCGAAACATACCTTGTTGGATACGAAGGTGCGCGCCCATCTCATGACATTCTGACCCGCTGTTGATCGCTGAATGCATGCGCGTGCAGGCTCTAAGCCCGTCCCCTCGCTCCTTTCTGTCCCCCACGTTCATTTCCTCTATCTCTACGAACCTCCGGCTGCACTTCGCAACCTCCCATTTTTAATTCTTGCTCCTTTCAAAATCTTACACCAGATTTATGCGATATTGTCTGCCCTACTCTGGCGCATGCCCCATCCACCGGAATTTATCCTCGTCCAGGTTCGTCGCCAGAATTATCCTTGATATTTATAGGGACAGAGCTGAAATATGTCCTGGGAGAAAGAATCCTCCAAGCATCCCGACTCTCGCGCTTGTGTACCTCGTGAGCAGGCTGCGGGGTAGCAAAGTCATCATCGACTGGCATAACCTTGGGTACAGCATCCTTGCGCTCAAGCTGGGCCAGTCGCATGTCTTCGTCAGAATAGCTAAGATGTGTGTCTACTGACGTCCCCTCGCAGTGCACCTGGATAGTGCTGAACGGTGTATCGACAGGTTTGAAGCGTACTTTGGCAGATCTGCGTACGCGCATCTCTTCGTAACGCGTGCAATGCGCGATTTCCTCGTGCGTGAATGGGGCCTCCAGTTCGTGTCGCGTAGCATGCATACTGGTGCACCATCTTGACTCTCCGTTGCTATTCTCAGAGGACAGAAGGCCGTCTTACACGATCGGCCACCTTCGCATTTCCACCGTGCGTCGCCTTCAGAAACTCACGAAGTACGTGCTTTCTTTAATGTCCATGTCTTCGGAACCATGATTTTGATATAATCATCCAGCTCTTCCTCCGCCTTGAACCCTCACTTCCCACTGCTTTCCTCCCACCACATACTGCCCCTTTTTCGACTGCACTCACGCATATAACTGACACCCCACCTTCCTCGCCCTCACGCACGACCGGCGAACTCAATATGCCCTCGCTGCGTGCGGATCGACCCGCCATCGTCGTGACTAGCACGAGCTGGACGGAGGACGAAGATTTCGGGATGATGATCGACGCGCTGGAGCAGTATGAGCTGCGCGCGCGAAAAGTCAACAAGCATGTCGGTGAATTAGCCCTCGACCAGGACGCTGTCGGAAAGGTCGAGGAAGGCGGCCTGGAGACAGCATCGTTACCAAAGCTGCTCATGATAGTCACGGGCAAGGGCCCGTTGAAGGAGAAGTATATGAGTAAGGTGCACACATTGCAGAATGCACGGGATGCTTGGAAATGGGTGCACTGCACGAGCCTCTGGCTTGAGCCAGAAGATTATCCGCTGCTCCTTGGTATGCTGCTTTGACGTCTCGTTTTTTTTTTGATCCCGTATACGAGTGCGGGTGTTCATTCATGGGGATCTGTATGCACTGCAGGATCGGCAGATCTTGGTATCTCACTGCACGCCAGCTCGTCGGCACTTGATCTCCCTATGAAGGTCGTCGACATGTTCGGCTGCGGGCTGCCAGTTTGTGCGCTTGACTTTGCGTGGTGCGTCTCCTTTCCTCTCGTTTCGATCGTGCAGCAGCGGCGCCGATCTCTAACCGCGTCGCTTTACCATGCGTCTCCCCCATCATTCAGTCTTTCGGAACTGGTCAAAGACGGTAAAAATGGACTCATTTTCACATCCGCCGCGGAGCTAGCAAAACAACTGGAGGTGCGTACATGCCGCGTCCTTGCGCTGCTTCGTCGACCGCCTTTTTATTTATAAATCCGTCCCTGCTCATATCGTCGCTCACTTGTTCGTTATCTGTGCTACACGCGTGCAGGACCTCCTCGGCGCCTTCCCGCACTCCCCTGCCCTCGCCACCCTCCGCGAGGCTCTGGACGTCTCTACTCCCCACTCTGCCTCTCCGCACTCGCACCTTTTTCCACAATATGCATCATACGCCACGCATAGCCAGGGCGGCGCCTCAGACGCCGGGAGCGACATAGACACCGATGGCCAGGAAGAGGAGGAAGAGGAGGAGGAGGAGTGGGACAGCTGGGATGCGAATTGGGCCCGCATTGTGGGCCCACTGGTGTTGAAGGACGCCGCGTGGGTGTCGTATTGATGATACATTGGACAGTACGGAGTTCCTTACTATCTTTCTTGCCGTCGTCGGGACTTACTGTCTCGCCCCAGATTTACAGGTGCTTGTGATTTTGGCTGTAGCCCCGACCGGCGGACTTTTTTTATTATCCTACATACCCATGCATGACATACTTGTTCGCCTGACCGTGCTGTCTTGTGCTGGGGTGCGCATGGCGTGCTGCGGCCCGCGCAGGCATCAAGTTTCTAGCACCACGGCAAGTGCCAACAGAGGGACGGTCGACGACGTCATGCCGCTCGCCCTGGTCCTTTCGTGACTCCGCCACGCCTCCACGTCCGGCTCTCGCCTGGTCTCCGTCGAATGGGTGAACACACGCACACACACGCGTACGTTATGCGCGTATCGTGCAATGGGGACGGACGCGGCGTGTAGCGTGTGATCTGTGTGATCTGCGACGCCCCGAAACGCTGACGCGACTCGACGCGACTGGGCCCGGCTGTGAACACAGGCTGCTATAGTTAGTCTCTGTGCAGGGCCAGAGGGGACGCTGCTGCTTGTGCTCGTTACGGCTGGGCGCAGCGGTGCTCTCTCACAGGCTTCTGGGCTGACGAGGGCGATGACGACGCGGGGTCGAGAGGGGGCTGCTCCACCGACGACGTATGTGGGCTGCTCGAGCGTTCGATCATGCGTGTTCTTTTACTTCCGCTGGTGAGTGAGTGGGTAGATAATGAAGTGGGCGGCGGGCGAGCGTGCTGGGCGATACAGAGCCCGGAGGGCCGGCGAGCGTGCTGATCCGCGCATCGCCGGCGATGGGGGGGGCAGGGCGTTTTTTGTGTCTGTGTGTCTGTGGTCTGGGGCTCCGAGATGAAGGAATTGGAGCTGGAGCCCGCCTTTGGATTGCTCACGGACGGACGGATGTGGGTGCGTGGACGCGGGTCATGGGCGAGCGGGCGCACGTTCGAAGAACTATGACGCGCGCTCCGGTGTCGTGTGCGTCTCGGGCTGCCGCGCTGGGTCGATCTGTCCTGGGCCTCGTGGCTCTGCTTGTATACCCTCCGGATCAGCGTCCTTGCCTTATCTGCCTCTGAGGCAGCTCGAATGCTTATTCTGGGCACACATCAGCGCATCGCTCTTTTTCGACCTCTCAGGGCTCGGGCTGGGTCAGCTGGTGCATCTGCTCGTGATCTGCGATCGGTCCTGCTGCGCTATACTATCATGGCAAGGCGTCACTGGACGTTCGAGAGAACCCGGGATGGGACTGAGATGGGCCGTTCGTATCGCTGCATCGCATTGCATAGGTGACCCCAGGCGCCGGGATGGGTCGTATCGTCGTATCGTGATGGGGGGTGTGGGTCGATCGTCGAGCGATGTCGAACTATCCCGCCACGCGGGCTGATCGACGCGAACCTCGACCGCAGCGGCCTTCTCGAGTCCTTCTCGTCGCAGGCTATGACCTCGCCGATCGGGATCGCGCGTCGTTCGTAGAACGTGGTGCTGGGATGTACTAGAGCGATCGGGATCGCGCAGCGGACTTCGCTGCACGACGTAGAGCTGGGATGGAGGATGACCGCATCGGCTGCGTTGGCCGCCGCCCAACCCTGTGCAGGTCGTGTGCGGCTGCTCGTCCGCGTCGGTCGGCGTGGATGGGTCTTGGGGGGCACGACGGTCTCCCACGGGAGACGGCAGGTCCTCGACGGGCACTCAGGAGTCAGATGGCCGGTGATGCAGCGCGGCACAAGTATAGCGAGCGAGGTTAAACCTGCCCTCTTTTCAGGCCTGACGGTCCCCTGAGAAGAGGCTGGAGGAGACTAGAGGCTGCTTCGCGATGCACGTCTACTCTCGTCCATTACCGGATGCGGCGCGCGCCCACCGTGCGCCCTCGTGCGCAGCGCGTGTCGTCCCTCGAACCAACGGCGTCTCTGGAAATATGAACGCCCTGAACCTTGTTGGCGAGAAGAACGCTGCCGCGCTAATATCTGCAGCAGCCAAAGACACCGAGGGCGCTGAGATACTGCTGAGATGTCGAGGTGGGCCCGGTGACCGGTGAGGCCCAGCCGCTCCACCGCTTTGAAATGCCGAAACCAAAACTCTCCGCCGCGCGAGCACGCCGTTGCGTGGCGCTTGGCTGGTGGCATTCGTGTCAGCTGGTATCGCTCCTCCTGCTTTGACCAATTGGCTGTTTGGCTGATGGGCTGATGGGCTGATGGGAGCCGATGGGCCGATTGGCTGCCTGATCAAAGCCGATGGATGGATGGATGGATGGAGTTTGGGGCAGAAACTGGTACGCAGCACGGCGCACGGACGGCTCGGGATGACCACAGGCGACCGCCGCGCGATCGAAAGCGACGATGGCGTTCGCGGTATCATCGTTCTCAGAGCGGCGGGGTACGCGCGACGAGCGGAGGCCCTGCGGTATCGATGTGTGAATAACGGAAACACGAGGCTCGCGACGTCGTCTGCTGCCCGAATCGAGACGCCCCGCGCGACGATGGCAGATTGGCGGCCGCTGAGCTGAGCCCGCGCGCGTTGGCGGGACGCGCGGACGAGGAGGGATGTAGCAGAGTGTTTCGGGCGGGGGGGAGCAGGGTCCGCGGGCGGACGCGACGGCTGCGGGCGCGCATACTGCATAGCTGCACAGCTGCACAGCTGCATAATCAATCACCACCGCGAACCGGCGAGCGGCAGAAATAGCGTGTGCGTGTGTGCGCGCGCGTCCGCGCAAACGGGGACCCACACCGCTTGTCACGCGCTATGAACGCGGCGATCCAGCCAGGTCGGAACGAAGGAACGGAGGAAAGAAGGAAAGAAAGAAAGAGATAAAGGGGCGCGCGGCAAAAAGGGGGCCTGAGCGCGTCGAAGCCTGTCTCGAGAGATGTCAGACGCCGGAGCGTCGGGGCCGGGGCCGTCGACTCAAGATCGCAGGGTTCTGCGATTCTGCAGGGTTCTACAAAGTTCTGTATGACTAGACTTTGGTAGTGCCGTGCTTACATGTATGCGTGCTTGAATGACTCGATTCGACGTGGCCGGGGTTCGGATAAGGAGCGTGTCGGCGGTGGTCGGTCTAGAGCGCACGTACACGCATACATACTTACCCACGCATCGGGATCGCGCAGACAGGCGCGTCCAAAACGCAGCAGCAGCAGCAGCCGGCCCCTCGCGAACCCCACGACTCCCCAAAGGGCGCACACTCGACGAGCGAAGCGGAGAGCCCATCCGGCCACCAGCCAGGCCTTCGCGCTTGTGCTTGGCACGCGGGAGCTCTCCACGAAGCCGGCGAGTTTATCGCGGGCGCCTGTGCGTCTTCACCGCAAAAGCTGCGCGGCCAGGGCTCTCGTCTTCGTCTTCGGGAACCGAGGCAGTCGCTGGACGTTGAGAACTGCGGGGGTCGTAATATTGTGTGCTGCTCAAGAAGAAGGCCTCCCGAGCGACGCGAAGCGCGAAATGAAACGAGAAGCGAGGGGGTGGGGCTCCTGAGGCCGCTGAGCGCTCGAGCGCTCCCGAGACGCGACGGCAGAAGCGAACCCAGCCAAGCCACGAACTCCTCGCGAGGAGGAGGAGGGACGGCCGCGGACGGCCGCGGACGGTCCAGACGCGCCAGCTGCGGGCGCGTACGCAGATACACCAGTGCGCTTCCTCGTGAGGCACAAAAATAGCGCGGCGCGCACAAATAGGGACCTACGGGGACCCATACGCACTTACGGCTCACGCGCTACGCGGGGTCGACAGGGGCCCCGTCGAAGCTTATTTTAGTCGCGAGATACGGGTGGACAGCTATAGACACCGGGGCGTCGGGGCCGGCGAGAGGCTCGAGAAGCTAAGATGCCGCTGATGCTGGTGCGGTTCGGATAAGCGGCGTGGCGGCGGCGGTCCAGAGCGCACGTACATGCATGTATGCGTGGATACACACGCGGGACGTGCGCGCACGACGCGACACGACACGACGCGTTGGGTGCGTATGTTTGGACGCGGGCGGGTCTTCCTCGAATCTGGAAGCGCGAATCGCGACTTGCCGCATCTGCACGCGCGCGCGAGCGAGCGAGCGGCATCGCGGGGGAACGTCGCGTCGTGCGCGCGTTGGTGACTCGCTCGGACGAACGCGTCGGAGGTCGTCCGGGCCAGCGTGGGAAATGCCGCGTGTACAGTGCAAGAGGGGGTGCCGAGCGTGCGAACGAGCAGCGCTCGCAATGAGGGCGCGGAGGCATGTGTCGAGTGCACAGAGGCCCGAGGCAGCGCGTCGGGGACGGACGGGCGGGCGGGCGGGCGGGATGGATAGATCGGCGAGGATGATCGCGGATGGAGCAGAAGCTTCCAGGGGACGTCGCGCGACAGGCAGCAGCAGGCAGCCAGCAGATCGAAGGGCGCGCGCGCGCGAAGTCGAAGCGGTGTCAGAGACGAATGGGGATGAAAAAGAAGTCTGGGAAGGAAGGGAAGGCTGACAGAGAGTGTGTAAGTGTGTGTTCTGGGGGCTGCCGAGAACAGGCGCGCGGGGTGGGTGCGTGGAGGCGTGTGTTGACGTGCACGCCGCACCGACAGTGGGCGGGGGCGTCGCGAGACCTGGGTGGTCGTCGATGGTGGGATGTCGGGGTGATGGGGGAGGTCTCGTGTCAGGGAGGGGCGGGGCGTGGACGGAATGGACTAGGGCGAATGGAAGGCTATGGAAGGGCAGCTGGCGAGCGCCGGGGGGAGCGTGGGGAATGGGGCCGGAGATAGCGACGGAGGGGGTCTGGGCCCGTGGGCGGTCTGAATGATGGAAGAGCTGCTTCGGAGATCGGAATCGAGGCAACGTGTTCGAAGGGGAGGCCCAAAGGGGATAGGATGGGCCTGAGCCTGGCCTGGGCGAGAGACGCTGGAGTGGGAGCGAGCGAGCGAGCGTGGCGATGGTGGTGGCCGTGGCGGTGGTGGTGGTGCTGGTGGTGGGACGGGTTGGCAGGAGAGCGATGGGACGAGATGGGAGAGGCGGAGAGAGCGATCGGGGTGGCGACGTAAGAGAGCAGCGGCTCGACGAGCAGCGGAGGGAGGAGTGTGTGTGCTGTGGGGCGGCCCTGGCTGGGCTCTGGACGCGGGGCCTCACGGACGGGGGACGGGGATTGGCTGGCGGTCACGTGGGCAGGTGGTCTAGACGGAGTGACGTCAGAGAGCTGGCTGGAGGAAAAGAGGCGGGGCGTTGTCGAGGACGGCTCAAGGCCATGGACTTCTTTTCCCAACACCATCCAGCCCGCGCCCTCCTCGACGACCAGCGCCCCTTCGTCGACGCCATCAACACCCGCTTCGCAGACAAATCATCCATGCCCCTCCTCTCCTCCGCCGTCCCCCGCGACGATCCCCAGCAGCGCCCCCAGCCCGTCGACCGTCCGACGCGCCCCGTCATCGTCCCACACACCCAGCCCCGTCCGTCCCAGCCCCAGCCCCAGCCCCAGCCCCCCTTCCCCTCCGTCGCGCCTGCAGACGTACAGCCCCTCCTCGACGACCCACACACCCTCGTCCTCGACCTCCGCCCCCTCGGCACACACCATGCCTCCCGCCTCCCCAACGCCATCCCCCTCTCCGTCCCCTCCACCCTCCTAAAACGCCCCCTCTACTCCACCGCCCGCCTCGCAGACATGCTCCCCACCCCCGCGACCCGCCGCAAGTTCTCCCAATGGCGCGCCGCGCGTCGCATCCTCGTCTACGACGCGGACGCCTCCCTCATCCCAGACGGCAGCAACATCCTCGGCTTGCTCCGCAAATTCCGCCTCGAGGGCGCACAGCCAGATCCCACAGCCGACCCCTCCCACCCTGCCCCGCCCGACTCCCACAATCGCGAGCTCGTATGGCTCAAGGGCGGATTCCAGGCCGTCTGGCGCGACAGACGCGACCTCATCGACACGTCCCCCCTCCCACTCGAAGACGACGACGACGACGGATCCCCCCCGCCCCCCACTTCCGTCCTCTCCCGCGCCGGCGACAAGCCCTCCGCTCCGCTCCCCCTCAACCCACCCCCCGTCCTCCGCACAAAGCATCTCCCCATGAGCGCCTTTGGCGTCGTCTCCACCACCTCCCTCCAGCGCCACTCTCCCGCCCTCGCAAGATCCCACCCCCAGGCATTTTCCCTCTCGCTCCCCATCTCCCGCGAGCCCTCCTCGCGCATCTACCCGGCTGCAGCCCCCTTGCCTACCGATTCCACACGTCCGTCTCACTTGCCCCCACAGACGCCCCGCGTCTCAGGCGCACCGTCCCACTCGCCCGCCCCGCTTCATCCCTCGGGGCCCCCCATCGCCACCCCGATCACCACTTCCTTCTCGCAGTCCTACGACCGCCCGCACCCGCCTGCCCCGCAGCAGGTCGCGTACAATCCCTTCTTCGACGCCGTCCGCCAGAACCTCGAGCTCTCGCACGGCATCACAGAGCGCATCCCCTTGCGCATCGGCCGCGCCGAGAAGCTCCGCGTCGGCGACCTGCCCTTTCAGTGGCTGAGGGAGATCGGCCGCTGGGCCGGCGTCGAGGATGAGGAGGATGGCCGCTTGGAAGGCGGTGGGGCGGACGCGCAAGGCGAGAACGTGGCCGCGAGCGGCAGCGGCAGCAGCAGCGAAAGCGAAAGCGAGAGCGAAGACGAGAGCGGAAGCGCGAGTGGGAGCGGGCAGGAAAAGGAAGATCAGAACGCCGAGATGGAGATGGAGCAGCGCGGCCGACCGCAGGCCGCCGCCCACGCGCACACGCACGTTCACTTTCCCTCCTCGTCCCCCTCCTCCAGCCCCGCCCCGGCCCCGCACGCGTCCGCGCGCCCGCGCACCACGTCGCACCCGCACGCGGTGGTCAAACCGGAGAGCGTCGTCGAGGGCTCCGAGGCGCTCGCCATGCAGTTCTATCGCATCGAGCTCGGCGAGCAGAGGCGGCTCATGGGCGTCATGGCGCACCACTCGCGCGAGAGCGGCACCGTCGTCGCCTCCGCCGCCGCCGCCGCCGCGGCGCTGCCCACGTCCCCGCTGTCAGCCGGTACGTCCGCCTCTGGCTTTGTCTCTTCCTCCGGGTCCGTGCCAGCGTCTGCATCTGGACCGTCGTCGGCGCTGCCTTCGTTCTCGCCGCCGCCTCCCGCGAGCGCGAGCGGGAAGAAGAAAAAGAAGGACAAGGCGCGGGCGAGCAAGGCAAAGGCGAGAGCCAAGGCCGAGTTCCCGTACAGCATCACGGCCGGGATCGAGAAGGGGGCGAAGAACAGGTGCGTTGTCTCACGCGTCTCCGGTCGTTCTCGTCATCGCGAGGCGATCGCCCGCGATCGCGTTCGTCATGTGGCCGTTTCTTCGAGATCGCCCCGTTCCTCCTGGCTCGCGGGGTCAGAGCTGAGGCTGACCTGTGACCGCCTCTCGTCAGATACCGCAACATCTGGCCGTTCGAGCACACGCGCGTGCGCCTGCAGAAGCAGAAACCAAAGTCGCAGTCGCAGCCGCCCGTGGCGCCGGTGGCCGGCGCGCCGTCCGCTGCGGGCGCGCTGCACTCGCTCTGGCTCCCCTCGCCCGCGCCGTTCCTGCCTGCGACGACTCTTGGAGCACCCCCGTCGGGGCTGGCGTCCCGTCTCCCACCGGCGCTCACCAAGAACCTGTCGTTGCCGGCTTCGCACCTCCAGTCGCAGTCGCTGCCGCCGCTCACGACGGGCGCGGAGGAGGACAGCGACGACTACGTGAACGCGTCGTACGTGCAGCCGCTGGGAACGCGCAAGCGGTACATCGCGACGCAGGGCCCCCTGCCCGAGACGTTTACGGATTTCTGGACGTGAGTGGCCTCCTCGAGGCGGTCGTTCGCGGCGTTCTAACCCGTCCGCGGTTGCAGGCTCGTGTGGGAGCAGAACGTGCATGTGATCGTGATGCTCACGCGCGAGGTCGAGGGCGCGACCGTCAAGTGCGGGAATTACTGGTCCGGCGAGGTGTTTGGCCCGCTCAGGCTCAAGCAGGTCGAGGTCACCGGCGCGGCGGAGGAGGCGGCGCAGAGCGATCGCATTCGCCCGGGCGAGAACTCGTTCTTCCCCGTGCCCTCCACCGCCTCCGCCGCCCGCACGGCCACATCTGGCGCGGACGACAAGGGAAAGAAGGGCGGCGCCACGGCGGGGCTGCCCGACTCGACGGTGAAGCGCGTGCTCGAGCTGTCGCACACGGGGTACCCGCACCTGCCCCCGCGGCGCGTCGTGCAGCTGCAGTACCTCGCGTGGCCGGACCTGAACGTGCCGGACGACGCGCGCGGGGTGCTCGATCTCGTCGACGCGGTCGAGCGCGAGGCGTCGCGCGCGGAGGAGTCGCGGGGCGCGTGGGAGCGCAGGCAGCCGCTGCGCTCGCCGCCGCCCGTGCTTGGGATGCGGATCGGGAAGCGGTCGGGGAGCGGGTCGGGGAGCGGGTCGGGGAACTCGAGCAGCAACGCGAGCGAGCGTGGAGGAGGAAGCGGCGGCGGCGGCGGGGCGAGGCGGAGCAGCGACGGGTGGGGCGGGCTGACGAGCGGGAGTAGCCGGAACGGATCGACGAGCCCTGGCCTGGACGAGGTGGATTCGGACACGGGGATCATGGCGCACGCGCTGGGCGAGCGGCCGCTGCTGCTGCACTGCTCGGCGGGAGTCGGGCGCACAGGCGGGTTCATCGCCGTCGACGCGGTGCTGGACGGGATCCGGCGGGAGATGCGCAAGCGGCGCGAGGCGCGCCTGCGGGTGAGCCGCGCGAACAGCGGGAGTGGGAGCGGGAGCGGGATCAACAGCAGCGGGAGCAATTCGGACGGGGACGAGAGCGGCGGTGGCGGAGGCGCGGTGAAGATGGATGTCGACGCGGGCGCGGTGGGCGCGGGTCCTGGGCTCGTCGCCCACGTGCCTGTCGTGGGCATCAGCACCGTCCCGCGCACGCCTGCCACCGAGGGCGTGCCGATGGACATCGACTCGCCGAGGAAGGGCGTCGGCGCGCTGCTGCCACTGCCCACCGGGCTCGACCGCCCGCCATCGTCGACCCTGTCGCTCGTATCGGTCCCGCCGTCGAGCGCATCGCCGGCCTCGCGCTCGCTGTCCCCAGAGGTCGTCTCCGAGGCGGGCTCGTCCGCGTCGTCGTCGAGCCTTCCGCTCGCCGCGGCGCCGCGCGGACACACGTCGCTGTCGCTGCCGTTTGGACGCCTGGGCACGCAAGCGCAGGAGGGGCAGCTGCAGCGTGGGGGAGTGGGTGGCCAGGGCCTGCAGGCGGCGCTCGCGGCGAATCTTCGGGCGCGCACGTTTTCGGCGCCGAGTTCGGGGCAGTCGGGGGGTAGGGTGCTCGTGCCGAGCGCGTCCACGCCGGCGCTCGGGCACGCGCCGACGTCCGCGTCGCCCCCGGCCCTGTCGCCGCCCACGCGCTCGTCGCTCGGGTTCGGGTTCACGATGGACTCGGACTCGCCATCGACGAGCTCGAAGCGGTCGACCGCCTCGTCGTCGTCTGTGTTCTCGGCGACGCGCGGCGGGAGCAGTAACGAGGGCGGGTGGCCGACGGACCCGTCGTCCGTGGAGGGCCTCGCGGCGAAGGGCAAGGGCGCGCTCGGCGCGCCGGTCTCGCTCGCGGCGCAGAGGGAGCGCGAGAGGACGGAGGACACGTCGCCGCCGCGCGTGAGCTCGCCCCTGTCGCCGCCGCCCTCGCACTCGCACTCGCACTCGCAAACACAATCTCACGCGGCGTCGCAATCGCGCTCGGGCTCGCAGTCGCAGGTGCAGTCTCCGCCGGCGTTCGACTACGCGGTGCCGCGGCGGCTGCACGACGGGAAGAGCGCGCCGACGCTGCTGTCGACGCTGGACGAGCCGATCCGGCGCGTGGTGGAGGACATGCGGGAGCAGCGGATGAGCCTGTGTCAGAGCCTGCGGCAGTACGTGTTCGTGCACCGCGCGGTGATCGAGGGCGCGCTGCGCATGGTCGACGAGGAGCGCGCGATGTATGGGGAGGCGTGGATGGACGTCGACGGCGAGGAGGATCGGCGCGAGGCGAGCGGGACTGGGAGCGGGAGCGCGACGGACGCGGACGACGCGGGGCTCGTTACGCCCGGGCCCGGGCGCCATCAGCACCCCCATGCGCACCGGGACCAGCACCGGGATCAGCATCGCGACGCGGAGATGCGGCTGATGGACGGGAGCGACGCGGCTTCCAGCCGGCGGAGCGCGAGCGCGAGCATCGCGGAGTCTATGGATGCCCCGCGCGCGTTTTACCCGTCGCACGCGACGCTGCCCGCGATGCAAGCCTTGACGATGCTCGGCGCCGGCGACGGCGGCAGCAGCAGCAGCAGCAGCATCAGCGGGGGCAACAGCCACTTTGGCGGCGGCGTTGGAGGCGGCTCGGGGTTGAAGGGGAAGCGCGGGGCGAGCCCGACGGAGCTGCCGAAGGAGGACAAGATGGGCGAGGTGCGGCTGTCGAAGCGGCCGAGCTTGAAGCGGCGGCAGCGGAGTAGCGACGAGGGCGCGTTGGCGCTGGCGCAGGCGCAGGCGCTGGGCGAGGGCGAGGGCGCGCCTGGGCTGTGGTAGGCGGGACGGACGCTAGTGGATAGTTGGTTGGGCGTGATTGTGAGTGTGCTTTCTGCTTCGGCCCCATCCCCCGTCATTGGCGGGCTTTTTGTGGCCCTTGTGGACGCCGGCTTCTCACGCGTCGTCCTCTCTCCTCCCATATCTAGGAACCGACTTCGCGCGTCGGTCACGCGTGGCCCTCTCGGTCAACGTTGAACCCTCGAGCGCGAGTCGCGAGCGCAGAACGAAAAGTCCCAGATCCGGATCCAGACCCTGTTCGTGATGTGGATGTGGACGGATCGTCTAGCTAGCGCCGGACGGACTTTTTTTCTCTCCGTCACCCTGTTTTGCGGATTCTCTCGCCTAGCCCTGATGTTGCTCGGTTTCGTTCGAACATCCTCCCGTCTCTCATCCCTCGCTCGTCCGTCCGTCCGCTCACCCTGCTGGGGTGTTTGCCGGGACATGCATCTGCTTTTTGCCTTCGGTTTTTTTTTTTCCTTTCTTCGTTTCCCTTGTTATTTATTACCCCCATACATACATCATACATACATACATTCATACATATATGCATTCCATTCCGCGCATCCTTATTCATTCCCGTTTCATCCCATCCATGCATCCACATCTCTCCGCGCCGTTCTTAGACCGTGGCCGTACTCTGTACTTTGTACCCCCGCCGCTCCAGCTTCTCGGTTTCGGTCTCGGTTTCGCACTGGACCTCGGACGGCTCGCCTCGTTTGCATCTGGTTTCGTGAATAGTCCGTTCCATCCGTCCGTCCGTCCGTCGGGGGGGTTTTTTTTCCCGTCACGCTTGCTTGCTCGTTCGTGTAGGACTTTGGAGTACTCGTCTTCTTCTCTCGATATCTTTTCGTGTCTTTTCGGTTTCGGTTTCGGTTTCGTTTCTGACTTGTCCCGTCGCGCGTCCGATTTGGACCGTCTGCCTCCCCTTTTCTTTTCTTCGAGTCTGTATGTACGTTTGGATGCAATGGCGTTGTCGTTGCCGGTATGATAGATAGACTGTGTGTCGTCGTGCAGCGTGGATTGTGCTATAGACGCGTCGGTGAAACAGCTACTGTACGCGTGAACATGTGCATAGAGACCCTATACACAGAGCGACCTTCTTCTGTGTAAGGTCAGCCACGGCGACTAATAGCGACCCATTTTTCCGCGCTGATCGATCATCAAACGTCGATTGCGACACTGCGAGCGGTCTATGTGGTGGGAGTTCCCCCACCCCCGGGGTGAATACAACGTACAGATTCTAACGATACACGCACGCGGCCGTGAATGCTACGGCCTGCTTACCACCACCACCATCGTCGCCACCACCGACAACAACACCGAGACCACTATCCAAAACGAGGCGAGAAATCCAAGAAAGACGCACGACATCGCAAGCTGCAAAGGCGTCGAGTGCGGCGCGGGGTGCTGGGTGCGGGCGGGGGTGTCGTCGTCAGTGGCCGGACGTGGCGGTCGCGGCGAAGGCGATGGTCTCGATGCGGCCGCGACCCTTGCACTCCTTGTTGAGCAGCTCGGTGAGCACGCGGAAGTTGGCGGGGTCGATGAGGAGCGTCTGTGTGGGGGGTGGGTGAGCGTGCTCAAGCAGAGGCGGGAGCACGGTGCGGCGTAGGGCATGGCGGGAGGAAGGGAGGGAGGGAACGAAGGGCTTACGGCGGACCACTCTTGTTGCTGCTCCGCGGGGGCGTCTTCGCGCTCGACGGTCTCTGCGCACGCGAGGATCTGGGCGCGTAGCTTGGGGGCGTCGGCGGCGGGGAGGGTCGCGCGGACGCGCATGCGTGCGCGCTGGATGGGGAGGGTGGAGTCGGACTGGAGGAGCTTGATGCACTCGGAGACCTGGCAGTGTCGGCGTCGGCGTCGGCATCGTTGAAGAGGGAGCGGACGGGGAGAGGGGAGGGTTACGCTACCTGGGACTTTGCGTTCTTGCCGGGGCGCACGCTGTAGCCGGCCTCGGTCATCGCCTTTTCGATGATGCTGACGGAGTAGGGCGCCTGTGTCGCGGGGTCGACGCATTTCTCGGCGACGAGGGTGGCGATCTCGCGGCGGAGGGCGGAGAGGTCGTGGTCGCGCTCCTTCTCGCCGACCTGGAGGTCGCCCTTGGAGAGGATCTGGGTGGAAGTCAGACGAGTAGGCAAGGGGGCGGGCGGCGGGCAGAGGGTGTGGGGGCGCGTACCTCTTTGACTACCGCGGCGGTGTCGGCGGTGCCGAAGGCTTTTTTGAGGTCGCCCGCCTTTGCAACCTCGCCCTTGGAGACGTTGACGAAGACGTTGCTGATCTGGAGCACGTCATCCAGATCGCTCTCGCTGCATAGACACGCGGGCGCGTGAATTTATGGGAGATCAGATGGGAGCGGCGAGGGGGAGGAAGGGGGAGACGGACACGCCGTTGCGCCATTCTTGGACCTTGTTCTTGTAGCATGCGATCTGCGGGGCGGGTCGCGATGAGGGCCTGGGGGCGGGCACAGTCGACGTACTCACCCACCTCGAACCGCTTTCCACCCTTTTTGAGGCGGACGACGGAGACGTTCGTGAGCCTGCGAACGTGCGCCGAGGTGAACGTCGGTCAGATACTGTCGAGGTGGTATAAGACGGACTTTATTTGATTGGAAGGCTGGTTGATGGGCATCGCGGTAGAGGAGAGTGGATGAGGAGGAGATGCAAGCCGATTACGAGATCAGGATGAGCTGATGATAGAGTCCGTCCAGCGAACACTGCCTCCTGTTCCTTTCCCTTTCCTTCCCCTCGTCCTCTACTCTCCACCGCGACATCATGAAGGGCTTCGCAAAGGCCATCAAGCGGTTTGCATTTCCCCGCGTTCGTTCTCCCTTTTGCCTGATTAGCATGCTCGACCAGGACACCGCACCTGGTGACCACCAAGGTCGGCATGTCTAAGAGTGCGTGATTCTTTCTGCGGCAGGATCCTTCTTCTATGATTGTCTGAACCGTCGCATTGCTACGCCATATTCTGATTGACCTCACCGACGACCGCGACCTCCGATTTTCAAATACGTCCGCTGTCCCTCTGTCCTCCCAGAGTCCACCGATCCCGAATTCGACGATTACCAGCGCAACTTTGCCATCCTCGAGACCGCCGTAGAGAAGTTTCTCAAGGACACGAGGGCGTTTACCGATGCCGTCAATTGTGCGTCCCCCCCCCCCCCCATCCGCTTCCTCCATCTCGTTCGCGCGGACGGGCGCGCACTGACTCACATGCGCGCCTCTTTCACATTACGCTCGCATCAGCCCTCTTCACGAGCGGCACCAGCTATGCCCAGCACTTCGCAACCATCTATCATCCCATTGGCACAGAGTATGACCTCCAGTCGAAGCACCCAGAGTCGACGGAGACCATTAAGAACGTCGATGGCTTCCACGGCGCGCTCGAGGAGCTCCGCTCTACCATCTTCCCCGAGCTCGAGCTCATCGACAGCAGGGTCGTCGGGCCCCTCAAGGAGTTCCAAGGCGTCATGAAGACTATCCGCAAGATGATCACAAAGAGGGATCACAAGGTGCGTCGTACCCTCACTGTCGCTCGGCGCGCTCGGGCGTCTGGGTTGAGCGGTTCCATGTTCTTGTTACGCATAGCTCGTCGACTACGACCGGTTCAACAACTCGTTGATCAAGCTGCGCGACAAGAAGGAGAAATCGCTCAGCGACGAGAAGAACTTGTTCAAGGTTCGTGTGCTTGTCCCTGCTGCCAGGCGGGCGCTGATGGGGAAGTGCGTCTGTACGCTCTTGTATCGTCCAGCTCGAACAAGACTTTGAAGTCGCCTCGAACGAGTATGACTACATCAACACCGCCATGAAGCAAGACATGCCCCGTTTCATGGTCCTCGCCACGCGCTTCATCGACCCGCTCTTCCACTCCTTCTTCTACATGCAGTGCGTGCTCCTCCTACCCGAGTTTCGTGCCTCGTCTTGTCTTGTCGGTCTGACAAGCGCGCAGGTTGAACATATTCTACATGCTACTCGAGAAGCTGAACGAGTTCGCCGAGGGCAAATACGACGTGTCGGTCACCCCCGCCCAGATCGCGCAAGAGTACGACGACAAGCGCTCAGACGCATGGCACGTCATCGAGGAGCTCAACATCACGAAGCGAATCATTTCCACATGTGCGTCCTTCGCGCCCCCACAGACTCACCATAACTCCCACTCACCCCACCGCCTATCTTCCTCCAGCCAAGATGCTCGCCAACCAGCGCGGCCTCTCCCCCGGCGCTCCGAGCCTCGGCCGCTCCCCCTCCGCCTCCTCCACCAGCACCTCCCGCACCATGCCCCCCTCCTCCGCCTCCGCCACCCCAAGCTTCAGCAAAAAACCGCCCCCGCCCCCGCCCTCCGCCTCCTCCTACAAGTCCACCTTCACCAAAACCTCCCCACCCCCGTCCGCCCCCGCCCCCGCCGCGCCCCCTCCATACACCCCGCCAGCCACCTCCAGCTCCGGCGGCGTCGCAGCGGCCGCCGCCGCCTTCAACGCCGCGGCAGCGAAGCGCGGGCCCCCGCCGCCGCCGCCGCTCAAGCCGAAGCCGAAGCCCGCGGCGCCCGCGCCGCAGTACGTCGTCGCGCTGTACGACTTTGACGCACAGGCGGACGGGGACCTCGATTTCAAGGCCGGGGATCGCATCGAGGTCGTCGAGCGCACGGGGAGCAGCGAGGACTGGTGGACGGGCCGCGTGGGCGGGCGGCAGGGCGTGTTCCCGGGTGAGTCTTGTCGCTCTCGTGGATTTATTTTATATTTTACGTCTCTACTTCGGTTGGCGGGGTTTATCTTTATCGTCGCCTTCTTGTTCGCCTCGATCCCATTCGTTGATCGTGGAATGTTGACGCGTGCGTTTGTTTGGTGTGGGGCGACAGGAAATTACGTGCAGGATGCTTGAGAGGCTTTAGGACGGGTGCGACGCGGAGCTCAATGCGCGGCTCGCGGCGTCGACGGACTCAGCTACTTATCAGTATAAACACAACATGGAAGAAGCGGCCGTGCGGCGTCGGGCCGGGCCAGAACGGAAACATGTGTACGATCATATCAGATTAACTCGTCCCAGCGACAGACATTCGTCTCGCTTGCCTCGTTCATTCGTTCGTTCGTCCGCCGACCGTTTATGCTAGCAGGAGGGCTCGCAGAGGGTGTCTCCCCGGATAACTCCTACACCATACCATACCACACCCCCCTCTCTCTCCCTGACCCGCTTTCTGTTCTTCTCATCATCATTATTCGGTCCTCCGTTCTTCGTTGTACCTACCTTTTCCGATTATCTCGCGGGTGCCCGTACACAAACGGGCCATAATCGCACATGCCTCGCGAGCGCGAGCGTTCTACAACCGTTTAATAATACACGACGGAGGTCTACTCGAACAAAAGGCTGCGTAAAAAGAGAGATAGAGAGAAAGTGCGACATGGATTAAGACGCTCGAGTGAACAAGGGGAAGATCAGAACCAAAAAGACCGAGCTTCCCAACAAGGGGAGGCCCACGCACCAACGCGCAGACGCACAGACGACGCACCACAACACAACGCGCAAGGAACAATAATATAGTAGATAGACCGTAAACTAAACCGCGCCGAGTCGAGTCCTCTCTAGCGACCCACGACCTCGACCACGCGTATCGAACACGACCGAATGCGCCCGCTAGTCGTCGTTGCTCGGCGTCAGATACTCGTCGTCGCTGACGATCTGCTTCCGCCCACTCTTCAGCTTGGGTAGTACCGGCCGCTCGTCCTCATCCATCGGCGTGAGCGCCTCGTCCATCCCGCCCGCCGCCGCCCCTGCCCCTGCCCCCGCCGCCTCGGGCGCCCCGGGCGCTACCCCGGGCGGCGAGGGCGCGGGCATGACGGCGTCCGCGCCGGGGAGGCCAGAGCCGATGACGGCGCGCTGGAAGACGTTGTTGAACACGCGCTCCATCTCGATCGCGTCGATGTACACCCAGGAGCCCTCCTGGTTGTACGTCCGCGCGTTGCTGAACATCAGCCGCGCGTCGTCGCGGAACTGCGTCACGGTCTTGTACTGGTGCGCGCTGATGCGCTTGCGCATGTGCGAGAGCGCGATCGGCGAGTGGATCACGCGGTAGTAGTCGGGGTAGTCCTGCGTCGCAAAACAAAAGGGGGATGTCAGGGCTCGTGTCGGCGGCGCGAGGAGAGAGGAGGGTTCGTACCCTCTTATCTGGCAGCTCTCTGAACAGCTCGCAGCGTTTTCGCCCGTTCTCGTCCGTACACGACAAGAGCGCCTTGTAGCACTCGTTGAACACCTTCTTCATCTTCTCTTTGACGGCGGGGGTCAACTCGGGTACCCGCGTCTTCCGGCGTTTCTGTCGCACGACGCAGACACGTCAGCACACCCGACCATTAGAAATCAAGAGAGTAAGGAACGCACCGAGTCCCGGTCGTCGTCGTCGTCGTCCTGCACAGATGGCGTCACCGACATGGACTTGATCCCCCGTTTCCGCTTGCCGTTGACGGGCTCAAAGTCCTCAACCGCCTTCGCCTTGCCCTTCCGCCCGCGGCCACGACCGTCGGACATCGGGGTGCCCGCCCCGGACTCGGTGTCTCGGAGCAGCTTGTTTGTCGCTCGCCGATCCTTCTTCTCCCGATTCCGTTCGGCGAGCTCGAACACGTCCTCGCCTTCCTCCAGAGCCTGTAGATAGGACGCATAAACAAACTGCCCAGCTCAGGACGGTCACGAGGGAGCACTCACCATCGCCCACTGATCGTCGCTGAGCCCGTCGTTGTAATTGACGATGGCCCGCCGACGATGCCCCCGGCCCTCCATCTCGTCCAGGTCCTCCTTGACGTCGAACGGCTCGTCGGTCTGGTAGCACTCCGGCAGCTCTTCGAGCTGCATGAGCGGCTGAGGCGGCTTGCCCCGGTTGCCCGCGGCCTTCCACGCCATCGCCAGCTCGCGCTCCCGCTGGATGTCGAGATCGGAGAAGAACTTCTCCTCCTCGTCCGTGCGCGCGATGATGCTGTTGATCTCGTCGTCGTTCATGTCGCCCGCCTCCTCGTTCTCTTCTTCCTGGTCGGCCTCCAAAATCGAGCGCTAAAAGGCACAGACTAAGTATCGCGTGTACACGAATAGACGGAGCCACGACGACGAACCAAAAACTCTTCCTGCTCCTCCTGCGTCGATTTGTTGTCGAATCGACCGGCTTGGATAACCTTGTCATCGATGTCGAGCTTGTAGCGCGCGCGCGCATACATGGCCTCCTCCACGCTCTTCTCCGTGATGAGACGCAAGATGCGCACGGCCTTGGTCTGGCCAATACGATGCGCACGATCCTGCGCTTGCAGATCAGCATGGGGATTCCTAAACCGAAGCGATCAGTCTACGCCAACACAGACACACGCAAGGGACCGACCAGTCGGAGTCGAAGATGATCACGGTGTCGGCAGTCTGCAAGTTCAGCCCGAGACCGCCAGCCCTCGTGGACAAGATGAAGACCATGATCTCTGAGTCCTTGGCATTGAACGCCTGCACGTGCCCCGCACGCTCGTCCGTCTTGGTGCCACCGTCGAGGCGAAGGTACTTGTAGCCCATCATCTTGAGGAAGTCCTCCATGATGTCCATCACCCGCGTCATCTGGAAGAAAATGAGGACCTGCGCAGAACGACCGGCGGTCAGAATGACAGGACAAGAGAGCGCAAGCCGAAAACCGTACTCTGTGGCCGCGTAGGAAAAACTTTGGCAAGACGCGAGACAGCAGCTCGATCTTGCCCGAGGAGCGGATCAGCTTGTCGTCGATGAGGCCGGCGGGGTTCATCTTGTCCTCGACGCTCTCGAACAGGAACGGGTGCTGGCATATCTTTCGCAGCTGCATCAGCTCGTTGCTCAGACCCTTGACCCCGCTTTGCTTGCTGCACGAATGCTCTCAGTAAGATTGGGAGGGAAACGGAGCGCAGATGTGCGTACCCCTTGCTGTCCTTTCCGTCGGCGATCATCTTGTACTTCTTCATCTGCTTGTACAGCTGCGTCTGCAGCGCGCTCATCCGCACCTTGACGACTTTCTCGACCTTGTCGGGCAACTCCGACTCGACGTCCTGCTTGAGACGGCGCAAGAGGAAGGGACGGAGCACCTTATGCAAGCGACGGATGATGAGCAGCGCCTCTTCTTCGTTCAGCTCGATCTTGTCGCCCGTGCCGGAGTTCGCGAACGGCGTGTTGAACCACTCGTCGAACGACTTGACCGAGTTGAAGATCTTGGGGAGGGCGAAGTTCAGCAGCGCCCAAAGTTCGGGGAGGTTGTTCTGGAGCGGGGTGCCGGTGAGGATGAGGCGATAGCGGGAGTGGTAGAACGTGGACAGGGTCTGCGAGAGCTTGGACTGGGTGTTCTTCATACGATGACCCTCGTCTACGAGCCACGTCAGACACGGAACCGAACGACACGCGAAGGAAACACCTACCGATGATCATGTGCACCCACTTGAGCTTGCTCAGGTGGGGTCGATCCTTGATGATGTACTCGTAGGTCGTCAGCAACACCTGGAAGTTGCCCGTCCTGATGTCACCCTGGAGCAACCGACGCTGCGCCGGGTTGCCCTTGTACGAGATCGTCCTGACCGCCGGCGCCCACTTGGCGAACTCGCCCGACCAGTTGGTGAGGGTCGACAACGGGACGATCACCAGGTAGGGACCGCGCTGCTTCTTAACTTCGATGAGGAAGGCGATGAGCGAGATCGTCTGGATCGTCTTTCCGAGACCCTGAAAGACAACGACAAGCGGTCAGGGCGGGCTCGAGCCGGGTTCAGACGAGGGCGCTCACCATCTCGTCTGCGAGGATACCGTTGAGCTTGTTGTTGTACAGGCTGACCATCCACTGCAAACCCTTGAGCTGGTAGTCCTTGAGCGTGCCGCCCACGAGCAGGCTCGGCTGCCGAGTGACCTTCTCCTTGATCTTGTGAGCGACGGCGTAATAGTCGATCTTCCCCTTATCGTCTTGCGAGTCGTCCAGGGACTTCTTTGCGCCGAACGTCTCCTCGGTGGCTGGGCCCTCCTCGGACTCGAACGGAATGGCGGGGCCCGTGTCGGCGTGCTCACTCTGCTGCGTCATGACCGCCTGGGCGAGCGAGTCAAGGTACGAGTCGGTCTGCTTGAGGAGGTGGGTGATGCGCGTGTCCTTGGCGGTGTCGATGAGCTTCATGTACGCCTCCTCGTCGTCCGCCTTGAGCGCCTTCAACCGCTCCTTGGAGATGCGCTCGATGCGCTTCTGCTCCTCGCGCTCGGCGTGGATATGGAATTGCAGCACGCTCTTGCCCAGGCGCGTCGCGCGGTCCTGGGCCGCGCGGTTCGCGGCGAGGACCTCGCGCCCGTGCGAGGTGATGATGTTGAGCTGCTCACGGTGCTTCTCCTTGGCGCGAGCCTCGCGATCCGAGCGCTGCTTCCGCTCGAGCTTCTCCGTCGTGACCGAGTCGCGCAGCGTCGGCTTGCGCGTGCGGCGGAAATCTGAGCGGTTGAGCGGCAGCAGCGAGCCGTGGGTGAGGCGCTCTGCAACGGACGCGCGCATGGCGCGCTGCTTGTCGAGGACGCGGAGCGAGCGGAGCTCGATCATGGCGCGCAGCTTGCCGTGGGCGGTGGAGGGCGGGTGGACGAGGTCGAGGTTGATCGCCTTGTGCGAAGACGGGCCAGCGGAGGGCTGGTCGTTCTCCTTGAACTGGTCGTCGTCCACGACGGGCTCGAGGTCGCCGTCGCCCATGGTCGCAGGCATGGCCATGAGCTCGTTGATCCGCTGCTGTATGCGGGCTTCAACGAAACGGTCGCGCTCGGAGAGGAGCTGGTAGGGGTCGAGGCCCAAGGGCATGATGGAGGGGACGAGGAGGCGCTGGAGGCGGGACGCATAGTCGGTGGTGGACTCGTTGCCGCGTTTGATGTAGGTAAAGGGATGGAGGTAGGCGTTGTAGGGGTATATGCTCGAGTCAGGATCTTCATCGACGATAGGACCCACGGGAACAATCTCGGGCTGGGTATCCTCCAGTTTGGGTGGGACATCGTCCTGGCCTGGAAGAGGCGTTTCTGGAGGGGCGGGAATGGGGATGGGGATGGGAAGGGGCGGGACGTCGCCTGGGCCCTTTTGGACCTTGACGGCGTCGTCGACGATCTGAGCATTGGGGTCCTGGATGGACAGCAGCTTCTCGAGGTCTGGGATGACCTGGTTGGGGGAGCGGATGGCCTGCTGGATCGTCTCTGGGACCGGAAAGCCACGCTGGAGCAGCTTGAATGCGTGGATCTGAGCGCGGAGGGCGTTGATCTGGTCTGGGGTGAAGGAGACGGGGGTGGATGGGGGATTGGGATAGGGCTGTTGCGGGAGCGGGCCAGTGGTGAGAGAGGGAGCAGCACCATTCATGCTGTTCTGGGGGATCAAGGAGGAGGGGGCATGGCCGTTGACGACGGGAGTATGGTCCGTCGTAGAGTGGTCCAGATGGGGTCTCGAGGAAGCTGTGAGGTGGGGGGTCAAGGGAAGAAAGTTGTGTAGGCTGGGGATGGATCATACCATGGTAGAGCTGAAATTGATGGAGAAACTTGAGGATCTTGTCGAGTTCGATGTTCGTCTCCGGGGTGAAGCCCTGGTTTTTGAGAGCGATCGCACGCTGAAGGAGGAAGGAGGATGAGAGAGGGGGAGGGAGGAGGAGGAGGAGGAGGAAGGAGAGAGCGAACCTGAGTGAGGTTCTGGAAGCGTTCCTTTGTGTAGAGGTTGCGCTGGGCCAAGAGGATGTTGTTTGGGTTTTGGAGGAGCTGATGTTGTTGTTGTTGAGGAAAGGAAGCGATGTTGGGCGCGGCCATTTGAGATCAGAGCTGTGGCGGGGCCGATTCAAAGTCGCGTCCAACGCCTCGCTGCTCTCCTCCGCCAGGTCACACAGCCTTCCCCCTCAGCCACTCCTTTCCAGCTCCGCTCGTCGCGTCACGTGCCCCGCCGCGTCTTTCTCTGGACCCTGCGACGCGCCGCCGCGCCCCCCCGTCTGCCACTCGTCACCCCCGCCATGCCTGCAGAGCGCGCAGGAGTGAGTGTTTCTTTTGCTCTTCCGACATGCCTATATGCTCACAGGCTGCACCAGTACACCGTCACCATGTTTCTCGTCGACGTCTCGCCGTCCATGGGCAAGACCCGCGTCGTCGACGGCCCCGACGGCCCAAACGGCCTGACGCGCACAACCGAAATGACCCACCTCGAGTGGGCACTGCAGTTCGTCATGCTCAAGGTCCAGGAAATGGTCCGTCTCTCCGTCTCTCTCCCGCTCCGCCTCTCACGCGTCCCCCGCCCAGATCTTCAATGGAAGGAAGACAGACAAATGCGGCGTCGTGCTCTTCGGCACGGAGGGTACGTCCGCTCTCGCTTCATGCGCGTCCCACCGCCGAAATAAATTCATAAGGCACCGACAACCTCATACACGACACAAACGGTGGCTACGAGCACGTCTCGGAGTACATCCAGATCGCGCAGCCCAACGCAGGCACCCTCGCAAAGCTCGCCGCCCTCCGCCCCTCCGACGAAACCGTCGGTGACCGTACGCACCTCCCCACCCTTCTCGGCCTTGCCGCTCTCTGACACTCACCCTCCAGCGATCGACGCGCTCATAGTCGGCGTCCACACCCAAGACAAGCACCTCGACGGCAAAAAAACGTGGACGAGGAAGGTCGTCCTCCTCACCGACGGCGACAACCCCATCGAGATCGAGGACTGGCAGGCCATCGTCCAGAAGATGTCCGCCCTCGACGTCAAGCTCACCGTAGTGTGCGCAACCACCCCCCGCCCGCCCGCCCACCCGCAGACCCGCCACTGACCACCGTCCCTCCACAGGGGCGTTGACTTTGACGACGAAGAGTTTGGCTTCGTGCAAGAGGACAAGTCCCATATCAAGGTGCGTCTCCCGTCGCCCCCGCGCGTCTGCGCTCGTCTCATTCCGCGCTCGTGCCACCGCCAGCGCGAGAACGAGGCCTTCTTCCACAAGTTCGTCGACGCCCTGCCCAACGCCGTCATGGGCACCCTCGAGTTTGCCCTCCAAGAAGTCACGAGGCCCGACATCAAGCAGACAAAGTCCGCGCTTATGGGTACCGTCCTCCGGCTGGGCGACCCGGACAACTACCCGAACGACTCCATGGAGATCCACGTCAAGTCGAGCAAGTGCACCGCCCTCGCGCGGCCCAAGAGCTGGAAGCGCTTTGCGAAGCGCGAGATGACGGAGGAAGAAAGTATGGACTTTGAGCGCGCCCGAGACGAGGGCGAAGACGAGGAAAAGACGAACGTGTTCGCGGAGCTCAAGATGCGCTCGGAATACGTCGTCGACACGAATCCAAACAAGGCCGACGAGGCCGACGAGGACCAGGACGAAGATGAGCACAAGGACGCGGATGACGAGACTCACCACCTGGAAAAGATCGAAAAGGAAGAGCTGGTGAGGGGGTTCAAGTACGGAGCCACTTACGTGCCGTGTCCGGACGGTCAATTCAAACGACTGCCAACAAAGAAAGGCATCGAGATCTGCGGGTTCTTCAAGGCAGATGGTGTACGCCCTCCACCATGCACTCACGCATCAACCTCCACTGATACATACTCACCGCAGTTCCGACGTGAACAAGCCATGGGTGAGGTACAGTACCTGTGGGCAGAGCCCACCTCCGGGAAGGACCAGGTCGCGCTGTCTTCGCTGGTGCAAGCCATGGATAAGCACCAAATGTACGCCGTGACCAAGTGGGTCTCCCGCGAGGGCATGGACCCCAGGATGGGCGTCCTCGCGCCCTGTCGCTTCGACAAAGTAGACTGCTTCCTCTGGGTGCAGGTATGTCCCCCTTCGCATCTGACCTCACGAAATGAATGCGGTGTGACGCCGCGCCGCGCCGCAGATGCCGTTCGCAGACGACATTAGGAAGTACACCTTCCCGCCGCTCGAGAACCTGATCAACAAGAAGGCCGAGCGCGTCGCGAAGCACCCGTACATCCCCACCGACGAGCAGATGGACGCCATGGGCCACTTCGTCGACGCAATGGACCTGATGCAGGCCGGCGAGAAGGACGAAGAAGGGTACGCGCTTCCTCCTCTCTCTTCCTCGCCGCGCACGCTTTGCTCATCAGCGCGGCTCGCAGAAACCGGGCGCCGTGGTTCGACACGCGCCTGTCCTACAACCCCGCGATCCACCGCATCAAGCAGGCGCTCTTCCACAGCGCGGTCGCCCAGGACCTCTCCTCCAACCCGCTCCCGCCCCCGCACCCCGAGCTCACGAAATACTTCAACCCGCCAAAGCGCGCGCTCAAGCGCGCCCGCGACGCCATCGACGACTGCAAGGCCGCGTTCCGCGTCAAAGAAGGTGCGCGCCCACGCCCACCCCCTTTCCCATCCCCTCTTCCCCTTTTTTCGTTTCCTGATCCGCGCCTGGCAGCCCCGAAGAAAGTCGCAAAGACGCGCAAGGACGGACACGTGCGCGCGCAGGGCAGCGACGACGACGCGTTGCTCCTCGACCGCGTCCCCAAGCTCGCGCGCGAGGCGACCCAGTCGCAGCGCGCCTTCGCCCCCGCCACCTCCACCGCCCGCGCGACCCGCATCACGCTCAAGAAGAACGACGTCGACAGCGGCTCCGAGACCGGATCAGACGACGACAGCGCAGAGCTCCTCCTCGGGCGCGCGCGGCGCCAGCTGCCGCTGCCGACGCCCGAGCCCGAGCCCACGCCCAAACTCGCGCCCAAATCCGAGCCCGAGCCCGAGCCCGAGCAGGACGCAGAGTCGGACGCGGAGACCGACTACGGGCGCGAGCCTGGGCGGATCGTCGGCACGCTGACGCCGCTGCGCGACTTCCGGCGGAACCTCGCGCGCGGGGACGTGGTGAGCAAGGCGGTGGAGGACATGGGCTGGGCGGTGCGCGAGGTCGTGCTGCGCCCGTTCGCGGCGCGCCGGCGCGCGGAGGTGCTCGAGTGCATGGCTGCGCTCAGGGAGGCGTGTCTGCTCGAGGACGAGATCGATGCCTGGAACAGGTGCGCGCGCCGTCTTGGTCTCTCAGTTTCTCCCCCTCCCCCCTCTCTTCCCCTCTCTTCTTCGGTTTTTCGAACTCCTCTCGCTCTCTTCCGTCCCCTTCCTTGCTTCTTCGTTCTCTTTTCCCGCGCGAGATCGGTGGAGATCGCGCGTATGTGGGGGGACCGCTTAGCGCTGACACACGTCTTCATTATCATCATCATCATCATCAGCTTCCTCAAGGGCCTCCGCGAGGCGTGTCTGGCCGACCCTGGGAACCCCTCGTTCTGGCAGGAGATCAGAAAGCAAGGCGCGAAGATGAGCCTGATTGGCAAGTCGGAGGCGAAGCGGCAGGGGGGCAGGTCGGATGTCCCGGATGACGTCGCGCACGATGTGAGTCGTTTTTGAATCAATAACGAGCAAGGGTCTCGTCGAGGCTGACGGTGCGACGCTTTCTCTAGTTCTTGAATCAGTGATTATCGTCGGCCGGATTTATTGCGTGCGCCTTTCTTGCATGATCGTGGACGGACACTGGCTGTGGCCGCTCTTTTCTCATATTACACAGCATATATCCATACTTCTATCTCTGTATCATATCGATTGTTCGAAGGTTGGTTTGTACTTACAATAGGCTTCCCTAGTTGTATGCTTTCCTCACATATTACTATCGCTTCGTTCTTGGTTGATCGACCATGACTGTATATTGGATTCGTATTCTCGACACTGATAATAATTCGAACAAAACAAAAGAAACTTCGGGTGACATGCTAGAGGGCGTACTGCGCCGATCACTGCCTCCCCCACCAGCCCCCTAATAAACTGCTCAGTCCTCCCTTGGCAGATGCGGTAGGCTCGGGCGTCGGCGCGCGCTGCTCTTCCAGCTTCGCTCTCGCGACCGGCTTTTTCTCCGGGGGCGGCTGGGCCCGCACGGCGACCGGGGCGGCGACGACGACGACGACGGGCTTCTTCCCGGCGCGCTCCTGCAGCCGGTCCATGTCGAGCTGCACGTAGTTGAGCGCGACGTCGAAGAAGAGCGGCTTCTTGTGCGCCGCGGCGTCCGCGTCGAGCGCGCCGCCGTTGTGGAGGAACCACGCGGTGCGGAAGCGGAGGCCGTCCGCGTCGAGCGCGCCCTCGAGCGCGTCGAGGTCGGCGGAGGGGGAGAGCGAGAAGAAGGGCGCGCTGGCGGCGGCGATGGGGTCGACGTCGATCGTGGAGAGCACGGAGCGCGTCTCGCGGAGGTGGATGCGCGCGTGCTGGACGAGCGCGAGGGCCTCGGCGTACCGCTTGGCGGGCGCGTAGCAGTGCGCGAGGTACAGACACCTGTGTGCGCCGGACATGGGTCAGCCTTCCGAGCGCGAGGCCGCCGCCGAGGCGGGCTACCACTGACCTGCGGGTGCTCGTGAACGATATCCGTGCGTCGACGGCGGTCGAGAGGTCCGGGCTCTCGTCGACGATCGACAGGGTGCGCATCTGGTTCAGGCTCTGCAGGACGGTGTCGAGGAGCTTGACCAGCGCCGGGTAGAGCCGCGAGTCGACTTGCTCCTTCGGCTGCTTGCTGGGGCGCTCGGCCTTGTTCTTCGCGTGGGCCGGCCGGCGGGTGGCTTGCGAGAGCAAGGTCGAGACGAGGAGGAGATCGCGCTGGATGCGGCGGGACAGGAGCTGGTACACGATGTAGGCGTGTACGAACTGCACGTCCCGTGTGCCAGCTGCCGATGAACTCGTTCCAGCCCCGCTGAGCTGCAGAGCCGTCAGCTGATGAGCGACCGACGACACGTCGCGAGCGCCTACTGACCTGCTGCGACTCGACTAATTTCCGCGCGACGTCTTCCGCATCGCTGAGGGCAAGCAGGATGCTGTCATAGGCCGCCACGCCACGCTTCGACTTGCCCCCCTTTGCCCTCTTCTCCCTCCTCGTCTGATCGCCGGCGTCAGCTGATTCCGACACGCTCGCGTTTTCCTGCCTCAGCTTCGCCTCGCCCTCCTGTACCTTCAGCAGCACGTCGACAAGCTCCGGGTTGCGGATCGGCACGGGCTCGCCTTCCCACATAAGCGTCCCCAGCTTCTTCTTCGCCTGGTCCTTAGCGACGACCTCCCCTTCGCTCTTCAACTTGGCCACTAGGCCGTCATAGCCCTCCACGATCTGGTTCTTGTGCTGCGACGAAAACTCGGCGACGATGCCGTCCACGTCGTACGCCTTAGCACGGCCAAGTTCGTGCGCGCAGTACCTGATCTCCGGGCCAATTTCGTCCGCAAAATAGACGGCCAGGGCCTGGTCCTTGCTGGTCACGGCCATGTTGGCCAGCTCGTCGAGGATCCCCCTCGCGACGCTCAATTGGACGAGCGCATCCTCAAACTCATCGCGATACTTCAGGAAGCGCCCGTTGAGAATGAGGGTGTAGGCGGTGATCTCCAGAAGGCTTTGGGCGGTGAGACGCGACGCGGCGAAGAGAGTTTGGCACTGGGAGAGCAGCCGAGTCGACCAGTGAACGGCACGGCGGAAGCGGCCCGTGGCGCTATGTCGTAAAGAGCTAGCATTCCCTTCATTTGTGGGCTGCGCGGAGAGGGTGCTCAGTTCCTGTGAGTACGCCCATGCGCGCTCCGCTTCGTAGAGCTGGAGCTGGAGACTGCGGACGGGGAATGAAGAAGCCGCGTCTGGTGAGATGACTATTCACTCACTGTCCGTCCTGGATGCTGGCCTGAGGAACCACGGGCAGCTTTTTGAACTCGCGGCCTTTCCCGTGCGTCAGCTTTAATGTCGACCGCAGGCGGTGGGTCCTGTTAGCACAGTGTTTCCTGCGTGATGGGGCGTTCGCTGTCAGCGTTCGAGAAGGCTATCAAGGTTTTGCGCAGACTTCATACCGGTACCGATTGTGATCGTTGTATCGCAGGCCATACATGGTCCGCTGCTCATTCGCGAGTTTGAGCGCTGCATTGCCGGATAGGACGCTTCACTGCGGCTGCACATTGACGACGAGTGAGGTAAAACTGACCTCGGAATGAAAGCGACGTGTCCGACATTGCTCGAGAGGCGGCGAACGTACGAGGATGTGACGGGGAACGCTGAAGCGCTGAAGCTGAAGGCGCTCGGAGTCTGTAGTGGACGCGTTCCTGTCCCAGTTTGGCGGCCACCAATATTACACTACGCGGCTCACTCACTCAGCATCTCCATCTTTCCGTCCATCCCCACATCACCTCTCAGCACCTCGATATTCGTCGACAGAATGGCCGAGGAGAACCTCCCACCGACCCTGCAGAACGTGCTGGACCAGAAGTCTCTCAAGTGGATCTTTTGCGGCACGTTTCCTCGCTGCTCTCCCGCACACACGCATCCGATGCTCATATACCTCGATCGCGAACAGGTGGCAAGGGTGGCGTCGGTATGCCAATTCACTTCCCTTCACGATGACGAACACGGTGCACATGGCATCTCACACCAGGAAAGACAACCACGTCCTGCTCCCTGGCCATCCAGCTCGCCCAGGCCCGCGAGTCTGTCCTGTTGATCGTACGTGCCCGCCGCATGCATCAGTCTTCCCCCCGCTCCTGACCCACGCATCGCGATCGCCAGTCTACGGACCCTGCCCACAACTTGTCCGACGCATTTGGCCAAAAGTTCTCCAAAGAAGCCACCAAGGTGAACGGCTTCGGCAACCTGTTCGCGATGGAGATCGACCCCACGAGCGCGATACAGGAGATGGTCGAACAGTGTACGTCCGTGTTGATACGTCCGTGATGAAGAGCCCGCGGTGCTCAGACGTTGTCTCGGGAGACCAGCGGACTCTAACGGGATGATGGGGACCATGATGCAGGACCTTGCGTTCGCCATTCCCGGCGTGGACGAGGCAATGAGTTTTGCCGAGATCATGAAGTGCGCGCGCACCCCTCTGATCCTGCTCGCGTCGGCCGCGTTTAATGTTCTCCTCCCCAGGCATGTCAAGTCCATGGAATATTCTGTCATCGTATTCGATACAGCCCCAACGGGGCACACCCTTCGCTTTCTCTCGTTCCCCACCGTCCTGGAGAAGGCTCTCGGCAAGCTGGCAACCCTCAGCGGCCGCATCGGGCCCATGCTCAATCAGGTCTACTCCCGTCACCCAGTCTGACCTCTATCACGCTTCTCACGAACAAAAAAAAAACAGATGTCAAGCCTCATGGGCGGCCAGGCGGATGCGACCGAGGACATGTTCTCGAAGCTCGAGTCGATGCGAGCAGTTATCACGGAAGTGAACACCCAGTTCAAGGACCCCGTTCGTCCCCCTCCCTTCGTCACACGCCGTGTTTTTTCTCCCTGCTCACGCACGGCGTCGCGAACGAACACGTACAGGAAAAGACGACGTTCATCTGCGTCTGCATATCCGAGTTCCTGTCCCTGTACGAGACGGAACGCCTCGTCCAGGAACTCACCGCGTACGAGATCGACACGCACAATATCGTCGTCAACCAGCTCCTCTTCCCCAAAGCCAGTACGTACGGGCCCCTGACCCCGCCTCTCCTTTCACCGCGTCCCCGTTCTACATCGCCCTTCTCGTGCCTCGCATTCTTCCAGAAATCTGAGCTCTCTCTCTCCGCAGGTTCTAACTGCGAGCACTGTCGGGTACGGAACAAAATGCAACAGAAATACCTGAACGAGGCGCACGAGCTCTACGACGAGTTCTTCCACATCGTACAGCTACCGCTGCTGACAGAGGAGGTCCGTGGCCCCGTGAAGCTGAAGGAGTTCAGCAAGATGCTCGTGGAGCCTTTCACACCAGATCTGGATTGATCGCGCTTGCAGCCTTCTCTCTGTATGCTCGCGCGAGCGGCATGTACATACCCGCTACTGAGGCTCAATGCGGATTTTGGGTTTGCTGTCGGCATGTACTACACCCCGCGCCAGACTCTTATTCACCTCCCAGCTTGTGAAACGATATGAATTTCCCAATATCAGGATACTCAGATAGAAGTGATCTCTGCAGTCTCCTGGACTATATAGCTCTCCCTGTTAATGAGGCTTGCTCCACTCGCATGGAGTCATCCCTGGTATCAATGTCCTCGTATGCGGGTGGTGCCTCTACATCCTCTGTAGCAGGTACATTCTTGCTTCGTGAATGAGGCTGTTTCCGTGTGGATGCTCCAGGAGGGCGTCGCCGCGAACGCGATGGAAGTGATGCTGTGAACGCTGAAGTTGATGTTAGGCTCGTTGATGACGAATCCGTGTGTATGGTGGCGACGGTTTGCGCACTGGGTACACTCCACAACGTAGAGTCAGTAACGGAATGACCCCTGCCATGACGCGAGCCTGACTGAACGGTGGAGGGATATGCAGAAGAGATGTCAGCATATGTGGAAATAGATGGGCGAGGGAGCGCTGAGGGGCCTGATGGAGAAGTGTAGGCATCTGGGAGAATTGGGTCGATGCGGAACGGGTCGTCGACGAATGGCATAGAACGAGGTGCTTGGGACATCAATCGCGAGGAGGGATCAAGATTTGGATAGGCGCTTTCGCCGGCCGGCAGGTTGACGGTGTTTCCAGAGTATTGCTGTCGTCTTCGGCGACGAAGGAACAAGAAGAGTCCTCCGAGGCCAAGGATGAATGCAAGCCCGCCAACAACTCCACCAATGATCGGTGCGTAGCTAACAGATGTGGAAGGATTCGAAGTGCCTGCAGGGGACATAGTGTTCGAGGGCAATGGGAATGCAAAGGTGCTTGATACACTCTTGCCATCATCCTGACTTTGATCCAACTACGATCAGCGGACGCTCATGAGATAAGTAGACCTGTTCACCCAAGGGTGAGGCTACTTACCTGTACATGACCTTGTCAAGCAGCAACAACGACTTCAAACCACCAAGTCGACCATTCTGTATCGTCAAATTGTGGAGCCCATTTGGGAGGGACTCGTTCACATATATAGGGACATTATAATCATAGACAGTGCTGCCAGTAGGCTGTAGCTGGAATTGCCCTACAACTTGACTGTCAATTAGAAACTGCTGGTCGGCGTTCGCGTTGGGTGAGGCGGAGGTGTGTGCGACGATGCCAAAAACATAGATCGCGGTGCCTGGTCATAATTGATATACTTTGGCTTAAATTCAAACAACCGGAAGTCATGACGCACCAGTGAACGGAACATATACATAAGTCACTGTGTTGCCTATAGCTGGATCAAAGGAAGAATCATGCCAAGTACCATCGAATGCCTGTGTTGGATCCGGATGCGCAGTGCATCCACTGCAAGGCTGTTCGGAGGGGTGCCAAAAAGTGAGGTTGGGTAGATATTGAATCAGCGCGCCGGTCACTGGATCTTTGCCCGAGTCGTCAATCGTAATATTGAAGAGCTTCGCAGCTATACAAGAGAAACGAAGAAAAAATGAAAGCACGAAGCAAAAGCGCGCTGCCGACGGTGGTAGCCCGACGAAAGACATATATAAGTCAATGTTGGGCGCAAACGTTGACGGTGATTAGACTGGCTGTGGAAGTGGCCACCTGGGACTTCGATGAGCGCATCGAGGGGGGAAAGAAGGCAGAGAGAAGACGGCTAGTATATATCAGATCGGAGGAATAGCAGTGCACGATTCAGATGCACCCAAGATGGTATATGCATGAGCCCGTCTGGCATGTGAGCTCAGTACGTCGCAACGTGCTGTGTAGGAAGCGTCAGTGATTTGGGTTGAGGATGTGGGAGCAATCAGGCGTGTCAGACGTACGTGTAGTTGATAGCATCTGAGAGGGAAAGAGATGCCATCAGCAAAATGTCTTCAAAAGTGATAACGCATGGTAAGGTTGACATGTTACCACTGGGTTTACTGACTGGGATCGGTGTTATTGACGATCACAAGTGAGAAATAACGCGATATCTAAAAGAGCAGTACTCCAAAGTAAAAATAAAAACAAATGCATCAATAGGTATCGCGAAAGGATCCCTCTACATTGTGCGCGCACGGCATCATCTTTGATGCAGCTGCCATCTTGAAAATTCAACATGCTTCCCAGTTTTCATCTCATTAATTATACGACAGAGCGACACACGAGCGGAATAAGTGATACACACATCAGTCGGTCATGGAACACGATATGAATCTGAGTAGGGGCAGGGGAAGGGGGGAGCAAGGAGAATGTGAACTTGAACGGGATATACAATAATAGAAAGGGGGAGATGCGAACGGACACACGACTCATAACTGCGTCGAGACTGCAACAATGATACACGCGGGCAGGCCCGAACGCACATGCGTCGTAGTTCTGTCTATGCTAGGGATAGGATGAATAGTACGGCCAAGTATTCGACGGACTGACAGACATGCGGAACGCGAATCGACCCACTGATGGGTTGACGGACGGACGAACGGACATAAGCGATGGCTAGAAAGACGTGGAATATATAGCTCGAGAAGAAAGGCGAATTAGACCAAAAATACAAAAGGACGATGCGGACTGATGCAAGAGGATAACAAAAAAAAACTCGACGGAGCCAGAGCGTTTGTGTGCTGTCGTACAAAATACAACATGGCCTGAGTACTGAGTGTCCAAAGCTTCGATAGGCTAGCGCCAGGCCACCGCCGCACCGTGCTCACGGTGAGAGCTTGGACGCGAGCTTCTCGAGTATCTGGTTGACCCCCTGCGGGTCCAGCACGACCTTCGTCCCGTCGCACCGTGCTTTGTCCGTAAACTCGGCACAGAGCTCATTGATGTCTATGTTCTGTTGTCCCTGTTCCGTCAGCGGATGGGCACAGCGAGCACTCCAAGAGATAAAGGCGGGGCTTACGCTGGTCTTGAAGTGTGGATGCGACGTAATGCTTCGCCATGCGCTCAGCACTTCGACGTTCTTCTCGCTCTTCTCGGTGATGGGGAAGGTGGCACCTTTACACGTCACCATCGGCCCTTTGTCTCCTTCGGACGCTTTCCGTACGGTCGCAAAGGACGAATCGGAGGCCGGCGGTGGTGCAAACATTGAACTGCCCGAGGCCTCGATGCGCCTTTCCAGATCCTCTTTTGTCTTCGGGCATGTATCAGGTGAATGGGCTGTGCTAGACTCTCCCTCTTTCGTGGCAGTAAATGGCGAGTTGGCGGCGGCGGAGCTCGCAGGGGAGGTGGATGAAGAGGGGGGCGAACGAGTGGTGGAATGCGAATGGAGCACGGGGCTGATGGACGATGTCGACGGACTTTTCATCAGGACGCTGAAGTCCACGGGCGCCTGTGTGCCAAACATACTGCCGCCAAAGAGCTCATCCAACGAACCAGAATGGTTCGACTGGCTGATTTCAGACTGTGGCGACTGTCCTGACCACAGGTTGAATGCCTGAAGGTCGAACGGAGTCGTCGCGCTGGATGTGGAAGCGCCGTTTGAAGTCCTGTTGGCGGTGAAGGCTCGGGAATCGAGAGGAGATGGATCGGCAAAGGACATGAACATAGGGTTGCTCGCGATAGTCTTGTAGGGAGTTTTGGTCGGAAGTACACCCTGTCCATGGCCAAAGTCGTAACTCATGCCGCCGAGTGATACCTGATTATCGTCAAGCATATTGATATCAAACGGCGTCAAAGAGCCGAAATCGATATCTGAAGGGAAACTCGAAGGCGTATCGAGCGACGGTGTAGGTGGTGTCGTCGAAGCTGGTAAGTTTGTTACGACATTTGTGGGGTTCGGGGGAGGATTGAATGAAGTAGTCGCCGCGTTCTTGAAGCTATTTCCGGACGAGGTGGATGCCCTTGGGACAGAGAATGTGAATGAAGACTGTTTGAGCACCAGGTTCTCATCCTGCAGACGACGAAGTAGCTCCTTGAGATGTTCATTTTCCGTCTGCGACATCTCGTTCTTCGTCTCTAGGTCTGCAACTTTGTCCTCCAGCTGAGGAGCAGGTGATTAGACGCCCAGTTCTTTACGTAGAACGATGACGAGGAGCTCGGCAAGACTCACGTCTTTGACATGTTTCTCTTTTCTCTCACGGAATGCTCTCTGGGCTGCCCGGTTCTGTTCCTTTCTCTTCAGCAGTCGGGACTCGTCCTGTGAATCGTCAGGTGGATCAATATGTTATATGTGGCGATAACGCTTCGACATCCCGTACCTGTGACGGGTTACCTGATTTACGGCGAGAGGACCCCTTCTTGTTGGCTGGTGCAATATGTTATGGTGACAAAACGCTGATAAGGTTCGAAGAAGACTGACCGGTGTGTTGAGTTTTGTGGCTGGGGCCCTCTTCGAGATCCTCATCACTCGCCTTGCGCTTCAGAGCATGATCGTCAGAATCTCCATCCCCAGCAGCGTAGGTGCCCGATTGCCTGCGAGAAGAAATGGAGTCATTGACGCTATGCATACTAGGGGGGCTTGGGCTACTGTCGTCACTGAGAGGAGGCGGTGGAGCAGGGGGAGGTAGGTTTGAGAGCTTAGAAGGGTCAACACCGTCATGAAGAGACCCAAGAGAGTTGAGTGCAGTGGTTCCGATATCAGGATTGAACTGCTTCTGCAGGAGAGCGAGGAAGTCGTCGTCGCCGAGCTGAGAGAAAGATGTTGGGGCCTGAGAAAAATCCCACAAAGGCGCTACCGAGTCGAAGCTGTCCATTGACTAGCAATGCGAAGAGATGAGAGGGAAAGGGTGTTTTGTGACGGAGAGGGGATGAGGGAGAGAGATAGGAGAGACGGTGTCGGGGGTAGGGGAGACGGCGTCGAGGAGGGATCGGAAGAGGGAGATCAGCAATTAGCCGCCTAGGTCTGTTTGGCACTCCGTAGACAAACCGGTCCGTGGGTCCGTGGACCTCGACCCACTTGCATAAGCGCGCTCGAAACAGTCTCGCACCACCCCGACCTGGCGGGGCGCCCGTCCTGTGACATTCTCTGCTTCTCGACAGCGCACAGACGCTGCCATGTTTATATCTTATGGTATGACTTTGAACATAGAGGGAACAAGCGGGTACATGGAGTCACGGACGCCAAGATCGCTCGAGTCATCCGCGCTAGTCGACTGCGAGGCACCGAAGGAGCTTGGTCAGGACCGCGTTACTCATCCATTCCCGCTCGTCCAGCGACCGCCGGCAAGACGGCGTACGTGTCCCCCCAGCGGCCTGCCGAAACACCGCTCCAATGTCAGACAACGACGGCCTTGTTTCCAACGGCCGTTCGATGCCCGTCCTGCACGAGATCATCGTGCGATGTCTGCCAGTCCGATCTTCCCCGGTCTCAAATCTTCTGCATCTCAGAGACACACAGCGCCGACGAGCAGATTCGGTCATCGGCATTTTCCGTCCCGCATACGAGACCCTACACACAAATACTTCTCAAACAGGCTCAATTTAGTCTTCCGTCCCTATCTTCCCCGCGATCGGAACTGGCGACCGCAGAGGTCGCGCTGCATTGCGGTCCGAGGGCGATCACAGACCGCGGTGCGGAGAGATAAGTACCAGACGTGTCCACGTGTCCAATCTAGAACGTAGCGATGAAGCCTACATCGAGGGTCGAGGAATCAGAGAAACCATCGTCGCTTCTTAGAGCAGCGACTAGGCGCCCGTATGGACAGGGACGCCAGCATCTCGCTCTGTTCCGTAAACAAAAGGGGCTGCACTGCAAGGCGCGAAGCGGAAACATAGGTTCCGCACATAAGGCCGCAAGGCCCGAACAGTCCCTCTCATCTAGGGCCAAGATTGCGCCCAATGTCATGGGAACAGTATCCACAGAAGTGATCCGTTCGCATTCGCGAAGAGCGAAGGGAGATCATGAAGTTCCGTTTGGTTCATCGAGCTGCGATATCATCGTCGCCCGCAGCCGCTGGCATCGACGAGGGCACCCACTGGGCACCCTACCCACATCTGAATCTGATGGCCCTAGAGCGCACGATCATCAACAGTTAGCCTTGCGTCGGTACGAAGCCGCTGATCTTACCCCGCTTTATTGACAAATCTATCCAGCGACGCCCCGATGATACGCCCCCAGATCTGCATGTTATCTAGACTTCGCTAGACTTCGCTTCGCTTTCTAGACACTATTCTGACCTATCTACTCAAAGTGGGCATGCTTTGCTAGACATCGTCGATATGATCGTGCCTTGGAATGAGGGCGCTGAACGTATGGAGCACGGTCGTCGTCCTATTTGCGCCAATCACGAGCGGTATTTGGTCGGTCTAGAGTAGACAAAGGCGTGCCATGCTACCATCCCGGATATGTCTGGTCGTGACAAGGCCATAAGCGCCGCGCCAACAACTGACAGGTGTTTGCGATCAACTGTATGCAGCGCTCCAATAGACGTAGACGGTGCACCGCCTGGTGCCCGTTCAGCGCTACGAGGACCCTGCGCTCATGAAAGAGGTTACATTTCAGAGCATGCCTCTCCGATCCGGTGGATTCCACTCACCATTGCGGATCCATCACGCCCGCTGTCCTCGGGCATCGGCACTGCAAGCCACACAAAGTCAGACCGTGCCGCGCAGGTGATGCTATGCGCGGCATCGCTTTCAGAGGCGTCTCGAGCGCAGAGCAAGGAGTTGCGTTACCGCATACATACATATGTAGCTCGTGCCAATGATGACGTTCAATTCCATTCCGGATGGAATCTCCATGTAGCCGCGGACTCGCACGCCGAAAACCAATACCTCAGAAGGACAGGGCATGGACTAGGAATGGACGCAAGTCCGATGGGTATATTGGAGCCACTTCATCTGGAAAGTGACTGGGCCGAAGACCCTGACAGGACGCTATGAACTGGATAGGTAAGCACAGAGCGGAACAGGGAGGTAAGGAGCGAACGACAACACAAAAAGTAATGATACGGATAGAGTATATGCAACGATCAGTCCGATAAGGATATGCGATGTATGCGGGGGAATAAGGTTTTACTATACAATTGACATGTAAGTTTGGAATATGACCGTCCAAATTGCCAGAGGAAACTCACGTAGTATTCAATTTCGAACTTTGAAATAAGATGAACAGATCAGCCAGGACGGAGGCTCTGATGAATATCACTACTCACGAACAAGAAGGCCACCTGACGTGGCCATAAAATGTTCAATCCTACAGGGTTATATAGCTCCTTGTTTATATCGTCGATGAGCCGACGCAGCCGGCTCATCTCCTACGATCGCCGCAGCCGCCGCAGCCTCAATCAGACAACCCACATGAGCCCAGGGTAAAACACCACTGACCTTGTCATAATGGGAGGATATCAAGAGCCTCGACAGATGTAATGAGAAGATATCAAGTGCATTGTCGAGGAGCGAGTGCCGGAGACTGTGCGCGGAAATGAGCAATTCATTGATCGCATTTATAGTCTCGAGGAACTGCGTTGGTGTGATCTGTCATCGCAGGGAGACATTAATCATGCTGTTGGAAAGCGGATAGACATCGAGAGTGTGCTTACGCGACCTTCGAGCTCCAGCGGGTATGTCGGCGAAAACTGCACGATCTCACCAACCGAGTAGTCCCTCTCCACCCTGACAATCTCTCGCGGGTGGTGCACTCCAATCTGCCCGATCGGCTCAGTGCCATACGCACAGTCCAAAGGCGGGGGCCCGAAGTAGTACGAAGAGATGGGTATGGAACGGCGGGTGGGTCTATAACCGACTGAGTCAGTCACAGTCTTCTTATCAAGCGAAGCAGTCCCCGGGAGACGTCAGAGATCGACGCGAAGGGAGTATAAACGCACTGTTTGTTGTTCATAAACGATGCTTCCCGTTTAAATTCCATATGATTGTCGTCTGGTGGTTCGGCGGTCTCCCATGGCGGGGGTGTGGGCGGCTGTATATCGAGGCGCAGCGGGTGTATATCGGTGCGCTGCGGGGACGTGGGCGAGCGCTCCTCGGTCTTTTCGCGCCATTCCAAGTTGTCTTCCTTCCCAATAGATCCTGTGTTTGACAGAGCGGGACTCACACGCCCGCCCGGAGGCTCATAGTTTACCCCGAGGATGCGCATTAATGGCGCGCCGTCCATACTCCCCTCCTTGATGGCGGATGACGAGTACGCAGCATTGTTGTCAGCTCGCGGTTCGTCGGCGGGCGCCACAACGAGAGCTTCCTCCTTGTCCAGCGAAGGGGAGATGTCGACGACAGATTCGGCGTCGACGAGTGATGGAGAAGAAGGGGAGAGGGTCATAGAGAGCGCTGCGGCTGAAGGAGAATACGGGAGCTCTGTAGGATGAGGAGGGCGTGGAGATGAGGGCGGAGAGAAACGTGTCGCAGCAGAGGCATCGTCAACAGAAGTCGATGGCATCGTCGCAGACTATGATCGCATCTGGCCTACTCGGATTTGAGACGAATGCAATGGGAAAAGGAAACGAAAGACGTCAGAAATGAATGGAGAGCGGAAGCGGAAATCCCTTGAACGCACCTGGCCTATGAGGCTGTCGGCAAGCAAGGTTTATGTATGAGGCGCCCGCGGTGCAAGCATGCATGACACATCGCGCGGTCGGTCCTGAAATGGCAATCCTTTGCTCTCAGAGATCTCAGCCGGAGGCACTTCAAGCAAGCTTGATTTTTGGGTCATAATGGTTCATAACAGGCGAGCGGCTATACTAGGGGCGCACAAAGCCTACAGGCATGACGGTTAAAATAACAGGACCTTCCAAAGCCAAATAATTATGTGTGTTGCGGAGAGAAAGAACAGAGGAAGAGAGATCGAGGATCATCTGCGAGGATACAAACACAAGAAAAGATACACCACTTTACGCTGACTTGTTGCATGTACTGTGCATAGGAGGAAAAAAGGAAAGGAGATAGTTCAATGTCACGAATGCTCGGACTTGTCAATGGAACCAGCACTCGACGCCGACATGGGGGCCATCTTTGACACAGGCGATCCTGCCGCAGGATTCATCACGTCGGATAGCTTGTTGCGAGAGGGCGGCTGGGCTGGCGGAGAATGTGATGGCGAACGCGAGTGTGTAGTGCGCTCGGTTTCGCGAGCTGGAGAAGGCGCGCTCGATGTCGGGGAAAGAGTGGCTATAGGTGGAAGTGCGACGTTGCCAGAATGCGAAAGACCAGCACCGATGGGCCGAGGATGGGGCGGCAGAACGGATGGTAATTGTGGACTAGATGGGTAGGAAGGGTGCTTGGCCTTCTCGATCTGTCGGTTCTCTGGCGAGCGGGAGGAGGGCTGTCCTCTGAACGGGACTGGAGATGGGTGCGAGGGTGGAGAAGCAGAAGACGCTCGGTGCTTTGGTGCCTCCATTTTTGAACGCTTCGCGTCGCCCTCCTCCGGCCCCGGACTCAGCGGTCGCTTCATTGACCCAGATGAGCCACGATCCGGCGGAGTGTTGCGCGACCGAGTCGAGGAGATGGACCCTCGGTGAGAGGCCAACGAAGGTGTGGGTGATGTTGGTCGAGGTCCACCGGGCGGCATAGCTGGCCCACTCGTGCTTCCAGAATACGGGACCTGCTGCTCTGGCGCACGATACGACGACAAGTTGATGAGTGCATCGGCAACTCCTTCATCATAGTCTTCGTCGACAACTCTCGCAGGCGGCATTGTAGTCGCGCTGGTCGGAGACTGCTGCACCGATCTGCTTGTCGATCCCGAACCATGCGAGCTCACCGGTTCAGGCGAGTCATTCGCCTTGTTCGTGTAGACGACTTTGAACGGAAGAGCCTGCTGCGGCGGTCGCTCTCCACCATACGGGTTCGGGGTCTCTGTACGGCCGCGATCATCCTTCGTGCGTTTTGTTCCAGCCCGGCGCCTCCGCTTCGGTGGCTCAGCAACGGGGGTCGAACCAGGACCTGTCATCGGGCGCTCTGCCTCCTTCTCCTTCACGCTTCGTCTTCGCCTATCCTTCTGTTCTGGAGCGACAGAACCGCGCTGTCCGTGGGGGCTCTCCGAGCCACGCACGTTACTACCCACGAAGGGGGGCGGGACATTGCGGTTGCCGCCACGCGCAGCATCCGGGGAGGTCTCATACATTCTGCTATTCCCCCGATGCTCTGGGACAATTTCACGATCGATCTGCATCGGCTCTGGCCGACGACCCATAGCAGCCGCAGGTGGCCGCTGAGGAGACGACGGCTGTGTATGGGATGGGGGTCCCGAGCGCATATCCCAATAAGCCCTTCCACCACTGGGGTGTGCGGAGACGGGGGAAGCCTCGCGTTCGCGCATGCGTGGGCTGATCACAGGATGGACCGGTGACACGGGTCGTGGAGGGTAGTAGGATGTTGAGTGTGCCGGATACTCACTACCAGGCCTGCCTCTCCGTTCGTGCTCGTGCTCCCATTCGCGACGTTCCCATGCTGCATCTCGAGAATCCCGGATGTCCCGAGGATCGCGGTCCACGGGGCGGGTGCTCATTTCTCGCCCGTAGGCACGAGGGGAACGAGAGTGGGTCTCAGACTGGCCCGGCCCCACAGGCAACCTCTCGCCTGGGTGATACCGTTGATACGGCGAAGCCCCGGGCGAATGTGGACGGCGGGAGTGGGGTGAGGGGGAGCCAGGAATAGAAGGAGCGTGAGAATGACGAGAGTAGTAAGGGTCGTGATGCGATGGCGCATTGCGCGCACTGTCTGGTTCATGCGAGGGCCCAGGGTGGTGCAAAAGCATATTGATGTGGCGACCTGGTGCAGAAGGGTAATTTGACCCAGGCTCACGTGTCGCAGGGATGTGATCGACATCCATAGGGGCAAGCGGAGTGTGAGAGGGCCCCTGGCGACTCTCGTCGAGTACGACTGGAGGTGGAGGCCCGCCCCTGAAAGGAGCAGGAGAACCCCGCGGTGCAATCTGAGGAGGTGGGGGAAGGCTGTGCTCACCAGGACCTCGCGAATCCGCTCTGAACATCGGGCGCGCACTGACGCCAGAGTGAAGCAGAAGGGAAGGCGTACCGAGGCCTGGAGGCGGTACAACCGCACTGGCATAGGCGGTGGGATGGACATCTTGTGGAGGAGGGGCAGCCGGCAGCTGAGCGCCTGTAGCTTGCGAATGCTTCAAGAGCTGCAGCCGCGAGGTCACGGATACATTCTGAGGGTCCAACTCAGCTGCGCGAGCGTATGCGTCGATGGCATCTGAGATCTGGTTGTTGCAGCTCTCGTAAAGGCTACCCAGGTCAAACCAAACCTCAGGGATGTAAGGGTTGATTCGAATCGCTCGAGAATACGCGTCCAGGGCATCGCGGAATTGATTTATCTGGAAGTACAGAACACCGATGGAGCACCAGAAAGTCGGATTGCGGCCATCGCGGTAGACGGCTTGCTGATATGCTTCGTAAGCCTTGTTGTATTTCTGCCCTGCCATATATGCGCGACCCAGAAGGTACCAACTTTGGGCATCAGCTGGATCTGGCGACAGGTCAGTCAAAGCTGTGAAATATCATGATGATTTAGACTCACCGGCTTCCAGGCTCTTCGTGAGATGATGGATAGCCACATCTTGATTCTGGAAGGGAGTGCCGTCCTGGTGGAATAGCCATCCCAGCTGCTGCAAGACTTTCGCGTGCACAGGATTCTCCGCTACTACACGCTCGTAGGCATCTCGCGCACGCACATGCTGTCGCAAAAATCAGGACGAATCAAGTATGCCTCATCCGTCGAACACTCACATCACCCTGTTGTTCATACACGTGTCCGATTTGGAACCAGATGTCCGCGTTCGCGAGAGGACTTGGTGGGTTTCGAAGTATTCTATCGAAGCAACGCAAGCTGTCGTCGTATTTTGACTGCTGTTTATAAATTATCCCGAGACGGAACAAGACTTCGTTGGATTTGTCGAAATCTTCTCAGAATCAGGATGATCAGTGATTTGAAGGCTTCTCGTGATGCGAGCGGTGTTACCTTTGTCCATTCTCAGGACGGATGAGAAGGCCTCTTCCGCATTGTCTAACGAGCCATATCGGTCGTAGAGGATCCCGATGCCGTACCACAGCTTAGGGTTTTCCTTGATGATTACGACAAAATTGAGAAGGAACAAAGTGGGAGGAGAAGCGCGTCACAAACCTTGGGGTTGGGAAGCGAATACAAGGCTTGCTGATACGCGGAGTAAGCCTTTTGCAAGTCGTCTTGCATGAGGTAACAATGCCCTAGAAGACATACAGGATCAATAAGGAAGCCTCGCTGGTGCCATGGAGTACGTACCGAGGGCGCTCCAAATTTCACCATTATCCTGTTGGAGATGAATCACGCGCTGGAAGTATTCGACCGCCTGGACAAGACGATGAGTCAGCACGTCGATTTGGTTCACAACAGGCCGGCCCAGGGCGCAACCGGCAAGCGCCGAGGAGACGTCGCCTAATTTGGCAGGTACGACTTACCATCGGGAAGTTTTCCTTGACCCGGGCGATGCCAGCAACCTGCGTCAGACCCGGAACGGACATCGGATTGTGGCGAAGGGCATTTTCGTAAGCGGAGAGGGCATGTTCCAGATCGCCCATTTGCTCAGCCACGTTGCCTGATCTGAAATGAGAGATGTGAAACCGCGCGCCAAGCGATAAGCGACGAACCTATTACGAGCCACGTCTGTTCGTTTGCATCAGCCAATTTTTGAATTGATGGCGGGATTGAGACGCCGTTGGAAGCGACGGTGGGGGCGACTTTCGGCGATATGGATGGGACGTGGCCATGGAGAGGGCCGTTTGGGATTGCGGTAGCTGCGGCGGGGACGACACCATTGCCGTTCAGGTGAGGGGGTGGGGGCTGGGGAACCTGGGGAGGGGCAAGGGGGACGGAATGGGGTTCGTGCAGGCGCAGGTCGCGCTCGGATTGTCGTGGGGTGTGTCTCATCATGCCTACTGGGAGGGAGGGGCCGGAGGGGGCACGTGTGGGGGAGAGGAGGAGGGGAGGGCGAAAAGACGACGAGGGAAGAAGAAACGCGATATATAAGGCGTGGAACGGTTGGATCAGGGCCTCGCACGATCAAGGCGATCGAAGATTGCTAGATGCCATACTAAATTTTTCTCCACCTTCTTCTCCACTTATCCGGCCAATTTGTGTATCGGTAACGAATCGAGATCCCCTTCCCCTTTCGGGATTAGTCATGAGCTTAAGAGCTTAACGGGTGCTGTTCTCTGCACGTTGCCCACGCCCCTTCACGCCCTCTCGTCCTCTCACGTCTTTCATCGAACCATGCATCCCAGCCGCCATCTGGGTCTCCGAACGCTGCGCTCAGGATCTAACAAGGTTTCACAAGCCCGACCGCTGGGCCACATTTCAACGCAGCACCTGCGGCTGTGGTGACGTCGAACCAGTCGCTCTATTTTGGTCCTCGCCGTCGGCAGTCGGCTCGGGATACATTACATATGGGATCGTCCGGAATCTGACTTGCCCTATGGCCATGTGTCACAGATGCCTGTCATCAAGGGGCCCGCAGCCGAGTTTCTGGCCTGTGTCATCGTGCCTTCTCTGTTTTTTTTAATTATCAGGCTGATCTGGCCCGGCCGTAGTGACGTGACTACCTCCGTTCGCATCTTATGGGGCGCTTGGCTGCGCCTGGATAACGTTACTGTCAGTTATGTGCACCTGCTCACATCTCCGTCGTGTTCGTAACTGTCCAACAGTCCAACACAAACAGGCGCTGCCAGTCCAGACAATCAACAAGCGTCTGTGGGTACCGCTTTCGATCACATCTAATCGGCCTCCGCACGCTTCCGGTAGGTCGGCCTACCAGCTGCGCATTTTGCCCACATTGCGATGTCTGGCGGACCAGCCCGGCTCGGGCTCGTCGCTTTTTTCGGAGTTGCAAAAGCAGTGCAGGTCAGCTTCCGATATCTCAGATCTTTCATGGAATTTGCTGGAAACTGCCCATTCGATATCTCATTCCAGCGGCGGCTAGTAAGATACCAGTTTCCCAACTCGGAGCGTTTACGATCTTCGTCTGGTGCACGAGCGTGAAGGAGGTGTTTCTATGCAAACGTCGTCTCCCCGTTTCACAGCACGGCCCGCTCGATCCAAACACCTCCTGACACGCTTGATCAATGTCCAATATTCAAACAAATCATCCGCATGTTCTGTCTCGCAGCGGACAAATCTCACTGGTTGAGAGGCGCCCACACGGCTTCGCAAATACGTTGCCACGGCGCGGAACGCCGAAGATGACGATAACGCCAGCGGATCTAAGTCGGTGCCAGTGCTTGGCGCCCGGTTCCTCGGGAGCCAGTCAGGTTCAATTCAATCACTACACACAGCCGGGCGTACGTGCAATGCGTGTCATCCAACGTCAACTGAATCATCGAAGAGGCTGCGTCTGTGCGATGAGACCGAGCATTCTACTTTTGAAGAACAGACATCTCATCTGAATCTACCTGTCTGTGATGATCCAGACCCTGGCGTCAATTCGAAATCATATCGCGTGCGCCGAGATCGATGTGCGCGATACATATCAAGCGAGACCGAGCGAGACTGGCAGCCGGCAACTTGCCAAACAGAAGCAACACCATGTTTCCGCATTCGTGCCAACGCTTTACTTCTAACCCAAGTGCTGCCGAACCCTCTGTGGAGGAGCGATCAACGCCGAAAACAGGGTCCCACAACATACTCACTTTGTTCGATGGATGTTTGACAGTTTGCTACGCGACCACAGCTGTGCCTTCTTCGCTACAGTGCCCACTGATCAGTTATCGCAGCCTTCCATAGCCGTGTGACATCCAGTCACAAATGTGTGACTATCGATCTTCCTCGCTGCAAACATCACCCACTTGCCTTTAACCTGAATCTGTATTGACATCAACTGCATAGACTTGGACTTGTGTGAAGCGACCTCGCGATGACTCGTAAGTGCCTCTAGATAGTGATCTTGTATGGTACTAAAGATATGCAACATGGTAGGTGGTAACCAGCGGGAGACGGATCGCGCAAAGGCGCAGAAGAAAGCGGCAGCGGCCAAAGGCAAGCCTAAAGAGAGCAATGCGAGCCTGCAGAAGCGGAAGGAGCAGTAAGTCCTCCCGTGTCTTTTCAGCACGCCTGCTCTTGTCCTAAAGCGGCATTGCCACAGCGATGCGGAGGTTTTACGCGCCAAGCAGAAAGTAAGTTTGCTGATGCTCTCGACGTGTTGTATCCTTTTGCAAGACTTGGTTCTGTAGAAAAAGGATGAGGAAAAGAGCACAGCGGGTGCGTCAGGAGGTGATGGTAAATAACATCCACTCAGGACCTGAGGCCCCGAGGGAGGTGAGTCGACACAATCAACCGTCGCTTGGATTATCAACGACAAAAAAAGACATCTGCACAGGGTCCCCGCCTGACTTGGCCCGTGTTCTCAGTCCGTCCTGGTTGCTCTGTACACTGATCGCGTCGTCACCCCCGTGTAATTACCTGTTTTCAACTTTGACATGGTGGACTCGTCTCAGCTAGGTGGATCACGTTGATTGGTCCGAGCGGCAGTGCGAACGTGATTCTGATTCAGCCACAGCGCCCGTCGCTCGTTCCATGCATAGGCTAAGAACTGATCCCGTACACCCGATGCCCCACATCTTTATCAGATCGCCACTTGGCCGCGATGCACCGCCGCTAGATAAATCCAAATGTGATGACTGCATCTTGATGGATGATCTTCTGACAGCAACACGCCACCGCCCCTATGTGCTGCGATGTGGAATGGATCGTGAGAAGGGACCCTGAAGAAGGCTCGCCATTACGGCTGTCGAGCTGATTTCCATTTTGACTGTCCATCACCCATTACCATCGCACGCAGGTCCAGAATAGGAACGATCGTGCCATCTTTTGGTATTCAAGCGGGCGAGAAGCTTGCGACTGATCTGGCGCGGAGAGGGTGGGGACGCACCAAGGGGCCGGCGAAAGGAGTCGATGTCACTGGCACGGGCGAGGAAGCCTAGTCGCGGGACTGGTCGAGTGGCATGGAGCCCTCTGGACCGACATCATTTTACGCGCAGAGAACCCACCTGAACCGCAACGAGAGGCAGACGAGAAGCCAGGAAGCGTTGCTGCCCGGCGAGGCGCGCGCGGGGTCCCGGTCGATTATCGCCCGGCACCTGTCAGCACGCGCTGCGTCCCGTGGACATCGACCCCTTCGCTCCCCTTCGCCCCTTCCAGCTTCCTCGCTCGAAGCCCACGCGCACATGGGCGGCTGCATGTCGGTGAAATCCAATGCTTGTTTCTCGAAGGCGGCGGATCTGGAAACCCGCGCCCCAAATGGCCAGGCTCGCTCACGGCCCGTCGCGCAATCACCACAGTCCCTTCTGCGTCGTTCGCATAGGCTCGTTCACATCACCGTATATCAGTACTAGTGCCCTCCCAGGGGTGGCGTTTGTACGGGAATAGACAAAGTGCATCTGTGCGTGTCATTGGCAGGCACGCTTCTGATCACGATGGGGTCTAACCTAGGACAGCGACTGCGGGAAGCAGCTCTGGGCATCAGGGGAGCGAAGCAGACACTTAGTAGGAAGCAACACATGAAAAGGTTCGATTTGAGTCTACATTTCAAAGACAGCGCACGCTATCGCCAAAGGGACCGCGGGATCACAGAACGAGCACACGCCGACAGGTGCCGGGCTTCTTCCGTGGGCATGTGTACGACCACCAGACGTATATCTGGGAGATGGAACGCGAAGGACGCTATATATATATATATATATACGGACCAGCGGGATTTGACGCATCGCACTTCCATCTGGAGCCGGGAGAGCCGCGGGGAAAAGGCGAATAGGAGCCACCGATGCGCGCGCAGTCTGTTCTCACTGATCAGCTGTGTCCTTGGATCACGAGGCGAGTGAGCGAATCCTGTCGGTTGTTACGCGAAAAAGACTCTCGGGAAGACATTGCCTGGCGCCCAACGAGCGTTGTGTATGCGTCAACCAGGGTTGGCGTTGTGACAGGCAAAAAGGGGCAGCGCTGGCCATCTTTGGGATCTGGGGCCACATGCATCTAGATCGGAACATCGATGATTGATCGATGACGCGTCGGGCTGCACATCAGCATCAGAACCTGCCCAAACAAGACGCTGACGGAGGGAAATAAGTAGGGACGCTGCATTCCCTTTGTCACCCCCGCGTCTCACGGTGGCCCTCCAGACCCATCGAACAAGGTCGCCTCCATCACCCGGCCCTGTCAACACTGTCAGGCCGGCAACTTAGATGGCCAATGCGACCGTTTCAATCCCTGTGTGCATGATGCATCGAAGTGCCTGTCAGACCCTGGCTCGCACGACCCTGCACGGATGCGCGGTCGGCGCTGGCCTCACCGACGGTGAGAGGCAAGCCGAGCTAAGCTTGCTCACAGACATTCAGCGCTTTCAGCATCAACCTCGGAGACAGTCCTCACAAGGCGCTGTTCCTATGATCCAGCTTACGCAAGTTCAGATTCTGTCAGCAGCGGACATCGAAACGCTAGATATTCGTGACACCCACCAGGACTTCTGCCAGAGAAAGGCCGCTCGATTTCACAAGGCACGAGGCGTCCTAAACGCGGGGCCGAAGAGCGCAGGACCCATTGGGATCCTGGCTGACACACGGGGAAGCCTGGGGAAGCCTTCACGAGGCACTCATGGAAACAGAGCAAAGAATCATATGTCCATCCGTAGCAAGGCATGAACTAAACATATAAGAATATACCCATGCACGCCTTCCCGTGGAGCCGCCGTGACACGATCGTCTACTTGATTTTGGCCGCTTCCCCGCTGTCCAGCCGTCTCCTCCGACTTGGCGTCTGCACTTCTTCGTCCTCCCGCCCGCTCCAAGCAGATCCCCATGAGGACGCAGGGAGATATTGCGGAGGAAACGGCGTCGGAGGCGCCAGGGTGTAAGACGGCTGGTGACGCAGAGGCGGCGTGCTCATCTCTGGGTGATGTCGCGATCGATAGAGCGAAAGCAGGGCGTTGATAAAAATAGTCAGGAACGCAAGCGACGTCAGCGTAAACACCTGCGCAAGGACACATGGTCCGAGTATAAGAACCATGACAGGGGCAGAACAGAGAGGGCGGGACATGCCAAGGTTTTCCAGCTGATGGGTTCCACGAATCCATTCACCACCTCTGCGATAAGCTCCGCCCCGACCCTCGCACGTCCAACGACCGTGGGGTCGCGATTCATGCACGTCTCCCAGGCGCCGCATTGGCGCATCATCGCCGGAATGGGGTTGGAACCGCACAGGTTCGCTTTATACTGAGCCGCGCAGTTGGAAATTTCCTGCACGATATCTACAAACCAGCAAGTCCGCGCGCCAGTGGTCAGCGGAAGTATTAATGGAACGATCCACGATACGATCGAAGGCTGACCCATTGAATACTCGGAGATTCGCTGCTCCACATCCCGCTGAACGGTAAGAATGAACTGCAGAACCAGATAGAGGAACACGAGGATGAGTGACAGGTTGAAGAAAAATTGAAGGTATCTGCGTAATTATAGACTCAGGGGTCAGTACGCGAACAGTTAAGCATTCTGGCTTCAGCGACCCGACTGACCCCAAAAGAATATAAGGCGTATCGGCATGCGGCGCGGAAGGCGAAGGCATGTTGAGCGTGTAATGGTGCGACGTCTTCTGCACCCGCGACTTCCTGGGACTCGACCGAACCGCGTCACGATCGCTCTCACTCTCGCCGTCATCGTCGCTCTCATCGCCGTCGTCATCTGACCTCTTCTTCACCAGCTGGAGCGCCCGTTCCCGGGCTTTCTGCCGTGACTTGAACACCCGCTTCATCCCGCCCAACGCCACCGCGCGCAGGCCGTCGGACGCCTCCTCGAGATTTGGCGGGCTAGCCTCTGCCATGTCGACATCCCTGATCTCTTCCTGGGGAAATGCCTTGATGGGGGAGAATTGGGGTGGCGGGGCCCAGGCATGCATGTAAGGTGTTTGTGGGGCCGGGGATTGGAATATGAACGGCACAGTCGGGTTTGAACCAAATGTTGGTAGTGACGGTGTGGAGGGGAAGGGCGGGGCAGGAGGGTTGAGGTCATTAAAAGGCCCTACACAATGCAGGTGAAGGAGGCGCAAGTGGTTGTGCGAACGAAGAGGCGCGTACGTTTCTGAGGCGTGTGAGGTTCATCACGATTCTCCACCCACACAGGTTTGATATTCGCGCTAGGACGAGATGTAAACTGGAAGTCCATGGGGGCCTCCGTTGACCTTTGACGGCTGGCCATCGCGAGTAGTATAGATTCAGAAAGAAACAACTAGACGCTCTGCCATACGACGTGGCTCGTTCTGTGTCACGCTGATGAAGACATACATACAAAGGCTCACCGATTACAGGGACTGCTGTAGATTACCAGAGCTCTGATAGCATTTGGTTATGCGGAATATGCTTCTGGAGAAGCGGTGGTGAGGTGCAGCGTGTCGTTGTAAAACAGAACTTGGCATGCTTGCGGTACGCGTCGGTCACGTCGCGTGACCTCTCACGGCGCGTGCCGCCAACACGCTCATTCAGCAGCTCTCGTCGCCTGCCTCATCTTCCTCTCAGACAAAAAATCAGGTTCAGCAGCATGAACGCGTTGCGCTCGGCTCTCCCATCACTACGCAGACAAATTCCACTTGGGGCTCGGCGTTTCCATCCACTAGCTTCATGGAGTGGTTCACAACCAGCAACGTCATCGTCGGCCTGGTCGCCTCCAACGGCGAACGGCTTGGTGCCCATAGTTATTGAACAGACAGTGTGTACATTCTAAGAACAAGAACCTGTTTGCTTAATACGCCATTCATATCTCAGGGAAGAGGAGAGCGATCTTACGACATATTCTCTCGTCTCCTGCGAGAGCGAGTCATCATGCTTTACGGCCCAGTCAGTCCTAATCTTTTTTTTGGCTTCCACTATGTTACACTTTAAACACTTCTCGCGGTTATAGATACGTGACACAGACTCTGCTCTGATAGTCGCACAGCTCCTGTTTCTTGAGGCCGAGGAAACCTCAAAGCCGATCCATCTATACATCAACTCTCCTGGAGGTAGTGTAACCGCAGGTCTCGCGATATATGATACAGTAAGAGCCAAATGACATCACACTTGACATCTTACCGACTGGTACAGATGCAGGTCGGATCAAATTAGCCACTGCACTTGATTAAACTAACTGGATGGCCACATCGAAATAGTACGTTTCATCACCAATCCACACATACTGTGTCGGCCAAGCAAGCTCGATGGGCTCTCTTCTCCTTGCTGCAGGTGCGGCTTCTCACACAGCCTATATATGCCTTCATGTGTCAAATTCGTTCTGACACAACCAATGTCCACCCTGCAGGCGAGAACGGCAAAAGGCACTGTCTTCCAAACGCCAGCATCATGATTCACCGTGAGCCTTTATGAACGCGATCGTGTCTCCGAGCACATGATCCACTAATGCGACATTCCGACCCCCTACTTCCGCCGCGCAGAGCCTTCGGGAGGCGCTTCAGGGCAAGCGTCAGACATCGCGATTCACGCCAAGGAGATCCTCCGCATCCGCAAGCTCTTGACTGGCATCTACCAGAAGCACTGTGCCCAGAGCGGCGAGTCGGAGGAAGCTGGAGTTCAGCGCTTCGGTACGTCCAGCGCACCGCCTCATCACGTAGACCCCTTCTATGCACCCGCCTTCCATACCACGCCATTTTGAGCCTCCGCGCCTCCCTACATCCCACTTCATATCCCTCGTCTCTATTTCTTCCGGAACGCACACGATCCGCTGACGTCGCACGTCTCCCATCGCTTGGGGTTGCTCGCTCGGTACAGAAACGGCGCTCGAGAGGGATTACTTCATGACGGGTACGTCACCGTTCTGCGTCCGTGGGCGCGCCGCGCTGGCGCGAGCGTAATAGTTTGACCGACCCTTGCTTGACAGCCCAAGAAGCGCTCGCATTTGGCATCGTCGACGGCATACTCGAGAAGCGCCCGAAGTTCGACGGTGACAGCCCCTAGCTGTCGGCATGCCCGCGCTGATTTGCTGTTTGTTCCGACGCGCACCTATCACCTTTTCGCGCTGGATCACGCGGTGCTTGCATCCGATGTACTTAATGCGAACATGCACGCCGTGCATTCATGCCTTGTTGATCCGATCGCCTGCCCAACTTTGTTGGGACAAGCACGTCCGAAGAAGGCCAATCAAAGCAATAGATATCTCTACGGGTAACATCGTACACATGATATCGAATGACCTCCACAAATCCCAAGCAAATACTTCCACCGATCACTCAGCGCTAACGTGATCGCCGGAGTCTCATAGCAAAGTGAATAGCAATAGTGAACGAAAAAAAAGCGCGAAACAAACTCAACACGTTCTATCTCCTAGGACCGTTCCACTGCGACTCGTCCACCCAATGGTCGCGGGCGTTTCGACCCCCGCTGCGCGCACTTGACCCAGATCCATTCCTATCGTGTGAACTGTTCTGTGCGGGCGCTCTGTGTTGTGCACAACAGGGTTTGATCAATCTGCCGTTTGTCTGAGCATAATATTTGTTCGAGGGCTTACCCAGAACGGAGCGCACGCGGGACAGCAGCCGCAGGTTGTGGAGCCCGTGCCACAGACGTGGGCGCGGTTCCCTGAAGGCTGGGAATCCGCTGCCCGCGGTATCCTGCGATGGCCGGAACGGAAGAGGGCGGCTTGTTGGCTCTGCTCGTGCAGTTCCGTTTTATGCCTGTGCACGCACACGATCGTCAGCACCCGCACCGCGCGAGCGAGGCACGAGGCAGGGAACGACGAGAAAGAAGAGGGCGACGTACACATTCCCAGGCCCCAGACGAGGAGTATCAAGATGATGCCGACGATGACAGTCACCGGGATGGAGATCTGCAGATTCGAAACGTACCATGCCTGTGTGAGAAGGGAAGCATGTCAGCGCCAGCATCTTCGCCCGCGCCCGTGTGCGTCGAAGCCTGGTCGCGCGGCGGAGAAAGACGACGACGAGAGACCGGGCACGCCGATAGACATACCTTTGCCGTATCGAGCAGGCTGCCTGCTTCACATGTTCCATTCTGGCAATTGCCTCCGTATCCTGCACACGTTCATTGATGAACAACGTATGAAGATGAGAATGCGAGAAGCCCCTACCGCAAGGAGACCCGTCGATGAGGGACGAGCCCAAGACGATGCATTGGTTCGTCGATTGAGGATCTTGGCACGATACCGAGCAGGATTTATCGTTCTGGCTGGGACACGCTTGCGATAAGCCCATGGAAGACCCCACCTGCTGACATTGCTCTGTCCACCCATGCTCGCTTAAGCGGACTCGCCTTCCAAACACAAGGAAATACACCAGACACTCACGACTCAAAGACGTACATTGCCCACTCGCGCATGCCAAGCCATCAGACCCACAGCTCTTCCCGTTTGGTGCGAAAATATCCGCGGGACAGCTCGACGATGAGCCGGTGCACATCTCCGCAGTGTCGCAGCTCGCATCCTTCGCGGGACGACACACCTGCGTCGATGGCGCGAACTGGCACGAGCTCAGGCAGCACGCGCTGCTGTCGGGGTCGCACACTGAACCCGACGTGAACTTGCACGTCGCCGAATTGCAGCACGTTGAGTTGCGACCCGGCCCGGGATCGCAGTCCTCGCCGTCCTCGACGATGCCGTTCCCGCACATCTGGAGCGAGATCGTCCGCCGAGATGCGTCAGGGTCGACGAGGCAGCTCGTCGTGACCTTCCCTGCGGAACTGGTGCCTGAGAGCAGCGAGCCTGAATGACCGCGATGCAGTTAGACAAGGTCGAGCGGAGCTGCACACAGGGCAAGCGGCGGGTGCAATCAATGTCGGAGCGACTTACAGATATTGCCGATAGTGCATGGGGAGAACTGCATTTCCCCATCCGTGGCTACGGGACTCATGATGAACTGGGCGTTGGCGTTGCACGAGCTTGCCGACATCGGACAGCACGGGCTGGTGCTGTTACAACCGCTCGCGCACTGCACCATAATCAAAGTCAACTAAACCCGCGCAACAGAAATGCACCGATCCTCACATCATGCTGACAACAGTGAGGATTTCGCTCGTCAGCGTCAAGAGCCCAACGGAAACATCACGCCAAGCGCGCGACTCACGATTGCACCGAAGTTATGCCCGATCTCGTGGGCGACGACCTGCCATTCCACACGCCCGGCGGTGGACACAGCCGTTCCGGACACTATCGAGGAGCCACTCCCACTCGCGGTCTGCTGGCAGAGAGTCGCAAGCCAGGCGATGCCGACCTCGGAACCGGTCGGGCAGCCGCTCATAAGATGCCACAGGCCCGCGCTATCGTTGCCCTTCTGCCCTCGCCATTGTGAGAACAGCGAGAGCCGCTGGTCGAGTTCGACGTTGCTGCAATCGACGTTCCAAGGAATCTTCGGGTCCGCAGTGGTAGGACACCTGTGGAATACACACGTTCAAAACCGTCCATACGCAAGAATTCTCCGCGCCTACGTTTCATTTTGTATTTGAAGCTCTACGATACCGAGGCTGATGTTAAACGTATTCTGATGCCGTGGTATTGAAATGCTGCAACGCTGAAAAAGACACAAATCAATCATACCTTGTAGAGGGCGCTAGCAGTGTTCCAGTCGTGCAATATTTGCTGAGTCGCATTTTGCGCCGAGCCATACTGTTGAACATATGTGCAGTCGGCCGCTACGCCCATGTAGATCTATAAAAACAACAGATCGCTGAGCCTCGGCATCCAACCGCGGCCGTGCAGCGTTTCCTGACGCACCACTTTCTGAGACTTGGGGCAGCCAGCGGTTTGCCCGATGACGTCCTTGAAGCTATGGCACAAGGGAAAGAAAGGCGTCAGCACCGGGATCGACGGTGCCGTCCGAACGTCCTCTCGACGACGCACTTGGTACTCATGCCCCCGCCCGCAACGTCGTCGCGCTTCACGAACGCATCTGCGTACGAAGACTCAACGAAACCAAAAGGGTCAGACCACGAGCTCACGGCCGGCTTACGCAGCACGGGATTGGACCACGGATCGCTGTTCCACTGCAGCCTGTCGTGCCCGCACATCTGCGGGGGCGCGTGCGCGGGCACGTCCTCGAGCAGCACCGGGTGCCCCGCGAGCGCAGCGGCGTGCTCGTGCACGCTCATCACGTCGGCGTCGCGCCATATCACGAGCGGGGCGTCGGGGTCGTCCTGCGCGAGCAAGACGTTCGGGTCCATGTCCATCTTGTTGCGGAGGTAGTTGTCCTTGGTCATGACGTGGTGCACGACGCCGTGCGCGGAGAACGCGCCCTCGAATACAGGCGCGAGCCCACGGTCGACGTCACCCTGGTGATGCATCATGATGCGGGCCCAGCCGAGTGCGGGGCTGGTCCCGGGGGGCAGGACGACGCCGGCGGTGTCCTCGCGCATGCGGTCGAGGGAGGACGCGGCGGGGACGACTTCGCCCCAGTAAGCTTTCACCGACGAGCGCAGAAGCGGCTCGGTGCGCGTGGGGACGCCGGTGCCGTCGGGGGCGGCGGTATAGTAGACCACGCGGGCTGCGGGGTGGATGAGGTGCTCGTTCGGGCGAAGGTGGAGATGGAAGGTGTCGCCGAAGGCGGAGAGGGTGAGGCGGAAGGAGTCTGTGTGGTGGAGTGTTTTGGAGTCGAGGGGGAAGGTGGGGACATCGTGAGCGCGGGCGGTGAGGCGGTTGCGGGGGAGGATTTCGACTGCGAGGGTGGATGGGTGGGAGATGCGCTTGAGGGGACGTGGAGGAGAACTGGAAGCTATCCCGCGCCGGAGCGGAGAACGAACGGTCACGCAAGCTGGGGCGCCATGGAGGCGAGGCGGACGAACCTGATACTAAAGAAAGAGAGGCCAGAAAGATGACGGCCAGCGCATAGAATCGATGGACGGGCGACATAAGACGCACAATAGCCCGGCCTGGGGAAAGGGCGCGCACCAAGTAATTCAGCAGACGGTGAGCTGAGGACGTGAGGCTATATAGGATGAAAGCGGTCACTGCACCTGCGGGAGCTGAAGGAAGGTCGGGTCGGGTCGAGCACGGCAAGGACCAAGGAGCAGCCAAGTGCTTATTCTGGTCGGCCAAGAGGAACAGGTGGCTCTGCCGGGCAGGAGAGGGCAATGCTGTGCGGCGCCCAACCTCGTCGTCACGCTCGACGTCTAGAGTGGACGTCGTAGATGTTACGACACCCGTTCCCCTTCTATCCGGGCTGCGCTTCCACTCTCGCAACGGAACTTTCTTACACATGCGCTCACTCGTTCAATACGTGTATACAGTCCCTCACTGACGCACGACTGCTTTTTACATCTCGCGAGGATCCAAACCCGCCTGAAATTCTGTGCGAAGCCAAGCGACTGTACAGCGGTATCACAAAGAGCAAAGCGTGGCGAATTATGCTAATGAAACAGCGGTAAAACAAGATATACAAGAACGAACATAGCAAGTCCCATCAGCGCTCAGCTAGTGTCCATCTAACGCGCCGACCCTATCGCACGCGCACCTAGTACGCATCGCGTGCAAGACGGCGGTTCTTCTTGCCATTGGTGTTGCCAGCAGCACCCTTGTTTGCGCTGGCGTTTCCGCCCTTCGCGGCAGCGGCAGCGGCAGCAGCACCTTTCCCGGTGGCCGCAGCAGCCTTCCCTGTAGCAGCGGCAGCTGTCGAGTTGGCCGCGGCGCCAGTAGCAGCAGCGACTTTGCCTCCAGCGGCTGCAGCACCGACGGTGAACTGCAAATGAACAGAGATCAGTCACGACGAACCAATATTGAGGAAGGAGATAAACACTGACGTAGGCGACATCATCGAGAGATCCGTGCTGGGCAACAGCGACCAATACTGGTTGATGGTTAGCGGCTGCGTTGATCGACGAGATCTTGTAAGTGCCAGCGGGGAGACCGGCGGTGACGTCGGCGGTAACGATGCCGTTCTGCGCTGCTCCGTTGATACCCTTGAAGAACGCGAACACGTTGGGGTCCGTGGGCGTCGTTTGGTCGAGCGAGGTAAGCTTCTCAATGACGACGTGTGTGTGGCCGATGATTTGACCCTGCGCGTTGACCTGTTGTGGGGCAGAGTAGTAGTTTGCCTGCGCGTTCACGAACGTGCCCGTCTGGATGTTCTTGATCGCCATCTGGATCGTGAAGGCCGTGTTCGGCTGAATCGAGGTATCCGTGTTCTTGGGGAAGACAAACTTGGACGATGGCATGTTGGTGGTCGCAGCAATAATACCCATTGGCGCCTGACGAGGGGAATTAGACAGCTGCGTCTCACGCGAAATAAAACAAAACGTACTGGGTTACACGAGCCAGTTTTGATCTGCTGGCCGTTTGTGATGGGCAGCTTTGTGGTCGCGCAGAAGTTGATAAAGTTGTTCGTCGACGTCAACGAAGCCGATTGGCCAGCAGTAGGCGTTTCCTGGCCATTGGAGGCAAATCCAGTCGCGATAACCGAGTTGAGGAGCGCTGGAAACAAATTCGAAGGCATTTAGATCATCGGAACGAAGTGAGCAGAGAGACAAGAAAGAAAGCTCACTCAAAGAGGTTTGGGGGTCCCCAGAAGCAGCGTTGTTCGCACCCTTTCCACTTGCGGCAGCGGCAGCGGCAGTCGAAGCAGCGGCAGCGGCCGCCGCCGTTGTTGTTGAACCCTTGTTGCCTGCCGCGGCGCCGGCCTTGCCCGCTGCGTTGTTAGCACCCTTAGCGGCTCCGCCCTTGCCGAAACCACCGAAACGGTTGTTGCCGGCACGGTCAACAACAGCAGCAGACGCAGACTCTGCAAAGAGAGGGAGAAGGACGGCGACAGAGGTGATAGCGGTAGAGAACTTCATGGTGAGGGCTGAACAGGAAAGTGACCAGACTTGGCTTCACAGAAGTCGAAATGAACGAGAGGGGAAGGGATCCTGAAGAAACTGCAGGACAAAGATGTCAGATGCACCGCAGCGCGCAAGAGGGCAAAAAAGACTTACAAAGAAAGAAAAAGCAGCGCTGCTGCGAATGTGGAGGGGGAATGTAGGGGGTGAGCGAGAAACTGGGGAAGAATGAACGGCATGAGGGAGGGATCTTATAAGGGGGAGTGTGTTCGGCAGCACCGGTGTTGTTTCTAGGGGAACAACATGGTGATTGGCTGATGGCAGGAGGTCTCTGTGGACCCTAAGAATAGAATCCCTCTAACGATTGGATCGTCCTGATGGCCGTGATGCCGCTGTCTCATTCGTTCACCACCCCTCGGGCCTCCCACCCCTTCCTCCCCGTGCTCGTCCAATATGTACACCAGCGCACCCCCGCGCTGCACTGCGCTACACCCGCCCTGCTTCGTCGCCCACGTCTCATTTCTACCGCTGTGCCCTCCTGGCACGCACCACCTTCACAAACTCGGCAACTGATTCGAATTCTCTCGCCGCGTGCGTCTCAAAATGCCGTCGCGCGATCGCAGCCAGCGCCACATCCACCTCCCCCACATCTGCCAGGATCGGCGTCCGCTGCGGCCCCTCCTCCACCAGCCGTGAGCTCCGCCGCCGGCTCTGCTCTCGCGACTCTCGTCGCGGCCGGTTCGCAGGCGTGATGCTCACCGGCGGGCTTACCCCCCGAGACGCGCTTCGGGGCGGGTTCACAAGCGAGGACGGTGGCGGTGGGTCGAGCGCCGAAAGGGGTGATGGGTGTATATGTGGTATCAGATCAAAATGGTTCAGGTATCGGTGAAGCGCAGCCGTATCCAGTGCCCCAAAGTCCATCTGTCAATTAAACGAGAATCAAAAATTGTCAAATCGTCGAGAGCGTGATGGGACGGGCAAATCGCGATCGAAATACGCGTCCCTCCCCACGCGGTGCGCGACAATGCACCGCGAAAGCACCGCCAGAGAAAACAGAACACCCACAACAGATGCTCGCCGCCCATCGTCCGACGCCCGGTCTACCGCCCTGCGTGCCAGCGCCGACATACCCGCACTGGCGCTCGCAACATCGACACGTTTCCTCTTCATGCGCGGTTCTCCGTCCGCCTTGTCCGCCGCTTGCCTCTTCGCGGGCCCCATATACGCCGCGTCGTCGTTCTGCCGCCTGCGCGCCTGGTTCCGTGGCCGCGAGCTCGACGGCTGCGTCGTGCCGCCTGCGTGGGTTCCTTGCGCGGACATTCTTTTTTTCAATCGAGGCTTCTTTCGATGTAAGGGTGTTGGAATGAGTAGCGAGGGAAAATGACGAGAGTGAAATCAGGGGTGTGACGCGCGCGCGCTCCCACGCGTTCCTTTAGACGCGTCCACATCACGCGCCTACAAATTAACTTTTCCATGCACTTGGTCCTCCTTGGTCCTCGATCCTCCTTTGTATTTGTGATCTGGGGCCAATGCCAATCGTCAGTTCTCGCGGATCTTACATGCGCATCCCAGATCCGCGAAGCGTTTTTTTTGTCACCATCCATTTTCCAGTTCGGTGCACGGACCTGCATCAAACACCTGACCGTTCCTCGAAACTCATGTGCCCTGCAAGCCCCTGCAGCATTTGGCATCACATACATCATGATGGAGGGCATCAACCATCAACCCATCAACAGTAGTCTGTCCCCTACAGCTGTACGAGCGGTATGCAGCCTTCACCGGCAATCAGTGCACGGCCTCCATCTTGCAGCCTCTTGCAGCGTGCTTGCAGACCTAACATGTCCCTGGAAGGGGCTCTCAGTGGCCCTGAATGACATTGAAACCGCAATTGCTTGATCCGAGCGCTATGGTAAGTATGAATCAGTTCTTGACCCACTTTGCATGTCTTGCTACAAGGTGCAGCTGACGTCCGAAGCGGACTTGACATGTTTTGTCCGAGTCCCAGGCTATGACACGCTTCGTCGTCGCACGGCTGCATAAGCCTTCCTCTGCTCCTGCACAGTCCGACACCAGACAACCGCTACTGAGGGCCATTCCCCTTCAGGCCGAAATCAGAAGGCATCTCGTCTGCCGAAGCACGAAAATAATAGCGAACCCCCTCCTCATGGGAAACCGCCCGGGGTGCGTATAAATAGCGCGACTTCGCTCGCCGCTCTCGACGTTGCTGCACAGTTCCATTCGGTGTCTTTTCCCTTGCCGGTCGGCCGAGTCGGACGAGTACCGACTGCTGTCTCGCGCGTTTTCCGCTCATGTGATGCGCGTTGAGGGGTTGAGGAGATGTATGCGCCTAATTGGGCGATTTGCCACTTGCGACGCACAGTCGAACCGGCGACGACAACGACGACGACTGACGACGACGACAACGGCTAGTTGCTCCAATTGGCAACATGAAAACCACACACCTTGATCGATCTTGCGTTCAATTCATTCACTGCGAAATGCTAGCGCCTGCCCCTCCTGCTACCACGATGGCTCTCAGATCCACGGTCCGATTTTATTGGCGACCAGAGCGCCTACTACGAAGACGATGGACATACCCCACTCAGACAATCAAGCACGGTGTATCCATAGGTACATCCACGCCCTCCCGGCCGAGGCGAAGGCTTGCCCTCCCAAAGTCACAATCCGCACCCCCACGCACGTCCATACCTCCACACAGGATATCGTACCTCGGTGCCTCGGGAAACAGTCCGTGGGTCCCATGTACACGCACGTGTTAGCTCGCCATTGTACCTTCAAGTAACACAGATGTCCTCCGTGGGTCCAGCCCACCTATTTCTTCTTGCATAAGTGCGCTCCTTCAGGGCGGCCGCGCCAATCGCACATCCACCCCCGCCTGTTCTTCTCGAATCCCAATCCAACCTCCGATGACTTACATGCGCGTGTAGGGACTGACGGTAACGAAGACGACAAGTGGCTGGCCGTCGCCATTGCCATTGCTGCTCGAATCGGGTTCGCGGTGTCATGTGCTCGTGGGCGCCTAGTTGAAGTCGAAGACACTGAAAGGAACCCGACGGGGCAGAAATCTGGAGCGCCTCGTTTTTTCTGTTTGTTCTTCTCCTTCCTGTCGGTCGGGGCCAGAATGAGCACGGAGCGGATTGAGCGGAAAGGACGCTCGGCGTCTTTTGGCGTCTCTGCACACGATGGACAGTTGAACGTCAGGTCTAGCAGGTTTGGTAGTTGTCCTGCGGTGCACGCGGTGGATGAGCATCATGAACACTCACAGTTGTCGCATGTTCTGCCATTTCGATGGCTTGGATGCACGACGTGGCTCGAGGAAGGTTCGACGGTAGGTCTCATGTTTACTACATCGACAAGCGGAGAGAAAACGACACACAGCAAGACTATGCCGATCCGCGAGCAACGCTGTTCCGGAGGAATGCGTAGATGCGTTGGCCAGCATACCAGACACGTACACGTGCCAGGCAGTCACCTTACCTTACCTTACCTTGCTCGGACTGAGGAGTGTCAAGGCAAACTCGGACATGCGTCCTCGTTGATCGTTGACGGTTCTATGTCGCGCCATCATTGCACTAGGATTGTCATCTTCAGGTGGTCGTCGAGGAGCCTGCAAGTGCCTGCAAGTGACAACGAGAGACCACAGATGAACGTATGGGAACACCATGGAATACCATAATAGTCACCATCCCTATTAGATTTCCGAGGTCTCCCTGTCGTCACGTCGTCATGGCTTTACGAGGCCTCACCGGCTCACCACTTGTTCTAGTGGAGTAATCCAGGAACCAACTTTGGGCTGATAAAGTCTGCATAGGTCTGCATCCGCAGATAGCAGATAGCACAGATCGATAAGCCTATTCCCTCCCTGGATGCCTAATCGCCACTCGTGTGTCAACCCTATACTACGCGGAGGAAAATCACAGACGGTCGTACATCTTCGTACATACATAAGTGGGGCATGGATATAAGCCAACTACGCGAAAAAGGATGTGTTAAGAAAACAGCACACTGGGTATACCCGGCACCGTGTCATAGCTATGAATCTTCCCTAGGTGAAATTCCTACACAGATCCACCCCTCATCCATCCTCCACGTCGGACTCGTCCAAACAGCAGCAGCAGAGCGTCGTCTCCATCTGCCACCACCACCACTACACAGCCAGCAGGCCCGGCCGTGAAGACTGCCATGAGAAATATCTAGATTCTAATAGAAGCTTTGGGCTTACATGTCTATCGAACGCCCTCCACGGCCACCTACCGAACGTGATGGCGCCGCCACTGCGCACCTCAGCAGACGACTCCTCGTCTTGGTCGTCTCCTTGGCGCATCACACGGTGTCGCCGTGCGTGCCTCTGCCCTGCACCGTACCCGGGCGAAGACTTCCCGCGCATCAGCGGCGTGCGCTCACTCGCGTTCGCATCAGCACGCAGACTGGCCCCTTGCCCGCCGCTCGCGTCATACTCAGCTTGCACGAACTGCCGCCTGTGCCAGGCATTCGAGGCGAGGAGCGAGAGGCGCTGCGCGAGCGGGCCGCGGACCGTCGACTCGCCCGCGTTGTACCGCAGCGGCGCGGATATCGAGGAGGAGGGCGAGCCCGAGCCCGACGAGTCGTCGATGGAGCCCGTGCGTTCGCGATGGCGGTGCAGCCCCGAAGTAATGCGCACGCGCGAGCGGAAGCGGACGCGGGCAGCGAGCGGGCGCGGGATATGAGCTGACGCTGTGTGAGAGGACGGATCGTCTATCTGCCCGTGTTCGGGGTCGTGGGTGCGGGCGTCATAAGCGCGCGGTGGGCTCGACTCGGGGGACGAGATGTAGGGGGAGACGGTAACGGTGTCGGCGCCGTATGCAAAGGACACGGGGTCGTCTAAGTCGTCGAGCTGGAGCTGGAGGGCATTGCCTGCGAGGATGACGGGCCCTGATTTTATGGATGAGGAGGGGAGGTTTGTGAGGTGGGAGAGATCGTCGTGATCCAGCCCGCCGTCATCCGCTCTCATGAGGTCAGAATTCTTGGCCATGCTGAGTCTTGCAGGCCAGATGAAATTGAGACAGGTTGCGCAGACACTTGCTGGCGCTTCAGCGCTTTAGCGGCGAGTGCGAGCTTGCGTTTGGAGCTGCAGTTTCTCCCCAAGACGGCGGTCGGATCGAGTGCGCTGTTTGGTTGCCTATTCTGGAGGCCGCATGACCTGCCCATGCCGTGACGCAGAACCCATCGTAGGAACCCGCTCCATCGAAGAGCTTCAGGCAAACTCTTCATGGACGCTTTCGAGCTCAAGCGTCCATCGAAAGGTGAGCACGCCGGCTGAAACGAAAGCACTGAGCTGCAGGCCCATAATTTCGCGTCAATTCATCGTGGGAAGGGGCAACTGAATGGCTGCCTTGCTCATGCATTCATACTAGGTTGCATCTGATGCGCACACTGCTATTCGTGGGTTTCATATATATCATCCGCCTTCTCTCTCTGTCTTCTCTTCTTGATGTGCTCCGCAAAGCTTGAAGCTTGAGGATTCATTGGCAATTTCCACCGCCACACTGATTAATGTCAACATCGACTGCTAACAGACTTTTCAATGTCTTTCCTCGGGCTACCACCATCGGCCGCGCTCTCTTGCGTCGTGTTTTCATTCCCTCTTTGTTTCTCTTGTGCAGCTGCCGAGCTCTTCAATATTACGATTGACGACTCGGGCGAAGATCCAGTGACCGGCGCGCTGATCCAATATCTACCCAACTTTAGTTTTGGTATGGTTCTGCAGAGGCTTGTAACACATGCGTAGCGCATCCGGATCCAGCACAAGCATTCAATGGCACTTGACATGATTCTGCCTTAGATCCGACTTTGAGCAATACAGTGACTGCTGCATATGTTCCATTTACTGGTGCGTCGTGCATGATTGCTACTTCCGGTTGTTTGAATCTAAACAAAATTTCTTCATGACCAGGCACCGCAAACCATGTTTTTTGCATCATCGCACATACCTCTTCCTCACCCGACGGGAACGCCGATCTACAATTTTTCATCGACAACGAAGTAGTAGGGAAATTCTAGCTACAGCCTACTGACAGCACTGTCTATGATTATGGTATCAGTGTATACATGAACGAGTCCCTTTCAAATGGGCTCTACGATTTGACGATACAGAACGGACGAATCGGGGGTCTGAAGTCGTTGTTGTTGCTAGACAAGGTCATGTACAGGTAAGTAGCCTCAGCCTTGATGTGGACAGGTTTACATCATGAGCGTCTGCTGATTGTAGTTGGATCAAAGTCAGGATGACAGCCGGAGCGTATCAAGCACCGTTGCTTTTACATCGCCTGCAGGCACTTCTACATTCCCTGCAGGCACTCCGAAAACTTCCAAATCCGTTAGCTACGCACCGATCGTTGGTGGAGTTGTTGGCGGACTCGCATTCATCCTTGCCCTTGGAGGACTCTTCTTGTTCCTTCGTCGCCAAAGACGACAGCAATACTCTGGAAACACCATCCACCTGCAGGCCAGCGAAAGCGCCCATCGAAATTCTGGTTCCTCCTCGCGATTGATGTCCCGAGCACCTCTCTCCAGGCCGTCCCTTGACAATCCGTTCCGCATCGACCCAATCCTCCCAGGTATCTACACTTCTCCGCTGGGCCCCTTGGCGCTCCCTCGCCCATTCACATCCACAGATGCTGCTATCTCTTCACAATCCAATCAGGCTCACGTCATGGCAGAGGCCATTCCGCTGCTGACTCCACGTCGTGGAGTCCCACTATCTCGAGTTTCTGGCAGTCCACGTCCGACGCACGTGTGCCCAGTGCGCGCACTGCCGCCACCACACTCACAGATTCGTCATTAACAAGCCCGACGTCAACTCCAGCGTCTACAGCATCACTTCCATCGTGTTCGCGACGACGCCCTCCTGGAGTCTCCACGCGAAAATGGCCTCATCTACGAAACGAGAATGCGGCTGCTACAGAGGATGTAGAGGCACCGCCCGCACACAAGGATATTGACACCAGGGATTGACTTTGCGCGAGTGTCGCAAGCCCCATTGACAAGAAGAGCTATATAGTCTAGGAGATCGCAGAGATATGAGTATGATACTGGGACAGTAGGGAGATGAATTGGGACGCTGATTGTTGTTTAAGATGACAACTGCATCAGTGACAACGTCGTGCGTGTGCAATGCAAAAGGATCCTGTTGCGACGCCTACTGATGTATTCATCCATGTTCGTGATACTGCTTTCTTGTTGGCTTGAAATCATGGGTGATACATACTCTCTAGGAGAGAGGATGAAGCCGTGGCTCTTGTCGGGCCACAGACTAGAACAGTGGTGGTGCCAGTCATATCTCGCTTGCGCAGTCTGATAATGGAGGGTTCTGCATAAAGAATCAAGGGCGTCAACATCCTATGTCTTCTGTCCGTAGAGCAAGATGCAAATGAATCATGAATAGACCCAATTGTGGCTGTCCTCTATAGATACAAAAGCAGGCAAGATACTATCAAAGCTTGACAAAGTCCTTAAGTCCGTCATGATCATTCGAGATCTACAGTATCTCGCTGCACGCGCTCCACACGTATAATATGCCGTTTCCGGAACCACTGCCTGAAATGAGTACGGGTGTCGCTGTACATTCCAGAACTCGGTTGGATGGTTGGTTGAGGAGCTAGCTCAGGTGAACCGACCATATGCCGAGTCTCTGCAACATCGTCCTTGGATGTCGCGTACGCTCTCTTCCAAGGCCATCGAAGGAGGATGATTTGCTGATAGAACGTGCGAAATCTGTTCTCCGGAACAGAAGGGGATGGCAGCTCTGGTTCTGGCGGACGGCGGACGGGGACAAGGGATAGTGGGCGTCGCTCCGCCTGGTCTGTGCTAGTAAACACAGTTGGAGACGCTGTTTGCTGCTCGGCTTGAAATGACTCTTTTGTGATCAACGGTGTAGTGTATGCCGGAGAGGACGGGGTTCCGTCGGGATTTTGATACATTTGGGGACGATGAGAGGAGAGGCGCTGGGGAGGATGTCTGCTCGAAAGCAGGTGTTACTCAAAATGTGATTGGTCGAGAGAACAATAAGACTCACATAGCGCTAAAAGGAATGCTTTATCCACGTTCTACCCCGAGGTCATCTCACGAGCAACTAAATCATGATAGAGTTCAGGATGGCTATCAAAAAGACCCGCAGTGAGTACCACACCTTATCCCTGAGCAGTCTGTTGTGTTCCCAAGATACGAGGTTTACCAGGATCCTTATATATATTTTATATGGGTAGTTTCCGCGACACAATAGTGGGTTACTACTATCATTGTGATGGAAATATGTTCGCTTCGAGTCAGCAACTCCAAAGATGGCTGTGATGTACCCATGAACGCCATCATGGATCCTCGGAGTACACCGATGGGCTAACATGAGATCCCAGTCCATCTGTCACCCGCATTCCGCAGCAATATTGCCGTGTTAAAGACTGCGAAGATCTGAAGCGAGTCGAGTTACTACCGTCAAGCAGAGCATAATTTGGCCAATGAATTGAGCCCTTGGTCGAGTGGTGTATATAAGACGGACATTATGGTTATCTGCATCAAGATTGCGGCCTATGCACACCGTCGCGATATAGCTTGACGGAGTCGCGGACGAAGCTCATGACTGGCCATGTACAACGGATTGATTTCAGGAGCCAGCTGCATGGCCAAGCGAAATTTCGGCCCACATCGTGCCGCCATTATTCAAGAAATGGTAGAGTGCCAGCAATGCAGCATCTTTTGAACCATCAACGGTACACAGCAGTACACGACCCACTTACATGACGACTGTCATTAGGATGCGGCTATCCCGAATCATGAACCCTTCGTAACCTTAGGTCTTTGCGATGCGGGCAAAGGTGAGTATCAATACCCCGGTTTGGCCATCCTTTGATGTGCGTGGCAGCAAGTCACAGCGTGCAATATCAGCCAACGGGTTGCTTCAAATACTAATCACTATCATTGCCGTGGGCTTGATGCGAAGGAAAACTTTCATTGCTTCATGATACACAGGAGACATCATCTCACAGCAGCTTACAGCTCCACCAAGCCTAACTATGCGTCCTCCAGCTCATTTTTTTTATTTCTCGCAGACCCAGATTTGTTAAAGTCACGAAGGTTTGTACAGGGATGTCGCAGTCTTCCTGATGATTTTACGAGGCACGTCGAAGTTGGGCTTTCTGTATCCTCTCTGATACCTTGATGCCGACCAGGATTCGCAGTCCCCAACATTTTCGTCGCAGGTGATGTCCAGGATATATAGCGAATGTCTTCACAGTACAGAAGGATTGGCTGTAGGAGGTATATTCTGTATACAGGCTTATTCTCTAGGTCCCCGATGGGCAAAATGAGTAGTCACTATCGACATGTTTGAGCATGATGTACACAGTCATCTTTGCAGTACCCAGAATCTGTGTTCACTCGGGACTTTTCAGGGCACACCATCGGCAGCAACTCCCCCTCGCTCCCCGTCCCAACCCAGCCCAGTCCCTTCCCATCATGATGGGCTTGCGAGTGGCTCCGATTTTACAAGGCGGTGCCCCGAGCGCATCATTGATAGCTCTAAAATATTTTGGCCGCCGTAAAATCCCCAGTGACTGGCGTGGATCGGACGACCGTTCTGCCTGTTTCACTACTGCCATTTTCGTTCCTCCATATTCATCACCATGGCTCTGCTGGCAGTCTTCAAGTTTCAAACATCAGCCATGTAACGTGTGAAGCCTTGTTCTTTCCTTGGTGCCAGTATCGTGCCTGCGCGCGCGCCAATGACAGCGATATCCCCCCCCTCTGTACTAGCGACCGCGTCGATGAACATGGCCCTTCTCCCTCGATGAGACTCATTGTTCTGCTCTCGCCGGCGCCCCCATCCCTCACGGCAGGACACCTTGCCCAGGAGCGCCCTTACCTCTGCGTCTAGCTCACCGACAGGTGTCATATGTCCCGCAAGCACAAAAGCGTGTTGGCAGACCCCTCTCCTACGCACAAGCGATGATTAACACAGTAACTTGGTCCAAAAGTATCATCGCTGAAACCGAGCCGAGCCGATGCCTTAAGGCGAGTATGAGCCATTTTCGAGAGCCTATGTAGCGCCACACCATTCGGTTATATTGCATTGTGCACAGAGCGTACAGTTTGAGTTCAACGAAATCATATCTTTTGATCACCCAAGAACGGCTCCTGTATAACATACACAGCTTACAAAGTCCTTGATTGTCTAAATCTGTATCCTGTTCTCTTTCCTAGACCTGGATATGAGGCGGGAAAGAAGAGGCCGCTCTCCTGTGAAGCTGAAAGCCAGTATAATAGCCAACGAGAGAATTCCGACATCCAAGAGGCTCAGTACCATCCAGCCCTTCTTGGCATGCTCGTATATCTATGATTAATTCAATTTAAAAGAGTGCAGTGTAGGAGAGATGGTGAGGACATGCGTACACGGCCGCCGACAATTGGGCCGACTGTTGAGATAATAACAGATCAGTATGCTCTTTTTGTGCATATACGAACACGACGGACTGGATGAGCCGATCCCGTACGCCAGGTTATATGCACCATACACATGGGCATCTGAAAAAATCGAATTAAGTATAATTCGCTCACTATAATGATGAACAGGACTTGCAGCCGACACCCTCCAATGTTTTCGACACCAAAGCCAATTCAGTCGTGAGTGGGGCAACCATGGCGGACGTGAACAAGTCTTATAATAGATGTATCAGTACCCTCGGGTTTTCTGTGGAACAAGAGAATGACGCACTTTCGAAAGAAAATGTCACAACAAAGAAAGGGAGTTTGCCCTCGATGGTGATGAGGATCCAAAATGGCAAGGCGAAGGCCATGCATAATATAGTTATCCACTCGGCGCCTTTGCGATCCGCAAACCATCCAGCAATTGGTGTGGCTGTTCAACAGAAAAATGGTAGAAATGTACCCATCGACGTATCACGCTAGTGCTTACAGAATAAAGTGGGCACAACAGCTGCTATAAAAACAAGGCCGACTCCGGACGAGTCAAGACCCCAAACGTCTTGAAGATGCAAGGGAAGAGCGGGTTCTTGACTACTGTAGAGCATACTGATGAGATACGTGACAAATAAATGAGTTATCCAGATCTGCCAGCCATGACGCCGCAAGTGGAACATACCCAAGGATGAGCGTGTTGATCATTGCTGTCAATGCTCTGGGAGACATCAAGAGACTCCAAATTGACGTCATTTGGGATATCTTTGGTCCCACAGAATCATCAGAAGTGTGTGCCGCAATGCTCGGGCGAAGTTCTGATTCGGATATCGTAGTTATGACACTACTGGAACTGACTGCCAGGTCGTCATTGTACAGCTCTGGGTGGTCTATGCTTGGGCTCGATTTTGATGCACCATTGACAGAGGCAGTATTGCTGTTTATGGAGGTTCGATGAGATTCTTCATCGGGTATTATGCAGACTGCAGGGCCCGTTCCCCACGAGAGGGCATCTTTACGCTCGATGATAAGTAGACGCCCAATCAAATCGAGGGCCGTAATTGTGATACTGAATATGAATGGTGCTCTGAAACCAAATCGCGAGTACAATCCCCCACCAACGGGAGGACCGATGAGGAGGCTGTAAGAAATTTATAAGTAATGCGGATATTTAGAGGTGTACCTAGTGTAAAGTCACCCTAAGGACAGCCCTGACGTTGCAAGGCCGAGTTGTTCTAAGTGACGTCATATGAAACTCGTATATAAGCTCAGCATTCATCCAGCATGGTGAGCAACGTACGACCAAGATAATGTTCTGGTGCAGTATCGCATCTAGAGAACCATGTGAAAATAAGACCATCAAATTTATCAGCAAAACTCACAATAATGCGAGTCCGACAGTCCACACCATGGAGGAACTCATTCCTTGGATGACTCGAGCGACTGCCATTACCCAGTAAGCTCGAGCTTCCATGAGCATCACTTGCGAGCATATAAGCGCGACCAGGCCACTGATTAAAGGCGCTTGCCGCGATGTCCAACGCTCAGAAATCCAAACAATCACCGGAGTGGCTGTAAAGGCAAATTGAATGATGATTTGAACAACCGAAGGTTGTTTCAGACACACACATATCACGAGGCCTCCTGACTATGAAACAAGAATTAGACTGACTAACAGGAAAAAACATCCAGACATAGCCACCTACGTATGCAAACAATAGGTATCCTACCAAGCTTGAGATGCCGCTGTATCCAAGATGTTCCAGGTGAAATGGGAGGACAGGAATGACAATCGAGTAGATGATCATGTCCGTAGCAACTCCTATTCTCACTCATTGAATAGTAGCACAAATATATCCGAAAATATGACGCACCAATGCCTACAACTGAATAAACGGAATAAAAGATTCAGACATTAGGAAGACGTAGAGACAGACTTCACACTGGCACACTGTGTCGAGAAACACCGACCGAGCGTTATAAACCAGACAGATGATCGCCACTTCAGTCCAATGGGGGTTTTGCTCTGAGGTCTTTCAGTATGAAGTGTAGAGGACATGGCGAGGAGCGCAGAGGTGGTGAACGTGTAGGCAGCCTGGTCGATCGATACTTGAAGGATCCATGGACGTCAGGAGATGTGAATGATGACACCACGACACGCCTGTTCAAGTGCATGGAATCATGCCTGGAGCCGAGCGCCATGCATCATGCATCAAGAGTTCAAAAGCCTCTCGTCTGATGTCTTTTTGAGCGCCGACGTATTTAACTGTCTTTCAACAGCACATGGATCTCGTCACCGACATTACCGGCCTGATCATTCTGCAAATGCTTCGATGCTACAGGCAACTATATGTCAAGACGAACAGGTAAGTATAGTGATGGTAAGGCTGCGTGTTTCCCATACAGCAGTCAGAAGAGTGAGTAGGTGAAGATCATGCCGCGCAGCGCTCGCAATTTTTCCACGACTAGGGTGTCGGACGCGCAGGATTTGTGCGAGGTGCGCGAGGTGCGAAGATGTAGATCAGTGCTGGGTGACCAGAGGACACAGATGACAAGAGCAGGCAGCAGAGGAAGATGCAAGCGAATTTGTGGGTTTGCTGCCAGTGTGAGACGCGCGCGTGAATTAGAGTGAGGTGATGTTTATATAGCCGCAGAGATAGGTGCTGTGGGGGCTTGGGCGATGCATAGGAGCGAGGCAGAAAGCGCAGCTGAACAATCGAGCGCTGCAGAGTGATTCAGTAAAGTTAGATTTTGGCAGCGCATGGCGCACGAATCTCTGTTCTCTTCATCGACTTCTCGACCTGCGCATACGGAGGTACATCAGGCGACCCACCTCTGTTTCGATGTCGATGGTCCATGTATGCTCCGCCTCGTGTGCAAAGCTGCCTTCATTGACATTCAAACCTACCTCGGCGAGCGCAGTCCACATCCTACACTGAACGTCCGGTGCGAGGGGCTGGAAAGTGACGCATTTGCGGAGCGACTTGTGAGAGAATGCGCTCGATGGCCGATCGATCTTGACAGTGGTGAGCGATAACGAGCTCGACGGCAAAGGATAGTAAAAGAGAACGTACCATGCACGCGCGCCATGTGCAGGTTCTCGCAAGGCCCAAATGCAGCTCCACCGAAGCGCGTAGATGAGGCAGATGTACATAGTGTGAGGCGTGCAAAGGACGGGTGACCAGACGACGTCGAAAGCAAAATGAAGACAAAAGATGGCGGGCTTGATTCTCGAGATGTACTAGGAAAAAAGAGAAAAAGAAGAGCGTACAGATGGGGGGTTATTGGGGGAGTGCGGCAAGCGATGGAAGGGGGTGTGGTAAAGATCAAGGAGAACGGAGAGAATCGAATACATTGCTCTGCGACGAGCGGGTGAGGTCGGTCCAACCAGCGCGGTCTTGACTCTTCACGCGTGCTTAGCCGATATTATGTTGATCGCGTCGATAAGCACTTTTAGTCACCGCAAACTTGGTTTTGACATTGACCACACGGTTCACGGAACCGTTGATTCGTTTTGAGTCACCCCGCTGTCACCCCTCCCTTGACCAGATAACAGGGTCTAGGAACGGTGACGCGTTGTTTGTCCCCTTCAGAGGTCTCCTTCCACACCACTCCATGGTCATGGAGTCCCAAGTCATCCTGGATTCGAGCCCTCTATTCTCCAGTCAGTCTAAGAAACATGCGTAAGTTCTTAGGCATCGTTTGACGCTGCCAACTTGCGCTGCCAACTGAATATTCGCTAATAAACAGTAGCGTCTGGCTGCATCCTTTCGTCATTCCTGCCTATGTAGCTGTCGCGTCGATAGCGCTACTTCTCCTTCAAACTATCTTATCGTACGGACCCCTGAAGGGGCTCCTACGCTCTTCTGAAAATGAGCTTGTAGAGGCGACAAGAACAAACACGCAAGCGGGCATCTTCTCCGAAACCAAGGAGCATGTGCAACGACTTGGGGGGTGGACTATTTTCTCCTTCAGGCTCGTCAGGCTGTTGTCCATCGTGACCCTTCTGGGGCTGTCCGTAACAAGTTTCGTCTTTGACGAGGAAGGTCTTTTGAACGGCCCGAACGTCGATTCGCTCAGCAAGCTTTGGGGTAAAGGGCACAAGGGAAAGCATCGAAGTGCTGATGCTCTTTCGTTCACAAGGCATGAACAGATTGAGCTTATCCAATGTTCGACATATGTAAGTCGATGCCGCATGAAATGATCAAAATAGCTCACGACTGTGCCCAGCTCTATGCATCCTTCCTCGCTCTTCTCTCTGTCACGGCTGGGGTAAAACGTGCTCGTACTGCAACAACGCATCTGGTTGTCATTCTGGGGACTGTTTTTGCGGTATACGCATATCGTGACCTGTGGCCATTATTGACATTCACAAAAACGCCTTCCGATCTACGCGACGGATCATTGCTATGGGCCAAATTGGCTGTCCTTGGACTGGTGGCTATCGTCATCCCTTTGACGGTCCCTCGCCAATATATTCCTCACGACCCACAGGCATGTCATTATTCCTGAACCTGATCACGCGACAAATCTTATGATTTATCCGCAGGAGCCTCATGATGATCCCAATCCTGAGCAAACGGCGTCTATCTTGTCGATGATGTTCTACAATTTCCTGGATCCGATCGTCTTCTTGGCTTACAGAATTACCCATCTATCCTTCGAGCAACTTCCTCCGCTAGCTGACTATGATTACACCAAGAACCTCGTGCGGAGAAGTTTTTCGGTGAGTGTCCATGAAACGACCTCATTGCTCACATACCAATCATGAACCATCTCAGCATTTGGACATCTTCTCGGGAGCTACGAGGCGCCACTTGTTTTGGGGGCTCATGACAGTATTTCGTGAGCTGCCTTTCCTCTCAGCCGTTCTTCCGATCGACTTGAAGGTGTTTAGGTCGCGAATACATGGGTCTGGCGATCAGCCTTATGATCAAGGTGTGTTCTGATAGTCGAAGTCGTGGCAATTGGCTTATACTTCCTTAGATGATCACTTCATTTTTCGGACCTCTAGCCATCTATAAACTCTTGCAGTAATCATTTCGACTGTCAAATCTACAAGGCATCGACTGATGCATACTTTTCTAGGTTTTTAGAAACCAAGGGGGCTGGTGCCGTTGTTCGCCCGTGGGTTTGGATTTCTGGTCTTTTCTTTGGCCCTGTGATAGGCACGCTCGCCATTCAGTGGTACATTTTCCTCGCAGTAAGTTTGCTTCATCCCTCAATCGGTTTCTTACATTAACTTATTGGACAGACTGGAATGCTTGTCCGCACGGAAGGCATCATAACCCAGTTGGTATTCGAACACGCTCTGCGAATCCGAATGAAGGCTGAGACCGATAAGTCGCCCGTGAAGCTTGAGGAGGCTTCAAGGGATTCCACGGTCGCGGGAGACACCCCTGAGTCTGCATCAGTTGAGGGAAGTAGCAGCGGAGACAGTAGATCAGGAAGTGGCGATGAGACGGCTCGCTCAAGTGCTATCAGTGTTAAGTCTCAAGGGAAGCAGCAAGCTAAGGCCGAGAGTGACGAAGATGATAAATTCAACAAGGATGGGACTGTGAAGGCGGACAACCTTGTTGGGAAAATCAACAATCTAGTCTCGGTTGATTTGGGCAATATCACGGAAGGGCGTGATTTCTTGATATTGAGTTCGGCTTTCTGCATCCTCCAAACTTGTTGATCCTAATTTCTCGTACGTAGTCTTATATCTGCCCGTGCAGATTGTCTTATGCGTCATTTTCTTGTATACCATTCTTGGTTGGAGGTAAGTTGCATTGTTCAAATACATAGGCGTGGTGATCTTACCGAATCTTCAGTGCGTTCGTTGGAATGGCCTCAATGGTCATCCTCTTCCCCGTCCCAGGATGGGTCTCAAACTTGATCCAACGGGCGCAGAAAGAAGGTATTAAACGTGTAAGTCGTATCGTCATCTATACCCCTCGGTCAAAGCTGACTGCCTTCCAAGACCGATGCACGTGTGCAAACTGTCACAGAAAGTACGAATACAAAATTGACACATCGTACGGCCTTCTGACACTACTCTTTTGTGCTGGATTTAGCGATGAATGTTCTGCGCATGGTCAAGCTGTTCGGCTGGGAACAAAAAATCAACGATAGGGTAGCCGAGAAGCGAGATGATGAACTCAAATTCATCAAACGTCGCCAGCTGCTCAACTTATTGAACAACGTGTTGAAGTAAGTCGAAGCCTAGTGTTGATTTGTGTGTTCGTTACTGATTCTGTTCAACTAAAAGTTTCATCATTCCCGTTGTTACAATGATGGTCACTTATGTTACATATGTGCGTAATCGTTGTGTTTGGGTGAATGCTGAATCTTACTAACATGTACTTGATAGACGGTCGTCATGAAGCAGATTTTGGCTCGTAAGTTATACAAATATTTAGAAACCCTCCACTATCTCAGCAATATTTCACAGCTTCCACCGTCTTCTCTTCAATGTCTGGTGCGTCTCTCAGCAAATATTGATACATCTGAGACACTGAATCATCTGTAGTATTCGATATTTTGCGAGATCAGCTCCATTCAGTGTTTTACATGATTCCAAGTCTCACACAAGGTTCATAGTCTCCGATCATCTACTATCGTGAAGAATGCTGACAATATTGATTTACAGCGAAGGTTTCCCTTGATCGAGTTACTGAATTTCTCCAGGAGGTAAATAATTCGTCAGTGTCTCATGGCTGTCGCTCACGTTTTTCAGACCGAGCTTTTGGACACCTATGCTGAAGAAGCAAAAGGGAAGACAAATGACCTCCTCACCAGGGCACACTCGAATCGGGACGTCATCGGGTTCCAGGATGCTACATTCACATGGGCGAACGATAGCTTAGACGACGGCGCTGTAACTCCGTCCAGACGGAAGTTCGTCCTGAACATCGAAGGGGAGTTGCTTTTCAAGCGCGCTTGCATAAATGTCATCATCGGCCCAACTGGGTCAGGAAAAACATCTTTGCTGATGGCCTTGCTAGGTAAGCCATATAACTCTTCAAGAGGATGCAGTCGCTCAATGAACGTATCAGGCGAGATGCATTTCGTGCCCTCTGGTCCTGGATCATGGTACAGTCTTCCTCGTGAGGGTGGTGTTGCGTACGCTGCCCAGGAGTCTTGGGTACAGAATGAAACTATCCGAGTAAGTGATGTATGTGCGCACCATTGACACAAGTCCTGAATGAAGTCAGGACAACATCCTATTTGGAGCACCGTACGACGCCGTTCGATACAGCAAAGGTCCGTTTTTTTGTCAAATGGGCCAGATAGCTGCTCACATACGTGACAGTGGTCTTCCAATGTGGACTCGAGCGGGATCTTACACTTTTCGAAGCCGGAGACCAGACCGAAGTCGGTGAAAAAGGACTGACGTTAAGGTTAGTTCATGTCCTCTCTAGTTCATTTTCGAACTGGCGGCTCATCTATTCTTCTTTCTTCTCATTGTCAGTGGTGGTCAAAAGGTATTTCACTCACATCGCATGCGTATGCGCGGGGCTGAATATGTTAATCGCACCAGGCTCGAGTTACTCTCGCCCGAGCAATATACTCTTCTGCCGAAATAATTCTACTAGACGATGTGGGTTCTTACTACTTGCATGCTATCTTCCTTCCCAACTTGGCCCCTAGGTACTTGCAGCTCTGGACGTACACACTGCCCGCTGGATCGTCGATAAATGCTTCAAGGGGGATCTCATCCGTGGACGAACAGTGTTACTAGTCGTGAGTCCTCCCTCTCCTTCGATCGATGTCAAAATACGGATGTGGTGGATTGCAGACTCACAATGTCGCGATGGCGAGTCCTATCGCGGAATACGTGGTCTCCCTCGGTCTCGACGGTAAGGTGGCGAGCCGTGGGTCTGTATTGGATGCACTTGCACATGACAATGCGCTGTCGAAAGAGGTCGCCGAAGAAGTTGTCGCGATCGAGAAAGCCGACACTGAAATAGACTCCGAGGAGCCAGACAACGCGAACAAAAAGGCAGACGGAAAACTTACTGTTGCTGAAGAGATCCATGAAGGCCACGTCAGTTGGGAAGCTAGTACGTTCGGCAGTGTCAAGAACCTTTGCTTGTAACTGATCGTGTGCGACGGTAGTGAGTCTGTACTTCAAGAGTTTGGGTGGCTCGCACACCACCTTGTTCTGGATCGTGTTCTTGGGCGGCATAACTTTGTGCGATCTGGCGAATTCCATTCAAACGTGGTTCTTGGGCTACTGGGCACAGCAATACGAAATATACCCTCCATCAGAAGTTCACGTCTCTTTGTAGGTTCAACCCAAATTGTTTAAGACATATGCTGATTGCAGTTGTTCAATCAGCTACCTGACCGTTTATGCCCTCCTCCTGTTGTTCGCCATCAGCGTGTATTCCATCGGTAGTGGTGTATACGTGTTTGGCTCCATACGAGCATCTAGGAGCATTCATCGAAGGCTCATAGAATCTGTACTCGGAACCACCTTAAGATGGCTTGATACGACACCCACATCACGAGTCATCACGCGTTGCACCCAGGACATCCGTGCCAGTGCGTCTGATAATTCATATAACCCGTCCGTTGTTGACATTCGTATCTACAGTCGATGGACCAGTTGTGAACAATCTGCTTTGGGTCATCGAAATTTCCGCCACATTGTTGATCAAGCTTGCCGCGGTCGTAGTGCTGACGCCGGTATTCGTCATTCCCGGCATCTTGGTGTCAATGTTGGGTGGCTGGTGCGGCCAGATCTACATGAGAGCACAACTATCTGTCAAACGAGAGATGAGTAACGCAAAGGCTCCGGTGATGGGTCATTTCGGCGCTGCCATAGCTGGCCTCAGTACGCATTTCATGCCTAGCTCACAATGTTCATCCGGTCTCATATGCATTCACAGCTTCGATACGTGCCTACGGTGCTCAGGCTGCGTTCCGGCAGGAATCTTATCGACGCATTGATCGCTACACGAGAGCAGGCCGGACCTTCTACAATCTCAACAGGTTAGTTGATGTTGTGAGTTCGTCGACATGAAGCTGACATGAGTCATCTGCAGATGGGTTTGTGTTCGGATTGACGCACTCGGTGGCTTATTCGCGGCAGCTCTCGGTGCATGGTTGGTCTACGGACCCGGACATAGCGATAATCTTCCTTCAGACACTGGATTCTCCCTCACAATGGCAGTGGGCTTTAGTGGTATGATTCTGTGGTGGGTACGTTGCTTGAACGAGTTTGAAGTCAGCGGCAACAGGTATGGCATGCTATCGTCCACTTTCCAAGTGCGTTTCTGATCGAGCCCTCTAGTTTGGAGCGGATCCAAGCATACATTAACATTGAACAAGAGCCGAAGGCAACGAAGGATGGAGTTCCTCCAGCCTATTGGCCGGCTAGCGGGGATGTCAAAGTGGAAAATCTGTCTGCTCGTTATTCGCAAGTGAGTCAAATTTGTGTGCCTGTTTATCCTTATAAGCTAACCGTGGGTATAGGATGGGCCGAACGTTCTGCACGATATATCATTCCACATTAAATCAGGCGAACGTGTCGGTGTTGGTCAGTGGATTGCATTCATCGTTGACATACAGATATGCTGACGGATTACCTAGTTGGGAGAACCGGAAGCGGAAAGGTGACGGGCACGAAATGCCATGACGAACAGACTTCTGACTATCTTTTGACCCTTTCAGAGCTCACTGACCTTATCACTTCTTCGTTGTCTCTTCACCGATGGCGCCATCTATTATGATGGGCTTCGCACCGATTCGGTCAATCTTGACTCCCTGCGCACAAACATCACGATTATCCCCCAAGTTGTGAGTAGCGTAGGGCCTCGCGATCTCGTCATCACTAATGCAACGCTGTGTAGCCTGAGCTTCTTAGTGGTACACTGAGGGAGAACCTGGATCCGTTCTCCGAACATGACGATGCAACATTGAATGGAGCTTTGCGAGCTGCCGGGCTCTTTTCACTCCAGAGCGATGACGACGAAGGTCGCATTACCTTGGACACCAAAATCTCGACGGGTGGGGGAAATCTTTCGGTTGGTCAACGGCAGATTCTCGCACTGGCAAGAGCCATTGTGCGTGGGAGCAAGCTGCTAATTCTCGACGAAGGTTTGTTCCTCTGTCAATTGTTTCTTGTTATCTTACTGATTGACCATTTTCTCTCTTTCCAGCTACCTCCGCAATAGGTATCTGATTCATGGTTTATTTCTATCATTAAGACCCCTCCCTCACTAACACACCTGCAGACTACGAGACAGATTCGGTCATTCAATCTTCATTGCGCCATGAACTCAGAGGCGACGTAACGTTGATCACGATAGCACATCGTCTGCAGACCATTATGGACGCAGACAAGATTGTGAGCACGTCCTCATTCTTACCGTTATTCGAGTATTCAAAATGCCATCTAGTTGGTCCTCGACGCAGGCCGCATCGTGAGGCTCAGTTCTGTTGATTGACTTGAATGAGAATTCTAACGTTCGTGCAGGTTGAGTTTGACACACCGAGTGCGCTTCTCAAGAACGACAAGGGGATATTGCGGGCTCTGGTCAATGAGAGTGGTGACAAAGAGACACTATACGCAATGGCAGAAGGAAAAGGAGCCTCTCGTTGATAGAGAGCACTAACGGACACTCTGGTTTTTCTTCACTTATCTGTATGTAGAAGGTCTGTTATACAATTGACAAAGTGAGACGATCGTTCATACGAAGCACAAGGAAGGTTTCAACGTTTTGGAAAGATCCAGAGACTACCTCAGATGTCGTCGCTTGAGAAGCCCAGTATAGATTACAATGAGCGGCGGAGAAAAGGCAAGCAAATCGATACGCGTCCAAGAAGTAGAACATATCCGATGTGGTACTAAGCCAATTGACACCTAAGATTTTGAACACAGGCAGATAGGACAGATGGATGATAGTTTGAGAAAACAGACCAAGCTCAAGTATCAACAGCATTAGGGCCTCCGGTAACTGCCGTTAGACTCTACTGCATCGCGTCCACCACGCGGAGGATAGTCGCGACTAGCCTTTGAGGGCCCAGCTGGAGCTGCAGCATATCCAGAAGAACCAGCATTATAGGAATCATAGCCAGTAGCAGATGTCCTAGGGTGGGGGCTTTGGGAGCGACGGCTAGATGAGAATCAGTGAGTAACAACATCGTCAAGCAATCGAAGTGACATACCGATAACGTCCCTCAGTAGCTGTAGGACGTGGAGGATAATCGGCATAACGAGAAGGCGGAGGCGTCAAAGGTCGTCCACGGTACTCAGGAGGAGGCGGGTAGTCCCTAGACAACAATATCTAAGTGGAATGTCATAGATACAGATGGGTGAACACTACCTAGCAGGTGGCCGATCGAACTCATCCCGGCCTCGGGGAGGACCAGGTGGCGTCCGAGGCCTAAAACTAGGCGGAGGGGGATACGGAGCAAATCTGTCGCCAGGAGGGGGCGGACGTCTGTCATAGCGATCATAGTCCCGAGGCGGTGGCGGAGGATAGCCACGAGGATACCCCGCACCCTCTTCAGGAGGATAGTAGCCAGCCCGAGATTCGTAACGAGAGGGAGGGGGACCACGCATACGATAGTCATCGACGTCGGCACGGCGCGGCGGAGGCGGGAAATAATCACGATGATCCCTTGGAGGTGAGACAGGCCGGCGAGGAGGAGGATACTCGTAGGCATATCGTGAGTCCCTCGCGGGAGGGTAGCGACCAGGGGCATGTTCTTCACGGTAAGATGGGTAGTCCCTAGAAGGGGGTGGAGGTGGATAATCACCTGCTGGCCGAATACGATCTATGAGGGGTGACTCCCCGGGAGCTGAGCGCCGTCCATTGCTGCCACCAGAATAAGTCGATATAATTACACTCAGAACACGAAAAGAACGAAACCACTAACGTTTGCATTACATGGTTTGGACACTCTCTGCATCGGCTAGATGAGCTTCATTAATATAATTTATCAGATATAGCGACTACATGCCTAGCCCAGTGGCCCATTAGGCCACATTTGAAGCAAGCACCGGGGTCGGCACTGTACTTTGCGTACCTGCCGCCGCCGCGTGACAGCTCGACACGTATTTTGTTCCCCATGAAGAAGCCTTCATGGTATTTTGCTACGCTCTCCTCAGCGGCTTCTCGGCTTTCGAACTCCTGCATGTAGGGTGAACAAACGCTGACAGCGCAATTGTGTTACATGGTCACATACAACGAACCCATATCCCACTCTGAGACCCATGATCAGCAAGTGTCGCACGAAACATATAGAAGAACATACTTCAACTCGATGTTGGTGATAGTCCCGATCTTTCCAAAGCAACTTTGCAAGTCCTCTTGACGGGTGTGTTCGGGTAAACCCCCGATATAGACCTTGTTTGGCTAGATGGTACAAAGTAAACACCCAGTAGAGCAATCGTAAAGGAGCAAACAAATCGGCAGCGCAGTGCTTGAGCAGAAAACAGGGGTAGCTAGCCTCCAAGCCAGGAGTAAAAATGGTGGGCCACATCGTGGGCAGGTACCATGTACATCACCCTTCGGACCACATGCAAAGTGCACAAGCAAAGGGAGACAAGAGACAGGAGAAGACCTAAGCACCTTGACCTGCTTTTCTCTGTAGACGACAGTGCCAGATTGGTTGGAGCCAGCATCGCCGCCCCCATTGCTGCGAGCGTACTCCGGATGAGCAGTGTCGGTTGCTGCCCGATCATCGCCAGCAGGACCGTTGTTTGGAGCAGCACCGTCGCCAGCAGGACCCATAGGCTCGCCGCTGTGGTCGCCTGAATTCACCCACTTGTCGTGGGACTGTAAATCACCGTGCTCTGTGTGCATAGGGGACGCAGCCATACTAGCTGGAAGTAGGTGGTAGTGGATCAAGCTGGTTTTCCTCGTCACGATTGGTCAAAAAACTCTGAACTCCATTTCAGACTCCGATGGTCAGTGCGCCACATCTAAGATCTCGAACGCAGGCGCAACTCTTGGGAAACAAATTTACTACTACTGTCCACTGCCGACAGGAAGTAGGTATCAACGGAGCGAATAAGCTGTTCGTGGCTACGAGGTATTGAGTAGTGATAGTACGGTATAAATGTCCATGGAAAATCAGCGCTCACAGTCCAATGAATATCACCAAAGTCATCAAGAGAAAAAGAAAAGAGATCCTGAAACCTAGGCAAGGGTCCACATTCCGCTTGCTACAGTGACTGCGAACACGACAGCAACGCTTAACAGGCCACGGGAATCAGCTGAGAAGAGAGCAACAGCCGCCCCTGAAGAACCTGAACTCCCGCTGCTGCCACTGCTGCCACTGCTGCCACTGCTGCCCGAAGATGAACTGCCAGTGGAGGCTGGTGCGGATGGAACCGATGTTCCAGTAGCGCTAGCCAGGCAAGAGCTGGCGGCTGCGTTCGCCGCAGAGACAGACGGCGAATTACTGTTCACGGTGCCATTGCCAGAGAAGCTGCAAGCCTGGGGGTCACGATTATTGGCCTCGTAGTACTGGCTCATAGCGAAAGACAGTTTGACAGCTGCGAGAGACAAAGAGCGTTAATGTCTGGTTATAGAAGCTCTATGGCAGGACAGCGTACAGGGATCACATTCTGATACTACTCCGTACTGCCCGGTCTGACCGTTGCTGGCGATTGCATCGCAATTTCCACCTTTAGTACCAATAAGAGAGCAGGCAGTGTCAAGAAGGGTACCGATGATGGCACTAGTGTTGGTCGTCTGGGGGTTGAATTGACAACTAAGGTTATTCTCCAAGCACTGGCAAGCCGAATTGCTCGGGGTCGGAGGAAGAGTGTTCGAGGCAAGGAACGTGGAATTTTGCGAGAAGCAGTTCGGGTAGGTACCAGAACCGGCATTGCTCTTCGAGGGAGTGTTGGGAGGGGAGACTTGGCCATACTGAGTCTTGAGATTGTTGAAGTCTGTACTGGTTTGCACGGTGCTTCCATCCGCGCTGATTGTCACCATCCCAAACTCCCCTTGACTACTTTCCGCTGGGAAGTAGGAGAAGGCAAGACCGCCTGACCAGACATCGGACATTTGGCTGCTGAAAAGTGCACTAACCTCCGTCCAAATGCGGGGACTGGGATCGTTACATCCAAACTCGCTGAAGTAGGCGACGACGTTGTAACCGGCAAAATCACCCGTCTTCCCAGCATACGAGCGCTGGAAGGTGGAATTGCCGCACCACTCGCTGTGATGAGCCAGTAAATCAATTTTTGTATGATTCAGAAACATCAAGCGCGTACTAATTGTTAAGACCGAAGAGATCGATGGATGAACCAGCCGAATTGCTGCCAGACGGGTCACAGGACAGGTAATTTGCGAGCGGATCAACCCAAGTCGAGTCACCGTCAATGGCAGCGTATCCGACGAGCGGACTCAATGACTTCGAATTTCTGTAGAGGGCCGGACCTCAGCTCTCCGAAGTGTCGTGGCATTACGAAACAAAATGGGCGCTCACAAGTAGGCTTTGGTATCCCGGGCGGCTGCCTTCACGAACGTGAGAGCGGCAGTCCCATTCGGATTGATGACGACCTCATTTCCGACGTTGTAAGCCAACACGTTGTCGTACTTCGCGAAAGCATCGATGGTCCCGATATATAGGTTGAGCAAGTTCGTGGTCCATGAAGGTGAATTACGGTCGATAGATCCGTTGACAGGGAGAGACAAATCGATACTAGTGACCAAGGATCAGCAGTGAAGACTTAAATAGGAGGCGATGGGAGTAACGAGTACATAGTGTAGATCCCAGCGTTGCTAAGCGCTTGCATGCATGAGTCGTGGTTCAGAGAGGAATTTACGCTGTATACACGGATGGTGTTGACACCCAGCTGCTGCAGGAAGGGCAGGTCACGAGAACATGCTGTCGCATTTGCCAACGGGTCAAAGAAGTTGGAGGGTTCCAGGAAAGGATTGTTCGGATCGGACGACACAGTACCTGCAAAGAGAGGACATACGATCAGCCTATGTTAGATGGAGGCGCGAGAGCCATATGATATACCTTGCTCCTGGTACGCAACACCCTTGATGTAGAAACGGCTCCCATCCTCGTTGTAGAGGTACCTGCCAGACCGGGTGATTTTTCCGATAGCATGAACCCCGGAGAGCAAGGACGCAGCGATCGTGCAGGCCGTAGCCAGACGAGAGATTGTGAACATTACTTTTCGTCACAGGCCAAAGGAAAGAAACCGAGGGGAAAGTGTGGTGATGGAGACAGAACGGGTGGAGGAAACGAGGAGAGTTGCACTCACGGCCTCTTGAGGCCTTCAGAGGGCATGGACAAACGTGGGAAGGCCTGTCGTGTTAACGTCAGTAGACGCCGACGTCGTGACATCATCATCATGACAATAGTGGGGAAATTCTGCAGAAAGGGCAGTCCATTCCCTTAGGACCCTCGCACGCTCCTCGCACACGTAGAACATGCTATCTACTTTCGCTCTTAAACCATGAGCGTCATACGGAGAGTGTTTTTTCATCGTGTTTGTGAGTACAACGGGGCACTAGTGGATCCACTCTGGGCGGCCTAGAATTTGCTAATTGCATCCTGATTTCTGATCCCAACTACCGATTGATATCAACGTATATCAAAACCTGTAACGTTTGTTGGTAGTGTCTAGAGGGTGCCCTATTCTTGATGGAAAGCTAGCAAACCTGTAGGCCGCTCTGGAACGTCCTTAGTAACTCAGTAACTGTCTCCGAGAAGATTGTCTCTTGTTTTAAACGATACCCGGCGGGCCGTTGGTACACCACGAGATGACCCACTGATACTTCATGTAGGATGCTTTGTGACTCAGAAGCAATTCACGAGTCGGCATCACACGCGATCAACCACAACTCCAGAATAGCGGAGAAATTTAGTGAGCACTGATCATGTGCAGATATCAACCCGAACGCCCTTCGATTGAAGCGCTAATCTCTACACGCCGTTCAACCGTTCGCCGATATCTGACCTTCTTCGAATCGTGCAGGCTTAGTTATTCAAAGTAGCTGGAACCCACATGGCAACTCTGGTGGATTCTCTTCCTTGAAGCATCACGAGCAGAGATGAATCGGACCGTATCTTCATATCTACTACTCTGCTCCAGGCATATAAAAGACCGCAGCGATGTCACTTCCCTCTGCGTCCGAATCATGATGTGGGCTTGTCGACTAACAATATCTCTGCTCGCTGCAAGCACCCTTGCACAGACCGGGCGTGCGTCTCAGATCTTACTAGTCCGTGATTTCTCTCACGTTGATTTCAGTTGCTCCGAAGGCGTATCTGAGTCTCCCGCTGGGGGCTATCAAGCCTGCTGGATGGTTACACGATCAGGTAGATTGCTTGTAGACCCTAGTCTTCTTATAGAGCCTATCTGAACTGATTGGCATCTAGTTGGTTGTTCAAACGAATGGTCTAGCGGGGCATGAACACGATTTCTACCATTAGTAAGTTCTTCTGAAGGATCCATAACTTGTTATATCTTATCGGTATTCAGTGTCTCGCAGAGTGACTGGATTGGGGGAACATCGTATTATTCGTACTTGGAAGAAGGCAGGCCCACTATTTGTTCACAGAGCCTGAAAATTAATGGGGCTTTTCCTAGCTGGGAGCTACTGGTTTGTGAGTGTCGGTGCGAACACATCCATCAGTCTGCTTAGCACAAGTTCGTATATCAGAATGCGATGGTCCCCAATGGGGTTTTACTCGATGATGCGACCATCAAGTCACAGACACAACAATTCTTGGATTATGTCCTAGATCACCAAGACGCGACTGGTTGGCTTGGGCCAGAGGTGAACACGACAAAACCGCGGTATCTTTGGGGAAGGTGGGCTTCGACGTTCTTGACTTTTTCACACTCCAAGTGTGTCCTTGCAGGTACCCTTTCTTCTTTGGCGCAATTCAAATGGTCGAGGCGGACCCAACTCAAGCCGATCGTGTCGTGACGGCATTATACAAATTTGTCTCACTTGCTAACTCGATGCTGCACAATGGTACTGGCCTCGAGGATTGGGCTAGGACACGCTGGGAGGACTTTGTCATGACCCTGGAATGGTTCGGCTGAAACTTCTGGAACGAAGGCAACTAACCCAACATCAATGATGTTGATATCAGGTTGTATGATTTCCATCCTAATGGCCAGGAAGATCTCTTGATAGACACCATGAAGATGCTGAAGTGGACTGGTGATCCTTGGGAGGATGTGTTCAATACAGAGGTCGGTGCAGCACCGTATCCTATGGTCACAACCATTGACCTATCAAACAGTATTTTCCCACAACGGCGGTGGAGAACCTTGAAAATCCTTTCCCAGTGTTGACCTGGCATGGTGTCAACATGGCTGAAGGGCTGAAGGCTTTGCCCTCAACCTATCGATTCACCCACAATCAATCCGGTAGAAAGTACTCTCTGTCCTCGTTGAACTTCCGGCTGAGATTGTCCATAGATCTTGACCGAGCGAGTGAAGGCTGGGATCTGCTCTTTAAGTACCATGGCCGGCCCTCTGGGATATATGCTGCAGATGAATACTTGGCTGGACTCGAGGCTGCTAGAGGGTGAGCGTGCTTTTTATGTTCAGCGTTTGATGTTGTCATCTTCTGACCGGAATCACCGATAGAACAGAGCTATGTTTAGTCGTGGTGAGTCTTATCTCCATCAGGAACCAATTCTGCTTCGACCAAGTTGAGATTTCCGTCAGGAAACCATGTTCTCGTGAGGCAACGATCTACCCAATTTGCGTAGCATACGATGTCTGAATCATGACACCAGCGGATCGTACTTATATCAAGTCATTGGAGACACAAAATTTGCCGACAGGGTACATCTTCGCTCCGTTTTCATCTGCGGTTTGAGGCTGATGTGCCAAAGGTCGAACGCATAACGTACAATGCCTTGCCTGCTACATTGACAGGGGGTATGATTTCTTTGATCTGTTTTCACGAAGGAAGTTAACACCTGCCATGATTTCAAGATATGTGGTCACGGCAGTATCTTCAACAACAAAACCAGATTGCTGCGCAAAATATGACACCGTGAGATACGCAATTGTCTTATCGAACGCTGTTCTCATGATCATCTACAGCAACCCGTTCCCAAACGATGGGTATGAGACTATTCTTATCATGCGACAAGTGTGATCTTATATTTCTTTCCCATAGGCCATATTCCAATGTGTTTGGCCTAGAACCTAACTATCCGTAAGCTCGAACTTCAAAGGCCAACAATGCATAGTATGCCTTACAGCCTTCTAGATGCTGCACTGTCAATCATCCGCAGGGCTGGCCCAAATTCATCACCAACTCTTTCGTGATGACTCCGGACCAGCAGTCGCTCGTACAAGTGTACCTTGGACCTTTCAGCGCAAGCACGACGCTCGCCGGCGGTCAGTCTCTACACACATGGATGGCATTGTGCTCACCGACTATCTACAACAGGTAACACGGTTTCGGCGAGCGTAGACACTATCTACCCTTTCAGCGATACCCTGACCACAACTATCAGTGCGGAGAAGGCATTTACCTATTATGTCCGGATTCCAAATTGGGTCACAAACGGGACGATAAAAATCAACGAGGGTGGCACTCAAGCATTGTCTCCGAAGAGCGGGCTGCAAGCTATTCGTCTGGGTGCTGGCGCCACGAAATTCGTCTTGAATCTTCCCGCGGAGATCACGACAGGTAAGATCAACATTTCGATGATATCCACACTCTAACATGCCGCATGCAGAGTCCCGCCCCCATGGGTCGATTGCTGTGCACCGTGGTCCCCTGCACTATGCTTTCGATATCGCGAGGAATCAAACTGTCCTTGCCCGCAACTCGCAGGAAAGTCGGGCAGTCGATTTACAGTTCGAAGCGACAAACAATTGGAAATACGCCATAGATCCGACAACACTGAAATTTCACAATACCTCACCGCCCTCTGGCTCTCTCCCATCGCCCATCTTTGATTCGGGTCTCCCTCCTATGACCATCACGGCCACAGCATGCCCTATTGATTGGCCTATCGCTGGCAATACCTTCGCCACATCCCCGCCTGAGAGCCCAACTTGCACAGGAGAGGCTACTGCGATAACTCTCTGGCCTTTTGGAGTAAGGCTTATGGTGCTGACTACTAGAGACATGCCAACTGATCTCGTACGTTTCCAACAGGCCACGAAACTTCGCATTGGCGAATTTCCAACGTTCAGTTCAGCTTGATCGGTTTGCCTCGTCTCCCACAGACAGCCGCAACGATGGCGATACTTCTTTTAATTTCCGACTCTGTACCTCGGGATGTGTCCGTATTTGACGATTTGTGGTCTAGTTGTCTGGCTCATACATCTCCTGCCACTCGGACAAGAATTGTTATACTTTGAATACTCTGGTTTTCCATCAATCATTGTGTAGTGTCTCGGAAATAAACTTGCCAAATGCATGTCGTAAATCCATACGGGTGTCTGTCACCCAATAGCAGAAGAGCCTCTGATAAGAGAGCGGGGGCGGGGTCTGTCTACGTGTAAACGAAGGGAAGCGAGGGACCATTACACCAGGCAACGTCAGGAACAAACCGGATGAAAGGGCATGGGCATCCCGCACAAGTCGCGTAGCATCGTGGTCGCGACGCGACGTGGTCACGTGATAGTATTTATACCAATGTGTCGGCTCGTCGAGAGTCCAGATGCCAACCCGTATTTGCCTCATCTTGATTCTCTAACGGTGAGCCTTGCTGTCATCTTCCTCACTCACTCGACATTCCTCAGACTCGTCTCCCAACCTTCCTTTGCTCACTCCTCGCTCCTTGTCCTCATGTCCGCGCAGCGCGCTATACCATCATCAAAACAGCCAAGGCAGCGCCGCAAGCTTACCGAGCAAAAGGACATGTCCCGAGGCGCGAAACTCGACGCGATGACGACTTCGTTGAATAGCATCCAGATTCAGCCTCGCACGCCTAGGTCATCGCGTCCTGGTCGCGATTGGGCAAGTGGAAGTGATGGCGGCACGGACGAAGTGGAGTTGACTTTGTTGAACGAAGATGAGAGGCGAGAGGCCGGCGCCGGGGTAGACGGATTCGGCCTTGAGTCAGGAGCCGAGAAGGCCAAGTCGACTTTGACCGCAGAGGATAAGAAAGCTATGGTACTGTTGTCAATTTTGTGTTCGTCTTTCTTCATGAGATTCAGCCCGCCACGTCACTTAAATCTTCATAACATCATGTAGACCTTATTCAAGGCGTCCCAGTGAGTTTGTCTTGTTTTTGTTCTTCATCCTAGTCACCATTCTGACACCTTGCTTTTTAGATAGGTCTCGCGTTGGGTATATCGATTTCTGCTATCAACTGTTCTGTTTGATTCTTATAATGTTCAGGATCCGTGCCATTCCTTCTGCGAGAACATCTATCCTATTCGCAACTAGCTGTGTTTGCCCTCTCAAGCTATCCTTATTCTTTGAAACTTCTTTGGTCCCCAATCGTCGATTCGAAGTTCTTGCCGTCCGTGGGCCGTCGGAAGTCTTGGATCATCCCAATGCAGAGTGTGATCGGTTCACTTATGCTCTATATATCATTTAACGTTGAGAGACTCATGGAACATGTCAGTTCGCCTCTGTCATCATCTCTTGGTTGTCGACTGATTTTGCATCCCACAGCCGGCAGACAATGTCTACACGTTAACTTTCGTATTCACTTCGCTCGTGCTCATTGCAGCAACGCAGGGTAAGTGGCATCATCTCTGAATTCTCACGGTGACTGACTAGTGTTTTTCAGACATCGCTGTCGATGGTTAGTACCCGAAACTAAGGATCTTGTCTGATGAGTTTTGATGAGTTTCACTATCAGGCTGGGCCCTCACTCTTTTGTCGCAAGAAAACTTATCTTACGCATCTACATGCCAGACCATCGGGCTCAACACAGGCTATTTCGCCTCATTCACAGTTTTCCTCGCCCTTAATAGCGAGGCTTTCAAGTACGTAGGCTGTGATATAGGATTTTGTGGGTACTAAAGTGTCGAATATAGTGAGAAGTGGGGCGTTCCTCACCTCGGCCTAGGTACCTATCTGCGTTTCTGGAGCGTCATATGCTTCTCCGTGACCATATGGCTGACGTTCTTCCAGACAGAGGTATTTCTTAAATACATCCAGGAACTGACTTGTTCTTACCTGGAAAAACTACAGCGGAATGAAGTCCTAGAAGAAAATGACGTGAGCGTCACCGGCGTTTACAAGACTATTTGGAGCATCATGAAACTGAAACGTATACATTATCGCCTCTATTCTGGAGACCCAATACTGATATTGCCTGCTGCAGACGTCCAAACCTTCATTTTAATGCATCTTTTCGCGAAAATAGGGTTTGCAGCAAATGAAGCGGTCACTTCCCTAAAGATCGTCGAGAAAGGTCTCGGCAAGGAAGATCTCGCCGTCGCGGTTCTGATAGACTTTCCCTTTCAAATTGTCGGGGGATGGCTGGCGGCAAAATGGTCCCGTGGGGACGCCCCTCTTCGGCCATGGCTTTGGGCATTCTGGCCTAGGCTAGGGTTTGCCCTGATAGCAACACTCATCGTGTATTGGTTCCCCACCCCGCCCATCTCGAACGGTTTCTTTGTATTCCTCATCATCCACACTGTATTACAGTCATTCTCCTCGTGAGTTCTCTATGCCCTTCAAACTGGTTGTCTCTTATCATTTACGTAGGACGATACAATTTGTCGGTATCTCAGCTTTCCATACTCAAATATCCGATCCAGTAATCGGTGGAACTTATATGACAGTCAGTCATCTCTTCACCATGAGACCTTAGACTGAACGTGCATTGTAGCTTCTTAATACCTTCACAAACTTGGGTGGAACGTGGCCGAAATATTTCGTGCTGAAAGGTGTGCCGTATTCTTGTCCACCTCTCGTGTTCTTGTTCTAATCTCGACATCAGGCGTGGACTTCTTCACTATTGCAACATGTGAAGTCAAGGAATCTCTCCTCACCATTCCCGGTTAGCATCGCAACACCTTTTCAACTTTCAATACTTATAGTTTTTCCACAGCTGCGGAGTGTGTCTCTGACCAAGGCAAAGCACATTGCACGGACATAGGAGGGCAGTGTGTCACTGAGCGGGACGGTTACTACATCGTATCGTCATTCTGCTTGACATTCGGCGTCATCTTCCTGATAGCCTTTATCATGCCTACGGCTCGTAAACTACAAGGTCAGTCTTGTCACGCCAGCTTTGATCATCCCCTAACTGTACGTACGCAGCACTTCCGATCAGTAAATGGCGCGTGTATAGCTAGATGGAACGAAAAGGGCTAGCGCCGCCTATGAGGGAGGTGTAGTACCAATTGAGGGAAATTTCTCGTGGAATCGGTGCATTTTATTCTACATAAAGGACGACGGACACTGGTGTAATTGATAGGAAGCACTCTAGCCTCTTTGTCTATTGACGTGAATTTTGTGGAAGAAAGGATGCAGTGGTGGCTGAGTATTTGAGTGCCGGCCCTGAAGTAGAGGGCTTCACGCAATTGTACGCTCGATAGGACCACAACTCTTTACAGAGAAATTCATCCTACGCACGTCCGACGCCACCTGCCAGCACTCTCCACTCGACCTCACACGTCTCAATCTCTTATTTCATCGGTAAAATGACGACCACAACTATGCACTTTGGTCCCGAATGGATGCGTCCCAAACATGCGCGCCCCCAGAACCCGCCTTCTCCTCCTCCTGTTACCTCTCATGCGTCTCCCGGGGCATCTTCTTATTCGTCTCTTGTGACCACCACTCTGAACATGCCCCAAGAAAAATCAGACACCGCTCACCCTTTCCGCTATTCCAAAGACGAGCTCCTCAAGATCTATAAGGAAGGAGGTGGCAGAGGCGGCCTTGGACTGGAGGTTGAACGATGGGAGGGCGTCGTACGCGAAGTTGGGAGCGAACCGATCGCCATGAAAGAATGGACTGACGCGGAGAGAAAGGTACGTTCCGTTTTCATGAACACACGTGTAGGTTGTTTGATGGTAAAAAATCACCGCGCTCTCCTTAGCTTTTTGTAGGCTCTCTCAACTCGGAGGTGCGCAGGCGTCAGTCGACTGACTACCTCTCACCTCTCGCCACTCCGTCAGGAGAAAGGACTAAACTACTTCACACTCCTTCTGGTGTTGCAAGCCCCATACGGGAGCGGTTTGGAAACCTCATTGCCAGGAGGAAAGACAGTTCGGGTTCGGGTGCGTGGTTTTGTTGAACCGAGTGCTAGAATCCAACATCGCTCTTTGCTAGAGCAACCCGCGTTGGGCGTACCAAGGAAATTGTCACTGTCTTCAATGCAGGGCGGGACGAACTCTCCGCGGGACAGTAGTCTCTCTTCTCCTCGCACTCGCATACCCACAACTCCTGGGTTTGATGGAATCTTAAACGCACCAGATTCTTGGACTTCGAGGAGGCGCGCTTCTGAAGCGGGCGCAAAATCCGCGACCGGCAATGAATACATAAATGACAAGGAGATAAAGGAGGAGGAAGAACCCCAGGGCGGCGGATGGGGTCATGCAGCTCAGAACGGCGATCTCAACGTTCACAATCACCAGGCTGCAGATGATCGCATGCACTCTGCTACCGTTGACGTTCCGGACGGTCTACCGTCAGAAGCTCGTGTCATTGACCGGGATATTGCGAACCATTCGTTAGGCGATCAGGGATTTGCAGGGCAGGCGCCTACAACGCCTTCGAGCTCTCACACAAATCCCGATACAGCGAATGCTGGGCCACCCCCAGGTATCGCCGACGTTGCAAGCGTCGAATGGTCCTACCTTGACCCTCAAGGACAGGTACAAGGCAAGTCACTTGGGATCTTCATATATGGCTTGGGGTTTTATTCATGGTTGATGCTCAGGTCCTTTCCGTGCTGATGTGATGCAGAAGTGGTATGACGAGGGCTACTTCGCGGCTGATCTTCTTATGAAGCGCACGAATATTGACCAAGATTGGACACCTGTTGGCGAGCTGGCTCATCGTGCGAATGGTGCACAGGTATTCCTCAGCCACTTTTCTAGTAACTCAGCACCTCCTGGTTTAGCTCGCCAGGTCGACTCTTCATTTGATGGTTTTGCGCAGTCTCAAGATGCCAGCGGATTGAATCCGCCTTACCAACCTATTCCCACACGTTCTTTACATCCTTCTGCCTTAGAACCATATCTTACTTCAGGATCTGTTGCATCCGACTCCCCCTCCTCCTCATTTGGTGCTGGTCGATTTGGGAACGGCTCTCCCGACCCAGCTGCATTTGGTGGCCATGCAGGCGGCCATCTTTACTCCACGAATGATTCGCCAGCAGGCTCTCGACACAGCACTTTCGCCGTTGACCCTTCATCTGCGTACGGGGTCGCGAGGAGGCCCATGTTCAATGATGGATCTCAGTACGATCCAAGTTTTGCCAATCGTTCTATCGGAAACGTCACCCCTATTCGAACATCGTCTATCGATAATTTCGGCCATGGTGCACCTTCACTACCTGTGCAGAATGCCTGGCCATCAACTGGGAGCGTTCATCCGGGTTTGAATGGCACAAGAGCAGGATCCACAGATCCCTTCGCACAAAGTCTTGCTCAAGGCGTGGACCCTACATATGTTTCACAGCCGTCGATGGTTCGGAACTTCAATAATGTCCGCGGTATCCAGGACAATATGTCTATGGGTTACACGAGTGCCCCTGCGATGAACCACCGGGATCTTTCACGCCTCGGGGTACGAGATCCGTATGCATCGGAAGAAAAGCTCGACCTTCGTGGTGGAATTGGCCTTGATGGTTACGCCAATGGCGTTTCCAGCTCACCGTTCGGATCTCAAACACTGGCTCAGCCTTTCAACCAGTCTCCAGCATTGCAGTATTCTATTGCTCCGACTCAGCCACTCCCTTCTCCTGTCACAACACAACCATCACCACATGTTATTGCTCCGAACCGAATCATGACCCCTCATCAGCCTTCACAAACACAGTCTCCATGGAACACTCTCGAGGAATCCGTACCCAAGCAATCTGCAGTGAACTCCAGTGTATTCCCTACCTCCGCCAACACTGTATCTACTAGGGTTGCTCCTCCGCCACCATCACCCTGGGCTCGTGCCAGCCAGGTTTCACAGCCCGTAACTGTTGCTATTGATCAATCACCATGGATCAACACCTCTATTGGCGCCTACGACAATCGGACACCGGCTTCTGGCCCCAGCAGCTTGACAGTCAGTAACCTTGGTCAGCACAATCAGCAGCAAGACCAAGAAGCCTCTGGGGGCACCCACGAAGCGCAATTGACTGTGGAAAGTCCAGTGGAACTCTCTGAAGTAGTCGGGACGCCGTCTTCACACGTACCTAGCCCAGAGCTTTCGCAACAGCAACAACCGAGGCCCCATCGCAAGTCCTCGACGCAGGGTGCAACCGTTGCTCCAACTGCGAAGTCTTCTACAAAGCCTCCTTCTCCAGTTCTTCCTACCACGGGTAAACCCGTCTGGTCTACCGAGGATGAAAAGAAGAAGGGCTTGTCTACGAGTCTCAGCTTGAGGGAAATCCAGGAGGCCGAGGCGAAGAAGCAGGAGGTGAAGAAAGCTGCTGAGAGGGAGAAGGAGCGGATTGCGCGGGCGGCAGCCGCTCAGGCCCCGTCTCAACCACTCGACGACGCGCAGACATTCACAGCCTCTTGGGGCCTTCCTACCTCTCAGGTTGGTGCCACCCGCCATACCTCGACCAAAGAGGCAGCGCCCTCTGCGGCCGCCACGCCATCTGCGCCGGGTGCGCCTGCACCTGTATGGACCAACGCGGTCAAACCCTCTACCTCTAAGAAGACCATGAAGGAAATTCAGGAAGAGGAGGAAAGACGGAAGAAGATGGCTGCAAAGGAGACGGCTGCGGCCGCGGCCGCTCGCCGTGCGTATGCGGAGACGACGACAAAGGTTTGCCATCTCAAGATTCGAGATAGAAAACATTGATTAACATTCACCTTAGAGTGCCACTTCTACACCTGCTGTTGGTGGTGCCTGGACTACTGTCGGTTCGAATGGTAAATTGTCCGCCCTGACAATTCCTGCTGGTGTGCGCCCTGTCAATCCGACAGCTACGTCTACTGCCGCAGTGACTACTTCTTCAACGCGCGCGCCAAATGGCACTGTTTCTGTCTCTCGATCACCAGCTCCTGCTGCGGTCAAAGTCGCATCTGCATCCAAGGTCGACGATACGCCTGTGGTTCCTTCGCCTGCTTTCATGAAGTGGTTGAATGACTCATTGAAGGGACTTAACAACTCTGTTAACTGTACGTTCATTTGTCGTTCCTTGCCTGTGCTGTCCAATTGTACAATGACTCACACTATGCAATAGGCGAAGAGATCATGTCAATGCTGCTCTCGTTCCCCCTGGACGTCGACCCTTCAACCATGGAGATCATTTCCGAACTCATCTATGCGAACAGCACGACGCTCGATGGGCGGCGTTTTGCTCAGGAGTTCGTGAGCAAACGTAAGACGGACGCGGCGTCGAGAAGAGGCATGACCACTCCAGGTAAGGGTCCTTCCATCGCGGATGTGGTGAAGGCGCAGCCGAAACCATCTCAACAATCGGAGTGGGGAGGCTTCAAAGTCGTCAACAAGAAGAAGAAAAGCGGTCGGGCGTAGGGATCGGGTCATATATAAGCGCTGGATCGGAGATGTCCAGTTAATACGTCTTCTATGCGTGCTTGTTGTCAGTTAATGTGTCTTATGACTAGTTGTGGAGTGCATCTCCTCTTATTTCCTACCGCTTTACCACTGCAGTCAGCCTTTCGAACCAACATCGTCAAAACGTCTCAGATCACTCAAATTTCGAGAGTCCTAAGCGCCGTTGTAGAGTCAATGAACAGGGAGCATACGATAACAGACAAAAATCAGTCCACCCTTTGCCGCTTCTCCCCTCGTTCATACGATCTTCAATCCTCCATCGATCGACTATCGATGTCCTACCATCTCTGACCCGTCTAGGCGACCTCTCCCTGTTCCCGCTTCTCCAGCCCATCCTCCCCCCGTCATGTACTGTGTCAAGTATGGTGGATGGTGAACATGCCAAAAAAATAAACACAGATCAACGCGTTGTAATTGTGCAAAACCCTCCCTCTACAGGCTAGGTGATTTTCCTGTGACCGAAGTCATCAATGCGGAACAAATGCTGGTTTCGGAAAGCAGGTCTGTGTGAAAAGGTGAAACTGCGCAATGGCTATGTTTAAACCTCCGTCTCCCTTCGAGTTATTTATGCCATAACTTCCTCATCTGTAAGCGACACCGATTCAAAAGCTTTCACCCCCTCTCTGCCAAGGATCGTCGCGCAGGCCACCACCCTTGCCCCAGCTTGACGCATTCGTCTGTGTGCCTCCTTCGTAGTGACCCCTCCAACGCCAATGACGATGATTGCACGGATCGACTCATCCTCGTGCTTGCCAAGAGCCCGTGTAAGCGAGTATACATTTCCAAGTGATAATGAGTGGATCGCTTCGCCGGCTAGACCGCCTAAGACAGTTGGGAGCGAGAATGTCCTCGTGTTTGCAAGGATCCCGTCCGCGTCGATATCTCCTCCATCACTATTGTCCCTCGACTCCTGAATAGGCTTTGACCACAATGCTTGATCTGCAAATAATAAGGAGTTTCCAAGTGTGTTTGTTGATGTGAAGAACGCGAACGGATTCAAGCGACACGTCTTGTCACTTGGATCCGGACGAGAAAATGAAGCTACGATCTCGATCAGCTCGTCGAACTGTGTTGCGTAGACGTAGGGTGGGAGCTTCAGTCCGATCACGAGCGTACGGTCCCTCCAGAAGTAGGAGGCAAGAGCAGAGAGTATAGGGGCGAGACGGGCGACGGTATACGCGGGCGGAGGTGAGCCTTTGATGTTTGGACAACTTGTATTGAGCTCTATGGCAACTCGCGAAATTGGACCCTGCGAGTCCTGCAATTTTGTGCGGAGCTCTTGGATAGCGTCCATCATGGAGGTGATGGAACTAGGAGACGATGACGTGATGCTAAGGATGATAGGCTTCGTAGAGCCCGAAGGGGCATTCGTAAGGATAGTATGAACATCTTTGATGTATGTCGCCAGTGGATGGGGCGAGTAGCCATACGAGTTCAACGATGACCGAGTGTCATGAGTGAAAGCAACCTATGATGCGTCACTTCAAAACCTGTCGACGACGCTTATCCGCGGACGTGAGGCGCACCGTATGCTCGGACGTTTCGATGAATCCCAACAGCGTCGTTGTACGAGTTGTCACAGCTCCTGTATGAGGAGAATCAAACAGTGTCTGCAGCTCGTGTAACTCGGATGACCATGCACAGGAACTGTTGATCAAAGGTGGCGAAATGCGGATTCGACGTATCGTTGTCATCGTCGTCCTGTTGGGTGGTCTTCAGGCAGGATGATAGGAGAAGTGGGTGTAAAGTGGCCTTAAGACACAGCTGTGAGATAAGGGAAACTGTCGAAAGCGGGAGAGATAAGATAATCTATTCGCGCGATGACCTCAGTGCGGCCAGGCTGGCGTTGACAGCCTAACAATGTGGTCGCTTCAGAGAGGAGAGGATCTTCATTTGGGCGAATGAATGCTACAAACTGTACCTATGGTTAAACATATTTACTTGAAGAGCTCCTCGCGTTCTAATACACTCTTTTCCAGTTTTATCAAAATGGTTGTCCGTGCAGGGTAGAGGTCGTTTGGTGTGTTATGTGCAGTGACACGGGCAGGCTAAAAAAAGGGGGGGAAATGAGATTGTACCAAGAAAAGCAGCAGATGCTCTCACAAATCCTAGACCATCAAGAACCGCTTCAACGATGCCGGCTGTGAACGATGAGCAGCTGAGCTGACTCATATCGCGAGGAATAGATATATTGCGAGTGATGATGGGGTCATTGTCAATGATCATGTCTGGAGGTTGCGTAAAGTAAGCAACCAAAAACCAAAAAGTATTCATTCGTACACTCGTCCTCATTTTCGACACTTTTCTCTATAGCATCGGCAGGCTTTCCGAACACAGCTTTCCAAACATTGGTATGTATGGACATGAGGGCTGGTAAAAAACGTATTTCTCGCTTCGGCATTTTAGACGCCGATTCTGCACGCCAAACCATGAGTTCAAGAACCCGCGTGCCGAGGCGGTAGCCGAGAGTGTTCAAACTGTAGAAGATGTTCAGAACGACCATGGTGCATAAGAGGTATCCAGACTAACCGGCGCTCAAGGTCATTGATACCACTGACGCGCTTTTGTGTGTACTGTACCACTTCGGAAAAGAGAAACGCGAACGCGGAAGAGGAGACCTCCGCGGTTCGTGTCTTGTTCAAGGGCCTGTCATAGATGTTGGGACGTGACAACGGTTTGGGCGTCCCGATAGTGGTGTTGATCGAGGGTGCAGAGGGAAGGGAAAAGCGAGTAGAGCTGTTTGTGGGGGAAAGGAGCTCCGCAGAAGAAAGAGAGGAAGAAGAAAGAACTGAAAAGCGAGGATGAGGCTGAGGCTGAGCGTAGTGGGACATGACAAGATGAAGGGGTCGCGGGGAAATCCAGTGCGGGGCAGACGGGCCGCCATGCGACTTGGCTCACGACAAATGCATCTAATCCGCCTCACGAGAGAAAAGTGATAACATGTCCCTCGGCCAATGGTGGGAAGACCCCCTTGATCTGCGTGCCCACACTGTCATTTCTTCCCCGCTTGCGTTCGGATCCCTACAGAACCCAGGAAATTCCGACATATATATGAATCCATCTGGACCGTCCTCGACAGATATTCAGGCTCATCTCTACAACTCGTTCCTGGAGGGGAAAGCTGCCGACGTCGTATTGAATGTTGATGGTACATGGAGAGCTATCTACCGGCTTCATCGCGTTGTCCTCATCCAAGCTGTGAGATTCTCGCGTCATACACGCTCGATGCTCGGTTGTGCTGATATCGTGTCTGCATCCGTCTTCAGGGTTTCTTCCGTTCCCTATTCACGGGAGGTTTTGTAGAGTCCACAAATAAGCGGAATACATCTAATCGGCACCAAGATCAGATCGACATCGTTTTCAACGATACAAACATCACTCGCGCAGCATTCGAGTACGCCCATGTTCGTGTTTGGCCAGGGGATCTTTAGTTGACGTACAGATAGGCTATGTATTGCTCGACTTTATGGAGGGGGACCGCAGCTATTCATCGATGCCATTATTCCCACTCCTGCTCAACCTCTGACTGCGTCGTTCTTGAACCAACTGCCTACCGCTGAAGTCCCTGCAGGCCAACAACCGGCTACCCCTCGCTTCCTTATGTCACTTCTTGCTGCTTCCATATACCTATCCATCCCTTCAGTTGCCTCACAAGCTCTGACCTCTATCCTGTCCTCCGTCGGACCACTCACAGTTGTACCCTACCTCAAATTTGCCATCGGTCAAGGCATCGGTCCCCCACAAGAAGATGACCTCGAGGCTGCTGTGGGCCTCGAGCAAGTTGCCCTTCCCGTCAAATTTGAGACTACAGATACTCTGACTTCAAGCCTTCGATCTTTCTCAATCAAGGATGAACCAACAGCCAACAAGCCCGCAGAGAAGGTATCTGCAGAGGACCTGCATATGAAGAAAGAAGACCCAGCGGATGCACTCTCGGATTCCGAGGATTCCGGCCATTCTTCCCAGACACATCTAAGTGAACCCGATGTCAACACCCTCTGTTTCTATTATGGTGCTGTATCGGACAAGATTGGCGAGGCAGCCGCATGTTGGCTAGCTCGTTGGGGTGCTGATATGTTAGGATACGAACAGCAATCGACGAACAGACGCAAGTCAGACTCACAGTCGGTCGCACCAGCATCTGGACAGTCTTCTGGACGTCGCTCTACTATGCCATCCAGCTGGAATTATGTCGGGCTTGATTTGAATAAGCCATCTCCGCCTGTCGTACCGGTTTTGTGGCGGAAAGATGGTTTAGATGCAAAATGGGTACGTGCGCTCGTGTCGTCGGATTCTTTTTTTGTCCGAGGAGAGAGAGAACGATACGATCTGGCAAAAGCGATCGTAGAGATGAGGCGGAATGAAGGCACCGACGAGAAGGAAGAGGCTGAATTCACGAAGATGTTTTCCGAAGGGATATATTATGCGAATATGGTATGTAAGGTCCTCTACTTCTTTGTTTCTGTCTACTGATGACGATAATATGTTGCCAGCTGCTGGACGATCTCGTATACATATCTCGAGATATATCGCCGACAAATGGACGAGCATATGTTCCAATACATGTCATCCAGGTAGCGCATTGGAGTCAATCTCTTCTGCAGCACACAATCACGGCACGCCCAACTGCGTCGCCGACTTCATCCCCTGGACTGCTCAATCATCGAGACGAGCTTGGTATTTCGGTCTCACAATCAGATATAGTGACCAGATTATCCTCTCCATTACAAGACACAGAAAGAAATCAGCCATATTGGCCAATTCCTAACGATTCATCTTTGCGTATCGGTGACAACACTGGCATTGAAGGAGCATCGATGGATGAACTTTTCAGTCGGTCCTTAGGCAGCAAACGTGCCGCAATTGTGGACACGTCCGAGTCCACGTTCTTTGGCCTGAAGAACGATCGTTGCGTCGCTGCGGATTTGGTTCAGAGAAATCTAAACGATCCTTCGCATCGTTTTTTGCCCCACCCGCCTTTTCGCTTTGCGGTCGAATTCTGGGACGTCGAAGCGTTACGGGAGAAATCACGATTACATTCCCAGACAATCTGGTATGCAGGTAACTTATTCAACGTGTACGTTCAGTTGGTGCGCAAGAAGGGCATTCAACTTGGTGTGTACCTTCATCGCCAGTCAAACATCGATCCCATCCCCCCTCCATCCGCACCTTTTGGTGTCCACCTTCCTGAGCAAAGCACTAAGACACACACACGCAGCCCATCCTCACCTCCTGCCATTCACCCTTCTGTCTCGACACCCACGATCCATCACTCACCTCCTGGCCATCCTATGCTTTCACCAATCCGGTCAATGACACCTACTGCTTCTTCTCCAGCGTCGTCACCTCCACCTAAGCTTCCCGCTACTGCATCACCCGTTGCACCAGTTCAGCCGTATCGTGACCCACGTTCTGCTGTATCTGCATACTTTACAATTTCGTGTGCGAGCGCAACAGGTTCTTCCCTGACACGGTTTACCAGTGCACCAGACGTGTTCAAAGTCAGTCAAAGCTGGGGGTGGAAAAGCAGTTCACTGCGAACTGAGGAATACCTTGAAGTTGTTGGGAACAGCGTAGAAACCATACCAATACCCAGCGAAAAAGAAGTGAGTTTGCGGGTGACCATCATTCTTGGTATCGTGTAACCTATTTGCGTTCTGTTATATATGTACACTTCATATCAGGCTCATATCATACATTCTCTTGCGCAGTCCGTTTATTTGTATACCATAATCGCCTTGAGTGCTTGAGTAATGATTGTTTGTGCAATCGCATATTATGGATTCTTACTATGCTTTCGATTATGGGGTTTCATTCAGAGCGTGCGGCCAGTATGTCATGCGTAGAGTTCCGGCGGCTTGTATTATCATTGATGTTATTTGCGACTGCTAAATGAGCTTTCACCGGGATCCTCTGGGACCATGATTTCGCAACTACAAGACTTGCCTATTTGGTTCAAGCTAACTTCTTCGTGATCCACTACGATCCATCACTCATTGCCACAGACCTTATACACAGAACGACTGTCTTCTGTGTAAAGGTCAGCCACGGAGACTACCACAGACCGTGAATTTGTGCCGCTCACCACACTCATCATTATACCCAAACAGACTTGCGACATGTCGCGGAAGGGTATAGTACTAACGCCTGTGAGACCCGAGCCGTTCTCGAGTCCATCCACGAGCAGCGCAAATCCTGCTGCTGCCTTCTTTACCCGCACCATGGGGATGCATCAAGCCGGCGCTTGACCATATCCTCATCACCCCCATAAATAATATCTCTAAGCATCCTGCGATCGACATCGGCTATCATATGGGCATCCATACCGCCGTCTATGACCATTTTACTAACTCTCAGTCTCCCAACTCCGATCTCATCCCCAGCTCTTTCTTGATGTCCATGCTTGCTTCCACATCTCCGTCCATACCATCGCACGACTCTCCTACTTCTCGGCAACATTCTGGAATGCCTCCATCGCAAACAGATCTATATCGGCATATAGATGGCTACTTCGCCGAAATCGGGCGCGAGTATCTTCTCAGCGCCCCCCAAGGTGACATAGCTCTGGTTCAAAATTTGATCCCTTGCTTCCACCGCTATTCATCAGGCGCGCAGGCTATCAGTCGTCTCTTGAATTACGTGAATCGGTAGGCTTATTCATTGAAATCTATACAATGACACGCCGCACTCAACAGGCATTATGTGAAGGGAGCTATAGATGAGGATAAAGGCTGGCTATGCCTTAGTGACATAATCAACGATCTCATTCATCCTTGTAACGAGACGGATTCGCACGATACCATTTCTATGAAGCCGCAACAACGCCGAGCTCGAAAAATGGGGTTACCGCGAAGGTGACCCCCCTGAGGACCTTGCGGTAGCGGAAGCGAGTGCGGAAGCCGCGAGTGGGTTGGAACGCATCGTACCGCTGACATCCCTTGCACACCGACGGTTCCGAACTGAGGTACTGGAACCAATGCTGACCGTCATCAAAGTAAAAGGTAAAACCAAGGCGAAAAACAAGGGCAAGCGACTCCTCCCAGCCCATGGCTCTCAGCCCCGTCTAATGCACGCGATGCAGAGACTGTGGGAACACGGACGGACCATCCGTTATGCAGGCGATTGTCCAAATTTTCTGCTTTGCCTTCAACGTAATCGGTATAAGCACAAACTCTGTGACGGCGATGCTTTTTTTCCCGACATATCTAATAGTTCCATTTCATTTTCGATACGTACAGATTGTTCTCACAGATGCCTCCGCAAAAGAAAAAAAAGAAAGCCCTATCACTGCCCTGGTTGCTATGCGATTCATGGCATACCAAGCACGCATCCACGTATTGTTCACTTTGCCGAATTCGGGCTAACCAGTATGCGTCAGCAAAGGCTCTCGACATTATTTCAGTCAAAATGCAGGGTGGTTGCGGAATACAGCCTACTTTATACACTCGTATTGTGAGGGAATGTACAATTCCAATGTGCCTACGCTTTTTCTGTAGAAGTCCCATTCATGTTCAAGAAAGCCTCCACTGCCAGCAAATGGTCCGCTCCCAGGGGCCCATCAAACGCGAAGTTCGCCGGGAAGTCTTCGAAGTCCATACCGTTCTCATCGAAAGAAGCGCCCGGACCAGAGGGCCCCTGGACGTTGGTGGATGAACTACTCCCTGCACCTGCAAGGCTCGCTAGAAGAGACCGTGGCGACGCAGCCGTCGGTTGACTAGTACTAGTGGATGTAGAAGGGGCAGCGACGGCGGGAAATAAATCCCCATTCATGTTCAATTGCTGCGAGCGGCCGAGGGAACCGAAGATATTACCACCATGGTTCTGCGCCGGACGAGAATTGGATAGAGCGTCTAAGACACCTACGTCCAATACAGTGTCAGATTTTTTTCCTGTGATAGCTGCAGGCTGCGTAAGCTGCGTGGACTGCTGGAACAGGCCGACATCACTAGTACTGGCATTGACGTTGGAACCAGTTTCGCCGAATAAACCTTCCATGCCAGACATGTCGATGTCCATGCCTTCCAGGTCCAGTTCGATAGGCCTATCAGCCGAACTTCCAGGGATAGGTTCTGTATTGATATTCAAGGCGCCAGCAGGCTTATCCGGAAGAATAGCGAGATCAACGGATCTATTTGCTGCAGTTGCTGCTTCTGTTGAAGCGAGCGCGGCCATGAAGTCGGGTGGAAGTTCATCTGTCGCGGTGAGCCGTCCGGACTTAGGTGCAAGCGTAACAGGAGAGGCTAAGCCCTGTGATAGCTCTTCTGGATTGATTCGCAATGCAGCGGCTGAGAGGTCAAGTTTATGGGGAAATTGAGGACGGTTCAAAGACGAAAGAGATATGGCGGAAGGGCGGCGACCGGTCAAAGAGCTACCAGAGACAGGGGCTGATGGGCTCCCTTGTGTGCCTGGCATGGTGACAGTGGGGAGTTCTGTGACCGTTGAGTCATTCGTCGGCACTGTTGCCGTTGCAGACACCGACAATATGTTTCCCTCCTGTAACTGAGTTTGTAGCGCCTGAGCCTCTTCAGCTTTCAGGCGAGCCCTTTCGCGCTCTAAGTCTCGTTGCAGAACAGAGATTGCTCGAGCCTGACAATATGAGGGGTGTTGGCAACAGTCAGGTCAATATAAAATACGACCAACCGTGTAAGACTCTATAGCATCGCACAACTGATCATACTTCTCTACTTCACGACCCAGTGCCGTAGTCAGGGATCGCGGGGGTTGTGCAGCATATTTATCGACACCTCTGGAAGAGATGTTTGAGAGAGCAGCGAAGGCTTGTATTGAGGACGTACATTCTCCGAGCATCAGCATAAAAAGCATAGATCTGCCCCGTCTTCACACCTGCATTCTGGACACGACCGGTCAGAGACAGATATGCTGGGTTAGTGATCGTTCAAAGAAGATGGGGGTAACGCACTTGCAGGCACCGGGACAGCGCAACGGCTTCCGATTCCAAAATAGCCTGAGGGGGAGGAGGATCTGGAGGGGGAGGCATTGCACCTACGTCCCTCACAGTTGGGCCATTGGCGTTTTTTATTGATGTGGAATTTTTGCGAACTATGCGTGCTTTCGGCGCCATTGTCACTCAACTCTAGATAGATCGCGATCAAAAAGGAGAAGACCTGCACTGTCATATAAGAAGTGCATACCAGTCAGAGCCAATATATAGTCACCACTGTAAGAGCCAGCGCTGACTGTGGGAGACTAGTCGACTACTAGTAAGCCATGGTGGCATTCAATCCACGCACACTAAGGACGTTCAACGTCCATAACTGTCTACAACCGCCTCCCTCGAGACACCATCTACCGTGTTACATTTCATTCAGCTGATCTATGTTTCAAAACTGACTTACCAACCTCCGCCCATCCCTCTGTTGGATTGAAGACACTTCTTAGACGACCAGGGTCGCATAGATAACATGGCTAATCCACGAGTAACTCCTGGTTCTGAGACATTCGAGGCGATTCATAACGAGGCATGGAACGTGCAAGTTGAGTTTTTTTTCAGCAGGTATCATGTCCTTTTCCAAATTGATCTTTGCCATTGCGTCTACCTCAGCCTCTCCTTAGACATATAACTCATGTCCAGATCAAAGACTTCACCCCATTTCCTGCTCGCGACGCGTTAGCATCTGCTCTCTCACAACCATCGGGACAATCACAATTCACAGCTGTCGGCAGTCTTTCTGATGACCTCGATATTGCTTTCGCTCGGAAACGTCCTCGCAAGATCTCTTCAGCTTCCGTAGCCACTGTTGAGAACCTCTCCATTAACAGTACGGGTGGTACAGAGCATAGTGGAGGAGCCGGAGATGGTGCAGTACAGGATTCTACGGGGCGGAGACGGACATTGTCACGAACAAGTGGGAATCAAGGCAGTGCGCTAGGCACTAGCTATAGTTTTGAACAGATACGACGCCCCCCGCCGGTCGCGGGTTCCGGTCCTACTATTCGTTCGCACCGCCCACGTACCACTTCAACTACATCACGCAGTAGTACCCACAATTCCTACGGGACTTCACTTCCATCTCTGGGTTTGTGGCCTGATCATTCTCAAAAAGCTCTAGAGAAAGCGCTACAGTCGCGTTTGGTCGAGACATTTATGACCATGACAATTCCTTCATCGTCTCACGCCGGAGATACATCTGCCACTGCTCTCACTTCGTCGTCCATGTCCTGTCGCAGCCCTTCTCCTGGCCCTCTGCCGTCTATGTCACCTCGTAGTGCACCGTCATTATCGCGAGACAAGCTTCCGAATCGCCAACAACACTCTTCGTCCATTGCTGTGGAATCATTCCCTATAACTATATCTGGGCCCGCTGAACCTTCGACGCAGAAGCGATTCTCCACGCGCAGCCATAATTTCAAAGTAGTACTGGGTGACGACCAACAGACCACAGGTTTCACCTCTTCTCGTGCATACACTGCATCTACTGCCTCAACATCTGGCCCACACAATAATGCAGCGAGTGAAAAAAGTCCTGAAGGGTTTGCCTCTGCTCCCGTTCCTAACTATATCTCTCCCATACATCGACCCAGTACCAGTCCGTCATTCTCGATAGATTCAGCCTCTGGGTATGACTTCGCAAAGTGGTCAAATTTGGCAGTTCAAAGGGTGACTATCAATCTATGGGGAAGGATGAACCTTCGCTCTAATTCCTCATATGGTAAAGGCAAGGAGAAGCAACGGGATGCGGGCGAATTTCTAAATGAGACGGACTCGCAGTGGAAGATGATGGGTGAATGGAATGTTGACTTGGCCAATTTGGTACCCGTGCCTGACGAGGTGAGCCAGCTTTGAAGAATGAGACGCTCAATTTGCACCGACAGAGCACTTATAGTTCGCAAACCCCACATTCCACCTTCCCTCCAACACTCTCCTCGTCACACTCTCCTCCACTGGTAAAACGTACTACTTGCCCCCGTACGCCCATACTTCGTCAGGCCGGCCACCATCTCCCAATGCTGGATACAGTTCCGATCCTGAAATTCGTAACTCGAAGCTAACTCTACAACTCAATTCATTCCCGAGATCATCGGAAAGTGATAGCACAATCTCTGTGAATCTCGACAACCGAATAACTCGACTACGAAAGGATCCACTACGAAGTGCAGGTTGGCAAGATCTCGTGAAGTAAGTTTCGATCTAATGAACTCTGTGCTATGTATTAACATAAGATCGTACCCCAGATTATTGACTTTACAGTCTGTTATTTTAGATACACAGCATTCTCTATTGAAGCTTGAACGGGACGTAGAGAAACTCGTCATCGAAGATTATGCGGGTCGTCTGGTGCGTGTTATCCTTCCGCAAATTACAACTGTGTGATCCTTCAAAACTGACCTTTGCCGCTGTGACCTTGATCATTCAGAGACGGGAAGTGTCCGAGCGAGAGGCAATGGTAGCCCAATGGCTGTCTAGCATATCCAAAGTGCGCACAGACAGCGACAATCGTGAGCCAATTCAAGGTGTCATCTTCCCCTTCTTACGTATGCCGAATCTTCAAAACCAGTATCCAATCGCATACAGGCTCGGCGGAATGATCTTCGCAAGCGACGAGAACTGCTCACCCAGGCGAGACAGATGCAGGAGCAAGATCTGCGCGGTACAGCTCAACGAGAAGAAGAGCTTGCCGAAGAACGGTGCGTCAATTTGTAACGCATCGCCTTATGATGACAACTAAAATTTCACGATTACAGAACGCGAGTCGCGAGCCTCCGCAAAAGTCTTACTCCCGTCCGAGTTGCCCTTGTTACAACCCTCGCCTCTATTTTCCCGATTGACCTCCTGTCCGGACCGGACCTCCTCTATACCATTCTTGACATACCCCTTCCTATACCTCTTGGAGTCACTGAACCTGCCCCCCCTCTCTCTTTGCCGTCACACAAGGAGGTGACCGAAGACGGGGTTGCCACCGCTCTAGGGTATGCGGCACATGTCGTGCAGCTGCTCGCTGCATACATGGGGCAAGGCCTTGTATATCCTATAACATATGTCGGTAGCAGGAGTCTGGTTCGGGATGGAATATCTGCAATGGTTGGTCCACGCATGTCAGTCGGAAATTCTCGGAGCTATTCTTGATCCTCATGCGCAACCGCGTTAGGTTTCCGTTGTTCTCTAGAGGCGTTGACACGTATAGGTTCGAGTACGCTGTGTTTCTGTTGAACAAGGACATCGATTTGGTGAGTACGATTTTCTCGCCTTGAGCATGTCGCTGATGGACTCGCATAGCTCATGTCGGACCGCAACCTACGCGCATTAGACATGCGGCACACATTACCCAATCTCAAGAACCTTCTGTTGACTCTGACGGCAGAATCAGGCAGAGGAGGTGCTCCGTCAATGTGAGTGTATTTGCTGAGGATCAGAGGCGATCACATTCAATGGTGACTATCTTCCTAATGTACGTAGGCTTCTCGGGTCTCCTGTGTTCTCTGTATCCGGATTGCTATCGCCCGCTCGACCGTCTTCCCCAACGAATTTGAGTTCCGCAACAGCACCTACCATCGACAACTCCGAAACACCCGCCGCTGAGGTATTGGCAGATGCCGATTCGCCGTTGCCGAGTGGCTCATCGACACCGTCGAAGTCTGGCAACGATGCATACCACCATTCTCTCTCCAGGATGTCGAAACCATTTTTCGGTCTGTCCGGTTTCCTTCGCGCCAGATACCCTTCCGGCGTCCAGCAGCCTTCTGTAAAGGTAGTCCCGGAGGTGGCCGAAGGAGGCAGCACTACTTCATTCGCTACGCCGGAGAGCGCGTCTCAGCCTCATTTAGAGGTTTTGGGTGCTGACAGGCCGGACGATGACGCGGAGGAGGATCGACGGACTCTTCGTGGCATTGCCGTCGGTGGCAGTGTCGAAGAAGAACCAAAGAAGACCGGGAATGGCCAAGTTCCTCACAACGTCTCGGCCGGGAATGCTGAGAAGACGGCCAATGGAGAGGAAGTGCCGACTCAGTTAACCCAGATTGTGACGCATATGCAATGACACCTCAAAGCTTGCTATGTATCGCGTTAGTCGAATATCAGAACTCGTACACGCGATCTGCCACGTCAACTAAGCAACTTAGCTCTGTCGAATATGGCATTTTGATTCTGGTCTATCTTTATGGTCTGTGAGCGTTCTCGTGCACTCACGAACCTCGAACGAAATTCTGATACTAGGTGTCCACCGTAAGCCGTGGCTTCCACGTTGGCCACGTTGGCCAAGTGGGCCAACAAGCCGGTGACGATGCTCCGTTTTTTTTAGTGGTAAACGCCACGTAATTTGGTAATAGTCAGAAATTTACCGAGTTGACGGACGTCCTGGATAGTTTGAACTGGAACCTGGATAATTGATTTCGGCTTTCTGAGTGCGGTCCTAGCTGGTCCTAGATATATTCTCGGAGGCGTATAGAGGCCGTTGCCGTGTCTTTTCGCCTGCTGAAAAGGCGCCAAACCTCTCGTAAACGAACTGATAGAAACTTCGAGGTCGACATGACGATAGTCTAAGGGGAACGTCGAGGCCATATTAGAGATCCATGTCGAGGACCGCAGACTGAAATGTGTATGCGGGCTTATAGACGGCTACCACACCGTCGAATCCTCAGCTTTGCGCTGAGGCCTGAGGCTGGCGAGATCAGAGGGGTTACGACGTATTAAGGGCTGCGTGTGCCTTCGTGTATGCATACATAACTTGCACGGACGATCGGACGACATCAGTGCGCCTGGATTATGGAAGAGCGAGAGGTCTAGGGCTTTTCCGGCAATGTTTTGAGATCGACATCTTGTACGAATCATTATTATTATAAAATGCATCGTGTGGTACGGTATACTGGGTGAAGGGCGGCAGAGGGGGCTATCAATCGCATGTATGGCGGAAATAAGGTATTACATAGACCGGTACGCTAGGACTTTTACCGTGGACAAGCGGACGGTGAAGCGCGTGGTCGAGCACGGCAAGCTTGGACAGACGCTGCGCGATCGTTGAGAGCGATGGCGGGGTAATTGGATAGAAAAAGACGAGGAAAATACGAGAAGAGAAGCGTTGTGTGAAGAGTTGGAGGAGTTTCAAGGGGCAATGATGCTCGGAATAGGCAACGCCGCTATGTAAGCGGAGCTCCAAAAAAAGAGGGTAACCTCCGTAATCTTTTAGAGTTCAGGTCCGTCGCTGCCCACGCGCGCAAGCGAGCCCCCATATAATTCACCGTCAATCTCTCCCTTCTCTCCACCTTGTCTCCCCATTTGCGTCGGAAACTGGAGAAAAAAACGGTGGGCACACACGCACCCTCGCCTCGCCATCCTTCTAACCTCCCTCTCCCGCCCAGCCCATTCAGCCGCATTGTAACAACAGTCCTTTCTAGACGGGCTCAAAATCGGCTTGCAGGTGTGTGCCGTCGGCCCATACACGTTCGTGTCCGTCTCTGACACGCCGTCGAACACCTCAGGATTACCCTTTGTGAAACTAGGCTTACTGCTTTCTTTTTCTTCGTCATCCCTCATTCTCTTCTCTGTCCTTCATCTTTCGGAAGCAAACCCTCTTAATTTGTCTGTCTAACAACCATGGCCACCACTTTGGAACCGTCTACCTCACCTACTGATTCTCGTTCCACCTCCGATGAGAGAAAGCAGAGTCCTCCGGCTTTCTTGGATCTTGCCGACTCCGTGCGTCATTTTCAATTCGTGCATCTCCTCTGTCTCATGAGCCGCTTTTGCATAGGCCGCGAGACTGGGAACTAATATGCCTGATATTTCCGCTGTGAGTCCTGCCTTGCCTTTGAGAATTACGGCGCCGAGTGTACTGAGCCTATCTCACTCTAGCGGGTTGAACTGAAGCGCATGGAGCACGAGCGGATGCGTGCCCTCCACCGGAAGATTTTCGAGGATCAAATGCGCGCTCTGGAACAGCAGCAGCAGCAGGAACTCTTGACACTTCCGTTGGACACTTCGGGCAATAGCTCCCTTCAGCACATGGCCATGTCTGCGCCAACGACGCCACCCCGTGTTAACGCCGTGCTGAATGAGGACATCTCTCCGAGTTTACGTACCAGCTTCGCGCAAGTCGGTGTGGACGTTGATGTCCTTTCCAGAGCGGTTGGTTCCGCAGTCGACAAACGGAAATCTGTAACTTACGCTCCGGTCACCCGTTCGCCTGAGATTCCGCCTGGTGCTGCGGCTGTCAATGGCAATCTGAGCCAGGGTTACGGTCGGGCTGGTGCCAAAAGTATGCCTGCTAGCAGGCGTACGTCGGCTAGTAGTCATGACGAAGACTTGGCTAGTCATCTGCATGAGCTGTCGTTGGCGGGTGAGAGGCATTCGCCTCTTCCTCCGCAGGACTCGATGATGATTCAGCGTGGGAATGGCAGGCGGGATGTTGAGGGTATGCGGTACGGTAATGCGTACAACGCTGGAATGTTGCTGGATGAGCAGCTTGACGAGGAAATGCACAGTGAGCTCCTCCCTCCATACCACATGATTTTGTCTGAACCATTTCAGATGCTATGCGTAATTTGCCGACGTCTGATGACGACAAGTATCAGGGGTCCCGTTTCAACAAGGTAGATTTACCACTGATAGCAGTCAACTCTTTGACTGATCGTATTACACAGTTGTCGACCTCGTCAGCAGCTTTGGACTTAGCACCGTTGTCTCAGACTCCGCCGCGTAATACCTTTGGTCGTACCATTGACTCTCGTGATAAGGCATCCGAATGGCCTCAGTTCACTGGTTCTCGCCCAGATTCTATGGGCGGACGCACCGATAGAAGGACCGTTACCAATCCGGCTCTTAACATTACTGCGTCTCTTAATGATCTATCGATCAACGGGAAACTTGTAGGAAGCGTCTCGGCCTCTGCTACGCCACATCTGGGTCAGCAGCAGCAGGGTCTGTCTCCACACGCTCATGCCCCTGGTTCTCGCCGGGGCTCTCCTCCTGGGTTGTCTGATGGTCTCTCGATCACTACTCGCTCCGTCCCTGCTACGCCTCTGTCTGGAATTCCGAACTCTGCTGCGCATCTCATTAAAGCTCCGGGCACACCATTGTCACCCGATACTCAGAATCTGAGTGGCCGCTTAACATCCCAGGGGGTTCATTCCCTGAACAATAGCCCTCTGGGTAGCGATCTCCAGTCTTCTCTGTCGAGGCTTCAGTCTGGGCAGTATGATAATGGGATGGGTTACAATTCCATTCCGTCTGGCTTCGACGACCAAGTATGTTCTATTTGTATTGTGCCTTGACAGTCATTGACGTGTTGGATAGCAGTCATACGTGACGGATTCGGTGTATGGCCTCGACAATTCTATGGACAATGGACGATACAACTCGTATGGTCATGATGCAAACCGCATGAATGGCGGTAGTCCTGTCGCGCTCAACGGCAGTACTGGCTCGACGGCGTTATACCATCACCATGGATCACGTTATGGCTTGGGTATGAATGGCCGTGCTAATGGTGCTGACAGCAAGATGAATGGGTTGCATGGTCCCAAACACAAGCGGGGCGACGTCGACCGTGAGTGTGAGTTGATCAATTTCGTTGCTTTGCATGCAAAATCCAATTGATTCTTCATAGTCAACCGTTTCACTGGCACTCGTTTGGAGGATCTGGTAGCGGATATTCCGAACCTGTGTAAAGATCAACACGGTTGCCGGTACCTGCAGAAGAAACTGGAGGAAAGCGTTCCTGAGCACAGGGATATCATCTTTCGTGAGACTTTCGGTCATTTTGCCGACCTTATGACTGGTAAGCACATTGTAAAGCGGTAGTCGCCTTGGCTTGACGAGTTGGCCCAGATCCCTTCGGCAATTATTTGTGCCAGAAGCTGCTGGAATATTCTACGGATGAACAGCGCAACATCATATGCGAATCGGTCGCTCAGGACCTGGTCAACATATCCTTGAACATGCATGGTACGCGTGCAGTACAGAAAATGATTGACTTTCTGTCGACTAGGAGACAGGCAAGTTCAATTTATAGTTTACTTCACCTCTGGCACTTACAGAGTGGCCGGGACACAGACTGATCATAGATACAATGGCCAGATTCATTCAATTATTGTTGCACTCAGCCTGCACGTCGTTGTACTCATCAAGGACCTGAACGGCAATCACGTCATTCAGAAGTGTTTGAACAAGTTGGCCCCCGAGGACAATCAGGTAAGCTTCCATGCCAGCCGACAATTGATCCATCTCTAACACAGTCGCCTTCTAGTTCATCTATAACGCAGTTGCCGCTAACTGTGTCGAGGTCGCCACTCACCGTCATGGCTGTTGCGTTCTTCAGCGATGCATTGACCACGCTTCGGACAGCCAGCGAATCCAGCTTGTAAATGAGATCACTTACAACGCTCTGACCCTAGTGCAAGATCCCTACGGCAACTATGTACGTGATTCCCTCAACATGTATCTCCCTTCTATGCTTATAACTTGACAGGTTGTACAATACATTCTGGATCTCAACGATAATCGGTTCAGCGATGCTGTCATCCGTCAGTTCACGGGGAACGTGTGTGCTTTATCCGTTCAGAAGTTTAGTTCCAACGTCATCGAGAAGGTTCGGGTGCTTTTCCTTGTAATTTTCATCAAGCCTCACGTTGTCCGCAGTGCGTCCGAGTTGCGGAACACGGCACGCGCAAGATGCTTATTGACGAGCTTCTGAACCGCACGAGGCTCGAGAAGTTGCTCCGCGATTCGTATGGCAATTACTGTGTTCAGGTAAGTCTGATGCACTGCTTTGTCACGCAAGGTAACTGATGGGGTCTTAGACCGCTTTGGACTATGCGGAGCCTGGTCAGCGTGCGCTTCTCGTGGAGGGCATTCGGCCGGTCTTGCCGTTAATCCGCAACACCCCATATGGCAAACGCATTCAAAACAAGTTACAACGGGAACAAATGGATCATTATGGCGGCTATCATAACCAGCAGGCGCTGGTCAACATGGCCATGGGTAATCAAGCAATGGGACTGGCGCCTCATGGTACCAGCCGCCACATACAAGCTAACCCCTTAGGTGATGTGTACAACAACCAGAACGGTCTGTACTCCATGCCTGGTAGCGGTCTTCAGGGTCAAGGTCAAGCTCTTGGACAATCTGGTCTTCATGCGCCTCTCCATGGTATGCAGCCTCAGTCGATCGATGGTTATATCCTCCAAGGGAGCTCTAGCCATAACCAAGGCTTGGCATCCCATGGCGGTTTCGCCGCTGCTTTCGGTGGCGTCAACTCATACCCTGGAGTTGGAGTCGCCGGAGGTCTCACCGATCCGTACCAGCGCAACTCCTTTGGATACGGAATGTAATTTACATCTTCGACATGTCGCAGCAAACATCGAATCGTCTTGGCAATGCTCTCGCAACTATGCCTATCACTGTCATTTCCCTTTGTCATTCCCGCATTATACCATCGCCCTATCTTACTCCCGTCACTTGGTCGACTCGTCTTATCCATTGTTCATTATGCTATCCCGCGGCACACCTAGCGATCGGGAATAACTCGTATGGCATACCACCATGGCGCATTGTATTCAAACCCGCATTTTATCGTCGCTTCATTTTCTGTGCTTTTTGTTGAACTTCTGTGAACAGTTTCTTGGTTGCCACATTTGTACAGCGTGTTCCCTCATCCATCGACCTCATACTCCATCTGTTTAATACTATCTCGTCGCACCACTACTTGTCAGTCATTCTGTAGTTATCCCATCAAATCTGAAATCGTTGCTTAGAGCATGTTTGGCTTCTTATTTTTGTTCGATATTTGGAATGTCGACTGTACACGATCGTATTATGTTGGGGGGTTGATCGTATTTGCTTGTATGTATCCTTCCGACAAAAACTGTGCACCTTTTGAATCCAGTTTGAATGTATTCACTTGTGTATATCGAGAATGAATTCTTTACTATGGACCATGAATGTCGTAGACTGCGCTTGTGGTCCGAACCTGTACATGTTATCGCGTCACGCTCAAGCATAGGATGAGCAAGAAGGGTTTATGTGTATCATATCATATCATATAGGATGCATACAGAATGAAACCCAACTTTTGCGTACGAGGGAGAAGAAAGCGACCGAAAGAAGATGCGTGTGAGAGCAGACGTTGAAGACAGGAAACGAGTTCACCGGTTCTAAACATCGGAACGCGAAAAGATTAGAGGCAAGGGAACCCCAAACCATGGGCTTTGGACGCACCTTCACGAAACCGATTGCGGCGGACTTCTCACGGAAGCATTGACGGCAGAGGTCAAGGCCGTACTTGCGAATGAGACCAGCTTGGTGCGCGCACAGACGGCTGAGGAATTGGGTCAAACAGGCCAGATATGGTTTCAACGACGTCTCCTGCGCGTAACTATGTGCACCACGCACCACTGACGGCTACCCTTGCCGAATTTGCGGGGACGAGAGAACCAAACGGCGTCGTGGGTCATTTTGATGGGGGATTTACTGCATAAGAACGAAATTTAAGGCGTTACGAACACGAGTCAAGGGTTGTAGTCGTACCTTGCCCGTTGCTCTTTCTTGCGATGGCGTCGATGGTGTTGGTGGACTAGTCTGACTCTGGAGCAGAATCTTGATTATGTAAACTGTACAGTTTGAGAGATAGAGTTTGATACTTAAAGCAGACCACCGATTACATAACATTTCTTCTCCAGGTATTTAGACATCAACTTCCTTCTCAGCAGTTCACTGCAACGGTACTATGATCGAACACCCTATAGTATTTTCGCATGTGTGCTGTGAGCCATAGTGTCCCATCTCTCTTCCATTGTAGACAGAAGTCTTCTCCAGGATGACGCAGCAATAGGCGTTCAGTATCGTACAATCATTTCTATAGGGTAAATAGAGTGCTCGGTATCGTAAAGTCCGTGTAGGGGAAGTTAGCGTTTCGTGTTCCGTTTCGTAAGTGCGCATCCGTGTACATAACTGCACCGATAAATGCCAACCAGTTAGTGGCGAGGCAATGAGAAAAATAATGAAACAAAGAATAGGGCATCCGGATGCCCTCAGCCTCGGTAGGTGCAGCAGCTGTGGGTTGGAGAAATCGATGTAAGACGACGTGATTCAGGAATACTAAGATGCATACCTGGACACGTAGGGTATCAAGGATACGAACAGGCAGGCAAACGCAGCCCACATGAGATATATGCCCGTGCCAGTGGACACGGTAATACCAAGTGAGACGGCTGTCGGTTCGCCTATGATGATCGTGTTTATATCCTGCGATTTATGCACGATGACCGTCCAGATAGCGGAACCTGCTAATAGAAATATCGTGCCAAGTATGGCAAAGCAAGCAGAGATGAGGAAAGCAACGGTATGTTTAATGACTCCGCTGAGGCGACCATTAGTCACAGACGAATTGGGGGAGCGCGACTACGAACGAACGTGAACAGGGCCAGAGCGGTACAAATCGTGCCCAGAAGGAGTAGATAGTAAGCAGACTTGGAGTTGCTTCCTAGATATTTAGAGTCCTTGAACGTCGTTCCTTGGATGATGAAATTGGTGAGTTGAGAGTAGTTGGCGCGCATGTCGGACGTAATGGTATCGTAAGGTTCGTATCTTCGCGCGGTGGTGTGGTTTGTGCATGTCCCGAGGACATCTGTCGTGTATCCGCAGTAGGAGTACAGACCAAATTCGTATGACTGTCGAAGTCCTGCGCCAGCCTGAAGGGGTGCCGAATCGTTCGTGGTATACAGGCCAGTGATGGCGTCTCCCAGGCCAACAGTTAGACCCTCACTGTACCAATCGTAAAAGGAGTATTTTCTACAGGTAAAATAGGAACTCACCCATATAGAGAGACATTGACCTTGGCCTGTCGCAATCGAGACGTTGACGTGATTCGCGGAAGTAAATTAGGCGAAGGACGTACCATGGCTATCTTTCGCGGGACTGATGAGACATTAGTTTGACCAACCTGTAGACAGTATGAGATAGAAGGCAGACCACGAGGCAGGAAGACGGAGGCATACATGCATGAAGATGAGTAGCAGGAGAGCTGCGAAGCTGATTAAAGACAGTCAGCATCAGTGCCGATATTGATGAGTAGATGAGCGCATTCACGAGAATATAGAGGCAGACCCGATGCATAATTCACCTCGCATCGTGGAAGCGATTGAAGATGTGAAAGAGGAGGAAGAGAGGAGATCCCCAACGTCCTGAGATTTTGAGTTGACCACGACCCGACAAGCAGGTTGGACGGAGGCTAAGTCGTGTTCGTGACGTAAGAACACGCGGTAAATGGTTCTCACGGTTCAGGTATTACGAGTGCGCCCGCCGAAGCCCCGCATAGCCGTCTGACCAGCCTGCGCTGCAGTGCGTCTTCCTCCATGTCCAGATTATCGAAATCCCAGGTGTCCACGCCAAAGGCGTCCGACATGCCCTCCATCAGTAGCTCGACTCGGCTCCCTGTACAGGCTGCGAAAGATGAGGCAGACGTTCCAGAGAAGTTGGGTGGCTCTTTGCCCAAGGAAATGGTTCGCCGAGCCATAAGTAGGACTGGACTTGGCGGCGGCAAGCCTGCGGAAAGCAAGGCCCAGCATGCAACTAGGCCAAAGTCCCCCATAAGCCCCAGGCGTATGTTTTCTCTCTCTCGCAAGGGTAAGGATAAACAGAACGCCAATGACGTCGGGAGCGGTGACGGTAGGTTCCCTTATTGTGCTTATCTCCCATCCCGTATTATACTAAATCATGGCCGTGGATCATACCCATAGAAAGCTCCGGAACTGTTCTCTATCCCTCATTGTCACATCCTGGGTCTCCCCGCTCGAAATCTACTGGTACAGTTCCAGACACCAACGATGAATCGCCATTCATCAGACCCCCTTCGCCGCCCCAACCCTTGTCCCGACCTTTGCTCCAATCTTTTCGTGGAGACGGCTCTGTACGTGCTCACCCTTACATTTGTCTTGAATCGCATGTAGGCCTAACTCCGTTGGTAGATGCGAGCTGGGACTCAGACACTTATCCAAGCTTTGCAAGCGCTTCCTTGGGCCCATGATCCTGATAATGATGACGATGCAATTAATCACGACCTAGTAGAATCCGACAGCGATGAAGACAAGCAGGGTGAGCTCCGCCAATTGTGCGCATTGATGGGCTAATGCAATTCATATGCCCTTAGATCAGCCTTTAGCGTCTTCTATACATACCATATATCGACCAGTAGCCTTGTCTCGTCGAGCTGAGTCTAGATCTCAGTTATCACCTGTCAGCAGCCACTCGGGCGATGAAGACGATGTTTCCCGAGATGTAGCGGAACTGGCTGCTCTCTCGGATGAGCCGATTGAGGAGGACGATTTTGAAGTATCTACGCCAGGAACAGTAAGTCTCGTAGGTTATCGACAAGGGGAGTCTGTCCGTCCGGGCTTGTCTCCTGTTTTGGAACATGTAGCCAGATCCGGAGCCCTGCGTACTCACTCCGCCCGCAAATCAAGCACAGCGACGGTGAAAACAATTAAACTGGATCGCAGAGCTCGCTTGGCCGCCAAGTTGGCAGATATCTTTGACCTGAACGGCATCACTGAAGTGATCGCAGGTCAGTATATCCCACTCACTGTAGAAGAAGATAATCTGACGCTGTTTATAATCTTCAGAAATGCCTTGTTGGCTGTTGAGGTCCATTCGTGAGTGAAGTATTCAGGCAATAGGGGTTGCCTCTTACGAGTGTGACAACAGTCCTTCAAGGCCAAATCTTTTTGACCAACTCTTATTTGTGCTTTTTTGCACATATGCCTGCTAGAGAAGTATAATAAATTCGTTACCTCTATAGACTCCATTACTAACAGAATCCTAACAGGATCAAGTACTGAAATCCGGGTCGCTCTACAAGAAAGCGCAACGCACGAAACGTTGGATCAAACATTGGTTCATCCTCAAGAACGACGTGCTCTCTTGGTATCAATCGTCATCCGTGAGTCTACATGCATATTCATTACTCATTTTGATCGTGACGAGCATACAACAGGACCCATATTTTCCGCACGGTGTGGTCGACTTGCGGTATGCGATTTCTTGTGATCCGGCTAATGAGAAAGACATACGGCTTCGCACAAATGCAAAGACGATACATCTATCTGCCGATTCAGTGCCTAACAGGGAAGAATGGGTCAAAGCCATCCGCAAGGTGATCTTCAAAGCACAGAATATGGGTGATACTGTCAAGGTTCGTCAGAACTCAGATTGTTTAGAACATGATCTATAACGACGTTCTAGATTGCCATCCCTTACTCGACAATCTTAGATGTCGATAAGTCCTACGCCATGGACTTCACTGAAACAATCGAGGTCAAAGTTATTGATGGTAGTGATGATCTTTCTGTGGATTCTTATTTCTTTGCGTACTTCCACGACATGGGAGCTGCTCTGGAGCAAATTCGTGATGCCGTGTCCGCCAGTCGCCACATCCTTCCAGAAGGCACAGAGCAACCTGCATTGGAACTCATAGACACCACAGCTTCTCGCCCAAGCCCCATTCCCCGCGTTGGAGACGAGCGCACACACAGCGCTCCAGAAGGACTTCCCAAAGCCAGTAGCACGTTCAGACTATCATCATTACTACGCCATACACTACCTATCGGTCGATCTGCCAGCGTTCAGGAGAATTTAGATGCTAGTGAAGACTTTACATACGTGCAGAAGAGAGATAATTCTTCGTTCATACCCATCACTGCTTCGCCAACTTCCGAAAATCCCCCTCTCCCCCCAGATTCGCGGATGACTGCCTCTCCTACGGGTGACCTTGCCCATAGCCATGGAAGCCTCACTCCAACACCTTCGCATGTTGGCCACACATATCCGCCTTCGACGTCCCCGAACGAACTCTTTCTGTCACCCACGCGCGAGTCGACTTTACCAAGCTGGAATGTCAGTGTTCCCTCTTGGCTGAAGATCCCCACGCGCAGGAGTCTTCTATTCAGTGGCGGAGCTGGTGCTGCGCACGCGAGCACGTTACCAGTCGATGGTAAGGCTATCACGGAAGTGTACTCATCCACTACCTCAAGTCCAACAAGCAATGCACCTGGCGAACTTGGCTTTAGTATCCTGGAAACGCCTGACAATACTGTCGACGTGGAAACGTCAGAGAAGTTTAAGGCGGCATTTGCATTTGACAATAAAGAAACATTGCTAGGCTGTAAGTGATCTATCATTTTTATGAGAGCATTTGTTGACTAGTTTTGATTCAGACTTTTCAGGATATATCTTCCGGTTGTTACCAGTATATGGGCGACTCTATGTTTCTACCAACTACTTGTGCTTCAAGAACAGCGGGCCGCTTGCTTCCAGAACTCGGGTAGGTTCAATCGCCTGCTTTGTAGCGTCTTGTGCTGATAAGTTGTCCAGTTGATACTTCCTATTCGAGATATTCTATCCACCGAGATCTCAAAGGCATTCCGGTTTGCACACTATGGGCTTATTGTGATCATCAAAGGCTACGAAGAGCTCTTTCTCGAATTCGGCCAGCAAGACCGTCGAGCAGCATTTGTTCGCATCCTTAACCGTCAGATAGAGGATGTTAGAAGGCGCGATGCAAGGGGTGAACCAGTAACGCCTAGTCAGGGTCAACGAGATGCCCTCATCCTCGAGGAGTTTGTTTCCAAAACCACATCCAAAGAGGATTCTGATCCTCCGCCCGCACCTGAGACTATGACAAATTCGCTTCCTGCTGTCATGTTCACGTCGACCTCTTCGACTTTCTTGACCTTCAAACCCAAGAATCCTCTGCGCTTCACTTTTCTGACTATTGGCTCGCGGGGCGACGTGCAACCATACATCGCCTTAGCGAAAGGTTTGATGGCCGATGGTCATCATGTCAAGATTGCCACTCACGGAGAATTTCAGAGCTGGGTTGAATCAGTAAGCGAGGCATCGTCGTGTGCATCGTTATGTCCATTGACTGGCTTATAGTATGGCATCGAATTCGGATATGTCGGTGGCGATCCAACAGAACTCATGCGTATATGTGTCGAGAATGGTACTTTCACAGTATCATTCTTGCGCGAGGGTATGCAGAAGGTGATCCAGAATGACCTTGTTCTTTCGACTGCTATTGATATCATCTCGACCCCATAGTTCCGTGGCTGGATTGACGACCTGCTGAAGACAGCATGGGACGCATGCCAGGATACCGATGTTCTCGTAGAGTCTCCTAGTGCTATGGCAGGATACCACATCGCCGAGGCTCTCCGTATTCCTTATTTCAAGGCGTTTACAATGACGTGGTCGAGGACCAGGTGGGTAATCAGTCTCTTGGATTTAAAATTTGGTTCAATCTTTGCAATCCAATCTCAGGGCCTATCCCCACGCTTTCGCTGTTCCTGAAAGGAAGATGGGAGGCAGTTATAACTATATGGTAACAAAAAGCTGTCGTCCTCATTGTCAGCTACACTTCTCAATTTATGGATAGACCTATGTCATGTTCGATCAAGTCTTCTGGAGAGGTACCGCCGGTCAAATCAATCGCTGGCGCCGGAACACTCTGGGTCTCCCAAGCACTTCTTTGGACAAGATGGAGCCTCATAAGATCCCTTTCTTGTACAACTTCAGTCCTATCGTAGTTCCACCCCCCCTCGATTGGCCTGAATGGATTCGCGTGACCGGTGTGTCTCACTTTTACCCTTGGGAGCGCGGCATCTGATCTTCATTCTCATTCTAGGATACTGGTTTCTTGACGATGCAAGTGTTGGCGCCAAGAAGTGGACGCCACCTCCTGACCTAGTCGAATTCATCGATTCTGCGCATAGCCAAGGGAAGAAGGTCGTGTACATAGGGTTTGGCAGCATCGTCGTCTCCGATCCCAAGGCCATGACCCGCTGTATCGTCGATAGCATCGTGCAGGGCGGCGTACATGCTATATTGTCCAAAGGCTGGTCCGACAGATTGACAAAGAACGTGGCCGAAGTTCCTGAGGCCGAAGAGCCACTGCCCAAATCGATCTATCCTCTTGCTTCCGTGCCACACGACTGGCTCTTCAAGCGCATTGATGCTGCATGCCATCATGGAGGAGCCGGGACCACTGGCGCGAGCTTACGAGGTTTGTCTTCGATCTTCACAAAGCAGGTGTAGCTGACGTCATTTCCGGTTCAGCTGGCATCCCAACAATCATCAGACCTTTCTTCGGAGATCAATTCTTCTGGGCTGATCGCGTTGAAGCACTGGGCGTCGGCACTGGTGTGCGGAAGTTGACAGTGGACAGCATGGCTGAGGCTCTTATCGCTGCCACGACAGATCACAAACAGATAGATCGGGCGAAACTAGTTGGCGAGCAAATCCGTTCAGTCAGTGATGTCTTCTTTGGACAAATTCACCCGCTGACGCCTTCATAGGAGAATGGTGTTGCCATTGCCATCGAAGCCATCTACCGTGATTTAGAATATGCCCGCTCACTCATTCGACGAACAGTCCACGAAGATGCTGTTGATGCAGAAGATAGCACCATTCGAGAGCACGACCAATCCCTTTCTTCACTTTCCAGTCGACCCGAAACACGATCTGAGGAAAGCTCTGGCAATGGTGCTCCCAGCGAGTCCGGTGGCGGTGCCCCTAGCGAGGATTGGAGCGTTATCTCTGATCAAGATAACACACGATCTTCGACGAGCTCGTCACGGCATAACGAAGGAAAGGATAGAACGTTGTCTCCCAAACGTAGCAGTCTCACTGCGGCCGTTCTATCTGTCCTACCTGACGCGCTAACAACATCAGGCCACCGCCGCTCTCGCTCGGCTTCATCCGTCTCCACTGGGTGATACAGAAGATATCCCTTGTCTCCTTGTGACAAGCCTAGACGCGCCAACATGCCTTAACTATTTTCACTATATCATTTCCACGTCGGGGTCGTTTTACAGTATTGTACATCTATCGTGTGCCAATTGTGGAATCAGTACTAGAGTCTCTTCCACGGACGGATACATGCCTTACTTTACTGTACAACATTCTCGCTATAATGTTTATCAAATATACGCTTGCTATATTGCCCGAACGTTTCCTCGACACTGATTTGCTGGTTGACTTCGGGCTGCATGAACAAGGCAAAGGTCTCTCTCGAAATCTTCTCTGCATCCTGGCCAGCACCGACACGGACGCAATGCGGAGTCGCACGAAGCTTTCCTCCCGTCGCTAGCTCGAGGGCTTCACCTGTCTGGAAGGCGAGGCAATCAAGAGGAATCGAGACCTTCGTGAGGTTCCCACCCCTACTGCGAATGTATAGCCCGGATGCAGAAGAAGGCGAAGATACGACAGCAGGAGCGGCACCCGCCTCGTGGCGAAGATACATGGCCTGCATAGCAAGAGATAATTAAGTCAGGTGAGAGACGCTCCACCTTCAAAAACATAATCACCGAGCATAATCCAGTCAGCAGAGAGTGATCCAAGTGAAACCCACACCAGCTGTCTATAGGCTCATCCTCGCGGGGAAGAGGGTTCTCGGGAGATGGCGGAAAATAGTGGAGAAGACGAGCCTTCGTTGTCTGTGAGGACCTGATGAGTTTCTCTAAGGAAATTGAGGAGTCCGTGAGGTGCGAAGAGGCTGAAGGTTGCTCAGCATCTTGATTTTAATGAGTTTTGCAACCGAACGTACCGAACGGCTGACAGGCGACAGCCAACTTGCATCCCACATCAAACACAAAGCTATAGACATCAGATTAGATCACATATATGCCATATATTCCATATATTCTTTCGGCATACCTTCCAAGTTCTTTGAATGCCTCTTCGAAACCCTCTACACCTTCCTGGTTTGTTGGCCCTGTTCGTAGGAGTTCAACAAAAACATATTTTCAGCCGATGGAGTCCTACGTACACACGTTGGCACCGTAGTACTCAGGATATGCTTTCTGTAAAGCAGCAGCAACCGTGGGTCGATCTACCACAGGGTTTGCATAGTAAGAGCCTTTCAGAGTATCTGCTCATATCGAAGGTAAGCATAACGGTTCGTCGTCTTCAGGGCTCAAGACTACGAACCAGGCTTCCCGTTCATAATTTCCTAAGAGAAACAATCAGTGTCAGTATTCCAATTGAATCATGTGACATCAACCTTTCCGTGAGACCAGCCGAAACTAGAATGATAGAAACGTCAATAGATGCTCTCTATAAGTTTGAGATAAAAGTTAAACCTGTATCGACTCTTGATATCAGCATATTTCTCTCTCGTAGGCTCGTCAAGGTGAGCAAATGAATATGCCAATTTCATGAGCTTCTCCCTCAGACTAGGGTACGTCGAAGGAAGATCCTTAACAATAATGATCCCCAAAGAATCAGGCTGCGATCCGAAAGCCTTCTCTAAGATAGTGTTCGATAGTTGTTAGTTTTTCAGTAGTGAATCGTGGATACATTGAGTACTGAGCGCCTACCGATGGATGCAGTCAAAGACGAGGATGATGCAACCAGCGTGGAGTAAGAAATCGAAACAGCACCTTCAGGAGTGAAGGCGATGGGCTCTGTTGTACGTGTCGCTGTAGCCATTGTACGAACAAATGACCTCACTGCAGCCATGGGCGTTTGAGTGTGAAAGAGTGATGGTGGTTTGAGAAGGAGAACAGTACTTTTAGTGCGCGCCATAGACAAACTTATCATCACATGTACCCTCATGTGCCTTACCAGTAACTAAACGATAGGCGTGCAGAGGCGTGCCTATCGCGTGGACTCAGTGCGAGGTTGAACCAGGTCGACCAGGGTCGACCTCACAGATGTTATGATACGGCTGCGCGGGACAAACGTCCCCACATGACTCAAGCGTGATTAAGTTGATACGACGACGCGGTCATTGGAACCAGTAGATTTACTGCGGATTTCTGGTCGACTGGTAGATCCCTGTAAATCCCTGTAGCTTCCCAGCATATGATTCCAAACAATCATATAAGTTATTTTAAATCTATAACTAATCCACAAATGTCATGAAAAGCTGAGGTAGGTGATACAAGGCAACAAGAGGTCATGGGTGCATTTCGCCGTTGCTTAAAGCACCATTCAACTCAGATCTGCCAGACATGAAGGGCTGAGCGAGCGCCTCCCTGAGCGCCTCCCCTGTGGTATCGATAGAATGGAAGAATCGCAAGAGCTCCCGACATAATTGCCAATCTTTGACTTCAACTGCACTGCAAAGCAATCGCAGCGCGCCATCATTGCCTGCCTCGAGCTGTTCAAGACTATGCAGGACCAGTAGATACGAGCCCGCCGTACGAAGTCGCTGCGACGAAAGGCATGTCTGTCCAATCTGTGAGACCAAGCGACCCGGAGTTTGGCAAAACACGGCACTGACCTCAAACAGAGATTGTGGGCTGCCCACAATGTCAAACAGATGAGGCCATCTTGCCATCTCAGTCTTTCGTGCGCAGCCGACGACGACATCCAGAGCAACATCGAAATGGTCCAAAAATTCCACAACCGCGCACAGGGTTTTGTCCAATGTTTCCGAGCTGTCGTCTCTTGACGTTGTCTCCGAATCAACAACAGTGTGTAGCAGAATTTCGAGAGCATGTGCGAAGAAGACCAAGTGCTGGTAATGTGAGGCAAATAGCACAGCTTCTTTCACCTGACCGGAGGTCAAGTGAACAAGCAGAATGTGGTGAAGGAAGAGATGTGACTGTAACAGGAAGGAATTCATTCGAGGCCATCGACCATACAGAAAGGAAATCGACCCACACTTGTAGCATGGCGGAACATCAAGAAAGGCAGATTCATCCGTGTGCTTATCTCGTGCTCAGCTCCCATGATGATTCCTTTATCCATGAGAACAGCTGTATGGTTTTGCATCTATGAGACCACGCCGCAAAGATGAGGCAATCACACCTACCCAACGGATAGAAGTCCAGAGGAATATTGACGCTTTCTTTAACTTCTCGGGCATTGGATGGCTCGTCAAGCTGAGGGGCTTCGATAGATAGAGCATTTAGCCACACTCGCATGCCTCGTCCGTCAAACCCCCACAGAGAATTCTCAAGACTGCCAATGCCGCGGAGATGGATCCAACAAAATTCAATACGGTCGGCCAATATTTGCATGTCATAGCGCACTTCTTGTTCGCCCGACTATATGTAGTTGTTAGATTTCACGTTGAAAAAGCGGCATGGAAGAAACACTTGCTTTTCTAGGCCGTAAAAGCACGAGCTGCCCACCGACCATCATCAAGACTGTAGCCACTGACAGGTCCTCTGCGGGATCACCGAGTTCTAAACATAAGAGGTCAAATCAGAATGGTTTTTACAAACAGAATGGGACTCACGCTTTTGAGCGGTCGGGATCAGCCAACTCAATACTCTGACTGCGTTGGGGTTAGCGATAATGCCTCCAAATGTGATGCTTCCACAGAGATGTAGTTTGATTGTATCCGACGTCGGAAGGATCAAGTAGTGCGACAACGTGTTATCGGCCGTATAGACAAGCAAGGAGTTGTCAACCAGTGACAATATGACAACCGGCGACGACAATATTTCGCGATGGAGGACGTTTTGATTGCTTAACTCGAGATCTCGAGAATACAATCGTATCTGGAAAACAGAATGTCAGATTTGAATGCAAGGACATACTACCGAAATCAATTGCCTGCCATGACTTCGCCACCTCAACTGTCGCGATCAGAACATGGTGAAACCAGAGAAGACCACCTTTCACTGTGAATGCTTGCTCCTGTAACTCGTCCGCAAACAGTTTCCACCGACCAGATGTCGAACTATAATGTGCTAGACCTCGCCGACCTGCGATAGCAACCAAACGGCCATCTGCACTGATGGTCGAGTATCGCACAGGCCAGTTGGCTGCTAGGTAGTCTTGCGGTATCTAGACGGAGTTAGCCAAGAAAAAAAGGGGGGCGTCTAACAACTTACCTTGATATGTTGCCACACATCCGACTCAGGATTGATCACGCTCATGTCAGGTTGATCTGCGCCTCTATACACCAGGACTCGATCGTCCATCTGCAGGAACGCATACTCTGTATTATCCTGTCTCATATTCAAGATGAGTGGACCCCAGTGATTTCTGGTCGTAGACCCCTCACCGGCGCATGGAGACCTGTGGTGGCGCTTTTCGCGAATGGTATTGTGAACAGTTGCCCATCTGACTCTGATATGCTCGCATTAACACACAACTCGGGAAACAATATTGTCAACGCACTATTCGGGCTGGAGCGCGCGAGAACTACGAGTTCAAAATTTCCTGCGACCCAAAACTAGCATGTGGTTTGAGATGACAGTTATATAAGACGGCTTGCAAGCTTACTAAATCGCATATACCAAACATGAAAGCATCTTGAAATCTGATTGATTTGGGCATTTAGTGTAATCCCAGTGGGAAAAGAGTAAGCCTTACCTGTCTTCATCTACCTGATCCTCCAAGCCAAAACCCCAAGCCAGACAGCGTCCGGCCACACTCCAAACAGCCCAGCCGTGCTGCCAACCTACCGCTAAGACGTATCCATCTGAACTCCATTCCATGGCACAGACGGATCCCTTCGCACTCCCCCTATACGAATAAGGGATCTGCAAGACCTGGGGCTTAGGATGGGGTTCTTCTGGCGACGGAAATGTAGTGTATTCCACGGTCCCGCTGTCTTTCATTTTAACAAGAGCCGACTAGATGAGTTGATCTCACGCACCTGTGCGTGCCCACTGCGATCAAAGAGAATCTAGTATTCACAGCAACTTTCACCGCTCGTCGAGGCTGATCATAATCATGTACATCGTCTTCAAAATCCGCCTGTCGACGTTTTTGTACCCATCGAGGAACTTCTACGTTGTGAATACATGTACCATGCCATTGCGAACTGGGTTGGGACGTTAAACTTTCGAGGGAAGTATGGGCTCGATCTTTCCCTTTGAGATCGCTCGCTATCGAATCCTAGCAAGATAAGATGACAAAAGCTATCAAAAATGTCGCAGGGTAAAGAGGACAGGTGTGCTTACTCGTGTTGCATTTTCGCTAGCCATGTCAGGGTTCGATGTGTTGGTGTCTGAATACGCGCTCTCGCTGAGCTGGACAAAGTACGCACGCCCATCCGAAGTGATCCATGACTCTACGTCCGATCCACGAAACCAGAATATATCAGAGACGGTGACTACAAGACGCTTAGTCCTCCGAACTTCTGCACATTGATGAATGACTAAATTACTGACCATCAGAGTCTTCGAGCCATGGAAAGTCCTCTTCATTGATGACCCAGCTATCATAACCATATTGCCTAGTACCACCTCGCCCGTAAAGTTCTGCATCTTGTGTTACAGGCCACGGTATTCGCTGGATCGAAGGAGGGCTCTTTGTAGAGAAGAGGATATAATGTCTTCGAGGTGACACACTAAAGCAGAGGTGAAGCGACTCAAGGCAATAGGATAGTGCGTGTACTCACCTCAAGAGGCTTCCCTCCACATGAATAACGCCTTCGAAGTGCAACACGATTGATTGCAAGGGTAGCGCTTCTCCAGGACCAGGTAAGAAATTGCGCTTGTTACCAGATGCAAGTTCAGGTGCTTCATACGGTGTTTCGTTGGGGTTGAACTGCACAGTCACCAGGACCAGATACGATTTCGCTGTCTGCCCATATCCCATGATGAATTCTGAGTTTGGAACGTTATGCACGCACTGCGCACCTGGATGACTATTCTAGTCCCATCCGTAGACCAGTGAAGTGCTCGGTTCTCTCCATGCTCAGCCAGTGATGTAGGCGTCCTTGACAAATAAGCCAATATCGCAGACGGCTTCGAGGAACCAACCCAGAATGCGCATATATCCACGTCAGTTCGGTGCGCCTACCTCGTGTAAACTATGGACTCACCCTAACACGCCATAAGGCTATACCATCACTGTTAAGGGTGCAGAATAAGGACCGGCGGGTACTGGGACAAAGAGATATAATTGGTTTTGTGATGGCATTAGGAAGGGCGGGCACTGTGCACAGTTGGCGAGCAGCGGAAGTTGGAAAGTACATGGTCCTTATTCACGCCTTTGACTTCACTTGTTCTGCGGGTAAAACGTTAACTTCACGGGGGGTGATGCCAACACGTCGCATGCTCCTTGTGAAGTGGGCTTAAGCTGCTTTGAGGGGGATGAGAAGAAGCCAGCTCTTGACCAGTTCTTTCCGTATCCTTGCTGAGCCGGCATATCACCGGTCTCGGGCATCTAACTGTCAGTACCACGAATCTCACGCAATTGGCAAGGGCGTGAATTGGTGAGTAGAGTGAGAGTAATGTTCGTGCGATGGTGATATACTACTGATACAACTGCTCAGAGACGAAAGCTAACCGAGAAACACAAGAACATGAAAATACCGAACAGGTACGAGAGAATCCTACGATTCATTAAAGAAGAAAGGTTGCCACCTTCACACTGCTAATTTTCTGAAAAACATCACGCATGATTCTGATTCCGTGAGCTTCTTGAACCAGAACGGAAAAGTTCTCCCTCTTCCTCTGAGCCTCCGGTCCCAGGACTGCTGCCGGACGAAACTTGGCGGGTGGCGAGACTGAGGTAGGACGCGCCCATGGTCATGGGATGGAGTCGAGACTGGCGTATGAGATCGAGAATGAGCGAGACTCCTTCCCGTGACTGTGGAAATGTAATGAGTATGGTCTCGTGGTTCACTTCTCGAAGACACTTACTCGCTGCATATTAGCCTTAAACCGAGCCAGACCGTGACTCTCGATCCGCTTCGTGAGGCCCCAACCGAAGCCAGAGACAATGCTTGCCCCTGTGGTCTGCAATGTTTTCCTAGTGGTATCATACGTGTTATAGTAGCGGTCTGAAAGGTGTATGAAGAGCGCGCACCCATCCTGAGTTTGCTTGAACGTCTGTGTCTCTTGCACCTGCATAACTTTGACATGATCGAGATTTTTTGTCCTGCATCGTACGACCTTGCCCTCAGGGTCAACCTCACTCTCCTCGATGACCCAAGTCTCTGCGCGAGTGATTATGCCTTTAGGTGCCCATCTTGGTAAGGCGCCACGCTTGAGGATAAGGCGTGTAGTGAGCAGCGACCCAGTTGACGAGAACTCGCGCGAGATGACGTCGCAGGAAAGCACATGGGATGCGTATGGGTTTGGGTATCGCAAAAAGAATGCGAGAGATACAATTGACCAGGGATCGCTTGATAATAGGAGGCCGTTATATGGATACAGAAGGTTTGTTTTACGCTACTTACTCGTACAAGAATGATTGAGAGAAGAATCTCATTGCCAACGACCCCGGTTCTTACTGTTCAGGTTAGCTTGAGGCTTGACAGTGCGGGGATTATGATCTGTGTGGTGGTAAAGGGTGGACAGCGGAATCGCGGACGCGAGCTCTCCCAAAACGACCAAATGACTGCATTACATAAAGCATGATGACGCATTCCATCTGCAGTTACCCTCGATGTGACACTCCCTTGCCATCCATCTCCCTCCGCTCCAGCCTACATACTATTCAGGGCCCTATCTGTAGCTGCAGAGTACATTAAGACAAGGTGCTTACGACTCCTTCTTGACAGTTCTGTGCAAATATCTGCATATATGTTTAGCCTGAAGAAGATTACTAGTGACACCCTTCCAGATGATATCATGTTCAGCGTGAGCACTGAGCACTCCTATGCGGCTACTCATCCACATATACCGTACTATACTTTGAAGAAGCAAGTTGATCATCGCTCAATTGAAGGTATTCCGTAGACGACGAGATTGCCTTCTCAAAGAGTCCGTGCGCCATCTCCATACCCCACCTTTCTTCATGCACGTGGAACCCAGCGGTCAATGTGATAGATTCCCTCTTTCGAAACTACTTCAACAACTCGGAGGAATCATTTGCCTTGATTGCGTGTGGCCAACTCTCCACGGGCTGTCTCTACAAAAACCCATGCAGGGTTCGTCGACCACGTCTCAAGCGAGAACTCTGTAAATTCTACTGCAAGCTCAGTGTCGGTATCTGTGGTGCAATAGAAGATAACAAGCTCGCTCGATGAGCGTCGAGAGCTCGCAGAGATCGGGTGCGTTGATCTTATGTTCGTCCTCTGTCTTCATCTCGCATCGCAGGAGATCTTTTACATTTCTGGTATACAAGTCTCGTCGTGGTTGTCAGTGTAGCTGGCTCACGACGTCCTTCGTACTCTTGCTTACTCTGGTACAGTTGCGCGCCACGTCCTCTCTCTCTTCGATCTTTATACATTCGCTCGCCGCTTATTGGACAGAAAGACTAGCAGTTAGACTGTTACCGCTGTCGGAATGCCAGTGCCCCATATCTAACGAGGCTCTATTTCCCTCTCTCCTTTCGCCATCACATATAGTGTCTCTTTGTCACTACTCTCATTGACCAGAGCCCGCAATATCCCCTTGTCGTTCTTGAGAAGCGCACTCGGTGTGTCAAACTCAACCTGCACGAACGTTAGAATTCTCATTCAAGTCAATCAACAGAACTGAGCCTCACGATGCGGCCTGCGTCGAGGACCAACTAGATGGCATTTTGAATACTCGAATAACGGTAAGAATGAGGACGTGCTCACAATCTTGTCTGCGTCCATAATGGTCTGCAGACGATGTGCTATCGTGATCAACGTTACGTCGCCTCTGAGTTCATGGCGCAATGAAGATTGAATGACCGAATCTGTCTCGTAGTCTGCAGGTGTGTTAGTGAGGGAGGGGTCTTAATGATAGAAATAAACCATGAATCAGATACCTATTGCGGAGGTAGCTGGAAAGAGAGAAAATGGTCAATCAGTAAGATAACAAGAAACAATTGACACAGGAACAAACCTTCGTCGAGAATTAGCAGCTTGCTCCCACGCACAATGGCTCTTGCCAGTGCGAGAATCTGCCGTTGACCAACCGAAAGATTTCCCCCACCCGTCGAGATTTTGGTGTCCAAGGTAATGCGACCTTCGTCGTCATCGCTCTGGAGTGAAAAGAGCCCGGCAGCTCGCAAAGCTCCATTCAATGTTGCATCGTCATGTTCGGAGAACGGATCCAGGTTCTCCCTCAGTGTACCACTAAGAAGCTCAGGCTACACAGCGTTGCATTAGTGATGACGAGATCGCGAGGCCCTACGCTACTCACAACTTGGGGGATAATCGTGATGTTTGTGCGCAGGGAGTCAAGATTGACCGAATCGGTGCGAAGCCCATCATAATAGATGGCGCCATCGGTGAAGAGACAACGAAGAAGTGATAAGGTCAGTGAGCTCTGAAAGGGTCAAAAGATAGTCAGAAGTCTGTTCGTCATGGCATTTCGTGCCTGTCACCTTTCCGCTTCCGGTTCTCCCGACTAGGTAATCCGTCAGCATATCTGTATGTCAACGATGAATGCAATCCACTGACCAACACCGACACGTTCGCCTGATTTAATGTGGAATGATATATCGTGCAGAACGTTCGGCCCATCCTATACCCACGGTTAGCTTATAAGGATAAACAGGCACACAAATTTGACTCACTTGCGAATAACGAGCAGACAGATTTTCCACTTTGACATCCCCGCTAGCCGGCCAATAGGCTGGAGGAACTCCATCCTTCGTTGCCTTCGGCTCTTGTTCAATGTTAATGTATGCTTGGATCCGCTCCAAACTAGAGGGCTCGATCAGAAACGCACTTGGAAAGTGGACGATAGCATGCCATACCTGTTGCCGCTGACTTCAAACTCGTTCAAGCAACGTACCCACCACAGAATCATACCACTAAAGCCCACTGCCATTGTGAGGGAGAATCCAGTGTCTGAAGGAAGATTATCGCTATGTCCGGGTCCGTAGACCAACCACGCGCCGAGAGCTGCCGCGAATAAGCCACCGAGCGCATCAATCCGAACACAAACCCATCTGCAGATGACTCATGTCAGCTTCATGTCGACGAACTCACAACATCAACTAACCTGTTGAGATTGTAGAAGGTCCGGCCTGCTCTCGTGTAGCGATCAATGCGTCGATAAGATTCCTGCCGGAACGCAGCCTGAGCACCGTAGGCACGTATCGAAGCTGTGAATGCATATGAGACCGGATGAACATTGTGAGCTAGACATGAAATGCGTACTGAGACCAGCTATGGCAGCGCCGAAATGCCCCATCACCGGAGCCTTTGCGTTACTCATCTCTCGTTTGACAGATAGTTGTGCTCTCATGTAGATATGACCGCACCAGCCGCCCAACAATGACACCAAGATGCCAGGAACGACGAATACTGGTGTCAATACTACGACCGCAGCAAGCTTGATCAATAATGTGGCGGAAATTTCAATGACCCGAAGGAGATTGTTCACAACTGGTCCATCGACTGTAGATACGAATGTCAACAACGGACGGGTTATATGAATTATCAGACGCACTGGCACCGATGTCCTGAGTACAACGCGTGATGACTCGTGATGTGGGTGTCATGTCAAGCCATCGTAGGGTTGTTCTAAGCACGGACTCTATGAGCCTTCGATGAATGATTCTAGATGCTCGTACGGCGCCAAACACGTATACACTACTACCGATGGAATACACGCCGATAGCAAACAACAAGAGGAGAGAGTAAACGGACAGGTAGCTGATCGAACAACGGCAATCAGTATATGTCTTGAACAATATGGTGAGTTGAACCTACAAAGAGACGTGAACTTCTGATGGAGGGTATATTTCGTATTGCTGTGCCCAGTAGCCCAAGAACCACGTTTGAATGGAATTCGCCAGATCGCACAAAGTTATGCCGCCCAAGAACACGATCCAGAACAAGGTGGTGTGCGAGCCACCCAAACTCTTGAAGTACAGGCCCACTACCGTCACACACGATCAGTTACAAGCAAAGGTTCTTGACACTGCCGAACGTACTAGCTTCCCAACTGACGTGGCCTTCATGGATCTCTTCAGCAACAGTAAGTTTTCCGTCTGCCTTTTTGTTCGCGTTGTCTGGCTCCTCGGAGTCTATTTCAGTGTCGGCTTTCTCGATCGCGACAACTTCTTCGGAGACCTCTTTCGACAGCGCATTGTCATGTGCAAGTGCATCCAATACAGACCCACGGCTCGCTACCTTACCGTCGAGACCGAGGGAGACCACGTATTCCGCGATAGGACTCGCCATTGCGACATTGTGAGTCTACAATCCACCACATCCGTATTTTGACATTGATCGAAGGAGGGGGAGGACTCACGACCAGTAATACTGTTCGTCCACGGATGAGATCCCCCTTGAAGCATTTATCGACGATCCAGCGGGCAGTGTGTACGTCCAGAGCTGCAAGTACCTAGAAGCCAAGTTGGGAAGGAAGATAGCATGCAAGTAGTAAGAACCCACATCGTCTAGTAAAATTATTTCGGCAGAAGAGTATATTGCTCGGGCGAGAGTAACTCGAGCCTGGTGCGATTAACATATTCAGCCCCGCGCATACGCATGCGATGTGAGTTAAATACCTTTTGACCACCACTGACAATGAGAAGAAAGAAGAATAGATGAGCCGCCAGTTCGAAAATGAACTAGAGAGGACATGAACTAACCTTAACGTCAGTCCTTTTTCACCGACTTCGGTCTGGTCTCCGGCCTCGAAAAGTGTAAGATCCCGCTCGAGTCCACATTGGAAGACCACTGTCACGTATGTGAGCAGCTATCTGGCCCATTTAACAAAAAAAACGGACCTTTGCTGTATCGAACGGCGTCGTACGGTGCTCCAAATAGGATGTTGTCCTGACTTCGTTCAGGACTTGTGTCAATGGTGCGCACATACACCACTTACTCGGATAGTTTCATTCTGTACCCAAGACTCCTGGGCAGCGTACGCAACACCACCTTCACGAGGAAGACTGTACCATGATCCAGGACCAGAGGGCACGAAGTGCATCTCGCCTGATACGTTCATTGAGCGACTGCATCCTCTTGAAGAGTTATATGGCTTACCTAGCAAGGCCATCAGCAAAGATGTTTTTCCTGACCCAGTTGGGCCGATGATGACATTTATGCAAGCGCGCTTGAAAAGCAACTCCCCTTCGATGTTCAGGACGAACTTCCGTCTGGACGGAGTTACAGCACCGTCGTCTAAGCTATCGTTCGCCCATGTGAATGTAGCATCCTGGAATCCGATAACATCCCGATTCGAGTGTGCTTCGGTGAGGGATTTATTTGTCTTCCCCTCTGCATCTTCAGCGTAGGAATCCAAAAGCTCGGCCTAGAAAAACATGAGCGACAGCCATTGAATACTGATGGATGGATTACCTGGTGGAGAAATTCAGTAATCCGGTCAAGGGAAACCTTCGCTATGGACCACAATCATCAGAGTCTCTTGGTCCAACGTATGTGACGAGACTACGAGCCTTGCGTAAAACGCGGGATCATAAGAAATACTGAACGGAGTTGATCTCGCAGAATATCAAACACTGCAGACAAATGAGTATTGCGAATATGTTCGAATCTGTAGAGAAACGCACCAGATATTGAAGAGAAAACAGTTGAAGCTGAGTAGTATCATTGAGACAGTGCGAAAGCTTCTAGCGCGTATGACTTACGTGCCAAGATCTGCTTCATGATGATTGTCTGTCAAAATGTCAGAAAGGCCCCGCATTCAATGAGAGATAAATCCGCACATATGTAACATAAGTGACTATCATTGTAACAACAGGAATAATGACACTTTATTGCTGGTGGCGTCAGCATCGAACAAGAAACAAGCTATTGACGTGAGGTTTAGGCCTACTTCAACACGTTGTTCAACAAGTTCAGCAGCTGGCGACGCTGGACGAAGTTGAGTTCATCGTCTCGTTTCTCCGCTAACCTTTCGATAAGTTTATGTTCCCAGCCAAATACTTTGACCATGCGCAAGACGTTCATGGCTAAAGTCAACGCATCAAAGTTGTGGAACGGTGAGAAGATTCAACGATGTTTTATGCGTACTTTCTGTGACAGTTTGCACACGTGCATCGGTCTAAGAAGTTTGTCAGTTATTGGCTTCTATTCAAAGACTTTGAACTGATATACCCGCTTGATACCTTCCTCCTGCGCCCGTTTGATCAAATTGGAGATGAATCCTGGGAAGGGGAAGAGGATGACCATTGAGGCCAATCCGACAAAAGCACTGGAGATTGATTGAGTCTATCACGTCCATTTTGTTTTGGTAATGCAACCTACCTCCAACCAAGAATGGTATACAAGAAGACGACGCACAAGACGATCTGCAGAGGCAGATACAAAACTACGCACCAGATATCAGGTACAACAAATTCTTAAGATGTCGAAAGAACGTACTCAAGAGTAAGAAATCACACCCATCCGCAGTATTGTTCAAGTCTACCGAGGCTAGATTATTGATTTTCCCAACAAGGTTGTCCGCTCCCATGGTATCGTCCTTGATGAATTCAGCATTCTCGTCCCCAGTATGCTGCTTTCCTTTGCTGTTTTGGGACTTGACCTTGACAAAACTCGAGTTAGCTGTCTCGTCACCACTCCCCGATCTACTGTCCCCGCTGCTACTTTCCTCAAGTGACGCGTTATTGGGGGTGCTGACTGTGACTGTGGAATCCTTCAAAGCCCCCTCAAGCTTCACAGGAGATTTATCGGTCTCAGCCTTCATTCGTATTCGCAGAGCATGTTCGAATAGCAAATGGGTAAAGATACCTTCCGTGCGGATACGAATCCAGCCCTACCGAATAACTCAATCCAAAAGGACGTTTGAAGGATGAAGCAAACTTACTGAGAGGAAGACGTACCGCTGCATCACGATTGTGCCTATCATAGGTCCAAAAAAAAGACCAGAAATCCAAACCCATGGGCGAACGACAGCGCCTCGCCCATCGATTTCCAAAGACCTAACAGAACCCAAACTCAGCCAACGCTCGATAGATCGCAAAACCCAAAATCTTACTGCAAGAGTTTATAGATTGCTAGAGGCCCAAGTAATAAAGTGTTCGTCTACCAGAAGACTTAGCAAAGCACGGTGGATTTTAACTAGTCATACCAACCCTAATGACGAGCATGATCGCCAGACCGATGTATTCACGACCTAAACTCATTTAGTCAATCGGAAGACGAGTGAGCGCGGAGCAGCTCACGAAATACTATCATAAGTCCCCAGAACAAGTGGCGCTTCCGAGCTCCAGAGAATAGATCCAGATGCTGGAATGTTTCAGAATCCACAGGTGAATGATGCGGTTTTCTTATTGACACTCACCGGAAAGCTTCTCCGCACCAAGTATTTGGTATAATCATAGTCAGCTAGCGGGGGAAGTTGCTCAAATGAGAGATGAGGGACTCTGTAGGCTGAGAAGACGACTGGATCAAGGAAGTTGTAGAGCATCATTGACAATATAGACGCCGTTTGTTCAGGATTGGGATTATCATGAGGCTCCTGCGGATAAATCATAAGATCCGTCGCGCGATCAGGTTCGGGAATGATAACATGCCTGTGGGTCGTGAGGAATATATTGGCGAGGGACCGTCAAAGGGATGACGATAGCCACCAGTCCAAGGACAGCCAATTTGGCCCATAGCAATGATTCGTCGCGTAGATCGGGAGGCGTTTTTGTGAATGTCAATAATGGCCACAGGTCACGATATACGTATACCGCAAAAACAGTCCCCAGAATGACAACCAGATGCGTTGTTGCAGGACGAGCACGTTTTACCCCAGCCGTGACAGAGAGAAGAGCGAGGAAGGATGCATAGAGCTGGGCACAGTCGTGAGCTATTTTGATCATTTCATGCGGCATCGACTTACATATGTCGAACATTGGATAAGCTCAATCTGTTCATGCCTTGTGAACGAAAGAGCATCAGCACTTCGATGCTTTTCCTTGTGCCCTTTACCCCAAAGCTTGCTGAGCGAATCGGCGTTCGGGCCGTTCAAAAGACCTTCCTCGTCAAAGACGAAACTTGTTACGGACAGCCCCAGAAGGGTCATGATGGACAACAGCCTGACGAGCCTGAAGGAGAAAATAGTCCACCCCCCAAGTCGTTGCACATGCTCCTTGGTTTCGGAGAAGATACCCGCTTGTGTGTTTGTTCTTGTCGCCTCTACAAGCTCATTTTCAGAAGAGCGTAGGAGCTTCTTCAGTGGTCTGTACGATAAGATAGTTTGAAGGAGGAGTAGCGCTATCGATGCGACAACTATGTAGGCAGGAATGGCGAGAGGATGGAGCCAGACGCTATTGCCGGGCAACGTCAGTCAAGGGGCCGCATGAACTCAACACCACCGAGCTCACACATGATTCTTGAGCTGAGTGGGTTGAGTGGAAGGTTGGGTACCTGTATCCAGTATGAATTGGGATTCCATGACCACGGAACGGTGTGGAAGCTTCAGGGAACCGGTGGCTGCTGTCTCTAGATACTGTTCTCTAACTAAGAAATCTGTAGAGTCAACTTAACCTGAACCAACGAGTCTAGGAACTGTGTCGTCAATAGTGTCGATACAACAGAACAACTGTCTTATGTTGAGGTCAGTACTAAAGACCTCAAATTGACCAACGCATGGCCCGACCTGCGAGGGCGCTTGCAATGCGGGCCGGGAATTGCCGCGCAGCTTTTGAGCCGAAAGCAACCAAGCCAAGTTGTATTCTACATCGTATGAAAAAGATCATTGCAATACAACTTACACGCAAGACGAGGAATAAACAGTGAAAATAAGATATGTGAGGTCTAGAATTCGTAGGTGCTGTCTTTTACCTTCCTGTTATCTGCCACAACCACCTGCAATCCATCATGCGCAGGGCGAAGCCATATCGACTTCCCCTTGTCCAACAAGCTGATACCTCTCCGTTCAACGGAAGACAAATTCGCATTCTGTACTTCTTTACCTCCCACGGCCTCTCCAATTGTGACGTACTCGTCATGAGAGACTTCATGGCCAAAACCAGTAAGATAGGTGCGTTGTGCGCCAAGTCGGCGAGCAATGTTGGTAGCGTCCTTGATCCCAAGATGTGATGTGTGCGGATGCAGTCGCAGACAGTCAAGCACAACGACGGCGTAGGGATGCCGTATAGCAGAATCGCTCTGACCGTTAACGAGGGGTTCCTCTAAAAGCGCCCAAGAATCATCGGGAATATGCGAGACGTCGGAGAGATATACTGCGATATCATTTATCTTGAATCCAAAACAAATGTAAGGATGGATCTTGGGAAGTAGTGTGGCGTTTTGATCGGGCGAGTGACGTGTGGGTGACGACGCTCCAGAGGTAGTCGTAGGGGTGGATGGCATGGTGGCGACTGGTGTAGGCACAAAGCCTGGAGGAGGCGCCACAGAGAATAAGCGACCATGATGCACTTCAAGTATTCAATAGAAAGTTCTTGTGAGAAATGGGATTTTAAAACGATCCTTGGCCAGGCTCACCGGCAAAAGGAGTGATCTCTATGCCTGTATCTTCAATTTCGAATGGAACCTTGTCTTCGATGATATGCCACTTGAACTCCGGTACCTAAAAATTGAATTAAGCAGTTTGAAAGCAATTCGAATATTAGGATACAACAGGTTCACTTACGTCTCCGCCGCCAGATGCGAACTCCTTCGCCACCATGTAAGGAAAAGACCTTTGGACCTCGGTGAACGTAGCCTTTGAAACGTAAACATCGATGTGCGGCTGTATCACTCCGTTCAAGGTCCACGCTGGTGTATTGTGTATCGGCTTAGTACGCGCACATGAGGTATAAATAAAGTTTGGTACCTCGTAGGTCATCCAACCCATTCATAGCTAAGATTGGTCAGTAGATGCACGGAAGTTGAGAAGAAGTCCATTACTGACCGTCAGCATGTGCATGTGTGATGAGAACGGCGTCTATTCTTCGCAGGCCATACTTCGGAAACCATTCGAGAGCGGCAGCCTGGAAGTTCTTGCCGACATCTATAACGATCATCCTGAGCACGAGACCATTCAGTCATCGAGCCAAAACACCATACTCCGAATCAGACACGCACCGCTGCTTCCCATCTTTCCCATTGATTCGCAGAGCGGCCGAGGTATTCCTCCTGATGTTCTTCTTCCCTTCTGGAGTGAGCGTCGAAAGACACGTCCGGCACGGACGATCGTCGGGTCCTGCAGTCAAGCATTCTATATGTGGCAGGCTCGACGAAGTGCCCGTTCCGAGAAAGATGACCTCCAAATTAGCTGAATGCATTCGATCCTGAGAGGTACGTCGTTCAGGCATCAGTCGGTACGGTGGGTCTGGTTCAAGTGGGGGGAGTGGGATGAAGTAGGATGATGAAGTCAAGATCAGATGTAGAAGATAAAGGGTGGCCAAGCATCAGCGTCAATGTGAGACGACCGCCAGTTTTTTAATTGAAGATGACCATGGCCACACGTGTGATTTGTTTGTGGTGCAGGATCAGTTCTGCGTATCACTGGGACTGTCATGCTGTCACCCTGTCGCTTTGAATGGAACAGACGTATAGTCCCTGAGTAGTCCCTAGTAGTCCCTGCCGGTGTTCTCATAAGGCACCAAGGCTACGTACAATCTTTCGATTCTATGCCAAATGTGGACAAGATCGCCTCGGAGACGTGGGAACAGTGGCCGTCATCCGTGGGTTCTTCCTCGACACTGTTTATCCTCAACCACCGACATTCATATCAATCATTCATCTTATTGACATCATGCAAATTTCGCCGCATATCTGACCTCGCGGGTAGCACGTCGCCGGGATTATCACTTCCAGGTTCACTCTGATACGAGTAAAATACAGCTTCAAAAATACAAACTATTCGGAAATCGTGTACTCATTTTGTGAAAACTGAATATGAGCATGTCAGTACCCGAATATAGCTGTGCATCGAATGGGAGTTCACTGACTCGAAACAACATCTTCGTCTTGTACCAGATGATTGAGACCGACCTTCTGTGCGTGCGGTGAGAATTTCGATGATTTCCCCTGTGAAAAGTCATCAACCATCTCTACATAGACACTGGAACCTTATTTCTCACCCTATAGACTACATCAGCGTGGGATCAAAGATCTCGGAAATGTATTAGACCTACCAGACCAATGCGTAACGAAAGTTGGCTACCAGAGATCTGTGGACACCATTACATACATCCTCGATGGTGGAGCCTCTCCGCATGCAAATCGGATCAGCCAAGTCGGGATGAGCGCCTCGCTTCTTCGTATATACTTTCACCAGGCCAAGGTCGTCCCATATGCGGTCGATGAGATAGTTCAAGCTGTATGTGGTCAGTCTACGTCCGATGAGTTAGGGGCAACCGCGCGCTCACTTCAAGTCCATCTCACAGCTGATCACGACGGTGTGGTCATCATGGGCCAGCTGGTCCATCCGTTCCAAGCTGATTGCGTCTATCTTGTTGTACACGTCTGTCCACAAGACGTGAGATCCGACCACAAAAGCTAGCATTGGAAAGCCTTACAGAGACAAGGAATATATTTTCTTGTTCCTTATTGTGCTGCAATCAGGCCATTGGTACATGAAGGTGATATATAAACCATACGTACCTATCAACACATCGATGAATTCATCAGTTGTTATCTGCTCAAAGTCGGTGAGCCCAGATGCTAGTCGATATTTTTGAGAACCGTACATCTTCCCTGATCATTACGTCGCAATTATGCAGTTTGTCTGACACGTATCCTGAATGAGATACAGGGCATCGTGTGGAATAGTAAATGACTGACAGCTTTGCAAGATGAGGCGAATGGTTCTCTCATCTGTCTTCGTCAACTTGACTGTGGCTGTGAACTGATCTATCACGCTGAGAAAGCGGTGGCGACAGCGACAGCAGAGACCAACTTACCGTAATCTAGAGAATGATGAGATATTGGATCATACATATTAACCACAAACTTACCCCTCCTGTTGTTCTTCGCTTGAAGACGACGTCAGGTCTCCTTTTGTTTAGTCGAATCCCAACAGAATCCAGCTCAATTTCCAGAAGTCGCCGCTGCTCCTCGGATTTTGTGGCGTCGAGCATAATCACGATCAAGTCAGCTGTCTTTGCGGTGGACACAACCTGACGTCCACGTCCGCGACCCTGACTAGCGCCTTCAACGATACCTGGAAGATCAAGCAGTTGAATCCGGGCGCCCTGATACTCAATGACACCGGGAATAGCCTGATACGAAGTCTAGTATACATGTCTTGAAATTAACCGCATGCAACGCACTGTCAACGTTGTGAATTCATAAGCTGCCGTTTCGGACGCCGTGTGGGTGACCTTGCTCAAGAGGGTAGACTAAAAAGGCTTGTGAGTTCCCAAACCACTCTAGGACGGCGCATGCGTTACTTTTCCGACGGAGGGGAAACCAATCAATGCAACTCTAGCATCTCCGGATTTCTGTACGTCAAAGCCAGTGCCTCCGCCACCTGATTTCGCCGCAGGTTCGAGGAGCTGGGCACGATAACGAGCGAGTTTGGCCTTCAAGAGGCCCAAATGATATTCCGTCGCCTACATGACCACATCCGTATTGACGTTCTGGGTTTCTGTGGAGTGGGAATATAATCACCTTGTTTTTTTGAGCTGAAAAGACGGTAAGATCTATAGAGGACCAGCATTTCGGCGGTAGACTCACTCCTTGCCATCTCCTCTGCAACACCATCAGCGTGAGGGTCTGAGGACATCAGCAATGAGGAGACTCACCCTCTATCTCCTTGATCTATCATGAATCGAGGTGAGCGCGCGCGCGGCGCAGAGAATACACAGCCAGCCTGAGAACGCACCTTCTCTACGACACCCATGTTGGAAAGCCGCTAATCTCCGGTGCGGTCGACGGTGGGCAGTTTGTGCAGAGAGACCTGATGAAAACCGAGTGGGGACGGTCACGGAGACTGGAAGTGGTTGAGGCCAGTTTGAGGCCAGAAGCCACGAATGGCAAGAGGACTGCCCGAACGCGCTCGTCAACACTACTACATAACCTAATACTAGTACCAACAATCTATTTGTATCATTGTGCGCCCTTTCTCGCTCGCCTCCTTGTACGGTCACCGTGTTTGCGTCGTGCTGTTCATCATACAGCGGGATGCCACGCCATACACCGACCTTACATCCTCACGCAGAGACAGGCGATGTCAATGAACCCGAAGCTGACAGGCCCATTCGGCCGCTCCCTTTCACAGCAAACTCTTCTTCAGGTAATGCCATTCCCAATCGCCTCAAAACTCGCCACAAGAACACATACTCCCCTGCCACCGGCGCGATCGGTGCTCCTACCGCTAATCCGTTTTCTACGTCCAATGTGCCCCAATACACCGCGAAGTACCATGACATCTACTCCCAATTCCTGCAGCGGTATAGATCTGGGCCCGAAGAGGATCCTAGGAATGATCCTGACAGCCACTACTTTCACAGAGGCCTTGGTCAGTTAGTCGATGCAGGAGGGGAGAGCGACGAGGAGGAGTTGGGCCGTCCTCTGTCCGGTGTTGCAGATGTCCACGATAAGTTCTCGTCTCTCATGCTCGACTCTGACCCTATCGAGCCCGAAACCGCCGAAGATTTGGAGCGTTTAGAGTGGCAGACGATGCTTGCTTCTGTGCTCGATGGTGATGTCCTCAAGTCTGAGAAAACACGCATAGCAGTGGCACTCGCATCATCCGACCAGGAGTCCAATAATTTCCATACAAATATTTGGATCGAAATGCGCGCTAAAGTCAGCGGAAGGTCGGAGGAAGAGGAGAGGAAGAAGTTGGAAGAACGTCGCCTGAGGACGGTCGACCATGTCATCCATGAGGTACTAACATTCCATACGAAGGACATATTTTCCTCCCCAGACCCAGGCACAGCAGCTTTGCAGCAGGTCAATGAGGTCATTCGTCACCTGGATGTCGTCCACTCTCTTTATCCAAATCTGAAGGCTTTTCAGCTTGATAAACCCGTTGTCGCAGATAGCGAGTTTCAAGCCTTGCGAGATGCACTCATCACTTGGTCTACGGTTTTCACGTCCCTGCGTTCACAAATCAATATTTTGCAGAGATGGACCGGCAGTGATACGTTGGATGTCACCGCCCCTGGCACCGGACCAAATCAGGACTCTGAGACACAGGCTGATGGGTCTTCGATGGCGGATGGGTCTACCTTTCTGGAACGTCTCCTGAAGGAAGAATCCATTCAGATGACTTTTGCCAAGGGCTTCATGACCACTGTTCATTCTCTCATTGGCACTGCTCGCGATGCTCAAGTAAATCTTGCCGCACAGTTCAAGAAACTGGGTCTTCCGACGTTCGAACGCGAACTCATCCCTCTCATCTCATTCCCGACACAACTCGCGCAGGCTAGTCTCCGCGTTCGTTTAGAATATGCTCAGAAGCTCAAGGATCCAGAAGTCATCATCATCGACCAGATGACCGATGATTTGAAGCTCAATATCGGAATCGCATGTACATTAAAGCGACAGTACGTGGCATTTCTGTCGCCGGACCCTGGCGGAAATTGGGCCTTGCCTCCGTGCATCAGCAAGGACTACGATACCTCAGTTCTTGAAGCTTTGTCATTTTTATTCCGGCTAGTGCACTGGAAGCTAAAGAGTGGTGCCAGAGATATCTACTTCAAGGAAACAGATGTTCTTGAAGCACAGTGGGCCACTTTCAATGACGTCGCCTTGACCTCTGCCGGTGGAGCTTCTATGGTTGCAGAACAACTCTGGTAGGTGCAGCACATCTTTATCCTTTGTCAAAACATGTTTGACAATATGTAGTGCGCTAACAAACAAACTCATGGTTCGTGTTACCAACTTCTTCGACACGCAATTGAAGGTCCCGACGGCGGAACATACGGAGTCACGCTCATCCACTAGTGGCAGGAAGGGTCCTGCGCCATTGAATGGCTCAAAAAACGGCATGACCGATGAGCAGATGGTCAGCTGGTATGGGAAGATTCTTGACAGTGTCCGGCTACGATACCGAAAGCTACAACGATTTGTTCGGTGGGTGCATCATAACACATGGCGTGTCAATATGACTTTGACGAAGGAACGAGTAGGGTCCTCAATCAAAGATTCAGCAACTCGGCTGAGTACACCCTGGAAGGTGTCCCGATCGATGCTTTCATATCGCACCTTGTCGAAACCGACCATTTTTTGGTATACACGCAAACATTTGAAGAGGAAGGCACATATATCGTGGCGTCACACACCCTGCGCGACCATCCCGACTATATTCGTCGAATTCTATTGGAGGCATTTCATGTCACCGAACTCTTAGAGGACGATGGCAAGAAAGTAGTGGAAATCTACGACCTCGACGCAGACTATCCTGACGAAGCAGGGTACCTCCTCGTGCTATCACCTCGAGATCGTTTCCTCTGGAATGGCCTCGTTCTCATGTTGGAGATTCCAAAGATCGAGCTGGACCTGCGGGATAACCGCGTGCGTCTTATCGCTGACGGAACGCAGCACCGATTGCTTTTGGCAAAGCAGGAGTTCACCGAGCTCTTCATTTCGGTGGATGAAGATGGACAACCTGTTGAGACAGGTCTCAAGCCTTTGACATGTCTCACCGACCAACAAGCCCACCTCCCTGCCGTGAACAGAGAACTACGGAAGATTGGGCGCGCGACCAATCGCTTAGCAGAATCCATCGTCGAGTCCGTGCACAGTGTGCGGGTAGCCCTTCGCGACGCAATCAAGCGGCAGGATTTGTTGGAGAATTGGTATCTATTTGCATCGGAACATGGCCAGCACGTACATAAATGGATGGACCGTTCTACGCTTGTCAAGTTCAACCGAATGCTGATCAAGCTCGCCATCTCCTGGGTGTCCTTCATCTGCGACGACTGCGACCCCAACGATCGCAAGACGTTCAAATGGGCCGTGAATGCTTTAGAATTCGCTCTCCAGCGCACGCGGCGTGACAGCATCCTTCAGCTGCCTGACGACCAGTTTGAGATGCTACGGCAGAAGGTCGCGACTTGTATGACCCTTCTCATCAGTCACTTCGATATCTTAGGCGCACGCTCCAGTGAGGCCTCGAGGGATCGGGAGCTTTGGTTGCGACAACCAGCAGAGGACTCGCTCGATGCTGATGACGAGCTGCTGCGCTCGGCTACCTATCCGTCGCTCAGAGGCCGAGCAGATCATGTTGTGTCATCTCAAGGTTATATAGATCCATCCATCATCAAGTTCTGGGAGCGAACCACGAGAGCTATCGAAAACTTGGATAACCAACGAGCTGCTATCACGACTGAGCAGCGCCTTGCAGGTCGTGTCCTTGATGACGAAAAATTGGGGGATCGCACATTGGTTTTCCTCGCCTCGTTCAGCTCCAATATATCAATACGATGGCAGCAAGGCAGATTTATTGGCGCAGGCGCCTTCGGTTCTGTATATCTTGCTGTCAACCTGGACTCCGGGTCCCTAATGGCCGTCAAGGAGATAAAATTCCAGGAGATGTCGGGCCTCCCGAACTTGTATACGCAGATTCGCGACGAACTGCGGGTTATGGAGATGTTGCATCATCCGAACATCGTCGAGTATTATGGAATCGAGGTGCACAGGGATAAGGTCTACATTTTCGAAGAATACTGCCAGGGCGGCAGTCTGGCAGCCCTGTTGGAATACGGACGGATAGAGGATGAGGGCATTATCCAAGTGTATACCATGCAAATGCTCGAGGGCCTGGCATACCTGCACTCCAAGGGAATTGTCCATCGCGATATCAAGCCTGACAGTGAGTGTTCATCAGTGCAAAATTGGATGTGAGAACTAACAGGTCTTGAGACATCCTTCTGGATCACCTCGGAGTGATCAAATTCGTCGACTTTGGTGCGGCCAAGATACTCGCGAAGAACCAGAGGTCGATGCAGCGCTCTCGTCGCTCGGCCGAAGGAGCTTTGGGTGGTGGTCTGGGAATGAACAGCCTTACTGGCACGCCCATGTACATGTCGCCTGAAGTCATCAAGAATGACAAACGTGGCCGTCACGGTGCTATGGACATTTGGTCCCTGGGCTGCGTTATTCTTGAGTTTGCGACAGGAAAGAAACCGTGGAGCAATCTTGACAATGAATGGTAAGCGCTTTGCGCTCGTGTCATCCATGATCGCTGGCTGAATCGTGACTTTGAGGGCAATTATGTTTCACATCGGCGTCGCTACACAGCACCCTCCGTTGCCAGAACCTGGCCAGCTGAGCGAACTCGGCATCGATTTCATTCGACAATGCCTCACGGTGGACCCGATCCAGCGACCTTCAGCGACAGAGCTAATGTATCACCCGTGGATGCTCGAGTTCCGGGAAGCCCTGCTTCATTACGAGGAAGCCGAGATGGCCACCAACCCACCCGCAGAAATGCCGTCCGAGGAAGTCTTTGAATCGGCCTCAGTCGCTCGTCAGGCCGCCATCATCCAGGAGAAAGAGGTCGAAGCAATCATGGTCATGTCCCCAAGCATGTCGCCTGTCGAGACTCCGATATCGAGAGATCCCCCCTTGCTCGAAACCCATGATACCTTACAAACGCCATCATGAACTCCCCCACACCTTTTATGTAGCCTAGTCCATCGTCCTCCACTCGCCGACCTGTAAGCCTCAAACGATTCCCTTTTGCCCAATTATCTTTATTCACGTACACGCGGTTTATGCTCGAGACTCGGGACGGAACAGTTGACATTATTTTTCATGCTCGATAACATCTAGAATCACAATGAACATGTAAAAAAACCGACAGAATAAAGCAAATGATACATTTCGGGGTAACAACAATCGAGACCACCCCGTGGTCTCGGACAACAGCTTCGAAAAAGAGAATAGTTCGGGCTACTCAATAACCCAGCGCGACCGTCCGCTTATTGACTCGTTTCCCCGAGACGCATTGCTCATCATCCTCGTAAGACCGTCTCCGCACGCCGATGGCTCGATGGTCGTCACGCTTGAAATACTGTGTTCGCTTCCGCTGCTCCCGTGGCGCACGAGCAGTCGGCGAGATGTAGGGCTGCCCGAGTATGCTGAAGGGGCAACGGAGCTAGGCAGTGAGCTGAAATGCGCCACGGGAGGGCTCTGGACTGGGCTCGTCTGGACGGGAGACTCGAAAGGCTGTGCTTGTGCATTGAAGAACCGGGGACCCATCTGGCGTGGGGCGAAGCGCATTTGACTGGGAGGCGGGACTTCAGTCCCAGATCCGAAGGCCGCGGAGAACGTCGGGACCGGGCGGTCGTTGGACGGAAAATCAACCTTCTCAGGGTCCTGGTCAAGTTGGCCAGGAACGACCGGCACAAAGTCGTCGCCAGGGAGCGGCTCCTGTGCGTTCACTACGAAGAGATGACGTCAGAATGATAGGAGATATCTCCGTAGCGGGATCAAATCGCACGTACGGTAGTGTGTAAGGCCGTGGCCAAAGTTGAACCAGCATACGACGCCGAGGATAAAGGTAAGGAGCGTCAATGTGATTGAGAGCACGATGATGACGCTGAAGAACCGCCACTGAACAAAAGTCCACCGAAAGGTAAGGGAGTCAAACATAGCGCCCCATCCGATGACAAGGACACCGGACAAGACGAGGAACACCGCCATCGGAATCTTGAGTTCTCTTCGAACTGCAAACCAACCCTAAAACAAGTGTCAGTAACAGACTGATGAATCAATACGGTAAAACTCACTGTTACAAGCCACGGAGCCAGGAGCTACGATTTGGAATGGACAGTGTCAAAAGTTGAACCATCCCACAATAGGCGCAGACATACTATGATGACAACGATACTCAAGGCCATGTACAGAGTGCCCTCAGTTGATAGGTGGGCAAAAGTGCCATTGCAAATTTGGTCGAGCCAGATACCTATCGACGCAACGACGAAGAACAGTGACAGCTGAATGGCGATAGAAAGCGTCAGAATGAGCTTGTAGATGCGATTGATGTTCAAAGAAGCCCCGATGCGCTTGAAAGTCTGCCAGCCGAATAACTGCAAATGACAGGTCAGCTTGGGCTACGAAAAAAAAAACTTGAATAGGAGAGACCTTAATCAATCTCCACGACAGGAATGCAGACACAAACAGAGCAACCGTGTTCAGTACCAGGCTGGGGATCTCTGCGTTTGCGCGGTCTTTCCAGTAGGAAGGCAAAAGGTTGATTTGGCAGGCACCGTTGGTTGCGATACGACGAAAGTCGTTGTGGAAGGCTGAGGTTGACCAGATCTGGAACCCTGCCCATGCCGTCGCGGACATGTGAGTGACGAGAGATGCGATGCTGCAAAAACGGAGGATCATCAATACTCCGAAAGAGTGCTCGCCTTGATGCACTTACATGTGAGGAATCGATTCGTTCAACAGCTGTGGACTTCTGTGAGGGGCAAGTCTCTTCACATTTGTGCAAAACGACACTTACTGCGGCAATAGACATTCCCAGAACCCAAAACTGGAACGCAATGAAAGTGATATCTTCGCGCTTCGTGTTGTGCAAACTGAGCACTTTGTCAAAAATGGACCAACGATGCGGTCTGAAGATGGCATGACTTACAGCTGCACTGGCCAGTTCAATGCGACCACGCATTTTTGATCCAAGACAGTTTCAGTATTGAAACCGAAGCCATTGAGAGCCACCTTCTTTTGTCCGTCCACATCGATGACCAGAATCGAGTTCCCCATCATCCCGCGTTTCTGCAACGCCTCGCGGGGTAGGTACCGCCTACGGTGGGCGAGATCATCGTCGTCATCATCGTCGTCGTCTGAAGAGGTAGCCGTGGCCGTCGGTTTTTGGACCACGATCTTTGTCACAGTGACCCTCGCCGCAGGTGTGCTCGAAGTAGCGCTGGACGCGATCCTGACCACCGGAGTGCTAGAAGCAGATGCCGAAATTGCAGATCTTACGGTAGTGCTGGATATCCCACTCGAAGGGAATGTGTCCAACGTTTTGAACGAGAAGGTCGTGTTGAACGTAGTAGTGAATGACGGCGCAGCTGACACCGACGAGGAGAGGGCAGAAGAGGAAGAGGAAGAGGAGCCATAGCTGTTCGAAGACGAATTGCCAGTTTGAACGGCACCCTGGGCGTTCGAGGATTGCACGCTTGTACCATTCCAGACGACTTGACATGAAGCCGCGCTGATCTTGTGTGGGACGTGGTCACAATATCTGAGAGTGTCCCCGACCACTTGAAAGAAGCCAGGAACCTGAGCGCCGCCTCCACGGACGATGCTATGAAGAAAGTCTGCGGCGCGCGCGTTTATGGCGAAAGCTTGCGTCTGGAACACGAGCTGGAGAATACAGTGCAAGAGCGAGAATACAAAATAAATGGTCGTGATACGGGAAACGGTCAGCCTGTCCCACTAATATAGGTTGAACGATCAGCTCTCAGTAGTGACACTTGCCCGAGCGACCTTGCGTGATGCAGATGCGAAGGCCGCACCGAACAGGGTTGACTGGGCGGAAGGCCGCTCGGACAGCTGGAAGGGAAATGACGCACGAGAAGTTTGGCCTTGGCCGGGAGAGGGACATAGTTCCAGATCTGCTTCACACGCATTGGAAGAAGAGTCTGCAATGCAACGGTCGCTGGTCAGGAAGCGCCGCATATAGGATGCGTTGTATTCACCACGAGAAAAAGGAGTCCGAAGCGGTCTCGAAACGAAGGCAAAGAGAGTAGTGCCGCTAGGGCAGACTATGAACGAGAGGAAAGACCAGCGCGTAACCCGGTCAGAGAGGCAAAAGGCAAGAGGACGGCTGCTGGCACGGTCCAGCCGAGCGCGATGAAGCTGCTGCCTGGAGGAAAGGGAGGAGGGGCCACGAAAGAAAGAAGGGAAGAAAGGGAGTCGGAGAGGCTGGCGCCCTGCCTGCGAATTCAGTCACTTCAAGTAAGACGCCTCGACGCTTGCGTTCGGGCAGCCATGACAACCTTTCGATCCGGCCTCGCGTGTTCCTCCCGCCGCCGACCGTAGCGTCCCTTGCCCGTTCCTCCGCCAGCCTCTGCCTGCTGCAAGGCGCTCGGGCGCTCAAGACAGCCCTCCCAATCCTCCCGCAATAATCTCATATACTTCGCAATCTCGCCTCGCCGCTTTGCATCTCGCTCAACGCCGCTCCATCGCCCCAGTCACGCTCCCATCATCACGCACGCCTCGAACCCAGCACAGCCTGTAGCACGGCCATGCGCACATGAGTACCTCACCGAGATATCCGACAAGCACCGCGAACCCGTTCATATATGTATTATATACATACCGAAGGCAACACCTACCAAAAGCCCACTGCAGCGCATCGCGATGAACGCGCGCCGATCGCTGGCCTCGCCAAGTACGTGATCTGAACAATCTCGATGCAATTGAAGAAAGCTGTACAGCCGGCAGCGAACAATGTAGGGCACATCACCCTTACTTACTCCGTTCCACTTCTCACCGGTTGTAACAACAATGATAAAAACCACGATGCATCACGTCTGATACCAATGGCGCTCGCCCAAAAACCAGTGCGTCCGCTTCTCCTCATCTTCATCAAGTGGGAAGAGTCCGCTTCCCAGCGACCTCATTTGCTCCGCCGTTCTCCGCTTGATAAAGCCCTCCTCAGACAGATATCTCACGGCCTCCATCACTTCCTGTCTGTCGTACACAGACCTCAGCCTCCAGCACACCTCAGCCTGCCGACACAAACCATCAGATAATGATGGGATCGGCGCGCTGTGATCGACTTACCTGGGAAATCCCCGGGCGATACACGATCGTTCCAATCACCGCCCGGAGTGCGGCGTCCCAAACATCAACCATTTTCCGCCCCGAAATGTCGATCCAGCGGCGCGGGAAAACCCTCATCGGCGGTTCCGCAGAGATGGTGACCGCCCATGCCCGTGCATATGCCGAGGAAACGACGCGTAGAGTAGCATAACCCGCGCAGAAAATCAGCGGTACAGTGTCTTCCATGAGTTGTTCCATCACGGACACGATATTGTCGGGGTCATATGCTGGTAATTGATCCTGTGCGTCCGAAGACGTGAATCACCCATGCACATTGAGAACTTGATCACTCACCAAAATACTTCTCTTCGATACGCCTGCCCCCTCAGCGGCTTGAACAACAGCCAAAATGCGCGCGCTTATGTCCCGGTCGCGTGCATTCAACCTAGCAAAAATCAATTCTCGTTCCGTTTGCAGACACGCTTGACAGTCCGTCACGCCCGTTCGACTTGTCAAGCTGCAGCAGGCAATATCACCGCTCATCGTCTGACCGTGCTGTCCTTCTTTACTGGAGGCGGCGCGCGGAATGAGCGCGGGGTCGATTTGAGAGACCGGGACGGGACTCTGCCCATCCGCTTCTGAGGCGATGTGAAACTGGACAAAAATGGCAGGCTCGATCTGATCATCATCTGAAATTGCTTCGTTTCAGTGAAATATCAGAAACACGTGAAGCGAGGGTGCTTGCCAGCCTTCTTGCTGTTCCAATCGATAGCGACTCGGGCGGCTCTTGGCTGCGAGGTATCAATCTTGAATTCGACCTGGTTTTGCTGGGTCAGCAGGATGTCGTGCATCGAAGAATCGGGTGATCACTTTGTCTTCCGACGTCGCCTGCACCAACGCTGCTAAATCGCCATCACTGCTGAGAAGATCCCATTCTCGCCAAACTATTTCTTGTTCTCCGTACGACGCCTCTAAAGAGGATGCGTCTTGAAAAGTATCATGAGGTATGGATCCGCCGATGGCATTCTGATTCCTGCAGTTCAGGATCAGCGAGACAAATTAAGGAATATCTGATATGTCTCGCAAAACTGACATCTCGGATATTTTGAATATTCTCCCTGGCTTTGATTTTTTTGGGTCCTTCACTAGCTTGGAAAGAACTCCCCGACTCAGGAGATTGGATCCGGCGATGGCCACGGGCTGCTCGCCGATACCATGAAGGAGGGCGGAAGCTTGATTGGAATCGTAATCTTCATGTGGGGTTCCAAAGACCATCTAGCATGAGAGTTTTAGTCAAAATCAGTTGAAGCGAATGAAGAATTTGGGGATGGAAGACCTTGAGGGCAGACTCGGCGACGTGAGTGGTGTCAGTGGCGAGGTGCGAAGTTGGAGGCATCTCTTCAACGTCAGTCGTGAAGGGATGCTGCAGCATAGCTTTCTCGCGACCCTCTTCAACGTTAAGGTTCCAGACGACATCCCATATAGGGGTTACAGTGAACTTTTCCTCAATTGCCCACTCACAACTTTGCCCCATGATGTCTGCTGGTAAAGCAAAACTTGCATCCCGTTCCACATATCCAACACGCCTGGGACAGTATCTCAGTTCGGTGTGACCACGATGGACTAACTCACGTACATGGCATTCTTGTCGATGTGTCTCCGCAGAAATTCTATGTGCTTCGCAAGGTCAAAATTGGACGTGCTTTTGGGATCAGCATCTGGCAACAGCTCTGTGCCTCGATGTTGCAGCCAAAGGGTGTACCATTTATCTTCAAGGCGCTTCAGGTAGGTCAACATACTCGGCGATTCTCGCATGTGGCCCACACGCTGTCTGACGGAATTTCTGGGAACAGCAGGGAATACCTGATCGAAGGCAGACAGATCCTGGCGCATGCCTCGGCAACGAGCATTGATAATGACGAATGCATCGCGGGCCAGTTCATCGAAGTCCCGATCCCATTGAAAGCGATGTCTGCGTCCGGGACGCTTGACTCCAGGCTGCTCCTCTCCTACTTTTTACATGATGTTAGATTGCATTCATCTCAGTTTGAGCTTGACGTACTAGGTTCATCAGCTTTCGTACTTCTCCTTTTGCGCTTTGATTCTTCTTTCTGACGCGGAGGCCCTTGCTTGGTGATCAATTCCTCGACCGACTTTTCTGGTGCATTGGTTACGACTGGAGGAACAGCTGCCCTCGCACCAACAGCAAAAGCTAGTATTGGGGCAGACATCAACACAGTCTCGGCTGCTATCTGCGCCTCCTTGATTGCCCGAGAAATTTCGCCATCCCAATTGGTTTTGCCGACAGTGAAGACATTCATATACTTTGTGCGAACTCGACCCACTCTGGAGGCTGCCGTGCCTTTTAGAACGTCAGGATGAACTCGGCGAAGGAGCTCGTCCCAGTCTTTAGCACGTTGCTCCTTGGCTATGGCAGCTTTCTTCGCTATCAAGCTCTTCGCTTCCGCGGCGGTTCTACGAGGTGCCCTGGCGCCAGATACATTCTCAGCATCCTGCTCCTTTTGTTTCTCGATTCGACGACGAGCCCGTTCCAGTTCATGTCTCCGTTTCGTGCGCGCCTTGTCTAAGAACTCCCGCACGACGACGATCGGGGCGCTGACAACCCAACATAACTTCTCTAAAGAATCCACCGTATTTTCCTGATCCTGCAAAGGATTCTCCAAGTGTATACCAAGAGAATTTTGCAAGTATGCACGCTGATGCCATGTAAGGTCATACGAGGCATCCCAGGACATTTTGCGACGTATCCAACCCTTTAATGCAGGATCGACAGACGCGGGCCCCGTTGAACTGGACATAGGGGGGCATGATGCATTCTTTGCAAATGCATAATCAGTGCATGCCCTTTGAAGTTCATCCCAGAATCGGGCAGCAGCAGCACTGGACTGAACAGGCATATCTCTCCAGAAGGGTGGGGATGTTCCCGAAAGGGTCCACAAATGGACAGGAGCGGTCGTATTGAAACGCCAATACAAAGGAGCTGACGCAAGGCTCCCCGGAATCCATTCATTGGCGAGCACATCGAAAGCCTGTGGATGTTCCCCGTTTGGTGCGCACCGAATAGTTGGGACCTCCGCATCTGAAACTTTTAGAGGAGACACCAATTTCAAGCACATGAGGGCATGGAGCATATCGAGGAACCGCGAACGTGGCCTCGATCGCCCGATCTGTAGAGATGTGTGGAGAGCAGGGGGTAGATGCCTGACCAACGCCTTCCTTCCTTCGCTGGTCTCCAGGAGTCGGGTCAATGCTTCTTCGTGTACCAAAGTCGAGACCAGGGAGCAGTACATATCTAGGGGAAGGTCGCTCGTGTAAAATGACAGATGGACAATTCGTAGATCCGTGGATACGATCCAAGGAGAATCAGGTTCAGTCTCAAATGCTTTGAGAGTAAAAAGGTGCATCGCGCGCATTCTCAACCCTTTGGCGAGAATGTATCCGTATTTCTGAGAAAGAGTTGACTTTTCTGTTAAAAGAACTTCGCGGATTGTAGCGTCATCGTATTCAAATAGTTGCATGGCTCTTTCTCCGTTCCTGTTCCAACGTTCCAAGTCAAGTGATGGCTTATCTCTTTGTAAGAGCTGAAGGGGAAGGGCAGGACGTTGGACGACCAGTGGTTTGGCAGTCATAAAGGTCGGTTCAGTTGTCTGTATGACAGGCTGTTGTGTGATAGAAAGGTTGCGTCCCAGAGCGGCGAGAAACGCATTGATTTGCTCTTGACTAACAGATGGTAGGTGAACGATACGGACAAGGCGGCTACTTCCTGTGGGTAAGACGACAGACGTTTTGAGGCTCTTGATATCTCCATGACTCTCCATAGTGTCGAGCGTGGCGTCTAGAGTGCGTTTGTCGACCCTAATACCAGGAAGACTGCTGGTTGCGTCCCCTGCAGACGCCATCGATTCGACAAGAGACATATGCGCATCCAGAAAATCCTTTGAGGTGGCGTTGCCAATACCCTGGAGCTCTTCAAGGACCTTCAGGAGTTCATTCTCCCGACGCAGTTGGGAGACATTGCCCTGAGTTCGAAGACGTTTTTGGATACCCTGAGTTTTCTGCCGCTTTGCAAGGTGTTGTACCCCACTATCATCGCCAGAGACCCGCTTGCCAGGTGCGACTGTATGTGGAGAGAGCAATGCGTGCGCATCGGCCGACGATCCGTTGGCCTTGAGTTAACAAATGAGCAAACGGAGCGTAGTGCGCAACCTATGTGGCTTACCGTGGAGGTTGTCGGGGCCTGTAATTCATGAGGGATTTCCGAGAGAAGTGCAGGATCGATGGGTATGTCAATACTCATCAAGTTGGACGAGCCACTGCATGTGGCAGCAGCTGAAGTCAGTACGGTGACTTCTCGACCGACAGGAGTAGTCGATTCAGCATGCATAAGAACTGGAGATGCCTCAAGAGCACTTGAGATTTCCTGCGAGGATGCATCGTTCACTTGTTGAGTGCGAGAAATCACCTGCACGGGAGTACGTGGTTCAGCTGGTAAATTTGGCGGATGGTCTGTAGGTCCTCTCCGTGCAACAACCTTTGTTTTCCTCGGCGAGCGCCGAAGGGGAATGTCGTCTGGAACATCTGCCACTGGCTGGTCGGTCGCTCGGGACATCAATGTGTCAACAATCTCAGATGGAAGCTTCGTCACGCCATCAGGTGGTACAGATAGCTTTACGTCCATGTTCTTTGTTGGAGACTGTCCGGGCTCCTTAGAGAAAATTTCGCTCGTTGTCCGATCAGTAGAGAAGATCGCCTTTTTGCGCGAACGACCACGCTTTTTCGGCGAAGTTTTTATTATCGCTACAGAATCGGATGGACCATCTGCCTGCGGCTCTGGTGCCGTTGCAATACTTGTTAACTGCCTAGTTTTCGGTGGGCGATCACGGACCTTGGGCAGTGGAGGGGCAGTAGGGCCCGAATTCTCTTCGTCGATTGTGTTGGGCAACTGCAGGCCTGCATCTCGATCTATCAACTCCTGAGTGAGGATCTCGTCGGCTTGAACGGGACGCCTTTTGGGTGGGCGTCCTCTCTTCTTTGGAGGTGGCTGAACGGAACTTGACCTCTCGACTGGACCGTCGTCTCTCTTTCGCTTTTTTCCCTTTTGGGTTTTACTAGGGCCCCTTGCGCCTGAACCTTTCTCCGACCTCCCTTTCTTAATGCCTCCTCCAACTGTAAGTTTGTTTTGTTGGGCAGTACTGCTTTTGCTCTGAAAGCCATCCATGAAGTCTTTGAGGGCCTCTTCGCTTTGGTAGAACATCTCTGCAGTAATCGGTGCGAACTCGCCTGCACCAGACCAATCAATAGAGCAATACTTGATCCGCGAAGCATCCAGTTTATCACGGATGACTACGGCTTGGCAGTGTGGGATCGTGTAGTAACGGAATCGACGTTCGCGAGCGTGAGACTCCATGAGCTGGGCAAGGCCAAGGTCACTGAGATGATATGGCGGTAAGTTAGCTTCCAGACGGCTTAATAAAAGCTCTATAGTGCGCTTGTCGAAGTTACATAATGCACATGAAATTTCCTAACAGAAATGGATAAGGTTTTTCGGTCCTTCCTGAAGAAAGGTACCACACAACTCACGCTTAGAGTCAGCCCGGACGCGCCAGTAGATTCAAGAACGTTGATGATCTGCTTGTGGAGCGTAATATTCAATTTGAGGCCTTCCTTCTCCGAGTCTGAAATGAGGGTTTAGATATACGTAGATTAATTGAACGGGTGAAGACGCACTCGCTATCCTCGCCATTTGTAGATTGACATCTGGCGTACCCTGAGGTACGTTGATGGCTTCTCCCTGCTGCGCGCTTCCCGCTTCGTCTTCCTGTACCAATCTGATACAGGCGATCTTCGCCTTTGGCAGGCGCTTATTACTACTTGCGACTAAGACTTTTTCTATCGAACCCTCTTCTACGAGCTCGCGGAGGCGGTTTTGAAAGAAACGACGATCGGTTTTGGTAGGATTAGAAAAGCCCTAAAAATTGGTGTGAGTTTGAAAGATGATAAAGGTAAGGGAGACATACGATGGTCACTAGCAGATTTTGAGCAGGATGAATTCTGTTATCTGAGGCCATCAATAGCTTAATGATCCTGGCCCGCACGAGCGGAAGACTTGACAGATGCCGAGCGTCCATGGGATCAAATTGAACACGTAAAGACGATGATTCCCCGCCTTGAACGTCATCTCCCTCTTCCACGAGTTGGAGAGATTCGTGTCCCGCAGTCGCGTGCGCCTCCTCATCACGGATCTCTCTCCATGATGAACTGCGTTCGAAGAAATGCTTGTGAATACAAAAATTCGAGCCGACACCACCTCGGCGGAGTTTGACGATGAGATCAAGGTCGATGAGCTGCTTGACAAGGTAAAAGCACGTCTTCTGGTCGTATTGAGTTTTTTTGCCGAGTTCTACGACGCTCAGGCCGCGTTCGCGACCGCGCGTGATTAATTGTAGCGCGGTATAAACCATGGGGCTTAGTTTGGATGGCTAGATGAGCTAGACGGATGAGCATCAACCCCCCTCTCTGCAATAGTGAAAACTGACTCTGTGATGCAGCCCAGTAATGGCGACAAATGATGATTCGCCATCGACGGCAATCCTCAAGGTATCTCCGTACTGAATCTTTAGCTCGGCCAACGATTTTGATTTCGCTTCAGGGATGATATCCAATTGCGTCACTTGTGCTGGTTCCGTGTCCCCGTCCCTTGCTTTTGTCTTGTTATTTTGCGGAGCGACAAATACTTCCGTTGGTACGCCCGGGGGGACCACTCCTATGCGCACAGTTGGCTGCTGTACAATTAGAGACCACACAAACACAAGATATGCCTCGTCGACATTCTGTGTAAGTGAGGCTATATGCTGCGAGAAGAAATCGCTGACAAAATCGCGAAGACGAGAAACATCACAGCCTGAAAGAAAAGTTTTAATTTTTTTTTCGAGAGTAAAGTGGAGGTGGGATGTGGGATACAGCAGGATTCGATCCCGAGCATCTCAACGTCGATAGTATGACCCAAGCGGCATCTATCACATGATGATAAAGACCTCACCTAGATCTCCATCGAAGGCAAGCTCACGGAGGCAATGATGCACGAGGCCGTCCATCGCAACTGATTGGTAGAAGAGGACAGGAAAACGCTGCTATATGCTTAAATCACGGGAGGGCTGGGTAACGTGAGTAGCGTATAATCTAACATCAGAACCAGACTCACAGAAGTAAAAGCTTGTTTATATGTGGAGAGGGACTGAACCGTTGCCTTGAGAAAATGATACAATGTCGTCGAATGGAGAACTACAAAGGGTTGCCGTTGTGCTCTTTCGTCGAGCGGCGTCGAAGGATTCGTCAAACGTGAGACTGCGTGATGCGTGACGTCACCAAATCTGAGTGTACACAATGCGCTTATTTCTAGAAACAATCTCCAATGCCAGAGCAGAGAGATATGATCGATGGATGATTGCGTTATATATGTAATGACAGACTCCATCATCGGCGACAAGCACCCCAAGTAAATCCAACTCATGTACTACGGGGGAAAAAGACATGAAATGTAGCGTAATGTCGTGGTATGGAGGGCGGAGGTGCGGGGCGCCAAGTGGTGACGCTTTTAAAAATCTAGGTGCGACGGTATAAAGTAGGTCTAAAGCATCACATAGAAACCCCATAAAAAGAGACGAGACTGTCCTCACGAATGGAACCAAGAAACAAGCACTCGTCTCTTACGCAGACACTCGTGCCGGCTGCGAGTCCTTCGCTTCCTCCCATAAGTTCCGCAGTACATCGGTGAACCCGACCTTGCCCAACTGTGCGTTCTGCTCGAATCGATGCGCTAACCAGTTTTCTAACTTGTCAGCCATACTCCGCCACATTGCCATTCGAGCCTGGATCTCGGCTGTTTGATGGAAATGTGTTCGACCATTGGGGGCAGGCGAGTATCGAATACTCTCGAAACATGTCGCGAATTGCGATAATGAGAGATTTACAGATGATATTGTGGTTGATTGTGTTGATGGGTCAACGAACGAAATTTCCCGCACAAACGCATCTTCAGAGCCACCAAAGAGCTGAGATGACAAGGTATCATGAGCAAGGCTAAGTACGTGATGATAGAAGTGAATGGATGTACCTTGACAATCCATCCTGGTGCTCGCTGTTTGCAACCAAGGATCCGTTCGGTGCGGATGATACCAGTTCGTGGATCAACAGAACGGTCTACGACATCGACAGTCACAACATGAGAGCAGTGTGGGTTGGGATACTTGTGCCACATCCCAATGATGACATGTGCCCATGAATGACTGAGCATTGGCGTCATGAGTCAGTGAAGGTGGAGGCTATAGAACTCGATACAACGCACTCATAGGTGAATGACTGCGAGAAGTAATGCATCTATCAATAACTCGACGACGGCCCCAAAAAGGAGGGAGGAGGCGAGTACAAGTACAAGGGAAGGGCGCCGGAGGTGGAGATTGTGTGGGAAAAGAGAAGAGCGGGGATGCAGGTTGTGCACCGGAACGTGATTGAAAATGGAGTATGGGGGAGTACACTGCTCCGACTCGACCCGTTCTTCTCACGGTATCTCCTAACCCTGAATTCAGTTTGCCACGCCAATCTCCGCGCGGCAGTCTCTGTCCTTGCCAGCGTTCTGCAGAGTGAGTTTCTTTCTTGTAATTTCGTAGCGGCCATTCTCAAAAGGCGTTGAACGAACAGAAAAGCCCCCGGTATGCCTCGCCCACACGACCTTTGTGCCAGGGTTCAGAATGCTTTCCGCGCACGTCATCAAAAAGTCTCAGTACCACATACCACGCAAAACCTCGGCATCCTCTCTATTCTCCTCCGCGCCGGCTTCATCTCTAACATATCACGCGGCACCATTGAATCGGCCTCTCCCAATAACTTCAATGCTGCAGGTCCTGCACAGCAGCGGATATGGGCTGATCTCAAGTACCGCAATGACCGGCCTGTGCTGGGCGGTATGGAACTCATCAGCAAGCCGAGCAAGCGCATCTTCATGGGAATTGACGAGATTCGTCGGATCTGTTCGGGCAGACGGGCACAAACAGTGAAGCCTTTGGGAATGGGTGAGATTGCGGTTGTACGGACGAAAAGCAAGGAGCACGAGTGGTTGGAAGCGAGGGAGGCTTTACGGCTCAACCTTGATGGCGAGGTTGTGTGCAGAGCTCATTGACTGGGTTCCTCCGTGAGCCTTTTTGACGTTCTCTGTTTATGATTCTCATATTAATAAGGCGCCACTAGTTCTCAGCATTAGCAGTTTGTTTGAGGGCTCAATACATGGTATTTCCAAGCCTCTATTCATTGTCGAATTCTTGATACTGCTCTTCAGCATAGCCATGGTGCTGAAGAACAGCACACTTAGATTCATAAGCTTTAAAATATCTACGATCCACCTGCTGGGTGTGTCAAATATCGTTATATCCGGTACGGTAATACACGCAAGCTGCCTCATGCGATTCTATACAGCCCATGTCATCATTACATTAGTTCGATGTATCGTCTTTCAGGACCCCTCAGTCGTCTCCAACAGTAACGACAAACGTGCCTTCATCTTCGGTCTGCAGCGGTTAGTGAATCAGCCGTCTAGTAGCGCATTATGGCATGGATGAAAACTTACACTTCAAGCAACTTGACCTCTAATGCTTGTTTCTCTTCTTGTAGAGCCAACCGCCTTTCAGCGTTCAGCTTAGTGCTGAATCAAACCGAAGGTTAGTGACATGTATGTCTTGGTGTAAAGGTCGCAATACATACAAGACATATCCGCCCTGCCCATCGTAATGCAAAATCATGGAATGGTATTTCCACAAGGAAGGTCGATGTGACACTGTCAGAAGCGTGATGCCGAGTTCTGTGGCGTGGTCCATCATCAACCCCTCTATATCTGCGGGGACTAATGATGTCGCTTCATCCAGAACGGCGTACTGTCAACAGAATACTGGTCAGCACCGACTAAGGCCGCAGGGAAGATAAATACCTTGGGTTTGTGATAGAATAACCTGGCCCACGCGATCTTTTGTTTATCCCCTCCACTCAGCGCATCACGCCATTCTCTAGCAGCATCCCAACCCCCCTCTCGCTCCACGACGCTCTCCATTCGCACGAAAGAGAGGATACGAAGAAGATCATGGTCGGTAATATGCCCTTGTGTCGAACATGTTTGTCAATAATTCTAGGTGAATCACAATGAACCGGGCTGACGTCTTTCCATGTCCACTTTAGAGTGAGGATAGATCACTTGGTCTCGAAGAGTCCCGATTGGGAGGTATGGCCGTTGAGGGATAAGTATGAAACGGTCCGCTGGTGGTTTGTAGACCGTCCCACCTGTGTATCACAAGCAAATTTAATGCGCTATCATCTGAATACACAAAATATTACGGTACCGTAGACGGGCCAGAGGCCCCCGAGGATGCGGAATAACGAGGATTTTCCACAGCCTATTATAGGTCAGCCTCGAAGGACCATTGCACATCGTAGAGAGTTACTGACCATTGGGTCCGACGATCAGCAGGTGTTGCTGTTACAAATTTGAGACAGCTAATGCCGGGAATGCAGAGTATGATACGCACGCCAGGTTTGACATGGAAACTTAAGCTCTTCACCAAGATGTCGCCATTAGGTGTGACGATGGGCACGCCCTCAAACCGTATCTCTTCTGATTCGATGATTTGTCCCCGGCCTTGCAGGACTGAATATAACATGAAATCTGAGCTCAACTATTTGACAAAAGAAACTTACTTTGAGCGTTCTCCTCCGTACTCGCGCTGCTAACCAACGTTTTTTCAAATTTGCCCTCCTTTGCGTCTTTCATCGTATCGAGAAGTGTAGACACGCGCGAAGTGTAGCCCGCGAGTTCCGCGAGATCTTTGTATGAGTACATGACACGACCAAAAGCATCTGATTTTATGTCTTTTTAGTTAGAATAGATGAGATAAATTCGAGAAACTTGCCCGATGCAGAGAGCAATAAGCGACGATTTGTTACGAAGCCTAAATGGGGTACAAGAAATCAGCGATTAATGGGGCAGTTTAATCGGTTGGCAGAAGTTCGAACCTTCTGTCCGGCTTCCGAGATCAACAGCATGCACTCCTGGAATTTTAAAGAATACCGGGATTGCACAAATAACCAGCTGCCAGAAATCAGGAGGCTTAGCCAGCGACTTCTAAGCGGTAATAGCAATTTTGTGCGACTTACTCCAAAGCTTCCCCACAGCCATTTCACAATCCCCTCTTCTACACAACCATGCCACCAACGACCCTGTAAGACCCGGTTCTCGTGCATGACAAGCCCAGCATATTCTCGGTCCACCAGCATTTTCTCAGCCTCTTCACCTCCGAAGAATGCAATTTCTTCTGCGAATTCAGCAATACGCGAATGTGTATGGCGCAAAGACCCAGATAATTGAGCGGACAGCGCTGTGTACGCGCCAAAAGGTGGAGTCATGCGACGAACTAAAGAGCAGGGATTAATAACAGCGCGGTCAACCTCGGAATTCTGACATACGCAAAGCAGCTGACAGTTGTACTAGCACTGTCAACAGAACGAGACCCTCGGCGCCGACATTTTGAGACAATTGATAATTGTACAAGATCACGTCAAGGACAGGTTTCGCCATGTTCGCGTAGATGGCAGCAAGATGCGAGGAGAAACGCTGGATGTCATGAGTGATCATTCTAGTGAAGGTTAGGTTATTGATCAGATTGATTAGATACAACATCTGCGGAAGGTAAGGGTTCTTACTGATCAGGATTCTTTATACGATCATCGAGGTTAGCTAACGGCAAGTAGCCCACTTAGGTATAAGACACTGCAGATCAGACTGTTTGGCTCACATAGTTTGTAATATACTTTGTCCTGGGGATCCTCTTGTTCGTTTCCAAGATATTCGTGAAGTACCTCCTTCGTGAGGCGCGTTCGATAGGCAATCGCAAGCTTATTCTGCACATAACTGAGCCAACTATTGGTCCATGTCGCAGGAATGGCGACAAGGAGCCAGCGCGAGATATTAAAGAGGAATGGCAGCGTTTCAGCACGCACGAGTGAAGCAACAATCCTGAATTGCAGGTGAGCGTTCAGCCAGGCTGCATCTGTCATTATTGATCGCACTCACTTTCCATCGAGAGCTGCTACATAAAGTGATATTGCTGTACGAAATATAAGCAGACTCGAATGCATGAAGAGTAGCAAAGCCTCTTTAGATCGCAAGCTGGGTATAACTATTCGAAGGATTTTCGATAAGCGTTCATAGAATACTGCATCTACCTGTATTGAGGACATCGTATGTGTGAATTGAATTTCAAGTTCTAAGTGTGCGGACGTACAGCGACTCTGGGAGGTTTGCCAGCATCTCCTCCCTTCCCTCCTTTGTTGTCTTTTCCTTTGCGGGAACTCGACGAGCTTTGTTTCGCTGAAAGACCTCGATAAGTGGTTCCGAGAACGTAGAGAATGAAGCTGGTGGTCAAAGCGCGTTGGATTATAGGACGATGGGAAGAGTACGACCTGGCAAGTTGACCGAGATAAGCCCTGCTTGGCCTCAAAGTCGACAATACTGGCATTGGGAGGTGTTCGTCGCGTCTATACGAAGAGTGGGCGACTAAGAGTGAGATGTGTGGTCCGAGGAGATTGACATGTGATTTTTCGAGAGGCCAAACGTGGGGTAACCACGTGGGCTGAATTGCCGCCGGCACTCAGGCTGCGAAGCACTACGAGCAAGTTGAACAATCAGGTCTTACGCTGTAAACCCACTATTGAGTACCATCTACAGCAGCTGAGACGTCCTCTTTCCGATAACGAAAAACTAGATCCAATTGATTTGTTGAGCGGCTCTTACCCACTCAATCACCTCGATCCAATTATGAACCCGCCAAATCGCATCGTTTGGTGTGAGCTCTACATCCTCCTCCTTCCACCACTCTCTACCTCCTTCTATGTCAAGCCTTTCGTGAAATGCCCACTCGTCGTCCGTGTTTACTCGCTTATTCCATTCGTAGTTACCGAAGAGAAGCACCGGTCTCCGCCCTTCCCTTCCGAAGGTGATGGCTGTTTCCATCAGATCGTCAATGAGGAGCTTTGCATCTATTAGGATGCATATCTGTGGAACGTGTAGTAAAATTTCGATGAACATCTGAGGGAATGTTAGCACAACTCTACCTGAAGCTTTTGCAAGGTCGTCCCGATGTAGCGACCATTGTTTCCAGTGGTTTCTTCAGGCTGAGAGGAGAACACAACACATTCAAACATCCCTTAGAAACCTATCCTTTAAGAATGTATATACTGATACTAACAGCATCCGTACCGTCGAAGTACTTCTCCAGCCATTTTACTGTACTATCAGCTTCACTAGCCATGATCCTCGCTGATACGACGATCAAACTGAATCCCATGTCGCGGAGAGTCTTAAGGCCATTGTGAGCCCCTGGGACGGGTTTCGCATGCTGCAATTCATCTGCTGCATAGAATTGTTTGACTTTATTGAGGGTTTCAGGTACGGTGCCCCATCCCGGATTCTACAGAATATTCAGTCAAAAGAGGTAAAATGCCAGGATAAATGAGGTGACCTTGTACCACATAGAGTCTAATATAGGCAAATACTTTGACTTAGAAGGACATTGGCATGCACGGAGAATGTCACTTACAATAGAATGAATCCAAAGACATATTGGTTTTGAAAACCTTGTTATGCCCTGGAGAATCTAGACTTTAAATCTGGCTTCAAGACTCGGGAACATAAAAACAACGCGCAGTCGGCCACACATTGACTTGTTTGACTGAGTACGTCGTCCAGGTCGACGGCGATCACAGGGCCCTTTCGCGAAACGATGGCTAACAAACTTTTGACGAGGTTAATTTGATGGCTCCCTGGGTTGAACTCGAGAGACATCATGGGCCAAGTCTGAGAAAGATGTTCCTCGCAGTTCGAAGTGACGTCGGTGTACACACTATACAGATGCAAACTTATCGTGCACGTGCTACATCCTACTACCGTCCAGAAATGCCCCACATCTCGCAATCGGAAACTGAATAGCATGGTCAAAACACCAATTGCGAAAACAGTCATCCATCGCATACAAAAAAAATTGCATGATCTCTTCCGGACCTCGCAAAGCTAGACTTGACCGAAGGGTAATCACCAAATGACGCCAGGCATTGAGTCCATGAATGATGACAGATGATGACCAAAAGTCGGCGAAGCCAGCAGCTGCGGCGACAGTTTTTGCGTCTGACAATAGTGCTTACATTCTGTAGAACAAGCTATGACAAAAAAAGCCCGTACGCCGAATTCAGGCTATAAGCGTGGACATTCACGCAACTTGTTGGATCTGTCAGTACCTAAATGTCAACATCCAGTCAGCGGCAAGAGATTGGGATGAATCACCTTGCCAGTCTCGACTGCATATAGCCATCCTGTCACTTTTGTTTCTTTCAACAGCAGGGGGTGGCTCTCCAGGAATGCCACGTCCTTCTTCACTGCTCCTTCCAGATCGTTAAACTCGTGGAAATGCAGATCGTTTACCAATTTCGCGACCTCATCATCTCCCGGAGAAGAAGACTTGATTATATCGCGCAAGTGCTCCGTCTCAAAAGTCAGCATGCCGCAGTCGGTGTGATGAAAGATGGCAATTTCGCGCGTCCCAAGAAGACGTTGAGAGATGACAATGCTCCGAATGGCATCTGCACTTTGGAAAATGTCAACTTACGAGCGATCGAAATTCGGTTGAGGAAAACTCACGCTACACCACCAGCATTGCGAATGATATGGGCATCGCCTTCATGAAGGCCCAGGTGAGCTTCAGGACTGAAGAAGTTGCAGCGTAAGTAAGAATTTCAAGCACGTTTCCAGGAGGCCTCACAGCAGGCGAGCATCCATGCATGTTACTAGAGCCGACATAAGGCGGTAAGGTCAGGTCACATACTGTGATAAGAAAAATCCTGCTTGCCTACGATAAGCTTCTTGGCAGGTGGGAGTGGTAAAGCACCTTTGTCGTCAAAAGTTGCGACGTACGCCTCATTGGCCTTTGCGAATTCAGTGTTGGCAGACATCGTCAAGAGTCTTGGATTTGTTCTTACTATTACAGACTTTATACAAATTGAGGCCCTGTATTCGGAGGATCCTGTATGCTGCCTTTACCACGTCAGCGATTGCGATCCATGACGCAATCACTGTCAAAGGTGAGAATGTGCTCACGCGTGAAGTGAATCCGCGGTCAATTCGGGCCAAGGTTCCCTTACCACCTGAGATTTCGAGAGTTAGTGGCGATGCGACCCCACATGCACCAGAATTAACAGCCGAGGGTCATGATAATTCGAATTTCAAGGGTGTGAATGGAGCAGAACCTCAAGAGGCGATTTCGCCTTATGCCAAGTGCGCTCGAGTACCTGAGAATAACGGATGGGTTCCGCATAGGCACACACACTTTCAAACATAATTGTGTACTCTGTGGGCATACGAGAACCAAGAGCGTTCAGAGTCGTTACACAATGTACGTCGAAAAGTCGGCAGACAAGTGATGGACGAGTCATGGTCCTCGATGGCTTACAATGTCTAGTTTCCATGGATGACACGGGTCCGCTCAGTATGTATTCGTGACTCGATTCACATCGAAGTCATGACATACCTGGGTCGTCCCTGACATACATACTCCCATGGCTCTTCAAACAATTCACTCAAAGCTGATGTCGCGAGATGTGCAAATGGTGGAATCATGCATAGGCGCATTTTGAGGCTGGAGTACGAAAGGTTCGTCAATGGAGCTGCCCATTCATGCGTTCATGCACGAAGCGGAGTACACGAAAAGAATCTCCACTCTCTGCTGAGGCGGCTAGTCATCTTTCCCACGGCTATGTGTAAGGTCCCAGTGCTCTGACTTGGCCAGTGACTCTCGCGCTATAAACAATGTCTGTCCTTCAGATTCACGATCTACTCAAGCCGGCCGACCTTGCCACATCACAACAACGGGCTCTAGGCATCTTGAATCTGAGGCACAATGACCCTGGAGATATCGATATCTCTACTCTCGTTGCCGCTGTAGATGACGCTCGTGTACAGCATGACAGCTTCTGGACTATAGTGCGTGCCCTCTATGAATAGCCAAATAATCACTCATCAAACATTCACAGCTTAGCTCGCTGCATCTAAGCAAAGCACAGACGAATTAATATCAACAACTCGCTTCACTGCGTCAGAACATCTACACACTGCGCAAGAGCTGTCACTCTTGCGCCATTCGCTCGCAGATGAACTCTCAACGATCACATCCGAGCTTGTTTCATCCATGTCAGATGGGCGGCCTACTCTGCTGGAAGACATTGAAGTTATGCATCGGAATCTGAAAGAGCTAGATAGCATGAAAACGTATGTGCACGTCATTGAGCGGGCACTAAGCATGAGGTATGATGAGCTTTTCCTGTCTATTCGGGTGTTCTGACTCGCGCCTAGTGAAGCCGCTATTGCAGAGATACGGGATAGCAATCCTATCACAGTGTCTGTCTATCGATCCTTGCGAACGTTTGTTTCATCTGTGAACACAACATGTTCTCAAGTATCAGATGTCACTGGCCAGCCCAGCAGCGATCTGCGTCTCGTCTCGTTTCTGGAGGAGCTTCAAGATAGAACCTGGTCAGCCATGAAAAGCACACTATCAGCGTATGTATTTTCACCTTCGTTTCTTGTGATCCAAGTCGTTGAATCTCTCTCAGTCTCCTTCTCGCTGTCATGGAACGACTTCATTGGCCAATGCCTGTCGACTTTTCGTTAGCCACTGAAGACGACAAAAGAACCTTTTCAAAAGCTTTTTCAAACCTAATCAAATTGCAAGTTTTGTGAGTCTGTCGCTTCTGTAACATGCTGTGCGGTCATTGAACCAGTCTCTTTGAAGTGGAGAGCAAATACACTCGTCTCAGGAGTCCTCAGAGAAGGATGCACTGTACCCCATCCAGGCCCTTGTTCAACCAGTCTCATTACGATTTAAGTATCATTTTGAGGGTTCACGGCAGACGAATAAATTAGACAAAGTAAGCACCAATCCATATGCAATCGGTTGAAGTATTGACCCCAGTTCCATGAAGCCCGAATGGTATTTTACCCATATTTTGAATGTTTCCCATGAACATCGTCCGTTCATGGAAGATGTCGTTCAACAACTTCTGTCGGCGACCCAGTATCGGGACGTCAACGCATGGGTACAGTGATTTGCAGTGTTTATCGACATGTCGTTGATTCCCTCATTTGCAGGCTGAGTTCACTCATGCTCTTCTGCCACTTCTTTCACGTCGTTTAAAGCGAACGATGTCGTCTCTTCTTTCTCATCCACCATTGCTTGCACACACGATATATCAGGCATTGTCGTTCGATGCAGCACTGAAGGAGGAAGGCTTCTCGCTCGCGGGAACGATGGTCGGGCGCAACGCCGGTGTAAAGTCATGGGACGGAATTAGCGAAGTTGTTCTAGGACGAAAGGAATGGTTCGACCGGTGGGTAGAAGGCGAGCGAGCATGTGAGCTGCCCGTTCGCGACTTCTACATCCTCGGGTTTAATGCGTCCAATTTTATCCACTAGTCGCCTTGGACCAGTATCACGATATCATCGGCTCTCCTGAGGCATGGCTCATTGCGGACGACGACGCTCACTCTGAAGAGAATCGTGTCGCTACCCGCGAGCTTCGCCCAACGAATTCCGCCCGACGACTGAAGGCATTGGTTGAACAGGTTACTGATCGCTACACCCCTATCCCGCAATTTAGCCAGCGGGCCCGCTTTCTGATCGATGTTCAGCTTCCACTTCTCGAATTGTATCACGGTAGGATCGGGTCTTCCTTGGATGCGTTCGAGACTTTGTCTAGCGCTCTCGTGAGAGCGGTTCCTGGTGCACTCACAAGTGATGGGAGAGAAAAAGGTCGCCTGACGAGTGGCGTCGAGGGCGTTGTGCGGTTGTGCAAAGCTTTGGTCAGTGCGAAGTGGATATCTGCTGCGATGGTGGGCTGGGGAGAAGACTTAGTAAGCGCTGGTTCTATTCAAATATGATTCCAGTGACTGAGCCCACTGCAGTTTTTCCTGGAGTTATGGACCGAGATTAATCGACGCGCCGCTCTTCGCGTCCGTGCAGAAACGCATCCTTCTCTGCCTGATCCAAAAGATTCTTCAAATGAGACTCCGGATGGTACCATATTTGAGGAGTTGGTGACTCAATACGAGAAGCTGGTTGCAAGAGTGGAAGACATGATTATTCAGCAAATATGCGGGGAGGTCGAAGGGGCATTGAAAGCCCATCTATTGAAGTATGAGCTTCCTCCTTTGTCTATTTCTCAGCTGAGGATCGTTCCATAGTCAGGGCATCCCAAACAGTTCTCCGGATCTTTCTGTATCCACCATCGCCATTTCGCCTGCACTGCTGCCAGCTCTGTCCACTCTCTCCTCACACTTATCCGTTCTAAGCCGCACTCTGCCGCATAGCACCACCATCTCTCTTTACCGCAACATTGCCACCAATCTTTCGACACATATTCTGCAGAGGAACATCTTGTATCGAGGTCACCATCGGCTTGCACCCGCGGAAGGTAAGATCCTCCACGGCGAGTGCGAACTTTGGGTGGAGACGTGCAGACAGGCGTTAGGCAGCATTAGCATGGGCCCGAGAGGCCGCGTTGAGGCTCCTTGGCGACGACTGCTTGAGGCGGGAAGAGTGGTAGGTGCGGAAGGCGAACGATGGGATGCGATCGTGGCCGCTTCGTTCGGGACTCTGAGTGACGATGAGTGGGGGGCCCGCATGACAGATCTGGTGGATGAAACAGAGCTGAGTAGGGGCGAAGTTTGTATGATTGCAAAGACTCGGACCGACTGCGATTACTGATTTGTGTAAGCAATCCATTAATCAGGCCCACTTCCGCTGTGTTTCCGCCTTCTCGTTATCCATGTGCCCTCTGGAGTTTTTCATGAGCGTGTATCAGAACTTCCTTTCATCCATCTGTTTGGAAGTTTTCGCGCCTGTCCAAATAGGCATCCGCCAGCTGAAAGAGGACAGCACACGTCATGCATCATGGACAGTCAGATTATTTTATAACGTGACCGCGGGGCCTATATATGAAAGTACACTGGGCATGTTATCGATTACACGGGAAAAGGCTCACGTCACAGCAAGAGATCGCAAACAGACGACAGTCAAAAAGCCAGCTATCAAAGCTTATATACGATGCCCTCGCTGAGCATGATTTCTTCCGCATCTGTCATGACCTGACAAGCCGCCGTGGCCTCGGCTGTCCCGAACAGCGAGTCTGTGTCTAGTCCGGTATTGACCGCAGTAACAAGATCCGCAAGGAATACTGTATCGTCATCCTGCATTGTCGTAGCCCAGAGTTTTGCCAACCTAGTCCGGAAGAGCTGAAGTCTGCAACGCCGGGTTCATTCATCGAGTTAATTGTGTTCAGAAGGCCATGCATGGTGTGATGGAAACCCCACCTTTCAGGGCGGATAGCCCCGGCTTCATTTGTTCCAGCTAGTGTCTCGTCGTCCATGTCTAGGTCTTGCGTGGTCCTATGTACAGTCTGCGAGCCTTCTCTGTCGACAGCACCTTGGTAACGAGGCGATCCCGGTCCCGAAGCAGCCGACTTGACAAGATCATCCTTGAGGGGCATCTCGGTCATCCGTTTAGGTTCCTCTTCGTCCTCCGTGGCCTCTTCCTCTTCGTCCTCTTCACCCTCTTCGCCGCTGTCGTTATCGCCCCGCCGTAAAGCTCCACCGTTATTGAGCTTTCGTTTTTTGCGCCGCTGCCGGTTGGGAACATCCTTAAACAGGGCATACCGCATAATTGCTTCCGCTGCCGATGCGTCTGTGCTCTCGACTTTGGGCGACAAGCGCGCTTTCGCGTGAGCAGTAGCCATGCGGATCAGCGTCTCCAGGGTACGCGCCGTAAGAGGCGATGTCTGTGGCGCAATCATGAAGTTCGAGTTTTTCCAAGAGAGATGATATGGACGCACCCGCTTCTTGCCTTCCTCCTCGCTCTGATTTCTCAGTTGTGCATACACAGTGACGATTAAGTCCGCCGCACCCTTCGTGAGCACCGGCTGTGGCTTGCTCTTCGCATACTGGATGTACTTTTTAATAAAAGCCATGCTGAGCACTCGCATCTTTTTGCTTTTTGCCCTTGTCTTTGGAGCGGCACCCTGTACGCCAATGTGGAGCAATGGATCAAATTTCTCAAAGGCGCTGGTCTCTACTGCTTCACCATCAGGATTGGTGCTTGGCCCATCGATAGACAGATGCTGTGAGAGGACGTCTTGCACCGGCGTGCCCTCTTCCACTCCAGGAGGGATATAACGATGCATCCGGAGGACATGATCAGCGATCATGCGATCTCGTACTTCTTCCACATCATCTGTGACGATGAAGAGCAAATCAAAACGAGACAGAAGCGAGTCCGGAAGGGCGATATTCTTGTGCGGATCTTTGTGAATGTCGTACTGAAAGAGATTATATCAAGAGATTATGAAACTTCAGGAAGAGAGCTAAATATACCTGGCCATAAATCGGGTTCGCCGCAGCAACGACACTACACCGTGCATTCAAACTGGTGTGAATGCCCGCCTTTGCGATCGTAACGGTCTGTTGCTCCATGACTTCATGGATGGCCACTCGGTCAATATCCGACATCTTGTCGAACTCGTCGATGCACACGACGCCTCTGTCGGCCAACACCATAGCCCCAGCTTCTAAGCGGCGTTCGCCGGTGTCCTTGTCGGTAGTAACAGCCGCTGTAAGACCGACGCCCGAGCTACCTCGTCCGGTCGTTGCAATGGCGAGTGGGGCGATGTTGAGCACGAAGCGCAGTAACTGCGACTTGGCAGTTGACGGATCGCCCACCATCAACAAGTTGATATCACCTCGGATATGTGTGCCATTTGGCAAATTTTTCTCTGCACCACCTAGAAGCAGGAGAAGGATGGCCCTCTTGATATAGTCGTGACCATAGATCGATGGAGCAAGTGACTGAGAAAGCAGCTCGAAAATGTTCTTCTCGTGCTTCGCTAGATGATTGATTGTCCGAATATCCGAATCCGTGAGAGGCGTCTGAGCGATGCCCCCTCCAGCTTTGGAGGACAGCAGTATGATGTTGCTCGCTAGGATGACGGTCCTATGAAGGTGTAATTTGACGTTGTACAACACAACGGATTATATGACGACATACCTGAACGTTCCATTCGTACCACCAGTACTGCGATAGACTCCAACCATCTGAATGCGATCGCCGGGTTTGCATTCATCCACGAGGTCATCATCCAGTATGACATCTGTGCTCCGGGGCAACTGCCCAGCGGGTGCTCGCTCGGGCATTTCTTGAATACTGATGCGCTGATGATCTCGAAAGGTGGAAAAGCCATACTCCATCTGCAAAGGATGTCCCTCATCATCTGTCTGTGGGGTCACAGCCGATGTCGGTGGAAGATTGGAAGTGGACGAGGTGGCATCACGATATTCCCGTGCATGAAAGAGGCTAGTGTCGGGGCAATAATGGACAGACCTCAGCATCTTTGGACGGACTAGAGAGCAACGCGTCACGATGCCCTCAAGGGAAATCATTTGTCCAAGATGTGATGCACGGAGGGTGCGTGGACTGACGTGATGGTCACCAAAAGATCCTCTGAAACCAATGCGATATCCCTTTCCCTCAATCTCGTGTTTTTCTGAGTCAAATACCTGCTGCACGACAGTGACGAGAGCATCATCAAAGGCGCTAAGATATTCGACTGGTTGCTTGAGAAGCCCGTCAGCAAATTCGCGTCGATAGTCACGGAGATCATCTATGTTAACGATGAGACGCGTCTGGTCCAGACGAAGCATGCGATGAATGTCATCTTTGTAGTTGTAGAGGGGAGACTCGGAGGTGAGAAATTCTTCAAAGATGCGCGTCCGGTCGCGCATCAAGTCATCTTGTGGGACAGGTTCATCGAGCAGTGACATGGCGGTGGTGAGGTAGAGGAAAGTACAATGATAGACATTGAATTGCACTATTGCAAACGCGTCGCGAAACGGCCTGCCCTAAAGCGCTGCCAACCCTAACCCTGAACGCTGCTGCTGCCCGATATGAGTATCTATCTTAACGGGTAGTGGCAGACCGTGGCCCATCTGCATCGGTCACTCTTCTGATTTTTGTGTTTTAGTGCTTCCCTGCATAAAAGTCCCATTCTCCGATGCAATCATGGAAGCGTTGCTCGCCATCGCTCTATGCCATGATTTCCCCTCATGATACTGCTTTCGTTCCCAAGGTTCTTCTCCCGTCATCCATCACGTCTCATCACGTCCGCTCTAACTTCGACCTGGCGATTCCCATGCACCACATCTCCGGAGGGCGCTCCCTTCGCTCTTCCGAGCAAACCGCCGGCCCTGCGATTCCCTCGGCATCCATTGACGCCTCTGTCTCATTAGATGGCTTATTTATGCGTTTCAGCGAGGATGTCCATGGCGTGTCCTTGATCCAATTCCATACGATGATCCGATTCAGAACAACTTTCTGCAGATCAAAAATTGACACTTCAGAATCCACGACCGTTGATGTGAGTTGCATTCACATCGGAAGCAGAGAGAAAATGAGCAAGCCTTCGTGCATAGTCAGATGGATCAATCCATTGCAAGCCAGATGCTGCGATACCACGGTAAAGAGACGAAATAAAGGAATGCCTATGTCCATCCAAAAATTCTCATCCTTGACGATGATTTCTCAGGCTGTCCGGCAGGGGAATTACGCGTGAATGACTGCAATGAATAACAGCCAAATTGGATGATGTACTGAACACTAACATACAGACGCCCTCGCCCCATCGCTTCCCAATACCAGCCAATAAGTAAATTACGATAACTGCAAGTGCGCGATGGCCAAGTAAACAATACACCTCCCAAGATAGATCGCCGAGAAAAGAAACAGTTCGAAGTGGTAGCGCAGCAAATAGGCCAAACGAATGTGAAGGGCATAACGCGATTCGTGAACGAAAGGAAGGGGAATGGATCATGCATGCATGACCCAAACACTCAAGAAACACGAGACAATGGGTGCAGGTGAGTCATCATCCATCTGGTCAGGGCAAGACTCAGTCAGGTCCAGGAGCAATTCGACAAAAATGCACGTACTTTGCGAGATGACCAGCTGACTACCAATCCACCGATCCAGCACCACCGCCACCGTTCGCTCTTCGCCAGTCGATAGAGCCACCGCCTCCACCCCCGTTGCCTCGCTTCCAATCGATAGATCCTCCTCCACCGCCACCATTGCCCCGTTTCCAGTCCACCGATCCTCCACCACCACCGCCGTTCCCTCTCTTCCAGTCCACCGACCCCGCTCCGCCCCCACCGTTTCCTCGCCTCCAGTCAACAGAGCCTGCACCTCCTCCACCATTCCCGCGCTTCCAGTCCACCGACCCAGCGCCGCCACCACCGTTCCCTCTCTTCCAGTCGATAGAACCACCACCGCCGCCACCGTTCCCGCGCTGAGAATAAAATTGAGGACGAAAACAGAGAAATCGAAGATCGGAATGAACTCACGGATTGAAGGTCCTCTGCCAAATCCGGCGCTGCTATCTGTTATCAACGGTGGGAGAATCAAGTCAGATACGGAGACAGAGCGGGAGGGGTGGAAGAAGAGACGGACTGGAGACGCGGAAACCAGAGGACTGCAGAGAATGAAAAACAAAGCGAGAGGGGTATATGTTGAGAGCAGCTTCATCGTGGAGCACGGAGTTGAGAGAAGGAGTGACGAGGGTCGGGACGTTCTTATAGGATGCACACAAGTAGGAACGCTTGGCCTGTTCGAGGCACACGTGTCAGGCATCCAGGCACACATTATTCATACAGCGTCGCAAAAATAAGAGGTCTCTGAGGACCGCTTGGACCCCTGGTCTCAGACAGCCTGTCGCTCTCTCCGACCCTGCCATCTCGTCACACAACAATCTTGTCTCGCGCAAACAAGCCAGAGACACAGACGACCCTCCCGCCGTACCCCCCTTTTGTCTTCTTTCTCAACACATCCAGCAAATATCTCTCACTGCCATCGCCCTTTCAAATTCGTCACCTGCCTCAGGCCATGAACGTTTCCGTGCGGGTCGCCGGAACCCCCTGCCGCCCGGTCCATTGATCATCCACACCGTTCTGTTGCGCCACCCCGTGGTGTATCCGGAATACTTAGACTTGGAAGAGTTCGGATATAGCCCTCAGGTTCCTGTGTTCGCAGGCCCATCCTACCTCCAGAAGGAACAATTGAGAAAGCTCCGAGCTCCTTCCTCTGGGTTCTCATCTATCTCGTCCCGCGCACCTGCCCGCCTTGGTCATAATCCATCCGTGCCTCACTAGAACATAGATGCGCGACAACGCACGTCCGCCAGCGTCCGCCTCATTCTCCTAGCATGTTGTCTAGGGCCCCCTCTTTTAATGCGGATCGTGCGATTCGTGTCGTGAAACAGCACTCGAGACTCGGGCTGCCGTCACTATGGCCCCGTAGCTCCCCGTAGTCAGGTCCCCTTGCAGGCACAATTGTGCACACCACTTATGAGAGCCGCCAAAAAGTCCGCGCATTGAATATTGAGAGTTCAATCATGTGCCTGACGGTGTCTTCCTGACCTGACAGTATTTCCGAATGGCCTGAGCGAACACAAAACTTCGCCCATTTCTAAGAGACATAAGTGAGGCTGCACATAGTCGAAAACATTCGGGTCGGGCACTGTAAACCCATGGGGCTCTATGACTAGACAACCGTGAGTAGTCGGCCAAGTTCCCATCGGCCGACGGCCGTCGCAAAGGCAGTGAAGGCACACAGCGGCGACCCAATCCACTGGGCCTGGCCTTTCCGCGCCCGATATCGACTGTGCGAAACTGGACATCCCCATTTGGATATGCGTTGAGCCCACGTTCCGTGCCTCCACGGCCATCCAGCGAATCCACGAGGCAAATCGGAGGGCAGAATGGCAGTGTCCAAGGCTTCGTCGTCGTTCTCCGAGGGACTCTAATTGATAATCGTCCGGAAAGCAGCAGGATTTGTGCATGTCGTACGTACTTGAGTAGCTTGTCTGAATGTGCCCTCGAATACTTGCCGATATCTCGAAGCCATCCGGTTCAGCAGCCGTTGTGTGTTCCTGTGTGTATGTCGTTTACTTGATAGACCTACCTTAACTTTAATCTTGTTGGCCTATTATCATTATCTCCACCACGCGTAGACATATAGCGTCTAGAAAGAGAACCGTTGCGCATGGACATATACCACGATATACCTCAGGCGAGAGCGAGAACGTAGAGAGAGAAAACGTGCCCGCTACCGACGTGTGCCGAGGCTCCTAGGACTCATATGAATCATGAGCATCTATATCCGATGAGAAGATGACTGAGCCTAAGGAGAGGGAAATCTGATCGAAGCCCCTCGCACCGAACTCACTGTGGATAGATCCGACCTACACAGAGGAAGTCGCAGCGCTTTATCGCTTCTTACAATGAATTCTACGTCCGTTGGCCTCGAGCATCCTCTGATTATAAAATCCAGGAACTCAAGCACTAACGCTTCGACACGAAATCGTGAGGCCTGGTTAAAGCAAACGAGGAGCCACGCGGGAACGCTTAGAGGCGTTGAAACGACGATCAATTTTGAAGAAAATTTTCAGTGATGGGTATTGTGCTATGTTCCTTGAGAGTCACATTAACCTCAGCGTGTAAGGTGACGTGAACCTGCCATCGGAGGCAAAATGCGCCAGCAATATCCAGTGTACCAGAAGTGTCAGTGCCCTGCCAGATGCGTTGAGGATACTCGGATCTATCAAGGGTTCGAAGATCGAAAGCTAAGGAATATGGAAAGCTATCGGGGATTTACCGCGACTCATGCACTTCAAACACCCAATATGGTCATTCATTTCCTTATGGTACTTGCTCGGCGGGGTTCGGAGAAATCAGTCGTGAAAGCCTAGCGCCTGATGATATCGCAAACAAGCGTGTACAAGTCAGGTGAATGGTGTCAATCCTGTGACATGACATGCAAATGATCAATTCACAATTACGAACTCCAGCAGAAGCTCCAGATACGTACCCAAAGTTTGATCAATCCGTCCCAAGATGCGGTCACAACCTTCGACTATCGCCATCGTTAGTAAGTGGAGGTTCATGGACCAGGTGTGGAGCATTCCTACCGATTCATGGGGAAGCCATTCGTGTGCAATGACCACCTTCGAATGTGCCTTGAGGCGTGATTTGATTCGCCCAGTCTTCCAGTCCCAGAACACCACGTTCCCCTCACCATCTCCACTGCTTATCCACTTGCCGTCTGGCGAAAAGCCAACCTGGCAAGCGTATCCAGCTACTGAGTGCCCAGCAAACCGTTTTTTGCGGTTTTGTCGGAAGTTATCGGTGCTATAGATCAGGATCTGATTGTCAAGCGACTGTGCAGCAAAATATTTTTCTGCGAACATGGGTAAGCAATTAATAATGGAATGAGGGATATGGCATACTGGAAGGATGGAGCGTGACTGCGGGCATAGAGTGCATGTGCGGCTCGGCGATGTATTTGATGACGACAGGGATGTCGTAGTCCCAGGCGCGGATAGTTTTGTCATCTGAAGTTGTGACGAACCGTCTATTCTCGTCGACAAATGTGATCGTATTTACAGGACCCAGGTGTTGGTCGTATTCTTGAGTGATTTCACCAGTGTTCATATCGTACTGCAGACAGGGGGCAAGTGAGCGGAAGCCTCAGAAATGAGGAAACCGGCAATACCTGAATGATCTTCTTATCGGACATACCAGCCAGGAATATATGCTGCTTATCCTCGTCGGGGTGAAACTTCACAACATAGGGGATCTTGCCGTTGCTGAAACGCTGCAGGCACTGGCCAGTCTCGGTGTCCCAAAGCTTCATTTGACGGTCATAACCACACGACAAGAATTTTCGCCCATCGTTTGAAAATGTTACATCTTTCACCGCTTTCACGTGCCCATGAAAGGTTCGCAGGCAGTTTCCATGAGTGTAAACATCCCAGAGCTAGTTGAAAAGTCAAAAAAGGACAAAAACGCGTTATATTAGCGCTCACCTTGATCTTGGTGTCCATAGACCCGCTAAGGAGGAGATGACCTGTATCAGGGAACAAGCGAATAACAGAGACGCCTTGAGTATGTCCTGTCCATGTATGAACGCAGACCTTCGGAATGAAAGATTCTTGAGACCCAGGCTCGGCTTGAAGATGAGGTGCTTCGCCGAGTGGAGGTGACATATATGTTCGGCCCTGGTAGTCTGACATAGACTTGCCGTGGAAGACCGAGGTCTCCTGCCCGTATGTCCCCCGCTTTGGCTTGGCCTTCTTCGTCACAATCTCCTCCTCTTCCTCTTCTTCGGGCTCCTCCTCAACATCCGCACCTTCCGGCACAAGATTTGTTGGCTCATCACCTTGCCACGATGCCCAGGGGCCAACATACGCTCCTTCTCCATCCACAACCTCGAGGTCCCCTGCAGCGTTTCGCTTTCGCTTTAATTCCTTCTTCTTCCCCTTCGGAGCACGAATCATGTTTATGGTCGCGAAACCATTACTTTCGGCAGCGTCCTTGGACCCCAAAAAAGCTGGTGCATTGAGATCGACAGACGGGTTGGCAGAGTAACCCAAGATAGCATGAGTCAGGTGTTGGGCACGGAAAGCGTGCTCTGTCATAGCCTGCTCTTCAACATGGCCCGCTAGCGCATTCTGGTTCTTGAAACGGTTACGATCGCCGAACGGATTCTCTGGACCCTGTACTGGAAGAGTCATCTCGCTATAGGGAATGTTCACATGCATCTGCGTGTCTGTGGGACGTGTAATAAGAGACGTTTGCTTCAGAGGATCCTAGGGTTCTTTCCGTTAGCGAACAAACTCGGCTTCAACCTGGTACTCACTTCGGCCAACACATCCGGGGCAGCCTGGAAAGCCGTCCGTGGTGGCGCAGACACCTCGACACGGGGTCGTTTAGCGGAGGGTAATGATGAGAGGTTGAATGCATCCTTGATGTGCGATATGTAGTCGTTGTCTTCGTCGGAAGAGTAGCCTGGAATCAAAGACATGATGAGAGGGGTTGTAGTCTCGCTGCAGCAGTAATCTCCAGAAGAAGCTGAACTTGATTAGGTAAGAGACAAAGAGTCTAGTGGGGATCTGAAAGCCTGAGGTCATCGACTTCTCTTGCCCTCAGACTAAGTCCTCCTGCTACGACTGGCTCGCTTTATTCTTCCACATCATGGCCGAGAAAAATGTGGGTCGACCATGGACGGCCTATGAAGATTCTTGTCTCTCAGAAGCAGTCGCTAGATACGGTGAGAATGCTGATTGGAAAACCATCGCGCTTCAAATTCCAGGCAGAACGAATAAAGCATGCCGAAAGGTGATATCCAAAAGTATACATTCTTGTCCAACGTAAATTAATATACTATCATAAAAACCAGAGGTGGCTTCATTCTCTCTCACCTACAATCAAGAAATCCGCTTGGGCACGAGAGGAAGACGAAGCACTCGTCTCACTATATGACATTCATGGGCCAAAATGGTCTTTAATTGCTAGACATATTCCAGGGAGGACCGACGATGCATGCTCCAAGCGGTATCGCGAGGCCCTGGACCCTCTCCTGAGGAAGGAAGACTGGGCTCCGGAGGAGGATGCTAAACTGCTCGAGATCAGTGCGAGGTTAGGCAGAAAATGGAAACAGGTGGGACAGGAGATGCAACGGAGTGGGTTGGGATGTAGGAATAGGTCTGTGAATTCATGGGTTGTTTTCATATCGATTTGATGGTTGATCCTCAACAGATGGAGACTTCTAGAGCGCAAGGGCATGCGAGCTCCGTTTGCGCAGCCCACAGTGGATTTGACAGCGACGATGTTACCCCCTTTCCCCCATCTTCCTTTAGGCATAGGGACATCAGGATCTTCTGAGTATTGGCACGATTTAACTATACACGGAATCAATGTGCAGGCTCATAGACCCCCCACTATGACTACTGGCACATCGGTAGACATCTGCAACGTGGAGAACAGCATTCATGTTCGACACCCATTACCCGCTTTTCAACCTAGCTCCTCGTCACTCAGCGCTGCACTCGCACTTGAGGACGCGAATGATTCACGTATGGATACCCCTTCCAGTTCATCTAGGCATCGCTCCCCGTCTCATCATTCTACCTCGGATGTAACATTGCAAGTGCAATCGGCCCAAGAAACTGGCGATCACACCTTGATTGACGTTGAATATGATTTCTCGTATTCTTCATTGACCTCATCTCGAGCGCTGTTGGACATTCCACAAGCCTACTCAATGGACAGACACGGCTCTCCTCAGGTCGACGCTGTCTGTAGTAGTCCTGTACCTAGTCAGTGTCTTGATTCCGGCTTACAATCTGCCACATCAACGCCTGTAATCGCCACTCCTCGTGCCCTTTCTGTCCTTTCTTCAGCTCCTTCAGAAGACGAATCTGCACTCGACAGTCAGTCAAATCAAAGTGTACCCTTCGTTCTGAACCCTTCGCCGTTGTCACTGGCATCTCCGAGAGCTGGCTCATCCCGTACCAATCACAGAATTGATGGCAGCAAGGTGTCTCTGCCAATCCTCTCGGCAACCTTACCTGCCAGTGAAGAGTAAGTTTTTTCGGCCAATCAAGGTAGAACTGGTATAGCGACCTCATTGCTCGTTTTTAGCCCCTCCATCCTTGGCTATTCTTGCGGATATTCACAATGCTGGCTACCTGATACATCTAAGAGCAAATTTTGTTTCGCTACATCCAAAGCTCTTTCTGAACATGTTCGAGTCCAACATCTGAACGATTTGGATGCTGACAGTAAGCCATATAGATGTGGATTGCAGGGATGTGGAAGGGGTTGGAAAGTCAGTGTTTTCTGCACCCCTTGCTTCTTCAGCTAAAATAGTGTCGTGAAAGAGCATCAATGGTCTTCAATACCATCTGCAAATGTAGGTCCCTCATTGCAAAGGTTTATCCGATACTTACTGTGCATGTAGATCCAAAGCTCATTTTCGACAAGCGATCTCTACACTTGCATCCGCCACTGCTACGGTCATAGAGCCTCTAGCTACTCAGCCATTCGAACAAGAGCCAGGTGCCAATATTGTCAAGAAAAAGAAGAAGACATATCCATGTCCTCACTCGAATTGTCTGCACGTGTACAAACAGCTCAGCGGTCTCAGGTATCATCTTGTTCATGTCAGTGTCTCTTCTTGTGAGAGTGCTTTGATCTCTACCCTGATGCATTTATTGGTGCAGGGACACCCTCGCGAGCCGCCTGCTCAGCTTCACCATGTTCCGCCTACGTTGGCACGAAAGGTTGCTGAAAAGATGCAGCGTGAAACAGGCGGGCCGTGATAGCCATCAGTCGTGCGATCTTCCTGAAGTTTCGCTCTATTATTGTACAGTACAGGCCGATCATAATATGTAAGGCAGTCTCGAACAATTGTAATCTAGTGGTGTTAATGCTGTCAGGCCCTATTCCATACCTCAAACGCGTGCATCAAGGCCAGGACTCTTCGAAGCCGTTAGCTGAATCAATTGTGCCCTGGATTTTGATTCCTGACAATGGTGTTCATTACATCTATTATTTACATCGTTCATCGTTCCAATCCGTGACCCTCGTTGCGTGTAAGTAATGTGAAACAACACTACCGACGCAGTCAAAAACAGTTCCATGCCACCCGTCACCTTATGCATGTATGCGATGTTGACTGTATCGTAGTCATTGGAAGGAGTTTTCTTGATGTCAATTCCGACTATCTCGCACCACCTGTGCCACCGCCGAACTGACTCGCGCTGTAGAAAGTTACCGCGATCAGTTGTCGTTTATAGGCGATGGTGAAGATGGAAACTTACAGATCTCTGAGAGTAGGATCGCCCATCAACTCGTCCATCGATGGCATGCCACCGCCACTCTGGACCCTGTTCATCTAGGAAATTTGTGAGACGTGTAACAACATGATATAAATATGTGAAACCTACCATGTTTGCGACGGAGGGATTAGACATCAACCGGTCCATACCGCCATTGGCCATCATCTGCTGTGCCATCTGCATCATCATCGGATTGTTCATGAGGCTTGCCAGATCAGGCATTCCGCCGCTAGCCCCACCGGGTGCCCCGCCTCTACCACCAAGATTCCTCAGCATGTCTGCCATACCGCCTAGACCCCCCGCACCTGCATCAGGAGAAGTCGCACGAGGGGCAGGGCTGTCCGACGTCGGTGAGTCGATACGCGCCTCAGAATTCTGTAATCCTGACTTGAGGCCGTTGTTTGTTGGATCAAGCTCCAAGCCGCGACGGAAAGCTGCTGCCGCCGCCGTGTAATCACCCAAAGAGTACTGGGCGTGGCTGCCAGGCAGTGGGCATCAGGGACGAGGTCGTCCGCAGAAAGGTGGAGAAAAGACACACCCTAGGCGATGATAGGCTTTGACAAAGTTTGCATCAACCTCGATGGCCCTCTCTGCATCGTCGATTGCTAAGAGATGATCACCCTTGCTCGAGTATGCAGCGGCGCGGTTGGAGAAGTAGATCGGGTTGAGAGAATCAAGCTCGATGGCCTTGGTATAGGCTTCGATGGCCTTTTCATAATTCTTTGCAGACATCAAGGCATTCCCATCCTGCTTGAATTTCTCCGCATTGGCTTTGTCCTCTGTCGAAGGGGACTGAGGTAGCGCGACGGGGGTGGATGCTGACGGAGCCGGAGTGGACCTAACTTTGTCTTTCGTCTTCAAAAAGACATCAAATATGGTAGGAAGGGTAGCGGGTTTAATGCTGAGGCGTTCAACCTGCTGCTCATTAGATAGGTCTACATCGAAAGCCTCGCCTATGCACTGGACTGTACCGAGCTTTGAGCATTTCACGAAAAAAATCCAAGAAACCCAGATACACACTTGCAATTTCCAGGCCCTCTTTATCGTCCTGCTTGACAGTGCCATCCTGGATGGACTGGTTCAGGAAGTCGATGATAGAGAGCACAAGACGTTGCTGCTTTTCTGAAGACATGTAGCACGCAGGACTAGTGGTCAGTAAACAAGGGTCAACAAACAAGCGCGTCTGGTTCATCCTGACCACAACCAAGCTCTGCAAGACCTTTACGCGCAAACTCAACGATGTTCTTTTGTGCAATCTCCGGAGAGCCTCCTCAGGACCCTGTAATCTCTTCCAAGTCCGGACATGTGTATGAGAGGCGTCTTATAGAGAAGTATATCACCGAAAATGGCACGGATCCCATCACGGGAGAAAAGTTGGAGGAGGGTGACCTTATATCGGTGAAAGCCAGTACGTCTTGGGCGCTGGGCCCTCACCTTGCAATCCTTGACAATCTTTTCTCTCACAGGCCCCAATGCGGCTCCTCCCCGGCCACCCACACACTCGTCCATTCCTGCACTCCTGACGGCTTTGCAGAGCGAGTGGGACGCCCTTGTACTTGAGACTTTCACCCTCAAGCAACAATACAACTCGACTCGCCAAGAATTGAGCTATGCACTATATGCACAGGATGCTGCTAGTCGCGTTGTGGCGCGTCTCATGAGAGAACGAGATGCAGCTAGAGAGTAAGTCGCGTCTTCGCTGTCGTCACCGCAATTGATGACCTGTTTCTCCTAGGGCTCTAGCAACCGTCCAAACGTCTATAGGCATCACTCCAGCAGCGCCAGGGGCCGATGTAGAGATGGGTGACGAGTCAGCACCCTCAGAAGGCATCCTTCCTGCAGCCGTCGTCGCCCAGATTGATGAGACGCACCAAACGCTCTCCGCCTCTCGCAAGAAACGTAAGGCGCCTGCCGATTATGCCACCCCTGCACAGGTCAAGACCTTCACCGCGAAGCACACCATATCATCCCTTCATTCTGCATCCCCCGCCGGTATCACATCTATCGCCATTTCGAGTGCCAATCCCTCGCAGTTTTTGACCGGTGGGAACGACAAAATTGTTCAGCTTTACGACCGAAGCACGGACAAGGTGTTGGCGTCACTGAAGGGCCATACCAAGAAGGTCAATCATGTAGCATTCAGGGAACACGAAGGTGATCCCACCTTGTTGCTTTCTGCGGGCGCAGACAAGATTGCTCGTGTTTGGTCTCACGACGCCGCTTCCGACGAGTATATCCCCAGGTCGACTATCAAAACGCACAAAGGCGATGTTACGGGCTTAGCTGTTCACCCCACGTCGACTCTTCTTGCTCTTGCTTCGCTAGACAAAACTTACTCACTCCACGACCTTACGACCTTCACTCAGTTATACCGCTCTTCAGCAGCCGAGGAATCATTCTCGTCCTTGGACGTCCACCCTGATGGGACCATTCTTGCCGTTGGTACACCTACGTCCACCATCCAGATATTTGACATCCGGTCCGGGGACGTTGCAGCAACCCTTGTTGCTCCCGATAGCACACCGTTCACAGTGAACACTCTCAGCTTCTCGGAGAATGGTTATCATCTTCTCGCCCCCGACTCTCTCTCGTCTGTGGGCATATGGGATCTGCGCAAACAAAAGCTTGGACATTCGATCCCGCTTGGAGATAATTTCAAAGTCAACAAGGTCGTGTACGACTACAGCGCGCGTCTCCTCGGTGTTGCAGGCAATGAGGGTGTTCGCGTATATGCACATAAGACGTGGGAAGAGCTGGCGAGGTTTGAAGAGGGAGGTGAGGCATCTGATTTGGTGTTCGGATCCAAGAGCTTGGAGATCTGGGGTACTAGTGGCAGGGAGGTTAGAATTTGGGGCTTGTCCGAGTAATCTTGTATCTCGACGTCCGCTCCAGGTGGAAGTACAGCCATCTGTATGCCTCACACTTTCACAATTCAGACATGGGCCTGGGACCAACCTCCGCGAATGAGCGCTATTTTTGAGTGCAAAAGTAAATGGTTGTCTCAAGTCATTGCTATTCGTCACTGCTAAGATACATCTGTATGAATGCGAGAAATATACAAGGGCAAGTACCAGTACCCGTGGGGAATCGAAGAAAAACTGTTCATACACTGACGTGTGGGCGTGAAACCTGAAAGGAAATAAAGAAAATGTTCTAAAATCTTCAAACTCTCAGGACCACGTCGTCGGTCCAAAAATATCGCCTGGCGCCACGGTGGAGAACGGCAAGCCCATGGCATCGGCCGTCTTCTGCCAGACAGTGTTTCCCCACCAATTCAGCGTCACTCCACCTTTCGGCAGCTGTACGGTGAAAAATATGATGAAAAGACCGAAGATAACTCCTGCATCCAAGCCAGACGACAGGAGATAGTTGTAACGCATCCACCAGCGGAAGTGGAAACGGCGGATGAACCACTGGAAGATGGCCCCGACGACGATCCATGATGAATAATTGATGCCGGAGGCAGGTGGGACGATGCTCAAGGCGTTGAGCGCAACAGGTATGTGTACGTATCTTAGGAACGACCGGGGGAAACGTCGGGCGAGGAAGTAAAATGGGATGGGCAGCAAGGCACCGATGAGGAAGAACCATACGATGGGATAATAGCTAATGCAACTGTTAAAATATGTCACCTCGAAAGGGAATGAATGGACATACACTGCGCCCGGAGAGAATAGTCGTTGTGGCCCAATGCCTCCCCAGATCAGCGAAGCTGTGCTGAAGGTCAACAGTCCAGGGCAAGTGAACATGTCTTTTTGGTTGGGTTGACAGATGTCCGGAAGACTAGTGAAGATCCATTCTTGGGTGCCGATCGAGACGAAGACGGCAATAACGGATGCGACGACCTGGCCCATGAACATCATGCGAGGAGGGATCTTCATATAGTGTCCCATTTTGAGATCGCTGACAAAATACAACGTTTGCTGCGTCGAGTTGTGCGAAACATATTTGAACACCATGGCAGCTAGGGGACGGCCAGGAACCATGTAGCCGACGACTATTTCGGCTAGGACGTTCAAGGTGAATTGTTGGTTGGTGATGGCTTGGACCATGCCGAGTGGGACTACGAAGACGAAAGCCATGATGACAGCCACGACGTATGCCCAGACGGGAAGCTTTGTGTCGCAGATCTCGATCCCAATAATGCCCATGACGAAGGAGAAGATACCGAGAACTGCATACCACCAGCGAGGCACTTCAGGATAGACTTTCATCAATCGCGAGTGCACATCCTTTTCGTCGGCCATGGATCTACGGAATTGGCGCATGATATCGTGGCGATACCAAACTGCGGAGCCTGTTAGAACTTTGAACTCTCGCTATTGATGATTACACTTACGGAAGGTGTGGACGACAACGGCAGTATAGGACGCGAAGCACGTTCCGTACGTGATCGCAAAAGTGATCGTCAGATACATAGGCGAATATGCCTGGTACTTCTGTTCATCGAACGCGCCATCCGTTAGTATGGCGGTAGGATCATAAGGCAAGCCTGTGTTGTCGAAGGACTGCGCGCTAGAAATGGGCATAAACTTGGCAAAGAAGACGTTCTTGGCTGTTTATCATGTGATAAGAACGCATGAACTAAAGAATTAGAGAGGAACTCTTACCCCAGAGGATCGGGATGACGAGCCAGATCCAGAACACGAACGAGACAAACGAGTTGAGCTGAGCCCACCACTACAGGCCAAGTAAATAAAGCTGAATATGTTGAATGAAGAACAGAGCACTCACAGGGACAACTAGCGGGCTGCCGACGTACGAAATCATCGCCCAGTCGAATGTGAGGAAACCCATACCCAAACCACTCGCGTAACCGAAAAGCGTATTAACGACAATGTTGTTCGGAGCAATCCAGCAGACCCAGTTGAAGATACTGAGCGCTGTGAACAAGAATCCAGGAACCCAATACCATATGAAACTGCAGAGACATGCAAAGAACAGGAACCTTTCGCGGGAAATATGCTTCGTTTCCTTTTTGCCGTAGTTCTTGTGCATCGTGTTCAGGAGTGCGGAGCGGACAAGAACGCCAGGCCAGATCATGCTAGAAGGCCAAACAAGGAACTGTCGCACTAGACCAGCAAAAGAAAACCCTAGTAACTGCACGGCAAGGCCCAAGACGAACTGCTTGCCGATTCCCCATGGAGTGTTATAGAAGAACGTCTGAGTGGCAATGATGTCGGTGACGGGAGCGCCATAGACGACGACGTTGGCCATCACAGATATGAGTGTGTGTTCCTTAACGTTGAAAGGTCCGGGGTTGAGCGACATCGAATAGCCAAATAAGGTGAGTCTCCAAGCCGGTAGAAACCTTTCCATGGACTTCCCAAAGGGAAGAACGATGATCTGAACGAAGAGCGAGTTGATAATGACGGTTGGGTCTGGAGGAGAAAATGTCAACCCTTTGGCAAAGACAAAGTCATACCGCCGACATACATCGAAGCCAAAAGACGGTGTTGAAGGCCGGGATGATGATTGACATAATAATTCCGATGAACCACCTTCGAATACCTTGAGCATATCGGTACGGCGTCAACACTCGATCACTCACATGCGAAACGTATTGACTGGCATTGAGGGATCATCCGTGTTGGATACAGCCGCTCGAACTTCTGGGTAAGGCGACTCGCTAAGAGATGATGAGATTAGGGTAGAGAAGAGAGCTGAAAGTAATACTCACTCATTGTAGGTGATCTCCCCGGAGGAAAGATAAGGCTTTGACTCTGCTGCACGAGAAGAGTCCCATGTAGTAGATGCGGTCTCCGATCCAGCCGACAATGAGACGTCATCCGAGGCAGACCACCGACTTCCTGCTTTCTTGCTACCTATCTCCATACTGTCGAACGTAGAGCCAGCAGTCGAGCTCCCTTCGAAGTCGTAATTTGGGTCATTGAAGTGTTCCATCAGCTCATCCTCGTCGACGTCTGAGGGCACGTCAGGGATCGATTTGCGATGCCTCAGCTGCGTCTCGCTAGGCGTTTCGAAGTGTTTGGCCTCCATTGCAAAGAACCTGCTCAACGGCAGAGACACCACAGCACAGAGTGGGGACGAGCGCCGACAGCTGGTTGGAGCAGGAGGACGAGGGATCGGGTAGAGGGGGAGGGGGTAGCGCGGAAATTCCTTTTGACGTAGAGAAGACAGTGAAGGTCCGCCTCGTCCAGGTCTTATAGTCTCGTGTGTAACTGAGAGGACTCACAGTTATCAGACGCTCGCCGAGGAAAACGGTATCAAGACGAGTGAGACAATTAGACCGGTGTGCGGTACAAAAGACGGTGGACAAGCCCAGGCCATCAGGTACAAGTGGCAGGGTGGCATCCATATATAAACTTCGATATATCTGTCGAAGAAAAGTGGCCTACCTCAAGGTAACTGGCCAAATCGACGTGGTAAGACCGTTTGAGCAGACAAGTGGGATAAGATGACATATTGTATCGACTTGCACGCAGATAGAAGCGAATGCGGGAATGCGTGCCCTGGGATTACAGGTCCATGTTCCGAGAGACTTGTTGTTTGAGACATTTCAATTGTCTTTGCGAGGGTCATGAGAGAGAGCAAGACAATAAGAATGGGCGCTAGCAGGACTTTGCAGTCTGATCTGATGTGGATCAGCATGGATCTCGGGGCTCCAAATTCATCTAAGTTACCACATCGGGTGTGAATGGTAATCTTATCAAGTTCGCTCGCTGGCCCGCTCTGGTCCGCGCGAGCCGCCCATTCCCACATCGTTTATAGGACAACCATCGTGGCGACCGAATACGACCGAATGACCTGCGATTGCGTACTTTGAACCGTAGATGGCGAACCGATGCTGCTTTCTTCCTCTAAATATGACGGGGTGAGCTGGTCGGAGGACGCTCCTGAGTCTTCTGCCTATCCCAATTTCGAAGCACACGCTCCTGGTTCGGACACATGGCGACAACCGTTGAGACAATAACCCAAAACCTTCCAGCGCTTGCGCTTATCCCTTCAGATCATGCTGGAGAAGCACGGGCTCCTTCATCATCCGAGACAGAAATCCAAAGATCTTATCGCTACACCCATCTTCTTCCTCACTTCTCTCCTGAAACATATCCGCCATTAGAGCCCTTTGAGCATTTGGATCCTGGATTCCGTGCACTGTCTCATCCGAACCCTACCTCCTTCTTGAATGATGCTTCGGCTGTGACCGAGTTGACACCGAATCTGGGGACTGAAATTCATGGCATCAGCCTAGCCCGATTGGATGCCGACGCTAGGGACCAACTTGCACTCCTAGTGAGCTCTGTTTCGAATTTAGTCCTATTGTTTGCTGATCATCGACGCCCTTCGCCAGGTTGCCAGGAGAGGTCTCGTCGTCTTCAGGGGTCAACAAGAATTTATCGACAGAGGTCCAGACTCCTACTTGGAATGGGGGAGGCACTTCGGACGGTGATCTTTTCTTACCTTTCGTGTCCTGTTTCATGACTGATATGATCTGTTCATAGCCTTCACGTTCATCCTACATCAGGACATCCTCAAGGATATCCCGAGCTGCATCTCGTTTTCAAGTGGGTAGTCATCTCACGTCCTCTGGACTGTGCTCTAATGCTAGCTGTATTCTAGGGAAGCAAACACCACCTTCAACTTTGAGAGGGACGAGAGCATCACATCCACTCTCTGGCACTCTGACGTCTCGTATGAGCTGCAACCTCCCGGACTCACCACGTTCTTTTTGGTCTCCCAGCCTTCGACTGGTGGGGATACACTCTTCATTTCTCAGGTAGCGGCCTTGAAAAAGCTTTCGCTCCCATTTGTCGCATTCCTGCGTACATTGAAGGCCATCCACTCGGGAGTCGAGCAGGCCAACTTCTCGCGTGCAGGTCGGAGAGGTGGAATTGTGAGGCGTGAGCCTGTCGAAAATGCCCATCCCATCGTCCGCCGGCATCCTGTAACGGGTGAAGAGGCATTGTATATCAATCGCCAATTCACGCGTCGCATTGTTGGTCTCAAACGCGAGGAATCGGGCAAGCGATGTCTTCCACCATTGATGCTCTGTCGTTACTTATACCCTTCCAGACAACCTCCTCGAATTCCTGTTCTCGCATATTGACAAGGCTGGCGATCTCCAAGCCCGCGTTAAGTGGAGCCCTAATACCGTTGTTCTCTGGGATAATCGGGTCACTGCACATGTAAGCGCTATAGTTGTCCACGGTCTGATTTGTTTCTTACTTTGACATAGTCCGCTATAGTGGATTACGGAGAGTCTAAGGAGCGCCGCCACGGTGCCAGAATCACCCCTCAAGCGGAGAGACCGATTCCTGCGCAAGAAGGTTTGAATCTGGACGTCTAGGTAGACATACGGCTTGATGATTCGAAGGGAGCGTGTGATTGTCTATAGCAGCTGGAAGGATGAAGCTTCTGTATAGTTAAATTTGTACGAAAGTCGTTGAACGTTCTTTGTCGTCGAAATCACTGTTAGCTGCAAGCTTCAATTCCCTTTTATGGGTTGGCGAAGGCAATACACAGTCAATACACGTCATGGCCGACTGTCGTTTACCGCGACTGTCGCGGATTTCAATCTACAACTCTTTGTTTTGCTCAGTACTATGCCTTCGTCTCTGGGGGCGACAGCATATGCTGTATTCGCCGTGATATGCGTATCTATCTTGAAGGAGCTCAATGCTCGTGTCACGGAGCCTTACATGGTAAAATCACTCCGGGCATCAAACCAACTTCGTCCTTGACAAGTGTTGTTCGGTACAGGACGAGCCATTCCATGTCCCACAGGCGCAGGCGTACTGTGAGAATAATTGGGCTTACTGGGATCCCAAAATTACGACACCACCAGGCCTGTGAGTCTAACATGTTTTGCCCATCGTTCTGAGCTGGCTAATTGCTTGACATGGAGACAGATACATCATAAGTGTCGGCTTGAAAAAGCTCTTTGTCTTCAAGTGCAACCTCGCTGTGCTTCGCCTGACACCTCTGCTAACACTCCTTCTCCTACCATTCGCATTGACGCGCCTTATATGCTACCACAGACGTGTCCGCTCACCATCATCCATCTTCGAAACCACTTTTGACGCGGTGGTCGTCTCTGCATTTCCGATTGCATGGTTCTTTGGATTTCTCTATTACACGGAAGTCCCCAGCTTGCTTTTTGTCATCACGACTATCGTCGCTGCTACTCAAGATAGGCACTGGTTAGCTGCTCTGGTACGGGCTGCTCTTATGTTTCGTGAGCAGTGGGGACACTGACCGACCTAGAATGGTAGCTAGGTATCGTCAGCTGTACATTTCGCCAGACGAACATCGTTTGGGTGCTCTATGCGTATGCGTCCAGCCAGCTGATGTACCTTCGCTGGAGGCGTGTTGATCATGCTCAAACTCCTCCGCCCAAACTCCACGATCCACCAGCGCTGTCAGCTGAGCCAGGTGCGACTCTCTAGCCTCTATATATTATCTAGCTCATGTTCATCGATAATGTACCATTTGCTGCAGCCGATATTCTTAGGTTGATGGCCAGCGCCCCCAAGGTCCTGCCTGACATCTTACTCGACTTCGTGCCCTACGCATTAGTGTGCACCATTTTCGGGGCGTTCGTCGTATGGAATGGGGGCATTGTGCTAGGTACGAATGACCGACGGCTCTCTCTGATCGACACATCTGAATGCAATCTCCATCAGGCGACAAGTCGAATCACATTCCTTCGTTTCATGTACCGCAGCTGTACTACTTCGTGGCCTTTGCAACGATGATGGGTTGGCCTATCTTGGTCACAAGTGAGGGTGGGCCCCAAAAAATGCTGCGGGATGTTGGATCGAGGATGTTTTCTAATCGAAGGCACGCCTTATTTGATTCTATCCTGCTCGGCGTCCTCACCCCTCGATCAGGCGTACTGTGATCACCCTGCTGGTTGCGGCGTTGATGGCTGCGAGCGTCCACCTCTTCACGTACGGCTTGACTTTTCCTCTTACGGGACTTCGTGATTCACATTCGGCTTCAGGATTCATCACCCTTTCTTGTTGTCGGATAACCGCCACTACACCTTTTATGTCTGGCGTCGCATATTCATGCTGCATCCTCTTGTGCCGTATCTGTTCATACCCGGATATATCGCATGCGCTTGGGCATGGTTCCTGCGTGCTGGCAAGTTCACCTTCTCTGATAGCCAGGTGATCAGCCGCTGACATGTTGTCAATGGCAGGACACGGGCAGTCGCTGTTGCAGACCCTGCTGCTCCCCGTATGCACTTTGCCGATCCTGCTCCCTACACCCCTTTTGGAGCCTCGCTACTTCCTGATACCGTACGTGCTCATGAGAGCGCAGATTGTGGACGTACCGACTTGGGGATTGGCTTTGGAAGTGGGATGGTATGGTGTGATTAACGCCGCGACGATGTGGGTGTTCCTCTTCAAGGAGAGGGACGGCGCAGTGCGATTCATGTGGTAGATAGACTTTGTTGTTGACTCTATATGGAGAACGACTGAGTGCATGTTCATCGCGGGTTTGATCGAGACACGCCTGGGGCGCAACAAGACCAAACAAGGCAGCTACGCGTGCGGCAACGCGACCGGTTCAAGTTGAGTTGAACTGGGCTTTACCGCATTCGTAGCAACCAACCACTCAACCACTCCAACCACGGCAGCCTTTCTCCCCTTTCTTAACCGCTCTCATGCCTGCCTCTTTTACGAGCAGCGCAAATAGCGCTAACAAACCAACTACTAGGTCCTCTAGCCGCTACTCCCTCAACCTCTCGTCGGTGAGCAAGGCCCTCGCGGACGTTATGAACAAGGATGCAAGGGAGTCCTCTGTCGACAAGGCGTCCAAAAAATCCAAGGATGCCAGCGCTCGTCGACTCAGCGTCGTCGCAGAGAGCGGGCCTAGCGCTCGTCGGAACTCTGTGGGCGAAAAGCCTGCAAGCGTTGTTTCTCCCTCCTCGACCGTCAGTCGCACGACGCGCCGACAGTCCACCCTCGTGAAGGTAACGGAGGCCCCCCCACCAGGGGAAATGGGAGTCAAAGATACGGCGTCGGGGGATCCGCTGTCTCTGGCTCCATCGTCCAGGAGGGCAACTTTACGACCCCGCAGCACCATCATACCCGCTACTGGGTCTGCCCTGCCTAAATTCCGACCTCGGTCCGTGCTCATCGAGCCAGCGAAGAAACCTTCTTCTCCTCCCCGTGTGGGGACCCGTAGACGCCTCAGCAGCTCGGGCGACGAGATTGAAGTGAAACCGGCGGGCAAGAGGACATCGCTGCTCAAAGCCACATCTCCCAAGGAGAGGGCGGAGAAAGCTGCAAGATCTATCAGCCCTCTTCCCCAGAGGGTTTTGAAACCCTCTGCAGCTATCACCGTATTGCCCCCGTCCCCATCTCGCAAAGTGAAGTCCCAGAGCCGTAATACCCCTTCGCCTGCACCTTCGCGGCCTCCGAGCAAGACCGCCAAGTCGACGAAGACCGTGTCACCCGCGGCTATCTCCATCCCTCGCCCTCCATCATCTTCGTCGTCCTCCAGCTCTCTTCGGACGCCCCGGACACCTCAGACGCCTACGCCTGTCAGGGATGTCAAGGGTAAAGGTTTGGCTTCTAGCAAGACTGGCAGCCCTCTCAAAAACCCGGTCAAGAAGGAGCCGGAGTCATCATTGGGCAAACGCCTCCAGAAACGCTCTATCAACAGTCTCAAGGACGATTCCGGGTCTGGAAGTACTACCTGCGTCTTCTTGACGGAGGGCAGTAGCATTGACAGCATGGAAGCCCGAGACGTTGAATTTATGCTCTCAACCATCTCTTCCCCGAGCGCTCCCACCCCGGTTTTGCCTCGAATTCGAATGGGCCGTCCGCCGCCTGATGACGAGCCTGTTACGCCTTCGCGCCCACCTGGCACCCTTCCGTCCCGTTCGAATCTATCATACCTTTCCCCCATGCCTGCATCTAGCGATCATTCGCCGTTTCCTCGGCTCAATCGACCGGGTGTCCACCGAATTGGATCTATACTTTCTTGGGAGCAACTAGTAGCTGCGGGGGAACACTCACTCGGGGAGGGGGAGGCTAACAGTATGATCATTGACATCACCGCGCCGTTCTCCGCCAATGCATCACCCGCACACAGCAATATCTCGCTTGACATACCAGACAGCCCCTCGCTCAGTGCGCTTCCGTCACCCGTAGGTTATGGATCTATTTCACAGATCCTCCTTCCAGAGGTGACACCGTCTCCTACCAAAATGATGTTGACGCCGGAGCGGCGGTCTCATGTCGACGGGGGGGTCGTCACGATGCTGCGGCTCCAGCTCGCGTCCATGGAGAACACTGCGAAAGAGCGCCTCGGGCAAATTCAGAGTCTCGAGCAGCAACTTGCTGCGGCGAAGCTCGCGCGCATCCGTGACGCAGACGAGCTCGCCGGACAGGTCGGTGCCTTGGAGCAGCAGATGCGCAACAGCCTCGCTGTGCGCGAGCGCAATGCAGAGGAGCAGACGGCACATATCATTTCATTGGAGGAGCAACTCAGTCGAGCGATCGCTGTGCGGGAGGAAGCTGTGCAACGAGCAGCGAAACAGGCGGCTGATAGCGTTATGCAGCTGCACACTGCGGCGGTGAGGGTGGAGACGCAAAAATGGGAATTCACGTGCGCCGCGCGTGTAGCATCGATGGAGTGGAGCTCTGTTCGGGCCATAGCGGAAGGCGAAATGGACTTTGTACGTTCAAACCGTGATATGTTGAATCTGTTGTTGGCTGGGCTGGACCAGAGCCAGCGGGAGCTACGATCCGCCATTGTCTTATGAACAGTGAGTCGTTTTATTGATGGATTGGAATGCCTGTTGACTGTCCTTACCTTGTGCAGTTTATGATTTATGATTTGCATGATTGTATCTATCCCATCTATCGCTTATGACATTTCCATGTGCGATGCTGCATTCATCCTCGGCACGCTGTATATAATGTACTTGACTATATAAATTGTGTATAAATTTGATGTGAGGAGATATTGCCTTCGATCACTGCTCATAAACCAAAGTCGCCTCAATGCATGCATCCAACAAACAAGCATGATGGTCATTAGGAGTGGCTTGCGAAATTCTCTCTCTGACTGCTTCTCGAAGACGCTTGGAACTGTAAACGAACACTATGTCAGGCCGACATCAACATGAGTAATTCAAACCGAGACGCACTCAGCTTCGCCATATGCGACTTTGATATCGTATTTCATGGAGGCTATTGACAATGGCCATCTAGCAAGGACATCAGAGTCCCATATGAAATAGATGTACACTTTGCTTTCAAGGCTGTCCAGCAACACCATAGCCTTCGCTCGGACTCCAGATATTCTGTCGTTACCGTCGTTCAGGGACATGGGCTCGATAGTCAACGGGAATTTAATGGACAGGAAGGTGAGCTGCGAGCGAAGCTGGTTGCATGCGGACCAGAAGTCTCCAAGGGACTGCACCACCTGTGTACGCAGTCAATGTTGTCCACGAACAAAAGGAACGAACAGCTGATTGAACGTACATGCTTCACCCCCAAATTTCGCATGGAGCGAGCTCGTTGCTGTGCCACCCTCATGGTGGTGTCCGTGAATATAGGAAAATGGTCCCTGAATCTGGGAGGCGACACCTTCGTGCGTGTGATCTCAATTTTCGGGAATATAGGCGAAAATTTCTCGCACGGGACGGTCACTCGGAACAGAGAAGCATACACTAGGTCAAATAGTTGAGGGCTGACTTTGGCCACGCGCCAGAGATTAATTTGTTCCAGAGCATCGAGCTCAGCTGCAGTCAGCAAGGTTAGGTCTATGGAAAGAATTCTCATGTGCTATTGGGGATGCACCTTTCAATCTGAATGCTTCAGCCTCGGTGCTATTGTTCTGTATGTCGATCAGTCTTTTCGATTCCTCAATAGCTTTCATTGCCTCCTTCTTCTCGGCTTCAATCTCGTCCAGCTTCTCTTGAAGACGGTCATGTTTAGCCTGCGTCTCAGCGACGTCCGCACGGAAAGCCTCCAGTGCCAAACTGTAAGTTGCGAGGTCAGATCGTTGGTAATGATATCACGGTTGGCAGACAGTGAGAATACCGCACGCTTGGTCGGAAATTGTGTTCTTCAATTCATTCAAGTAGTCTTGATCGCTGTTGTCAATTTCGTCTGCGATCGCCTGCTCCTCCTGAAGCTCTTGCATTAATTTTGCGTGCTCTGCGCGCATGGCAGGCAACATGTCTTGAGCCTCGGATATTACATTTTCGAGACTTTCGGCGTCCTGAACAGCGTTGCCGATGCAAAGCGTATCAGTCTTGCTGCAGATGTACATCACATGAATTGCATACCTTCTGCAGGTTGGAGAAGCCGCTATCCGCCGCAGCTTGTAACTGCTCGACCCATTGCAGTCTCCAGTCATACCACTGCGATCGAGCTGTGGCTTGGTTGTTCGATTTGATGAGTTTCAGTTGGTGCTACAGGAGTGGGAGATGAATGACATATATGAAGGTCATATAACAAGAAGTTGTCAGACCAGTAGCTCTTCTTTGACGTCCTCGTCTGCTTGAGAATACTCGCGGAAGAGTGCTGGCGTGATCTTGGCAGCTTCCTCCTCGGCTTGTTGATAAATATCCTTACTATGATCAATCCACGCTTGTAGGTCTTTTGCGACATGAGAGTAGAGTTCCAACTGCGGAACGTCCACTGTCATCGCCGCAAAATAGTCCGCTAGAGGTATGTTCGCTTCAGAAAGTGACGACCGTCTGCGACCTTGCAGCTGCGATGGAAAGACTGTCGATCGTCGGGGTGCAGCCAATTCGTCCATGAAACGGACACCAGTCATAGCGAAAAACTGTTCGATGGAGATCGGGGGCTAGTTGTGAAGAATGTCTCAGAAGGGAAGAAGAGGAATAGATACTGATATAGATATACCTCGTTATTTTCTTCCTCCAACTCATCATCAACGGGTACACCTGCCCTCCATCGTTCCGTCTGATCAACAGGATCTAATGTGCTACCAGTGACCTCCGCTTCAGGTGACCACCTCTGCTTCTCCAAAGCCCTTTTTGACATGGAAGGCGAGGCGCTTGGCGGGGGAACATATCCTGGAGGAGGTCTCATGGGTAGTGGCGACGCCAGGCTTTTCCTGGGAGTGTTTTGGCTAGCCTCAACTGTGTTTTGTACTTCCTGTTGGCCAGGAGGAGAAGGCGTTAGTCTGCTCTGGTCCCTTTCGAAGACAAGACTGCGCTCTGGGTCAAGTTCATTGACACTGCCTATGCTGGCCCTCCCAAGTCCCAAGCCTGGTTTCTTTTTGGGTGAGCTTGACTTCGCTGCATCGGCCGGCGCAGCTGACGGACCAAGGCTCTTACGTTGGGCAAAATACCCGGATGGACGACGTAAGCCACCCCCAAAGCTCGGACGTCTCACGGCGGCGGCAGGAATGGCTGCCTGTTTCGCATGAGCAGATTTACTCGGCTCTATAGACCCGATATCAGACGGTAAAGGACGTTTGGCACTCGGTTGTGGGCGCGCGACCGGAGGTGCAAAGGCAGCAGTACCCCCTTTGCGCGGTGAAGCGGAGGCCGTCATAGTCTTGACGGGCGGCGGAAGTTTAGGAGGGGCGGTTGCAGTTTCTGAGTCGGGGCTAGTGAACACGGGCTGGGACCGAGGTTCAATTGATCGAGAAGATGACGCCAGGGAGTTGGTGGGGTTGGGAGGTGACGGTTCAAAAATATTCGATCGGGGAAGGTTGGAAGCAGGAGGCTGTTTGAGGACGCTCGATTGAAGAGCATCCGTTGCCTCTTCCGAGGGCGCCCTGAAAACGCTAGAGTGGAAAACAGGAACCTGACCAGGTGGCTGCGGGGGGGAGGCGATTGATTGTTGCTTCGGAACCAAATTAGCCATGACTTCATCGGCGTGTCTTGGGTAAGTCGGCTGCACAGTGGTGAGGTCCATCGTAGAACTGGCGTCTCCCCCACCACCCAGACTTTGCCTCCAAAGCTTAGTTACATTGACAGTCTCGTTGCCGTTCATCTCTGCAGAGTCCCCCTCCGTGCTTGTGAAGGTATCATCGTCAAACTCCTGTTCTTGCTCTGCAGGAGGGCCATCATTTCCTAGACCAAGGGATTCGCGGGCACGCATTAGTCGGGTCTGAGCATCAGTTAAATCCATGTCATCCGTGCCAGTACTGACATGCCCAGCATTGAAGTCGTAAGTACCATCCTCGTCCTCGTCGCGCTCAAAAGGCATGTCGCCGGAATGAGTCATGGCGGCGAGTTGACGAAGAGCGTCGCTGGGGGGCTCGGGTTTACGGAGTGATTTATTGAGGGGTATGGTAAATTCCATTGGTTGTGTATGATCAGAGGAGGAATCGGCACCGGTGCTTCGAGAATTGTCCTGCGACATATCGCGCGATAAAGACATATCCTGGGAAAGCGAGCTTTCTTCCTGGGAAAACTGGTCTTCACCGCCATAGGATTCGTCTGCTTCTGGTGGCGAGACAGAAACTTCAGCGAGGGGTGGGCGGGGAATGACCGACGATCGTCTTTGTGAGGCCTCCCCAGAGGTTGGAGCAAACGAAACTCGTGATTTCCGTCGAACAGCGGCGTGGGCATTTATGGCCTGGGTAAGCTCCATGTCGTCGTCGTCGTCTCCGCTGAACTCCCCTTCATCAAATTCTTCATCCATGATTCCTGAGCCCTCATCCAAAAACCCAGCGGGAAGTGGAGAGCTGTTGGGATCGTAGTCCGAGTCGACATCCATTGAGGCTTCTCCATTCTCGGTGAACGCCACAGACATGCGCACAGAGCTGCGACGGCGAGCCAAGTTTGCGCCGGGGTAGTCATTCTCCTTATTCGTGTTGATCGCAGGGTCGGGGGTCACTTCGGGAGCATCACTGCCATTATCATCCTGGTTGGAGGACTGGGAGCCAGATATATCCGAGGCGTGGTCTTTGCGAAAGAGTCGAACGTGTGCACGATCTGCAAAGCTGACGCGTCGACTGAAGCTCCTGCGGGTATCGTTTCCATGGTCTTCGTTGCGGAGATCGCGGGTGAAATCCATAGATTGTGTACCATCGTCGGGTAATTCTGTAGAATCTGGGGAGGGCGGTTTGATAGAAGATTTGAGGATACTTTTCCTCGGCGCCTTGTCCGGTTAAGTGAGGGTGTAGGGACGCAAATACGGGGCACACCCACCAATAAACGACGCGCTTTGGAAGCAGGGCTCAGTTGTTTCAGCACAGAATCGCCTGGGGTGATGCTGTGAGGGCGGCGCCTGTGAGAGGGGCGTGCTGGTTTTGTGTGATGAGGAACAGCAATGGATTTCCGGCGGGTAGGGGTGGGGGCCATGTTTACAACTTTACGCGTCGAGTCGCTGCTGCCACCGCGGGGACCGCGTCGAGCATGAACCCGCACGTGGCAGCCCACACCGTAGCGCACGTGACAGACGCGACGCGGTCACCCACGTGTGGCGGCGATTCGCGAAGTTACCCCACGCCCATCGCGTTCGAATCACTTTGCCCCTACCTCACCGCTACGTCGACCTCTCCATTGACGGCTATGGCGAGCAAGTCGAAGCCGACAGCCCCCGCCACTCGCGCGTCAACTCGTGCTACCAGATCGTCGTCTCAAACTACCGCACCTTCACCCGCACCAGCAGCCGCGCGTGCCACCCGTACCACAGCCAAGACAGTCCCATCTCGTCCCCCATCTGTACAATCCAATGCCTTGCGAAAGCCCCTTGTTAATAGAGCCAATGCTACTGACATGAAACTCATGGCGAAGAACGCCGCGCCTGCTACCAAAGTTCCTTCTCAGGCTCCCAAAAATGTTACTGTGTTGACCGATGAAGACAGAGAACCAATCAAAGTATGTTTGCGCAACTACACTACTGACGGCCAGATGACTGAGATGCAACTGTCAGGCGTTTTTGCGCATACGCCCCCATTTGAACCAAGATGGCCCAACAACATCGCCCTATCTCGAGCACCTCTCCGATACGTCAGTGCGGATGACTGAACCCAATATTGACCAAGCTTCTGGCGTCGCCCCTCGCCCACGCTTTCGACCATCAGCTGTTTTGCCCTCATCGGTTTATACTTTCTCTCATGTCTTCCCAGCGGCCACTCAGCAGCCTGAGTTCTTCACAAAGACAACTTTGCCCCTGGTTAGAGGTCTACTCGACGGCGAAAATGGATTGCTGTTTGCGTATGGCGTTACAAACTCTGGGAAGACATTCACGATGCAAGGCGGCGCTCGCGAAGGGTCTGCAGGCATTCTTCCTAGGACTCTCGATGTGATCTTCAACAGCATCGAGGGATTGCACAGTGATTCACGCGTATGTCTTCCAAGATCTGTGACTTAGGTATCTTGTCTAAAGGCTCTCAAGTGCTCCCCTCTTCGCCTGCAAGGCGTGGAGTTAGGCGATGTCTCTTCCAAGGTGCACACCCATGCACCATCTTTGGACAACCTGTCTCTTCCAACCAATGAACCTGTCTTAGCTGAGGTTCTTGCTGAGCACCTCGACTCCACTGCGATTCTCGACACAGATATCGACGCAACTGTGCTGAGTGTCGACCGAAACTATGAGTACTCGATTTGGCTATCCTACGCGGAGGTGTACAATGAGAAAATCTACGATCTGTTAGCTGACGTCTCTGAGACCAGTGCCACTCCAACAAGCGCACATCCTCTTCTGCTCACGCGAAAAGCGTTGCCCATCAAGCCTTCCCCTCCACATGATAGCCCTGACGGGCCTCCGGGAACGTCGACAGGGAAATACATTTCTGGGATGAGACAGCTGCGAGTCAACAGTGCGAGCGAAGCGAAACGCTTAGTGAAGCTTGGACAGCTCCATCGGCGAGTGTTCGGAACCCTCGCGAACAGTCAAAGTAGCAGGAGTCACGGAGTCGTCACAATCAAGCTACTCAAGAGGCACCGAGGCGAGAAGGACGTGAGCTGCTCTTCCCCCTTTCCTTCCTCTCTGACACAGAGCGTGACGCTAATGGAATGTGAAGGTACCTTCGTCGTATACCACAGCTCGCCTGACTCTCATTGACCTCGCTGGATCTGAGCGGACCAAGCATACTCAGACGACCGGCGAGCGCCTGAGAGAAGCAGGTAACATTAACAAGTCGCTCATGGTCCTTGGACAGTGCATGGAGGTCATGCGTGCCAATCAGCGACGTGTGGCACAGAGTCTGGCAGCCCCGAGGAACGAACGATCAGATACACGGGACGTCAAGAAGACCCTGGCGGTCGTCCCCTTCAGACACAGTAAATTGACGGAGATCCTCATGGACTACTTCGTCGGAGACGGACGCGCTGTTCGTCGACAGCCTTCTCCCTCGTACTCAACATGCAAGTGCTGACGACCGACGTTATTCTGTAGGTCATGATCGTGAACGTGAACCCGTACGACACCGGTTTCGACGAGAACACGCATGTGATGCGATTTGCTGCCTTGGCGAAGGACGTCTTCACTCCTGCGCCCGCCCAGCGCGTGCCGCCGGTCCAGCGCAAGATCGGTCTGGGTGCGCCACCGCGACCAGGCGTCAGAAACAGCGAGGTCATCCCTCATTACCGCAAAGTGACCATATCTACCGGAGGCCATGATGGGCGCAAGGTCAGCAGAACTGAAGTCCAGGTCGCCGAAAGTGAGACGCTGCTCTCAAGTGTGAATATACCGAGGTGCTGAACACATTTCTTTCAGTGGACGAAGATCCGGGAGACTCTGGAGACGAGTACGAAGATGAGCCTCTAAACCCGCTCGTCGAAGCGCTGTTTGACGAACTCGAGACTCTCCGTATACAGGTTCGTTCACATATTCATTTATCAATCCGAGTTTTTCTTCTTAGCACATGAAACATAGCTGGTCGAATCCGAAATGCGCTGCGTCATTATCGAGGCCGAAACACGCGACGAGGTTATTCGCGAGATGGAAGTGCGCATGGCTGATATGCAGAAGACGTTCGCTCGCAGACTGATGAACGAGGCGAGCTTTCTTCGTTTTTTGATGTAAACGAGAAGGCTCAAATTTTACGTTTTAGGTCGAACAGAACGAAATGAAGACGGACGCGAAAATCGACATGCTTCATCGATCGGGCCTGTTCGGCAAGACGCCCGGCAAGGCAAAGGCTGACATTGAAGACATGCGTGAGGAGCACGACGTGGATATGAGTCTAGTAAGCATATCGTTCATGTCCAACTGTAAATTGAAGTGTTCTAAATTCGGTAACAGACGGCAGACGGTGATGGAATAACTGAGCAGGATCACGACAATCGTGACGAAGACGGAAGCGCGACCGAAGAGAGCTCGACAGAATCAGACTCGCGTTCTCCGCTTGCGAACAAGGTAAAAAGGGACGGAAAGCAAAAAGCGTCTGCCATGCCCTCGGAAATCAGGATTCCAGTGCCGGCAGGACCCCAGCACTTACCCCTGCCCTCGGAGCACTCTGATAGCGAGAGTGCGGACAGCGAGGCCGAGACGGAAAGCAAAGTCTCTGAGAGCGCTGGAGATGATGATTCCGAGGGCGGCGATGTCGATGACGATGACGATGATGATAATGATGAGGAAGACGACGAGGACGATGACGAAAGCTATGTGGACGACGAGACGGAGGCGGAAGAGACCGCACAGCAGACAGAGGATTCTGACGAATCTGAGCCGGAAGCGCCGATGCCTTCACAGCGCGAAAGCATCTCGTCCTCGTCCAGGTCCTCGCGTTCCCTCCATGCGAGCCAAACGTCGAAGCCACTTCCAGTCCCGCCTTCTCTCGTCTTCGAGGACGATGTCAAAGCAGCGCGCAAACAGGCGGAGAGCAAGAAACCTGTGCGCGGTGGTGGCAAGAAGGTATCGCACCTGGCGGACGACCTGAAGGCGCTGGACTTGTCAGGTGGCGCACCATCCTCGTCGGCTCGGACCACTCGAAAGTCTACGCGCGCATCTACGTCGCAGAAGATGGTTCTCGACGAGGAGTATGCTTGGGATCAGGCAGGGCCAGACGATTCAACAGTGATCGTGCCGAACACGCAGGGACCGAAAGGAAAAAAGAGGTAAGCTATCATGTCGGGGGGTTAATTTGACAGGCGCTGACACTGCTGATAGGCAACTGGGGAAGAAGCCTGTGATGACTGAGGAACAGATCGAGTTGGTGGTGGGCCAGGCGGAAAAGGTAGGCAATGGAAAACCCATACGACGGATGGCTAGGGGAAGTAAGTGAGGTTGCTATCTCTCTGGCTATACTTAGGACTTAGGAGGCGCCGGTTGAATGAGCGTGCTAAATTTGAATTTCATGGATCCGGCGATGGCATGGCGCCTAAAGTCTAAAATCGAGCCTGAGGAATATTTGATACCGTTTTCGTCTCCAAGAATGTTGGCACTAGAGTTGACAGCAAACATATAACCGCGACAGACGCCGAGGGATGCTAAGCATGGAAGGGCCTAAAGACTGCTCGTGATGCCGTCTGCATCCACAAATCGTTCAAGAGACGATCTTGTGAGATCTTGTGTGGCGAACAGGGGTAGGTACCTGCGGCCGGGCCGAAACAGTCGGCGGGACTGCCATATATGGGCCGGGCAATGACATCAGTCGTGGCAGGCGTATGGGGCTTGTCAACGGGCGAGTGAACTGCTTTGCTCAGTGTGCTGGCTGTGTCACACACCCTCTTTACCCTCATTACTCTCCCATCTCGCGCCAACTCATCCGCCCCTCTTTCTCACTCTTGTATACTTCTCCCCCTCGCCCATGTCCATGGCGAGCTCTCTTCCTCCTAATGGTGCCGCCTCTCGCGCTCACGACAAGGCGAACGAGATCTTGACGGACGACGCCGCAGCGAAAGCCAACACCACTGTGCACACCTTCGATCCAGATGCGACACCAGAGCAGAAGGCCAGTAGTGCTGGAAAGGGTAGCGCGCAACTCAAGTCCAAAACAGAGCCCTCTCAAGGACAAGTCGGCAATCGAGGTTCGTCGGTGTCCGCTTGATTCTCAAAATATCATCAGGTCTCATAACACACGCTGAGCAGAAGTTGCCATCGACACCGGAAGGACCGATGTTATACCCACCATCACCATCGAGGATATGGACAAGGAGGCCGAAGAAGGCAAGGAAGAGGACACCACTCCCTTTCCTGGCGCCATGCCGTCGCGAGCCGTGGCCGCCATTCCCGATTGGTACAAAGTCGGGTGGCGCGCATTTACCGACCTTGACAAGCCCGATGATCAGGACAAGAAAGATGAACGCATGCTGCATGCCTTCATCTCGGAGCAGTATTACGGCGACTGGTACCACAATGCTGGTATCATCATCTTCGTACGTGTACTCCCACATTTCCTTCCCCGGGCTCCTCACAGATGCCCCAAACGATAGGCCGTGTTTGCTTCACATTTCCTTACACGTTTTCACTTTGGCTGGGGCTGGCTATTGATCATACTCGCAATCTGCAACCAATACTACACCACTTCCATTTCACGCGTCCGACGGCGTGCACGGGACGATATTCAACGCGAGCTTGTCAAGACGCGTCTTGCCTCGGAACACGAGTCCGCCGAATGGCTAAACCACTTCCTCGAGCGTTTCTGGCTCATTTACGAGCCTGTCCTCTCTTCGACCATCGTGGCGTCCGTTGACCAAATCCTTAGCACCAACTGTCCACCATTCCTGGAATCTCTTCGTCTCAGCAGCTTCACTCTGGGCAGCAAGGCGCCACGCATCGACAAAGTGCGCACATTCCCTAAGACGGCGGAAGATATCGTTATGATGGACTGGGGCTTCTCTTTCACTCCCAATGATGATTCAGACATGACTCCCCGTCAGCTGGCCACCAAGAGCAACCCAAAAATTGTACTGACCATTCGGGTCGGTAAGGGTGTCGCGTCCGCAGGCATGCCCGTCTTGGTCGAGAACATGACCTTCAGCGGTCTCATGCGTATCCGCATGAAGCTTATGACTAACTTTCCTCATGTACAAGTCGTTGATCTATCTTTCCTCGAGAAACCTGTGATCGACTATGTCCTGAAACCTATCGGTGGCGAGTCGTTTGGATTCGATGTTGCCAACGTGAGTACAAACGCATACAAATGTGGATTGCCATACATTCATTGCCTTGTTGGATAGATTCCAGGCCTGTCTTCTTTCATCCGCGACATGGTCCATTCTATCCTCGGACCTATGATGTACGACCCCAACTGGTTCACACTCAATTTGGAACAACTGCTTTCGGGCGCTCCTCTGGATACCGCCATCGGCGTAGTCAAAGTGACCATTCATTCCGCGCGCAGTATCAAGGCTAGCAAAATTGGAGGAGGAACGCCGGACCCTTACGTGAGTCTCAACATCAACAACCGGCAAGAGCTCGCGAGGACGAAATACAAGCGCAGCACGTATGTCGCGCGCCATTTTTCTTGGTTTATATATATACGTCTTACGTGAATTGTCAGCCATAACCCCACATGGAACGAGACCAAGTTCCTTCTCGTCACCAACCTTTCGGAGAACCTCTCTCTTGCTGTTTTCGATTACAATGAACACCGCAAGAATACCGAGCTGGGGGCTGCTATGTTCGAATTATCGAAACTCGAGGAAGACGCGACTCAAGAAGATCTCGAAGCCCCTATTCTAAAAGACGGCAAGACTCGGGGTGACCTTCGTTTCGATGTATCCTACTTCCCGGTGTTGAAGCCTGTCACTAATGAGTCCGGCGTTGAAGCGCTGCCTGATTCTAGTGAGTCTTTTGCGATCGAAGGTATTCTAGCCGCTGACCACAGCGACATATCAGATGTGGGGATAGTTCGCCTGGTTCTGCATCAAGCGAAGGACCTAGATACCACGAAATCACATTCTGCCGACATGAACCCATTCGCAAAAGTCTTCCTCGGAAGCTCAAACTCGCCGGTCCATTCGACGCAGAAGGTGAAGCACACCGTCCAGCCCGTCTGGGAGTCCGCTACCGAGTTCTTGTGCACGGACCGCACGTCGTCCGTCATTACCGTCAAGATCATCGACGACCGCGATTTCCTCAAGGACCCCGTCGTCGGCTACACCTCTATCCGTCTGGAAGATCTACTCGCCACGCGCACCGAAGCAGGCAGGGACTGGTGGAGATTGAGCGGTTGCAAGAGTGGCCGGCTGCGCTTGAGCGCGGAATGGAAGCCGCTGAACATGGCAGGAGGCTTGCATGGCGCGGATCAATACACACCCCCTATCGGCGTCGTCCGGCTCTGGCTGCAGAAGGCGACGGACGTCAAGAATGTCGAGGCTGCGCTCGGCGGAAAGGTGAGCTACAGTCTTGTAGATGCAGAGGTTTCAAAGTCTCACCTGTCAAGTTCAAGAGCGACCCATATGTACGCGTCCTCGTCAATAACACGATTCAAGCTAGGACCGAGGTCGTCAATAACAGTGAGTCAAGCATGCGATCATGTACAATATAGTCCTTCTGAGCCTTCGCATAGATCTCAGCCCCGTATGGGATCAAATCATCTATACTCCTGGTAAGCCCGATCCGCGAGTGCAATGACAAGATTATATCATCTCATGACTTTTGAATATTCACTTGCCAGTTCACTCACTGCGAGAGACAATGTTATTGGAGGTTATGGATTACCAACACTTGACAAAAGATCGATCGCTTGGCACTGTCGAACTCAAGGTTGCCGATCTGGCACAGGAGTCCGATGACCCTCGATTCCACTATTCATCGTTGGGAAAGAAGGAGGTTGTGGATCCAATCCGTCTCGATCGCGGTAACTCCTACAAGGGACAGCTGCACTACGTCGCCGAGTTCGTGCCCGCCATCGCTCTCAAGGGTGTCAAGTTTGATACGTCTCCGAATGAGCTGCAAACCGCGATTGAGGGCGGCGGCGGCGAAGAGGATGGTGAAGTCGTGTCGGATGCTGCTTCGTCGATCTCAAGCTCGAGCGAGGAGGCTCAGGCCGTGCCACACGGCGTCACTGCGAGGGCACCCATGGGTGACAGGAGTCACACGAAGGGCGCATCGTCCACGGACACCACTGGTACGAAGGAGACAACCAAGTCGACCGAGCCGCAGAGCCCTATCGTGTCTTCGTCGAGCGTGAAGAACATATCTGAGAACGGGGCGAACGGCAATGGCAATGGGGCGTCAAAGGAGCCTGAGGACAAGGGCGTAGAAATGAGCAGGGAGGAGCTGCTTCGGCAACGTGCGTCATTGTCCATATTATCGTCAGCGCTGAGTTAAGGTCTCGGTCACCATGTGGCGATTGCTCACAGAATCTGGCATCATCATCTTCAACGTCAAGTCTGGTGAGCTGACGAAGAAGGCACGTCTGGAGGTTCTTCTGGACGAGGGCTACTGGCCAGCCTTCAGCACGGCGAAGGCACACGGCCATCGCGCGGCTTGGGAACATGTCGGTGAAGGGTTCCTCAAGGAGCTCGATTTTGGTCGTGTGTGGTTGAGGTTGAACGAGGCTGATGAAGGGGAGAAGGACGACATTGTCGGCGAGTGGAAGGGCGATGCGAAAGCATTCTTGGGACAGACTCTCGTGAGTCTTTCATGAATACTTGGACTATTTCCGGATTTTGTTGATCGTGTTTGTCAGGATGAGCCGGCTAAATTCGCCCTCTTGGATGAAGACGAGAAGGTTGTGGCCACCGTCGAAATTGAAGCACGCTATGTTCCCGTTCCTGTAACCCTGGAAGCTCGGGAAAGTGTCAACAGTAGGTATCTGCTCTATTGGGTGCGGATGGTCGTTGATTCAAATTCATTATAGATCAAGGTCTTTTGCGTGTGGGCTTGCTCGATGGACATGGCATTCGCGGCGTCGACAGAGGAGGTGTGTAATCTTATTGGGCTGCGTCCAAGGAATGCACTCATCTATGTACTAGGCAAATCCGACCCCTTCGCCGTATTCACCCTCAACGGCCAACGGGTCTTTAAATCCCAAACCAAGAAGAAGACACTCACACCCGAATGGTTTGAAGACTTTGTCGTGTCTGTGGTATGTACATCTCTGCCTTGGTCAAACCCTGTCTTGACCATCTATGTAGCCCTCGCGTGTCGGCGCAGACTTCCGGGTGGAGGTGTTTGACTGGAATCAAATTGAGCAAGCAAAATCTTTGGGCTCAGCGTCAATTGCCCTTGACGACCTCGATCCCTTTTCTGGCGTCGAGCGCACTGTGCAATTATCGCACGAAAAGCACGGCGACAAGGGCGAACTGCGGATGTCGCTCCTATTCCAACCGGAAATCATCGCCAAGTCGCGCAAGAACACGTCGACTTTTTCTGCTGCTGGGCGCGCGATGACACAGATCGGCTCAATCCCAGTGGGCGCAGGCAAGGGCGTGTTCCATGGAGTGACCGGGATCTTCAAGCACGACAAGGACGGCGACCTCGAGAACGGCGTTGTGTCTGGATCTCCTAAAGCCACATTGAACCAGGATCTTCCCGGCTCGCAGATGTCGCAGCCGGTTGGTGCGTCGGAACACATGGGCGGCGATGGTGCCGTCTTCCCTGCTATAGGCAAGCCGGACTCTGTTAAGGCCGAACCTGGGACGCTGAGAGTCACAGTCTTGAACGCGAAGGATTTGTTGGCGGGAGGCGACAGTGTGAAGCCATACGCTGTGATCAAGGTCGGAGACAAGGAGCAGAAGACGAAGCACGCGGGAAAGACACTGGCTCCTGAGTGGTAAATATGCCCCCGCTCTACTGATTATCGGCACATACTAAGCGTCTTGTTGTAGGAATGAGTCCCTTATATTTGCTGCTGGCCCTTTCACGCCCAAGCTCTATGCATACATCCATGATCACAAGACGCTTGGGAAAGACAAGCTCTTGGGTGAGGCAGAAGTCGACGTGAGTGGATTTCATAGCTCTCGTCATATTTTGAATCATCCTGACCTCGGGTCGGTAGATCTGGCGGCATATACAACCCGTCGGGACTTCCGCTGCCGATGTGTTTGTCGAATTGCGGGAAGGTCAAGGCCTCCTCCGACTACGGCTGGAGTTCGACGCAGACAGCAGCATTCCTACCGGCCGTCAGTCGACTGTATCATCTATGGAGCGTGGCCCAGCTCTAAGCTCACCGTCACGATTTAGCATAAGGGGACGCAGACCCGGTTCGGACAGGGATGATTGATTATTGGATTAGCGACTCTGCGCCCCTCATTTCTCCCTTCTATTTTAGTCGTACGCCACCACAATCTCTTTTTGAGATCGATTTCTCTTTGAATATAAAATATGGTAGGACCGAGCAGTGACGCCTGCGAAGGGCGTCGCCGTAATGGGGTTTGTCCATAATTTTCGGCGATGTTCTTGTTTACCTCTTTTTCGGCCATGTCATAGCCTCTGTCCTCGGACTTCTAGCTGTATTTCTCTGCATTTTCGTTCTTTGTACTAACAATATATATAATCCCATTTTACTGTTAGCGGCTCACTCGATAGTATAACCCGACCGAGAACCGCCAGCGCTGAATTTGATATGAAATGGAGCCAATATAACGAAGCAACAAAAAATCGTTCTCTTATCCATATGTTATCGGAAGAAACAGATGATGAAGAGATGTTCGTGACCTGCCCGTCGTTGAATCACAATCTAAAGACACGAGTTAGCATACTATTTAAAAGTCTGCAGGATCATGGCTTTACCTCGCTGCGCAGGCCGTGTTTTTCTTGCATACGTGCTTGTATCCCAGGAACATTGTTCTGTTTTACGGCCACAAGGTAGAAACGACCTTGCGGAGATAAAAGCTCCTGAACAATGGGTCTTTGTCCTGAGCTGTGTCCTCAGATATATTTGCTCACGAAAGGACTGACCTCCACCTGCCCAAGCAAACGATCGGTCACTCGCATGCCGTCCTCGCCACCTGCCCACGAGCCTGCAATATCAGCTCGATACTGTGCAATGTCAGCCTCCTCATCGAAAGTTGGTACATAAGGCGGGTTGAAGACTAGAATGTCGATAGAGCGAGCGAGGCGAGATGATAAAGGTTGTGTCAAGTATGCGGTGATAGGGTCGAGCGGGATCTACTAGGTGTCAGATATCACTGAAATATTAGTTTGAACAGGCGAGGACGGGCGAGACAATGACTCACCTTGTTTTGGGTCCCTGTGAGGAGCGTACAGTGAGATGCGTGAGGGTTGATATCGGTGCAGAGATAGACTGTCAAGGCTGCACTGAGTAAAGCTTCGAGAGGAAAAAAATAAGAGGGCGTACGGGCATTTGAAGGACCCAAGATGGTGCCGATAAAACCGGACACACACCCAGAGCCAGATCTGAACGATACATTAGGTGAAGATCCACACAACGAAATGTGAACGATCGTACGAACCCAATTTCAAGGCATATGCGAGGATTGAGGTCTCTCAGAGCCTGTGCATCCTGCTCGAGTGCATCCAGCAGGAGAAATGTATCCTCTCCAATTACAGAGTCTCAGAGAAGCAGTGAGCGGTTTCTTCAGACTATGACATACCTGCCGGTTCGTAAACGTGCTCAAAGTCAAATCTTGTCAGATGAGACGTGTCTGGTGTTGGAATCATAGTTGCATGTCAAGGTGCACAAGCCCTAACCCCATCCATGGGTTGTCTGAACTGAGCGCGCGGGCAGCAAACTTAGTTGGGTTCAGGCCCTCAGGGACACTCGTATCAATGTGTCGATGGAAGCCTCGATCACCGGCAACATCATTACTTTGGGGAGAAGAATAAAGATATATAGATATAGAAAGAGCTGTCGTAAAGGGAAGAAATTCCAGCAATTGTATGATGCGCTACAGATTGAAGAAAATGGTAGCGAACAAATTCCTCAGGTCCGTTCTGATGTGCGCCTACCGTCCCTAGCATCGAAAGCTCTACCTACTATATTGTCCAGAGTATGTCCCTGCGGAAGCCTTGCCTTGAGTATGTATGTCCAAAACCCGGGAGCAGCCCTGATATCATCAGACTTTGACGTCGTCAAAGCGGTACTTCTCAGAATAGAGCGGAACCTCTCCGAGACTAGGCGGCATGCCAGGTCCCGAGTTTTGATACGGATTGTAGGCAGGCGCAGCCTGTGAATCTACCGGTCCATTGATCCACTGTATAGTAGTCAGTAATGATGTTTCATTAGATGGAAACGAATATGCTTACAGATGGGAGGTAGGCGGCCGGGTGGAAGTTTGTAGCCATTTGGTTAGGGGGTAGGGACACCTTCAGTTTCTGCAAAATTCACACGTTAGCCCGAGGTTCTCTTGAGCAAGTCTGCAACCAGATTCGTTGACGTACAGTGCTCATCGTGAACACACCCGGCATGCTGACTGTCCACTTCGGTATGAATGCGCTGGGGCCTTTCATGCGCAGATCATCATCGGCCCAGCGTTTGACCAGCGCATTCGCACGACTTTGACCATTATACTTCCAGATGAAGAGAGGAATGTAGAAGAAGAGCATGATTCCAATGAAAACAGCGAATGAGATCGCACGAGCCTGGAAGAATGGTCCTTCACGATCGCCTGGGCGGCGGTGGTCCTTGGACATAGCGCGAAAGATGACGGGATAGACGGCCGTTGGAACCACGATGGAGGCGCTGGGGAGAGAAGGAGGTTGAGATGTTTTTGGACAGTGCGACCATTACTATGAACTCACAAGAAAGCGGCTAACATCCAGCAACCTTCGAAGACAGGATAAGAATACCGAGAGGCGAGGTTTGTCAGATTGGGGATACGGGTAGCCCAAGCATCCGGAGAGACCTAGGGGGAATGAGGTGATGGGCTAAGGAAAGATGATAAGATGCTTACATGGCCATGAAGCTCGTAAGGCAACACGGGGGGCGGTTGCTTGCGAGAAAGATACTGAACAACATGTCAGGGAAGCTAAAATACCGAATGCGAGCGTCTCTCACCAGGAGGATGTCGGAAGGCGTCCTCTGGGGCTGCGAAGTGGTGTACATGCTGGCCATTTCGAGAGAACTCCGGAAAGCAGCTTAGAAGACGACGTAGGAAGCAATTACAAGGAATAATGAACAACGACCAGGTTGCGACGGAAGGCTGAAAGAAAGCTAATTCGAGCCTGTCGAGAAGCAGCTACAGAGACCTGTCTGTGTAGAAAAGAAGGGAGAAAAGGAGGAGTAAACTGGCACAAAGGACAGTAGCAGGAATCAAATCTTGAACTGAGCAACCGTCTCCATCGGCGGGTACGGTCGGTACGGCGCCGACATCGCCCCGTCGGTTGGTATTGGGGCCCCGCGAACATCTCCAATCTCCTGGCGCAGACTTGACAGCAACTTTCGACCGATTGAGAGCGATCGCGTGAATGGAAATAATCGCATAGGTCACGCAGTGGTATTCTGCCTTGTACTTAAGTCTGTAATCACTCGATGAAAAGATGAATAAATCAAGAAGATATTCAACAATTGATTTAGTGAGCTGGATACATGGAAGAGTATAAAGCTACTCAATGCTGACAGACAACGCAATGGATACAGGATACGGTAAACAGGATACAGAGACGAAGGAGTATACAAATCGATTTGCACAACATAAAGCAGTCTGAGCTCGTCCTAACAGACACTGTCCACGAATAGGATTTACAAGACACAAAACTCTGCCATGGTCGTTCGGCAGAGGCAGTCTGTTTCTCGATGGAAACGCGAAGGGGAAAACAAGAGCAAAGGAGGAGGGGGAACAGGGAAAAAAAGGTTAGCATGGAATACTAGAGCGTCGAAGTAAGATGCAGGTGTAGTCTACAAAGTAGGTCAGCACTCGAAACAACATCTAGAATGATCATTCACCGACCTTGATTCGGTATTCACGAGTATCCCATGTCTTCTGACTCTCGTCTACGATGGCATCTGAAGCTCCGGCCAGAACCAGGCACCACCCTAAAAGAAAGAAGAAAACACTTCGGGTCGACATATCAACCAATTAGAACTGACGAGCAACGGAGTGTCAGCTATCGCTCGTAGGGCGGAAAAGCAGTGCGGCTTACCTCGAACTCGACATAGAGGCACAACCCATGCCAATTACCCCCGTCCGTGACAACGTCCAACCGGCCAGAGCCAGACGATATCACCGAAAAGGGCAGAGACCAGTTCGTGATCCTATCACCTTGAATACTTTACCCCAGAATTTCCATGTGTGCATAAAAATAAAAAAGAGAGAGAATGAGAGAAATGAGAGAATGAGAGAAATGAGATAGATGAGAGAAAGAAAGAAATGAGTGAAGAGAGAACGAGAGAAATAAAGAAAAGGAATAAATGATAAGAAAAGAGAAAGAAAAAAGAGAGCGAAAGAAAGAATCGAGAGAATGAGAGAAAGAGAAGACAGAGAAGACAGAGAGAGACAGAGAGAGAGAGACAGAGAGAGAGACAGAAAGACACAGAGAGAGAGAGACAGAGACAGAGAGACAGAGAGACAGAGAGACAGAGACAGAGACAGAATAAGAACGAGAGAAAGAGAGAGAGAGAGAGAGAGAGAGAGAGAGAGAGAGAGAGAGAGAGAGAGAACGAGAACGAGAATGAGAGAGAGGGAATAAGAACGAGAATGAGAGGGGTAACGAGAATGAGAATGAGAATGAGAATGAGAATGAGAATGAGAATGAGAATGAGAATGAGAATGAGAATGAGAATGAGAATGAGAATGAGAATGAGAATGAGAATGAGAATGAGAATGAGAATGAGAATGAGAATGAGAGTGAGATAACGAGAACGAGAAAGAGAAAGAGAGATAACGAGAACGAGAGAAAGAGAAAGAGAACGAGAACGAGAACGAGAACGAGAGAGAGAAAAAAATAGAGAGAACGAGAACGAGAACGAGAACAAGAGAGAAAAAAGAGAGAGACAGGCATACCTGCGCCCAGTCGTTCCCAGAAAACTGCCAATACCTACCTCGACGTCCCGAAAGGCTCAGAACCCTCACACAGTCAACCGAGCTCCCGTCTCGATCAGGATCCCGACCTCCACATGCTCAGAAACCCCTCCCCAAGACGTCCCCCAAGCGCCTCCTCAGAAGTAGGAGTAAAACGGACCGCGTTCGGCCTCGAGCGTCTGGAACGCGGACAGCTGCGGCATCATCCACTCCTCGTCCGGAACGGGAGTGTAGGTTTCCCAGTCGTAGAACGATGGACCCTCTAGGTCGAAATTGCACTCGTCCTCCTGGGGCTGGAAACAGACCTTCGCCACCTTGTTTGCCGCCTCTGCGTCTTCCACAGGCTTCTCCGCGTTCTCCACGGTCTCCTCCAGGTCTTCCATGCGCTGCTCCTCTTCATCCTGCTCCTCCCCAGCCGTCACGAGCAGTTCCACCTCGAGCTCCTCAATCTCGTCCTCCGAAAGCGACGCATCCGCACAGTCTGGCATCTCCCCCCTCTGCAGCGCGCGCGGCGTCGAGTCTCCTTCGTCGCTCCACTCGTCCTCCTCGATGCTGCGGACCAACATGTTCTGCACCTCGAACTCGTCGTGCTGGTCCTCTGAGAGCAGCGCGGACTCTTCGATGACCAACGGGAATCTCACGTTCCGGCGCGCAGACCAGGCTTCACTATCGGTTGGGATGCTGGCTCCTTCCTGCGGCAGTGGCTCCTGTCGCGCGTCCTCCAAGCTATGACTGGCGCTCCAGAACGTAAGGTCCACCTCTGGCTCTGGCTCCTCTTCCTCTTCAGCAACAGGACCGGGGGCACCGTCCTCGAGAAGCCACTCGCGCCGCGCATCCTCCAGGCTCAGGCTGCAGCTCCAGAACGTCAGGTCCACCTCAAACGCATCGTCCGCGTCCTCCGCGTCCTCTTCGACGGTCAGCATGCCCTCCACCTCCATGGCGTCGCGCGCGTCTTCGGCAGCCGTAGGGTCTACCTCCATATCGCACCCTCCGTCCTCTTTGACGACCTGCGCGACATCGACCTCCATGGCATCGAGCCCCGCATCGACGACGGGGGTCTGGGCCTCCTCCCCCCGCGCATCGCCGAGACTGCAGCTCGCGCTCCAACCCGACATGCCGACGTCCTCGACGGGGATCCCCAGCTCCTCGCGAGCCTCCTCCGCGAGAACGGGAGACGCGCGCGCCGCTTCTGCGCGCTGCAGGGCGATCGAGGCCAGCACGAAGCGCGGCGTGATCTTCACCGGCGCGGGCCTGTAAGTGGGGGTCGCGGGCACGGGGGGGCGCGGGCCAGGGCGCGGAACGGCCATGGGGGGGACGAGGCCCGGGAGCCTGCAGAGGGCCTGCGCGCGCGCATGCACGACGCGGCGGCGGAGCGCCCTATCGGCCCTGACGAGCGCGCGCATCGCGGTGCCGGGGTCGGCGAGCGCGAAGCCGGCGAGGCACCACGGGTCGGTGGGGTGGAAGATCTCGGCGGGCGCGTGGGCGGCGCCGTGCTCGCGGATAACGAGGCGCTGCGTGTCGGTGGAGAGGCGGAGGAGGAAGGTGCGCCCCTCGAGCTGGACGGAGTCTGTGATGGCGGGCTTGGTGGAGTGCGGGTGGAGAGAGAGGGAGGAGGACCACGGGGAGCGCCCGGCGCGGTCCTCGAGGTCGGTGTTCTGGAGCATTGAGAAGGGAACGCGGTAGGAGAAGGAGGATAACATGGTGATGGATGATAGAGTGTGAAGATAGTGTGAAGATAGAAGGTTTGGAGTTGTGTAGAAGAGCTCGGGGAGCAAGTAAGAGATGGTACGAAAGAACGTCTCTTGAGAGGAATTAGGCGACCAGGGCAGGGTTATATGGATGACCTACAGATTCAGACCAGGTCAGTCAGGAATAAAAGTCAGCAAGGGAGTCGAAGACGGCCAGATAGAAGTCACGGCTGTCTGGGCGTTTTCGAAAAGTATCAGCGTGAAGACAAAACAGCGGACTGGTTCTATTGAGCTGCTTTACAGCGAGTGTAAGAAAACAGTTTGGCTTAAGACCTCGTAAAAATAGACCCCAGCTGAGAAATTTTACTATTTAAATGCAAAGATATCGACATCTCTAGTCGCAGCTGCAAAGTCGGCAGTCAAGGGGTGCAAGGCTGCTGGTCGAAACTTTGATAGCTGCTAGGCCAGCACGAAACTCGAGCACCAGAGCATCTCCAAGCTAACTTGATGCCTCTTGATGCTGTGAGTGTAGGAAGGCGCAAACGAAGAAAGCTGAGAAGGAACAATGACGGAGGAAACAGACAAGCGCCCGTAGACGTCACGGAAGGCTCGGCACCTCTCGGCACTGGCTTGCAAGCCGGTGACTGCCACAGTGGAACAATCTCCTTGTCTCTCTCGACAAATCACTCTACTAACACCTGTACCACACACGGTCTCCAGACCGATCCCAACGCCCCCTTTCTCACAACTTCTTTTGATTCTGTTTCTACAACTAGTGACGCTGGCTCATCTGACCGCCCATCATGAGTAGCCCGTCCTCTTTGCGGGACCTCTACGGCACCTCATCGACCCCATGGACGTTTGTGCCCCCGCCCAGCCCAAACGGATCCTCTTCAGCGCCTCCCGCGGCCCCAAGCGTCTCCGCGCCGTCCTACACCTTCTCCTCGCGGCCCGCGCCGAACTCCATCTTCGAGCTCTCGCCGGGGCTCACGGAGCCGGGCGGTGCAGACGTGGTGCTGCTCCTCAAGACGCTCGTGGCGAGCACGGTCCTGCAGTACGCGACGACGGCGATCGCGATGCCGTGGGAGGTCGGCAAGTGCTTGCTGCAGGTGCAGTGGGTCCCGCGCGACGCGGGCGACGAGCCCCCTGAGGAGGACGCTGCCGCTGCCGCCGCCGCCGAGGAAGAGGTGCGTCCGCCCGCGTGCTGCGTGCTGCGCGTCGGGACGTGCATGGCTGACGGCGCTCTGCAGCTCAGCGACGAGTCGGGCGAGGACTCGGAGTCGTATTTCGCGGATCCTGGCAGCTCGGCGCGGTATCCTGCCCAGCGCCCGGCGGACGAGCAAGGGTACGTGATACGCAGGAGCCTGCTCGAGGAGAGCACGCAGCCGGAATACATCATTCCGCTCGGCAGCGCGGACGGCGTGTGGGGCATGATCAAGCGGGTGGGACGGTTTCGCAGCGAGGGATGGCTCGCGCTGTGGAAAGGTGCGCGGGGCGCGGACATGCAGATCGCGCGGCTGACAGCGATGCGAAACCGCACACAGGACTACTGACAGCATGCATCGCCGAATTCCTCTCGTCGACGCTGCAGCCGCTCATCCACGGTGCTCTCGAAGCGACGTTCGCACCCGCGTCGGCGTCGCCGTACGCCTTCCCCAGCCAGACGTCCTCGCTGCTGCTCCCCGTCGCGTCGCAGATGATCACGGGCTTCCTCCTCTCCCCGCTGGACCTGGTGCGCACGCGGCTGATCGTGCAGTCGTTCACGCAGCGGCACCGGACGTACAGCGGGCCGCTGGACGCGCTGCAAAAAATTGCGCAGGACGAGGGCGGGCTGCGCGGGATGTACCTGCACCCGCACCTACTCGTGCCGGCGCTGCTCGACAGCGCGCTGCGGCCGCTGATCGCGATCGCGCTGCCGCCGATCCTGGCGGCGCGGGTGTTCGGTAGCGCGGCGATCTCGGCGGACACGCACCCGGTGACGTGGGGCATGGTGGAGCTGGCGAGCAGCTGCGTGGGGCTGCTGGTGAGCATGCCGTTCGAGACGGTGCGGCGGCGGCTGCAGGTGCAGCCGCGGGGGCGGGCGGTGCGGATGCGGACGTGCGTGGAGACGCGGCCGGCGCCGTACAACGGGGTGGTGGACGCGCTTTGGCACATTGTGACGGAGGAGCGGTCTGACCTGCCGATCGAGCGGCGGCGGGGGGCGAGGCGGCGGGACAAGGGCAAGAGAAGGGAGAGCGGGGTGGAGGAGCGAGGGCGGGAGGAGGTTGGAGAGGGGGGCTGGTGGAGAAGCACTGGGCTGGGGCAGCTGTACCACGGGTTCGGGCTGAGGGTCGGTGCGAGTGCGATCATGGTGGTCCTGACGGTGTTGAGCGGGGGAGACGAGGGAGAAGCGGGGTGGGCTGAATTATAGGACGTGATACATATTACTTGGCAGGTAGCTCCGAATGCCGACGATTGTCTCTCCTGGCGGCACTGCAAAAATATGAGGCGCTACCAGGGCTCGAACCTGGGTTCCAGGAACAGAAGGGGGGTCAGAATCCTGAGTGATAACCACTACACTATAGCGCCGTGCGGGGTGGGACGCGGCGGGTGACTCGTAGTGCGGGGGTGGCGGTCGCGGATGCAGACCAGAGTCGACGCAGCTGCGAGACGGACTGCGAGCACGATGTCGACCACCGACAGCATCCCCCCGCACGCGTCGCCCGCAAGTGACCCAAAGTCCATCACAGGCCTCCTCTCCCGCGCTCTCCGCCGCATCCGCTCCACGCCCCCCAGGATCATCGCATCCCCCGCGACCCGTCCGTCTCTCGCTCCTCCCACCCAGCCGTTCGTTCGCTCACCCTCACCCTCTCTCTAGAGCCTCGCCGCGCAGCCGTCGCCCTCATCCTCCGCGTCGTGCCCCCGCCCAATGTGCCCCTCCCGCCCTCCCCGCCGCCCGCGCCCCCCTCTCTCACCGACTTTTTCGACCTCGACTGGGTAAAACACCCCGCCGCCCGCCCCGAGATCCTCTTCCTCCGCCGCGCAAAGGCAGACGCCTCCGAGGCCCACGCCAACACCCGCGACGCCCACGTCGCTTTTCCCGGCGGCAGGATGGAGGAGGGCGACGAGGGCGGCCTCTACACCGGTGAGCGCGCTCCCACTCGCCCACTGTCCGCCGTTTTGGTCTCACCCCTCTCCCGCGCCCTCGTGCAGCCATGCGCCAGACCTGGGAGGAGATTGGCCTCGATTTGGCAGAGGCCGACTACACCTGCATCGGCCAGCTCGACGACCGCGAGATCACCACCTCGCTCGGCAAGCGCCTTCTCATGATCCTCTCTCCCTACGGTGCGCCCGTCTCGTCCGCCTGTCCTGTCCGCCTCACGTGCTCACACGCCTCCCCACAGTCTTCCTGCAGCTCACCCCCACGGACCCGTCCACGGACCCGACCCCTGAGACGTCCCTGCACTGGATCCCGCTCACCGCCCTCTTCCCGTCCCCGACGTCCGTCATCGGGCCCTGCCCCGGCCCGCTCTGGTCCACCGTGACCGTCGACGCCGCCTCGCGCCTCGCCCCGCGCCACTCCACCGCCCTCCGCCTCCTCATGCGCGCCCTCGTCGGCAGCATGCAGTTCCCCGCCCTCGTCCTCGCGCCCCCCGCCGCCCCCATCGACCCCGACGCCAGCCCCGAAAAAGAGCCCCTCCCGCGCGGCTCGCTCGAAGTCGAGTCTGGCACCGCCCTCCTCCCCCACCGCGCCGCCCTCCACCGCCACCCGCACCACCCGCAGGCCCTCAAGCTCTGGGGCCTCTCGCTCGGCATGACCCTCGACCTCCTCGCCTACATGGCCCCCGCCCCCGGCGCCCCGCTCACCCCGTGGGACGCCGACGCCCTCATGGGCGTCTCGGGGCTCCCGCTCGGCGCGGACGAGGACATCGACTACGACGTCTGGAGCGCGAGCGGCAACGGCACCGGCGCCGACGCGGGCGGGATGCGCCGCCGCAAGTCGGGCAGGGGCGGCCGCCGCGGACGTGGGCGCATCAACGCGCCGCCGAGCTTGACCGCCGTGTTCCCGCGCTTCTCGTACCCGGACGTGAACTTCTGGATCTGGTGCGTCCCATTCTTTCTCGTGCGCGCGCGCGCGCGTTGTCTGGACGGTCGACTAACGCATCTGTTTTCGTTTTGCGTGCGCTAGGGTGTTCGGGAAGCGCTACCGCGAGGTGATCCGTGGATGGGAGACCTCCGTGCGCGCAGGCGGCACGAACGACAGACGGTACGTGTGCGCCGCTCCTCTGCCTCTCCGTCTCGATCTCACGCCCTGCGTTTTTCTTTCTGTCTCTCTTTCCTGCTTCGCCCGCTCGCCCCGGCGCGCAGGATAAACTGGACGGGTGCCGCACTGACGACGTTCTACGCCGCCGTGCGCAAGGCGCTCATCGTCGTGCTCGTGCTCCGCGCCATCGGCGTGCTCGTGAGCGTCACCGTCGGCCTCTGGTGGGCGTTCCGCTGAGACGCTCGCCGCGGCGCAAAAGCTGGCGCGCCGCCTTCCCTCCACACTCCGGCGCACCCCCGTTCACGAAGGCGGAGACGGAGACAGCCGCGATCTCGCTCCAAGTTTTCATTCCATTTCATTCTTCTTTCGTCCACATATTTTCCTGTCGGTACCGCACACTCTTCTTCGAACACGCCCGCGACGACCCCTCTCCCTCTCCTTTTCTCTCTTTTCATCTCCTTGCGGCTCTTCGCGTCGCGTGGCACGCATACGATTCTCAGCGCGAGCGGCAGCGACTCGCCCGTCTTTTTTTTTTCTTTCGCTTTTCTCTCACTTTTCTTCCCCTCGTCACGACGACGGCGCCGCGCGCGGCCCGCGATGGACACGAACTCTTGTGTTGACTCTCTCTACGCGCCACGTACGTACTGTCCATCCTGTTCACGCTACCCTCACACCCCACCTCACACACACATGCCTGTCGTCCTATCTCTGTCCTACCTTGTCCTATCCTGTCTTGTTCCTGTCCCTTTCCCTGTCCCTGTCCCTGTCCCTGTCCTTGTCCTCTCTAGCCACATGCGGATTCTCCCAAAGCTTTTCGTCCCGTCTCGACCGTGCGCCCGTATTACTACTCACTGTAAGCAAGCGAGCGCTCGGTGGATGCGCGCACGCCTGGATCGGCGACTCCTCGGACTCGGTATGTAGCAATGTACATACGCACAATGCACACGTCGCCCGGCAGCTTTTTTGCTGCCATCGGCTCACTATTTGCCGTCGCCACCTGCGCGAGTCCGTCTGCTTGCTTTGCTTGCCAGCTTCTGCTCGATGCTCGAGTGAGCGGCGCGTGGGCAGGACAGGACAGGGTCTCCCACTTTGAAAGGAGGAATCTGGCGTTCGCGCCACAGCGTACATTTCTTCGGCCCATTTGTCAAAGGTTACAAATAACAAAACTTCTTCCTGCGGGCTCAACTCTGCGGGGCTCGCCCACCTCATGCTATATACTCGTAACAGCTCCGCTGTGCACAGCGCCCTCTTACTCTACTCTACTCTACTCCGCTCTACTTCAGCTCAGCGGGAGCCCGCACACCTCGCAGTCGTGCCCTCCAGGCGCGTTCTCGAACGTGCAGTGCGGGCACACGCGCATGCCGCCGCTCCCGCCGGTATCCGCGATCTGATCGAAGAGCTCGGGCGGGATGTCTTCGTCCATGCGGTGCGACCCGGGGCCGGCGGACGATGGCGCGGCCTGGGACGGGCGCGGCGGGGCTGGAAGGGAGAAAAGCGTCGGAAAAGAGAGGACGGCGAAAAAGAGTGACGGGGTGCTCACGGGCGCTTTCTCGCGCGAAGGTCACCAGCGTGTGCCAGCTCTCGGTCGCGAGGATCGGGTCCAGGATCGCAGGGTCGTCTTTGTCGGGATTCGACGCGACGCGGATGAATATTTTCATGTCGTCCTGTACGGCGATTGCGTGTCAGCATACGTATACGTGCACGACGAGCAGAAGTAGACGGCGCACCTCGGAGACGAGCCCAGACGTCCCCAAGAACGCGATGAGATGCCAGTCGCTCAACCACTTTGCGAGCTCGAACCGCCGCGGCGTGTCCCCGTCGTGCCGGCTGTCGCTCACGTCAGGTGCGCGCTTGTCGTTCAACGTCCTCAGGACGCCCTCGATGCGCTGGTCCTCGAGCCCTGGCCTGTTCTCAATCGTGAATGCGGTCGAGTGGAAGACAGGCGACGGATTTTGCGGGAAGCCATGAGTCACCTGCGCGCGTCAAAATGAACGTAAACGATAAATGCTCGCGTCAAGATGCCACAGACGAGAGATGGGAGGTACGCACGTTGACGAGAAGGTACTCGACTGGGAACGCGGGCTTCGCGCTCTTCTTCACCTCGATCCCGTACTCGTTCTTGTATCTGAAAAACACGTCCGGGACGTACCGCGCATCGTTGCCGTCCTCGCCTCTGCTCTCATGCTTCACGAGCATCGTCCCTGGGTCAACGCTAGCCTCTATCATGTCCGCCTGCACCATCCCAACGGCTTGCTCGGACACTTGATACGCCGACACGTCGATCGCGCCGTCCTCGGTGCCGGTGAGTACCGCCGTGACGAGACGCGAAGAGAACTGGCCTGTGGGCGAGGACCGCGAGGACATGGGGTGGCTGGCCTGCATGTGTGCAGCAAAGATGACCTCGAGCGAGGAGAGGAAAAACGAGTTTGGATGCCGCTTGTAGACGTTCTTTGTGCGGTCCTCAGGCGTGGGGTCAAGATCAGTGAAGATGTATCCCACAATCTGGAGGGGCGTCGATGCGGATCTGGCAAGCTCTTTGATGCGAGGCTCGTCCTCCCAGGGAAGACCTAATGAAAGGCCATCGAGTTCGCCCTCTTGCGGTGGCTCGTGAATCGCTTCAACGACGGCTTTCACGCCCATCGGGACCTTGTCATAGGCTTCATAGCGTCCGATCAGCCACCCGAACCGTTGCAGACCTGTTACCCTCCAAGCTTGCAGGAAACGATCGACGATTTCCATGGACGCGATTTCAAGATGATCCACTGTTCTGAACGGTTGGCTCTGTAGGGTAATCGCTGAAGGTTGGCACGCCGTGCAGATTCCCGCAGGCCAGCTCGGGTGACCACCGGTCGGGCAAGGGACCTTGACTCGGTAATCTGGCGGCGTCAGAGGGGGCAAGGCGGCGGCGGCGGTCGATGAGGTCTTTGGAGTGAGTTTCTTGATATATGCGTGATATGAGAGGTGCTTAATGCTGTGTTCTGAATGGTAGGCCGTGTCGTATGGCTCGAGGGGCATGCAGTAATCGCACATCCCGCTGGGACCGTGTCGACAGAACTTGGAGTCTCTACTGCGAGGGATCTTGCCGTCCTGTGTCCGCCAGTACTGGTCGACGGGATCTTCTTGCACGATTTCCCATGGCCGTGGAATTGTTGTGGACGCAGAGGAGGGCGCCGGGGCAATCGCGGGGCCAGAGGCGGGTTCATGGGAGGTACTGGCAGAGGGACGTTGCTGGTATGTGACAAAAACAAGATCCCCGTGACTGCAAGCAAAACGACGAGTCAGACGACGAGATCGTGATACGAAGCAGAGGGGCGCACTTCAATCCCAGGTTAGCCAGATTTCTGCCCTTGAGCGTGGAGACGAGGGTCTCGTTCCCTCGGGGCTGATTTGAGATCGCAAGAGTGGAGGCATCTGCATCCGTGGTCGTTTCCAGGATCTAAGATAGCGAGCGAACGTGAGCTAGAACGCGAGACTAGGTGAGGTGTTCCAAATACGTACTTTGGCCACCAGCTCGGATATATCGGTTGTGGGCTGGACCTCGAAGCGAAAGTTGCCGTCTCTTGATCTGATCCTGACCAGCTTCAGCGTCTTCAGCGATTTTCGCGGGGCTGGAGACGGAGAAGGGACTGACCATCGTGGTTGTAGGATGAACAGCGCTGCTGTGCGATCCCTGCCAGCTGTGCTTGCTTTGAGGAAGGTGACGCGTCCAAAGACCTGCGTCATGCTGAGTCAGGGGGTGACTCGCGTGACGCTCGCGTGGCCAGCTGTGACCGACGCGTCTAACTTACAGTAACGCGGGGACCAAACTGGCGGGCATTCGGAATTGTGTTGAATTCCGAATAGTTTTGACTTCGTGTTCTCCAGATCTGCGGCGGCGCAGTGGCTGTCCAGCCCGACACCGCCATCGGTGCACATAGTGAGGCTGTCAGTTTGAGAAACCTGGCGGGAGTGCGAGACTCGCCATGCGTGATCCCATCCTTGGAGATGCCTCCACGTCCTCTTGAATCGCTTCACCCCCCACCTAGCTCCCTCCGCACATTGCACCCACGACCCCAATTCGTTCGCAGCCGTGCAACGACTGCACAAGAGCCTCGACGGACGCCGGTCGAGCTCCTCTCCCCCGCAAAGTGCACGCCCACACTGGAACAGACGCAATTGCAAAAAGCCGCGGCGGTGGCTGCCGTAGATCTGTAATGCCCGCGCTGTCGCCATCTTGTGTCTTTATGGCGAATCACCCACACCACCGTGCTCTCCTCCAATGCCTGCACTCCGCATGCCTGCTTTCCGCCCGTTTCGAAGCCATATCCTCTCTGACGCCCGTTAAACATGCTTGCATTGAGAACCGAGGCCGCGCCCGCCGAAGAAGCCCTCACTTCCTTCGACTTTGCAGGCGTGCAGAGCGAACTGGACCTCTGGGAAAACCTCTCTTTCTCCTTCGACATGGACAAGGATCGCTCCAACCCTTCGGGGCACGCTCCCCACACCACCACCCGTTCCCACAGAACCAGATCCGCAAGCACCTCCTCCGCCGCGCCGTCCAATTCGCGTCCCCAGTCGAGTATGGTGAGCCCGCCGTCCTGCGATCGCGCACATCGTGCCCGAGCTCACATAAAACTGCAGGGCCCTCCGCCGGTCCCCCACATGCCAGGACCGGGCGTGCAGGGCCCGCCTAATATGCAACTGCCTCCTGGGACACCCGTCGAAGGCTACGAGGCCCTTGCGCGCGCTCTGAGCGCGCTCCAAGAGGCGTACATGTACCTGCCCGTGCAGTCCGGCTTTCCGTCCGCCAATATCCCCAACGATCCAAACCGATACCCGCCACAAATCCCGCCGAGCCTCTACGCCCAGTTTCCTTCGCTCCTTAATGCGGCCGGCGCGCAGCAGCAGCAGCAACAACAACAGCACCCTCAGCAGGTGCCGATGCCCCAGCAGTTCCATGCGCCTCCCTTTCCTTTTGCGTTCTCCCAGGACGGACAGCCTCTGCCTTCGCTACAGCCGCTTCCTTCGCTGCCGCCGTTACCCCAGGCTCCCCTACCTCGCATCAATACCCAGCAGCAGCAGCAGCAGCAGCAGCCCGTCGCGTCTACGTCTCGAGCGACGAGGTCCGCGTCCCCGCAGGGCTCTCCCGACGCCGGCAGCCCCGTCGACCCCGAACTCGGCATGAGCGAAGAGAAGCGCAGGCGAAACACCGCCGCCTCCGGTAAGCCGTCGCCCTCGCCCCCGCGCGCGCCTCTCCCGGCCTGACGTCGAGCGCGCGCGCGCTCCTGTCTCCCCCACAGCGCGCTTCAGGATCAAGAAGAAACAAAAGACGCTGAACCTCGAGCGCACCGTGTCGGACCTGACCGGGCGCGTCGACGAGCTCGAGCAGGAGGCGTCGGACCTGCGCCGCGAGAACGGATGGCTGAAGGAGATCGTGATGCTGAAGAGTAAGCGCGCCACGGGCGACTTTCTGCCTCCCGCTTCTGACGCTGGGGGAGAAGGCAAGGACGGGACGGACAAATCCAAGGACAAGGGCGAAGGGAGCAGCAAGGACCGCGACACCTGAGCAGGCAGGTGTATTGCAGGAGGATGTAACATGGATGTACATGATCTCTCTCATCTCTACGACATGTCTGTATAATCGACTGGATGCGGATCGCCTGCAGAAGGCTTTTTTTTTTTTCGTAAAGTGGCCGTTCACCATCCGAAAGCGGCGAGCAGAGCGTTCGCATATGCCCAGCCCTTCCCCTGCCGAAATCCACGGGGGCCAACCGATTCCCTATGTGGGAGAGGGAGGAGACCACCGGGTCATGCAGCACCAACTGAGTTGTAAATTAAGTGCAAAGTTTCGACTCCGCGCGACGGAGCCGTCGGGTCCCGCTCGCTAACGCCATTCGGAGCAGGCGCGGACGTTGCTGTCTTCTCCGGGGCTTCACCGTGGCCTGCACCCAAAGAACGCATCGGGCCAGCATTCTATTCTCCCTGCCGCTGCGCACAAATACACGCGTGTGTGTGTCGTATACAAGACGTCGAAATAAGTTAACGACTCCCGTGAAAACGCGCGGGGGGGTCACCGCCCCCGCTGCTCGTGGACGACGACGTCCATGACGGACCTGTGCGGCGCGCGTCAGCGGGGCCCGCAGACGTCGCGCCGAAAAGCACAAAGAAAGCAGCACCACGCACCGGAGGTTGATGGAGTACCCCGTCTCGACGTCCGTCAGCGTCAGCGTCTCGATCGGGTGCACGCCCGGCGCGAGCGCGAGGAAGTCCATCCTCACCGACTGGCACGTCGACGGCCTCAGCGGGCTGTCGCGCACGGGCCGTCCGAGCGTCGATGTCAGCGCCCGGGGAGAACAGAGACGGACAAGAGACGCGCTCACCCCACGCGCACGCGGTTCTCCAGCGGCACGACGCCGTGGCCGTGCCCGCCCTTCCCCGCGCCGTCCACCTGCCGCCGCCTCCGCCGCTCCGGACAGCTCACCTCGAACCGCCGCGTCCACGAGCTCTGGTTGAACACGAACACGTCCAACGTGAACCGATCGTGCGGATATATCTTCGGCGGGCCCCCGCCGTCCGCCGCACCCACCCCCGCCTCGACGGCCTCATTCCGATGCGACAGCAGCCCAACCGACACGACCACCTTCTCGCCCTCCTGCGCCTGGTCGTGCTCCGCGCCGTGCGCGCCGCCGCCCACCCGCGGGCCGAGCGCGCTGGGGGACACGCCGCCCAGCCCCGCAGCCGACGCAGGCTCCGCGTGGCCGCGCGACCGCGGGATCTCGACCGTGGGGCCCACGCTCCCGCCCCAGCCGGCCACGGGCCCCTGCGCGCGCGGCGTGGGCGGCAGGGGCGCGGACGGGTACGCGGGATAGGCCGGGGTCGGCGGCGGCATCGCGTCGAAGAAGCCCTCGTCCGCGGCGCCGGTGGGCAGCATGGGGCTGAGCGGCGCCGGGGGCGGGATCCCGCCGAACCCGGACGTGGCCATGGGCGTCGGCGGGGGCGGCGCGAAGGTCGTGGTGGGCACCGTGGGCGTGCGCGCGTAGGACTGCACGGCGATGGAGGGAGGGGTGTAGGCGACTTTTGAGAGCGGGCTCGGGGACGTGGTCGGGTAGCTGTCGCGGCGGTTTGCGGGGTTGAGGAGCGAGGTCGAGGAGCGGTAGTTCATTGGCGGCTTGGGGACCCTGCCGGGAACGGTGGTGGGGAGCGTGTGCCGTTTGTTCCCTGCGACGGCGTTAGAGGTGGGATTGGTGGGTGGGTGATGCTGTTGCTGTGAAGCGAGGGACATGGCGGTGTAGGGCGTAGCGGTGGGGAACGGGGACGCGGGCTCCGGGAGCGCGTTGTGCGGGTCGACGCCTGTGCTCTTCCCGCTGGAAAGCAGCGCGGAGAACTCGTCGTCGACGGTCCGGGCGACGCTGAGCGAGTCGCGATTTCGCTGCAGCGACAGGTCGAGGATGCAGTTCCAGCGCGACACGAACGTCTGCGTCGGATACAGCACGCCGGACGCAGACACCTCGAACGGGCGCCCGTGCACGTTGATCGTCACCGCGCGCTGCATCTCCCCCTCCGCGGGGGGCTCCGCGCCCCCGAGCAGCGGCTGTTTCTCCGGGAGCGCGGACGCGAGGAACTCGACCGCGTAGAGCACGTTGTACTGTTCCATGCCCAACATCTTGATCGGGAAGACCTTGCCCTCGTCCCACGTGATGAGGCGCACGCGCGTGCCCTCTCCGCCGCTCACCCGCACGTCGATGTCGTCCACGGAGAACCCGTGCCCAGACTCGCCCGAGTTCTCGATCTCGACGCACAGCACGACGGTGCGCTCCGTGTGCCCGGCCGCGAGCTCGTCCAACTCGTCATCAAGGTCGCGCGGGCGCTCGGCGTCGGGCTGCGGGAGGAGGACGTACGGGACGAAGACGGTGCGCATGCGCACGCGGAAGCCGGATACGGTCTGGAGCGTCTTGCGGAAGGACTTTCGGAGCGTTGGGTGCACGGGTGCGGTCACCGTGGTCGGTGAAAGGGCGGACGCTGAGCGCGGCGACGGCGGCCGCACGGGCGAAGGCCCGAGCGCGAACTCCTTTCTGCGTGTGCGTGGGCCCAGCCTGGTGGTGGGCAGATCCAGAGGCTTGTCCGTCTGATGAGCGAACGTCGATCCTTGTCGCGGCGATCAGACCCAAGACAGAGACCAGAGGACAGATGCGCGCTCACCGGAGAGCAGACCCCCGAGTAGATTAACTTCGTCGAGTCCAGTTTGCTTCCTAGGCTCATCGTCGTCGTCGTCGGCGCCGTTGAGCACGGCGGGTGTTTTTGGGAGCCCGCCCGCTGCGGCGATGAGGGTCGCAAGGTGCTTGCGCGCAGGCGTGACGAATACCGGCTTCTCGCGCAATGTCATCGAGACCGTCAAGCACAGCAAAGGATCGTGCAAGTTCATGCGCAGAAAGACTGCGACAAAGTGAGATGGTCCGCGCGCGGGATGGAGCAGGCGAGGATCGCTCACCGACGTTGACGGACATCGAGTAGACGGCGACCCATTCTTTCGTCACGGCATCCCACAAGAGCGCGAAGGCCTCCTTGCCGTCTTTCGCGTCCCCCCACACGCCCGAGGCGAGCGGGGTGCCCTCTGCCTTGACGTATCTGCGGTCGTGCTCGGTGGTCAGAGGCGTTGGGTTCGGCGTTGTCGGCGGGACGATGTTGGGCGGGATGTGGACGCGGGGTTTGAGCGACGATGCGCGGGGGGGCGTGGAGATGCGGACCGCTGGGGTGAGGAAGCCCGGCGAGGGCGAGGAAGAAAGGGAGACCGGGGAGATGTAGGACGCGTCGTAAGAGACCTGGACGTGTGCGAGGAAGGAGAGGAGGGCGATGGGCGGGTGCGCCGGGTCTTCCAGCGAGTCCGCGAGGGACTGTACCCTGAGGATGAGCAGGAACTGCAGATGTTCGTCTGTCGAGGCGGCGCGGCGAGTGAGTGAGTTGCAAGGCAGTATGTTATGTAGAGACGCCGCGAGGGAGACGCACCGAAGAAGGCCAGCCTTCTGTCTACGGCGTGGGACTTGAGCTGTGCGAGCCATTTTTGAGGGGATATGTCGTGGGAGGGGAAGGCGAGTGCGGTGTTGGGGACGAGGACGTCGAGGGCGGAGGCGTTGACGAGCTGGGCCAACGACGCCATTTGCAAGGTATCGCGGCCTCGGGCACTCGAAGCGCGTCCCTAGACCCCGACCGGGACGACTCGCCGTCCAGTCATGAACCACGACCACAACTCCTACTAGCCCCCTCCTCGCTCACACATGTTCTGCTGCTGCTTTCGCACCCGCTCAGATAGCACGGTCAGTGTCTCCCCCGTGCTCCCCGCCGCTCGTCGCTCATCGCGTCCTGGCCAGTCGTCCCAGCCAGACGAGCGCACTCGCCTTATCCCCCAGACCGAAGAACCGGCGTGAGCTCCTTCGCCCCTCCTCAGCCGTCGCAGCGCTGACCCTCGCCTCCCGCAGACCCATCCGCAATGCCGTCGTCGTAGACCCCGAGCGCATGGCCGAGCGCCTCCGGGGCATCGTCCGCTCCAAAGAGGGGTGAGCCGCCCCTTATCCCGTCCCCCCCCTACCGCGCGCCGCTCACCTCCCCGTCTGTCCCCCGGCAGCAAGATGGTCAGCCTGAACACGCCCCTCCCCTTCAACCTCCGCAACAAGGCCCTCACGACCTACTCGGACCCGTCCACGTCCCGCTCAGGCCGCTTCCCGTCCCCGCAGCCGTCGGTCGAGACCGCGCAGACGTCCGACTCGGCGTCCCACGACCCCGATAACGGCGACGGCGAGGAGCGCTCGGCGCTCAACGTGCGCGTCGTCAGGGTCGTCGGGCCCTCCGCTGCCGGTGCGTTCGCAAGGCGCGGTCGGAGCCACGCGCGGGTGGGCGTCATCGACGAGCAGGGCGGCCCGTCTGCGGATGTGCCGGCAGAACGGCCGATGGGCGAAGAGGTGGGTGCACTCCTCTCGAGTCCGCGCGGCTATCTGACCGAGGAGGACGTCGGCGCTCTAGGTCGTCCGCGAAGGCAGCCCGCCCCTCAACAGCGCGTTCAGCGTCGACGGCGTCGGCTCGCTCTCGAAGAGCTGGGGAGACTGAGCTTCCTGATCCTCGTTCACGTATACCCCTCTCCACTCTACCACCTCCACTCTCTTTTTTATTTTCCGGCACCAGGCTTTTCTTTCCGTCTTTTTTGTTCGTCTTTTCCTTCATCTATCTTCAAGGACAAACCTATCGTCTCGTGCTTTCGAACGTGCCCGATAACATACCGCTCCTTCACTCGATGCATTTAGAATCCATCTGGCCGACATGTACTTGTATACGCGAGGTCGTCTACTACATATATTTTTAGGAGATCTGGCTGATGTTCCGGACTGGCGCGCCCGACGCCTTGAAAACGACGAATTGATCCGGGCGTTCCCACGCTCGCTCGCTCGCTCGCTCACTCACTCACTCACCTCCTTCGACGATGTCATTCGGACGCCCGCCCTCGATCTCGGGTGGATTCCAGGTGAACCCGCCCGACCGCGGCTCGTTCCCGCTAGACCACGACGGTTCGCACCCGCTGACCCTGACCCCGCCCACGCGCGCGACGCGCTGATGTGCCCCCGGGCCGTGACAGGGGAATGCAAAGAGGCGATGATGCGCTACCTCGACTGCCTGCGGAAGCACGCGAGCGCGTCGACGGAGTGCCGGCACCTGAACCGCGACTACCTGGGCTGTCGGATGAAGAAGTGCGTCTGCATCTGGTCTGTGTCTGCCGCGGTTGCTGAACGCGCGCTGCAGAGGCCTGATGGAGCCGGACGAGTGGAAGAACCTCGGCTTGTCGAATCTCAAGGGCGACGACCCTCCTGCGACGGCGAAGACGCCGTCGGCGGCGGGGGCACCAGACGGGGGGACGGGGGGCAAGAAATGAGCCCGTGCTTCGCATCTCAGCCAGTGTACTACAGTATATATCCCCCATGTAATGAATCGCGCACCGCGCACCGCGCACTATCGCTATCCCACCTCCTTCACGCCGAGGGCGAGTCGTGCCCCCTCCTGGCCGCGGCGAGACACTCGTCCTCGAGTCCCTTGACCCAGACGACCTCGATCCCGGCGTCGATCAACCTCTGGGCGCCCTCGCACTTGACAAAGTCGTCGGGCTCGCCGACGCCGACGAAGCAGCGGCGGACGCGGGCGGCGATGAGGGCGTCCGCGCAGGGCGCGAGGCCGGAGGTGCGCACGGAGCACGGCTCGAGGGTGGTGTAGACGTCCGCGGCGCGCAGCAGGTCGTCGGCGCTGGCGGGGGGCGGGGCGGCGGGGAAGAGGGCGGCGAGGGCTGCGGGGGAGAGGGCGCGGGCGTTTGCGAGGGCGTTGGCCTCTGCGTGGGTGTTGCCGGGGAGCTCGCGCGAGTGGCCGGTGGCGAGGACGACGCCGCGGACGACGAGGACGCAGCCGACGCAGAAGGCGGACGGGGACGGGGTGCACTTGTGTGCCTGTGCGAGGGCGCGACGGAGATGGCGAACATGCTCGTCTGCACGACGGGCACGCACGCACGCTCAGCATCAGCATCGGCGGGGTGGGCGAGGGCGAGGACGGGGCGGGGCGGGGACGGACCTGGGAGGGCCATGGTGGCTCGGGAGCAGCGGCTGCGGCCGGGACATGTCGGAACGTGCGGCGGCTGGCTGCCAAACTCCGCCCCGTCCGTTCCCGCGCGGTATCCCGCCTGCTTTCTCCCTCCACCGCATCCAGCACGCCCCGCCATGGCCGCCCTCCACGCCGCAAAAAAGTACGCAACCCTCGCACCCACCGTCCGCTCCCTCGCATCGGGCGTCCCCGCCGCCCCCTCTGTCAACCTCGCCGCACGTGCAGGCTCTGCTGGCCACGCCCACGACCACGCCCACGGCGCAGTCGGCCCCCGCTCTGACCTCCCCTCCAGGTGGGCCGGCGTCCTCAAGCTCGCCTCGAGCGGCCTCGTCAACCAGTCGTACTCCACCGGTAAGCCCGCCCTCGACCAAAAAGAGGGAAAAAAAAAGCGTTCGCGTCCTAACACCCCACCCCACCCCACCCCACCCACCCTCACCCTCCTAGCTCGCACCTCCACCGGCGCGCGCCTGCTGCACACCTCCGCCGCGCGCCGCGACGCCCCCAACGTGCCCGACTTCAGCGGCTACGCCCCGCAGTCCGACAGCACGAACCGCGCGCTCTCCTACTTCATGGTCGGCTCCATGGGCGTGCTCTCCGCCTCGGTCGCCAAGTCGACCGTGACCGAGTTCCTCGGCACGCTCTCCGCCTCCGCGGACGTCCTCGCGCTCGCCAAGGTCGAGGTCGAGCTCGGCGCCATCCCCGAGGGCAAGAACGTCGTCATCAAGTGGCGCGGCAAGCCCGTCTTCATCCGCCACCGCACCCCCGCAGAGATCGAGGAGGCCCGCCAGGTCGACTGGAAGGCCCTCCGCGACCCGCAGTCGGACGAGGACCGCGTCAAGAAGCCCGAGTGGCTCGTCATGCTCGGCGTCTGCACCCACCTCGGGTGCGTGCCCATCGGCGAGGCGGGCGACTACGGAGGATGGTGCGTTGCCCCGCGTCCTCTTTGCGTCCCCCCCCGCGCTCCCGCTCACGCTGTGCGTCGCTCCGCCCGCCAGGTTCTGCCCCTGCCACGGCTCCCACTACGACATCTGTGCGTGCGCCGCCTCCGCCCCGCCTATCCTCGCTGACCCCCTGTCTCCCCACAGCCGGCCGCGCCCGCAAGGGCCCCGCCCCCGTAAGCGCGCTTCGCTCCTCCATAACCCCCTCACTGATTGACTGACTGACTGACCGACCGACTGGCCACCCCCCGGCAGCTCAACCTCGAGGTCCCCGAACACGACTTCAACGAGGCCGAGGGCAAGCTCGTCATCGGCTGACCGCCGCCCCGCGGCCGTCCCTTCATCACGTACTTCGTTCTGTAGACCCGCGCCGCGCCGCGCCCTTCTGTGCACGCCAGATCCGTTCCCGTGCTCCATCGCAATAGACGCCGTCGCACCACGCAGAACGCACGCGCCTGCCTGCGGTGTGCCCGTTCCTCGTGCTCATGCGCATGCTCGTCCCGCGTCCGAACATCGGGCTTGCCGCGAACCCTTTGAGCTGCAGTGCGCGTACGCACCAGAGTCAGTCCAGACGGACGCATAGAGACAGACCGCGACGACACCAACGCAACGCTAATAAGAGCAACGTCGCGACGCGTCACTCGCCCTCGTGCATCTCTTATTTACGAAGAGCGGCAGATCACCATGACCATGACCATGACCATAACCGTAAATTAACCAAGTCAGGCCGGGCGCAGCGCTCGCCCGTGGCCGATCTTACTACCCCAACGCAGAACAACCCGACGCAGAACAACGTCGTACGTTCTCCGTACAACACGCTCAGCCCCCGATGCTCCAACGCCTCAAGGGCAGCGCGCCCCGGCGCAAGCCCAGAAACGCACCATAACGCACCATAACTTGGCTTAGCTTAGCTTAGCGCAGCCGCGCGCCGTGGGCCGTGGGCTCGTCCCGCGTGATAAGGTATAATGAAGCACCGTCAGATCGTGGCATTAAGTAGCATAGGCGGGGGCGTGGCGTGGCGTGGTGGCGTGGTGGGGGGTACGGTACGTGCGTGTGCTCGTGATGCTCGCCCGCGCGCGATTATAGTAAGCGGCGGGGGATGGGAGTGTATGCGTGCGTGGCGTGGTGTGGCGTGAGTGAGTGAGCGAGCGAGCGAGCGAGTATGTACAGGATCGTGCGGTGTGGTAGTAGAGGAGGAGGATGAGGAGGGGGGGATGGGAGAGAGTAATAAATGCGTGGCACGCGCGCGCAGGGGATGGTGGGTGGATGCGGAGGAGGATATGCGGGAGTAGCGGTGGTAGTGGCGGTAGCGGTGGTGGAGTGACAGTGGTGGTAGTAATGGTAGACGAGGGGCGGGACGAGCGTGCGACTGAAACCGTAACGAGACCGAGACCGAGACCGACAATTAAGAAAGCGACGACGGCGTACGAGAGAGGAACAGGAACAGTAAAAAAAAACAGGAAAAACGCGGCCAGGAAGGGGGGGGACAAGAGAGGGATCAAGGCGGGGCGGGATCAAGGCGGGGCGGGACTAGCGTGGGAGACATGCGAGACATGCGAGGCGTGCGAGGCGAGAGAAGAGGGAGGGAAGAAAAGGGGAAAGGCGAGCCGGGAATGCGATAGGGCGATAGGGCGATAGATAAATAATATGCACTGTAAGAGAGGACCATGCTGAATGCAGACGCGTCGACGACCGACGGGACCTATGAACACCAAACCACCACACCATACCACACCACACCACCACACCACACCAACGAGACGGAACGAGACGAAACAGAACAGTCTATGCGCGAGGTCACACCGCGCGAGTCGAGAGTCGAGGCACGGAAACCCGAGAAACCGAGAAACCGAAAAACGGAGAGGAGGCAGTAGGATACTTGAGGCGAGCGGGAGAGATTAAGAAAGCGCGCTGGAAAAAGAAAGAAAGAAAGAAAGAAAATAAAGCAGGACGGAGCGAACAGTCCAAAGCGTACGCCCGGCACACCCGTCATCGCGACCGCACAAAAAGAAACAGAAAAGAAGCCAGAACCGGAAGAGGAAGTGGGAGTGGGGGAAAAGTGAAAAGCCCGGACGGCCATCACCAAACGCACCGCTCGAGCGCCACGCCCTCCCGCTCCCAATCCACATCCAACCACGCATGCCGCGCGCCCTCCCCCGCCCGCACGCGCCTCCGCCCGTCCACGTCCAGCATCGGCTCAAGAAACGCACACAGCGCCCTGCTCTCGTCCTCCCCAAACAAATACTTCTCGCGCATCACGCGCGCGAGCGGCCACGGCTTGAGGTGGCGGATGTACCGCAGCGAGCCCGCCGCGTCGAACAGCTCGCGCGCGTGCCGCGCGCCGCGGCGCACGTGCGCGGGGACGGGCCCGAGCAGCTCGATGATCTGCGCCATGTGGTCGTCGTCCTTGGAGAACAGCTGCCCCTGCGACTGCGGCTCGAAGAGGTACTCGGCCGTGAGGAGCTCGAAGACCTGCGGGCGCGTGAGCTCCGGTGCGCCAAAGACGATAGGAGGGCACTCACCACACACGCGACGCTCCATATGTCCACCTCGCAGCCCCAGTCCGTCCGCCCCAGGATCGCCTCGGGCGAGCGATACTGCCGCGTCTGGATCTCCTCCGTGAAATGCCGCTTCGACGGCGTGGCGTTGCCCAGGTCCGCGATCTTGATCGTGAGCGGGTGCCACATGTGCGGGGATGATGGCGGCAGCTCGGGCTCGGACGTGGGTGCGGAGGAAGCGGAGGACGAAGCGCCGGGGGAGGAGGACGAGGAGGGCGAAGGGGTTGAGGACGGGGAGCGGTGATGCGGAGCGGTCTGTGCGAGGAGAGACGGTCCGGCGGGGGCTGCAGATGCGAGCGAAGGCTGCCTTGTCACCTCGGCCTCGTTGTCGGCAGACACGACCGTCGTCGTCCGCGGCGGATCGGCAGGTGCGCGGTCGCGTGAGCTCAGCTGGAGCTTGGACATCGCACTGCCGAGGCTCGTCGCAGGCGTCGTGACGGCGGTCATGGACAGACGCATGGCGGCGTCGGCGTCGCGCAGGAGCGAGCCCTGGTAGCTGCTCGCACACGTGCTCGCGCTGCCGGCGGCACCTGCGGAGAATGCGGAGAGGTGGGCGTGCATGTGGCGGCGGGAGGGGCTGGCAAGGGGCTGGGACTCGAAGATGTGGACGGAGCGGTCACGGGCGTGGGCCATGGCGAGGGCTGCTGCGGAGGAGGAAGTTGCGGCGGTGAGAGAGGAAAAGGAGGAGGCGACGGCTGCGGCTGCGGAGCGGCGGGAGCGGGCGGGGGGGATGGGAAGTTTGTGCGATTGGGGAGAGGGCGAGGCGGAGAGTTCGGAGAGGATGTGAGACTCGATGTCTGGGATGGAGATCACTGTAAAGGTGTGCGGAAAATAAGTTTTCGGAGGAAAAGGGGGGTTTTGAAAAAAAGAATAGGGGGAAGACGGACAGATGTTCTCGGGCTTGATGTCTGTGTGGACGAGGTCGCATGCCTCGTGTAGGAACTGGAGGCCGAGGAGGAGCTGGCGGGTGATGCTCTTGACGAGAGCGGGGGGGACGCCTGTGCGGCGGTTCTTCTCGATGAGGGAGAGGAGGTTTGCGCCGAGGGGCTCGAAGACGATGCAGACGTGTGTGTCGGAGGGGGAAGAGGAGTGGGCGAATGCATCGAGGAAGGAGACGAGGTGTGCGCGGCCGGGGTGAGTCGGGGCGGTGTCTGCGATCTGGTTGAGGAGCTTTATCTCGTCGCGTGCGGTCTCTGAGTAGCGGCCAGCGGACTTGACGACCTTGAGGGCGGAGTGACGGGAAGTTCTGCGAGTGGGTGCAGGGCATGAGGAAGAGGCGGGGAGGAGAGAGAGGGGACGTGAGCGCACCGGTGATCGCGTACTAGCCAGACTGTGGAAAAGTGGCCCCAGCTGGATGAGCAGAAGACGGGTGAGAAGGGTGGGTGGGAAGAGAAAAAAAGAAGAGAGAGGAGGGAAGGGCAGTTACCCTAGTTTGCGGACGACGGAGTACCTGCCGGAGTGGAAGGAGTCGTCGAGGTTGATCTGGAGATAGCCACCGGGGTTGTAATCTGCGGGAGACTCTTCGTCTCGCGGCGCCATGGAGGGGAGGGGGTGGTTGTGGCTTGCAGAGAGATGCTGGGGAGGGATGCTGGGGAGGGATGTGCGAGGTCGGGGTGTGGGCGGAGGGAGGACGAGGAGGAGGAGGGAGCGAGGGCAGGACGGAGGGGAGAGGGTGGGAGGGGATGGAAGCGGGCCTGTGAGAGGACGATAAGCGGACACCGCAGAGGCCACGTGTCCTGCGCCGCCACATGCCGAGACCACGCATCGATGTCCGTCGCGACCCGGTCACGTGCCTCGCCTCTACCCCGCGTACTGACCCCTCGTCCTGACCAGCCCCTGTCTGCCCGCACACACCAGCACAGCGACCGACGCTGCGATGCCGTCCACAGCGACGTCTGCCGCCGCGAACAGGTTCATCGGTGCCGTCGAGGACGAGTGGCAGCTCTACACGTGCGCCCCCTCCGTCTAGCTCCCGTCCACCGCGCCCCCGCTCACCGCAGCCCACCAGCGACAATGCCGCAGACTACACCATCGGGCCCCCCATCGGCTTCGGCGCCTCCTCCACCGTCTACGCCGCCATCCACCACCCCCCTCACACCCCCTCCTCCTCCTCCTCCTCCTCCTCCTCTTCCTCTCCTCTCTCCGCACGGCGCCCCGGTGTCCCCTGCGCCCTCAAGGTCCTCGACCTCGACTCCCTCCCCCAGAACGCGCTCACCCTCCTCCGCCGCGAGACACAGCTCATGTCCCTCTCCAAGCACCCCAACGTCCTCCGCGTCCGCGGCAGCTGGATCGACGGCCACAAGCTCTTCATCGCCCTCCGCCTCATGAACGCAGGCAGCGCAGCCGACGTCATGCGCTACGCCTGGCCCGGCGGCATGCACGAGGACGTCGTCCGCTGCATCCTCAACCAGGCCCTCCAGGGCCTCAAGTGCGTCCCCCCCCCCTCTCCTCCCCCCTCTTCTCCTCGCTTCTCCTTCCTCGCTTCCTCCGCCCCTCTCCCTGCTGACCCTCCCTTCGCCGCACCTCCGCGGACCCTACCCATATCAGCTACCTCCACATAAACGGCTTCATCCACCGCGACGTCAAAGCCGCTAACCTCCTCATCGACGACGACGGCACCGTCCTCCTCGGAGACCTCGGCGTCGCCGCACCCCTCCACGACGAGGACCACCCACACTCTCCCCCCCTCCCCTCTCCCTCACCCTCCCCCAAACCCCCCGCCCCGCGCCCCGACCGCGCGATCCACTTCGACCCCGCCGCCCGCCGCCCGCGCCCCGGCAAGCGCCGCTCCTTCGTCGGCACGGTGCGTCCCCCGCGTCCCCCGCGACCCCTCCCCTCTCTACCCCCTTACCCAGTGCGTGCTCACCCCCGCTCGCGCGCACAGCCCTGCTGGATGGCCCCCGAGCTCATCGCGGGAAAACACTACGACGCGAGCGCCGACATCTGGTCATTCGGCATCACCGCCCTCGAGCTCGCACAGGGCCGCGCCCCGCACTCCCGCGAGTCGTCCCGCACCGTCCTCCTCCGAACGTGCGTCTCTCTCTTCTCGGTCGCTGCGCATTCGTCATCGTTATCGTCGCGCGCGCGCGCGCGTGTGTGGCGCTTGCGCCGTGCTCGCTTTGGGCGCGGGCGCTGTGTGGCGCGGGGCCCGACTTGACGCGTGAACGCGGCTGCTCCCGGTAGACGAACGGTGCTGACCGGCGGCGTGGTTTGCTGCAGGGTGCAGGGCGCGCCGCCGACCCTGGACCGCGAGGGCGGCGTGCACAAGTACTCGCGCGCGTTCAAGGAGATGGTCGAGGGCTGCCTGGACAAAGACCCTGCGAACCGGTGCGTCCCCTCCCCCCCTCCCCCTCCTCTCCATCTCCTCCTCCCCACCCCCTCGCCGTTCCCTCGCCGCGTCGCCGTCCTCTGTGCGCTCCCGCGGCGGCTGACCGGTGTCGCGTGGAATTTCCGTCGCAAACGCAGGCCGACGGCCGAACAGCTCCTCCAGACGCCCTTCTTCCGCAACTCGAAGAAGAAATCATACCTCGTCGGCACGCTCCTCGGTCCGTCCCCACCCCCTCCCCACCCCACCCCCCCTCGTCCCTCCTCTCCACCCCCTCCACTGACCCCTCCCCCTATCCTCCCGCATCATCGCACACTCGACGTCCTCGCCCCCTCGCGCGCGCGCGCACGCCCACCAGTCGGCCTCCCGCCCATCGCCCAGCGCCTCGAGCGCCTCCGCCAGCCCTCGCTCCTCCCGCACGGCACCGTCGACGCGTGGGACTTCCCCGCCTCCGCCGCGCCCACCGTCTTGCACGCGTCCGCGGCGGGCCTCGGCGCGAGGGGCAGCGCGCGGGGCAGCCTGCGTGCGCTCGGCGGGGTGTTTGATGGGGAGGGCCGGGGCGAGGGCGGCGAGGGCGGCGAGGGGTCGAGCAGCGGCGAGGGCGGCAGTGGAAGTGGATCTGGATCTGGTAGCGGCAGTGGCAGCGCGAGCGCGAGCGAGCGGGAGGAAGACGGGGACACGTCCGCGGACGACGGCGGTGCGGCGGCGCGGGCGCAGGCGCAGGCGCCCCTAGGCTCGTCCGCCGCCTCGTCCTCGTCCTCGTCCCTGCCACCGTCGAAGCCGATCCCCGTCCCCGTCCCCGTCCCCGCCCCCATCTCCGCCTCCACACACGGCTCGCACCACCCGCCTCCGAGCCCCAGCACGCACGGCCATCGGGGCCACAGCCACAGCCACCACGCGCACGCGCACACGCACGCGCACGCGCAGCACCGGTCCCGCGCCGCATCGTCGCTGTCCTCTTCCGCGTCGCCCTCGCCCGCGCCATCGACCCCCGGCTCCGTCCACCTCTCCGCGTCCCCCGCGTCGAGCCCCGGCTCGGGCTCGGGCGCGGGCGCGGGCGCAGGCAGCCCCGGGTTCTGGAGGAAGTGGAAGGGCGCGGGCGCCGTGCGGAGCCGCGGCGCGGGCAAGGGCGCGCGGGGCGCGGCGTGAGCCCAGCCGCGGCGCTCGCTCTATTTCGGCTTCGCGCTCTTCGTCCCGCGTACCGTGTCCTGTGCTGTCTCTCGTGTTTTGTTTTCTTGGGACGCCCACGTCCGTCCGTCCGTCCGTCCGTCCGTCGTTCACGACGCCGCGGCCTCGCTATACCCGCGCCCTTTCTTGGTTCCTCGGGCGATCGCCCCCTTCCTCTTGATGTCTCCCGCTCACGTCCGTCCCGCCCCCACTACCCCGCCCGACTCGGACACACGCGGCCGCCTGTTGTACCCCATCCCCCACCTTTCGATGTATCACCGCCCACGCCTGCACTCACTCGCTATATCAATCCTCCCATCGCACCACCACCACCGCACAGTAGCCTACTCGTCCTCGTGTAGATAGCCTGTACTCGCTCGCTCACTCACGCAGCCACTCCCCGGTCCCGTCCCAGTTCATCCTTCGTACATAACTCCACCAGCCACAATAATATAGCACACTTGACCCACAACGATTTGTGGCTGCGCACAGCACGAGGCGCACACGAGCAAAGTCGGTGTAGATGCGCTCCGCGCGACTAGTGATTGATACTAACTAACTAGCTAATGTGGACCAGTCCGAGACGACAACATGGTATGGCAACAGGAGGTAAGCGACTGTGTGGGGCAGCCGGACAACAACGTATCGTTCACTGCCGCGCTGGGTAAAAGCACGAAGAGGCGAGAGGCAAGAGGAGAAGGAGGACGCAAAAAGGGCACAAGGAGGAGGATAACATAGAGAAACAAACAGGAACTGGATGAACGGCGATTGCGGGGAGGAGCAGAAGACGGGGAAGATGGGGCAGTCCGGTCGGGTGCGGGTGGAAAAGGGGGGGTGGGGGGTGGTCTATCCGACGGTGGGGTATGGGCAGGCGGGTAATAAGTGTCCGGCTCATCGTAAAGTGGGGGCGTAGATACGAGTACGCATGGGAGAAGATGTGTTAGCAGACGTCTGTTGCTTTCTTTGATCGGCGGGGTGCGTGGCGGCAGATGGGGGCCCTCAGAGGAAGAGCGCGCCGGACGCGCCGACGAGCGACGCGCCGAGGGCGAGCAGCAGCGCGGGGGCGGAGCTGCTGCTACCGGCGGCAGGGACGGCGCCGCTTGTGCTGTTGCTGTTCTTCGAGCCTCCCACGCCCGTGGCCTGCGCGGATCCGGTAGCCACCGTTGATGCTACCATCGCAAAACACACGTCAGCCACGCGGTCAAGGCGACGGGGTGCGGGAACTAGATCGCAATCGAAGGGATTGGGAGAGAAAGGACGGGCTCACCGGACACGGCGGGGGGGTTCGTCGAGTTGTCGTTCGTCTCGATGTACGCGTCGGACATGGGCAGGTGGTTGCACGTGATGATGGGCTCGATCGTGAACGCGGGCTGGTGCGCGAGGGCGTCGGGGAGGATGTAGCCCGTGGCGACCTCGACCGTCTGCTGGAACAGGTCGTGCTCGAGGACGATGAAGCCCGTGTTGATCGTCGTCGCGTTGCCGAGGATGTTCTCCCAGTTGAGGAGCACCTGCTGGACCGTCGTGGTTCCGCCGTGGATGTTGAAGTCTAGAGAGACGCGCGTGAGAGGGCAGAAGCAGGCAAGGGAAGATGGACGCGCACCGTCGGTGTCGAACGTGGCCATGGCACTGATTCGGGTCCACATGACGGGGGTCAAGCCCATCGCTTTCGCGATCGCACGCACCCGGTCGCTGATTCCGACACCAAATCAGCGATCGTCTCTTCGAAACGAACACGAAACGCACTCGATATCACCGTACGGAGGCCGCATCATGTTCGGGGTCACACCGAGCACATCCTTGATGATCTTTTTCGTCCATCCAAACTCGGCGATGATCTCCTCGGTCGACAGGGTGGACAGCGACGGGTGGCTCCAGGTGTGCACCGCGATCTGGTGGCCGGCGAGGTACTCCTGCTGGAGGAGCGCGGGGTAGGAGATCGCGCGCGAGCCGACGACGAAGAAGGTGGTCTTGAGGTTGTGCTGGTCGAGGTAGTTGAGGAGGTCCGGGGTATAGGGCGCGGGGCCGTCGTCGTAGGTCAGGCCCCAGGTGAGCTTGTCGGGGCAGTTGACGATGTCGGTCGAGCGGGTGCACCCGCCGCAGGTCCACCAGCAGCGCTCCGTGTCGTTCGCGATGGCGCCGGGGTTAGCGGGGCACCCGCCGGCGACGGTGGCGGAGAAAGTGGGGATCGATACGCCCGAGTTCTTGACGTCCTGGATCCATTGCAGGACCTCGGGGGAGTCCGTCGGGGGCGGCTTGTCGAGCGCGGGGTAGTTCGCGATGACGAGCTTGGACACTGCGCAGATAGCGCCCGTCAGACCACGTTGCGGAGACGCTCATGAGGCCCGAAAAGGACACAAAGGAAGACCTTACCGTCTGGAAGCCCTGGCGCGCTGGGGATGGCGCTGGGGGTGGTGCCTGCGCTGGGGGTTGTTATAATTGAAGTCGCTGCGGAAGGGGCATTGGCAACGATGGACTGCAGCGGCAGGGCGGTGGGGTTCGTCGACAAGAGGGAGATGGAGGGAAGGGAGGCCGAGGAGCTCGCCGCGACCGTGACCGACGACGCGCCCGATGCGGCTGAAGAGGCGGCGGCAGATGCGGACGAGGGCGCGGACGAAGAGGAAGAGGCAGTGGGGATTGCGCTGGAGGAAGCAGAAGCGGCGAGGACGACGGAGGCCTGTTGGCGGGCAGCGTGCTGGAAGGGCTTGTGGGCCAGTGCCAGGAGTGGCAAGGACGCGACGGAGATCGCAGAGACGAGCTTCATGGCCGTCTGGTTCGAGGGAGAGAAAGGGATGAAAGCAAAGAGCGAGAGCAGTGGGCTGGGGCAACACAGCGCAGAACAAGCGAGGTCAAGCCTCGACGGCTCAAGGCACTGCTCTCGGCACCTCTGCCGCTCCACTTCGTTTTCCCGCTGTCACTCTCCCACTCCCGCTCATGGCAACGCTCCAAAGGGAATCACCCGCGCAACATGTCATCCTCATAGTACCACACTCTCTACTACACGCGAACAACAATACACCGTGCATCATGCCTTTTTGGCCTTCTTCGCCAGAGGCTTTTCCAGGTCGATCTCCTCCTCGCTGTCGTCGTCCTCGCTGTCCTCCTCAAGGTCCGAATCGAACCCGTCTCCCCCGGCAGTCCCCAAAAAGTAGTCGATCGCATCAGGGAACACCTCGTTCGCGATGAGCACCCCGAGCTGATCCCCGTCGTCAGTCCGGGCATCCGCACGACAGACAACGGCGCCACTCACATCCGTGTAGTCCTGAGCGGTCTCGAAGAAATTGAAGAAGCTGCCAAACTCGGACGGCAGGTCGTCCTCGGGGTCGCTGTTGACCAGCGGGTACGACTTGGTGAGGTTTCTGGCGTCGTCCTTCCAGTTGATTTTGATGGCCTGCCATGATCCGTCAGTTTCGTTCCTCTGCGAACGAGAAATGTCGCGGGAGCGGTCCATACCTGGGGGGTCACGTCCCGCTCCCAGGAAAAGTCGAGCATCGACGGTGTGACGCCGTCCGCGTCGGGCGTCTCGTCGTCGGATGCATTCGACGGCTGGAAGCGGTATTCCTTCTTCAGGACGGAGTCTGAGAAGTACGGGTTCTCTTTGAAGTACTGCGTGCGTCCATAGTCAGCCCTATCCAGGCGGGCATAGCGCGGATACAAAGAAGCGTACGAATTCGAGCGTGAACACCTTGGGCTCTTTGGCGTCGCGCACGACCCACACGTCCTCGAGGTAGCTGAGCGCAACGCGGTCCGCCTCGTGCTGGGCGTGCACGGCGAACGAGCTGTGGTTCATGAGCGCGACTGGCCAGAACAGCTTAATCGTCTTGAGGACTTCGCGACGGTTCTGATATACAGGCGTGAGGGTTGCCTGCGCGCGGCGCTCTGCCCCATTCAAATAACCTCAGCGTCGTCCGAGTGTATGTATAAGAACAGGAAAGATGTACCGAGAATGAGCTCAGCGCGCTGGATATCCTTTTGAACGTCGGTCAGCTTCTTCGCGTCCTCATCCCCGATTTCGACGCCCTCCAGTGGGTTGATGCTCTTCTCGACGTCGGCACCGGGGGATGCGCGCTTTTTGCTGGTTTTTTCGGACATCGTGAACGAACGGAGGGAGGAAGGTTGCGAGAAGAGGAGAGTGAGAAAAAAGTGATATGAACAGGGACTGCTGCACTCCGGGGGCAGTGGCTGATGGACGTGCGACGCGTCGGCGGACTTTGAACATTTTTGTACCCCAAAGTCTCCCCCAAAATATACGATTATCAGGACCAAATGGGGAGAAGATAAGAGTCGACCGTACACTTATTTACAGGAAGAAGCGGCTCGCAAAAATAGCATATCGTGGAGAGCGGACCGCATTCAGTATATGTATCTGAGAAAGGGGTGAGCATAAATATCGAGTATGTGCCAATGTGCAGATATACATGGCCGCGCAGAATATCCAACAGACAGCTCGCAAACCGGGAGCGCGAATGGCTAGCGTGTACGGCCCTTAGCTAGACACTAGAAGGGGACAGCAGTCGAGAGGTCTACGAGTCCAGCGTGCGTGTTCACACGCGCGGCGCCTCAGTCCATCCGTTTCTTGGTGCCGAGCTCAATCTCCTCCATCTGCTTGTCCGTCCGTCGGGCTCCCCTCGCCAGCCATTGCGCGTTCGCACCAGCCTTCAGCTTCCCGACATCCACCCCGAGGCCCTTGCCCTTGTGCGCCGACCGGAAGCCCGGACCGCTGTAATGAATGACATCCGTCGGCGGGAGAAGCCTTGGCCACGCAACGTAGTCGATGCCATAGAGGAAAATGAAAGTGAGGGCCGAAGCGAAAATCATGAACCAGAAAATGAAATAATAGAAGAGAGAGTAGTCTGAAACGTGATGATCAGGCGCGATGGTCGTGAGACTGATTGATGGAAGAGACGAACCGGAAGAGCGGGGCAGCGTGAGACCTGCTAAGATCATGAACAAAGCGAACGAGAGCGCATAGGGGACCTGGGTATTCACGACATGCCCGTTAGCGAGACTCGAAGAGAGTTGCAATAAGAAGAGCCTTACAGATCGTATGATGAGAGGCCTGTTATCCGTGATGAGGAACAGGGCTGAAGAGGGGCCTTTCCGTGGAACCCAAGTGCCGGTGATAAGATCGAATGCATCCTGTTGGAAATAATCTTCAGCGCGAAACAAGAACTCAATCTAAAAGAAGACGGACCTGCCGAGCGCCGTCGAAGTAGTTGTTCTTGAAATAACGCATGACAGATTTCTTCAAATCATCAAAGGCACCGACGCGAGTGCGTTTGCCAGTACGAGTGAAGTCTGTCTTGAGGGCGCCTGTACCAGCGTACGCCCTCGAGATGTAGTCCGCATGGTCGGACCACACTGCACACATGGGGGTTGAGAATTTCAAAGGCGATAGAAAATAAACAATAAATCGTACTCTCGCGGAGGTACTGGTTAAACTCTTCGTGATTATCAACAGTGTCATTCTCAGCCAGTACACCGACGGCCTTCAGTTGACGGTTCAGCGTCCACTTGGCGGTAGCTGCTTGCGCGACGTTTGTGCGGTCCAGATTGTCCATGCAATTTGTTCTGACGACTCCAAGCTGCCAGTCGACGGGCTCTGGGTTGCCCGAATCCACCCGGAAATATCTAGCAGGTCCGCCCATGTCAACGACGATAGGAGTGCCAGAGAGGGATTACAAACCCGTCCCGTATCAAATCGTCAGCGACGCTGTCTAGGAGCAAGCTTATGCGGTCCCATCGCATATGCTTGCACTCGTTATGGAAATCGAAATATTGGTACTTGACCCCCGGTACATTTGCCTTCCAACGACGAGATTAGCTCTACTCATGGACAGCGTGAAGAATCTCACCTCAGAGACGTTCCGCTCGTACGCGTCTTTCACAGGCTTCTCGTATCCCTTCTGGTCGACCAAGTTCACCATTGTCTGCTCGCCGTACAAAGAGACTTGTTCTTGGAGATGTCGGCGAGTCGCGTCAACCTAGCACGCACCAGGCTCAGAACAGCCCGATCCGACGGTATACAACAGTGCCTACCGAGTCAGGGAGATCCATGATCTGCAAGTCCGGCTTGTACCTCAGCGTGTTCACCTCTGCCCAGAACACAGGCACGCTTCCACGAATCTGCACAAAGCTTAATTTATGCGTGAAGTCGTCGGCGTCAGGCGTCGTGCCACCAATGAGAACAATTTGCTCTGTCTCGTTGAAGTTTGCAACGTGGCCGTCGTGATCTACACCCCGTCTGAAATACCGCGTGCCTGCACGGAACCGCGATCGGCGGCTTATTAAACTGACTTGTATGTTTTGACCATTAATCGACGAGAGTCGGATATCAAAGGCTATGGTCAGGTGGTATGTTAAGGCAATTGCAGTATGAGAAACAAGAACGCATCACATACAGCCATAGATTATTGGGAGAATATAGGAACTTAGCTGCAAAGATGTCAAATACAAGCATCGATATATGTAAGAGAGACGGCTCACATCGTTTTTAGGATTTGAGATGCTGATGTCAATGAGCCTGGATTGCAAGTATCTGAGTGAAGGTGAAATAATGAGCAACAGTTCCGACATTACAGAGCTGTCTCCTACTTATTCCAGAAAAATCTGTCGTCGGCCTAGATGAGCGAGTCAGCAAAAGTCTACTGAATCACAAACACGCGGACTCACCACTTCCCAGAATGCCCTGCCTTCGTCTTTCTCTTGGGCTACCCACTGCGCTTGTAAACGCCGTGTCACGTCAAAGCCATAGCTGAACAAGAAGACTCCGCTTTTAAGATGTGAGCGGACGAGTGCTAGTAGGTGCGCCTCGACAGGATGTGGGGGACTTGATACAGATGCGGACGGATCCAGAGGAAGTATTTCGAAATCTACTGCACGATAGACAGCATGTCCTAGCAGGGTTCCTCGATGCTCACGGCCCGTGAAGACAATTAGATACTCCGCTAGAGGTCGAGATTACTGTGAGGGCGCATTATAAACGTGTTGACACGCAACTTACACATTGCCAGTGTAATGAGACCAAGGATGCCATAGACAGTTTTGCCTGAGCGTTTCGCATTGCTGGGTATAGGCGCGTTGGGTGCTGCATGTCTTCCTGTCAGATATAGAGAAATCAGATATATGCGATAAACACACCATCAAGTACAATATCTCCTGAGCTTCTATAAACTACCATCGGTCGTGCGCCAACAGGCTCCACAGGAACAAAAATATAGGATTCCTCTCCATTTAGGTAGCTGTTTGATGTCGTTAGATGTTCGCAAGTATCGTAAAGACGCAGTGATTCTCACAGGTTGAGACGTTGGTGGAGGGACTTCATGGTGGTGGTGGGTGGATAACACGCGTTCGCTAGCAAGTGTTTACAAGAACGCACAGTGGTCACTTCCGAGATGATCACGTTGAGGAGGCGCGCGCGGCGCGTTCGCCACAGACGAACCTGAGGCCTCCATCCACAATGAAACTTACGCCCGAGCTCATCGCACAAGCACCGTCTTCCTTGAATGCCCTTAAGGAACGGCAACTTGACCTTCGAGGTGTGTAAAGATCCCGTCTCAATCAAGGCGCTCACAAACCGGCTCACAGGCTATAAAATCCCTGCTATCGAAAACCTTGGTGTTACCAAGGTAAGGAGGTATTGCTGCTCTCGCGTTATATGGACTCGTTGACGATCGCTTTGATCATATGCAGGACCAGCATGATGCTATAGATTTGACAGATAACTCGATTGTCGCGCTCGGAAACTTCCCCCTACTCAGACGCCTCCACACACTTCTCATTGCGAACAATCGAATAGCATCCATATCCTCTTCGATCCACTTATCTACTCCAAACCTCACGACCCTCGTCCTCACCAATAACAACATACAGGAGTTGGGAGACCTGGAACCGTTGAGGGAGCTTAAGGGACTGAAGTATCTAACCTTGTTGGGAAATCCAGTGCAGGAAAAGAAATGGTATCGGGAATGGATTGCTTGGAGAATACCAGGGCTAAGAGTTCTAGATTTCCAGCGCATCCGGGATAAGGTACCGTCCCTGCCGCCTTTACATGTGTGTCTTGTGCAGAGCTGAACGGTCTCGGTCTCAGGAGCGCAAAGCAGCAAAAGGGTTGTTCTTAACGGCCGATGGACTGGAGAACTCGCTGGCGAGCTCACTATCAACAACAGCTTCTACCCAATCCACCAAGCAGACAATATCGACAGATGAGCCACGGCTAGCGGTCGCACCAGGGAAGGCAGGTCGGCTGATGTCAAAAGAAGAGGCGGACAAGGTGAAGGCGGCCATTGCAAAGGCTACTTCCATCGAAGAGATCAGAAGGCTCGAAAGGAGTCTGAAAGAGGGCTTCGTCCCAAGTCTGGAGGCTGTTGGTGCATAGCTGTACAGGCTATCAGGCTGTATTTTCTTGATCAACTATAGCAATCATCAATTGCCGATCAATGACATGATTGTGATGTATTGCAGGATTACGAGCAATAAACAACGACGATCTGTACAGTACATGGATTGAACGAATGTCGACGGGAGGGAGCAGGCGTTTCAGTAGAAGAGGGTACAAACTACCTAGACGACATTGACGCCGAAATTGCCCAGCCACAGGCCGTGGAACGTGAGAGCAATGACAGCTGAGAGATTTGCTAGAGAGCTCCAGCCGTGCAACTGAGAGAACTTCGCGTTCAATGCTTTCATAGCATCCGATACCTGGAAGAATGGTTGAAGTAAGAAAGAACCCGGACACCTGATCATTGTGTAAGCCTTACACCGGGCTCATTGTACGCCTTGCCCTCATCCTTTTCCAATTTGTGGCGGGCAAACATTGTCCTGATTGGTCGTCTTGAATCAGTAATTCAATATGAAGATCAATACAGGTACTGACTTGCTGGTAAGGGGACCGATGACAAAGGAGTTGAGAGCTTGCGTGAGAAGAACAGTGGCAAGACTATAGGCTTGGGCGACATCAGCGAGATAGGGGCGCTTGACATTATCGAGGATAGCAGGGTGAGAGTAAGTCCAGGCCGCAAGTAGGCCAGCAGAGATGGTGATGGTGGTGTTAAAGTACACAGGAAACGTGCGGTGTTGTAAGGCACCAAATTGATGTCTCGCTGTCTTCACCAGTTAACCAACCATCGACTAGCAGGTGCCTCGACGACTCACGCAAAGCCTTAAATGCGATGATCCCTGAAGAAGACATCGATTACATATACCTGGCATAGGACATCAATGATGCATACCTCCAAAGAAAGTCACCCATAGTGCTAGAGTAGAGCCGCGTCAGCTCCTCGTAGCCGCTCTGAGTATAAGATTACTCACACATTCCGAACAAGAAAGAGTATCCCATATAGTATGCACCATTGAGTGAGAACAACTGGGTGAGGTCTGCGAAGGACAGGATCTGAGCTTGGGACATGTTGGAGACGACGGTGAATGACCGATGATTGCCGGGAGACGAATGACCCTTATAAGCACCAGGAGGTCGAGAATCAGAGAAGGCGAGACCGGCGGAGAGTCAGCAAGGCAAGCTGCTCCCCGAATTTCCGGTCGAAGCGCGCTTCAAGTACGCGCGCATCACGTGACTACCGCGCGTCGCGTCAGCGACGAACTTGATGCCTCCATCATCCCAACATGGACGCGAGGCTGCCCTTCGACCTCGTCGATCAATGCTCACCTATCTTTCTGATTCTAAGACGCTGTCAGCAGCCATCCAAGTATTGAAGCTTATCTACAATGTGTTAAACACCGCCCGTCGTCCATCGTAATCGCTGTTGCGCTCAACGAGATCGGCTCTGCTCTGCCTCAGGCCATGAGGCTTACACCTTCTATATACCTTAGATTCTGTCTGAGGATGGCATCGTCGACGAGCGCGAGCTATCAAAATACCCCAACACGCGAGACTAAGGGGCTATCCCGTCCAAGAACGCCCATGTTGTGCGAGCATTGGAGAGCTTCTTCAGCCGAAGGGTGTCATCACATCTAACTCAACGTGTTGTGCAACTCAATGCTCCTTAATAACTGCAAGGATCATACATCTCCCGTCACTACTCTTTTTCCAATAGAATCTCAGCGTTTCCAACGAGCACTATATCGCTGGTGGTTGTACCGGTATCTGTCAGTGAAGACTGGAGATCATATATTGCTCATGACGACGAAGATAAGATAGCCGTCATGAGCAATGAGCAAAATCCCCTCATCGCACAGACACCATCTGGAGAACGCCTGGACTCTGTTGCCTTGTACCGATCCATACGAATAACTTCTGAATGGATTTGCGGAATGCTACGCAAATATGTTGAGATGTGAAGCTAACACTTACATATCCTAGGTCTTCAGCTCATCTACCTCCGGAATCTCAAGACTACAGCCCTGGTATTGTCGTATCCGCAGATATCGATGTTTTGGCAGGCTGTATTGACCTGCACCGTGGCGTTTTAGACTCTGAATTCTGGGGGAATGATTCCGCTGAGAACCCTTCTAAACATCAATTCTTTTTGGTTGATTCTTCTCTTCTCACTAATTCAAGATCGAGCACAGACAACGGCAACGATGGTATCCCGAATTCTATTTATCGGGCATTACTCGACGAAGTCAAGGGAGACGCCGATCAATGTAGCTCCCAAATGCTTGCTAACTCGCCTCTATGTAGGCAGTTTACACCTGTGAAATAATTCAAGTGTGTGCCATATGCCTATGTAATCGAAGAACGACATTCATCGCGTTCGAACAATGCTTTCAGTAGATCACCGTAGTTGAATGGAGTATGCATGAGCTTGTTGTGCATGTCAATAGTACTCTGCTTGATTGTCTTTTAGGTTTCCAGGATCTCCGAAGGCGCAATAAGCCCGCAGAGCATGTCCCAGTCTACTTCAACGAGAATTAGGACGACGGACGGCCGAAACAAGATTGGCTTTGCAAAGATTGCATCATGATTTCATGAAGCAGAATTTGTGTACTTGGTGGCTCAGTCGTAGGATGGACATGAGGTCCTCCATGTCCCCATCGGCAGTCTTTTAATCCGAAGCCTGAAAGAAGGGAAACCAGGTTTTGAAGAGTTGCTGGTAGGCCATGTATAATCCGTTGCAGATACGGCTGGAATTGCCGAACTTAAACCAGAAATTTACATCATGCCGTGAGTCATTTATGCAGAAAGTATACTCCCAAAAATCGATCGAATGTTTCAGCACTTTTTCACACCGAACGTGGGCAGTGATCGAGAGTCCATTGGGAATCGTGACATGATTCCAATACCTCAACTACTTACATTCAGTACAATTGTAAACAGATAGCCTCACTCGTTGATACAGAAATTGACTCACTTTCGAATCTTCTTGTAAAATGTTCACAAGCAATCCTTCAGAATCCGTACAGTTATGTCCTACAGTTGTGTACAAGGTGTCTTTGGGAAGCTCCCGTCGACGAGACCCTTCAGGTCTCAGTGAATACGATCCCAATCGAATTTTCCTCCCCTACGTCTTCCCGCACCTAGTGGTGTTCGGTCTTCCCGATTGCCAGCATTCGTTACAATATGCTTGTCAACGAGCTGGAGACAAAGGTAAGGTCAGATACCATATCTCTCCTGGTACGAACGACGTACATCATTCAATGTATTAGCTGATTTGGTCAGCGTGGACAAATATGCGGTCAATTGCACGTCTTCATATTCCTGATGCAGAGGTTGAGCGCAAAACTTTAGCCTGATGATGCATGCTTACGATATCGAACTCTTGTCGAAACGCCTTGTTTTCACTCGCAGGTAGGGATGCAAGCAAGGCGGTTAGTGAGCGAAGGGTGGCGCTATCCTTCGGCGCCTTGCCTGTGTGCAAAAGTTAGATAGCCATATAAGTATAGCAAGTCAAGCACGTACCTGCCATGACATCCTTGACATACTGGACTAGGATGACGATACGATCATGTAACATCTTCACTGCAGCGCGTTGAGTCTGCAGGTGAGATTCCACTGACAGTATTTCAGGAAGAGTAGAGAACGAAGTAAGGTTGCGTTGCACTCACAACTCGTACCCCCCTCTCCTCCTCGTGCTGTCCAATCAACAGCGATCCGCTCCGCTTCTCCCGTTTCAACACTGAAAGGTGCCTCGATGAACACGGAACGCGATGACCGATCGCGGATCTCTATTGTTGGTTCGTAGGCTTTCAGAGGCAGATTGGCGTTGGCATCGGAAGCCCCGACGGTCGAGGACGGTTGGAGGAGCAAGAGAAGTGGCGTTGAGCTATATGGGGTGAACTGAGTAGAAGCATAAGCGTCGCGCGAGAATGGTTTCGTGTGACAGGATATTGACCTGTTCATGAAGAGCGATGTGACGTGCGGTAGGTACTGGTGCCACCGTATACCATCCGATAAATTCGAGAGATGGAAAGACCTGCTTGTCTGAACAAGATATTAACACATCAAAGGATCCCCCGAGGTGGCCACACGCACATTGATCTCTTCGAGAAACTAGAAATTCATGATCGACTTTCTCTCCCTCCTTCACAACGAGCTCAAAACTATTGACAATATCGACATCACGTCCATTCTGTGTCCCCAGCAATGCACCCAGGACTAATATGGACTTGAGCAAACCTAGAGTAGTAAAGATGACCTTGAACTGACCGAAAGGAAGACTCGACTTCGTCTGCAATCTGAGGCGCGTTAAATGCTCTGAAATGTTCAAGATTGGAAGAGGATGCCTGAAGATGTTAGCCGCTATGAGCAGAGGAGGTAACTCTGTCTCAAATAAACTCACAGCGACAGTGCCAACCCAGACAGAGTGCTAGGGGGGAGGACTACGGGTAGTTCATCAGTGTCCATGCTCGTACTCATTGTATCGTGAATTGTGGTTTCAAGGATCCCAGTAATGGACTTCAGAACACTGCGGGGACGGGTGGGGTAAACTGATTATTTATGATTAACTCATATCTAAAGACTTGTCGACACTTCGTTTTGTCGGCCGTCTAACGGTATTTTTTTTAGATTTCAGGACGCTGAATGATGTCGCAAATGTTTCCAATGCTGCGTGTTCGATTTATTATGTAGCGAAATACTCCAACGACCGTGAATGAGGTTGGCTCCGACTTATCACATGCGAAAGTAACCGTTATTGGTATCATAATACCTTGACGCGTACAAGCCTGCCCTAAATCAATCCGTCGCGTAATTCTAGTGGAGTGTTCAGTGTCGCGTCCCACTGCATCTACTAGCTCTCTCTCGACATGTCTGGATTCGACGCAGACCGTGTATACTCTGTATCCGTTCATGATATCTCCAATCCTGCCTCCTTAGAATCTCCCTCGCAAACTGAGAAGCTGCTGCTTGACTTCCTGCTTCAATACCGGTTAGGAGGCGAATTTGTATACCGGTTCGTGGTTGCAATGTGTTCCAAAGTCTTTGTCCGAATTCATTGCCAACAGTGACAAACTTCGAGGGAATCTTCTTCTCAAGCATTATCAACTCGAAGTCGATCTAGGACACATCAGCCTGTACAATGACGAGATTGCTCATGCGATTCAAGATCGGCCAGCAGATGTTCTGCCCTTAGTGAGTTGATCAAATATCTCTATTTTCGCGGCTATCAATCATCGCAAAATTGAAGTTCGAAAACGCTGCAACGAAAGCATCTCGAAGTATCCTCTTCCCACTAGCAGGTGGCTCAGACGAGCGCGCGGAAGCCGCCTCGCAAACAATACCCAAGATACAGATCTCCATCAAGTCTGGCTTGAACCTATTACAGTTCCGTGGACTTACTGCAAATACCATCAACAAGCTAGTTCGAATACCGGGCATCGTCATCTCTGCATCTGTTCTTTCATCTCGTGCAACCAAGCTGCATCTCCAATGTCGTGCTTGCCGATCACCCAAGGTGATCTATCCTGCTAGTGGCCTTGGTGGTATTGGTGGTGGCTCTGATCGGGGCCTGCCTCGAGTCTGTGACGCACCAGAGGTAGAAGGTCAGAAGAAGGAATGTCCGATGGATCCGTATATCATTGTGCATTCAAAATCGACATTCGCCGACCACCAGACGCTGAAGCTTCAGGAGGCACCGGACATGGTTCCTGTGGGCGAACTTCCACAGCACATCATGCTTTCGGCAGACAGATATATCACTGGACATGTTGTCCCCGGCTCTAGAATCATCGCCACGGGCATATATTCTACGTACCAAGCGGCTAAAGATGTGGGTGATCAGCGTCGTGGATGACCTAGAGGTACTAAACTTCGCACAGAAATCAGCGGGAGCAGCGGCACTTCGTAAGCCCTATATCCGCTTGGTCCATCTGGAACTCTCCTCGCCATCTTCCGGGAGTCCTGGAGGACTTAATCCATTTGGATTACACTTTACGCCGGAGGAGGAAGAGGAGTTCGGAGAGATGGCCAGGAGCGATGGCTTTTACGAACGTTTTGCGAAGAGTGTGGCTCCAAGTATTTTTGGCAGTCTAGGCGCGTGTTTCAGTTGCTCGCTTGAGTCACAAACACGGACTGATCTTGCGTGCAGATATCAAAAAAGCAATCACCTGTCTCTTGTTTGGAGGCTCAAAAAAGATATTACCTGATGGTATGCGTCTTCGAGGAGACATCAATGTCCTTCTGCTGGGTGATCCCGGTACAGCAAAAAGTCAGCTGCTCAAATTTGTGGAAAAGGTATGGTTCATCATCCGTCAACTCAAAACATTATTTTTAACTTGTGCTCAAGGTTGCACCTATTGCTGTTTATACTTCTGGAAAAGGCTCCAGTGCAGCTGGCCTCACCGCATCAGTTCAGCGTGATGCCGTTTCCGTAGGTTTCGCTCCCTTGAATGACTTCTCCAAGGCTGATCTTTGGAATAGCGGGAATTTTACCTTGAAGGTGGTGCCATGGTCTTGGCAGATACTGGCGTGGTCTGTATAGATGAGTTTGACAAGATGCGTGATGAGGACCGTGTTGCTATACACGAAGCTATGGAGCAACAAACGATTTCCATCGCGAAAGCTGGAATTACCACTGTCCTGAACTCGCGAACAAGTGTCCTTGCAGCTGCCAACCCTGTATGGGGGCGATATGACGAAGGTCGGAGCCCAGGCGAGGCATGTGCTGGTCTTCTCTCCTCGGTCTTTTCACTGAATATTATTCCTCAGAACATCGACTTCCAGACCACTATTTTGTCTCGATTTGACATGATTTTCATTATCAAGGATGAACACAATGAACAGCGAGATCGGGTACTTTTTTTTGCCTTCCTATGGAGATATGCATTGAACTCATATTCTTGCAGATGATCGCAAAACATGTCATGAATATCCACATGAACCGCCCAAACAATAGTGCAGACGAAAACGGAGATGTCGTTGGGGAAATCGACATTGACAGGATGAAGCGATATATCTCGTACTGCAAATCGTGCGTTCCGGTGTGAGAAATCTTTCGTCGTGACTGATGTTCCGGATCATCCAAGGAAATGCGCTCCGCGGTTGTCCTCCGAAGCTCAAGAGATGCTCAGCAATCACTTCGTTGACCTGAGGAAACAAGTGCAGAAGGTTGAATTGGATAATGACGAACGAAGTTCCATTCCCATCACTGTTCGGTGCGTGTTGTACCTTGTTACCATTCGCCACTCGTACTGATATCTTTGATGCAGTCAATTGGAGGCCATCATCCGGATATCTGAATCGCTCGCGAAACTGGTGCTCTCGCCTGTGGTCCAATTGCACCATGTCGAGGAAGCCGTCCGGCTGTTCAAATTTTCCACTATGAATGCTGTCTCTGCGGGTTCTGTCGAGGGGCTGTCTCGCGGTGAGCTCAATAGTGAGATTACCAGGATCGAGAAGGAGATCCGCAGGCGTCTGCCCGTAGGATGGAGCACTAGCTACCAGAGCCTGGTCAAGGAGTTCGTGACGCAGCAAGGCTATTCAAGTCACGCGCTTGAACGGACGCTATTTGTCATGGAGAAGCGTGAGATCATTCGGTTCTCCGGGCAAAAGAAGGTGGTGCACAGGTCAGTCCAGATTTTCCGCTTTACATACTGACTGTTCTGAGACATTCTCTAGGGTGGGCGTTTAGCCGGTTTGTTGTTCATAGGGTCGGTCGTTCATCTGTATCATGTCGAGTTGTCGCTATGTGAGCTGTTGCGTTTTTCGCTGTCGTCACCAGGAAGCATTGTGAGTTTCGAAGGGAACTCAAGGAAATCTGCTCAATCGTTTGCCCGCAGAGAAATCTAAGCAAACAGGCGAAAGTCCTGCGCCGAACTTTGTTCCGAAGGCCCTTCGTTCAGGAATTAAATTCTGGCGACTCGCGACATTCTTTCCGCAGTTCTTCGACTATCAGCGTCGAAGCACCCAATGATGGTGATTGATCCCGACACTACCATGTTAATGAAAAGATGCGACGGGTATTTCATTGCCATGTATACTCTTCTCTATTGTCCTTGACATTGAACTCGGAGAAAGGTGTGTAGTTTCAACAAATCGGGCCCAATACAGCGACGATGAATTTGTGTTTTGTCCTGAGGGCAACGTTGACGAAATGGTATGCGCACCTTCCTCATACGATCACTGGACAACGACCTGCACCTCCACGGTGATGCTGTCCGAGGTAGATGGATTACGAGCGTGCTGATTATTGTCTGCAATCACTAATGCCTAACCTCAAGCTTTGACTAGAGCCCATGGCCTGTGGGAGCTTCGCAATCCATGGCACCTCGAATCCATCCACGCGATTGGACGTGGATATCACAAGGCTACTTTAGTAGCCACCACAAGCGCCTATACTCTAGGCTTTTCGAAGTTTGATACACAAGCGGTAAGATCCCATCGTCATATCATTTGATCTAGAGACTACCTTCCTGTCGTCGTGAGGAGTAGTACGAGTATTCATGGAAGCAGAAATGAGTCAGGGATCAAGGCCATGGTTCTCGATCAACATTTCTCTCCTATCAGTTGATGGCTCGCTGACGCCTTCCATCATCCAGTGCTTGGAGGAGGCGGCAGTGTGTTCCTACGCCCGCTCAGAACTTTCTAGAATCTCGCCGCCTCTAGACCTGATGGTCCCAAATACGTCGCTGTCGCTGACGGCTCTTCACAAGCGCACGGCAAACGCGCCGCAGGAGGCAGGACTGTAGGGATTTCGAAGCCCTCCTTTCCTCTTTCGCGGCACCTTACCTCGCGGCTTGCTCGAGGATCGGACACGCACAAGGGGCCTAGGGCAGACACCTAAACGTGTCCATGTATTTTCCAGGCCTGTTGCCATGGCGGTCCTACCCAGTCCTAGGTCAAATGTGATGGACGACTCCTTTGTTCTCTGGGCGGCTGCTATTTCAATCGGGTGGCGAAGGGTGATACTTGTCACCCATGCCTTCTGTCGCGCAACAGTAGTTGGATCATTCATCCAGATAGTGACTCGCGCTGGCTCTGTGTGGGAGGGAACTGATCTCGGCGTGATCACATTACGCAGGGAGCCAGCCCCGTTTTCGTACCCGTTGACTGCAACTCCAAGATTCGCCACTCTTCGACGTAGGACCGTGGATCTTGTGATATGGCCAGCGCGCTGACTTACGTGCTGTAAGGGAAGTTTAGCAAGCTTGTCGTGCCGTTGGAGCCGTTTTGTGCATTCGGCGGCGCCCACGTCAGATATCAATTTTGATTGTCTCGCCCGCCCACAGCCAACCATCTCCCGGCCTAAACACTGCTGACAATCATACTAGTAAGCACAATTCACTTCGACTCCTGCAATCCAGTGATATCATTTATGCGGCATGCACCCAGAAAGCCGTGGCCCTATAAGTCTAAACAATTGTCTGCTTCAGACCATGCCTACTGGCGCCGATAAACGCCCAATGTCGGCCTCCGTCCACGTATCCATGCCCATCATCAACATTGAGTTGACGGCCCCCACTTTAGGACGATGCAGCCGTTAAGTTTCTGTTATCAGGCGACGGCCCTCGCCATTAGCTTCTGTCATGCCCCGAGATACTGATTTGGTTTCGACCTCGTATTGATCGAATGATGACTACGGAGGAACTACGTGATTTCGGGATCGTTCCCTCAGCATGGATGTGACATGGTTGGGAATAATTGTAAGCGGTGTCAATGATGTAGGTATGTTGGATTTTGTCGAAAAATAGAAGAAGGCGACGTGTACTAATAACGTCACGGTATAGGGGGCTCGGAAAGTGCCTGACGATGTGAGTGTGCATGCGTGAAATCAGTCCATTGCTCGGAGGAACCAGCGCGGAGATCAAGCGGAGATTTGCAAGACTAGGAAAGCACGAGTAAAGGGTGCGGCTCGGAGCGCTGGTTTCAATAGTCAGGCTCGCTTGATGGTGTTGTCGTTGTCAACTCGGCACCAGGAAGTAGTAATCATCGACGGGAAGACACGGAGCACATATGAATGTCGTGATAGCGTCCGGCATGCAGTCGACGGAGGAGGGAGGAGACATATCTGAAGAAGAAATAAGACCACGTCAGATGGCTGACGCGAACCACGTATGGCCGCGGAGAGCGGAGGAGGGGGGCTGAAAGAGGAATGCTAGTAGCAGAGTCCAAGGAGACGGGCTGCAAGAGGGTTGTACTACCAAATCGGCGAAACTCGATCATGCATGATGAATCGAGGGGACTGTGAAGGGGCGGCGATGAGTACGAGCGCGCTAGCAACGTGCCCTGGCGATTTTGGACGTGCTGGGACCATATGGATCAATGCGTGCGGGGGTTCAGCGCTTCAGCGCTCAGCACGATGGTGTGCGGTGGAATATAATTTGGTGGTGTTCGGTCTGGGAGGGCAAATGGGCACCGCCTTGGGATGGGATGGGATGGGCTGCGGCGTCAGAATGCTTGATCCAGGCGAAGAGTGGAGGAAGAGCACTGAAGTAGCATCGAGCACAGCTTAGTACCCTGGCTTACCTTGCCGTGAGCGAGATGGAAGTGCGAGCGGTCGGCGGGCTAGATCGAGCCGGCAGGATCTGCCGACAAGGCGAACGCCGAGGGGTGGGAATTCTGTGGATATGTGCTCTGTTGCTGCGCACACTCCCTTCCTTCCTACTTTCGCCCTCCATCTCCCCTCGTACTTATAGCACCTGCTACGCCGTAGTCCCAACATGACGCACAACTTCTCCGAATTCGCTTTCGACTATATCAACCCCGATAACTCCAAGCCCTCCCAAGGCTACGACGTCCCCTTCTTCGACACTGCAGGCGAAGTCGTAGTACCCCCCGTCGAGTCTTTCGAGCTCCAGATCGACCACGACCTCGCCGCCTTCGACGAGGACCAGCTTCAGGTCCTCTTCGACACCGCCCAGTTTGCTGGTTATAGATCGAACGAGCCCGTCTTTGGCCCCGGCTCCATCACCGCGTCTTCCCACTCGGCCTACGACACCGTTTCCACCGTTTCAGAGTCCTTCTATAGTTTCCCCACCTCTCCCGCCTACGCTCCCAGCAGTTTCCCATTTCCCATCGAAATGGACTTCAGGTCCTTGACCGTCGGCTCCGACTACGGAGTAACCGATCCTTCGGCCAATCGCTACACGTCGGGCGCTTCTCCCGACATGGACCTCACCTCCTTCGGCGTGTTGCCTCCGTCTCCCCCCACTTCCCCTCCGGTGCATTACATGCCCAAAGCACGCTCGGAGTACACACCTGCAACAAGCTCAGGGAGGTACCATGTCCCGGCTATCTCCCAAAATGTCTCTCCACAACTGCCCACTGTCCCTCCGGTACCCTCTGTTCTTTCTGTCCACGATAGGAGCGAGATCGATTCGGAGGATCCGAGGCGTAGGCATCAGTGTCCCCAATGCAACCGAGGCGAGTCGCTCTTCGTTCTAGTCTTGCGTCGTATGCTTATTCGTTCTCATCTACAGCCTTTGCTCGTGCATATAACCTAAAGACCCATCTGGACACGCATAATCCAGAACGCCAGAAGTCGTTCATCTGCCCACATCGCAGCTGTGGACGAGCATTCTCGCGCAAACATGACCTCCAGAGGCATCGTGCAGCAATCCACCATGACACTGCTTCGTCAGCGTCATCGGTGTCGTCTATATCACCTAGCTCCCGCCCTTATCCTCAAAAGAATGGCATTAGCATCGTCAGTTCAGGACGGGAAAGGTGTCAGTCATGCGGCAAGAGCTGGTCGGGTCGAGAGAGGCGTTGCAGCTGCAATAACGATTTACGCGTCAAGTAGTTCACCATACTCAGCCTGCGTTGGGGTCTCGTTTGTCAGTCGCGAATTTCATGCTTATTGTCGTTGTGTCTGACTTCGATTTTCAGGTACGGATTCTATCCCACAGCCGCCCGTCCGGCCGCCTTGCTTCGAAAGTGCGCGATCGGCATGTCGTGCTACCCCTGAAGCGGGGTGAAAGCTTGGCTTCACTTTTCACCATGGCAATGTGACCCACGCGCGTCCATATGGTGATCTATGCTAGGCGTTGTCGGACGTGCTCGAGCTCGTAATGTACAGTAGTGTCGTTCCTGTTCGTCTTTCGTTTTGTGTCAGTGCCTTGACCTGTGTTGGTTGTTCTCTATTTTCTGCCCGGTGTCTCCTTCCGAATCTAATCAATTTTGTATTGTAACATAGCGGTGAATAGAAATTATTCTCAGTAAGTTTACAGTCTGATCAATCTGTCTAAATGTTCGATCCGGATCCGAAGGTGTGCAGCGAGTAATCGAAGTTGTGCTGCAGCCTGTGCTCTGCGCGCAGTAGCGCTGCACTTGTGCGAAGGCAGTATTAATAGAAAAGCGCTGCGAGCAGTGCGGCGCTCTGTTTGGGCAATGTTCTACGGCGAGTACACCATGCGCAGACACGCAGATCCTTGGCCCTCTCTCTCCTTCATCTCCTTCACCCCTCAAAAAAATGGATGATTGTCCTATCTTACCCAAATGCACGAACAGCGACGACGAGTCTCTGCACCCCGACCAATTCGACAAAGACATCGATGGACTGGAATTGGACACGCTAGACGTCACTGCGTTTCATTTCATTGTAAGCAGAATCATCGCGTTACCCAGTTCGTGCATTGACGAGCAGCATAAGGACATTACTCGTGCTACGAAAGCGCGTTCCGGTGCTGTCTATGTGCCAGCATGTGCGGGTAGCAGCTACGTCGCCGGTCCGGCAACGACGCTCACTGGTTCACTGAAGACCAGTGAACATCGTCGCCAGATGGCCAGGTCCCCTTCTACCGTCATAGGAGCTGAGACACTTACTGAAGAGAACGTCAGTGGCCCCAATCGTACGTGCTCAAATTCCTTCTCAGGATGGCCAAGCACTCAGTTGTCTAGCGCCCTTTTAAAAGCCTCTCGCAGCGACGTGGGAGCCGCTGCGTTGAGGAGACTGTGCAGGGCTGTAGGATGCCCTCGCGCGGAAGGCGGCGGCTCGACAGCCGTCACCCCGCGCGGAAGAACATAAGCAACGGCCGCAGGGCAGATGCGTCAGGGACTCCCAACCTACGCTGTTCAGTGGTGTAGGCTGGGAGCCCTTGACACATCTGCCTTTTCTTCGAAGTAGTTCTTAGATCAGCGGCCCGCGCGGTTACAACAGTCGATGTGAGTTCTCATGCTGACCGCTCTCTATATGCACTGACGCTTTTTTTCTCTATAGTCGGAAACATGCACGTCCGGCCATCCACTCTTAGAGGGAACCACTTGACCATCACGGTGTCCAAGTGGTATTCTTCGGGAGGCGGTTGTATGCAGCTCGCGCTGTGCCTCATGTAGCGACCTACCCGACTTCATCTACTCCCCAGGCCCCTCCCCATTTCCTGTCATGGTTGACTTTCAGACTGATTCGCTCGATGATCTGTTCTGCCTGACTCGGATCTCCTGCGATGACCTCTCAATCATGTTTGAGCTTGATATATCTTTTAACATCTCAACCTTCCCATTCTTTGACCAATCTGATGATTGTTTTCTTGGAAATTATCTTGTTATTAACTCGAAGATTGATTGTTCACGTAGAATGCTGTAGTGTTTTACCTTCGTTTTGAAATTACGTTTTGTTCCGAATACCATAGCAATAAATGCAGTTCTCACCATGTCGTCGTGCCGTATGCATCGCTACAACGCTCGCTCATGACAACACCGTGCGCAGCTCACTGGTGAGGCCTGTGAGGGTCTCTGCTCGAATGCGAGACTCTATCGCGATTATCCCGACAGCAGAAGACTCATCACAGCCCCCCGATCTCAGCTATCGTAGGATGGATTGCCGGTTGGTGGCTGTCCACTCACCGACACAATCGGAGGGTCATCATGGACTGCGAGAACCGCAGGCGGGCCTCGCAGATCTCTACGCGATGACAGACTGCACTCACAACAGCGCACAGCAACCGCCCTTGGACGTGGTGGTGCAGAGCTTCGCAGCTGCGGACCCCCATAGGAAATTCCCTGAACAGCCTGCTACGGGCAAGAGCACTATCCTGCGAGCCCCTATTCTCCGTGCCAGCTGGCTTATATACTTGCGCACAGATGGGCGTTCTGTGATCCGCGCATTCGCTGTCGTCAGAGAAGGAGGAAGAAACACCGCTCCGAGTCGGCTGTGCTTTGGTGCTGGGTTCCGGCTGGCAGACGCTGCCAATAGGCAGTTTTATGTAACTGCAGTGATCTGAGCATGCTGTCGAGATCAGCTGGCGATTCTCTGCAAGTAGTACGGCAGCGATCGTGTGCAACTGTTCCTCTGCTGCGCTGGGATATCCCAGGTGCAAGGGTTCATAGCAATCAACGTTTAATACCTCAATCGAGATGCGGGGCAGATTAGAGGGGACTGCGTAGAAGCTCGAGGAAGGTGGTCGGCGGTCGCACATTTCAACACTGCATATTTCAACACTCCTTCGGATCGTAGGATCGAAGCGGGGCCGAATCAGGATACTGTCAGGATACATTTGATAATCGGCGACTGTTGCTTACTCCTTGCTTTCGGCGAAGTGCCCGCTGTAAACAACCAAAGGAGAGCTCAACAGTGGAAGGATGGTGTGGAAATGGTTCATATAGTTGACTCGTCGTGCTGGCTAACTGCGTCGGCGAAAATGTGTGGAAGTAAATGGGAGTAGAATCTAGATGATCCATAGGTTGCAAGGACTCAAACGTCACGAAGGTTGAGCTTCGGGTTCGCTCTGCGGGGAACCATTGACAATTCTGTGAGGTCCAGTATGCACATATCCTTGCGCTGCGAGTAGTAGGAGGATCCGGGAGATACTTAAAAGCGGGGTTTTTTTTTTCGAACGAGCAAGAGACCAGGCGTTATGCGTTACGTCAGAGATAATTTGGATCTGTTACGTTAGATCTGGGAGGTCGCTGAGCAGCGTGAGACGGCGGGATCGAGACGATCATCATTCGACCCACTCATCCATGACGATGTTATTGACGTGGGTCCTCGACTCTTTCGATCCGACACTCCAACCCACCGACATATATATAAATTTCTCGATGGCAAACCCCGCCCCGGGCCATCTCTCTCAGCATGTCTTCTCGCACCGCTAAAATTGATGACCTTCAGCGAAATATTGTTCAGCCCACAGACGCCAGTAGGAATTATCTGACTACAGACCATGGCGTCAAAGTGTCCGACACCGATAACTGGTATGCTACCTCGATCTCAAGGCCTTCTATTCCCATTCTGACCTAGCTCTTACCTAGGCTGAAGATTTCAGACGGAACCCACATCGGACCTCACCTTCTTGAAGATCAAATTGGTCGTGAAAAAATATCTCATTTCGACCACGAGCGTATTCCCGAACGCGTCGTGCACGCTCGTGGCGCCGGTGCTTTTGGCTATTTCAAGCTTTTAAATGATCATGCGGCCAAGTACACTTCTGCGCCTGTGCTCACCGACACTTCATGCACGACGCCCGTGTTTGTGCGCTTTAGCACTGTCCAAGGCTCTCGTGGGAGTGCTGTAGGTTACTCACACACGCTGCTGTCACCGCCACTTACGTTTAAACAGGATACAGTCCGAGACGTCCGTGGATTCGCGATCAAGTTCTACACGCAGGAAGGAAACTGGGATATTGTCGGCAACAACATGCCCGTCTTCTTCATTCAGGAAGCAATTAAATTCCCAGATTTCGTTCATGCAGTCAAACCTGAACCTAATAACGAAGTTCCGACTGGGCAGAGCGCGCACAACAACTTTTGGGACTTTGTTGGACTACAGCCAGAAGGTGAGCAAATTTTGCGTGCAAATTTTTATTTTCGCGTTTTGACGACTAGTATCAGCGGCTCACATGGTTATGTGGGTCATGTCAGACCGCGGCACTCCACGCTCGTTCAGGATGATGCAGGGTTTTGGAGTCAATACGTACACGCTCTTCAAAGAATCAGGCGAGCAATACTTCGTGAAGTTCCACTTTATTCCGGAGCTCGGTGTCCACAGTCTCATGTGGGACGAGGCCCTCAAAGTTTGCGGTCAAGACCCAGGTAAGTCCCCTATTTTTATCTGTTTCGACAATTCTGAGTGTTTATATTTCAGACTTCCATCGCAAAGACCTCTTCGATGCCATCGACAGTGGCTGCCCGGCGAAGTGGAAATTCTGCATTCAAGTGATACCTCAATCCAGGGAGCATGACTTCGAGTTCGATATTTTGGACGCCACGAAAATTTGGCCAGAAGAGCTTGTTCCCCTTGAAGAGATTGGAGAGTTAGTTTTGGATCGTAACGTCGATGAGTATTTCCCGCAGGTTGAGCAGGCAGCGTTCTGCACCTCGCACGTCGTGCCCGGTATAGGTTTCAGCGACGATCCTCTCCTACAGGGCCGGAACTTCTCGTATCTCGATACGCAGATCACGCGGTTGGGTACCAATTGGCAGGAGGTGTGCGATATAAAGACATCCATTGTCCAGTTGGCCCATAATGTTTCACTAGCTCCCTGTAAATCGCCCTATCTGCCCTGTTCTCAATCATCAGCGCGACGGTCGATTGCGGCACCGAATAACGTCTGGTAGCATCAACTACTGGCCCAATCGCAAGGACCTTCTGCCGCCTGTTCCTCCAAAGGATGGTGGTTATCATACGTATGCTTTGGAGATAATATGTCGTTCGCTTTCTAATGCCCCTCGCCGCAGATTTCCTGCAAAGGCGGAAGGTATGAAACAACGCATCCGCGGCGCAAAATTCCAAGAGCACTTTGACCAAGCACAGCTGTTCTTCAATTCTCTCTCGGCTCACGAGCAACAGCACCTCATCAATGCCATCTCCTTCGAACTCGACCATTGCGACGATCCTGTTGTGTATGAGGGATATATCAAGGTTCTGAATTCCATCAATTTCGGACTTGCCAAGAAGGTTGCTATGAACGTTGGTGGTGTCATCCCTGACAAGCCAGCGAAGCAAGGCCATGGAAAGAAGAGCAAGGCGCTCTCACAGGGCTACTACATGCCAAAGGAACCTACCATCGCAACTCGTCGTATCGCGGTTTTGGTTGCTGATAACTTCAATCTCGATGAAGTGCGGGCCGTTCGCACGGTTCTCGAGAGTCTCAAGGCTTTGACGCTTGTCATCGGCCCTCGTCGTGGAGAAATCTATCCGGAGGGCGCCAAACACGAACCAGGCAAAGGATTGGCCGCCGACCACCATTATGAAGGCATGCGGTCGACCTTGTTCGATGCTGTGTATATCCCGTCTGGCAATCATGCATCGCAATTGGCAGGGAATGGGCGAGCAATACACTGGATTCGCGAGGCGTTCGGGCACTGCAAAGCCATCGGAGCTGTTGGTGAAGGTGAGTCTAACTTATTTCGCCTCACAATATCGCAGCACATTGATTTTGGTGTCACTCATAGCTGTCCATTTCCTCCGCCACTCCGTTCAGCTACCCGGCATCGATTTCGTGGACGACGACAGTGCGGTAGTCAAATGCTCCTACGGAGTCGTTACCACAGGTCATTACCATGCCAAGCCAGCGGACACGCTCCAAATCGGTCCGGACAAGGCGGAGTTTGTGGCCAGCTTCGCGTTTGCTGTCAGCCAGCACCGGTGCTTTGAACGGGAAATGGATGGGCTGACCGCGAAAGTCGCTTTTTGACCGGAAAGTCAGATCCTATCGTTGAAAGAGGTCAGGTTCATGCAATGTCTGAGGTGTACGATAGGAGTCTATGCTGTTGTATCATCATGTCAATAAATTATAATCCGGGTGTTGTATATGCAGGGCCAATGTACTGATCAGGTCCAAAGCGGAGCTTATGCTGCGTATTACCAAAGACACCGAAGATGAAGGATAAAATACAAAATAGATACACAGCAAGTGCAATCAGGTACAAAAGTTGTTTGGACAGCCATTCAGGCTGCAGGCTTAGTCTACTGTAAAATCACTTCCTATACGCCACTCCCCATGACCAACACTACCAAGACGTATGCGTTGGCAACAACGATCACGAGCCAAATGGCGTAGCCTAAACCCTTCAGCGGCAATCCATTGCTATAGTCAACTGACTGTCTGATTTCAGATATAGCAATATTTTCCTGCTTGTCGTCCACATGCTTCTCTTGACTGATCTCGACTTGCTCTTCTATAGCATGCACATCAATGTCGATCGTCCTCACCTCGACGTCGACCTCAGGGTCGACATCGGTGTCCCCCTCGCGCACTGTAGAGGGGGAGATTGACGTCGGCGAAGGCGTCGGCTTATTGACGGTCATGACAGCCGACGAAGACGTGAGCCACACAAGCGGAAGCACGACGAAGGGGAGCACGATCGAGAGGGTGACCTGCGAGGCGATGAGGAGGGTGTCGATGCCTTCGCGACCCACGGCGATTGCGACGACCATCGAGGGTATGAGGCCGATGAGTCGGGTTATGAGTCGTCGAAGGAAAGGCTGCGGTGACACGATGGATGGCTTAGCCTACGCAAAACAGCGGAGACAATAGTGCTGTTCGTGACTGACGGAGATTCTCCATTCTATGAATCCTTCCGAGACGATCTGGCCAGCGAGGGTGGCCGTGATGGAAGCAGTCTGTCCTGCACATAGGAGAGCAAGGGCGAACATAGAGGCAGCAGCTTGATAATTTATATCAAGTTGTGTATATGTTTTGCAGGAAAGAAGAGTGAAACCCACCCTTGCCAATATGATCTCTTATAAGGTCGTGGGCATCAAATAAGCCAGCGGGCGCGTCGTCGGGATCTCCGTCCTGGAAGAAGACAGTAGCGGCAATAACGAGAATTCTAAGCGAACAATATGATGTCAGATTTTACCGACTGCATACAGGAGAGACGCTTACGCAGAATTAATGGGCACCGCAACACCCAACAAGCTCATGACCATGTCGACGATGCCGTGTCCCAGATGAGCTTGGATGAACTCCAGACTATTGTTATCCGGACGACTAAATTTGTTGCGATGCTGCCGATCGGAGGAGATCCTTTCCGCGCGCGAGACAAAAAAGAGAGAAGAGAACGTTGATTTTAGCTTGCGACTGAGACGCGTCAGGCTCGACGCGGGACCAGTTGCGACGCTTGCGCTCACGGGCACAGGTATGGGAGGGAGCGCGGTCGACACCCGGTCTTGGGTAGCGAGGAAGGAACCTAAGAATATCGCATGCGGCATCACCGTTGCGCCCAAGATTCCCACCGCTTTTCCGACGCATCAGCAGACGAATCTTGATGGGTGGAACCGGCTGCTGTTACCTGTGTATATAGCATTAGGCTTGCTTTCGAACAGCTTCTTGGACGGCACGAAGCCCAGGAATACATGTGGCCAATCAGCGCCGATTTTGGCGAGCAAAATCAGGAAGCACACGAAAACTGCAGCAACCTAGACAAACTGTCAGTTGACTTATTTGGGGGAGATAGGAAACAGAGATACTCGACGAGGATGATGACCGAGAATTCAAACATCCTGACGGGGCGCCCATGTCCACGAGTGGGGTCGCCAATGATTAAAAATACAAGGACGTCTGTAGCCGTGAGCAGGACCGCTGACCACAACGGTAGTTTGGGAAACAGGAGGACGAGGCCGATAGCTGATCCGAGGAGCTCCGCGAGGTCTGTGCTTATGATAGCTATCTCACACAGGACATAGAGTGGGTATAATACGCCATAGCGGATCAGAAGGCGATGCTTGGGGCGGTTGTAGAGCAGTAGCCGGCAGTGAGAGGCTAAGTCTACGTCAAAATGATGTTGAGTGAGATAGTCTGATGGGAAGGTCTCATGACTACGGTATTACCTGCTCCAGTAACACAGCCCAATTTTGCGGCCATGGTCTGCACATGGTGTGGGGCGAATGAGTGCATGATCAAGAGGATCAAATCAAGTTTACCTGGAGTACAACAGCCCCCAGGCCTGCCATTAGAATGACAAAGAGCATAGGTCTGTATCCGAAGCTGGACCCAGCCTGCATATCGACACTCCAATTTCCTCTGATGTCGCGAAGAAAGCGTCAGCAGAGAGTCAGAGTGTGCAGCGAGACACGGGACTTACGGGTCAAAGTAGGCGACTGCACAAACGATGCCTACGCCAGCATGTTTCTTCACATGGTGGAATGCAGTCTGATATGTGGTCACCAGGCGGTGAGGTCTTCTTAAGTGCCTCTCGACCTCGCGGGAGGAGGTCGGCGGGTGATCATGCGTTTGGAGGGCGAGAGGCGGGGGCATACGGGCATGGAGGTGGGGACATGGGGAAGTAGAAAGGCGGAGACATAAGACGTGGAGGAGGAGCCCAGTGTAACGGGACGCTTGGTTGGTAAGGGCCGAGGTAGCTGCTCATCCTAACCGAACAATATATTCATTCGGTCGGCGTTCAGAGGTTCTCACTGGCGTGGGACAAGATGCAGTGTGAGTCCGAGTGCCCGGTGTGGCAACCTCGACGCGTCTCACTCCTCCCTCCCCCTCCCTCCTGCCACAACATGGACCTCAACGATTTGCACCCGCCAGACGACTACTCTCACCGCTTCTTTATATGGCACGAGTGGATTCAGGTATGCTCGTCGCATCGCCTCGAAATATCTCATCTCAACAACACCCACCATAGGCAAATGGACCGCTCACGTCCGACAATGTTTTTGAATACTTTGCGGCCTCCATGTTTTATGACAAGCAGAGCAACAATCAAGTTCTAAGAATGCAGACCATGCACACCGGCATGCCCATCGTCAACGAAGCAGAGGAGCTCAAGTAAGTTTCAAGCTTGGCCAATGACGTCCATCGCTGTTCATATCCAGCGTGTATCGTACCGTTCCGGCGGGTCTAAAGGCGCTTCACTGGCATCGAATTTGCCCTTGTCCATGCGCAGCCCCCTTCTTTATTTATCATTCACAAAAGGGAGCGGACTTCTCCCGAAGAGAGTGAGTCAAATCCCTTCTCACCAACAACAGCCTTTGATATCGCGGTATTAGCACGGCCGTTGGCAGCATATTTTATCATGAATAATCGCATATATCAATCTCCAGACATGTATTCAGTTCTGCAGAATCGGCTAGTAAGCACCGGCATTCTCTTCCGAATCGTTGGGACTGATGTAGATGCTCAGCTCACATCACTCTACTCGTTACAATCCTCTCTGGATATCCTGCGTAAACACAGACCAGACTACACCCCGAGAACAGGATTCGTCTGGCCGATCATGGAACCTCCCACGTCTGAGGATGGCAACAAGAAGAGTGCAACCGATGATGCCTCTGCTTCAGCAGAACCAGACCTGGCGCCTGGGCTAACGGCATCTCTCGAGAAGGAGAAAGAAATGTTATCATCTGGAACCTCGAAGAAGCTGCAGAACAATTTGCTGCTGCTCAATGCGATGCGAACAACTGCCGCACACACTCGCCAAACGTTCGCCTTGCAGACGCAACAGGTCGCTGCACAGAACCCTGCTCCAGAAATAGTACCTGTAGCCACGGCTGCCCGCCAGTCGATGACTCCGGCACCCCCTGGCATTCGTGCAGCCACCCCTCTCGCGGCTGCCACTACTTCGGGATCGCACGAGGCCGTTCCTGCGAAAGTTCCGCCAGGGGCAGGCAAAAAGAAGAAAAAACGTAAGTGGTGGTCCAGAATAGTTATCCTCGCACTGGTTGAATCCCTTGAGCAGGAATGTCGGTTCCTGCACTGCCAGCGTCGTGATCTTCAACCGGACATATCTATATGCCCTAAACTTGTATCTTGAGGTTGAAGATCGCAGGCGACTGCCGATACTGTCATCCTTGCAGCGTGACCTCAAGGATCGGATCCCGTATGAATGGCAAGCTATTATCAGACCTCCACAGCTTACAGAACAGTTAAGATCACTCAATCTTTTAACCAACCATGCTTAGGGATCATACTAACATCCACGGGCGGCGACAATGTAACACCATCTTCTTTTTTACGAACCAGCAGATCAATTACGACATGAACCTCCAAACGCGTCTATCGTACAATTAAGTTATATCATCGATAGTAAACCAGACAATATGAAGCATGGATGATAAAGTAGAGTCTCATCCCGCTCCAACTCCAGTCAGTTTGCCGGTAAGCCACCCGAGAGGTATCTGTAAACCTGCGCTCCGAGGACCAACACCTCCCACACCCAATGCCAAGGGGTTCGCAGAGGCAAATGACTGTTTGCGGGCTTGTGCAGCCTGCCTAACTATAAAAACGCGATTGGTCAGCGATAGTACCGTAATGCTGGCAAGATATGGAATGTGCAAGGGCGCCGCGCTCGCTATCAGTTGGGCGCAGGAAAGTTCCGGAGGAGAGGAGCACAAGCCGAATAGATGCGCGTACACATGTGCACGCGCACGAGGATGCGTACTGTTTCTCATCGCATGACGGGGATTTACCTGAGCCATCTATTTCCTCGAGATTTGTTTCGAGTACCAGGCCGCCCTGGATGATCTCTGCGAGTATGTGATGAACCTGCATAATCGTGAATGGGAGAGCGGTACAAACAGACCATCGCTTGAACCATACCTCATCAAAGTGGAAAACCAAATCGAGCTCGCAGACATTCTCGAATGCCCTGTCTAAGGACTCTACGAATACCTGAATACACATGACGCCGTCAGCGAAGCAAGACCATATATTGGAACGAAGTGAACACACCTGGATCAAATCGAGTATCCCAAGCTCACTTTCTGCCTCGTCGACCACGAGTACAAAATGTAAGGTCGCATAACTACGATAGACTACCCGCAACCTTTCACCCTCAGGCTCCTGCTGCCCAAGGAAGTCTTCGAGCTCAGGCGCGTCCAGAAAATTGCAGAGACTCGGCGAGCGTCCGCTAATTAGCTGGTATATCTTTTGCACTAGAGTTTGAGATGACCGATGAATTGGCGAGTAGAACTTTGTCAGGCGGGGGACACCGCTGGTGTTAACTGAGATCGGCATCAGTGAAGACCGAGGAGACGCAACGAAAAATGACCACACAAATGATGACGGCATGGATCATTGCGCTCGATTCGTTGGAAGAGGCCTTACAAAAGCCTGCAAAATTCCGGGGAGATCAGTGTTAGTAGAACGTCATGCATTAGAGAAGGAAGATATGGCGTCAAGTACTGCGCAAGGCATACGTTTGGAAAGGTCGAGAGCTGAAGGTTTGAAGAAATATTATCATAAATGGAAGCCTGGCCTTTTGATGTGGAGTTCAATGAAGGAAAGCTTGAGAATACTACTGGCTCGGTTGCTGCAGCAGACCGTCTGACAAGGTCTGACATCGGGTATTTCAGTTGGCACCGTCACTGCACCGTCATGTCGTGACTGGATGTCACGACTCCTCATTAGGAGCTTGCATTATATTTGCGACCGAGCGATTAGACACGATCAGAACTGATTGGGGTTTCAGTGCTTTCAGCTCGAACTGAGTTATCACTTTTTTCAGGTTCAATCAAGTATCCTGTTTTTTTCCTAGTATGAGGATTCCATCTACACCAGACAATGGCATGGTCCATGAGTGGTGTCAGGTTCGCCTGGAGGGCCGTGATATTTAGTATTCTATTGTCTCAAATTCTCTGATGAACGGAAGGGCTGCATTTATGTTGTTTCATGCAATTTGCTCTCGCTCCGAACGCCTCGAACGTCTCGCCGAGACATATATTTGAATCACACAGCTTGAACATTAGTGACTTGGCGTTAATCGGAGAATATGTGATGCGAATCGGTCTGAGCAGTCGATTAAGGCCAGACTCACAAGAACCAAATATCAAGCACCACGATGCTACGATTCGTCTCTTGGAAGACTCCATCCTGGCTGCAGCCTCCCCGCCAAACTACTGACTGGTCCCGAAAGCCCTCCTTGACTCTTGAAGCTCTCCAAGAAATTCTTGATCAAATTATAGTCCATCCCGCCCTCCGCATCCAAGTCGATATCCTTGTCTTCCTCGCCTTGTTCCAGGGCAGCTTGCAACTCAGCGTCCATGACCGTCTCTATGTCAGCATCATCATCGGCCGTGGTCGCATTTGCCTTTCCTTTGCCCTTATCTGCGCTTGGAACGGAGTTGGGCACTCCCTGTGATTTTTGAGATCGTGACCGTGCAAGCTCGGCATCCATTGCCTGCATGACCGCCTCAAAAGAGTCAAGGTTGGGGTTGGCATTCGGCCTTGGGCCAGGTTGGGGTTCTCTCAACCTCTGCTCAGATGTGTTGGCTTCAGTAGCAGACGAATTCGGGGCTTTCCCAGCCGAATGGCTCTCCGTCTTGATATGAGATGGTACAAATGCTATAAGACTCATCAGATGGCGATTGTTGGGAGTGATGAAGAGTGTCTTACCCCCTCGATTCTTTCTTTCACTGATTATTTCTGTCCACTGCTCGTCCGATATTCCAAGGGCTTGCCTTGAAAATTCCAAGAACTCATCCTCTTCTTCCTCCATGTCCACTTCGATTTCGCCAACGACTTGGGGCTGATCTTCCTCTTCTTCTTCATCGATCTCGTCTTCTTCGTCCGTCTCGTCATCGGAGTCTACACCCTCATACCTGTCCCGCATCAAGATTGGTGCACGGACAGGCTTCTGCTGCACTTGACCATCATCCTCGGCTCCACCAATGGTGTCTGTGGAAACAGTGGTGGGCGCAACTCTTTGAGAGTTGTTGCGAAACGAGATCGGCATTTTGCCATATTCTGAGGGATCGATACCTGGAACCAGTTTGTCCATTGCTTCGCGGCGGGCTAGTTTGGCAGCACCATCGTCCTGGTCGTCGTCATCGTCCGGATCGTCTGAATCGTCGTCCGAGAACTTCTCGTCGCTGAACTCATCCATCTCGTCCCCCGATGATTGTTCACTGCCAAGAAAGTATTAGTTTTGGCTATCAAGCGCAAATTAACGATTGACACACTCTTCAAACTCTGCACCCTCGATACCACCTTTCCCTTCAAGGAAAGTTTCGACCTTTTTAGCAAGGTCGTGCAATTTCGACGCCTGCTCTATCTCCGCTTTGCGCTCTTTTGCTAGTTCGCCTTCAGAGAGATCAACATCCATAGCGTCCGGATTGATTGGAACATCTGTCTTTGGAGCGCCCATCTTCTTCTCTAGCATGTCATCGAACGATTGTGAGTCGATGTTGAGCCATTCATCTGGGTCTTCAGTGTCCCGTGAAGGCTGCACGGCTTCTGTACCAGCTTGGAGTAAAGCCGTCGTCACAAGCGACGCGAATGACGCGCGCGAAGTGTCGCTAGTAGAAAAGGTCAATTTGATGATCCACAAAGGTCTATCATTAACTCACTCCTGACGCCGAGTTTGTAGGAAGATCTGAGCAGCTTTGTCTTCAAGCGAAGTCCACAGCTGAGAGCCTTCTAGCTCGCCTTGAAAATATCCAGCGAACACTAAACTTTGGATATATTTGGCGTAGTCGGGGTGGCGTCGTAAGGCGTCCTTCTGCGCATCCCTCTAGAGTTTCTCAAAAAGATAACTATGTGTGCAATATATATACGATAAAAACATTTACCACAGAATGGATACCCTCAATGGTTGTTTGTGACGCATCAGATCGATTTTTACTCTCCTGGAAAAGCATTTCGAACCCGCAAGCCTTGATACAAAGAAATTTTACTCAGTCACTTGAAAGAAAGATCGATAGCATACTGGGACTCACAATTTTCATGCCCACATCCCTCCATCGCCACTCGTTACTTCCCTCGTTTTCATGCCACTGACCAAATATCTTCGGAGGGTAGAATTTTTGCCCGACTAGCTGAGCGTACGCTGTTCGTGTCATTTTTACTGTACGAAGTACAGAAGGTTGAGGCGGGAACCGAGACATCTTGCGAGCTGCCTGTGCATTGAGGTGAGATGAATTTAACAGGAGGCTTCAGACGCGCCTACCCGCAGCTGAAGGGCATCACGAGTGTAGAAAGTTTCCACAGCCTTTTGAACAAGCGAGGGGTCCGACGACAGTGCTCTAGCTACATCTAGAGGTAGATCAGCCTTTGTCACATGGATGTGCTGTTTGAGAGCCGTCGGGTATCTAGTTCGGTAGACATCAATACCAAGGTTGCTATTCGCACAAACTTCTCGAATCTTACCCACTAAGTCTTTCCCAAATAGCTCGCTCTACCTCTGCTGGGGCTGCTGTGTAGGTAGATGAATCTCGCACCAAGCGTAGTCCGTCCTGTATACTTAGAAAACCTTCAGCGTCAAGACTGATGGCGTCCTCTCCATCACTTTCTTTTGAGCCTGGAAGTCGTCGATGTGTCTTTTTGTTAGAAGGCGGAGATATGTGTGAGAGGTCTATGAGGTGAATGTGGGATTTATAGATCCAGACCTGTAACGAAAAAGAAGGCGTGCCAAATGACTTACTGGCCACAACAAGTAAGGTCCTAGAAAGCGTACCCGATTTTCAGAGTTGGAGGGTGAGACCCATGATGGAAGATAGTCAGCAGCTTCGATGAGTAGAAACTCTCCATCAGAATCGCGGACGCTGTCGAATACGTAAGAAAAACACAGAAAGAAAAACAAATCGACAAAACCTTATGACAAGATCCCATTTTGCGCTCATTTCGCGCAGTAGATATACTGTGCACCATTCATCGTCTACAGAGTCTCCCACTCTCATATGACCCTCCAGCATCCATTCCTTGCTTTCGAGATTTTGCACAACCTTGAGCTCAAATGGATCTCGATGCCAGACGAAGCCTTGAAGGACATAATCGACAAACGACTGTATAGCCACAGCGATGGCTGTGACCGATGCTCGGTCTGATGATCCTTGAGGAGGATATATTGTATATTGTAGAGTGTCTTCAGATATAGCCGGCGGTTTATTGAGTATATTGTTCATGTTGTCCGTTTCGAAGAGACTGGAATCGTCAAATGGACGTTGCGTCATTGACAGGGCACAAATAACAGTAAGCAAACACATTGGTGTTCAGCTTCCATTTCAGGCGATAGCAGTGATCATGACTTCGACATCTTTCAAAGACCGGAATCTACTAGCGGTCATTGGTGATGAAGTGGGTTGTCTCTCGATTCTTCAGGATATCACGCTTATCCAAATGTTACTGTAGGACACAGTTACCGGTCTCCTACTTGCTGGTATCGGGCATATAACCCAACAACAGAAGAAGAACTTCCTTGTCGTAGACTCCAGTTCGTGTTTATGTCCAGCGACCAATGGAGGTTAATCTCACAGTGGCATTGTGGACACGCAGAAACTCAGGTATCTGCTATCGAGGCCGCTTTCCAGGAATACACCGAACGCAAGGACATCGCCATCCTTTTGATAAACCAACATGTCTGTGCTACCTTGAACTTAGTGGTATACAACTTACTTGATGCGGTACGACAGGTAGCAGAGAAAATCCGTCCAACAGTTGACCGATATCAACAAGCATTCCCCTCATTACTCGAGATACCCTCGAAGGACCATCCTTATGGTGAGCTTGACCTCGCTGATATCATGCTATAGCACTAATACCTTCGGGTCAGATCCGGCAAAGGACTCTGTGCTGAAGCGAGTACATAAATTATTCGGCGAATAATGTCACAATATCTATCGTTGAAGAGTCGAGTGCTGTTAATGCGTGATTGAGCCCGAGGTTCAATGACTGGTACAAGCGAGGTCCCTGACTGTAGTCTGTAGGACACTGTAGGTTCTTCGACGTTCAAATATTGGCTATGGGTCCTGTCATCCCCGACCACCCTGCTATGGCCGTTCTTGGAAACTGATTTGAGCCCGAGACTATGTGAGAACCGGAGACCACTTCAGAGCTACGGTATGCCTGTGTTCGGCTTTCCGACAAGGATCGAGTCTATATGATAGATCAAAGCTGCATCCAACCCTTTCTCTATACACTCGGGTATTTTTCTTTTGTTACGTACTGCATAATCACTTAGGTCAAGTTCATAGGAGTATCTGCTGACGCCAACGGTTGCAGAAATTCAGCAAACGTCCACCGTGTTTTACCTTCATAGAGTGCCAGACCCGATTGCAGCGCCCGACCATGTAAGAATAAGGCATTCTAGGAGAGTGCATTATGTATCCCACTTCATGATGGGCTCGTTCTCTCGCACGCCCACTGAACGCTCTACGAACACTCGCACAGGGTTCCGGCTGCTGGAATCTGGATAAATGATTCAACACGAGAGCTCCTATGTTTGAAGCAGGGTGACGTACTTGGAATGTCGATTAAGATGTAGCGGAAGACGAAGTAGCCCAAATCATCCTGTGCAATGCAGAGTGTTTAATAAGACTCCTTCAACGACATGATACATTTAGACAACATACCCTTATCAGTTCCGCATGCACCTCACCCTCTTGCCATACCTGCCTCACGGAATCCACACGAGCCTCTTCTACACGAGTTCGACTCGCCCCTTTTAACGAACCGAACAACCCTGTTATGTTCCCCCACATACTCTTATCCTCCTCTTTTGATGACTCCCTTCCTCTGCTTTCGGGCCCCATCTCTACCGTCATAGACTTCGGAGCCACTGGATCGCCCGTCAAATATCTGAATAACTCCTTCGCAGATTCTGCTACGTGAGCTGCATGCTCTTTTGACATAACTATGGCACCGTCCCATGTAAGATCGCCCAGTGCATCAGCGATATCTTTCGTCCACAGCAAGGCCATGTTGATATACGACTCTGATGAATCAGGTGTTGCGCCTGGGGAGCGCGCCTGGACATAGAAATTCAGGAGCATATGCTCTTTGCCGGATTGATCCACCGCGATTTGTGAGGAGACATGACGATTGCGGTGTCGTGGGCGAAGAACGGATGGCGGGTTATTGTGGAAGATCAACGGGCCTTGTAGGTATTTCGCGACCTATCAACATCTTGAGTTCTGAGATGGAAAATAACGCAGTTGTTCCGTGAAGGAAATTGAACATACCTGCGGCGACGCTTTGATACGCTCACACGCATCGTTGTAAAGAACTGTTGGGGAATTCTTCGAGAATAGCTCTGAGGTCAACGCGTAGACCAGAACACCTGTCAATCCTGCTCCAAAAAGTATGACGGTGAAGTTTGATGTCCGTGCAGTCGTTCGAAGCACTAGGATACATCACATACGCCGCCTGTCGCCTCAGCCCACGAGCTCATAAAAGAATGCTGTGTAGTCACGCACCCTTGCCTCCAGCACTCAATTCAGACCACTTCTTCACGTTCCCATCTGTCTTGGATTGCAATGTCCCAAGGCTAAATGGGCCGACAGTGTCTCTCCGAGATGTTCCCTGCTTTTGGTCGAGTGCCTGGGAGAGGAGTGACGAAGGGACATGATCGCGATGCGTAGCATATGCTCTCAATGCAGACGAAATCGCAAACCGAGAAGACGTCAGCTTTCTTGAGGAGTGGGGAGATGGTAGACATGTGTGAGCCTCAAACCCAAGCTGTCGTAGACAATGAGCTTTCATTTCCACCTGTCTTGTTCAAGACCAGTTCACTTGGATTTCAGGGCGAAGCGACGTCGGCAAATGCCGCCAGCGTCTAGACCGATTGAAGGAAAATTCAATGTCGCCACGAGCATACTTAAGTGTAGGTGCCAACACTAGTGCAAGAGGTGCCAGCTGTTCAGTATATTATGAAATTCCTGGCACTTTTACTTTTAGGCCCCAGCTTTGTCGACTAAAATTCAACAAGACTCATACACATAGCTAATCCGTCCCAAAATCCGCCAATTTCTGCACTACAGATTTCTTCAACTACGAAACATCGTTAGCCTGAGAAAGTAGGTATTTTAAGAAAGACTCACAGCAGGGCTGTTACCATCTCCTTCAAAGTAAGCGAGCATGACTTCTTGCGCAACCCAGTCATTTTGAATAGCGCCGAGGTCACGAACAATAAGTGTACGATGCCCTGCAGGGTCTGGAGGGGCTAGAAGGAGATCTAACGGCGTGTGCTTGAGAAGAGGGGCATTTGGAAAGATAGTCTTCAATTTGCCGATAGGTGATTGGACGCTCAATTGTTCCTCAGAGGACAGGGTGCCTCGTTGGTGTGCAAGTTGTTGGCGAGCATTGAGTGATCGGATGAATGCATCTCTTAAATGCGTGTACGACGTGTTGCGAGTGGGGACTGGTCATAGGCGTTACGGCAAGCGGAACCCGTGCAATATGGGAGGGTCGTTTCACTTACTGATACGAATAACACACGCTGTGTTATGGATAATGTGCTCTATTTTTTCTTGTGGAGTGGCGGATTTGGGTATCTTCGACCGGCATTTTAAGAGAAAGCCTTCAGGAGGATCAACAATCAGGACGTACATTCAAATTTGGGTTTGACAGGTCGGCGTAGAAGCCGACAGAGTAGACCTTGATCTTCAAGAAGGAGACTGTACGGACACCCACCCCTATCAGGGAGAATGTAGGCATGGGGACTTTCGAAGGTATCCTCAATGTGGTAGGAAAGGTAATAGATGTGTCTGGATCGACTTTATACGCAGGTCAAATCTAAGGAAGCACATAATTTTGGGCAGGTCCGGACGAACCAGTCGTGTGCTCAATTTCGGTAGCGTTCGCATCCAAATGAGTGATGGACTGTGAAGCAATTACAGCCGACAAAGCAAAGACAGAACCCCAGATCAACGGCCTGAATCGTGACATGGGGAAGGCCTTCGTATACGCTTGACGAGGGGATTGCGCCTCATGACAGAATAACGATGAGACAGGCGCCCTGGCAGCAAGCAGACGCAGTAAGGGATACATGATGACCAGTGACCGCTTGAATGGAGGGATGCCAACGAGCCTCAACCAAGAACCAAGCCGTTCAGTATGAGTTCAGTATGGCAGTGCAGAGACCTGGCACGCCCGAGGCACCGACACTGCAGCGCCCGGGGTTTTTCGTGTAAATGCTTCGGACAATTCCCTAAGTATGCTTTTTGTCAGAAGCTAATTATCAAAAGGGCAGAAAAGGACAGAAATATGTCCTTTTCATAAAACAATTCCATAGGATTCTTATGGAAAATTCCAAGCTGCGACGCGCAACCCTTGCCACGTGCCCACGACAGAGTTACGCGTCTCTTCCGACGTGTGAGAATTGGCACAGATTGACGCTTTCATATACGGAGTGCACCATTAGAGGACGCGTCATCGAAGGACTCGTCACCAAGAGTATATAAATCCGTGGTCTGCCTGTTTCTTTACTCTGTTCAGTACTTGATTTTGATCCGAACGCCCAACAATGGAAGCCTTTCTTGACTTGCATACTCTCCTAGGCTCCCAATCATCGTCGCTCAACGTGGACGACATCATGGAGGATGATGATATGTCCATCCCAGACTCCAGCGACGATCAGTTACTCATCGGAAGGCAGCATACCCAGCTGCAAAGATATCTGTCATCTGTTCCCTACCAATGCGAAAGCCCAGAGGAAATGGATGAGAAGCTTCAGGTTATCATAGGCAAGATTGGTGTTTGTGCCGAGACCAAGAATTGGCTTGTCCTTTCGTCTTGGAACGGAGCCTTACATTGGTGCGTTGAGACCCACAGCATCGAATTGGCTGAATTGACATTATTATCTTGTCAGTTGGCTGCTCATGCGCTATCCTATTTCAAAACCTCTGCGAGCCAGGTTATGCAGGCTCTACTACGAACTCTGTTTGTTGCCCGGGATCGAGCCTCGGGTTATACATAGCTGGGTTGATATGCTTGCTAGGCTTCTTCTAAATAAACCCAACAGCAAGCGCAAACTCGAGTCTGTGGATCTCCAGCTTCCGTGGAAGCCACTGTGGCGAGCTCTTCAAAAAGAGATCCCAATGAAAGGGAGACTGTACGACTCCTCGTAAGCTGTTTTCTGCATCCCGCAGATGTAAGAGCCTTACAGATATCTTGTAGGCGTAATCTAGTCAATATATTATTGTATCTAGCAGAAATGTGCAGGCGGTACTTCCCTGCCGAAGAAATCCCGGAAATGCTTTCTACGTTCGTCCCCCTTGTAACATCTGAGGTTTGTCATAATCGCGCAAGTGATGTGTACTGTCGTTTAACCAATGATTATCCAGTCGTACCTGGCTATGATCCCGGTCATAATATCGTTTATGCCACCTGCTCGGTGTCATCTTTACATGCCTGCCCTTTTCAGTTTATGGGAGGCGTTCAATTCCACCAAACTTGACGACAGACTCATCGAACTCGTTGGCGAGCTGTCCGAGGAACACGTCGCAGGTACGGCAGGACTAGAAGGAAGTGTCGCGTGGAAAGATGTCGGAATATGGAGCTCTAAACAATGGACTGTTCTCGTTGGAAAAGCTCTAGGCTCCATGAGTGCGCCTTTGTCTACCTCGATTTATTTTTGCACTGATCGGATTCGGCCTCAGATGTTCCTGTTGGAGGTAGCGGGGTAGGCTCTCAGCTGGACCGTCGACATTGTACTACGACGCTCAGTTATGTTTATAGGGCGCTAGTACTACGGGTCGATATGCTGATAGTAAAAGCAATGGTGCGTCTTCCAGAATCAAGAAGGTTATAGCTCGTTTTGGTGAGGCCGTTCATACCAACATACATCCAGTAGATAGATATTAATCTTGATTTGTTTTAGGTCCCTTGGCAAAAATGTTAGTTTATTCTATGGCAACGGATGCCCCTATTCGCGATGCTGCACCAACGTCTAGAGACCATCGTGCCATCGGAGAAGGCTACCTTGCCGGTTCAAGAGCTCTTGACTCGTTGGACAGACTGATGATCAGTACCGAATCATTCTTCCATCCGTCCAACCATGGTCTATGGTCGATCAGCGTACGGAAAACTCTTCGCTGTATTCGTCGGTTCGTTTTGATTGTATCACTTTGCAGCTGACAAGTTTCATATCACACTTGGCGTACGAGTTCACAAAGCGCTGTGAAGAAGAGCGGGATCCGAATTGCAAGACTCCAGCAGTTCGTTAACCTTCACTCAACAAGTATTGCAGACTCGCTGAGATTGTTTGCCACTAGGCTCGCCGACTCACCCTAGCAATTCGTCGCGCCTTTGTGACGACTCTTCGTACTCCAGCTTTGCTCTCAATGTTTTCGAAAGACCCGATGTCCATGAACTTCGCACAGAGTGCTTTGCGCGCCATGGCCGTTCTGGAGCCGAGCCTCATTATGCCCGACCTCCTCGATCGTGCTTATAGCGGCTTGGAAGTAGTAAATGAGACTCACAGGACGACTGCCGTTCTGACCATGCTGTCCGGAATCGCTTTACCTCTTGTATCAGAGAACATATGGCTGGGCGGCCAAAAGCATGTCGTGCCTCTTTTGGAGATGTGTATCCCTGGAATCGACCTTGTTCGTAACATTTCATGTTTTGACGTCTGGCTGTTAACTTGGATTGTCTCGCTAGAACGACCCCGTGAAGACGGTTTGCGCAACCATGTTTATCATCTCAGTAGTACAACACATCAAGGTCGGGGATCTTTCAATGGCCCAATCGGGCTTGTCTCTCTCAAGTGATGCTCCCTACGAGGATATCATGGATGTTGACCAGGATGTTCGTCTTCCTGATGGCACCGATTTGGGAGAAATGCCTGTCTTGAGCAGAGAAGAGGAAAGGATCCTAGTTAGAGAGTCTACCGCCTCATTTGCTGGTACAGATGCCTTTACCTCCGTATTAGTCAGCTGCTGACCTTTGCTCCTTCGAAGATTGGGTTACGTCCTTCTTTAGACGGATTTTCGCGCTCTACGAAAATTTGCCGGAAGAAGGAGGTAAGAAAAATATGACAGGTGGCAAGCAAGAAGAAAGTGTCCTAAAGTCTTTGAAAAGCACTTTGGATATCTTATGCCTGCATCTTTCGGACCCGCTGTTCGATCTCGTTTTGAAGCTTGTGTACGACTATGCCACCACGAATGCGAAGTCCAATGCAGTCAGAGCGTTTGGTCAGTTGGTGTCTACCCTTGCTAGGGCGAAGCCTGCGCAGACTATCGACAAATTCCTGCCATTCTGCATTAGGCAGATCAAGGAAGAATTGAGACACGGTGCATCGGGTATCCGTACGACGTCAAGTCATGCCGCCGTTCCGTCCGATACCACATTCCACTGGAGTAGGTCACTGCCATCGAAAATTCTCAGCTTTGCAGATGCATAACCGTTATCTGATAGATATGTCCATCATTCGTGGATGCTTCGGTTACGATGGAGCAGCCGTAAGACATTTCATTGACTCAAGTCTGCTGGGTTTACAGTATTGTCATTATCATTCTATCACTGCAGCTTCTCAAACACAAAACTCAAATCTTGGATCTCTTGTCGGTACTTGTTGAGAAAACGTTGAGTGAAAGAGGATACAGCGGAACTGGAGACTTGTTAGCTCGCATCCTAGCTACTCTCTCAGGAACATATCCGCTCAATAGCAGATTCGTCAATACTGATGCATGGAACAGCCCAGGTTTGTGCACCATTTTCTTCGAGTGAGCTCTGGCTAAATTTCTTATGTGACTAGAGTTTAACAAGGACCACAATATTCACTGGGGTAAGACTTTTGTGGCAGAAGAGGTGGAAATTGAATGGCACGGTAATTGCAATGCAGCACATATTTGAAAGGCTATTGATGGATTTTCCAGTTCCGTCTGAGGAGGAAATATCGTTTGTGCTCGAAATTCTAGATCATATTGTGGCGCCTGCTCTGGCCAAAGTCGAAGTTTTGTTAGAGAAATCTTCTGCCTGGACTAGTATAGATCGCAACGATTTCTGTCGGTAGGTCTCTTGTGTCTCCTTAGACTCATTCAATAATGTTGTTCATATCTATTCCTTAGATACCTCCAGGTTAGCAGATCTGCCTGGACTGGCTTGTACACCCTCTTCCAGGAAGGGCCCAAGGAAGTAGCCCAGTCGAACTTGGATGACAGCACTGAGGTTGAGGCTCTTGTTGTCTCTCCGCTCATGGTTCAAGCCGGGTTTGCCCTTTCGGATCCTGCAGATCCTCGATTCAAGAGGGCAGTCGCACACCGTGAACGTATGGGACATCTTATCCATCGTGCTGCAACGGCTTTGGGGCATGGCTACGAGGGCGAAGATCACATCGACGCTGTCCTTTCGGTCGCCAAGGCCATCGATGTGTACCTTCTAGGTTACGCTATGGGCAAAAGCGATTTTGACAACCTGCAGAAGAATTATACTCAGGCGAGAGAGTAAGTGCTCGATAAGCTCTACGGATGAGATACATCTGATCTCGAACACAGCTTGAGCCGAGCTTGGCCAAAGCAGAAGAGGGACTCTCGCCTTATCTTGATCAAGCGCGGACAAGTCTACCATGGCAGCCGCCTCTACATGCATTCCCTCTATCGACGTCGGTCTGCTCTAGATGATCAGTTGTTGAACGATCTAGTAGAGCTGTCTCTGTCGTCATACACTCGAGTGAGAAAGTGTGCCTCCAAATAACTTCAACTTGGATCTCGATTCTCATCTATTCTTAGGCATACTCAAGCTGTCCTTCGCAATGTGTGCGGAGTACGTATTCTCAACGATTTGGCTTATTTTCTTCCAGAATAATTTTCTTCTCAGTATTACGTACGATCTACAAGCATGATGTTGCCGACGCTATACAACTCGCTCGCGAGAGGGACAGACCCAGACCGCATGAAGGGTGCTCTGTATATCTTGTACGACAAAGAGATCGGTACGAAGGCCTCCTTTTACATTCAATCTGTCTCTCACACGATGGTTGTAACAGCGACGTACGCAATTGCAGGTACAATTTCCTAGAGCGACTTAGAGACCGATCCACTGATACATAACGCTGCAAGATCCCAAAACTCCTAATCTTTATGGACGCTACCTCATCGCCTTATTAAATTGCCAACATGAGGAAAAGGTATGTTTAGAAACTGCTTCTAACTAAATTGTCCGAATGATCATCATCTTGTCCTTTCTTTAAAGCCCTCGATTCAAAAACTAGTCACTTCTCTTGCCCAGGGATGCTTGTCTAATCTCACAGAGGAATCCAACCGAACTCACGCATATCCTGATGACATCCCTGGCGTCAAGGAAGCTATGCGTGCCTTAAGCTTTGAGTTTTCTCCTGCATTCATCGATAAAACGATACTTGAGGAAACGCTTCGCAAGGAGCCTGCGAGAGCCACAGCATGGAAGCTCAAATATGAACAAACTGTATGCGTTATCCTGATTCTGTATCTGTGCGAAGCTCACGCTCACAATTCAATTCGAGGTTTCGTCTATCATCGAAGTTGCTCTGAAACCGACTACCCATGTAAGATTCTATAATCACTGTATTAGCTGACCTCATCCCTCTTTTTCAGTGGAGATATATCCAGATTGCGCTCGACTTCTTGTACGGATTGCTTTGTCGCGATGTAGCACCTTCTTCTGCGATAGCAAAGTTATTTATAGATCACAGCACCAGCCCTCATCCACCATTGCGGGCCGTGGCACAAAAGTATGTGTCTCATCTTCTAGGATATATATTGTTTCTATAATTAGGATCATAGGGGAATCATCAAGTTGTGTGCGTTGGTGAAGATTCGTACCTACTCGAAATCGAATGAAGAACTTTGGCTGGACGAATATTCAAATCCGCTTCGGAGGAATGTTCCAATCAAGAGCGATGCTGAATTTTACGATTACGTTCAGCAACCTGTGCGCTACGACGGAGCCGCCGAGTAAGTCTGGATCATCAGTTCAGAGATGTATCGCTAAGACTTTTATAAGGTATCTGCTCATCGACAAGCCTGCCTCAGGCTTTCTTACTTGGGCACCGTTCACGAAGGCGTATGTTGCTGTGGCAAATGGAACTCCCCCATTCTCGTGGGACGTTGAATGTCAGCCAGCGCTAGAAGCTATCCAGTCTGTCATTAGTGGGAGCAGTTATTACGGTGACTTGACAGCCTTGTGGGGTCAAGAATCCAGCAAAAATACGGCAAAACCCCTTTTACGAGCAGACAATGTGTCATTCATCAAGACTATTGGTTTGTCTCCGCGTTGCAGGTATATAAGCATCGGACTTATCATTTCCTAGCGAAAACTTTTCAAGGCGATGGACTTGACAAGATACTGAGCACCATAGATCCTCTTCTATGGGAGACTGATCGGTTCAAGCAACGTGCGGGAGCGGAGGTACTGTCAGGGCTATTGCGAGGTATGATTTAGTTTCGATTGTTGAGTTCACCAATGTTCTCACGATCTGTATAGGAAGCAAGCATTGGCCGAAACAGCTTTCTGACCACATATGGTCTTGGGTATCATTTCGTTTAGATCGCATTTTCGCGCAGATCAAACCAGATACTATCGGTCTCTGGGAGGGTGTCGTCAATGTATGTCTTAATCTCGTATTACCCTTCGCCAGACCTCATCATGTGCGATGGTAGACGCAACTTGAATCGCGGGATCCCCGAAGGAATACTTTGCTGGTCGCTTGGATTCTTTCTCTTCCCCTCGACTTACAAAGTGATTCTGCTTTTGCTGGTGAGTTTTCATGTTATACCTTGCGAGGGGATATCCTGACCTCCTCCCTTAGTGACCAAGTCGTTGACCATGTTAGGGTGTTTCATGGATTATGTTGGGTATAGGAATCCGCAACTCGGAGACAAGTACTTCAAGATGTTCCTTGAGAACTGCAACGTCGGTTATGCTGAGGTGAGTGTACTCCGTATCCACGAGCAACAATGAGAGAAATGATCCCGCGTATAGATGAGGGTCAACATTGCTCAGCATTTCTATATGATTATCACCAATCGGTGGCGTCCTTCTTATCGCTCGGCTGAGGCATTCTTAGAAGCTTGTCAAACGACTGAAGACCCGTTGCATATCCAGTTCGTCATTCACATACATAACTGTCATAGATCACCTCTTAAACTTCTGAAACAAAACTCAGGCGAGCCTTCTATCTTCCTGGTGTCCTCGAGATTACCCGCCAGATGGCCAAATGGAAGCAGGAGCGCCTCCCCCCACCCAGAGTAAATCAATCCGAGTATGATAAAGTAGGACTGACTCGTAAGTCTGTCAGAAACTTTGATTCTCTTGTCTTTACCGAAGCGTTTTCAATGAAGTGCTGAGATGGATGTGGATCGCGTTCTACGCCCCGCATGCCCCGTTGATGTTCCCATATATTTTGCCAATGCTGTATGTACCTCATCCAATAGTTTACCTGCATCGTCTGACATAACCTCTAGGCCAGATTTCATTTGTATGTCGGAGCTTAGTGACAGTTCAGAATTGCAAACGCACAGCCAGGCGGTCATGTACATCCTTTCTGCTGTCGTTCCCCCTCCCGGATTGGTCAACTCTATTGTCACAAGCTTTGTCGACGCGATCAAGTCCGCAACGGTAATGATGTTCGCTATTGCCTACCATACTTCAAAACTCATCAACATATATGACAGTCATGGCGCACCCGATTGAATGCTCTGCCAGCGCTGGTTGTATTCTTCTACCGCAACCTCATTAGCATCTCTGATGTAGGTGTGATCATGGATGTCGTTATCAATTGTCTGTCGGATGACAACGTCGAAGTGCGAGAGATGGCCTCAAAGGTCCTGTCTGGCGTAGTCCGCGTATCTCAGCGACAAAGTATCATCCGCTTGAAGGTAAGACACACTTCCGCTAACATGGATTGATATGTCTGATATAATCGTCTGTAGAATCAGTTTTTATCTCTCGCGCACAAAGTCAAGCTACCTGCACGGCAGGATCCGAAATATGGAGATTCTCTGCGAACCCTGCATTCGGCCATTCTAGGCCTCTGCGCCCTTATCGAAAGCTTTCCGTATTCGGTAGAAACGTGGATGCCTTCCTTGACCGATAGTGCGTTCATTCAATCGTTTGTGCTAGACCGCGACAAATTTATCCTCATTTCCCTGAGTAGTATTGGCAATGCATGCAACGGATCCTCCTCCTATATCGACGACTATCAGGAAGTGTGCATCCGAATTCAAGAAGGTATGCATACATCCTGTCCTCGTATTAGCACAGTTACTTATATGTGCTTGATCAGACTCATCAGGTACTCTTGATTTCCTTCAGGTAGTTGACACGTTCACTCATGATATTTTTAGGACACTTGGCACAAAGATCAGCTATCCTTCAATGAGGATCAGCTACAGAATCTTTCGACTATGCTTGTGGGCACCTCTTACTGTGAGTTTAGCCTCAACCAAATTTTCTGATCGACTTGGCTGACATGTACTCTCCAGATGCTTGATGTCAGCAAACCGACCAAGAAGAACCCTTCACTTCGTTCTCCGTGTGTGTACTTGTATCGAATAAGACTCTGTGTTTTCTATGGACACCCAAGAATGAAATCATATTCCATCGAAGTCTGCGTCGTCCGAATGTCCGAAAGCAAAGCGGATTGTATCTTCCGATACTCCTCCAGCACCAGGCTCAATCGATAAAAGGACTTGTAGAAAACATGTTTCCGTAATATGCAAACCGCCAGCAAGGCGCCGCATCCAATGCCGTTGATGTTCGTCAGGTGAACGAACATGAACAACGCTAAGCTCAGCTCAGTAAGTAACTTAGACTGGAAAGCACAGCTCTTTGGCCATCTTGTCGCTGTCCGATGTTCTCCGACCACTCTGATCTCGTCGTTCATCTCGAACTAACCTTTGATATAACATCCCAAGACGTATAAGGATCTGTTCTCGCAGACTTCGCGAGTATCGATGGTCGTGGCGGCGTCTGCCGTTCTCGACCGAGACCACGATGACATACCATATTCCACTTGATAGATGATGACGAAAGAAAGATCCATGAGATCACCTCTCGCGAACGACGGCAGACGACGCCAAAAGGAATTTACCTCTGTCTATGCGCCGTCGGTGAGTGTAGCAGACACTGACAGACAGCGCAGACGTCCTTGTATTTGAGGCATAGGGAAAGATCAGTGAATCGAGGATCTGCACCATCAACAATCGCGGAGCCTCAAATTGACTGATCGACTACTTTTAGACTAGGTGGATGGATATTCCTCCGTCGACGGTCTCGTATACTCAAGTCGAAAACAAGTAGGATGAACGCAGTCGTTTCAGTTTGTACTCACAGAGGAACACGAGGTAAAATGGTATTCTATATAGGCAAACACAGCTGCCCGATGAGTGTAAGGTAATCTGCCGCACTTGATGTACGGTAATCTGGATAGCTTGTCGGCGGTTCCATTGAAGGCACATCTCAACAGTCCGACGATGAAAACACCAAACTTGACGTACAAACCCAGTCCGATGATTGTTTTAGTAAGGAACATCGAACACATCACTGCATAGATGATTTCTCCGCACCTACAATCAGTATACAGTTCTCCCCATTTTTCGCTGAGGTCATAGAACACGAGGCAGTGGCATAGTGATGTGTGATAACTTGGGGAGGCGGACAGGGGCCCTAGGTGCGGCCCGCAGGAGCGACGCCTGTTCGGGTGACACTCTGCAAGACGTTGAATCCAGTGTTCCCACAGAGCATTCTGATGCGGAGTCAGAGAGGCTGGGCTGGTACGTGCAGGCTGCGTGCAAAGCAAGGGGTGGAGCATGTTGGAGCACGGGACAAAAGGCACAGAGAGATGACTGGAGGAAACTGCACACAGCAATTCTCGTCTCCATCGCACGGACCATATTAGAAGGGGTGTATTAGAAGGGGTGAAGGGTCTACTGGGATCCAGTGGCCCAAGTGACTGGAGAACGCCTGATGGGCGCTAATCAAAAGTCCAGAAGCAGAAATTGCTGGTAGGAACGTTGCAATCGAGCCTACGTCCATCCGCTCTTGCCTGTGAAGAAAGAGGAGTACATATGGGAGAGAGGGCATGCTATGCCGTGTCGTCGGTAAATCGCGCTTGCATAGATGAACGAGGAGATGAGGGCAAAGAGGACCTTCTGCGGCTGCCACGGGCGGAATACACGTGTCTCGGATGGGCATCGGGAAGACGCCGTTGTCGATGGCTGACGTTTAAACTAGGTCAGCGGCTGCGGGGAGAACACACCATATACGTGGGAATGCTAGCTCATGCGAGCATGCCGGTAGTTGAGGCGGCTTACGCTGGTGTCAGTGTTTGGGGCGCAGTTGTGGTGTGGCTGATGGCGGGTCTGTAGGGCTGATGGGCGATGGCTGGAGGGGTGCAAGGCTCACCGCTGTATGTTATCTCGGGGATCTGGAGTCGAGGTGATGTGAGTGTGGGAGGATTGTGACCGAAGTGAAATTGGGGCTGGTCACGTACAAATACAATTGGTCGGGGGCGTACATAAGTTGTTGTTTCCGCTCTTCGCCGTCTACCACCTCCACGACGACCGATCTTTCTTGTGCTTGTCCACATCGCTCATCGATATAATCTCTAGATACACGACTCTTGGGCGTGTTCAATCCGCAAGCGAGTTTGGCCACGACGTCTGGTCCACGACAGAATACGGTATTTATTGGCAATTGCCACCGCGCGAAGGGCACGTTGTGATCAAAAGCTGGGACATCTTCCGTACGTGAGGCTTGCCTCGCCCCCATTCCTTGTTTATCGAGTCCATCCAACACCCTCAACCGCACTCATCTCCGTCTCCATCCCACACAGCTCTTCACTCATCCCATCTTCCTTTACATACTCGTCTCATTCTTCAACACGCGTCCTCTTGCAATCCTCCTCCCGGCCGCGCGCTGTCCGCATTGACCTCTTTTTTATAACATCCATCTTGCATCGCTACTAGACCCTTTGTCCGCTTCCAGCTCCCATCTGTGCTGCTCAGCGGCCAAAAGTTCACGACGTGGGCTATCTATTCAGTGTAGTGACGTCCACACGCACCCACATTTCCATCGGCAGCAATATCGTTCATCTTTCCCGCAACTCGATTATTCTCTCATACATCCTCAATCTTCTTTTTATCTCTCAAGCATTGGAGTCATTCCCCAATTTTATCGCTAACTGGTGAGTTGTTCCCTTCTTGTCGTCACCAACCTGAACTCACAATTCCCACCCAGTTTAAATGCACGACGCTGTCACGACCATATCCCCCGGCACTTTCCAATCGTCTGAAAATCCTCGTGCCTCTGCAGTGACGAAACAAGCAAAAATCGCCAAATCTGCTGATTGGACTCGAGATTCTGCTAATATGGAAGATACGGCCTCCGATGTAAGTTTCAAATGCGCTTTCATCGTTTTGTCGTCCTTGTGTCGCCATCTCAATTGTCCTTCCTGCACGCCTTACTACGATCTTCGTCTGACTCCTTGTTTGATTGGCTCGCTTAGCGCCGACAACACCAGATCAATTCTATGTACAGCAATCAACCTATGCAGACGAAGTACCAGCCTTCAGCTTTCCGCCACTCCCCTCTCGATCACAACACGGACATGACCTTATCGTCTGACGGTGTTGTTCAGAATGGTGGACGATGGCGCGTGAATCACAATGGTCAACTTGTCGACACCGATGCGGACACTTCGTGGGACCTTGCTAACGAGCTCGTCAGGTTGAACATTTCCAGTGGAATAGATGCTGGTGACGATTTGCATGGCCAAATGCGCACGCCTCCTAAATCGAAGCTTGCGGCTGCTGCCGTTGTCCAACTTCAAGAATCGAGCCCTCTTGAAACTTCATCCGACGCTAGCCTGGACTCTGGATCGTCCCCTCATGCTTCCGAACAACACCTCATTCTTCCTTCACATTCACGCGGCTCATCGACGGATACCACCTCGTCTAGTCAAATATCGGGCTCCGGGAATACCCTACAGACGTCAGCCCTGGGTTTAAATGTCGGCAGCGAACACAGGGATAGGCCCCACTCTTTCGACGGTGGGCTTTCGAGTGCCGACCTGCGCCGCCTTCAAAATGCTGGCTCGAGTGATTCGACAGACCAGTCCCATCAATGGTCCGGTCTGCTGGCAACTGCGGATAAACAAGCGCTGGCCGAGCAGACTGCCTATCCCTCACTCTCCGGATATCCTCGTCAACACGGCCACACGCACGGTTCTGCCTCATTCTCTCAGATTCCAGACGACATGCAGGTCAACTACGGCGTCCAGCAGCGTCAATACCAGCCTATCGCCGAGAATATGCACGTGGCTAACGCCTCCAATGGCTTCAATACTGGGCGATCCAACGCTAGTATGCCATCATATCGCCCCCAGCCTGCACGTGGCTACAACCCGCAGATGCAGTCCATGGTACCCAGTAATGCGACCCTGGGGTATGTTGCCCCTCCCACCCACACCACCCACTTGTCGCTCGGGAACACCCAACAGTTGTACGACATGATGATGCCCCTGCACGACAATCCGGCTGTTGCCCGCGTGCAACAGCAGCACAACGTGTTCCGCGCCTCTCACCAACACTCGACATCTGATCCCATTCATCTGCGTGAGGCGGCCGCTCTGCTGAACGGCGGTATGCCGCCCTACGCAGGGCCTGGAATGTACCCCGGCGCGATCGCCCCTGCTGCTATAGGCATGTATCCTGGTCAATTCTATCCTCAAGACCAGTACTCGGCCGCGAACGTTGCTGCTCAAGTCATGGCTGCTGCTCGACTGCAGTCACACTACGCAGCCCCATATGCTGTAGGGATCCCGAGCCACGATGTCAGCCAACCTATGGGAAGCTCTGTCAGCGCCATGAGTTCCAGCACTGGCGTTGCTGTTGATCCCAGTGGCAACGGACCCAGTGCGAACAATCGGAAGCTGGGCCTGTACAAGACGGAGTTGTGTAGGAGCTGGGAGGAAAAGGGTACTTGTCGTTACGGGCCTAAATGTCAGTTTGCGCATGGCGAAGATGAGATTCGCAAGGTGTCACGCCACCCGAAGGTAGGCGTCTGTTCCTTCTGTTCCGTTTATAATATAACTGACAACCATGCTTGGTGCAGTACAAGACCGAAATATGCAGGGTATGCTCCGTTCTTCATCGTTCTATTCCATTCATTTTAATCTGTCATTCGTAGACATTTTGGGTTTCTGGGTCCTGCCCTTACGGAAAGCGTTGCTGCTTTATTCACACTGAGCTTCCTGCGTCGGGTGCGCCGCCAGGCGCCGATGGCGCACCTCCGCCGAAGGTCAACCCAGAAACTCGTGGTCGGTCCGACAGTGACTCGGGCGAGGCTCCAGTCTCCCTTTTGGCTCGTATTTCCGCCAAGCGCAATCAGGATGCCGTGAACAGCGCACAGAACCCGGACTTGGCTCCTTCGCCCAGCTATCAACAAAACTCGCGCCCTGGGGCGCTCAGAGTCGACACATCTTCCCTTGATCAACCCAACATCAAGCAGAACAAATCAGCTTATCCTTCATTTGCTGCCAACGGGGTACTGTTTCCTAACGGAGAGACTTCAGGAAGTCTGTCCCCAGGACCCGTCACCGCCGGACCAGACCTCGGCAGGCAAAGGGCCGACTTCATCGGTTACGGCCAGGTGCGCCTGTCTCGTGCGACTGTTATACTCTCGCCTTCTAATGTAGCTTGCCTCTTTTTAGTCTCGCTTGAATACAAGGAGCTCTTCGACGGCGCGCCATTCTTTCAATGGTTCTGACATTAACTTGAACTTGAATACCCCGCCGCCTACGTCTGGGCAAACTTCGCCATTTGCGATGTCGACTTCGGAAACTCCGACCGCGCGTCAGGGTGGGCACGCGCGCGCAGGCAGCGCTGGAAACTGGGGCTCCTTCTCTAGGAGTGGGCACCTCGCTGCGCCGTCTCCTTTTCACGGTCCGCAATCGGCGAATCCAGGCAATGAGACGAGGATGAACACGCCTTGGTTGTCTCCCGACCTCGGAACCAGCTCTCGTTACGCTGAGAAAAGCTGGGTCTGAGTACTGAGCCCGCGAGGTTGAAATCGCCCATCCGGAGGACGGCGCAGGTACCCTTTCTCTCTTTTCTCTAATGATATTCCTCATGAATTGCATGTGACCGGACTTTGATTTATCCCCTTTTGATTCCCTGCTTGTTTGTATGTTTTCTCCAATGCCCAACAGGGGCAACGCTTTTCATGCCTCACGCTTGTTTGGTTGTTTTCTAACTTTGCCTAACGTTCTTCTTTTTCTCACTTGCTACCCCAAGTGCAGTTTTACCCTCCCCCTTCCGCAACACCCATCGTACACGTCTATGTCATCTCGTCTGCGCGTTGTCGAATCGTCTCACCTTTCCATCTCTCACCCCAATCTGACGCAAATTAGTAGCCTGATTTATTCTCTTGTTCATTCGTCCACAAATCCGGATCCCAGAAGGGGTAATCTCATTATTCCCTATACATCGCATCATTTGCTGTCTATTGTCATGTTCTTATTTCTATGAATGAATCCAGACTTGTCTCTTCAGCGTCTCAGCTACGACATTGATGAAATATTTGTATCGTCGGCCTCAATCAAATCGACTCTTGGCCTTTCCAATTCTATCGTATATGGTTTGTACTCAGATACAATGACTCGCTACAATAATTGTCAGTGCTGAAGCTTTTTTAGAAGACTGCACGAATGGGAAGTATATGCAGACCCAAGGAGAGAAAATGAGTAAATAACATAAGTAATAGCTTGTGTAAGCAGAGGTACTTTATATTTTCAAATCTTGAATCTCTCGATAAAATTCGGCCATACGACACCTGGTGTAACCAATGTAGTCAAACTCCGGTTCAGCCACATCCCCTTCAATATCATCTCGAGCTTGGACAAGTCCCCAAACAGCCCACAGAGCGTGAGATGCGGGGCTCCAAGCGCGGACCTGCTGTTCAAGCTTGGCTAGCTCATGCTCGCGAGCCTCTTTGGGTAGCGCAGAGAATGGCGTCGAGTCGGAAGAAGGAAGGGGTGGTTGACAGTGCGAGAGGTAAGCATTGTAGAATATGCGTCGCTGTTCAAAAGTCGGGTAGCACCTAGGCTGCAGGATATGTGGCGTGGAGGAATGATAATTCGCGGTCCACTCATGGAAGTGGTTGGCGATGTCATATGCAGCTGGGTTGGGCGAGGCGTACTCGAAGTCAACGACAATGATCTGTGATAAGAAAGGTCAGATGTCTAGATTTTTTCACACCAATGGGAAAAAGAGACGCACCTGGTGATGTTCGGGGATTCCTTCCTTCAATTTGTTCAGCTTCAGCAGATTCCCATATTGTGCATCATTGTGACAGAAGACCCGATTACTGGCCCCCTCCCGCTGCTCAAACTCGTGCAACCACTTTATGTACTTCTCCCATCTGGCTTGGAATACGTCCAGGTCAAGTTCCTTCCGAATCGTTTCAGAAATGGTTGGAAATGCAAGAACCAGACGCGCCGGTGGGAGCCAAGAGCGAATGTTCTTTTCGGCGCCAATCTGCCAGGAGGTTTCCACGCCCTGCGTTAGCGCAGAGGGTGCCTCAATAGCGGCGATGTCTACCCCATGCAACTCTGCCATCCGCGCACCGATGTATTCGCTGATTTTCTCCGCCCGGATATCGGCCGCGGTGAGCGTGACTGAGTCAAAATATTCCTCCACCCGGCCATTATCAAATGTTCCATAGATGCGCGGGCCCATGTGGTAAGAGGACGAGAGGACGTGCAAAGTGTGCAACTCTCGCGGTCGAGAAATAAGCGATCCGGAAGAAGGACCATATATTCTGAGTAGAAGAGTGCGGGTGGGTGTCAACGAGGAAGAAACGAAGAATACGGCATTGGTAAGAGAGCCGGAAACTTTATGGATCTTGAGCGCGTTAGGCGAGATGTCTGACTTGGACCATGACGGCACGCGAAGGACTTTAAAAATATCGAGCAGCTGCTGTGCGAAAAAAATTGATTTGTACTGTCTGTGGAGAAAGGGCCATGGCTTATTAGAACGATATGAACTGAGAAAGAGGCCGCGGGATGTCAGACCAAGAGACGGCGCTCATTATCTGCGCCTGCCGGCGGGGAGCCAGGACATTGTAAGCTGAATCGGCGATAGGAGAAGACAAGCTTACCTGGCATCTAGTCTAGCGTTTGCGTGTCGGATACCTTCCACCAATCCGTCTCCTGAGGGTGGTTCTTCGGAATACAACGTGCCGGCGAATGACGATGGGGAACAAGATAGGGTAGAGCCGGTTGGTGCGATCCCAGTCAAACTGTGTAGAGAGCTGGTGGAGGACCGCTTGATACTCCTCGGAAGAGAGATAGGAGTGGCAGGCGAATAGTCAGGACCGGCAACGTTGGGAGACATGGTTGAGCGAGAACAAGGTGGTAGGATATGGTGGTCACGGATGAAGATGAAGAAGGAAGGAGAGCGAGGGCGTCGATAAGGTCGTGTGATCAAAAACTTGGGGACCGCCATGTGCGCCGCCTTTCTCCGGCACGTTCGGGCTTCTTGTTGTGGGTGGTCGTCGTTGCTGTTCGTCGTCGCCGTTGTCGTACAGGGCGTCGCCGACGAATGCCGCAACCTACTTTCAGTACCACAAAAAAAGCCTCAGTGACATCACATACCCTCGTGATCGGCAATGAGGCCGGCCAACTCTACATCTCAACTCTCTTCCCACCCACTGCCGCACCTCCAATTCCCAGTTCCTTGACCATCTTTTTGCACACTTCTCGAGCGCCCATTCTTCTCTTGCAGACTATTCTTAATTGTGCCCCTCTCTTCGCCGTTCTGTCGCCTCAGGCCTCCACCGTTCACTCGCCTTTCTAGGATCGCGTTCTAGACACGGAATTTTTTCACACTCTGTTCAATCTCAACTATCTCTCTTCGATTGAAATGATCCCACCTCCCCAGACCTGAGTGCTATATTTCCCGCGGATCATAGAATGTTTCCACTTTTCTGCAATGCCTCGAGAGACTCTTGATTTGAAAAGGTCACCGCTCAGATCTCAATTCTCGGACCTCGGTTAGGCGCTGTCAAATTTCCCCAACGTTTGAAGGCTTTCTGTGTGCTCAGGTGCTCTGCCATGTTCGAGAATTCTCAACGGCACAGCCTGATAAGATCTTGCCGATGCTCTGAGAAAGGCATCGCAGCATCGATGCTGTTGGACTCGCGCCGGCATCGTTGTTGTCCAGGCTGCTGCGCAGCTGATCGCGGTCGAACACTCGTTGAGGTTGGGCTCTCTCGCTTTTTCTACTTTTGTCTAGGATCATCGGTCTCCGTTCGTAACCTTTGATTACGCGATGTTCTGGACCACCCCCTTCTGTTTTTGTCGGAGAAAGCGTTGACGTATGTCTAAGCTTGATGTACAATAATTTCCGGCTCTCCTAAACGTCATCTTCTCTCTCAACTCGATTGGCGTTTTTCATGGCCGTTTGGCAATAAACCATCGGATCCCGATGGAGAAGCAATTTTGCTCCAGTGTGCTCTACCAAGGTCTTGGAGGCTCTGCTTGTACCGCCCACACGGCTGTTCATGATAATGGCACCGTTCCTCCGACACCAAACCTTGCTCTTCCCTTGACCGAATTGTGTCAGATGGCGGACGTAAAACGTCGACCTTCTCGCTCAGCTTTGCCATGTCGGGCGCCTCCCAAATCGACCGTGTTCTGCTAGAACCAGTCGCCGCGTCTAGCTTGAGATTTGAAAATCGCAGGTCTCATGAACTACCCGGCCACTTTCGGGTATGTCATGAGCATCCTAACGATACCTTACCATTGCTGCAATAAAATCGGCTTTTGAGGCTGCCTTGCACATTATGGATAACCTGATCGACTTCTTTCTCACGCCTTGGCGCATCTGTGTCTTCTATCTTCCTACGGCACCGAAAAGGTGAGCCGAGAAATCTCATGTTCTTTGGTGTAACCCTGTATACAACGTCTTCCTAGAGCACGGTGTAGTGGGTAATCGTTTAGAATGCATGGGGTCAGTGTTGTCGCATACGAAGCTCACCACACGCTTCTCCTGTCAGCTGAAGACCGTTCGGGTCGCAGATTCGCACGGCTACCCCACATTGCTCTGAATCGATCCCAAGAGCTTCCCATTGCTGTCGTAAAGACAGATATAGTGACCCTCACAAGTCCCATGAATTGGGGCCGGCACATGTCGTGACATGCCGACCGCCCGGTGACTAACATCATTCCCAAAATGAATGGTTGAGGCAGCAGAACTGCCTGTAAGCCTGCCTCATTGTCGCTTTTTCGACTGTGACATCTGTTTTTCTCCGCTGAGCCTGACGCCAAAGTGCGCTAGTCCACTTTCTGATGTCCGTCTAGCATTGGTCCTTGCTTGTCAGAATCCCACGACAAGTCTCCGTGGGTAGCGCACGCATATGACGTTGATGGGCTGCATGGTCGCCTACTATGTCGCCTGTTTTTTCGCCTCTCTGCGATGTTGCGTGGCCATTGATGCCTCACTTCTGGCAGGGATCCTCAGGCCATGTCTTCATGTAATTAACACTACCAACACCAGTCCAATATCGGCCCAAGATGATTTAATTATAGGAAAGAATACATCTGGTGGTGCCTCATTCCAGATGCAATCTACCACCCCCGATCAGCGAGTCGAACTCGGTCGAATTCTGCAAATAGGATTTCAGAGGCTGGATCTAGACATGGGCCGCGTAAACGTACGATTTTGACCGCGACACTTCCACTTCATGTGCTCTTCGGCGTTCGGCTTTTCCTTTGAAGACGTAAGGCCTCAGTCTATTTGAATCAAAATTGGGGACACTAATAGGGCTCGCTTTTGTCATGTTTAACCTTTCGTAATGACGTGGAGGATGGTGGGTGGGTGGATTCAAGATCTACCCACTTTCTCGTAAAGGGACATAAAAGAACTGGCCAAAACAAACACTCTTATCTGTATTTCCACTCGTTTCATTTATGAGTAATACTATTCAGGGCCCAGGTCTCTACGCTTCGAAAACGTGTACAAGGTACAGCATCATCGACCCGGTTTGTTTCTCCTAGCCCACGATTGAGGCTTGCTTCAACAACAATATTTCGAGGCTCTATAGGTTCTGATATGACTACAAAGTACAATACAACACTATACTTTTGATTCTATGTCCACTTCAGATATTTTGGCAGGTGTCGGACCGGCAGACAGTATATCGACTGGCGGTGGTGCATCGTGGCTCTCTACCGATGATCGCCGCAGAAAAAGAGAGATCTAGCGATGACATAAGATAAGCACAAGCTGCCACGTGTTCGATGACCACACATGAACACACCATGAGGGCGAATCCCAAGCAGGGGGAGCAGAGTGTCCATATACTCTAGGAACGAGAGTTAGCTTTGGATAGACGGGCAGAGATCAAACGTAGCGTACTTGGACTGATAGCGCTACGGCATGCAATGCCTGTGATAGCTCCATGGGCGATGAGATGGAGTATAAGCTATCCATGTCGAACGACTCGAAGCCTTGCGCCTCAAAGGAAGGGGGGAGTGTGTGAGATAACTCGTTCTGGAAAACTGCCCCAGCGATAGCCTGACACCTCCCAGATCAGTTTCGTAACGAAAGGAAGAACGGAAAGCGTACTAGTCCAACTGTAGCGCCAGTGAATCTCACGAGAAAGAATGCGCTGGTGCCCGTTGCCAGCTCATGGGGCTTGAGAGCGTTCGTGAAGATTTGATAAGGCGCATGAAAGAGTAAGCCGAGACCGAAGCCAGCGATAATCGGCAGAAGAGATTGCATGTTGCGAGGAGTATTGTCCTCAAGTAAGTGCAAAAGGCCTGAGTTGTGATGGGTATCAGTAACGTCATGACATATTTTGGTGAATAAGATAGTGTGCCTACCAAAGCCCAGGCATGAGATTGCCAAGCCGATGCAGATAACTAGTTTCTGACCACTAGTATTGTTTGTTCGTTGCTGTCGGTAGTGAATGAACCAAGCAGCAGGGAAAGAGGCGAGTGACGAGCCGAGAGAGTATGGAAGCAACATCAATCCAGCTGTTAGGGGTGTGGAATTATTGACAGCCTAAGATTAGAAGTTCAACATGTAATCAGTACAATGATGCATCCCTCTTTACCTGGTAGTACAGAGCCAAATAAAATGTCCCGGCGTTGAATGCGAAATTGTGAAGAAAGTTGACGATTAGAATGATAACTAGAGATATCATCGACATATGATAATTTTGAGAAACAGTATGCCAATTTACCAATTGTGATATTTTTGAAAGCGGTTGGAGGGAAGAGAGCATCTCGCGAAGTGTTTAACTCATACCAGCCTGCACATGCAAGGAGCAAAGCTCCGACAATGATCAAAACCACTGTCGATGGTGCAGTCCCTAAGAAATAAAGGTCTCGGTGTAAGAAGATGAGAGAATCTCATCAGACGCACAACTATTTGAACTTGCGAAACTGAACCCCACAATGATACAACAAGACCCGGATATGAACAGAGCTCTGCATGACACCGAACCCCAGTGATGAGACAGCGTATAGATGGCAGGCAACTTGGTCACTTACAGTCCGATGAAGTCAAATCTTTGTAGGAAGACCTTCCATGATGCACCTTTCGGTCGCTTGGGTCCCGCACCATAGAGGGATAAAACCAGCACGATGGTGGCCACCAGGCACACGGGTAGGTTCAAGTAAACTGCGATAGATATTAGCAAAAACCAAACGGAAGCGTGATGCCGACACGTACATGCCCATCTCCAGCCTAGCGAAGAGTTTCCTTGACCTATGACGATAAGATGACGATAAGGAAGGTATATAGAGGCGAGAACGAGTGTACTGAACGCACTACTAAAAACACCTCCAAGAAGAGGGCCTGCTATTGCTGAACAGCTCCAAGTGATACTCAGAGCCTGAGACCATGTTGCCCTTTTGTGCACCTCCACAATTTCGGAGGTAATGACCCATACAGAGCTGACAATTCCGCCACCGCCGACTCCTGCCAAGCCGCGAGCAAGAATTAGCCATGTGATACTCTAAGAGTGCAGTGTCAGCGTGGACACCGATGAGAAGTAGAGTCCGAATACTTGAGCCGCCCCGCAAAGCAAAGATCCCAAGGCGAAGATGCTGATGCTGACATAGAGAACATTCTATAGACATTTTTATTGAAGGTGTGGCACATTGAGACGCGCGAAGACATACTTTTCTTCCCACCAGATCTGAGATGCTCCCGTAGAACGGCTGGCACACTGTTTGGGTGAGCATGTACGCCACGCTAACCCATGTATACTCGGTCTGAGAAGCCTCGAACTCATTAGCAATGGTGGGCAGGCTGGTCGAGACTATGGTCTGTCTCAAAAAGGAAAATTAGAAGGCGATGATGACTAAAATATCATGTACGTACGGAGTCCGTTGTAGCTAGGAATAAGGCCATGGCAGCACTGGCGCTCCGTATTAGTCTTGGTGTTTAAAATACACAATGAAATCATGTTATACCCAATATGAGCTATCAATATCCTCAGTGTCGATAGGCGAGGGGAAGAGGCGATACTGCGGAGCGTCGTGGTGCTGCTTGTAGGTGACTCTTTACCGCATAAAGATGGGGTGCTGCATGCTAGCGAACCGGAGAAAGAAAAAGGGGAAGCGCTACCTGCAAGCGTAGACTGTGGAGAGAGTACTTTCGCGTCTGTTTTTTTATCGCCCTGCGCTGATAACAGTACGGGGCTACAGCACTCAGCAGATGGTGCGCGGGAAGGGAAGTGTAGAGCCGAGTTCATCGTCATAGAACCGGAATATTCGAGGCTCGAGAAGATGAAGAGTGACGGTGGAGCCGACCACAGGAGAGACGATGGGATGGGTCATTATTCGTGTGGACATTCTTATATCGGCGGGGAGGTTGGATTTTGAATCACCCCGTCCCTCGTCCAGAATTCCATTGACTGGTCAAGGATCAGGGGCAACTCGCTGCAGAGACACTTTCGGCACTGTGAAATCCCATTGAAGGAGGAAGATCCTACAGAAGAGATCTTGGAAAACTTACCTTTAGACTCGAACGATGCCGATCGGGACAAATAATGTTTGTTTCTGTGACGCCTCTCAAGTCGTTGCGGGCCCAGGCAAGAGAAGAGAAGAAGCGGACATGTCTCATCATGACTCCTGATGCGAGCTTGACGAATCATGAAAAGGTAAAAGAACGCGTTTCCCAGAGACTGCCAGCGAGTTTGGCCACTCAATCACAGACAGGGTTCGGGGACCCCGACCCGAGTGCGCGTGGAGAGAACGCTATGGCCAAAGGTACGTAACAAGACATACAAAAAAGGGACGATCACGGACGATGTAAGTAGACAACGGTAAAAAAAAACAAGTAATGGCTCACAGCTGATTTACCGGCCCTAGCGGACCCATACGATGTCCTCGTGTCCACGGAGGCACTATAATACAAAATCGGAGACCTTGGTGCTACCTGGTAGCACACTATTTTATATGATCATGATGAACAACCGCATCTGGTCCAGTTGAAATCCGGGTTTGAACATAAAATTGGCCGGGAGTGAGAACATTATACCGAGTCAGATGTATGACTAAATAAGGAGCGAAGCCTTCTATGTCTACGATGCCGTCGCCCTCCTCTTCTCCTCTTGTATGGGGTCGGACTCGCTCGTCCGCTGCTCAGATCGTTGACCTGAGATGCCGGAGAGAGGTGAAAGCGATCGACAGATGTTCCAGGGAGAATATTATGCAATAATCAAGACCCAGTGAGCTCTCTTATTCTTCTCCATACGCGAGATAACCAACCATCGCCAATAGAATGGGACAATGGCGGTGTGAAAGGATCCCTACCGTTGTCATCATGAATTGAGGTCTTGGAAGGTCTGCTACTCGAAGACGGTGGGGCGTTTGAATCGTCTGAAGCATTTTTTGTCGGCCCTGGACTTCGGCCCTCCACATCGTCGGCATATTGTTGTAAGATGTCCCTTTGACGCGGAGATAGAGATCTGTTCAAAAACCAAAAGCCTGAGTAGAAGAAGTGGCACAATTCAACTCTGAGATGCTTCACCTCGGAAGTTTGACGTTAAATTGGACGAACAAATCCCCCTTCTCGCCATAGACTGGCGTGATGCCACGTTCTTTGAGTCGCATTTCCTCCCCTTGCTGTGTACCTCCAGGAACGCGGACATCGACTTCACCATCAAGAGTGGGAATGCGTACCCTCCCGCCTAAAAGGGCGGTGTGGAAAGGTATTCTAGCTTCGTGGTAGAGGTTCGCTCCCTGACGACGAAAGACCTTGGAAGCCGCGACATTGACTCGCACAAGTAAATCACCTGGCTGGCCTTTGCCTTCAATCGCCGCATCTCCTGCGTTAGGCACACGTATAGTCATACCATCCTCCACTCCTGCAAGGAAGAGACGGAAATCGTTGAAGGTTCTGTGGCATAGAAGACGATGAACGCACCAGCAGGGATGTCAACCTTGACGCTTTTCCTTTGACGAACCTTACCCACTCCACCACAATCTCCACACTGACTCCCATGAGGCACACTGGTTCCCGAACCATGACAAGCAGTACAAGTGCTAGCCATCCGGAACCCATTGTCTATGACATAAGACACAGAGCCCGAGCCTCCGCAGGTTTTGCAAGTCGTTCTCTTGGCTCCTGCTTTCAGCCCGCTCCCCGAACACGGCAAACAATCAACAACTGGCATCACATGGATTGTCCGGGACGTGCCCTTTGCGGCCTCTAGAAAGCTCACGCCAACAGTAGCCTCGAGATCCTCTCCACGAACATGTCCACCGAAAGGTGAACCCCGAGTACGAGCACGCCCTCCGAATGCACCGAACAGCTGTTCGAATATATCTGCTTGACCACGACTTCCAAACGCACCACTGAAGTCATGAAAGCCGCTGAAACCACCAGCACCGCCGAACGGATTACCCCCAGTCGCGTTGGGATCGAAGCCGGGCTGTTGTGACGCCGTGCCGTACTGATCGTAGGCCGCTCGTTTCTTGTCGTCTTTAAGGACCTGGATAGGTGTCATAAGCAGCATCTCTAACAGAACATTCATGTTGGTTGTACATCATAAGCCTCCTGTATTTCCACAAACTTCGCTTTTGCATTTTTGTCAGGGTTGGTATCAGGATGATACTTTCGAGCTAGCTGTGGGATGGTCATCAGCAGCGAGTTCCGTGTCATGGGAGGCTGAAATCAACCTACTGAGAAGTAAACTTTTTTTATTTCGGCCGCACTTGCATCCTTGCCCACCCCAAGAACTTCATATGGATTCTTTGCCGCGCGCGAGGGAGCAGATGCGTGGAATTGACGCTGATATGACCGGATATGAGACTTACAATGAGGAGAATTTGGTTATATACAACACCTTTCCTATTCCACTCAAGACTTGCTCGACTCGTTGAGCATTGTGACAACCTGCCTGAAGGCACAGCGTGCGATGATTCCCCAATGGCTTGCGTGGAATGGCTCCAGCCCGAGCGCAGGCATAGAAATGGATGAAGGAAGTTATGCCTTGCGAGGACAGACGTGGAGACATAAAGACACCTGATAAAGTTGATTCGAAATGTCCGCGCGTCTGCTATTGCAGTGGTCGGTGGTCGTGGTCAACAATGTGGAAATTTCATCTACGATGAGTCACATGCGACGGTCCAAATATCACGTGCTCATTGTCTGGACGCGTTACGCTTACCGCTAATCACTGGCCTTTCAACTGATTTGTCCGTCTTTCATGATGCTTGAGAGTTCGTTGACATATTGAATGGCACACATATTCGAGAAGGGAGCTTCTCCGCTGGCTGTAATCTAAATAGGAAATATGCACCCTTCCGTGACATGATTACATGGACCTAGATGAACCTACAATCGCGCAATCCACACCGTCCAAAGGCAACGATGCTTCACCGGCGAGTTAAATTCGGTCCGATGCCTTGAAAGCTAGTTCAATTGCTGAAAGAACATGTGCAACCTAGTGATCACCAACTTGACCTGAGAACGTTCCCATTTCCATATGACCTAACATGGCTCGCTGGTGTGTAAAGCTGTGACTACGGACATCAAATGTCGTGCCTTCTCAATCTTTCGTCACATACTCCTCAGTGCCAAAAGGTATGATATCTACTCAAAAGGCCACGTCTGATTTCCCCGTCCTCAAGATTTAGAAGCTTTCCTCAGGGTGCGGTGTAGCGAGCATTCGGGCCGTCACCTGAAACGGGCCAATGCAGTGACTATCAGGGAACACTGCTGATAGATACGCACAGGGTGCTGACCTTCTCGTTCACAGAGACCTCACAGAAACGTAGGGCCGGTGATCATCGTCGGGCTTTAACAATCAATCTCTGGTCATTCTAGCGTTCCACCACGCTTTGCCATACGATACCACAATCTCGTCCCCCTTCTTTATTGGCTCCGACAAGCTCCAAATGCTCATCCTCAACTCGCCCGAGACACTCCTCCCATCTCTAAATTCTGCGTTTGGTTTGGTCCGAATGCCCCGATAGTCATTGACGAATCTGGCCTCGTTTCCCATTCGACTGGCATCCGAACCGACACTGGTTCCGTCGTGAAATCGATAGAGCGACATATCGTAATCGGAGTCAGGCCTGTCATCGCAATGCACCTCTCCGATGTAATCGACTATGTGTACACGTGCAGCAATTTTTCCAGTGGCAAACAGACCGTACTGTCCACACACAGGATGAGATGGCTCGGATATGGGTTGGATTATGAAAGAAGACCGTAAGTTCTCTGCCTTTGTCGGTAAGTTGGCAACGGTGCCTTCTACGAAGGAACGGATAGCGCTTGAAACCGATGAGTGATACGACTGCGATTGAGTGTATTGGATATGAATCGGCCAGTTTTTGGGTGTATTCCGTTGATGCGGCATCGCCAGATGTCGACGTCGATAAAGTCGGGCATGAGATCGTATTTGTGAGCGTGGGATGTAATTTCTAAATATGATCAGAACAAGCGCTTGTTCTATCCTTCAGTGGGCTCAGCAACTGCTCAGCAGCGCCTCAACCATCCCCATCTACTCTACTGTACTACTGTTCAATGGGCCGTGTTGCCAATGCATCTGTCGCACGGATCTACGCTGATGTGAACGCCAAACTTGGGCCTTCATGGCACGAGTATGGTTAGTAAGGATCTCTTCATTAGCGTAGCTATGCTGATTTTGCTTTCATAGACAATCTTCAAGTGCAGTGGGGCTCGCAGGATCATTACGAAATTGTTAGGAAAGTTGGAAGAGGGAAATACTCAGAGGTGTGTCTGTGTCTCTCTCAAGCAGACTGAGTATATGTCCCTTCATATTCCTACGCAGGTCTTCGAGGGCGTGAATATCGTCAATGATGAGAAATGTGTGATCAAAGTATTGAAACCTGTCAAAAAGAAGAAAATCAAGAGAGAGATCAAGATCTTACAAAATCTGGCGGGTGGCCCAAATGTTGTTACCCTTCTGGATGTAGTTCGGGACCCGTCCTCCAAGATACCCAGCCTGATCACAGAAGCCGTGCACAACATTGATTTCAAGATACTGTATCCGCGGTTCACCGACCATGATGTACGATTCTACATGTTTGAGCTGTTGAAGGTAAGTGAATGCGAACTTGAGCTCTCCCTTAGCAGCTGAGTTTTATCTGCAGGCACTCGATTTCTGCCATTCTAAGGGAATCATGCACCGGGATGTGAAACCACACAACGTCATGATAGACCACGAACGTCGCAAAGTATGCGTTGGAATTCTGCATTCTTATACCGTGCATCAATTGACTTGCATATGCAGTTACGATTGATAGACTGGGGATTGGCCGAGTTCTATCACCCTAAAACTCAATACAATGTTCGTGTCGCCTCACGGTACTTTAAGGGTCCCGAGCTGCTTGTGGACTTTCAAGAATACGACTACAGCTTAGATATGTGGAGTTATGGCTGCATGTTTGCGTCAATGGTGAGTCTTTTGCGATGACGAATGCTTCGAGCTCACGTTCATTGTGTAGATCTTCCGGAAAGAACCTTTTTTCCATGGACACGACAACTACGATCAGTTGGTAAAGATTGCCAAGGTTCTAGGTACAGATGAGCTTTTCGCATACCTGGAGAAGTATGATATCGAGTTGGAGGCTCAGTACGATGAGATCCTCGCCAGGTATATATCAATTTCCCTCCCGACCGTCAAGGCTCTCTCAGCCACTGCTTCAATCCAGGCATTCGAGAAAGCCGTGGAGTCGCTTCATCACATCTGAGAATCAACGGTACATCTCTAATGAAGCGATCGATTTCTTGGATAAACTACTTCGCTACGACCATCAAGAACGGCTCACTGCACGCGAAGCACAAGCGCACGCTTACTTCGGTATGTTACGGAACTCATCTTTCTGAAAAACTCACAGTTCAATATTTCAATCGCAGAGCCGATTAGAAACGCTACAATTCCTATTGCAGAAAGCGAGATCACCCTGGCTTAATGCACTTCGAGCTACATGGGTTGTTCCTTTGTAATCTCAGCGTAAATAATCATTGTCCTCTGTTTCACTTTTCCGATGACGCGAGATAGTCACTTCTCGATTTAATTGGATGCCTACGCGTCAAGTCCAAATTGTATCCGAGGATCGACGCCCGAAATAGGTCATAAATAGTATAGTGTTTTCATACTTGGTCGTTAAGAACTTGCTAATCACCCTAAGAAGCTAGGTAGATCGATGGATGAGAATTAAATACGACTGCCATGATCAGAGACTATAAGGGCTCCTACATTGTATCTCAAGAATCCGATTTTTGGGGGCTGCCGAATTGGACTCACAGCTGATCCTTTGAAATGGCCAAACGTAGGTGATCACGGCATGAAGCTGGAGACATGTGGATGTCCTTCCTTACATCATTCATCTAAATTTGCTACATCACACTCGACCAAGAACGATGCCCAGGGTCCTTACACCGGAAATTTGCCATGCACAGTCGCATCGGCTCAATCGCTGTCGGGAGTTGTCGGCTACTTATCGGTTATAGAACTTTTACTGATCTATACATATTCGTAACGCCCAAGCAGGAGCGGCAGCGGTGGCGGCGATCTATCTTTGTTTGGTGGTCTACTCGAGCTTCGTAGACGCATGGCTACTACGATAGGGCATCACCGATAAGGTGTCGTCTGATCCCATAACGTTTATTTTTTAACCTCACTCCCGCCCGTAGACGGTCATGCACAGCCTGCCAGCAGTATATCTACGCGATGTACGATACCTCTTTTGAAAGTCACTAGTCCTCTCTTTTGCAGCAAGCCACTATGGGACCCTACGACCTGCTTATTTCGGGAGCTTTGCTGTTGTCAGCTCACATACAGAACGTTTTTGCTTATGACAATTCACGTTTCGATAACGTGGGTCATTTTTGTCCTTTGAACGGCTTTTCAGCAGGTTGTTCATCTCTGAGCTCCTAGGTTGCTGTGTGAGTTGAGGAAAGCGAGATTTCTCCGCGATGTCAAACCTGAATGAGTATCAATATAGCTACTGGGGTCAGAACTCGTACGGTGCTACACACTCTGATACGGCTAATTATCAGAAGAACCTAGCATACTATTGTCAAGTCAGTACTCATTCTACGGACATGTTACTCCACTAATGGAATTTTCGACTAGGATGATGCTATTGATGTCATTCCAGTGGCCTTTCTTAATGTGTTTTTCGGACCTGGGGGCCTTCCATCTATGAATTTGGCCAACGTAATGCCGAGATCATTTTTTGCTTATACACGCCTGCACTGATCGGGATTTACTTCTAGACGTGCAATCCTACCGATAACACCACTTTCTCAGGCTCTTCTCTGCCTAACTGCTCCGCATTGGCATCTGACATTGAATTTTGCCAGTCAAAGGGGAAGATCGTGACTCTGAGTTTGGGAGGTGCTGGTGGAGGCGTTGGGTTTACAGATGACACTCAAGGTCAGAGCTTTGCAGACACTATATGGAACCTTTTCCTCGGTGGCAGCAGCTCTACCCGACCTTTCGGCAGCGCTGTTCTTGATGGGTAAAAACTACGTTTCGCGAGTTCAGAACGCATGCTATTGCTTGCTGATGGTTTCCTTTAGGGTCGACTTGGACATCGAGGGCGGGACCTCTACGGGTTATGCCGCGTTCGTAAATAGAATACGCTCGCATGCTACCGGCGCTAGTAAACAGTAGGTTTGACACGATGCCCTCAAATTTATCTGATCGCTTCCTCCTTTTTTTAATGAAGATACTATATCTCGGCAGCCCCACAATGCGAGTATCCTGACGCATCATTGGGTGCAACTTTAGACGCTGCTAGCTTTGATGCTGTCTATGTACAATTTTGTATGTTTTGTGTTATTTTAACTGCTTCATGCATCATTGATACAATTGACGCCACCTCAAAGACAACAATCCGTGTGGTCTCCAAAATTTCAATACTAGTTCAGTAAGGATCTCTTTCTCTATGATCATTTCACTTGTCTGATAAATCTTAGGACTGGGACTTTGGACTCTGGTACGGTGGTTGCACATGATCATTTATCGACGTGATAAGCTAATGAAAATGTATCAGGGACTACTGGGCAAGGAATATTAGTCCCAACCCAGATGTCAAGATTTTCATCGGTGCTCCAGCATCGAGCACAGCGGCAGGAGGAGGATATCAGGATATCAACACGCTCAGCAACATTGCAACTCAAATGCGCAAGAGTTTCCCGTCCTTTGGTGGAGTGATGCTTTGGGACGCCTCACAAGCATACGGTAGGTCGGAATCAAATAGTTTATTCTTGTTGGGAAAATTCAGCGAACTTCAGTCAACAATCGATATGATCTCGCAATCAAGAATACGCTGACTGCCGCTGGTGGAACTGGGTTCTCGTTCCCTACTTGCTCGGCGCCTGCGTGGAGTTCTGGAAATACATATACTGAGGGTTCTCAGGTGTCCTACGGCGGGTGAGTAGGCGGTTTGTCTTATCGAGGCTGCCCAGATGCCCTCAATTCAAATTGGAAACACCATAATCACACAGCTATATATGGGAGGTAGGGCCATCCTGTGTGTCTATCAAAAAATATGTTCTAAAAGAATCGTGTCCACTCCACCAGGCGAAATGGTGGTCTGCCTCTCAGCCCTCTAGCAACACGAACAGCGACTGGAGCGCAAGTATGTCCCTTCTTTCAATGATTTCTGATCTCAAGAACGAACACCGTTCCCATTTTTACAGTTAGTGCCTGCTCGCAAGGGGGATCCTCCAGTACTTCTGCACCGACAACTTCTCAGTCTTCTACTTCTAAGCCACCCACTACCACTACGTCACCCCCCGTCACCAGCTCCACCAGCAGTGCACCGTCATCTACACCCACGTCTGGTGGTAACTGTGCCGGAATTGCTGCTTGGATAAGCTCCGTTGCGTACACTGGCGGGCAGCAGGTAATTTACAGGTATAGCTATAGTGATACCTTCATGATCAGGCATGCTGATGGCACAATTTAGCGGCCATCTGTGGACAGCCAAATGGTGGACAGAAAACGACACGCCCGGTGGTGGGTTTCGATAGTTTCTCGCTTGCAGTCGCTCATAGTTCAGCTCAGGCTCTGCGGGAGTTTGGACCGATGATGGCGAGTGTTCCGTCTCAGTGGCCGCATCTGTCACCAAGAACTCGACCGACCCTCCCTCAATTTTGAAAGCTGGAAATATTACGTGGACGGAGACCACAGGTTCTACGTCCCACCTGTCTCGCCCGGCCAAACCGGACTCCGAGCGAGACATCCAAGTCTAGACTTGTTATCCTCGGCCCTGACTCCGTTATGTGCACGGCATCAAGTGCTTTTTGGAATTGCAGTCACCTGTCTTGATTATTCGCTCACCTCGAGCGCTGAGTGGCGGTTTGATCACATCTAATTTTACGATTATGTATTTGAGGAATTTATGGCTGTGTGCTCACATTATATCATGATAGATGTTTTGTGAAAGGCAACTCACTGGCAACCCTCCGTGATTTCGATGACCACTAGGTCAGAGAATCCTTGCGCTTGATATCATGATCCTGGCGTAATTTTCAATCAAATAATGCGGGTGCGCTGCCTGTGATCGACAACCTATGCATGCAACTAAATAGCTTGTTTGAGTCATGGTCTGTATCTGGAAATCGTTGAAGACAATGCTTCACATCTCGAAAAAGTTGATTAACCATTGTGTGTGGTGTCACAAGTGCTGGTTTGGAAGTTCTGGCCTCTAGATGTTCATCAGCATAGCACGTTCGAACAAGATCATCTTTACCTTCGAGCCCGGATTGAGTTTTTGGTTTGCTCCTTGCTATATGACGTGCGTGCTGGGAGATTTGGCAGTCTCCGGGCCGCGAATTTCAGGTTCTTACTGGACCGGAAATCCGGTCTGAGCAGGAGTCTCGCTAAGCTCAAAGGCCGAGGTCGACAAAAAAAGTAAGTCAATGGTTCCAAATTGCGCAGATAGACAGAGATAGACTGGGCATTGGGTATCAAGATCGTCGTGTGACCACGAAGTCGTGAACGGCGGGCCGAATATACGGCCCTATTTTGCTGTTCATTGTACCGGTCGGGTCACTTATGTCGCGGTGAGGAGAATATCGGGCGTGTTTGGTCGGGTCGCTCTAAGTGGATTTGCGATGGAAGCTCCAGAAGGAACAGGTGAAGTGTTAAAAACGTCAACAAACACAAGAGGTCGCTAGACGCTCGATCAGTGCCCAACACATTGATTGTCCAATGCGCATTGCACAGCAGCGGCTGTAAAGAGCGCCCGCGATACAGTATAAACGCATAACCCTCGAGAACATGATACATCCCATCATGTCATGGGCCCTCACCCGTGAGGCCAAATCAATTCGCGAATTGGGCGCTTGCATTTGACTGTGGATATTCTACTAATATCCTGGCCAGTTGACTCCAGTTGACTGGTTTCGAAAGTTGAGCAGGTCAGAACCGATCAAATCTTATTACATAGCGCTGTTCCCCAGACTGGGAAATCGCGGAGCCAGATGAGCAAGCCTACTCTATTAATGGTGCAAAAGCCTGGGACATCACACAAATATAATATGTCACAGCGGCGCAGGCTGATGTTGCTGATGCGGTGTACAAGTACTCTCATAGCGCTGTGGCCCGAGGTGGGCAAGAGGCAGGAAGCAAATATAGAACAGGTCACATCGGGTTTCCATTCAAGCCAGACTGCTCAAGTGCCAAGACTTTGGACGAAAATAGCTGGGCGTCGCCAAACAAGTCACAACCACCACCTCCGTTAGATCCCAACACCATCTCTTCCGCTCTCATCGTCTGTGCCTGCACCACTCAGTCCATCCTGTTTATCAGCATCTCTCGTTTGTTGGATGCGTTCTCCTGTCGCCGATCTGTCATCTGGGGCTACGTGCGCTCGTCGAACAGAGCCCGGAACAGCAAAAAATAGTTCTTGGTCTTGGCATTCTAATTTTACCCCTGCCACGGAAGTGCAAAGATAGATTCTTGGACTTGGCTTTGCTCAAAAGCCCTGCCATCGTTCTGTCTGTCTTTCGTCAGCCTTTTTCGCCCCTTACCTCCTCTTGTTCGACTCGCTCATATGGGTTCCGTAGCTTCCCCTCCACCCCACTCCTCTGACCATCCCGCCATTGCCGAATATCCTCCCCAGTCGTTGAACAAACCGGAGAGGCTCATCTCTTCGACATGGCAAATTCTTGAACAGGTAACGCCGCATCTGCGCACTCCGCCAAGGCTGATAAGCTGAGATGTTACCTGATTTCCATCAGCCGCCCCCTCCAAGCTTGCGCGAGATTCTTGGAGCGTACCGTACACGCGGGGACGGTGACAGAGAGATGTTGATGGCCATGCTTAATGCGAAAAGCGCCGAAGATCAGGTATGGAACCCTACCAGTGAAGTCGAACGTTAATCACGGGTCTCATAATGTGACTGCTCCTCATTCAGCGGATAGCTTCTATGGCTTCCTTACATCGCTCAATGCTCGAGTATTATCAGCTCGTCCCACCCTCGGCCCATCAAAGCCCCAATGACCACCCCTATTTGGAGTCATTTGGTGCTTATTCTCATCCAGGGCTCTCTCCTCAATCGAATGGAAATCCTTCGTCATACTCTCCCCGTATCAACAAAGAGCCACATAGGTCCTCACATACAGTTCATCCGCGCAAACGCCATCGGACATCCGAGTCCCCACATGCAAATCATCACTCAGTCCCACGTGCTCCCACGCCATCGTCACCACCGCAGCTACCTTCGTCACCTTACTCGTCCACTCGAAGCGACTCTACACAACACTCGCCACATTCGCGGAGTGCTATGGACATCGGCTCTCTTCTATCTGCGGGCGCTCGCGAGGCGGCACGTGAGGAGGCAGAGAGACGGGGATCGCCCCGAGACGGCATCATGGACCGCGCTGCTCCTGTGCGAGGCCACCATTCAAACGCGAATTCTGTTGCAGTTGTTTCGGTTTGATGTACGATCATTGTATCAGTCCGTTTCTGTACTCCGTCCTGTAATCTGTGCTCATATTGTTTTCCTTTTCCCTATGTTCCCGAATGTTGTGTCCGTAGTTTCGTATTTATTTGTCCTATCGTCTATTCTTCTATAGTATCTTACAGTATGCCTCTCGGTTTGTTCGCGTCAACGTTCTGTTGTGGGATGACTGTGTTTTGTTTCAGATGAGATTTCTAGAAGTTCTTGATGATCATGGCGATGATTGAGGCATGAGGGACACACCCGCGAGCTTCGGGTATTCATACTGACAGCAGGATCGTGCGAATGCGAGGTCGATATGCGAACAAACCCGCTGCACATGTGTTTGTGAGACCTTAGAATAGACATGCCAAGGATTGCGCGAGCCGCTGGATGCTCTGCTGACCTGTCTCGTAGCTAGGCCATGCCCGAAGAAGTGTCGGATACTCCGCAAGCGGACTCTTGCGTGAACGAGGGCAGGACAATCGATGGGCATATGCAAAGGCCAAGACTCGAAGCTTGGGATGGTCGATAGTCGGTAGCATGTCGCGCATGGGTATCCGGTCCACTTAGATGCGCTTCTATACATTGACGCTTCACGGACTGGTTGAATTGTATTGGAGGGTTTCAGGGCTCTGCTCCTCGATGTCACGGTGCTTGGGATTTTTCATGGCAGGTGCTTAGAGTTTTGGCTTAAAATGAGCGCGACTCGTGACGGTGCCGTTACACCACGTGATGGCGCGTTCTTCCCATGCTGAATTTCTTACCAGCAGCGGCAACTCCCTTTCAGCGCGCAGCATTCGCCCAAACTCCTGCCGGGTCCTCGCAATATAGCTCAACAATCTCCGCCTGGGCCACCCATCGACTCATACGCCTTGCTGCGATCAACCGAGGCCAATGCCGCCACCCGGAGGTGACAGCGAAGACGAGTTCGACGCGCTCTTTGACCCCTTTGGGGGAATCGACTGGAATACAATTCCTGGCCTCGCTGACTGCAGCGAATCTAATCCATCTACGTCTCGTGCACGCCAGCAAAATTCAACTGTCACAGCGCCTGAAAACCCTGCGCCGTCAGCAGGGGTTGCGACGCCCGAAAGTGCGCAGGAGTACGAGTTCGACGATGTCGATGCCTCAGTTTTGGTTGAATTAGACGTGCTTGAAGAGAGGATGACGACAGGTGCGCTTCACTCATCCCATAAACGTTGATGTATGCACTACCGAACATTAACAACTGGGCTGTATGCTAAGGCCCGAGTGCCTTCAGACCATCGTCATCCGCACCACAATTGCTTTCTTCTCTAACTTCAAGCACCACGGCTTTGAGAGGCATACAGTGTGAGTGTTGCGTAAATAACTCAACGACAACGACAATGCATTTACGGACTTTCACGGAAACTATAGCCTTCACTGACAACTCGCGAATTTCACCTCAGGCCTTCTATAGCTCTCGACACGAGAATCACAGACGTCACTCGGAACACGTGCATGGCAATGCGCTCGTAGGTCCGAATGAATGTACGTGCGCTCAGCCCACTAATCCTAAACCTAACTAACGTTGGTAACTTATCACAGCCTCGTCTCCTCGAAGGACTCGTAAAGGAAGCAGGGTCGTCGAGGGAAATGTCTCAGTAGTTGTTGTGGATCCACAGACACCAAAGGGACAGGGTTCTGCGCATAAGCGGCTCAGACAAGCGTCATCGACCCCTGTCGCGGGGTCGTCATCGAAGAAGGCGAAGGGAAAGCAGAAAGAGTCACCTAACGCAGGGCTCAGAAAGATACTAAGCGATTTTGAAGATGAGTTGACATGTCCTATGTATGTCGGCTGCTCGTCACTGGATCGCTTTTCGTGAGGCTGGCTACTAATGTTTTCGTCTATCCAGATGCTGTGATATTTTGTGGGTTGTCTTGTTGACGCTAATGATTTGATCACCGATTGCTTCCAGTGCTGCTGCACATCTAGGAAATCCATGTGGACATACGTTCTGTGGGGATTGCGGATGGCAGTGGATTTCGAAAAGCGTTTGTGCTGACATTTTGAGCTCGATTCGCACTTTGAATATCGAATTTCTGATACAGCGAAAAGCTCCAACTTGCGCTGTCTGCAGATCAAAACTGTTCGTCAAGGCGCCGATGATACCGAACTTTGCCATGGACAACACGATCGACAAGCATATACAGGCTCTCGTGTCTAGCGGAGATGAGGGATGGCGAGAAGGTGGGTCTAAGCTAGCAGAATGGCAACGGCGAAAAAAGTGAGTGCGCAGGCCAGATGCGGCCCTCTTGAGACGTGGCTGATCGCGTGTCTTTAGTGCATGGAAAGCGCAAGCCACGGTGCGGGAGAGTAAAGCGAAGACCCCTGTTGCTCGTGCATTACCAGCGCTGGTCCTTGTGGATTCAGAAGATGAATACGCAGCAGACGACGCACTTCTGGCTCGCCTTATCGAAGCACAGGAGGCAGCCGATGTCGATTATGAAGGAAGTGACTTGGACAATGACGGAGAAGCCCAGGATGGAGAGCAAGAGAGTAGCCAGACTGAGCAACCGAGTAGCCCTGCTCCCGTGTCCCGTCACAATCGCGGACGAGGCGCACCTATTGTCGATAGGGGAGGTGGACGCGGGCAACGGGCACGGCGGCGGAGCCACAGGCGAGGCTCGCGGGGTGGAGGGGGCGGTGAAAGGGGCGGTGAAACTTACCGAGGTGGGAGAGGTGGTGCAGGGCACAGAGGAAATGGGGGTAGCAGAGGAAGGTGGCGAGGCCGAGGGGAATGATGGGCCTGATCGATGCGGAAAGGAGAGTGGGGAGGGGTGGCCATGTGTGTGCTGCGTTTTTTCAGTTGTTCGGCAGAATTTGCATTTGTTTCTTCTTCGGCTGACTCGATTCCTATTGACGTCTGTTCCGAGTGTGCTGCGATTGCGGCGTGCGCTGGAGCCACCATCGATGTCGATGTTCGGTCTCGGTCTCGCAGCACGGATCCGTTCTCGATGACGCGTTTCTCGTAAGTGTCGTCCCGACTTATCCTGGGCGCTTCCACGCCCGCCGTAAGCAGCAGCCTCGAGTCTCCAGTATGTCCTTCAGCTCCCGAATCAGTGCCACAGGTTCCATTATCACCTCCCTCTCCTTGTCTCTCACTCTCGACCCCCCACTTTCTTCCTCACAGTGTCCAGCGACGCCATGGGCCAGACACCGAGCTTTGCCTTCTTTCCTGCCTTGGGGAGCACGCACACCGTGCCGATTCCCACGCCCTCTGCATCTGATAACGATAGCAGAGACAAGATTCGTGAGGGGGCGGGCGTGCAACTGGTGTTCAGAGCACGCTTAAACAGGGAAGAGGCACTCGGTTGTCAACGTGATAGCGTGCAACTTCAGGCGTGGACGGATGCCCCGGTTGAGGGACGCGGGACAGGCGAATGGGCTGCCTACACTTTTTTGCAGCCCGATGTCGACCTCCCTTCCCATGGGCTGGTGGACTCCGAAGCCGCTCCGTTTGTGCCGTCGTCTGACGCTGTAGTGGAGCCAGAACCAGAGGGCCAGGCCTGCTGGACGCTCAAGCTGCGGCTGCGGCGGGACGCTCTAGGCGAAGGCGAGTCCGAGCGTCGGTTCTTGCTCACCTATAGGCTGCTCTATCCCAACGGGGAGGTGCGCTGGCTGGGCTCGCCGGGGCACGACGTTGTGTGTGTTCTCCAGCGGGCGGACCCTTGGCTCGATGTCTCGGACGCTTGGGCCGTAGCGCCGCGGGACGGTGGCCGTGATTTCGAAGCCCGCGGCCAGGCGGAGGCAGATTCTCACTCTGTAGAATTTGCTCGGGTGCGCCAGGCAGACCGCTGGGGCTGCTGGGCCATCGGGGATTCAAGGTATGCAGGTGCAGACCGCTGAGCGGCGGCACCCCAAATTATTTTCCGAGACTGTATACTAAATTTATCTTTCCGTTCCATTTACAGTGTTCGATATCACGAAACAGGATCAGAGGTGACAGGGGCAACCTTCATCGTGCTCCTCACTACCCCTGGACGCGGCACTTTCGCGCTGCAACAGCCCGTCGCACTGCACGCGCGTTCGGGTGGCACGCTCTCGCTCTCTGCCTCCGGCATCGTGACTTGCTCACCCAATACCCTCGTCCACGTCTGCTCGTTGGTGTTCTCGAGATTTATCCCTTCCCTCAATGCCGCCGCGTCCGCTCTCAATCTGCGTTGTCTCGGCACTCACTCAGGCCACGTCGTTCTATCTTCGACAGAGTACCCCGCGCTCGTCTCTTTCATCCCTCTTTCCAGCGACTTGGGCACCGCCGCGACCATGTCTTTCCACGCCCTGTTCGGTAATCTGGGGCCTTCCTGCGGCAGACGGCGTTGCCCTTTATGTGATGTACAGCCAATCTATGCTGCGCCTAGTAGAAGCCACAAAACCCGTCGCGTTCAGCGTGGGCCCGGCCGGCGGTGAGTGCATCGTGAGCTGCGTATATGAGGTCGAGGCGGACGTGCCGGAGGCTGAACCTGGAGATGCTCCATGGCAAGTGGCGATCCTGACGCCTCACACGTACGTCGAGCCTGAAATGGAGCCAAAATCGGAGCTCCCGTTGTCTTACGACGCGTCTGGGGCGATGGGGGAGGACACGCCTTCCGCGCCCAAAAGTGAGCCGGAGCCAACGTCGGAACCGCAGGAAGCTCAGAATGCACATTCCGATGACTCGGACTCGGAGCTCGAGACTCTGGCATCGCATAGCGTGTCCTCGAACCTCACGCTCACGATGCCTGGAGCACCGAGCAGCAATCAGTTGGGCGCGACGCCGGAGGTCGATGTCGCAGCGACGCTGCAGGGGCTCCTTGCGCTGCTCCTGCGCGCCTTTTTCGTCCTGCGGGTGCTCGCCGCGGTCCATGTGCTAGGTATCGTTGTCAATGCGGATAAGGAAAAAGTGAAGGAACGGAAGGAGAAGGAGGAGTGTCACGTGAAAGACGCACTCGCGTACGATGAAGACGAAGAGAATCGGGTGCCAGGGCGGTCCGACATCGACACGCTGAGCGTTATTAACGAATTGAACGAAGAGGAGGATCACTTCCATGTCGTAGACAACGACGACGAAGGAGCTGCTTCCGATTCGACTCTCGCCCCGAATTCTCCCTTGCTCACCACCGCCGTCATCTCCGACGGAAAATCTGCTCGTCGTCCCCCGATCTTCGAGGTCGAGAAGGGACCACTCTCCGCCGCCCTCTACCCGCCCACCCGGATTCGGGATCTAGAGGTGGATCTACAGCTAATCCTGGACGGCCAGCTGCAGCCCACAGCTAGGATGAGGGTTCAGGGCGCGCTGCTGGTACATGTCGAGGGCGGGGTGCAAGGTGGAAGGCTGACAGTGCGGGTCAATGGGCGTCCTGCCGCACAGGGATACGAGGAAGTTGACGTGTGAGCGGATCGAAGCCTATGTACGAGAGTCGCTGTAAGACATCGAGAGTCTCAGCCTCGCGAGTAAGCTGGCGCTGGTCGTCGCGCTCTGCACGCGCCCTCTTGGATGTGCTCGCATGCCGCGTTCGATCGGCCTTCCGCTGTCACGAATGATGTTGACGGCAGAGATGTACGACTGTAGACGTTCTATTGCTCCATAGGCCACGGTCGGTCTGTTTTTTCTCATGTTGTTGTTCTACTAGCCCTTGGATTGATCCGTCGAGGCTATTGTCTGTTGTTGTCGAGTTATCTGTTGTACTTCTGTTGTACCTTGTCGGTTTTTTTTCTTCCTCCCTTACATGATTTACGAAATACACGTGCTGCTACGACCTCTGTCCTGTGTTTTGTCCCTCACGCGCACTTACGCAGCTTCTGCACGGAATGTAATGAAATGTAATTATCATCCTCGCAACACTCAATCAACGAAAACCGGCGCAAGCGACGCGGTCTGAAATTGACTGAGCCTAGGGTACTAGTGCACATGTACAATGCATGGAGAGGCGAATAACCTATATCTCGGCCCTGCAGTTGTTTGTCTCTGCTTTGCTGTTTCTTTTGTTTTTGGAGGAGGACCTCCGACTCATGATTTTTAGTGGTCAAGGTCACGTTCGTCGTCGCTGTCGCCACCATGTCGATGGCGCTTGCGCGAAGAGGACGGATAGTCAGTGCCCCGGTCGGCCGGATGGCCGTGGCTGAACCGTGAGATGTGCCGCCCGACGATGTCGTCGAGCATCTCGGGGGGCAAGTCATATTCGGAAGAGCGCACGGTGATCGTGTAGGCGGCTAGGAAAGAGGGTCAGAAGAGACGAGAGCAAGACGGATGGCGCTAGTCGGATGGGTAGGCGGCGGAGAGCAGGGCCCGGACTGACCTTGTTCGATCTTGAGGAGGGATTGCTGGGTGACGTGCTGTTTCTTGGAGAGCTCGCGGACGTGCGGCGTGAAGCCATCGAAGTCTGCGCCAAATCGGCCAGTCCATACAAGTGAGCGAGTGCAGGGCGCGCGTCCACGGTCGCATGAAGAACGGGCCGGCTCACCGGCTTTGCATCCTCGCACGAAGCTGCTCACCTCGGAGGCCTTGGAACGGCCCGGGCCGCGTTTCGAGATGGAGGAGATGGCGAAGCGCATGAGCTCGCCTGTGAGGTCGGACACGCCCAGCAGGTAGTCTGACACTGGGAGCGGGAAGTACTGGGCCCGTAGACGATGAGTGCTGAGCACCGGCAGACAAGACGCAGATGCTCACGAGGCCGTCTTCTTCGTCGGACAGAGAGCGCTGCACGTCGGCGTACGTGATGAGCATCCCGTGCTCGATGTAGTATGCGAAGCTGAGGGCTTCGATGTACTCCTGGAGACCGGGCGAGACGCTGTGCTGGTAGCGCCAAAAGCGGTCGCCGGTAAGCTCGGGGCGCATGGCCTTGAAGAGGAGCTGGACCTCGCCGAGCTTCTTGCGGCCTTCCTGTGCTGCGTGGAGAGAGAGGGTGCGATCGTCTGAGGCAGAATCGGTGTTTATGACGCGATGCAGGAGAAATATGACCTTCTTGGAGAGGTTTGTGATATCGCGGCTGCTCTGCGAGTCCAAGGAGGGTCCAAGCGACGGTTAGATTAGGCGCGGGGAGTGATGGGAAGAACAACGGACCTTGATGAGCCGCTCACGTCTGTCGTTATAGTCATCGAGCTCCTCGCGAAACGCAACGAAGGTGCGAAGGATGGCGGACCTGGCGTTGTCGTCGTCGGGGACGGACATGGGGGGGTCGGAAGACAGGCACGTGATGAGGGTGGGGGTCGATTGCCGTCGGCAGCTGAGAGCAGCCGCTCTACTTACTGGCCGCTCAAGCACGGTCTCAGACGCCTGGAACCCACCCTCTCCACGACGACGACGACGACGACGACGAAGACGACAACAGCACCTGCCTACGATGAGTTTCACACCAAAGCCAGGATGCCCAATGTGCGGCATCGTCTCCGCCGCCCAGCGATCCGAGGTGGACTCACCCGTGTCGCCGACGTCGTTTCGCGAGCGGGCGAGTCAGCCTGAGATCCTGTGGCGGGACGAGAACTTCACTGCCTACCGCGAAAAGGCGAATCCTGTGTCGAGCAAGGGCCACGTTGTCATTGCATTCAAGTGCGCTCTCCTCTTCTCCCCTCTCCCCCGCCCTCCTCATCTCCCCACAGCCTTCACGTCCCCTCCCTCTACACCCTCGTACGTCCCTCTTCTTTCCTCCCCACTCCACATAGCCCTGAGTAGGCCCCGCACCCACCCAGTCGTCCAGCGACCTCCCCCTCCTCGCCTCCCTCCGCGACATCGGCATCCGCGTCCTCAACTCCCTCCTCTCGCCCTCCTCTCCCCTCCTCCAGCCCTCTCCCCTCGCGACAGTACCCTTCCAGACCCCGAACTCCAACTTCCATATCGGCTTCATCACGCCGCCCTTCCGCGACTCCAAAATTCCCGTCACCGACCATCTCCACGCTCACGCGTACATCGGGCCCGGCGACCTCATGGGGCTGGTGGCGCGGCTTGGCATTCAGCGGCGTCGCATGGTATGCGGTCGAAGACCTCATCGCCGAAATACGGTTCGTTCTATCCCCCTCCCCCTCCTCCTTCCTGCCCCGTACACCCACGCGCCGCTGACCCGTGAAACCGTTCTCCTGCATACCTCTTTGCACGCGTTTACGTATGAAACAGCGAGTCGACATCGAACAACCGCGTCAAGTCGGGCTACGAGAACCGCCTGAACGCGCCCATCGACAGAGTCCCCGGCGCCGGTTCCCGCGCAGGCCTTGCGAACGGCATGGAGACGACGGAGCCCTCTCTCGCCGCCCCCGACATCGAAGAGGGCCTCGCTTCGCCCTCTAGCTCCCGTCTCGCCTCGCTCTCAACCTCGACACTGCGCCCGTCGTCCTCGTCTGCGGCCCTCAGCCCCACCTCCTCTGCCCTCAGCCCCACTTCCGCGAGTGTCCTCCGCGGTCCATCGTCTTCGATACCCCATCTCTCGGTGTAGATTCTCCCGCCACGACCGCAGCCTTTTCTCCCTCTTAATCACCGCATATACATACATACATCGTGCCTGTTGCCCTGGTCATCGCCCCGTATTTTTCATTACTACTCATAGCATCTTTCGTTTGTTTTCCTCCCCTATTCCGCTTCGTGTGATAACAGCAGCGGGTCTGCCCCTGCTCGGGACTTCTTTCTGTCGCACTGCGTGACCGGGACCAAGAATGATATATACCGTGCATACAAACTTCGGTTCTCTCATTTATTCTCATTCCGGGATTTTATATGGTCCAGGTAGCGGTGTTACGTCCAACAACACATCATCCACGCATTAAAATCTGGGACTTGAGGATTGTGCACTGAATACATTGGCTAGGCGTGTCAAAAAAAGGGGGGGAAAGACCACGACGAGGCGAGAAAGACAAGATGAGAAGAATATTAAAGTTCTTACATATATTACTTAGATACTGCGCATGCGAAGGTCCGAGTCCTAAATAGTTTATTCTTCATGCACGTCGTCCTGGCAGCCCCTTGAAAAAGTCCGCGCCCGGCTCTGATCATCATTCCCATCGTTCCCCTATCAAGCGTCTGCCAGCATAAAAATAGCGTGTTGATCAGCTTGATTCTACATGAAAGGACACGGAAATACGCACAATAAGACGAGCCCGTCAGTAACGTCGACAGCGCGGTCAACTGATCCTCGCTGAACCGCTTCGAGTCCTCGTGCCAGGTATCCTGATGCGTCTTCTTGAAGTTGCTCGCGCACTTGCGGACCGTCGTCGAGATCGGGATCTGTTATATGAATTGCAAGGGGCCGTAGGCGTCAGCGAATTCGTCGGCACTGACATCGCTGAAGCGACTTACAGGGTCATATGTGTGCTCGGCAAGCACGCTCGTCAGCAACTCCGGCATCCACCGCTCTACCGTGTAAGGGTAGCTATCGACAAGCGCACATATACCCAGAATTGCCGCGTGGCGCTGGCGCACGGCCACGTTGTAAACGGGAGACTGCCTGCTGGGAAGGTCGGAGCGCTTCAAGAGGCGAACAAACCGTTCCTGTGGGACACAGCCGCGAGGCAGACGATGTCTCAAACGCAGTAGAAGAACATTGGAATGCGTTGACTCACCTTGAGCTTCAGGAGACTCCGTCGGGGAGAGAGACGGAGGACACCAGACAGTGTTCTGTAACCCAGATTCATTAGCTAACCATCGACACGCCCATTGCTGTACAAATCATACTCACGTTGCTGCCATCTCTCTGACCTCAACAACTTCATCGTCGAGGCACTTGCAGAGAACCTGCGCAGCCAAGCGTGATCAGCGACATAAATGAGACGTCATGGAAATTTTCGCAATGCACTTCTAGAATCTCTGTGATCTTCTTATCACTGATCAATGGCACCTGTCGGAAATAAAACACTATCGCACAATAATTAATCGAACTTCACGAAAAAGTCTTCGCGTGCTAACCTTGAACCAAAGGCAGCGCCTGCAAGCGGACTTTCCATGACTGAGCGCCCTCAAGGTCAGCAGCTGTCAAAAAAAACAGGAACTAGACAACTATACCGGTGAGTTCTGAATGACATTGAAAATTGCATCGAGGATGGGATCAATGAGCGGTCGTGGCGGTGTCACACCGCACATCCGTACGAGCAATAAACGAGCGCGTGACACAAGCTCCTCATTGTCATTGACTGGTAGATTCACCATCAGTGTCAATGATTGTTGAGGATGAATAGAAGGGCATACCTTCCGTAAAGCGTGTCAGCTCAGGCTAAAAAAGAAAAAAAGTGTAAGCAAGGGTCTGCAATCTCCAGATCTTGGTTCCGTTAGCCACGTACCACGAGCGGAAGAATGTAATCGAAAACAGAGACAGCATTTATGTCATGTACTGTCTGGAACAGCCATCGACAGATTGTCAACCCGACCCTGCAGATAAGAAATTGTTTCGTCACGCACGAAGCAGTAGATGAACGTCCAAAGGCTCACTTGTCATAAGTAGACTGGAATGCACGGGCACCCGGTAAGCGCTCTTCTCGCCACTGAGGGAAGCGTTTCACGAGCTCGGCGATACGTTCTTGATGGTACGAGGCCCGTATACCCATAATATCCAGATCTACTGATGTCGTCCGGCATTCACGGACGAAGGCTTCGGCGCTTGGGTCGGAGTTTTTGGGTTGCCACTGCACGCAAAAAAAGAAGATATGAGGATAAATCGTGCGAGATGCCCAGGGAAACACGCACCTTGACCTTGTCTACGAACCCTATCAGTTCACTAACATAGGCGCGGACCTATATGCCAAATGAGGATGAGTAGTCCCAGACTTACAGTGGCATTTACCAACCTCATCATGTTCGCTGGAAATTTCGGGCCAAACACGATCAATGGCCTCATCCGCCCAGGCAGAGAACTTCCAACTCTCTTCCTCATAGAACGCCCGGTAGAAAGACAACGATTTAACAGCGTTTAGTGACGACTCGCCGTTATAGTCTGTTAGGTGAAACTCTTCGATAATGTAGTCGACAAGGGCTTGGTATCGGCGGGGATCCCTATGATAGAACATGTACTGTGATGCGAACAATATGCGTAAGACAGGCAGCACTCTCAATCAGATGAAACAAACCTCTAAAAATGAAGTCCAAATAGGCAAGGTGTCCGTCTTGATCTTGGTGCTCATTGTATTTTTTATGAGAGGCATCGCCCAGTGCCAAAGTCGTCTCTGACTGATTAATGGCCAGTGCTTGGCACCTATGGACAAGTATTTGAGCCCTCCGGCCGAGACAACGCAAAACGTCCCATACCATTGAGCAGTCCGGCAAGAAGCTCTGCTGCCCCCCGCTGTTTGTTCTGGTCGGTGTTCGAGATGAGCTCCTCTATCAGTGTCTGCAGGGCTTCAAACGATTCGTCTTCAAGAGTTTGAACTACGAGAATATGAACAAACATGCTATGGTACCGAACTTAGGGCCACTGACCTATTGATTTGACGGAGGAAATGTTATCAGATGTGACCGATTCTGCGTGTGTCTCTGCGGTGAAGTGAATCGAAAGGCTTTTCCAATAAGTTGCATCCTTCGCAACTTCTCGAACAGCGGCAATGGCATCTTCGCTCTCTGCTTCCCACGGCTTTAAGATGGGATTGGATATATGCGGTGCAGAGTACCCAGACAGTGTCGAACCCCATACCACCCACCCGGAATCCACCCTCTCCACAAACATTCTAAAAGATGATGAGTTTTTGTTTTTACAGCAAGAAAAGTTCTTACACTTCCGGGTTCAAGTCCAGATCAAAAGGCTGCTTGAACGCTTCCAGAAATTCGGCGGTGAACTCGTGAGTTGGGTTAACTATTGAGACTTTCCGTTTCAGCAGATTGTTGTTCTTCTCGAACACGAGATCCATTGGCCCACGAGCAAAAGTTCGAAGTTTGATATACCGTAGACTTTTCATCACTGCACGTTGAGCATACTATTGTCCATGATGAATACACATCACAAAAATCATCAGATAAACTTACGTAGCGCTATAATACAGATGTTACTTAATAACATTTGGAAAGAACAATATCTACGCATCTACGCACCAGTGAGGGGTGATCATCATGAGTCTTGTCCAGAAAATAGCGCAAGTGAGAACCAGACATCGGGGCGTCTCGTCGAATGAGTGTCCGTAGACATCGCACAGCGAAGATGGCATATCGCCAGTGCGTGGATGGTGATCGAGCGACATCCAGAATGACAGACGTCTGCATTCTCATTAGAATCGGTATTGATTCGAAAGTGATCTGAAACGCACTGTCTGCCTGATGCCTTTGTTGTGCAAATGAATTCGTTGTATGCGCTCTTCTTTGCACCTAGAAACGACGAGATCTTGATCTTTCCTACTAAGTAATACGGTTTTGAAAGCTTCTACTTGTCGCTTCAGTGGAGGATGCTCAATGTCGAATACAAAGTAACAAGGCTCCACAAAACTGTTGATGGCTTCGAAGACGATTATACAGATTGTTATAGAAGGACAAATAGAAACGCACCATTTTCACAAACAGCCGAGACACAATCTTGTATTGAAGACTTGCAAAAACGAACGTCACTGACAGTGTCATGAATTGTGCGAAATCAACGTACCTTCTCATTGGATTGACATCCAAAAATCTTTTGGGCAAGGTCGGCAGCCAGAGTAGGCTCTGTTGTTTTCTTTAGCATTCGGTCTTCACCATGATGATCTGATCGCTGACCTGCTATAGCGTATTTGACTGCAGAGAAAACCTTGGGTCAGTCATGCCCATCATCAATGCCGACCAAAAAAATCACCAAAAGCGTTCATGTTGAGTGTCCAGAGAGCTCCCTTCATTCGATCATCATCGGTTCCAGGCTCCATTGCCTCATAGATGCGCGGCAGGCACCGGCGACGTATACCATCGTAAGTCTGGGATTATCATAAGCACCATGAACGAAAAATAATATAGACTTTGCTTACTCCGCACAGTGCCTCCAATAGCGATTGGCTAGACCTGTCGCATAAAAAATTAAAATGGATCTCTGTACTCAAATGTGGTTTTACATACTGTCTGACTGTATACAGTAATCAGTAGGTATTATTTGTGAGGGGAAAAAAACACACCAGTCGCATATTGCCACATAGACCACTCAACAACGTCGTCAATTAGATCATCTTCCACAGGACCACGTCGCCTTTCGATCGAATTCCATCTAAGACGAGCTGCGTGGTAAAGCCTACCAGATTGGTCGTATCAGATAGTAAAACACCGCGTTGAAAGTGAGAACCAACCGTGCTCTGCGCACGAAGACCGCTCTCGGCCAGGCCTTCTGCCCCGCGTATTGCCTAGCGTAGTTTAGTTCAGACGCGTATCGATCTAGCTGCATGTAATAGCTAAAACAAGATAAGTTGAGTATCGAGGACAGCGGTTGATATTGACTCAACCTGTCTTTGCTATCTCCATAATCGAGCATGAAGGTACGTATAGATTGAATCTACAAGATGGCTCAGTAAAAAAAAATCGAGATGCATCGCACTACTGACAAGAAGATAAACAGCATCGACCGTGTTTTCCTCCCCTTGTTGACGTAGAGAGACTGATGCGGCGTGCATGAATTTGCCAAATCGTATGCGTAAATTTCGGTAATATTGCAGTCGAGGATCCTCTGGATCGGAAAGTGCAAATCCGGCGTTGAGAGGATCAATTGACGCGATCATCTCCGGTATCTCGTTCCTGTGAATATGAGCAAGCTGTATATCCATAGGCTAGATGACAAAGGTCTCACAAGAGATCTGTTGTGGCTAGGGCATGTTGGGCATCTTCTTTCGAGATAGCCTCCTTGACCAAAGTAGGAGTGCCTGAAAAAGCGTTTCGAACGAAACTTAGACAGCTACGATGCCCCTTCAATGTGATGCCTATACATCGCAAAAGACATCAATAACACTAACCGACAGAAATCATTACGCCATACACTGTCACGCACGACCCCTGTCGAGAGAAGCTATTAGAAGCTGCTGAGCGTGCAAATGTTTCAGAAACTTGCCAGGATCGAGGAAACCTTCCAACTTCGTGAGCGAGGGTTCAATTATCTCCTTGAAAACATCAAGTGCGAAACCTATCTCCGCGTCATCGGGCACATGCCATGTAACCTGAGCAGGGATTTCAATGAGATGAAGCAGAAACAAGTCAAGATACACGAACTGTGACGTCTTCCGCCTTGTACAGCTTTCCCCAATGGAGGTGATGATTGTATCGGAATTCTAGAGGGAAGATATTTGGGATCCGTTATTGTTCACCATGCGAAGGCACGCACTGTTGCTGTTCCACTCATCGGGGTTCACAAATTTATCTTCGAGTGGATAGGTGTGCGTTAATGTCAGGAGAAGGCTGGAGAGTAGTTTCCCGCTCCAAGAGAACCCGCGCTTGGCAAACGTCTTGTCTCGCAGTCGACGCAACAGAGGTAATAGCTCGTCCTTGTATTTAAGGACCTATTTAAAATCATGAGCGTCACCGATTTGCACGTAACACTGGTCGACAACATACCGCCTTCCCATCACTGAAAAGAATTTGTAAGGGTTAATCTCGTACGGAAAATAGGCATACGACCCACTTGAACATTGTACCACGGAGAATCGCCAAGTCTACAATGGTATATCAGGATGAGACCCTTAGGAGGAAGGTATGCGCTTACTCCAATGGAAGGTTGCATCAGATGGCAAAGGTGTAGAGAACGTGGACGTAGTCCTCACAGAGCTAGCGCCGTTATCAAGTTCAAAGTAGAGGTTCTTGACACAAAACGGCAAGAACTTGGCTAGCGCTTTGGCGGGGTTCGCATTCGCAACACATTCAACAAGCTGATGCACGGCGCGCACCGCGTTTGGTCGCACGTTCGTGCTCGCATAGTCGAAGATCATGTTAAGTACGAGATCGAAGAGGGGGTCCGAAAGGTGAATGCATATTTGACTGCAGGCGTTGGTCACGGCGTCAACTAGTTGAGCTGCAAAATATATCAGAAGAGGAGAACGGGCATATCACGATAGATACAAACTTTCCGTTTCGCCGCCGGCCTCCTCCGGAAGATTGTCGAACAGAACAATCACACGCCGGATAAAGCTGGCGACCCAGTCGGGAAACTCTCCTGTGGTCTCTCTGAGTACTGCATCCTCTTCTTCCATGGTCAAAGCAGAGCTGCCGTTCATCTGACCATCCGTGAGGCGTTCTGCAGAGATCGTCGGAATGCCGTTGATACCGTGAAACACTTCTGATGAGGTTGGCATTCTTGAATCCATATCGGCGGACAGTGTATTTCCTACAGACGTAAGATCGCCAAATTTGACATACTGAGAGATCTCAATGAGGAATGTTGTGGTGCATAGCTGTGAACACTGTCAGCATGCAGCAGAAGAAGCAATATATTTAGCATACTGTCTTAGAAGGATCGTTCTGAAAATGCGCTTAATGATTGACGTCACTTCTGGAAGTTGACACGGGACTCACGAGGTCGATCCCAGGAAGCAAGAGTTGAAGAATGGATATCAAATGCTTCGCTCCAGGATAGTGAACCTCTCGGGAAACTAGAGCAGGCGCCACTGCACCCAATGCCTTGATTACTGCTATGGTGCGCTGAGTCTGTTGGTCCCAAAGCACTCAGGCATGAGCACATTTTCAATTACTTTGCATCAAGAGCTGCACGTACCTCGACGAGAGCTTCCAATGACGGGACTGCTCTCTCTAGAATGGGATAAAGGATAAGATCCGGCTCCATGAGACTCATCCACTTCAGGCAGCTCGAGATATTGGTGACCGTCATAGAATCTTCGGAGAACATTGCGAGTAGTGCCACGGTCCTGAAGCACTTCACAAGTTCGCGTTTCATCTCTCCCGTCAGCCGGCGATGCTGTGGAATATGATTGAGCCCTCAACAAGGCATGATATAACGACTTTGCGACAAACCACTGGCGTCTTGCATTCGGGCTTCTGCTCTTCGTGCCATCCTGATAATAAGCAACTGTGTGAGCACTGTGGAAAGACCGACGAATTTGTAGGGCGTGTTACGTTTGTTAAACTCATATGCCACGTATTTGATGAATGCACTGAGCTGCATGTCGAAGACCATCAAATCAGCATTCGCGTCGTGTTCAACCAGTTCTCACACCACACCACAGAAACGACACGATGAACGATTTAATAAATAGGAGGTAGACAATACATACATCAGCAGTCCAGGCTCCGGAGTTTGATGGATGAAAGAAGCTCTCCGTTGAAGCGATCAGCTTTACTAGAGAATCCAGGGCTTTCGATCCTCCAACGTAGGTTTTGTAGCTTGGAAGCGGCACCTTGCCTAGATGCACAGATAAGTAATCGCCAACGTTACCGTTCATCATGGAGCGGGGAGTGCCTATTCCGGGGGTGTTCATGCCCGAGGCTAGTGGTGTCATAAAAGGAGTCGGAGCATTTGAGGGAGCATGTGGAAGGCCGTCAGGGGACATTGAATATACGATGATTCTCGCTAGTGAGACTACATCTAATAGTTAGTTTTTGACTTTATAGGACATCACTTCAACTCACTGATTCTCCAAGTGGGCTTTGGAAGACGGCCAATCTCGAATCCTGCCTGGTTATCCGCGGATGGACCTGTAGTAAGAGAACCAGAGTCCGCCAAGGGTATTTCTGAGAAACGGAATATCAGTCCATATTTTGGATCAGTATTAATAGGTCAAGACGTACCCATTGAGGCAAGGCACTTGCACATGATGAAATGCCAATCATACTCGGTGAAGATACCGACATCTTTGATGAGACCCGTCCACAAACCTCCGCGCTTGATGTCATCTTGAGGCCAATTGGGGCGGGCTTCGCCTTCCGACAGGGCATCATCCGGTGTCTCTTGTATCTTGGCCGGATCACTGATGGAAGTGTCCAAGTGTATCTCTGTGATACGTGCTAAAAATTGAAGCATCCGCTCATCATACATGTAGGAGTTGACAGATTCCCATAGCCGGAAAAGCATGGGGAGGTAGGACTGGGGATGGCTTTGGGGAAGGAAGGTCAGCATATAATACTGTGATACTAAGAGACTCTGTAGGGAGTCATTGTGAGAGACAGATGTGCTCAAGGTTCAATGCCACAAACATACATTCAAGTCGGTTCCGTTGATCATCGGCACAAAAGTTGCGAGCATCTCATCGATGGCAGCAGGATGAAAGAACTTCCGCACAGTGGCAGCGATGAAGCCAGCGTAATAGGATGTTTGACTACAGACACATGCAACATTGACAATTCATTCTTCCATGAGCCCACAAGCGAGCGTGGACGCACCTGACTTCGAACTGGCGTCGGGTCAGGAACAGATCATGCACTAGAATATCAAACAGGGGGCGCCACGGCAGCCTGAGGTCCTCAATGGACAGTTTCTTCTTTGATCTCGTGAGGACGTCCAAAGCGTCTGAGCAGGTGGCGACGACGTGCAGGGGCATTCCCGGCGTCGTGGAGAGGTTGAAGTAAAGCAGAACAAGCATTATCCTCTTCTCTTTGGGGATAGGGTATTTGAGGTAGGACCAGCTAAAATATTGACCAGCAAAGTCAGTCTACGCTTGATTTAGAGGGGTGCCAAAAGACAAACTATGTGAGCATGCTGTCCCACTGCAAGAAACCGGGATCGTAATCTTTGGCTTCAACGCATTGGACGATGCGCATACAGATGAAATTGAGCATGTCCTGCATCTTCGAGTTCGACTCAATGGAGTACGGCAATGCCTTTGCATAGGACTTGATCTTTAAGAGGTAGGGATCCGTTGTATGATCGAAATCATCTTGAAGTGAATGAGAGACACCACTGGGTCCCGGATCGTCCAGGGTCAGTACGGACACGTCAGGGAAGGTCATAGGTGTAACAGAGGAGTAGCGCAAGACAGCGAGATGGAAAAAATTAGAGAAGAGAAAGGGGCTTGGAGGATATAAAGCTGATGGTGGCGCGTATCGGCATGACGCTGCCGCATCAGGCAAGGCGGAAACAGTTATCCCACCCCTATGACCACAATGGTACCCGCAAGTCGCGCGAGTACTTCGAGGGATATTACCGGCGCAAAAAATGGCGATTACAGTATCGTACATGTTGTCGGAACACCCTCGGATGACTCGTGGTGGATCGCCTCACATGGTAGACTCCGTCGCCATATTCTGCAACTCTCTCACTGCGTTCGTCCGCACCATCTTCCAGACTGCATCTCGCTGCGCACGAACATCACCCAGCCCCTCTCTTATCTCCTCTAATCGTTCGACGTATTCCCTTCCATCATCCTGCAACTCCCGCAGTGTCGCGAGCGACTTCGTCAGAGTGTCCAACTGCGTTTGTGGAATCGCGAAGTGAGACGGCTCGTACACAGGCGGACCATTGGGATAATTCATAATAAAGAGCTTATGGGTGGGTGGGGCGAGGTCCGGGGCGCGCGCGACCCTCCCCGCATTCCTATTCTGTGCATCTGCGTCCTCGTCCTCGTCCTCACGCTTTGGCACGACAGTGGCACCGTTTTTTGGCCGGTCTGGATCCTCACTGAGAACTTTCCATAGCCGCCCGAATGCGCGCTTCATCTTTGCCTCACCCTCGATGAGGCCATTCGTTGCGCGCTCTAAATCCTCCAGTAGGTGAGAGCGGAAAGATTGCGTGACGGCCACGTTCATGACGAATGATGAGTAATTGAGATGTTGTGGATTAGGCATGGGATAAGGTGCTGTGAGTGGTGGAGTAGGTGAGCGGAGATGGGGAAGGATTGGCGGTGGAGGGGAACGTTCGGAAGGCAACAGGAGTTTGAGACGCTTTCGAGCACGGTCCTCTGCCTTTGTTCACCCAGTCAATCCCATCGTTGACGATGTATATGAGTTGTAACACACCTCCCAGTCCTCTATCCCAGGTCCCCATGCAGAAAGCTTCCCTTTACGTGCCCATCTCGCATCCTTCATCATCTTACGCCCCCAATTGCCTAATGTCGCGCTCGTCGACGCGTCTTCCTCTTCCATATCAAGGCTTCGAGATGGATAGTACCACGAGTTGTTGTCATTTGAAGGCGCTGTGAAGTAGCTTTGCACGATATCAATGCATTGCTTCTAAGCACGTGAGAAATACTCACCTAGCCTCTTCAAAATAGCCAAGAGGACGCTTGTGTCCAGTCGTGTACATTGGCTGCTGATGACTTGTTGAGGGTCGTGATGGTGGTTGGCTTGTGTTCATATGATTTTGTGGATGTTCTGTTGCCATATTGATAGACATGGTGGAAAGAGAATGCAACTAGTGTGAAGTAACGGGGAGACTTGAGCGCATTGGCAGTGAACCCTAACCTTAGTGTCCATCAGAGCTTATGTAATCAAGTTCAGTTTTATAAATACCAGTGCTGCGGGAAGCTGCAAATATCATAGGACCCTGCAGTGACTTACAACAGATTCTGTTCACGTCCGCAGTAGAGACGAGGCCTAAGCCTAGGTAAGAGCTCAAGAGCTTGAGGCTCGGCCTGAGCCCAAATTTCATTGACATTACCGAAAATGTTTATTGGTCAAGCTAGACTGATAAGAACACAGGATCATAAGCTCAATGTGTCATGGAAGACATATGATGGCCCGTCTCAAAGCCAAACAATATGTCAAGAGAAACAGCTGGCGTATGCAGCTGGCGGCAAGGTGCAAGGCCAGGATCCCGAGTCGATGATCCCTTCCCAGAGCTCCTGACAAGTACGAAAGAGGTCAAGGGCGGCCCGTGCATTCTCTACCTGAGCATATCATTCAGCCGTTCAATTAACGGCTGCCTAATCTTGAAAAGAACGTACTGGGTGTTCATAGCCTAAACCAATATTCCGTCCCATAAGGCGATTAACAAGAATTGGGAGCGGCAGTATCTGTCGACATTGGAGGCTTCGACGGAATGGAAGAAAAATAGCGACGTCGCGAGTGTCTAATGCAGGATGGGCAATGCCGAAGACCTTGGGGACCAACATAGAATATTGAATCAGATACCAAGCTAAGGACTCGAAGAGGAAATAGGCTATACAGAAAAGAAATGCCAGAGGGCGTATCCGATTAGTATCTTCTCTTGGATCAAAGACATCACTCGCTGCTGCACGGTATGAAAGTAAGGCGCTGCGGGGAGTGTCGGCTAACTCAAAGAGGATGATTGAGAGTCAATGGACGGACCACTCGCGAGATAGGCGGGTTGCAAACCGGTCTCTTGATAACGATAGTCTGTGACTGGTTGTCTGAAGCATGGGATGATGGAAAGCTGTCGGCATGATTTATATAATGGGGTATCGCATGAAAACAACGCACGTAGGACGGACGAACGTGTCAAGGACGACAGATCCCTGGTAGTCAGTGATTGCGACGCGACTGATATCGTATATTATTAAGCGGTAGGAGAATGTTGAGATATGAATCAACACACGCAACCATTGGGATATTAACGTTCACGCCAATGGAGACAACCTGTACACAGACTGCAAGATAACTACGAGACAATACAATGAGATTGAATGTGAAGTCTCAGTCAACAAAACTCACTCAGAAGGAGGCCGAATATTTGCGACGTGATAGGGGGAAGGAAGCGTGAGGTTACTGTTTTTCTGCGGCGTTGGTGACCTAGAATACAAAGAACGAGTAATCAAACATGGCCAGGCTAAAGACTCGTAAACGCGTGGGACGAGAGAAGATCGGTAAAGCATTATACATCGCCGAGGAAATAAACAGCAGGTTGTGCCAAAACCTGCAGTTAATGACGCAAGACAGATGCATGGGATGAAGGAGGGGTGGAGCTGTTTTATTATTCGGCTTTCAGCCGCGGAAACCACCGACCTCCACCGACATCCTGAACTTTGGAATAACTTGCTGGATGCGGGGGAGATCTCTGTTCGCTCAAACATCGGAAGCTAATGGACTGAATTAAACGTTTGAACAGTCGATCTGGGAGCAGCAACAGCCAGAAGGCGACGTCGGCCTGAGTCAGTAGCAACGTTTCCATCGATAGACTAACAGTTAAAGCCTGGAGTGGATAAGATGCGCTATTTGGCATATGTGCGTGGTTGACCTGTCTCAAACGAGATTGACGTACGTTGACCTAGCGTGCACAAATGGCGAAAGTCGAAGTTTGGAACCGAACGAGTTCGCTGAGGTAATTTGAAGGAAGTTGGAAGGAGACGAAAGTCGTCTTTGATTCCTAATCGGGGTCGAATTCGGCCACTTTGGGCGACATGAAGTTGGCTGGCATGCAGTAAGCAAATGCACCTCTTATGATCGCTTCAATGAAAGTGTCCAATTCGGAGGGATCGTGCAAATGACAAAAGTATATGCTTCATGGAAGGCGGCGGCACTCGGGGAGAACAACCAAACGATCGAGTGCATGAGTCGCTCAATTTGAGCCGGACGTGACCGGATCCGTCCTTCCTGCAAATGTAAGATACTTTACACAAGGTTAGCATCGGGTTGTAACGTATAACAATGAATCAACTCAGTGGACCTGCCCACTCCATGTGTCTGAGTTCGTCGATATACTTTCTAGTCTACAGATATTCATTTCGTTTGGTAGCTTCTCCCAATTTGCCTCGTGACCAGATGCTGATATGTCACTGCGAGAAGAAGTATTGGATACCCACACATGTGGTCATAGATGTGTACCCACCGTTTGTTGCTCAGATCCCGCTTCCAAAGGTCCTGACGCGGGAGGCGGACGCTCGGTCTCTAGCCTCGAGCCCTCCTTCTGTGCCACATTGCTCTGTTCGAAACTCCGCATGCCCTCAAGTCCCCAACGGGACATCATGGCTTTGTCCTACACGGTAGATGTTCGAATCGGGCGTGCGAGAAGAGATGCAAAAACATCACATACCTCGTCCCATGGCGAACCTGTGGATCAAGAAAAGAATATGCGTCAGAAGCGTGTGATAATCATGAGTTCAAACAGGCCCACACGGTGTTGTCAACATCTGCTCTCCAGTGAATACGGCGTTTGCGCCGGCCATAAAGCACATTGCTTGCTCGTTTTCGCTCAGCGTTTGCCTACCGGCCGCTAGACGGATGATTGTGGTGGGAAGGACGATACGGGCAGTAGCTATAGTGCGAAGGAGTGTTTGGTGCTTCACTGGCTGTTTCCCGTTCACTATCGAGTTTCAACATAGCTGGAAGCTGATGCGAACCTCGTTGCCTTCTAGAGGTGTTCCAGGAATGGGGACCAAGGCGTTCACAGGGAATGATTCTGGATGTTCGGGCATGCTGAACACTTCACGTCAATGCTACGCCCGATCGTGACGTCTAATGGAGTGACCTACTTGGAAACCTCCCAGATGAGGCCCACCCGATCCGTATCAGCTTCACCCAAACCGAGTATACCACCCGAACAAACGCTGATGCCAGCCTCCCGGACAGCGGAAATCGTATCTAACCGGTCGTCGTAACTTCTTGTCGTGATCACCTTCCGAGATTATATGAAAATTGCTGGCAATATAAACAAACTAGTGATTATTAAACATACCTTCGGATAGAATTCTCGCGATGTGTCCAGATTGTGATTGTACGCAGTCAGACCGCTATTCGACGATGTCATAGGAAATCAGATGAGATGATTAAATGAAAACTTACGCCTCCTTCAGTTTCTGGGCCTGCTCGGGCGTCAACATACCCAAAGTGGTGCAAACCTCCATGTCCATTTTGCGTACTTCGCGTACCATCTCTAAGATGCGCTCAAATCCGCGTTTGCGACCCGCCAAATCTCTCCATGCGGCTCCCATGCAGAAACGCGTGCTTCCATTCTCCTTGGCTTTCCGTGCGGCTTCCAGGACAGGCTCAATGTTGACTAAGCGAGACGCTTCGGTTGGGGTGGAGTATCGGGAGGATTGAGAGCAGTATGAGCCTTCGAAATTCTGTCAGTACTCGTGATGACGACAAAGGGCTGCAAGACTCACAGTCTTCCGAACAACCACCAGCTGCAAGAAGCTTGATGTCAGTCTGCTTCGCTCTGGACTGACAGGTTAGACGTACTCTTGATATTCATCAGCGTACAGAGCTGGATTTTGTTGGGGTCATGGTGCTGTCTATGGACGGAAGCAGCTCTGTACAGAAGATCCAACAGTGGGCTGTCATAGACATTCTGGATCTCTTCTCTCGACCAATCGTGTCTGGTTGGGGGCGGAATCGACACATTCGATACTGTGACTGAAGCGTGTGTGGCGAGGGTACGCTTGAGGACGAGAAGGCGACTTTGAGCAAAGCAGAGACGTAGCATGGTCGTGGATGTGTAAAGGAGAGAAAGAGTGTGTACACGATGGGCTGCGACTTATCAAAGAAATCACGGACTTGGCGGAGGGATTCGTCGGATTTTACACACCAGATGCCCAAGTTCGCCAGAGTTCGCCAAGTCGACAGTCTCGACAATCTTAGATTGGAGCTTACGTCAGCCCCAAGACGTCGGCCCACGCCGCTTTTGCAGGCTCTAGTGGGTTACTATCCCTGGACCACAGTTGAACAGGGTTTAGGCATTTTAGCCGCCTAGCTCCTACAGCCTCTCTAACCACTATTAAATTTATGTACATACCTGAAAAAGCGTCTTAATTTTACTACGTTGATTTTCTTGTAATTATTGAGGGAGAGGAAAGGTTGTCGGGCAGTGACCGAGGAGGGAGATTCGAAAAATGGCGTAGACCCCAGAGTTGAACTATTAATCCGAGCACTCAGTCACACTGAGTCACGCGTGCCGATTAGAAGTCCAACGGCTTGCAGGTCGCAAGCTGCACCTCTCCGAAGGCCGAAGTCACTTTGCCCACCCTCTTTCGAGTCTCTTTAATCAAGGTTTTATTTTGAGCATAAGCTCTCTACTGACCACCCCCGGATTTTTTTCACAGGATGTATACTTACATATATCTCCTATTCCTATTTTATTTTCAATATGAGGTTCAGAGTGGGGGATCTTTGGGATCTGGACTCTTAGATGTGGCAGAGAGCCATACTTCCCTTTATTTTCTCTCTCCTGCTCCACACACTTCTTGTACAAGTCTCAAAGAATACACAGTCATTTTAAACACATATGTAAGCCTCCCCAAATATTTATAAGACAGCCACTCTAGTGTGAATAAAGATATAGCAGCTGTTCACCATCAGGAATCTGTATAGTAGCTTGAATGGTCTATACAGCTGCACTAGACCACTAGAGGCCAAAAGTAAGACCCTGGTTTGACAGTGCTCACTAGATGTGATTTACAGCTAGTGGTGCCTCCCTAGTCATTACTAGATCACCCTCTGCTTGTTTTAGACTTCACTTCTAGACAAATCTTGGAAGATACCTGTCTTCTAGACAATCTTGAGAGAATTCCTCATCTAGACAGTCTCTATAGACCACACTAATAATGACTATACCCAGAAAATTTATCCTGTTCCTGCCAATTAATCCTATAATTATAACTATGAAAATCACAGATAAAATTGTAATCAAAACAGGAACTTTACATGCTCTTGTATACAGGCCTTACTACTCTACAAAGTCAGTGCCAAAATAATAATAAGAAGTGAAAGGAAAAAGAAGAGACTAGCAAAGGTAGAGGTTGGCAGTGGTGATGAAAGAAGATGAGCTTATGCATGGGTGGAGGAGATAGACGGTGGCACAAGACAAGATGGGTGCAGGCAGAGGCAGACAGCGATGGCAAGAGAAGACAAGTTAGCCCACACTCATAAAAGACAAGCACAGGCAAAAGTAGACAACAGCAGCGAGAGCATATGAGCATGGGCCTAAGTGGGCAGTGGCAGCGAGAGGATCAGCAAGAGGGCACGGGCACAGGCAGAGGGCATCCAGAGAAGATGAGCCCACACTCGTCTTGTGCAAGCATGGGCAGAGATTGGCAGTGGCAGGTTAAGGGTATGGGTGTGGGCAGTATGCAGCTGTAGGTGGGCGGCGCCATCGAGAGATGACAAGCCAGCACTCATTCTGTATGAGACTATGAGTAGTGTGTGGTGGTGAGAGCAAGAGACAGAGCAGCGTGCACAATGACACATTAACATGGTGATGGCACATGCCACTGCCACGTCATATATCATGAGCCTTGGTATGTCTTATCTCCATCGACACCATCTAGCACAACCTCTGCTCATGCTCATCCAAGATGAGTGCTGCCTCATTTTGTCTCATCTTGTCTCACCAGCTTTGCCACCCATCATCTCTGACCACTCTCATACAAGATGAGTGCTGCCTCACCCCCGCCACCCACTATCACTGGCTGTGCTTGTACGAGATGAGCATGGCCTTGTCTCGTCTCATTTCACTGGCATTGCTATCCACTATCTCTTCCTACTCTTGTACAAGATGAGCATGGCCTTGCCTCGTCTCATCTCACTGCTGCCACCATCCATCACCACCTCTGCCCACACTTGTGTAAGATGAGTACAGGCCTGCTCTCCACTGTCTTTGCCCATGCTCATACAAGATAAGCACAGGCCCGTCCTATTTACCACCACCTCCGATCACCTTCTCCACCTGCGCTCATTCAAGACGAGCACAGATCCGTCATTCTAGTGCTGTTTTTGCCCGTGCTCTCCTCTGCTCACATTTGGTGTTGGTCATGTGGCTCTTGAACTGCTTCTTTGATGTGTAGCTGGTTCTTTCCATTGCAGGCCCTGTACTCTCATGCAGAGGGCCTTCAATCTTGTAGTGTACTCTAGTATAGTTTGTAAAGACCGATATCATGATAATTTCAGACTTTTTTTTCAAAAACATCAGATTGAGTAAAGAGCAATAATAAGCAAGGTATCCCATGCTTTTCATTATGCTCACTATTGTCTTACAAGATAATTGATAATCCTAGAGCTGTCTCTGGTCATAGATAGTGATGTCTCGAGAGTCTGCCTTGCCTCGCAAGACTCAACTAGAGTCACTATCCCATTTTGGAAAGGATCAAGCTTGGATTATCTATACAGACTGACACCAAGATATTGAGTCATTACTAGCTATCTCTAGATACTTCTAGCTCTAGTGGACCTAGTGAAAGCTAGGTCTCGGCAGCCAGATTCCTGATGACTACTGGTCCACTATTCAACTATGGTCCAGGGATAGTACATACTGGTCAATTTCCTCCACTAGATGGCATCATGATCAATTCTGTGTTTGAAGACCTTCAAAGGGTGGTAAACAGGAGAATTTGGAGACAGACATCCTAAGGGTCCAAGTCAGTCAATATCTTCCTACCATCTAGACTAGTTCCAGACTCCAATCACTGACCGTCACCAAGCTTGTACTTGTGCCTGCGAAAGTGTTTGAACAGCAATTGCAGAGCTGCCGCAATGGCACTTTTGAACATGGCGGCTGTATGTTAGCCTGTATGCTAACATACAGCCATGTTCAAAAGTGCCATTGCAGCAGCTCGGCAATTGCCGTTCAAACACTTCTCGCAGGCACGAGTACAAGACTATAACCCCTAGTGCTGACCGGTGGCCTCCACGGAAGACAGCTGTCAAGACCACGATAAGATAGATTGTTAGACGAGCTCCGATATGTGCAGGATTACCGAAGATATATTGTATGAGTTTCAAGCTTCAAGCTTGAAGAGCGCCCCGTCTAGTGAGTGAGGTGGATAACTTGACAAAGCTGAGGCAACATGCACTTTTCGAGGGAGGCAGCTTTTTTTCAACAAATAGACATACAAAAAAAGAAAGCAAATACGGGCTAATGAGACAATCCAAGGAATGAAAGAGACAAATATAACCAGGATGAAAGAATGCATAGAGATTAGCAGATGCATACATTACAAATTGGAGAAAGATAACAGTGTTCGACACAAAGTACGATGAAATGCTACACAATGGTGACCTATGAGACACTGGGGTAATCGCCGACTGATTGGTGAAGTGGATACAGCGGATTAAACAGTTGACAGAATAAATGAATACAGTAGATGATCAAAGCCATGTCAAGGCGATCGGTCCATTCGTGATATGTGCGTCGAGTGCGCTGCACCGGATCAATAAGTCGTAAATGAGAAGACATTGGAGGAACGGGTGTTTACACCGCTCATCACTAGTCGTTGCGCTTAACAGCGGAGGGAGCGCCAATTAGAACTGGAGCTGGGGCCGTGCCCAACACGGGGCTTCGCAACTGAGGCAGAATTTGTGCCGCTGGGGGTAGGAGGAGCAACGGGCTTCATCCTTGCGGGGGCTCCGAGCATGACTCCGCCAGTCAGGACTGTCGTCTTTCCACCGTCGTAATTTGTCACCTCGTTCTTGGAGGAGTCGACGAAGATACGAGCCTGGCGTGCTCGCTCACGGCGAGAAAGTTGAGACTTCTCGGTGGAGACAGATGAAATGGTCGTGACAGAGGAAGCATACTCGGAGGACGTGTCGACAGATGAAAAAGTCAAGCCAGAGCTGGAGTTCGACGAACGAGAACTAGACCGGGAATGGTTCGAAGTTGCAGAGACAGGGGAAGTGGACTTTGGGGGAGACACGATTTTCGGGAATGAGCCGAAGACTGGAGTCAACCGTGTAGGCTGACGAATCTCATCGGCGAGGATGGCAAAAAGCTCCTCTTCAGAGTCCTCGTCAAATTGCAGCAATTCCTGTTCGAAAGTCTTCATCGACGCATTCTCCCGCACCCTTGACTGCTCCTGCAAAAGAACCTTCGCTGCCGCTGCAGCCAAATCCAATTCGTCTGACCAAATTGTGATGAGCTTGCCGACCTGACCATTGCCCCAGTTGCCGAAGCGAACTGAGACACAACCAGGGTCAATGAATAGGTCGAATTCAAGACCGCCGAGCGCAGCTATCCACTCCGACCATTGGACATTGGCAGCCCTGCAGGAGGCGTGAACGGGGCGAGGGGGCTGCGTAGTCGTAAATGTGAGGCAGCGACGTCCGGAGCCACGGAGAGGATCGGTGGGGACCCAAGATCTAGCGCAATGAGCCGTCAAGTTCGCCTCGAGGGAGAGCTGTAACTTCAGGAGAGTGGCCGCGGGGTAACGGTTAACGAGAGGGCGCAGAATGTATACGATGGCATGGGCGAGGGTGGCGGGGAGGGACGTGGTGAGAGTGGTGAAAGTGGTGAAAGTGGCCATGACTGATGGATGAAAGATGAAAGCTGAGTTGAGATAAGGTTGGATAAATGGACGTGATCGACCGGCGATGAAAATGTGCGGGAGATGCTCGCAGAAGAGTCTAGAGTGAGTACGTGAAGGACGTCGAATAAGGGTGTAATTATGGAATACGTGAATGCAGAGATCGAATGTGTTGCAAGTAGAGGACTATTGGATCGACACTGAAGATAAAAGTTCTAGTATGGATAGTCAGCATTAGGATAACAGCAAAACGGCTGATAGGCTCACCTAACAAGCTGGAGTACAAGAAGACGTAGAGTAGAATAAGCGACAATCAGTAAGAGACTCTGCAACGATTGACTGGGCAATGTGGACATACCTCAACCGGAACTGAGTGGAGTAGGAGAGAGATGGATCGATCGAAACCCTGGTGAGGATGAAGAAACTAGAGAGGAGTACTTATACAAGAGAGCCATATGGGCGTCTAGAGACAAACAATGAGAGCGTCGGCTGTGAACGCCTTCTGGGGCATTACAGCGAGAAAACAAAAGAAAGTGGCGGCCAAGGAACAAAGCATCCTGTTGCCGTTTTCGGATACAATAATGCCTCATATCACGTGGCCGTGTTCTTGGTTCTGAACAATAGCCTCTGTACGCTCTTCTCTGCTGCTCGCCTCAACATAAACACAGCCCGTGTGTTGATGCATTTACGCTCTCCATGCTTTATCTACACAAGTGGACGTCCCCAAGCTTCTCAACAATCACAGCCCTCAAAAACAATAGTGTATCAGAGATCTTCTTCCACGACTTGCACATGTATCCGGATTCCGCTAAGATCTAGGTACATCAGAACGAATGTACATTTCTGAATCCCTCGAGAGCAGACGAAGCGGTTATACGAATACAACATAATTCCAGTGGTCAACAAGGCACAGTCTCGATCGAGGCCTCACACAAGGCTATGCAACATATACAGACCAGTAGCAAAGTCATCCGCCACCGCCAGCCACCATAATTTGAGGGTCCGCTTCAACTTTAACTCTAATCTTCATACCGACGAGTCCAATAAGCGTTCGTTTCCTTTTGTCGCTCACAGCGCTCCCTTCAAAATCTTGTCCTCGCCGCAAATTCCATCTCGTGCAAAAGCCAGGCCCAACCTTCAAAAGATCATTCTTTACAAATATGGTGCAGTGATACAATCCCTTAGGGGCAGAATCCATGTCGATTTACTTTTCGCCCACTGCGTACAGACTCTCGCTGTCGACCTTCTCAACCCTTCTGCTGAGCACGAGAAGAGGTCTCACAAGCTCAAGAGACTTGTACAGAGGTATGGAGAGGACTAAAATGGTCAAGGTTTGAAATTGATGTCGTTGGTATAGCCCGAACTCGTACTTCATGGACGTCAAGTGCCCAGGTACATCGCATTGTTTACATACCTTGGTCGGCTAGCTCATCACGAATGCTCGTTACGATCTAGGTTGCTTCGCCATCACGACTGTCTTCTCACATGCTCAAACTGTCGTTATCTGCGGTGCATGCGCTAGTGTTTTGTGCCAGCCAACTGGTGGTAAAGCGAGACTGACCGAGGGTGCGTGGCGTCCTTCATCTTCCTGTGACAGAATTCATCATATCTACATCTACAGGGAGCTCATACCGCCGGAAGAACTAAACATCCTTCTTGCTATATATCTACCTTATCTGCATCCGCACTTCGGTCGCTAGCATACACCGCCATCACCCTTACACACGCTCTTCGCATCGCTTTCAGTTCATGCCCTCATATCCCGTGAAATGCTGTTCTAGTTGGAGCTAGCCGCCCGCTTGAGTCGCCCACTTTACATTTCTCTCAAAATTCGCTATGTTGTAACCCCTAGGTCATCAAAGTATCACGATGGCGTGTGTGAGCAGATACTCTCGCCGATGATCCTCAGTGTGCTGCTTTGGCTTTCTTCCATCAACTCTCTACTCGGGTTTTTCGATAGCCTTCAGGCTAAAAAGATCGATGACATTCTGATGTTAAGGTGCTTGCCTACTGCATATGGTAGTCGATATCTCTATTGTACGTCTTGTATGCAAGGCATAGACGATCTATGTATCTATGTGGAAGCATCATCATAGCTTTCCCTTGGGAGGTGGGCGTATATCTGCACGCACAACGCCCTCCTGGGTTGTAACAGCCACAAGTGTTCCGCTCCGAGAATACATCTAAATAGGTCATCAGTCATCATTCTCACGGATATCAGGCCACTCACTCTTCCAATTACGACACCCCGACCTAAACCAGCAATTGGCGATACGGTCTAAAATGCCGAATAAGTCTACCGACTGAAGACGAAGTCTGAACCAGGAACACTCACCATGTACAAGATCCAGTCGCTACAATCAAAGGTATGACTGTGGTGATGTTGATCAGAGTGCACTCACGCAGATGGAAAGAAGAACAGCGACATACTCGTAGAAGAAGATAGAGTGATCGAGACTCGACTGATGTTACAGGTTAGCACCGACAGGAAGAATAACAGCGGATCTGCCATACCACCATTGCCAACGCATCAGGTCCTGCTGTATTTCTTTTCAACCCAAGAGTGTTGGCTGCTACAGGCAAGCTACGGAGACATCTTCAACTACTGGTGATAGTTTCAACATCCGGATAAGAGACGTACAAGTGAATATCGGACATGTATCCCAAAATACACTGTACAATAAGTAAGCGGTGTCAGCAAGCTTTCAGGTGCCAAAATGTATGGATTGACCTTTTGGAAAGGTGTTTCGTACAATACATTGTCTCGCGGCCTCATCCAGTACATGAATACCGGAGTACCTTCTGGGCCCATCTGCTCCTTGATACGTTTCACAGTTATTGGACTACGCGCCCGTTCCTAATGTTCGACAAACCACATGAATATTGCGCCTATCCATACTTATGCGTGAACGAACCTCGGCGTACTGTCTCAGGTAGTCCTTTGTACTCTCGTTCAACCCAGGCTTTTGCGCCATGGCAAGTAATATTTCTTCTTCGTCTTGGCAGTCGTCCGGACGCGGCACATCTGGCATCGGCCAATGATGTGAAGGTTGCCAGAATTCGGGAATTTGGAATGAACAGATGATAACAAAAACGGCACGACCACTCTGCACAGCCCGAACAGAGCGGGTAGTGTATGTCCGGCCTTCGCGCACGCGATCGACATAGTAGAGGATTGGGACTGAAGGGGATGCACTGAGGAGAAAGTAGGACTGCGAAAAGATCAGACGTTGTTACGATAGATGAAGAACATGCGAGCGTACATGTAGAGACTGATGCATAGTCCCATTTTTCCGCACAGGTTATCAGAGCCGTGAAACTACCATTGCTGCAGTGAAACACAGTGGAATATAGCAAAGTGCTTACGTGCAAAGCGTATTCCGGCTTCACGCACTTAGTTGCGGCGACAATCGCTTGCGATATTACCTGTCCTCCAAAGACACCCCTAGAACGAAAAGGAAGCCATAGAGATTTTGAACGGAACAAGTTGGTGTCGAGCTGCTCTATCTCCAGGGAGGTAGATATCTGTTCGTGCTCAGCTTGATCCGGGTCCGCTGTGTCCGTCATGAATATTGAATACGATGAAGACCGGATTTGAGAATCTGGCTGGTAGAAGGTGACGGATCCCGAGCGAGCCCGAATCCAACCTCTTATGCTTGCTAAATTATGACTGAGTTTGCAATGATAGAGTACTTAAGTAGAGGAGCCCGACGGTGTGGAGGGAATTACGACCGGCTACTTCGTTACCGACCCGCTATCCCCAGACTAACTGACGCGTTGAACGTTTATGTAGTTTTGAACTGCTCGCATGGTGATAAACGGATTCACGCAGAACAAATCCCTCACAATTGAAACATATGGCTACAATGCATACTGTGATGATAATTTATCCAGTCAAAGCTCCTCAACCTCGACTGTAAAGCCACATTCGTGACAAACCTGTGTTCCGATCCCATCTTTGCCAGGGTTAGGCTCACTGAACACATGCTTATGCTCTGCATCTTTCCGTTTCTGCCATACACCTTCCCCAGTCCGTCTCCTTAGCTCCTTCAAACCTTGTTCAAACTTTTTATTCTTTTTCTTTTTTGCCTCTACAGCGCGCCGTTCCCATTCGTCGTCAAGAGCCTCCGGAGAGCCCCATTTCTTCCAAGCAAACTCTTCTACCTGAAAGCGACAGAACAGCATCATGTTCGCAAACGTCGATTTATGTGGATTTGCCTTGAGAAGATGTGGTAATTCTTCTGCGTCTCTGAGTTCGGCTGCATGGATGGCCAATGAATTTGGTCAGAACATGTGGACATGAATAGGTATGTGCAGGGCTTACAGTCAGTTAAGAGGTAGTCCTACGATCCTTTGGAGTGAGCAATTTTTGACGCGAAGGACGAAGCAGACGTACCTCTTTACATTCCGTTTTCGTTAGAAGACCATACTTCTCTTGCATGTTGCTTTTGCACTGATTGCAGACGAGGCAGCGAAACATCTTCCTATATGTCTGGTCGATATCTATAGAACTGCATTCCTTGCATTTCGGATTTCGACTTGGATCTAAGGAAATGGCTGATGTATGGAGATTCTAATCAAGAACAAAGTCAACTAGGTCGAATCAGAGTTACTCACGAGGCTCTACATTCTGTGCCGCCCTCTGTCTCTCTCGTTCCCTCTCCTTAGCCCTCAGATCTTCATCGACCTCCTTATTGTCCTCAACCAAGAACCCTCCCTTTGAGTTAGTCATCTTGGACAGGTCATAGTCAAAGTATTTCCCCAAGCGCGAATCCCGCTTGAGCTTCGTAGGTTGTTTGGATGTCGTAGGTGATGTAGATGTAGCTGGAGTTACACCGAGCGGCCTCTTATTGTTCAGATTGATAGCAGACGAAGACGACGTAGAGGCTTCCTTCTCTCGTTGCTTCGCCTTGGCTGCATAAGATTGAAACCCATGAGTTCTGATCCTTCCCAGAATGGTATGATACTGGGCACAGCACCTTTCAAGCGATTGAGTTCTATGTGCCGGACTTGTTCAGGGGTAAGCTGCAAGTCAATGTCTGGTATAGCCCTGCGAGGAGGTGTTACAGGTCTACTTGGGCCAGGTTCCGACATTGTGGACTACAGAGATATTACAGGACAGAGATGTAGTCTGATGTAGAAAGCTTTAGGGCGCTGTGTAGAACTCCGCAGGACTTTCTAACAGGTTATTAACCAGGAGGTGTTAATAACGCGTTAATAACTAATGTTAATAACTACACATTGTGAGCGTGGGAGAATGAAAGTAAAATCGAGAAAATGGGTCAACAAAATGATGGCTCACAGCACTCACAGTTCACTCAGTTGTATACATACAGAAACTAAACCTAAATGGATTGGAGAGGCTCAGATAGCTAAGCATAAATAGGATGATTTGAGTGAGTGGTTGTGGAGTTGGGTTTCCTAGCCTAACCTTCCTAGTTTTTTCTCTTGTTCTGCCACAAGGGGAGGCAACTGCTCACTCAAATCTAGGGTTCCATGAGTAATTCACGGACAGTTGTTAACAAATGTTAATAACATTTGCCTCTCTGAGGAATTTCTAACATGAGTTAATAACAGATTAATGACAATTGTATATAAAGTGTTATTAACATGTTAAAAACTGATTTATTTACATGTTAATAAAGAAAGTGGTGTTAATAACAAGAAGTTACTAGCTCCATTCAATCTCAGAGCTGGGAATGGAAGGGGGAGCTTCAGGGGGGTAGGAGGGGTGAGGGGCTTATAGCAGTGTACCTAGGAGTATCAGATAGCAGATCTGCGAAGGCCTCCTTATGGATTGTGAACTCCTGCACGATATTGAGTACGGAAGCCTGGCATGGGGTCCTCTCTGTCAGCCATCTATGTCATTGTCTGAGTCGTCTAAGTCATCATTAGAATCGAAGCTATCCAAGGTGAAGGTAGTAGTGCCTGCCATGTTAGCGGTGCTCTTAGATGATAAATAAGAGATGGCAGCCTTGAGATCATCTTCAAGATTGCAGAACTTGATGGTCAAGTGCTTTTTTGGCACTTTGTCTTCAGTCTATAGAATAAATGAGCCACAGCATGGAAAGAAGATGGATGTACATACCGTATGGGTGCCATACCACTGTCCAATAATAGTCATATCCACAAGCAACTGTGCACGCTGGTGTCCTCACAGCACCAAATTGAGCCGAGTGAATCTTGAACCAGTGATACGCTAGAGGTGGCTCTCGGTGCCGAGCACAACACCAAAACAACCTCTAATGCAGGGGTGCTAGAGCTAGTATCTGATACACAAGGAATTGTTAGTGATGACTTTAGAAATCGATGGCGCACTGAGAAGTAGCGAGGAGTGTGAGATTATAGCGCCCGAACAGTTTCGGGACTGCACCGAACACTGACTGAACGTTCGGTCGGTTGTGTCGGGGATTCGGTCGGTAACGAGAAGGTAGTGTCGCGACCGACAACTACGTGCTTCAAGGGCCACACGGGACTCTGACAATATACGAGGGAGGACAAGGGGTATGAGCGAAGAGACGAGTACGAACGCGAACAAGGCCGAACGACAAGGATGACAAGTTTTCGGGAGCCGATGAAGACGATTTCGATGGTTGAGACTAGTGCGAGTGAGCTCTGAACTGTGGGGTGCGAAAGCTGGTTTATTCCAGAGTTGTATGTAGGTTTTTATAGTAAACCGAGCCTCTAAATAAAATATTTAAATAAGAAATGAGAGTGGATGTCAAATGGGCGCCAAGCCTTAGCGATCAGAGAAGATAAGAAGGTAGGTGAGATGTCCATATGGGTTCCGAAGGTGACAAGGTAAAAGTTAATCAGCGATGGCGAAATCCCGAACGTTCGGGATCCATCGCCCGAGTGTAGGTAGACGGAACAGGTGTTGGAGAACCAATGAAAAATAAAGAAGAGGTATCGTACGATCAGGGTGGCCAAGTAATGGTGCAAGATCACGTTTGACCGACCATGTGGAAGTTGGGAAGATAAGCAATAAGGAATGACCGACTCACGGAGGACATCGGCCGATATGAAATACTGGCTCCGATCTCATAAACACTTATCATAACACTCCTGTGTGGCCATGGTGAGTACGTGAAGTGTGGGCGAACTGACCCAAGTGCTGTTGAACGTCCTTCGGTGGCTTGTCGTTGGTCGGGCAGGGACCGACCGTGTTCGGTGCAAGTTGGCATCTTCGGTACTTGTCGAGCGCTGTTCGGTATCTCCCAAAAGCTTCCTGAATACCTCCCTCGGACCCTAGCACGGGTGCATGCTCATCACCGGTCTGCTTATCTGGCATTGAGTTCATGAGAATGGAAAAGACTCTCTCAGCAAGCATCTAAAAATGAAAAGGAAAGGTTAGTTGTAGGCAGAAGGAAGTGAGGAGCTGCAGCACACCATAAGAATGTCTGCTTCTGGATTGTTTGTGAATTGCCACCACTAGCCTAGGACATTGCTATCTTGGATGGGCTTGGCCCTGTCAAAGGGGGCCTTCTCCTGCCAATATGCATCAAGCTGCAACCAGAATTTTGTGATGGCCATGGCACCGCCAAGCCTTTTGAGTACAGGCATCCATACGCTCCACCATTGGCTTGAGCATCTCATCCCAAGGGAATGCTTTCATGCGGTTGAATAGATGAGGATGTGGAATGTTGAGGTCAGATCCCTATTTGGGAATCACAATAACAGGATTGGCAGCTGCAGAGTTGATTAAGAAGTCTGACCGTGGGTATCCTGTCACCAAAAATAAATGTGACATGAGAATCTATTTAGTTGAATCAGGAAAAAGGCACAAACGAGGATCTAATGTGAAAGCCGTGACATGAAAGTCCTTGCAGTCTTCAAAAAAGGTGTCAAAGTGCTCATTGATTATGCCTATGACTTCCTTGGCGAACTCCAGTGTAATGCCAGTCTTTTGCTGTCTGAGATCAAAAAGCTCGCGCAGCGTGGCACCCATTACTAGGTGGAATACATACACATTGGAAACATTGGCCTGTGTTGATTCAAGTGCCCAAAGAGACCAGATCAGGGGCTGGATGATCCTAATGTATTATAGCAGCCCAAGTTTGAGCCAGTGGTAATCTTCGGACACCCAGTGGGCAAATAAGTTTTGGACTTTCATGTACTATTGGAAGCATCAATGAATAGTAATATAACTATTTTTAGTCTAAGCATACCTTCAATTTGATGGTGCCAGATTGCATCAGGTGCCGAACTTGAGGTAAACTCATCTCAAATAAATGGCCACCAGACTAGTGGGTGCCAAATTGAGTCTTTCCAACATTCTGAAGTACACTAACATGTTTACCATTGTCATTTTCCTTGAATTGCATGCAAAGATGCACTTCGGCATATGTTGAAGTGCCAAAGGATGCCAAAATTGCTTTGAAGATCTTGATCATCTAAAAGGTGACATAAAAGAAGTTCAATTCAAAGAAGCACAGGCACACAGTACCTATCTAAATTGAAGCAGCTTAGTTATGGCATTGATGATGTTGTGGATATGATGGCATACATCTCGGAGATTTAATACAGTACTAATCTTAGCAGTGACTTCTCAACAAGTGGTGGCACAGGTGAAAACATTGTCAGAAATTGATGTGGTGATCTTCTCTGGACCAATCCACTGGATTATCTGCAAAGCCCTACACAAGTGCTAGCTAATTGAATTCAGATCAACTTATTTGCTTACTTTTAAAACCCTTGATAAGATCCATATAGAGATGTGCTAAGCATCTAAGCCAATATATGCATCAATAAAATAGGATTTATGTGCATCAGTTGTTGCATGCATGAAATATATTGAATCCCACCTTGTGTTAGTTCTATCGAAGCTGATAGTGGTATATGTGGAGTTCTTGATATGATCTTCTTGCAGGCTGTGGACTAGCATAGCTTCTTTTGGGATGTGCTTATTAACAAAGGTGCTTGAGGAGATGGGATGAATGCTGGGATTTAGAGTGGTCAGCAATTTCTTCCACTCCGAGGAATCAATGACATTGGGGACAAGACCATGCATGCAGATCAAGCACATAATGCAATGGTTGACCTGGCACTGGAGGTCTGCCTTTATCTCTGATTGCTTTTTGGTGGGAATCTTCTTTTCAGCATCCTTGGCAGCATGGATAACTGATGGCTGTTTTAGGTTGGGAGTGGTTTTGCTAACAGACAGTTCTTGGGAAAGTGAACCCCTTCCAGACTCAGAAGCAGTGTCATCGTGTTTCATGATCTTGGCTCCCAAAGAACTCCTTTTCTGGGCTAGACAGGCCTATTCCCACAAGGTTCTGTGCTCCATGGACTTAGAGTGCTAGAGGTGCTCATAGCTGGCAGCATGGCCGTACACTCAGGCCTCCACTCTGTTGCCCTACTTGGTCCATCGGCATCCTTCAGTAACACACCAGTAGCTTCTCACACCCTTGGAATCAGTACCTATCGCTGCAAGCTTTGGCATGAGCTCATCAGGGGGTCAACCTTGGCAGACACTCTTCCACAATAAATAAGCTTATGTCAATCCACTCAAAAACATTGCTTACCATTTTTGGAAGGTCTAGTATTCTACTGAGGAAGTCAGATCTTGAAGAAGCAACTACTTTGACTTCTGTGCCAGTAGATGCCATGAAAGCTAACCTTTTGCACTTTAAAGTGTTTGGCTTGGGATCCATTGACACCTGTGCTATCAATCAATTGAAGTGGAATCTGTCTAGGTGATCAATCTTGCACCAAAGGGTAATCTAGCCCCTTTTTTGCATAGATTTGTCTGACACCTCTCAGCACATCCCTTCCCCACTTCATAATGACTTCATTTGAGGGGTACTGATCATGATACTTCTAAAGCACATCAATGATAGCACATATCACTGGGCCGTGTTCCACAATCAGTATGATTCTATCTCTAGTTGACTGTGTTTGCCAGCTGAAAACTGACTTAAATTGTTCACTAAATACCCTAACCTCATCTTCAATCTTTTTCATCAGATTAGGGTCCAGAGAGAAGTTGAGGAAGCATGCATAATATGAGTCCTGAGAATTTTCCATGAAAGGCAGATTTGATTCTAGAGGTATTCCCAATAGCAGGTGATGCAGTTCCATGAGAATAGTCTCAAAGCTGACATTGTTTGACTCAGTGGACATGGCATGAGCAGGGGGAATAGGTAACGGAATGTTCAGAGTGGGAACCAATGCAGTCTGAGATTCTGCACTCCTAGACAAAATTATTATTTTGCAGGGAAGACATGATTGCACAGCCACAACCTTCAATATTTCTACCTAGCCCTTGCCCAAATATGTACATTATAATGTAAATTCAATTGCTGATCATTATATACAATTTTGAACATTATTAACATTATTAACATCAACATTGTGCCCCCTTGGAGGGGGCCTGTTAATAACAGTGTTAATAACAATGTTAATAACATAAGTTATCAACATATTAGCAATTCAGGGATTACTCATGGAACCCTACTCAAATCACCCCATTTGTGCTCCAGCCATCTGTACCTCTCCAGTCCATTTAGGTTTAGTTTATAGAGGTTTGAAAATTATTCAGAAACAGCTGTAACTTAGAGATTGCACTGAATAACAACAAACAAGATATATTGCTATTTTAGGAAATTAGTTATTAACCTTGAAAACCAAGGGGTCCGATAGGTGCCTGTTATTAACGCGTAATTAACGCGTAATTAACACCTGTTATTAACCCAGTCAAAAACTAGGAGTTCTACACAGCGCCCTAGAAAGCTTAGAGAGCGTCGGGGTTGAGTTACAGTGCTTTGCAATACCTCCTGGTTAATAACCGGTTAAAAAGTCCCGAGGAGTTCTACACAGTGCCCTATGTAGTACTTCATCTTACCATGGCTCTACCTATCCCTCTTTTACCATCTCCAGGACTTTTGCTCGGATGGAGATCACAAACAATCAAATCTCAAAGACAGCGGCGGAGCGTGATCGCCAGGCGGGTCACACAGGGAGGTCTGGCACTTTTCTCCCATTTCAGGGGCGAAGCGCTCAGGAATCCGGTTTTTTTCTGGCACGACACTCCAGAAAATTATGCAAGACCCTGTAGGATGCGCTCCAGTCGCGTTTCGCGTTCCTGGACAATTTTCCGTGATCTTCTCATCAAGATCTTTTTGTACATTTGAATGGGTATACCAACGTCCGGTGTCGTTGGCAATACGTCTGGCACTGCAGGGCACCGCCAACGTACTTCCGTAAATCATCTTAATAAAAACCCGTCGGAGTGCCGTGACTGCACAGACATGGGGGGAGAGGTGATTATAATGAAACTGATTTCCAGAACAGTTTATCCAGCTTCTGAGAGGTGCCGAGTAATCTATTCAAGAGCTGAAAATAACAAAATATGAAGATAAATGGGCAGTAGTGGGAGCTGACAAGTCGAAGTGACCCGGCTGTACACACAGCAAGTGCGTTGACAACACCGGACATTGGCATCCCCTTTGCCTTGACCCGCATCGAATGTAAACATAGATCCTGATGAGAAGATCCCGAAATTTTGTCTACGACGTTGCAAACAGAGTGTCTAAGCCTAGGTTAGCGGCAATGGAGACTACTGCACGTTCCACGGCGGGGATTTCCGTAGAAATCCTGGGTAAAACCCCTTGAAGTATTATCAAGAACGGTGCTTTTGCAAGACGAAATGCAAGAAAATGATGGCATCGAGTTGGAAACCCCCGGCTAATACAGGCTCTGTGCGCAGTGTCGAAGGAAACAGATTGGTTGGTAGACATCTCAGCAGTACAACAAAATGAGCATCGGCACAAAGGACACAGTAACAAAACATAGAACATCCACCAAGAAAAACGAGAACTTCATAACGTTACGCTCTCTATCATCGACCATTTCTCGAATCAGAGATCATTGGCTCATCACCGGTTTGCTCAGGCGTTACACGCCTGGATACAGCAGCCGAGTCCACGTCCATTGCTGAGATCCCGAGAGAAGCAGTGGTCATATGTCCGCTGGGTCCTGCACCGTGTGTTGAAGTGGTTCCAGGGGCCGTCATGATCCCGACGCCCATACCAAACTTTCGCGCTGGGCGGCTACCATTGCTGCTGGACGACTCACGATCAAGTTCCCGGTGCGAAGTCTGGTTCCGCCGTCTGGTTTCATCCTCCTCATCGGAGTCGTACAGCTCCCCAGTGGGTTGAACGTGCCTGTCAAGGTGGGATGTTGGTTGTCGGTCATCAGGATCTATCAAATCTTCATCTTGGTTCATATCGTCTATTTCGGCGTCGATGGGTAGTTGTGGGATATCTGTACATTTCCAATCATAAGGCTTTGCTGCTACCAGAAGATGAGATGAGTTGGACACACACCCATCATCTGAACGCTGGGCGGTCCCCCAACATTGCGTAGATGCTCCATAACGATATTCTTGACTCGCTCAAGATATGCAGGCGTGTTCATATCCTCCGTGTTGGAAGCCTTCACATCGAGCTGATAATCGGGCCCGAAGTATTCATAATATTCGTTCACTGGGATGTCTGCCCGAAAAGATATGATTGACGAATAGTTCGGGAGTAAATATAGGAAATATCGTTTACCAGGACCGAGTTCAACTCCTGTAGCTAGACCAGTCTCGTAGGCCCATGCCCGGCTGACATTGCGCATAGTATAACCGCCACCGCCGAGGAGAAGGAGTGGTTTGTTAAAGGATTTAACAAACTTTACGCAATTGGCATGTCCTTGAATATAGGAAGTCAGTACATCGATGACATCAACTGCAGGATCATCCAACCTCTCATAGATAGATTCAAACACCCGAGCTTATCGCCTGCCAATGAATCTGTACCGCATTGCAGCACAACTGCTGCGGGGTTGTAAGAAGCCATCACCTGACGAATGACCTGGAAGTCCCCATGAAGCAGTAAGTTTCTTGGTCGCTTGACAGATATCCACTTGGGAAGTTTGCCACACACCGGCTCAAATACACTTTTGTAATTTCCATCGTTGATTCCATCTCTAAGAGGAAAGTTCAGAGCATAATACTTCCCTTTTCCAATCCCCACATCCTAAACAGCCGACCGGTATGAGTTGGCATCAGTCATAATAGTGAAAGAGGCGATCCCCTTACCCGTAATTCACCAGTGCCGGGAAAATACTCCCCGTACTTATGAAAGCTGACGGTCATTACTCTGTCGGTCGTATAAAAAGCTTCTTCCACGCCGTCTCCGTGATGAACGTCAATGTCGATGTATAGAACTCGTGTATGATAACTAAACATCCTCGATTAATAGACACGTTGAAAAAGTCAGCGGCGTCTACTGACCGCAGAAGTTCTAGGATGCCCAAAACAATATCTGCGCGATATAAGAGTTGATGAACCATACAGCCAAGAGGCAGAGGATGATGAAGTCATACCATTCACATAACAGAATCCACTTGCTTCACTCTTCTTCGCGTGGTGGAGACCTCCAGCCCAATTAATCGCGATATCACACTTATCTCTACTTAGTCGAGCCGCACCCTCTGGAAAATTCAATCAAACGTATCTAGATGAAAGCGAGATGTACGCACCCATTGACCCTCCAGCAGATATTGAGCAGTAGTCAAACAAACCGTCAAATACAGGGCAATCGTCACCAACGTTGCCTGGTTCGTAAGTCACGAGTATTTATAAGTTATGGACGGTGTTCAAACAAATGTGGCGTGAGGCAGGAGTGACTCGCTCACACTTATGTTGCTCTTTGATGAACTGATTCATATTGCTCGGTGTAATACGGCTTAGGAAGTCAACGTATTCGTCGGAATGAAACTGCGTCATCTCGCGTTTGGTAGCGGGTTTCGCACGCTTCAATGTAAGCACAGGAGCAGAGTTATAAGACAGTAATCTTGTGAAAGGTGTGATTGTGCACTCACAAATATCTCCATCCTCTTGTACAGTCCGTAGTTCATAACTAAGGAATGGCACATCCGTATACGGGTGGGTTTCATTCTGAATTAGACAAAAAAAATCAAGCCATTATAACTGCTACTCTTCCAGATGAGCGTGGGACGTGATGACGCACGGATGACCAGGACCGTAGTGAAACCCTCCCACATCTGAGTCGAAGAAATAGCACTAAAACCGAACGATCAACGTTCCGCAGGTTATTGCACTGAAAAAGGATAAAAAACGCACCACACGTTTCTTCGCTTCTCCATCTATCTCAAATAGTTCACCAGGCATGATTTCTTGTCGAATGAAGGAGGATAGAAGAGGATAGAGGAAAGATACGAGTTTCTGAGACTATGTGGCAGACGTAATGCCGAGGACGAATCCTGATTGGGAAGAAGCCACGTGGGGCTGTTGTTCAACAGCCTTAGTTTCAAACAGAGTGCGTCATCGCATTGTCATCGCAATTCAGCGCTTTATTGGCTAGTAGATTATAATACAGTAGAATCCCGATGATATTTAAATGCCGGAGCACTCCAATCGAGATTTTCGCGAAGGCATTTCCCGTGCTACGATACTGCTACGATGCAAGAAACAAGAACATATCCGCTCGTCGCCAATCATTAGACAGTACGGTGTCATTTGAAATAGTGAATATTACAGCCCCGTTTTATGCGTATGTCTATAAGACCAAGGGGTAATGAACCGAGAGGGAGAATGTGTACCGATATTCCCTCGAACACTCGGAAATCATATCTTTGCTTTGCCCAGCGGTGCCTCTTTACCCTGGTGGACTAGTGTAGAGGGTGCGAAACCGAAAGATTCCTCCAGTTGGATGTTCTATGCACGGGTAAAGTCAATGAGGTGTTGAATGGAATGAATATAGCGAGACGGACGAGTTCTCCTGTGATTACGCGGACCTGCAAGCATCACACATATCAGTATGGCAAACACAGCAGGCGTAAGGAATATGATGTACCATTGACCAATGATGAACAGCATGCAGACCGGCAAACCACAGCTGCACAAAACGCACTCATACTTAATGACGTTCGATGATTTGATAGGAACCACGATTCTCACCTCCCTGCCGAACGTCGATTGGAAAGTCTGCTCGTACGGAGTGACAGCATCGAGGCTCAAAGGCGCATCCAATTTACTGTTTGGCACGACAGCCTTCAGCTTTGCAATTGTCTCTTGGATCGCCTCTCGCGCAGCTTGTCGACTCGACTCCATTGGCGTATTCCTCGATCGTTTATCATATGAAAGGACACGTGGTGGGGAAGAGGTTATGCACTCGAGAAGAAGAGAGAAATGGTCGCGTGCGTGCCGAAGGTGTTTACCTGAAGAACGATTGTTATAGGGTCATTCCAGATAAAAATACACGGGAATCACCAATGGTAGATCCAGGTAAGTACTTTGAGCTCACCGTGAGCTGATCGTCGGATGTAAGTGAATTGTCCAAAAGATCGATGGCTTGAGCTAGGACTTTCGTTGAGACGTCTAACAGCTGCTCAAGGCTTCGCATTTCAGCAATAGAATGAGCATTGCCATTAGGTTGGGTAACGTCGTAGGAAATTGAATCAGCTAGAGCAGGTATAGTAGCATGGCTTGGCTCAGGAGATATGTGATGACGCATGAGTGGAAGGAGAAGGCAGGCTAAGGGCAGGTTATTGAGGGTGAATGGCTGTAATTACTGGTACGTGACATTGACGGCCGGAATGGTGTCTGCAGGCAGACGCGAGGTTGGCCATGCCTCCCAAGTTACTCGTGATGAAGCTAACATATACGTAAACAATCTCCTGGATCAAAATGTATTGCATTCGAGGCAAAATGAAAAACAATAAGTGTCTCTCTACACAATTGTGGACAGCTCATTGAAAAGAGTAGCTGCCCTCACTCAAAGTGAGAATGACCATGTGCCAGAACTGTGCCCATATCCAAATTCAGAGAAAAAGGCGGGTGAGAGACAGGAAGATGAGTCTAATCAACCGTCGTCGTCGTTCTGGTCAAAGAAGAGGCATTGCGCACCACGCCTGAAAAAGAGGCGTGACGCTGACGTAAGGCATATATATCCTGCCTTCATTCCGGTTACCGCCTGCCATCTGCCGTATTGTCCCACATGCTTGCTTCACTCAGGAAAGCAGGTTCTTTCACCCGCGTACGTGCATTTGAGTCCGTATCAGAGCTTGTTCATATCATGTCTGACCTTTCCTAACTTCTATAGGCTGTGTCTGCGGGCCAGAGGCGCTTCCTCTCCATCCATGAATACCAGTCCGTAAATCTCCTCAATTCGGTAAGCCTGTTCCTCTTCTCAACCCTCCAGTCCGGGCGCTCATCGCCTGCTATTACAGTACGACATACCCACACCGAAAAGCATCGCTGCGAAAACACCACAGGAAGCTTTCGAAGCTGCTCGGGTCTTTGGTACTTTGTTTTGTTGTGCTTTAACAAACGTCAACGTTTATTCTTTATTCTTGTGCAGGAAAGGATGGGTCTGTCATCAAGGCGCAGGTGTTGGCTGGCGGCCGGGGGAAGGGAAAGTTCGATAATGGTCTTCAGGGAGGTGTGCACAAAGTTGAATCGTACGTCAATTTCCGTTTGCGCTTTCTGCACTGGACTGATTGTGAAATCGTGAATAGCCCTGAGCAAGCTAGGGATTATGCTTCCAAGATGCTCGGTGCCAAATTGATTACAAAACAAACTGGTGCTGGAGGCCGAGTCTGTAATGCTGTACGTTTACTTCAATCATCAAACCCTCAACCATCTGATGGCCTGCTGTAGGTAATGCTCGCGGAACGCCGTGATCCCGCGCACGAGTACTACGTCGCACTTCTCAACGATCGTGTTTCTCAAAACGTTGTCCTCGTGGCGTCTGCACAAGGTGGTATGAATATCGAAGAAGTCGCGGCGAAGGATCCCGATGCCATCATTACCACACCCATACCTCTCGCGACGGGTCTCAGCAAGGAGTCTGCCCTTGAAGTTGCCAACAAGCTGGGTTTCAAAACCCCTGAGGCCAAGCAAGAAGCAGCTGATATCTTCGTCAACCTGTATAAGATCTATAAGGACAAGGATGCCACGCAGATTGAGATTAACCCTCTTGCTGAGACCACGGACGGACATGTGTTATGGTAAGTTGTTCGTTCCGTTTGCACTTATCGCAGTGGCACTTATTTTATCATGTGATCAGTATGGATGCCAAGTTCGGCTTCGATGACAATGCGGAGTTCCGTCAGGGGGATATCTTTGCGCTTCGTGATATCTCGCAGGAAGAACCCTCTGAGGTCGAAGCTCAGAAGGCTAATCTGAACTTCATCAAGCTCGATGGCAATATTGGCTGCTTGGTTAACGGTGCAGGCCTTGCGATGGCCACAATGGACGTCCTCGCATTGCACGGTGGCCAACCCGCAAATTTCCTGGACGTTGGAGGGTTTGTTAGATATGTTTCGTGACTGGTGTCATTCAAATTGACCCTGTTTCTCGGCAGGGGTGCGACCCCAGAGACCGTCAAGAAGGCGTTCGAGATTCTCCTCTCTGATCCCAAAGTCAAGAGCATCTTCATCAACATTTTCGGCGGTAAGTGTTTTGACCTGGTCAGCATTGTATCCGCGCTGCAACGAGAAGCTAGGTATCATGCGTTGCGACTACATCGCCGAGGGAGTCATCAAAGCAACTAAGGAGCTATCTCTTAAAATCCCCTTGGTTGTTCGCTTGAAGGGTACGAAGGAGACTGAGGCTAAGGAGTACGTTCATATTCTTTCTTTTTAGGCGACTTTGACTCATTGGCTATTTTGTAATCTCAGAATGATCCGCCAGTCTGGCTTAAAGATCCTTCCTTTTGACAGCCTGGACGAGGCCGCAGAACGTGCAGCTCAGCTGGCCGCCGCATAGAAACTGTAGATCTCATGGTTTATAGACCTTGTTATCTTGCGGTCGCAATAGACTAATATTCGCAAACGTACGCTTGTACAAGGCGATCAGTCAGACTTAGCATGAAGATAAATGATTGAACGCAGAGTACGATAACGACAAGCGACAACGATAACAGATAAAGTTCAGCGTGTGAAGTAGACGATGGGAAAACATAAGGGACATTGTGGGGACATTGTTTAGCTACCATGGGGGCTGAACGTAATGATGTGGTGGGCCAGGAGTGTAGCCACTTTGATGTGGTGGGGGCAGTGGATGATTAGGGGGACCTTGTTGATGCATGCTTGGCATCATAGCATATAGGCTCCGGGGGTCCCCTCTTCCTGCCGGAGCAGGACCTGAATAATTCGGCTGCATCTGCATCATGGGTGCATTCGAATGTACCATTACAGGACTCGCTGGATACATCGATATTACTGGATGTGGGTGTGAATGCGGATGCGGATGCGAGATCCCTGCATGACTCATGACCGGGCTCATAAGCGAGGGAGTGCGATCACGAGTTTGCGAACCATTGGAAGGCCTTGGCTGCAACTGAGTATTCTGCATGACTGGAGACGCATACATCTGAGGTGGTGGACCCTGAGCAGGGTAAGCCATATACTGCGCAGGATACGGTGAAGGCACCGGACGCATCACTGCACCAGATGTCTGAGCTGTTGGACCAGAGACCGACATCCACAGTGGCTGCCCATACTGCGGTGACGGTCCATTCACTATCATGGGTGATGCAGGGCTGGGGCTCATGACGTGAGGATATATCATGGTTGGCACGGGCGAGTGGCTCATCATCGGTGACGGATACGCCATATAAGCAGGTCGCATGTTTGCATGGGGAGCAGAGGACGGATGAGAATAATTAGATGCGCGGGCGGAGCTTGAATTCGACATTGATGAAGAGGGCGGCGGGGGATTCGACGCCTTGTGTAATGATGCGGTAGGTGGCGACGGCACTTGTTGGAATGCGCGGGTGACATCGTGTAAAGACATCCGAGATGGACCGCTCGAGGTGGGAGGTCTCGAAGTCGTTGGCGGTGGCGTCTCTCCATCTTCTGATTTCACTTCTTGCAGGGTGAATGGCACTGAGGGCAGATCGTCTGCAATCCCCTTTAGTGAGTTGACAGCGGGAGCCTCGGCTTTTGAGGACGTTTGTGCCCAAAGAAGCTTTAAATGTTCAGGATCAGGAGCACGAGCAGAGGAATCCTTAATAGAAAAAGAGGCTGGCGGCTTTGTCCACGAAGCTAAAGCGGGTTGAGAGGGCGGAGTTATTGGAACCTGATCCGACTGAGGAAAAGGTCAGAAAGACGACACGCAAATGTGACACTATTTATGCGCACCGAATCGTTCGAACTTTTGCTTTCGGTCTTTTCTCTTGACAGAGAACCACTTCTTTGTTCTTGATGCGCAGATCCAATTTGATTATTCTTATCACCCATTCCGGCTACAAGCCCTGTTGGTGGAGACATACGCGCATCATCAGTGGCCAATAGGGAAATGGTTTGTCTTGGTGACTGTTCGTCTTCCAGCTCACTTGTGACAATGAACTGCACAGGCGACTTCACATGGACTCCATCAGATTGAGAATCACGATAGAAGGCAACACCCACTCCAGCAGGCATCTTCGGCTGTGTCCGCGGCTTTGAAGAGCCGTCAATAGACCCAGATACTACCACTGGGGAGTCTGCTTTCGACGAGATGTCTATAGTAGCAGTGGCGTCATTGTCTGGTGGTGGAGATCGGCTGACGGTCTCGAGCTGCTCAACCTCGAGACAATCCTGTGCCTTTTCCCCTGAGTCAGAGGCTGAAGGTCTCTGGCGCCAACTAGCTACATCATCAGCCTCTCGAGGTTTGCCGAAAGCACCGAATGCAAATTTATTGGCCGAGGGCTTTGCAGGAAGGGTGCCCTTGGGTTTGATCGGCTCCGAAATCCCAGACATACTCCTCAACAGAGTAGGCTTTGGTAGAACCACCTTATATCTGTGTCTGCCTTTCAATATCGGGAGCTTGCGGAACAGAATATCGTTAAGGGAGAAGTCCTTGCGTGTCATGTTTTCCACTGGCGGGTCGAATGACAAGATATCCCATCGGACTTGGGACGGTGGCGATTTCCAAAGATGCATCTGCTTTCTTGAGAGTGATTCGATGGGATATGAGGCTTCTGGGAATCGCACAGTATATGCCCATGGTGGCTTCGGAGACATAATGGGCTCGGTAGCCGTGACATCGAAACTTTCTTGTAGAGCTGAGGTCTCCGGGGCGAACCCTCGCGACCGTAGAGCCGGCGGGACCCATTTCGGTGGTTTTATGATTTCAGCCTTGTGCGGAGGCGATTGTGATACAAGTGTAAGTGGCTTTGAAGATGACAAGTCTGCAAAGCCATTTCTTTGTGATTCCCGATGGACGTCGTGAACCTGCATCCCGTCCAATGCTCCCTTGATCCTTGACATGGTGTCATCAAGCATGGACATTGAAACCTCGCGGTATACTGCTGAACGTGGCGAACGTTGTGACGAGGGGTGAGATGGTACAACCAACGTCTGTGGGAAAGAAGTGTTCGTCGGAGCATGCTCAGCTGAGGATGAAAGGTTTCTTGATGCGGGTAATGGAGCCTCCATAAAATCCGTAGACGACTTCGTTGTCGAAGATGGTAAAGATAATTTTGTATCCGGGCTACTGGCTTCTCCAGACTCTCGCACAGTTTCTAGTCCATGCTGAACGTCGAAAACCATGGCTGACGCATGCTCGCCCGAAGTACTGACAGATACTCTCCGTCTCCATGATGACGCTACATCGTTCCTTGTCGGCACGACTGATTCGCGTTGAAGCAATTCATTGTCAAAGAAATCGCTGGCCACAGGTCTAGTCGGCCGTCGGGGCGTTTCAGGATGTACGGATGTGTCGACAGATACGGTCGCAGGTTCCGCAATACCAACAAGTTTATCCAGCTCGGAAAAGTCCACTTCTTCTAAACTTTCTTCAGGTTCGAGAACGAATAGTTCAGATTCGGGGAATGCAAGTGGTGGAGGAAGAAGTGGGTTCGGGTGCGAAGGCTGCGAGCGGGGAAGTTGGCGAGGCGGCAAAGGTGGCAAAGGACCAGCTCTGCTTCGCCAGAACTCAGGTTCCAATGAGGACAAAACAGTACCAGAAACCGTCGTTCCCCGAAGGGACGCCGAACGCGTTATCCATGCACGAGATGGAACGTCTTGCTCTCGAGACATATGCTTAACAGATGGCGGTCGTGAGAGAGTTGGTTTCTCGGACATTGACGCTACAGGGGAATACACAGTGATTGCGTCTGTTGCGATTGCATTGTCCTTATCCGTTTCAGAAGGCTTTCGTTCTGGAGATATCTGCATAGAGATCGTGGATCAGCACATGGTGTTGTATAAATTGCATGCAGATGGCCTTGACCTCTTCTGTAACTGTCTCCTTTTCTTGCTTGGCAGCATTCATCTTGGCTTCCAGTTCGGCAGCTTTCTTACGGGCTCGCTCTCTCTCTCTCTCACGTTCCTCTTCTTCTTGCTGTCGTCGGAGCCTGGCACGTTCCGCTGCAGAATGCATGGCAGCTTTGCGCACTTCCTCTACGTCGACAAGGGGAACGGTCGATGATGCGGGAGTAGCCTCCGCGAGGGTATTGTTACTTGCGACGCTAGGTGAGCGAAGTGCATGACTTGTGACTGAAGACGCATCCTCTCTTGAAGATTGTTGATGCCACGATTCTCTATTCCCTTGCCGATGAGGGGCGGGCGGGGGGCGCACTGAGGATAGATGAGGGGGTAATTGCCTACCACCTTCGCTCGATACGTCGGGTCCGGATGTATGGGTGTCACCGGTGCTAGACAGCCGTCTGCCTCTTGGCTCATCGGACGAGCCAAATGCGGGAGCATCTCGCCGAAGTTCCCTTAACTCGTTGTGCTGGTCGTTGTCCACTCCAGAAAAGCTGCGCCGCGAACGCTCGGACCCAGTTTTCTCCAGCAGCCGCACATTGTGATGTGGTGGAACATCTCGGCCGTTTCTGCTGTCACCCGTAGTATCTTTGACGTATAAGCATACATACTCTGAGATATACATACAAAGGGGACAAACCATTTGGAGGATGTCGAGGGTGGGAATTAGAGTAAGGCTCCAACCTATTGGATCGCTCGTTGAAGAGAACCCTAGAAGACTCTTGAGGGGAGGAGGGCGAAGCGAATGATGCGGGGGAATGAGTTGGTGCGCCTCTGGCACGACCAAACGAGGATAATGTTCTCGAACGTGGCCAGCTTCTGTCGAAATCGTCTGCAAACCTGTCCTCTTTTTTAATGAGAGCCTGGGGATCACGATCCTTATTTGATGTGCCTCCAATGGAGTCTGCAGATATTGATGGATCTGTGGGCTGAATGGTGTACTGTCGACCATCACCAAACTCGATGACACCGCCCAAGAAATCATCATTATCTTCCTCCTCCTGCCAAGGCCAGTGAGACCAAACAATGATTGTTTTATCAGAAGAGCGTACCTCGTCCCAATGATGGGCATTTGGATTGAGATGAATGCCGCGAAATGTGTCTGCGTCCTGGTTTTGGACGGAAGGAATATCTGATGGTATTTTTTTCTCTAAGCTTCTAGCTGCACGACCTGATGAACACGAAGACGTCAACCACAAGTGTGTCCTCGCGAGATGAGTTTCGATACGCACTCTGTGCTGCCTCAGCTGCTGTAGGGAAATCTTCTTGTACCACTGCATCTGATTTCGTGACTGCGCTAGAACCAGATTTCATGTTAGCCCAGACAGGTTTGTTCGAACTACTAGGAGTCTCTTTCGTGGCTGCCACGAGGCTTGCCCCACGAGACTGAGGTTGGATGACCTTCCCTGCATGGGGAAGCTGCGGGGCGGCATGAATAGGTGCGGGTGAGGATGGATTCCCTGGTGGGATTGGGGAGGGTGCAATAGAAGGTGAGGCGGACGATGGACGGGACCATCCTGGTCCTGTGGTCGTAGAAGATTGTGGAAGAGCAGTAAGCTTGGTTGTGACCAGGCGGGAATGTGAGAGGGGTGGTTGTGGTGTAGGTTTTGCTGATCGGGCGCAAGGTGCATATATAAGTATTTCAAGGCCATCTTATAGATGAGAATAACAAGCCACGCACCAGTGACTCCAATCGACTTGGCTGGAGTAGATGTGGAAGACGGTTGACTAGACCCCGAACCTGAATAGTTCTTCTCCAAGAACTTCTTGTTGATATTCACAGCATTGAATTTCTTTGGATGAGGCGAGCCAACTGCAGATGCAGAAATCGCTCCCCCCGAACCCCCATACCCAGAACCTTTCGGTGCTGCGAGCTCGACAGGCGTACTTGTGGAACCCTGAGGTGCACTCCCGCTCGCCGTCGAGTCAGCCACAACAGGGGGACGCTCAAGCAGCTCGGACGTTGTTGAATAGAAAGTACTATCTGAGGTCCCCCCATTCCCATCCGCCAATACATTTGGTCCTGAAGTCCCCTGCGTCGAGGTATTCGTATTCTCCATAAACGCGTCACTAGACGCCACTTGTTTTCTTTGTGGTCTCGGCTTTCGTAGTAGTGCAGGACCTAGATTGTGTGCCGAAGAAGGATTTAAAAAAGCGTATTCTTGCTTGGATACAACATATACGCGTAGAGTGGTCGACTACGCACCTGGTGATAGTCTGCGCCCTCAAAAATCAGAACGGAAGAGGTAGAAGCAAGTACCACGATACCTGTTTCGGCCACATCGGCGGCGCAAATTCAAGAATAGGTAATTCTTCGGCTGCGGGTCGGCTCCCTCCCCAGATCTCTGAATCTTGCCGCGAATTCACTGTTCTATGGCAGGAATCTATAATCCTCTTTACTATCTGTTCAAGGGAAGGCACTAGATAGCTCCGAATTGAAACTCGTGATTTCGCCATTCGAATCTTGAAGTCGTCGTAACCCCTGCTCAGAATAGAAGATACAGCCTGCAGTGGAACTTGTCAAGTATCCCTGGTGCTACATGAACGAATCACAACAAGTAACAAACGTAGCATAAGAAATAGAGTGAGTATGTACACAAATCAAACTCTCTATAGTCTCACAAAACACCAGCCAGCTCGGTCTCTCTTGCATTCAGCTGGGCTACTTCTCCCTCAAGTGCAACATTTGCCATTTCGACCTGGAGAACGCTTGAGATGAGCTCGGTCCACCGAGTCTCAAGTGACGTGAGTTGATTCCCGATGCGAGTCTACAAATTGGGCGTGACTCGGCTGCTCGCTCTTCTGAAGACAAATATGTGCGAACCTGTGTATTCTTCCTCTCCCGATTGACTTCTGTCGTCTGCTCCTTCAGGTCCTCCAACATTTTCTCTGCCTTCTTAGTGTCCGCCTCCAACAGGAAATTATGTATTCGCCATGCATTGCTACCGTACTGTTGTAGTAGGGCCAAATTATTGTGCCTAGTCAAGCACGTTTGATATGAGCAAGGCAGCTACAGCGGGCCAGGGTGCCAATCAGCGTCGAACTCACCTTATACGTTGATGCTCCAGCTGAATGTGGGCGTTGTCCAATGCTGCTTTCCAGTCTTCGTCAGATCCCGGTGTAGACGTCGGAGCAGGTAGCTGGAATCGCGTAGTGTCTATTGCAGATAGTGGCTGCCGCGCTTCTACACGCTTCAGTTCAAGAGCAAGTAACGGGTGAGTCTGACAAGAGGGTATATCAGTATTACAACGAACGATGCTTTGTTTCGTACGAACGGAGAACAGCTTAAGTGGAGGTGGAATGCGCGGGTGCAGCTTCCCTTGTTCTAGTCTTTGTGTTTCTACAGCTAGCTCGTGCTGGACCTTTTCTCTGAGAACCGAGTGCACCTCCAGATCGTTATCATAATAAGGCAAGGAATCGAAAAATACAGGATCTTGTTGATTTTCTGAGGTCATGGTGGATGAGCGGGTAATACGCTGTGATACACCAAGCGGAGTTTGAACCCCTTCACAAGAGCTCGTTGGTCGTGACGGTGACCACAACCATGTCCCTACGCACCGCGGTTCGAGCGAGCAACTTGCTCAAAGTCGCTGCGCGGTCTGTTTCTTCGGCTGGAGCACAGCCTTTTCGATCCATTCACTCGACGCATCCTTACAGAGGTATATATAGTCCGCCATTTCCTGTTGACCGGATCGACTCAACCTTTCGTAGCATCAGCATCTCCCTTTGCCGAGGCTACATCACCCAACCCCACGATCACCAAATACGCTGAGACCACAGAAAAGCTTCACGACTACGGCTCGTATCTCATCCGATGTTTACCGAAATTCATCCAGCAGTTCTCTGTGCTCAAAGATGAACTCACACTATACATCTCTCCCTCTGGCGTCGTCCCCGTCCTCACATTTCTTCGCGATCATTCACAATGTCAGTTTAAATCGGTTATGGACCTTACTGGCGCGGACTTCCCTGAACGTGACAAGCGCTTTGAAGTCGTGTATAACCTGCTGAGCGTTAGACACATGGGAAGAATCAGAGTTAAGACGTATGCTGGGGAAGCTGATGCTGTTCCGAGCGCGGTCCCTGTTTTCAGGGGGGCTGATTGGTACGTATACCCATACACAATGCTGTATCCAACTCTCAACGTCGCAGGTACGAGAGAGAGACTTGGGATTTATTCGGTATCTTCTTCAAGGACCATCCGGATCTGTACGTACCGCATTTGACATATTCGTCACCATTCACTGATTTCAACCTAAGCCGTCGCATCTTGACCGACTATGGTGCGGCTACTGCGTTGAGAGACTTATAGACTGTTGACGATGTTGTAGGTTTTGAGGGCCATCCTCTTCGGAAAGATTTTCCCTTGACCGTACGTCCTACGGAAACTTTGAATTACATACGTTAACAACCCCAATGTATAGGGCTATACTGAGCTTCGATACGACGAAGAACGGAAACGTGTTGTCTACGAACCTCTGCAGCTCACTCAGGCTTTCCGGTGCGTGCTGACTTGCATCCGTCACTATTGCTTTGCTGACTGCAGTTCGTTCGGCATAGGAATTTCGAGTCTTTGTCGCCCTGGGAGCAGGTCGGTGATGGCACAGAGCCGCGCAAGCCGGATAATTTTAAGCCTGTGCCTTCACCAAAAGCCGAGGAGTCCCAGAAGAAGTGAAGGCTCGTTTGCTGGAGTAGGGCTGTCCAGTAGAGTCGTAAATTCGTATAGTTCATTCCACCTCCATGTCGCGATATGCTAGTACAATAGTCCGGCAGCGATCATGGGAAACAATCGGGGCGAAAACAATGTGTGAGCATCTACGCAGCCAGCGTAGTCGCTTGGTCTTCATTAATGACGTTCTTATCCTTATTCGTCCAACCCATCCGTGTGACAATATACTCTTGTCCGACCACTTCCACGCCAACTCTCAAAGCCTCCGCCACGAGGTCTTCTACCCAGTCGAAGTCATCCCATAAATCCATCCATTTGGACGGAACTGCCTGCGTAACAGTCGTGTGGACAAGTTGGTGTGCAGGATCAGATAGGTGGATGATAAACTGAAGATGAGATGATATCGTCGACGTTGGTTCAGGTATCGAGAGCTGGGTCGTGAATGGTTGTATCCGAAGGTAGACGTATGAATAGGTGATTGGATTCTGTAGAGAGGTCGGCTCTGTAGCGGGAGGGTTATTGTTGTTTTTGATCATCTCCTCAAGATTGGCCTGCCGACACGGTTGAGAAAAGTCATAGAATCTCGGAAGATACAAGCACCCTCACTTGGGCTAGTTTCAGCGCAGGTTCAATTCCCTCGACAGCATTCATCTCCCGTTTTGATGATCCAGAGCTTTCTTTCGGCTTCGATTCCTCTCCTTTATTCACAACAAGATCGCCACCTTCAACTTGTTCCATGATCTAGAAGAGCATTAAGAGAGCCAGTGGATACAAGTAACGAAAAAGCGTACTCTTGTGAGAGCGTTGTAAACCAGCGACTCGATGCCATCGTAGCCTTTCATGTCGTGGCTGAGCAATACCTGAATGACCTCGTGCTCGGAGATAGGAGGAGCCACAGCATTCAGAAGTTCTGTAAGGGTGGAAAGCCCGACGCGCTTGAAGTCCTGGCCTTGAGATTCATGAACGCAATGCGCCATCCAGCAATAGTGTACACAACGTACTGAGCTTGTCTAGCTGTGCGTTCTTGGCGTATTCCAGCATCCCTTCACTCCATTTCCGGGCTTGATCCTGCTTCGGCAGATGCTTTACTTGTTCATCCACAACCGTCTTCGCCTGCTGCAGCGCAGCTGATGCACTTGTCCACACATTGCCCCATCCCCAACCGCCAGACTGCGTGGAGCGTTGGGGTTCTTGGTGCGCCGCTGGCATTTCCACGTTGACAGAAGAAGTAGCAGGCGACGCGCCCCTAATAGATGACGATGTCGATGCTGCTAAGGAGGAAGGCGGGCCCACCTTGACTCTCTCGGCGCTCTTTCGGAGTGTTGGAGTTCCAGCCCGCGAAAGTGGTCGATCAATGTATGAAGTCGTCGTGCGTACAGGCTCTGAGCTCTTCTGGGTGATTTCATCAAGGAATGCGAGCACCTCCGCTGCTTCGCCCGGATTCGCTGGACTGGGTGCTGCGGTGGATGCGCTTCCACTAGCTGGAACGTCTGGAGAAAGGGAGTCGAGGTCATCGAGGAACTGTAAAGCTTCCTCTTGCTTGGACTTGGATCTCGTTGACATGATAGAGGGAATGTCGATCAGTGACGATGTTCTTTGTTGAATCGAACACTACTTGATAGTGGTTGCGACCAAATGCAGGCGTGAGACATATATGCCTAAACCGCATGAAGGTCTCCTACATTCGAGCCCGTAGATTAAGCTCGGGCAGTGAACGTGAACGGTCGCCCGAGGGTCTTGCACACAATATCCACTCCAATCAGCATGCCGGATCAAAGCGAACAGTCAGAGTCAGAGTCAGAGTCAGAAGAGGAGTTGTATCATGTCGGTGCGTCTGGTCGAGCTTTTTGATTCCGAAGCTCATTTCTGTGTGTACAACGTGCTAGAGGTCATCACAAAGGCCAGAGTGAGCGAAGATGGGGATTGGGTGAGTGATCCTCGTCGAAGTTCCCTGTGTACGCTCACGAGCAAGTGGCACGATCAGGAGTATCATGTCAAGGTGCGTTCAGGTATTCTGCTTTCGTTCTGGCTCACATATGGCTTCCATATTCAGTGGGCTGGGTATGGCTCCGACGCGGACAGGTAAGATTATTGGCTCTGTTATTTTCCCAATTATCCCCAAATAACTCGATGTGCAGCTGGGAACCCGAGAGAAACGTTCAAGGTTGCGAGCGACTGCTCTCAAGCTTTTGGGACAACGTAGGTATGGATGACGGGGACTACGATCCTGGTTATGTGACGGAAGCGAAACCAGCTTGGATAAGTGAGTATCTCTCTGGCGAGTCCTTCCTTCTGACCCTTTTTCAATACAATCCCTTTCCCGGCAGGGAAGGAACGAGAGTTCTTTCACAAAAACTTCGGCAAAAACGAACAAGAGAGAAAGAGGCTAAAGGAACTTGAAAAGAAGAAGAAGAAGCATAAAGGATTCAGTGTTGGTACTACTTCCCATTGCTACCCACAAACAACCATGTGAAGTGCATTGCAGGTATCGGCATCGAACTCAAAGCGTTCGACGGAAAAAGAGTCAGGTGCAGACAAGATCAAGAAACTCGTTCGGAAAATCAATGTACGCTCGAATCCTTTCATTTTGATCAGAATCACTCATCAATTGTTGCTGTTTTAAGGGAAGCGATGACGATTCGGATGACAGACCCCTATCCGGATCTATCAAACCAGGGTCGGGTTTGAAACGCAACCAAGGCCGGGATACAATATCTATTTCGGACTCTGAGTCTGACGCACCCCTGTCTACACAACGAAAGGCGTCGAGCTCTGGCATAGGAACGAAGCGAAAAGTGACGTCGACCTCACCTCTGCCCAATGTATGTCATTTTTATGATTGTATCCTACCGACTCTGAACTGTGTTTGATTCAGTCGACGCGCAAGGTATCACCGAGGGAGCGACCTCGAAAGCTGTTGAAAACGAACTCAAGTGCTCGTGATATCAGGCCACCTGAGACATCGGTGAGTGGACTATCCATGTTATCGGATTGTCATTTTAAGTTTTGGATCAGAGTCGAGGTGTGGACCGGGCAGTAACACCCTCCCACTCTGCGTCATCTAGTCCACCCGGTTCACCTACATCCCTTTTTTCCGCGAACAGCCCTTCTCATCCGCAGTCACCGCTGCCGCCAGCTCCTTCAGCACAGAGGACAGCTAAACTTTCGACAACGTATAAACCTCATATTACAGCCCGCAAGCCCATCAGAGGTACCTATAACGATAAGCACATCCCTGGTCGAATTCAACGATGGGATAATCCGCAGTTGGCCAGTGGAAGCACCCTTACGACAAAGCAGCGTGTCATTTCAGAAGGCTCAAAATCGTTCGGTAACGCTATAACTCCTCGTGCAGGGCTTTTAAGTCAACTGTCATTCAAGAAGAAACCTCCTAGGACGCAGGAGCTGATAGCGCAACCTACTTCTCAACCTCGACCGCTCCCTGCTGGTCCGCCCTCAGTCGCTACTACTCAACCTGAATCATCGCGTGTATACAATGCAGCTGACCCCATCCAGTCTCCAGTTCATACGGATGATCATCAAGATTATGGCGGGGGGATGGGTATGGATATACATCTTACAGAGCCAAGGAATACTCTCTTTACCTCTCGGTTCGGGCTTCGCCTCTTTTTTGCTTGCGTGGTACTGATCATCAGCCTTGCTTCAGCCAAACTCTCAGGGAACCGATGGCCACCGTACTGGAGTTTTTGGATTCAGTGCCAAAGTATGGTCCTCTGCGATATATCTTGACTCAAATCCATTCAACGCTTCGATATCAGGAATCCCTTGTCGCGCCCTTCTGCTCCTGCTTTTAAGTCAAGCACGAGCAGCACATATAGGTTTGATCTCATCGATGTTATATGTTTTTCATACTGATACGTTGTAGAGTACCGCGGAAATTCAAATGGGTTGGCGAGATTTTCATCAATACCGAGAGAGATCGTGCCGAACGACTATGTAATGCGATGTTATCTAATTTGACAGAGGGGATACCGAACGGGTCACGATTCAGTTATCACTTCGATGACGAGCGTCCGGTCGACTCCATGAAGTTGGCGAAGCTGCTACATATCTCCGACTTTTGTTTACTTCAATCAGCATGCATGCCCATCGCGCAAATGGCCAAGTTCGGACCTGTTGATGACAAGGATATCGAAGCATCCGAGGCATTTCAAACACTTAACAAGTATATGTCGCAGGGGAGATTGGTATGTACAAGAGACATCTTTTGTTCTGATACGTGTGATAATCCTCGAACGCAGGTAACCTATGTTATCCTGCATTCTCGTCAAACAGATCTATCGGCTCTCATGCTTGTTATACCCTCCACCTCCGCAGAATTGTGCCATGAGTTCAAAGTACCCATGCGGCTTCAAAATACTGGGGCCCTCATTGCAGCACTAATTCCATGGGCAATGTCTGAGAAGGAAGCCGTTGCTCTGCGAGTCTGGCGAACTCCTGAAGAGAAGAAAATGTTCACCCAGCTGATTCGCAATCCAGAGCCAATTTCAGATCCTCCCCGCGTTCTTCGTGATGATCCTATGTATCATCGCGCTCTACATATCCTCAAATTTCCGAAATGGCTTCATGACCATATGTCACAGCCCGATCGAAAGTATTGCATATGGAACTTTCGTAGCGACCACTCGCAGGAGGAGTTCGAAACAATAGCGTTGAGGTCAATTTTGAAACGCTGCGGTGCACCGGACGTCGCCCTCAATGCCCATGCTCGCATTGTTTTCGTGCACGTTGGCTCCTTGACTACTTTGTCCAAGTTACCAGCCCTTACCGAACGCCGCAAGAAATTTGCACACACGCAGTTCTTCACATATGGAACACATCAAACCGTATCTTCTAAACGATGGGGTGTACGCGAGATTTATCCACTAGGTCTGTTCGTCTCTGTTTTCCATGTAGTTCCTGATTTTGTTTTCCATGTAGTTCCTGATTTTTTTTACTGGTTTCAGGTGGCATCGTCACGTTCACGCCAGCTGCTTTCCAAGACTACCCATTTGCTGTGTACAGATTGATATCTATGATAGAAGAGCATCCTCTATGGGACTGTTACATCACTCCGTCGTTATTAGCCATGCTGGCTAGAGATACCTGTGGTTCTGAACCCCTTATCAATTTTGAGCAGTTCGTTCTCTTTCTATATCATTTTTTTTTGTTGTTGACTCAATCTCAGAGGGTCCTTTGCATATGCTGACCTGTTAAACATGATCGAGACAGGAGCACTGTCACTTCTGTCAACACCGCCTATCAGCCAATCTAACAGCAGACAAGTATCAACCTGGGTCTCCTGGCAAACAGAACTTCCTCTCCTGCAAGCTCGTGACATCTTAGAGCGGTGTTTGCGATCGTTCGTGGAACAACATACAGAGTTGCCGGAGGAGCAATGGTCTTCCTCTGTCGAAAGAGAGATCCTATCATCTCTCGCTTCTATCCAATTGCAACCGGCCATTATGGATAAATATCGACGGTTTGTCGTCTTAGATGGCCAACAGGGCGAAGGTCACACTCCAGGAGGCGTGAGTCCTTCATTTCAGGCCATCTTCTTCCGTTGATCTCATCTTTAATCTCTCTACAGGTTGAATGGACTCCCATGTCGCATTTCGATTTTCAAGACGACTTTTTCCCTCATATCAGTTCACAATTATTGTAGTTCAGCGTCGGTGGCGACAGGGACGAGCCAATCCATTGATAATTACCGCAGCTGGTTCTCAAAGTATTTTCTTGCCAGTTGAGAGTCGTATTTCATATTGCACCCCTATATCCTGCACTATCAAAAAATGAATTTACCTCTGTATCTATGTCTATTCGTTGCGTAGACGTCAAACAAACCAGGAAGTCATGTTTTCGAAGAGTAGAGGATGTATACTAGACTTGACACGAGTCGGCAGTGCCTAAAAGCATGTGATTGTGAATTCATCCGAACCCATTTGATCTCCAGGTAACCGGCCACTGGTTGGCTGGTTAGCTGCTCGTCATATTTGATACCCCACATCTCATCGTCTCTTCCCCACATACCGCATTGTACGAGTATACATGCCTAACATTGAAGAAATCCTTGCGAACCCACGCTATCATGACTACTTGGCCATCTTGAAGGGCGCGCGGAATGGGTTGGTGTATGGAGCTAAAGTGAGGTTCCCCCATGCCTTGATAATGGCTATTCTATTCGGGCGTGGAGAGTAAGTTCACTTTGCCTTTGGTAGTAGCTGGGGTAGATATTGATCAGATGGAACAGCTGGCAGACTCGTCTGCGGGTCATTTTTCGCGCTACCAAACATCATGCACTGAACCTCGCCAAATTCGTCTCGCTCTACAAGTCGTTTTTGCTCCTACAGAAGAAACTCAACGGCGGAAAGGAGAGATCGCATGATACGTTCTTTGCAGGTCTGCTCGGCGGCTACATTGTTTTTGGCGACCGAAACGCTATCAATGAACAAGTACGTATATTGCGCTGATCGTATGTACGGCTCAAGCTGATGTGGTACGTGTTTTTGACATAAAGATTGTACTGTACGTTTGCTCGCGCGTCGTAGCATCTTTCATACCCCGCGCTGGATCGCCTTACTCCATGTCATCCACGAGCCCCTCTGGCGTAAAGCCTGTCCCCCCAGACTCCCGCTACTTTTCCGTCTTCGCGGCCGTATCTTGGGGAATGGTCATGTGGTTATTCCAGCATCGGGGGGAGACCATTCAGCCCGGGATGTTCAACTCTATGAAATACCTGTATCGGGATTCCGAGCACTGGAACAGCCTGCGGACGTTGTTCTGGCATAACACATAATTGGTGATATGTTGTTAGACGTGTCTTTCAATGGTGGTAACCGGTTAAAGGCTAGAATTGGATGGGAGACTAGGTACCTGATTGTTCCACATTAGTTCTGTCCTTCCGAGTATCTGTTCTTTTTGCCCTCTTGTCCTCTATCACATTCCGATACTGTCAGGTCTCCACATGAAAATCCATAAAAGCGTATCAAATGATCAAAACGCAGCTTCCAACAGTGACGCCAATCTACGGTACGGGCTAGGATGCGAGTCCAGCTCACAAGCCCAGGCAAGCTCTATCTTTGTCCGATGGCTTCAGTCATTGTACCGAGTGTACAGAATGTATACAGAGTATTCGATACTGTGAGACTCTATCAATGAGTACACGAGTCACTCAAAGCCCCAGGGAATGTTCGAAAGCGTGAAGGTCGTAGCCGGCGGAAGAATAAGCACGTGAAGGAGAGATCAAAAAAGAAAACGTAGAAGGCATCTGACAGATCGTGCAAACGTGCATCCAACGCCGTAAGAACATCCCAATAGGCCAAACCAAATACACAGAAAGAAAAGGTGGTATCATCGGAGGCAGGTAAAAGCAGAGTATAGGGAGTCTAGTGTCCAGCAATCGTAGCGAGACGTATCCCTACATGATAATACATTTCCGCTTCTTCTCCTTCTCGAGTGGCCTCCCTGGGGTTGCCAATGCCTGCTCTGTCTGTTTCGTGTTACGAAGCATACGGACAAGGCTTGTGAAGAGACGCTCCACATTTTGAGCTGTTTTCGCGGATGTCTCCAGGAAATCGCAACCAAATTGCCGCGCCAGCGCTTGCCCCTCCTCTCGAGAAACCTCCCGTTCATATCCTTTGTCACACTTGTTGCCAACGAGCATAAAAATAGGCTTTTGACGTTTCACCCGCATCATTGATTGGCGGAAGACGTCCAGACGATCAAATGTCGCCCGCGACGCGATGGAATACACAAGGATGAATCCTTGACCCTCGCTGAGAAGGCGGTGAGGAAATAACATAGACGTGTAGCTGTCATCCCACAACTCACCGTACCCACTGGTCGCGTAAAGTTGCGTACTCCTCTTGATGATCGGTGAGCATAAGTAAAAAGAAATGTCGAGAGCAAGAGTCGTACCTTGACCCGCAGTGTCAATAACCTCTACAAAACACATCCGATTGTCGACTACAAGTTGCTTTCTATACGCATCCTCTATTGTAGGATCATAAGTCTAAGATCCGGCCGTCATTCCAGAAGTATTCAACGGTTGAAACCATCGCTTACCTCTACGAGAAGGAGGCGAGAAGATTGAAAGGCTCAGTCGCTCCCCCCTCTGATGTTCAAGATCAAGATGGACTTACCGACGAAGCAGTTAAGCGTGAACTATATAATCATGTTCATCCCTCGCGGCTTGAAAAAGATTATGCGGGACAGCGCACCTGAACAGCCAGCGCCGTTTTCCCGACACCACCGTCGCCCAGCACGGCTACTCTCCAACTGTCCATATCTGCTCTATAGTTTGAATCGAATTGTAAGCAAGCGCAGGGAGCCGAAAATAGACCAGAGGGTAAGTGACGCACTATTCAAATTGAAAGAGATAGTATAGAAACAGAGACTGATCATCAGGCGCACATGAGCGGATTGCTCGGGGTTGGAGGATCAAGGAGAATCACCTTCGAGAGAGACGAGAAATTTGACAAATAAGTCCGAAGATATTGAAGATAGAGCGCGCTGGCGGGGTGAATAGAAGAGCGACGAAATGCAGATAACAAAGCGAACGTCGTGCGGGGTCGTGTAAAGGTCGTGAGAGGAGGGAAGAAAAAGGTGGAGGAGGAGCAGACGAGGAGGGAGGAGACTTGCTGTGAAGTGTACTGACGCTTGTTCGAGCGATTTCCACCCGTTGCCCTATTTCTACCCGGCAGACACCGCTCGGCGCTTGCCCGTTTCGGTCTCCGGCCTCCTCCCCGGCACCAGTCGGTCTCCGTCCATCGGCCTTGCTGCCGGCCAGCGTCCAGCCGTCTCCGCACATGCCCGCAATGGCACCTTGGGACCTGCACTCCGGTCGGCCATGTCTCTCCCAGTGCTCGACACCCCCGGTCATCGCCGCATTTCGCCTCAGTGCACAACACCCACAAGGTGTTTTCTGTCTCCATCACGTCCGGCCTGCGCGGTGGATTGGGCCCCAACCGGAGACCCCCAATCTTACACGCCCTCTCCCATCACCGGACTCAAATCAGCAATCCTCCCAATCTCCCAACACCTGATATGATGAGGTTACCGTTAACCTCCTATGTCTGTACGCAAAATACATGACTACCTCGATACGACCTCCGCCCCACACTCCGAACAGGTCCATGTCCAGGTCACCGTGTTGGCCCACGCTCGTGTCGGCTCGTGCGGAATAGGGGCTTGCTTGGTCCAGCCCCGTGAACCTCTTGGTATTGCTCATATCCGTCTTTGAACATGCCAAAGAAGAGTCACAGACAACATTTCAGGGACGGAGTTCCCGAGATGAGCTCCGTTGATACAAATGTGGACGCCTACAGGCTTGACGCTATGACCAGACCAAGATAGACCACATACTTGAGGAGAGCGCGCATCTGGCCCGTATATATATACTCCATGTGTGAGGACCTGCCGTCATGACAGAGTCGTCTGCATGGTGCAAGGAACGGATCCAGAGAAGACTGATGATAGATGGGGGCGTGCACGGTTTGCGCAACAAGGCATTCAAAATGATGGCCGAGGAGCGCACGCCCAGAATCGCCTCGCCAGGATCATGCATGCGTAGCTGTCTGATAATCGCGTCAGATGCCATGAATGCTCGGCCTCGCTGTTCCTTACCCATTCCGACAGCCCTAGGAACAGACGCTCAGGCTATGCGCTAGCATCATGCATCCCTCCTCATTCCCACAGAATGAGAATATCCCGAACCCCTCAATGAACCCACGGAACGATACCGGTTCCGATACACAGATAATCTAATCCGATTCATGCCTTGGAAGCTGTGGACCGTGGAATTACCTGACTGGTCATCGAAATTCGCAGGCAGAACGACCGCGGCATCCACATAGACGCATTAAGACCCAAGAGGCGTCTCCGCAGAAGCATGTTCGTCAAGGAAATAGCCATGTGTAAGTTGAACGGCGTCTGGTAAGTGAATCCGCGCAAGGGACCTGTACAAGGAGCATCACTCCCGCATTGCTCGGGTCGTCCCGACGTGAATTGATATGGGCGCGTAACTATTAAGTTATGTTTTGAGCAGTGCTGCACTGATGACTCGGACGGAGGGGCAATTCCTTTTGGTGCTCAAAATGAACTGACATCAAGTTGGTCTGCATTGAGTTCCTTCATGTGTAGAACCAAGTTAGTCATGTCAAGGGACGCCTGGGAAAAAATGGCGGCCTCCTACCCTTTCCATCCATTGTGCATTGCTAAGGTTATCCGCATCGTTAAAGGGATGGGCGGTAACGCAATTGAACATTAGGATGAATGCCGATTCATATCAATTTGACCCATTTCAGGTTTTATACTCCAAGGGACTGACCTCGTCCAAATGGTTCTCCTCCGGTACTATCAAGTCGACGTCAGTCGCCGGATATGCCAAGGATAGCTTCTGCGATGATCAGTCGTCGCATCTGCGCCCGTCCGCTGCGACGAGTATAGACTTGCACGCCTACAGATAACGGAAAAGAGACCATCGATTCGAGACCGTACCGCTGAGTAAGAGAAATCCTCCCTGGAAGACGTGGAGAAAGTTCACCATTCAATGATCATTGGCTGTGAATATTAATAAATCCAGGTGCTGCACACGACCTTCTTTTGCTCACCTTGTTCAACTTCCGAGGAGTCAAAGCCACGTAAAACCACCGCACTATCCGGAGTGTTCTGAAAGGCATTCCAGGCTCGACCAGAAAAGCCCCCGCATATCCGACATGCGTACGCTGAACTTTGAAGGGGTACTTCTAACCTTGTTGGAAAAAAGTTCTCAGGATGGCGGACGCATGAGCAGGTGTGATGCCTGGAAGGCTAGCCATGGGTACGACAGTCCCATGGCGCCCAAATAAAGCGCACTTTCGTCGGCAATGAGTGGATTTAAAGCGCTTTCTCGCGACAGAAAACTCATACAGTGATATCAGTGAGCTGTGGACACACCACTACTTATTGTGAGGCAAAGGAATCCCAAGAAGGAAGAGCTCAAACTCCAGCCAAGATCGATCTGAATTACGTGATCAGATTGCAAGTCAGTGGACTTTGCATTTGAATAGTGTCGCAGAGTGTCTTGTGTCCTCTTGTGTCGCCATTCCAGAATCTAGCGCCTTCACCACAGCCTCGCGATTGTTCATCATTCCTTGACCATACTACGAATTGGGTGCATTTAACGCTGGCACACGGGATGAGATTGCGGCTGACAAGTTCAGCGCGACGCGGGATACTATTGGCTGACGAGGACGCATCTCATTTCTCTCGTCTGTCTCTAGGGTATGAGACATCATGCATTATGCATCATGAGTGCTTCACACTCTTCAAAAGCACACAGACCACCCACGCGCAGTGCAATTTGCTAATCGTGATCAAGATGGTAATGGGAGGGTTGTTCCTGAGACGTTCTACCCTGATTTACCGCTAACACATAGTTAACACATCTGCAGTTTCAAAAGCCGCCATCTCCTCAGAAAGGTTAGCCATACCAATGTCAGGCTTCCCCATAGATTTTGAACACAGTGAGAACTTTCACAACTCGTCCGCACAAGCTGGGTACACTTCGAAAACCTTGCGGCCAAGGCTTTCCTTTATGTCACGCTCAGTTGTTAGCAATAATTCACCAACAGGCAGCATGTTGTCAGACTTATAGAGAGCGACTGCGGCGCAGCATCGTCGGTGAGGATCGTCTTCTGCAATGAGTGTGCGCGCTCATTCTATACTTGTAGCTTTCCAGCGATCAGCCGCGAGTCCTCGAACACGCGTTCTAGTATTGGAACATATGTCCTTACAGTAACATCGCGAATGGACCTAGCAGATGGATTAATTAGTGACATCTTGGAATAATCAGCTATATCGAAAAACCGCCATACCATCGATTCAAATCAATTGATGAATTTGGAAGAATAACGGTCTAGCATGATGTCATTTGAAAGATTCGTTTATCGTTAGGAGCCTATCGACGTCATACAAAGGATGTGGTCCAAGCAAACATGATTCGCGATCTTTGTATTGTTATTACAAAAGAGAAGAAAACAATCATAGGCGGCATGATGCATGACATGAGGAAATGGTTGGAACAGCGGATAACCCGAGGTTGCTGCTGAGCCGAGAGATGCTCAAAAGTATGCTGCGAAGGGGGTGAAGAAAGCAAATAAGTGGATGTGATGCAGCGTTCGAATGGAGACGGGCAATCCTAGACCCAAGATAACGACACAACTGAGACAGGGAACCAAGAGGGAGAAAAAGGATAAGGCAATAATATAGTGCGGAACTTTTGATGAGACGGCGAATGAGGGCGTGTATGAATGTATAGGGCCCGGCGATACTGAAGGATATGGAAGAGACGCGAATGTGATGAAGAATGTACACTCGGTGGCAGGTATACAGAGAGACTCGAGACACAGGGAACGGTGCCAGCGGTGACAATACTGGTGGCGGCTGGGGGAGTGGGAGGAATGATGGCGAACTAGCAATAGCTGAGTGGATTAGCAGCAGACTCGGGGTCAGGTTTGTATCACTTTGTGAAGTTTTCTTCGTACGTCCCAGAGTGAGCGACATCCAACCCGCTCATATCTTCAATCATCTCTACGCAGCTCCGCCTGAGTGAGGTTAAGCACAAATGTGCCACCAGAGAAGTTCTTGGGCGGTTCAATGAGTTTTACGCTTTTCTTCGCGTCTGGGCGGGAAGCGCGCGACCCAGCGGGTGTGAACGACTGCGAGATGGAGGGGAACGGGCGTAGTGGACGAGATGTTGGAAATAACGATGCACGCTTTGGTAATGGGCGCGAATTTGTCGGGGAGGAAGGAGAGGCGAGGGGAGAGGAGATGGTGGGCAACGTTCGGGTGGCTACGGACAAAGACATGGTCGCTAAATTTGTGGGGATGAGCGCCGAATTTATGGAGGACTCGAAATAACTGACCCATAGTATGTTCGGACTGAGGAAAGAGCTTCGCGAGGGGCTTCAAGGAGTCAAGGAGAATGACGCTATGGTGACTGGATGATATGAATGTGGGGAATGGCGAGCGCGAAGGAGCGTGGTTATAAACGATCGTGAATTGCTCTGGTCGGTCTGTTGGGGTTGCCCGCAAGTTGGGGCATTTCGACAGCGTAATTCCGTTGCCTTGCCTGACGCCGGCTTCTCGGCATCTTTCTTGTACAGTTGCTTTTCTGAGCATTCCTCCTCCAGCCTACTCCCTCTCTCGCCCTCCACGGTACAAATGTGCTCGTCCCCGCGATTCTACGACTATCCCTACTTCGTGTGACGGCGCACATCTGCATGGCATTTACTCTTTCCTCGACTGTGATCACATTTCCCAATCCAGGATGATTATATTTATAGTTTAACGCCCCGATCAATTTTAAGAACCATATGTTCTCGGCCGTTCGAAGATGGCCTGCTGGCGGTTTCTACACAATCCACCTGTTGACCCAACAACATACATGTGCCATAAAGCACAGTAACAAAGCCCGTACTCTGCCGCCCTCGGTCACGGCGCTCATGCCATGTCAGGTAACGTAAGTCCACGATACCCTTGCACCCCAACCCCGTACAAAGCTGATCTGATTAAGGTCGATGCTTGCTAATACGCAATGCGCGTTGCCTCCACAGATTCTCCACAACCCCAACAGCGGTGTTATTGTCAAGATTCAAGTCCTCCTGACCAAATGGTTTGTAAAACGTGCTGCGAGAACCGTCGACAATATCGCTCCTTCGATCCTCAAGGCTTCTCATGCTCAACAATACTCCCCCAGCTATCTCAATTCCACTTTCTTTCTCACTGCAAGTCAGCGGACAAGCATTTCATCAATCCGCGCACCTACTCGATCCGTGTGAAGAGTTGCAGATTGCCATATATAAGCGCCGTCCTTCTTGATTCTTCAGCGAACAGGCTTGCGATTGACCGACATTGCTTGCGTACCCCAGAACTCTGACGGTGGGCCCACGCGAACTCTGCTGACATCTGATTCATCCAGCCTTCTCCACACTGCCTTCACTACTAGCTACGCCAGCCCAATGATCTCAAGTAGAGTAAATGATTTGCGGTACATTGCTTTGCCCCGACACACGCCTTCAAGACTTCCCCAACCAAAGCAAGGAATGAACGGGGTCCGATAGGGTCCGATTGCCGAGTGAACATCATAATCTTTGACTTTTTGAGTCATCGTCAGAATGTCATGGTAAATGCTTTCGGATCGTGTGAATTGTTGGATGTTGACGGGTTGATTGAGATTCTCAATACTAGCGCTCGAACCTGCAAGCACATCCCGAGTCTCCCCCCAGCGCTTTTGAAACCTTTCAAGGCGCTGGTACTCTTGCATCTTACCTTCTCATGGGAACGAGCACCGCCCCACAGTACTTGTTGTCAGCGTCAATGCTAGTTGGGCGCCTACCGGCGGTACATGACTCTGCGTTGGCTCGATGTCTGTTTGGCGCTATCATGTTTGCAGAGCGTCAAGAGATGCCATGAGAGTCTCCCATACACACGGAGACCTCATCTCCGAGACGCTCCTTCGCTTTCGCCTTCAATACCCAAAGAAAGACCTATCTCTATTGTTGGTCGTTCTCACTACAGGAAGGACATCGCATCTGTCGCCTAGCCTCGGCATATCTTTGTTAAGAACTCCTTTGCACGAGAAGCATCCAGGAAGCACCGATCGTCGTATCTACATCCTTTCGCATTCGCAATCGGGACGCTCTGGGCGACAGAACTCGCATCGTGAATACCTGAGGTCCTGCAACTAGAGGTGAACCGCCGGCCAGAAGAGAAGTCTCGCGGGGCTATCTCAATCAAACTTCTTTGTTTATTTTTTCATTCGCAGGACTGCTAGAGTACATCCATGAGTATCCGACATATCTAGCAGCGCGCTTACGATGCCAGCAAACCCTTCGGGAAGCCATCATCGAATGTACAAGGATAGCAGGTCTCACGCATCGTTGAAGATGGTAATGTCGGAAGGAGTGTGAGCCGGTGCGGGCTGCCTCCGTTGTTTATTGTATCGTTTTCGAGACTCGATCGAACGCAGTGTTTTCATGTCATGTTATGGGCGTGATGGTCTGGCCAAGTGTGTGGGACCGCTACATAGCAAGGGTCCATCCTCCAGAATTTGAAGTTGCGATGATATCATGAATGAGACTGGACATAAAGTAACTTACAATACACGTACTCCAAATGGGCAGTTGATGCAAAGGAGCTGTGAGCACAAGGATCAAAGGGGACATGCCTTGGCTATACACTGAGAGGATATAAAGTCGACGCATACGCCCGTTCGCGTTCTTTGCACAAACTGAGGACCCGTAATCGTGCCCACATAGATACAATCTAAACGTACATCCATTCATTTATTGTGTTGCCCGAGTGGGCAACGCACAAAGAAACACGCCATTGGCGTCTGAGGGCGAAAGAAAGAGAGAGAAATGAGGGAACAAGAGGATAACAACAGATGCTCGCGTACCAATAAAAAATATAAACCAAATGGAAAGGAAATGGAATTTAAATTAATGGTGATGGGAGACGAGCATTCTGGAAGGCGGGAAATGATGTGATGGGCCGCGCCGGGAGATATTCGAGTGCGAAACGAATACGCAGCAACCCGCGTGGGGAACGAACGGGTGCCGACGGAAGGAGCTTCTACATGGAAGGATGGCAAATGCGAAGGAGAAGATGGGATGGGATAGAACGGAATGAATCGGGGACCAGGAATATCATCCATAGATGGCGATGCGAAAAAGGCGGCGTTAGAAGGGGAGAGCGGGGAGAGCAAGGAGAAACCGAGCAAGACCCCATGCTGCGGAAGTTAGTGAGAGACTGGAACGACGGTGCCTTGCGGCCGACGGACAGATCGAACCACGTGGCCTCTCTAACCATGTACCCACCCAGACCCAACCCCGAGTAGCTCTGAATCTATATGGTTCTTCAACAAGATTCGACAACGAGATTGCCGCATGCGAGTGAAGGTGGGGCGTGCAGCACGGGGAATATGAGTTTGTAGGTGCAAAGGTGCGATCGTGCGATATGCGTTGCGCGACGCAAGATGCACGAGCGCGGTGTGAATGAGAGCGTGACGACTGCGTGCGACGGTGGGCTTTACGTCAAACGCTGCGAATGCTCGGAATCGGGATGGCCGCGTGCGGCCTGCCATTACTAGATATATACTTGATGCCTGATGCCTGTGACGGTGAGTGTATACGGAGGAACGTGCGCGGAAGACGGTGAGGGCGACTATTGCACGTCGACCAGGAGATTGCGTTCGAGGATGAATTTTCCTTCTTTATATCTCTGTGTGGGCTCGTATGCCTTGTCCTGCGAACATATGGCGTTAGTGTGAGGACCAAGAACAGACGACACGGAGGCAAAAGGCGGGCGCACGTATTTCCAGCCGAGGATTGTTTGACACTTGCAGCAGTAGATATCACGGACGGTGTGGTTGCCTGTGGTCATCTGGCGGTCGTTCGGTTCACCTTCAACCACGTTCACGCTGCGGTAGCAGGACCGGGAGTCAAAAAGCGTCTAGATTAGCGATCATCGCGTCGATCGAAATGGCAGAGAGCACTCACACATCTTCGAACAGGTATGCGCGGCCGTGCTGACCATTGAACGCCTGAAGGACAATCAGACCTCGCGGCGAGAACCTGGCTTGCGAAATCACTCACTCGAGAAATCATAGAATGAATAGTCGCGAGGTGTGTGCGACACTTTGAGCACCCGTATACGCGGGCCCCTGCGAGGTAACGACGGTAACTCATGCCCATGCTGGTTCAAGGACGATGTACTAATGGGGGAGTTTCAGGTTCAAAGCTGTTCAAAGGCTCCTATACACGAAGCAGCGCAAAAAGACAATGTCGGGGGAAATCACCAGGTACGTAGGAGAAAACAGCGGGGCGGTGGTGGGATGAGAGTTTGAGCGATTATATAGGGAGATGGAAGATAAGAGTGGGCGGGGTAGTTCGAAGGGGCAACCCGGGCAGGGGAGTTGTGCCCCGGCCCTTCGGCGGTCGGCCTGCTTCCGCGCGGCAACCTGCCTCCCGCGCTGTCTGCACACAGCGTTGTTTCCTCAACACTGAACAGTGCTGGGTCGCTGTCGCGCTCATGTACGAGAATGGTGCGTGGTGGTGCGTGCCATCCGTGTTTCAGCTCGACCGTGATCCAGGAGGCTTCCCATCCAAAACATCATCGCCCCTGCTCTTCGGCCCGCAATTATGCTTTATTTGCGCTCTATCCCCGTCCCATTCTCCGACGTTCTCTGTACGTTCCTTTTCGTAGCGGTCACCGAACCTTCGCCGCCGTCATATGTTAGACTGTGCTTGACTGCCGTATGAGGCTGGCCTAGACGGCGCCCCGCAAGTGGCATCGTGACGTATGCAGCCCATTAAGAGGTCTTGGGGACTGGATCTCGACTTTGTGGACGCTCGTGTCTGACATCGGTTCATGAAAAAAATCTATTTGAAGCTGTCTTTATGTTTTGTCACCAGCCATGCCCTAACATGTTCGACCTATCTCACTCAACATTCACAGGACTGTGAAACAGTACACGGATCAATATATTGTCCGATCGCGTGCCGCAAATTGCGTCTGTTACATGGTTCATGGTCCTCAGATGGATCGAGTTTTCCTGGCTGCCCTCACAGATGTTTCTTCGCATCATGCAGTGTCCCCATTGCCTACCACACCAGCCACAGAATCGCCATGCAACAGTTAATGCCGGCACACGCCAAGCCTTGCTCAAATGCTATAAGCCCTGTCATTGACCATCAGCTAACCCTGATGTGATGACAGCGCCGCATCCAACCGCGCAACTTGGAGCATGGGTATACGAGGAACATGCCAAGCAGCATAATACAAGGGATGTCAGACGGTAAACCGGTGCCTCTCATCGCTGAATGGGATGACACGCATGGACATGAAATTGGGTGATGCTAGTGACCTCAAGGCCTCAACTGTCGCCGGGCCTTGACATGTACATTCTCGACACTGTCGTCCGCTCCCTTCTTCGCTCAGAACCGCCACTCGCCCCCTTCGCAGGAGCGGTTGACTTCTCGTACTCGTTCATGCTTTTGAAGGATTGGGGCACCTCCCTGCAGGCAGTGAGCCACTAGGCCACATTGACTGATCACCATGGGCATCCAATCGAACGTGTAGATATCAGGCACGCCATAGAATCCGACACCTTAGAAGCAATTCAAGTACAATAATTGGAGGTTATAGCGTACGATAATCGAGCCCCAAAGAGCGCTCCTCCTAACGATGTTGCTCTGGACCGTCTCTGACATACAGACTGTCTGAACAAGGCACTTTCTCGAGTCCAAAGATGAAGAGCAAATGCTATGCGTTCACAGGGCAAAAATGTGCCCGGTGTGAGGGTCGAACTCACGACCTCAAGATTACGTGATTCAATGATCACTCATATGAACATATGAGACTTGCGCTCTAACCAACTGAGCCAACCAGGCCTGAAGATTGTGTGCTCAAGACAGCTGTGGTCACCTGCTGCGCGGGGCAGAGTGCACCTATACAAACTGACGCTACCTGTCCCGCGAATTCGAAGCAGAAGACGTGATCATGAGCACAGTGCCTGCAAGTGGACGGCGAATCGATCATTGAGGGATCGAGGGACAAAAACGTGCCCGGTGTGAGGGTCGAACTCACGACCTCAAGATTACGTGATTCAATGATCACTCATATGAGCATATGAGACTTGCGCTCTAACCAACTGAGCCAACCAGGCGTTGGGAAGGGGAGCGTTGAGTGCGAAGTGGGCGGCCGCTTGCGGGACATGTTGGGGCCTGCGATCGCGTCGAGGGCGTTGATCTGCCACACGGACCACGTGCAGCTCTCTCTGGCTGTTCTCCTCCGTGCCTGTGTCCCGACTCGTGTGCCTTCTCACCGATGCCTCTGCACGCCAGCCAGAAACGCCGCATAGCAGACGACTCTGACGCCATCCTCCCCGTCCGTGCGCCGAAGCACCCTCGCACATCCCGCACGGGCATGCTCGGCGGCGACCCCAGTCCATCCGAAGCGGAAGGCATCCTCTCTCGCTGGATACAACTCGCTCGTGACAGCCTCGTCCTCGGCAGAGATACCTTCCGCCAGGTCGCGGAAGGTGCGTCTCCCGCTCACTTGCCTCCTTCCCCGTCATACTGAACACTCGTCTGCCCCGCCGCGACGCAGCGATCAAGCACCTCGACTCCTCCCTCCCTCCTCCCTCCACCTCTCCCCAGTCCTCTTCCCTCCCTCAACACGGCCTGTCCTCCGGTCGCCTCCCTCATCGTCCACCAATACCGCTGCAGTATTATCGCTCCATGGCCCCTCCTCCCTCTCCCCGCCTCCCTTCGGCGCCGACACCGCGAAAAGTCGATCCCGCCATCGCAGCAAACCCTTCTTCACGATCGCTGCCAGTCCCCCCGACATCGCAGGACGTCGAATCCACGAACGTATCACAACCTCCTCCTCAAACCCTGCGACCACCTCAGTCGACGAAGCCCCCGCATTCAAAAGCCGTCGCCGTACCCCCAAAACTCCGGCGAGTCGCTCATCTGAATGTCAACGATCTGCTGGCGAAGCGCCAGCCCACGGCATCTACCTCTGCGTCAGTCCTTGCGAATGCCAAATCAGCCATGCCACCGCCTTCCATCGCGCCCTCCGCGCCCAAGGCATCCACGCAGCTATCAACATCGGTTCCAACGCATTGGCCCTACACGCGGCATGGCTACCCTCCAGAGCTGGCCGCAGCAATACAAGGCGCTGAACAGCGCCGCACACAGAAATACCTGGCACAGACGAAAAAACACGAGCACATCTTCGCCGCGGCTGTAAGTTTCTCCCGTTTCTGCGCTTACGCTCCTGGCAGTCGTTTCTCATCGCTCCTCGAAATACTATTATGATGTGATGTGTAGCACAAGGCCAAGGTGAAGGAGACGCGCAAGAAGGAAAGAGACGAGATGAATGAGCTGTACGCTCTCAAGCGCTCAGCCGGTAAGTGTAGTTCAATCTCGGGGACACGCATCTCTACAGCTGGGGGTCTCCGCATCGCAACAGGTTACTCGTCCGATCTGAACACCTTCAGAGGTGTGCTCATTTTGTTGTGATTCTTCATTCAGATATCTCACCTCTGGACAGAGTTTCTGGGTTACCGGGAACGCTTAGAGCTACTGGAACAGAAAGAGGCGCTTTCTCGTACGTGTACATCGCGGTCTGATACAACTTCAATACTCATGCATTATCACTGTAGCATCCCCTTCATTATGGGACTTGCGCATCCAGCCATTAGTTTCCTCGCCGAGCAGGAGACACTCGTTCTCAGAAGTGGGCAAAGTCCACAATATTACTTTTCACTTTTGACTCAAGCTGTCTGCAGGAAGCCAGCATCGCCTTCATGAAGCGCGCTCTCACCAAGGCGCGACAATCGCTCGAAGGGTTCGTCCGAGATCTCGAGCCATATACCTCCAACTGCTCCTCACTTCTTACTTCGATCCAGCCCGGCACCTCTCAAACCGTTCATCCCCTCTTACGAACAGCTTCGTTTGAACAAACGCAGAAAGGATGAAGAAATTGAGAGGCGCCTGCGACCCAAACCTCCGCCGCTTCCCCGGTCCCTACCGGCCGACGACGATGCGCAAGTCCAGTCATTCCTGTCCCAGCGCGGCGTCATCTCGCGCTGCGAGCGCGAGCAGGTGACGGACCGCGACCTGTCGCGCCTACTGCCGTCTCAATGGCTGAACGACGAGATTATCAACTTTTACGGCCAGATGATCCTGTCGCGCTCAAACACCGCCCAGAAGAAGAAGGGCCTCAGCATGGGAGCCAATGGGATCAATGGGGTCAATGGGGTCAATGGCTTCTCTAAAGGGTGCGCGACGCGGGGGAAGCTGGGATCGACGATCTTGGATGTGCATTACTTCAGCACGTTCTTCTGGTCTAAGTTGAAAGGGGATGGGTACGAAAAGGGACGGTTGGCCAAGTGGACGAAAAAGGTAAGCACTGCCTGCTGTCAGCCTGTACCACTCGCGGGTGTGTGCTTAACGAGGGACATGTATGCGCGCTGCCTGCCCAGTTCGACATATTTTCGAAGGACGTGCTCCTTATCCCCATCAACCACAACAACTCCCACTGGACCGGTGCGGCGATAAACTTCCGCAGGAAGCGGATAGAGTCCTACGACAGTATGAACATGGACCGTCAGAATGTGTACAGGGTAAGGATCGTCGTCCACTCCGTGGCGGGACGAGCCCGCGAGTTTTTGCGCTGACGGCAACTTCTTCCTCGCTCCCTTCAGCTTCTGCGCGAATACCTGAATGCGGAGCATAAAGACAAAAGGAAAAAGCCGTTCGATTTCACGGGGTGGATAGACTACACACATCCGGTAGGTCCCCGTTCCTCTGAAACATGGCTACCATCCACTGGTGTCTCCGGTCGCGAGCGGCCGCACCTTCGGCTTTCCGTCTTTCATCTCGAAACCCGATGGCTGACTTGCACGCATTGCCTCCGCAGGAGACGCCGCAGCAGGAGAACGGGTACGACTGTGGGGTGTTCACGTGTCAGTTCCTCGAGACACTCTCACGTGGGGAAGAGGCGTTCAACTTTACACAGCGCGACATGGCGTACCTGCGCCGGCGCATGATATGGGAGATCGGGAACGCGAGGCTGCGGGAAGAGTCGTAGCGTCTGCTGTTGCGTCTGCGCGTGTTTCGGTGCGGGTGCGGGTGCGGGTGATGGGACTGCGTAGATGGAGCTTGTCGGGGTGGGTTGGAGTTCGCCTGATCGTTTGCCCTAGTGCAAAGGGACTTCTTGTTTTGCTGTTGCTGTTGTGCTCGCTCCCTTCGTCGTCGGGTAGACAAGGACGGAGCCATTTTTTTCGAATTTTTTATTGTATTTTCTTAATGCTATCTTGCGCCGCACGGCCATTAGAATCGGTCTCTGTCGAAGCATCCCGAGCGTGTGTGGTCGTGCAAGGGCAACGGTGCATGGATGAGTGTTAATGCAGGTGTGCGTACAAACGGTCGATCGATTGATTGTGCAACGAAAGGTCCGCGGGGGACAGCAAGACGAAACAGAGCGTATGGTAAACAGAGGACATGGGAGAGAGAAACGAGCGCGGGGGCGGGCCGTGGTGGGGCCGTCACCGCCGAAACCACCACACGACGAGGAAAAACCAGAAGACGATGGCGAGGAAGACAATGTACCAGAGCCAGCGGCAGCCCTGGCGCGCGGCCATGTTGTTCATGCGCCGGAACGTGCCCGAGAGGATGCCGGACGTCTCTGCGAACGCGTCGTTCTAATGTGCGTGCATGCGCGGATGTAGACATGGGTGCGGAAGTTAGTGCGTGAGCGGAGCGAAATGCAGCGGGGGGACGACGGGTGGAGGGAAAGGACGGAGGAAGGGACTGGGGGCCGTCTTACGCACCATCTGGCTGAGTTGCACCGTCGACTCGCGCACCTCGTTCCCAATCCCGATCGTGATCTGTCCACAAGGGCCCGTCAGTTCTTTAGCACAGGTACGCCCGACGATGCCCGGGCGCACCCCGGCACATCGTCGCAGGACAAAGTGGGGAACGTCCACGCACGTCCTTCAGCAGCTTGACCTTGGCGCTTAGCCCCTCGAGCGCCTCGTCGTTCTGGCCCTCCAGATCATCCACGTACCGATGCCCGCTCGGTGTGTGTGCCTGCGCCTGTGGGTCGAAGGGCGATGAGCGGCCGGAGTGCGGGGGCGTGTGGAAGTACCCCGAGGAGGGCTCAGGGAGCCCGAGCGTGGCACGGTCACGAAGGGAGTGGCTGGACGATGGGCGGTATCTGGGTGATAATGTTGAGTGATTTCGTGGTCATTTGACTATAGGCGACATAAAAGTTGTGCAGTCGTACCTTTGAGACATGCTATACGTCGAGTATTGGAAGGTGCTGCGCAGCGACAACAGTTAGTATATGGGCCAGAGTGGCAAAGTAAGCGGCCCGGCGCGCGAGACGCTTGCAGACGACTGAGGTGACCATCCTCAGCAGGTGGTTTGTATGGTCTGCTTTCACTCATACCAAGAATTGATCACAGCAATCATCTAGCTCAAACCAATCGAAAGTACATACAGCCCACAAAATACGGGATATTAATTGGAAACCCTCCATTCACACCTGGCTCATGACTAGCAATACAAGTATAATCTGTCTCCTCCCACACCGCGCCCGTCTCGCCGAGTGAAAGATACGACCCACATCCCCGTACAGAGTCATGAAATAGGTGGCCTCTCGGCTGGGCCGACTGGACCCTCACGAGAAGAAGACCATAGGCATAGAGCCACGAGAAGGAGAAGCGGAAGTAGAGACATGGGGCCAGGCAAAAGAGAACGGCGGCGGAGAGGAGAGGGTGTTTGGGGACAGGCGGCTCGAAGGAAGAAGGGGTATGTAGGAAGGTATAGGTCACAAAGAAAAAGAGAGTAAATACGCTTGGATGTAGACCCAGCAACCATCGGTCAAGCGTGCAGATAATATATAAGATATACCAGTAAAAGGACGTGGCGGACGCGCGCGCGCCACAGAAGACTGTTAAGAAACTCAGGGTCAAAATGGGGGTGCAGGGATGTGGACGGCGTAGAATAAGCGGGCATGGAGACGAGCGATGGATAGCGTAGGTATCGGAGTCCGCGGTGGTATGTGAAGGGTTGTGTACGTATATAAGCTGCAGCGCGAGTGGCAGACGAGAGGACATTGAGGAGGAAGAGGAGATAGAGGCACAGAATACAAGTCCTTTGGGAAGGTGAAAAGCGTCGTACGGTCGGCGGTCGCTGCTGACCTTCATCAATCAATGCTCATCCGGTTTGCACGGACAGACATGGATGGATAGGCACCATGTTTCGATGTACCAAATGCTGTCTCCTGCTTCTTCGATACTAAGAAAGGACCCGATGAGACTAAAACCATTCATGGACGCGAACATGAAGAAAGAACACACTTTGCTCTTTAAGCCCACGGCCGAAGTTTCGCATGATGATGCATGCATAAATAAAAGTCGCGATGAGCAGCATTATTGCGATGATCGCTTTGAGGGAGCAGGTCAGTAAGAGAACAGACAAGTGTCGTGACCAGGCATACAAAATGTGGTGAGTGATTGCCAAACAGATGCGAAATCTGCAGTATTCTTCAAAATCAAGACTTTAACGAGCTGCAGGGCGCGTCAGCTGGGTCCCGTTGGCCGCACAGCGTGTCAGGACGAACAGACCTTGTAAAAGAAGTACACCATCGCGCTCACGCATCCAGACATGAAGGTCAGCATCATCCACTTATTCTCATAACGTGCCGCAAGATGTCCCTCCACAAGGAGCACGATCGACAGAGGGAGCGCCGCACATGTGACATAGAATTCCCAATCGTTGCTGCTGAGAACGAGCCAGATGAACTGGACGCAGAATCCCACCCAGAAGAACACATCAAACTTGACGAGACACTGGAAAATCTGGTAGTGCGCAAACATCTGCTTGATGCGCCGATCCGCGCCTAGGAACTTGTACACCTTCCAACCGAACTCTGTGTAGATTTTGTATCCCAGTCCAATGTAAGCAAGCTCGGAGATGGAGATGACGACAGGGAGGATGGTCGTGAGCACATCGACGGGGAGATGTGATATGCCCTGTTGATCGGAGACCGAGGCGAGGGAATTTCGTATTTCGGAGGATTGAATGATGGCGTATACGAGGAAGAGGCCGTTGAAGATGCTGAAGTGGGTTTAATTTAGAAAAATGGGATATCGGTTGCGAGGAGCTCACGTGAGGGAGATGAATTGAAGTGTATTTCGGGCGTAGACCGCATCGATGGCCATGCCAAGTTGAAAGACGCTGACGAGGACCACAAGGCTTAGCAATTTGCGGGGGAAAAGGCTAAGCGAAGGACGTACTGGGCGAGTGCGAAGATGCCAAGGTAGACGGGCATTTTTCGCGAGACCGTCTCGTCGTCTGCCTTGCCAGCTTCATGGAATCGGACGAGGAGGTCACTCTCGATACCGAGATCTACTGCTGTCTCCACAAGCACGATGAGAACGTAAAGACGGCATGCTATAGAGTCCGGAATCATCTAAGGAAATATGTGTGGAATGAAGTGAGTGTGTGCCCCGGGTGCATCCGCAGCACTTTTGAATGAGTGGACGAGACAAAGCAAGACAAACCTTCTTCCAAAAGTTAGGAGGGTCTTGCGGCGTTGTCTGTGGTAATGGTGGATATGCCATAGACCTTCGCGGATCGAAGTCGTCATCTGCCTCCTTCCTGCCGCTTTCAGCGGTCGAAAAAGACTGTTTCTATTTGGGTTGTCAGTGATTGCGTTTGAGGGTGTGGAGGAACGAAGGCATTGCGCACTGATGACGGATCGAATGTGAAGGACTTGTGCTTCGAGGTAACGGCGTATGGGGAAGCGTATTGGTCGATGAGATCGTCGTAAGACGCCTTTGAGTTGTCGGGAGGCTGGTGGTGAATGTAGGAGGACTGTCGAGACATGGCGTGTTTCGAGAGAATGAGCGGAGAGTAGGACCTGCCTGTGATGGTCGCACGAAAGGAAGGAGTGGACGGCTCGGGTGGGCAGACTGGACGAGGCTGAGCGGGGTCGCGAACTTCACGCTGGGAACACAATGACAACGACGGTCCTCCGGCCGGCTTCGGCCCCTCCGTCGTCTATATATATATTTCCACTACATTCCGAGCGCATCGCCTTCGGTCACCACCGCCATGCGCAAACTCACCTGGTCATCCTACTCCCCCTTCCCCACCTCCACGTGCCCCTCCTTCGTCCTCGTACCTTCCGCGACATCACCGCCGTCTCCGTCCCGCGTCGACTACGATCTTTCCGCACAGTACCACGTCTCTCGCAAAGGTACGGTGCTCCACTTCCGTCTGCCTGCGCCCCTCGTGTGACGTTCGGTCTACGCTCTGTCCCTATTCCACGCTCGTCCCAGCGGTCATCCTGTCAGCCATCGCCTTTACCGCCTTTCTCTTTCTTGGGATCTTTATCGCGCTCTTTACATCTTTTGTCCAATTTAAACACGATGTCGCTGCCGCCGCCTCGTCAAGCGCTGCAGCTGCCTCAGCAACGTCAACATCACACTAGCATCTCGCTTACTCCATTCATTGATCACAACGGTCCCAACTATCCTGTATCATGTTATTTTCCCCCCTGTCTCCCCTTGTACGCTGTATCATTTCAAATATAAACTTCAGAGCAGCCGCAGCTTGCCCGTCACCTGGTTTATCAACCGTGCAGGCCCTAAGCATCAGTATCGAAACAGCACCCAGTTAGCGAGATGCAGGCATGTACCGCATAGCGTCCTGATGGATAAAATGAACATCACCTGGGCCGATGCCAAGCACCGTTTTTGATCCCGTAGCAATCTGTGTTCGCCCCCTACAACAACACGGGTATCAACTCGTCGTGGACGAACAAGATTCAACAAACATCACGCCAGGGTGAGCGCTTTCGTTGAAGGGGACTTACGCATCTCGGATCGACTGCGCGGGGAGATTCAGGCTCTTCGCCTGTCTTTGCAGCGAATCCAGCTCGGCCTCGTTCGAGCAGCGCAGCGCAACCTTGGTTTGTCTGAGGTTGACCGACGATGAAACTGCTTGTAAGTTGCTATTTCAGATGTACGAGTGGGACGTACCCTGTCCATTCCCAGTGCCGGACCAACTGCGAGTGAAACAATTAGGGATAAATTGGCCGGATAACGCAGACGTACCGCGGGGTTGAATTTGGAGAGTGACTTATAACATGCAAGCGTTGCATGCCTGAATTGGTGCACGGTGCATGAGCGGCCGAGTCGTACTCGTCTCAGAATATAACAGACAAAGAGATTCAAATTCCCCTTACGAGCACCTATAGACCAGTATTTATTGGTAGTCAGTAGCTGATACTTCTCCAGAGCACACACTATATTCAAGGAGACCTCGACAAAAACTCACTGAGCAGCAATCTTGCCTTTTGTCATCTTCAGGTCATCCCTGACGACCAGCACCTATGGGGTCTAATTTTCAATCTTGACACTCAGTTATGAAAGACAGCACAGTGCGCACCAGCTTCGTCTCTTCCAGGAGGCTGGCCTTGACAGTCGCGAGACTCTCTTCTTCGTCGAAATTATGGGCACTGTGCGCCTTGGCCTTAGATTTGACAGAGGCCGGTGCATCTGAGTGTCGATAATATCCTATCCAGTATCCCAACAATGCACTACAGGCGGCAGTCGCAAAAAAGAGTGCTAAAGGAATGGATTTGACGTATAATTCCGTAGCATTTGATGGACACGACTAGCCTTGAGTATCTGCCAGCCATCCCGAACTTGTTAGTGGATCCATGAGTTGATCAAACAAGGTCCGAATCCGTCCAAATATGAGATGTCTTTATTACACTTACTATACGCAATGATCGAACTTTTGTTTACCTCTATTTGGTGAACTGTCCACGAACATGCTAACGCCGTGGGCAAAATTCCATGGGATCAGAATGATTACCTAATGATTTCTTGCCCAAAAGAATCACATTAGATCTATGGATAAATTTTGAGCAAAAAGGGAATGTGAAATCAGGCTGGAATTGATCAGAAATTTCATGAGTTCCACAACATGTGTCTATGGAGCACAAAAGGAAGAACATTTCAGCCTGATCTTATTCTGAAACAAAATTTTGATTGGATTATCATGTAATCCAAGTACACTTTGTGCAGAATTTGAGGAGCACATTGCCATTTTGTTCAAGATTTATCTATAAATATTATACTGATTCTTTTGGGCAAAAAATCATCAGGTAATTATCCTGGGATCGCCAATCCCATGGAACTTTGCCCCCAGTGTAAATTGGTGGCTGGATGAGTTGCACCCAACTGTGGCAATTTGCAACAATCATGGTTGGATATTGTCCACAATTGCTGACAAATGCTGGGAATTACCAGCGATTCCTAGCAATTGTCAGCACTTGTTGACAATGTCCGACAATTGACGGCATTTGCCAGGAATTGCCGAGATTTGTTGAAAAACAGGCGTTTTTGAGGTAAAAGTTTTGATTTTTGTCCGGGTTGGTCCCTCATCCCTGTCGCAGGAATAGCCCGTGAACAGCCCATCCGTTGTATCCATGACGAGGAGATGGTCAAAAAACTATGACTTGTGATTGCCCTCACCCTTATATCTTCTGCATTCAATAGACAATTGGTTTCTGTATATTCATGTGTGTTTTCTGTACGTTTTCTGTAACCTCGCATAGTGTGTTGAAATGAAAGTGGCTTGTGTTTCTGTGTGGTGAAACACTGTGTCAGTTCAAATCAAAACATGGAGCATGGATGCGAAGACAAGGCTGACATGACGAGCCTGTCCAGCTACAGACAGGCCCGTCATGTCAGCCTCGTATTGGCAGGGTCGAAACACAATATGCCACTGACACGCAGAGTTGCTCATGATGAGTCAAATGATTTGCATGAACCTCACGGAATGCGACAACTCGAGGTATTCCTATTCATGATTCAATTCATGAACTCTCCCTGATTCCAATGCAAGGCAATAATAGACGGAGCTTCCATTGTCCACAGTACAAGAATAAGTAACTATTCCGTGCATGCCGAATAGGTAATACAGAGCGAGCGAGAGCAACAGATAGCAAGTGAGATAAAACATAACATATCCGCTCAGCAAGAGATAAGAGAGATCTGATGAGGGGAGGAGTATAGTATGCGGATGGGCTATTTCCAATCCAAGGATTGGTTGAGGCGCAGTCTCCACTGGCAATTAATCACTGTCCGTGTCCGTTGACGACCCAGTCTCATCACCTTCGACGTCTATAGTACGCGTGTAATGGCAAAAATTCAGAGAAAAAAGGGAGGAATGCAGTATTCACACTCACCAACAAGATATTCCGTATCTGTCCTCCTGATCGGCGGCGCAGGCGGACTCGGCACCCTGGGCATCGCCTCACCCATCCCAGCACCCAAGCTTCCAGCCAGCCCTCCTAAGCTGTTGCCGAGGCCACTCAGCCCGTTCGTTGCTTGCCCGTTCCGCTTGCGTGCAGCGGGACTCTGTGCGGAGTGTCCTGATGACGGCGTGGCAGCACTGACAAGTAAAGCGCCAGGGGAGGAAGAGCGCGAATCGGGAGAGGATGAGTGTGAGGGCTCGCGTTCGAGGAAAGAGGCAGTGGACGATTCGCGAAGCCGGGACGGAACTTTGGAGTGGGAGTTTATCGGCGGGGCAAGGTGGTAATTCTAACGAGGAACAAGCAGGTATCACAATCAGATCATCCGGCCAGAAGGAAGAGAACTCACGGTGATTGGTGTTTTGGGTTCGGCTTTCACTCGAGTCGCGGCGGAACCTGAGATAAGGGTGAGCTGCGGCACAGAAGCTAGAATGAAGAAGGCTTACCAGTCGTTTTTTGCTTTTTCGACTTCTTCGGAGGTGAAAGTTGAGGTGACGCAGGCTGCCAGCAACAGCTTCAGTCATGCTAGATACAGCAACCCAGAACGAAGGAAAAAAGCCGCACCCGTTTCCGATTTGCCGCAGAATCTGCCGTCCCCGACCCTATGGACGTTGAGCAAGCGCTCACGATTACACGAATGACCCATATTTACACAAACCTTTCGGCCTGCCCTTAGGCTTCCCCTTGCTTTTCGCAGTTGTCTGTGAGAGAGCAACCGATCGTCGACTGTCATCTGACATATTACCGTTTTCGGATCCGGGGAATGGGGACGCCGATCTGCCAGCGTCTGAAGCCTGCCTACACAGGTTGATCAACGCCACATCTTGAAAGGTCCGCATAGATGGGTGACAAAAAGGAAGCGAACACAAGAAAGACACGTACTTCGACTTGGCCGCGCTCCGCGTAGTTCCCCTCCGATTCCCTGTCCCGAGGCCCATGCAACCACTTAGATGTGAAGCGTATCGATTCGACGCAACCTACGACAGTCATAAGCCCAAAATTGTATATGAACATCGCCCACGGGAAGAAGAGAGAGAAAGGCCACATACCTGCCTCCCACAGTTGACACAATCCAGATAAACATTCCCATCCTTCACATTGTTCGGCGTGTTCGCGCCCGCCCCCGTCGTTTTACCCTCGCCTACAGGTGTTCCCACACGAGACTCTACGCTCGAGCCTGCAACACCGTTCTGCGGCGTGTTGGATGACCCAAGATTATGAGCTGAACGAAGCACGGTGAGCGAATTGATACGTCGACCAAGGCCAAACGCGCTTACCCTGCCCGCATCTGGAACCGAATGAACCACCACACGCGTCGGGTAAGGTTCAGCCCCCGCCCTCGCATGAAGAAAGCGATGCCTCACCACGCACCTTGTATGGCAAACATTACACATCGATCTATTCCGCGCAACCTCGCTATGCGACTGAAGAGCCGCGTCCATGATGAACTCGTCCACCATGGCGGAGAAAATCCTAGATGCCTGCGCATTCAACACGAAGCGTCAGCATCTCACGTGTACCTCGGCTGGTTGCCAACACTCACCAGGGTAGATATGATATGTTCTCTGTCCGCTTTCGCCATTTCTGGCACGATATGAGTGGAAGTAGAGTCGCAGACGGCGAGGTTGCGGCAACACCTTAAGCGCCAAGCGCCCGGCCACCCAGAAATGACGTTATGAGTAAGGTTAAGGTTGGATTGTTTCATCCAAGACAAAAACATAGCGGCTCGTCATGCACTCATGCTTCATCTGTGCTCATCGATCCGGTTGCGGAGAAGCGGGTTATCACAAGTCATCAAGATATTCGTAGGTTCTAAGTGCACCAGAGGCAATTGTAAAGAGCGGCAGTGCAAGGTAGTCAATCGAATAGGTATATACGTAGGTTTGCAATCAAATAAGCCCTCCCTTCTCCATGTACGCTAAAGGTTGCAGTAACATAATCTTCGTATAAGTACTTTGGGGAAGAATTTGGATGGGTTGAACAGAAAAGCCTGATTCGAGGCTCTAGTCGCTCGTGAGGCGCGAGATGGTGAAGACGCCGATGATCACAGCCGCAAGCACACCGATGCTAGCGGGCAGTAGTAAGTCCCTCGGGATCCCGAACACGTCGCCCTCTGGCTCGGGAACAGGAACAGGGATGGGGGCGGGCGGGGTGTAGACAGTTTCAGGCAAAACGCTCTCTGCTTTCTCGACCTCCTTGTATTCCCTCGCAGCAGCAGCAGCGACCTCAGCAGCCTTTGCTTCGCTCTTGCCCGCACCGGCCTCTGTCCACCCACGGCCACCCTGAATCATTATCACAACCCTGTCCGCACCCGACGACCGTGCAATCTTGACCGAGTCCGCGATGTCGTTGTCCGACGTCATGAGCACAGTGTCGCCATCTGCATCCGTGTACGCAAGCTGGAAGTCGAGCGGGTCCGGAGCCGTGTCATCGGCGTGCACAGGTTTAAACTCGGAGAAGAAGGGGTCGATAGAGAGCTTGCCCGCCACGATATCACGCAGGTTTTCGACGTTGTCTTGTCGCGCCTGGAACCGGTGTGTGTTTCCGCTCGGTGTGCGGAATTTGAAAACATAGGTGCCATCGTCGACGGGGATAGACGCGCCGGCTCCGACGATCGACGGAATGCCATGACGGCCCCCCATTCTTGGAAATTCGGAAAGGGGTTCGTCATCCACCACCGAAGCAGAGTCGTTCGGATGGACTTCTGAATGAGGTGACTGTTGGAGATGGGACTGGCTGAATGACGACGGGTGTAGGTCCGTGGGTACGTGTGAGCCAGACATAACTGACTCCGTGTCTTCGTGACCACCAATGGAGTCAAAGAAACGACCCCACATGGGGCCTCCCTCGGCTTCATTCTGAATCTCCCCAGCAGCTTCCGTAGTCATTTGGTTCATCTATAGCAAGTATAGATCAATCATTACCAGCGGAATTTGAGAGGAGGACAGCGAACCTGTTCAAGAGTTGCATACGTCAATTTGAGCACATCGACGATGGCGATCAGCCTGCCATCAGCCTCGATGACAGGCAAGTTTAGATAGTGGCCGTCTGCAAAGATATTAATGCGTCGGCAACGGTAAGTATGCGGACAACGATGTATGGCTCGTACTGTGCATTTTCTTCAGTGCATCATGAACAGTGGTGGTAGGAGTCGCCGTGTCGGGATGAGGAGTCATGACACGAACAACACTACATCTGGTCGCATCCAGACCAGCAGCAATGACACGCAGGACGACGTCCTTGCTGGTGAAGATCCCGGCAATCCTTGGGACGTTTCCAATTCCGGTGGTTCCCTCCATTACACAAACCGCCGTTGTCCTGCGTTCCCGCATGAGTTTCGCAACCTCTTTCACGGTCGCTTTGGGTCCGACAGTCGCAGGCTGAGTCCGCGAGTCCATGACAGTCGTCAGATCTGGCAGCGCAGTCTTCTCGCGCAGCGCGTCAACATACGCAAGCATGGCCGCTGCCTGTGGGTTCGCCGCCACACCACCCCCAAGCTCATTCTGAACGCCGGCCAGCGCAGTGTATAATTTCTCCGAGGCTGAAGAGCTACGTTCAACCTTGTCCAGGGCCTCATGGAAAACTTTTGTGATGTCAAGAAGACCAACAACATTGCCTTCTTCGTTGCAGACCGGCTAAGATGACGCGTGAGATGCGTAGAACAGATGCAGCGGTATGACTGACCAGATGTCTGAAATGTCTTTGCACCATGAGCTGCAGTGCCTCAGTCGCGCTCGTCGTATCTCGCGTCACCATAGGATTGCGCGTCATGACTTGGGCAACAGTAGTAACATGAGCATCCAGTCCTTCCGCCGTAACCTATTTTTCCCGTGAGCACTATTGCATCCAGCAATGTTTCGATAGCTACGCACCCGGTATGCTAAATCTTTAGCGGTGAAGATGCCGCTCAAACCCTCCTCGTCGTCAACCACCAACACACAGTCCGTCCTCTTAGCGGCACACAGCTGACTAGCCTCGGCCACGGTGATGGTCTCCGGAACAGTGAGGGCTGGACTAGGCTTGAGCGCGGCGACTGTACCCTTTGCTACATTCGCCTTGCGGGATTTACGGCCGCTGGCTTGCTGTGTAGTGGATATGGTGCGTTTCCGCGAGAGCTCTGTCTCTATCCTCTTACGGAGAGCCTGTGGAAATGAGACGCGTAAGCATTGTATTTTTCTTGCAAGGACACGTCGTTTTGGGCAAGGAGTCTAGTCACATTGCTCCTGAGCTACCCATTCCGTTGACACTGGACGGTGTAAATGGGAGGGATTCGCACATGTCGTTGGGAGGCATGGACTGTTCATTTGACAAGTCTGCCATAAGAGACATGGAGAAAGTGCGAATTCACCTCATCACCCATTGCCCTCTTGGAGAGCTTCTTCTTGTCAGAGCCATGACCTGAGACGGACGACATTGAGGCAGAGGGCGAGGATGTGTGGCGGGGAGGAGGCAAGGGGGAGAGGGCGCGTTCGGAAGGGAAAGGGATGGGGGACGTCGCAGACTGTGCGGCGCTGGTGTTCCGTGCAACAGGGATTCGCGACATTCGGATCGACTTTTCGTCCTCAAACGTTTCTTTCCGCCACATCACCCTCAGCTTGCCCTTATTTGGCCCCATCGGCCGGGCGCTTCCACTCCCGGGAGCTGACGCCAATTTTGTTGACATCGTCCTTGCTTGTATATGTGCACAATATCTGCTAATCCGCCGCAGGTCTACTCCGGGAGAGACCATGCAAGCAGGATATACAACAACAAACGCGCAGGCCCCGCAGACCGTTCGGGTTCATTTCTGTGATCTGATCCTCGGTCCACCCCCCGTCCCAGTTCTGCCCTGCTTCCGCGAAGACCACCAATAGTATCCGCCTCCGAGAAGTGCGATAGCGAAGAAATTCGCTGTGAACGGCCGTCACCGGGTCACCGTCAGTCCAGGCATCGCACTCAGATATTCGACAACATTACCTGTCAGAAATCCTAAGGCACCTTTAAACACGTCCAACCCGAGAAGGATTACGGCCTGCACAAGATGCAGAACGCTGCTAACGATCGACTGTCCAAAAGCTAGGACGGCCATGAATAATGCTGTCACGGAGTGTGCGAAGGCAATTCCAATGGTGGAGATTGAACCGACGAAGTTCCCAAAAGCTGTTGAAATGTTCGATGCCATGACTGGGTAGGGTGATTGGCGATGCAGAAAGCGCTGTGAAGAGTTCAAGCCCTTGAGGAGAAGTATGAAACCGAACCGATCGTCCGTCATCCCATACGTACTACCCCACAGCGGAGGCTAAACAGGGAGCGTGACGTCAGAATAGGGGCAATGATCAGTCCGCCACTCCTAAGCCACTATCAGACTGACTGACACAGGTGAATATATGAATAGCATTTAGACTGGAGCACACCTATCTAGAATATTTGACGAGCGACAGTTCATAGAAACGCCAAATTATCACTGACGCGCCCTGATAGCCAAGATGAAAGAGCTAGCGAGAGAACTTATCACACCACATTTCCTATCATCTGATGTCCCCAGCCACCTTTCTCCTTCACCTCGCGGCAGCGGCTCCAGCAGCAGGCGTAGCTGGCAGTCTCGCACCCGTCCACCTGCCCACCAACCCTTGCGCCGTGGCCCAGCCTTGCTTGAGAACAGCTGGAGTTTCTGGTTTGTTGACATAGCCATCGACCCTGAAGATAGCATGGTGGATGGCATCCTTGGTGAACGCCGACTGGTAGTATCGCATACGGACGAAATGGACGTAAATGACAGGCGTCAGCAGAGAATTCTGCAACAGCACCGCTCCCACGATGACGCGGAACACAATGATGATTTCCGTGTAAGCCACGAGCCTCATGGCGGTGTCGTAGTTAGCTGGAACACGTGAATTAGATTTCAAAGGGGTATCACATCGTGTTGGACGTACACTTCACCCAGGCCTGTAACTTCTTAGCCAAGGGGTGGGGAGTAGGGGGGCCGTTGGGCGTAGCCGGAGGACCTTGGGGAAGGAGCTGGGGCATCAAGGTTGTGCGCGTGAATGTGAGCGCGTGGAAGAGAGAGAATATCGTATATGGGAGCAAGGAGACTAAACATTCAGAAGCTCAACATCGCGTAATTCGCTGGTTTGGGCGAAAGGCTCACCAGTGACTGGTCGCGAAGACCACCAGAAAACAGCAAGAAGCAGGTATTGAACGTTCTATGGCCAAGCGTGAGAGATTATGGTGACTAGTGAAGAGGGCCTCGTACTTCATCAGCGAGAGCTCTTTTGATGTAGCTTGCGTTCGGTTGAGGAGTCTGGAGGCGGATAAGCGGAAGCAAGAAGGTCTAGGAGCTCTCACTCTCACCCCAAGAGATTTGCTACATAGAATGGCCGACTGTCTTGAGCGGCGGAGAAGGGGCGGATGAAACGTGTCAACTCACTGGCAAACGATAGCATAGCTGACAAGAGCCCCTGTATAACTCGCTGAGCCACAGCGAAACCCTCAGTCAGAATCAGCAATACTGCATCGACATTTCAAGACGCACCTTTGTACCACCAAAGAGACGGGGTCTTGAATAATACCCAAGCTAGGATATACTTCAACGCGGAGATCAACAGAATGAAGTGTCCAGCGGCCCAGACATAATGCTGTCAAGTCCACTTCGTTCAGCCTTCCTTGTCTTCCTCATCAAAAGCATGAGAGATTCCAAAAATGCATACCTGTGTAGTAGCCATTGGTGCTATCGTACGAGAAGGTGCGCAAGATGGAGGATGAAGTCAAACGCGTGTCGTCCCGGTTTTCGTGCAGGTTGCTGGCTCCAAGCTGGCGGGTCATGACATAATCGAGCATAGCGTCACCACGTGGGCTTTAGGGCAGGCGCTTGGGGAGTTGCTCAGACTGACCCTGTCTAAACGTTCTCGGCTCGGGCCATGAGCGAAAACTCACTTTCGAAGAAGTAAAGCTGATGGAAAGCTTGTCCCTTCATGTACAGTGATGCAACTTCCGAACTTTTTCGGTACATTGTCGCTCGCCAGTGCACTCCGGGTCCTTCTCGGTTAGCCAGTCCTCATGTCGATGTTGAGTGTAAGGCATTCGGTGATCCATCTGGTCCTCGTGGTACACGCGTTTCAAGCATTGAATCCTCACATGCGTCATGTGGAAGAGGATAGACAGACAAGCTGTAATGATAAAAAAACGACCCGAGAAATAAAACATAGCGCAGGAAACTGAACCAAACACACAACGGAAGGTCATCGACTCCACTGACCCTGCGAACCTTGCTTTTGTATCGACTTTCTGTAGACTTCTTTATCGACTTTTTTCCTGCCTAACGTCTCTATCCGCCTGTCCTTGCCTCTCCGCCGCGGCGCATTCCGGCCCCCTTCATTTCGGTCTGATGCGCCATCTACATCTTCCCATTCGTCCTCATGGACGTCCGCATCTTCCCTTCTTCGCTTTACTCCAGTGCGGCCGGTACCGCCCTTACCACCACCAATGTTTACGTTTACACGAGGAGGGACGGAGAAGCCGAACGCTTTGCCGACTTTCGCGAGATCCAACTGATTTACGTCGAAAATTTTCTTGAGTGAATACGAAGCGTAAGACTGGAGGTATGATCGATAGCCATCTCTGGCCGACTGGTGTAGGAAATAATTTTTCTGCAAGAGCTTTTCGAGCTGTCAAAGATTCAATATCAATAAATAGTTTGATCCGTCAGGTTATCCGAGTGACGTACTTGCGATTGAACGTTAGCAATTCGTTCCGCCGGGAATGTAAACTCGTTCAATGGAACTTTAGCCTCTTTCAAGTATCGCAAGAAACCGAGCTCGCTTTCGAGGAGGAATAGCAAACTCTTGCCAACTTTCCCTGCGCGCGCCGTACGCCCAACACGATGGATGTAATCGCGGGGGTCATCCGGTGGGTCGAACTGAACAATCCAATCTACACGTGGAATATCGAGCCCACGGGCTGCGACATCTGTGCAAAGTAGGATACCAGTTTCAGCATTGCAGAATTCGAAGAATGTGTTCGTCCGCTTTTGTTGTTTTTGTTTTCCCTAATTGAAGAATCAGATTGAGCAAGTCGGAGACGTGTGATAGCACAAGAGCTCACATGAAGATCGAGTACTGGTACATCGATGTAGTTCAATAGTTCGCCATGGTACTTTACTGAATTACAGCTAGAGAAGAATACAACAACCTTCTTCTTCAAATTCTTCTTCAAGAAAGTGAATAGAAGAAGGAAACGACGGTCGGAGGGGCAAACAACGTAGCCTTGGGATAGTGTTGTCACGGTGCTTGTTGTTTCCGTTCCATCTACGTCGATATACAAGGGTCCTGGCCGTAACGATATCCGAGCAAGGTCTTGCACTTTCGTGGTTTGTGTCGCAGAGAAGAGCATGGATTGTCGGTCCTCTAGAAACACGAAATGTGTCAGTTAACAGGAGACGTTGATATGTTAAAACTCACCACTTGGAAGTATAGAGATGATTTTTTTCATCTGGTCTTCGAAACCAACCTCCAATATCCGGTCGGCCTCGTCAATAACGAGTGCTTTCAAGTTCCGGAACACAAATCCTGGAGTTTCCTAAAGACAGTTGTAGCCCTCCCACGAACTGACTATGCGATTCATGTGGCCTACCTGCAGATGGTCCATCAAACGACCTGGTGTTGCAACAAGCAAGTTGACACCCTTGTTCAATTTCTCAACCTCGGCCCTCCGAGTAGCCCCGCCCATAATAATACCAAAAGTCTGCGAGTGATGCGCCATCAGCTCCTTCGCGACGCCAAAAATCTGCAATGCTAGCTCTCGAGTCGGTGAAACAATGATGACCCCAGTTCCTGTAGATCCGAATGTTCATCATATTGCAAATTATTCAAAGAGTATGAGAGCGCACCATTCCGAGGCTTGAACTTCATTCTGTGCAGAAGCTCCACGGCAGGAATCAAGAACGCCAGAGTTTTTCCTGAGCCCGTACGTGCAGCACCCAGAACGTCCTTTCCAGCTAGTAGTGAAGGAATGGACTTGGCTTGCACCGGTGTCATCGTGCTGAAGCCCATGTCTTCCAGAGCCCGCATTGTAGGTTCCGACAACTCTAGGGTAGAGAACGGTGGTCTTCCGGGCTCGCTCTCCTGAGGTTTTGGAGCCGGGGCAGCTACCTCGTCGTCACTGGACATGATAGTTTTGAAAGGTGAGATTACAGATGTCGAGAAGAAAGGAAATCCTCAATGCTGCCCAAAGGTTTGGAATAAAGTAATATTTCGAGGTCCTTCAGGCCTCCAGGGGCGAAAAAGTGCCTCGGCATTTACCGACGCACTTCTTTTAAATGCATTCAACTCAGGCAGTTTCGGTATCACTCCGTTCGTGCAAAACTCCGAACCATTCGCGTTATTTGCTCCAACTTATGGTTCTTCTCATACTCAGTGGCCCTCGGCCTTGTTATATCTGCCGCTTCCGCGAGTCTTGGGTATGCGTTTGGAACAAGACAGGCTGCACAACCAATATCACGGGAGACAGTGGATTTACTGACGACAGAGCTTGTCATTGAGGCAAAGGATGAGGGAGATTCGAGCGAAGATGGAGAGGACTCTGCGGATGGTGACTTGGCTGCTATTCAAGCCGGTGTCTTTGAGCCTTGCAAGCTTGTAAATCTTGCCTTCATGTGCCCTAAAGGCGAGTTTCATGGATAGTCTTTCTGTAGGTCTTAATCGTCCGCACGGACCTAAAGATGACTTCGGGAAAAATCGCTGCACAGTATGTTCAATTTGCGCACATTCATATATCATCAACCCACTTTTGAATCCAGATGCGGGTCAGTAGCAGCTCAGATAGTCACTAGTCAATGCTCCCACACTCAGAGTCCGCTTTAGACACGCAACCTTAGCATGCTATAAAGCTCTGGCGAAAAAAAACCCGAAGGTGCCCATTCATATGTATCACAAGTTTCATCATCATATTGAATGTTTCCTCAGCTAGTACAACACTGGGAACGGACAGGGTAGGTTTCTACCCATCTTTCTACCTCTAGCTATGTTCTGATTGTCCGACGCACGATCATTTTCAAACAGTCAAGCCAAAATCGCTCTGAGAGGTTCGTCAGAGGATGAAATCTTAGAGCTGGAAGCGATTGCGAAAAGCCTGAATCTTTGTGCCCGGTCGATACAAGACGCGTGAGATTTTGCACTCTTCTGCATTCCTTGAGTTCTTCGAAGTAATGGCGCTTTGATCATAGGGGTAGGACTCAAGTGGAAGCAGGTTCCCGAACTGTCCTGGGCATAGGACCTGGTAAGTCAAATAATAATGTAGCGAGAAAGCTGAGACTAATAAGATGTCGCACAGCGCCCGTTTCACTGGTCAACCAAGTAACTGGACATCTCAAGCTACTATGATGAGCGTATCCCTTGAAATTCGGTGTCACGTTTCCTCGTAGTTGCTGCCAATGTTTCTTTGATCTTATATGTGAGTCTTACTCAGGCATGATCCGTCCATCACCAAAGCTTGCGTACAATTTCCACTCACAACAAATCGTCGTACAACAGAATCTCACTTCATGCGAACTGTTCGATCTCTAAGCACTTTCATTTGACCTTTTGCAAAGTCCTTGACAGGTTGAACGCCGCCGAGATTAACGTGACATGTCTGCAGACAGAGCAAGGTACGTAAGTTAGACTGAAAGATCCGGGAAAATAAGGGAAAATAAAACATACGTGAAGCCTTGAACAGCATTGCCCAGTCTAAGAGAAAATATCACATGAGAATGAAGGGCAGCTCTGGAGTCTAAGACTGAGACGCACCCTTCACCAGACGCTGATATTTCCTCAGTGCAAAGGCCAACGTGATTCGTGTACAGAAGAAAATCCTGTAGCCAAATCACAGTTAGATCATGCTTAAGTCACATTGTACAGGAAACCCACCTCGAACATAGACACTGCCTTAGTGAGCATCGCCTTGTCGTACTCCCCAGCTCGCGTTAAGGCCTCAATGCACCTTTGATTGAAACATGGTTTACAACGAGCACTCATCCACACGTATGAGGGAACTTACCACAGCGTACACAGACAAAACGTGCCTTCCTCACCGCCAACGCCATCATCCGATTCCTGCGTGTTGTAACGATACACGAGATTCTGAAGCAAGAACACACGCGTGATTAACAGGTCGTGGGGGAAAGGGCCGTGATACACACATTGGCCATCAGACCTCCGCGTTCCGGGGTTTTTAAGACTGCATTTAACGTGCTTAGGAAGCGTGGATCCGACTGTCATGATAAATCATGAGCAGAGAAGGCACAATTTATATGGTGGAGTCAGGCGCACCGCTGTGGCGAAGAATACGAGGGGCATGATGAGCACCGACGAGTCGAGGACGTGGGTAGCTTCATAGCTTTGTCCAAATATCTGCATCTCAGGATTCCACGCGTAATTCATCACCTGTTCATACAGATCATCGCGCGCCTCCAGCCATTTCAGACGCCTAGGGCAGGGAAGGGAGCGCTTGTCGGCGAGGCGAAGACCTCGATCTATAGCAACCCTGAGAAGTATCATGTATATCATGCTCTGAAGGCTCTGGAGGATGAGCTTACCACATCATGACCTTAATAAGATAGCGTCAGTAAAGTCACTGCCACTGCATGGTGTTGCCCACCTTCGAATACTGCACCCGATTGTGTATATCAGTTGTTTGCATCCTCCCAAAGTCGCATCGGAAGACGTACGGTGAAATGCCGTTCTCTGTTCCTCACTTCCCTGCCAGATCCACCATTCATAAGGAGACTCAAACGCATTTTTGATGATGATCTAACTGACCAGATAGACCTGTGAAGCATTCAAGTGCGTACCTGTTGAGTAATCGACCAGGGCGGGAAGGGGTTAAAACATAGACAAGAAACGTACAGATCTGTGTCGTTGTAGTGCGCGACGACAACTGTGCAGCACGAGGCAAGAGTGAGTGCGCGGTGCGAGTGAAGTAGGATTGGCGACGTACAATCCACTCTGAATAGTATCGAGATATTAGTCCGTTGCAAGATACTCATATGTTTGTTAGCTTACAGTTCTCGGACAGCAACCCTGAGGTATGTGATCCGTTCAGCAAAGACGAAAAGTGCGGAGTAACAGGGCTTTCACCATGTATCATATGACTGTTTTGTGACATTCTTTCAGTAACAAGATGTACTTCGTGAATTAGCAACGTACCAATGGGCGACCAAACTTGTCGTCAAGGATATACTTGTCAACGAAGGATGTATGGAACAAATTAGAGAGGGCCATACCTTCTGTCCCAGATAAATACAGTCCAATCTATAGATCAACATAAGAACCTTTCTGCTGAGAGGTGAAATCTAGTCTATCGGGTTATTGGTGAGTGACTCTTAGAAAAGAACACGGAAGAAGTGCTCACTGTCTTACAGTTCACCGTAAATATCCTTCAAAGAGACCATTTAAAAAAGACGACGATGCCAGATTTAAGGCCTACTCACCAATTGAATATGATCTATGGCACCATTTCCGATCCTGAGGCGGGTATGCATTAGCTAGCATAGACGATGCTATGTTAGACGTCAGACACACCTGACAGGCTTTGACCCTTTGTGGCCATCTAGATGCATGAGCTCTTCCTCTGGGAATATTTTTCCACCTGGAAATTCGTTCTCTCAGTACAAGACCCACGACAAGGCACATATCCAGTACTTACCGTGGATAGTGTACATGATTTGCAAAGATCCATCTGGGTTCTTGTCTTTTAGTCTCTCGAATATGAAATCCATGTAGGCTGAGATCAAAATATGAGCGAAAATGATGATGGAAGTCGGAAAAGGTGCAGACAATTGGCCTCATGAGTGAACCCGAGGCGAATGAGGGCATAGAGCGTGAATGACGAGTCACGAATCCAGGATGCACTGCACAACCGAGATGCATTGAGTTCCAGGTTTCAGCACTCCAAATCAGCTGTACATACCGATAATCCCTGTTTATCGTGTTCGACTGTCATATCTTCATTCAAAAGCAGGGAATCCACCTACCAGTTCCTTGTCCCACCGATGAACTCTGGCAGACTGAATGTAGGGCTGGCCACGATTGCACCTGAAAGGCAATGATCTGAGAGCTACTTTCACTGTAAGAAGCAACATAAACTTACCCGTAGGCTCATAGATGAGCAGCTTCAAAGCGAGCGCACTTCGATGCACTGCTTCTTTCCACGATCCATTGTAAGTAGACCTCCTTATCCATGCATTCCAATATCTATTGGTCCCTAACAAGAGCTCGTGGATGAGGTCCTGTCGGACATCGATTTTTGAGCGACTGTAAGACACTCGCATGTAAACATAGCAAACCTTGGTTAATAAGGGATCGTCCTTTTCCCTGAGGGATGAAGCACCGATAATCAACTCTATAAAGACAGGTAATTTAGCACTTGCTAATTGTATTGTTAGAATCTCGCAGAGCTGCAAACCTACTTTCAAGGGGCACACCCAATGCCTGCGCGCGGGCCTCACTTGGCCTAAGCTTTGCCTCGTTTCCATTCGCCTCCGGCGCAGTTCTCAAAATGAACGTCACCGCCTGGCCCTCTTCGAGCGCAAGGTCCACGCTGATTGCAGGACCTTTGTGCCCCCTCTTTGCCAGATCAAGTAATTGAAGTTCAACGTCCGGTACAGGGACATTCTCCACCGTAGATTCCGCGACAAAGCGGAGATCAAGCGAAAGCGAGTCAGATTCAAAGAGGGCTTTCTGTTGCTTTGGAGCACCGTCGTTCCCGCCACAGGGAATGGAGTGATCGTCGACGATGCTAGTGTGGTGTGGGACGCGAGCGTAATCAAACGCAGGGGCGCATTCCACTCGAAGAGGTAGTTTGCCGCGAATGACCTGAGATACATCAATGGCGAGTTAAGATACGAAAAATATTAGGAGCATACCTCCACACGACGAATGAGCCAGTGAAGAAGCGGCTTGTGCGCAGCCGCACTTGGATTGCGGGGAAGAAAGTCTATATCGGGTTTTAACTGAGGTAACTAATCCACGTTCAATATGTTTTACCTGTCACACTGATAACACCTTCATCATTGAGGAATCTATGTTCGAAAAATTTATTAGTCGGTGGTGAAAGTTGGCTGCATTGAATTCTTTACTTGGTTTGGAGGACCTGTTATTGACTTTAAGCGAGTTTTTGGAAGCTCGTAGATCAAGGGGCATACATTAGAGCTTGGCAAATAGTTCTGCTTGGTGGTGAATGGAACGGGGGGCGAGATCGAGAAATGACCACCCTATTTTGAGGTGTATGAGATACAGAGAAGTCAAAACGAGAATGTATAGCTACCTTGTCCTTGTCCAATATCCTAGCAAAGACAGATGGAGAGTCGAAGTTTGGGATGCAATAGCTCTCGACTTCGGCGGGATTCAGCACTCCACGGCTCTAGGCCTAACGGCACAGAGCATGCACTCACTAGAGCCATCGAGACTGACCTACGGGATAGAATCAGCTGACAAAAACTGCGTCATAATGATGGGACGTACGAGGGCTGCAGTCCTCAAGTTCCCAATGCTAGACAACACATTTCGTGAGGATGATCAAAACGATCAGTAAAGGAGTCACAACGAACAGGCCATGATCAGAAATCGCCACATAGTCTCTTTCTCCGGAGCCTTTGTAGTGGAATGTGTTCATATCAAACCGTATGTGGGAAGCGTGCGAGTGGATCGAGGGCAACGCGAATGTGTTCAACCCCGGTACTTATGGGACATCGATTCAGGGCGCCAAGTGACGAGCTGGGGAAGCCTGCTGATCGGGCCTCGGGGCGTCGGTGGCTGTGTCGCCCGAACCTGACTCCGACTTCTGTAGCAGTTCTGTAAGGTTCTGCAGCTCAACGTTCTTTGCCTTCCTTCTTCTAGGTTTGCTCTGCAACAAGCACTGACCTGCATTCATATCCTCCACAAGATCAGAGTACGTTCTGTTCAAGTTCCTGCGACACAACGCATCGATATCCTGTGAATTAATCTCACGACACGAGCGTCACGAGCAACCATCTTGAAATGTGAATATCCTCCCACACACCCCGTTGCTATCCGTCTCTTTCTCTCTGTCACAAAGCCCGAACTCTAAGGGATATCTGGGGACGACGCCATCTTACAATACCCGTGCTCTATCTGTTGCGAAGTTTATTCCGATTTATCGAGGAATCTCGATGTCTAAAATTCATGTTCTATATCATCCCGCTCCGATCGAGTTCTTTTCTGACCCTTTAGTAGCACAATCATTCGGCCAAGTTCCTAAGCATCTGCTTTCTCCGCATCTACGACGATGTCCGAGTTAAGATACGAGGTCAGTTCGTGAGCCTTCTTCCAAATCACATCCCTCGTTTTCAGTTCTCATCGTAAGCGTCACGTTAGATCGTACCAGGTTTCTTTATCCAGGATAATGCTAGATTAGAATTGGACCCGGCATCGATAGCACCGGTAAGCACCCCAACGTTCGCTGGTCCGAGTCCCCCCACGGCGAGCACAATTTTCCGCTCCAAACCACTCACCGCAAACTCCATAGACACCGCCTTCACTGGGGTTGCTATCAGGCTCTTGGTCAGAGTTCACGTCGAAAATCGAGCAGCTCAACTCTGCTTCTGCCAACAATTCCGGGATATTTTATAAAGTTTTGTTTCTTGGAAGGCATGGGCAGGGATACCGTTTGTTGACTCCTACAGGAAATCGAGAACTAGAGCAACTAATACTATTCCAGATAATGTTGCAGCCAGCAAGTATGGCGAACAGGTGAGGGTAGTTCAGTGAAGATTAAACTGACCTTAACTGATCTTTTAAAGGCCTGGGACGAGTGAGTTCGTTGTCGATTCAATTCTATAACGCTGATTCCTGGCCTTGGATAGCTACTGGTCTCTCCTCAACGGTGATGGGGAAATGATATGGGGCCGTAAGTTATGCGGATCCTTCAGTTGAATTTATTCTGATACTATTCTGCGACAGCGGATCCCTTTCTCACAGCATTGGGTGAAGACCAGGCGCGCAACGCAAACGCTGCATGGAAGGCTGAGGTGTCGAAAGGAATACCGCTCCCGCAAAAGCTCTATAGCAGTCCGATGCGGCGTGCTATGCGCACGCTTGTATTCACATTCGATGGCATCCTCACAGCAACAAGCCCCAAGCCCGTGGTGATCGAGGTATATCATGCCATCTAGCTGACCAGCATCGTCGTAACAATTCTCCTTCGTAACGACAGAACTGGCGCGAAGAGTACGGAGAACATACCTGCGACAAGCGCCGGACGCGTTCGGAGATCCACGCCGAATTCCCTGACTTCGAGTTCGAGAATGGATTCTCGGAACATGATGTACTTTGGACCCCCGAGCGTGAGACGAAAGCCCACGTAGACGAGCGCGCAAGAAATTTCTTGAATCGACTCTTCGCCCAAGATATCGACGACACCTGTGAGTCGCGACTAATTCTTGCCGGTTACATTCAGTGATGTTAGCTGCGATTTGAAAGATATATCAGTTACCGCGCACGGAGGTATTATCAACGGATTATTACGCGTTATAGGGCGAGGAAATTACAATATGCTCACCGGAGGTAAGTAGCTTCGGCAGGTGCCCTTCGAAAGATCCTGAATATTCTGACGGTCACAATTCCGCACTACAGGCATCATCGTTGTCGTAGTGAAGGGGACAAAGGTCGAAAGGAATTAGACATGATGCATGATGCATGATACACAGTCTTCGTCCTAAATATGTATATGAATTCTGTATTTTCGTAGTGACCCTATTTTGATGCATCAGCTAACTGGGTTTGGGAGGCGCGCTTTGGGTGACGCGTAGCGGTAGCGGTGACGTCACGCGACGGCTGAACTTGCTCCTGAACGACGCACAAAAACCCCACAAAAGTGGAAACCCGAGACAGTGCATGAATGCGATTCGGTTGGTCTTTGCCATGCACATATCCCTGCTCTAACCCTCAGAACAAATGCTTAGCATCGCTCTCGCCCGTGCTTACCAACAATCGTTCGAGTCTCATCCAAACGGCACACTCGCCATTGCCGGCGGTGCGCTCAATGCATTAGGGGATGTCGTCGCGCAGATGGTACAGCAGTTTGTGAGTCGTTTTGTTTTTGACTTTCTCGTCGTCCCACTGACATCTCGTCTGTGTCGGTGCTGGAAAGTCTGCATCTCACGACCCGCACAAAGAACGGATGCCATATGACCCCTTGCGCACTCTCCGTTTCTTCTGTTTCGGTGCTGGAATGAGTAAGAGCTAATTATATCCGATATCTGTGGAGCATATGCTGAGGGAATACTCTAGGTCCAATGATTGGTCGCTGGAATAGATTTCTCGAGGCTAGGTTTCCATTGCAAGCGCGTCAGCAGTCTGGCCACACTACCCCGCGTTGGGCTACGTTATGCAAACGAGTTGCCTGCGATCAGATAGTAATGTTCGTCGACAGTGCTGCAGCATGATTTTGATAGCTTGACATTTCATCATACAGGGCACCTATTGGCGTACGTGTCACTCGGGTGCAATTTTAACTCCTTTTTGAGGCCATTATTCTTGCAGCTCGCGGTGTTCCTTGGTTCAATGGGCGTGATGGAAGGACGTGATGGGGCGCACATTCGCGGCAAGTACAAAGATCTCTACCGCCCTGCACTCATCGCCAATTGGAAAGTCTGGCCAGCCGCACAGGTTCGCCTTCATCTTGGTCTACTTTCTTCATTGCTTGACAGCGGATATACGATTGTAGTTTGTGAACTTCCGTTTCATGCCCTTGGCCTATCGGGTACCCTTCCAGCAGTCTTGCGGGGTGTTCTGGACGCTTTACCTGTCTATCATCAACTCTAAGTGAGCATTGGTTCGTTCTCTTTATTATCGGACCTTTGGCTGATCGTCTTCTACAGCGAGGTCCGTAGGCAAGATCAGGAGGATGCTCTTCACCTTTAGACTTGCATTGAAAAGCTTTTCATCCCACCTCAACTCACCATTTATCTTATCATTGTTGTATCTTGTAGCCTTACAATCAGCTCTTACACTCAACTTCATTCGAGTAGAGGTGTTCGTTGCATCATTAGCCACTAGAATATTCTGCTCCAGACGACGTTGTACATACTTTCATTGGTAATACAGAACGGTCTTGTTGATTGTACCGCACATCACATATCACAACTGAATCGCCCTCGAAATGATCAAACAACAGTAAATTCAAATGAGGTACAATACTTTTAGATGGCCATCTATGAGGCTCCATATTTGGGCTTGAAATACGCTGGCGGAAGTTTGGCCAACACATCTACTAGAGGGCGCTCGACGACCAGCAGCTCACCCATATCCAAAAAGTCGACGAACAAGATTGGTCGGTAATGCGTAATCAACTTGAAGTTCTGTCCGTCTTCCTTCGTCGGGGCGCCAGGCGGGGCGTGCTGCTTCCGCCTGCGTTTCTTCCCAAACCCACCCCAGCCGGCAGGGGCATCCAACTGGACCTTGCATATCCAGGTCGAGCCCCAGAACAACGCCAGGCTCGTGGCCGTGCTGCCTGGTTCCGCTGCGGGCATGAGCGCAACGCCGAGGACCGGATCGTGTAGATGAGTGAACCGCTTCGGGAGGGACGCGCACAACTCGCGGGACCACGGGGGAAATTGTCGTGCTTCGACGTCGTACATTTCGATATTGTTGTTCGCAAAGGCAAGGAGAAGTAGAGAAGGGGTGCTTGGAGAGAAGGCGAGCGCATGGACAGGGTGTGGGAAGGTTGGAAGGACGGTGTGGTGTTGGATGGAGTCGAGGTTGAAAATGTGCGTGCGCCTGTGGTCGTCGGTAGTTGCAAGCCATTGACCATCAGGGCTGACCGCCATGCGAGTGACGGCCCCGATAACGGGCTTAGAGAATGCTGGCTCATCAATATCTGAGGTCACCATGCTGGGGGCGTCGTTTTGGGTATTTGTATCGACCTCGGTCATCTCAACATCCTCCACACCTTCGCTTCGTCTGCCCTTCACTGTCCTCTCACCAATGATGACATCCTTGACTCGATGTTGACTAAATCGACGCAGGACGCGAGGCTTCCCGGTGTCCATTCCGAGGTCAATCACGAGAATATATGACGAACCGGCAAGGGTCATCACAAGCTTTGACGAGTCAGGACTAAACACGAGCGAGGATGCACCAGTGGAGGTTGGCGAGCCTGCTATATGCTGCTGCAAGACTTCACCGAACTCACGAACACGTTTGGGTTTCAGATCACCAGATTTCTGCTCGATAAAGCTTTCTCAACAAGGATTGAGCAAGAGACGCGAAACACTCACGGTTGCTTCCAGTGAGAATAATTTGGTCTCGTAAAAATCGGAAACGACAAGCCATGCACCGTCGTCCGAGATTGCGCTAGCAATCAAATTAGTGCGAACATTGAGCACCATGTCCAACACCTGCTCCCAGCCTCCCGCCTGACCGTCCGCAGACAGCTCCTGATCTGCCTCCTCTACACGACTTTTCGGCAATATCCTCCAAACCGTCAAACTAGCTTCCCGCATGCACATGACCAGTCGCGTCTGCTTAGCCACTTTAATCGCGCTTGTAGAACTAGGCCCAGAAGAGTAAGCGAGTCGTCGATGATACGCATCTTCGAAGGTTGCGACCGTGCTTGTAGAGAGGGGGTTGATAATTTTGGCAGATGTTGTTGTTTGGGGGAGAGCGGCTGGTGTGAGGACTACTGACATATCGAGGCCGCCGGATGCGAGTATAGGTGCAACATCAATGGGGAAGCGTCGATGATGGGATGACGGTAGTGGGGTATGAGGAGGCCAGATCGCTAGAGTTCGCACGTCGTGTGAGTGCATTCGTTTGGAGGATGACTGGACCCAACGGCTTGCTGATGAAAGAAGGGACGATCCTGAGGTCTTGATGAGGGAGAACTGGGCTGTTTTCTGGTCCACTCCGGATGTATAGACCGTCGTGCCATCCTAGTTGTGTAGTCAGCCTTGGCAGCGGGTATATATAAACGAAAGTAAGCGCACAGAGCCAATTATGAGGCAAAGAACATCAGCACCATGCGCTTGAAAACTCTGCAGTTGCGTACAAGTTCGTGAATCCCAAAACTTGACCATACCAAGAGAGTCTCCCGATACGATTGTACCATCTCTGTAGGACATCAGTATCGTACACGCAATATCGAGTCAGGCGCTATACTTACCCTAGGGCACCAACTGTCCAGACCAATGTCCGCTCACCCCTCATTTTATCCGTTCCCATGCGATCAAGGACCCTTCCTGTCGCAATGTCCCACTTTCTCAAACTGCTATCAGAGCATCCAGCGACAATCCACGAATCCAACCATTCATCCTCATCGTCGTCACTATCGTCATTCTCTGACAAGGGCAAGTGTGGGCCTTTTTTTGCTTCACGCGGTACGGGGGGACCCCAAGCTACACTCAGAATGCGAGATTTGGAGCGGTCGAGATGGCGGAAATGACTAAGGCTGTCATCTTCTAGAGAACAGAGATGAATGGAGCCGTCTTCGCAGCCAAGTGCGAGGAGAGTAGATGATGGATTGGCAGCTATTGACCAGATGGAGCCTCCTTGGGACGAGATTGTTCTCTGTGCAAGAAAAGTGAGAACCATGGATGTGTTACACAAATCGAGACCGCTGCTTACCCGAATACATCCATTGAGAATATCCCATTCTAAAAGTTCACTTCCACCACCTGTACTGAAGAGACGGAGGTCTACAAGAGACGGGACGTCCTCTGGATCCATAGCGTGCCGAAGAGTGAGAGCCAGAGAATCAACTTTAGATTGATGAGGACCTGGTAGTGTCTAGAACGCGCCCGCGAATCAGATATGTCCCATTTCTGTGTCACTGCAGACGTACCTTTTGCACGACCCAAGCTTGAGGAGCCTGGACCTCAGCCTGTGAGCCCGTCCACTCACATATCTCTATATTGCCATTAGCTCTGCCAACGACGAGTGTCCCAACTTTTGGGACTTTTATAGAGAAATCTACTTTCTTTTTGCCTTTTAAAGACGGCAAAGGCAAAGGGGGAAAGGCCAGAGAGGTGATGGCGGACGGCAAGTAGTCGACAAAGCGGCAACGATGAACAGAGAGTGTAGTTGTCCCCCCCATGGTAACGCACCAGAAAGTCTACCTGGATTGTCGGTGAGGGTGTTCAGCTCTTGCGCTCAATCTAGAGTGAAGGAGTCAAATGCCGCGGAAGGAAGAGAACGCGAAAGTGTATTTTCCGCATCGCGAGCCGGATTTGGCGCGCGGTGGCGGACACTATTAGCGGACACTTCGTCTCTTGCCAACTCCCATTAGACTTTCTCTGCTTTCACCTCATCCTCAATCACACTCGAACTTGTTCATCGTGAGGACCGAATACTGCCAATTCCAATGTCTTTCCTTGGACGATCCAACGCGCCTTCAGGTGCCATCAACACAGAACGGATCGAGATGGCCGTCAGCGAGTATGTGCACCCCCATCCACGCGTGTCCCGTTGTATTTTACTCAATCATTTGCGCGTTTCGAATCAGATTGGATATGGTGACAGACGTCTTCAACAAAATAGTCACGTACGTGAAGCCTTTATTTATTCTTATGTTTCACTATGTTGATGAATGTTCATGCTGTCTCTTCAGGTCGTGTCACACGAAGTGCATCAGCACGCGCTATGCAGAGGGCGATTTGAACAAGGGCGAGAGCGTATGTATTGATAGATGCGTCGCGAAATTCTTCGAGGCGAACAAGAAGGTTGGGGAGCGGTTGCAGAGTGTAGGTGCAAACGCTATGGGATCGGGAGGCCCAATGGGCGTGTGAGGTGGAGGATGGCTTTGAGCATGACCAACAACAGATTCATGTTGATGAAGAGCGGCGTTGACGAAGACAGCGACGCACATTATCTGCCAGCTTAACTTATGCGCTCTTCTGACTCTAATTCGTAAATGGAATGCGTTCAACTTCGTTCGTGGCTTTACTTAAACCAATGCCATTGCAGGAGAAAGCTAGTCGACATCTATCAGCATCTATCCCACCATACCCTCCAAACTCTAAATCAGACCTAAAGGACATGAATACACGCCGGCACAAGTGAGAAAATCTGAAATCATCATTTCGCCGAACCAGGGAAGCAGTCGGCCATCGTTTTCGAGTGTTTATTCTGTGCGTGTTCTTCCAGACTGCGATTTGGAAAGCTTGTCAGCCAAGCCCTGAGATTGGTGAACAAACGAGGACTCACGCAGGTGCACGAGTGGTAGTCAGCTGGATACATGGATGATTAGCGATAGTGTTTACAACTTCCAGTAATGAGCACGTACGAAAGGTTGCTTGCAGACAGAGCACACGATATTCTTTGCCGCCTCGTTAACCTTGCTCTGGCTCTTCGACCCCTTGCCACCACTCTTTTCGGCGTTACGTTCGCGCTTCTGCTGTGCCTTTGCTCCCTGAACCAAGACAATACATTCAGCAGCCAGGAAGCCTGATAGAGACGTATCGGAGAGTAGTTACGTTGCCCATAGTGATTATAGTATACAGAGACGAAAGTTCTTGACAGAAAAGAAGTTGAAGATAATGAAAAAACAAGAGTGAGAGCGGTAAAGGCACGGTTGAGCTAAGAAGAGGCCATATACACGAGAGCGCACGTGAGGGATCGTCTAATTTCACGTGAGAAAGCAAATTGACGCGTCGACGCGTCGGATATGGCTGTAGGCTCATGGCCTTTTACGTGTATGAATGTCAAACATAGGCAGTTCATTATAAGATGATTCAGTATTATGCAGTCCAAAGACACATAAAAGCACAGCACTGCGTAATGTCAACGGTCACGAGGATTACGAGGCATCCGTCAACATTTACCACCAGCAACATCCACGGTAGGAAGCGTCTTAATGATGTCTGTATCATCGTAAATCCTGAAGCGGGTACTTGGAACGCCCTCAAAAGCAGCTGCAAACCGAGCATCGGTGTTGTTCGCACCATCTACACGGCGGATCCAGATGCAGGAGACGAAGTCAGCACCAAACTGGCGGAATCTGATGGACACGAGTCAGTCGAAGCTCAGACCGCCTGAAAGAAAAATACCAATCACATTTGACCATACGTCTCAGGGTCCTTCTGTGTCGAATCTCCAACAGTCAGGAACTTCTTGCCTGGATACATTCCATGGATCTTCTGAATTTGCCCGACTTTATAGTCGAAAACTTGGTTTTCGTTGGCAACGAGATCAGCAAGACCTTCGACGTTCGTGAAAGTGAGGTTCTGTAGGAAGATTGGGCCATTGGGAAACGTGGTAGTGATGAAATCGTTGAGGAAAGGGTAGAGCTGGAATGGTGATCCTGAGACGTAGAAGAAAGCCGGCTTGGACAGTGCAGTATTTAAATGACTGTAAAGCTCGGGCATCTAAGGGGAAATGCGTTACCGAATGACAGTGTGGAAAATTAGGCCATATAGACTTACTCCGGATACTGGAGTAGGGTCATCGAGCAGAGTCGCCTGGATGACTTTCAGCTTGTCCAGTGTATTGGTAATCTTGGATGTGGGTTTGTTAAACTGGATCCAGATACGCTATGCTTGAACATACCTTCACGGTGTCATCGATGTCTGAGGGAAACAAAATGAGACGAAGGGTTACTTGAAAGAAATGAATGAAGACTGACCAGAGATCACCCCAAAACCGTTCGCAGGGGACGGGAACACCTTTGCAGTGAATGACCTGTTGTCCGTGGACTTAACGGTCGCTACCAATGGTCCACTGCTACATGTGCCAAGGGATACATTCTGGAGGACGATTCCATGGTCACTCCCTAATCCGGCTGTACTATCCAACGTTGCCGTTCCTGGACTACACCCAGCAACGGTAACCGGGACCTCCTTCCCGCCTGATCCAACTGTTGCGAACAATTTGAGCCTGTCGCCGATCCTGTCTACGTCGGTGACATTGATGCCCAAACCCGAGATGAAGGATTCGGCGGCACTCAAGACCGGTGAGATGTTGAATGCGGCGAGGGAGACGTAGGCCTCCATTTGGGCTATCGTCGTCTTGCCGGAGGCATCAAGAAATCCGGGCGCATCGAAAAGGAGGACGTCATTGAGACTGGAAATTGTATCAAAAAGTCGGCGTGTCGGGGCGGCATTAGCGGAAGAAAGATGAAGGTAGAGCGTGAGGAGAGACGTGTATGAAACGCGCATGCTGGACGAGAAGGGAGAGGGGGGCACCGAGATACAGACGAGACTTGAGGGTGTTTAAATAAAACGAGTGACTTGAACGTTCAAAGGAAGTTGGCCTTGGAAACAAATTTAGTTACGAAGATAACAGAATCAAAAATATCTATAGAAAGAACGTGAAAAGGCCTCCAGGGCTCCGGGACAACAGGGTATTTGGGAGAAGGCGAAGAACGTTCGACGCAGAGCGCACCTTTTTAAACGAACGCACATGGGAGGTGACCCATAAATATACCAGACTGTGTTGTTTGGTTACTCGTTGATGATGATGAATGATACAGCCAAGGAATTTCAATTCAAGAGGCACACAGCAGCTCTTACCTCGAGACTACTCGCTGTAATACCATCTTTACCATTCCATAGCGTTTCATGTGGCCTGGAACAGTTCGCTTCATGGTCCGAGGCTTGACTCAAGCTGCATTGAGCTTCTCGGTGATAGCATTGTTATTGACGATGACGACGAGTGCTACCGAGTGTACCTCCAAATATGATCGAGCGCAGTCTAGTGGAGGCAGACAATGACAGACACTGACAGACACACATGTCTACACATGTACATACGGCCGAAGTTCCGATCCGCATAGTACACTTTGACTCACACGTGTCACAGATCTCAAAAAAGTCAACTTAGAGATATCATTTTCTATTCTGAAATGATCTGAAATGATACGACCATTTTTATGTGGGAGTCATATCCGATCCTGCAGATTCGTCCCACATCTTCGCCTAGCACCAATCCGCAGCAACACCACCATGACTGAAGACATCGAGGCCGCCAGGGCTAAGGTTGCCGAACTCGTCAAGTTCGACGTCCTGACCGACACTCAATCGGAAGACAATGCTCGTCAGGCTACAGACGTAGCCAGATGCTTCATATGTGAGTAGTTCAACTATCTTACTTTTTAATTTGTCTGAACGAGAGATAAAGCCGATACAATCACAGGTATACCGTTTACTTGTTGGCAGCTCGTGGAAGCATCCTGAAAGGGTCTCAGTTCCAAGCAGAGAGATGTACAAGTATGCTATACAAGCGTCCCTTGGCGACGACGTCTATCACGAACCGTCAACCATCGCCCTAGAAGCCCACATGGCCCGATTGACCGGGAAAGAGGCAGCTCTCTTCATGCCCTCGGGCACTATGTCCAACCAAATAGCCTTGAGGACACATCTCAAGCAGCCACCGTATTCGGTTCTATGTGACCATCGTGCGCACATAAACAAATACGAAGCAGGCGGTGCAGCTTTCCACTCTGGTGCTCATTTGATCACAGTCATTCCTTCAAACGGCGAGTTACACGAGATCTGAATCAAGGTACTTACTCGGGGATCATACAAACTAATGCTATGTTATGGTTTTTCAAGGTCATCATTTGACTTTGTCCGATATTCAAGAACACATCGTCACTGGCACCGATCTCCATTGGTACAACGAATTGTCTCTCCGCTTGACATCAGGACCGCTGACTTTGGCCACTTGTCAGCGCTCCAACTGAGATTATAGAACTTGAAAATACCTTGAACGGTACCATTATACCCCAGGAGGAAATCGTCCGCATCTCCGATTATGCTCACAGCCAGGGTGTAAAAATGCACCTTGATGGTGCTCGCATCTGGCATGTAGCTGCAGAAACAGGCAACCCCATCGCAGAACTGGCCTCACCATTCGATTCTGTCAGTCTTTGCTTTAGCAAAGGCCTCGGTACGTTTTCAGCAACTTGTCTTTGCTTAGCCCCATTGACCCCAGATCGATCTCGTTTCATTAGGCGCCCCCATCGGGTCTTGTCTTGTAGGCACGAAAGAGTTCATCACCAAAGCGCGCTGGTTCCGGAAACTCTTCGGCGGTGGAATGCGGCAGACTGGCATCCTTTCAGCCTCTGCGGCATATGCTCTCACCAATTACTTTGTGAAACTGCCGCATGTGCACTCGCTTGCTCGCCGACTTGAGCAGGGCCTCAAGGATATTGGGGCGCATATAACAAGCCCGGCCGAGACTTGCATGGTGCGCCATTCTCCACTCGACTCGTATGTGCGTACCTTACCCGAACCTAGGTTTTCTACGACCCATCGCCTCTTGGTTTGGATTACGCTGAGATCGCCGAGCGCGGTAGCCAGCTGAATGAGCGAATCATATTAGGCGGCTCTCGTCTGGTCGTGCACGTCCAGACTACTGAGAAGGCTGTAGAAGATTTCCTCGCCCTGATTCGCGAACTTGCCGAAGAGAAACGGAAAGCGGGGTTTGTTGCTCCTGAGGCTGAACAGGTGCCGGGCAAGTACAGAGATATCTATATCCGTCCTGTGAAGAAGGCATAGAGCTTCAGGGCGGTTTAAATCGCCTTGACGAAGATTTTCCAGCATGTGCGCACTCAAAGATCGTTGGGAAGGGGACGATTTGTCAAGGGTATACTTACCTGTTGTAATACTCTTGTACTCTTGTCTATTAGAGAGAACAATCACTGGGTCATCGTAAGCCAACCGACAAGCTTTTCAGGATATCATGCTTGTTTTCAGAGGTCTATTTTTGGATCAGCCTTTTCCGACATATTTCTGCTTCTCGTACTCCCTCCAGAGCTGCTTCATCGCCGTCTTACCGCCCGCATCTAATGCAGAAATCATCAATGCATCTCGTGCGTGCTCGCTTAGCATCCCACACAATATAAACAAGCCTGGCTGCAGCTCACGCCGCACCTCGGTCGACATCCCGCACAACGGATCGTTGAGCGCGTCGACATAGGCCTCGATGACATATGTTACGTGCTTCGCCAATGGACGGGAAAGTGACTCGTGTTTATGCGTGTCCTGCATGTGAGTACGGACGATACTTTTTGTAGCGAGCGTCGATAGCAGGCGAGCTAATGCCTTGCTCTCGTCTACTCCGAGCGGACGCGAGGGATCGATCCATTTAGGAAATGTGTCTGCGACGAGTTTGTGTTGCTTCATGCCGAGATGGGGTCGGGGGCTGCGAAGAGTTCGAATCAACTGGCTAAGCACTATGCATAGGTGGGGAAGCGTGATAGAGACGAGATCCCGGCGCAGGCGGACAAGTGCGCCAATAATCGCCGTGATGTCGTGGAACATATTGCTGTGAGTCTCTGCGTCGTGGGAATCGGAACCGGACAGGTACTTGGACAGGAGAGACCAGATGTTGGTGAGGTTTACAGGCCGCAACGAAGTCGGCTGTATAGATAAACGTTTAGTAGAATTTTGAAGACTATATCAAGAACTTACGTGATCCGTGCATTGCTGGCGTATAAAATCGAGGACCTGTTGGCGAAGCGATGGCGATCCAGCATAGAACATTGAATGGTTCACGAAAACATCGAGACTGCGAGTCATGCATGACTGCACGACTTTCAATGTCCCTGTCCCGAATCTTAGAAACTGGAAAATCTGATATGAAAGGCCTCAAACTCACCCTCAGGTGCCTCGCGTAACATTAATGCCATGATATGCACTAAATGCGTCATATCCTCGACATGGTCCTGGGTAGACAGTGGCTCCAATACCAGTTCTAGTGCATGAGAAAATTCTGTTACTGCCCACTTGCGACAGGTTTCAGCCAAGGTCACATCCATTAACTTCTGACCTTTTTGACCAGCGAACCAATGGTCAGGCTTCACGTACTTCAAAGCAGGCAGTTCTAAAGCTCACCCTCTTCCTCGCATGATCGGGCGAATAGAACATATGCAGCAACAATGACACCGATTTGAGATTCCCGGCTGATCTCGGTGCACCATTGAAGTTCAGTCAGCAGTACGGCCAAAATAGAATTGCATAGCGTGGAAGATATTTTCTGGTCTGGTTGTGCAGATAATACTTGTATCAATTGCCTTCCATGTCCTGCGGGAGGAAGGCCTAGCGAAGAGGAGGGTCAGCATTGATCAGATTGGAAAGCGAGTAAACACGCTGATGAGTACTTACTTGAAGAACCTATCCAGCGTCCAAATGCGATACATTGGCACCAACACTCGAGCACATCACAAGACCCGGATATGTCTCCGGAGTTCACGACGTTCTCGACAAGAGGGTGAACAATTCCCGCTATATGCTCATATAGTTTCATCAATGTCGCTAACAAGGCCTGCGACAATCTGCAACGCCATCGTCAAATTCGAAAGAAAACCTCAATCATTTGAAAGATTAGGCCGCTTACACAGAAACGGTCGTTCCTCCGGTTAACATACTCATTAACCGAAGCCCACTCAGGCGGGGGATTGCGGTCTGTGAGCCAAAGTCAAAAGGCAATCCGATTAGCCTCTTGACTGTTTGTATGAGGGCGTTGTCTGTCCCCTTCTCCGCGTCACGTATTATCGTGCTATGAGTTTCAGTAGTCAATACTCAGCTATTCATCGGAGAAAAGAAGATAAATCACATTAGATGCAAGTCAATGAGGTTGAGAGTGATGGAGTCGGAGTCAAATATGGCGGACGGTGTCGTTTCGATCATGTGCAGCACATACTCAAGGGTGAGCTATGAAATGAATTAAGTTTATAGATACATTCCAGTTTGCGAATGTCATAGACGTACCTGATGCTCAGCCGATCCCATGAAACTAAAGGTTTTGAGCAAAAAAGCCCTCAAGGAAACAACCAGCGAGACGTTATTTGCATCTTGATGTAGTGATGGTGAAACTCCGACGGCGATATCCAGAGAGATAGCTCGCTTGAGCAGATCATTTCGCGACGATCGCGAGAGGTATTCGCTCGGGCTATATAGTAAAAATCTATATGCTCCTGCAGCATCTTGAATCTGTGTGGTCGTCACAGAAACCCTTCGACTCCTTCTGCTATTTGAGCGTGCCAGAACGTGCGGGACATCTATTGCGTCGAGTGAAAACGTCTTCATCTGGAGCACTGTCAGCAGTGCAGCTGCGCGTGATGATCGCTATTAGAAAGCCACGGTGTGCGGCACATGTAACATCGCTCACCGCGAATGTTGCTCTTTTCCCAAAAGTCCGCCGAATGGAAGCATTCTAGGACGACTGCGAAGGGTGTAAGCTCTCGCGCTGTAGATGGGGTCGACAGTATTTTCTCGCTACCGCTGATTGAGAGCAATATACCAACGAGGCGTTCGTGTTCTACCGCAGAGCCAAAGATCCTACAATTAACAAGCAATTGTTAGCCGCTCAACGCATTCATATTGCCAAGCTCGCCTACATACTCGATGACGGATAACCACCTGTCCAACACCAGTCGCAGTAGACCGACTGCAGCCGTGGCGTGGCCGTGGTCTTCGAAGCCCAACTGAGAGGATCGGCCAGTCCACGTAGCAGGGCTCAATAATGCAGGGCTCGCAAAATATCTCTCGAGATATGTCAGAGCGGCGTTGATCACGGTTTGACGATGCGTGAAAGCAGGATAGGCCGATCGCTTGAATAGAGTACGGAACTGTGTAGTGTCGGGCACAGTCAGCCCTGAAAGATAAAGTTCTAGGGCGCGCACGTACTATTTCGATGCGATATTCGGGAAGGGCGTTTTCATTCGAGACAACGGCGACCATCCCTTCTTCTGCTTTTTCAAACGCAATGTCTCCAAAATCACCAGCGGCTTCCACGGCATATCTCAGCCTCAACGCAGTGGTGCCAACAACCTGTGCTGCCCACTCGTCTCCGTCGGCTCTCGCTCGGTCCTCTTCCGCTCGGCCAACCTGCTCTAAGCTTGTCTGTATTGCTTCGCTGACAAACCCTTCCATTGCGCTCCTTACTGTATGCCTTATCTCTTCTTGTCCTTCGTCCGTGACTAGATGAACGGGCAGTGCTGAAATTACTGATGACACGACTCTCGCCGCATGGGCAAAGCGTATTGCCCACGAGTCCACATTCAAGCTCGTAGATGCGACTTCCTCCTTTGGTGCGGACTTGCGCCTCTTTTTCCGAGCGCCGACTCCGCTGTGAGATAAATCTATTTTGTACGCGTCTAAAAATCCTTCCCATATTTTTTGTAGAGCACTGAGAACGTCTCGCGTCGTGCTAAGTAGCTGTCCGGGGGTAAAGAAGGCGTGGACAGATCGCGAGAGCTTTTCAAGATGGGAGGACATCAGGATGGGAGATGCAGCGGTGCTTGTGTACATTGTGCGCCAGGTGGATGAAGATTCAGGGCTGAGAGACAACGGAGATGCGAGAGCGGTGAGAACACATGCTATGTATGTTGGGAGCGTGCGTGTTTTTGTGTGGCTTGAGAGGAGCAGGAGAAGTAATTCGGAGGCGGGCGATGTGGTCGACGGCTGTACAGGTGTTGGAATTGTCAGCAGGTTCGGGAGAATGCGCGGGATGTAATCATCTATCAATTCGTAATCTATGCGGGTGATAATATATAGGACTTTGATAGACAGATCTGTTAGGGGTTTTCGGGACTCTGTAAGGTCTGAATGAGACTCTCCTGTCAATGAAAGGGTTAAAAAAAGCAAACCTTCCCAAGCATCGCCCAGAGCATGAATGGCCAAATCAATGTCCTCCTTCAACAAAGCTTCAGCCTCTTCCGACCCGACCACGAACAGATTCTCTTTCTCGACAACGGTCAGAATCTCCCCTCGCGCCTTCCATACCTGCGTCTGCTGCTTATTGTCCCCAAGATTTCTCAAGCTCTCTTCTAGAGCAGCAAAAAACTTCACAGAACTTGTGCGCGCGTCTAGCAGCGACGCGTCTCCTGGACCGAATATAGCTGAACGATGTTTTCGGACATTCTGCGCGAAAGAGGCTAGCAGGTGCGGCAATATAGGAAGAGAAATATTGGGCAAGGTGGTGATGATGGATTTGAAGGAACTGAAGAGAGATGCAGAGGCATTCGCATCGGAGAGTTGCCGTAGGGTATCGAGACTGAAGAGAAGTTCCACTCCAACCGCATATATGTCTGAGAGTAGTGGGGGTTGCAACATTCCGTCACCATCGCAAGGTGACTTCACCATACATCGAAGCCAGCTCTCAAGATGATTTTGCACAAAAATTTGGTGGAGCTAACACATGTGAGAGTAAGTCACCAGAGATGAACAACTTCGGTACAAAGCATACCTTCTTCTTATTCGAAGAGTTGCTCAACGCTGTTTTCAACGACAAGGTGACCATCGATCCAATTTTTTGGAAGCCATCGTCTGCTGATGGTGCCCCAAGAGCATCGAAGACAGCCAAGGGCCCGAGCAACGCCCCGAAGCAATCTAGCAAGGAGTCTGGGGTGATTTTTTGTACGGCGAGTGGCCAAAGCAAGGATATAGATCGACAAGATATTGAGTATATGTGACTCCTTTCATTCAAATCGAAGCTAGTCGATAGATTGAACAGAGAGATGACGATAGGCGCAATGGGAGTCCTATTGAGGAGAGGGAGGAGCCATGTCTTATGCATGCGGGTAGACTCTCCAATAGTTTGCGATGTTGAGCGCGGATATAAGACATCAGCAAGTAGCTCCCAATACCGCAGATCCAAGATAGGATTCGAAGTCCTGTGTAGTGTAAGCTCATGGGCATGCGAAGGAAATCCGAACTATGTGCACGTACGGTTCGTTTGCGCGGTCTTTCAACAACCGCGTCAGGGCCCAGTCCACAATTGTTTCTCCTTTGTTAGGGATGTGAAATGAAGGTGTGTCCCATGCCTCTTTCGCAACTTGTATCTTTGAGGGTTCGCCTGCGTCGGGGGTAGCCTTAAGGGCGCGGACAAAGTTTTGGGAAGATTGGAGGTAAGCCATGATAATCAAAGTCACTGTAAGCGCGGAGATTTTCGTTATATGTATTGGAATGACAAGTTTGGCATCATGAGTATGCTCTATGGGGAGGTCCGTAGACTTTTGTGGAGAACAGATGAAAGTTAGCCTATATTCAACCGCAAGCCTCAATTGATGGTCCCCGTGGGAATGTGTGTAAGCGTCATGTGATCAATTAATGCATGAACGCGTTAAACGACGCGTCGTAGTCCTTTAGATGAACGATGAAGCACCGCCGGAGCGGTTTCTTGTCGTCGATCAGCTCTCAATCCACCCTTCTTGCATCGAGTCTTTCACCATATTCTCCGGAAATGCCCTCATTTGGTTTCTCCTTTGCCAGAAGTTTGAAGACCCACATGATTTCCAGGTCCAGTGCATTTGCCAGCTGTTGGAAGGCACTGATGTCTTCACTATCACAGCTACAGGTGATGGCGAAAGCCAGCTGTTATCTATGTTTATTATAGTCTGCCAACTGCTTGCACAACATGCTCAATATTGGCCAAAGGGGTTCTGCCTCCCCAAGAATCCTATAATGATTGTTGCCATGCTAATGGTTGCTTGTTGATGAGAATGTTGTGGACTTTGTCTAGGGTCTTGGCACCAATCTCTGTCCACTTGACCTGACTTTCTTCACTTGTGCACTTGCTAACAAGGTGTAAACCACTGGATACCTTCACTACAGACTTTGCCTCTTAGATGAGCTGTTTTTCAATGAGCTATGCTGCCATTGGTGCAAGAGCTGAACAAGCATTTTTTATTTCAAGATAGCAAACAGAAGTAGAATACATGAGGTTGACCTGATCAGAGTGAGGCTTTGGTCAATTGTCAGGGCTTTGAAGCTAGTATTCAAGGATATGGGCTAGGATGTGAGCATTCTGACTATGAGGAAAACTTGCTGATGAGTAAGCAATGATCCTTTTGTTGTGAGACCCTTTTGTTTGAGTTATCAGTCTTGTACCAAAAGCAATACTGTAAGAATGTGCCAAAAGACCAGTTTTCTTGTTGTATTGCAGCAAAGATCCTTGAGAGTTTCTTTTGGACAAGCTTTTGAGAGGGTGGTAGATGAGAAAGTGATACTGTTGGGGTATTGGAAGAAGTGGATATAGGAGGGGGATTTGTTGAAGGAATGTATGCCAGAACATGAGAAGAAGTGGAGTTTTGACTGTAGTTTGAACCTAGGATGGGGGATGGGGAGTTGGCTGTCCATTGGGGGATGCTTGTATGCCATAGAGATGTTGCAGGAGCTATGAGCATGGTTGGAATCATGAATTCCATGGCTGAGAATGATGACAAGCAGAGCAGTCCATTGCTCAAAGCATTGAAAAAGCTGTAGGAGTAAATCAGCTATGGGAATGTTCTGACCATCAACCAAGGGGGCATGACTGAATGTAGACTGTATATAGGAGAGACCCATCCAATTGATTTGTCATCAACTATTTATCAGTCTGCTAAGGAGACTAGATAAAAGTAGTCTCCTCAGCAGTCTGGTAAATAGTTAATGACGAATCAATTGGGTGGGTCTCTCCTATATACTATCACTGGCCCTATATTTGGACAAACTGGACAAAAAAAATCCTGCCCCTATAGACTTTGCCTTTTACCCCCAATATTTGCATAAACTGTTACGACTGCTCGTCGGTAACCCCAAGAGTAGGAGGTTCTTCCCTAGGTCACTCGTGGAGGATGTGTGGAACAGTGGTCTCAACTGTACGTGTAGCACAGGAGCCAGAAGTGTATTGCGATGTAGCAATGAGGGTACTGTAGGAAGACAGTACTGAACGAGGTAGGCAGTATGAAGACTGCCTAAGAGCGAAGGGCTGTAGTAGGAAGACTACAGCGAACGAAGGGTACTGTAGGAAGACAGTACCAGAACGAAGAGAATAGACTGAAGATCGTCAGCCTATTCTATGGGCCTTTTATACTACTTTAGGAAGTAGGGCGTGAGAATACCGAATATGTATCTGTAGGTATTCTCTAAGTCGTCTCTCTCAATAACGACTACTCTTGTGCTTCTCCGTTGGTCTCCTTCCGGCCAGGAGAGAGTAGGAGGTTCACGCCCTGCGTGTGAGTAATTTATAAGGCGGCGTTCCATGCCCGCTAATACAAGGCCCGTGATACTCGACCAATGATTGATGATCCATTGGGAGTGGATGACCAAGGTTAATATCTGTACCTTGGTGTACGCCTCAATCTGTGAGGCCGCGTGATATTTGTGATGATCGTATTGGAATAGACCGCCGTGTAGGCCCGATAGAATGTGATCATAACAATACCCCCTTTCTACGTCCTATTCGCCTGGTAGGACCACGCCTTGCGTGTCATCGCCGCTCCATATATGATTTGCTTTCTTGATCCAATGATGGTCTCCAGATGCGACTTCCGAGACATGACTTCGTTTTCTGGGAGGAAGACCGACTTACGTCGTTTGATCCTCTAGGAGTTTTCCATCTCCGTTGAGCTGTTTGTTTGTTGTCGAGGCGCGAGGGTTCCAAACCTCCGCTTGGTAGGATGTTGTTCCTTCACCCATAAGGATTATTTTGCCATGGGAAAATGCGTCATGGTCTTACTCCAGCCTCTTCTGGAACGGCATCAAGAAAGGCGTATGAATGCGAGTGGTGTGTGGATGTGTAGAAATTCGAGCGTGTGGGTTCTAATTCGTGTCATCAGGTTCTTCTTCTTCCTTCTCCGAGGGCCAAACCTCAGTGTTTCCAGGATAGTCGTCTATCCTCATGATTTGTTGTTCCTCTTGACGACAGTGGATGGCGCCCATGGACAAGTAGGTTGATCGCTTACGAAGGCTTAGGCCTACTTCTCCAGGCTACCAGTCATGACGCCCCAAGCAGTATCGCTCCCATACGGTGAGCTCATCTCCGGTGAGGTTGCAGCCAAATCCCAAGCAGTATTGTCCCCATACGGTGGACTCATCTCCGGTGAGGCAGTTTACGGCGTCCAGAGTTTGTTTTTCACAAACGTGGGCCTATGGTGGGGAATACCACGTGTAGTGTTGGGTTCGAGGCAAGGATGTGAAGAGAATTAGACTTGAAGGGTGCAGCGAGGAATAAGGAGGAGTCTGACTCCTTTCCCAAGTCTGTCCGTTCGCTTGCACGAGTAGACATCAAGACCACAGCTGATATATTAATCGGGTTGCGAGATATATCCACGACTGGCAGTTTAAACGTCATGCGGGACGGTCCGTAGTTTACCGTCGTTTCGGACGATCCGTAGTTTAACGTCTTTGCGGACGTCAGTAGTTTTACATCGTTTCGGATGTTCTTCATCATCAACATGGAATATCTGTGAGGAAAGATGTTTCTGCACGCCGGAATTTCCATCGGTTGTGTGCATAGGGCCCTAGACCAGACTTTATCCCGCAGGTTTCCACTGAGGCATGATGGGAACGGTTTATGCTATATCAAACCGGATAACTTGTAACGCCTCAAGGTTATGAGACCGCTCAGTTTAACGCCGTGAGGTAGGCGGTCTCGCAGTTTAACGCCGTGCGATAGGCGGACTATCGTCTGACTGTGTCCCTCGAGTCACGATAGGTTTTTCCTCCGAGGATGAGGGTAGTTTAATGTCATTTCGGACATTGTTGACATATTCTCGTCAAGAATGACGTCGACCGATGATCCCTATACTAAAAGGGACAAATAGTTTAACGTCATCTCGGACGGTTGATGACCACGGTCTTGGTCAACAACCACAACTCCTATTCGGTAAGGAGCACGTAGTTTAATGTCATTGCGGACCGATTGACACCATGGCGGTCAATCCACGACTCCTATACGGTAAGGAGCAAATAGTTTTGTGTCATTGCGGACGATTCAGCACCAGAGTGATGAATCACAACTCCCATGCGATCGGGAGCAAGTAGTTTAACGTCATTGCGGACGCATTGATGTCCAGGGGATTGGACGTCAATGACAACCCCTAGGTCCAGGGGCACTAGTTTAACGTCGTTACGGACGCGCGGTATCTTGTCAAGATCGCCACGCATGATCCCTAGAACGAAGGGACGGTAGTTTTACATCGTCGCGGATGCCCGTAGTTTACCGTCGTTGCGGACGTGTCCTAGTTTTACGTCGTCGCGGACGAGTCCTAGTTTTTACGTCGTCGCGGACGAGTCCTAGTTTTTACGTCGTTGCGGACGAGTCCTAGTTTTTACGTCGTCGCGGACGATTGTGGCGGAATAGACTTTGGATGAGTGGCCCGCTCTTGTCGTTCTTCCGCTATGTGGGCCAGACGAGAGTCGTATGACCTAGTCCCTTCCTACTAGATCTTCGACTCGAGGCACGTGTCCTAGTTGCCTCCTGACTAGGTCTTGGAGCGGAATTTCTTGTACTTCGACTCCGAGACTAGACTGAGCGCTCCATGAAGAGATGCTTGCTCTTCCATGTCCCCAGACCCCTCGCTTGGATTTGAACCAAGACGACCCGATATTCTTTTACCGAAAAGCGAGTGAATATCGGAAGCGCTTCGACCTTTTATAGGCAGGGTTCTGTGACGCGAGTCCTTCCGCGCTTCGCCAGAATGCAACCACGCTCCTTTGGTCAATGGTAGTTTAACGTCGTCTCGGACGGGGATAGTTTTCCGTCGTTTCGGACGAGGACTAGTTTAACGTCATTGCGGACCCTAGTAGTTTATAGTCATTGCGGACCAAGCCTTTGGTAGTTTTACATCGTTCCGGATGTAATTTGTGGCCTCGCATCATTAGGAAGACTTGTGAGGTAGAGGCGGCCCGCTCTCTACATCATCTCATGCGCCAGCTGTAGGATCCCCTAATGCGGAAACGATCCTGTAAAACGGGAGATCCAAAGTGGGACGTCCCAAAACACCAGTCAGACCTTGACTGTGAGGGTTCACGATACGAGTTATGCATCATAATTTCTTGACTCGGACTTGCAACCGGTTATGTATGGGCACTTCGCTGTACCAAGGCGAAGGGCCTGCTTGTCGACACCTACGAGTAG